CGTCAAAGAGGGTGCAAAACTTTCCCGAAAGCCACCAGGAGAATGGTTTGGACCCTCTGCCACTTCACGCAGCATCCAAAGTCTCGTACTTGGATTCCCAGAATGCGGAATATCCGAATGCGTAATTTCCACTGATTCTGCAGACGTTTACGAAGAAGAAATAGAACCGATTTTTGCCAAAACCCAGGATGCAGTAGTTCTTTTGCATCCTTTTTTTTTTCTTTTCTATGGGTTTCAGGCCCTCGCGGTTTCGTCGGTCGTGTTTTGTTGAGATCCAGCGGCCGAGATCGGGACCCGGTAAGAATCCGGTGAGAAGGAAGGAGTGGGAGAGAGAGAGAGGATTCGGATTTTGGGTTAGAGAGTGAGTAAGGCTATGTGTGGTAGTAGTGGTTTTCTGTACAGGAGCAATTTTGATTAGATTAGAGTGTAAGGGATGGAGCCGATGCAATTAATTACGCGATCTATCGATCTCGCTCGGGGCTCGAGGCCCCCTGAGGCAGCACGCGAGAAAAAGAAAGGGTTTGTTGTTGTTGTTGTCGTCGGAAACGATACGTTGCCGAGGTTTAGGTTTGGTTTTTTTTTTTCTCATATGTGGTTATTAAGTATGTGGGGCTGGTCTGGGCCGGGCCGAGCCTAGCCAAGAGAAAATGTAATGGTGGTAATATCGGGTACGAGTAGTAGTAGTGGTAGTAGTGGTTCGAAAGTAGATGATAGGTATTTTCAATAGGGTAAGTAAGCGTTCGGTTTTTGGGAGTATCAGTAGCAAAAAATTCTCTTCAAAGTGTAAAATATCGGCTTTTATTGAAGACTCTTTAGAGGGGGAGTGCGTTTTAGAGACGCGGTTTGGCCCATGTATATGCGTTAAATTAGATATGTAAGGGGATTTTGAAGGGTGATGACCCGTGTAAAGCGATGGGCAGGGACTACTCGAAAAAGAAAAAGAAAAGAAATACGCAGGTGTGCTGTTTGTGAAGTTGGTTAAACCATTGAAACAGGGTATCGAGACGTGGCGTGGCCTAGAAAGCTAACTAATACGCCTCGTATAGTACCCAAAGATCAAAACCCACAAAACGTAGTGGTATCACTCTATACGGAGCACACACACGAAAGAGAAAATGACACATTGGTGGGATCGCTTTGTACGGCACAGGTACTCAGTGATATCGCAAGTATACTGAATCTTGATGTTTTAGTGTATTCGTAAGACGTTGAAGATCTTGTAGACTCAAGCAACATACACACACTCTCAAAGTATCAGATTCACCAATGCTCCTACATGACAGCACCCGAGTAAATGTCATACCCAAATCTTGGTGAATTCAGAGTCACACCTCCTCAGGTTCCTGAAACCTACAGCAGTTATTGATTTGATTCGAGTCCTGGTCACTATATACGGTAACGTTTTTCAAGCTAATTCCTATTGACTTGGAATTTCCTGGATTCCCCTTCGTGAAATTTCGCCAGTCCCAAGAATAATGATCTTGAAGTATCCACATTTCACAGAGGACATCAACGCAGCGGGTTCCAGAAACTCCTGTCGTCTGGTTCTGGCGTGTGTTTGCACGGTGACTTCAAACGGCCAAAAAAACATCCATGGATTAACCAGTCATTCCCAAAAAGCTGCGGGTAGTACCCGCGGGTAGGATCCAAATGAATCCGTAAAACAAAGAATCCAAACCCACAACTCAAAGTTTCCACACATAAATTATAGTTTCTTGATCAGTTGTAAACTAGCTGGGACGCTCAGTATTGACCGGCACACTGGATCCAAAGTTAAAAAGTGGAACACGCAGAGCTCATAGACAAAAACCAATATTCTATAGCTTCTGATAATCATCCGGAAAAATTTCGTAGACTCTTGCTAAAAGAGCTAACTAGTCACTTCACGAACGGGCTTCAGCAATCTGGCGACAAAACTCATGCATATTTGCGAAAATGTTCACTACCATTACAATATTGGACTAGACACAAGCACAGTACACAAATTAATGTGTATTTTCATCAAAAGCAGCTACAACCCGGGACAATTGTACCCATTCTTACGCAGCTCGAACTCTTGCTTACCAGCTCTCATTTCAATACTTTCCTCATCTTATCTGGGTTCTTAATGAGTGACGGGCGTCCTTCCGCATTACAAAGAGCTAAAAGTCTGGTTTTTCTTCTACGTGACCCATCTTTGCAGCTTCATCTTAGAATTCTAACCAAATGTCATTAATGTTCAGGCCCTCACCGAATTACTACTTCTCTTGACCTTGTTTCTTCCTTTCTTGTGCCAGATGGTATCCAAGCATCTACAACAATTTCAGCTTTTAAGCCGTTGTATACCAAGTGACTGGCAACGGCGTCCTATTGATACAGTCATCATAAGAAATTATAATTCACGCTACAACGTTGACTTGTTCAAACTGGAGAAAGCCGTCACAACTCGAGCCATATCAAATTTCAACCGTCGAAACAAATCGTCAAGTTCATTGTTCTGACCAAGATTATCTCAAGCGAAAACCACCAAATTCACCATCAGATAGATTAAAACTGGACTTCAATGTTGCCGCCCTGAACCCTCCTCACGCATAACGATACACCTTTCTTTATTGATATCACCAAAATGCCAGCGTCAGCGTCAGCGTCAGTGTTTGTCTTCCATATACAATTGGGCATCATACCCTTCCATTTTTGCAACTGTGAGTTTAGTTGAAAAGTTTCACCATCCAAACTGTACTTAAAATACGCTTTTCCCTCAGAATACTGCAAGCCATCAAATTCTCAAAAAAAAGTGGTATACTCGAAGCTATGTCCCTACGCTCATTAGCACTTTTGATTCAGCTATACCTTTGCTTGGCTGTAGCAGACCTTGCGATAGTAAAACCAGAAAGTGGTGATGAATTTCCCGTTTTGTCAAATTCGGCATCCTTCGATGTAGAATGGACAGACGCTGGCCATGAACCAGATTTGAGTTCAGTGACGCAGTACGTCTTCACGCTATGTTCCGGTCCTAACAATAAAATTGAAGCTGTCACTACTCTGGCAACAGTACCTGCAGGAGAGGTTAATAATAAGAAATACACTGTCACCGTCAATCCAAACGCTGGTGCAAGTGGTACCTATTTCATACAGGTGGTGGCTATTTCACCAGAGTGGATAACAATCCATTACTCCACCAGATTTACTCTATCTGGGATGCGTGGCAATAAAGCTGCACCAAAGGTAAATGAACCCCAAAGTCCGCCACCAGAAACTATGAGAATAGGTCCGGATGGGCCTCCACCACCCATAGACTCTGCTTCCTTCAAAATTCCATATGCGTCACAAAGTGGGTTGACGCTCTTTGCGCCCATGCAGACCCAACCGGGGTCAAAAGTCACCGCAACACAATGGACTCGAATAAACCCAACAAGTGTTTGCACTTTTTTCAAGACTGACACTATTCAACCTCAATTGAAAACTACAATAACAGCGGGCTGGGACTACACGGTTCAAAGCCGTATTAATGATGCCCATCCCAGACCAATGCCGGCGGAAAATGGAGGGTGGTACAAGCCTGCAGATAAGAAGACCCTGACAGCCCGTAAGGTTAATAGATTCGTGTATTAAAAGAAAATATACAACCAGGCGCTTGTATCGTTGCGATGCTTGGTTGAGTTTGAGTTACAGAGCCCACATTTGCCACGATGCAGTTACGTTTCGTGTACCAATAGGTATGCTACTAGTCAGATATTACAAACAGTATTACTCTACAGCAGACTCGGAAGCAACTGGTTCCTCACTCTGTTTTTGAGTTGTTTCGGACTGTTCTTCATCAGCCTTTGGGGCATCCCTCGATCTCTTCTGTTTGGGCATGTTCTTTCTGTGACCGGTGAAAGAACGGGAACGTTGGCCCGAACCACTGAAGTTCTTACTACGTGTTGCCTCACGTTGTTGATCGTATTGCTTCTTGGAAAAAACGTCCAGTTTACGGCCTTCAAACGAAAGCGTTTCCTTATCGGCCCCATAGGTGTCCACAAATTGCTGGGCGTCTTTTTCGTCGGCAAATTCTACTATAACAGTGCCGTTGAAGTTCTTGCGATGGTCTTTCTTCAAGCGGACTTGGCTCACGGAACCAAGCTTACCGAAGAAACCTTCCACGTTTTCTTGGAGTTCGGTTTTTTCTTCTTCGCTCAATTTGTGTTCACCGTTCTTGGAGAAGTCGAAGTTTTGAACCACGACTGTTCTCTTGCCTCTTTCGAGCTTGGCGTCGTGCTGAAGATCCAAAGGCACACGTCTCTTAACGTTTTCGCCGTCTTCGCTTACTTCCAGCACGGTAGACGTACGCAAAGTTTCAACCACTTTGTCCACAGGGCGAAATTTCTTCATTCTGTTGAAGGTAGCAATGGTGGAAATGGGGACCCATCCTTCATTTTTCTCAGCAGTGGTGCGCAGAAATTTGTCGTAGGGCAAATTGAACTCGGAAAAGTAGAATTCAAGCTGTTTCAAACACTGTTTTGCCACTTCAGGAGTGAACTCGACAGAGGTATACGAGTTGCGTCTCACGGTTGACTCATCGGCAGCTTTAACGTCACTCATATTGCGAAGATTTCCGTTTTTTTTTCAAGTAAAGTTTCTGTGTATGCACTGATCTGAAATCTGCGCTATTTCGATGCCAAGTTGAACTCTATTAACCCAATCAAAGTGAGGCGGTCAATCAGCACTTGTAGACCCTGTATTTCGTCGAAGCTTGGTAAAACTTTTCGAAAAGTGAAGTATTCTGATCTTCATTCAATGCTCCTCCAGCTCATCGACTAAAATTGAAGAACTTCTGGAAGTCGTTTTGTACGACAATGACCTTTAGGTGAGTAGCAGCGCTCTGTATCACGCATCAAAACGAAAACCATAGTTTCGTGGATGGAAGAGTTCTTTGAGTTTCTACATCACTTGAGATCGATAACTCTAGCAATTGTATCCGTGTCTCTGAGCAAAACGCAATCCATGTTTTTCACGTATGAAATTGGCAAACGAGTTGGAATATCGCAAGGTTGAGCCGATATGTCTGCCAGTCCCTTTTCAACGCCATTGTAGAACTCCAGACCGTACCCGACAGTAACAATATAGCAGCCATATCTGGCCCTTAATAAACGCAGGACTTTGAATAGAAGGTCATACGAAGCTGCATCATGGGTGTAGTAGGAGATGTTGTCGATCACAATCCCAGCTAGTTGGTACTGTAATGAAACTCGTTTTTGACAACGCGATAATGCATCCTGTGGACTTTCGTTGAGTTGCACTAGAAAATTGATGAGAGAGTCGAAATGAAGAAGCGAGGCTGTGTTCAAATAAGCAACGTCCTTATCTTCCAGTTCCAGTTGCGACAGAAATGGCTTCCAGCACGAAATCACGTCAATAACCAGGATGAAACTTTGATCGGGACAAGTCTTCACTAACCTTGTCAAAAGTGTTTTTTTGAGAGCTGAAGGCCCGAAATTATGTTCTATCAGATGCAGAAACCCAGCGGGCTTGAGTTTTTGAGCATCTTGGTTTTGATCGCAGTCAAGTATCGCATTGCCAAACGAGTCTCTACCAAGCCAATCAATATCTATGGCAACGGGCTTGTAAAACTAAGGGGATTCAATGTTAGTGGAATGCGCCAAGAAGTAGCTCGGTTGTAGAATGTAACTTACGGTGGAGAGTGGGTATACTCTACAATGTGCCAGCACATTCATGGACTTGTTTTGAAATGTCAAAGAGGCATGTCTCGAGTGTAAGGATAAGGATGCATTTGACAGTAATTTGGTAAGATCCGAACCAAATCCTTTTTTACGAACCGACAGCGCGATGAGTTATCTTCAGAATATACTCACTCAAATAGCCTTGTAACAGCTTTGGGCATCCACATCGAGCCTGCCGGAAGCTTGTTTGATTGGTGAACCAACTGAACAGAAAGAATACTTCAACTCCGGCAGCTTGGGCAACTTCGAACTAAATAGAAGCCAGAATGTTGGATTGATCGCAGAAAAAACTGAGTAACTATGAATATAAGCCCATTGAACACCTAATGATTCGAGTTCGAGTGGTCTTGTAACAGTCAATTCCTCTATTCAAAAAGACGGGGTTTATACATTTGGATTTCTGTCAAGCTCTCAGCATAGAAATCAACTAGAGATTATTAAAGGTCTGGGTCAAATTGGATTAATTATGAATGGAACTCTAGTATAAGACAAAGCTCAGAAAACATCAACTCTTGGACGTCTTTAACAATTCAAAACATGATTTGAAATAAGCTGCTACCGACAAGAAACATATAGCAGCAATTTTTACCATTTCGCAGATGATATTGGCCTCGCTTCCAATACTAGCATTTCACTCTTCCAAAACAAACCAACTTCCCCTCTAGTTTTAATTAGTTTCCAAGCAAACTGTTCCAACTCGACAAGCAATTGCCCCACACCTTGACTCTATTCTACTCGCCTCTTTCCATTCTTCTCATTGCTGCAAAGCGTCTCAACCTCGGGCGTCCCGCACTCAGTTACCTACCCAATGATCTAGTCGAGCTTCGGGTCGTCTTTCTCGTCGTATCGCTACTAGGACTCAACAATCCGTGATATTAACCAACAACACGAATATCCAAAGATCTTGAAAAGTTAGTGATTCTGGAGTTCGAGTCTTGCCCACCACACTCGTTTTATCTTAGAACTGTACAGTGCTCGAACAAGTACAGAATCAGAGCTTTCACCAGTTTCAGCTGTTGCCAGAAAGTTTCACTATTTGATAGTGAAGTATAAATAACCAGCGGACGAAAAGCTCGAAATAAAAGGTCCCGAAACCATTTCAACAAGCTGTTTTAACCTACCAGTCTCGAATTTATTGCCTTTTCCAAGAAAATACTTTTCGTTTGTCGAATTCTGCTACTTTCTGAACTATCACTACCAACAAAATGGGTGTTTGGGGCAGAATAGTGTATCAGTTTAGATGCGTGCTAGGTGTCACATTACTGAGTACATGTGCCCTCTACGGAGTTTTGGCATCTATAGTACTCAGCTGCGTTGGTAAAAGACATCTCGCGCAATACACCACCGCCAGGTCTTTTTACTATGTGATGGGAACGTTTTTGGGTATTGACGTGGAGGTAATCAATCCTGAAAACCTCGAGAAACTACCAGCTATTTTCGTGGCCAACCACCAGTCGGCCCTGGATATTTTGATGCTCGGTAAAACATTTCCTCCAGGATGTACGGTAACGGCCAAAAGTTCATTGAAATGGGTTCCCTTCTTGGGCTGGTTTATGAGTTTGAGTGGAACTCTCTTTTTGGAGCGTGGTAACCGTGAAAAGAGTGTTAAGACTCTATCTAGAGCTATTGAGAAATTGAAAAGCAAAAAGCGCGCCATTTGGATCTTCCCAGAAGGTACGAGATCTCATTCTACTAAACCATGCCTATTGCCTTTCAAGAAAGGTGCTTTCCATCTTGCCCAGCAGGGTAAAGTGCCAATCGTACCGATCGTGGTTTCAAATACCAGCACCATCATGAATTCCAAGTTCAAGGTTTTCAACCGTGGTGTCATCACTGTCAAAGTTTTGGATCCAATCCCTACGGCTGATCTTAAGAAGGAAGATGTGAGTGCTTTCACCGAGAGGGTTAAGGAACTTATGGAACGCGAAATTGAGACTTTGGGCTACTCAAAAGCCATTGTTGACACAGATTTACCACCCGATGCCAAGCCTGCCGTGGACGATGCATCTTTGAGCGGACGTTCCGACACGGGCGATTTCACTGAAGACAGGGACAACTCGTCCAAAGACACGGTGGAGGAAGTCGTGGAAGTCATTGAAGAACAGGACGAAGCGGATACCGAAGCTGCTCCTGCTTCCACGTAAACTAAAATATTCAAATAAAGCAGAGGATGCATTAAAACAAAGAATATAGGTTACGTACAATGGCAAAACATGATGGATGATGCACAAAGTGCCGGTTTATTTGCCAATATGCTTCAAAAACCGGTCGATGTCCTGGCTACTACCCAGCCAGATGCTACTTTTGTCGTGAATGTGTTCTGGGGTCAAATCGAGAATTCTCTCACCTTTGTCGTTGACGGCTTTACCTCCGGCTTGCTCGACTAGAAAGGCCATAGGGAACGCTTCGTACAGTAGACGTAGCTTTCCCTTGGGGTTTTTCTTGTCACAAGGATAGGAGAAAAGTCCGCCGTACAATAGGGTACGATGAACGTCTGCAACCATGGATCCGATGTAACGCGAAGAGTAAGGTTTGCCCTCGGGAGTTTCCTGGGGTATTTTCAAGTTGTGGAAAAACTGCTGAATGAAGTTTTCCCAGTAAACAGAGTTTCCCTCATTGACGGAGTATATTGGATGCTGCAAAGGTAGCTTCAGATCTGGGTACGTGAGAATAAACTCGCCCAAATTTGTGTCTAGCGTGAATCCGTTGACACCTTTGCCCGTGGTGAGCATGAGATGCGTGGAAGCACCGTACATGGCGTAGCAAGCGGCCACCATATTGTCACCGCGACGCAACACGTCTTTGGTGCTGCCTTGCGACCCTGGGGTCAATTTGAAAAGCGATACGATTGTTCCAACCGACACACCGGCGTCCAAATTCGAAGATCCGTCAATTGGGTCGCAACAAACTGCGTATGTGGCTGGATTGTGGCGGAAAACCATCAATTCTTCCTGTTCTTCGGAAACCAACACTTTGACGTTCCCACTGGCCCGCATTGCGTTGATGAAGATTTCATCTCCCAGGACGTCCAGTTTTTTCTGCTGGTCGCCGGTGGAATTGACGGATGCACCTGCGAGTCCCATGAGGTTGACCAATTCTGCGCGCCGGATTGTCTGCGAGATGAACTTGAAAGCAAATTGCAGCGAGTTCAGCAGCATTGAGAACTCCCCGGTAGCGTTTTTGGCATCGTAACGTTGGCTTTCCAGGATAAACCGGGACAATGTGATGATGTCTGTGTTAATAGACTCTGCCGAGTCTCTTCTTGCTTGTACGGTGGCGGGCATTACTTATTTCTTATAAAAGTGTATGTACTAAAGTGTAGCGTGTTGTTGGGTTCCTTAAGGATCGTTATGGGTTGTTCAATATCGAAGCTAGCAGATATTATCACAAACTGGTCTTCAATTCTTGATGCAATGTCTTCCAACTTGTCCATAATCTACTCTTCTTTTATACACCAACTCTCAGCTCAGAATGTGTGTCTACTTCTACCACAGGGGTCTCCCACAACCCCCACATCAGAACTCCGAACTCGGACGTAAGCACTTTGTCTTATTGGACGTTAAGCAGTTTGTCTTATTGGCCCTGACTTTTGTTATTCTACCTTTACAAGCCCTTTGGCCTGCTACCGATGGCCCGCGCGATAGTCCTGACTGGGCTCGACCACCAAAATCCGGGGTAAATAAAGTTTACATATCAACACACATACTTACACGTTTACACATCATCTTACTTACACGCCACGCCACGCCCGACCTCACTCCTTGTAATAAGGTCTGTCCAGTATTCTACACGGAACACCGGAAAACCGTAAACCGTATGGAACATTAGAATTGATTAGAGCTCTTACCATGAGGCTTGTGCGGCACATCTGCATGGCTTCTGAGCCGTTTTGCGATGAGTACTTGTGACCTTTGGGTAATGGGCTTTAGGCTGCGTGTTCTCGCCCGGGTGTTATTAACAGGTTATAGTGACAAGAACTTGGCACTAACGAAGACGGGCTAACGGCTGCTACGGCAAAGCAAGGAGAAAGAAGAGATTTGGATAAGGGGGCGAGTCCTGAAGGGAATCGACGCGTTGTGGTTGTGAGAATTTGAAAGGAAACTGCTGGCACTATACCTCCATATTTAAGCCATGGGTGTGGTTGATGTCAGACTGAGACAAAGCGATGGGAAAGTGATAGGAAAAAGACATTTTCGTGTGATGTGATGTGGCACGTAAAGGGACACATCATACACGACAGAGTTCAACGATCGCATCCTTCGCGGAGTTAGTAAGAAACTCGTTTATGTGTATTCATGAAGGATCAGCAGACGCGTTAATGGGAAAAAGCCTTTGAACAGTTTTGTCTTAGTAGCCATCGAGACGTGGACCTTAAAGACCTTGACATATAAAAAGCGAGATATATTGATTCTTTTGACTACGTGAAAAATTGAGACTGAGACACTCGAAAAAATTACAATTTACGTGTATAGTGATTGCGACTCGTAGCACACGACCTGGAAATCATTTCTCGCGCTTTCGAGGTAGGTAAGTTAAAAAAAAAACCAAGGATTTCGCAAACTAGATGCAGTGCTACAATTTGAACTTCCAAACTAAACGCCCCCCACCGCATATACTTTCTTCCGATAAAAAAAATGTTTCGTATATAATGATGTGGGAAAAACACCTACTCACAAATGGCAGAGACTTTACAAAACACGATGCGTGTGCAAATAGATTTAGATTAAATTGCCCCCCCCTTCCCCCCCTTTCCCTCCCTCGTCTCTCATCGATCTTGCTGCTCTGTTTCAAAACTCTGAGAGATCCACCACTGCTGCGTGAAGAAAGCACCCTGGTCACTATCCACGAGCATTGTCTACGACATCTCAAAGGCTCCAGTATCCAAATTATCACCATCTGTCCCTACTGTCTTCAACTACCCCATCTCCATACCAACAGCTCAGCTTCGCGCGCGACCTAGCGACTGCATTTCCACGACCTGCCCCCGAAGGGTGCCACTCATTGTCTCGCCATAGATGTCAACAACCACTCAAAAACCAAAGCTCACGGGCTGGGCTGCTGCTGCTGCCAAAGCAGCTCCTGCGGCTCCTGCGGCTCAACCAACTTCTACTTCCACTCCCACAGCCACTGTCAAACCAAATAAAACCGCAAAATCCACTACATCTTCGAAACCACAAGGAAATAACAATTCTGCACCAGCTTCTACTTCCAGGAAGTCTAAAAAACCAGCATCCAAACCTGCATTCAACTCCGACCAAGTTCTCGAGTTTTTACACGCCAACTACACAAATCAAGCCAATGCACCAAACACCGTGCTCTACTCAAAACACGCATCTAATAGTCCTCCGGACTGGGGCATCACCACCAATAATAGGTGGAAATCCAAAAAATATGTATGTTTAGGAGACGTGGCACGCTCTTTGAAAAATTGAAGCACATTTCTTCACATCGCAACTCTCCATCGGGCGTTTGCCGCTTTCTTTTAAAGCCATCACCGAGACTTCCGTCACAGATCAATTGCATTCATTCATCATCATCGCCTCAACTCTCACTACTTCCTATCCAAACTAATTAATCGTATTACACTCAAAACTTAGCACTCAATCATACAATGCACTAATACATATTATCCGGTCTATCAAGAAAGCTTGACTCATCTAGCTAACTATCCTTCTGCTAGCTAATTCTTCCACGCTTGTTGGGCTTGATACTTTTTATATCATTGTTCAAGTCATCAACAGCCCTTTGATCTTTGTCTAAAGACTCACAATAACACTCATTTTCGCACAAGAATGACACTGTCGTCTATTGAACATTGGTTGACGGTACATATTCGCTCATGTCTGAACACAAGGTTCCATATCTCAACGCTCAGAAGAGTAGCTTTTCTAATTGCCCTGATATCATGCGTGGCATCAGGTCTCATCACCATCATATCTCTCTTCACTAAGCCGTGGAGGGACCACATGCACTACACGGCACTTCAAATCAACCTGATTTCCAGTGCAGTGAATTTGGGAGGGTACTTGACCCCACCATTATTGGGAGTGCTGTCAGATTCGCATGGTCCTGTGATATTGAGCTGGCTGGCAGTAATAGGATTTGTTCCCAGCTATGCTTACTCTTCCTACGTATTTGAACATGGTGAAACACATTTCGCGTTCACACTCATTGCATTCTGCGCAATTGGGATCTCAACAAGCGCTCTCTTCTTCAGTGGCCTGTTGACTTGTGCCAAGCTATTCCCAAAATACAAATTTCTGTCCATAAGCTGTCCCACCACATTTTATGGATTGTCGTCCCTAGTTGGTTCTGAAGTTTTGAAGCGCGCATGGTTTTCTCAAGGGCACGAGTATTTGAATTTGGGTCGCGTCTTCAAGACTTTTGCCTATTTTTACGCTGTGGTTGGGACCTTGACGTGGATCTCAACCAGCATCGTGGCTATGTTAAAGCTTGCAGCTGAACAGGAAGAACACCAACCTCTGCTACCGACTGAATCTAGCGCATCTGCGAATGACTACAAAAAACGTATTGCCCAGTTCGTGAGAGACCCCAGCACTTACCTGACGCTCCTCATGTTCTTTCTGACTATTGGTGCGCTCGAGATGTTTCTCACCAATATGGGCTCTGTTGCGCTATTAGTTTCTCCTGACGATCGCAACATTCAGGATCGCGTTTTGTCATACTACGCCCTGTCTTCCACTTGCACGCGTCTAATAGCAGGTCTGACAGCTGATATTCTTGCTCAGCACAAAATTTCTCGCATTTGGATCCTATATGGATGCCTACTTCTGGGTTTGTTGGGGCAAGTGCTTATCGTGAATGTTGGAACCAGCAAGACTCAAATAAGTGTTGCGTCTGCATTGAGCGGAGCTTCATATGGTGGTCTTTTTACGATCTTCCCCACTTTAACTTTGAGTATATGGGGTTCCAGTGTGTTTGGGACAGCTTATGGATGTTTTATGGTGGCACCTGCAATTGCATCGACAGTTTTCGGGATACTCTACGCTAGAGTTTATGACACTCATTGCACAGGTCAAATGTTAGGAGCTCAGTGCGTAAAACCTATTTTCTTTCTGACCACAGTTTCGTTTCTAGTTGCGTTGGCAATTGGTATTTCCACATATATGGGCTTCTGGAGACGCAAGAGTTCTGAAATATGAAAAGTGGGCTTAACCGCGGTAAAAGTTCTGCTTCTTCAACTATGCGGAGCCTAAGTCTCGAGAGATAAGAGACTGGTAAAATATTAAAGTGAAACGGTCCAGTTCTGGCTTGAACAAAAATCATAGCCGTCTCGCATCTTGGAGAGGCTCTTACGAGGGAACAAATTCCTGTGTTAATGAGTCAGATGGCTGTAATTTCAGTCTAGCGTCCCTTTTTGAGAACAGATCAAAGATCTTCTTACATGATAGATCGGCAAGAAGTGGCTAGTTTTCTGATCATTTTTTTTAGTACTTCCGCGATGCTAAAACTCGTGTTTGAGGTCTGATTCAGTATATTCATGAAGCATGAAGAACTTTTATAAATTCGAAAGCTAAATCAACAGCTTGACAGACACTGTAAGCATGTTATAATCTCAATGATTTCGAGCTTAAAGATAGTTTTTACAAGAGAAACCAAACATGACAATGAGTAAATACTGATGGTATGTGGTGGAAATTTTATTGTATTAGCCGCCAATCCCATGTGTTGATAAAGGTGAGCGTAAGAAAACAGAGATTTGTGTATAAAAACCAAGATGCTTCAGGTGAATCTCGATGTTTTTTGCCGAATTTCTAAAGAGCTACTATTTTCATATTGGCGCTACAACGACTAAATCCAGTATTGCTAGCTGCAATTCACTCAGCGGTGCGAAGGAAAACAATAATAGTTGAAAGACATTGATAATCCTATCGATCAGAAACGCAGCAAATGACGTCTTTCGTCCAAGGCTAATGCGTGTAATCATATCCTCCGAGAGAAATCAAATAAAAGTTTTGGCCCTGTGAGTGCCCTTACGAGTAAATGGCAACCAAGATCTGAATAAAAACTCAAAACCAAAGTTTCTGTGCTTATTTTCGGGCACCAACTAAGCCCAGCAGTGAACGAGCAATCACTTTTAGCCACTATCTAGAAGACCCCCGAATGCCGATCCACCTCTAGATACGGCATACAACTTTAGCAATGGGCAGAGAAACAAAACAAATTTTACTCAAAGCACATACAGACCAAGTCTCATCGCGCGCCAAGTCAAAAGCTTGCCATTCCATCAGCAGTTTTGCAACCCTTTTCGAATCTTTTAGCACATTGCTGCCGGAGTGCAGTTCACGCAAAGATTGGTCCAAATTTCAAAAAATTTGGACAAGCAGAAACGCATGGCTCAATTGAAACAACAAAAGCACCAAAATGCTACAGAGAACTTCACAATCCAGTGCATCAATGCCTTACAATTGACCGCCTGGGATCCTGATCTGAGTCTCGTGACTGCTAGCTTCATCTCTAAATCACGCTCCACGGTAATCACGTGAGTTTTCTTCCTTTTCAGACAGCGTGTCCGGTCCTAATATTCGGAATCCATCGTAGTTATTGATGGAGTTTCGCGATCTTAAGAAAAAAGGCAAGCACCGAAAAACAACTTTAACTTTCAAGACGATTCAAAATATTCAAACAAGCAACGAATTACGCCTTTTTGATCAGCGTGTCATTGTTTTATCTTTCAAGAGTCTTTCCTGTGTGGTAATTGAGCAATGAGTGGCCGTTTGCTGGACTTGTTTAAGCCCTTCGAGGCCTTTTTGCCAGAAGTGATCGCACCTGAGAGAAAAGTGCCTTACAACCAGAAACTAATCTGGACTGGTGTGTCGCTACTGATCTTTTTGGTGCTTGGCCAAATTCCGCTCTATGGTATTGTCTCTAGTGAGACTTCAGACCCACTGTACTGGCTACGTGCCATGTTGGCATCTAACAGAGGTACTCTAATGGAATTGGGAGTAACACCTATCATCACCTCGTCGATGATCTTCCAATTTTTGCAAGGCACTCAGCTGTTGCATGTTGACATGGAAAACAAACAGGACAGAGAATTGTTTCAAATTGCGCAGAAAGTCTGTGCTATTTTGCTCACGTTTGGTCAAGCCGTCGTGGTGGTGCTCTCGGGCAACTACGGTAGACCCTCAGATTTGGGTATTGCCATCTCGTTGCTTTTGATCTTTCAATTGATGTTCGCGTCCTTCATAGTGCTGTTGCTCGACGAACTTTTGGCCAAGGGCTACGGTTTGGGATCTGGAATTTCGTTGTTTACTGCAACCAACATCGCAGAACAAATTTTCTGGAAAGCATTTGCGCCAACCACGGTCAACTCCGGCCGCGGAAACGAATTCGAAGGTGCTGTGATTGCATTTTTCCACTTGCTTGCCGTGAGAAGAGACAAGAAGCGCGCACTTGTAGAAGCTTTCTACAGGGAGAATTTGCCCAATATGTTCCAAGTGTTGTCCACGGTGGCCGTGTTCTTGTTCGTGCTGTACCTACAGGGCTTCCGCTATGAATTGCCCGTCAGATCTACCAGAACTAGAGGTCAGGTTGGAGCTTACCCTATCAAGCTATTTTACACTTCCAACACACCTATCATGTTGCAAAGTGCTTTGACTTCGAACGTGTTTTTGATTTCTCAAATCATGTACCAGAAATTTCCCTCCAACCCTGTAGTTCGCCTCATGGGCGTTTGGGGCGCCAGACAAGGCTCTCCAATGGGCCAGCAAGTGGCTTTGAGTGGGTTGTCTTACTACATCCAGCCACCCTTTTCTGTTACCGATGCTGTCTTGGATCCAATTAAGACTGTCATTTACGTCGCATTTGTGCTAGGCGCCTGTGCAATGTTCTCAAAGACGTGGACCGAAATTTCCGGTACCTCGCCAAAAGATGTGGCCAAACAATTCAAGGACCAGGGTCTTGTCATCAACGGCAAAAGAGAAACGTCTGTTTACAGAGAGCTCAAGAAAATCATTCCCACTGCTGCCGCGTTCGGGGGTGCCACTATCGGTGCGCTCTCTGTCGGTTCTGATCTACTTGGAACCTTGGGATCTGGTACCTCGATCCTGATGGCCACAACAACCATTTATGGCTACTACGAGACCGCTGCTAAGGAAGGTGGGTTCACTAAAAACCTGGTTGCAGGTTTTTCTGAGTTGATGTAAATAAATCCTCATAGCGCTTTTGAAGCACATATAAAAGAATAAAACAGTTACCAGTATCTCCCTGGACTGACGCAGCGCCTTATCATGAAGGTGTCAAGTGTATAGGGAGCCAGTGCTTGCATTCGACGGGGTACTGTGAATAATAAAAACATAAAAATAAGAACTCCTCATAGGGGGCTCGAACCCCTGACATTTCGGTTCCTTGCAAGCGGTGCTTAAAAGCCGAACGCTCTACCAACTGAGCTAACAAGGACGAGTTCTCGGCATGGATATGATGCTAAATCAATATATAGAGACTATGTTTGGGTCAGTGGTGATGCAAGGATGCCGTTTTGAAGAACTGGAAACCCTGTCTTCTTACGATATCACTCCTCCCACTTGTTCACACGGTTGCTTATTCCTCTTTTTTTTGAAAACCTTTGTTATCAGCAGCAATCACCACGTCCCTACAGTACATTGTCGTCATTGAGATCTGCACTCATGTAACACATCACCACGTACGAGCCGAACCGCTTCAATCTAATTCCATCGAATAGTTTTTGAAGACTTTAATGGCCCCCAAACTTATTCTCATGTTTTCTAGCAAGTATTTCTCTGAGCATATCAATCACCTCACTTAGACCTTCTCCTCTCTCTCTCTCTCTCTCTTTCTCTGCTATAAGTAACTCTGTACGGAAACATAGAAAAATACAGATATCAAAGATAGGATAGGCATTATCTTAAGAAAGACCACTTTCAAAAAACAACAAACTTAGAGTTCAAAAACAAGGCAGGTCTCTTCTCAAAATGAGCTACAAATCCCCTTTTACTCACACGTAGTGTCGTTGTTGGCCAATTCCACCATGGCTCCCTGTATACCACTTTCTCCTTACTCCCTTTCCTCTCATCTGTTCAGGCTATCTGACGATAGTTTCGCCGTGCGTGTAGCGCTATCGCTTCGCGTTCGCTCCTTTTTTTTCTATCGTTTCTTGCTCCATGGTCTCCCGCTAAGTAGAATGCAAACCTCGAGTTCGCACACCTACTTACTGCTTATTTTTCAAGATAAGAACAAGAATCAAGGCCGTATCTGGTCTCGAAGACTAAGGATAATCCCACATCCAGTGGGTCGTTTTTGAACGCAGAAGTCTCTATCAAGCCAGGGGGGGAACCAGTGGGAACCAGTGGGAACCAGGGGTCAAGGACTTAGGACCAGATAGACACAAACAGGTTGATCAGATACCAGGAGCTGTTGTGTTTTTGGTTAGACGCTTGAAAAGCATCACTATCCTCATCATCGAGCTCATCACCAGCTTTATCAATTTTTTTCTTTTTTCTTTTGGTTTTCAAGCTCATCTAATAAAAGCCCAGCGGCTTGAGTCGATGCCCAATTTTTTTCACTCGCAAGAAACGGCGACAAACTCGAAGAAAAGAGCAGCAACGATGAACTCAGCTAACGATGCTGCATCAGCGTTTGAAGTTCTCACTCACAGGTCTCCCATGAGTGACAATGAGATCATGAACAAACGAAATGTCGCTTCAGAAGTCCAACAACTGGACTCACAGCTGGATTCTATCGACCAAAGTGAAAAATTACCAAACCGGAAATATGAGACCGGTAAGCCCACTCTGCGGCAAAAGTTAAAGTCAATGTTGGGCTATGACCGTCAAAATCAATATGACGAGCCCGCTAAGAACTTTGGCGAGAAAATTGTAAGATTCCTGGAAGTACACCAAAAAAAGCGTGCCACTGCAAACCGGTCTGAGAATATTGTAGAGTCGTTTTTGTTCAACGACGATCTGGCTCCCGTGGAAGCCGGAAGAAGAGTTTGGGACTGGAAACAGTACGTGTTTTTCTGGATTTCCGGCTCCTTCAACGTCAACACCTGGCAAATTTCAGCTACAGGTATGCAACTGGGCCTCAACTGGTGGCAGACCTGGGTCTGTATTTGGATCGGATACATCTGCGTGGCATTTTTCGTCGTGGTTAACTCACGTATCGGTAACTTTTACCATATTGCGTTCCCCATTTCTTCAAGAATAGCATACGGAGTCTACTTTTCGTTGTGGATTGTGCTGAACAGAGTCGTCATGGGCTGTGTGTGGTACAGTGTCCAAACTTATATCGGATCTCAGACAATCAGTCTAATGCTGATGTCCATTTTCGGTACTGACTTGGAAAGACGCATTCCTAACACCATGAATACGCAAAACATCACCACTTATGGGTTTATGTGCTTCATGCTCTTTTGGGCGGTTCAGTTGCCGGCCCTTTGGTTTCCTCCCCAGACTTTGCGTTACCTTTTCACCGTCAAAAGTATTATTACACCATTTGCAGCCTTTGGGTTCCTCATTTGGACGCTGAAAAAATCACACGGTCATTTGGCCCTTGGGTCACTAACAACAATCCATCCTTCCGGTTCGGTTTTGGGTTGGAACTTTGTGATTAGCATTATGAGCGCCTTGGATAACTTTTCTACTCTTATCTTAAACGCGCCCGATTTTTCACGTTTCGCCAAGACAAAGCACTCTTCGATATACTCCCAGATGATAATTCTTCCCCTAATGTACGCAATCATCTCGATCATTGGTATCTTGGTCACCTCTGCTACTTTCACCATGTATGGGGTCAACTACTGGTCCCCACTGGACGTCTTGGGGAGATTCTTGGATCACCAAACTGCAGGAAATAGAGGTGGTGTATTTTTGATTGCAATGAGTTTCGGTATTGCTCAACTAGGTACCAACATTGCTTCTAATTCGATCTCTGTTGGCACTGATATGACAGCCATATTGCCCAAGTTCATTAACATTAGAAGAGGAGGTTACATTTGCGCGGCCATATCGCTGGCGATTTGTCCTTGGAATCTGATGGCATCGTCTTCTAAGTTCACAACCGCTTTGTCTGCATACGCGGTGTTTCTTTCTTCAATTTCCGGCGTGGTCTGTGCAGACTATTATGTGGTGAGGAAAGGATTGATCAAACTACAGCATTGTTACACCAATAAACCCAACAGTTTGTACATGTATGGTACAAGGTTTGGTACCAACTGGAGGGCCGTAATTTCGTATCTGCTGGGCATTGTTCCAAATTTCCTCGGGTTTTTGGGGTCGCTGGACGTCAAAGTTCCGCAAAACGCCATGCGCGTGTATTATTTGAACTATTTTGTTGGTTTCCTGGTTTCTTTCACGCTCTACAGTGGTATATGTTATGCATACCCTGTGCCAGGCATGCCTGAAGGCGTGGGGTACTTTGATTTCTCGCATTGGTTTGAAAGATGGACAGAAGTGGAAGACTTTGTAGAACAACGGAAAAAATTCGAAGTTGGTGTTTCCGAAGAAGACGATGAGTCTACGGACGCATTCTCGTCAACTGTAGAGGAAAACATTGAAGCTGTTCGCAAAGTGTAGTAGTGTTTGGTAAGTAATGAATATTTAATAGAAGTTGTGATTTTTACGGGTGAGTGTGGGGAGACAGACATGTCGAGTATGGAGCGGGTATCGAGTGTTGGAAGCTACAGGTTGTGACGGTAAGAAAGATAACAGTGAGGCTCCGTTGTATTAGGAGTGTCGATTTGAAATTGCTAGCCACCTTGGTAAAAGCGAGATGTGGTGGAGCATATCTGAACAGGGTTTGTAGATCATGTTTAGGGTTGAGAGAGACTTGCTGAGGGTGAGTCAAGCTGTGCAAGCTGCATTATTTTCAGATCGTGATATAAGCGTTAGTAGGGTTTCTGCCAATTGTGTAGATTATGGGATGAAACCGACTAATTTGAAGAGATCAAGGTCCTCATCGCAATGTTGCAAAACCTGGTGGTGAATTGTAGGTCGAACATTTATCTGGAATCATGGTCTTTGAGATGAGAAACGCCATGGGTTTTGGTTGATTTACTTCTCAAATGATGGCTCAGGCGGCACAGGCAGAGGCCCGAATTGTTAGGAATGTAGCGGTACCTCACGGGTGCTGGCACTTACGCTATTATTCTTGTTAGTCCGGTCAAGCAGTAATAGAAGAGAACCAGATCATCAGCATTGACAGCTGCTAGTTCACAGCTGGCGCCAGTGTTTGGGGCTTCACAATGGGTGTGCCCTGCACGTGAACCTCTACTTGCTTCTCTGGTTCTTTCTCTAGTTGAGCAGAGACCCTACCCATTTTCCCGCTTTGTCGGTTTAAAGGAGGATCGGTACCGAAGTGGGTGTCTGGGTGGTGGAAGTCACGAGGACATCGAGACATTTATCTATCCGACCATCTACCCGTTCCTCTATTCATTGATCCATTCATTTCTCTACCCATTTCTCTACTCTTTCCTATACTCACATCCCTACTCACATCCCTACTCACTCCTCTACCCACTCCTCTACCCGTTCCTCTACTCACGTCTCCCTCTCCCCCCCGTGGACAATGTGCTGCATGCTAAGAATTTCCAATTATCAAACTTTAAATTTTCTTTTCCCAGTCTCTGCCTCCGCTTGCTTCTAACGCGTCAGCGCCATCGCTCGAGCGTGCCATCGTCACCAACTATCTGTACCTAAAACAAACCCACCCACGCGCTCTTCCCACTTGGGTAACTCTATTACCCGATTAGGAACGATCACCCAATTCCAAAAGGTCTAGATGTGAGTGGTGTGTGCGTGGTGTGTGAGTTCCGCTTTGCGTTTCACGCTTGAAGCTTCACGTTTCAAGCTAACTTAACCCCGGCTGTTAATTCGCACATCTATGTATCAATTTTCGCGTTTCCACTGCGTTTCTACTGCGTTCGCCTCACGCTTAAAACTTTTCCCAGTACTGCCTTCTGATCTATCTGCCACCTGGCCTCTCTGCCACGTCTCTGCCACCTCTCTGCCACGTCCCTGCCACCTCTCTGTCTGTTTTTTCGTGTTGCCCAGCCATTTCTGGTCCTGTACAAAAATTTTCATCTTATTCCAAGGGCTCGAGCCAAAACACACACACACGCGCGTTTTTGAGAGACACACTCTACCTACATACACACTTCTTCTCGCCTATGAGGCACCCAACCCACCCGTTCACGTCGCGTTGGAACTAACAACCCACCACTATTCGCCCGACATCTTGTTTTTCTACGCTTTTTTCTTTTTCGCAGCTTGTTCACACGTCCTCTACACTATTATTTACTAACTTATACGCCCGCACACATTAAGATTCCAACTGGGATAGGGACCGATCTGAGAAACCACCCGAAACTTTAGGCCTACGTCCCAGCTTACGTCCCAGCTATTGTCTTCCAACCCGTGTCATCTGTTTCGTTGTAGCTCCTCTCTCAGTCAGCTAACGTGTTTTTATCTGCTAGTTTACGTGGTTTTTGTAGGTTGTACAGTTGAGTTTAGATATTTCGATATATATTTATATATATTTTTCAAGATTAAGATATTCATATATATATATATATCAGAATATTTTGAAAAAAGTTTTGAGAGTTTTGAAGAATTCCTAGTTTTGACAACACTTTTTGTTTACAGATCTTTGACTTTAAACCCATTGAGAAGGCTACAGTTAGTTTGAGTTTTTTGTTGTGCAGAATATTGTCAATTGAGTATCGCTCTTTCTCTCTCGCAATAACACTCGCTATTCCTATATACAATTAGTTTCTACTACTACTACTATATTACAAGATGAAAGGTCTAATTCTAGTCGGAGGTTACGGTACCAGATTGAGACCGCTAACTTTGACAGTGCCAAAGCCATTGGTGGAATTCGGTAACAGACCTATGATCTTGCACCAAATCGAAGCTTTGGCCGCAGCAGGCGTCACAGATATCGTTTTGGCCGTCAACTACAGACCAGAAGTGATGGTGGAAACATTGCAAAAATACGAAAAGGAGTACGGCGTCAACATCACATTCTCGGTGGAAACCGAACCTTTGGGCACGGCTGGTCCGTTGAAACTCGCTGAAAAAGTGTTGAAAAAGGACAAATCGCCCTTCTTCGTTTTGAACTCAGACGTCATCTGTGACTACCCTTTCCAGGAGCTAGCAGAGTTCCACAACGCCCACGGTGGTAAGGGTACCATCGTCGCCACCAAGGTCGACGAGCCCTCCAAGTACGGTGTCATCGTGCATGACATCGCCACCCCCAACTTGATCGACCGTTTTGTCGAAAAACCAGTCGAGTTTGTCGGTAACAGAATCAACGCTGGTCTGTACATTTTGAACCCAGAGGTGATCGACCTCATCGAAATGAAGCCCACCTCCATCGAAAAGGAGACCTTCCCTATCTTGGTCGAGCAAAAATCCTTGTACTCCTTCGATCTAGAGGGCTACTGGATGGACGTTGGTCAACCAAAGGACTTCTTGTCCGGCAGTGTGTTGTACTTAAACTCTCTGTCCAAGAGAATCCCACAGTCCATGGCCAAGGGCAACAACATCGTCGGTAACGTCATTGTCGACCCATCTGCCAAGATCTCCGCCACCGCCAAGATCGGTCCAGATGTCGTCATTGGCCCTAACGTCACCATCGGTGACGGTGTCAGAATCACCAGATCCGTTGTCTTGAAGAACTCTCACATCAAGGACCACGCTTTGGTCAAGTCCACCATTGTCGGCTGGAACTCTACCGTTGGTAAGTGGGCCAGACTCGAAGGTGTCACTGTTCTAGGTGACGATGTCGAAGTTAAGGATGAAGTCTACGTTAACGGTGGTAAGGTTCTACCTCACAAGTCCATCTCCGCTAACGTTCCTAAGGAAGCTATTATCATGTAAATTGACCTCCAAGTCGATTTCGAAAACTTTTATCCGTAAATATCTTTTTATTTACACTTTAATGTTTGTTTTAGGTTGATGATTACATTGGCTCTGTAGTATAATGCGTATTATTCTTATTGTTACAACTTGGCTCCAATTACACGTCTACACTATTCTTGTCTAAACTATTCAAAATCACGTCAAGAGATCTATCTACCTCCGTAATGTCAATCTCAGTTCCATGCGAAATCATTTTACGGTACTTGTAGATCTTGGAATTATCTCCAATAACTTTCAAGGTTTCTGAAAGCATATTTCGTCTCTTCATTTGCATTTGGCACAACTGAAGGGCCAGCCTCAGTTGTGTTGTCTTGTCATTTTTATCCGTTTCTTCAACATGCTGCGAGATTACGCTTTCTTCTTCTTGAACCAGCTTTGCCAATTGCTTGGCTTGATGTCTTTCAAGCCTGTGATACATTTCTCTCTCACTATGGCTCATTTGAATCCTCAATTCCTGAGTTTCCTGTGTGCGCGCTGATAAAAGGTCTTCCATATTGTTACTTTGATGAAAGTCATCGGCTTCCAGAGCTTCTGAAATTTTGAAATTCACATTGGAAGTTGTTTTCACCATGCCTTTGAGCGTTTTCTCGAGATTCATCACATCAGCGTCCCTGCTTTGATGTAATCTGTTGTAAGAATCAATCATTTCCTTCATAACGGTCACCACCTCGGGTATTCCACGACTAAGTCTCGTAGCCGTCTGTGAAGGATACATAAAGAAGTCTGAGGGAGACGACGGAGTAAGAGCTTGCTTGAATCTACCGTTTGTGGCAGAAGACGGTTGCGATGATAGTATAGTCTGGTTCATAAGCTCCGTTCCAGTAAAACCTTTCAGGTTCTTGATTGTGGATAGCCCGCCTTGCTGTACTAAGCGTTCAAAAAACTTGCTGTCTCCGTTACGGGCAGCTATGTGAAGAGCAGTGTCGCCCTCTTGATCCTGCGCATTTATAAGATGTTCTATTCGGTATTGTGGTGACAAGTCCTTGAGTTTCGACAACAGAACGTCCAAGTAAAACACAGCAGAAGGTGTTGAAGACTTCCGTTGAACGATGTGATGTACTACCGTTTGTAGTTTTGAGTCGACATCAAATATCGTCTCATTCAAAAGTTGGAGTATTCGAGGATAAGTGCGCCTAGTGAATGAGTTGTGAAAAGTGGAGCACCGAATCAAGGGATTCTCCCCCTGGACATTAACGGCGCGTGTATTAGCGCCAGCATTATAAAGAGCCTCTACTATCGCATAATTCCCCATTGCACAGGCCCAGTGAAATGCAGTATGATGTTCGTGATCTATCCACGCATCAATATACGGAGCACTGTTTTGGGGAGGATATAAAAGCTCCGGTGGCACGGCTTCCTCAGAATGCATGTCACTGGATACAAAATAATCCACGAGCTTGGACAGATATCCACTTACTTTAGTGTTGATGTCTGACGTTTGGTTATTGAAAGACTGACTGTTAAACCGCGGTATCATGTTCGAAAGAGGAGAAGTCGTACTTCCTAAGCCGTCGCGACCAGCCGAGCCAGGTCCTCCGCGTTGGTCAAACGTATTGTCGTCGGATAAGCCGCCTGGCGAAGTCGGGAGTGAAGATGAGGAAGACTGGTTCCTCTCTACTTTTGTGACAATTGAGCGCTCTATGTCGCTAGAAAGACCGTCATCGATATCCTGCTCTTTGTATTGTTGCGGCGGGGTGTCTTGTTCTCGCATAATCGTCGGATCTAGACTAGTCGTTCTTTGAAGCGGACTTTGAATGGATGGTAATCTTTTGGACGAGATAGACGAAAGTGGGATTGCTGGCCGCGGGAAAGTCATGTCGCTTTGGGACCTCTCTAGGGTGTTGTCACTTTGGTTCGTTTTTTTCTTGGATGGCGGTCTCCCGCGCTTTCTCGGTACATTTGGTGTTGTGGCTTCAGTTGGCGTCCCAGTTGTAGAATTAGAATTTGCAGCAGCATTGGATGCTGTAGAACTGGTTCTGACAGCTTTTTTACGCCCCGAATCCGTCCGTGAAGCGTGGTGGTGTTTTGGAGCTCTTGGAGGCGAAGCAGAGCCTTCTAATTGTGTGTAATCAAATAACGGTTTGAGCTCTTCCAAAACATCGAATTTGTCTGCTAGTGTTCTCGCAATAGTGAGAGGCACCCAAGTCCCCTGATATTTACCAAACCCACCTTGAACCTTTTCGTGAGTATCCTTAATCACTTCTTTTTCCAGTATGCGTGTTCTCTTGGCCTTTGCGAACTTTGCCGCTTTCAGGATATGTGTAGCGTTGACCCAGTCGTCTGTTTTCCTCTTCATTATGGATCCCGTAGGATGTATGAACTCGTAAACATCGACACCAGAGTATTTGGCAGAGTAAATCTGGTCTGTTGACATTTAAGGCGAGTGTTTAGCGTAGCACACTAGATGCTGTCGGTCCTTATACCAGGACTTCCAAGCTTGACAACTTTCGGTGTCAATTTCCAAATTTCTCAAGACTCAGACAGCGTAAAAAGGCGCTTTGAAAGATAATGTCAGAAACGCCAAACCCTCCAGAAGCGTTGAGCAAAATGAGAAAACCTGGACAAGCTTCAATTGGTTCTTAAAGTCGATTTATTGTCTGGGGAAGCTTGGCTAGATATAACTTATTTATGAGATGCTCTTTCATTACAGCTACTTAGGGTGTTTCTTGTCACTTTTCACGGTATCTTCAAAAAGTTTCAGAATGGCTTTAAATGACAATTCATCAGAGTGTCAGTTGTTTTAGGTAGGTTTGGTGTCGCATCGTTGTTTTGAGTATATTTCAAAGTTTCACTTACATATTTCAGAAAATTCTGCCTTTGATTTCCAGTTTTCCTGTCCGTTCTACTAGGAAAATTGACTTGGGTTGAGGAAAACGAAGAAAGACATGCAAAAACATCGTTTTTTGAGCTGGTGTTGAACGCTGTTATAAAAATTATGATTTTGAAGTAAACTAGATCTTTTTCAAGCTTCAAGATGTGATTCTCAGGCGTTCTTTTCTTGTATGGAAGGTGTCAGAAAGTTGATAATTAAATCAAATAATTATATTGGTTACTGTGACGCTATAGAATAAGAAGCTGAGAGATACTAGAACACAACACTTTGTACTTCGTGTCTGCTATCTATATTGTCCTGTTGTAGCTAGTCCATTTGCTACCATCTCAGAATACAGACAAACGTCTTGTTTGACGCATTTGATCTAATTTCTGTTGCAAAACAAGAACCTGGACATTTCACTGACACTCTTATATATCACTTTTTTGTTCACACTACTGTAACTGAAAACAGTCGTACGTCACAACGAAGACGCCGACCTGTTAGTCAATACTTCTTTAACCATATAACAGCTTCTTGTCTCGTTCTTCTCTTGTCGAGAAGAACCGAAATTAGTTTGAAGATCTCCTGCAGCTCCAGCAGCGTCAAAACAATGTTTATTATTCGAAAAAACGACCCAAACTACTTATACTCTTAATCTCATACCATGTCCTTTCATTGTGAATCATATTCTTATGTGTCCCTTACGTTCTAATCCGAACTCCTTTTATTCCAGCAGCGCACTCTTGAAATCTTGTATGTCTTGCGTCGATAATCTAACTGTCGTGCGGAAGTAATTTTCAAAAGATTCGTACCTCGCCCTAAACGCATCCAAGAATAGTCGCATCGACTCATATTTTGACGAGATCAGATTGCTGAACATCGACTCTGGTGTTGCGTTGTATTGCTTTGCCAATTTTTCGGAGTCCAAAAGCTTGTAATACGCATCACCACGTTCTTGAAGTGCCTTGTACAATTTCATTTCAGTCTGCAGACCAATGGTCGTAAGCTCGTAATCTCTGGCAATAGTGTCATCATCGACACCCAGAAGCCCTAATACTAGCATCGTCAGAATACCGGTGCGATCCTTTCCGCCTGCACAATGGATAAGCGCTGCGTTGGAACATTCACACCTACCTTCCACGATGTAGCGAAAGAACTGGGCCACTGCTGCTGTGCTGTTTTTAAGCATCACTAAGTAGGCTTGTGGGAAAGTAAACGGGGATAAAAACATCCCTCTGTACGCTAAGGACATGTCTTCAGGGTCTGCGACCTCTTGATCGTTGAAAGGAAGATTCACAACCTTGACACCAGCAATGACACCATTTTCCTCGATTTCCTTTGCCAGACGTAGATCAAATACCCGTGAAACCTTCAAATTGTCAGTGAGATAGCGAAGACCTTCTGTCGAGACATCTACAGGATTGGCAGATCTGAAAAGAACCCGTGGTTTGACTCGCTGTCCATTGCGAGTCTTGTAGCCCCCCATATCTCGGAAATTCGAAATATGGGAAAACTCGTAGGGCAAGCACCAACGGGCAAACGTTCTCGAGGGATTCAGAGAATCCTGGATCGAAAACGTGGTTTTGTAGAACCTTTGCAATTGTTGCTCAGGTGTAAGGAAAGATGCAATACGGTCAACGGCGTTGACATTGTAGTTGACAAGGCCTTTACGTAGAGGCAACTGGTCAACGTTGGGGTCTTCTGGAAGACCGTAGAAATTATGGTCTGCGTACATAACTAGTTCTGCAGTGTGACGACCTTCGAACAAGTTGGAATACTGAGCCAGAGCAGTGAGTGGGATGACTGAGTCATTGGACCCGTAGATTGACATCACAGAGGTCCGGGCATCAATTTCTGCAAACCTGGCGGTATCTACCGTTGCAGCGCTCATGGTTTCCGCTTTGGGGATCCAAACCTCTTGCAATTTTCCGTAGCGGAGAATTGTGCACTTGAAACCACCGTCACGGTCCCAGTTAGGGTTTCGCTTGAGAGATTTCTCGAATAAACCGTGCGACACAAACCGCCCGCAGGCGTTGACCAAGTTTGGCACGAACCGCGACCGTGCAAACTCGAACATGGACATCACGCCGCGGGAATGAGCCACGATTGTGTCAAGCAAGAGCTGGTGGCCCACCAGCTTTCCACACTGCCGAGTTTGGACCCATTGGTACACCGTTTCGATGTCTTCGCAGTCCTGGGCTATCGTGCGTCCAACATGATCATCTCTGTTGGGTTCCGACTCGCCCATGCTTCGGAAATCCATGCGTAGCACGTAGTACCCCAGATCTGCTAGTTTCTGAGCCAGCATTGGCATGTAAACCGTATTTTTATGTGCTGAATGGCCGTGACACAGCAGCACCAGTTTATGCTGTGGAAGCCCATACTGCGAAGCATGCACCGTTTTTTCCGCTACAGACTCGAACTGCAACGATGTGGGACTCGTTAAAATCGCTGCGATTCCCGTCGACGTATGGTACTCGCTGTGTTTTAAGTACAGAAACCGTTCTTGCCAAGAATCGATTTCTTGTTTTTTTATCACTGTAGTCTCTACAATGTCTTGCTGAACCATCGCGGGTGGATCAGATGTCAGTGAGCTGAGTAAATAGCTAGCTACTTTGTTTATGAGAAAAGCGGTTTGTTGTAATGCTAAAAAGACTAGGAGCGTTCGACTAAAATACTGAGAGTCTTGACAACGACGTCGCTGTTGTTGGAGCGTCTATATATGTGTAGACGTTAATGCGTCTGAGCGAGTCATTCCGGTGGCATTGATGACTATTTTTATTATTATTGGTTCTATTATGTCTTGTAGACGGAGAAAAGCAACGGAGCGGTAATTTCTTCCGGGTATTTTTCCGTCAATTTAATGTGGGAAAGAGTCACACAATGTTAAATCTATCATGTTATACGATTTTCATTAAGTAGTTTGGTGGCTTGATGAGGAAATCCTAGGTTCTGGCCCTGTGTTCGAGTTTTTCGTGAGACTCATTTACTCAAATGGTATACCCTGTGTGGATGAGATTTGTTTAGTCACGTTACACGGTTTTTACCAGTTAGTGTGGTTGGTATTCAAAATAACTATCGCGTCTGTTCGATCCCCTCGGGTCGTAGTTATTAGAGAAAGTGAAATTTCGCCCAGAATTTCACCCTGCACACATTTCTACTACTAAATACTGTAAATAACTAAAGAAACCTCAATTTTCTGCAAGCCCTCTTTAGATAAATGTACGAGCTGTTGAATAAAACCGTTTACGATTGTTGTCAAAAGGATCAACAGTATAAGGCAATAGCGAGTTCTAATCGAAGAAACTAGCTCAACTCTCAACCGGAACAAACAATGACAGTTGAAATCCCGAAGGGCCGCGTACAAACGCTTTCCGCTAGCGAACAGCTGCATCTCAAACAGGTATGGGCTCATCTTTTCCAGCACTGGGGCATCCAGGTGAAGAGCGAAAAAGTGCTTAACGGGACCGGGACGACGTCCACAAGCTCTGGTGCATCTGGTGAAGCCAGTGGGACCTCTTCCACTGCAGCCGATGAAGAGAAACCTAGCGCAAGCGCTGGTAAAAAAGCTGCCGGCAAGCTGTTTGGCAGATTTCGCAAAAGCTCGAGCAATGCGGACAAATCCAGCAGTTCTGGCACTTCCAAGACTTCCAAGGATAGAGCCAGAAACGGATCCTTCACATCTCGTCGTTCCGCAGAAAGCGTCGAGCAGATGTATCCATCTGGCATGATCCACACTGCCCTCAAGGACCTGAAAGCAGAAGAAGTAAGCGAAAACTTCTGGGACATGTTGCGCACCGACTACCCAGACAACTTGATTTTGCGATTTCTACGAGCCCGTAAGTGGGATACGGACAAAGCTCTCGGAATGATCGCTCACACCTTACACTGGAGGTTGAAGGACAGCCATCCGGACTCAATTATTCGCGGTGGCGAGTTGGAGGCCTACAAAAAGAACGAAACCGGGTACATCAAAAACATAGAGTTGTGCAAGGCCACTTTGCACGGTTTCGACCTCAAGGGTCGTCCCTTGGTGGTTGTAAGGCCCAAACTGCATCATTCGAGTGATCAAACCGAGGAAGAGATGAAGAAGTACTGTTTGTTGATTATTGAGCAAGCCAGGATGTTTCTGAAGGAGCCCGTGGATTGTGCCACGATTCTTTTTGATTTGACGGGTTTTTCCATGTCTAACATGGACTATGCTCCCGTACAATATCTCATCAGCTGTTTTGAAGCACACTATCCTGAATGTTTAGGCCACCTCTTCATCCACAAGGCACCTTGGATTTTCCCACCCATCTGGAACATCATCAAAAACTGGCTAGATCCTGTTGTTGCTTCCAAGATCGTTTTCACCAAAAGTACCGACGATCTGGCCAAGTACGTGCCTAGTAATTACATCCCAAAGTATTTGGGCGGTGAAGACGACTACGACTACGATAAATTCGTCAAACCAGGCGAAGACGCAGACGTCAAGCTCAAGGACACGGAAACGCGCGACAAACTTTTGAAAGAACGTAAAACGATCATCAAATCGTTCATCGATGCCACCAAAAACTGGATTGAAAGCGCCGATGATGAATCCTCTGCCAAATGGCTGAAAGCTAAGATTTCCATCAGTCAAGAGCTAACGGAAAATTACAGAAACTTAGATCCGTACATCAGATCAAGATCGACTTACGATGTTAATGGAACGCTAAAAGTCTAACTAGCGCCAGAAGCTGCCAAGTAGCCAAAATATACCTGGAGTTTAATCAGCCATAGACCGTTTATCTAGACCATATAATTTGAAGTATCTGTTCTTCAACAGCTTCTAATTCTAATCTATAAATCAAGCATCATTGGCCTAATTTCAAGAACTTTACCATAAACACCCAATCTGCAAAACAAATATACAATAAGACTTCCAGCAGCCGATTCGTAAATGAATGGGAATAGCTGACGATTGCTTCCGCTTTCTGATAGAAAACGACAGTCTTCAAACGGATCAAATACATGAACTTTTGACTAAAATAAAGACCCATGTCATTCATGAAGGTATCTTACCAACTAATCTCGATGCCATTATAAAATACCTGTGCGAAACTCGATCAATATCGATTTCAACCAGAATATTGTTGATAAAAGATGCTCTGATTCCAAATGGCAAGGTCCCAAACTCCACCGTTCACGTAACGCTTAGACATCTTGGCATAAGATCGCTATCTACTCTGAACAAAACAGAAACTCCAAAGGCGTTACAAGCAGAATTATGCAAATGGCTTATTCATGCTTACATTTACATGGAAGATGTCACTATCTTTGAGCGTACTTATTCGCACTGGCTTCAGCTGTGGCAATTAGACTACTTGCAGCAGTGGATCACGTATATACTATTTTGGTCAACTTCGAAGCGATTCGTAAAGCCATGGCGCATGCGATTCATTACTACTGTAGCTGAAAACTCTGGCTATTCGAATGCAAGAGCTTGCAGTACTCTACTATTGGAGAAATTTTACTGTCTGGTTCCCAGCGACCAAATTTACGGTGCAATTGAGCGCTTGAAGTGCAACAAACGAAGGCTTAACACGCTTAAGGTCCAAATTTGGGACACGGAATTTATCTCAAATTGGGCGTCTATCGTTGAGCACTCTGGTGGAGCATCCAAGTTTATTTTCCAGAGCCTAGCACAGGAACTCGAAAAGCAATTGATCAGTGACTCTCAGCAAGAGATTCACCTCGGCAAGAAAAAATCATCACGTAAGATTTCAGTCGAAAAGGTCGGTACGCTTGAACGACTTGCAGCTGTATTTGAGAACTTAGCGATACCCAAGGACCTAGACGAACTGTTCAACATTGGTGATGAGAGCTCTCTCGTTTTTCTCGCTACTGTTGATCCTCACCACAACCTTTGGAACCGTGTGTCGGAATGGTTCATGCTGAAAATTGATGCCGCTTCAATTCATGGTGTTACTGCAAGCTACCGTCACTTAATATTCAGGCCACTGTTAGTGGCAAGCTTACTGAATCAACAGCATTGTAAAATCCGACACCTCTCGAAGGCTAGTTTTGGAGAGCTTATAATGCAGATTGTGGATACGTCAGACTGCTGTTGCCTTGAAGCGCCAAAAGAGCTTAGGTCGGCACCAAACTTCGAGATAGGCCGTTTCTACTACAGCTGCAGAAAACTGCTATTCCAAACTCTTGTAATGGCAGAAAAACAAGAGGTTAAGCTGGACACCATCACTGATATTGAGTTTATTGTATCCTGCATTACTGAAGACCTGACAAAACACATCAGTAGCAGACACTTGACCACTACTTTGAGGCTTCTAGTCATAGCATTGCGCGAGTTGGCAGGATCTAATATTGACAATAGGATTCTCAGTTTGTTCTTACTGCCACAAAAAGCATTAGATACCATGATGATATCTTCTGATCCTGTTATGCTCAACACTGTTTGCTCTTACTTCATTTTGACAAAGGATTTGGTAGACACACTACTTAATGAGAAAAGGATGATTGGGGCTCAAAATAAAAATGTCTTTGATCTCATCAACTACCTCTGGCATATAAAGCCCGGGTGCGATCTACCGATGTTCAAAGTACCCAAAAAATTCATTCAATGTTTTTTGAGTAAACCGAGCTCTGATCAATCAAATGCAGAAGTTGATGTGACGTTCGGTATTCTTAGCATCCCAGCTCTTGCTTTCCCCTCCCGGGTCGCACTCAGGGGTCTCGAGGATGCACTAACCAGTAGAGTGCGATTCGACAAAACTCTAAGCGAAAGTTCATTTTCAGTTTTCAAACAAGCTCATGCCGGAGACTGGCTGGATACAATTTCTTCCTTTCATGAACTAATGCTTATGATACTAGGCAAACTAAGATATCATGATGCATACGGCGATATTGCCAGATTCTTGTACACTCATATGCGCAATATCGCAGACAATGGCGTATCCTGATCACTTGTTCAAAAGCAGCACTATCCAACTCGGGCAATTGACCCAGAGTCATGACTACACCTGGTAGTCATACTTGCATTCAATGTTTGTACCACCTATGGATCACACCAAGTGAAATGCATGCTGGCAGTGTGCTTGATGACAGAGGTTTCAAATGTATAGGCTCTGCGACCCATGATGATGGTTTATTTACATGCGTGCTCGACTGCTAACTATTTAACAACGAAGCTTATGACTTTGTTTCTTGTGATGACCTTTTCGATAGACTTCCCGAACAAATATTTCTGACCGCCTTCCAGTGAAAGAAGCGTCTTTATGGCTGACTCTTTGTCATCAATAAAGGATTTGGCTGCGTTATGTGTAAAGCGCATCTTCCCATTGATTACAATTTGATAATTCACAAGCTCTGACTCTTTGATGGCTTCTGCTTCAGGCCAAACATACAGATTCCATTGATATTCTTTGCGTTCAGAGAGAATAGAATGGGCCTCCTCCGCTACTGTTGGTGCCACTGGGTACATCGATGATATTAGGATTTTCAATGATTTTGCCAACAATTCCGAACTGGCCAGCTTGGAGTAATAGGCGCTCTCAATTAGGTTCGTTAACTTCATGTAGTCAGAGACTACAGTGTTGAGTGACAAAGACTCTTTGAAAGAAAACGTTATACTCTGAAGCAGCCTTTGGGTATCGTTAAAAAATTCAATCTCGTTGCTGCCCCCCGTTGATTTCCCAGCATCATCGACGTTCGAACCTTCCATAGCAGCTTTGCGGACTAGTTTTATAACTTTATGCAACCAGCGCTCGACGCCTACAATCTTACCCTCGTCCCAACTTAATATATCGCTGATTGGTGCTTGAAAGAGAATGTGAGCTCGCGTTGCATCGGCGCCATGCGCTTCTATGCACTGATCAGGATCTGCACCGTTGAATTTCGATTTGGACATCTTTTCGTAAACAATCAGCGGTTTCTGTCCAGATGCCTTTATCGTGAAAGCATCATCATCCGTTGACATGACCTCGTCTGGCTTCAAAAAGCGACCGGAATCGGGGTCTATCAAAGTTCTCCCATGCACCATCCCCTGAGTTACGAGTTTTTTGAACGGCTCACCATGTCCAAACTTGTTGTCCCATTTGCCAATCGAAGCCAGAAATTTGGAAATGAAGCGTGAGTAAAGCAGGTGAAGAATCGCGTGCTCGATCCCTCCAATGTAAAGATCGACTGGTAAGTTTTTCGATGCGGCGTCGAAGCTAAAGGGTTCTTTCGTGTTATTTGGGTCAATGTAACGGAAAAAGTACCAAGAACTGTCCATGAAGGTGTCCATCGTGTCGGTTTCTCTCTTGGCAGAAGAACCACAAGAAGGACAAGTTGTATTGATGAACCCATCCATGGTTTCCAATGGATTGCCCTTGCCCACTAAAGCGTCCACCGCTGGTAGTCTCACGGGTAGGTCGTGTTCCGGAACTGGAACTGGACCACAGTCGTGGCAATGAATTATTGGTATTGGGGCACCCCAAAATCTTTGGCGACTGATAAGCCAATCTCTCAGCCTGTAATTCACAGTCGCTTTCCCCTTTCCTATAATTTCTAGCGCCTTGGTTATAACTTTTGAAGCATCTTGCGAGTCCATGCCGTCAAATTCAGTACCAGGGCAACGCAAAACGCCTGATTTGCCTACATATGGAATTTTCACTTCTGCTTCGATGCCGTCATTCTTTGGTGCAATGGTTGCCCTCATCTCGACGTTAGGCATGTTATGCTTCCAAAATGCAAAATCGCGTTCATCATGGGCAGGACAACCCATTACTGCACCATGCCCGTAGGTACTTAGCACGTAAGGTGCAACAAAAATTGGCACTTGAGCCTTAGATGACGACATAAGAGGATTCTGGGCGTGAATACCTTTCAGAATAAATCCTTCTTTTGAGTCTTCTGATAAAGACTCTGCACTTTCTAGAAACTTTTTCAGTTCTGGGTCAGACAGTGCCAGTTTTTGTACCAAGGGATGTGTTGTGGCTAACGCAAGGTATTGCACGCTGAAAATAGTCTCTACTCGTGTTGTGAAGACTTTGATTTGATCACAATTTTCTTGAGAAAGTGGGAAAGTCACCTCAGTTCCAAATGACTCTCCAATCCAGTTTTTCTGCATTGTTTTGACATTTTGGGGCCACTCATCAAGCATTCGCAAATCTTTTTGTAAGCTGTGAGCAAATTTGGTAATACCCAAGAACCACTGTTTCAATCTCCGTTTTTCTACTACCGCACCCGATCTCCATGACCTTCCCTGAGAGTCCACTTGCTCGTTTGCCAAAACAGTCTGGTCTACAGGATCCCAATTGATCTCTGCATCTTTTTGGTAGGCCAATCCGTGCTTGTGAAGCTCCAAAAAGATCTGCTGTGTAAACTTATAGTACTCTGGACTACAAGTGGTGACTTCGCGGTCCCAATCGAAATTGGCCAGCATTGAATTCATCTGTTGCTTCATTTTTGCTATATTTTGTTCCGTCCAGGAAGCTGGTCCTATTTTACGTTCGATAGCTGCATTTTCCGCTGGTAGTCCAAACGCATCCCACCCCATCGGATGTAAAACTTGATATCCATTCAATTTGTAAAACCGATTCAAAGCATCGGTAATGGTGAACACTCGTAAGTGCCCAATGTGTAATGAGCCAGAAGGATAAGGGAACATGGTCAGAATATATTTTTTCTTAGCTTCGCCAGCAATTGACATTGGTGGACCTTTCAAAACTTTCGATTTCCATTTCTGACCTATTTCGACAAGATTCACCTCTTCCGATGGCACACTCGCATAAAACCGTCGCAGCCATTTCAAGCACTTATTGGAGACACGCATGGATGTCTTTGCAGCTTGAGAGAACGATCCTCCAGTCTAGAGGAAATGGTTAAGTTAGTTTCATATGTTACAAGACTTCGATTTGATTTTTCAACTACTCTATTATAACGACAAGCTATCGAAAATTGACTTCAAAGTAAAGATAACTTCAAGAAGGATGAAGATGAAGCAGTGAGCCTGGCAAAGATAAACCTATTACTTTGAGATGGTGTGTGGTTATTTGAGTAACAATCTAGAATTCAAACGAATAATTTTGGCCAATTTTGGAATAAGATATGGAGGTTTTTGATCAGCTTCGGTAAACATGGTAGAGTTGACTATGGTTAATGAGTTTTGTCAATATTAAGTCTCGTTATACATTTGATAGGCCGAGGAGCATAATCTTAAACTTGGGCGTTGCTGATGTCGTATTCTCTTCCGCAATGAAGTATTCCATGCGATGATTCATCTAACTATTGAATTTAGGAATGAGATGTTTGGAAGGAGAAACAGAGAGGTCGAGTCAGGAATCTCTGGAATTTGCGATATGAGTCTTTGTTTTGAATAAATATGAGAAGCTTTCCCACTGACTTCATTGATATGATAAAATTTGGCCCGAGATATTTTCGCTAAGATTTCATGCAAAGCTCAGGCTGTTGAAGAATACTTGAGCTTCTGAAGGAAGCTTTGTGAAATTTTATCGGTACTGGAAAACAATTGTTCTACCGGAATTGATTTTGAGTCTCTGTAGTGTCATGGCAAGATAAAAAATTTACCACAGCTTTACCTATGAGACTTGGTTGAAGACTGTTTGAATAATCAGACTGGTAGCTGGGTGGTGATTTTCTTCTATTGCATTCGACGTACAGACGAGGACACTGTCATTTAGGATAAATCATGCCCCATCAAGGAATTCGGGAAATGACTCAACCTTTGATGGACAAGAAAAATTCATTGGGTCTGGACATTATTTGGTGGCTGCCCGGTGAGTTTGAAAAATTAACAAAACTTTGCAAATATGCCTCTGGTGGCTACAAGCCCTAGAAGAATGATCTCAATGAACTAAAGAGAGGGTTTGCCAATTCTGTCGCTGTCATCTCATGGTCACGTGACTCAGAATACTTGGTGATGGATCTGACATTTCACTGCAAAAGAAGAATCTATTGTTTTTTGGGCTGTGGAAGATGTAACAGGGGCAGTAAGAACCCGCGTTTTCCTGTACAATTTTTTTTGAACCTTCAGTGTTTTTAGTTCAGGGATTTGGGCCATTTGTGTGTCAATTTTTCTAGCATTATCGATATTCTCGTGAAATTCACTCTGGACGTCTCAAACATAATTTTGGGACAACACAACAAATGGTTAAAATAGAGACAATTTATATCCGTAACCTTTAAAATTTCCCCGCTAATGGATTTCATTCGGGTCACAAGCCTTCTACAACACCATCAAGTCCTCGAACAATCCATATATAAGCGAGTTTTTTTTTTTAACTATCAAAGTTAATACATAAACCTTGGAATGCAAAATTCCCGGCAAACCTAGCTAGCATTCATCCAAATAAGCATTCTTGAATAATAATACATTGCCCGTATTGAGCCGCTGGTATAACGTTCTTTCGAATGTTTCGACGTCAGCTCCGTTCAAAGTGCTCAACGCGTAAAACAGTCATTTATATATTAGACATTATATATAAACACGATCTACACACTAGCTGCTGATTTTGATCTAGGGCATCTCAACGCTTTAGCGGGCCATTTAGGATACTAAGGAATGGATACCTTAGCCTCAGAAGATCCACAACTTGTTCGGAAACGACCCCGGACATCAAATTCTGTTGATGGCGAATCTTTGCCCACACCAACGGGTACTCCACCGGATACCGGCGGAAGAGCCAAGCGAGCTCGTAACGATGCATTTATGACCCAAACACAACACTCATTGCAGACAGATGATACTGGTGACACACCCACTTCTAACGACTATACACCAGGCTACATCAAACGCGTCAAGCTACTCAACTTTATGTGCCACGAAAATTTCCAACTCGAGCTTGGTGGAAAACTCAATTTTATAGTTGGAAGTAACGGGAGTGGGAAAAGCGCTATTTTAACTGCCATCACTATAGGACTGGGAGCCAAGGCTACCGATACGAATCGGGGCTCCAACCTGAAGGAATTCATCAGAGAAGGGTGTTCTTCAGCTAGCGTTGAAATTGTATTGAGTAACGAAGGAGAAAACGCATACCAAGAGGGCATTTATGGCACCGAAATAATCATTCAAAGGACCATCAAAAGAGACGGCGCTGCTAGTTTCACTTTGAGTGGAGACAAGGGCAAAGTTGTGTCCCATAAAAGACGTGATTTGCAAGCCATTGCAGATTATTTCTCTATTCCAGTTTCAAATCCGATGTGCTTTCTATCACAGGACGCTGCAAGATCTTTCCTTACAGCTAGCACGCCAGCAGACAAATACAAGCATTTCATGAGGGGAACTCTCATCGAAGATATTGAACTCAACTTACAACGAGCCGTGGAAACAGCTACGAAGGCCCATGACCATTTGATATTTCAAGCTAAGAACCTTAAATTACTACAAAAAGAATACCAGGACTCAAGACGTTTACTGAAAGAACTACACGCAAGTCGTGATTTGGGCAGACGGAAACAAATTTTGCAAGGAAAACTTCTTTGGCATAGCGTAGTGGAGAATGAAGATCTGCTTCAAAAGCTTGATCAAACCAAAAACGAATTTTTAGAAAAGATCAATGCCTTGCAATCGAAAAAGGCTCGAGCAGAAAACAAAATCGAGCGCTACAGTGCAGATCAATCTGCTTCAGAAGAAGACTTACTTAAGGCTCAAACCAAATTACAAGATGACAAGCAATCTTTTGAAGATGTAAGGTCAAAAATGAATCAAATAAAGCTTGATTATGAAGTTCAGAAACGAAACCGCTCAGAGACAAACGCTATGGCAGACGATGCCCGCACCAAGATAAAAGACTGCGCTGACAGAATGGAAAACCTCAAAGAGCAGTTGAGAAGGCAGACTGGTGGTGACAAGGAGGGCTTACAACAAGAATTGAATGGATTGGAGGAAGAAATATCTAAAGCAAATGAACGACTTACACGCTATAACAAACTACTGCGAACCACGATTGAGGAAGAAGAAGCTTTGAACGCGGTATGGGAGAGTCAATCACTGGAAAAGAGCAAAAAAATACATTCGAAGAAGCAGGAGTTAGGCGCTTATTTGGCTGGCAAGCAAAATTTTTTGTCTAGTTTCCATCCAAAAATGGACCAAGTCGTGAGAGAAATGAAGCGCGGGGAGCATCAATTCTCAACCCCGCCAATTGGGCCCATAGGCGCCTATTTAACAGTCAAAAAGGAGTATAGAGAATGGGCAAAATGCATCCAGGCTTACCTGGGTAACAACCTCGGAGCGTTTGTAGTTTCTTGTGCCAAAGATAATGAAACGCTAAGAAAGATCTTTGGGGCATACATACCCCAAAGGCAACACCCAAGTATCATAACGCGACGGCCCACAAGTTTCGATTTTAGTGGAGGAAGGCCCAACGTCCACCATCCAACTATAGTCGATGCTTTAGAGTTTGATGAGGGTACCCAGTATGTGCTGGTGGATTTCAACAATATTGAGAGAATTCTTCTCATCAAGGACAAGGCGGAGGCAAGAAATCTTCTGTTACACCCAAAGGGCACCAACGCAAAGAGAGCTTTGTCATGGGTAAAAGATGATCGGTTTTTGAATTTTATATCAGCAACCAGCGTCAACTCCATAAAATATGAAGGTCCGCTGAAGATGATGACTGAAAGCTCGCCAGATGATGATATAGAGCACCTGAAGACCTCCATCATTCGGGAACAGAGAGAGTTAGACGAAGCGAAACAGCAGAATGATCGCTTACTTCGAGAAAAACGACAACAGAAAAGTGAAATACAATCCGAGATCTCATTTTTGAGATCCTCAATTTCAAAGCTGAATAGACGTGAAGCAGTGCTTCGGATTGAATTAGAAAGAGAGGTAGATATGGGGGCCATTGAACAGACACAAATCGAGAAGCAAGAGTACGAAAATGCTATTTCCAGTTATTTATTGACTGCCACTGACATCAGTGCAAAACTGGAAGCTATAGGAGAAAGAGCTCAAAACTTAAGGCAAGAATTAAGCGAGTCCAGGTCTCGGGTCGAAGCTTCTGAAACGTCACTCAAGGAGTTAAAGGGTTTCTGCGCTCAGAGAAATTCTAATCTTTCGAAACTGCGCGAAGATCTTCCATCCTACGATCAGCAAATTCACGAGTGCAAGGAGAAATGCAAGGAATCAGAGGAAGCCCAGGAAGAATTTCGGGTTGGAATTGCGCGGCAAATCTCTAAGGCAGCGGTCTTTTGTAACAGAGAAGCCGCATTCGATCCAGGAATGCCCTCAACTAAAGAGGAGGCTATTGCTGAAATTGAGAGAATTTCTCGCCAGATACAAAATGCGGAGAACCGAGTTGGGTTGTCGCAAGATCAAGTCCTTGAACGATTCGAGAAAGCTAAATTGAAGTACAAAGACGCTGAAAGAAAGTATATGGAGACCGACAAGGTAATAAATTACCTCAACAAATCTTTAGAAAGGCGCTTTCAATGTTTTGATATGACAAGGTCTAATACATGCTTTGATGCTGACAGCGATTTCAAAGAGTCGCTGCAAAAGAGAAATTTTTCTGGTGGTCTCAGCTTTGATTTTGATAGAAGCTTTTTGAGCATGTTCATGAAAACACAAAACGATGACAGTCCACGTAACGTTGACACATTTTCCGGCGGGGAGAAATCTTATGCTCAGACTTCGCTACTACTTGCTACCTGGACGCAAATGAGGTCAAGAGTGATAGCGCTCGACGAATTCGATGTTTTCATGGACCAGGTTAATCGCCAAATTGGGACGAAGCTAATCATATCAAAGTCTCTTGGCAGCAAGAAAACGCAAACGATCATAATCACACCGCAAGATATTGGCAAAATTGCCGATCTCGATGACCCTCGAATCTGCATTCATAGAATGAATGATCCTGAGAGACGCGCAAATCCGTAATCCACTTTATATACAATGGGACAGAATTGAAGTTTTATACATGATCTTTACTCCACTACGGCCATGCGGCATGCACACATTCACGAGTTCATGGGCCTTGGAAGTTGAGCAGTTGGTGTGTTGACTAATAATTTCAGTTCACTGAGAATCTCATAATTTGCCATTTGCTTTACTTTTTTCTACTTGAGTTACCATTTTATCTCTCATCACCGTCCTCATCCTCTTCCTCTTCCTCATCCGAGGAAAATTCACTTCCCAAAAGTTCTAGCTTGGCGCGATACTTGCTATTTTTTTCGTCGAGCTCAGAAACGAGAAGCATTAAGTCGTCAACCTCAGAGCGGTCCGAAGCTTTCGATTTCCAATCTTTTAATTCGAGTTTCAAATTTTCAACTTGTAAGCCCAGCTCTGTCACTAGCTTGTCTTTCTCACCATAGTCGCTCTTTTCTTCCTTGTCATTTTCGCATAGTCTCAGTTTGTCCAAAATAACTACGTTAGTTTTTCTCAACTCCTGTACTTCAGTGATCGCGGCTTCCTTCGCACTTTTTTCGGTTTCCAATTCCATGGTTAGGCTCACATTTGTTGACTTAACCTGGTGCAAATCATTGAGGGTCCGCTCATGCTTCTCATTTGATTTTATATGCTCTTTCATTTGAGTTCTTAGCTCTTCCAAAGCATTGTTTTTGTCTTTCAGATCAACTTCTAGTCCGCTGATTCTCTTTTTGAAAGCTTCCGAACCCTTCTCAAACTCTATTAGTTGTTTCTTCGATTGGTCTCTAGCAGCATTGGCCTCTGCTTCACACGTTTCAGAAGCTACTCTCGCATTTTTCTCAGAAAGCTGCAGGGATTTTTCCGTTTCCTTGAATTTATCAATCTGTGTCTCGTAACCAATAATTTTCTGTTCCCGACTTTTTAACGTTGATGCTGTTTGGGACATTTCGAGCTTCATAGAAACTATTTCCTGTTCCTGGTGGGCGATTGTAGATTTAAGTTCTTTCATTTGACTAGCAGCATCCTCAATCTGCACCCGTTGTGAATCTTCTAATTTTTTGTGACTTGCTTTGCTTTTCTCTTGGGAGTCGAGGGTCTTCGCTAGCTTTTCATTCACTTGTCCCAGCTTTCGAGCTGCTTCAACCGCTTTTTCTTCAGATTTCTTGAGCAAGCTCGTGAGTTCAGTTTTTGCTTTCTCAAAAGTCTCCAACTTTTCCACATGTGTGTATTCTAGTGCCTCAAGCTTGGCTTCTAGATCGCTAACCTTCTTCAAGTAGCTTTCAGTAACGCTCGCAGACCCTTCTGTAAATTGCTTTCTTTCTTCCTCTAGCTCAGCTTTTTTCTCCTTCATGATTTGCTTGAGTCGCTCGATCTCACCAGATAAAAACCTGTTTTCACTTTCTGACTTCATCTTTGAGTCGCCCTGTTCTTTTTCCAGAATCGCATAGTTTTCTTTTGATTCGACGAGCGATGCTTTGACCTTTTCCAGTTCTGTGTCTTTTGCAATTACGGCAGACTTGGCAGTATCGAGATCACCCTCAAACTCAGAAAGTTTAAGCTCCCCGGCAGCTGCGATACTTTCTTGCTCCTGCAAAGTGGAGTGAAGTTCCTGCACCTTTTTTTCGAGACCAAGAGATTTTGACTCTGCTTCTTGCGCCGCAGTTGCACTGCGCTCGTGTTCTACTGAGCATTTTTCATGATTCTCGGAAAGTTGTGCATATTTTGTCTGTAAATTCATAAGGTCGTCGGCCGCTTTCAGTGCGGAAGCTTCAGAGCTCTCAAACAATTCTTTACGGCTCGATTCAAGCTCCTTACACTTTCCCTGCAGGTCTATTATCTCAGATTGCAAACCCTCAGATTGTTTGGAATCTTCCCGTCTTTGCTTTTCTAGATTCGTCAGCTTCTCTTCGAGAATAAGTCTTTGCTCAATCCCACTTTGATGCTCTTTATCATGGTCGGCGCTTAGCTTTGACAAATCGTCCAACGCCTTCATTCGTTCGGAACTCAACTTTTTTACTTTTTGTTCAAGCTCAGATTTTGTTGTCTTCATCTTTTCGATGTTTTCTAAAGCAAGCTTTCTTTCATTATCCCATTTCTCGTTTTGAGTCTTGTAAAAAGCGGCTTTCTCTATCAACTCTTGGGACTTTTGTTCATGATCTTTTTGCAGTTTTTGGAAGCGCTCGGTAAGAAGGCTGTTTCCTACCAGTATGTTCGATAGCTCTTTTCTGAGATGACCACATAAAGTCTTCACCTCAGCGAGAGAGCCCGCGAACATTTTCAGTTTTTTTGTCGAGATTTCATTCTGTTGAGACAACGATCTGTTGATGCCGTCTCTTTCGTGGCTAGCCAATGTCAAAGACTCGACTTCTTGACTCAAGCTAGACCTCTCATTTTCTGATGCCTTCAGCCGTTCCTGGACACGTCTAAGTTCACTTTCAAGCTTTGACATTTTTTCGCTGTTTCCTTTGGTAAGAGAGTCGATTTCTGCTTGCTTTTCGGCCTTTTCTTTGCTGAGCTGTTTGCAAGTTTCAGCAAGCTCTCTGAGCTTGGCGGACAGCTTGGAGACTAGATGCTCTTGGTCTTTCAACCGAGAATTGAGGTCTACCTGCTCCTTTTGCAACGAGGAGGTCTCAGCTTCCGCCTTTTGTTTATCCTCTGTCAGTTTTTTTAAATTCAAAGCGGTTATGCCAAGCTCATCTTCAAAAGAGCTCTTTTTGGTTTCCAGCTTTTGCAGGTCATCACGCATAGTCTTGAGTTTATTTTCCAGCTCAGCCGTGGCTTTCGTTGACTCGCTTTTTAGACGATCCTTCTCTTTAGACAAAGTGAAAAGCTCCCTGTTCATTTTGTTGATTCCGTCCTCTGCTGCCTTTCTACCTCTTGTAGCGCTGTCCAAGTCCCTTTCGAGTTTCTGTATGGTGGCGGCCTTAAGCGATGCCGCTTCTTCGAGGCTAGTTATTCGAGGCATTATCTTTTCATGATCCTGTACTAGAACTTTATGTTCTTCTCGCAAAGAGGCCAAAGTGCGCTTCAGTTCATCTCGTTGGTCTCGTAACGTGGTAATCTCCTCAGATTTATTGGCCAACTCCGAAGTACATTGTATGTTCTGCTCTTCGGCTTCACTAAATTGCTTGTTAGCTTCCTGCAATGAAACTTGGATTTCCTCGATCCGTTTCTTTGACTCTATTTCTAGCTTCGAGAATTCATTCTCCAAATCAAGTTTTTCCTGGCGAAGATCTTCGTAGGATTCAAAAGAGATTTTAGCAACACTTTTATATTCCGGTCCTCTTTTTAAAGCACTTTGAATCTGGTAAAAATTGTCTTTTAGCAGCTTTGTGAAAAATGGACTGAAGTAAACTTTTGGTAAACCTGTCGAATCTGTCTCAAATGCGCCAAGAAGATTGTCGTTAGTCTCAGAATCAGCGAAGAGGGAGTTTTCCCAAAATTGCCGTATTTTTGACATGTAGTTATTGACCCCGACGCTTTTTACCAGCAGCTCAAAAAAATCCGCGCGAGTAACCTTACTTTCCGTTGAAGAGAATTCGTAAGCAACCCCTAGGAGGACAGAAACCAAGCAATTTACTGTGACATCGTCTTCTTTCATCTGGGATGTGTATGAGATGAGTGATTGGAGCACTGTCTTATCGGAAAGAAATGAACTAACTGCAGTCGGGTCGTCAAAGAGCCAGAATATTAGAAGACACAAGTATGATATGGGTACCCTCGAGTCTTCAAGAGACAGTGAAGTTAGCAAAAGCTCCAATACTGTTTGCACTGGACTCATCGATTCTCCAGTCTCATCCATTGAATCGGTACCTTTACATTCGATTTTTCGAATAAGGTCTCTTATTTCAAGTTCTGATTCCCCATGTAACAAAAAAAACAACAGATCCGATGCGAAGTACAGTTTATAGGGATTGAGCTTTAGATCGGGATCGTACTCCAAAAGTACGTTGAAGATTCCTGCCGAATAGTGGTCATTGACAGCTTCGTCATCGAGGTGGTCTGAGTTTTCATAAATTTTTATCTGATCTTTGACAAACTTCAACTGCAAACTTTGATTGTTCTTTAAATAGGCCTTTATGAGCTCTGAAGATGCCTGTCTGATCTCAAAAGTATGAATGGAATTGGCGAAAAAACACCAATTCATCACTAGCTCAGTTATAGGCACTAATCTTGTCTGGTCTGCAGTTCGAGCAGCTGTGCTGGGGTCGAAGGGCGGAACATCAATTTTTTGGAGTTCGGATTGAACTCTTTCGTTATCTTGAATCATGTCAGCGGCAGCGAGAAGTGCAAAAGGACGTACCGAGTTTGGCACGGTGGGCATAAGCGCCAGCCTCAATGTAATCATCAACAAATGAGACTCTAGTAGCATATTTTGATGTTTGGGTGTAGCATTATTATCGGGATCAACGCTAAGCATCAATATCGTCAGTCCAGTTTTTATGTTGAGAACTCTTGTATCATTCCAATGAAATTCGTCTTCCATAGGATCGTTTAAAAGATTTGCCATATGAGGGAGGTTTCCGGTCTCCACAAAGAGTATTTGGTTTGAAGCATTGTATTTCAGAATGTTAACGATCAATGATAAACAGTCGCTTACCACTAGCGACCCCCGAAGCCCGCCTTCTTCCTGAATGATATTGAAAAGTTTCTCAAATATATTTTCAAATGCAACTAAATGCTGAATATGTGCACTGTTGTTGACCAGAGCCATTAACAGTAAGACTGCCTCATCACGAATGGGTTCGTGGACATCTTCTAGGAGTCCCACTAGTGTGGACACTCCTACAGGTAGCGATATAATGGCTTCCCGAGTTCTGGATGCACGAGACGCAACGAAGGCCTCTAGAAGCTGTATCGTGTACAGTCTGATATGAAAGTTTCCATTTTCCAGCAATCGAACAAACAAGTGCACCAATTCGTCTGTTTGGGTCATAAAATCTGCGATCCAGAGCGAAAACTGATCTACCGATTCGTTTTCCACTTGTTCTTGTTTCATAACTAGCGGGGAAGGATATTTCCCATTTTTGAGCCTGGATTCTTGCGAGATCCAATTACGAGTCAAATCCGCATTGCCTTCACCACGAATAAATAAGATCAACAGCGTCTCCAGGATAGCTTTCGCCGAATCTTCATCTTCTGCATCTTTCTTGAGCGTAGCTATCAATGGTTTGAGACCTGAAGCAATCACCGTTTCTCTATAGCTTCGACTAAACGACTTGAGGCCCAGGACTGCCGATCTTCGGTCGCTTAGCAGAGTGGCATTTTCAACTCGATCGCATAGCGTGGGAATTGTGTCATCTACAGTCTGGACCTTTGGTGGCTGTATCAGTCCTTGTATCAAATCCATCTCACACCCTCTTCCACGCCACAGCCCAAAGCCTTTCTTCTCTTAGAGTTGAAGTTTACTTCGTGATGTATGGTATTGTCCAGTATATGATTTCATTTGGGTATAAGAATATAAATATATATATATTATATATATATATATTTACTTATGATTTCACCAACTGTGATCCAACAGAAAGAACGCTGAAAAGAGTCTGCAAATGATGCTGAAGAGCCTTTTCGAGCGCTGGCTAAGATTGAACGGTTAACTACTCGATAAAATAGTGCATTTCTTGTTTTTCCAGTTGTTTGGCTTTGTAAAACGAAGAACTAGTTCTCGAGATCGTAATGAATCTAATATATCTTTAAATTCGTGTGATTTCTTTCTTGAATAGAATAGCAAGGACAAAATCATCAATGAAGATGGTGAGTCGGTGGGCTTCCCAGTTATTCTTTTAAGAAATTGCGCGAAAAGCTAGGAAGTACTACCTGCCAGCTCAGAGAGCGTACGACTGATTCAAAGTTAAGATATATTACGGATTTCCTGAAGAAACTACCAAAAAAAAAAATGCAATCACACTGTTGGAATCGTGCCATTTCTATCCTGGGCAAAATAGCAGCCACGACAAACGCTCACAGATACATAGTTTGATTCAAATTGGTGATTGATCGAAAGCGACGCGAAATTTGAAGAAAGAGCATCACAAACAGAACACAAATAATAGCATGCTAGGCGTTATAAGATTATTATCGAGAACAGTGCTATTATCGTGTCGTTGTCTTAAGTTGCAGCTCAGTCACAACACACGGATGTGTCGTTTTTTCGTGATGTTGGAAATCGTCAAGAAGAGCTTGTGATATTAACTATGGCGCATGCATAGCTTATAGGCCTCGGACATAGATAATCCTTCGTTTGATACATCGTAGAATCAGTTTGGATAGTATAAAAGGCATTTGATTCTTGATGCCAATACTCAGGTCAAGAATTGAAACTTTAACTCATAAAAAAACTCCGAGCTGTATAATTAGTAGAAGTCCATTTTAATGAGTGCGTATCTAACTAATTTATCATACGATGGGGCCGTCTTCGAGACCGGACCAGGTTTAGAAGATACTTGCTTGAATGATTTACAAATTATGGAAGAGTGGACAGACCGTCCAGCCAGTGCATGGGCTGTTCAGAGAATCGGAGTTCTGCTCTCAAAAATTGAGGCATACACAGGCAAAATATATCATCGTAATCGTTACGGTAAACACTCTTTGTCAAAGTTGATTCCCGCCCATGTTCTCACACAATACGCAAACGAAGCACTTGGGTTTGATGGATGGTCGCTAGAAGTTATGGAAATTTATGTTGCAAACTGCAGGTCAGTTCCTTCCAAAACTCCAGCTTCCGATTCGTCTGATGAACGGTTGGAAGTGCTTTCAGAGGCAACAGTAAGGTTAAGACTTAAAGACGGTACAAATACGAAAGCGTCGGGCGTTGGATCAGCTACAGCGTCTACAAAAGGCGACAGCTTCAGCATGTCGAAAAAATTGGCCATCAACGATGCCTTCAAGAAATGCTTTTTGAGCCTGGAAACTATAATACTTGAACATGAACGGCGCGTCTCAACTAACTACTACGTCGACGGTCTCTACGGCTCTCATTCAAAAAAACCTTGACTGGTTTAGGTGCATTCATTGATAAATATTTTTAAAAATCGATAATTTGACGTTTCGGAAATGGCTTGATTTCAGGCACTGGGATTTCAGGTATGTGATACACGTTGCCTTCTTCGTCGATTCTTTCTCTGTCCTTTTCGTTGATGCTATAGATTTCAACAACATTGTCTTTGAGCAAAGTCATCACGTCAACAAAATTCTTCTGGATCAGTTGCGCTTCTTCTCTTCTTCCTCGTCTCAAAAGAGCCTCTATCAGCATGATAGCTTCCGATTCGGAATGTCCCAACCTTTCTATTAGTCTCCCGATCGACTGAATGAGGTATTCCTCCTCATAAATAGTACCCTTCTTACCACGAGCACGCTTACGCTCCTCGCGGCGCTTGTTTTTGGCAGTTCGCCTTGAAGCCCCAGTTTTTGCGGTCCCACCAGTTTTTCCAGTGTACCGGGTGAAAAAGGACTCTTTTGTTGATGTTTCAGAAGCTGCGATCGAGATGTCATCAGCTTGTTCTGTTTCTTGTCCGTAAAATGCGTATGGATCCTCATCCTTCTTCTGCCTTAATTCGCGTAGTCTTCGCAATTGCGATACAATTTGACCTTTGCAGTCTGCTAGCAATTCAGCAATTGTACCAAATCCCTCACCCAGAGCAGGCTCCAGAACATCATCAATCATTTCTAGAGTGCCGTGCGTGGCCCCCACTAAAGCGGCTTTCTCGTAACGATATGCTTTACAAAACAACCGCATTGCCTCCTTGGTGTTTTTCAGATAATTGAGCTCAACCTCCGCAGCATCTGCGTACTTATGATCGAAGGTTAAGGAAGACACCAGAGTTTCCGCAACTTCGGTAATCTGGTCCTTGAAGTATAGCGACGCGATCGTTAATGCTTCATTGTATTTTTTGCCCGTCGTGTAAGTTTCCATAGCTTCTTTGAACTCGCCCAGCATTTCATAAATGATCGCAGACTCGACATATTCCTGTTTGGACGACAGGTAAGGTGCATAGACCCTATAGACTGCATTTTGTTTCTGAACATCATATTTGAAAAGGTTCAAAGCATACTTGTAGAGTTCGTGGGTATCAACGTAGTCCAAAATTTTCTCAGAAAGACCATCCAAACCATTTTCTATCGCTGATAAGTGTTCCAATGCCTTTTCATAGCGCTTTAGATGATCATCAATCATGAACTTGCGCACAAGTGGGTCCTGTTCATATAGCGTTTGCAAAAAGGGTAAGTACTCTTTGGGATCAATTTGAGATTTTTGCGCTATGGCGAGCGTTAGCTTGATGTCGTACAGCGACAGGGCAACCCTATAAAGGACATTAACATCGTGTAAGAAACATAGGTAGGTCAAACAATTCTCGCCTTCATTTTCGAGAGACGCGATAAGCAACAAAGCATTTTCTAGATCTGGAGGATTTTGGCAAGCATAAGCTGTTATGATTGATTGCAAATATTTTGTCTTGTACTCGGGATTGTTCAGGAGGACTTGGAGAATCGCACGACAAATTTTGTTCACCTTGGAGTTCTGCGGGTCAAACATTTTTTTCTTCATGTAAAGCTCCATATCTGTTGGTGCTGGGGGAGTGAGTTCAAAGTTACGATCCATTTCAATATCGGTCGTCTCTTTGTACTTCACTGCAGTAACGTCTTCTCCGGTCAAACAGGATATGAACAGGTCCAGATAATCACCCCTTCCAATGTCTTCAATAAAAAGCTGGAGATTATCAATGAAAAGTTCAGGTGCATAGTCATGAAGGATATCCAAGTGAATTCTGTGCGTACGGCATGTGATAAAAGCTTCATAGTATCTCTTGGCGAGAATACTCTTCCTAACGCCAGCTAAGACCATAATACGTGGGCAAATAACCTCCAGGTTGCCGCGTGCCGCTTGTAAAACAACCGATGATTTTGACGGTATGGCTGTAACTAAAAGAGAGCCTCTTTCGATTGACCTTATCCTTTCGTCATCGACGCTTTGACCAACGACTGGCAATGGTTTGAATTCTGTAGAATTCAAATGAGCAAATTGTAGGTTGTGTTGTGCAGTGGTGAACATAATCAGACTATCCGTAATCTCCATTGAAGTGGCAGTGCTTGCGATAAGGACGTCGTTGGCATAAAGTTTGCCGTTAGCAGCAAGACCGAACGCTACTAGCCTAGACTCGTCAGCAGTCTCTAGGCCAACTGTAGATAAGGTTTCAACTCTTTTAACACGCAAATCACGGACAAGCTGCGGTAATGTAGCAATTTCCGTGACTTGCCCTTCAACATCCAGCTGGAAGACCTTGCAGTCTTTAGTCTCAAAAACCATGTAATTGTTTTCGAACCCAGCACGAAGTAAAACCACCTTACTAGAGGTGTCCGTTACTGTAATCAACGAGGGCTGCTTCACGTCAGACACATCTAGCAGGGCGATACGTGACAAGTTTTGAGAGTCTAACAAAACCCCTACAACAATATCATTGATGAATGCAACCTGCCTTAGTGTGTCAGCGGCGGTGGCAAAGTCCGATTTCGGGATGTTTTTGGAGACTACCGGATGCAAACCTTTCTTCATATCTTCCAGGCCCGGAACAGAAGCTAAACAAAGTTCATTCTTTGTGATAGCAGCGTAAACCTCATTTGAAATGCTTGTGGCTGCGTCTATCACATTGGAAGGTGCCTCGAAGTCTCTATAATAAAAAGGGGGAGGAACGGACGCCAACGATAGTGGCGTAATATTAACTGTCGACCCGTCGATCACAAGGACAGTACCAAAATCGAAAGGCTCCAAAGTGGGTCCTAGTGCTAATTTATGAGCAAAATCGACCACATTGACACCATAATCATCGCCGTACATTAGCGTGAAATCCTTTTCAGGATGCCACTTCACATAATGAATGTTTTGACCATAGATTTCTTGCTTCAGATACCAGTGATAGTTTTTGGTTGTCCACAGCATAATTTTGTCCGCTAGGGTTATGGCCAGCACTTCTGAAGTCGAATTCCAGCTCAAATTCCGGACTACTTCATCCATTGCAAGACGACTATCGAATTCCCCATGTCTTAAACCGTTTCTTTCGAAGAAGACAAGATCCAGCGATTCCTCGCCAGGTATTTGGTCTTTTCTTTGAATGGATGCAATCAAAGATCCTTGCGGTTTCCAACTCAATGGATCTTCTTGGCCATCGACCGGTTCTGAAGCACTGTCCAATTGCCCATCACGCGTGAAAACCCTGAGAACTCTTCGCGTGAATTCTTCTTCATTTTCAGCCTGAATCGCTTCGACCTCAGACACCACGAAAAACTCACAGTCACCCCTCCATGAAATCGAGGCTTTCTTCGAGTCCATAGGGCCCAAAACTCCTGTGTCGACCACATAGGGCATCGTAGGATCTCTCAATTCCGTTCCTTTCAGTCCTGAAGCCTTGAGACTTTCTAGTGCTTCTCGTTCCATCGCACGGGCACCTTTCCCTCTAAATTGCGTTTCCTTTTTACCCCACCCGACATCGACATGCTTGGACATTTTGAGATCTTCCTTCATGAGTTTATGCTCTGCGATAGGCTCAAACTGTCTGCTGAGAACCACGACATTGCGCTCAGAAGTGACTAGAGCCAGTGTTTCTTCGTCGAGAGACCATTCAGCGGCTCTGATGCCTCCTTCGATGGATCCAACGATCTCAACCACCGAGAGCGATAGGTCGTACGTCTCGGCATCGTAAGTAGCGGTCACGATGTCCCCTTGAGCCAATACGAACACTAGTTGACTGATGTCACCAAAGTGAAGGAACGACAATAGCTCATCTCCAAAAGTTTGAATATTAAACGATGCCAACACATTACAGCTGCCCGTTTTCGTGTACTGCTGGACTTCAAAAGCCCCAATCTCCAAATCTGCCAGAACGCAGGTTATACTGTCGGACAAAGTATCAAAAACGCTAGTCTGTAAAGTCAGGTCTGGGACGCTGAGCGAAGCAGGCTGAAACCTACCTCGATTTAGCGTGATAAGATTTCGCATCTCGCGTCCAAATACAACACAAAGAACCTCTATTGGCTATTTTATCCCGATGCAAAGTGATTCGATGAGCTGGAGCGATGGATGCTGGCTGCCCTGCTGAACAAATCAATAATTCAGAAAATTTTCATCGTTGTGTACGTTGAGACATCATCCTCCCATTGAAGAGCTCCATTCAAGCCATTACGGGCTCTCTGATTTCGGATCTTGTTGTTGTTGTTGTTGTTGCTGTTGTCGTTGTCGTTCGTGGTTCACATGAGTCTGCATTTGCTGGTTGATACCTGGAATTTTGTCCATTTCGAGTTCATTAATGCGTGTATAGTAGAAATGGTTTGCCAAAGTGATAACCGTGACGGGTGTGTTCTTGTCAGGAAGACCAGCGCTAAACAAGTCCGTAACCTCTTTTTTCAGCGTGCGAAGTCTCAATTTAGTCAGTTCGGGAGCATATAACTTCACAACGCGATGACTGGTAAATCGATCTAGCACAATTTCGTCAACAACTGGTTCTATCAATAAGTCGTTCAATTTTCCTCCTTTTTCGCCGTGGGAAAGCTCTTGCTGTCTGTAAAGAACAATCTGTAGCAGCAGCAACGCCACGTTGGCTGCCAGAGCCATCTTCAACTCGAGTTTGGCAGCTTTTATACATTTCAAAATTTCTCCAGGATTTATCAAAATCGATAATGAACTTTGATATATATAAATTAAACAAATCGGTAAATAGATACCTTACCATCAAACTTCTTTCAAATCAAGAACTAAGCGCAAAAGAGAGCGTTTCAGAGCATTCAATGGGTACGTAGAGGTTCTTAATATATGCAGTACTAAAAGGCGATACTAACTATATATTCTTCCCTTTTTTTTGTACAGATAAAGCTATTGTAAAGGGTCTAAATGATAAATTATATGAGAAACGTAAGGCCACGGCGTTGAACTTGGAGAAGCTTGTGAAGGAATGTCTGGCAGAGGAAGACTATGAGCGGGTAGATAATATTTTGGATGAGCTTTGCCGGGATTTTGCGTACGCTTTGCACCAGCCAATGGCCAGAAATGCAGGATTGATGGGCTTGGCAGCCTGTGCAATTGCCCTGGGTTCAACTGAGGTTGCACGATATTTGGACCGTATTTTGCCGCCTGTTTTAGCATGCTTTGGTGACCAAAATGACCAGGTTCGGTTCTACGCTTGTGAAAGTCTCTATAACATCGCCAAGATCGCAAAGGGCGAGATTCTAGTGTATTTCAACGAGATTTTCGATGTGCTTTGCAAAATAAGTGCAGACACAGAAACATCCGTGAGAGGAGCAGCCGAGCTGCTGGACCGTCTTATTAAAGACGTTGTCGCTGAAAGGGCCTCGAACTATATCAGTATTGTCAACTACGATCCCAAAGATCTCCCCCCCTCAACCCGTACGGACCCTCAAACTGGCGAAGTTTTGCGTGAAGAATACAAACAGGAGCCAGAACATGCGTTTTCACTGCCCAAGTTCATACCGCTCTTGACAGAGCGGATATACGCCATCAATCCTGATACACGTATGTTTCTCGTTTCTTGGCTACAAGTGCTCGAGAACATTCCAGATTTGGAACTAATATCGTATCTGCCGTCTTTTTTGGGTGGACTTTTCACTTTTCTAGGCGACTCGCACAAGGACGTCAGAACCGTTACCCACTCACTCATTGATTTGCTATTGCACGAGACGCAACGTATCTCTGAGGTTAAAGCCCTCGTCCAAAAACGAGCAGCGGATAAGGCGCAACAACGTATAGCCAATTCCGATGAAGTATCCTCCATCAAGAAGCAAGATGGTACATTGATAAGTGAGCGGAAGAAGTCACTACTGACCGCCTTCGAGCAACTAAGTATGGTGAAAAACAATGGTACGAGCAAGAGCAGAGTATCTTCGAGCAACGATGAAAATAAACTTACCGAAAATAGCGATGTTACGGTAGGCGTCACAGAGCTCGAAAGGGCTGGCACTAATTACGTGGAGGTGTCTGATTCCTTGGACCAGGCTAATGGTGAGCTCTATTCGCCAGGTGAAGACGTTCACCTCGATTACCCAAAAATAATTGAAATTTTGATCAATACGTTAGGATCTTCCGAACCAGAAATTCAACTGGTGGTCCTGACCTGGATCGAAACAATTCTAGACATCTGTCCCTCAGCCTTCTTACCGTTTTTATCGAGACTACTTTCATTGCTTTTGAAGATACTGAACGATGTTGAACCAAGGGTGAGAAAATTGGCTCAGACTGTGAACGAAAAGCTTATTGATCTCACCGGTAAGTTCGATTATAACGACGGTCCAGAGGCCATAAACTACGGCCCAATTGTAAACACACTAACTCTGCACTTTTTGGATAGTGACGTGGTTGCCAAAGTTGCTTGCCTAGATTGGCTCATTCTCATATATCATAAGGTCCCCAACCAGCTGCTTGAGCACAGCGACACAACATTTTTTACACTACTGAAATCACTTTCCGATAGGGACAACCAGCTAGTGTCAAAAGCTCTGCATTTGCTCAGCGACCTCTGCAATAGTTCCAACGAAGGATACTTTAGAAAGTTCGTCAAAGATCTACTCCTCCTTTTCAAAAGCGATGGCAGGCTTCTGAAAACCAGGGCAAATCACATCTTCCGGCAGCTTGGTATAAAACTTTCGGCGGAGAGAGTTTACAATGTGGTTTCATCCATTTTGGAGGAAGAAACAGACCTTTTGTTCGTTAGGATGATGATTCAAATTTTGAATACCAATCTCATTACAGCACCTGAGCTTGAAAGGCTGCGAAGAAAATTAAAGGCCGGTACCGACAATGAGTTCTTTTGTTCACTTTTTAAATGCTGGTCGCACAATCCCACGTCACTTCTTGCTTTATGCCTTCTTGCAGGCAAGTATGAGCTCGCATATTACATCCTGCAGACTTTTGTCGAGTATGAGCTGTCAGTGAACGATCTTGTCCAAATTGACATACTTGTTCAGTTACTAGAATCTCCGGTTTTCACAAGTTTGAGACTACAATTGCTGGAACAAGAGCGATACCCATATCTTTACAAATGTTTGTATGGTATCCTGATGGTTCTACCTCAATCCAAGGCGTTTCAAATACTAAATACTCGACTCGGTAGCGTCAGTACGCTAGCAGCGCGCAAGATACCGCCCAGTCCATTCTATAAACCAAAGGATGGAGGTAGCAATGTCGGTGAGTCTTTGTCTACAGAATCGGTTAACTCGACAGGATCCATGCACAATAAGCGCATCAAATTCCAAAATTTATTAGAGCACTTCAAAGCTGTTTGCGAGGCCGAGCTGAGCTCACCAAAGGACACGGCTGTTGATGATGCACAGCTAGCCTTGTGGGACCCTGTTCTGACGCCAGAGTCATTGTTTTTCAATAAAAACCCGCCTGTTGACGGACCTGAGGATGACAACGACACAGGTTCCGTAATATATCGAGGATAAAGGAATGTATTTTGAAAGAGGCGATGAATGTACACATATTTAGGCATGAAGCACTGGTATAAAGACGATTCTTTTTCGGGAGTTAGGCTGAGGCTTGCTAGCCATTTTACACAAAAGAATATAAGTCATTTCCTGAGGTGATTTATATTAAACCCTGCGTCCAATCCCACATGATGACGATGCTTGAATGATGCTAAACATCAAGAAGCCTCTATTTATAATGACTTGGCTTTGATTGCAAGTTCTCCGACGAAATATGATTTGAAATTCGAAAATGAATGGTAGATAGTCGCATCTGCCCACTTAGGCAAGATCAAATCATGCAACATGTTTCTCTCAGCCCAGTTGACTTAACCCAACAGTAGATGTTCATTTGATAGCTGTGATAAACTCATTGTAGCAGCTCGTCTCTGTAGTGAGTTTGGAAGTTGCTGCGTCTGGTTTCCGTCCTAATTTGACGATTTATGCTTTGTCGTTCCTGTTGCTGGGCTCTCTTGTCGTTCTTCTTGATGGTCTTATCGGTAACACCGCCCAGATATCTTCTATCACCGACTGCCAAAGTTCTGTTACCATCGGTAGCGTCAGGTGGTGCAGGAAGGTTTTGTCTATAAAATCTTCTCATGGAGCGATGACCGGCTCTCACTCCTGTAGGCAAGGTGAGTTCTACGCCAGTTTGGTCAACTTCTGCTTGAATGTAATTGGAATTTATGTCCTGATTTTCTTCGTTATCGCGCTCGTTGGCGTTGCGAGAAGACCCAGAATCTTCAGCGTTCGAGACGTTAGAATCGCCATCGGAATGCTGTTCAGCAAGTGAAAAGTCGTAAAATTTAGAAAACCTCAAACGCTCCTCTTTTGTCTCGTACGGTAACTTTGCGTGACCTTTTGACGAGATATGTGCTCGAATGCTCTCTAAGCTGCTGCCTTGGAAGGAACAACACAGACACTCATGGGAATATACTATCAGATCGATTAAATAATCGATAAGACCTGTTAGGTCCACCAAAAACGATCTTTCTGGTATATAAAGGCCGTGAGACCTGAACATATGACTGATGTTGCGCTCCACGTCCTTGCTTTTCGAATTACAGAAAAGACACTCTGTTTGAGTAAAATGAATAGTTTCATTTTCCTGTACTTCTCCATTTTCCTCTGTTTCCGTATGGGTTTCGTAACCGCTAGTGTATTCCTCATCCGAATCGGTGGTGAAGCCGTTATCTAATGACCTTTCATCGTCGAAATCCGAGCTGTGAATAGACATTTTGGATATTTCCGATGCTACAGACCCGGCTGGCGATACAGAACGCCTGTTATCATCGCCGGCATCCACAACATTCTGGAATTGACGGCCTCTCTTCTTCTTGAGCTTAGATTCAGATTTATTGCTAGAGCCATTCTTCTTTTGCTGATAATGCTGTTCCCGAGTCTTCAAAATTGGAAACCCGAACTCGTCAACTTGATTCAGCCTGTTCTCTTTCTCTGATAATTGTAGCTTTTCGGCAAATAGATCGGCTGGAATAGGTTCGAGTTGTGCTACCTTCCGCTTCAGATTATATCTATGCCAATCCGTCTTCATATGGTATCTCTGTTGGTCGCTAGAGCGGAACTGGATCAAGCAGGCATTACAAGTAAATACAGCACTCATTGTTTGAACTAGTTTAGTGGATCAAACGGATGGAGCTGGAGTCAGAAAGCTTGAAATTTGACTTTTAGTTCTTGAAGGTGGTAATAAAGATGAATAATTGTAGTTTAAGTATTAGGATTCTCTGATTAAATAGCAGAGTATAAAAGCCAAACATGATGATAAGGACTTGTCACTCGAAAGCCCTTCCAATTGAGTTATATCAAGTCCACAATTCATTTTCTTGATGAAAACTGTAACAAATCGCTATCGATTCCGACCTTTTTCGAATTCTTACCACCATTTTACGACTTTTTAGTGTCTTGCTCATCGTAACGTCACCTCGTATCGATTATCGATTATTGATACTTATCAATCGAGTTTGTCAAGGTGGAAGCGTCTCAGAAAGTTGTTGGCGGTTGTTCTTGTAAGTCATCAGCGCTGATGTCGCTTCAGAGCTTTTGTTTATCTCTTGTATCCGTCTACACATACACTTTTTAAAAATCCGCCGGTTGCGAGGTGCGAGGCCAAACCCTCTTGAAGAGGGACATCGCTACAACGTCTTGCGCAGAAAGCTTGCCATCGAAAGTAGCTTTGAAATAGCCGTGGGTACCCAAGCTCTCTTTAATGAACCCGGATCTGCCACTCTTGGTAAACAGAGGAATCGACTTGAACCATTCCACATCTTCGGGTCTGAAAAACATAAACCGCGTCGTGAGAACGTTCTTGTGGAATTTGAAAGGATCACCTGTGAGGACAACTCTTTTGCTGATAATACGGGTATGATCCACACCCAAAAATGAGCCATGGCCCACAAATTCGATTCCCTTCACGTCGCCCGGACACTGCTTGAAGAAAAGAGCAGGCGATTGAGTGAAATCGACCGGCGCAATGCACGTTGCGATGGCAGCAGAATCTTGATGCAGGAATCTCTCGTATTTGTGGACGTTGTTGGGCGTGTTCGACGTCGATGAGAAAAGAGGCTGTATTATGTACCTCCGGATGCCGTATTGTACAAATAGTGGCTCTTTTGATGGAACAGGTTTTTCGAAATCTTCCCATCTTTGAATCGAGAAGTTTACCAATGCATTTTTGTGCTCATGCTTCAAAAGTCCGTATACAGACAAAATCTCTTGTCGAGGGTCTTTTATTCTGGGAATCAGTGATCTGTTCATCTTGATGTGAAGCTTTATACGATCACCAGCAATGACCTCGGCGTCCTTAATAGCGTCTTTGCAAATTTTGTTTCTGGTATTGGTGTAATTTCCTATCCTCAAAATACGCTTCCATTCCGGGGTAGCATTGGGATCATACTCGTCCACGTCCCAGTTGCAATTGTATAAGCTTTTCAATCCTCTATACCTCTTGAGTCTTTCTATGGCAGATTGAGAAGGCTCAAGCTCAATCTCGTCTGGAAACTCGCGATCCTCTTTTTCCAAAGCGCGGTATTCGTTGAGCTGCCTCTCTTCCTCCTCCGGAGACAGGTCCACGTACATCTCATCTTGAGCATCTGCATCGTTTATTTGATCTTCACCAATTTCTTCTGCCATTTCATCGCTTGCAGCACCGACCTCCGCATCCTCATCAATGGCCATATCGGCATCGTCTCCGTTTGTCAATTCTTCTTCGTCAGCAGCGTCAATCACATCGTCCAAATACCATCTTGCTTGATACTCGGATGTTCCCTTGGGTACAACCTTTCTTTTCTCAGCCTGTTCACTGCCTGGCAAGAATCCATGGTCGTCGAAACGAGCATTAGTCAGGTCGTCGTATTGGAAACCTTCGTCATCGGTTTCCATTACATTATCGATACTTTGAGGCGCAAATTCATCCAGTGTGTCCTGGTCTATACTAGGCAAATATTGCGTCTTTGGCGTCAAATCCATTGCATCAGTTAGCGACTCGCTATTTTTATTTCTCGTGTCCTTGCGGTTTGAGTCGCTTACCTTTTCGATCTGCGACACTTGGAAGTCTCCCAAACCTGGAATGTGAACAAGACGGTCTGCGTGGAACCCAATTCCACGTACAGTACCGTCCACGACAAGAGTTCCTTCTTCACCACTCGCGGGCTCAATAAAATCGACAGCGTCGGCAATCATGTAACCCCTGTTGTCTCTCCAGCTCACTTGGCGGGGAAACCGCTGGCACAAGGTGCGCAATGCATTTTGTGCTTCTGAAGCTTTTTCCAAATTGCATATGCGGTCTTGACTTGGAAAAAAATGCTTAAAGAAACTCTCGAGCGATTGCTTGATATCTAGCTGAAACTTCTCCTTGGGATGAGCCTGTGACAAGTTGGCAACACACCCCATGTATGACGAAATACCTTGCAATTCCACAGCTCGAATGATCTGCTCTCCGAAAGCGGTGTCAACCTCCGCGGTTGCACTAAGCCCAAACAGCGTAAAGTCCGCGATTTTTGTTGCATCTAGCACACTCATGAAGTTTGTGACGTCCGGGACAACAAACTTGAGACTACAACGGAATTTTTTCACGTTGATGCTGAAAATGCAGGGCGCAGAAGGCACCTGAAAGTCAGCTTCGGGATCTGCATCTGCAATGAGTCTGGCAATCAATTGTGTAGGATCCACATCCGTGGTCAGCGGAATGACCGTAACTATCTTCTGTGCACCTCCGGCGCCCTCGAACAGTTTGCGTGTATTCAGGGAGTCGAGAATCTTGTGCTCGCGGGCCTGTTTGGCCGTATTCTTGCGCTGCAGCTTAGAGACCGTTTTAACACCGCCTTTTCCGGCCACTGAAGATCCAGATTTTTCCACTTTACCCTTATACATGTTTTTGAGAGCGCCCTTCGAGGCATGCTTCGACTTGAACGGCTTGTGGCCGTTTTTCACGGACGATCTGTGCGAATGACCGGCCATAACTTTCGAATGAGGTCCCTTTCCACCGTTCCAAAGAGATCAAAATGTTGGCCAAAAAGTGAGATCTTAGTTGATCCTGTAAAGACTCTCCGATACGTTCTTCAAAAGGTTCAAATGCTTTGATGTGAACTGTTTTTCAATGCTTTGTAGACTTCTTTCAAGATCCGCGATGAGCTACCTCATCGCTTCCTGGGACATTGTCCACTGTAATTAATTCTCTAAAATTTTCATCACCGCGTGAATATCTCGTGATTTCCAAATTTTGGATGTGACTGTTTTCAAACACCCATACATTTTTGAGATAGTCACTTTTTCAAAAATCTTAAAACAATTTCGTCAAAAATCTCAAAACCGGCCGGATTCGTTAAGCATGACCACGCAACTTTTTTTGACGACTCCTTCTCACATCCTCACCGCCGCACGCACACGCCCACGCTCGTGACTACGATTCCCACCGCTGTGTATGGAGACCCACACCAACACTGACGAAAAATTGAAACTTTGACCCATCTCTGGAGAACTTGGTGAAAGAAATCGAATTTCTAGCAGTTAAGCATACACCCGTTGACTGTAGCACGAGAAACAACAGATTATCGCTAAAGTATGTCGCCCATCAGGATTGAAGGAACGGTGAGGTTTAGAAAGTGGCAACGGTTGTGAATATGGTGGGTTGTTGGAATGGCAGTGATGTTTGAAAATGCCATCCTTTTGGATAAAATGAAGCTAAAATGATGTTTGTGTGGGTGTGCGTGTGTGAAAGCAAAAGACACGATCTGGAAGTATCATGGTGATGTGCAGTTATCACGACGGAGGGAATAGCTTTGTGGGCTGTCTCACGAAAAAAAGCCGCAGAGTAGGATAAGCATAATGGACCAAATTCTCGCTTAAAATGTTTCGAGTCTCTCTCTCTCACACACACAGGCATTCAAAGACCACAGATTTCAAACAGCACTGTCCGGACAATACACCTAGCTGCAATTCATCCGTTGTATTTCTTCTTCCTCTACCGCATTTCCCAAACTTTTTTCTATCCCCTCCATTTTCCTGGCTCAATCGATACTAACCGCATCGCAGCAATATGGCTCACGAAAACGTCTGGTTCTCCCACCCAAGAAACTTCGGTAAAGGCTCCCGCCAGTGCCGTGTCTGCAGCTCTCACCAGGGTTTGATCAGAAAGTACGGTCTAAACATCTGCCGTCAGTGCTTCAGAGAGAAGGCCAACGACATCGGCTTCAACAAGTACAGATAAAAAGCTCACTCGCCCGCATTCCATGTGCGTGTATATGTGTATGGTGAAACCCCCTATAGGTTAGTCTCACTATAACTGTTTATTTGGCATGTATCTACATAGTGAAAGAAAACTTATCCGATTACACGTTTCTGAACTGATCTAATTTGTCGGGGCCCAAATGTAGGGCGGCTATTCGAGATCCCGATCATGCCCTAACTCGACGATTCATTCCAGATTTACCCAACCCTCTTTCCAAGTAATGCCCTGGCGCTAACTTGTCTTTGGTATAAGTGATTAGTGCTAATTATTTCAATAATGTGTTACCCGGCCCCACTCGTAGTATAAAAGCAGAAAGATCGATGGGCTGCTTTCATTCCTGTTCTTTCAACCTTTTGAACCTTTTACTTCCTCCTTTGAATCAAAAATGCACGGAAACGATGCCACAATTAGCTTGGTCTGTCTTCCAACAGCTGCTAATTGCCAATATTCCTTTTCTTGAATTAGGAGTATGAGTTTCCCAGAACAATTTATAATATGACTGGATTTTAGGAAGTTCGCGGTTGGTGAGTCCTCTACGGGGGATGATAGACCGGGAATGTCGAAGAAAGGCTACATTTTGCTTGATATATATATCATTGGTAGGCCCCGTAGACGGCTCTTGTAATTTTGTTTTCTTCGCAGCGCGTCTGATTTTTTCATTTTTCGACGATGGAAAATGCATTACGTGCTCACACTCGAGTGAACCTGCTTCTTATTTTTTTACTTAGATATATGGCATTGTCGACCCTGATTGGTGCCCATTTTAGCTTGGCCGACGTGCGGTGAAAATGGCCTATAATTTCGGCGTCACTTCGATCTTCTTCACTGGTTGACGGGCTGGTGCCAAACTTACCATGCTCTGGAAACGGCCGATATCGAAAATCCGCTCCCCAGCTGGGTACCCGCTCACGAAGTCTCTCTTTTTCGCCTCTTCATCTTGCACCCGAGACTTTAGGTGAACGATCAGCTTGGACGACGCTTTAGACATGACATGCGTGCGGTAAAACTGCAAAATTTCCGCTTTGCTTAGCTTCTCGATTAACCGAGCCTTTCTCTCCTTATTGACAAAGTTGTAGTCTCCAACGTAAATTGTCGTAGTAAAACGGATATGTTCCTCAGATAAGTTCTTGTATTTTTGCAGCAATGTCTTACAAAGCGCTGTCTTGTGTCCTTCAAATTCGTCTTCACTCATTTCGTCTATGTTCTTTTCCGTCTTGGTCAAAAACGATTCTATCCTCGACTCCAAGTATGCTGTATCACGCTCGGACTGGATCAAAATTCTCAAATTAATTGTGCCGTGTGTGTTCAGAGCTGAGCTGAAAACCACATAGCCTAGTTGTTCTTTTGTTCTCAAAGTGTCAAAGGCAGGCTCATCAATCAATTGCGCAAGTAACGCAGCCTTGGCAGATAGCTCTTCGGAGAAAACGCCCAGCTGCGTAACATGTTGGATGCAAGAGTTTATGTTTTTATCATCAGCCAGTTGTTGCTCGTAAAAGAACGTTTTCCCTTCTGGTAGCAAAACCGATCTAGGTTTCGAACTCTTCAAATGACCGACTTTGATGTCAGAGAGAGCTAAGATTTTGATCAACTCGTCAATCTCAATAGCGACTTCTTGCTTGAAGTTTCCATGCACTAATGTTTCGAAGAAAAACTGCTCGTACATGGTTGGTATAAAGCTTTTCAAATGCTCATATGACAATTGCTTCACAACATCTATCTTCTCCAAAATGGTCCATGATCTTTCGTTTACAATGGAGTTGTAAACATCGGAAACTTGCGAATATGGGACCTCATACAAGTGATTGTTCAATTTTTGAACAAGCTTGTCTCGGAATATTTTAAACCTTGACTCAGAAGGCGAAAATTCTGAAATCCCTTGTAAATATCTCGTTAATAGTGTAGTGATTTTCTGGTTGTAGCCGCTCAGCGAAAGATCTAACCCTTGGTTTGTTTTTCTAAAGCTGATGTGTAAACTAGCCACTTGAGAATCGTACTCTAGATCTTTGAGGAAATCATTGACTAGATCAACGTAGAGAGTGGTGAGCATGCTGTTGATGACGCTAGAGTAAGTATGAGGTAGCTTCATCGAGACATATACATGACCTTTAGGAACCCAAAATCTATCATCTTTCTTGTACCACAACTTGCTTTGGCCATCATCTTTCAACAGCAATGGCTCTTGCAAGGGCTCAATTATTTCTTGCCTGTCGACTTGGAAATTGGTACAAATAAATTCATTTGGTCGAGGTAGACGCAGGCGAGGATTCAAACCGGGAGTTTTCAGCTTGCTCAGTAAACCATCGGGATACTTTACGATACTGTAATCAGTACCGTACCACTTTTCAACTGAATCAGTTTCAACATTTTTATGGATTAGCGTCACACGAGAGTTTTCGGGTGTCAAAGCCTTCAAGTAAGACATGACAGCTTGGGGCTCATATTTACGCAACAAACCTGTGCTTAGGATATCCCCAGCTGGTATGAAGTCCTTTTCGAGCGCTTTTGATAGGGCTGAGACGGTTGAGGAAGGGTTGCCCTTCTGTTTGAATTTGAAATTTGCTTCTGCGATGTCGCGCAATTCCGTGAAAATCCAATCTTGCGGAAGGTCTTGTTTCAGCATTTCTAAATACTGGAACACCGCGACCACTATTTCCTCATATTTTTCAATTCCATCGTCAGTCAGGTCAATGTCAACGGAGCAAATGGCATTGCCCTCAGAGACAGTGTGAGCACCCGCTGACAGCTCATTGGCCCATCCCATGGCTTTGAAATGAGCCAATAGTGACCCTGAACCTTCATGACCGATCAGATGGCTCAAGAAATGGCCTGGCTTGGATTCCCATTGTTTGTCGACATCTGGGCATGCAAATGTCACCTCCACCTTTTTCAAATCTTTCACTGGTTTGGCCTTTATGATTTTTAGCAAGCAATCTGATGGCAACATCTTGGCATCATAAAATGGAGCCGAGCGGTCTGAATTGGGAACGTCTTTGAACAATTCGTACACCCATTCTGACATGGTATCCAAGTCTTCCCTTCCTAAAACGCAGAGCTTCATTAGGTTGGCAGAGTAAGAGGAGTTATAGAATTTAAGCAATTCTTCCCGGATATCGAGACCATTTGAACTCGGGATACTACCCATTGTTTTCAAGTTACCCGTTGAAAATTTGTGGAAGGGATGTTTGTCGCTCGTAAGTGATTTATCGAGCTGGTACAATCTCCAAAGATCGCTTTGCACATTTTTTTTGTTTTCGCTGTCCACGGCATTTATTTCCTTGTCGGTGGAATTCTTGTTGAACAACGGACAGCTGAAGAAGCCCGAAAACCTGTCCAGTGCACCGTGCAAGTTTTCATGGTTGATCTGGAAAAAGTAGTTTGTGTTTTGAGAACTTGTGTATGCATTAGATCCGCCACCGTGTTTGCTCAAATAGCTAGAATACTCATTTTCGTTGGGAAATTTGGAACTCCCCATAAACAGGAGATGCTCGCAAAAATGAGCCAGACCTGGTAATTCTTCAGGGTCTTCAAACGACCCAATGTTAACGTCCAGCGACGCTGCAGATTTGTCAGTTTCTGGATCCTGGATCAAAAGAGCCTTCAATTTATTGGGCAATTCAATAAGACGGTAATTTCTATCATCCAGAACTGGTTTTTTGAACTCAATGTCAAGATTACGGTAGCCGCTCATTTCTGTTTTGTAATACCGGCACGTTTGGGATTTCCAAGGGGTTTGTCTTGAAGTAACAATTCTTTTTCTTAATTCTTCGAGTGGTCGACAATTTGTCCTCACCAAATTCATAGACCGACGTGTCTCAAAAGCTGAATTGCTTCTGTGCTTCGAGTTTTTACTGGGTTTTATTCGTGAAGTTAAGTTTTGAAAGACGCCACTTACTTTTCAACAGATTTGATATTAATATATCGAATTGAAAGTGTAGATGGCATAAAAACGATTCTCAGCAGCTTTCACATTGTAAGGACACTGAAACTAAAAAGTGCACCAGCAGTCGGAGCCTTATTTGTTAACTCACGATAGAAATGCCCAGAGTCAAATTTTTTGATGTGGCAGCGTTTGGTTTGGTGAGTTTTGTAGGCATCTACACGGGAACGCAGTTTTTCGAGCCGATCATAATCGACAGATTGAGAAAAGACGGCAATTTGAGAACAGATGTTGAGATTCCACAGTATGATGAGGAGGGGAATCCCCTTGCGCCAAAATCGATGCTCGATTTGAGAGAGGAAATGGAGAAAATTCAGCAACAGCAGCAGCAGCAACAGCAGCAGAAATCAGAAAAGTGATCAGAAAAGCATTCTCAAGTAGGATCTAGCGACATTGGTTTGTATACGTTTTCTTTGATCCTGGTGGAAACTCAAAGGTTGTCCTGAGTCAGTTATGAATCTTTTGGCAAAATAGATAATCTCCCTCCTAGCTTGAAAACGATTGTCTTTTTTTGGATTTGGTTAACATGGAGATTCCAGGAATAATTCCTTTTGGAATTCTTTTTTGACGTGATTCAAGTGGACGAATGAAGCAACATCAATCACTCTTGAAGAAGAGCTTTCATCAATAACATGACTTTTTACGGATTCTCTTGACTGAGTTTCACCGCTAATAGCAATTCCTTAGTGGGGAGTCATTTGGGTGTGTGATGAGAGTGGGACTCTGGTTTTATACATCACAAGGTTCTCCAACACCATCAAAGTTCGATCACATCATTTCTTTCCATGGACTACAGCATTTTTTTTTTTGGCATATTCTGCGTGTGATAAGGCTGGAGCTTTGTAAAAACGTCGCGAAACTTCCATCATGGTTTAATCTCTTTAACCGCAGATCATAACTTCTCAAGATTATATAGCCAAAATGTCCAACTTCGGCTTTTGGTCGAGTATTTAGCCGCCGAGATCTTAGCTCTTGACTGTTCGGCATAAGGTTTTATTTCCTTTGAAAAAGTCACGTGGTAGTGAGAAATTCAATGATTTCAAGACATCTAAAAATTTGACCTGTAAGCTCATCGCATTACCATAAATAATTTGTCGGTAGAATCTCAGCATCAGCAAAACCAGCACCTAAAGGCTAAATCGTGAGCTTGTTTAGCATTTCTGTAATTGAAATCGTCAACTATGGGTAAATCTAAAAGAAGATCTAGAGCTTCTCGCTTCAAAACTGCTCCACTGGGGAAAAAAGACAAATCTGCTTTGAACGATGAAGCAGTCACCGTTAAAAGAATTCAACCGCTTTTGAAACAACTTCAAAGCGCGGTACCAAATGACAGAAGCATGGCATTGGGGAACGTGGTGGTTCTTTGTGAGGACCCTTTTATGCGAAAACTGTTCTTAAAAGAAAAATTGGTGCATTTGGTGCTAGCCAAACTACTTTCGGACGATAACATGGACATTGTGGTGGAAGCGCATGGACTTTTGAGAAATCTAGCTATTGAAGAGGGCTACGATGTGTGTGTCTTTTTGTGGAGATCGGACATCTGGAAAAGCATAAGTTCGGGATTTGCCAAAATCGAGAAATCGCTACAATGGCTGTCATCCAATACTCCAGCGAAAAAAGAGTCTACGAGGCAACTTTTTGATTTCGGGGACAATCTACTGTCTCTCATTGTCGCATTGGTCAATGGCTGTGCCTTCATCTTGGACGATATCCTGGGATCAGACAAGTCACAGGAGATTTTCGCCATTGTGCGCTCGATAACAGACTATGGACTCGAAGGTAAAGACGGCAATTACACCCTTAGAATTCCAATCTCTCTCTTCAATTCCATCTTAGATTTGCTGTACGATTTGAGCTCAGAATCTCTAGAGTTCATTGAAGCGGTAAGTGCCGATTCGTATCTATCCGAATTTATTAAAGCACTTCCAAGTTTGCAAATGTCGGCAGCCAACGAACTGACGGGCGTCCTGACTCAGGGAATTCTTCTTCAGTTTTTGGACTCGGATATAACGTCAGAGCAGGCCAATGCTATTAAAGTCAAAGTGTGCTCAACTATCGAGAACATCAACTTGGAACAGATGAAGAAGGCTTTATCGAATACTGATATTGATAACGAGCTCAAGAGTTCGTCGAATGATCAGATCTCTGGCAAAATAAAAGAGTTCAATAAGCAACGAGCCTTGGCGGCAATGCATCTGCAGAGTATCGAAGCCACACTTGACATTGTGACGGCATCTCTGGAGCTGATCGCAGCAAAGGCTGAAACCGAGAGTGAGACTACAAATACGGAACTGATACGAACCTTGACCGTTTCACTTCCAGTGGTTTTCCGCTCGTTGTTTGATGATTTCAAGGTGCGGGTTTTGATCGCTTGGAACAATATGCTGTGGTTGTACTTAACACTTCAAATCAACTTTCTCGAGCTTCCTAACGATGCTTGGCAACAGTTGTGGGACTCTTTGTCCACAGAAAATGAGACAGAGAGCAGAGACTTTAGTTTGCGTCTGGGTAGGCTGGGTGTAACGTGGGCGTTACTGAAAACAGTGCAATTACAGGAATCTCAGACCGCTTACTTGGGGTATTTGAAATGTGACAATATTGATTTTGTTTCATCGATCATAGCCCAGTACATGGAAATTGAGGGCCTTGATAAAGAAGAAATTCAAGATCTAAGACAAAGATGCTGTGGTGTTTTAGGGTGCATTGCTATGCTTCCAGGACACATTGAACTCAATCGCCAGATAGGGCAGTTTTTGATAGAACAATTGGCAAGCGATAAAACCGATTCAGCTACATTGGTTGATATTTGCGATGTCGTGATTGATATTTACTGCGATGCCAACTTCGACTATGACGAACCGGTATTTGTGCAAGGCGGGTTCGTGAAGGTCCTTCAAAATAGCGTAGTGACGAATCTCAAGCAAAATTTCAAGTTTGTGGATAAAAATAAAGAGCCTGACTTGAAAGATAGATGCCAGCAGACCTTGAGCACGCTGGAACGATTCATCGACTACAAATCATCAGAGCGTCGGTAACTCCAAATACTACATATAGCATTTTACAAGAATAGAACTGAGAGAACTGGACTTAACCCTGCAGAAAGATGACTGTTAGCGAAAGTTGCCGGTACGAGATGTCAAAGTGACAGACCCTTATTCAACATTCTCATACGATGGGAATTTAAATTACTTGGTATACTTTTTAGCCTGCTCTATCACATTCCTTTCGTACTCCTTTTTGTTCTTGGAGAAGGCCCTCCAAGCTGGTTCCTGAGCAGGCGAATCTGGGTTAGGGCTGTCTAGCAGGTCCTGGATACCAAGGGCGATTTGCTTAAGTGTGATGGCTGGTCTCCAGTCCTGATCTTCATTCAAGATACTCAAGCAAACTGTACCGCTTGGATATATGTTGGGATGGTAAAAGCCTGCAGGGAACTTCACCTTTGGTGGTTTGGATGGATAATCGTCTGGATATTCAATACTGACTGGGAAGACACCATCTTTCCATAGGGTGCCTTCTTTGCCCGGGATGCCAGCTTCCCATCTTTGTAAGTTCATCGTCCCGTCGGGTTTCTTGCCCGGTTTTGCAAAGAATCCAAACGGATGGTCTTTCCGCCACTTTTTTCTATCAAATGGCATCGTCAGTTAGTAAAACTAACTCGAAAAGTCCACCAATATTACACCGATAAAGGCGCTAAGATCAACATCTTCAAGGGAATAACTATCACATACCTCTCCTCTTGCAAACGTTGCAAACACAGACTACTCATCCTTGCTGATTTGACTCGACTTCGTCAAGTTGGGATGTTTCAATGTTCATGATAACTCAAGTTGACGTCAAGCATGTAATTTTTCAATATTTTGAACATCAAAATGAAAATACTCATCTCATCGCTTAAAGATGGTAAAATCTACACCAAAACCTAGCCTAAAGAGCCCAGGTCATAGGCTCAATTAGTTTTCCAATGGCCAAGAAAGCTAGCAAAAGTCCACCAGTAGTGCCAGAACCGGCGAGTTCGGCAACTACTGGCAATAAGAAGGGCAGAAAGGGCAGAAGAGAAGAAACTGAAGAAATGAAGCAAACTAGACTTCTTAACCGGGCTAAAGTCACATCCACGTCTAGTTGGACAGGAAAACTGCCGCAAACCTTGTTGCATGAATTCTGTCAAAAACGGAAGTGGAACAGGGTCGAGTATGACATGAAAAAAGCGGGTAATGATGGTATGATCTCAACGGCCATTTTATCGCATACCGATCCCAAGACTAATGAGGCATTGGTGGTGAAAATGTATGATCCAGCCTTTGATAGAGCTACTGGGAAGGGACTCCTGAAACCACAGGAAACGGCCATGGAAGCACGTCATTTTGCCGCCACCGTAGCTCTGTACAGACTCGCCTCGATGTCCAACATGCAAATGATGCTGCCACCGAACCATAAATCCCTCTGGTACGAATTGGACGATTTTAGAAAGAAGCTTGTCAAGCAAGACAAGGCACAAGCGGAAAGACTCTTCGATCCAGAACCTTTCAAAAGGTTGCTTTTGGAAAGAAAATCGAAGGACCTTAAGAGCAAAGAGCGCGACGCTAAACAGCAGCAAGCACAAAAGACTAGGCAGGCTCCCACGCTTATCACTTCGTTGTCATCCACAGAAGATCAGATCCCACAAGATGGGAAACGTAAACATGAAAGACGAGAAGTTGAGCCATTCGACAGAAAAGTCATCAGATTTCCGCAAAAGGTATGGGATACAGCCACCTTCATTGACCTGAGAGAATCTTCTCGCGCCGAGATGGAGAATTCATTGAAGACTCATGTCGATTGGAGCGCCAAAAAATGGGTGGGCGAATTCAGCACAGAAAGGAAGAAACTGCAAGAAAGGCTCATTCACTTGGGGTTCAGAAAACCTCATGTTCTAGAGTCTCTTAACTACAAAGATCCCTTATCGTTCCTCTTGTTGAATTTGCCAGAGGATGATTTACCGCCATTTTTCCATAAACGTCAGCAAGATACTAAAATGAAAGTTGAGATCTCCTCTTTACCTTTGAGAGTTCAAAACATGATCAACCGTCTTATGGAAGGTGGAGCCTCGTACGATGAAGTGTTATATGCTTTAGAATTCACTGATAACTGCGAAAATGAAGCGGCGGGCAAGCTTACCGAGAAGCTCTTGGCCGTCCCCATAAAACCCGTTTCAGAGATTTCTGAAGCAGAGTCGGATGAGTTGTGGATCCAAGAGCTTGAAAGCTTGCAAAGCATCTTCGGAGACGAGAGTATTGAGATTTTGAATGACGATAAGAGTTGTTATGCAATGGATTTGATAGACAAGTTCAAACTTAAACTAAAAGTGTACAAAACGAAGCGCTATCCCAATGCTTTTCCTGGGTTGATAGTGTCTACGTTCAGTAAAGATTTCAAACTGCCGAATTACATCAAGCAGAACATCTTGACTGAAACTTTAAACTATGTGACAGAGTCGAGCCTATTGGGAGACATGCTGATCTACCACATCTATGAGTGGCTCAGAGAGAACATTGCAACTATCATAGAAAGCCCTGGGTTACTGTTACCGGATAGTGAGACAACAGCTGCCAGAAAAGCAGTCGAAGAGAGTGGGAAAGGTCCTGCGTTCCGGAAAAGAAGTTCGAAGCTTGGGAATTTGAACACCGACGAGATAAAGATTTTGAACTCCGAATACAAGTCAAGAATAGCGACGCCTGAATTTGCCTCTATGAAAAAACAGCGCTCTCAATTACCTGCTTGGAAAATTCAAGAGAGTATCGTTGAGATGATAGATAAAAATGATGTGGTGCTAATTACAGGTGAGACCGGCTCCGGTAAGTCGACCCAGATTGTTCAATTCGTTTTCGATCAACTGATCGCTCAAAAGGGAAAACTCGGGAAAGTTAAGATAATCTGCACACAGCCCAGGAGAATTTCAGCCATCGGATTGGCAGAACGGGTTTCTGAGGAAAGATGCTCTCCGTGTGGTGATGAAGTAGGATATCTCATTCGTGGTGTGAACAAAACCAAACCCTCAACAAGTATAAGATTTATGACAACTGGTGTCTTGGTCAAAATTTTGCAGGGAAACAAAGACTATCTTTCAAACACCGTGGTTTTCATCGATGAGGTTCATGAAAGGTCCGTGGATACCGATCTTATTGTCATTTTATTGAAGAATTTGCGAGGGAAAGTACCAGGGTTGAGAATTGTGCTCATGAGCGCAACAGTCAACGTTGAAGTTTTCACAAATTATTTCCGCGAGTTGAAGAGCTGTCACATCGAGGGTAGGACTTTTCCGATCAAGGACTTTTTCTTGGAAGATGTTCTCGAAACACTCGATTACAAAATCAAGCGCAGAAATATATCCTACGAAGATAATGAAAGTGGGCAAGGTGAATATTTGAAGCCAAGTGCGGATTCCAAGTTCTTCCAATCTGGTCAGATCGACTACAGTTTAATCGCATCTTTGGTATCCCATATTGATGCGAAGCTGAAGGCAGAAAATAGCAATGGATCTATCGTCGTATTTCTTCCTGGTGTTGGCGAAATCAATAACTGCTGCAGGATCTTAAAGCAATCAGAAAGCGCTAGTAATCTGGTGGTCTTGCCATTACATTCTGCCTTGCTTCCGGCTGATCAGAAAAACGTTTTTAAACGGTTTGCAGGGAAGCGAAAAATAGTGGTTTCTACCAACATAGCTGAAACTTCCATCACCATTGATGACTGTGTGGCGACTATTGATTCTGGGAGAGTAAAGTCTATGTTTTACAATGCGCAAGAAAACACAACAAGATTAGTCGAGTGTTTTGTGTCGAAAGCGGAAGCGAAACAGCGGAGGGGTAGAGCAGGTAGAGTTAGAGCAGGGTTTTCCTATAAACTATTTTCCAAGACCAGATTCGCAGAAATGTCAGAACAACCGGTGGCAGAGATTAAGCGTGTTAGTTTGGAGTCTCTATACCTATCAGTGAAGTCGATGGGTATCAAGGACGTGATCGCGTTTTTGAGTAAAGGTTTGGATCCTCCTCCGGCGGAATCGTTACAAAAATCGGAACGACTTCTGACGGCGGCCGGCTTACTTGGCGAGGACGATAACCGTCTTACGGAATTGGGTCAATACATTAGCTTAATGCCTCTCATGGATTATAAGCATGGCAAAATGCTGATTTACTCCATTATCTTTGGGTGCGCAGATGTGGGAGTGAACATAGCAGCCATTTTGAGTTGCAGTGGTTCTCCTTTCGCCGTCACGCAAGAAAACAGAGATGCCATCAAGAACCTGTGCCAGAGCTACAGTAATGCTGGCGATCTTTTGGCGTATCTGGAGGTTGTACGCCAATATCTAGCAATTGATGATTCCGCGTCTCGCAGGAAATTCATGAGCCAAAACTTTCTTTCATACAACAAGATGAATGAAATAAATTCATCTAGGTCCCAACTGCTGAGCATTTTGAGTGACATTGGGTTTCTGCCCCATAACTACGATCTAAAAAAGTCCAGCTATTTGAACCGCAATGCGAATAACTTGGAGATTATCAAAGCCATCTTGACAGGTGCATTTTATCCTCAAGTGGCTAGAGTCCAGCTACCAGACCAAAAATTTGTTAGTACCAGTTCTGGTGCCATAGAAAAAGATCCCGAGGCGAAGATGATCCGGTATTGGATTCGAAATGAGAAATACATTGATCATCTGTATGGTCTGGATCGTGAATCAGAAGTTGAAAATACCAATCTACCTGCAACAAGAGCGTTTTTGCATCCAAGCTCTGTTTTTTTCTCCACGAAAACTGATCTGCCTGTTGAAGCTGCTGCTTTGGACGCATCATCTGCGAAAGCGGTGGCTAACGGTCAAAATTACCTCAAAGCTCCATTTATCATCTACAATAGCTCTCACTCGAGCAACAAGCTATACTTACGCGAGATCACGCCAACTTCTACTCTGGCGCTGCTACTTTTTGGTGGCTCTATCAAGTACGAATTACAAGCAAGCGTCCATTCTCCGGGGCTAGTGGTCGACAATTGGCTGCCGATACGTACTTGGTGCAAAAATGGTGTGCTGATTAAGGAACTTAGAGGTTTATTGGACAGTGTTATAAGCCAAAAACTGGGTAGTCCCGGTCACACATCTCATGGCGGCGACGACATTTTGGCAGTCGTCGAGAACATTATTAAGACAGAAAATGCATAGATCTACGAATGGCCTTAGAGTACTAACTCAACCCACACTCGTTATCAAAACAGCGCAAAGAAGAGCTAAATTCGTATAAACCAGTGCCTTCCAAGCATACACTAATGTATAGAGAGCGATATACCCTATTTCAAGAATTTATAGAACGGTTGGCCACATAGGAACACCCACAAACATTTAAGTCATCGACTTTTTCGATCATCCTATGAATCACTTACACTTCACTGGCTAGAAAAAATGGTTTACTACGACAGTTTGATCTAGCTCCTACAGAGTTTTGGTCTAAACTTGTACTCAGTCTTTCCATGACGTTTTACTCGGGACACACTCTTGCTTATGTACGTTTGATATTTTCTTCTGTCAACACAACCGCAGCGCTTGGCGCAACGGTTGTTGTCATTTGTTTCATCCGGGGTTCGAATCTCGGATGTTACTTGAAAAGTGATTTCTTCGCTAAAAACGGTAGGTTGGCCGAGTTGGTCTAAGGCGACAGACTTAAGATCTGTTGGACATTTGTCCGCGCGAGTTCGAACCTCGCATCTACCATACTTTTTTGCCGCCGGTGGATATTTTTGAAAAGATAGAAGAAGCTCAACCTGTCTCAAATGGAGAAAAGGACATGAGTTGAATACCTTGGAGGCGCTCTTTTTCAAAATCGTTCGCGTTCATAAACTTTCATTGGTAATAAATAATTTTACAAGGGTAGTCCTGTCTAAAGTTTCTAAATTATTCCTCAGTTTCAATACGAGGAGGCGATGCTCAAGCGTTCAGCATATTCCTCAAAGGATAAAGGCTCATACTCGACACCGAGACCTTTGGCAATGGCAGCCCCTAGGTCTTTGTTCAAGAGAGCAAAATATTGTGGAACCCTGCTTTGAACTTCTTTGGAAGCGGTACTGACGTGGCCGACAACATTGTTGATGAATCTTTCTTTGTGACTATCATCAAACACCTTTTCATACAAAGCTCTGGGTTGTTCAAAGTCCATTGGTGAAGCCCCGGTGACCCAGAAGTATTCGTTAATCTTAGCATTGATAATATCCTCGTGTTGACGTTCCTGCTCTTGCTTTGTCACGCCCGCGTCAGAAACACTCTTTGGCACAACCCCGACAAATTTGTCCTTGCTGGTTTCATCTTTAACCAAGTCTTTGTATTGAATCTTCTCCTTGTACTGAGTAGAAATGTAGTTTGGATGCGAGTTTTGGTTGTACAACGCTCCTGGGCCATCTCTTTGGAAATTACCCATCAAAAATGGGCAGCCAGAACTACCTGCGGAAGCTGGACACATGTTTCTAGGGCTGTTAACAGGCAATTGCTGATAATTAGCACCCAGACGATGACGCTGGGTGTCAGGGTACGAAAACAAACGCGATTGTAAAACCGAATCGTTGGAGGGCTCGATACCGGGGATGCAGGTGTTGGAGGGGCTGAACGCGATTTGTTCAATTTCTTCGAAATAGTTGTCCACGTTTTGCGTCAAAGTGATCTTACCAAACTTGCGCAATGGGAATTCCTTGTGAGGCCAGACCTTAGTCAAATCGTTGATCGAGTAGCGGAATTCCTCTGCTTGCTTAGGGGTCATGGTTTGCACGTAACAAGTGTAGCTGGGACGCTCGCCTGCCTCGAGCATCTTAAACAAGGTTTGCTGGTTAAAGTCTGGATTCGAACCGTTGAGTTCAGCGGCTTGTTCATTGGTCAAACACTTGAACCCTCCCTCAGGACGCATGTGGAATTGCACATATGTGAGATCGCCCTTTTCGTTTCTGAATTTGAATGTGTGACCCGAGTACCCACTCATGTTGGCCCAATTGGCAGGGGTACCACGATCGCCAAACATATAAGTGATTTGATGAATCGACTCTGGGTTTTGAGTTAGATAGTCCCAGTACATAGTACTGTCGGCACCGTGGTTAAGATGGGTGCGAGGGTCGCGCTTTTGAGTGTGGATGAAATGAGGGAACTTGTTGGCGTCGCGAATGAAAAACACAGGCGTGTTGTTGAACACCCAGTCGTGGTTCCCCCATTCGGTGTAGAATTTGAGCGAGAAACCACGGGGGTCACGCTGGGTGTCAGGGGTACCCTGTTCACCGCCAACGGTTGAGTAGCGCACCACACCGGGGCACTTGTAGCCCGGTTTTTGGTATGGCGCTGCGAATGTGATGTCCGAGAGCGAGTCTGTGAGCTCGAATTCGAAACGGCACCCGCCGCCCTTGGCGTGAACGACACGTTCTGGGATTCTTTCGCGGTCAAAGTGTGCGATCGATTCGACGAGATGGACGTCCTGGAGCAACAAGGGGCCGTCTGGACGGGCGTATTGAGCTCCGTAAGGGTGGTGGGTGTATGGGAACCCGTTTGCCAGCGCATAAGTCTGTTGACCACTAGAGTTCTTTGGATCAATCATATCGGATGTTATGGATGTATAAATGTGTGAATGTGTGAGGAATGGTTTGGGAGTTGACCGAAACGATTATAAATATGAGTGCAACAACAGTAGCCGACGACGTCCGATTGAATGTTTTATTAAAGGCTTGCTGTTGGCTTGCTATTTGCTTGCTGTTGGCTTGCTGTTCGCTTGCTGTTGGCTTGCTGTTCGCTTGCTGTTGGCTTGCTGTTTGCTTTTTATCACGCACTTCGAATTGAACAATTTTTAGTAAACTTCAGCGTCTCATCGAAATGGTCCAAGACCGATTTTACCATCCTTTATATACGTTTTCCAGGTAGCAATGAGGAATCAGGGGCCATTAGCATAATTTGTAGTAATAGAGATTCGGGCCCAGCGGTTCTGGCCCTTAAAGCAACAAACTTATATGTCAGATTATTCGTTTGTGCGGATGTATCTGTGTGATGCATGCACATGCAAAGCTCATGCAAAGCCCATGCACCATGGTGCATGGGCTTTGCAGCTCGTTTTTGTGTCTTTCCATTTCGTTTAGGGCTCCCCTAAAAAAATCTCCAACATTTTTATTGCTTTCGCCGATATTTGCGGGTAGCCTTTGGAGTCAGTTCGTGGCTGACGTAAGCAGGGATTTGCACGGGACCTCAACGACGTAGGATGCGATATAGCGTGTTCTATTGCGCTGGCTGCGGTGGAAGAGTAGAATATCGGACTTTATACGCAAGAATCCGTATAACCCATGGGGGTCTTGGCAGAAACCGAGTCAAGGACTTGGTAAAAGCGGGATTCTTTGAACTAGGTAGTTTATAGGTTATTGGGTCATAATAAGGTACCGAGGAAGGCTACGGGAGACAAGGTGTCATCCATGCATGAAATTATGCATAGGGGTATGCATGGTCTGCATGGTCTGCATGAAATGATGTGGTGTTCATGTATGATGTGCATATAGAATATGTTGGATCCTGATGCTTACGGCGGTTTCTAAGAGTAAACGCATTTGCTTCCGCTTACATAGCATATGGCGGTCTAGAATAAGGATGACAAACGAGAGATGGTATGGGCCCATGGCGATCCAATAGTGGGATTTTCAGCTTAGTGAAGCATAGTGAAGCATAGTGAAGCGCGGCGATCCGCAGCGAAGCTAAGCGAAGCTTAGCGATATTTCCTGAACCCACAGGCTAGAGAAGTGGTACGATTAAAATTTTGTTGGCTAGGACACGAGGAGATGGTCTCAAACGAATAAGCGCTGTTGAGTATTGTTACGTGTTAATTGGTAAAGCCACTCGCTCTAGGAAACTTACAAGGTTGTGGATTTGTCTTATGGAGATGGGGTACTCGCGTTGGTGTACTCGTGGCTAAAAGAGGAAACCGGTTTCTGTCACTTTATCTTTTAATGTTTCGTGTATCGTGATCCCTTCTGTAGGCTCTCTCTATACAGTACAAGTAGCAAAACCAATACAACGCATAACCGTTTCTCTTGCCTAAACTCTCATCTACCCGTGATGCGATCATTTGATTGTTCCCTCTGTTTTTTTCTCAAACAACAGCACCGCCACACACACACGTTTTAGATTACTCTATTACTCGAGCTTTTCTAAACGCCAGAACTCCAAAGTCTTCCACAACACTCTCCACTTTGCTAGATCAGTTTCCCCCACCACCTCCTCAATTAATTCTTCATTGACTTATATCTACGTTATCATTTACACTATGCGATCGGCACCTGTGAGTCTCACGGCAGTCCCATACTTTTGTAGCTTGGTGAGCAACCCATCGCCCTGTTTGATCAACATATGATACTGTACATTTTTGTTGTCTGGTCTGTTGGTCTCAACGATACCATTGACCCTGTCAATAACGCAGTTCAGCTGCTTGTTAGGAATGAACTTGCACAAATCGGCATCCAGAAAATCTACAGACACACCGAAAGCGCTTGCCATGGTCTTGATGGAAAGAGTCTTGTATGATTCCAGTAGTTGGGCGTACACCTTGCGTCTCATTTCCCGCACGTAGAAATCCGCATGCTTGTTCAAATATTTGCTTTGAATCAACACGTTTTCGTAGGTTTCCAGCAAATAGGGGAAAAAGCTGGAATACTCCGATGTGTATAGCGATATGGTCAATGATGAAATTGATTGCAACGCCTTAGTGCTGCTCATGAGCGAAAGAACCTCGGGTGAGTCAATGATTTTATCCTTAAGTTCTGTTCTTTCCAATGCAAATAGACCCGCTACCGAGGCATACGTCGCGATGTTCTCGTACGAAGTCAACTCTAGAGATGTGAAAGTGGCCAAAGAGTCCACCAAAAGGTCGGCGGCCTCTTTGAAGTCACGGACCGCTAAACAATGCACGCCCTTGTAGGTTTTGTAGCGGTTTCTTCTTTCCCAGTCACCACCTTTCTCAATCATGCTGTTTGCTTGTTCCAATTTTTCTTTAACAAACTGCTGGTCATTATAAAAGAATCCCAATCTTGTTATTGTGAGCATGATGTCGATCTTCGAGCCTGTCGAAACTGCCTTTTCTAGCGCTTTTGCCAAAGTCTCCTCTGCATTGGATTTGTCTCCAATCTGTGCATAGTATTCTCCGAGCTTGACCCACGCTTGAGCTTTTTCCAATTCTCCTTCGTCTTTTTCCTCAACTTCGTGCAATCTCTCCTTCAACTCTGAAATGTCCTGTTGATTTCGATCCAGCAGAGACTGATACAGTTTTTCATCCCATTGAATTGTGCCCTTAGGTAGATATTCATCGAAGAGATACTTGTAAAAAGGAGCCATTTTCTCTTCCTCAATCTTTTCCAGTACCAATTTCAAACTGGCTTCATGCTCATTTTTGAGTCGCGGTTGGGCCAAGATAAAAGCATGGTCCGCAACTTCGTAGTTGGGTACCCTATTGAGACTAGTCTCGATGTAATTGGAATCGTCTTCGGCCATGGATCTTGATATCGATACGATAACTGTTGATGTTGTGAATTGGTGGCAAATAGCATTTCATATACAATTTAGTTAAGGCTCATTTAAACATATATTGAATAATAATCCAAAACTAGCTGGTCTTCATATACGGCGCATTGAAGCAAAATGCGAAACTTCAACATCAAGCTTTCCAAGTTGTGAGTTCAAGGCCGCACTTGAGCAGTGTATACAGGCCTTCTCAGAGGCGTCTACTCATCTCACTTCAATCGCGACAAAGATAGGGCGAAAAGCCTCGTGATTACCGATGCCTCGACGACAATGCGAAAAGAAAAAAGATGCGTAGCCTAATGCTTTGGTTGCTTTATGTACAGCTGCAAGTTGCTTTATTCAATTAAGGAATGGAGTCCTTCAAACATAATTCTTTTGACGGTCCTTGAACAAGAACTGCACGATCGTTGCTTGAATGACACTGATACCGACCATGAGTCCCATGACCAGCATTGACATCCATACGAGTCTGCTCTCCGTAGATTTGACGGTGTCCATGTTTCTCCATTCTCTAGCTCTTAGGTAGTTCATCATTTTGCTAATTTTTGAGAGGTTTCTCTCGATCTCTTCGATCGAATGACTGGAGAGAACGTCTTCAGGAGCGGAATTGGCACCCAGGGTCTCCTTCTCGAGTTCTAAGGTCACTTCGACCTTCTTCAGCGCTGTACCGTAGCTGTTGGAAAAGCAGAACGAATATTGGCCCAGACCAAAAGATTTCAAAAGGAAGTCTGAATATTTCTTCTGCTTTTCAGTGGCAAGTACAGCACCATCTGGCGCTGTGATTTCGAAGTCGATTTCGAAATTTCCACCCGTGAGCACTTGATAACTCATAACAACAGAGTCGTCCTGAGACGTCAAATCAAAATAGAGACATTCCTTTGTGAAAGAGGGTAGCATCAGGGCAATGGGCGCATAAGCGCTGCCTGAAGCTGAAACTCTAACAGCGCACAGTACTAGGGCGGTGAGCAGAATGCCAAACGAACGTAGAGACATGGTTCACCGTGTACTTTTCGTTGATTTCAGTTCTGAGCATACACTGCGTGTTATTTATTATTTCAGAGTTTGAAATAAGTGGACATTTTTTTAGAGCGACGCGGAAATCAAGAACGCACGATCGACGAAATACGCGTAACATGGGAAATTCGAACACGGCAATAGAACGCTGAGCTAGAGCACCAGACAAGCAAGACTTCTTTATTATGATACTTTCTTGACCTTTCAAATACTATATTGCATTACTTCAAAGCTTCTCTAAGCCCCTGCTGTTTAGGATAACTTTCCGACACGACGTTCATGTAACGCTTAGGTAGTTCATATTCCTTAAACAATGAGCACAGCTTGAGAATGAAGGGCTACCGTGGACAATTTCGGAGGTAGAGAATGGCATAGCTTCCTTCCTTACGCGCAATGCTGACCTCGAGTAATGCACCTTAGGCTAAATTTCCCCTAAGCAGACGTGTGGCTTGTTTTAGTGAGTATAGTTTTCTCAGGCTTCAACCCTTCCAATCAATTGGGCGTGTGGTCTAGTGGTATGATTCTCGCTTTGGGCGAAGTTCGAGTCTTAACTCGGACTACAATAAAACCACAAGCATGCGAGAGGCCCTGGGTTCAATTCCCAGCTCGCCCCATTATTTTTTTTATTTATTTCAATATCGAATGGGCGATTTAGCCATAAGGTATTGGGCAAAATTGGCTTCACATACCGTATTCATTTCTGCTTTTTTTTGGTAAAACAATTGGCGCTGTAGCTCTTGCATCAGCACCCTTTTCTTTGACATTTTCAAGTTCGTACCCTCTAAACGCGTCAATAATTTCAAAGCGTATCTGGAGTCGCGACACGATAAGTTCAGTAGCTGGAGCCCATTACGAGACCCATTGGGGTTGCGCAATAGATCCTGTATCATGACACCACGGTAAATCAGCCGCGGGCACTGATATTCGATCTTGACACCATTGTAAATGTACTTAAGAGCAATTTCAATGCCGTAGGGGTCGCTGTCAGTGTATATTTCAAAGTCCACTTCTGGCGGACAGCACACCATCAATTTGTAAAGAAAATAACGTGTCAGCCAGTCTGGAAAGCCTTTGCCCGTTATAAAAATGCATTCTTTATTAAGACTTGTGTTTTCAATCAGTTTGCTGAAAATGGCGTCTTTTTCAACCACGACTACGCGCTTTACCAAAGACCAATTGCCCGAAAATTGCACGGAAGAACTCATTAGCGGTACAAGCGATTTTTGGTTGCTGAGTATCATATTTCCCATATCGAAATGTAACGCCACAGGCGTGAAACACAGGCCCTTTTGTGCTGCGTAGATGCCAAGTTCATTTAAATCAGTCACTTTGAAAGCGTCAGCTATTTCGCGCAAGGATTCCGAAACTACTTGCTGATTGTTATAGAGCTCGACATTCATGTAGAAAACGTCACGAATCGTGCAACTCTCTCCAGATTTCGCGATAGCTGAAATGCGGTTCAAGAGATTCAACAGAACTGCGCTTTTTGTTGCTGGAGGGCCCGCCAATTTCTCAAAACCGTAAAATGGGTAGCTCAACGGAGCTTTAGCCTTTCCGATCGAGCTTTCAAGCGTTATTACTATGTGTTCTGCATGTTGATCGATTCCATTTTTAGACAGTGACAGAATCGTATCGATTTCTGATATAACGGTTTTGACGTTTTGCAGTTTGGTTATCTTAATATTCCTGATTTTTGGCGCCAAAGATTCTTCAAAGTCTTTCCTGCTTGAGGAAGAATTCATATATTCAAGAAGAGAGCGCTCCAAAACATTCTGACTGTTCATGGTGGACTTTGTATTCATGGTTGTGCCCTCTTTCTCTCTTACTATTTGGGCGGCAAGCTTATTTTTAATATTTATGTGACGCTTTATTAACTTTGACTGAATTTATGATTTTTGAAAGTTGTAGTTAAAGAAATAGCGCTTAATTTGTCAACAGTTCGTCAAATATGGTTCGTAACACCACACAGGGTAGCGTGTTAATTCTGACGCATTGTTCTTAGCCTTGTCTTTCTTCTAAATATTGCAATTTGCTTTTAACAGCATCATCATCCAAATAGCATCCACGTAGCCACCTTTCACCGGAAAATGCAGTTCGGGCATGTAACAAACGTCTGTTATTGAATATCACACAAGCATTCTCCGGCAGCTTGAGCCTGAATTGGTTTTCAGGCAAATTGATGAACTTTTCAAATAGTGCCAGCCCGCGTAAAAAGTCCTTGAATAGTAGTCGTTGCGTTAGCTTTCCGCTAGCTGTGGAGAGGTCTTGACCCTTAGGTTTTTCCCAAATCCCAAATGTAAACGGAGCCTGGAACATGGGGGAGTAGTTTACCTCCTTTATAAGTGAAACGTAGTTGGACGATACCAGATTGTCCACATTTATTTCGTTTTCCACAATGAGAGGTCTCGAGTTGTAGTAACGGTTATTATTGCGCTCGTAATGGTAGTTGATGGGAACTTGCGTGAGTGCCTCGTAGGCGTCAGCGTCTGTGTCGCGAACAAAACGAGCAGCGTTGAAAGCATCGGCAAAATAATTCATGCCGGCTTCGCTCCCGTCGGACGAGTTTTGGATGGCATGGAGAATTTGCCAACCTGGGGCATTGTCCAGATACAAGAGGTCCTGATGCAAAGTCAATGGTCGGTTAGTGTATGCTATGTTTTCAGCGCCGGCTTTGTTTCTCACGTCGAAAGTTTCGCCGTAGAACGTATTTCTGATGGGACCTATGTGTTCTGCTACCTGTTTAAGCAGTCCTTCTGGTTGTTCCTGAGGCAGATCGGCAATAAACGAGATTCCGAACTTGCGGAGATTGACCAGGGTTTGATGCAGACCGGCTGAATTGGTGGGGCTCGCGTATGCGTCGTAATTCACCGACAAAAGGTTCCCGATGTTCTGCTTGAGCATATCACGATCCCAAAGCGCGGGACTGACCGATTTTCGTTGTTGGAAAGGCCTTGGAATGGAGGCCAGTTCGTCTGTGGGATGGCCTGAAGACTGGTCCAAAAACGTCAGTGGATAGCTGTAGGAGTCTCCGTCGCCCCAGTCGATCCGCAGCGCCTGTTTGTCGGACGAAACTTCGACATTCTGAGGTATGGTAGCAGACGGATTGGCCAACAACTGGCCTGTTCTGAACAGTTTTTGGCCGGAAAAGGGGTCCACGGATTTAGAACTTTGCGAGGCATCTCGCAAAAACACGTTGCTGAACGAGACGGTTATTGGTGGCGGGACTTTTATGGCGTCTGCGCCGATTTTCGTTTGATCTGGTGCTTGTGCCTTGTACGTAATTGTAGTTGACTCCCGGTTGAACATGGTTTTCACGATCGCCCAAGAATGTCCCTCGTCTTGAGCGCGTCCCGTTTTACCCGATCCCAGCGTACCTGACGCCCCGTTGCTGTTGCAACGTCTGCCAACGACTCTCCAGACCGTTTTCCACTGTCTCATTTCACACTAGATATAAACCTACCAAAAATCTCTACCGTTGTGGTTTTCGAAACCACGTACACTCTTATATAGACTTACAGACTGCTTATGGTTGAGTATCCTTGGTATCCCAGCTCTCGATCTATATTTCTCGAGTATAAAAGAGCAGCTCCCTTATATATAATTACGTACCTGGTATTGTTGTTTATCTCCTGAAACAACCCTTCTTCAAGATCAAATATAAAGAGATACAGAGTCAGGTCATCAACGAGACGTGATGGGTCATGAAATAAGTAGTCATAACCCCCCTGGACTAAAGGTCCTTGCTTCAATCAGGTAAACGACGTATGTATATAAGAAAGGACGATTGTATAGGAAAAGACACCCCGCAAAAAAACGAAGCTGTCTCATGGGATGCCACCTTACAATCGAAAAGACTGTCAGCGTTAAAAACACAGCATTTGTGAGAGTTTGTGAAAGTTGTTCGACAAAGGTCGGAAAGGAAGAGATAGTTTCAAATCCTACGCTTCTTTTATACTCTTTCTTAGCTATAGTTGTTCCTCTGTCATCAGTCTCTTAAATATAGCTAACATCATTATATATCAAATTTGATGATGCAGAAGGCATAAGTAGATGGAATTTGTAGATTCGATGAGCAGAATACCAAAAGAACGGGAAAATAGGCCAAAGAAACGCTTTTGAGAGCTTTAAAAATGTTCCAGAAAGTCTGTAGGAGTGGGCTGAGACGAAGGTGTCGATCTCACGTTTCCAAAGCGGCAACAGACGTCAAACAGGAGCTGCAACAAGCGTTGAATCTGTCGCAACAAATAAGCCGGTCCAGTGGCGATTTGGAGACCCCCGAGAGCTCTGAAAAGGTAATCAGTGCGAAAACCCAACCCGGAAAATCGTACTCTTCCTCTTCCTCTTCCTCTCCGAAATACACCAAAGAGCTGGACAAACTGCTGACATGCGAACAAACGACTTCGCACCAACCGAAAAGTCCAAGAAAAGCGCATAAAAAGGGCACAAACCGGGCGCTTAGATCCGAGTTTCGTGTGCATCCTTCCAGAATCAGCTTGAAACCGCTCAACCCAGATGACAAAGACACGGAAACCAAACCACCGCGTCTCTGTCACGAGCTTGAAAGAGTGCTTTTCCAGCCTATGAACTTCCACACGCTTCAGGATGGCCGGTCTGGTTCCTACAACTTTAGCAAATGGCTCGAAGACATCATTCGGGTTGACGATTTTGATTTCGACGCCGTCTCTGCGTTTGTCACCGCATCCAAAGACGAAACGATGCTCAAACTGACAGAACTCCATCAGCAGCGATACTACTCGTCCACCAGCTCCATGACAGGCATTCTATCACATCTGCATTTCTTATTGTCCAATTTCCGGAAAACAAACATGTCATTACTGTCTAAAAACTTCAGTGAGCGAGCGGCTACTTTCAGCTGGGGCGCCCAGCTCCCTGCAGTGGTAATAATGAAAAGAATGGACCCCAAAAAATCCATTTTCTCGATAGATTCTGATAAGTCCTCTGATCGGGAACTGGTTCTATCATTATTAGGTCATGCTCTAGAGGCCGTTCTTACCACCGAAGAGCAGCAGTTTAAAAAGACATATGATAAAACCACAGATACATACAAGGCCAGCACCAACAGACCTGCAGGGGCCTACCACTACTCTAAGATTTCAGACTTTGTGCTGCGATCACAACTCGACGCATTCAATCCTAATCTTCCCGGGACCGGCGTTTTTGACCTCAAGACCCGTGCTGTTGCAGCTGTGAGGCACGACATAGCATATGTCGAAGAGAATAACAATTACACAGGCTACCAAATACAACAAACACTAGGCAAATTCGAGTCTTTCGAAAGGGAGCTATTCGAATTAATACGAAGCACCATGCTCAAATACTCTTTACAAGCACGTATCGGTCGTATGGATGGTATCTTCATAGCCTACCATAATATCTCCAAAATGTTTGGTTTTCAGTACATGCCATTGGAAGAGATGGACCACATTCTGCATAGTTATGCATGTCCACGATTCCATCAAGTACTGGATGAAAGAAATGAGTCTTTGAAAGCCATCTTTGGCGAAGAGAATTTCATTTTGAAGCACGACCACGCAAGTTTGGAACGCGCCATCGCGTCCAATGTTGCTGACGCAGAGTTCAAGAGTTCCATTGCATTTTTGGATAAACTACTCAAGCTGGTAGAGAGTGCTTTACCTTCCAATTTTCATGCATGTCGCTTGGTATTCAGAACAGAAATCAAAAAGGTAACTGATGAGAACGGTGAACCATGCAAGGTTCCGGTTCTCAATGTCCTGGTAGCGCCTTTGACCAAAGATCAAACCGATCAATTTCAAAAAGCTGACTTGAAGAAAGAGCTTCAAGACGCCGAAAACATTGATAACTACTTCAAAAAAACCGAACAACTCAACAGCGAGACTGCCAAAAGTGTTATTGGGTTCGAAGTCACTGTCAATCATCACGCACAGCACCATCCAGCAACCATCAAAAGTCCACGCATAGCAAGCATTAAATCGAGCGTTTTAACGGAACAAGAAAAGCAGTTTGTAAATAAAACGGCCAACCAAAACTTCTACGAACAATCTGCAAATTGGAAGCATATGCAATTTTTCCATCCCCTAGATGTGCAGATGTGGTCGTCTGCTTTCACTATTCGACAGGTAACGAATCAAGAGAAATTGAGTAAACGATACATGATGTATCTCGAAGATAAACTAGCGGCATTGAAGGGCCAAACGGTTTCCAAAAAGTCGGCAAATGCGACACCAGAGGAGATCTCTGACCGCATCAAGAGATTTATGTCTGGAACCAAAAGCGATTCGAAAGCAAGCGGGAAATCGAATGAGGAAAACGAGATATCTCAATTACAGGCTCTTTTGAGAGCGTACGCCAGAAAGGGGGAACTAAGTGCTCGGAATCAAAAGTGAACAGAGTTTTTGTTGACTTCAACACAGTGAAACGCCTGTGTGTTGCTGCGCCAGCAGATGTTTATCTATAATATGGTATGTTTTAATGATGACTAGAGGTGTCGACTTTTGTTTGTGCTGAACTCAGCGACGAAAGCTCGATTGACTCATGGGTACTTTCGTCTTCTGCGTTATTGGGAGAGTAGAACCGGTAGTAGACGTACTGTCCGGCAATGTAAAAATCCAGAGACATCTGGAACAAGGCAAAAAATAGGAAAAGCGAGGAAATGTTGTTCGCCCCAAATACCAGGTATCCAATTTTCATAACATCACCGCACAGCCAGCTAACGAGCAGAATCAGTTTGAAGCCTTGCACGGATTTCAGTTTGTTCAAAATAGAGATTTGAGGCAAAGGCAATAACGACTCGATGAAAAGGCCCAGTGATCCAATGGCAGATCCTATGGTCTGTGCCAGCGATGTCCAATGCATTAATTTGGCAACGAAAAGCGTTACTGTTAGCTGCGCAGTGGAGAAATACAGTAGGAACATCCAAAAGTTGATCTCACGATTCCATTGCCAAAACGATCCGTAACGGCGGTAACTGGGATCGAAAAACTTCAAAAACTTGTACACCACGACCAGACACAACTTGTATGCAAATTGAAGAAAACCCTTCAACGACAGAGATTTCAAAAGATGTTTCCAATCGGCTCCAAAAGAGTGAAGCGGGAAATAGTCGACCCAAACGTCGTGGAATAGTTGTGTGAAGGGCTCGACGGGGGTCAATTTATCGTATTTGTATTCTTCAGGTCTGTAATGAAGACTGGTTCGTAGTAATATCAGCTGGATGACTATCATCACCAAAGACTGTCGCAGCAGCACCACGTCGTAGGGCGTAATGAGATAGTATGAAATACGCAGAATGCTGGCCAAAAGCATAGTAGCACAGATGTCTATAGAAAAACCCAGCGCTGTTTTGGACTTTCTTATGCTCAGAACAGTGGTTCCATACGACAGCAGCGGTGTGAAGCTGATCATGTTGTTCAGCACAAACTGCATTGTGAGCCATTCTGGAATATAAAACTGATCTATCCGGGGCAAATAAGAGCCTGGTCCAGAATCTTTTGGCCCATCAGCCACTGCCATTTCCGCGCTCACCACTGCCATAATGTCCGATGCGGAATTTTTCAATGTTGGGTCAAGAAATACCACTGAGTTCAAGAAGCAACTGCGCTCGAGTATTTACTTTACCGATCCAAAAGCGATATTTGAAGAAGATTGAAGAATGTCACGAGGCCAGTCTATCTTTCGATCTTGATCAAATTATTTATCGTTTGAACTTGTCTTTGTATTCGTTTACATTTAAAAGAGAAAGAGAGGTGTACTTAAGCGTTAAATCATCAAATGCTATTGACACTTTCCTCTGACGAAGAACAAAACAATTTGATATAAAAGAGAAGAGAATATCGATACTTGGAGCTTGCTCTTAATCGAAAAGATGCAAGACATAAATACTTAAGAACAGCTTGCGCTTTCCAGCAGCGAATTGTACACCAATGGATCCTAAAAAAAAGTGAACAGCATACCACCACACTTTTTGGCTGATCTTTTTTTCTCTACTGGATCGTAGCGAGATACTCATTGCGAATTGGGAATCCGTCCGCGTCGGGACGGGCGTGGGCCACCCATTTGGGCTCATCTTTGAACAGACGGATCGCTTTGACATAGTTTTGGGCCGTTAGTGTGAAACGGTGGTACATGCCTGCAGGAAGCACCAGCAGATCGCCGGAAACCAATTTGCACCGGATCCATCTATCGTCGGTTGGATTACGTACGTCGAAATATCCTTCTCCGTCCACAATGTATCTTATTTCCTCGTCCTCGTGCAGGTGTTCTGCGTAAAACGTTTGCAATTTTGGCAAAAGTGCCTCGCCCAAAGTTTCTGCCGAAATGCTAACGGTGTCTCTGTTTTTGTAATTCCTGTCAGTGGCCACCTGGTTCACGTCTTCTAACGTAGGACAAAATCTGTAGAATGCACCTATGCGTTCTAGCTGTTGCAACGATACCTCTTCGCCTGAGTTATGAGGCTCGCGAAAATCCACGGAATCAACGTTGTCGTGGTAGTAAGCCTGCACCATGGTGGAAGGCTTGATGTACTTGTTGTGAGGACTAGAGCGTGAAAGAGAGTGTGTGTGCTTTCATATAATGGCAGACAATGCGATCTCCAGCTATACTTATCACTACTATGTTCATTTCTTTAACAACTGTGGCAGTGTATAGCCCTGGCAAAAAAATTAAACTAGCGCCGCTCGGTTTCGATCCGAGGACATCAGGGTTATGAGCCCTGCGCGCTTCCACTGCGCCACGGCGCTGACCGTTGGAAGGAAGAAAGATATTGTTTGGTATAGGGGAAGCTAAAAACACGGGATTGAAATGGGCTTACGAACGCTTATCAAACTTGCATCAAAAGTCGTTTTCTCTAAGCAAATACATTGCCGCAGCCACCTCAAGCTCATAAATTCATTTCTCAAAGACTCTTCTCTGTCGGTGTATACGAGACATACAGCTACTCTTATTTTTGTCTCTCAAGTGTGTGTGCGCGTACAAAGTGATGTACATCTTAAGCTACTTTCCGTGTAGGAAGCCACGCCGGTATCCATGTAGATGAAAATTTGTAGAACGACGGCCAGTCATTTTAATATGATCTGTGATTTCATGGTAGGTTATTTGTTTTCCATATGCCATTCTTAATATGTTTTTTTGATATTGAAACCACAATTACATCTTTCACCTCCAAACGCAATCGTTGCGTTTTTCAATTTCTGTCATAATTCTCTTCCCATTGCCCTGGTATCCCATCGTCAGTGTTCTATTTCACTGCCAACTCGTAACTCGTCCCATCCAGCTTCCTTGCCCATGTGATCCTATCATCCCTCTACACTGCTAATTACCACTTTGATTTTCAACAAAGCTTCTATGGCCAAGTTGGTAAGGCGCCACACTAGTAATGTGGAGATCATCAGTTCAAATCTGGTTGGAAGCATAATTTTTTGAAACTTTTTTGTCAGCGCTCCGCACTCGTCTGAGTTCGAGAACCTTTTACATATCACTTTGTTCTTTCCTGTCGTTTTTTCAAACTTTTACATAGTTAATGTTTATTTTTCGATCTTTTTTCAAGATTGTTCAATGTTTATGTCTTCAAAATTGATATTAAGATCTAAAACCTCGAACTGCTTCTCATCGCATCGCAGCTTTGATTTAAAACAAGTGAAAAGGCTCAGCGTTCAGTTCAGAAATGCAGTTGAAAAGTTTGAGTTCGGTGCTGACAGTGCTGGGACTATCAGTGTCTCTTGCAGCCGCTGACAGTAGTAATAGTAGCCTGCCCGCTATTGAAATCGAGGGCAATGCGTTTTTCAATTCCAAGACTGGCGAAAGATTCTACATTCGTGGTGTGGACTACCAACCAGGCGGTTCGTCAAATCTCACAGATCCATTGGGAAGCGTGGACATATGTAAAAGAGATGTGCCCAAATTCCAAGAATTGGGACTGAACGCCGTACGAGTCTACACAGTGGACAACACCCAAGATCACACCGAGTGCATGCAAATGTTGGCAGACGCGGGAATCTACGTGATTCTGGACGTCAACACCCCAGATAGCTCGATTTCCAGATCTGATCCCGGCTGCTCTTACAACGCAGACTATTTACAAACCATATTCGCTACGGTAGACGCCTTTGCGAATTATACCAATGTGCTGGGGTTTTTCGCCGGAAACGAAGTTATCAACGATGAAACCAACACAGACACGGCCACCTACGTGAAAGCAGTGGTTAGAGACATGAAGAAATACATGCGTGCCAGAAAATACCGTCAGATTCCTGTAGGTTACTCTGCAGCCGATGTCACCGAAAACGTTCTGCTGGCGGCTCACTATTTTAACTGCGGTGACGACGATGACGCTCGTATCGATATGTTCGGGGTAAATGACTACTCATGGTGCGGTCAGTCTTCATTCCAACTTTCGGGCTATGCTACCAAAATGAAGTCCTACAAAGATTATCCGGTTCCTCTTTTCCTCAGTGAATTTGGGTGTACCAAAGTTACCCCAAGACCCTTCACGGAAATCGGTGCAATCTACTCGACCCAAATGTCATCCGTATTTTCCGGAGGACTCGTCTACGAATACTCGATGGAAGCAAACAATTACGGTTTGGTGCAAATCGATGGTGACGACTCAGTAACCACACTCCAAGATTTCGATAATCTGAAAAAAGAATTCGAAAACACTCCTAATCCATCAGGAGATGGAAATTACTCCAAAAACAACAACGCATCTACATGTCCTTCGTTCGAGTCAGGCACATGGGAAGCTAACAATACATTACCCCCAATGCCAAGTGCTGCATCCGTTTTTTTTTCAAAAGGCGCAGGCGAACCAATGGGCACAAAATATCCAACGCAATTTAGATGCGGCGACGCAAACATAAGCAACTACTTCACAGCAGACGCCACTCCGAGCAGTTCGAGCGTATCCAAATCCCAGTCCAAGTCGCAGTCTTCTTCGTCCTCGTCAGCACAGGACTCCTCAACGTCCAGCGTGGCTTCGCAATCTTCGTCTGCTACTAGTTCGGCCAAAAGCTCATCCAAATCGAAGGGTGATGCAGTTGCCGCCCTTCAAGTGCCAACAGTTTTCCGGGCCTTGTTGCACGTTTGGAACTACATCTTGTAGTTGTGACGCCTTTATGGTGCAAAATAATTTTTTACATACCAGCAGGTTTTAATAGACGTTTATGAGTTGACGCACATGTGCTGCCGTTTTGATCAGCTTGCGGTACCATATCATCCTTGCACAAACATGCAGATGATTCCGAACAGAAGCCGCACCCTTCGTTGTCCACCACCTGGAACGCTAAAGTATCACTTATCACCGCTGCATCTCCTGTCATACCATCATTTCCATTGTCCTGAGAAGTTACTTGCAGACCTTCGACGTTGATTTCCCAGTCAGCAGAGCTTGAGATTTTGACCTCTTTGGCGCTTTTTGGCTTCTTTTTCGTTTCACTATTTTTCGGGTGCTTTCTGCGTTTCTGCCTCCCTGATGTCTGCTGCAATGACTGCGGAAGAGCTACTGCTTCCATAGGCTTGAAACTGTCAATTTTGTCCCGCAAAGATGGTTTTAAAGCGGCAATTATGGCGTCAAGCTCTGTATCGCGACATATGCACAGGTCCTGGGTGCACAAATCGCATTTATCCACCTGCCCCACAAGCGGTCTCTCGATCTGGTCCCCGCCAGTAACACTTTTTCCAGAAGACTCACGCTTGCAAATAGTTGCTGTTAACTCCTGGTTCTCTTTTTCTAGCCGTTTGACCTGCTGTGCGTATTTCTCCAGTTCCTGCTTGTAAAAAGCGCATTTTTCTCTCCATTTTGCCACGTCCTGTTGCAATTCGACCACCTGTTTCGACTGACGTTCTCGGAATGCCCTTTGAGCATCTCTGTTCCTGGCTTTTTTGCTAGATTCAGCCGTCATCTCGTCAGTAACTTCATCGTCATCTTCCTGTTGCCAAGACTTCCTAGGACGTCTTCCAGGCCTTGTCCTAGGTGGTAGGACCCATGTTTTTGATGTACGAATCAAGCCCGAGCTCGCCGTGGTACTCAAATTTGGAGAAGCTTGTCTTATCGTCGCCATATTCTGGTATTTATGCACTTTCTAGTTCTGCCATTCAATATTTCAATAATTTTTGTTCAAATTATTAAATTATCTTAAAATCAACCGACATTCATTCTTCATTAAACTTGTATAAAAAGCTGAGATCTTGACAATAAATAGACCACAGACCTTTAGGGCGAATACGCTTGACGGCATCATCTTTCTGGAATGCGGTTCTACTTGATCTGCTTGGCGATAGTGGCCTTTTGCAGAGCCGACACGTCTTATGTCAACTGTTTTGCGAGTTTACCATCTGATTTCAGCTTCAACAACAACAACCAATATCAGACGAGCTCATTGTGCTACGAGGCATGCAAAGCGAAAAATGCGAAATACTTGGCGCTACACAACGGTGGAGACTGCTATTGCGGGAGCTCAGACCCCTCCAGCAGCCAGAGCACCAGCTCTCAGTGTAATGTGAAATGTAATGGGTACGGACAGGCTATGTGTGGTGGTACATCAGAATATTCAGTATATGGGCTCACAGAGAACATGGGAAGTGGATCGAGCTCCGGATCACAATCTGCGTCGTCTGCGGCGTCATCGTCGTCGTCTTCATCTTCGTCCTCGTCGTATTCATCATCGTCGTCGTCTTCTTCCTCGTCATCGTCTTCATCATCTTCAGCTTCGTCGCCTTCAACTTCCACTGCAGCTTCGACTTCTTCGTCTACACCCCAGTCAAGCTCACAGACAACAAGCTCAGGGAGTGCAAGTAATGGATCCGGCTCGCCAACTTCTTCCGGGTCAGCCTCTGCTGCCACGAATAACGTCGTGACTTCGACTCATACGTCCGGTGGCTCGCTTCTACTCGTTACACAAACCGTTACAACCAGCCCATCTTCTTCTACATCGAACAGCAACGATGGCAGCAACAACAACAAGTCCAATAAAAAACCCAAGAATTTGGGCGCCATTATAGGCGGGGTGGTGGGAGGTGTTTGTGGCGCTGCCGCAATTGCCGTGCTTGTTCTACTCTTCCTGCGGCGTACAAGCAAAAAACGCGAACAGGAGCGGATGGAGAAAGAGTATCAGGAAGCTATCAAACCTGTCGATTTTGACGAAACGTTGTACCGTTCGTCGGTATCAACGGCAAAGGGCCCCAATCCGTTCGATGACGCTCGTCGGATCAGCAACGGGTCCCTATTAGTAGACCAGGCCGGTGCACCTGATCCGAATGCTCAGAAAACGCTCACAGTTGCCAATCCCGATGCGTAAGGCTTGGGGTGACGGGGGAGCGTGTGAGGGGAAGAAATTTGTTTTTCACTACTTTGTTCTTCAGCTCACATCATTTGTACCATAGTATCGGGGATATGTATCGGAACCGCATATTTTCTCAGTTTTTTGGAATATAAGTTTTAGCTCACTGAGCCGAAAACAAGGGTCGTCAAAGTTCTCAAACTTAGGAGGATCAGTACCCTTCGTATAGAGTGCTATCAACACTTTTTTGAAAATTGAGCGATTTTGAAAACATTATCAAAAGTAAGATGAGAAACAACTTCTTGGATCACATAAATTCCCCATAAGAACGCAACGGAATCTTGCAAAGGATCTGTTACACTTCCAGTTCAACTGCTCACAAAATAGCTTACTTTGCAAGTGTCGGAAGCCTTGGAGTCGAAACTTGAACATTTGTTGACAAAATTGGGACCTTTTTTTGGCCATAACGCTTGAATTCCCGGACTGATCTAGACTTGCTTCTAGATTTCGTGAAAAGGACGCAAAGCATACCGAAGTCGACTGTATACCCAGATTACTCTCCCAATTCCGATCTAGCAATTCCAAACGGATTCCGCTCGTCATGCAAAAACAGCTACAACCTGTGCCACCTGCTGAAGAAGCCAGTTTGGCCTACTTTTTGGAAGTTCGTACCTTTCTATCACGTCTTAAACAAAACAGGGCACAATACCTAAATTCCAGGGATGTCATGCTTTCCTATCAACAGGTTCTCACCAAGGTGTGTGAGCTGGACGCGATCAGAAAGGCGGCACACAACATTCCAGCCGATAGCACCACAACTCTTATACACAACGTGAAGCTTCACAACAGGGTGGACTCGGTGCTAGATGATGTGTTCCAGTTGCTGTCACTCAGCTTTTTGACAGTGGGGCTAAAAAACTCGGCACCTGCAACTTACGCCTCCTTAAGTACAGTACAACGGCTTCTAGAGCATTTGGATGAATCAAACGTTTTTACGCAGCATGATTTGCGCCCCATCAAAGAAAGGCTGGATGAAATCTCCCAGATCGTGGCTCGGAGTTCATGTGTTCCTGAAATGGACGACGCCAAAAATGTCATAGATCTAACCAAAGTCGCAGATGAAGTGGACCGCAATAAGATCGAGCAGGATCTTTTGCTGCGTGCAAAGTTGAAGCATTGCTTGCAAGAGTACGAGCATATTGAGTCCAAAATCGAAGAGATTGATAGCGGGCTTCAGTCAACCATGGAGAAACTTTTCCAGCTTAGACGCGGGCTTTTGTCGCTCGCGGCCTCCGCTAAAACGCAGCCTGGAATGGGTGAACCGAAAGCCGCGTGTTCGGCTGCTTTCCAGAAGTCCGATCAGGAGAAGCTTCACGCTCTAAAGACTGAATTGGAAGAAATTGAATCTCGCAGGGACCCATCTGGCAAATTCATCTCTACTGAGACAGGAGAAGTGGTTGAAAGAGGGCAAAATGTTCTTAATGGGCTTTTGGATGACTGCAATGATCTCGTACGCGATCTGTTCCACCACGCCACCGACTCAGTGTGCTTGGATTCGAAACTCCAACCCATTTACGAGGACTTGATAGACATAAAAACGACGCTGGAGAACCTGTTGGTGACAAGGCGTTGGACTTTGAGGGAAACTGATCTGTTTGGCTACCAGAAAAGACTGTCCGAGATTGACAAGTTGCGGGTAGGTGGTAAGTTTCCAGCGGACTCGTCAGAAACAAAGGGCCAGGCTATACTGCTTTACCTGCTTCGCCGGTGTTACGCTATCATCTACAAGCTCCTCGAATGCTCAGAACCGGTTTCGGAGGCTTTACAAAAGATACACAATCAATTGTCGACCGTACGTCGCTGTCTACTTGAATTGAAGAGAATGGGCGGCGTGGAAAACGACAGAGAGCTGTACCCATACCAGATGAAGCTGGCGTCGTTGGACAATCTTCGTGTGGACGGTAAGTTCTACGATTCAGAGGGCAACATCCCAGAAGGCCAAGGCACACAGGGGATGCGCTACTTGCAGAATGTTTTGACATTCTGCACGAATTGAAAATCGAGGCGGAAGAGCGCCATCGCTCGGATGGTGAAGCAGATGATGTTGCTTCCGAAGATACAACAACAGACCAGCCAAGCACTGCCGGGGGTCTTTCCAAAAATGCTGATCACTCATTGAGGGCAACAAGGACTGCAAGTCCATTTCCTGCCAATCCCGTTGCTAGGGGAAAGCCGCATGCAACTTACTTGGACACGCCTAAGCGGAGTCGTACTTACGATGACAACCACGGTGGTAACAAATACGGTGGTGGTGATGATGCTGATGATGATGATGATGACGAAGGGTACTCTGCCAACTACAGCGAGCACAGTTATGAAGACGATGAAGACGATTACGCAACTACGAGCCACGCTGAGGACTGAATGAATCTTTTACTGATGAAATGTCCGCTGGTTCCCTGCGCACATTTTTTTCCCCTGTCGGATTCTCTGCAAGCAATATCCTATTATAAATTTCAAACTCAAAGGGCTTGATCGCAACTAATTATGTTATTTGTCCGTTAGGTGAGCGCATGCCCTTAAACCCAGTTTGCGCTCAGCACATTTGCGGCTGATGGAATGGTATTTCGGTGTATATAAACTTGAAAGAAAAGTGTCAATGACCTGGTACGGTAATGTAATTACGATTAGGGGTTTGTCAAAGACATTGAGTGTGAAGCGGCAAGGTCAAGGTCAAAGCCGTGATATTACTTGAATCTTAACGAAAGAGACACTAAATAGTATAATTAGAAATGGTTGCTTTGCGTCGTTCTTCCAATGCAAAAACCTCTGATAACGAGTCCCATGCATCCAAGAGAAAGCATGAAGCAGCAGGGACCCCTGCTGCGAAGAAGCAAAAGTCTAGTGGTACAGCCCACTCCACTAGAGAATTGCAAGTTGGCGACAAAATGCCAGAAGTGATGCTGAAAAATCAAGATGGGAAAGAAGTATCACTGGCTAAGGTCACCAGTGAGAACAAAGTAGTTGTAATTTACTCAAATCCTAAAGCGGGCACTAAAGGGGGCGCTGAGCAAGCGGCAGCTTACAAGGACCACCAGAGTGAATTGAAAAAAATAGCCATGGTCTTTGGGCTTAGTGCCGATGAGGTGAAGTCACTCAAGGACTTCCAAAATTCGCAATCAATTCCCTTTGATATTCTTTCGGATCCTGATCGTGAGTTGATTGAACCACTAGGTGCCAAAAAGGGCACCTCTACCCAGCGTTCACACTGGGTGTTTTTGAATGGGAAGCTTGTTGACAAGAAGATTGGCCTCTCTCCAGAATCTTCAGTAGCGGATGCTATTGAAGCTGCTTCCAAAGCGCACGATGGTGACAGCGGCCGGGGACGTCCTAAAAAGGAGCAGCAAGATGATGGAGCCAAAGACGAGGATCGCAAGGGTGCAGATGATGCAAATGAAACATCTACCAAATCTAAGGGACGTGGACGTCCCAAGAAGGAGGAAAACGCCGATGAAGACGAGAACGCCGGTGAAGATGAGAACGCCGGTGAAGAAGAAAACGATGATGAAGGGGAAAATGAGGATCAAGACGATGATGCCGATTTCGCTGCAGATGATGCTGAAGATCCTGATTTGGAGGAGATCGGCCAAGAAGATGACGATGAGTACGAAGCTCAGGACTTAAAGACAGACGAAAGAGACGAAGAGGTCGTCGGTGAGGAAAAGGATCTTGAGAATACAGTTGACAGCGTTGACGCTGAACAAGAAGATCTACAGGCAGAAGGCACCGAGGGAGAGGCTGATCTAGATGATGATGAGGAGAAGGTCGATGTCGAAGAAGAGGAGTAACTCTTTGACTGATAAGATATGTAACTTTCGTTAAACTGTATCAATAGAATATTCTTTCATGGCATGGTGCATTAAGCTTTTCATTTCAATACCTGTAAAAAGTGACACTTGTCTTTTATGCTATTCTAATGGTATAATCATCACCACTTTCTGTTATATATCTCACCCATGGGTAACTTTGGTACTGAAGTTTGGGCTCATTGACTTTGAGGTAACGCACCTGAATGCCTGAAGTCGTAAAATAAGGAATTTGGAACTTCACTTGTATTGGTCGTTTCACCTTGGGTACATCAACATCCGACATTGATGGAAGTCCCAATTGAGCAGCAAATGAGTATTCTTTACCACCGGTGAAGGTTTTGATTTTCCACAAAATGGCGTTTTTTTGTGGAACGTATTTCAGCGAACCGTGAGAGTAACGGAATTTGGGCGAATCCGCATCTTCCGGAACAGGTATTAGAATCTCAACGTTGTTGGCAGTAGATTTTTTCTTTATTTGTGCCTTGGCCCGGCAATGAATTTCTATCCTGGATTGCGAGTGAACCTGAATCTTGGCATCGCACCAAATGAGGGGCTTAATGGGCAAAGATAGTCTGTAGTTCATGAGTTCAAAATCCCCATCCGGTGGGATGAAAGTGATGATCTTCTCGTTCTCGAATTTACTCAAGCGGACACATTGATGAAATTTGAGGTCTTCCAATTCTATGTTTGCCCTCTTCCCTGTTGGTTCTTCCTCCCTATTTCCAGAGGTTTCGCTTGAAAAAATACCCTTGTCGTTCAAACCCAGCTTCAGGTCAGGCATTCCTGACAGATGAGACTTAACTCTGACTTTGCCCAGTATCTCAGAACGCAGCACTTGCCCGTTAGCAGAAATTAGCATATTTATTGACTCCACCACATCCAAAAATGCCTCATTCTTTTTGTACACAATGCCTTCAGGTCTCCAGCTAACTGATTTGGTGAGTTGAGATGGCGGCCGTACCACGTTTTTGGATTTCTTGGCTGATTTTATGAGCTTGAAAGATTTCTGCGTGATGTACTGCTTGAGCATCTTGGTTTCTGTGATTTGCGGGATACCATAGTCTAGCATTTCATCCAACAGCTCATATATGATCACGAAATTGTCCCTAATCGATTCTTCCTCCACAGTTTTGACGTATTCTTCCAGCACCGCTATTAGTTTATACAGAAATGAAAAGATCTGAGCGACATTTACGGATAGTGAGTTGCTCATCGTCAAAACGTAGATGTCATTGTGCTGAACAAACAGGTATTGTATGTCGTTATGCGTCAAGCAAGGTGGGATTATACTGGATTCATGCTCTGCCTCTAATAGCAGCGTTGGAAACCGCTCGATCGCAGATGCGGGCACATCGTCACGATACCGCCTCGATAATATGGTCTTACCCTTGCTATCGCAGAAATAAATGCTAGAAGCCATAGCAGATACTCTAGCGGAACCACGAGTTCGGTTTGGTCTTCTAGATCAAACCAAAAAGGTCTTCGTCATCTTACATGCAATGTAATGTATACATGATATGTAGTGCTTCTAAATTAACCTGATCGTTTCTATCCTATCACGTGCTTTTCACGTGCTTGAGCTTTCAAGTTTCTGGAGTGAAAGACAATGGATCTGCCGATTGTTCCAACGACTTTACGGCACTTTCCACTCTGGTGTTTGACTTCTGGTCTGCACTGAAATGAACAGGTTTATAGTAGTGGTGGATTTGGGCTTAGGATTAATTCCATATTGAGTACACCATAGAGGAGATCTGTCACGATCCCAATTTTAGTAAAGATTGAGGTAAGAACGCACAAAGCTCATGCAAATATGTTGACAAACGAATTGAGCTGATAGAGATAAGAAAACTTGAATCGGGTTTCGACCTGATCCAAATCAAAAGCGAGACATTGACCGACCACCAGTATTGGTACCGCTGAAATTCGTGGATCTAGGCCCATGTTGAAAGACCACTTCCCTGAATCACTGATATCGCTCACTGGCACATATTTGAGGGCCACATCACCGATCAGAAATATGGTATTGACGGTCTGCGATGTAATTCGTATCGAGTGATGTCTTTCGAAATTTGTTACGCAGGTGGGCGTAAACTCAACTAAGAAGATGGCAGTAGTCATCACGCACTGAACCATACACTGTGAAGTTATTCACATTGTGAAACCCCGTAACCTTGACGAAATGCCGCGCATCTTGTAAGTTGTGACGATTAAATAATGTGTGGACTGTCGTTTTGCACGGTGGGATGAACCTCTTGACAATTGGCCAAACTGGGTATCTGGAGTGTATGGCCATCAAGCTTTCGATTTCATGCTTTATCCATGAGCGCAGGTAAAACGATTCATTCTGCTTCTTCTTGTAGCTTACAATTACCTTGGACATTCGGTTTTATTGCTAAAGACTTTATCACAGCTGTGTTGACAGTCCAAATTCAAATTTCGATGCTAATTGATGCACATCTGGAAGTCAAGAGCTGCTGGCTGATGTTGCACATGTTACGATGCTGACGGAAAAACACTAAAAAATATTTCAAAAAATTACTCCGCGACGGGGAATTGAACCCCGGTCCCGGGCGCGACAAGCCCGAATTCTAGCCACTAAACTATCGCGGACTACTTTGAAGTGGACAACGAATTGAAGATATATCATACTGGCCTTATTCCATGCGCTCTGGTTTTCGTGTCAGGGTTATAAGATAGTTTTCTTTTCTTCTCGGGTTAACATTTTCCCAGCAAAGTAATGTCAGACGCCGATCTAGATTGTGATACGAATCATATGCGCTTCAAGGTGTGAGAGAATCAAGAGAAAAAAAACCGGGCACACGTGCTCCATTGAAAATGTAAAAAAATGAAACGGACAGGAATTGAACCTGCAACCCTTCGATTGCAATTTTTCCGTATAAACCAGAATTTAACTGGAGTCGAAAGCTCTACCATTGAGCCACCGCTTCATTTTCTGAAAGAGACAAAGGATAAAAAGAATATAACGCTAGTTGGTAGACAGCGTAATGTCATGGAATGACCAGGCATTAGTATATCAAAGGTTAGCCTGAAAAGCGGTTGTCACTAGTGATTAGCTATGGTGTTCTGATACAAAAGCTGTGGTTAACTTCAGGATGCCACGAAGAGGATGCCACGAAGAGGATGTCACATCGGCATATAGAAGAGGGTCTGATATCAAGAAAGTAGACATAGCTAAGCAAAGAGGGATAGCTGGAAGATTCGAAATAGGAATACCAAAAAGGTCAAGTAAAGTGATCATTTATAGTTTCTAGTAGTTCGTGATGATACCCACGACAGATATTCCTGAGCTTTTACGGTCAGATACTTTCTTATGGTATCGGATACAGAGATACGTCTTTTGACTCTTAGAAGATAGATTAAGTTTTATGTTTTCTGCTCATTCTTTGAATTTGGGATCGAGTTATACTTCACGAAGGCAGGCGCTTTCTTTCTAACCTTGGTACAACAACAAAGGATATTAATCCCAGTGTAAAAAGGGAAAAGAAGCATTCACAGATGATAACTTTACGTTGAGATTACAGCTTCATCGTAAACTTGAATGCATTAGAAAAGGAATAGGCTTAATAGGAAACAAAAATGCATTTTTCCTCATAAGTAGATCGTAGCCCCACGCACGACGTGCTAAGCTTAAATACTAAGTTCATCATACCTCTTACGCGTATACTGCCCTCTTCCAACGTGACAGAGGAAAACGATGTGGTCTACAGTATTTATAAAAAAAACACTCACGGTGGGGGTCGAACCCACAATCTTCTGATTAGAAGTCAGACGCGTTGCCATTACGCCACGCAAGCTTTGGATGTCAAAGATTTAATTTTGGGAATATATATCCCACGTAGAAAGGCAAGTGATTTATTATTCTATCGCTTCAGATTCTGCCCATGGAAAAGTGATCTATCGCATCGCCTCCACATATCGAAGCATTACCACCCGCCTCACTGCAAAGAGATAGACCTCAGAGCCATGGTAAACGTCAAGGTTGAATTTTTGGGAGGTCTTGATGTTATTTTCGACAAGCAAAGAACCTATAAATTAAGTGTTCCCAGCAGTAACGGAGAAGAAGTTACAGTTGGAACACTAATCGACTACATAGTTGAAAAAATGATAAAAAATCCCGGGGACAAGTGTGTCTTTATCGAAAATGATACTGTGCGGCCCGGAATTCTAACGCTTATAAATGACACTGACTGGGAGCTGGAAGGTGAGAAGGACTATGTTTTAGAAGATGGCGACATCGTATCTTTTACTTCAACGCTTCATGGAGGTTAAACTGAAATCGATCATAACTTAGATGTAAATAGATGCTATAATTGGATTAGATGTGCACCAGTCTACAGCCTAAAAGTCCATTTCCTGCCCACTTTATAGAAGGTGTCAATGTCAAATCGAGAAGCGAGTCGCCTCGAAGCACTCGAACAGCAAGCGCCTTGTCTTCGTTATTTTTCGCAACAAGGCCCAAAGCAGATAGCATTTGATTATTTCCCGCATGGATGTTGCCGAAACGTACAAGTTTGTCGTGATGGAGTAAACCCTGAGAAGACTTTAAGTTAGTATCGAGCTCCGATGCATTAAATTTCGTTACACTGTGACATACCGCTTTTTCCGAGGGACTGCCAGAAATTACCTCCGTGACTAACGCAAATGGGATGCGAAATTCAAAAGCGCTATCATTTTCCACTCGTTGTGTCTTGGCATCGAGCTTCTGAAAGTGTGACGCCATCAGTTCTTGTGCTCGGTTTATAACGACACGAAGATCATTTCTAAGCATGTTGATGCTACGTCTCAGTAGTCGTACTTGGAGGACATCAATGTCTGACCGGGGAAAGCCCTCTGGTGTGACCAAGTTAGATTCTAGATCTGCTCCCTGTGTTTCCAAGCGCTTAAACAAGTCATCAAGCTTATTTTCTATTCTCGTTTTGAGATCAAAGATGTCGGCAGTCGAAAGCTCTGATACACGAGTTATCTGAAGCGCTAGATGACGATCAATATTTGGGTCATCTGTTCCACCGGATAGAACGTTGAAACGGTTTTCTCCCTGCATCGTCATTTAGTTGAAGACATATGTAGTAAAGGCTAAATGATTAATTCAACCTGTTGACCTTAAATGCATCTCTTTCGCATGCACATGATCTCGATATGTAAAAACTGCTTGAACATGGCAGTTTGACTTCTATATCAAATTTCAAACTTATCAATTTGACCGTATGTAAGATGAAAAGCAGCTATTTAACACTGGTTGTCAAGGAGAGATCTCAAGCTGGCAACTTCTTGTTCCAACGCGGAATTTTTCTTCAGTAATTCTTCTACCTTATCCTCTAACTGGCTCATACGCTGCATTTTCCTGGCACGAGACCGCCTGGCAGCTTCGGTGTTTCTTGCACGTTTCACTACAACGGGGTCGTCAGATTCAGGAATGACTGGAGTCAATGGCGTGGAACGATTCTTACGGGTGTAAGGTACAAAGCCCAACTGGGTCAGACTAGAAGGTTTTTGCACCATACCAGTTGATGGCTTTTTCTTGGCATCACCAGGAATCCTGGCCTCTTCAATGACAGGGGTTGGTAAGAAAGAGTTCTGATCGATAGCAGTCGAAGGCTGTTGGAAAGCTTCTACGGAAGCATCCTCAGGATTTGAAACCGGGTTCGAAACTGGATCAGCAATACTTACTGCAATATCGTCATCAAAGAGAGACTGCCAAGTTTGGGGGTCAGATTCGACATTTTCAAGACCGAACAAGGGTGTCGAGTCGGCACTGGAAGCAAAAAAATTATCCAATTCGTCTGCATCGTCGCTGATGCCAGCGCTAATCAAGGGAGCATCTCCGAGAAGGGGGGTTTGCAGTTCTGACTTAATGGTGACACTGGACTCAGAGAAAGATTCAGGACGAGGTCTGGATTGGGCAAACTTGTCGAAAATGAGCTCACCAACAACAGGTTCGTGAGAATGTTGCCCGTCTTGACTCATACTCACAGCCACGCGGGGCTGCTGCTCAAGGGCAGACATGTCGAATAGAGTGGGGAACTGAGTAGTGGACATTTGTGTATTCGATAACTTGAGGAAAAATTCGGATGGAAAATTGACTTTGAGATAAGGGTTTGGTTTCTTGGAAGGGGAATTGAAATGTAGTATGGAAACTTGCCATTTTGGACGGTATGTCGTGGTTCAATGCATCATTGCAGACACTGAATATTGGTATATTAAGGAGACATTTTGAAAACTTGTAGCGGGGTGCTGGTTGGGAGACAACTCGGTTACGCGCGCGGATGGGGTAAAAAGACAGAAAAAAACGAGAGGTGTACTAAAAATTCAAATTCACAGTTAAATGCTGAGAATCTGGACTATTGGAACATGGTTGGAACGTTTTTTCTGATAATATTCTTTTCACTTATTTTAAATCAGGAAAAAATTTAGCAGGCCATTTTTGCTAAGACAATTGTGCTTGGTTAGGACTAATAGTAACTTATTCAAAAAATGGTCTAAAAAACTAAGCTTTTGCTTGTGCTAAATTTTTCAGTGCTGATCGCTTGCGTTGGTGGAGTAGTATTATAGGTGATGCCGCTGGGATAGGACAGTCGGAGCTTAGAAAATTATGAGAGTAGTGTCTTGTTCGCGTGCGAGACTGTTTCGGGGTCTCTTATTGGCGTCTTAAAGCTGAGTTGCTGTGTCTTATGCGGCAACAAAGTTTTGTCTTTGGTCTAAAAAGTCAGTAAACATAGACTGTTAGTAGTCCAAAGAGTAATTTCCAAGTTTTATGCACACCTTTATATAATCCTACTCAAGTGACGATAAGCGAAAAAATGAAAAAAAAAATGAAAAATTTTATTCGGAAACTCGCATCAACGCTATCTTACAAATCTTCCAGCCAATCAATCGGAGTAACTGATAACTCGGGTTCTCAAATGGTCAAGAAATGATATTTGGATATGGCTCCGCTTCTGAGAAATTCAAATGCATCGGAGAGTGAGTCATTGTTCTCATGAAAAGTGAACGACGACACAACCGTTGTAAGCGATAAAGAAGAACAGAGTCAGCTACTCCATTTCGAGCAGCGTTTTCCATTCAAGCAGTACCAGCACTGGGTGCCCATTTAGTGACTGTGAGTGAGGCTTGTTTTTAGCGTGTAGCTATCGTTATGAAACCCACCCATTAGGCATGAGACGGAAAGCCGACAGAATACCTGGTTAGTGACGACCCACTTGTCATTTTCAATTGAGAACGCGTGAGCCTCAGCGGAAAGGGAATAAGGCGGAATTCACACACATCAAATTGTTTATTTGCAAGTTCAAGTCCACGGGAAAAAAAAAGAGAAACAATGGGATTTTTTTCTCAAATGTGACAGAGGTTTTGCGTATGACACCGCCTTCACGCTACAAAAGCGAAAAAATGCGTGCTCTGAAAACCTTGAATTGGCTGTGCTAACTCAGCAGTAGCCTTGAGAGTTTCAAATCTTTTTATAATTAATTTTAATTTTTGGCAATTATTTTTGGCTTTTTATTTTTAATTTTCTTTTTTGATTATTTTTTGACTATTTTTTGACTTTTTTTTGGACTATTATTGACCACTTCATCTCATCAATGGTCTACAAGTATTGAAGGACACACTGAACTGAGGCCTCTTATGACGGCATCGTTATTCATCATTTTCAATACAATTAGCCTTTATATATAAGTTTTAAACGCCCAATGTTCCGAACTTGGACCGTGCAGTAACAAAAATTGGCGGGGGGACCCGTACTTGGTATTGTGTAGAGTAATTACCACACATAGGGCAGATCGTTGAGACCGTGGCAGCAACGAAAAGTGACCGCCTTCGAGTTTAGCGCTGTTGAAGTTTCTGGGCGTCGCTAAAGTACCCCGACGGGCTGCATTGTATGATATCAAATTTTGTAAAAAAAATAGAGTTGCTCTTCCAGGGTGTAGAGCAGCAAACAACGCCTTAACATAAGTATTCAATCGACATTGCTGGTCTAGAATGGAATAGCCGAATCAGGCCGCATTTTCTACTTTCCAGGTAAGCAACTTCACTCGTCGCTATCCATCAAGTAAGAACTTGACGGTTCCCATTCTTCTTGATTTACCAGGGTGCTGAGCCCATTTAGGTGTCGTCAAAACCGCTTGGGCTCCTCATTTTAAACCTCCATATAGCTTGGATTACCTGTGTCAGCGACACGAAAAAAACCCCTGCAAACAAGGTTTAGGCGCTCGTGCCAAGACACACAGAAAAGCATCGTACAACAATTGAGCAAACTTAATTCTTCAAATAATGCAGGATACAACAATACTCAATGAAAACGGTCAGGCTCAATTCACTGAGCTGTGAGGCAGAGCATTTCAGTACCCCAGTTCAAACCGGTAGAAAGAATAGCACCTGCTGATCATCTATAATAAAAAAACCATGTCCGCACTTATATGATAGGAAAAAGCTGCGATTTAGGCATTACATGAATTTTCGAAATTGGATGCAGCGCTTCTTATCTGTTCTTCCTCTTCAGAGAGTCCTTTTTTACCGATATTTCAGTTGAAGTTCTGTAGATCGGCCCCGCCATGATATCTACATCCACTCATTTGGAAGAAGCTTTTGATGGACCTATCATCCTGGACTTCGAACTACCGTCAAAGCCAGGAAGTGAAGAGCTGTCGGGGGTACTCATGGCCCACTCAATTTAATAAGATTCGAATATTTCCCACTCTGAAAGAAAGCCAGCTGCGTCTTTCGTCTTTGGTTCATTTGAGGCAGACTTTAGGCCAACAACACGCGCAGCGATCGTGAATTTGCAGTTCGTTAGCAGCTGTGCCCAATACTTCACCTACTCATGTAGAAAGGTTGGCCCTACTTGGGATTAACCTCACCTTCACAAATCTCAATTTGATGCTTCAATTTGGTATTGGTGCGTTCTTCTTTGAGCGCGGCAGCACAGCGCTTTCCACTCAGGCGCACCACAGTTGCAGTTTTCAAGGCCCCATTGTGACAGTGTATCTGTAGGACTTAAGTGGCTCAACTTCAAAAGCTTTTGCTCTTGATAGCCTACTTTTTCTCAGCGCGCGTGAGAAACAATCATTGGTGCCGCAATTCAAGTTGATCCCAGACTGCGTTCATTAATCCCACCAGAGTGATCGGGATAAGCTCTCAAGAAGTCAACTAAGACCTGTCATCATGAACAGACCAAGCATTAGGCTTAAAAATGATTTGGAGTGAAGCTTAAGATCTAGTTTCTTTGTACAAAGAACCCGATAAACCAACTTAGTTTAGCTCAGAGACGGTATCACAACCTAGTCTCAACTTTCTCTCAGAAGAAGCGGCGCAGAGATTGTCGCCTGTTTACCTCAAAAGTTCCAGGAAGTGTCTGGTTTTGACCGTACCGATTTGACCGTACCGATAGTCCTGCCCATTATTGACCAAAAAGCTTGGCGCGAATTCGACAATGAGACGGGAAATTTAGCCTTGTATATTTCAACCTCTTCGCAAGATTTTGATGCCCCCGGATCGTGCCCTTAGCAGTCTCCCAACGTCTAGAATACAATTGCACTTGTCACTCAACGAGATGTCTGTCGTCAAGTTTTCACCTCTTTATATTACATTTATTCAGAAAATAAACTAAATAACGGAACGATGCCAGATAAGTAAAGTAGAGCTTTAGGTTTATGAACCCGACACAGGCATATGAGCCCCACCTTGTTCATTGAGAATGGTCCAACCGTAAAAAGCTCCAATCTGCTTCAGGCTTACAAGGTTCATGGTCAGCCCCACTATGTGTTTGACGAAATATTCGCCCCGGATTGTTCGACCCCGCTCTCGTCCGCAGATGTACTGGAAGATTTCGGACGGACCAGGCGTGATGGGGGGAAAGCAAACGATAATTCATCTCCTGTAGGAGGCGGAAGTCTGGGAGATTTCGAGATTACCGCGCTTGCCGGTGCCATGGCGGGATTTCTTGCGGGCGTTATCGTCTGTCCTCTCGACGTCGCCAAGACGAGATTGCAAGCGCAAGGGTTACGTCCGGCGTCCATCAATTACTACAACGGTATTGTTGGGACTTTGAGTACAATTGTACGGGACGAAGGAGTGCGAGGTTTATACAAAGGTCTAGTGCCAATAGTCATGGGCTATTTTCCCACATGGATGATATACTTCACGGTTTACGAGAAAAGCAAGAAACGCTATCCACAATTATTTCCGTCTTCTGATTTTCTTTCGCATTCATTGTCGGCTTTGACGGCCGGCTCTATATCCACTATTTTGACAAACCCCGTGTGGGTGGTCAAGACCAGACTCATGCTGCAGACGCATGTAGACAAGCATTCCACGCATTACAAAGGCACGTTCGATGCCTTCTACAAGATATACACTACAGAAGGTTTCAAGACTTTTTACGCAGGGCTACTACCATCGCTATTTGGGTTGTTGCACGTAGCCATTCATTTCCCCATATATGAGAAGCTCAAAGTATGGCTCCGCTGTTCACCGTCCTTCGTTGATTCCGATGACCACAAATTAGATTTATTCCGTCTGATAACCGCATCTAGCATATCCAAGATGGTCGCTAGCACACTCACGTACCCGCATGAAATTCTTCGCACGCGGATGCAGCTAAAAGCGCCCCCGATAGACAAGAAGAACACTCCGCAAATCGCCACACATCATGCCCTCATTCGGCTTGTTCATCGCACTTATACAAAAGAGGGATTGAGAGGCTTCTACTCAGGTTTTACTACAAATCTCGTCAGAACTGTACCTGCCTCGGCGATTACTTTGGTATCTTTTGAGTATTTTAGAAGATATTTGACCTCGATCAACGACAGTTTCGCACTATAACATATACTATTTATTCCTCATGCATGTGAACAGCTTCACTATATCCTCAGCATGACTATCACGACAACCTTCGTTTCATTAGCTCATGGAATTAAGTTGAGGCACTTACAACGATAATCTGATCACATTAACATTAGCCTTCAGTCTATATATTACATACATATAGGAGGGATGTTAGAATCAGACCCTTTCAGGTGATAACAGAAAGCTAGTAGCGGCGTCGTGATGCAAATAGTTGGCTGGACTCTGTGCGTGCTATTTCTTTCTCGATTCATTCAAGCTGAAAAGGTCGATGCTGTTGAACAAGATACTAATGATGTGAAGTTTCCCGAACCCATCAATGCCGCCGAATTTGATGACAAGGTACCGCAACATCTACACCTGGTGGAATTTTACAGCCCTTACTGCCATCATTGCAAAACTCTTGCTCCCATCTGGAAGAAAGCCTGGGAAGATTTTCATGTGGAAGGTAGTCAGCTAAACATCTCTTTGGTTCAAGTAAATTGCGTTGAAAGCGCTGATTTGTGTGCAAGAGAAAAGATTGCTGCATATCCGGCCATAAAGCTTTACGGACCCGGAGGCTTCATCAAAGACTATCCAGAAATAAAACGAAGTGCGGACCATTTCATTAATTTTGCCCGTCAGGAAGCGCTAAATGCCGATAATTTGCAGACATCGCTGATGAAGAGTCAAAGTAAAGAGCTGGAGGGAACTGCACTCTTGAGACTCATATCAGGAAAAGCTGAAGTTCCTCACCTGGTGTCATTTTGGCCTTCGAAGGAACTTAAGTCTGTAGATGAGGACTCAGTAGAATTCGAAAACTGCGATCAATGCCATGGTTTTCAGAAAACTTGGACCGCGCTCTCCTCCAAACTGTCGAGCGAAGACTTCGTTGCGGCCCATGTTAATTGTGAGGTTGAGCGGACTATTTGTGAAGAGCTAGAATTTGGTGACCTGGCAGAAATAAAAAATCATAGAGTCGACAGAGTGCCGCGAGTCATTCTCGTTGTTCCCCAAAAGAAAACAAGTGCTTTGTTTCACTACACCAAAGAAGATTACACGATAAAAGCGATTGAAGATTTTGCATTGCGGACAAGTGCTAATGCGCAGGTGCAGGAAATCAGTGGAAAAGCTCTTCAGAAATTAATAACGACCCCGATTGAAATAAAAAAAGGCCTCAGTCAGTCTGAAGGAAGCATACACATTGTATTCAATTACGACTCTGAAAGTGTGGTCCCGCAAGATTTCGACATCTTGGAGCGTTTGGTTGAGCCGATATCTAATATCCCGAACGCATACCTTCACAAAAGCGCTGACGACCTGAAGTCTCTTTCGCATTCGTTGTTTCTCGAGATGTACAAAAAAATCAATCACATTATTGGAGACCGCGATCTGATCCCCAATAAGGAGTATTTTACAATGAAGTCAGATACTCAGTTACCTACTTTTTACATCTTCAAACAAGAGAGCCTTATTTCTCATGTGCTCAGCGGTTACTCCACCACAGAAACGCATAATCAAGAGTTGATTTTAAACTGGGTTGACCAGAACCGCGCACCACTTTTAAGCCAACTGATGCCAGAAAATTACAAAGAGGTGCTCAATTATCAACCAAAGATTTATGACTTCATGGCTATTCAGATCATTGACACTTCCAGTAATGAACAAGCGAGAAAGAGCGCGAAATATATGGAGAACTTGAAAGTGAGCGCACTTGAATACGAATCTGATCGCATTAATTTTCTTTTCAATTCGGTCAAAGAAGGGAGGACCACGAAGGACGAAGCCGTTGAAACATCGAAAACAAAACAAGCACCCTCTTCTGACATTCTCACAAAAATGAGGGATGAGATTGCCCGCAATGATGATCACCGCGTTCAATTCACTTACTTGGACTTGTCCCTCCACGAATCCGTTTTGAAGGATGCCGGACTGAAGGCAAGCAAGCGGGTTTTTAAAAATGGTGATGCTCTTGTGCTAAACAAAGGAACCCGGTCGTTTTTTGTCGAAAAGTCTCTGAACGGTGAAAGACTAACAACCGAGAAACCATATGACTTGAAAAACGTTCTTTATGTTCTGGCTTTTGGGACGGGAGACGAAAATAATACCATCATCAAAGAAAGCTTCAAAAATTCAGGTCATCTTTTAACCCACGCTTTTGGCCGTTTTCAAGAGAGCTTTGGACTTTTTGGATACCTTTTGTTAGGTGCTGTACTAGTGCTTCTAGCTAAGCTGCCCCAAGTCTGCAGAAAACAATATGTCAGACGCAAGTACCGCAACCGCAGGGATGTCACAGGAATTCTTGGAAAGCAGAAGGGTAAGGATTAACATCTGCGTCACCATTAAACGCGGTTTCGAGGCTCTTTTCCCGTCAGACTATTGGGTCTCTCAAAATATCCATATCCACATAAAAAATAAAAATACAATGAAGAATATCAACAGCCATGTTTTAAGTGGTACGCCCGACTTCTCTGCCATCTTCATCATGTCGCGATAAGTCAACTTAAGGCGTTGACTGGTGCCCTCGAACACGTTTCCCAATTTTTCCACAGTTTCGTTACTGCCTCTTATTTCGTCGCCCATTTTGAGAGACAGAGATTTGAGAGCATTGATTCTCTCACTCATAGCGCCGACATGACGATCGCTTTGATTTTCCAAATTTGATAGTGTCGATTGCGAGTAGTCTAGATCACCGCCTTTATCATATGGAGAGCTCGGCCTGCTGGATGTATTATCAAACTTGGAATCGAAGAGCTGCGTCCTACTGCCATTTTCACGTTGATGCAAATTGTTGTCTTGATTTCTATAACACGGTTAGTATATAAGGAAGACTGGTCACCATATCATGTCGTATACCCTCACAGAAAACTTACAAGTAACTCATCAAAGTGCTAGTGTCACTCGCCAGTACTTGTTTCTCAGGATGAATATCACACGAATGAGTTAAGGTCTTCTAATTACTATCAAATGGTAAATAATATTGTACTCAGAACAATCTCGAATCCTTCTCAACGAACAATACGTTTTTACTCATCACCAACTTCTTGGGCTCGAAAACAGCATTACAGGTTGAGATCGCGCCGCTCATATCATGAACGTTGATAGCACAGACCCTCCTTCTTCTCTGAGTGAAGTCAGACATATTCTTCTTATCCTGTCAGGAAAGGGTGGTGTAGGAAAGAGCTCAGTGACTACGCAACTGGCGCTTGCTTTGGCGGGCCTGGGTAACAAAGTCGGTGTACTCGATATTGATCTAACTGGTCCTTCGATACCACGCATGTTTGGCTTAGAAGGACATTCAATTTTCCAATCTAATAATGGATGGATGCCAGTTTCCAAGTATGAAGAAGGCAATGGAGTGCTCAAGGTGATGTCTTTAGGGTTTCTGTTGAACGATAGAGGAAACAGCGTTGTATGGAGAGGACCGAAAAAGACGGCGATGATAAAACAGTTCATCAAAGATGTCGTGTGGGGGGAACTAGACTACCTTTTGATAGACACCCCGCCTGGAACTTCGGATGAACACATTTCCATAGCAGAGGAGCTACGTTGGGCCAATCCCGATGGTGCTATAATTGTCACAACACCTCAGACCGTGGCTACCGCTGATGTGAAAAAAGAGATTAACTTCTGTCGAAAAGTAAACTTTGACATTCTTGGGATAGTTGAAAACATGTCAGGCTTCGTTTGTCCCCATTGTGCCGAATGCACTAACATCTTTTCGAAAGGCGGAGGTCAAAAGCTTAGCGAAGAACTGAAAATTCCTTTCCTCGGGAATGTTCCTATTGACCCGACATTTGTCGAACTAATAGAAAACCAAAAGTCTGAAGGAATGAACTTGGTTGAACTCTATCGCGGACAATCTCTATTTCCAGTATTTAAAGATATTATCACATCTATTCAGGACCAAAACATACCGTCCAGAATAGGTGGATAGTTGAGAATATTCATGAGACATTGAAGTCATCTTTTAACACTTAAATTATCGTACAAACTACTCGAAGTATCATTTCCACTTGTCGACTTGGTTGTGGTTTCGAGCCCGGTCACTTGATGAAAAGTGGTACTCACCGATGCGGTTGAAGATTTCGAATGCAAAAGGTCAGAAATTATGCTTGGGGGAGGTATCGCCGGTGCAGAAGCTTTTCCCAAGGACGACCGACCTTGTTCCTTGCGAGTTTGGTTGTCTGGTTGCGCGACTTGCCCGGGTGGTGAGTGACTTGGGATAGGAGCAGCTCGAGTCAAGGAATTGTGATTGACATTCTCAATTTCAAAACCGGCCGTACCATCAGTCTTTTGTGACGCATGATCGTCCGAAGAGGGCGCAGGCGTGAAGTTTCTTGCAAGTAGCTCGTGAAGAAGAGGATAATGTCGCTTATTAAACGAAAGTTCGTTGAGCAGCCTGTTTTTTTGAGGCAGCTCATTCTCTTTTTTCTCGATTTTCTGTATAACAAGCTCAACCTGGTCCCGTAACTGCAATCGTGTAGTTTCAAGTTCCGAGATTCTTAGAAGGCAGTCCTGTTGCTCTGTGTCAGCCACCCTTCCTCGTTTTTCGCGTGCGCGCTCAACTTTCTTATAATAGTGATTGAGCCGCCGTAGTGAAGATTTTAGTTGAACCTCTATTTTACTAGTTTGAGCTCTTTCGAGCGAAATATCACTCTCAACAAGAGTGTCTATCCTCACAACATCTGCTTTGACCTGATTCAGTTCTGCTTGAACTTCCCGAAATGTGGCTTCTTGAGTAAGCTGCTTCGATGGAGTCAGCTCAGGAAGGTGCTTTATAGAGTCATAAAACTCGGAATTCTTTATTGTTTGAAATTCATGCGTTCTTCGTTTATCGATCGGGCCAACCTTGCCGAGAATTCTTGCTCCGTTCATAGCTTAACGGGGAGCTTCAGTCTCAAACGAAGCTCCGCTTTGGAATTTCGAAGTTGGCCTCACAACTTGGCTTTTTGAAGAAGCTCAAATACAAGGACTTATAGGCAGTTTTTTCACAGTTGTTTGAGAGCGATGACTTTGACTTTGATGAAGACGCTTTGTTTACTTTAATTTGGGAATCATTAATACTCGCCAAAGTAAAGGGTCGCCTAATCATTTGGTAAGACAAGAAAAGTGTATAACAACAGTATCCTGTGCGCCATGAAGGGCATTGTAGCGCCACAAATTATAGTTTTTATTATAAAGCTCTAGTGACCTTCTCTTCCGCAAGAAAAGAAACCACCCATCAATTTTAAGTGAACTGACGTTGTTCTGCTCAGTCGATGCGATGCAGTTCCATTATTAGCGGGTTGCACGAGTCAGCCATCAGTTTTCTTGGCTGATTTCAAAAAAAGCGAGTAATCATGGGCTAAGCAGACACGTAGCTCTCGCTATATCTTGCGGAGCTCAAAAATGACAAGCCGTTTATAGAAGTGAAGTTCAGGTTGAGTTTTTCAAGTCCCAGGGCAGTGTGGTGAATAATTGTACTACACTAGGCGAACAGCTTAGGTCTGGAATCGTGAGATCGCGGCTCCATATTTATATGGCGACTGGCAATTCGTGTGAAAGAAACGGTATTTGATTGTGGTTAGTCAACTTGAAATTTAATGACATGAAATGTAAGCGATGCAATTTGCCCTTGATTTTTATTCAACAGCAAAACGCACCTTGATTTCACATAGCATATTTCATGCGAATGCTATGGCATGGTCAGCGTCGTCGGCAAACTCACTTAGTCTGCTCTTACCCCAACGAGTAAAACCTAGGACATAGGCAGAGCGAGAGGGCGGGAGAAAGCAGTGATATTGTCAACGATCATATAGAAACTGTTCCCGAAAATGATCGAGTAGCTGGTCCGGTAGTCGCTCTGCTCAGAAAGAAAGAAAAACACCGTACAAAAGTCTGAGCTCTACCACCAGAAGCGACATGTTTGCAACTGCCCAAGCTGCGTAATGCGTTGGCACTTCTAGTTCTACAATTGCTACAACGTCGAAGCGTACGATTTCAATTATTGAACAGCTTTTGCTCCACACGTACCATTGATTAAGCTGGGTAGCAAGCAGCTACCTCAACCACAACAGACACGGCTCAATTTAAACAAGTAGAGGTAATTTCCACAGAATAACAGAGAAATAACTACGTCACCAAATATTGGCCACCTCCTGTGTTGAGAACTTTTCATATCGCGTATAAATCCTGTCGGTGACCTGCACCGTTGGAAGCAGAGAGTAAGAGAGGCCTGAAACTAGTTTTTCGACCGAATGGGAGCACCGAACAAGCGAAGGCCGATCGGGTTCGAATAGTCTGTGTATAGCACCCAGATATGGATTGAGTCAAAAAAATCACGGCGAGTGAATTCCAGCGCTGTCAAGTCATTCATTAAAACTACAGTTTTTGAACTTGCCGCTTTTTCGAGCAGACTGATTTTTATATTAATTATTCAGTTGACCTTGTAAGGAATGATATACTTCAAAGTCGCGAAGGTTCAACGAAAACGACCAGCACCAAGTCAAAATGGAACAGCGCTCTAACGGTAAGTGATTCAACATATGGTTTGAGATGTATTGTAGTTTGATACTAACATTGCACAGTTCTTCAATTGAAATACAATGAGTACAAACAAATCATGGAAGATCTGCAGTCCAAAATCATAGAGCTAGGAAATGACAAGGATGAGCATGATGTGGTCTTATCAACGCTGGTAGCTACGGATGCGGAACGTAAATGCTACAGAATGATCGGTGGAGCATTGGTGGAAACAAATGTGGGTTCTACAATCCCGGTCCTCGAAACTAAAGAGAAAAATCTAGCCAGCACAATATCCGCAATGAAAGTCGAACTGATAAAAACTGCGGAGGAGTTCGAAAAATGGAAAAAAGATAACAAGATTCAAGTGGTGAGGCAGTGATCGCAAGACTTTTATTCGAGTGAAGATGCGTTAAGTGTTCATCTATATGTTTATAGCCAGCTAATTAGTTTGTCTTCTTCTCAACGGGAACGTTGACACTCTTCTTGACCCCCAAAAAGAGTGCCACGAAAATTACCCATGTAAAAATGACCGCGTATATAGCTGTCAGGTAAACCCAAGAATTGGTAATGACCCAGCTTCTAGGATACTCATCATTAGCTAAATGACGAATAGCTTTCACATCTTTATCTGTGAAAAATGATAGCCCGCTCCTTTTGTAATCCACAATGAAAGTGAATATTCCATGATGGTCCGGAAGATTGAAATTACCTGTAGTGTATGTCTGGAATGTTGGAGACGACTCTTCTTTTGACTTCATGGTGATACGGTAATAAGGATCCACCATTCTGAGCTCAAATTGAACGTCCTCAGTAATAAAGGGAACCCACGTTGTACCATCCCATTCGCTCAAACTGACATCATAGAAAACTTCGTCTTTGATTTTGTAGGGAGAATCTGAATATTCAAGTCCGGAAGAATGAGCATGGTTAGAATCCACGACTTTAACAACGGCTTTTTCATCAAAGGTCCACTTTGTCAGCTCCTGGATAAAGTGCTCGTTGGATGCAGAATTTTTGTTGCTGAAAAATTCCAAGCTGCCGACCCAAGACAGCCGAGAATTTTCCAAGCTCTGGAAGGAAGCCACAAGATAGCCCTGTGATCCAATCGTCCACTTCTCACCGTGTTTCTGGCTGTCTTCGGAAAATGACGTCCTTGGAGCTTGCAGCATTGGAATGATCAGGTCAGAGACACCAAGCAAAGCAGCAGAGCCTTCATAAATGACCTCTCCATCACTCTTGGGGACCACGTACTCGTTGAGAACCTTAGATGCCGGCAGATGCAAAACAACCTCGCTGTTGTCCTGGAAAAAGTTCCTTAATTGAAAGTTCTTTGGACTAGGGAAGATACCCAGCTGGTTCAAAAAGATGCGTACATTATCAGCCACTCCATTGGGTGATGTTATAGCCAAAATCTCACCTCCTTCACTGAAAAAATGGAGAAGTCTATCTGCCGATAGCTGCTTGTTGAAATGTCTCGACTTGATTGGGAACAAAATCAAGTTGTCATAACGTCTGTCCTCTCCTTCGAAAAGCTCGATGGGGGTCGAATCATTAGTGACAGGTGCATAGCTCAACTCGAATGAGCGGTCTTTTAGGTTGCCTAGAAATACGCTGTAATCATCCAAGTCTATCAATCTTTGGTCGAAAATCACTAGCGACCTCGAGCCAGAAGACGACCTCGCTAGAGTCAGAGCTATCAATTGAACTAGCGCGATAAAAAACCGTAGCATAATAAGCAAATAGGAGTGTAATACCGCGCGGCAGCTTACTACTTGTAATGTGTTTTCATTGTAGTACCTGTGTATAAAAATTTTGTTATTTAAATTCAAAACACATTTGAAAAAGAATAGGGTACGTGTATATTCATCTGGTTGAATTGCACCAAAAAGTAGCAGCGATGTCTATGGACCAAAACACATCAGGTATTGAAAATGCGTCTGACTTCTTGGAGGCCTTCAATCAGCTGCAAGAAGGCGAAAAGACAGCGGAAAAACTCGAAAAAATGCTCGATCAGCTGGAAGTAAAGTTGGATGATTTACTTTCCCAAACACAGGACATCTCAAACAGCTCGGAGAAATCGAATGGTGAAACAGAATCCGAGCATCATGAATGAAAATTTACACGGAACTTATACATTTGTGCTCTAGCCAACTTCCCTTGGAACGAATAAGGCGTCTTCGGTGTTTTCCAAAAACGGATTCGCCGGTTTTTGTGGGTTGATCTTGTATCTGGTTGAATCTACGTCAAGTGTAACTTTTGCCTGCTTCGAGCTACCGATCCACCACTTTCTTGTCGCTGAACTTGGCGGCGGCAATTTGCGTCCTCTTCTGATTTCAGGACCAACAGGATCTTCATTCTCTGACTTCTCCATGATGAGATCACTGCTGTTCAAAACGGCGTATCGCTCCTCGTCAGTCAAATCCGAGAGCTGCTCAGTCAGCCTTTCGTATATTTCGGATGTCAACTTGGCCTTCAGATTCTCATCCACCACAGTGACTAGCGAAGTGAAAGTGGCATAAACTGGTCTATGGTCAGAAAAAATGATATTCTCTGCCGAACCGTACGTAAGCTGTTTCAATGATTCACCACGGCTCAGAATACGATCGGTCCAAGCTGGAATTCTCAGTTTTTCACTCGTGTCGTATGTTTTCGTGCCGGGATCAAATTTATACGTCGGCGGAAATCTTATTTCCATTTCATTGTAGTACGGAAAAGCTTCTCCAGCAATCATTTGTTGATTTAACTGATCTTTTTCGAAAAGCTTTCCGAAGTCAGCGGCACGCACACACTTGCGAACCTCTTCATTCGGCAGGGATATTCTATAGTTGAAATCCCCCATCCAAATAATTGCGTCGTGATCTTTAATAGAGATGTCACCCGCAAATCTGATATTTTTAACAATAGTTTTGAAATCGTGATGTCGTTGTTCGACATTTTCCAATCCCGCAGCCAGATGTGAGACTAGTATGCAAAATTTTGTGGTGGAATAAGTGAATCGCACAGCAACTCCTCCCTTATTAGATGACATTCCACCAAATCCCGTCTTTTTAACGTCACCCTCTAAATGCTTTACTTTTTTGTGTTCCGCCTCACTGATGAAGAGTAGCATTAAGACACCTCCGAGCTGACCTCCCCAAGCATGAGTATACCTTTTCGATCCCGCGTCATTCAGAGTCTCTAAAACTTTGCGTTCCCAGAATTGCTTTGGATAGGGATCAATCGCAAGCATTTGACCTGGACTTAATTCCACCACTTCTTCGAAACCCAGGACATACACATCAGCCAGCTGCTCTTCTGCCATGCCGTTCGGAAAGAGCCATTCACTGATATCATCCACCTGAGTTTTACCATTGACGTTGAAAGTTCCAGTAAATATACTGATACTCTTTTGATAAGTATACTCTTTTTTAATCTTGCGCATGAACTTAGTTATGTGGGCATGGAGTGGATCGTATAGATTCACTCGAGAGCTCGAACTAAAAAGCTTCCAGTAAATCCGCTTATATTTGTTGAGATTCTTGAGGTTCTCGCTGAACAGTCTATTCAACCAAAAACTATTGTCGGCCCAAAGTTTGTCGTGAGTGCTTTCGAAAGCGCTAGAGAGCTCTACTCCAGAAAGCTCACCGATCGTCAATTCTATTACCTCTTTGCTGACGCAGTTTTCGACAGCATTGGGCCTTTCTATAGAATCAAAAGCACTTATGCGCAAACAGCCAGTTTGCTTGCCCACGTAAATCCCTCTTCCGTTGTCGTAAACAAAAGCTCCGAATTCAAACAGATCTTGCTTCAGTAGGTAGATCAATTTATGTGTCTGCTTTGTTAAAAGATCGGATCCATAATCAACACTAATGATCCGAACACTCTTTTTGTCGGCACATGTTCTATAGGCGTTACTCAGAGTCTGCTGAGATTCACTTTTGGGTTTAGTGAGATTAAGCACACTAATAACACCATATTTGGAAGCGAGCATGTCGAAGTGTTTATCGAAAGATGCTTGAAAATATGCTGGGTCTTCGACCAGCTTCACTCTCTTTCCATGAAGAATCTGTCCCTCGGTAACCTCAAGATTCAGAGGCACATTTCCCCGCGTTTGAACGTAGGCGAGAACATATTGAGATGAGGAAAAGATGATTTCAGTTTCGATGAAACTAGAGACATGCCCTTCCTTGTCAATACCTTGCAAATCGAATATATTCTCTTTGTTTTCAGTCGAAATTCTTGAAATAATGGTGAGAGTTGACAACGAAGTCGAACTGTCCGATATCATAGTTGTCTTGCAAAACCCTCTCATAACAAATGTAAGGAATAAGGCACCATCGAACAGGGATCTCTCCGAGGCTGTAATCCTACCCCTCAGCTGAACCACCTCATTGATCATGTTGCTATTCCATATGTAGTTTTGGTCCTGATTATCAATAGCATAGTCTAGCCCATTTGTCAATCCACGCTCCTGAAGCGTATTTGAAAGATCGAAATCTCGCGAGTAATAAAAGGTTCCATCGCTGAATAACCTCATTAAGTCTGCACACGGATGTTCAGTTGAGGGTCTCTCCAGCTGCTCAGTGCTATCATTTAAACAATAATCAAAAGAGTCACTGTTGAGGCAGAAAAACTCAACATTCAGAATCTGATATATCGACTCTATGTCTTGTCGTTCCTGACCGCTTGTAATTCTCCATCGTGGATACGCAACCTTCTGGATATTTGTTGCAAGACCGACAAATAGGTAATTGTTCACACACACCAAACCTAGCAGTCCATTAAACAGTCGCCCTTTTATCTCTATGAAGTTATGGTCGCTCAAGGCATCTATGGGAAGGGAAACAACGACAGCTGTTGGTTGGGTATTCTTTCCATCTGGGGCTGCTTGCGGGCCCCTAGATTTTTCGAAAACCAGTAAATAGTCATTGGACAGGAGGGCAAGCGATCTCGGTTCTCTTCGAATGAAAAGCTTCATGGTTTCTTCTTTGATGTATACTCGCACCTAATGGTATGTAATTTAAGATAAATTGTATATACAATAATACTTGTTCTGTTAAATCGAATATTTCAACTACCACTTCCATATAGGTTCATGCGCTCCACCGATGAAAACTTCAAAGAGTTGTGCTATTGGTGCAGGATAGGTGATGTTGAGAATGTTGACAGATTGATCTCCAAAGGTGTTAACTTGAATGATATCGATGACTTTAATAATTCCCCGCTATTTCTTGCCAGCCTATGCGGACATGAGGACCTTGTCAATTTGCTTCTCAAACGGGGCGCAATTTGCGATAGAGATAGACATGAAGGCGCACGTTGTATATATGGTGCTTTGACTGATTCCATTAGGAACATTCTCTTAAAATACGACATTTCGAAAGCTGTTGATTTGAAGCAGCCTTTCGCCGCACACCTATCCTCGCAGCTCACAGACCGCTCGATCGATAGTCATGATATTTTATTGCAGGACCGAGCTGGGCACAAAGTCAAATTACACAGATTCCTTCTGCTTGCTAGAAGTTCCTACTTTGCAGATCAACTTCAGTCCATGGGCCAGGACAACGCGGTCTTGAATCTGCCTAAAGACGTTCCGGACATAAGTTTGGACATTATATCCAAATATCTGTATCTCGTCCCACTTCTGCATGGAATATCCCGCCAAGAATCTCTTGCGATAGGAAGTTTTTGCAAGGTCCTCGGATTTTACAGACTTGCGGAGTTCTTGGAAAAAGTCAGTAGCCTGCATGATCAAGTTGACATATCAAGATTGATGACTGAATACCAGCACCACTTTACAGAGGAAGCAAGAAAACAAATGCAGTTATTTGCTACAACAATAGTACAAGAAAAGCGGCACGTAAATGTCACAGACGGAATAGCATCAGACATTCTAAGCAGCATGAAGCTTGGTCCCACCATGCCCGATGTTTTCCTCTTTGTTAGGCAAAAGCAAAATTCCGAGCAAGGATTTTTATATCCGTGCCACAGGTCGATTTTAATGCGATCAGAATATTTCAGAGTTATGTTCACTTCTTCCTTTGACGAGACGACTATTTATCGTCAAACTCAAGAAGGTATTGTCGACCGGACAGTAATTTTTCCCGTGGTTTCTTTTCCAATTTGTGATTTTGAAACAGCTGAGTTGATACTGTCATACCTTTATTATGATCACACGGAGATCCCTTGGCAAATCGCTATTAATGTACTTCGTGCAGCAGACGCTCTTCTAATCGAAAGGCTGAAAACCATGGCCGCCGTTGCGATAACTCAATCACCCGAATTTCTTCAAATGCATACCGTGTTCGAAGTCCTTGACGTCGCATGGGAGTTTCGTGTTGAGAGGTTAGAACATCATGTCGCAAAGACAATTGCAAGTGACATCTCAAATTATGTGGCACAGCCCCTATTGAGAGAAGCTATTCTTCGAAGTTCCGCCATGTTGCAGAAAAGAGAAGAAACTGATACTATCGAACTAGTTGATGACATACGATACTACCTTCTAAAAAAGTACAACATCGATGTTGAAGACTTGGACGACATGGGTTGGGATGATAGTGGTGAAGATAAATCATTGATACGCAAAGAAATCTCAATGTATAGAAGTGACTTTCAAGTACTCGAAGACTTACTGCTGGACATGAATGTCAACGTCTAACGCCGTACTTCGAGCAGTACAGAATCTGGTGTAACTATAGATATGCTTTATACACGGTACAGGTTCCCACCTTAATTGGATCGTTTTGCATGGTGACTTTCAGGGAGCCATGTAGAATCCAACTTTTGGGTTTTAGCTGCTTCTGAAGACTTGTACTTCTTACCGTTAGTGCGGGCATTGCCATCCTCGCGGGTGCGGACAAATGTCATGTAAGAGAAACCTGCAATGAGCGCAGCCAAAATAAGCTGAACGAACATAAACTGTGGGTTGAAGAACGACATTGTTGGTGGTAAAATTCTCAAAAGACTAGGGTTTGCTATAACTTTTATAGTCTCTTGTTCCTTCTCCACATAAATATCAGGGGAGATAGCATAGTCGCCTTCTTTCAGAATGAGGTTGACAATTTGTTGAAACTCAGCTGTTTCATTTGTTCCAATTGGAATTGGTCCAAGAGCTGCAGCACTAACGTTGGCAGCAAGCTCATTGGTAGTAATGTCGTAGATCGCACCACCAACAGCCACAACGGAGACGTTACTATCATCTCTGTTCGAAAACGAATAACGCAGAGTAACATTATCACCATCGTCGAACTCCAAGAATGATGACACTCCACCTGGCCCCTTCTCAAGTGTCTCATAAGTTATTTCGAAGTTCGCACGTTGAGGCACATTTCCATCAGTTGCGCTGTCTTGCACAGCCTCTGAGGCATTCTCACTTCCTAACACATGAAATGCCCTCAGTGCGATAATCAAGCAAATTTGAAGATAGCCAAGATTCATTTTGCGCCAATTGCCGTGCTTTTTAGTGCTTTTCGGCTTAACTATACGGAGTTATTCGAGTATTGACCTGCTTTCTGTTTGGTGGTTTTTTTCTAGATTACGTGTCCCTGACGATAAACTAAACAAACTATGAAGCACATAAATTGTGTCCTGCCGTTTAAAGAGAGCTCTACAAGCAGTACCTGGAATACTTGACACTATCGCCTTCGCTAGATAAATTTTACTATTTTATTCCTATAAAAATTGCATTCATATCATGTGACTGTAATTATTGTTATTTACTAGCTTATATTTTTAAAATTTTAACTTTTTAGTAATATAAACGATTTTTATTTTATGCTGTACATTAATTATGTGTTTGACACTCCGAAACCTTTTTTACTTTTAGAAGTGATGATTATTAGACAGCTAAAAAATGATATTATTTTGTTAATTTAAATTCAAATAATGAGAATGAGACGGATTGAATTTTCATGCTAATCAAGGGTCTGCCATAGTAGCCAACGAAAATTCAAGCAAAGACTAAAAGGAACCCATTGTCAATGAATGAACAACCCAGATGCTACGTTTTTCTGGTAGGCATATGACTGGAATTGAGAACATGCCAATCGGCAACTGAAGTGAGCGCCCAAAGGCTCAAGATCACCTCCGAAGCTGGAAGGATCTAGAGGAAGAAAGAACACAGACTGGGGATCTAATCTCAACCGGGGTACCCTTACTTAACTATGTTCGTCTCCTCGCCATCCCCGCATATTTGTCCTTTTTTTCAAAACATCTATAGTATGATTTTCCAGTATCGATTTATTCAATGACAGAGAGTTCTCTGCAGAGTCTACGCTATCAAATTCGATGTAAGCGTAGCACTTGAGCTTTTTGTCTGACCTTTTACTGAATATGGTGATGCGATTAATCGTACCAAAACGCTCGAAATGTCTCTCCAGCAGAGATGCATTTGCATCGGATGAGATATTACGCAAAAATATTGACCGAGAATCAACTTCATTACGCAAAAGATTGCCATTCTTCTTTACATACTCTGCTGAGAAAGAAGCTTTCCGTGTACGGTTCGGGGCCGGCGAGCTTAGTCTCCTCACGTGTACAGGTTTTTTACTCCATAATTCCAACCCTTCCACCAATTCCGCGTTTGCAACGGCAGCAGTATTTTTCATGTGAATGAAGGGTCCTCAAATGGTGAAGCGTTGGGCTCACTTATTCATCTGAACACACGTTACATTGAAACAATATGAACTTGTTTGTTCCGCTTCAATTTACAAATTATTGATTATAGTCACATGATGATCGCGTCTACGATAAATTGAAAAATTTATGGAGGCGATGAGCTTGCTCAGGTTGTTCATCCTGAGAATAGCTCAAGCAGCTTCAAAACAACGCTCTAACAACACCAAGACCAAATTCTTCTTGACCACGTCGCGATGGCTTCTGTAAGAAAAAGAAAGATGGCGAGATCCTCCATCAAGAAAACCTCAAGGAAAAACAAAGATCGTCATAGAAAGATCAACATATCCGGCAACCCGATTATCGCTAAAAACTGGGACTATTCTCTCACGCTCTCGCAAAACTACGAGAAATTGGGTTTGAGGGCTAAGCTTCAAACTCCAGCTGGCGGTCAAGAGGCAAAGCTTGGTGCGTCTGTGATGAAAGAGCCTCTTTCTACGCCGTCATTTCTGGAATACGATGATGACGAGTTCGGGCCAGAAGAAAGTGCGTCCACCGAGCAAAACCTCACGCTCGAACCCGAGGAAGAGGAGATTCCTGAAGGGGAAGCTCGCATAGTACGCGATTCGGAAGGTAATGTTGTAAAGGTCATATATGGAACGAAACAGAGCGATGTGGGCTCTGATGATATAGATGAGGCTGAAGACCCCGCAACAAAGACAGAGACAATCAAAGAGTTGGAAGCCTATGCTTCGCGACCTGCTATCAAAAGAGCTCGCAAACCTAGTGGAAGGGAAGAGGCTTGGTTGAAAGCGCTGTATGAGAAACACGGGGATGACTTTCGTGCAATGTTTTTGGATAGAAAACTCAATCTAAACCAGCAGTCGGAGGGCGACATCAAAAAAAGAATCATTAAGTGGAGGGCAGCCAACGAAGTAGCATGAATACTGGCGTCTATGTATAGCCGATCGACGTGGTCTGATCACCTGCGACTCTGTAAATTAGGAATTTAGCTTTGAGCCTATTGACCGCGATTTGACATGTAAGACACATATATAAATAGCGTTTCTAGTTTGGTTCCACAAAAGCTCTGTAAGTGGTGAACTTATTGTCTGACGCAACAAACTCCACCTCTGTGTGAGGGGCAATGAAGAAGACATATCCTGGTTCAGCCGCGAGCTTCACGTCTCCATGTTGAATATGACCTGTACCTTTTGTAGTGATAACAATACTAGGACCATTGAGCCCTTCGAACTTTCTTGCACCAGGTCCATTTTCGAAAGTGGTTTCCAACACGGCAAACTCTTCAATTGGAGGATTGTACAGGATTGTCTTTCCATCTCCCGAAGATCTTGGAAACCCTTCTAATTTCATCTTCTGATCTTCAACAGAATCGTAGGCATAAGTGAGCATGTCGACAAGGTTGGAAACGTCTTTGAATTTTGGAGTAAATCCCGCTCTGACGACATTGTCAGAGGCCGCCATGCATTCAATAATGTCACCGCTGATGTATGCATGGGGATCCTTGGCTCTCAAAAAGATGGCTTCACCAGCATTCAAACGGCAATGATTCAAGAGTAGTCCACCGCAAAATAGCCCCACATCATCTGGAAATTGCTCGTTGAGTCTAATAAGGAGGTCGGGTAGATCCATCTTGTTAAAGTCGGCTGGAGAGTTTTGCGCTCTTTGTATCAAAGCTCTGGCATTCGTGGTGATGGTCTCTTCGCTGGCGGTCATGACCTTGTTGAACACGCTTTGAAGAAGTGCCTTATTTTCGACATCCTCCGGTGAGCCTTCTTGAGGAGATTCCTTGAAGTTTTTAATGAACTTTTCGCTGACGTCTTCGCCGACAACATTTCTGAGCTCTGGGATTCTTTTAAGTTCATCTGCTATCTCAGCCAATGGCTTGAAGCCACAGAAGCCCTCGAAATCTGTGACTGCGATTGCCATCTCTGGCTTATGATTGTCATCGGGGTAATTCTTAGGGTCATTCAAGTGTAGCTCTTTTGCCAGAGCCTTGTCAGGGTGTGCCTGAATAGATAGAACCTTTTCAATAGAAAGAACCTTGAAAAGGAAGGGGAGCTCTTGAGTTGAGCCAAACTTCTGGACGTTCTCCGCACCGAGCATTTCAGCGGGCTCGTCTGCGATAATATCGCGCAAGCTTCTCTTCGAGTCGTGGTTCAAAGATGGCACCTTGTGATGGGTTCCCATCCATAGTTCGGCGTAGGGTTTGGATTCCTCGATAATGATACTTGGGTCGGAGTGCGAAGCAAATTGAGCCACGGCAGAACTGGAACCCACCTTACCCCAATCATATTGCTGGAAACCTGTAAACAAACGCACAACCTGTTAGTAAAGAAATTTTATTAGCGCGTATTGTTCAATGTACTTACCAGCATCTAATCTGAAAAGTCTTTTACTCATGGTGTTGAATTGTTTCGACAATGCCTTTACGCGTATGAGGTACGTTTGTTGTCGTGTGTTATGGTGTTTAGAAACTGAATTTTTTGTTTATTGACTTCCAACAGTCTGATCATAGAACACGTCAATACTCGATTGTCAGATGATGGTCAAGGCAGTGAGCCACTGGCGAAGGTCAATGAGCGGTTGACAGCATGGAGCACGCAAGGCTTTGGCGTGACACCAAGTCGGGAAATCGATTGTCAAGGCAAGCCGAGATTCTCGGAGGTGAAAAAATAGTTATGGGGGGTATGTGCGTGGTGTCAGAAAATTGCAGACTACTTGGAAATGTAAAAATGCAAAACGAATGTAAAGAAGCGATTTCAATGGGTACCTTTTGCATCGTCGAGCAGCTCTGCCTCCTCGAGCCTCCCCAAGTTGCCGTCAAGAAGAAAGTTGCCGTCAAGAATAAAGATCCCGAAGGCATGATGAGCGGTACATCACTTCACAAGACGCTGACGATGGGTTCGTTTGTTTTAGTGGGGCGCAGTAGCGAGGTTCGTTGCCGACGAATAGGCCGAAGAGTTATAGTGGGATCTTGTTGTATCCTTTCTCGTGGTTGTGAGTTGGGCGATGTTGTAATAGTCGAACCAAACGTGACGATACCGGAATCGTGTAAAGTACCCCATTTCACGCTCGTGAAGCAACATCCAGAGTTTCCTAACAGCATTCAATTTATACCTTTACCCGGGAGCATCAAAAAGTGTATCGAAAATTGGTGTAAGGAGGCATATTTGGGCATCTCCGTCGACATGAGTAAAATAGTGACGGACCTGCAGAGCAATGGCTCGCCGTGAAATTGTTCTTGCTTCACTGAGTCTTTGCAGCGTGCAGGCGTCTACTTTATTCAGTGTGTAGAGGGCATGCAAAATTCGAACGACTGGTTTTTTGGTTGGATGCAACAAAAGAGGTTAGCTTTCGAATCAAGAGGCAATTTGTTCTTACCAAGAGGTTGGTTGTGTTAATAGTGGTACCCCTTGATAATCATTGCTGGTATAGAAGGACTCACGATGTTTGGGCGGTTTTTGTCTGTCGCAGTCAGTCTGCATATATAACTTACCAATAAATTGTATTTTCAATAACACTTCGAAGATCAAAGAGAGAGAGAGAGAGAGAGAGAGAAATCCCGCCACATAGTGTAGTCATGTCAGAGTTCTCCAATGAGCACAACTATGGTGTTGTTATTGATGCTGGTTCATCAGGCTCCAGGGTCTACGTGTACAAGTGGGAGGACCCCAGCTTCACTGCTGATCAAGCTAATGAGGAAGAACAACATTCTGTTCCCAAAATATACTTAGACAAAGAATGGACTTATAAGATTACACCAGGTCTCTCATCTTTCTCCTCAAAGCCTAAACAGGCCTTCAAAAAGCATATCAAACCTTTGCTCGAATTCGCTGAGCGAAACGTTCCTAAGGAACGATTGCATTCCACACCTGTATTTATCCAGGCCACGGCTGGCATGAGACTTCTCCAAGAAAAGAAAAGGGCAGCTATATTGAATAATCTATGTTATGAAATGAAAAAGTTCGATAGCTTCACGATAGAGGATTGTGAGTCTCAAATTCAAATTATTGATGGAGAAACGGAAGGGCTTTACGGTTGGATTGGACTAAATTACCTACTTGGAAATTTTAATGATTATCGCACTGAGAGTGGCAGCTCTCACAAGTCATCTGGCTTCATGGATATGGGGGGTGCCTCCGCGCAAATAGCTTTCGTACCGAGTAATGAAGCGGAAGTTGAAAGACACGATGATGACATCTCTACAGTGACTCTAAGAAGTGTCAATGGTGACGCACAGAACTGGAGAGTTTTCGTGAGCACCTGGTTAGGTTTTGGTGCGAATCAAGCTCGGAGCAGGTATCTAGCTCAGGCCGTCAACAGCCTTTCTGAAAATACCAACGACGACGATGACGACGATTATACTACGCGCACGCTCACTGATCCGTGTATGCTCAAGGGTTCCTCTAGCGAATTCAAGTTCAAAGGCCGAGACTTCAAAGCCTTTGGTTCCGGAAATTACGAACATTGCTCGAAATCAATTTTTCCCCTACTTCGTAAAAGCACCCCTTGCAGAGAGGAACCTTGTCTATTTGACGGAGTTCATGCACCAGCAATCGACTTTTATAAAGACAAATTCGTTGGAACATCGGAATTTTGGTATACAGCAAATGATGTCTTCCAGACTGGAGGTGAATACAATTTCTATGAATTTAGCCGCGAAGTCAAAGAGTTTTGCGAAACTGATTGGAGTGAGATTGAAAAACTGAGCAAATCTGGAAGATTTAAGGATCTGTCTCCAAAACTTCTTTTAGACAGCTGCTTCAAGGCCAATTGGATTCTCTCTGTATTACATGAAGGTTTTGAGATGCCAAGAGTCGGCATTGAGGTACCCAATAACGACGACAAAGACGCAAATGTTGATACGGAGAAGGTGGTCGCTGCTGCTGCTGCTTTCCAAAGCACTGATTCCGTTAATGGGCATGAGCTCTCATGGACACTGGGTAAAATCGTACTGTATGTCTCTGCACTGGTTGCAGATGGTCAGAGCAGTGTATCGGTTGGAATTAAGCCCAGCGCTAATGACATGAATAAGTTCAACAAAAAATTTATCCCTGGAGCGACCGGTTTAGTCAAAAATGGGAACAATGTCTTTCTACACTCGTGGTTGTCTGTTTTTATGTTTTTGCTTATGATTTCTTTTGTCTCTGCTCTGGTAGGACGCAAAGTCCTCAAGCGGAATCCCGGCTTGGCCAAATCTTTCGCCTTGTTAGTCGCCAATATGAAAGCCAAAATAGCTAGACTACAGTACAAGGCACTGTCCTCTGCCGATTCATTGAGCAATTTGGAAGAGGGTCTTTATTTTAAGCCGACTAGAAGCAGCGACGAGAGAGACGGTTTTCAGGTTCGCAGCAGGAGTATGTTCAACCTCGAGGAAGCCAGACATGGACAAAAAGAAAGCTATCAGTTGGAAAATCGTGTTCCTTTGGACCAAAGCTTACCTGAGCGTGTTAAGCTACGCACCGCTTTTTCTTTGGCGGACTTCGGCAAATTTATCAGGTCTGCTGCCCCAAACAAGAAGAATGAACTATCGAGCATTTAGTGTTCTAATAAACCTTTAATACTTAAAGTAGTACTTGCATCATAAGACCTTTTGAATAAGTTTCTTGTTTATTCAGCAATTTTATCCCCTTTGTCACTCATTTTGGACAAATTGTCCAGATTGATCTTTCCTGAAGCAACAAGTTGGGGGTCAACAACTTTGTGTCTGTACTCATAAAGAATCTTGTACCCGCCTTTGATTGTCCCCTCGGTGACTTGTAGGGTATGAGAGACTTGTGTGGCCGTGATATTGACCTTAAATAACTGGATTGCCAAGTAGATGGCAGATGCAGCTATTGTGATTGGCGACTTACCAGCCAATACATTGATATCTTTCGAATGTTTTGCGATGTATTCAGCAGCATTGGCAATCTGGACAGAGAGACCCAAATGAGAACAAAACCGGGGAATAAAGGTCTCGGCAGAGGTTTGACCGGAGGAGATAGTCGAGGTGTCAATGTTAGCAAACCCATTGGCATTCTTTTCCCGCAAAATGTTTTTGATGATTGTGAATGTTTTACCAATCTCCTTTTTCTTCACGTTTGTCAAAGAGAGGATTTCTTTAAAGGATCTACCAACCTCTGCCCTTCTACAGCCCACTAGAATTACTGAAGCCATTATACTTTCTTGTGATTTACCCTTGAGCGCCCTTTCTTCGTAACAAATCTTGTAAGCCTCCTTTGCGCAATCCTTGACAATTTTGGGTAATTCCGCAGCGTCGCACATCATTGTGATCTTGGCGTAAGCAGCCTGAAGCTCGTTATCTTTTTTGTCGACAATGCTCTTACTTTGCGCACGGTTAAGGTCTCTCATGAGCTTTATGTCACTCCCCTGAGCTTGACCTATTCTCGTAGACAAATGGTTTCCGTCCAGAAGCGGGTTGGAGGCCTCACCAACACGACTTGGGTCGTCGCCGTTCTGGTCATCATTTGAAAACGTTCGCCACTCGGACCTGGTATCGACGATTCTGTCGGAAAGTACCAGACCGCACAAAGCACAGACCACGTCTCCTTCACTGAAACGCTCGGCAACTTTGGGGGGGTAGACCTTGCATTCAGGGCACGAAACCACAATATTGAGGTTGGGGCCCTTTCTTCTAGCTGAAGCTGCCGCATTTGCAGATGCTGCTGCGGGAAGAGACATGCTTTCAACTATGCAAGAGATGGAAACCACACACTAAATTGAAGTTGATGTTCAATCAAAAAAGAGCTTTGGCCACGATTTAACAACACTGGCAGCCACTTCCCGTTGCCGTTCGTTACTTGGTAGTGAGTGGTGTTTGAAAACACTATCCAAGACCTCTATAGTGCGGTTCCTGTATCCAATCGGTCCCACTCCGAGGTCTTTTGTTTGACTAATACTAATGGACGTTTCGATTACTTGTTATACTTTCAAATTAAAAGTAATATCATTGGATACGAATAGTACCTGGGGTTGAAAAATTTTAAGAAATAAGCATCTCATCTCATCTCATCTCATCTCATCTCATCTCATCGCATTGAACTTGAAGTTAGAGGGTCAATCAGGATAATCAAGCCTTTAAAAGCGAAGAATCAGCAATGAAGGTCAGAAAGAAGCAGTCCAAGAGGACATCTACGAGGATGAGAGAGGGGATCAAAAAGAAGGCCGCTGCCCAGCACAGAAAAGAGAGGAAACATGCCAAAAAAGACGTTACATGGAAATCCAACAAGAAGAAGGATCCTGGTATTCCCGCCAACTTTCCTTACAAGAACAAGATATTGGAGGCCATAGAAGTTCGTAGACAGCAGGACCTCGAGGAGAAGGAAATCAAAAAGCAAAATAGACTGGAAGCCAAGAGACGTGCGGCTGAAAATGGCGAGGAACTGATGGACGATGACAGCGACGATGACAGCGACGGCGGTAATGGCTTGACAGCTCTTGTAGAATCAGCGCAACAGGCTGCAGCTGAGTATGAAGGTTCTGTTTCGGCACCAGACGCTAACGATGAGGAAGATCAAGAAGTGGTAGAATACGATATCGATTTCTTTGCGGATAGCGATAGCGCTGATGATGCCTCTGCTACTAGCGAGCTTGATAGGTCCCGTAAGGCGTACGATAAGATTTTTAAGACTGTGGTGGATGCAGCAGATGTTATATTGTACGTTTTGGACGCGCGCGACCCTGAGGGTACACGTTCAAGGAAGGTAGAAGAAGCTGTGTTGCAAAATCCTGGTAAGAGACTGCTTTTTATTCTCAATAAAGTTGACTTGATCCCTCCTTTCGTGCTGGAGCAATGGATGACATTTTTGAAATCCAGTTTTCCAACAATTCCATTGAGAGCCGCTCCTGGTGCTACTAACGCTTCCTCCTTCAACAGGAAGTTGACGCAAGGCGGAACCGCAAATGCCTTGATCGAATGCTTGAAGACGTATGCCAACAACTCCAAGTTCAAGAGATCCATTGTGGTAGGCGTTATTGGATATCCTAATGTGGGAAAGTCCTCTGTCATCAACGCTCTGACGTCTCGTCGGGGTGGCTCTAGCAAAGCTTGCCCTGTGGGGAACCAAGCTGGTGTCACCACGTCTCTCCGGGAGGTTAAAGTGGACAACAAATTGAAGATTCTCGATTCTCCAGGTATTTGTTTTCCCAGTGAAAATAGCAAAAAAAGTAAGAAGGAACGGGATGCCGAACTGGCCCTTCTCAGTGCTCTTCCGCAAAAGCATATCGTGGACTCTTATCCAGCGGTCCTTATGATGGTTAAGAGGCTATCAAAATCTGATGAGATGACAGAGGCTTTCAAGCAGCTATATCAGCTTCCACCCATTCCTGCTCCTGATGCCGATTCTTTCACCAAACAATTTTTAATTCACGTAGCACGCAAAAGAGGAAGAATTGGTAAGGGAGGTGTTCCAAACCTCAACAGCGCTGGTTTATCGGTACTAAATGACTGGAGGGATGGTAAGATCCTAGCGTGGGTTCTACCTAACTCTTCCAAGGAATCTTCCAAGTCGGCTGCAACTGCTGCGCAACCAAGTGCTTCCGGTAGTAGCAAGCCTTTGCAAAACGCTGAACAAGCAGCTATTGTCAGCGAATGGTCCAAGGAATTTGATCTCGACGGGTTATTTGCATCTTTGGACAGTGCTATCGCGAGCGACCGTAAATAAAAGGAACATATGTTTCGAAGCAGCACACTCATAGAATCATATATTATGTACATTATAACATCATAGATCTGGTAGAATGAATTTCGTCTTGAAGTGGGCAACCCGTGAGCTATGCTCACACACTTAATGTTTTATTGAATGTTGTGAAGTTGGACTCAAACTATAAAATCCACAGCTGGAATCTTAACAATTGGAAGATCAAGTGTAAGCAAAGATATACTCCTTATCATACCTTCATAGATACTACCGGGGCTATACCATTTCAGTCGAGCAGTAAATGGATGGAATTGGGTATTGGTGATCGGTTATATGTTGATAATCACTTTTGCACCATCCGATACATAGGAAATGTTCGTCAATGGGGGGATGTGAAGGCATTTGGTGTGGAATGGGATGATGCGAGCAGAGGAAAGCATTCTGGTACTGTTGATGGTGTGAAGTATTTTGAAACAAAAGTGGATAATGCAGGATCGCTTCTACGGGGAGCTAAAGTAGCTCGCGCAAACTCAATTAGAAATTCGTACGTGGAAGCTCTGACCAGAGTGTACTTATCTGGAAAAACGGACAGCACTGAAGTGTTTTTTGGTTCCAAGAAAGTTGAAATGCTAGGGTTGGACGTTCTAAGCATGAGGAATCAGGATATCAGACATTTGAAAATAGTCAACCTGTCGGCAAAAGGAATTAGTACAAGCGGAAAAGAGCAGGAACTAAGTGCAATCTCCAAAAACTTGAGAAGCCTCAAGGATCTAGATCTTTCTCACAATTTATTCACGGATTTCAAAGAGGTGCTGTGCATTGCTCGTGGGCTCAAAAGCTTAAAGACGCTGAACATTAGCGGTAACAGATTTTCTAATTTTGATAGTGGCTTTAAAAGCGATTTAAGCTCTGTTGAGGAACTGATAGCTGATGACTGTAGGATTTTCGAAAATTTTATGACAATCCTGAGTTCTGTTTTCCCAAACTTGAAGAAACTCAGCGTCAATGGAGCACAAGACAGTCTTTCGTTCAGAAAAGACACAATTTTGTCATCACTCGAAGAAATAAGCATAGCACGCCTTGGATTGAAACAATTTCCGATCGATATACTTGCCTCTGACATCAAGGCGGTTAATTATTCATCCAATCTGCTTACAGAACCGCTTGCTCTTGAATCTGCTAGCCTCAAGGTTCTTGATATATCACATTGTCAAGTGAGCTCATGGGCAACTGTTGACGATCTCTGCATCAAGTTACCCAACTTGAAGAGCCTAAGAATCAATGGTAATCCTATTATGGCTGATGAAGAAGAGGACGGAACACTACAGGTTATAGGTCGCATGAGGAACCTAGAGTTCTTGAATGGAACTTTTATCGAGAGAAATAAGAGATCGGATGCGGAGTTGTACTTTCTTTCTCTTGTCGCAAGAAAGCGAACTCACATCGACGAAAACACACCACAGTGGCGATACCTAGTCAAAAGACACGGTGAAATTAGACGGCCGGCCAAAATTGCGAGTTCAGTTCCAGGAGTCGAGATTCTGGTTTTACTTGTCGCGCTTGATGAGCACAGAATTCAAGAAATGAGCGTCTTACCTTGTTATTCAGTTAGATACCTGAAAAGCATTATATCAAAAAAAATCTCGTTATCAATATTTGACTTTGAGCTGAGGTTCACCTCCAAAAATGGAGGTATTCCACAAAAGTTCAATTTTGAGTTTTCGCCAATAAGTTCCTATGATTTGGAAGACCACGATACTATTCATGTAATCAAAAAAGAGACTTAGACGCTAACCAATTTTCTGATATTCTGAGAAAAGAATAGCTTCATAGCCATTTTTATAAGGAGATTAAAGAATAATGACCTCAGTCAATGTTGAAGTGCCACAAGCAATCCCCCAAGTGGTGATAAAGCTCGACGCCATGACCCTTGTTGATAGATTTGATGTCTTCAGTGCTCATAAGTAGCCTTCCGACAGCCAAAGCATTCTCCTTGTTCTCTGCTGTGATAATAACTAGGCTTTCGTTTTCGAAACCAGGCGCCTCAGGCAATTGAGCACCCGGTGATGTCAGACCGGGGCACATAATATTGGCTCCTGACAGCACGAACTTAATTGCACCGCGATCGACCTGGACAGTGGGGAAAGCCTCCGGAAATCTGTGCACAAATCTCAGCGTTGGGATTAGCTCATTGAACTTTTGAAAGAACAGAATCTCTCCGTCGACGCAGTAAAGCTGTATCTTGTCCTCACACTTGATAAGTTCAACCTGACTTTTCTTGGGAACCAGTTCATCGATGACGGGTTCTAAGGCGGGGAACTGCGACACCAGTTTTGTTTTCAGGGTTCGCTGAACTGAAGACTTTACATTTGACCTTGAATGGACATCCTCTCGGGAAAATCTGCAAATAAGAGTTTTTAGGTTAGTATGCGTTAAAAGTTAGGAAAACTTGGTGAAAAGTCGCAAAAAATCCATTGTTTTCGCCACAAAGAACATACTTTCTGAACATGGTTCAAATTCTGTTGTGTGATTGCGAGTTTAGCCCTAAGTGAATGGCGCAACACTCTCTACTTTAGTAACTGGAGTCTGATCTCATCGGCAAAACTATAAAACTTCAATTTCTTTCATATTGAGCCTACGGTCACGCGACACACCCAAGAGGATCCTAGCTTCCTTGTCACGTGATCTTTAAAAATTATTAAATAAGTTGTAAGCATGAATCTGAAATCGTGTGCTACGAGACGTTATTTCAAGAACTAACCAAAATGCGAGGCATTTATTAAAGCCTTCTAATCCAAGACCTTGACGTGTACTCACGTCTTGACCATTCTGAGGGTTAGGAAGATCTTGGAATTGATTGCAGTGCTTCGAAAGCACCCCTCTGTTGACAAGGAATTACAATAAAAAGTAGTTTCCAAAAATTCCCTACATAGCTACAGTGTGAAAAAGACACTTAAAACTATGAGGAGCGGGTCAGGTTAATATTAATTTCAACCAGCAATAACACAATCTCGGACGAATCCTCACTGATATGCGTATTTCCCGTGCATAAGGATGGTTTTTTAAATTCTAGCACATCATGTTAACTTTTAAGCAGACTGCCCTATTTATATACGCTAATTTTTTTTATACCTCGCCTTAAAAATATATTAATTGCCCTTTACGACAACTGCAGACCGAAAGCTTCGACCCTAAAGACCAGTAATTACGCATGGGATTAATGTCCCGTCGCAGATGTCAGATTCATGGCTCTCTTCGATACACGATGCCTGTTTCTTCGAATGTCACTTATAGATCTTGTTTTTAAATAAAACTCTCTGAGAGATCCGAGTCTGTAAAGTCCAGGAGCTGATTTGAGTCGGCGAGATTGGGGATTTTTGAGACTGGCAACGAAGCATCAAAGCTCGAGGCGGTGCCGGCAACGAGTCTAACATCGGAGTCTTGGACCACGACGTTGTACAGCGTAGGGCGCGATAACTCACTCTTGAACCCTGACTTCTCCAGGCCGTTTGCGATAGCCTTATGCTTGCTCATGGCCATAATGCCTTCTCTTGTATTGGCCTCCATGTTCCTAAATGCGCTTATGAGCCTTTGAGACTTCGCAGAGTGCGGTAGAAATCCTGTCTTCACATTGACTAGAAAATCAGGAACTGGCTCTATGCAAACACCACAAAGGGCAGAGTAATTATCCTCAAAATATTGGCGCTCTTGCGAACTTAAGAGCCCGTCCGACATTTCGAAAGAACTTCTGTAGACGTCTTCGTTCCCCGGTGTGTAACTTTCTTGGCTTTTCGCAGTTAGAGGGATGGTGTGTCCACGTTCATTGGGGGAGGTCCATGTTTGTCCAGCAAATTTGGCACTCTTGAAGGGCGGAATTGCCTCATCCGAGGAATTGGCTGGGGTAGCAGAACTCGCCGGCCGCTTAGAGGACGACGTTGGAGGGTCTGAAAAAAGAGAAGTACTCTCCGTCCCTGCCGTATTAAGATTTCTCGCGGCCGCTTTGTGGCGGGCAAGTACTGACGTCATCTTTGCTGAATCAAGTTGGCTTGATGCTTCAGGTTCAGGCTTGACAGGTGATGAAATCGGTGAATCGAGGGCAATGTCATCTAAAACTTGATACCTCAAGTCGGCCTGATTCTCCAAACGCTCCAACTTGACCTTTTCGCCATTTTCTCCTTGAACAAACTTATTGACCAAACTCGTGGCGGGTACAATGCCTGTCTCCACGTTATCAGGCATAAAAAATCGTTTCTCATTATCTTTAGGCTTTCTCGTCTTCCTCGCTCCCTTTTTCTTCTGAGTGTCCAGCTTTCCCATCATCGATTGAGTCGCAAACTTAATCACCTCGTCTGAGTCGTCAATATTGTTCAGCTCATCTTCTTCAGCTCCGATCGTTATAAACTTTTTCTCACAGACTGGCTCTATACCCGCTGGTAGAATTCTGTCCGATGGCCTATAATCAAGAGAGTTCCTACTCACAATTCGCTGTAGCTCTGCATAGTCTTCCATCGCCTGAGCGAATTTCTTATTCTCTGTACCGCTTAACAGCAAGACTATTTTACCATCTCTTTTTCTTCCAGTTCTACCCATTCTTTGAATGTTCTTAATGGGACTTCCAGTTGAGTCATAGCATATGATCAAGTCAACCTCTCCAATATCCAGCCCTTCTTCGCCAATAGACGTACATACCAACACGTTGTAAAGACCGGATTTAAATTTTTTTAGGACATCTTTCTGCTGCCTCTGGTTCATTCCTGTAATCTGGGCCTCCTCGGAAGTTCCTGTACGGCTCGACATTCTCTGTAAACGTTTCTGTTCCTTGTCTTTCTTCTTCTCTTCAGCTATGGCTTGTTCCTCTTCCAGCCGCTGTACTCTATCTGACTTCTTTCTACCCTTTGATTTATTTTTCCTCGTGTATTCTTCGTCATCAAATCCTTCCTTTCCACGAGCTTGTCCTATAAAAATGTGAGGTCGAAGTTCATTAATGTGCATAGAATCAATGGTCTTCACAATTTCGAGGGCGGACTCTCGCAGTTCGGTGAAGACGATAACCCTTGAACTTGGTTGGCAATCTATTATGAATTCTTGGAGTTCCTGTCGAAGATATCTCAATTTATCATGCCCCAAAAAGTCTTGCCTCGCCAAAAGCTGTTCGCAAGTTCTCATCACAGTTTTTAGAATCGGATTATAGTAAAAGGAGGCGGCGGTTTTATTGGTGGATTTCCCCAAACCATACTTTGTCGTGAACTCCTTGTGTTTATTTTCGAAAAATTTGTAAAATGACTGTACTCCATAAATCTTCAGCCTTTTCAGCATATGCCCTACATGAGCCAGAAGCTGTAAGATAAAAAAGTTTCTCCATTTTATTCCCTCTGGAATGGAGGGATTTGCCACTAGCCTCTGACTTTTCTGCAACGCGACGAAAGCATTTATTTGTGAAGGATGGCAGTCATCGTAGATTCCAAGCTCCACGGCCTCTTTGAGGACCGGCGTAACAGCTAGACCGAGCTGTTCTATTATATCTTCAATTTCGGGCAGTAGTCCCACATCAATTTCCTGCTTGTCTCTTCTTTTCATATAACGAGACACATCGGCATCATCTTCCGTTCGCTGTTCGATTCTAGATATATTCAAATTCTGGACCACTTCTTGAACACCTTCGAGATCTGCCGCGGGTGTGGCGGTCAATGCCAAGAGGCGGTAGGATGTGTTGAATCTATCCATGAACTTTGTAATTTCGACGTAAGAATAAGAGCCCCGAGCTCTGTGGGCCTCGTCAATCACCAAACAAACAACCTCTTTTGGGTCCAATACACCTCTTTTAAGATCGTTTTCCACAACTTGAGGAGTAGTGAAGAAAACTCTCTTCGAAGCCCATATCTCTACTCTGTTTTTCCGCGTCTTGTCCAGCAAAATAGCGGTATCGTTATGAGGGATTCCAGTGACACCCAAGCATGCCTTAATTTGCTGGGCTACCAGGGGTCTGGTGGGTGCTGTAAAGATTATTTTAGCTTTTTTTGTCCATCGGTAGTAATTTAACATCACTGTGCTTGCAATAAATGTTTTGCCGGTACCCGTAGGGATAGCACATATCAGGTTTTCGTAGAGCGCCTTCTTGACTATCTCAAACTGGTATTCTCGAACTTCGTAGTTCGTGGGGTAAATATATGTTCCAAGAGAATCCATGTTGAGTTGATGGTGCGTGGGCCCATATGTGACGTTTGTCTTCACCTCTTCATAGAATCGCTTTTGATTCGGAAGGACCTTGCCAAAAAGATCTCTCTGCTGAGGTAGGTTTTTTCTCGTCACAATGTGCTCGACGGTTCTATTAACATTGTTCTCCAGAAACGATTCCAATTCGTCATCACTAGAACTGTCGTTGACCATACCGCATTGGTTGTTCGGCACTCTTGCAAGGCAGCTCGTTGCTCATCTTTGTATTATCTAGTTGATGAATTTAACGCGTTTGTTATGATGAACATAAAAACACTTCGTACCAAAGGACACAATGTCCTATTCGCGTCTGTGAGATTCTTCACCACACCCAGTGCAAGCTCACATAACGCTATCGAATGTTGTCAGTAAAGTTCGGCCAAGTCATTGTCTTATAATATCATGCTGCGGTTTTATGAGAGTTGAAAGCGGATATTATGTCGTTCTTGGTAAATTTAGCACTGCTACCTTTGTAATGCTTTTCAATTAGGGTGTATAGTTTCAAATAGAGGGAAACTGTTTGGCCTTGAGTACATGACCACAGTCTATCCAAAAGAATAGTGCTCACCTCATTTTGTCCTTCGTGGAAGATATCTCGCTGAATAGTTTCGTAAAGCCTGGCAACGACAGCGGTAATCTCTGTAGAGGAGTATCTTTCGAGTATCTTATTCAAATTTTGTTGACTGTAGACTGTCCATTGTGAAGAAGTAACGACGCGGTTTTTTGAGATTTCCATCAAGCTGTAAGCGCCATCGACAAAACTGTACAAATGGTTCATCGAATTGCGCAACAAAGTCTCTGCGTATTTATCTCTCTCAACATTGAAGATGCGTCTAGTGGTCTGAAGACAATCAACGAATAGTGACTCGTGGCCAAAATTTGGGAGAACCTCGATTATCCAATTGCAGTTTATGAGCAACCAGATCGATTTCGAACTTTCATCCGATGTAGTCGAAGGTGGCATCATGTTATCTGACGATGGGATATGCGAACCCTTCTGTAAAACCGACAATAATGCTTGGCCCAAGCTGTTGTAAGACTTGTCAAAAATTTGACGAGATCTTGGGTATTCCTCATTGGAAATTTGCAACTCTTCGGCTGTAAAAAACACTTCGTCTTCGATGCGGGCGACAAAAGCGGGCAGCCCCACAGCAAAAGGCGCCACGCGTTTTGCATTAGCATTGATGGAAACTCTCTCAATTGCTGTACTTTGATCATCAATATAACCTTCCCATTCCTGTGTAAATCTGGCATAGAATTTTTCAAACGTTGTCGCAAGAAATTCTTGATTTGATTCGCTATAGCGGGAGATAGACCCCTCAAGGTAGATCATAACAAGCGGGATCAATGGTGCTTGATCTTTCAAAAAGCCTAAAATCTCACCAAAGAAATCGTTGAAAATGGACTGAAAAATTCTTGTCATCAATTGGGTTTTCAATTGCGCAGATTCACGATCCGACTCAAGTGGCTGAATGTCTTCTAGTGGCAAACTCCGGGAAGTAAGCTCAGGGTATGTGGCCACGTACTCCTCGAAGTCAACACCATCATTCAAGTGAAAGAACGCCCCAACAAAATTCTGATAAGTTAATGCTAGCGATTCCATAGTTTTGAGGGCGCTTATCATTTCATATAGGGTCTCCGCATTTTTCGGTTTTAATGGTTCGAACTGTTTCACTGCATGTCCAGTTTTCCAGCGATTGAGTAGATCTTTCTGATCGGACAAGCTCGATACAGCATCCTTGTTCCCTTCGAGTTTAAGACGTGATTCCAAGTACTGTAAAAGCGGGGCCGATTTTTTGTCAAGAAGCACTTGCGTTTCATGAATCGCGTCGTCTATCATACTGGTATAGACCTCACATGCGATGTCCTTGGCGAAAAGAATAACCGACGAAAACATCAAAAGTCTGGAAAGCACATTCGGGAGCTGGTCTATGGGAACCTTCTCGTGTTGCATATTGACAAATTTTGCGTGGATTTCGTCGGCCACGCGCATGATAAAACGTTCTGTAACTGCCTCATAAGCTTGCCTTCTCTCTATCAAAGCTTTCATCATGCCTAAATTTCCATCTTCCTCTTCGAAATCGCCACGAATAGCTTTCAAAGCCGTGTAGAGGGGCTGCAAAAGGTTTTCGATCTGTTGCAAGTTTCTCTCGCTAAGAGGTCGCGCCAAAATATTGTTTAGTGTGACTTCGTCCACAGAGACCGAGCTTAAAACATCCGAGAGCTCCTTCCACAGCATCTTCTTATTGGCACTCTCAACTTGTAGCCCATTCGCTTGGCTCTCTACATACTCGATGTCCCTTGATACTGTCGAAAGCTCCATCGCGAAAAATGACAGGGTAGGATCTACCTTTTCACATTCCGCAAGCACTTTTTGCCGAAAAGTTGGAAACGCTGAGCTAGTTTTTGGGAGCGCCACAAGTTCCTTGTTAAGAAGGTACTCAGTGCCCGCAAGCTTGTTGGAAAGCTTAGAAAGAAGTTCTACAGAGTCGTCTTCAATAGACCAGTTCACATCCTCGAGTGTTTCCATCAGCAGTTCATTTTCGACTTGACTGAGAGCATTAGGTACAGTATTCGTTCCTTCTGTATTTGCACCGCCAATCGCGGAATCCGTTGGCTCTTCTCTGATCACTGAGACTTCATGATATGCATGACGGCCGTCATCGCTTTTTTCATCCTCAAACCCTTGTGTATCAAATGGTACGCCAAATGTGTCCTTCTCCTCCTCTAAAATCTGGCTGTAGCGTACCTCATCGCCCTTTTCAAAAGAAAGCTCATTGGTGTTCTCATCCACTTCGAGCGAGTGACCTTCGTTCGATGATGCATATTTTTTCGATACCTCAAATTCAGCTCTTTTACTCTCTTCGATCCCAGACCTACCCTGCGTATGGTGCGAATCTTGTTCATCACTCAAAGCATGTGCTTTAAGATCAGGCGGATTCGACGGCTCTCTGAGCACAGAGTTGAGTTCTGATAAAAAACTACTCGACTCGGGAGTCTGAGACCGTCTATGTTCCAAGGGTTGGTGTATCGTGTATTTCGCGTTTAGGCCCTCATCTGCGTTTTGAGATACTTGAGAGGTTGACAGATCTAACGGCTCGACGTGGCTTAAGTTTTGTTGCGATAAAGCGTCCTTGCTCGAATGGCTTACTTGTTTGCTAGCAGTATCGTTCAAGCTTTTCAAAGATGGCGACGACCTGTTCAGCGGAGGAGAAGCTGTACGAATTGGACTAGCCGTTTTGATTTCGGGCGGTTCACGAGCTTGGGGCACAGACGCCGCACTAGGTTTTGAGACTTCGTATGGAAGATTTTCACCTTTTTTTGTGGCTAATGGCGTGAATGTAGCGTGTTGCTGCTGACTTCGTGGCTGTTTTGGTTGTTGAGGAAGTGCCGGAAGCTTTACAGGTGCAGGAGGGATATGAGGTGGAGCGTCAGAACCGCTCATGCCAGAAGACTGCTTGGAGCCAGTTGTAGGTGGTCTTGAAGGACTAGCTGTTGAGCCTGGCAAGTCCTTTTGTTCAGACGAGGAAATCAAAGCTCTTTGGTAGCTGTTTCTGTCCATATAGAACAACGCCAGATCCCAGTTAAGAAGTTGCGGCACGCGACCACCAGAGTCTTCCATGTATATTCTGATCAGAGTTTTCACGAATACCGTGCGCTCTTTGGCAGTATTGGTTTCCCAGTAGTAACGTTTACCCATAGTGAGCAAAAACCCCTCGGGTTGTTCCACGTCGCGCTCAACACACACCAGCTCCTTCAAAGGCCATGTTCTGCCAATCTGAAATGACCCGTTGCTGTTTTCACGCGCTTTATGAATCTGCATCCCAGCTCCATTCGTCAAAGCGCTCACGATGAGCACTCTTTTTTTCTTGTTTGCGAGCGGTGACGAAACTGGCGGTCTAGAACTTGGATAGCGTGTATCTTCTATAATTCGCACATGCGTAACATACGTCTTGGAAAGCCTAGAGCTATTTCCAGGACCGGTTGGGTCCTCAGAAAAACAGCTGCTCAATATAGCTTTTCTATCACGCTCATATTGTTCCGCCAAGAAGTTAGAACTCACAGATGCATTTGATGTCCGTGATGCATTTCTGGTATGGCCTGCAATAGGCGGATTTTGCTGTCCAATTGATGGTGTCTTACGGTGTTGGCCTTGCGAATGGGGTGTGCCGTCCGTGGAATTACCACGGTGGTGTGTGAAGCTCTTGAAAGGTGAGCTTTTACCCGCCATGATGGATTGGATCAGACAATTACAATTGAGCTCTGACGGATGCTGCCAACACTCTAAAGCTTTTTCAATTGTGCCCTTTGATGTCTCTTATGATACGTACCCTTCGTACATTTTATACTATTTTTCCATCCTGATATTTTAAATTGATCTTGAATATTATTGTAGAGAGACTTGATGTGAATATATGTATATAAGTGCTACCCGGAAGCTCGAAAATTTTCGAAAATCGATAAACCTTATTTCCAAAGCTACTAAGCTGCTGATTCTTGTGTCTTTGATTCATCAACCGATCCGACTTCCACTTCCATAGAATCTCGCCGCCTAATCACAAAATGTCTGTCGATTTCAATACCCTAGCGCAACAGTTCACTGAGTTTTACTACAATCAATTTGACACGGACAGAACGCAATTGGGAAACCTATACCGTGAGCAGTCAATGTTGACGTTTGAGACCACACAACTGCAGGGTGCCAAAGACATTGTCGAGAAGTTGGTGTCGCTTCCTTTCCAGAAAGTGGGCCACAGAATCAGCACCTTGGACGCACAGCCTGCATCGCCAAACGGCGACGTGCTAGTGATGATCACAGGCGATCTTCTGATTGACGAAGAGCAGAACGCACAGAGATTCTCGCAGGTGTTCCACTTGATGCCTGAGGGAAACTCGTACTATGTCTTCAACGACATTTTCCGTCTGAACTATGCGGCCTAATCTGGCAGGTATAGGAGCTCGAAAATTGTAATCCAGCTTTCACAGCAAAGGCACACCTCGCTTATAAGTACCACGTCCCTGTGTACTGAATGAATGAACAACCTTTTCAAAGATTGGCATCTTTCTTCTTTTTTCAGGATGAGCCGTACGTCCTGTTGCCAAAAGTTCGGAAGGAAGGTGAGTATTCTAGACTACAAAGTATAATTGCAAACCATTTTACATACTTGTTACGACAAAAGCATGGCTTGGGGGTTCGGGCGCTAGGAACTTGACTGGTGTTCTATTTACATAGTTCTTGTCGATCGCTGTCCACGGACGATATGTCTTCTGGCTTTACTGTTAAATTGAAGTGCCAGTGTGCCCTTTGCAATGGAAACATGTATATCTAGGCAAATTCGACTTGTACCCAAGCTTTCGGGAATATTTGACGACTTTCGCACGTAAATGAGTTCAGTGGACAAAAATGGGGACTCCCCCGTTCCAATGGTTCCTTCCAGACCCGCAAAAGTATGTTGTTTCATGAAGATGACAGCATTTGAAGATGCAACAGCAAGCGATCAATTCTCCTTTCGGACTACATCTCGCACCAGTGGTTCGATTTCCTCCCAATGGCTCGATTGGTACTAACTTGATATTGATTAGCGCCCAGAAAGCTCGCCAGAGAACGCGTTGCCGGCAATACCTACCAACCGACCTTTGAGAAACCGCACCACGGGATATTTGAGCCAGGTTGCCCCCAAAGTACCATCCACGAGGCCTACTAGAAGACACACAGAGGAATTCAATGTGGGTGCTGATCATCATGATGGACATTTCGACGCGCAACCCGCAATTGAGACGATCAAAACACAAGAAAACAAAGATAGGTCCAGTAAAGGTCCGGAAGACTTGGAAAGAGATGACAGTTTACAAAATGAAGAAGTTCATGTACAAAACGATGCTAGCTCATCAGGAATCGGGGAAAGCTCGTTCACACCTCGGGAAGAGTTGAGAGATAGTTCAAGCATCGATGGCATTGAACACAGGGTTGAGACACCTTCCGCGGACAATGAAGTTCTAAAATCAATGGGTTCTGCGGATCCTTTGAGCGATCAACCTGTTTCACAGTCTAAAGAAAAGGCACAGGTCAGTTCGAGCAATTCTGCGAACAATCTCTCAACTTCTACGGAATCATTGGCAGACACGGAGCTTGGTGGTAAGTCAGATAGCTCTGATCTCAACTCTGCGGAAAGTAAAGGGCAAAGTCCCAAAAATCTTGCAGGTTCAGGTCAGGGCGAAAAACTTATCGATGGTGGCCTGGTTGAAGATGACGCCCTAGCTGAGAAGACGGATCAGCAGGCTTCGAAAGATCGTGATCTCGGTGATCTTGGCGGGGATGAATCGACAATACCTTCCAATGAGAAGAATATAACCAGTGGTGAACAACACAGAAAAGAGGGCTCACACGATCTTGATGTGACTCAAGGGGAGCGAAAAGAAGAAGCTTCCAAACCTACAGATGTCCCACCTAAAATATGCTCAAACGATGCCACTTTTCCTTCATCGCCAAAAGACCAGCCAGGCGAAACTCCGAAAATACCACAGAGACCCGCTAAGAGAGCTCCACCCAAGAAGCCATCTTCGAAGATCGCAGCCTTTCAGGAAATGCTGAAGCAGCAACAGCTACAGGACCAATCGAAGTCGAAAGGTGTTGAAGGAAGTGGTCAGCTTCTAGGCGATGGAAAAGCCAAAATTGCGTCTAATCTCAACGGAATATTTGGTCTACCAAGTTTGGGTGGTGGGCCTGTCCCTGTCACACAGCCAGCAGTAGCTCAGGGAGAAGGGAAGGATGACGAAACTGCCGTTGCCAGTAGTTCAACCGATACGGTAAAAAATATGGAGCCAACTACGCAACGAAGAGCAAGAGGGCCGAAAGGAAGAAAGCTTCCGACGCGCTTAGCTGGTGTAGAGAAAGTCGAGGGCACAGGTAGCCCTTATGGCATCCAGGTGGTTAAGGCCTGGTCTATAAGCTTTCAGCTGAGTCCCCAAGCTGAGTTGACAGAACCCACTGAAAATTCTGTTGTCGAGAGAGTTGAGGGAGGTCAGGGATCTGATGAAGAGCTCGTCACACCACCAGCTTTGGAGACCAGGGGCCCAATAGATGCCGAAAGTCTTGCAACTGCAAACCTCAAAGCGAATGACAATGCTGAGAAGATTGGACAGAGGGTCGAACCGTCAAGCTCAAAAGATAATGACATCGATGCCACTTATGACATAGTCGACGATCTCCTCGAGGATCATGAGCTCACGTCTTCTACCAGCGAAGATGAGAATGGGGAAAGGTTGGCAGGAATTAATGCATTGGGCAAAAACTCATCTAGTGGCAAAGAAGAATCAAGTGGCCCTTTCAAGCAAGACAATGAGCAAGGATCGGAGCTAGTCAATTGATTGAAGCACTTGGATGAGCTACCCGAAGTAAATCGGGGCTAGAAGCGGCTTACTTGACTTTAAATGGGCCAGGTGGAGAGAATCGTATTATAACCTAATTCTGCACTTGGTCAGATGTGGCAAAAGATGGCTCTCTAAGCAGCTATATGTGCTTACATTCATTCAAAATGAAGACATTGTTAATCGAAAATGACTGATGCTACACTATTTCTCGAATCTACATTGCACCTTACCTAAAAACCGCTGCCTCAATTCGGATACTTTGAGAAAATACATTTACGTCTAAGCCATTTGTCTGCTGAAACATGGAATAGGCATAATGAGAGAGAATGATAGTGCGGTAGAATACGAGAAAAAATGCATCTCAAATTCACCAAGGATGGCGCTCTTTTTCAAGTGACTGAGCCGAAAATCAATTTGTTGTTTGTTGGTTTGATTCAGAGAGTTTGGCGCGAGCGAAGAAAGTAAGAAAGATGTCGACGCTGCGAAAATAATTTTATAGCATTGGTAGAACTACGGCTTGCCACTGACCCGGTGCTGTGCATCAAGTATGACTTACTCATGTTAAAAGCGCTCTTGGTTGAGCGTCATTTATCAGTCGCCAGATACGAAGGGACTACTTTATAACGATGTCTTCTATTCTCAAAGATCAGGACATCTCAAGATATCGTCAGTTAAAAGATACAAAAACCTCGCCAGTATGGTGGTTGACACCGCGTATTACGACTTACTAGGCGTTGCTCCCGATGCGAAAGCTATAGAAATAAAAAAAGCCTATAGGAAAAAGTCTATTCAAGAGCACCCCGATAAAAACCCTAATGACCCGAGCGCTACGGAGCGATTCCAGGCTATATCGCAGGCTTACCAGGTCCTGAGCAAGGATGAGCTGCGCGCAAAGTATGACAAGTTTGGAAAAGAGGAAGCCATCCCGAAGGAAGGGTTTGAAGATGCAGCTGAGCAGTTTTCAATGATTTTTGGTGGTGATGCTTTTGCTTCTTATATCGGAGAGCTGACTCTTCTGAAGAATCTACAAAAGACCGGTGAGCTTAGTGCAGAGGATGAACAGGATGAGGCTAATGAAAAGGCAAAGTCTGAAGAGCAAAAAGCTGATTCGAAGGATTGCAACGATTCAAACAATGCAGCAGAAACTTTGAAGAAACTACACATATCGGATTATTCAGAGAAATCTCAAGACCATGTTGCAGAGAGCACCTCTGAAAGACCTAAGAAAAAGTCAAAACTTGAAGTGTTTGAAGAGGAACAAAAAATCGAAAAGGAGAAGAGTATCAAGGAACTCAGCAAATTGCTTAGTGACAGGCTCTCGATTTTAACGGAAAGTGAATATAATGCGGCTTGCAAGGAATCATTTGCGAAGAAATTCGAGGAAGAAGCGAATATGCTCAAGATGGAATCGTTCGGTCTCGATATTTTGCACACTATAGGCTATGTTTACTGTGACAAAGGCCAAATATTTTTGAAATCGCAACACATCTGGGGGTTTGGGGGAGTTTTCCAGTCGATCAAGGCGAAAAGCGGTGTGGTTATGGACACCTTGAAGACCGTTTCTGCAGCACTGGACGCTCAAAATACGATGCAGGAGCTAGAGAAGCTGAAGGCGGTCGCCGAATCAGATGAGGTTCTACGTGATGATAAAGGCCAGGAAATAGTTAAGCCGACGCAGGAAGAACTAGCTCAACTAGAGCAGCTACTAATGGGGAAAGTCCTTTCGGCAGCGTGGCATGGCTCCAAGTTCGAAATCGTATCTACGCTGAAGTCCGTCTGCGATAAAGTTCTAGAAGATACCCAAACTGACAAGAAGACTTTGATAAGGAGAGCAGAAGCACTTGTTATATTGGGCAAAGTTTTCAAGAAAGCTTTCCGATCGAAGGTGGAGCAAGAAGAAGCACAAATATTCGAAGAACTTGTGGCTGACGCTACGAAGAAGAAATCAAGGCATAAGTGAGTCAACGGATGGAATTTTCAGTATTTGCACCCATGTTAAACGCTACGAACCATAAACCAAATTTGCATTGCTAGATAATGTTTTGCTCCTTGAAAAACAACGTCTTTTGAAGCAAGCCTAGCTCTTACAGAGCGGCTTGAGCACCGCTCTACGTTCCCTTTGAGAGCTTTTCAGCGGTTTTCCGGCTGCGACATCTTGAGCGACAAGTTTGTCGGCCTCGATCGATTTTTGAACATAATATATGAGGTCACTCAAGTCAACGCTTTCTGTGGGAATGCGTACAACCCCGTTGTTGTCACCCAAGATGTAGTCCCCAGGATGTATATTCTGTATTTTAGATTCAAACTCCAAGATTTGCAACGGAACCTGAACCTCGACCGGCTTGACGGCAAGTTTGCCCGCACAAGTGCCCAATCCATAGCTGTAAACAGAATAATTGAGCTCCCTCTGCTCGTCCACGTCTCTGATACGACCAAAAACCACAGTTCCCCTGCACTTTTGGTATTGCGCCCTACGGGACATTAGGCCACCATACATTGCTTGGGAAACTCTAGTGTAAGGTGCAGTTTCCAGTTGAAGAGGGACAGTAAGGGCAATAACGACGACACTGCCTTTAGGCACCTCATCGATGTAGTTTATTTCCGGTCTTGGGTCGTCCACAGGAGCGAACAGAACAGTATATGCTCGTCCCACGACAATTTCGTTGTCAGGACCGGACCATCTTTTAAGATTGGGAAGAAAGCCACCTGAAGCATCGTTGTATTTGTTTAAAAGTCCATCGGAGACATCGCAAGCTGAAAAGCTGGCAAGCTTAGATTCGATAGAAGACATTGAGTATAGTTTCTCAAGTTTGATTGATTTTCGTTACCTTGTTTTGACGATCTCACATATATATACCCTTAAGAAAGGCAGATTTGGTTCTACTTGACCAATTTCAAAGGTTTCTCATTGCATCGCTATTATTGTTTCTTCACTGGTCAAAGATACAAGACAGCATTGCAGAGTTCAACAAGCACAATTGGTTAAAGAACATTGTACTTCTATGAACCAGATCAAATCGATTCAAAAACTAAGTTTACAAGAGCTTGAAAGCGGCATTCTTACGCCATCGTCCTCGTGGCACCATGAGTATAGAGATCAGGCATATATTTATATCGGAGGGCTGAACAAAGAACTTACAGAAGGCGATGTTTTGACAGTATTCTCTCAATATGGTGTACCGGTAGATGTCAAGCTTGTGAGAGATCCCGAGACAGGTGAATCAAAAGGTTTTGGATACTTGAAATACGAGGATCAACGGTCAACCGTTCTTGCAGTTGATAATCTCAATGGAGCCAATGTCGGCGGTCGAGTGCTTCGAGTAGACCACACCTTTTACACACCTCGAAAAGCCGATCAAGAGTATACTGATGCTGTCAGAGCTGAGCTACGAAAAGACATGATTGATGAAGATCTAAAAGTGTCGTCGAACCAAACATTGACGGTTACATCCAACTTAGAAGGAAATTCAAACAAAGACAATGATCTAAATGCTGATGATGAATTCAAAGACCCTATGGCAGATTATATATGACTTGCATGTTCGTAGTAACGAAACTAGCTTTTACAGATCGGATCTTGTACATTCAAGGTAGAGGTGGTGGAGGAGGAATGCCCGATGGAGGAACGCTTCCTTCGTGTGGAGGTTGGGCATCAGTGAAGGAATCAACAGAATCAGGAATCGAAAGGTCGTCATCAGAGCGTTCGCCATCGTGATCATCTTCTATCTTGGTCTCCGAATTAGATGGCACCTCAGCAGCGTGCTGAACTGAGCCAGAGTTGGTTCCCATCTGTGGCAATGGAGGAGCAATGGGCACGGGTACACTATTTGATGGAGCTGGAGCAACTGGAACTGGAGCTGGTGCGACCGGGACTGGAGCAACTGGAGTTGGAGCAACTGGAGTTGGAGCAACTGGAGTTGGAGCAACTGGAGTTGGAGCAACTGGAGCTGGAGCAACTGGAGCTGGAGCAACTGGAACTGGAGCAACTGGAGCTGGAGCAACCGGGGCTGGAGCAACTGGAGTTGGAGCAGCAGAGGAGTTTGTCTTCTCACCCTTTCCTTCATCGTCAGACCAATCATCATCATCATCGTCTAGCCCTCTTTGGATCCTGCGTTGAGCTTCGGCGGCCTTAGCGTCGAATGACGAGGAATTAGTTTGGGAAGGCTTGAAAAACGGATTTCTTCCGCCAGTCGGCGTTGAAGAAGCGGACCCAGCATGGGGAATGCCGAATGGGTTGTGCTTAACATTGCTAGTCACTGATTGGGGTGTGGCCGCTGCCTGGGGAACTGGAACAGCGTTCGCGCTTTGATTGGTGCCCGCCTGCCCTGCTGAAGGGTCAACTTCGCTAACAGAACCAATGGGTTGCTGAGGTTGGGCAAATTCGCCAATATTTACGTGGGTACCGCCATTTGGCGCGACCTCACTTTTCAATTCTTCCGCGGGGTAAGGGGGAGCCGCAGGTGCTGAACTCGAAGCGACTGCTGGTTGCGTGTTTGAGTCCTCGCTGTTGTTTGTCGGCTTAGTTTTGAGAACATCCATTTGTTGAGTGAGTTTTCTAACTTCATCATCTTCTCCTGGTGTCTTTGGCTGTACGACAAGGTTTGTCTGTTCAGACCGCTGGTTTTCTTTCTTCCCCAAGCCGAGATTGGCAAGACGTTCTTTCATCTTCCTCTGGGCCTGCTCTTTCAGAAAAGCAGATCTGTCACTAGGTGTAGATTGTAGGGCTGGTGCTGGAACTGGCGAAGAACTAGGGTGTAGAGAGGAGTCACTTCTCTCAAAGTTGCCACCGCCATAACCGATCTGTTGTGGGGATACATTTGATTTTAGTTTCGAGAGAATAAAGCGCACTAGAGGATCGACCCCCACGCCCAGTTCCCACTTTTCGTATTCCCGACCACTCGTTGCCGCTTTACCCTCGATAGCAGAATTAACAGCAGCTGCAATTTCAAAGATGGATGTTTGTATGTCTTCCATAATCGATTGATTGGCTTTATTCTGAGATTGAATATTAGCAACTTCTTCGTTATATCTCTGCTCTTGTTGATCAACGTCTGTACTAGCGGAAGGCTTTCCGGTCAAGGCAGCCATTCTTGAGGCAAGCAAAGCTTTGCTCTTGGCTTTTCTCCTATCATCATCCGTGACTTCTCCATTTTGCCCTGTGCCAACCAGAGAGGAAGGGTTTCTATTTCTGTATAGATCGATTTTGGCCATCGTGATCTGGTTGTTGACCTGTACAATTTCCTCAAGAAGTTGTGGTACCTTCTTAGTAAGTATATCGAATTTCTCTTTTAAACCCTGGGGCAACCCTTTGGCTTCGTAGCTTGAGGCTGAGCTGGGCAGTGAAATAGCCAGAATTTTTCTTTTCAATTCTTCAATCGCTGATTCATCATTCTTGCCAGCAGTCTGCGAAAACCGAGAGCTGTTACTCGATTCTCTCACAGCGGCTGGGTTTGTAGAAACGAGACTTGCCTTTGGAGAATCGACTTTTGTCGTTTGGATCTTACGACGGTTTCTCGAGCTTGGCAATAGTTCATCGTCGTCGTGCTTGAATGAAAACCCGTCTATCTTAGTCGGCTCCTTTTTGTTTGAACTGGTATCATTCTTCAATTGACTGATGACTGAATTCAGAATTTTTGTGCTAGAGGGGACTAAGCTAGGTGGGAGTCGATTGGGTAGTTCATTGCCTTTCAGCTTTCTGTACACCAAATGCATCCCTAGAGCGAATTCCTGTTTATTCAATTGACCGCTGTTATTTGTATCACAAAGATTCCAGATATGCTCCAGGTCGCTTCGGTTTAAACCAGATTTCCTAAAAATCTCAACAGCGATGTCAGAGCCCAATATTCCTTTCTTCGAAGTGTCGTAGGTATCGAACATCTTATAGAACAATGAAATTTCCTCGGGTGCCAGCGAGTCAGAATCACCTTGCATGAATTTATTGGCCATATTGTTCTGACTGTAAAGTTCGTTGTGTCCAAATCCCGTCTTCTGAGCAATGAGCGGAGCGGTGGGATTGAAATTAGAGGGAGGTAAGTATCCTGTTGATTGAGATTGAAGTAGAGAGGGATTTGAATAAGGTCCACTCGGGGCAAATTGGCCAATTTGCTGGCCAGTAGGCTGGCCGGTTAAAACGGAGGTCAGCCCAGCTAAAGATCCTGTACTTTGTGGTTGCAGATTTCCAGCTCCTGTCAGCTGAGATTGGAGAGGTTGGTTGAATGAAGTTTGGGGCATCATTCCAGTTGGTTGCGACTGAACATAGCCACCAGTTAGTTGGGATTGCAAAGGTCCATCGGCGGCGGGTTGCTGAAATTGATTGGTGAATTGAGGTTGTAACTGACCGCCTGTTGGCTGAGATTGCAAAACCTGGTTGAAAGATGTGGGCGGTAAATAACCTGTTAGTTGAGGGTTCAAGGGCCCCTGCGTAATCTGGGGCTGCAACTGCGTCCCGAAGCTAATTTGGGGCATGGCTCCAGTCGGTTGTGGCTGTAGGTTTTGAACGCCAAAAGTCAGATCGTCAAAGGGAGTTCTTTGTGGCTGGGATATGTTACTTTCGCTGCCACCAGCGATGCTGATATTGATAGCGTCAACAAAGCTAGCCACCTCATTTTTAACTTTGGTATTCAAATCGAACGGAACGCTATCGCCCTGAATTACCTCATTTACTAGATGCATGGCCAAAGCGAACTCAGGGAACAAAAGCTCGCCCGCCTTACTTGTGTCACACAAGGTCCAGATTTTGGCCAGCTGTGAGGGAGACACACCAGAGCGCATCAAAATGCCTCTACAAGCATCGCCAGAAATCGTATTTGAGCCTTTTGGCACCGAAGATCTAAACAAGGTCTCAAATTTCGCTTGGTCCGCAACGGTCATGAATGATAGTCGCATCGAAGGAATTTTGAGACTGTCATTAACACCCTTGTTAGCGAACGAGTTGACAAAACCGGTGGCGGTCGGCTTCAACGGTTGAACAGGTTCTCCAAAATTGAAGCCTGTCTGCTGTGGTTGCTGCGCGTAGAAACCCGTCTGTTGAGGCTGCAGAGGTTGCTGCTGCGACGAGTAGAAAGTGTTCTGCTGCGGTTGCTGTGGTTGCAATGGATTTGAACCTTGCTGTGGATAAAATCCAGTTTGCTGGACTTGTGCTGGCTGAGATTGCTGGGAATACTGGTTGGTCTGCTGCGATTGCAATGGCTGAGGTCCCGATCCACCGTGCGGTAGGTTGGGGAAACCGGTGCTCTGTGGCTGAAGCTGCTGCTGTGGTGGTTGAGGAGGATAGTAGCCGGTGTTTTGAGACTGAAGTGTTTGGCTCGGAAAAGGAGGTTGCTGGTACTGCTGGTTCCCGAGAGACTGCTGGAAAACATCCCCAGACTGCTGCTGCTGCGAGAAGGAAGCTTGTGGCTGGTTTTGATTTTGAGCTTGGTTGAAAAACGAGGTCTGTGGGACCTGTTGCTGGAATTGGCCAGTCTGCTGTGGCTGGAGCGACTGTGTATAACCCGTTTGATGAGATTGAACACCAACATTGCCCATTGGATAACCCTGAGATTGCTGATTATTCTGCGGTCCATTGGAGAATCCTCCGAATGGTGAGGAATTTGAAAACAAATTTCCTGTATTCGAGAAACTAGGCAAAGGTTGCTGTGGTTGTTGTTGTTGTGGCTGCTGCTGCTGCTGCTGCTGATACCCAAAAGAAGTAGGAACATTTTGTTGCATACTGCCAAACTCTGCAGTTGGACGCTGATTCAGTTGATGCTGCTGTTGCTGCTGCTGCTGCTGCTGCTGCTGCTGGCCATTTCCCGGAAAAAAACCGGTAGACTGCTGGTTGTAGGCATTGCCTTGACCTTGAGGAAAGCCTTGACCCTGCTGCTGATACGGATTGAACATCAGGTTCTGACTGCCAGCCCTGGTAAGACTTTGGAGCTTTTCTAGAGATGTGTTGTAGAGATCAGATCTTTCTATGTTGGTATATATACTTTTTCTATAGGGGTATTTCGAGATGGAAATAATCGTTTTGAAACTACACGTGATGTCAAAGCGATACAGGCTACAGAACAGGACGATCCAAAGGGCACGACGCTGGTCAGCTTCGGTAGCATACGTTGGTTTAATTTGAATGACAGGTGAGTATTACTTGGCCTATGTTTTGTAGTGTTAGAATGTGTGATGAGTTCTCAGCGCATTTTGATTCAAGCGAACTTGGAAAGAAAGTGTCACTCTATGCATTTAGTTCGTGGTTCCATATGAAAGCGATTTCATTGTAATGTGCCTTCATGGATTTGTTGAAAACTGCGATGTTATCACGGCTCTCGATGTCTTGGTCCCTGGGAATGTTTGCTGTAGCACAATATGCGTACTCGCAGCATTCATTTCCCTTGAGCCACGGATCCGTCGCGATCTCAGGCGTAATATAGCCATCGATAACGAGAGGAGCTTGATATAGCTCTTGTAGTTGTTGCACAGAGCTATAATGGGCTTCAAAATAGCTGGGCTTCGATTGAAAATCCTGTTCTGCGGCCGTTGGTATTTTGCAAGTCTTCAACCCACCGTTAGTCCATAGAAGCTCTTTTCCTGCGTTGACATGGCCCATTTGCGTGGCGCATACCTTGTAGTTTTTGCGATCTGAATTGTCGTGAGTCTGTATGGGTCCCACCACTGCGCCATAGTTTGCATCGACAGAGTAGTCCTTCCCGCTAAATAAGTGTCCAATCCAAAAAAGCTCCTTATCGCCGTAAACACAATTACTGGCCTTGGAATCTAGGTTCATGAAGAAAGACATGACTAGACTGGGCAATTTTTGTACTTTATTCATTACCACGAGACCGCTGTCAACGTTGTGGAGCACTTTGTTGTAGAAAAATCTGCTGTAGATCAGCTCCTCTTCAGAGCCGGTGTTAGAACTCATCAAGGGGTCCACAACAGACACATTGGCTTTCATGCGATGGTCCATTAGCAAAACGGCTTCCGCTGAAGGTTCCAAGTACTTGAACATTTCAATGCAGTAATCAAATGTGAATTCATTTGTTAGGTCGCGGTCCTTGTACATGAGGGAGCCCGAATTTTGAAATTGACGATCGTCGAAAAATGTTGCCAGGTCGACAAAAGGTACCACGTCGGCGTCGAGTAAGATGAACTCCGAGAAAGTGTTAAAAATGGTTGCGATCCATTTGTTGACGAAATACGTCATATGCTTGGCGTAGACGTCGTTCAAAGTTGGTCCACAATCAACAACATACACCTGCTGGTTTGTGGTATGCAGAAATTTGCTGAGGGACTCCAAGAACCCAGGAGAGAGTTCTCCTCGTTGCTGAACCAATTGTATTGGGAACTTGTTGTCGAGATGGTCGAGCACCCGTAGGAGCCGATAAAAAAGAACCTGATGTCTTTCTGCCAGCGACAAAACGAGGCCCTTTCCGGATGAAAATGCAGACCAGTTTTCCCAAAATGAGCGGGAAGGATCGATGTCGAATGGCAGCTGCTTGGTGGAGGTTGCTCCAGCTGTGTTGAGATTGGTCATAGCTGGGAGTTGTTTTCCGGAGTTCAGATGGGAGATGGTAGGCCAGATGTCGTTTTGTGCTGAAAAAGGCGCTAAAAACGGGAACATGCGACGATGGAAGTCCAGTGAGTTCTGATCGGACGGCAGCACTTGTGTTATCGTCAAGTGACCCTCCACGAAGCATGTGTCGAACATTCGCAGTCGTTCGAAAATATGCGATAGCCGGGAGTTGTCGGCGCGGGGATCTTCGAATCGATTGAGGACCTCGTCATTGGTCCAGGAAGCGTTTTGCGCATAGGTATTGTAGAAATACCAGCGACATTTTTCCAGCAATGGCCACGAACGGAATCCGTGTTGCGGGCCTGTTTCTGCGAGCTGGCGCCGGTTGTGGGTGGAGAACAGCGAGAACGGGGAGGTGCTGAGAGCTCTGCGTTGGAGTATCAGACTGCTAGGGATCTCAATGAGTAAGTCATATCTCAACGTGGAGCGGGTGCGATACCGATGCAGCAGAAGAAGTGCGGTGACGAAAAAAAAGGCCAAAAACGCCGGTTTTCGAGCTGTCGGAAAGATCCGCATGTCTACTGTGTCATTTTCAGTGGAAGAAGAGAGAGGAGAGAGACTGAGTAAGAAATTGGTGAGGACAAGAATAATTTTTGATCGAAAGATGGGTGAGCAGATGAGTTTTTGGTATATTAACAGTTGGGTTATTATGATCTTGTGATGAAAACAATTCCAAAAAAATTAAAAAATGATGCTTCCAACCAGATTTGAACTGATGATCTCCACATTACTAGTGTGGCGCCTTACCAACTTGGCCATAGAAGCTGTTGTTGAAATGAGAGGAGAAATTAGCAGACTAGAGGGACAAGAGGATCACATGCCTTTTTTCTTTCCAATTTTCTTCCCTCAGGAATCAAAGTATAGCATCTAGTAGTAATAGGCTCGAGAAATCAAAGTACCAGAAATACACAGATTGAAAACCGGTCGTATCATTCTCCCACACTGGACACTGCTCCCCGTCCCAAACTCCAAACTCCACACTCCACACTCCACACCCCACACTTCATCTTATTCTTGTTCTTCTTGTTCTTCTTGTTCTTCTTGTCTGTGTGTGTTTACTGGTCTCTCTTCTCTCTCTCTCTTCTCTCTCTCTAATGGTTCACTCCCTCATTTCTCATACCTTCCTCCAATCACCCACCCCACGTGACGCGTTGCCGTCGTCTTCCCTTCTCCTCTCGCCATCTATTCCATTTCTCTACCCAGTTTTTCCAGATCTGATTCGAAAAAACTCGCTTGCCACTAGATGTGGCTTCCTCATCAACATATGTCATCTTTCCAAAGAACAAGCTCAAATCCTACTACCACTGCCACTGCCACTGCCACTGCCACCACAGCTTTAGTTAACAACCACTATCCCGGGTCCAGGTCCAACCAGAATGTCATATTGTAAGTATTAAAACCTTGTCCCAGCGCAGCCCAGCACAGCAAGCCCAAGAGAAAAAAATTGTTGGTAGTCCTTTTAACGGATTAGAGCCACTCACCAATATATCTCTCAATGCTCTTATAGCCTAGCGTTATAGCCCAGCCTTATATCCTAGCCTTATAGCCCGTATAGTTCGTAGTTACAAGAAACGAGTCTCAGTAGCAGCAGTAGCAAACGCTTGGTTGATCTTCTTTAATGCACACTGATTGATGTTGATGCGTTGATTCTGTCTGATTCTCTCAGCTACAGAATGCTTTGAAATTGGTGAGCCACACAACGAGTGAGTGTTTGAGAGAGAGAGAGGGACCGACCTTAGTAAAGGGAAAACAAACATCCCATAATAAGGTTTATTATATAGGTCAATGGCTCTTAGTATGGGTATCATAAACGTAGAATTGTAGAGCCAATAGTAGACAAAACGGAGTTGACACTCAAATAGCGTTGATAGCGTTTTTTTTAGCGGCGACGAGGACGACGAAAGCTGAAAGATAAGGTTGAATTGAACAATTGACTGGGTTGAGTATAATAAGTGTTAGTGCGATTATTACTGTTTGTAATGGTGTCACTGTGAAGATCTGAAATCAAGCAACAGCAGCAGTAGTAGTTATAGTAGTGGACACACCCACACACAATGGACTACGGAAAGATGGGAACCCTACTGGAAAGAGGAACTTCGCCATCGCATAGAGATACACCCAGCAGCCAGGAATATAGAGAAAAATTCCAGGATCTGTACACCCGGTTTTTGAATCAAAGCAGTAGTGACGAGGCCAGCAGCGACGAAGACAGCGCACAACAGCAGCAGGCGTCTCAGGCAAGAAAACACAGACCGCAGCCAAAACGACAACAACTGCCACCTGGAAGCCAGGCTCCAGAAGGCGAAAACCCGGATTTGTCCCGCCAACTCCACGACCTGATCTCGAGCAACTCGGAGCTGGGCTCCAGACTGCTGTCGCTGCTCCTGGTGAGCAGCGGCAACGCCAAAGACATCATATGTGCGGTCAACAAAGGCGATCTCGAAGGTCTCAAAAAATTGGACCTCCAAGCATCACAACTGCCCACGGCCGGAGTTGCAGCGACTCACGCTCACCGCCGATATACGCAACAAGAGCTCAGTGAGTTCAAAAAGGTGGAACTCGAAAAACGGCGCAAAAACACAGAAGCGTCGGCCCGGTTCAGAATACGCAAGAAGAAACAGCAGCGGGAAAAAGCCGAGCGGCTCAAGCAGCTCAACAGCCAGATCTCAGAACTATACGCAACCATCGACAGCTTACTGGACGAAAATCAGTATTGGAAGGGCAAGCTCGAAGAGGTCAACGAACGCAAGTCTCGAGAGATGCTCGACAGCATCAAGAGACGTCGGTTGAAAGAAGAGGGCGACGTTGCGACCGCCTAGCGCAAACAACAAATGGGTGGCAGTGTTGACTGTTGAGCTTCCGCTACCACCGGTAAAGATATAGACGTTAATTATAGTTATGTAAGTCGTAAAGGACTCCTCCGATTGCCGGCAACCGTTCGGCCCCAATAACGCACTCTGCTAAAATGCTAAACCGTTGTGAGATTATCTCTATTTATATATATTCCTTATATATCATGCAATTTTTTGGTTGTATGTGCCCAGTGCTTCGCTCTAGGCTCATTCAGGCTTCCAACCGCCCCTGGTAGAAAGAAATGCGCTCCGCCCATTTTCTATTGATAATAATGCGTTTTTGTTGAAGATTGTACAGATCATCCGGCGAGCACCACCCATTGTGTGCGAACTTGTACTCCAAAACCGCAAACCGCTCGTCTTCGACCCGTTGCTGCTTGGTCAAAACATCGATGTATTCTTTGAGACTGATCCGAAGCGGAGGCTCTGCACCCTTGCGATTGTTATTAGCCAAGGACTTGGCCCCACCACCGTCTTTGTAGATCAGGTCCAGTATCAAATTGGATTGTGTTTGAATCGGAGTGATACTCTTTGCGCCCAACTTCTCGGTGACGGTAATTATCGGAAGGGTCTTCGTCAGCTCGGTTATGTCGACTGTCAATTCTTCTGCGTCCGAGGTTTGCTCCAGCGATTCGTCGCTGTTACCGCTGAAAACACTATCATTCTTGGCCGTGATAGTACTGTTCATGCTGGAAGTAGCGTTATTTTTGGTTCCGTGGTTCTTCTTCCCTGAGCCATTCGATGAAGAATGGTTCGATGCGATATGTTTTGTTTTCATAGATGTCTGCTTCGAAGGTTGAATTCCACCGTTCATATTTTTCGTATAATTTGAACCGTTCGAACAGATTTCAGAGGTATTCAAGCCGACATTGTTTTGAGTTTCTGATTTATCATTCCAACTAGCAGAAAGTGCTGTGAGTGCATGGGCCCTTTCGGTGTTTGATGCCGAGTTCCTTGACGTTTGGTCTATTGCATTCCCACTTATAATCCTCGTCAACCCGTTTTTGAATTTAGTACCGAGTGACTGAGTATCAGAACTCACAGAAGAATTCGGCCCGTCGAGAGGGGTCGCGGGTGAAACCATTCGATGTAATCGCTCCGGACTGCTGACGCAACGAGATCCACCCCCGCTATTTTTCAGTTTGATCAAAGAGTTGCTGAAATTCACCTTACGATTAACAGGTCGCTCATCATCAACGTTTGGAATCGAGCCGCGGTCAATATTGTCGACACTGTTTGGAATTGTAGCAAACGATGAAGTGTTTTGCAATTCTTTGTAATTTGGAAAAATGGGCGAATCCGGGATTTTAGGTGACGACGCTGGTGACGTCTTGTTCAGTGATGCTTTCCGCCATATGGCACTGGAGGCTCGTTTTATAAGCGGCAATTTCTTGTGTTTGACGTTGAAAGATTCTGAGAGGTTGAGCGATGACCGTGGGGACTTTAAGTCATGTAAACTCGTCGACGAGTGAATATCGGTGTTGAATGTTGGTGGCGGTCTGAAAAAGTCGATTTCATCATTTTCCTGGAACGAACGCGATGAACTGCTGCTACTACCGACACTAAACTTGCGCATTGTTGCCTTATGAGTCGTGGTGGATGGTACGAGATCAACACTTTCGATGCCCAGACCCTGATGATGGAGGTCATTGCCCGAAGAGTTAATTCGTGGCACGTCGGACATCGCTGTGCGAGACCTGACAGAACCATAGCGCTGGAGATGCTGTAGCGGAAAATCTGTAACCGATTTCGAGCCGGCTGCGTTGTCTACAAGGCCGGTATTTCCAGTTCCGGCCGCAGCGAATTTCTTCTTGAACGAGAGCTTCGGAGGCGTTGGATGCGGCGAATTCGGCGCTGTATTGGAAGTCGCTGAGCTGGTGTTGTTGTTGGTGATGCTATTGATGTTTCCCGAGGTTGTCACGGAATTATCGCTCCCAGTGTTCAGTAGAGTAGGAACTGCAACCGACGAAATTTGCAGGGCCTTTGAAAGGTCAAACGATGAGTTAGGCTCAGCGTCGTCACGCATTTCGAAAGCCGTTGCGAGGTCAAAAGGCTCCGTTGTGGTTGCTGCGGAATGCGTAGTGAAACTATGTGGAAGCTCGTCGGGAAGGTTTGTGGGTGTGGTTGTGATTGCTGCGGCCGATGCCGAGGCAGTGGTCGTTGCCGCCAGAGGAGAACCGGAGAGAGCGCGGCGTACAACGGATGGCGCTCGTGACTGTGATGCTGCGGGACTGCCAACGCTCGGTACGCTGGTGCTGCGGGAGGATGACGAGGGCACACCACCAAGGGCCGACTCAAGCGATAGCTGCGAGCGTTGCGCCAAGGGCGATGCAAGATCTGTGTTATCTTCCGGCAGAGGAGGCAAGAGACACTCCTGGGACGCCGAGAACGGCACTGTTGGAGGCGACGCTGGTGCAACCGCTTGTGGGGAAACAGGCAGCGGGGCGGCCAGGAGTGAGTCCTGACGATTTGCTACTGCTGCTGCAGACACTGCTGCAGTTGATGTCGTTGCCGTCGTTGCAGTTGGAGTTTTGGGACGCTCGTCGAGATCGAGATCCAGATCTAGTCCCATATCAAGCTCATCGCCATGATGTTGATAGAGACCGTGAGAAACGGTTTCGTCTAGAGCGATACGTTCCAGATCGGCATTTTCAACGTAGTCACTTTGTACGAGCACGTTAGTAGTTTCCCACTGATTTTTCGATGTGGTCTCGGTCGTCGTTGGGATGACTTGTTGTGTAGCTACCGTCTCCGGTTCCTCTTCTTTGATGTCTTGTAATTGGACCATGTATAGGCTACCCGATATTCAGGGTCTTGCCCGTGGCGTGCGGAAGCAAAGTCGGAGGCGAATCGTGTTAGCCGAAACTGGGGAAGAAGCGCGTGGAAAAAGGCGCTATAAAAGAAGAACTATGCGCTAGTAGTGGCTTGTGGATGATGCGAGAACTTGCAGGTTCGATTACACTCAAGTTCGGGCGGAGCCAGGTGTGTTTTGCGCGCGTTCTGTAGCGTTGTATGTGCGTGTTCGTGTGGTTTATAGGAGAGATGTGTAAGTGGAAATATGATTGAATTTCTTATGGAAAACAATGTGATCGCGTGCTGGGACAAAGGCCTTTCGTAGATAGTGACCAGAAGACGTTGGATTGCGGTGGAACGAGTAGGGAAAGGAGTAGAGGAGTGGGTAGACCAAGGAGTAGAGAAGGGGGTAGAGAAGTGCGCAGAGAAAAACAAAAATATCTGAATTCACTCAGAGATTCTCTGATTTCAAACTTACAGTTCCATGTCTGAGAATGTGAAAGAAAGGACCCAGTCAAATAACCGAAGAAAAGAAAACTAAACAAGGTTGTTTCCTCTAAGCAGACTCTGCCCTTCTAAAACCAGTAATTCTTGCATTTCCCATCATTACCTTGAATTTCGCGGTCATTTTACATCCAGTGTCGCATCTCGCGCCTGGCTACCGACGCGAAGCTTAGAAAATGTCGAAACTAATCAATTTTTTTTAAATAAAACGTTTCAAAACGTTTACATTCTGTGTTTCTCTCTCTCTGAGTTCTTCCCCCCGCGCGGTATCTGCTCTCTCCTTTTATACTGTTATCGACTAAGAACTCCGATGCCGAATTTTTAGATTTTTCGACTTGCCTTATTGTCCCCCTACAATGAAAGTTGATTAATTGCGCGCTATAATCGCGCCCTTTTGATAAAAAGAACTAGCACGTCAAATCAACCTCCAAAAATCAACATGAGGGACTGATAGTTCGGAAAATGTGGCGAGTTTAACAGTTTTTTTTTCCGCTACCGGAAAAGAAGTGCAGCGGCGCGCGTCACATTGTTTTACATGAAACTCGGCATGATATGCTAGCTTGCTTGACTGCGTTCCTTATAGCGACAGTGATAATTGTTTCAAGTCCGAATGCAGAGAAAATTCGTACAACATGATAAGAAACGATTTTGACGTAAATACAAAATCACTGTATGTATGTACAAGATAGTGTATAGTCCACTTGTGACCACCTTTTCCGATCTTCAAGCATTTGAGGATTCGTGCGCTCATCGAAGTCAACATACAGCTGTATCACCGTGTTTGTTAAACAAACATGACGTCCTCTGCGCTTAGGTCACGACACACGGCACACAGCACAGAAAAAAACTCCCCTCTCTTATTGTGAAGTCCCTGTGAGTGTCCGGCCTTTTCTAAATCTGCACCACACCTAGTTTTTCTGCCAGGCTCTCAAAATCTTGTCCAGTGACCAGATCATCTTGTTCCAGCTGTTTAGGTGGCCGGCCCGGAATAAACGTGAACCCGAAGTTTGTCTTAAGATTATTGTACTCGTGCGATGCTCTTCGCGCGCTTTCACTGCGCGCCAGTATTTCATCTAGTTGCGTAGTGGTGGGCTCAGGATACAGCACGTGATTCCTCGACACTGCGCGAATTTCCAATGGATCGAACGCAGACTTTTTCGTAATCAAGTAGTACTCATTTTCACGACACTGCTGGTAAAGTGTGCGTACCAGCTCTGCCACATTGCTTAGTGCTTTCAAGTAGTATTGGCGGTACATAACCGGCTCCACTCGGCGAAGTCGGGCCTCCAGCTCATCCACTTGGAACTGACGCACGCCCACAAGCGACGTGTCACTGGATCGAATTCCATAAACGACAGTCTCACACCCAGAAAGTTTGCACTGTAAGCACGTCTTGAAAAACCTCATGCTCACATAACGGTTTATGAGCAGTTCCAAGGCCTCTTTATTAGAAATGGTCTGCCACGTGACCTTGTTACACCTGCGTGGCCCAAAACATTTGAGCTCAATGTAGCGAGACGACTTCCTCGCCCATGTTTTATTTTTGTTTGGACTTACCATGTCGTATTCGGCCAGGAAAAGCGCCTTTATGTCATCATCTAGGGGCAATTCAATGAGATTCAACACAGCATTCTTTGAGCAGACAGGACGCGAGTTTTCGAGTTTCGGCAGGGCCCGCCAATCCTTAAAGTCTGAAGGCCAGTTGTGTCCACACACCTGCTCGAATTTGTAACCGCTATACCAGTTGTTGCGGGATCGCAACGATGGGAAATTCACCTCGTCGCGCTTTTTATCGTGCCAAACGATAAGACGCCCACGTGATATATATGCCACGTGACGTATTTTTTCATGGTTGTTCATGGAGGAGGGGAAGAATGAGAAGGCCATATCAGTAACGTCACCACGATTGATGAGGAGTTTTATGTGCGGAGACAGCTTTCCAAGTTTTGCAATTGCAAGATTCAGACGCAAGAGACGTGGATATTCAGTGGTGACCCTGAAGTTGATTGTTGTGTAACCTTCTGATTCTTCGGGGCTCAGCAGCAGCGGCAGTTTTTGCCGGCCAGTGTGCTTTTGGTATTCAGAAAATGTGAGGTGAAGATTGTTGTAAACCGTGTGTGCTTCTCTTTCAGGCCCCACGCACGTTGCTTCTTCTGGATACGGTGAATCTTGGTGTGTGCCGATAAACTCGAACGTTTTCTTCAGTTTGGGCATTGTCCGCAGTGAGCGGCGGCTAGGCTTATTATTCATTGAAGAGAGATGTGATCAGATCGAAAGGAGGGACGGGCACGTAAAAAAATAGACGTGTGCCTCAAAGTTCGATGTTATGATACACCGCGTTAACCTAACGTTAACAACTTATTTATTTTGATTCTCCTACTACCATAACCTAGCGAAAAATGATTGGAGCGATGAGCCGTGTGTGATGACATCTGTACAGCTGTTCGTATCACACGACATCTACCGTCACCAGAGTTCATGCATTCGATTCAATTTACACCTGTACACACCGCTAGTTCTCGCCGCGCTTCTTCTTCTTCTTTTCTAGCTCCTGTTGTTTCTCCTGCTCGATCTCGTCCACGTATTTGCCGATGTCTTCGCTCGAAAGGTTGGAGATTTGCGATCCTGGACGCACCACGGTGATTTCGATGTTTTTCGCACCAGTCTGCACCACTTCAAGTAGTGCCTTCACAGTCAGCTTGACGCAATCCTTCTCAGTTGCTGGAGGTTCATTTTTCACGTAGTTCTTCTCGAGGAACTCGCGTACCGTCTTGCTGTTTCTGCCAATTGCTTGGGCGCTCCAGGCGGAGTAGATCCCACTGGGCTCTGTCTGATACAGCTTCGGCGTACTGTCGTTAGAATCGAACCCCGCAATAAGTGTAGATACACCGAACGGACGAACACCACCGGACTGTGTATATTTCTGTTGTACTCCGGCTACGTATCTTGTCAAATAATCGACGGAAATTGGGTCTTCCAGAGTTAGCCTGTGCGACTGTGCCTCCACACGAGCCTTTTCGATGAGAATTCGACTGTCAGCATTCAGTCCAGCAAACGAGAGAACCACATGGGCGTCGATTTTGGAGATCTTTGACGGCGTAATACGAGGGTCTTGCAACTTCAAAGTCGACCTTCTTTCACATCCTACTACCACACAATCCGTCCCCTTGATTCCAACCGCGCATGTTCCCCTTTTCACAGCCTCCAGGGCGTACTCTACCTGAAAAATGTGTCCATCGGGTCTGTTGCACTCGGCCACGTTAGTAGGTGTGCGCTGACCAATTGAAGCTTGTAAATCTATACTTACGAGAAAATCGACAATGCTCTATCGTAACCACTCATTGTAAAGTCAATTGGAGAGATATTACCACTAGATCTTCGAGTTATTGAAGGTCTAGGTTGGTGTGTGCTTTTCAGGTGGCGAAATGATGTTGGTTCCTAATTCTACAATTTCATATACATATATAAAGAGCAATCCTTCGTAGATGGTGACGAATCTTGTAAGAAACAAGTTATGGGCTCTGAGAGAAGAGAAAGTATCATTTGTAAACTAGACTTCGAAATAAACCTGCTAATTTGGTTACTCTCACACGAGATACAACACTCGAAGAAAAGAAAGTACTCCAGCAGCCTGGTCACGTGCACAAAGAATAAGCTCTCATTACTTGAAGCCAACTTGTGGGTTTACCAAATCGTTGAGAAGCTATTAGATCAATCAAAGCCAGCGCTTAAGTGGTGTTGATTTTTACTACAAATAAACCGCAGTCAAGCTAATGGTTTAGGTTTAGAATAGATATTTCGTACATAATGCTCCGATGCACTTTCGTCGCCATTACGACAAGTAATAATATATGTGATTACTGAACAATCTGATATGCCTTCACTTCAATTTGGATCAGGTCTGTTGATAATCCGAAGTGGGGTCGCTACGAACTCTCGGCCACAGAATCTTTAAGTACACAAGCCCATACATCCATGACAGAATTGCTAGCAGAGCGCATCCCGGAAGAGTTGGCCTCAGTTGCCTATCCCGGGCCAGTAGCACCAACGGGTGTTGAAGAAGGCGATGAGCACGACGAACCACTACATGAAACTCAAGAAAAAGCTAGACACGACAGCGTGCTCGCTCTTTTAAGTCCCGAGAACAAACGTTGGATGAACATACTATATTTTGCCGGTTCTTGTTCGGTCAATCTTATTCTCCCGTTTTTGAACGGCCTCATGCTTGGATTTGGAGAACTCATAGCACATGAAATAAGCTGGAAATTCAATTGGTTTAAGAGATCAAACTCCGGGTACAAGATCTACCCTGAATCACGGAAATTTGCCGCTCGAGAAGCGGAGAAAAAGGAGCACGCCTTCCTATAATTTGAGTCCTCAACCATCAAGTTGTTCACATTTAACAACCACCTCACACATCGACCAGCTCCGATGTATCTACCTCAATGCAAGTCATTTGTAACCTAAGAAAAAAACGAACTAATAGAGTAACGCTAAAAAATGCCGTCCCGCGGCTACTTCTGAATGTAAATAATGCTGCTCTTCTCCGCATGTGTCTTATAAGTCGGGTCTCGACCATAAGGAAACCGCTTCTTAGACCCACATCTGCAAGTCAACTCTAGAACCTGACTCCTTCTGGTTTGGTTCTTGCTCTCATTTACAATCGTAATGTCCTGTGTTTTCATGGGTATTTGGACCCTGTGGCAGTGCTTGCAAATTTGACGTTTCATCCCTGGAGTGAGCGAGCTTTTCGTCTTTTTTTGAATTAAATCGAGATTCCGCAGGTACATGCGCGAAAGTGCGTGAGTTTCGTCGTTATCCCCGATCATTGTGTGGTATATAGACGCCTGGAAAAGGTAGTTAAGCCTTTGCATATGGTCCTTGTTGGACACTGATTTTGGAGGCGGTACTAGCAGAACCCCATGTTCGTTGATATTTGAAGCCTTTCCTCGTTTCTTGACACGAGCTGCATCATTGTTGGCGGCTCTCTTGGCCATTTTTTGTATCGTCTAAAGAAGGAAATGCAAGTGAATGTACGTTAACATCTGTTCTTCTTCAGTGATGATCAATTAGAATCATCATATCGATCAATTGATGTTCAAATAGCCTATAGCTTCACCCATCACGTGATACAACGCTTCCATAAGAATTATTTGTTTGCGAGGTCAGTGTGTTGCCCTCAGTGGTGAATGCCACTGTAGCATCGTGAACTTTGAATGAGTCGAATCGCAGGATGCTAAAGATACCATATTCATGTGGGTTGAACCCTTCCAAACTAGCCTCTCGTAAGGTCTCGCCTGGATCTCTTCCTCCTACCGTAAAGGACTCATTGAAGGCCAGATGTTGGCAGAGCAAAAGACTCAAGTCAAGTGCAAAAACCGCCCATTTCCCTCCCCGACCGCAATCGAACTCTCCAACGATGTCTGTGAAAATATAACCGTGTTTCCATGAGCATACGTCTTTTTCGATGTCTAGAGTCAGATGATAGAGTAGAGACGACATGAACTGCACCACAAATATCACCTGGTAGTATCTCAGGCATTTCAGAAGAACGTTGAAAATAGTCGAGAGCTCTTCATGCTCAGTTTGGCTCCGGGAGGGCTTTTGACATTTCCTGTAGTATAGAGTGACCATCTGTTGTAGAACCTGTGATGATACCACTACCAAGACTGAGAGTACCACATTTATCAGAGAGTTGTCCCTTGCGTATCGCAAGTACGTTAACACGTAGCAGACCAATCCAAACAGCTGTGACGTGAGCATGGCTTGTTTTGACTTTCCGGCCTTTAAGTTGTAATCATCACTTGGTAGAGTCTTAATTACGGATTTTAAATCATCAAGTATTTATAGGAATATAACAGAGAGCATCAATTGTGACACCATCTCAGACAAGAAAAGCGCATGAGTTTGGGCAATGAAGACAGTCATAGTAACATCATCTTCTTCGCTGTCCAATGGATCAGTAATTATGTGAGCTTCGGTGAGTGAGACGATAAGCCCAGCAACACTGTCATTGTGTAGCAATTTGGAAGACGTGGCATAGGTGAAAGGATTGATGTACATTTTTGAGCAATCGCATTGCTCTCCGGCCAATTTTGCACCATTAAGCAGGCGAAACGAGAAGCAATTGCGGTCCTTGGACGATCTTCAAGATACAAACTTTTGGGTTTAACCGTGATTTTTTGACAATTATTACAACCAGTTGTACCCGAAAAACGCTTCCAGGCTTATTCGGTAGCGTGTGCGGCTCCGCAATGGCCTAGCGATCTTAATTCTCACCTGGCTGGTGATGCTGGTGGTGCACGTTGAACGCCTAGTCATGTGAATAGTCAAGGTGACACTCGCGTGCAACATGACACCGAGATTCTCGACTTTTAATTTTAAAATCTCGGCTTTTCTCCAGAGAAGATCACTTACTTACACGTCCCGTTTTTACAACAACCAAGGTCAAGAAGTGTGTTTGTAGCCTATACAAACACCTTACCATGACTTCAAGACTAATTCGGCTACAGCCTATAACTCATGCCGCTAGGCTAGGGTTACAAGTGAAGCCGCTGGTTCATCCGGCCTTAAGCATAGCTTTGAATCAGCACAGATGTTATTCTGTGGGCACGAGCCCAGCATCTGAAACAGTCAAAGACAATGCTGCGGCAGCAAAGAGCGAAGTACAGAGCAAAACCGCTAGCTCACCGCCACCTACAAAGTCAAAACCGAAGGAACCTCTAATGCAGCGAATCAAGCACGAAATCCGCCATTACGTCAACGGGACAAAACTGCTTGGCTACGAGATCAAGATCTCAACAAAACTGTTGGTGAAGCTTGTCGAAGGCTATGAGCTTTCGAGACGTGAGAAAAACCAACTGAAAAGAACGATGGGCGATGTGTTCCGTCTAGTTCCTTTCAGTGCGTTTCTTATCGTGCCATTTGCAGAGCTTCTACTTCCGGTTGCCTTGAAGATATTCCCTAACCTGCTGCCTTCTACTTACGAGTCTGGAAGTGCCAAACAGTTGAAGAAGCAAAAATTGAATGACATCAGAGAAAACACTTCCAATTTTTTGCAGGAGACCATCGAGGAATCGTCTTTGATCAGCTACAAGTCCATTGAAAGCGTTGAGAAGAAGAAGAAATTTCTGAATTTTTTCAAAAAGCTCAACTCTCCCAAGGACGGAAACGAAAACGTATTCACACATGATGAAATCTTGGCTGTGGCCCAGATGTTCAAGAACGACAGTGTTCTTGATAACTTGTCCAGACCTCAATTGGTCGCCATTGCGAAATACATGTCCTTGCGACCATTTGGAAATGACAATATGTTGAGATACCAGATCCGTTACAACCTTAAAGCCATTATGGAAGATGACAAGGTTATAGATTATGAGGGCGCGGAGGCTCTCTCGAACGAGGAGCTTTACCAGACATGCATCTCTCGTGGTATCAAGACGTTTGGTGTGAAGCGCGAAGACCTAATTGAAAACATGAATATATGGTTGGAATTGAGGCTGAGACATAAAGTACCAAGTGTTCTTATGATTCTCAGTAGTGCCTACACATTTGGAGGTCTTCAGCAACAAGACAATAATGCACACTCAACCTCGGCTCAGAAAGTCGACGACACTAAATTTAATAAACTCATGGACTTTTATTACGACGGTATCCTTCAGGTGCTATCGTCCATTCCAGATCCAGTTTACAATGTCGCGAAGCTGGATGTGAGTGAGTCTAAGGAACAAAAGCCTGCAGAAGAAGAAAAACCAGCTCCCGCTGCGCAGAAAACGGCTCCAATCGAAAGCCACGAAAAACCTGCTGAGACTATATCTGACACTGCAGCTGCAGCGTCTGCCGATGGAAAGACTGCTACAGAAGGACCAACAGCCGAAAAGGAGCCAAGCAAAGAGACAGAAGGAAAAGAAAAAGAGAAAGAAAAAGAAGAAGATGAAGAAGAAGAGTCGCCATCACGCACTGATGACAACGAATTTAAGCTCAACGTGTTGAAGGAACAAGAAGCCATGATCAAGAAAGAGGAGGAGGAAGCAAGAAAGAGGTCTTCCTCAAGACAAGCCATTGACGACGACATTGTGTTGGACGAGGATGCTTCTAATCCGCCCGTTCCCATCAAAGATGCAGCCGAGAGCTCTCTGACGAAAAAAGAATAGTATATTTATCTAAGTCGGCATATGCATCCGCCAGTAAATTTATACCAGATAAAAAGGAACCCGCGATGCAGGCAGGGCTGTCATATATTCATTATTGAGTTTTGAGGCTTCATCAGCCTAGGCGGAGAGTGAAAATGTATGTAAAGGCAGGACAGTTTAAAGAAATTTCGATAACACACTCTAAAGATGCTAAAAGAAGTAAACTTCGAAAAATAGGATCTCGAAAACTTATTCGAAGCCAGAAACTTGAATTAACCGTTTGTGTTCGATTGCCTGTGATCTCTTATCTGACGTGCCAAAACAGTTTACAGCGATTGCCTTGACAAACATTCTTGCAGGAGTGTAGAATATCTCTATGATTTTATAGGAACACCCTCTGTAGTACTTGCACCATTTGGTGTCTCAGATCAAGTTGCCGTTTCATTTTCAATTTTTGATCTAATATCTGCGAGCCTCTCCTTTTGCTGACCGTTAAGGTGATTGGCATCGCTTAGCCATTCGTTAAAAGCACGAAAGACAAGTGGCCACTCGTAATCTGTAATGGAGTACCAGCGAGTGTCTCTGGTGCGGCCTTTATATACCGCAGCATTTCTGAAGGTTCCTTCGAATTTGAAGCCAAAACGCTGAGCTGCCCTGCCGGACGCTTCATTGAGGCTGTCGCACTTCCACTCACATCTGCGATATCTTAAAGTCTCCAATGCATACTTGATCAACAGGTACACCGCTTCAGACGATATCACAGTGCGCTGTAGTTCTGGAGAGAAAAGCACGTAGCCCACTTCTACCGAGCCATTGTTGGGGTCGCAATTAATCAATGCTATGCTACCGACCGCGCGGTCGGTAGCGTTGTTTACCACAGCATAGTGTGGGGCAGTAGTCGAATTCGAAAATGCAGCTGCCACCTTTGCGTACTCGGCATAGTCTTGGAATGGCCCTAAGGGGACGTAAGTCCACATTCGATCATCTTCGGCCTTGGAGTACGCTTCATACAGCTGCTTCCCGTGCTTCTCGAGCTCAAGCGGCTCCAATCGACAGGACTTACCTTTCAATGTTGTTTTTTCGGGCAACGATCTGGGATGCCAGTTTGGCAAGGCGTCGCCTACAGCTTGACCGTACGTATTTACTCTCGTCATATCCTGCCTCTTGTAGATACCGTTCTTATCCATTCATATAAAGATGTATCAACACAATGGTTGTGCTTTTTATATTCTTCTTGAAATATTGCTGCCAGCGGGGCTAGAAAGCATCTGTGACTCATCCTTATAGTTCATTTCGATAAGACAGGGTCTCCTACGTATGATTGCAGCATATGCATGATTTCGAAAGAGCGTCACTAACTGATCTGCGTTTGTCTCACCGTTGAGATCTGTTGCGAGACTAGCAGACCAAATGTTTAGAGGCAGCCAATTCAGTGAGAACTCGTAACGGCCTGGAGTAGCCAAAATTTGTTGTTCAGTCACAACGAAAGGGCTTACTGGGGTGCTCGAAAGTGTATTTTAGCGGCAGAGAGATAATTGAGCTGAAAAAAGAAGTCTACGGGAGCTCTTCTTTCGAGAAGTGCGATTGTTCGATACTACCTTTAGATCGGTCTAGAGCTAACATTACATGCTTTGAAAAAAGACCACGATAGGCTCATCTCAAGGTTTCGAAGGTAAAGAATACAATGTTGCTTGTCAACCAGTGTAGTAAAGCCCATCTACCACTGTGAGAAACCTTTTTGATGTTATTCAGGTCTTCTTAAACTTGTCTGTTGAACTTGAGATGATTCTTCACCTGACTACATCAAATATCAATAATTACTGGAAGTGAGAATTGAAGTTGCAAGATCATTGTAACGTTCCAGTGAACAGAGATCATGAGTTCACAGAGGCAGGGGGCAGAGATAGATGTATGAATGATGGCCCGATGATCTAGCTCAGATCACAAATGTTACCATCATTGTTGCGTCAAATAGTCCTAACTTGCTGTGTGACAGAGTTTGGCGGCTAGATTTTGAAGAGAAACTTCCTCTTCACCTTCAGAAGATTCTGATAATGTATTGGCAATTTGGCAATCGGAAGTAGCACTGGAAGGGATAGTGCGAAAAAGGGCTTAAGCTGTTATACCGTTGTCGGTATGAACAACAATTTCGATCTGAAAGGCTCCAAAAGCCAAATCTACTCGGGATTGAGAAATTTCACCAGATTCAAAAGCCAAAGGATTCCGTTTATGTTTGCGTGAAAAGCAGTTTCTGGACCCAGCTCCTTACATTGAGGCGTGACAGGAGTGAAATGAAGAAATATGGCTAAATATCCGTCATTTTTTCAAGACCTTTTGAATTGTCTAGATTCGTTTGTCATAGACCAATCAAGCTATGAAAAGCAACAATCACATCACGAATCACAGTAACGAATTGTCTATCCCGCAGCCTGCTTGGTTCTGACGAGTGTTTTTTTCTTCTTTTGGTTTTTCCTGAAAGATCCAAAAAAAAAATCTGTCACTGTAGGGTCTACAATATTGATAAGTTGCCCGAACAACTGTATCAATGAACTCAAGTTGATGTCTTCTAGCCACTCAGGTTGTGGGCTTTCCTAGGGTGACGGACGACAACTCTAGAAAATCACCACATACCCCACCACGTGAAGACTCCTGGCTCTATAGATGGGGGAGTTTAAAATAATTGAAGAACTCTCATTCAAGGGATCAGGAATTGCTAAGACTTCGAGGTGAAGCCAACGCTGTTGCAATTCCATTCCTTCTAGCTATAAGGGCCACGTCCGAGGCTCTTGAGATATTTGCCCTCACAGGTTTCGCCAGTATTTCACTTTCGAGAGGAAGTTTCAAAGGTATACTATAAGGTTCATATAGGGAAACCTTGTCCGTCGTATAAAGGCGTCCCCCCATTTTCCAGTTTTCAGTCTGTGATTCAGTCCTAGTGCTCGATCAGCCACTGTTAAGAGATGCCAGCGAGAGTATCAATTTCTGAAAAAGGAGAGTTTTTGGACCCAGATGGTAATCAAATTCAATTGCGCGGTGTCAACCTTGATCCTAGTGTAAAGTATCCTTCAACTCCTCACTGCAAAAGCCACGACCCTCTAACACCATCGTTCTATGATGCTGCGAATTCTGTCTGTTTCATAAACCATCCTTTGAAGCTCGAGGAAGTTGAGGGTCACATCTCGAAGTTGAAGTCTTTGGGGTATAACACTATTAGGTACCCGTTCACTTGGGAGGCACTTGAGCACGAAGGGCCCGGAAAATACGATTTTGAGTTCATGGACTACACAATCAAGGTTTTTAAAAAAATAAACGACCTTGGAGGAATGTACATATATCTGGACCCACACCAAGACGTTTGGTCACGATTTACCGGCGGTTCTGGCGCGCCTTTATGGACGTTTTACTGCGCGGGTTTTGAACCCCGGCATTTCTCCGATACAGAAGCTGCAATTCTACAGAACACTTACATCAACCCAAGCAATGGAAAAGAGCAAGAGCCTTATCCCAAAATGCTGTGGCCAACCAATTATTTCCGCCTTGCTGCCCAAACCATGTTCACACTTTTTTTTGGCGGCAAGAAATACGCGCCTAAATGTGTCATCAATGGTCAAAACATCCAAGACTATCTGCAGGACAGATTTATAGGTTCCGTGATGACTTTTTACCAGCGAATCAAAAAGACGGCTCCCGAGCTGTTTGAAAATTACTGCATATTGGGCTTAGAAACCATGAATGAGCCCAACGTTGGATATTTTACTGACCCTAACTTGTCAGAGTTGCCCAAGAACCGCAAGCTCAAAAGAGGTACAATGCCTACAGCTTTGCAGTCTTTTCAACTGGGCGAAGGCTTGCCCGCAACAGTGGATACCTATGACATTTCAGTTTTCGGGCCCAGGAAGACTGGTACTGCTTCAATTGACCCACGAGGAATCTCGGCCTGGCTTACGAAAGACTCGAGGGATGAGACTGACCAACTCTACCAATGGAAAAGAGGGTCAGAATGGGAAGCGGGTGTTTGCATTTGGCGATTACATGGTGTCTGGGACCGTAAGGAGCTCGGAAACCCTCAAATGCTCATCTCTGATTACTTTGCTCGCGATCCAAGCACAGGGGCTAAGATGGACTTGAGATATTTCATCAATACGCTATTTGTTTCCCACTTTGAAAAGTTCCGGAAGGAATTTAGAGACTTGGATGCCGAATCTTTTCTGTTTTTGCAGCCCCCAACATTACAAGAGCCTCCAAGACTTAAGGACACGGATATGATAGATGAAAAAACAATTTATGCTTGCCATTTTTACGATGGTATGTCATTGATGTTCAAATCTTGGAACAGGATCTACAATGTGGACACGCTAGGTATAATGCGTGAAAAATACGCTAATCCCATTTTTAGTGTTGTACTCGGCGAGAACATGATAAGGAAGTGCTTTCGGAAGCAGCTCGCGCAAATGAAAGAGGAAGGAAAAGACTTTTTGGGTGACAAGGTCCCCATTTTTTTCACTGAGATTGGTATGCCATTTGACATGGATGAGAAGAAAGCTTATCAAAATGGTGATTTCACTTCGCAGATCGGGGCACTCGACGCTCTTGGGTATGCACTGGAAGGTAGTAACCTATCTTTTAGCCTGTGGTGCTATTGCAGCAATAATTCTCATGAATGGGGAGATAATTGGAATAATGAAGACTTCTCCATTTGGAGTAAAGACAATGTAAGTGGTATTCCTGCATTAAAACCAGCTTCCGAATCAGATCAGGATAGCGCCTCCGACGTCGTATCTTCCTTCTCCACCATTCCACACGGTCATGTGGCCAGCCTCAGTAATGAAAGTATCCATTACGATTATGACGGGCTGAGAGCACTAGATGCAATTCTTCGTCCATACCCAGTTAAAATATATGGCGAATTTGAAAATGCGGAATTTGACTTGAGCAGACAAGAATACAGACTGGCGATAAATGCGAAATCGCGTTCAAAGTCGGACGCCAATGGTGGCGCGACCTTGATATTTCTACCAAAACTTCATTTCCCGATGGGTCAGACGATTATCAAGACAACGTCAGGCAAGTTCGTTTACGATCCAGCTCAGCAGTTGCTAAAGTGGTCTCACGATTCTGGTCAGCAAAAAATATCACTTCGAAGAAAAGTAGAGTCAACGAAAAAGCTGGAAGATCCTGACGCTTGTGTGCTTATGTGATAATTTAGTGTAATGAATCGAGGCAGTATATACAGTTAAATAATATGACGAGAACTTTGGGTGACATCTTTTGCATAGAAAATCCGAAAGTCAAAAATCATCGACAGCTTCTTCCTCTCTTTCTCTTTTGGCTCCTGACAGCTCTTTTTTTATGACTTGATTGACGAACTGCTGAAATTGATCCAAAAAGGGCTGCAAAGAGGTTCGTTCAACCTTGTTTTCATTGGACTCCAACTCGTTCTGGAGATTGATCAACTTTGGTGCGTCAGAGGGAGTAAATGTTTCACTAATAGGAACACAAACACTGCCTGTGGCCGGGTGGATGCAAAATGGCGCTTTTAGCAAGTGAATCGTCTGTTTGGTGACTTCCACATCCAACTTGGGGTATAGTGTAGCCAAAACTAGGTCTTCCTTACACTCTCGCAGTCTATTAAAGTAATCGGATTTCTTTAGCTGAGATGGGTGCTTTATTTGAGTCGCAGCTAAATTATCGATATCGGTCCACTTTTGTTCACTAGTGCGATCTGGATGCGTCTTCCAGTGCTTTTTCAAAAGCTCTATTAGAATCTTATCATGAAGCCCTGAAAGTAGTCCGTTGATAGCCATGGCATCATCTTGCCATGGATTTTGTTCCCGCAAAATGATTTCAACGAAAAACGGTTTGAGTATTTCGAGCGATCGCACCAAATGAGGATGGTAGGGACGCTTGAGATTTTGTCGCTTATCGATATTTCTGTCTCTCACGACGTTCATATAGTCCAGTACACTCCTCCTTTGTATGTCGTTCAGTTGTCTAGCTCTTCTATCAGTGACCCAGCAATGTGCACCACGTCTGCCCGAAAAGATCCATATGTAATCGGTATAGCCAAAGTCCTCTTCCAACGCGACGTTGATGATTTTCATTGCCAAGGAGATGAATTTCCAGCATTTGGAGCATACGCTGGCACCCGAACAGCATGTTCTGTAGGCGTCATAATCGTCCATATCGATATCAAAAACGACCTCTTTTTCAAGCGGTTTCATATCAGCTTTCAACAAAGAGTCCATCTGGCGCGGTGGCTTGTTGTAGACCGCTCCAATTTCGAATCTATCGGGGTTGGATCGCTGAATCTGAGCCTTGAATTCTTGCACCGAATCAAACGAGTTGTATCTTTTGTAAGCTCCTGAACGGAAAGCCATTGCCAGTTCTCTATGCATCATATCGCGGCCCGGTTTTGGTGAATGGTTTAGCCATTGAAATACCGACTTGAAAGGATACAGGTGTTGGTAATAGTACTGCATGTCAGTAGCACTAGGCCCATTTCCGAGAGGCAGCGTCTGTGTTGCCATCAGATTATGTGAGAGGGGGTCTTCTACCAAGAGTTCCTTAGTTACGACTTAACGCTTCAGGTCGGAAGCTCGAGATGGTTTGTTGTATGTTGTAGTTCGAGGACCAGGCATCAAACGCGTAAATATCAAAATACGCGTAATTAATTGATCGTGGTGTATTTTGGTCTCGCTGAGGAATCAGATGACAATTTCAGAATCGGGTTTTTCGGGTACGGTCAAAATGATCTGTAAAAGTTTTTCAGGTTGGCGGGTCGAGATTTTTCGGGTTGTTTATGGATCTTTAATTTGGTATCTGTTTTATTATCTGTTTTGGTACCCGTTTTGATACCCGCTGGAATAATGGTTCGAAAATCGTCAATTGTGGGAGTTTAAACCTATCGGACAGGCCAAGCTTGAGTTTATGCTGGAGACTAGATATTTATGGGCTTAGATTACCAGAACGTTTTTTATTTGGTGCTAGAAAGGTGGCCTCGCGATTGTATCCCAGTCTTTATCGACTAGGGTCATACCTCAAGGCTCGAATCAAGACGAAGTGAGAAACTGATTATCTGTAATATAATATGACTATCTAAACTGGCCTCGTTGGTACTGCTGAACTATGGTGGCCTGGTGATTCAGTTCTTTCTCATCGCTGTCGCTCCGTTGACAGATCACGTGCTGACCAATTTTATCCTGGTAATTCTAAACGACTTTGGGTTCATCATGTGAAACGACTTGTGGAAGGTTAAAAACCCAAGGTGGTCGGTGTCCCTTGTAAACAGGTTGGGGTTTACATTGAGTATTGAGTGTGGAAAAAACGCGTAAAAAATGGCATTTGGCGTGAAAAGGCTTTTATTTACGCGACTGCAGTATACATGAAGCGCTAGAAAAATCAAATGTAACCCATAGCAAGCCTAGTCTCGAGCCTACTCGAATTTCGTCTGCTCTTGATAACTACTCAACATGACGAGCCCTAAGGTAGAGTTACTCGTTAAGTTACATCGAGAGATCTGCGGTGTTCACAGCTTAACGGGATACTTGCAGTATCTGGCCCGGCATTCAAAGATTGACGGGCGCCAAGAGTTCCTACGAAACTATGATTCAGGCCAGTATTTTCTGAGGTACCAATATGGCAATGCTTATATTCGTCAACTAACGAACGCAACCACACGGCGCGCACCGCAAATGGCTCTCGAGAACTTAGAGGATAGGGGAGTTTTCTCCAATGGAGAGCACAAAGCATTGGAAAAATACCTCGAGAAGCTGCTTGTAGATGAAATCAATTTTGAATCTATAAGAAGGACCAGAGCTCGGGGCAAAAATTTCCGGTATAATAGCAGATATCATAGCGGTGGGAGGTTTCGTACTTACTTATACGGACGCTGACTTCCGCAAGTTGACCGGATTTAGTAAGTTCGATCTCGATCGCATAGCCAAGGCACTGAAGATACCTTCTAACATTGGCTCTTACTCACTTGACGCTTTCGAATGTTTCTTCATCTTCATCGTTAGAATGAGAAGTGGCTGTACTTACACAGTACTGACCAGCATTTGCGGCAGAGAACCCACTACAATATCCAAGATTATCACATTTATGACATGCTACTTGTTCCACATTGTAAGCCCATCTCTGTCAGTTGCAAATGCGCCGTGGCTTGCGAGCCGCTTATCGCTCATCGACCAAAGCCTTCTGAGATCCAACAAATCAGTCCCTAACAGCAGAATTGTGGGCTTTATCGATGGCACGCACGTCAAGATTGCGAGGCCGCATGGAAGTTCTGAATTGCAAAATTCAGCGTATAGCGGGCATCAAAAAACTCATATCTTGAAGTATCAAGCGGTGACAACGCCTGATGGTATTTGCATAGATTTAGCAGGACCCTTCGCTGGTAGTCAGCACGACTCCTTTCTTTTAGCAAATAGCGGCTTATACGGAAGATTGAAGCCAGCTCTAAAGATCAGTAGCGTTCAATACAGAATATACGGGGATCCTGCGTATCGGAGTTCTGACGTGCTCACGGTGGGCTTTAAAGGACAGAATCTGACAGCTGCCGAAAAAAACTACAACAAAACCCTGGCGAAATCTCGTGTTTCGATAGAGTGGTTTTTGGTGCGGTAAAGAACAACTTCCAGATTTTCAATGCCCTGGGAAAACTGAAAGTAGGTAGAGTGAGATTTTGCGGTGCGTACTTTACCATCGCTGTCTTTCTGACAAACCTCAAACATTGTCTAGAAGGATCGCAAGGATCCAAGTACTTTGGTATTGACCCACCATCCTTCGAGGAATTCACGAGTAGGCTCAAATTTCCAAAATATTTTGACAATTTTATTATCGATAATCAAGGAGAGGGCACTTACTACTCTAGACAGTATGAGCACTTAAGCTTTGATCAACTGGAAAACCTTGCTTGAGCCAGCTTTGCAATGAAAACTTTGTAAATCAGCCATGCGGACAAAATTTAGCTAACACTGACACTCTAACATTTGTGATAATTAGTTCACGCATAGTGTGCTAAAAAGTCTTGAAGCATCTTCTTTACAGCATTAGTCGATGAAGAATTCCCCTTTTCTAGGCTTTGGGCCATGAGCGTCATTTCCATTACAGTCTTAATCTTTTTGGCTTCATGATCGAATTGTTCACGCTTTTCTTTTTGAGCGCTGTATTCCATTTGTTGTTGTTGAAATTCTATAATCTGCTGTTGAGCTTTTGCTTCGCGTTTCCTTTCTTCCGAAAGTGTTGCTTCAATAGTTCGTAGCGCAGAATCTTGCAGTTCTCTCGTTGGTGCTGAGAGTTCAGAGAAATAATGGGCAAATGACGCGACATCTCTTGAGTTCAGCGACTTGCCTGATCTGTTCCTCTTTTCGACCGTGATAGTATTAGGTTGGTTCACGTCATCTATGGAAGACTGCTCATCAGAGTCTAAAGGGACAAGGCTCTCAATGACACTCGGAATACTATTTGAGCATAGCATCTGGCCCACAGACCTCTTATTATGTCGTTGGTCGGTAACACGTTTATGGTATTCTGCTTTACTCAGTTCCGAATCATTTTTCAGCCTACAGAGCTGTTCCAAAACGTCATCTATTTTGTCAACTCCAGTAATCGAGAAAGGATTTCTCTCATCTCCTGTAGTGACAGCAAATAATTTGGGATGTGCCATGTCTGTTAGATATCTGCACCTCTGTTTAATTTGACCCTCTGTTGGTATGATATTGTTTTCGAATTGTAATGACAACAGAAGATCATACAAAATACAACTCCATTTAAGAGATATGAAGCTGCTTCGTTCTAGCTTCTCAACTCTAGGTGATTTCAGACGTTCGAAGCCGTAAAATGGACCGATTTCGTTGCAATACTTGACCAGGTAGTACGTCGAGTTGTCAGTCCACCTGAACTTAAACTCTTTCCCATGATCTGATGATCTGTAGCCTTTCACTCTTATCAATTCTCTGATAGCATTTGCCATTTTATCCAGTGAAAGGCGAGGATTCTTTATAGTAGCTAAATCCTCCCTTATGATTGATGAATGAAAGTAACTCAAGATAAAAGTCTCCGAATTGTTCCATTGCGGCATGATTCGTTGAGCTCGCGACGTATTCAGCGGTGGCTGATGTTCTGTACTCATCAAGGCCAGCACCAGTTGTTGCTGGGTTGGCTTGTAAACCCTCATCAGCGAGCGAGTCACTTGATGAAGCGTCAGAATGATGTTGACCCGTTGACTGGTTGTCACTTGTACAAGAAGCTGCTTCCATTGCCCTCTTGAACTTGTTTCTCAATGGTCAGACCCACTGGTGATCATCTTCTGATCGACCTGATACGCGCTATTGTTGTTACTTCAATAACAATTCTTTAATCCACAAGTCACTGGGAACGAAATCAGCTCGAAATCAACTTGTGGAAATATTTCCCAAGGTACTCGAAAAATGTACCTTGCGTTTCAACTTGTGGACAAAAAAAAAGAAAAAAACGATCCACAAGTCGTTTCACATGATGAACCCAAAGTCGTTTACAAGTACTCTAATGACAGTGTAGGAAAGGAGATATAAACTTTGAAAACTTGAGATCAGTGCGAAGGAGTTGTAATGGGTACTTGTTTTGATTCTCGAGCGGTCTCAAACGGTTTATCACTAGCTTGGCGAAACAGAAAGAAAGTTGATTTGACTACCAAATAGTTTTCAAGGTGCGTGTGTCGTCATTCACTCACGTCAAAAATAGGCTTGACTCGGCAAGCATTCAAGAAACACACAGACACACAGACACACAAAAATCAAACAAAGCTTAATACTAATAGTTAACTATCTGACTACAGTAAAATTATCAGCACTCGATTATCACGTGACGCACGTTGCTCATAAATCATTATCACTTTTGAACAATCAAGTTCGAACTTTCTGAATACGGAGCGTAAAGAAACTAACATTCCCTAACCATATTCACTCGACTCTCGGGTATCCTATTCGATACTTAAACTTGACGTTAAAACTTTCGAGTTTGACTTTTGACATTTGTCGTATACAGTGACCATATCATAGCTAATGATTTTGAAAGTAGAAGAATATCAGTTTAGAGCTTCGGGTGGCAAAGAAGATCCTTCAACATAACAAAGTTGATCCTCCAGTAACAGAATAACTAGGTTGTCATATCAGAAGCGGTGCTTTCAACTGAAATTGATATTGAGTCTGTTTATATAAACCCATTGTCACCCCCTCACAACCAAAGATGGACATTGCGCTAGGTATAAGGGTTAAGGACTCAGTGATAGTAGCGACCTCGAAAGCGGTAAGTCGAGGCATTTCTGTACTCAAGGCCGATGACGATAAAACAAGACAACTTTCTGAACACAACCTGATGGCTTTCAACGGGGAAGCGGGCGATTCTGTTCAGTTCGCCGAGTACATCCAGGCAAACATTCAATTGTATTCCATCAGAGAAAATTACGAATTGTCACCTCAAGCAGTATCCAGTTTTGTGAGACAGGAACTGGCAAAATCAATCCGCTCCAGAAAACCGTACCAGGTGAACGTCCTGCTTGCGGGTTACGACATACACAACGACAAAACTGAGCTATTCCAGATCGACTATTTAGGCACGAAAGTGGAACTTCCCTACGCTGCCCATGGTTACTCCGGATTCTACACCTTCTCTTTACTTGATCGTCACTATCGACCCGACATGACGCAACAGGAGGGTCTCGAGCTGTTGAAGCTGTGCGTGGAGGAGCTTGAACGTAGAATGCCGATGGATTTCAAAGGCGTTCTGGTCAAGGTGGTTGACAAAGACGGGTGTCGGGAAATAGCCGACTGGTAAGCCAACATTTTCGCTTCTTTTCCTAGAATAACAAGAACATAACCAATATAAAATAGCATTGCGAACTCCGCGGCGGGTCTTGGCTCTTGCTGCAATATCAGAGACAAAGGAAAAGCTCAATTCGAAAATACAGACGTATGAGACTTCTCAAGATTTGCAGTCTACAATTTCCATATATCTCTGTCTTCACCTTGTTCTTCTAACTCACACGTATAATACAGGTGCTTTTCGAAATTTAAATTCAACCATCTCCTAACATTACAAGAACTGAACTGAACTGAAAGCTACAAAAGAAAACGCGGATGTTTCTGGTCCTTTAGTAGATCATAAGCTTCAACACATAAATAACCCGCTAGCTGTTCAACAGATTGACCAAAGAAAGGACAGTGATCAAAGCGACAATTCCTAAGAAATTGTTTCAGAGACTTTTACAAGAAATATTGCGTTCTTGATGTCATTGCGAGTTGTGCGGTGAAGACCCTGACTCCTTCGCTAAATCATCTGTCAGACAGCTGATCGACATTACCCAGGGTGGCGGATTACACCTTAGCCGCCGTTGAACATCGGAGTGTGGTGTTTGCATCACGAGATCACTATTGACGAGATGGTCCATCCTAAGCGAAGATGGCTGCAGTATTATTCAAGCTATCATCATCACTGTAAAGGAAGAAGTGGACGAAGAACGAAACCTCGCTTCTGACAAAGCCTTTTCATGGAATCAGTAATAGCTGAGATTGGAGAGCTGCTCAAAATACAGGATCGGGCGGTCTCAGAATTTGTTTATGACATCTGTGGCAAAAGTTCGAGCCTTGAACAATTTCAGGCTAAAGTCGATGAGCTGGACGTAGGTATATCGCACGAGGTGGCTTCAAAAGTGTACGACATCGCTAAAAGTACCGAGGAAAATCAGACTGGCAAAGTGGCGCGTGTTTTACATGACGCACTATCCCTTGATGATCCTGTGGTGGCAGAGTTCATCGTGGAAATCTGTTCGAAATGCTCATCCTTCGAGGAATTCAACACAAGTCTGAACACTATGGATTGTGGAATTGGCCCTGATGTGTCGAGACTCTTGTACGCAGCTATGGAAGATCAGAAGCCTAAACATAGCAACCAGGGAGCCTTGAATATGCCTAACGAAAAAATACATTGGGACAGCCTTGGTATTTCAGCTAACAACAACGGACATGATGCAACCACTGCAGCTGACATTGATGAAAAACCTGTTTTGGGAAAAGTTTATCCAGGAATGGTGAAAAAAATCACCACGTTTGGTTGCTTCGTTCGCATATTGGGGATTCGAAGTTCCCGCTGCGATGGACTAGTCCATATATCCGAGCTTGCGCCTAGAAGAGTCCGAGATCCAGCTGAAGTAGTCTCTATAGCTCAGCGGGTTTATGCCAAGGTCATCAAGATACAGGAAAACGGTAAAATCTCGCTACGAATGAAAAGTATCGATCAAAAAACAGGAGTAGAAGAGGAGGCCAGTGAAGAACGAGGAAGAAGTGCTTATTCAAAAGAGGAGTCAAGGCCCAAGAGGAGATTGACTTCACCTGAAAGGTGGGAAATTCGTCAACTCATTTCCAGTGGAGCAGCTTCAGCTGAAGACTATCCAGAACTCCAGGACGCTTTTGAACAAGAGAGACCCTCTTCAGAAAAATCCTCAGATTATGCATCGACCGAGGTGGATGTTGAGCTGAAGACAGATGATGAACCCCAATTCTTGAAGGGCGAGGCCAGCACATCTCACAAGCTTGAGATGCCCAAGCTAACAAAAGTTCCACAGGGCTCCCTCACGAGAACAGCGCTCAGTGGCTCCAATTTGATGTCAGACCGCCGAGCGGAAAAAATTCAAAAAACTAAAGAGGTGGAGGCTGAACGACGCAAACACAACCTGATGGATGATCCCAACTCGCGTCAATCACAGCTAGAGTTCAGCAACAAGCAAGATAAGCTGTCAGCATGGGAGCGCAGCAGAAACAGAGAAAACATCGAATACGGAAAAAGGACGAATTTACCGATCCAAGCTCAACGAGAATCCTTACCGGTTTTCAGCATGCGGGATCAATTAGTGAAGGCAATCGGAGAAAACCAATTTTTAGTAATTGTGGGTGAAACGGGATCAGGTAAAACTACGCAAATAACACAATATTTGGATGAGGAAGGATTTAGCAAAAATGGAATCATAGGATGTACACAGCCACGAAGAGTCGCAGCGATATCAGTAGCGAAACGTGTTGCTGAAGAAGTTGGATGCAGGCTGGGCGAGGACGTGGGTTATACAATTCGGTTCGAAAATGAAACTTCTAATAGAACAAGAATTAAGTACATGACGGATGGTATGCTACAACAAGAGGTACTGGCTGATCCTTGTGTGTCAAAATACGCTGTTATCTTACTAGACGAGGCTCACGAAAGAACGATTGCCACTGATGTCCTGTTTGCACTTTTGAAAGGAGCGGCTGCTAAGAGGCCAGATTTGAGAATTATTGTCACATCTGCGACTTTGGATGCTGAAAAGTTTTCTGCTTACTTCTTCGATTGTCCTGTGCTGAAAATTCCGGGGAGAACGTTTCCCGTTGAGGTTTTGTATTCGCAATCACCGCAGATGGATTACATAGAGAGCACGCTGGATACAGTTATGGAAATTCACATCAACGAGGGAAGGGGTGACATTTTAGTCTTTCTGACGGGTCAGGAAGAAATTGATACCTGCTGTGAAGTCTTGTACGAGAGGGTAAAAACACTAGGTGATACCATCCAGGAATTATTGATTTTGCCTGTTTATTCGGCACTGCCGAGTGAAGTTCAGTCAAAGATTTTTGAACCTACTCCACCAAATTGCAGAAAAGTAATATTTGCTACAAATATTGCTGAGACGTCCATCACCATTGATGGTATTTTTTTTGTTGTAGATCCTGGTTTTTCAAAAGTGAACACATACAATCCTCGCATGGGAATGGAGCAACTCATAATCTCGCCCATTTCGCAGGCTCAGGCAAATCAGCGAAAAGGGCGTGCCGGTAGAACGGGTGCTGGTAAATGCTACAGGCTCTATACAGAATCTGCTTTTTTGAACGAGATGATGCCTAACACCATTCCAGAAATTCAAAGACAAAATTTATCCTATACAATTCTCATGTTGAAAGCAATGGGCATAAATGATTTGTTGAACTTTGAATTTATGGACCCACCTCCACGAGTTTCTATGGTTGGTGCCCTAGAAGACCTTTATAACCTTCAAGCGTTGGATGATGAGGGAAGGTTATCGAAGCTCGGTGCCCTAATGTCCCAATTTCCTATGGAACCAGCTCTTTCAAAGGCACTAATAGAATCTACACGAAGGGGTTGCTCTGATGAGCTGTCAACAATAATATCTATGCTGTCTGTGCAGAGCGTATTTTACCGGCCTCGAGACAAGCAACAAGAAGCGGACAATAGAAAAGCTCGATTTCATCATCCTTATGGCGACCACTTGACGTTATTGAATGTGTACAACCGCTGGCGGGACGACAACTATTCAAAGACTTTTTGTGTCAACAATTTTCTGCACGAAAGGCACTTGAAGAGGGCGAGGGATGTAAAGCTCCAACTTTTGGGTCTATTTCAAAAGTTTAGGCTCCCGACTTCAAACAGCAATGGAGATATCGACATGATCCGCAGCACGCTAGTATCTGGATTCTTCAGAAATGCAGCCAAGAGGGACTCTCAAACAGGTTACAAAACCATATCGGACGGTACTTCTGTGGCTGTGCATCCTTCAAGCTCGCTATTTGGTAAGGACTATGACTATGTTATCTACCATAGCTTGGTTCTAACAACTCGCGAGTACATGTCTTTTGTCACCGCTATAGATCCGCGCTGGCTTGTAGAAAGCGCACCACACTATTATAAAGTTTCCGATGGGGAAAGCGAGTCTCGAAAGAAAGCTAAGATTGTTCCTCTTCACAATAAATTTTCTCAGAACCAAGATTCGTGGAGGCTAAGCTCGCTGCGGCAGACCAAAGAGAAAGCTCTAGGGATTAGAAGATGACGCTATCACTGGCACACAAATACGCACTGTGTGTGTGCTCTTCTCATAAACTTGAATGAAAGGTGCTTTTTTTCAGGTGTGGTATGCTAGCGTTCCCAGGGTTTCTAGCGAAGGGCTACGTGGGGTTTAATCCATGCGGTTACTTCTTGCCGGTAGAGTTTTTAAGACGCTCTAACATGAAGCAAAGATGGTGCTCGGAGAAAGTCAGGACCAATGTGGAAGCCGTCAGAAGGTGCATGACGATGATTATTTTGATTTGACATTAAAAGACCTCACCACTCGCGAGGTGGGGCCTGAAAACTGGTTGATTTTAAAGTCAGCCATGTTTAAGCACTCTTTGAAATATACTACCACCATAATAAAGCTCAAGAAGGAGCTTAGTTTCTTAGGCAACGGTATTTTCACTTGTCGTATAGTAAGTATACTTATATATATAATAACATACTGACATTAATTCAAACCTTAAAGAGCAAGTTGACGATTCCAAACAGGTCATCAAAGCGCCATTAAATCAATGCTGATAAGTCCTACAAAACTGGCAAACAATTCCAATGTAGCCGTTGTTGGAGCAGGGGTTGCAGGCCTCTCTTTCAGCTATTTTTTGGCCAAATTTAGACCAGATGTCAATATCACAATTATCGATGCTGCTAACGGGACCGGTGGATGGATCAACTCTGCCAAGGTTCAAGTAGGAGGGCGAAACTCGATTTTGGTAGAAAAGGGTCCCCGCACTCTGCGTGGTAAATCAGAGGGCACAACATTGATGATTGACACACTAGATTCATTGAAGCAGAAAGAGATCGTTAACTACATCGAAGGTAATTCCGTGGCAAACCGCAAGTTTTTACTGGGCAAGGATGATTCGCTCGTTCAGGTTCCCACATCTTTCAAGTCTTTCGTCAAGTTTTTGAGAAACTCGCTGAGTGAAGGCTTAATTACCGGATTTCTAGCAGAACCGTTTCGCAAACCTCGTTTGTATCCATGCGAAGATGAAAGTGCTCACAGTTTCGTTGAAAGACGGTTTGGAAGTGCTTCTGTTAGCAACAACATTTTCAGTGCCATTTTCCACGGCATATACGCGGGTGACATAAAGCAGTTGAGCGCCCAAAGAACATTAGCACCTCTTTTGGCTCTGGAAGCCAAACATGGGTCGCTAATTAAGGGAATGATGAGTTCTAGCACAGGCGAGCAAAGCTCGAGCCTACCACCAGCTCTGCTTCAGTATCAGAAACGAACCGGTAGAGACTTCAAACAGCTATCTGAATTGTACGGCCAATTACGCAAGCTTCCGATGCTTGGGCTACGCAACGGGCTGGAGAGTTTTCCCAGAGCATTGTTTACTGCACTTCAGCAAAACTCCAAAGTCAAGTTTCTTCTTGGCAGCCCGGTTTCGCAAATCGAGGCGGGTGTGAATAATACCGGTTGTCGGGTATCACTTGCAGATGGGCGCCAACTTACGGGGCTCCAGCACGTCCGACTTACGAATACGCCAGCAGTAATAGCTACGATGACCCAAGACAAGCAGCTTGCACAACTACTGCGACAAGTGAAAGCCAACACCGTCGTGCTGGTAAATTTTTATCTTGCCGATGCTGATCTTCTGGAACAATATCATTCATTTGGGTATCTCGTTCCACAGTCGAACAGTAACAGGGAGCAACTGTTGGGAGTTATTTTCGACTCTGTGATAGAGCAGAATTTCAAGCCATTGGTACCTCAACAAAGCTTCGATGAACAGCGCAAACCTCAGAAATACACCAAATTCACAGCCATGATGGGCGGACACTACCTGAGCGACCACAGTCAACAAAAAGACGCGCAATATGTGGATCGGGTGAAAAGTGCACTAGTGCGGCACTTGAAGATTCCCCAGAATCAGCTGGATAGCGGCCACTGGGAGGTTACAATGGCCAAAGAGTGTCTCCCACACTTTTTCGTCAATTATAACCGATGGATGTCCCAAACAAAGACCAAAATCGGCCAAACATTTGGATCACATCTGTCATTGGGTGGCATGGCCTTCAGTACCGGTCCAGGTGTTCCTGACGTCGTCATGGATGGGTTTCAAGATGCAGATGCCCTGTCTTGAACGCACGTCATTATACACGAATATATTTATATGCACTATTTATCTTCTAAATAAATAGAATTTACCTTCATTAACATCTACCTCCGCGCTTAACAAACACTTTATCGGGCCACATAGCTTCAAGTGGGTAGACCTACCGAGAAACCTGTCGTTTTGACTCTACACATCGCTTAAGAAACGCTCAAATATAGGCTGTGTACCATGCCAGCATCGAAGAAGCGAACTTCAGAGCCTGCTTCGTTGTCGGACAATGTTTCTGTGAAAAACCCAAAAAAAACGAGACCGGATGAGCCACTACAGTCAGAACCCAAGAAATCGCTGTACGTCAACAATCTCAACGATTCAGTGAAACTACAAACGCTGCGCGAAGGTTTATTTTTGATGTTCTCGACGTTTGGCGAAGTGCTGGAGGTCAAAGTTTCCAAAGCGACGCGAGGACAGGCGTTCGTGGTGTTGAAAAGCGTTCAGGAGGCCAACTTGGCCATGATCTCATTGCAGAAAGAACCATTTTTCGGTAAACCTCTCCGCATAGCTTTTGCTCGCTCGGAATCTAAGCTGGTAAAGCCTTGAATAAAGGAAAAGAGGCAGCATGTGATTATCACGTGAAAATCACCTGAGATCAAAAGCCCGGCGGGGGGGACTGAAACGTGATTTGAAACATGTGCTAAACATGTGCCAAACAAGGCTCCTCTTTCTCCCCGTCCCCTTCCAAATTCGACGCAGCAAGTAGTTTCCGTCCGGGCCGGTCCGAACTTTTCTCCCCCTTTGTTTCAGTATGGGATAACTTGCGACATTGGGGAATTAAGACTTGTTGCAGTCTTGTGGGGCATGACTGGCAGCTATTTTTCACAAGACTGCGAAATCAGTGGGTTTCGGATTAGTATATAAAGAGACGGATGAAGCCTAAGACTGGATAGTCGTACAGAACTGGACGTTACTGTGCATTGAGAAATGAGCGTCGATGGAAGCGACAGCTACATCAGCTTGGCCGAGCTGGTGCAGACAAATCTCAGATTTCGGTCTTTAAAGGAGGAATTGTCTCAATACGATGCCAATTCACCAGAATACCTTTCAGCATTGATTAATGCAATGCCATTGACAGAATATACGAATTATCGAAGTTTTCTGAAAAAACAGGCAGTTCCAATCCCAGGGTCCGAATTAACACGTGGTTACAGCGCTGTTTACCGAAGTTCGCTTAGTCCCGACCATTTGGTCTCAACGATCCACCCTAATTTAGCCACATTTTTCGATTTGTTCAATTTTGCCGTAAAACGGTTTCCCGAATACGATTGTTTGGGTCAGCGTGTGTCTCTTGATGGATCCGGAAAGCTTAGCGACCACTACGTTTTCGAAAGTTACCAAGAAATCCAAAAACGCAGTCGGAACCTTGGAAGCGGAATCATGACAGTGGTGAATTTGAAACGCCAGCGCAGATTTGATGTTAACGATTTCATTGTGAGCTTGCTCTCGAGCAATCGAAAAGAGTGGGTTATCGCTGATTTGGCGTGTCAGGCGTATTCAATTCCCAACACCGCATTGTACGAGACTCTCGGGGTTGATAGCTCACAACACATTCTAAACATTACCGAAAGCCCTGTACTAATTTTGTCCAAAGTCAAAATTTATGCAATTTTGGATTTGCTACCCCATTTGCCCCATTTGAGCACCCTGATTTGTATGGATGACCTTAGCTCGGATGAGCTAAGTCAGCTTAATGGACCTCTTTTACCACGCTTGACAAACGACGCTGGCGAGCGGATCTCAGTGCTCACTCTCAGACAAGTGGAAGAAATCGGTGCAAACAACAACGTGCCTGTCATCCCCCCAACACCTAACACGTTGTACACCATCTCGTTCACGTCAGGCACTACAGGAACACCAAAGGGCGTACTCTTGAATCACAGCCACATTACCGCCGGCGTCACTTTCGTTTTTAGCATTTTCCGGATACCGCCTCAAAAACGCGGAAAACAGTTATATGAAATGTGCTTTCTGCCACTCGCACATATATTTGAAAGAATGATTGCGGGCTATGTGTTGTCGGCAGGGGTTGGTTTAGGATTTTTACACAAGGCTGACCCAGCGGTTTTGGTGGAAGATCTCAAAATTCTAAAACCCGATTTCTTTTCTCTTGTGCCAAGAGTCTTGACCAAATTCGAATCCGGCATAAAAAACTCTCTGCGGGGTGACTCCACCTCAGCGCTGGCTAAAAATGTCGCGAGGAATATTCTAGACCAGAAACGGACGAGGTTCCAGGCTCGCGGGGGACCTGATCGCTCAATCATTAATCAAATTGTATTTCACAGGGTGTTGATTGACAAGATCAGAGATTCCTTGGGACTGACCAATGTTTCCTTTTTGGTAACGGGCTCAGCCCCAATCTCTAATGATACCCTTTTGTTCATGAAAAGCGCCCTGGACGCTGGGATTAGGCAGGGCTATGGATCAACAGAAACTTTTGCCGGTATATGCATAAGTGAACCTCTGGAGAGAGATTCTGGTACTTGTGGAGGGATGGCGATAACATCGGAATGTCGTCTCAGATCAATTCCCGAGATGGGTTATGATGCAGAGCGTGATCAAAAAGGTGAAGTTCAGTTGAGGGGGCCACAGGTTTTCACTGGCTATTTCAAGAACCCGGAGGAAACCCGGAAAGTTCTAAGCAAAGACGGTTGGTTTTCTACTGGCGATGTTGGCTACATCGACGCTAAAGGGCGTCTTTCTATTATTGATAGAGTCAAAAACTTTTTTAAACTGGCTCAGGGAGAGTACATTGCACCGGAAAAGATTGAGAATTTGTATTTGTCGTCTTGCCCTTACATCTCTCAAATTTTTGTTCATGGTGATTCTTACAAGACGTTTTTGGTAGCCGTTGTAGGACTGGATTTGGATACATTCGAACCGGCATTAAAGCAACGGCTACCAGCCTTGAAACGTTTCCACGGTCAGGATATTATAAAACTACTGAATGAGAACCGCGAATACAGAAAAGAGGTCGTCAAGATGATGAATACTGAAATTACTGGGCTTCAAGGGTTTGAAAAGGTGAACAATATTTTGGTTGGATTAGAACCTCTTAAAGTTGCCGATGACACCATCACGCCAACTTTCAAAGTGAAAAGAGTGAAAGCAGCTAAAAAATATCATGAAGAACTGAGCAGGCTATACGAAGAAGGCTCTCTTATCAAAGTAGAGAAGCTGTAGCGCTTTCATCAAGCTTTCATCAAGCATATATATTTTTAAAGTGTCAGGATCTGCATCAATTTAAGTAAAGTCTGTTGGTAAATTTGCTTTTCGATACAAGAATGAAATCGGTTTTTTGGCCTCGGTCAAGAATTCTTCCAAAATTTCAATGCATTCGTTTAGTGTTTTACCTCTTTTCATGCCCGTTTCAATTGCTCTAATGACTATCAATCGTCTACTGTATTTCTTCTTAACGTTTTTCCGCAGATTAGCTCTCCAACGGGTCGAAAAAGATGATTCCAAAGACCGGATAGACACTCCCTTGGACCCTACCTTGTGATATTCGTTCCACACTTCGCTGACGGCAGTATACTTTTCAGAAAATTGTATACCCCATTTTTCCAAAATATCGCGTTCGTCTAATTGGAAAGATGGAGTGGGAAGACCGTTGGATGGGATGTTGTAAGGAGTCGCAGGCGTGTTTAATCTGAGCGGTAAAATTGGAAATTGACGTGAATGATTATTAGGACTAAAATCAAAAGAATGGTTTTGTTGAACACCAATGCTCGCTTTGGCTCTTTGGGGGTGAGCCAAGACAAAATCATTTGAAAAAGTTCGTTTTCTCAAATTTTGAGTCATTGCATCATTGATGAGCGTTGTTATATCTTCCCCGATTGAATTCTGATCGTAGTCCTTCAATACCAGTGGAGGTAAAACGCCTTGTGGGTATGGTGTGGTGAGCCGAGGATTCAGCTCAGTAGTGGAATTTGGCATTTCTTGATTCAGAGAAGAAAGATCTGCGAACCCTGAAAAATTCACCTTTTCTGCACTGTTGGTGCTGTTTGCATTGGGAATGTAAGATTGTCCTTCCCTAGGAGTGACGGCTGTGGGCGTGTGTTGGGAAGTACTCGATCCCGAATTTGAACTGACGTCTGCTGCAGTCAGTAAGGAAGTGACGTCATCGAAATTGCGGATTTGCGTCTGATCTTCTTGTAGACTTGAATGAGTACCGTTAGTGACGTTCCCAAAATTTAGGTCAGTCGTCGTGTTTCGCAGGCGTTTCCGGACCATTTTTTGGAATGTCTCGCGCTCAGTTTTTTCATGCAGCAGTTGACTCCGGAGAAGCTGCACTTCCTGTTGCAAGGACTCCATTTTGGCCTTCATCAATTCCATTGCCTGTGTACAATCTTCAGGAGTTAGGGAAGCTTTCGAGACATTTTTCTGGCCACTGGTCATTGCTCAAAAAAAAACTGGAATGTAGGATATGGGAAAAAAGGACGAAAATCAGGGTTGTCAGTGGGCACTTCCGCGGTAGTACCTAAAACGTACCAGTGTTTCGAACAACGACAGGAGTCTCCAAACCTGAACCCAATCTTATCTTGTCAACTTTAAACCAGTTTTTAAAGTTTTTTGATGTATTTCAACTCCGAAAACCACAGCGCTCAAGGGCCGTGAGAGATGTCTTTTCCCAGCTCTTTTTTTGTGAAATGACGCCTCCTTTTGGCTCTCTGAGTTTTTTTAATAGCGGGAGTCAGAAGAGGACCCAACCTTGCCGCGTCAATCGCAGAAGGATGAAAACAGCTATTTTACCGTCGCAACAGCCGCAAGCGGCGGAGTTTTCAGAGCACTCACACGAAAAGTGCAATTGCGGGAGGTCGCAAAATTTCTCGTGGAGTTGGAATACTACGCACTGTAGGGTCTTGGTGTGGGATGGAGTCACACCTGTCCTGTTTTTGAACAAACTCTGCTTTCTGTTTTCTGTTTTCAGGGAACTCGTTGTTCAATTTCCAATTTAAAGATAATCTTCAAAAACGTGACTCGTCCGTACAGGGCGACAAACATTTGTAATCCCCACTTGTGCCAACATTTATTATGAATCTAGGCCTTTTTTGGTCTCCAGTTTGACCTTCAGCCGCCTTAGTCTGCTGGGGTTTGATTTTACCACGGCTCGACCAGATAATTGAGATTTCGAATTTTTTTCGAATTTGGGTAAATTTTGGTCAGACACCATTGTTTTCCATATAAGACCGTGATCTGAGCACTCCGTATTTGTTGTTCAGTTGCCATTGGCTTATATGTCATTTCCTTAACGCGAAAAGCTCGTTTTTTTTCCGTGAGTCAACACTATTCCCTCTGGGTGTGTCAAAACGAGAAGCTTTGAGTTTAGGGCAGCGCAGATCATAATGCGATGCAGCCAGTTCCGCACAGGATAAGAATATCGATTTCCATTGTTCTTATTGTCTTTAGTTTTACTTGAAACCGCGATTCGCCACGGATTAAGGTTATCATCTAATAAGCGACTTTCTGACCTCTTTGAACTAACATTTCGGCACGATACTTACATGAATCGAATCCCAAGATTCACCTCTTTCTATATGAGCTGATCTCACTTCTTATCTCATCCATTATTCCACCTGTTTGGCCTGTTGAAGTGAGTTTGAACTTGCATTTCTCATTCTTATTTGCATATTTTGATGTTGGACATCTAAATAATGATAATAAATCATCACCAAATTCGCGATGCATCGAGTCAAGGCTCGAGGTAAAACAACAGCAGCTACTACCGTAGAGCCGTTACGCTTCTTCTTTGTGGACTTCTCTACGAAGTAGATGAAACATGAGTGGGATCGGTGAATCGCGGTCGGAACTGCTGGGATGGCTGAATGAACTTCTCCGGCTTAATTACGCCAAGATTGAACAATGTGGCACTGGTGCTGCATACTGTCAGATTATCGATTCCATATATGGGGATGTTCCAATGCATCGAGTCAAGTTCCATGCAACGGCAGAATACGAGTTTTTGACAAATTTCAAGATTTTGCAGAGTTCCTTCACCAAACATCGGCTTGAGAAAACCATACTGGTGGAAAAATTGGTCAAATGTAGGTTTCAAGACAATCTGGAGTTTTTGCAATGGCTGAAGAAATTCTGGTTCCAAAACAAGGACGAAAGCCCGTATGATGCCGAATCCAGGCGCAAATATCGAGCACCGGCACTTCCTCCTGCTGGTGGTAGTGGTGGTGGTGGTGGTGCTGCTACTGTTGCAGGTCATGGGAATGGATTTGCATCGTCGGGCTCGATCTCCTCATCCGCAGGTGGTTCCCTCTATAGCGGCGGATCGACTTCTGCCCCTTCAAGTGTTGTTAAAAAACGCGCAAATGGACCTCTGCGAAGCGCTGTCTCGATGGGATCATCAAGATCTTCCTCCACGGGCCTTATTTCACGCAAATCATCCGCTGAGCAACAGGCACATGTGGTTGGTCTTCAAACCAAGCTTTCGCAAGCACAAACCACTCTAGAAAACACCCAAAAGGAAGTCGAGCAATATCGGGAAGCAATTGCAATAATGGAGCGTGAACGAGACTTCTATTTCGGCAAGTTACGGGACATTGAAATCCTGTCTCAGTCCACAAAAGATCTTTGCAAAGAAGGCGTGTATTCCAGTGACCCTCATGAGCTTGTAAGGTTTTTGGATAAGATTCAGCAAATACTATATGCCACGGAAGAGGGTTTTGAGGTCGCCATCGATGAAACTGGCAATGATCACAATGGCTCTTTAGACCAATCCGCAAAATCAAGTAATACAGCTGCACCCGCCCTAGGAGAAGCTGTAAACCAACCAGCACATAATTTGATCATTGACGAGGAAACGTTTTGAGTCACGGCTTTGCCAAAATTCACCATCACTTACTTTACAGATTATTGAATGTTATTTACAGGTCGAGTATAATTCTTTCAGCATAAAGCCTTTTCATGCATTAACAACATTTCCTTCATTGCTGTTTTTCGGATCCAGATATTTTTCAAACGCCTCGTTCCGCTCTGGAAATGGACGAGGTCCTAATAACCTTATCATGTCCTCCCTGGTTATCACCTCTTTCTTTAATAACTCTTGGGCAACATGTTCCACATCTTCGCTACGATCCGTCAAAAGCTGTTTGCACGCTTGATGAGCATGATCAACAATTTTCTTGACTTCTTGATCAATCTTTCGTGCGGTTTTTTCACTAAAAGGTTTGTTCACTTGCACTCCACCGGCGTCTTGATCATATGCGACATAACCGATAGCGCGGGACATCCCGAGTTTGGTAACCATGGCCTGTGCCATATTGGTCACTTTCTTGAAGTCGTCGTGAGCTCCACTGGTGACAAAGGGAAAGTGCAACTCCTCGGATACTCTTCCACCTAGAGCCATCACCATGCGATGCTCGAACTGCTCCTGAGTGACGAGGTATTGATCAGGAGGTAAGTACTGGGCATACCCTAGAGCACCTTGGCCTCTAGGAATAATGCTCACTTTCAGTAGAGGATCTGCGTGCTGTAAGTACCAGCCGCAAACGGCGTGGCCGGCTTCATGGTAGGCTACTGTCTTTTTCTCTTCCGGTGAGAGAACCCGCGATTTCTTTTCAAGCCCCGCAATGACTCTCTCAATGGCTTGTTCGAAATTCGATAGCTCGACAAATGGTTTTTGATGTCTAGCAGCGATCAAAGCAGCTTCATTGCATGCATTGGCAATATCAGCACCGGCAAATCCTGGTGTTAGTGCTGCAAGTTTCCCTGCTAGCAGTTCCTTTTCAGCGGGCTCGCCATATTTTGGGCTCAAGTTGAGCTTTTTCAAATGCACTTGGTAAATAGCCTTTCTACCTTCGACGTCAGGAGCATCGATCTGAATGTGACGGTCAAATCTTCCAGGTCTCAACAATGCGCCGTCCAAGACGTCCGGTCTGTTGGTACCTGCCAAAACAACTACCTGATCACTGGTGCTGAACCCGTCCATTTCAACTAAAAGCTGGTTGAGAGTTGCTTCACGTTCGTCATTAGAACCGCCCATGGCACCACCCTTTCCTCTTTCCTTACCAATGGCATCAATCTCATCAACAAAGATTATGGCAGGGGCCATTTTCCTAGCGTTTTCAAACAAATCGCGGACACGAGAGGCACCGACACCGACGAACATTTCGACAAATTCAGACCCAGATACGGACAAAAATGGTACACCAGCTTCACCTGCAGTAGCTTTTGCGAGTAGAGTCTTACCGGTACCGGGAGGACCAGATAAAATAGCGCCACGAGGGATCTTGGCTCCCAACGCACGATATTTGTCTGGTTTTTGCAAAAAATGGACAAATTCCATGATTTCGGATTTTGCCTCTATACATCCAGCCACGTCCTTGAACTTCACCTTGATATCTGTCTCCTTGTTGAACAATTTGGCTTTAGATTTACCTACGCCAAACATACCGCCCATGGGTCCACCTCCGCCGGCTCCGCCCATAGATCCCGAGGCCCGTCTCGTGATGAAGTACAAACCTCCTAGTAGGATGACGGTGGGTGCAAAGGGGAACAGATACTGTAAAATGGATGCTTTTTCGACGTATGTGACTGGAATTCGTTCATTGGGCGGTATTTGTAGCTTGTCTTGGATTTCGTCGATTTGTTGTTCAAAAACGTCGACGGACCCTATTGTGAACGCTACCACCGGTGACGTGTTTGGTCTGGAAAAAAACCCGTTCCCACTTCCTAGGGAGTCCATGGCCTGTGGCAGAAGTTCTGCTTCGACCATTTGCTTGTTAACCACGTACATTTTTTTAACCAGACCCTTTTCGAGATATTTGCTTTTAAATTCCTGCAACGTCAGTATTGGACCATCTTCCGGATCAGAAGATGGAGACGTCAACAGATGGAAGATAAAAGTGAACCCCACTGTCATGTACATGGTTCTCAAAAACTGTTTAGATTTCAGGTACTCGCCCAGAGTTTTGAAGTCATCTGGGCCCTGATCTTTCTTGCCGTCTTTATCATTCTTTTCGCGGTCTTCTTTATTAGGATTTTCACCTTGGGAGTCCTTATTCGATGGTTTTGAATGCTGGTATCTCACACCAGAGAATAGGCTAGCCTTGGATGCTGTCCTGGAGCTGTTGTTGAACGGAATTTGAGAAACTCTTTTCAGAGTTGCAACAGACCGGCCTCTACTTGAAGCAGAGAATAGCATGTTACGAAGCATCTGAAGAATGGGAGACTACGGGAGTCCTTGAGTTGAAATTGGTATGGGGCAGTGTTGTTTGGACCTTTAAGTATCACTTTGTAGATGGGATCCTAGTTTATTTTCGCCACTGTTGTTACTTTGTACGTGAGCGCGACTAGAGACTCGAGTAGAGCAATGGGTGGAAGACCGCGGTAGGTTTTACTATGATTGTAGCGACAACCCTTTAGCTGGAGGATGAACTGATCGGTAGGTGAGTGGACAAAGCAAGCGTCTCATTGGATGCTAGATGGAAGTGCTCTGGAAGCGCTTTGGAATCACTTTAGTGGGAAAAGCAGGCTCCGAAAATGTTGTTCTGACAGACATGGTTCGTCAGTGGAAAGAAACTAATATCACTCTGTAAAGGCTATCAACTTTAATTTGTGAGAAAGAACAATGCTTCCAGCGTCGAATAGCAGGGTTTGGAGAAAACGCGATTTCAAAAACCAGCGTATACGTCAAATGAGAGACACTCTTTCAGTAAACGTGATAATCTTACAAGAAGGAATACAGGCTAACCAAAATTTGAGAAAGATCCGCTACACTTGCTACTGTTTTCTTCTTTTTCGCTAAGCTTCTGGTGTTGAATCTGTAGTTTTTGAAGGCTTTGTCACTTTGATCCACCGCGACACTCTGTAGAACAGCTCTTTTCTGAGATTATAGAAAAAAAGGGTCACGTGCTTAAGATAGCTCTTACGGTTTCAACAAATGGTAGCGCGGAATCTCAAATCTTTTCAGAGTCTCAGTACAAGCATTGTACTTAGTTCATCACAGGTATTTGTAGCACCTATACCAAACCACTTTTTTTTGGTGACGGCACTTAACGACTTTCGTGCATTGTTATGCAATAAATGAGTCAAGATCTACGAAACATATCACGTGATAGCATACACACGTGCTTCTCGTGTGACGAGGCTTGCTCACGTCTCGTCGATGGCTATCAATACAAGTCTACTTTTTTTTTCCGGGTCCTGAGCTCCGCCTATCCATTCTAAAGACATAAATGAACCGTTCATATCTAACACCTTCACCTTAACCATTTGCTCACACCAAACTCTCAGACACCTCATTTTTACGCGAGAAATTAAGTTTCGAACCATTGTGTGCATCTGTTGTCTGATTGTATTGGCGGTGTTAGGTGTTACGTTAGGTGTTACTTTAGGTGAATACGGTCCCTGAAACACCTTAACGCCGCGGCTCGAGAATTTTTCTTATGTCCTTCTCTCATTGTTCCGCTTTCTTGTTTGCACCGCTTCTTTCCCACTGCTTACATAATGCTCATTGTTCCGTCGTAGAGAATGGGGGGGGAAGGCGGGAAAAAAAAGGGTCACGGCACTTTTTGACAGGGAGCGGAGGAAACTTTTAGCTTGCCGAGGAACCATCCTGCATCATGCACTCTGCGCTGCGGGTACCTGCATGGAACAAAGCGTCTGCATTGCATGAGCCTCGGTAACATTTAAGATTTCCGAACCGCCAAATCATCTGACTTTAGAACCGCTCTAGTGGTTAAAGCCGTGAAGTTGAATTTTGAATCTTAAACTAATACTGATATCGATGTTTCTTGGGCTAGCCCCTGGTAGAGAGTTTCTACATGCTGTATGTTCTATTAAATTGCGTTAACGATGGATGTTGTTGTAGTACAGTAGTATTTGCTGTTGTTGTCTAAAAGAATACAATCATTAATCCATGTATCCAGTTATGTGTACGTGTGTATTGAGAAGAAAGAGAGAGGGAGAAATAGCAAATGGTGGCGGATTGTGAGGCGCTAGCTCGATCCAAAAATCGCGTCTTCTGTCTGGTTGTTTGAAACTTCCGTTGTAACGTCTATCTCTGTTTCTCTCTCTTTCTCTCGAGTCTTTTTATTTTTTTTAGCTTTTCCCCTTGGTGGAAACGTTTCATTGGAAGAGTCAGCTCTCTCGTGTACAAGACCGGCTGTGCACTCGGATAAATATGAAAGCTGGCTCTCCCGTATTCTTTATTCTATTTTTTTGCTTTTCTGTTTGTCTCTCTTCTTGTTCTTCTTCTTCTTCTCCTTCTTTTCCAATTGGCTTCAATGGAGGTCCATATCGGTGCGTAGCTTGCAAAACTCGCAGCCGTCCTTGCGTTGTCTCTTGCCCGCACGACTCTTGCGCGGTATATACTTGTAGCCCGGATACCTTAGACGGTGTGCTTCCTTTTCCTGTAGCGCGAGATTCTGCCAGTAGCTGCGCTCTGGGTCGCCCAGTTCACGCCAACGACGTCCGATTTCGCGCGAAATCTGTGAGTTGGTCTTGAAAGATACCTCGGGCGATACAGACGACGACGACGCTGCTGCTGCTGCTGCTGCTGCTGCACCGTTGCTCTCAGGCGTTCCTGGAGTGGTGGCTGGCGGGGTGTGGGCCGCGTGGCGCGACGACGAGTGTTTGGAAAACAGTTGTTGGTGCATGTGCTGGCGGAACAAGATAAAAGCGTTGCGAGGCCGGGGAATATGGTGGCCGGTCTCCGTGTTGTTGCGACACACGCATTTGAGAGGTCCTTCGACCGCTGCAGCAGCGGCTGCTGGAGCTGTGCTGCTGGACATTGGCGGCGTCAAATAGGGCACTTCCATCAGCGACGTGGACGACGACCGTGAGGGCGCCGGCGACAGCTGAGAGTGATGTAGTGGTTGTTGTTGTTGTTGTTGCTGCTGCTGCTGCTGGCTGCTGTGGAGATGGTGGTGGTAGTTGTTGTGATGGGTGTGGTGGACCGTGAGATCGGCCGCAGATGCCCGCGGCGTGGGTAGCCCCATGGTGGCAAGTGTGCCGAGATTGTTGCCTTCACCACCAGACCCATTTTTGAGTGGGAGAGTTTCTGGAGTTGCGTCGACCACGTGCTTCAGCAGCGATGGCAGCGGCGGCGATGAAGTTGAAGTTGAAGATGAGTTATGCGTCTCCGTGTACAGCGATGTGCACGTGACAGGATACGCCTGCAGCAGGGCGCTAATGGAGGGTAACCTGACCCCAGTTTGGTTCATGAATGTGTGGGTGGGTGGGAAAAGAAAAAAAACCCGACAATATATTATGGGATGCGAAGAATGGAGGATGGGATGTTTGAATTTGTCGCGGAAGAATGACAATGATGATATGATGATAACGACGACAAAGGGAAACGAAAGGGTGAAGCGAATATACTCTTGTGACCAATTAATTAGTCAAGACGTGAACTAGCCAATACGTGAACTAGCCAATATGTGTGTTTCACCTGTTTTGTTCTAATCACCACACACTATTGTCCAGCAGTGAGTGATCTTATTTTTATTTTCCACTCTTTTCGTGTATGCGTGCTTCTTTGTTGTATCTCTCTCTCTTCCTAGGCGGGAGTACTAAACAAAAGCTTTTATATTCTGGTAAGGTGTGTTGTTGCTCAGAGTCTTTTTTTGAAAACTTGTGTTACACAACAGATATCTAGACCCCGTAGTTACCGCGTGTAATGCACCGTCCGATTAGCCTTTCTGAAAAGAACTAACAGGAGATCTTTTTCTGTCTCAACGACAGTACGCTCCCGGGGTTTCGCAATTGCGTATTCGGCTTCTCTTTATATACAAAAATGCACAATCGGGTCGGTGGACATACCAGGGGTGGGTGGCCAACCGATCGGGCTTAAAAACACAAACACCATAATGCTTATGAGTGCCACGGCTGACAATGCCGCCTGCAGCGCATGCATACGGTCATGCAATGCACGCTGCAAGCCGTGCATTCCATAACAAAACAATGGGCCTCGGAGCGAGTGCGGCCGGACATTTACGAGCCTGGAAAAGACAGAAAACACAAAAAAGAAAAAAAAGCAAGAAAGGAAAAAACAACAACCAAAAAAAAAAAAAAAGGAAAAAAGCAATGCGAGGGATGGCGGCGGGAGCATTCAGCCGGGCCGAGCCTTATGTCCGGCTGAATGGGTGTGTGTGTGTGTGTGTGGGGCGGGACGGGACGAAACGAGAAGGGGGGACTACTACAACCCACAGTAACAACAACAACAACAACAATAACAACCGTGGGATGATGAATGGGAAAAAAGGCGATCTCGAAAGAACCTTAGCAACCCGCCGTGTTCCATGCGTTCGTTGCGTCAAAACGCAACGGGAAATACCCATAGGGTTATTGCCCTCACGAAACGTATTTACAAAGGTGTTCCTCAAGACGTTCGTTACGTATCCTATCTGGACGTGAAGTGAACGTAAAGTGTGTCAAGCGAATGTTAAGCGAATGTAGTACCACCATCCAACACCACGGGCGTCCGTAAAAGCGTCAGATTGTGTAGGATAGGTTCAGCCGCTTATCTTGGCAACCGAGTGTAGAGAGCGTAGGAAAGCAAAAGAAAGAGAGCTACTGCGCTACTACGCTACAAGGAGTTTCCCGACGCATACGCATACGCGTATGCATGTAAAACAGATATCGATACGCACGGCTGTTCGTTAGGGAATCATAACAACAAAGATTGATTAGCAGAGATAATCTATTGTAATTGTGGTTGTAGTTGTGGTTGTGGTTGTGAATGTGGTTTACGGGAGTCACGTGATCTTGGACACTAGGGTTCAGCAATGGCCATTTCAATGGCTTTAGAACGTTGTGGGATACTACAATAGTGATGTGAATGTACCTTCTTGGAGTTCGGGCTTGGTAAAAAGACATTTGGACCTTAATAGCAACCGATCAATCCAGAGGCATGAAGCGTGAAAAGTGACGTGAGGAGGAAGAAAAAAAGAAACTGGTGGTCACGTGACCCATTGAAAAACTCTTTACGTGAAAAGTGAGGTGAGAGAAAACTGATGGTCACGTGAAAACGTAAATAGCTCTTCAATGTAACAGACAGATAAAAGCAAAACGTAGATAAGTTGACTACTTTCTTCTCAATTTCATACTTCCAACGTAAACTAAGTACGCAACACCTTGACGCTAGAATCCCAACAACGAAATTCCCGTAAGTTTCCTTAAACATTCCCATCATCACATTTTCTACGACTAATTTTCCCCTGTCACGTGCCCTCGGTTTCCTGAGTATGTCTCAAAATTAAAAAAAAAACCCATACATGTGCATACTCAGGCCCCATCCTAACAATCACCGACCCACCCGCCTGGAAAATCTTTGAGCATATTTAGGTCCCCCATCTGCGGGTTTAATACGGCTTTAAGCTATACGACCGAAACTGGCCGCTGAGCACTTTATTTTCTCGCATCGAGCAATAAACAAAATTCGTATCTGTCTATCTCGCCATTTCTTGTCTCGAGATTGGGCCCAACTTTGCCTTTCCACTGCGTTTAGGCTGAAAACCTGGTTCTGATCAAACACCTCATACGAAACCCTATGGATCATGTGATATCACATTCGACGAGTAATAGTTTCTCTTTCAATACCCAGGAATGAAAAATTTAGAGCTCATCAAAAACCATCAATTAGCCAAATAGTGCGTGTGTTTACTGACATCCTGCCTCATCCGCTTCTTGCAAACGTCTTTTAGCGCCCGCATCCCCATGTTCAGACGTGCTTTTTGCACCGGGCAGCGTGCCTTGCAACAGGCCTCGAAATCGCCCTCGTCTATCTCGCATCCCGACTCTGAGTTTCTTGCCAAATACTATCCCAAAGAGATCGTCAAATCCATACAGTTTGCTCAATCTGTTATCCCACCTAGCACCAGATTTCAGGTTTCAGATAACGTCGAGTTTGCTCCTGCGTACTTGGACGATTTCTCCAAAATTGATTCCTACTGGGATTACAAACCAGGCACGCCGCACCTGCATTCGTTCGACGCTTCCACGCAATATACGTTCGACCAAATAAGCCAGCCGCTGCCCAATGGAAGAGTCATAGCTCCAGGCGCTTCGCTTCCTCGTCCTGATGGCTCCAGAAACTCCGCCACGGCTGACATCGCCCGTGGACTTCAACGGCAAACCGGCATCAACCCAGACTATGTGACTCGCAAACTAACAATGCGCCCACTGGTCATGAAGCGGGTCTCGAATCAAACTGGTAAGGGTAAGATCCCAAGTTTCTACGCTCTTGTCGTGGTGGGAGACAAAAACGGAATGGTTGGTTTGGGAGAGGGCAAATCAAGAGACGAAATGTCAAAAGCGGTTTCTAAGGCCCACTGGGACGCAGTCCGTAATCTTAAGGAAATTCCTCGTTACGAAAACAGAACCATCTACGGAGATATCGATCACCGCTACCACGGTGTAAAGCTGTTTCTCAGATCTGTCAAGCCGGGGTTCGGATTGCGAGTAAACCACATCATTTTCGAAATCTGTGAATGCGCCGGTATCAAGGATTTGAGCGGAAAAGTCTACAAAAGTAGAAATGAGATGAATATAGCAAAGGGCACGATTGAAGCTCTCACAGAGTCCCAAAAGACGCTGGACGAAATCGCATTGGGGAGAGGTAAAAAAGTTGTTGATGTCAGAAAGGTGTACTATTCAAGCTGATCAATCTGTCTATATCCCAGAAACTAGCATTAAATAATCCTTGTATATAAATAGGACAAGTGCCCAATTTAAAGGGTTTGTTGACGTATCAATTGCGATCCTGTGGAGAAGGAATATGCAAACGGAATTGATTTCAGCGATATCTACAGGTTACATTCAATTGCGGATCTTTTTGTCGCAAGCACCGATGAGTTTGCTATAGAAACAAGCCTTTATGAATCTGAAAACACGAAAAAAGCACCGACACAAGGCCTACTGTATCATAGGTTGAACAAATGTGCACAATACTTGACTTTCTCTTCAAGGTTTAAATCTCTAGAACCCTTCGTTATATTTAAACATCCAGGAATAATAAATTCGAAATATTTAATATACTCATCAGACGCTCTTCAGATCCAAAGATATCCGAAAAAACACCATCATATCTAAGAGGCATCTTATGTTTCTCTTCAGCTTAAGGCATAACGTCGTCAGACGTTCTGTTTTGAGGCCCAAGAGTGCACTTTTGGTGAAACCAGGAAGAAGATCAGTGACATCCAGTGTAGATTGGAAACCCATTAAAAGTACTAGGACCCCCAATGACAAACCGAGAAACAGCAGCCCTACAAGATTTATATTTTTGGGGCTAATGATTGCCATGCCCGTCGTATCATTCTACTTGGGTTCATGGCAACTGCGCCGTTTGAAATGGAAGACTAATTTGATTGCCTCCTGTGAGGATAGACTTACTTATCCTCCATGTCCATTGCCCAAAAACTTCGGTCCAGACGATGCTGAAAACTGGGAATACCGTAAAGTTACAATTGAGGGCGAATTCCAGCACGATCAAGAATTGTTTGTTGGACCTCGTGTAAGAAATGAAGCTAAAGGCTACCTGCTCTTCACACCATTTATACGTAAGGATACGGGAGAGAAATTGCTTATAGAAAGAGGATGGATCAGCGACGACAAGGTTGTTCCTACCAATAGAGGTATGCTTCATTTGTCACTTCCCACTGGAAATATCAAAATCGAGTGTCTTGTGCGCGTTTCCAAGAAAAAAGGCACATTTCAATGGGACAAGGAAGACCAAAATAGCAGATTGTGGCAGATTGTTGACTTTCCAGACATGTCAAAGGCATGCGGCGCCACCCCACTCCATCTGCAAGCGCTTTACGATCTGAAAGATCACGACTGGGTGCACACAGGAATAGGTGGTGAAAATGAGAAGTCTAGCAACAGCCAGGTATCTTGGTGGAAATTCTGGCAAAGGTCAAAAAGGCCTGAACCTACAGGCACGTCTGAAGGTTCCAAAACATCAGGGTTTGAAGACGTTGAGTTCAACGAATGGCAACTCGTCAAAGCTGGGGTTCCAATTGGCAAAGTTCCCAAGATCGATTTGAAAAATAACCATTTGCAATACCTGGTGACGTGGTACGGACTATCGTTTTTGAGTTCCATTTTTCTGGTCGTGGCCCTGAGACGTAATCGGGGTGGTGCAGTCTCTCAGGATCAACTCAAAAGAGACAAATTGAGACATGCAAGCAGATATATGTGATGAGTCTTGGCGACAAGGTCTGCAAGGTATTAATTATTTTCAAACAAGCCTTGGAACAATTTTTGAATATTCGACTCCAAACTCACGCAACGAAATCTCAACAAAATCTGTAAATAAAATTAAAACATGAATTTGGTAAAAGGAATTTGTCTTGGCACTAAATTTTCAGTCTTTCTCATTGTTGTCGTAACAACGGTTTTGTCGTAGGTGTCCACATAATTGGGCGAATTCGTTCTGTCGCTGAGATAATCTATTCTTCAACCGAAGAGCAACACGCTTACAAGCAGAAGGGATTTAAAGAGATGGTTCCGAGTATGTGAAAGAGCTACAGACCTCCTCGGGCAGAATGTGTATTTTTCGAAAAGTAGGCACTTTTTTAGTTCAATTACTTCTACGCAAGCAAAGTTCATCAGCAAACCAGTTTTCCTTTATTCCGCCAATCAACAAGGTTGGCAACAACCCTCGATGAAGGCATTGCTCATTATTCAAGGTATCGAAGATACTGCTGTCGCTGACACGACTTTAATCGTAAGTCACGTGCTCTGGTTTGAACACAGGAAATCAATAAACACTTTACAGGAGGGCATCATCGATCTACTGGATCCATGTATCAACAACCCTGGCTTTGAAGAATTCAATGGATGGCGTGTATGTCATTTGAGCTACTACTTAACAATCTTTTGGTGCAGGAATGTCAAATCCAAAGAATACTATACGTCAAAACACTCCCGTAAAGGATCAGCGAACGGCAACTGAATATAGACTGTCAATTTCCAGTACGCCAGGCTCACGTCGAACATCGTTGGGTACAGCCAACACAGCCGAGGGCTCAGAGACGGACAATGCGGTGATAACTTATTTCTTGCCTCAATTTAGAGAGCTCACAGACGCTGTGATTACTTTGGATAGTAATTTCACGCAGATGAACTTTATACACGAAAGCCTTGTTGATCTGAACGAATCGGTCAGTGCGCTGCTATATGGGCTTATGTGCAATTCGTGGTGTGTGGACTTCCCCAACATGCCGCACGACACGCAGGCGGAGATCAAGTTCAAGCAGGCGCTGCACAGTCTCGAAAAGGAAAAACAGCACCTTTCAGCGCAGATAGCGCTCCAAGAGGATCAAGATCAGGTGTCACAAGCTACCACTACTACTACAAACAATAAGCGGGGTGCAGCTCGACAGCGATCCGAGCTCGTGAGGCTCGCACCGAGAACGCTCTCTCCACCGCGAAACTCAGAGTCCTATGGCCACGCTGCAACTCCGATTCCAGAATCGGACTACGTCAACGACGAAGACAACACTGATGCATCCTTCATTTCCAACCCAGCTGTCACCAACCCCGCGGCGTATCTGGCAGCCGAGAAGTCCCGCCGAATGCGTCGGAAATCAATCCTTCATGTTATGCGTAGCAGTGTCTCTGGAGCACGCGATGAGTTGTCCGACCGTGAGAAACGACGTTCTTTGGCCGTCAGTGCATCTCGGCTTGTTGACCCACCACGAAGGGCAGCGTCAAGATCCGGGACGGGACCTACGAATCACGTTTCAGCCATCGGGAATAGCACAAGAACAAGATCTTCTAAGGATTCCTCGAAAACCACCAAGAGACCTCCGTTTAGGTGATTACACTCAAGAGTATTATCTCTTCCAAAACCTATCGGGTCCTTCAAACGAAAACAAACTGATACCCCATGAATAAAGCACTCATTATACTGCTCACCCAGTTCTCTGCTTGCTGGGTGCCAGACCATCGCGTGAAATAAACGTGACTATTTGATTGTGACCGTTGCACCTTCAAATTATCTACAATTTTTGATCTTACAGGCAAATTCAAGAGATTGGACAAATTAAAAGCTCTAATCACATGAAAATTGAGCAATTACCACTGCTCGAGGCGAGCAAATAGAACGTGGGAATACTCGGTATAAAAACTGACGAAGCAGTAAGGACAGTTTGTTGTTACTGATGTTCAAGATCTAGAGTTAAGTGGGAAGATACTGAACAACAAATAACTATACTCAGAATGATTTCCAGCAGGCAAACGCTAAGTTTTCTCGTTGCAGCGTTAGCAGCCGGCGTTAATGCTCATGGAGGGATGGACGACGGTGGTATGTCAATGTCAATGTCAATGTCAATGTCAATGTCGATGCCGATGTCATCGTCGTCAGCATCCATGTCCATGCCAATGGGACCATCCAGCACTGGTGGAGGCATGGCTATGTCTACAGGCACATCTAGCATGCATATGCACATGGACGAGTCAATGGCGATGAACTCGTATCTAACTCCAAAATACATGAACTACCCGGTTCTATTCGACCACTTGAAGGCCAAAAACAAGGCCCAAGCGTTCGGGATTTTTGTTTTGATCATCGCCGCTGCTTTTGCCTACAAGCTTGTCCTCTTTACCAGTTGGTGTCTCGAGGTAAAATGGTTCAAACAATTGGATCCGTCCTCTGCTGCTAAGACCAGTGCAGCGCAGGGCTCCGGCCCCGTGGAAGAGAACGACACATCGTCGGCACTCGGTGCACAAGGTTACACGCAGGACCTGGAGTTCCAGTCCCAGTTTTTGCCCAAAGTGCCCAACTTGTTCGTGCAAGTGTTCTCGCCTTCCGTCAAAGACGTTTGCCATGATTTCGTCCGTTTGTTATTGATTTTTACCTCCACCATGTTCATTTACATGCTCATGTTGGTGGCCATGACGTTCGTGCTCACCTACGTGTTTGCCGTGATCCTTGGTTTGGCCTTGGCCGAAGTCTTTTTCAACAGATGGAAAATCTGTCTCATTGCGAGATGGGAGTTGAAAAGACAACTTGAAAGAAAGCGCAATTGCAACGGCGGCGAAGTTTGTCCATGTGATGACGATGAAAACGACCGTGAAGGTGCCAATCAGACAGCGTTGTCCAGCGCCTCCAGCCGTGCCTCCACTGCATTGGAAAAACCTACTCTTCCAGCGGAAAAGAAGGCCAAGGCTTCTTGCTGTTGCGCTCCAGATTCTACCAGTCCTAACACAGATCCTTGCAAGTGTGACGGATCTGAAGCCGACAACGAGGCGTTCAAAGAGCGTCAAGCACGCGAATTTTCTAGCAATAATGAACAGGTAGGAGCGATGGACGTCAATCTAATTCCAGCCGAAAAGTTCCCATGAAAACCGCGAAAATCGCCTTCAATCAAAGATAAAATTCAATCAAATGTACAAATAGCCTAGCACCTAATCAAATTCTACAACACTCTAGATTTCCTAGGAATGTCAGTATATGCCTTCTGCCTAATCTTTCGTCAGGTCATTTTATATCTACCTGGCACTGCCTATTTTCAAATTAATACCAAAAATTTTCAAAAGTTAAGTGCCATCAACATAGCGTCAAGCAACACAACCCTAAGTAAACACAGGCCAAAGTCGTCGTAGCGTGGTCAAACAAAGCCAACGATGTCGAGTGAAGGTGTTCAGCCCACCAAGGAGTTGGTTGTTGACGATAATGTAGAGGGCGAGAAGGCGCCCAGCGATGAAGAAGAAGGTGAAGATGTTTTCGACTCATCAGAGGAAGACGAGGATCTCGACGAAGATGAAGAAGAAGCCAAAAAGGTGCGCGAAGGATTCATTGTTGACGACGATGAAGAGGGTCGTGCTTCTGCCGGAAGGAAAAGAGGTAAGAAACACAAGAGAAGACCTAGAGAGGACGAAGACGACAAACTCTCAGAAGACGATCTCGACCTGCTAATGGAAAATGCGGGCGTGAAAAGACCAGTCAGCACAGATTCAAATAAAGCCAAACTTAAAAGACTTAAGAGAGCCGGTGATAATGGCAGCGAAGAACCCAGCGATTCAACAGCTCAAGGCGCTACTACCGCCTCCAGATTTGACGATTTTTTCTCTGAGGACGAAGACGAAGTGCCCGAAAAAGAACAACCTGCAATGGGCGACGAAGCAGCTCCTTCAAGCAGGAGAAGTGCAGATGTGGGAACCATTGATGAGCTGGACGATTTTATCGAGGAAGACGAATTTTCTGACGAAGATGAGGAAAGCCGGCAGCAGCGCCTAGAAGAGCGTAAGATGATCCGCGAACAGAGAATGAATCAACCTGTTCAAATTACCGGTCTTTCTTCGGAAAAAATTGACGAAATGTATGACATTTTTGGGGACGGCCACGACTATGATTGGGCCCTGGAAGTCGAAAACGAAGATTTTGATCAAGCTGAAGGTGGTGACGGAGCTGCAGGTAATGATGAATTTGATGCTGCAGGCTCCCACGAGTCAAGGAAACCAAAAATTACTCTGCAAGATATTTACGATCTCCAAGATCTAAGGAAAAATCTCTTAACAGAAGAGGATATGGTTATAAGAAGGGCTGATATACCTGAAAGATATCAAGAGCTTAGAGCAGGCCTAAAAAACTATGGGGAGCTGGGCACTGAGGATCGAGAGCTCGAGAAAAACTGGGTAAGCGATAAGCTATGCATTGATAAGAACTTTGAGCCTGACTACGATCTTTCTGAATTCAAAGAGGCTGTCGGTAATGCCATCAAGTTCGTGAGCAAAGACAACATGGAGGTACCCTTCATTTATGCTTATCGCCGTAACTATATCTCCTCCAAAGAGAAAGACGGGTTTGTGTTAAATGAGGATGATTTATGGGAAATTGTTTATATGGATTCCGAATTTCACAGCATCATTTACAAGAGAGACTACGTCAAGAATTTCTACAAGCAGTTGGGCATCCAGGACGCAATTGTCGACGAGTACTTTAGAAGCCAAGCTTCGTCAATGACCGAACTGACTTCCTTGCAGGACATTTACAACTATCTTGAATTCAAGTTTGCCCATGAAATAAACGAAGCTTTGCTCAGTCAAAGCAATGGATCAACGAAGAAGCATATGAAAAACTCAAGTTACGAGAGATTCAAGTCAAGTCCTCTGTACGATGCCGTGAAAGAGATCGGAATAACATCTGACCAGGTGGGCGAAAATATTCACTCGGAACACCAAATCCACCCTGTAATAGATCATCCAGATTTGAAACCTCAACAAGTGATTGCGAAGATCATGGCGGATTCGAGCGCAGATCTTCAAGTTTTCACGACTAATCACAAACTTGCTCTCGAGACTGTCCAAAAATACTACTCGCTAGAGATTGCGAACAATCCAAAGGTAAGGGAAAAGGTAAGAGCCGACTTTTACAAATACTACATCGCCGACGTCGTCCTATCAGTGAAGGGCAAGAAGGAAATACAGCGCGGCTCGCCTTATGAAGATATCAAATATGCGATAAACCGCACACCAGCTCATTTCAGGAAAGAACCCGAAGTGTTCTTGAGAATGCTGGAAGCTGAGTCGCTGCACCTCATGACAGTCAAAATTCATATGTCTTCACAGGCCCAGTACTGTGATCATTTGTTTCAAACAGCGCTTGACACTACCAACACCTCTGAAATTGCTACCGAGTGGAACAGTTTCCGTAGAGGTGCTTTCCTCTCAGCTCTAGACAAAATATTTTTAGAGATCAGTCAAGAGATCAAAGATGACTTGAGAAAGTCATGTCAGAAGCTGGTTTCCAAGGCGGTTCGTCACAAGTTCATGACCAAGCTCGACCAGGCACCATATATTCCCAACCCGCGTGATCCTAAGATTCCAAGAGTTCTTGCCGTCACCTGTGGTCAGGGTCGTTTCGGCTCTGACGCTATCATTGCGGTTTACGTCAACAGGAAATCTGATTACGTTCGTGACTACAAAATCGTTGTCAACCCGTTCGACAGAAATAATCCAGAGAAGTTCGAGGAGACTTTGGATAGTATAATACAGGCCTGTCAACCCAATGTCATTGCTATAAATGGGCCAAATCCTAAGACTCAACGGCTGGTACGGAAGATTCAAGAAGTTATACAAAAGAAGCAGATCGTGGATAACAGGGGGCATAATATACCTGTGATTTACGTTGAAGATGAACTTGCGACACGCTACCAAAGCTCCGAGAGGGGAATAGCAGAGTTCCCAAACAAGCCCTCCTTGGTGAAGTACTGTATTGCTTTGGGTAGATACGTACACTCTCCTCTTTTGGAGTACGTTAATTTGTCCTCTGATGAGTTGATGTCGTTGTCAATTCACCCCAGTCAATCTCTGTTGACTAAAGATAACTTTTTGAAAGCTCTCGAAACCTCCTTCGTTGATCTAATCAATTTAGTCGGAGTTGAGGTAAACAAGGCCACGGATAATGGGTATTATGCGCGTTGTTTGCAGTACATTTCCGGTCTAGGCAAACGTAAAGCCACAGATTTCTTAGAGTCTTTGCAAAGACTGAACGAGCCGCTTTTGGCTCGCCAGCAATTAATCACTCACAACATTTTGCATAAGACAATATTCATGAACTCCGCTGGATTCCTCTACATTTCATGGAATCAGAAGAACCAGAGATATGAAGATCTGCAGCACGATCAACTAGACAGCACAAGAATTCATCCAGAAGATTATCACTTGGCGACCAAAGTTGCCGCTGACGCGCTGGAGTATGACCCTGACGCCATCGCTGAAAAGGAAGAACAAGGCGCCATGAGCGAATTCATTGAAATTCTGAGAGATGACCCTGATTGCAAGGCCAAGCTTGAATCGCTCAACTTGGATGCTTATGCTGAAGAGCTGGAGAAAAACACCGGCCAGAAGAAGCTCAACAGTTTGAACACCATTGTACTAGAGTTGCTCAATGGCTTCGAGGAATTGAGAAACGATTTCCGTCCGCTACATGGTGAAGAAGTTTTCACTGCTTTGACTGGAGAGACGGACAAGACGTTTTTCAAAGGCTGCATTGTGCCTGTCAAAGTTGAGCGCTTCAGACACAGCGATATCATTTGTGCTACAAATTCGTTGGTGGAATGCATCGTGAATGCACAACGCCACTTGGGTGCACAACTGAAAAGACCCGCGTCGGAACTGTACGAAATTGGTATGACCTATCCGGCCAAGGTAATTTTCATCGATTACGAAAACATCAGCGCTGAGGTGTCATTGTTAGAGCATGATGTCAAACACCAGTTTGTGCCTGTTCATTACAGTAAGGACCCTTCTGTTTGGGATCTCAAGCAGGAGCTCGAGGATGCAGAGGAGGAGAAAAAGATTGCTATGCGTGAAGCTCGTGCGAAAAGAACACACAGAGTTATCAATCACCCTTACTATTTCCCATTTAACGGTAAACAGGCCGAGGATTATCTAAGAAGCAAAGAGCGTGGTGATTTTGTTATTAGACAGTCGTCGCGCGGTGACGATCACTTATCGATTACCTGGAAGCTGGACAAGGACCTGTTTCAGCATATCGATATAGTGGAGCAAGAAAAAGAAAATCCATTGGCTTTGGGTCGTATTTTGCTGGTGGAAGGTCAAAGATACCACGACCTGGATCAAATAGTGGTGGAGTACCTGCAAAACAAAGTGAGACTATTGAATGAGATTACATCTAATGAAAAGTTCAAACGAGGCACAAAGAGAGAGGTGACCAAGTTCATTGAAGACTACTCTAAAGTGAATCCCAACAGATCCGTGTACTATTTCAGCTTCAACTATGAGAACCCAGGCTGGTTTTTCTTGATGTTCAAGATCAATGCTCAGAGTAAGCTTTACACTTGGAATGTGAGACTGACCCATACAGGGTTCTTCTTGGTCAACTATAACTACCCAACCGTTATTCAGCTCTGCAATGGTTTCAAAACCTTACTGAAAACCAGCAACAGAACCCAAAGACCTGGAGGTGCCGTTGACAATGCTCCAACAGCAACAGCAGGCGCTGCGGGTGGTTATTATGGATACTGATGGTCTAGAGTCGAAAGCCATGTTGTGGTACAAAGGACTAGCGCTTGTACGTATCTAATTACGAGATGTTATTCAATGATGCCTATATGTATTGTATGATTGATTTTGATATTTGACGTCACAACGTCTTAGATTGAATGCAAAGTGAATTTAGCGGTCGTCAAGAAAGGTGTGAAAGCTTTGACTGCGAGTAAATTCTAAAAAAAAGTATAAGAAAACTGGGGTAGGCTCTTAGCCTCTTTATTCAGAACAGAATCGAGCATTCACCAAAGGCCTCGATCATGCGACGGTTTTTCGATAGAATTACGCCGAAACAGATGCTGTGTTAAAAGCTAGCTTCCTTCGCAGCCGAAACTTCTACCAAGCACCGATAAGAGCACAGTGAGACAAGATTGATGAAATAGATCATCAAACGTTTTGGAGAGCTGTTGTCATTGCGAAGCCCTGTCTGTATTTTTGGCATCGATGTGGCCACATTCAGGGTAATTTTGAGAATGATTATATGAAAAAGTCAAATTTCAAGTGAACTACTCACTTCTTTAAACTTATCCTTTCAGACTTCAAAACCTAAGATTTTGACCGGCATGGCAAGTAGTATGCCTACCGAACCGCACTCGTAGCTTAAGTGTGAGATGAAGCCTTAAAATCGAGATTTTCTGGACAGCTAAACACTTCTGGTGTCAGAAGACACGGGAGCTGCTAATGCTCGCAGATTAGAAAACTCTTGGACGTTGAGTAGAATGACAAACACAGAGCTCATAATGATGAAGTAAAATACTTTTTAGACGTTAGACTACTGATATTTTTTTAAGAGAAACGTATATTTATCTGAAATATGGCCTGTTGTCAAGACTTGTAGAAGTATTTTTTTTTTCTGGAGAATGATGCGTTTCCCGCTCGCAACATGGAAGCTTCAATTTTTTAGGGTTTCTCTAGAGGCGATTTAAATGAGACCGTGTAGTTGAGGACTCCGACTTGTATTCCCCCATGTGCTGTCTCCAGCGATTCTGCTCAGTTTTTCATTTTTTTTACAGTTTTTGTCGAAATGTGGAACTTTTACTGGCAAATATGTAAATACCATGGTATGGAGTTCTGAAAGTGCTGGATATTACGATTATGACATATAGTGTGCTGAGATCTGTAGAGCGGTTCGAACACCAGTTGCCTTGGCTGAAGTTGTTGTTTGCATCCTTGTATCACGAAAGGACAAAATGATACACGAATTTTGGAGTTTCAAAAACTTTAAATTCTCATACAACTAACTTAGAACCCTATTGACAACATATCAAACCACCAAAAACACACATTCAATTCCGGTCACCTCTTTGTACACCGATGGCACACTCCGTGGAGCATAGACAGACGATAGTGGTTGTTGGCCTGTTTTTTGCGACGTTTATTTGTCCTTTGGTTGAATCATAAACTTGACGTTGCAGACAGGTGGGACTACAAGACCGTACTACGAAGCAGCGGCTTCAAACATTGGTGCTTTCAACATTGAAGCCTCCACCACAGCTACAAGTGACTACAGAATGTAATGAAACAAAACGGCATGCTTTGGGTTCAGCAGAACGAAAAATCCAGGTTCCAACCTCGGCGGCAAATGTTTTTGTGTCCTCTCAAACATGCTATGCTATGGGCTCCGTTTCAAGCGACCTGGATCCAAAATCGTCGGAACGTTGTGCTGGATTACATAATCAAGCACGTGAGACTATTTTTTTTTCATCAATCTACAGTCAGCTGCTTCAATAAATTTCAAAACCCCGATGAAATTAATGAATTCCGGTTTTTCCCCTGTCTTCTCCGCACCCCCACCAAAGTATGCTTTTTCAGTACTCTGAGCTGCGGCGGGGACGACTTCTCCAGCGCAGCTCGGAAGTCCCGCTACACCAGTTTTTCCGGAGTCCTCAATCAATTCTTAGTCAGTTCGACTGGAATAGCATTGCTTCACCGAAAAGCGGGGAAAAAAAGCATTTCAAAACCATTGTCAAGCATTGTCAAATTTCGATCCGGACAATAACCGTTTAGTGATTTTCCGCGTCCCGCCGTTCCGCTAGGGCTTCCTAAATGAACTAGAAGGCGTGCGTTTGTGACTTTCGCTTAGAAATTGCTTGTCTTTTGACACTTTGCCTGGTCTTTCTTGAGGAAAAATAGGTTGGGTTTTCGAAAAGCCCACCAGGAGGCGAAACAGAGCAATATCCTTTCACATAAAGGTCATTCATCAAAAAGAGAGCGCTTGGTGTTATAAAACGAACAGCTGTTGAGGGTTGAAACCTTGAAACTCGAGACTGTTCTTTTTACCTTTCTTTCTTTCTTGCGTGCAAGCGGTTGCCGTGAAACATAACTTCATTATCACATTTATTTTTTTCCGTTTGGCGTGAAACAATGCGGAGAACGCATTAGAGAAGTTCTGTACGACTCATCGGAATCAAATTTCACTCACAAGTTTCTCCGATTATACGGCCCATCGTTCCGCTATAAGAAAGGTTCACGAGTAGACCATTGTCTTCGAATCATTAAAAGAAACCAAATGAAAGAACATACGACTGAAATCATACGGCAAACACCCACCGAGATGCCCAACAAAGTTGTCATTGTTATGGTCGGGCTGCCGGCTCGAGGAAAATCGTATATCGCACAACAGATAGTGTCATTTTACCAAGACGCGTATCAGGACAGTTCTAGCTGTCGGTTGTTCAATGCAGGAAAAGAGCGCCGTTCCAAGACGTTCCGCGAAGTAACAGAAATCGAAGAATCAGAAGACAGTTCTCAACTTTATCGCACAGTTACTCGCCAACGGCATCACGTTGATGAGTCTCATCGTGATTTTCGTCTGCACGAAAAAGCCGTCGTTGACAGACCCGAGTTTGACGAGTCAGACGACGACGAGTCAGACGACAACGATGACACAGTGAGGATGCGTGTGAATGAGGAACATCTATCTGGAACTTCAGTATTGCCGACTATGTTGTTCGACACAGGGAACGCAGACGCTGTGCGGGCGCGAGACCAAATCGCATTGGCGACCACTCAAAAATTGTGCATTTGGCTGGAGTCCCACGATTCTCATCGCGTGGCTCTCTTTGATGCCACCAACACAACAGCCGCCAGAAGAGCCATGATTTTCGAAACTGTTCGGGCACACACGTCCGCCGAAACCCCCATAATATTCACCGAAAGCGTTTGCAACGACCCAAAGACCATTCACAACAATATTCTGCACAAAGTGACCATGTCCCCAGACTACCTCCAGAACCCAGACAAAGAATGGTGCTATCGCGATTTTCGTTCGAGACTCCTGAACTACGAACGCGTGTACGAGCCTTGCGATGTTGGTATCGAATTCAAAAACGACACTTTTGTAGACCAGATAAAAGTGGTTGACAAAGGCGCTCAAATTGTTTCCCTACCAGGGACGTCACTAGCACATGACTGCGGTCTTCTCGAATTTCTGGATCACGTTTACCAAACCCCTAACAAACAATTCACCGGGGCGTTACCACGTATGTTGGATTCCATTTCTGCGGTGCGCTCTTCTTGCTCGTCTACGTCTTCATCACTGTTTTCAATCCCAGGTCTTTTACTTGCTAACTGCACTTTTGAACTTGAAAACGCGCAGAACATCACAGACGAGGTGTTAGACCAAGTAGAACGGCAGACCATGCTACAAAACGGCGATTCAACTGAACATAAACAGCGGAAACAGACTAGCGGGTGAAGGGAAGAGTGGTTGATACCGAGAGGATACTTTTGTTTGATTAGTTCAGTTTTCCCATAAAAAACCAAAATTAAAGATGACAATTGGAAGGTATTGATTACCGTAATGACATGACTATAATGACTTGTGATGATGATTGGATTGATGACGACGAAAGAGACTAATGGAACAGGGTGGTGGCTTAATGAGATGAAGTACCGGGTGTTGGTTCACCGACCTCGGTTGTGATCATTGTTTTAATAAGAAATTTTATGACAGAATCATACTGTTCAACACTCGTGTTGAGTAATTTTATTCAAATTTAATAATAACATGTTACATCTAAAATTTTTAGAACTCGACCATACACCGCTCTGCAGCTGGATTCGTCACCACTGCATCGCTTCACGTCCGATGACAGCATCGCTTAAGTACGGTTCCCAGTTTTTACTGAGGGCGGGCCTTGTGGCAAAGCCAAGATCAATTGGCTACCAATACAGAACCTTTGCATCCCAAAATCCGAGTGAAACTAAGAAGGCTCCAGTGGACTTGCAAGTGGCAGATAAGGAAGCACCCAAGCCACCGCTATGGTCTAGAATCAAACATGAAGTTCATCATTATTGGGATGGTACCAAGCTTCTAGGCTTGGAGATCAAAATTGCCTCGAGATTGTTGATGAAGAGCGCTGCTGGTCATCAATTAAGTCGTCGTGAAAACCTGCAATTGAAAAGAACTACACAAGACGTGGTGCGTTTAGTGCCGTTCTCCGCTTTCGTCTTGGTTCCTTTTGCGGAACTGCTGCTTCCCATTGCCCTGAAGCTCTTCCCAAACATGCTACCTTCCACTTATGAATCAAAGAAAGAAAAGCTCTCCAAGCTGAGCAGCTTGCGTGAGACTAGAGGTCTGGTATCGGGCATGATCAAAGAGCAAAAGACTCACTTTAAACCTGGAGATATCACCAATGAACAAAAGGCCGTTTTTAACAAATTTTACACGCATGTCCGTGCCACCGGAGAACCAGAGTCCAGACAGCAACTGATACATGTGGCTCGCTTGTTCACTGACGATACGGTGCTGGATAATGTTACTAGACCTTATTTGGTTGCCTTGGCCAAATACATCAACTTGCAGCCTTTTGGCACCGACGTTATGTTGCGGTACCGTATTCGGTACAAAATGTTGGAACTAAAGAAGGACGATTTCTCGCTTTTTTACGAAGGTGTGGGTGCTTTGGACTCCGCCGAATTGCGTACAGCCTGTGCTTCTCGTGGTATCCGTAACTTGAATGTCGAAGACTCTGTGCTGCGAAACAACTTGGAAATCTGGCTCAACATGAGATTGAAGGACAAGATTCCATCGACGTTGTTGATCATGGCCACCGCATATACATACGGTGATGTCAATTCTAAGAGGACACTATATGAGGCTTTGTGTGACGTTCTCAGCGGCATCCCCGATGAGTTGTATCATGAAGTTAAGGTCAACGTGGTCGAAGAGGAGGCCGCTACCAATAGCGCTAGAATGGCACAGATCAAAGAGCAGGAAGAAATAATGAGAGAAGAGGAATCTCAAGAGAAGGGATCCGTTGTGAGGATTAGGGACGAATTAAGTCTGGATGAAATAGACAAGCAAGAGCAGCTCTCAAAAGAATCGACCAAAGCAAAGTAAATCATATGTAAATAGTAGTAATCGAAAGCCAAAATAAGAACAAAAACTATTTTCAATCATTGGTGTGCGAAAGCCTGAATCCACACCAATTCATTCGGGAACGGTATAAACAGAACTCTGTATATACACGCTGCTTAACTGCAAAACATAACCATTCAAATATACAGCTATATGTGACCCTGAGCTAAGATATCTATAAACCTTTCATTAGCATACTTTGGTCAACCCAAACTATTAAACGGCTGATACTCGCTTTGAGTCCCGCAAAACTCTCAGAAACAGGGAAAGGCGTCTTGCGAATTTTGTCAATTCACCTTTGAACATCAGCATTAGACCCTGCACCAGGACACCCTTGAATAATTGTGGAGAAAGCCCTTTCCAAAGTGCCAGTTCACCCTCATGTGTATAAAGATACACTAGAACTTCTTGGAATGATCTGAACCTGGAATTATCGCGTTGCAACCATGCTTTGGATATGATAAGTGGTTGCGTGATGATCGTGGAGATCATCTTGGAGAAGACACCCAAAACGAAGTTCTGGCGGGGCGTCAGTTGTGCAGACGAATCGAGCAGCTCTTTTTGATGAATACTGCTGTTTGTTGTGAAATAAAGATCTTTTAGTCTTTCGTAAGACGCATAGGTGATAGAGGGGTTAACCGTTAGTATCAATGAGACTTTTAGACCTTTCCAAAACCCCGTATAGTGGGCGTCATCCTGGGCTATTTGTTTGAAGATATCTTGAATACCGGTGCTGGCCGATGCGGAACTCGTTTGCTGACGCTTTGAGATGACATTAATAGGGTTCGTGAATAGTTGAGAAACGGCGGCCGCCAAAATGCCCAAAACCAGCTCTTCTGGTGTGCTGAACTTGGAAATTTTACCACGAAGAAGTTTGTATCTGAAAAAGGTCTTTCGCACAACGCTGTACCAAAAAAAATAGGAAAAGCTCTGCAAGAAACCTGCCAAAAGGGACGCTGGAAGTCCCCGGTAAAGACCTGAAAATCCTTTAGTTTTGAATATCTTGACTAACGCATCGCCTGTATGCTCGTAAAACTCGTCACCATTATCACGGTCATCGGAAACTGCCGCTTTGTCCTGTTTGACCTGCGTCTGGACAAAAGTCTTGGCTACATCTAAAGGATATACAACAATATCTGCGAAACAAGAAGCTACTGCCCCAGTGATTGCACTTTCGAGCGAGCTCATGGTTCCCGGCCAAAAATGCGATCTCGAAGAGGAGAGAAGATCAGAAATGTGGACTTCTAATCGGGGCGGTTTGTTCGGTTAAATCTTGAATGGGCCTGGCCTTTATCTGCTCGAGCCTTGAGGTTAATTTAAAGATGGATGTGGTGACTGTGAGGGAAAAGACGATCGCGTGATAGAAAAACACTCAAAGTTTAAAGTTCAAGGATTGTTGGATCGATATCCGGGGTGGATTTTGAACTATCAAATATTGCGTTATTGTTGCCTGAACTTTCGGTTTCGGTTGAAGTTGTGTGTTTTGAGATCATGATTTCCTTAGCTGACGGGCGTTCACTACTAAATTATAATTTTGAAATTGGGTTTTGATGGAAAACTCTACAGAGGGTGATGGGGAATGAGAAAGCTGGGGATCAGAGAATATGTTAGTATCACACTCAACCCGCATTCAAGTGACGTTGTTCAGGTGTAGTTGCAAGTGAAGGTGGAATTTTATCACTTTTGACGTACTGCGACGCTGACACCAAAGGAGTCACGTGATTACTTAAATCTCCAAACCTAGCAGTAAGTTTATGGATTTGATGTCAATTCTATCACCATTAGGAGCCCATTTGGCTTCCAATTTGATTTTTGGTTACCATTGATTTGAACCCGCCCTTTTCCCCCGCCACTTGCTCAACAGAACACTATGTTTATATTCGTTCATTCTTTGAATGTGTCGAAGGTGAAAAAAATAACGAAAACTCCGAAAAGCAGTTCCTGCAATATTTTCCCACTTCCTATTTCTCTATTCAATTCCCCTTCTACAAACTCCCCTTTCTCCATTAAATTTCACCAGACACCACTCTGTTTTTCTCGACTTCACCATTCGAACCCGACAGTAATCTATTAATTTCCAAAAAACCTTACAATAAAACATTGTTCTAATGCGAATACCTCCAGATTATCCATCTGGTGCGAGTTGGCAATAGTATCCACACCGTTTTTAACGTTTACCTGTCATCTGTCACTTCCATCAAATCACGTGTATCATCCACTCGTTCCTCTACTCACCAACTAGATAAACAACTGGAAGGTAATTTTCAAAACTGTTTTAGTTAGATAGACAACTCAGCTAACTCAGCTCATCCTTTACCCAAACTAACAAATCGCGTCAAGATTTGTCTACAACATCGGCAGCTTGAGACACCAATACAATGGCTCAGTACATCGGGAAGACGATCTCTTTGATCTCGGTGACCGATAATCGATATGTGGGTCTTTTGGAAGGAATCGACTCCGAGAAAGGTGTGGTAACACTGAACAAAGTACGCTGTTTTGGCACGGAGGGACGTAAGCAATGGGGACCTCAGGAGATATATCCCAATCCTAATGTGTACGAGACAGTTGCGTTTAACGGTAACGACGTAAAGGATTTGAGCATTTTGGATATTGCCCTCGAAGAAGTGCAGCCGGTCTTGCCTCCGCCTGAGATTTTGGCACAACAGCAACAGCATCAGCATCAGCAACAACAGCAACAGCAACAGCAACAACAGCAACAGCAACAACAGCAGCAACAACAGAAACAGCAAGAGCATTCCCAAAAACAACAACAGCAGGTGTCCCCAACATCTGTACAACAGAAATCTCAGACTCCTCAAAATGTTCAATATCAAGCTCCAGTTGCAGAAGTACCTGCCGCGGTGGCTGGTTATGGTGTATACGCCCCCTCTGCTCCCACTGCCTCTTTTGAGCCCAAAAGCTCTAAAAGCGATGGTACAACAAGCCAACAATACTCCAAGAAGCCAAGAGATGCGCATGTGGCTTCCAACGCTCCCGTGAAGCCTAAACAAGGACCACCACGTAAAGTTGAAATCCCCAATGAAGACTTTGATTTCCAGTCTAACAACTCCAAGCTTGAGAAAGATCACGATTCATCAATAACTCAGCAACATTCTGATGAAACTGATCCGAAAAACGACGAAGCTTTCTACAACCGCAAATCTTCCTTTTTCGACACTATCTCCACATCAACGGAGACAAATACGAATATGCGTTGGCAAGAAGAACGCGAGCTTAACATGGACACCTTTGGACAAGCTAGCGTTGGAAATAGACGTGGTCGTGGAGGATTTCGCGGAGGAAGAGGATCTTATCGTGGAGGTCAACGTGGTGGTAATCGCGGTGGTAATCGCGGTGGATTCAGAAGAAATGACAACTTCGGCTCCTCCAGCGAAAGAGTTGAATTCTGATTATCTCTTTTTTTCTGACTTGTATCATTTGTCTTTTCCGAACCAGAACTCGAACTGTATACAGTATGTACCATTTTAAAATCAAAACCTAACATCGTGCGGATAGCAGCGATGTTTTCTACCATCACTTCTCGTGCTGTGTCCCTTATCACGCTGCATTCCTTTACGCATATCGAACGCATCCTTGTCGTCGTGAATCTTATTTAGTGCATTCGGGTAGAAATCTCCAGAAGAGTTGTAATATCCCACAACTCTTCGAAACACAGAGTAACCCAACTTTTCATAAAGACTGATTGCCAAATTATTGTTGCACTTGACAAAAAGGTCGATAAAATTCACATTGTGTGGTTGATTATCAGTAATAGTTTCAAGTGTATTGCATAGACCCGATGCCAGAGATATACGACGAAATTCTGGTGCTATTGTAACCGCAGTAATGTGCGAATGCCAGTCGTTACCTTTCCCCTCTGTTTTGGCCATCATATATCCTGAAATCTCGCATTGACCATCTTTTCCTCTCTTAGTTAGTTCTTGACTTTCGAAGAAGAGCTCTGGCCATAATATAAGGTATTCCAGGTAGAATTCCAAAGGGAAGTTTTCTGTCAAAGAATCTAAATTGACATTGTTCAATCGAAGTAGATCGGTTGCCTCGAAGGGTTGAATGGTAGTCATCCAGTTACTTCATGTGTTGGATGTTGACTTGAATGTATCGATCTGTTCAACATCGACAATTTAAAGCCAAATCAGCCGTGAAAAATTATGCCTCTTGACGCCAGTATAAAACCTCGAGTTCTGAGTTACCATAAGCTATGGCCAATTGGTCTTGGAACGAGTCTATAGCTTTGACCCTGCGTTCGCCTTGAACCAGTAGCCACGAGTCGCAATTCGCGACATCGATGCCATATACGCCTGAATCAGAACCAACAATAAGGCCTCCTGGTTGCTGACACGTCTTCAATATCGCGCTAGAGAAGGAATCCTGTGGAATCATCGTGGCCATGTTGCGTAGAATTTTATCGTAGTAAATTTGAGATGCTGAGTGCAAACCGATCTCTGGTACTTCCAGCAAGATCACGCGCATGTAAGGCACATGAGAAGTAGCCACAGCCACCATGGAACCGTTTCTTAGAGTTGGCAAATGATGGTTGGGTGACTCGCCACTTGTGGTATTGTTTTCATCACCGAAGTTTAAAATGCAGGAAGATTGCACATTAAAGGAATGCGAGCTAAATTGAGCGTTGTTCATTGCCAACTTGTGCGTCTCTACCAACTGATTTCCATGTAGAACGTAGATCACTAGCTGTGAGTAGTCCTGATGAGTGAGGAGTAGAGTCGGTAGCTCTTCTTGTGTTTGTGCAAGTTGGAAAGACGTGCACGGTGTCGTCAGCTTGAGAGACACCACAGGAGTAATTTCGAAATTCTCTAGGTCTATCAAGTGGACCTTCACATAGTTATCAAGTCCTGAACTGAAACAGTAACACTTGGAGTCTTTGGTGAGATGGAAAAACTCAATGTTTTTGACAATGCGAGAGTGCAGTTGGTGTTCCACTTGAATGTCGAAATTACCATCGAAAATCGTCAAGTTTCCATTCATACCACAAACATAATACCACATTTCGTTGCCACGCGAGAAAGTGCCGCACCGCTTCACCACGCCAGAGTTGGATTTGAGCTTTTTCGCAAGGCTCAAATCAGATCCATAGAAATAAACGTTCCGATCAACAGTGCTCACAGACAACTGGGAGTCTCCGGTGAACGAGAGATCGACTGCCAACGAAGTTGGTTTTTCTTCCAAAGCTAGTGTGTTGAGTTTTTGCGTGTGGTCCCATGATGGCAAGTTGAATTTGGGATCGAGTGGGCTAATAGCATCGTTAAGAGTCAAGTTGGCAAGCCGTGCACCTATTTTGGTCTCATTGAACTCAATGCGTTCCGCAATAATTTTCTCGAGGTCTTCAAATTCATTACTACTCATATCCACGGCAGATCTGGACAAACCGGATTCTTTAAGGAAATTTAAAAGCGCAGCGTCATACTCATGCTTTGCAAGATACTTGGCGATCAAAATTTGGCTCAGTTTTTCTGCAGTTGTGGGTACCATAATTTAAGGAAAAGGGAAGAAACAGTGAGAGTGAAAGAGAGTTATGTTGAGTCTCTTAACCATGCTAGTTCTCGGTGACTTTTTGTTCTGTTCAGCAAGTTAGCTAGCTCATCGGACTACTCGAGATAAATGTCAGTTTAAATCACAAATCATTAATTACGACTATGTAAAGACCAAAAAACTCATACTGACGTCGGATCTGACGCCTTTGGTTGGGACCAGTTAAGCTATTTGAATGTTTTTCGTGAGTTTAAAATAAGTTCTTATCCACCCTGTGATCAAATTTCAGTCGAATGTGGTGTGTTTAAGCATGGGAATTGTTGTGACGTTTGTTCCCTTATGCTGGGTGGTTGGGACAAAGTCAAGCAGCGAGATCTCGTAGTTAATAATAACAAACAAAGCAACTCAACTTGCTTCCTGTCCTCGACACAATTTCTTAGGGTCATCTGAGCTTTATGAACTCCCAAAAGTTAGAATATCATCGCCAGATGAACAAGGGAGTCACATGATCGTTTTTCTTCTAAGGTCAAAGAGTTAGCTCAAGAGCATAGATGCAACGTTGAATACATCAATTGTAAGCCACGTTTCTCAAATTCATTCAAAACTAACAAAATCTGTCTGCTTTTCTACAATGAACATTCTTTCCACGCGCAAGACTCGAACGCCTGTCCTTTCATACTTTTAATTCTCAAATCCAGCATGTGCATAGTGGTCACGTTACCGGGAACAGCGTTTCTCTCATGACTGCTTTTCAAGATCAGACATCCGTACATCCAAGATATTCAAATAAGTTTTTTGTGACTTTCTTAAAAAACAACGTGCAATAACTAACACAACAGTTGCGTCGTAAATTTCGTGCGTCCTCTCTGGACAGCTCCCCCTAAGCTCTGTCTAGCCCCTCCTGTCTAGCCTCTAGCCTCCTCCTGGCCACTGCCTAGCCCGGGCCCGACACTGGTCCATTCCCAGCCAGCCTTCGTTCGGTTCCCCGTCTAGCACTCGCGGGGCTCCTTGCGGCATCGCCCTTGCAGTCCAGGCTGGCCTCAGCCTAGGCTGACGGTCTCTCACGGTAGGTTCGCTTTCCATCTATCTTGAAAAAAACTAGACATACGAGTTCATAACACGAATTTCTATCAGCTATACCTCTTGATACAGAAAAACCACATATCAACAATCAACAATGGGTAAGGGTAAGCCAAGAGGTTTGAACGCCGCTAGAAAGTTGCGTGTCCACAGAAGAAACAAGTATGTTGAATAGTACAATCCAGGAGCAGCCTTGAAGGCATTCATCGAGATAAATCCAACAAGTAAGAACGAGCAGGACATCGAAATAAACAAACACTTCATTAGGCTTGAAGTAGCGTCCTCCATTATAGTTTTGCAAGCTCAAGAGGGTCTCACTCGAAATTGCCAGCAAGAGTTTGTCTCATCCTATTTGGACGAACAGTGTACTAACCCATGTAACAGCCGTTGGGCCGAACAATCCTACAAGAAGAGATTGCTGGGAACTGCTTTCAAGTCTTCTCCTTTCGGTGGTTCTTCTCACGCCAAAGGTATTGTGTTGGAAAAGATTGGTGTCGAATCCAAGCAACCTAACTCTGCTATCAGAAAGTGTGTCAGAGTGCAGTTGATCAAGAACGGTAAGAGAGTCACTGCTTTTGTCCCTAACGATGGTTGTTTGAACTTCGTCGACGAAAACGACGAAGTCTTGTTGGCCGGTTTCGGTAGAAAGGGTAAGGCTAAGGGTGATATTCCAGGTGTCAGATTCAAGGTCGTCAAGGTCTCCGGTGTCTCCTTGCTTGCCTTGTGGAAGGAGAAGAAGGAAAAGCCAAGATCGTAAGCGAACCCCGCACACAGCGCGAGGACGCACGCGAAGCATCACCTGGCGTATGTCATGGTGAAAACCGCGCGAATGTCAAGACTTTTTCTATTTCCGTCATATTACCTACAATAACACTACAACCCCCCTGTACTATGTACACCAATCTATATTGCACGTTTTAGTAAACGCTCATAGCTTAATTCAGCTCTTTTGCAAATGACGCAGGGGGCCAATGCTTCACAATCGGGGGTGCGATATGCTTGAATTCATTTTACCATGCAGCTAATATCGTAACGGAAATTCATAAAACATCATTCAGTCCACAAATTTTTGACGTGAAGGTTCTCTTTGCAAACTACTTTATTTACTCCTTTTATTCTTCTTAGTGAGCCGTGAGTTCAGTCTCTTGTACATTTCACTGTTGTTCAGCGATGACCCAACTCCTGAGGTTCGAGCAGTGGAAGAAACCGAGTTCAAATTGCTGACCGGCGCATACTTGTAATCTGTTGTAGTTTGTGATGGAGCTGCTGCCCTGTTTCTTCTGGCCGCAGCCAATTCGTAAGGAGATTTTCCCTTGGTGTCATCTTCAGCTCTTCTCTTCTTGGTTTTCTTGCTTTTGGCACTGTCCAGCATAGCCTTCTTTCTATGTTGTTCCACATCAAACTCCAATCTCATTACCCGCTTGTCACGGTAGTTATCAGAAGCGCCGATAATAGGCCTGGTCCATTCGGCGACCAGACGGTCTGCCAAACGCGCTAGTTTGGCCTCAACTCGTTTTGATTTGGTGTAGAAAATTACCACTTTACCAAGTCCACTTTCTTTCAAATGATCAGTTTTGATGGGCAATGATTCCAAAGCCGCAAACAGCGATTTTTGTATTTCGAAAGAGGGCAAAGATCCGTCTGGCAGTGGCTCTAGCCAAATACGGACACTTTGTAGCAGGTTATTGTCCAGTATTGTGTCTGCCAGATGCGCTTTGGACAGCGTGTTGACCACTTTGGGAAGCAGCTTGACCTTTTCCGTGGCCACTGCATTTTCGTCGATACCTTCCAATCTGCGATTCAGAGTTTCAATATCCTTTTGCGCCGCCAAGTTCATTTCGTCCTTAAGTCTCAGGATTCGCTCGTCCAAAAATTGTTCCAAATCGTCTTCGTCTCTTCTAGTTCTGCGCGATTTGGGTTTTTTCAGCAGCCGATCCAAACGGTCTTCTAGTTCCTGGCGTCTTCTGGCCGTCTGATCGAGCCCTATGTCTTCTGGACCATTACTTTCAACATTATTGTTAATGATACGCTGTGAATCGAGCCTCTGGTTTGCTGCAATTTCGTCTTCATCGTCCGATGTTCCCGTATCTATGTGTTTGCGTTGTCTTTCTGGCTGGTCCACGGGTCCCTCGGCCTGCTCCACCGCCTTGAGCGCCAAATCGCTCACATTTTCATCTTCCTGTTGTGTGGGCTCCAAAACAGGCTCTTCACTGCTCATTATGTGCTCAAATGAGGCTCTTTTTCCACCGTTTTTTCTGCAAAGATTTGCCGAACCAAGTGTACAACTCAATTAGCACCGGTACTTGCTCTAAAAGGCAACTTCTTTGATCCTATTAAGGTAAAGAATAGTGTACAACGTTACTCTTTTCATGATGATGATAATGATGATGAGCTTTAAAATTTCATTAATTTCCTAAATCTCCTTTCGTACGACGCGATGTGTCTTTTTTCCATGATAAAAGAATTATAACAAAAACTTGAATCCACAACAAAAGCTTTGAAATTCTAAGAAACTTAGCCAAGTTTGATCAAGATACTACACAGTTGAACATCACCATTGTCAGTTTACTTTGCTAACTTTGTTTGCTTTGCTTTGTTGTTTAACTTGATTCACATAACCGCAGTCTTTTCTATAGTATAGCCATGTTCGGACTACCACAACAGCCACCTTCAGAGGAAGAGAAAAAAGCTCACGAACAACAGTCGAACCAGACTCTTATCACCGCAGCGTACGCAGCTGCCCTTCTGTGGGTTTCACCAATGGTGTGGCACTTCATCAGAAGACAATGGAAATGAATGAATGGTGTTCTCAAGACGAAAAGCGCAAGGAAAAGACGTTTTGAAGTAAAATAATGTACTTGTGAAAAAAATGAAAGAAATCCAGTCTACTGAAGGAGATGTCATATAAACTGACTCATTAAAGTGCCATTTGGATTCGCCAACCACATTCAACGAGTTGAAGACTGTATTTCGTAAAAAAATAACAGTCCATCCTGTATATATAACTAACTAAAAGCATTAATTCTCAGCTACTTTCCAGCCCGCAGTATAAGAGTAAGTAAGCACTTGTTTGCTGAATGGGTTATGCTGCAGAGGTTTATACAATCGCAATGTTTGATACTTCAGTTGAAAGTGGCCTATAAAAGTGCTTCTGTGCCGAATGAAGCTATGGTCCAGCAAGCGTTGACCTGGGAGCTGCAGAAACTGGGTAACGTTCTGTACTCTAGGTCCAACGCTGCGGCATGGCAGAAAAGCTTCAACCGAAGCCAGCCCCATGTTGACCTAGTGGTCTCCAACAAAAACCTAGACGCTCTTTCAAATGTGCTATTCAATTTGCGAGGGTTAACGCTGCCGGTGCGTGGCCGCAATCCACAAACACCCGCCTTTGTAGACCCGTTTTTGTCGCTGAAGGACTACGAGTCCTTGCAAGAGCTGTTTGAAGAGCTAAAGTCAGTATGGGTCAAAAACGAGCATCGCAGGCGATCTGGATCCCGAGATCTAGAGCCTTTCACCAATATAGGGCCATGGTGCTTCAAAAGCACACCCGTTAGCCAAATAAAGACATCGGCTGCCACGTCATTGGAGACACCGCCGGCTTTATACACAAAAGAAGAATCAACAGAGTCAGACGGCCAGTCCCATGGAAGCCGCTTCTTTGACTTTAGCAGATGGCAGCCCAAGCATGAAGAAGATGTCAGATTGGAAAATAAGCCTGAGGTGGAAGCCTTTTTCGAATATGCGAAAGGCCAACTGGCAACTGACGCACGACATGTTTATCTAGAACCGGTTTTGTACTCGGATTTCGATTCTCTTCCTAGAGAGCTGCAAGAATGGATGGACGATTCAGTCACAGACTCAACACTTACGCAACCTGATTCTGAGGACGAGACGCGTCGACTCGACTTCCTACTACACGGATTCAAGGGATTCGACAAATGATGTTCTGTTATATCTTTCATTATGCATTCCTATTTTAAGTAGACCGTTGACTTACATATCTGTCGACAAGTTTCTCGTCTTTTTCAATAACGTCTTGCAAATAGCATAACCCGCGTTGCTGATTGCTCAAAATTTCTGCGATTTTGTTGACCCTGGTCTCCAGCTCTTCGTCGACCCTCTGATCCTCGTATTTCCCTGATCTTTTTGGCTGCACATCCCCACCATTGTTTTCACTTATAACAACCAGAGTACTGTCTAATTGATCTGAAATAGTCTTCGACCGTTCCTTCAAAACTGAAAGTCTTGCCCAAAGTTCGTTATTCTTCCCAAGCCCAGCAGGATCATTGCTGCGTTTTAGCAGCTTTTCATATTCAAGCCACATATTTTCTTCACCGACCGTTAGCGGCAACCCCTTACTTTTCAAAATGGCCAGGTGTGAGCCAAGTTTGATTATCCTTTGCTGAATTTTCACATTCCTACTCTGAGCTTTTAGAATCCTGGAAGCCGTCTCCAAGTCATGTTTTTGAGAAAGTTGAATCAGTTTTTCAAGAACTTGATTCAAGATTAGACGAGCTTGGGCGACATTATCTCTCTGTAACTTGTTTCTCTCGTTCAGATCGTCAAACCCAAAAGCCTGGACTGGGATCACGCTGGCAGAGGGTTTTTGTAGAAGAGCCTCATCCCAATCTTCCTGGGATATTTCAGAAGGCTTGCTATACAGCATTGCCTCTGTTTCGTTCACTTTGTTGTAGAGAAAAGTTCTCAGCTTGCTTCTTGAAGACCGGGGATCCCAGGAGTCTTTGCATTTAACTATCTGCTCTTGGATCTGCTGGGGATAGTTAGACTGTTGGAGCTGTTGTATCTGTTGCTGCTGGTATTGCATTTGTTGTTGTAAGTGCTGCTCTTGTGGCTGAGGCTGGTTTGCTTGTTGGCCGATTGGTTGGGCGTTGGAGGACTGAGACCAGCCGAAGGATGGTTTTGTAGAATTCACAGTTCCGCTGTTGCCAAAAAGTGACGTTCCTTGAGGTTGCTGCTGTTGCGGCTGTTGCTGCGAGGTATTGGCACCAAAAAGTCCACCGCTAGTGGAGCTTTTGTTGTTGGCAAACGTGTTGCTCGAATTGCCGAACAAACCGCCCGACCCACTGTTAGAACTGCCTCCGAATAAACCGCCGGAAGAAGGACCAGATTGCGGCTGATTGTTCCCAAAAAGACCGCCAGATGTTGCGCCAGGTTGGGTTTGACTACTTTTGCCAAATAGTCCTCCCGAAGCAGGCTGCTGCTGATTGCTGGCCCCGAAAAGGCCGCCTGCAGGCGGATTTGATTGTTGCTGTGTATTGCTACCGAACAATCCGCCGGACCCAATTCCTGAGTTCTGCTGTTGCGTAGTATTGTTGTTACCAAAAAGCGAGCCACCCAATTGACCTGGTTTCTGAACATTAGCTTGTGGTTGTTGTTGTTGGGTTGTGTTTTGGCCAATACTGAAGCCCCCGGCCGGTTTATTCCCGAAAAGACCACCAGAAGGCGCTGTGCCAGCATTCTGTTGTCCAAAGAGACCCCCAGAGCTCTGGTTCGGCTGCTGAATATTATTGTTTTGGCCAAAAAGTGACCCAGATTGTTGACCTGGTAGATTGCCACTGTTCATCCCACCGGAGAAGCCCCCAGACGTGGTTGCAGGCTTGTTGCCAAACAGCGATCCGCTGTTAGCTGTGTTGTTAGCATTGGTCCCTGAACCACCGAAATTGAACATCTAGCTCCGAGTTTATCAGCGTTCTTAGCTCAGATCCAAGCATCTTTAGTAGAAAAGTTTTCTAAAATGACTTTTAAAGCTTATAGCTTTCCTCCACGTCGTACTTGGTGATACCTTATGGTTAAGGACCCAATTGTTAAACAGCTTCCACAACTGCTGCTCGCCAAGATGTGTTTCTAGTCAATGCTACGCCTGTCGTTCTTTTGAAAGCAGGTTTGACAACTGACCCGCCAGCTCTTTGGTTTCGTTAGGATTGGCAACACATTTATCACACAGCACGTGAAGACATGCTCGGAACTGAGCGATGATGCTGTGATACTCGGATCTTAGCTGAAGCATCAGAGGTGAGTCGTTTTGCTGCAAGTTTTCCAGCGTGGTGTACGCTTTTGTAGTCAATTGATGTAATTGCGTAAGCACTTGGCCGCAAAGAGTGTATTCCAAGCTCTTTTGGCTGGTATTGGCACATAGCGAGTTCAGGACGTTACTTAGCTTTTCGGCCAGCTGAAGACCTGTGTTGAGGCCTGTTGCGTCCGCTATCACCGCAGAAAGCTTGTCCAGGGTTTCAAGATAGTCCACAGTATCCTTTATGATCTCCTGGGTGTTTAAAATGTCGGTTTCTGTTAGTCCGCGTAATTTGTTTAGAAACTGAGTTAGCTCCAATTTCACATTTTGGAGCTCAGGTCTGGTATCAACGGTATCGGAAAATTGGTCGCAGAGCTTGATGAAATCTTTGTAGCTCTCGCTTGAGGCATCCAGCAATGCATGATCCATCTCTCGCGTCAAAGACGTCAAATCTTCGCAAAGCGTGTCTAACGGAACATAATGAAAATTGTTATCCAGAAGAAAACTGTCCACGTCAAAGCTCTCTCCGTCCTCGTAACTCGAGAATAAATCTCTGTTGATGTTCTTGGTTACCGGAAGGTCCCAGGTATCGTCTAATAGGTCCATGTACGGCTGGTGTTGTTTCGCATAAGATGGGAACTATTCACCAGTGTTGTAATATAGTGTATATCTGAGATATATTAACCTTCCAACGCTTATAAAATTCCATTTTACACAACAGAATCAAAAGGAGACGCTAGGGCGAGGGTTTGCAGGCTAGTATGAACAGCAGGCAAATGCTGTGAGTCAGTCTCAGTTTTTTGCAACTGAATCGTGTAGAAACTTTCAAGATTTTCGAGTTATTCTCACACATCTTCAAGGCAACCAGCGCATAAGAAACCAATGCATGATTTGGGAGAGAAATTTGTCCAAAAGACCGGGAAATTGACGAAAATACTGGATTTTGGTAGATCGTAGTGTTCATATCATAGTGCAATTCCAGCAGCCTTTGAAGATCAAGTAAGTTTCAAATTTTATATTTTAGTCTCAATTATCACTATAATAATTGTGCTGTCCAAGTCTCGGAGAAGGTGAGTTCTTCAAGAAAAGACTTCAACAATTGTTTCAAGATCGAATACTCGAGTGACAATGCTTCCAGGACTGTATGAAGCTGGATCGCCTTAGATTTAGTCAACTGGACAGTGTTTTCAGATCACTATTTTTCCATACTGACACTTCCTTTATACCAAAATCGCGAATACTTAATTTACGCGTCAAGGTTTAACGTGTCAAACCATCTTGATGATCCTGATTCAATATCATACAGACGAGCTATAGCAGCGATGGCAACCATGGCATCCATGGTCGATAAGTCGATCTTCACTTCCGGCTCCAAGACCTCGATTGAATGCTCTGGTGATGGTTCTCGTCTTTTCGCGGTCAATAAAAGTGGGTTGACTAAAATCTTACAGTTGAACAAACCAGAGGAAGAACCCGATGTGCTCGAGACCTGTCGGGACCCTACATCAATTTCAGTCTTGTCAAACTCGACGTTTATAATGGGGTCCATAAAAGGTGACGTCAATCTCTACAGCTCCCAAGAATCAGAGAGCAGGCTCTTATTGAGATGTGCTCTCCCAGTGCGCGACGTGGAGCTTGTACATGATGGCAAAACAATAGCCATTGGTGGAGACGATCTCGAAGTAACGCTTTTCTCCCTCTCTGAACATTCAGAACGTGCCAAGACCACCTTGAAAGTCGAAGACCAGGTGCGCAAATTGTCCTACAACCCGCAGATGAGCGTTTTGGCGGTATCTCAAGTCAATGGCAGCATCCACTTCTATTCATTGACTTCAACAACACCGCGCCACATCCATAGGCTTGACAATTGCATAGCGTCTCATTTTTACAACGACGATTTTCAGGATGCACTCTTGCAGGCCGTCGACCCAACGGAGGCTGACGAAGCTTTGGAGGATGTCAAGGACCCTGAGTTTTGCGATGAAAATAGAGTGTGCTCGCGAGTTGAATGGCACCCGCATGGACTGCAGTATGCGGTTCCTTGCCAGGATAGGTCTATCAAGATTTACAATCTCAAGGATTATGCCCAGATCAAAACGCTGACTTACTCTCAAATCAAGAGAGAATTCGTCGATATCAGATACAGTCCACAAAACGGCTCTTATATTGCAGCATTAGATCTGGACAACAGACTCACGATTTGGGATACGAATACCGGCGAAGTTCATACCACTCGTGAAATAAAGCATAAGGTTACCAATTTTGGTTGGGCTCTTCAGTCGAACAATAGTTTGGACCTTCATTTTGGTACATGGAACGGTGGTATCATAAGTATCAGAAATGTGGCGGAAAATATCACTAAGCCGCCTATCCTGCATGAGAAGGACAAACCGTCGGAGAATAACAATCTTTTTGTGAACTCTGAAGACGAGCATAGCGACGCTTCCGGTAATCACCAAAATCAAGTGGACGGTGTAGAGAACGCTCACGGAAATCTGGATGATTCGCAAGGTCTGTTCACAGACGACGAAGCGAGTGGACCTAAAAGAATGCATCTCAACGACGAGGACGATTTTATCGACGATGATGACGGTGCTGGTTATGTGGTCAAGAAGCCCAAATACACAAGCTCTGCATCGTATGCACCTGCTTCGTTCAACAAGGAGATCCGCGCGCCGAGGTTCCGTTATCGCCCCTACTCTCCGGGCGGGACGCCATTTGGGACGTCGGATAGGCGATACTTAACCATGAACAACATCGGATACGCTTTTACCGTCAGGACAGGGGAGGGGTCTTCGTCTTCTCGAAGTACCGTGACAACGTCTTTTTTCGATTCGGGACGCTACAAAGAGTATCATTTTGAGGATCTATACGGGTACGATATCTGTTCTTTGACCGAAGATGGCGCTCTTTTCGCGCAATCCAAAACCGGGCGGCTATATTACCGCGCTCACAGCAACGTTGAGTCTTGGAATAAGCTCGTCCCCCTACAGAAGTCCGAGAAAATCACGTCGGCGGCTGCGACCTCGAAAAAAATAGTGGTTGGAACATCGTTTGGTTACGTCAGAACCTTCAACCTTTTTGGAGTTCCACTCGAGATTGAGAAAGTAGCTCCAGTAGTTGCGCTGGCTGCCCAGGACTATAAAGTCTTTGCAGTTCACTTTTCTCCGCACCACGGTATTACATATACGTTATTCGAGCAGAACCCTCAAACTGGCAGCAGATATTACAACAGAGAGACTTCTTTGCCAATTAAACTTCCGACAGATTTTGGAGATGATGACGACGACGAGCTAAGCGAAACATTCGCAGCATTTAGTCCGCTGGGTATAAAGTCCCTATTCTTTTCCGCTTACGGTGATCCATGTATATTCGGGGCAGATGACGTGCTTCTGGTACTTTCAAGATGGAGAACTAACGCCCAGAGTAGATGGGTCCCACTTATGGACACGAAACTGGAACTTTGGAAAAGTACCAATGGCAGAGAAGTCAAGGATCTTCACGTGTGGCCCTTGGGCTTAACTTTTGATGTGCTAAACCACATCCTTGTGAAGGGCCAACATGTGTGGCCCGACTTTCCCATGCCCCTACCGTCTGAAATGGAGGTAAGAGTTCCCTTGATCATCAAGAGTGAGGTTCAATTGAACCGCGATGCAGAAAACGAACAGGAGTTGCAAATTCCTGTGCAGATGGCTGCAGAGGAAGAGTTTGTGCGCTCCAAATTTATGAGCGAGCTACTGACGGACACTCTAGAGCACGAGGGTGAAGTTTACGGAAACGAGAACCAGATTCTTGCGACTTTGAATGCAACTTACGACAAGTCTCTGCTGCGACTTTTCGCTACTGCTTGTTCGGAGCAAGATATTGGTAAAGCTCTCACTTTGGCGCAAGAACTAAAGCAAGACAAGGCCCTCAATGCAGCTGTCAAGATCGCAGAAAGGGCAGAGCTAATGAATCTGATGAGGAGGGTCAACGACCTACGCGAAGCTCGCTACGAACAGCAATTGAATAATATTTGAGCGTAAACGTGCTAAAACCTAAAAAAATCCGAAACAAAGAAGAAAAACGTTGAAGTAACGAGAGAAGCATCATGTTAATCTCTCGATTTTGACAACCCCAGCAAACAGTTGGGCAGGCTGTTATCGAGCGTAAAAAGCATTGTTCATTGGATATACTGTCGTCCAAAATCGCGAACTCGATCAACACGCACGTGACCATTTTTTTCACGCTGCAAGATGAAGAAAATTTGAGAAAAAGCTACAACTTCTTGTACAATGAGATGAGCTATCATACCATAACCTAAGTCAGTTCCAACCCAGCCAAGTTCTCACGTTGAAGATGGCGCGCACCAGACCTGACAACAGAAAACGTAAGAGGTCTGAAAATCGCGAGCCCGTTGCGAATATCGCAGACGAAGAAATTACTGAACCATCTTCCAATGAGGATGACAGCGACGTGGAGGCAGGTCTGGAAGAAATGGACGGAGCAGAAGAGCTTGATTCGGATGAAGAATTCCAACAGGAAAATGCTGCTGATAAAAGACGTCGTTTGGCAAAACAATATCTGGACAATTTGAAGGCAGAAGCTAATGAAGTAGCGTTAGATACTCGTGAAAAAGCTGAAGATGAAAATTTCGCCACCGCAGAGGAGAATTACAATGATTTCGATGCCAAGGATCTGGACCGTGAAATTGTGGCGTCCAGACTAAAGCAAGACGTCGCCGAGCAACAGGGACGTATCTACAGATTTATCGGCGACAAGCTACTCTTGACAGAGGCCAAAACCTCTTTCAGTCGAGTTGGAGAGAAATCTCTCACCGGTATCTCATGTTACCAGCCAGTGATTAATAAGTTCTCGCATCAAGAGTCTCAACATAAGAATAGCACCAAGCTTTTCGCCTACACCGTGAGTAAAGACATGGTGTTAACCAAATACGATGTCACAAATTTTGGGTCGAGACCCAAGAAACTGAAGTATTCCAGAGGTGGGCGCCGTTTTATCCCAGAGAGCAAGTTCGAATATGAAAATACCACAGAGGGTCATTACGATGAAATTTTGACCCTGGCTGCATCTCCAGATGGGAAGTATGTTGTTACCGGCGGACGTGACAGAAAACTAATTGTCTGGAGCACGGAATCCCTGGCACCTGTCAAAGTTATTCCTACGAAAGATAGAAGAGGTGAGGTTCTTTCATTGACTTTCAGGAAAAACTCTGATCAGCTTTATGCTGCTTGTGCCGACTTCAAAATCAGAACATATTCGATCAACCAATTTTCCCAGCTTGAGATTCTCTACGGACACCAGGACCTTGTTGTTGATATTTCTGCCCTAGGAATGGAAAGATGTGTTACGGTCGGGTCCCGCGATAGGACAGCAATGCTTTGGAAGATTGCAGACGAAACGAGACTTACTTTCAGAGGCGGAGATGACCCTGAGAGATTAGCGAAAAAGTGGATAAAACAAAATACTCAGACAACAGATGATGGGAAAGAGATCCCTCCCCGTAGCGAGGACGTCCCCATGTTTTTTGGGGAAGGGAGCATTGATTGTGTTTCCATGATGGACGACTCTCATTTCATTACTGGTTCTGATAACGGTAACATTTCTTTGTGGTCTCTCTCTAAGAAAAAGCCTCTTTTCACCCAGCGTTGTGCGCATGGGGTGGTTCCATTACCTGACTCGACCCAGATATCTGCCGAGCTTCAAACTGAGAAGCGCGAAAGACAGCTGCAAGATAAAAGAATCTCGCATCCTTACTGGATCACAGCTCTTTACGCGATCCCATACTCTAACGTCTTCATATCCGGCTCATGGGACGGTGCGCTTAGGGTATGGAAATTATCAGAGAACTTCAGACAGTTTGAATTGCTTGGTCAATTGTCTGGTTGCAGTGGTGTGGTAACACACATCCAAGCAGTTGAGAGCGGCAAACACGGAAGAGAAACGTTCCGCATCTTGGCGAGCGTAAGCAAAGAGCATAGACTGGGAAGGTGGGTGAGCAACATACCTGGTGCCAGAAATGGTATATTTTCAGCAACTATTGAACAAGCCGGATTTTGAAAGAAGTCGGTGACATTAGCATATTTAGATAGCATGTAGTATAGCAACATGAACTTTTGTAAAAACGAGAGGAAGGAGTGATAGTACAATTGAATATGGATTTCATTATAAGATTAGAAATATCAGAAGCCGCCAAGAGATGTGAGTGAAAACCCTGGCGTTAATCGTGAAGGTGGTATAACTATTAGATCCGGCTCTAATGATCATTGCGCTTTAAGTTTGTCGAGAGGTTTCAAACTTTTATAATAGCCCTAGCACAGCGCCTGCAGCTGCTCCGAATAAGAGGCAGTTTGGAGGCACGGTGGCACCTGCACCGTGGCTCTTGGCAGTGCTGGAGGTCCTTGAAGATTCTTGGGATGAAGAGGAGGGATCGGAGTGAAGCGTCGATGAAGAACTGCTAGCTGTGGATGAAGAACTGCTTGCCGTGGTAAGAGTGTTGGCAATTGAGGATGAAGAAGTCGGGCTGGGCGAAGATGAGGTAATCTGTGCGATTGTAGTGCCACTAGAGACAGAAGCTTCGACCAGTTTTCCAGTATTTTGGGTGTCAGCGGAACTGAGTCTTGATGTAGTGATTGTCAGAGAGGCCGCAGCTCGAGAAGCATACACCTCGAACGCAGAGGCTTGAGAAACTGAGGCTAGGGACGCAGAGGCCTGAGAGGCAGACGCGCGGGATGCTGAAGCCAGTGAGACGGAAACATCGAAAAGCGAAGCTTGAGATTCGGATGCCAGAGAGGCAGACGACGCACTAGCCGCATTGACAGATGCCTGGTAGACTAAAGCCTGAGATTCGGAGGCCGCAGATGCAGATGGCGCACTGACGGACGACGCAGATGATACAGAATCCAAAGAACTTTGCTTGGCGGAGCCTGAGGCCACAGATGCCAGAAACGCTTGTGTTGCAGATACTGAGTTTGCAGGTGCGAGACTCATCGACTCAGTAGAGCTTGCAGTGGTCAAAGTGTCCATACTAGGGTCATCCAAAGTCGAGATCGACTGTGCATAGGCCACAGGTTTTGCTTGGTTCGAACCTAGCTGTGTGGTATACACCATTATGGTCGAAGTATAGGTGGTGGTGATATCAGCATCTTCATTCACAATGCTCTGGCCATTTACGGCGCCCGCGGCGACAACAACAGATAAAACGGCTTTAATAATACTTTTGGGAACCATGATGTGCAAGGCGGTGTTGGAAAAATCGAAATTGAAAGGTGAGACTAAAAGCTTTCCAACGCTATGAAGATCCGAGCTGGGGGAAAAAGGGTGGGTTCGAGAAAATCTGCTTGCAACCGCTTCCGCTCAAATGATTTCAATAGATGAATGACTCGGAAAACTGAACTAACCAGATGAGTGAACAAAACACTTGTTTACAGACGGGGAACACCACTTGCACATTTTAGCCAACGCTTTGAGATTTTGACCAAAAAAAAAATCTTGCCCGGGGATCGCCGGCAAACGTTGGATTGCTGGGCAGGACTGAAGTCGAGCAGCTCTTGCTTTACCTTTTCATTTGTTGTTACGTGTTACATGCCGCTTCTCTAAGATGGAAGCTCGGGACGACTCTCAACTGGCATGGCATGAAAACAGCTTAGAGTAGACGAGGGTCTTCTAAGGTTTCTAACGGACGCGTCAAGTTCCCTGAACAAGGTCAAAGTTGAAGATCAATTTACCAAAAACATAGTTCGTGATTGTTTATATTTTCCCTAATCAGGCCAAAACAAAACAGTAAGACTTTGCGGCAAAAAATTATGCCATTTCCTAGAATCGAACCAGGGTTTCATCGGCCACAACGATGTGTACTAACCACTATACTAAAATGGCTTCTTTGATGAAGTTAGCGTTATGTCAAATGTAATACCAGATCCTTTTTTGCATGTGCTAGTACGCAACGTTCCAAATGAGATCACATAATGAGACACTAAGTGAACTTTCTGGTCGCACAGAGGATAATTAAGTACCTTACCATTAAATATAAATCGCATGGCAAAATCGGTGTCAGTCTTCACAGTTTGAAGTGGGAGCAGCTATGGCGTAAATGGGCTTTGATTGCATTAGAAACCTGACTTATATAACCCTATATCTTATTTTCCAACTCATGGCTCATTATAAAAATTAAGAGACTTCGTGGCCAAGCTGGTTAAGGCGTGCGACTGTTAATCGCAAGATCGTGAGTTCAATCCTCACCGAGGTCGCTTATTTTTTTAATTTTTTGGAATACAGCCACATTAGATAACTAACAGTTGATTACTTACGCGCTATAACAAACGTAAACGTATCCCTCTGTTGGTGTGCGCACACGGCGGTAGAGAGCTGATATACCCCGATTCAAAATCCTGTATTATCAATCTATAAATTCTAAAGATGTTTTTCCTCTTGGGGCTGGGAATCATTGTCATCCGACGAACCCTCCGGTCTATTTGACCCCCACGAATAGTAATCTCTCCGAACCTCGACGTAGTCGTAAGCAAACTCACCTATTTGGTCTTCGTCCAATCCCTGCTCTTCGGCCTCTTCGCTGGCTCTGAGTTGCAGCCCTGGGATTTTGTCTATCACAAAACATATGATAGCGGTCACAACTACTCCGTAACCGTACACAGCTGCCACGTAAGCGATCTGCTTGTACATCTGTTTGTAATTATGGGTAATCCAGCCACCGTCATGTTCGGTAGTCCCATCCATACCAACTACCCAGTCCGCGGCAAACAGCGCGTTGAAGATTAGCCCTACAACACCGGCGATACCGTGCTCCGCGAGAATATCCATGGAATCATCAACCTTTAGGTAGTACTTGATCTTGGTGGCAAAGTTACACACCACGCCGGCGACGATACCCTGTATCACAGAGCCGTAGAGTGTTATGCAACCGGAACTTGGCGTAGCGGCCACCAGGCCACAAATAATACCAGAACATAAACCCACGGTCGACCACTTTTTCTCAAGTCTGAAATCCAGCAAACACCATGTCATGCCTCCCACAGCTGCACTCAAATTGGTGTTCATGAAAGCGTAGGAAGATCTAAGGTTGGGACTCAAAGACGTGCATGAATTGAAGCCTAACCATCCAAACCATAGTAATGAAGTGCCTAAGGTGACCATGGACACGTTGTGGGGTCTAAAATTGATTAGCAGGCTTTCTTTTCTCTTGCCCAAAAATGCAGAGTAGACAAACCCGCCCACACTGGATAGGACTTCAACGGGGCCACCTCCGGCCCAGTCCAGTACTCCCCAGCGATAAGCCCATCCGTCAGAATCCCATATCCAATATGTCACGGGGCAGTATACAAGCGTGGCGAAACAAAACAAAAAGACTGTGTGCGGCAGAAGTCTGCCTCTCTCAGCTGTACAGCCGGCGATAATGCTGAGGGTCACACACATAAAAAGGCCTTGGAATCCGGCAAATGCAATTTCTGGGTACTGGCTGTCGGGATCCGCTTTCCCGTAAACGTTTCTGAACCCGAATGAATCCAAATTTCCTATAAATTTGTGATTTTTTGATGTCTTGGAGAACGCCAGCGAAAACCCCCAGAAATACCATTGCAATATCCCCACTAGTGTGGCCATCAAAACGATCCATATTTGCGCCAGAGCAGATTTCCTTCGCGTGAGACCCGAGTATAGAAATCCCAGGCCTGGGATCATGATGAACACCAGCGCGGATCCGATCAAAATGAACGCTACAGTTGCAGGCTCGTAAGTCTCATCCCACACATAACCCATTTTCCTGTTGAAATCAGAGAGAAAATCGCAGAGGTTCGACACTTACCTCGCTAGATTCTTCGTATTTTTCAAGGTTCCCGTGAAGATCTTGCTTTACCCGTGATGACCCAAATTACCTTTGCCAAAAGCTTGGTAGCATTTATAGTCCGGTGCTTCCCAAACATATTTTTTTTTGTTTCCTTTCTGAACGCTAAGCACCTTCCGCAGCTTCTTTTCCTCTTCAAATGTCCTCTCCACAATAACTTGGTCTAGCTTCAACTGTTTTACCTAGCCAATATAGTGCGCGCCTCCGTTTGCCAGATGAACCTATCCCAAGAGTCGGTAGCACAAACTGGCGTATTATGCGGGACCCTGCAAGAGACTATGCGCAGCATATTTGACAAAGAGTGATAAGCTTTTTTTTTCCTAAAGACACCAATGAGAAGCAGGAAGAGAATCTTGCACGGCACTTTAACATGAAGTTTGGTTCCTGAAAATGGAAATGAGCCAATCCTTACTGATAAGAAGAAGAAGAAGGATGCCAATGTGCGCACATGACAGTCAGGTGAGGCCAAGGGAGGCTTTTTTCTCTGAGATTGCTCGCTATACCGTACCGCTTTTTGCAGCTCTCTTTATTTTTTCCAGTAGTTTCTTGTAAGGGTAAATGGATGAGCGTATCAGCTGTAGATGTATGTGAAAGACTCGTATACGGTCGGGTCTCGGGTCTCGAAATTCAAAGTTTGAAAGGCTGTGTAGCCCACCTTTGTCTTCTTGGTTTTGAAATTGTGAGCCAATCTTAGCTTGGGCAGCATAGCTACAACGTTCAACGATCTCCAGTACTGCCCATCGCTGAAAAATTCAGATGACGTAAGCACTTAGCTTAGGTAATCGCCAACGAGTACGAGTACTATGCATTTGTTTATTTTTGGTCATGTTGTACGATTAACGAAAAATAGCCGCCAACGTCGTTTTCTGATAGAAAACAGCGCGCTGACGGTACTTGTGTTTCTCTCCACTCATCTAGCTTAAGTACCGGTGGCGTAGATATAGCTTTCAGAGTTTTCTACCCACACATCAAGACAAAATTAGCTTGGCCCCATTCTGCCCGTGCAAGCGTGCAATCCAAGCTCAAAAAAAACCGCAAAATTGACAATTCTGGTGGCAAAATGATCCCATAGAGTGTAGCTATATCATCCCAATCATTTTGACGAGCTCGGGACTTTGTATGCTACCCTTTTTTCGTCTTGAAGTTGTAATCCCGCCCGCTTGAGTTGGATACTGTTCTTGATCAAGCTTAACCTTTAAATTAGGTTTTATAAACTTTGAATTTGTAGCACTTGATACGAAAGACCCATAAGGCATATAGGCATACCTATCAATGAGCTATTCTCATGTAGCGAAGAGATCCTTAACGTTGAGGTTATAAACAGCAGTAAGAACTTCTCTGTGACTTAATTCAACATGCTTGTTATCAAGGATTTACCCCTGGATATACCTCAGGACGATCGTCTTCCAGCAAATCTTTCGGTGCTGCGAAATGAAGCAGCTATAACTACCGTGAATTATTCTAATTCATCTCTTCTCAATAGTTTTGATGCGCATTTGCAATTTGCGAGCGCGCTTCTCAAATATGCCACTGAATCGTCGAGCTCCGATTTCGATGAGCTCCAGTGCACGGTAATCACAAATATGGCTTATTTCCTGCAACAAATTGCAGAAGGTCTGGCACAAAGAGCCTTTACTGAAGATTCCAAGGAAGCATGGGCAAGTAGCGGGTTATACAACAAAAATGCGATAGGACTTCTACAGTTTTTGCGTCAACTGGACCTTGCTAACACCACTCAATCTTTGGGATTGGTCCAAACTTATACCAAGTGTTGGACGGTATCGCAGCAACTGGGCGTGGTCATGCTATCGCTATCCAAGCTCAGATCCCGTATTTTTGATTCGAACACCAATGATGGCGGTTTGAAAGCGAAAAAATCAAGTGGCATGCGTTACGATCGGCTCCTAGAATTTCAAGAATCGGATCTGAAGGACCTGGCCAAATCAAGTCTCCTTTACGCCCGTTTGTGCATCGGATGTCGAGCTACGTGCTCACAATTAGCCAATACTCATGTTTCCAGTGCATGTGAGCCCTTGATTCAATATCTCGATGCCCTCACTTTTATTTTGCTGTCACTGGACCGCTACAAAAATGATGATTGTGGGAGCGCCATTGGTATGTTGGAAGCAGCAACCGATTGTCTGTCTGCGGGGCTAATCACTCCAAAGCAGCTCAAGCTGATACAAGAAACAAGAAAATTGAAGCATAAATTCTCAGCAAAATGGAGTGAACTCAAGTCGGAAAGCTCAAGCATGACAGCTAAGCTCAATCCTTTTAAAAAACAAAACGATTCTAAACAGGCGAGGCTTCATCATTTTCTGCAGTATACTTTGGAGGATTTCATTATTCCCTTGATGATTCTATTGCATTACCGGTACTTAAAAACTAACGATAAGGTATTTTTCCAGCCCATAGTCCGAGACCGCCAAACACTGTTGAACACATGGCCGCAAGGTAAGGTTCCCGAGCTAGCGGGCACAACGTGGATTTTTGACGGAGAAAAACTCCGAGAGCAGAATGACGTTGCAGCTAACGAGTACTATTGAGAACCGTGGGCGGCTCATTCTCCAAAAAGCTTGCTAGCGTCTTCGGCTTGCAAACTCTTTTATAAATTTACGTTTGGAGTCGGTGTTCAATTCTTTGCCCACAAGTCGAAATTTGTCTCCACCCACAAGCGCCGCACGCACTTTACTCAGATCTGTGCCGACCGACTTGACTATTTTACACTTGTAGCTGACGCCTTGAGTGGAGGCTCTGACCAGATACTTCCATTTATCGAGTCGCAAAGGAGTGGTGAGAGAACTATTGATTTTCAAATGGATGGTATGAACTTTGACATTGGCATCTGTTGATCTGTTGTTACCGCTGTAGGACGAAGAACTTCCAACACCAGTGTTTTTGAGGCCCAAGAAGTCGTCCCATGCTTCCTGGTTTAGTTCAAATGGCAGTACGCTTTTGCCGTTCGAAGTCGTTCCTTCGGCGAAAAAATACACAACGTGTCCTTTCAATTGGGAAACAGTCGTGACTTGCTGAAAGTTCGACTCATCTCCACTCAACTGCCCGTTATTGAGGGCAAACTTTACGAATTGCCAAAAAGTCAATTGAACAATTCGAGACGTTTTCCCGTTTGTCAATGGCACGCAAAAGGCTGTAGGGCCCTGGGCCAGAAGCCACAAAGCGACGGCGTCAAAGGGACTGCTACAGTTCGCCAAATAAATACCGCTGTCAGCAGATGGCAATTCCCCGCGCTGATCCCGCTTCTTCACGCCCTGGGTCGTCAATTGCGAGCTCCAACTGACCATTATTTTGAGAATACTCGACCAGATTATTTTCGAGATCCAACAGGGCGAAACCAAAGCCAGAATAACCAAAGGCAGTACACATATGGCTTTCAGCACGAATTTCACGTTATTAAGTGCTCCTGTCAAACCTTTCTCTTGCAACAGAGGAGGCGGGGTGGGTACAAAAGGTGCAATCCCAGTGCCCTTGTCTCTCCAATTAGTGAACTTCTCCATCCCCGAAGTGCTCTTTTATCCGATGGGAAGTTCCCGTTTGACTTAGCGTTGATGGTATGATCGCTAGCATACGTCTATCATGGCTCTCTAATAGACAAAAAATATCAATTTGGCGTCTTTTTGGAAAATAGTGGTCACATGTCGGGGCGTCGCAGCGGTGCTGTCACGGTGCCATTGGAAAGCCAGCGAAAGAAGTGAAGCTATTTTTCGATCACAGAGCTGGCGTTTCCAATATCAAAATACGCAGGAGACGACTCGCAAATTGTCAGAACTTTGCATAAACAATTAAAACCTTCGAGAAAATGAAAAGAAAATGGCACTTTCCGACGGAGAAGTTTCATTGAAAAGACATCAGAATGATCAAAAAAGGACAGAATTCTTGCTTGCTCCCCACGAATAGGTAAATTTCTTCCTTAACCTGCAAGAATATCAACATTTGAGAGTATCTTTCAAAATGATTATTTTGAAATCCCAAAGTCCCAGAAAATTCTCTGAAAAACCAAAGAGCCTCCAGATGACTAGCCAGATTTCGCATCAATTTTATGAAGGTTTTCAAGCATAAAATAAGGCGGAAACTATGCTTCTTGTTCAAATTTAACGTTCATCTCAGGCCTTGGTACTCTTGTACGAATCCTCTAAAATATACGAGTACGTGTATATAAAATCTATAATCAATGAGCTCAACTCGCATTTGAAATTCTACAAACTTCGCAATTCAAACCAGTATAGACCAAAGTTGTAGTCCTATATTTCTGGCGTTTAGTACTTGGACTTATTCTGCAAGTTCTAGGCTCACTTGTGAATTTTTTTGGGCCCTGGAATGTCATTTCCCGATGTTTTGAAGCGCGGCGATGACTTTCTATCGCAATATCCAAGGACCAGTCCATTATGGCAATTGGGGTCGCATGCTACTTGCCTCTTGACAGTTGGTATCTCGAAACTTATTTTGAAAACATGTTATAATGTGCAGTTGTCTCATTTTGATCGACTTGAAACGGCCATAGATCGCTCAGTAAGTGAGAATCGTGGTCTGATGACTGTCATGAATCATATGTCAGTGGTAGACGACCCGTTCATATGGGGTGTTTTTCCATGGAGAATATATAGGGATCTGGACCACATCCGTTGGTGTCTTGGTGCTCACAACGTATGCTTCCAAAGAAAGTTTCTAGCCAATTTTTTCTCGCTGGGAAAAGTGCTGTCTACAAGAAGATTTGGTGGTGGGCCTTTCCAAGGCTCCATCGACGCTTCCATCAGGCTTCTTTCACCAGACGATACTCTAGATCTTGAATGGACCCCCAGTTGGGCTCAGGAGGAGAAGGAAACGCCACAGCAGAAGCAAATAAGCACAGTAACAGAACTTGCGAAAACTTATACTCCTCCTGTGAAAAGAAGCAAACCGTCGTGGGTTCATGTTTATCCAGAAGGATTTGTCCTGCAACTTGAGTCCCCATATGCTAATTCCATGAGGTATTTCAAATGGGGTATCACTCGTATGATTCTGGAAAGTACAAAAGCTCCCATTGTAGTTCCAATTTTCAGCACAGGATTCGAAAAGATAGCCCCCGAATCTGCTGCAGGGACTAAGATTGAACGGTATCTTCCGCGAAACTTTGGAGCCGAGATCAAAGTCATGGTCGGCAGCCCAATTAATGACGAAATAATAGAAGCATACCGAGACGAGTGGAAAAAACTGGTCGATAAGTATTACGATCCCAAGAATCCTACTGATCTCACCGAAGAGTTGAAGGTGGGTAACGAAGCACAAAGTTTGCGCAGCAGGCTAGCCTCGGAACTGAGGGCACATGTTGCCGAAGTCCGTCATGAGGGCCATAATCTTCCAACCGAAGATGAAAGATTTCGGTCTCCGCAGTGGTGGAAACAATACACAGAATCTGAGGGTCTGTCAGACCCCACCGTCAGGTTTATAGGTAAAAACTGGGCGGTAAGGAGACTGCAAAAATTTTTAAATGAACAAACGGACGCTGAGTCTAGTGAAAGTGACTCTAAATCTGATGTCAAGAAATGATATCTTTAATTATATGTCCACCAAATGAAATATATTCAAATGCATAGCCATAAAGCGAACTATCTTCATTTCATCATTTTCGTGGAGTTCACTTTGGCAGCAAATCGCAGAGAGTTCAAAGTTTCAGGTAGATTCCTTAAAGAAGGGGAAACATTAACGAACATGAGCGTCTTGGAGTCTCCAATCAATGAGTACTGTAACAAGTAGGTCAATTTAGAATTCCGGAAAGGAATGTGCCTCTTCAGGGCGTCTTTAGTACCCAAAGCATGTATAACATCACCTAGACAACTCAATGATTTATTAATATTTTGAGTTTCTCGTAGTCGCTCAGCCTCCGGTTGCGAGGAATTTATTCGTTCTGAGCCAGCCAGATCTACTAAATTGAGTGTTCCCATAGAATGCTCGCCGGACTTGGAGTTGTGGCCTCGAAGTTTGATAATGAAAACGCTATGCGATCTTGAAGACCGTGAATTTGCCTTGGTAGCTGCTGTTGAGCGCATTTTCAACGCCCGCGAGAGTACACCGCTTGCCATTTCCTGAGTTGTAAACTTGCAAGTCGTTGCATTAACAAGGTGGGTCGTACAGTTTTCGACGTCATGTCTAATTTCCAACTTCGCGCCATCACTAGTGTCCTCATACTCCCCGTCCTGGCCCTTCAATAAATCTCTAAGATTCTCGTTGTAGATTTCAATAAATTGTCCGGAAATGTCGTAAGACCATCCAAGACTTTTCAATTTTTCGACCCAGAGGAAAATGTGGTTTAAAGTTGATGGTATGATACCGTCTGATGGATTGAGCATTGTATATGTTTTACCAGAGCCCGTCTGGCCGAAAGCAAAAATGCACACATTGTATCCATCTAAGGAACTTTGTATAAGTTGCCCTATCTCTTCAAAAACGTTCTTGTTGGAGTCGTGCTCTCCAAAAATCTTGTCAAAAGTGAAAGTATGAGCTTTTGAGTCTCGTCGAATGTGCATTCGCTGCGTAGCGCCGTCGTCATTGAAATCTTCTATCTGAATGTTGGACACTTCATCAAGTTCTTGACTCAATTTAGGTCGCAGTCTACAGAAAACGCGTATGTTGCCCCGCAACTCTTGCAGCTCATTATTCAAATTCCTCCTCATGGTCTCTTCTTTCATTAAAATTTCTTTGATCTCCGCTAGTTCTGATTTGGACGCGGAGATGAACTTTTCTAATTCATCTCGTTTGGCCAAAGAGTCTATCGAGCCACGGCTACAGGTTTCGGTATCAGTTTTTATTTTTGCATTTTCGGAGCGGACTGCCTCTAACTTTTGTTCGAGTTCTTGCAAATGAGAATTTAAACGTTCGGCATCTCTCACCTTTGCCCTGAAGTCTACTTTGAGTTTTTCATCCAATGAAGTCCGCAAAACATCATTGTCTGCAGTCTGTTTTCTGTTTTTCTCTAAAAGACCACTAAGCTCCTCCTGATGGTGACGTAATGCCTTCTCCTTGTTAAGTTTGTGTTTTTGCTCGCACTCGTTGAGAGCTTCACGCAGCGTAGACTCGTTGTTTGATATCTGGAAATCTAGAGCGGAAATTTCACTTCGCAGTTTATCACGATTCTCTTGTAATTGTTTAATTTTGGAATATCGAAGCTCTTCAATTTTCTGTCTGTAGCTATTTTCCCTTCGATTCATCTCTGCGACACTTTTTGCTCTTAGCTGCTGGACCTCTAACTCATGGTTTTTCGCTATGAACTTTATTTTGGTGTTGTGCTCGTCGCGGAGCTTCTTCTCATCGTTGATCTTTAGCTTGAGTTGCTGAGACTTGACGTATTTTTCCTCCTTGTAGGTTTCGGCTTTCAACAACAGGGCTCTGAGTCCGCTCTTATTCTCCGTGAGTTCATCTTTGAGAGTATCCAACCTTGCCTTCTTTTGAAACATCAAATCCTGTAGTTCATTTAAGATTCGAATATTCTCTTTGTAAAAGGCTGTCATATGTGAGGAGCTTTCTGGTCCTTGAGTTTCGTCTCCATTGTGAGCCGAACCCTTACGATTGCCATCAGTAGCCGGAGGAAACTCATTTTTATGCTTCTTGGTATGCGATATTATGCTTTGATGCTCAGACGCACTAACAGGCAGCTGTTTCGGTGATGAAGTTCTCTTGCGATATTTGGGAGATCCCGTGGCACTTGGAGACGGGATTTTTGACTCATTCTCTTCTACAGCGCCAGGACTCGACTTAGTGGGTGTTCTTGGAGCTTCGCTGTTCATTGTTACACAACCTTGAAACTGTGAGGATCATCAAGGTACCTGATCCAAAAAACTTAAATGCCAAAGTAAGTTTCCATAAAACGGAACTGGGCACTAGCTACAGAGACGTTAGTGAGAGGTGTCTGCGTTGGCTAAAGTTTGTTGTTTAGAACTTGGATCTCTTCCGAGTCGTGGCTGGATCCTTAGAGCTCAAGACATGTCAATAAAACGCGTCAGTAAACATAGTCATTTTATACGAGCATTTTTGAAGAATTGGAAATTACACGTTAGAAACACGTAACATAGAGGACGAGGGTACAGAAGTGCGTGGGCATAGCTTTTATTATTAATGGATAGCAGAGCATTGATTGAGACTTGATTATACCTTTTGTAAACACCTCGTTTCCACGACACTGCCGTATGATGTGATCTTTAAAAAAGAATGAAGAAACTGTCTTTTTGTATAAAATTCAAACCCTGGTAGAGTGAAATGCTGCTGTTTCTATTTAGTTCAATTGTTGTTTTATAGCTCATCATGAATGCTATCATGGATTGATTAAAAGTGTTGTCTCTCTTTTATCTCTTACACGCATACAGATTCTAGGTCACGTGTTGTACCAAATCAACGGCCACTCTAAGTGACGAACTCGAAAAATTTTAGAAATATCGAAGCTCATCGCCTTTGAAGATCGCGGTAAAACCTACAAAAGCCAGCTGTTATGGGGGTACCAAAGGCATCTTTGAAGAGTAAGTCGACCGCCAAAGGCAACGCTGTTGAAAGCAGAAAAAAAACTGCTAAAAACCCTGCTTCCGGCAATGAAAACAGGGAAGATTTAGAAACTGGTCAAAATGATAGTCTGAACGGGAATCTAGATCGCAACAGTAATGGTAAGGGTGATTCTGATGGCCAGAGTGAGGAAGAATCCAGTGGGGAAGCTAGTGGGGAAGCTAGTGGAGAGGACTCCAGTGAAGATGAGGATTCAAGTGACGGCAGTGTGGACGAAGATGAAGACGATGACTTTCCCAAAAAGAAGAAAGCCAAGCTCGGAAAACATAATGATGGATCCTCTGACTTCTCCACAGCAATCAATGCGATTCTAGGATCGCATCTCAAAGCGCACGATCGAAAAGATCCGATCATGGCGCGTAAGAAGAGTACGGCAAAGAAACTGGAAAGCGATAAACTTGAGGCAAAAGCTAAAAGAGCCATGCTGGTGGAGAAGAAGAAACTGCTGAATAAAACTAGAACGAAGGATATCATTCCGACGGTCTCTGCAGAAGCGGATTCCGGGGTTGAAATAAGGGAAGTTCTGGAGAAGGAGAGGCGACTAAGAAAGATTGCACAGAAAGGTGTCGTGAAACTTTTTAACGCTATTCTGTCCACGCAAGTTAAGACTGAAAGAGACGGCGCTGAAAAGCTTGGTAACATCAAGAATCGCTCTGAAAAAAAGGACATGCTCAACGACTTATCGAAGGAAAAGTTTTTGGACCTTGTAAAAGCCGCCGGGGACTCATAGGGAAAGCGTATGCGTGGCACCGTTCCAAGCCTCCACCCTCAACTACACTACTTTGCATTTTTTTGTATAATAATTCATAACTTCTAGTCTGGAATAATAAATTTGAGAAGCTATTTTGTTCGGCACACTACCATAATGGGTCGAGGAATATGGTCAAGCGTCAAATTTACATTGCAATTATTAGAATTATTTAGATGGTAAAGGCTCCCTCAAAATCCGAGCCCTCCGTTAGAGTAAGCCATTGGCTTCACGTTTGGATGATCCACCGCTCCAAATGTCTCCACTAGTAAGTCCTCATCATCATTGCCATTCTGGCCTATCACTCCCATGCCAGGGACAACATGGATAATCCCGCCTAAGTTGCCTTGAGAGTCACAGTAGTTTGGCGCACTGAAAACAGTCACCAGTTTCTTGTCGTGCTCGAATAGCACACCACCCATCCTTACCTCATGAGATCTGAATATCTTGGATAACTTGTTTTTCGCGAGGAAGTCGGCCGTGATGTCGGGCCCGAAAGAATGTCCCAATCCACGTTCTGAGGGACCCAAACCTTTACCGGCCTGTGGATCGGACCATAGCAATTCCATGAATGGACCCTCTCTTGGTGGCTGAGAGAATCTATCAATGCCTTTGTAATCTTTCAACGATACCGAACTGTCCGCGCTGAGACCGCCATGCATGACTAGATATTTGTCATTGATGACTGTAGCAAGAGGAAGAGCTTCAAAACTTCTGGAAAACATTTCAAAAATCCGCTGGGAATATTTGTACTTGCACTCGTCTTCGAAACCGTAAATTTTATTCATATTGTCAGTTTCATGATTTCCTCTGTTGATAAACATGTTGCTGGGAAACAAAATCTTTAGACAGTAGAATAGAATGGCTACTTCGCAGGACCACGAACCACGGTCGACGAAGTCACCATTGAATAGATATGAATGCTTGGAGTCAACCTTGCCGAACTTGCGGAAAATGTTCAAGACATCGTAGAATTGACCGTGTGTATCACCGCATACCGATATCTTGACGTCAGTTTCAGTAGCATTATTCAACTCCACAACCGAGGGCTCCAGGTGAAACAAACGCTCCGCATGTGAAACGATGGCGGCTACGTATTTTTTTGGCAGGCTCTTACCCTTGAGGAAGAGGTCATTCACCATGGACGATACGAACTCTTGGGACATATTTGTGATCTGCGCTCCAGCAGGTTCATTTTTTTCATTCACCAATTGAGTCATTTCCAATGTGGGCCCCCTATAGCTTTGAAAATCGGAATTACCGTCAAAAGACGAAAGCTGTACTGTTGCGCACATATTGATTTTTGCCTGATCGCCATCCCCAGCAATTGCTTTCTTGAACTTTTCCTGACGAATGAACTTTTCGCACGTCTCAAGGGCTTTCAACGCTGCGGACTCATTTGGTTTGTACTGAAGAAGTCTTTTGAAATCTTTGCGTGCTAGTGCAAAGTCTAGGAGTCCAACATGTGCCAATCCTCTTCTATGCAAAGCCTTGATGTTGTGAGCATCTAGCTCGATAGCCTTGGTACAATCCTCTACTGTTGTGAGGAAGTTGTCCAGTTTCAGTCTTGCGAAAGCCCTGTTAGAAAAGTAGATGCTTTGAGTATCATCGCGTTCGATGGCCTTTGAATAACTTTCGACCGCTGCACTGTAGTCCTTTTGCTTGATGAACTCATTTCCTTCAGCCTTGAATTTCGAGGCTTCTTGAGCAGCTTCTGCACTGACCATCATGGCTGCAAATAGCTCGATATGTGTATGTTTCTGGTGCTCTTCTCTTGATGCAGTTGAAATTTTTCGGTGTATTGATTTAGATCGAAATTTTAATCAACTGGACACTATGAGAGAGAGCATCTTGAATTCTTAGGTTGGCTAGTTTTTGAAGTTTCTTGAACAAAGAATGTAAGTTTTAGTCATTTAAATTCATCGCCTCGAAGATCCTGCTCTTCTCTTTCTCCTGATACCCTTTTCTCCATGGTAGATGCTCTTTTTTCGATCATTATGAACAAATTTCGTAGTCATCTAGGAAAATGAAGCTGTAACTGCTGAAACTTCTGATTCATCAGATCATCATGATAATCCATTGACATGAAACCGGATTCATTTGAATAGCCCAAAGTTTTTGATGCGTTCATCAATTTTGTTTTGTCTTGTAGCTCAAACTCCGTTCTTTTATTTTATTTACAAAATCCTTGGGAATGAATGTTCCATGGGGCTTCCAAAACAAATAATCTGGTCTCAAAATGGGAATAAATGCTCACATCATTGCTGGATAGCGCGTAGTGAGTAAATGCAAATCTTCTGCTTGTGGATTGCGCTGTGGATTGCAAATGAACGTGATTTTGGTTGGAACGGTGACGGCGGTTATTTACGTTGTAACTCACTGAAACTAAGTTTTTTGTATAGGGCTCACTTTCTGAAGCAATGCAATCTTCTACTGGTTAACAGAGTACTGTTGAGGAAACTGGCGCTGAGTTTACCTGTGAAATGGATGCTAGCTTTGTGTTCATACCATTCCATTACCCTTATAAGGAATCTAATTATATGGAAAGAAATGCACACTATTTAGACTAGATCGATACCCAGCGACAAACTCAGTCTTTACCATTTGGTGAAACTAAGAGCGTCCGGAAATAGAAGAGAGAGTTTCTATGGCTGTGCTATCAAACGCGCAAGGTAGCGCCGATTTTGTCGACAACTAATTTCTTGTTTTAGTGGCACAGCGATGCCTTCAATTTTGGGGGGATGTGCTTTTATTCTTTGTTTTTATACTTCCTAAAAACCAGCGCTTCCATCAAACAGGTCTCTTGGCCCAGTTGGTTAAGGCACCGTGCTAATAACGCGGGGATCAGCGGTTCGATCCCGCTAGAGACCATTTTATTTTTTGCCCATGAAATTTATGAAAAGATATGAGTAAGACTGACCTGTATCCTCACGGGCAGAACACAGTCAGGATAACAAAGCTAAAAGCTAAACTTGAGGTGAATTAGCCACAAACCATTTTAATCAATTCACCAATTTACACATTTTATGTAATTGCCGAAAGCCGCGCCTTGGTCTTCAAACTCCAGAGCAGGGGACACTTTTAATTTTCGAGTGACTTCAGCCTGCAACAGCGAATCGTACGACCAATCCAAGAAATCTTCCATGTTATAACTGTGCTTTCTGAAGGGCTGAGAAAATATTTTCGCGAGCGTAGCCACGTTGGGGTGATAATGATTTGTGAGGGAATCTAGTTCCCACAGTGAGCTGCCCATCGCGTTCGTCAATTCTGGGTTCACCTCGTCCATCAAGTAAGGATCTTCGTACTGACTTCTGCGTTGTTTGACTAATGCAACCTGATGCGGCTCCGCGAAAGGATCGGAGATGAAGTCTGGATCATGCAGCATAATCATGCATGTGGGGTGCTTCTTCAGCAAATTGTAAATGAAAGGCATAACAGAAACGATGGCACTGGGAGGTGCATCTAATGTCAGCCGAGCTAGTCGCTTGATAAAAGAAGCTACCAAGTTCGCCGATATGTGAGTAGACGACAGGAAAAGATCTGTCAGTCTCAAAAACCGCGATCTGTGCTTCACATGCATTAGACCAGGTGTTACCAGCTGGTATAGCTTTGAGTAAAAACGAGGGTACTCAAGGTTGTACCTTCTCATAAGCTCGAACAACCCGTTCAGGGCGAGTAAAGAAATGACATGGTCCCCTAGATCGTAAGAATCGGTCAAAAAGTCCATAAGCTTTGATGGCGTGTTAAAATGAGGTATTATTCTTTTATGCAGAATGAGAAGAGTGGTTTTGTATTGCGTTGCAGGTAGTTCCCCCAAGTTGAGGAAGAAAAGCCAGTTCTTCTCCAAATTGGTTTTGAACTGACTCTCGTTTTCCATCGCTTGTGGTGGTTGCGGGACAAATATTTCCAAGTCAGCGTCTTCGTTGGTGTAGTGGTTATCGTGATTCATAATACAAAGCCACTTTGCCATAAGCTGAGTGTGATCGACGGTTTTGGGAAAGTCGGACTCCAGAGTTATGCCAGCTAGCTCCGCTTGAAAGTAATATTGAATGTCCACGTATTTCCGATAGTAGCTTTGGGCAAATTCCAACACAACGGGATTTTTAGAGTGGCCATCTGCTGCGTCCACACTGCTTGGAAGGTTGCATTTGAATAAAGCCAAAATGAGTGCTTTCAAAGTTTTGTTGGGGAAAAAAGGAGCGTCTGCATGGGATGCCAAATGAATAGCCTCTTGATTTAGAAGCTGCATGTATGCATCGAGACAGTCCAAGGCCAAAGACGACTCAAACGGTACGGCGGTGATGCAATGTAGCAGTTTGGACTTGAAAGAGTTGTATAATTTACGGCACCACTGAAATAGCTGCTTTTCACTTGCCGACGAAGCTTTAGTTGGGTTCAATTGACCGCGGGTGAAAAGCTTTCGAAAAACAGGCAAAAGCGCCAGTGTCAGGTACCGAAGATTAGGCTCTTGACTTTCAAAAGTACTTTGTTCAATGTTGCTAAAATCAGGATACTGGGACACTAGTTTCACGATGTCGTTGTAGTGCCTTCTATCATTGGAAGACGTCAGGCGCTTGGCACACGTCGCAATTTCATCTTTTGCGAGAGACATAGTTATATCGAAAATGACTTGGAATTGCCTTCAAAAGTGCCCAGGACACAAGTCACACCTCTCTGTGGTAAGAAGAATACAAGTTTAACGTGCGGTTTGCCACTGTGAACGTTCTTACTGCTCATCTCATCTCATCTCATCTCATCTCATCTCTTCTTAGTCCACTAAAATTTTTCAGAACCGCGTCACAAGCGTATATAATGATACTATATGTCTTGACTACTTGAAGACATTGTCAGGCTATGAATAGGTGAAGTTCGAACACAGGTGTGGCCTAAATTTGTGAATTAGCTTGCCAGGTTAGGTATTGTGGAACTGAAGGATTTCTTAGAATTACTTCACTTTTTTTCCGTAGTCATGAGTCTCGTCTAACGTGAAAAAAATTATCAAGTAAAACCAAAGGTCTATTGTACAAAAATCGAATCAATAACCTCCCGCTTCCGGGCTCTTCGGCTTGATTTCCAATGTCTCTTCACACCATCTTTCCCATCACTTGTTGTACGCGTCCTCACGGCCCTAAGCGTAATTAGTCAATGATCTCGTACATAGTGATATAACACACATATATAAACAACAAAATTTTCGAAATTACGGTGAAGATTACACAGGCTCATCTTCTTTTTAAAACCTATATGACCTTCCAAGTTTTATTAAGAAGACGATGAAGCTATTTGCGTCTTTAATCGAACAATTCTGCTCAGCGGGATAGGGTTGACGCCCTGTTTTGCCGAGGTTTTAATGGAGAAGTGGTTCCTGCGCAGCTTTTAATCTTGTTACATTCTATGAATGCCAAGGACACTTGTTAGAAAATTCTGATTCTTTTTCTTTGCCTGGAGGTCATGCATGTAGTAGTTCGACAATCGCTTTTCTTGCTTGTTATATAATATGAGACCCGGGTTTAGCAGATGCTGGACAAGAGTGTTAGCAGACAAAGTCAGTGACAGTGTCTGAGAGCTCTCTTCCACAGTTGATTACTCGAGGCCCCTTTGAAAAGGTGGATCTGGTCGTAAAGAGCATTGGCCGGGTCTGTATCACCGGGAGCGCCATAAGAGGTGCTTCCTGGGGCGACAAAATATCGAAATACTAGGAACTCCGGCGGCTTACTTTGAAACCACAAGACGTACGGCTCGGAACGTATTTCACAGCAGCTCGTGGTGTCAGAGACACTAGCTAGCTGGAGGCAAACGAGAATTTATGTAAAGCAATCACAAGCAAGCGGTGCGGAAAAGATCTAGTCATTTTGAGGTCCTCAAGTCAAATTTGTAAAGGGAAAGGCGACCTCCAAACCGTCATGTTAACTTTTTACGCACAACCTATACTAATCATAAGGACGAGCTAGTATAGCATGTGATTGTGCGCTCTCTATGTCAGAACAGGCTTAAAGTGACACGATCTGGAGCCAGCAGCCTATGCTGGAATTTTCGATTACACTACAACAAGCTGCTTGATATGACCAAAGGCAATTCCGATGCGAGGTCTATGTTCGGCCAGCCCCAGGGTGCTTTGTTTCTTTGATTTTTGGGAGCTCCCACTCGTGCTATTTCGGCCATTAGGCTGAAGCTGAAGCGAAAAGAATCCAGAGATGAGCCATCTCAACTTTGCAAAAGCATACATGATCAATCAAACCAGCTCAAACTCCTCTTTCCAAGGAATATCAAGGGATAATTCAGGATTTGAAAACGATAGCGTCAATCTCGTCTGGAAGTTACAACTCTAATAATCTCTGAAAAACTACCCGGAAGACAAAACTTTTCAAAAACCACTGAATACATCATCGAATCTTTTAAACACTCTAGGCCTCATAACAAGTCCAAGTCCATCACCTCGCTGCTGAACTATGTCAATCTTTCACCGTCGTCCGACCTGTCCAGATTCGCGACGGGAAAAGGCATAGTGATCTTTTTCCATTTTTCTATCTGACTCATTGATAGCACTGTTTATCACAGTGAAAAAAAAAGTATATCAAGTTCACCATCAAACTCTGAAGAAGTTCTAGTCAAACGAAGTCATTTTGAGCCTCAGGAACTAAGTTTAAAGCTTGTCCTGCTAGCCTTTAATCTGATTATTGAACTACAAAACCAAAATGTGTGGTATCTTCGCTTGTCACAAGCACGAGTCCGTAGACAAATTCAAAGCCGATGCGCTTCAGTTGGCCAAGCGCGTCAGACACCGTGGACCAGACTGGTCCGGTAACTACGTGAAGAACTCGACTATTCTGGTTCACGAAAGACTAGCAGTTGTTGGTCTTGATTCTGGTGCTCAACCAATCACATCTCAGGATGGTGATTTGTCGTTGACCGTTAACGGTGAGATTTACAACCACATCCAACTAAGAGAAGAATTCCAGTCATACCCTTTTAAAACGCTCTCGGACTGCGAAGCCATCCTTCCCTTGTACGAAAAGTACGACATTGATGCGCCCAAGCACTTGGACGGTATGTTCGCATGGGCCTTGTACGATGCTAAGAAGGACCGTATTATCGCTGCTAGAGACCCCATTGGTATCACCACGCTGTACATGGGCCGTAGCTCCAGCACTCCTCAAACCGTGTACTTCGCTTCGGAACTAAAGTCACTCACCGACAACTGTGATCAAATCACAGCTTTCCCACCAGGTCACGTTTACGACTCTATCACTGATAAGTTTACTCGTTACTACAACCCTAACTGGTTGCAAGAGGGTCACACTCCTTCGGAACCTGTGGATTACCTCAAGATCCGTCACTCTCTAGAAAAAGCTGTGAGAAAGAGACTTATGGCCGAAGTTCCCTACGGTGTGTTGTTGTCCGGTGGTCTGGACTCTTCTTTGATCGCTTCTATCGCGGCTAGAGAAACGGAAAAGGCCAACTCTGCATTGAACGTTTCCGAATACGACTCAGAAAACAAACATTTGGCTGGTGTCGACGATGCCGGAAACCTACACAGCGCCGGATGGTCGCGTCTGCACTCGTTTGCGATTGGGTTGCCTAACGCTCCAGATTTGCAAGCCGCTCGTAAGGTGGCCAAGTACATTGGCTGCATTCACCACGAGCACACTTTCACTCTACAGGAAGGTTTGGACGCTTTGGACGATGTGATTTACCATTTGGAGACTTACGACGTCACCACCATCAGAGCATCTACTCCTATGTTCCTACTTTCCAGAAAGATCAAAGCACAGGGTGTCAAGATGGTGCTGTCTGGTGAAGGTTCTGACGAGATTTTCGGTGGATATCTGTACTTTGCTCAAGCTCCTTCTGCCACTGAGTTCCACGCTGAATGTGTGCAACGTGTTAAGAACTTGCACTTTGCCGACTGTTTGAGAGCCAACAAGTCTACTATGGCTTGGGGTTTGGAGGCCCGTGTGCCATTCTTGGACAAGGAGTTCTTGGATGTGTGCATGAACATCGACCCACAAGAAAAGATGATCAAGCCATCTGAGGGCCGTATCGAGAAATACATTTTGAGAAAGGCTTTCGACACTTCCGACGAGCCCGACGTGAAGCCATACTTGCCAGAAGAGATTTTGTGGAGACAAAAGGAACAGTTTTCTGACGGTGTGGGCTACTCCTGGATCGACGGTTTGAAAGACACCGCAGAGGCAACCATTTCTGACGAGCAGTTCAAACAACCCAAGGCCGAATGGGGTGACGACATCCCTACCACCAAGGAAGCCTACTGGTACAGACTCAAGTTCGATGCTCTTTTCCCCAAGACTGCTGCTGCGACCGTCATGAGATGGATTCCAAAGGCTGACTGGGGCTGTGCCGAGGATCCATCCGGAAGATTTGCCAAGATCCACGACCAGCACGTTGACAAATAGGCTGTTGGAAGGGCATTAGAGACCCGGGACAGATGTAAATAAAGAAGGTTATAGACGTTCCTCACGAGAAAAGAAGAGAGAGAGCAAGACCAAACCAAAACAAACCTACCACTACTACTTGTTGTCGCATACATGATTCATTATCATTATTATTATTACTAGCATTAGACACCTATTTACAGTTTAATTCTATCAGTTGAAGCGTATTGTGATGATGAAGGGGTCCTGGTCCTGCAAAGTTTCGTCTTCGAAATGAACCCTGTGACGCCTTCTGTCTGAAGACCTGTCTGAAGACCTTCTTGGAGACCTTCTTGGAGAGCTTGTTGGCGTGTTCTGTCGCAGCGAATTCTGCGACGTTGTATCTTCTGTTGTTGTATACACTGACGTCGTTGTCGTCGTTGATGACATGGGACAAGTAGTAGTAGTAGTACGTGGCATATGCCTTTGTACGACTGTATCGCGCCGTGTGACGACAGTGTGTTTTCCGCCGCTGGTTTTTTCTAAGTTGTGGAAGGACCCTTCGGATGTGGGCGACGAGCGCAAATTACGCCGTGGGTGTATTTGGACGAGTTTTCCCGACATTTTCACCACGTTGAACGCTTCGTTCATGTAGCGCCAGGTTTTGTCGAGGGCGGTTTTGGGACTCAAGGCCATATGGGGACTCATATCGAATGTCATTTTTGGCTAATGCTGATGAGTTTGAGACCCGTTTGGATGGTATATTTTTTCGTCTAGCTTATAGTCGGACGGAGCTGTATGGGAATGGAATGCCGGAGACGGGACGCCGGAGAGGGTCCGCGACAGAGAAAATAAAGAGAGAGAGAGATCGTGTTGCACGAAAAAACAAATTTATACACCACTCACACTGTGAAATTCGAATTCGAATCTGTATTGTATGACACGAGAAGGAAGATTCACAGGCGAAGCCAGAATATAAGTGCAGTGTGAATTGCCAATCTTAGATGAGTGTTGTAGCCGTTGATGTTGATGATTTACGCACGCCTGGAAGATTAGAAACTCTTAGCAATTGCTTAAGTTTCCACTGTCCAATGTCGGAGTGGCACACGATTCTAATGTACTGATTCTAAGGTAGCTTTCGTCTTTCGTCAATGTATGTATATATATACAGGTTTATAGGACTTTTTCCACAAAAGGGTTCATGAAAGCTCATCCTGCTAGCTATTATATACCATAACTCGCTGTGTTGACAGCGGATATGAGCGTACCAGGGTCCGTTACACATAGCAGGCTACCACCACGCTCAGCGGTGTACTTGACAAATACGCTGTTCCGTGGAACATTACGCGATGTCACAGCACGAAGGAGATTGAACGGATATACGAAGCGCAGCCGTGGATGGGGACAACATCCAATTACGTGGAAAATGATACGGAGCGGCTGCGTAAATGAGGTTTCTGTGAGTGTGTGTGTGATGGTGCATACTATATGGAAAGATTTGTAAGACTAGGGAAGTGGGATTTAGAGTGCTTAGTTATATGCAAGAAGATATGTGGGAGGGTTGCCTTGCGACTATTTTCGCTGTTTTCTTGCAGACGGGCAAAAAATATGGGAAGAAAAGGAAAGAGAAGTAGGGATTCACGGGGGGTCACGTGAAGTAAAGAAAAGAAAAGAAAAGTAGCAGTCATGTTCAACGGGTTGATCTGGATCACAAATTTGAGTATCCGGATACCTACAAGTGCATCCCAATTGGGTCGTAACTATATACGGATTGGATCCTTGATTGGATCACTCATTTATTGTTTTGAATCCCAGAGTGGATCCTAAATTGTGAAAATCAGGTACTTTTCGGATACTTAGCTCCTGACTAAATGATCCCAACTTTTTTCCAGAAGTCACTTACCCGGACGTCAATTGGGATCCACTATGACTGTCTCTGCCTGGCAGCTGCAAATCATTTTGACGCAAAAGTGACACCGGGGGTTGATTTATTTGGGCGTGCCAAAAAAAAAAAGGACACAAGCGGGTGTGTGTGGCCAGGGGAAGATGGGGTAGTTAAGCCAAAAAACATTAATAACGTTGTGACAGACTAGACCTTGTGTTATCCCGGGTGGGTACATCCCGGTTTTTATTGGGAGTTTTAAAAAATACAATACTGAGATACGAAGCTCTACCCATCTACGTACATAGTGATAGTATCATGCGATAACCAATATCACGTGACGAACCTGTTTCCAAATCTCTCGAATTCCAACTGCACATCACTTTGGCACAACAGTAACATTCGGCAATCAAATTAATTATCTTGCCAGCTAGCTAACTACTCGTCTTTCAAAAGAGACCAGTGGTAACCAAACCATCCATAGTGCTTCCAAAGAAGATACTACGCCGAGATAGCCGTCGTGGGTACGCGTGCGTTCTTCTTTTTTTAACAAGTAGTGCGAGTGGTGAGCGGCAAACGTTGTTATCGCGACGCGTTCCGAACAAGTAATGGTCCAGAAAAGCTGGCTCCACGTTTAGTATACATATGATGAATGGAATGCAGAACCAACGCCCTAGAACATGCCAATCCGAAATCAAAAACTTACAATGGATTTCAACCTATGTTCGTGGTCAGAGAGCCGCCATCTTGTTTTGTTCCCAGTTTTGTGGTCGGCTAAAAACGTCGGCGGCTAATTTGTCTCGCTCTACACGACCCTACCAAAATTGCTAAGAGAACTTCCAAAACTGTCACCAATCCACCTCAGGAAAGAGAGAGAGAGACACACACACACACACATAAGCGGGCGCTAATTTTCGTGGTCCATATTTGCCTCTGTTCGAAAGCGAAAAGGCATACACTCCCGAGTGGAGCCCTCATTCGTAAAAAACAGCCTCTCAGCGCTACACGACGCAATGCCTGAAAGAAACGGTTTGATACAAAATTTTTGGAAAGCCACAAACTGAGCGAGGGGCATAATGGTGCCGAGTGGAAAAACCCTATCATTTTTGCCAACAAACATTTGTTCAAGATTATTCACCACTTCGCGCAGCATTCCATTTCATGCTCCCAAAAAGTTTGAGCTTTTCAGTTTGAGGCATAGCATTGTGACAAGACGTCCCGAACATTCTAGTCGGTAGTGCGTCAAAAATCAAGGTTTCTCTTTTTCGAGTCAAACACATGCCAAGACTGAATGGAATTATTACGAGTTATCTATATCCACGTTAAAGCGGTCCGAACTACAGTGTGCGGTGAAGCTACTTACACCAGTCTCAACTCTTCCATGTGCACCTCATCTTTTCCCACCGGAATCCTGTCAAACCAATATTCATGTTAAGGCCACTTTTAACTCTTGTGGATGCACTAACCTGAATGGAGTCCAAGACAATTCTACGCATGCTATCCAAAACTACTACAAGATCAATCGTCAACAATCACTCCAGCCTAACGCTGCCAGAGTAGGTGAGTTCAGTTCGGGTTGAATACCTAGTTCGTGCACACGTACATCTTTTTCGGGCAAGACGACTGTGGATCTAGTAACAACTCTGTTATCAATTGAAAAAACGAAGGATGCAGTTGTAAACTCTGGCACCAGAACCAACAAGTATATGGAACCACCAAACTCGAGAATGGTGTCCAGAAAGCCCAGAGCCAGAAGCTCAATTTCGGATGCCCTTACCATATCGTTGGGACTCAATTCGCAGGTTAGCAGTGACAGTGATAGCGCTGCGTTTTCTCGGGCTAATCCGCTGAGTCAAAGCTTGGCAAACTCCTCGAACCAATACTACGGGCGTTCATTCGTGGGCACACTGTCTCCGACACCGCATCTTCCTAAAAATCGTCTTCCTAGCAACGAGCTGTCGAAATCAGAGCAAACACAGTCGATACACAAGTCAGTTAATCTACATCGACAAACAGCAGAGCTCTCGAATGATTTTGAGGCTTCCTTTGAGTTTGAAGATCATTTAGAGCCAACGCGTGAACTGGTCGGCTCCTTCAAGAATTCCGAGGACCCTTCATCGGGCATGGCAGTAATGACCCCGGTCAATAGTCCGACCGATATGATTGTCCCCACCGAGACGCCTCCGACTTCTGAACTTCTGATGTCTCTGCAGTCAGGCCGAGATGTGGAGTATGGTTCAATCAACGGACCTGACAACCAGTACGTCTCCCTACGTTCTCCAGGAGACTCAAATTTCCCTGCCGCCACGATGGACCCCAACGCCCCAACGCTAGACAAAATAAGCTTTACGCTACAACAAATGGTCAAGTATGTTCCCTCAGTCATTCTGGGGCTTTTGCTAAACATTTTGGATGCTTTGTCCTACGGTATGATTATCTTCCCCATAACTGAGCCCCTGTTTGTACACATGGGTCCTCCTGGTATGTCTATGTTCTACGTTTCCTGCATCATTTCGCAAGTCATATACTCATGTGGCTTTTCGGCGTTCGGAAACTCCATAGGCAGCGAAATGATCGAAATTACTCCATTTTACCATGCTATGGCTGCTTCGATAACAAGTGGTCTACCAGACCAGCCTGATCAAGTCATCTCGACCACAATTGTATGCTATGCCTTGAGTGCTATAATGACTGGTTTGGTGTTTTTCTCGCTCGGAAAGTTGCGACTAGGTAAAATAGTTGGCTTCTTCCCGAGACATATTCTGATTGGCTGCATAGGTGGTGTGGGTTACTTTCTTGTCGCTACTGGGTTCGAAGTAACGACTAGAGGAGCCAAAGGCGAAACTGCTCTGGAGTTCTTGAAAGGACTTTTCGCTGATTTCGAGACGTTTGGAAAGTGGAGTCTGCCGCTTGCAATGGCTGCTTTACTTGTGATTATTCAACATATGTTCGAAAATTCACTAGTGCTGCCATCATTCTACATTGCGTCTTTATTCTTGTTCCACTTCGTCGTCGCACTGATTCCGAACTTATCTTTGGACATGTTGAGAGAAGGTGGTTGGATTTTTTCCTCCACAGAGTCCACAGAGCAATGGTACGGGTTTTACAAACTTTACAATTTCAAATTAGTGCAATGGCCGTTGATATTCAAAGAGATACCAACTATGTTGGCTCTAACTTTTTTTGGGATTTTACACGTCCCGATCAATGTACCTGCTCTTGCGATGTCCGTTGGTATGGATAAGATCGACGTTGACAGAGAATTGATTGCTCACGGCTACTCTAATTTCTTTTCTGGTTTAATGGGCTCTGTGCAAAACTATTTGGTCTACACAAATAGTGTTCTTTTCATAAGAGCAGGTGCTGATAGCTCACTGGCAGGCTTGATGTTGGCAGCGGCAACTTTTGGCGTCATGATGGCCGGGCCTGTGATCATTTCATTCATTCCCATCTGTATCGTGGGCTCATTGATCTTCCTCTTGGGTTATGAACTAATCAAAGAGGCCTTGTATGACACATGGTCGAAGCTGAATAGATTCGAGTACGCCACGGTTGTCGTAATTATTCTGACTATGGGGATGTTTGACTTCGTGTTAGGAATCATTGTGGGGATTCTTATAGCATGTTTCTCCTTTTTGGTCGATAGCGCAAAACTGCAGACAATAAATGGTGAATTCAACGGACAGGTGGCGCGTAGCACTGTCCGTCGAGATTTCATTCAAACTCAATTCTTGAATAAGATTGGAGAACAGATTCACGTCTTGAAATTACAGAACCTCTTATTTTTCGGAACAATTTTGTCCATTGAGGAGAGAATTGACAAGCTCTTGGAGATAAGTGACAACGATGCCTCCAAACAGCGTATCAAATTCCTCATTCTTGATTTCAAGAACATCAATGCTGACAATATGGACTATTCCGCTGCGGAAGGTTTCAATCGCATCAAAAGATTCACCTCTTCGAAACGTATCAACCTGATTATTTCCTCTATCAAAACCAGCGATAGGATCTATAATGCGTTCAACAAGGTCGGGCTTCTAGATGGTGTGGAACTTTTTAGTGACCTCAACAGCGCTTTGGAATGGTGCGAAAACAAACTTTTGCTTCAATTTAAGGAGCTGCGTTCGAAAAACACTGTAAAGGCCGAGAAAAAGCGCGACAGAGCTATGAGTAAAGCATTGTTGCCGCTCAACACACCTCGCAACACCCAATTCGTTTCAGTCGCCCAAAAGCTTTTGACAGACGAACAAGCAATGCCCTCGTTCAAGCAGAGTTTTTGCGAGAAACAACCCGTGCTTCCTCTTTTATTTGCATCGTTGCAGAAATATCGTCCGCAGATATTGTCATCCAGCAAAAAAGTGAAAGAGGCAGAGGAAAAGTTGTGGTCTGGATTGGGAAACTATTTCGTGAAAAGAAGGCTTGCGGCGCAAACGTTTCTACCTCACAAGGATAATATATTTGCTGTCCTCGAAAGCGGGATGGTCAAAGTAACCTATAATCTTCGTCAGGGCCAACTTTACGAAATTATCTCGGGGAAAACATGTTATGGTAGAATCAGCTCTCAAAACACGGGCGGATATCCAGTGTCGTCCGTGGAGGTGACTATGGAGACTGACTGTGTCATATGGGTAATTGATGAGGCGGGCCTTGCCAAACTCAGGAACGAAAATTTGAACCTCTACACTGAACTTCTACTGGTAACACTGTGTATCAATCAAGATCGTTTGAAGGAGCTTTTGGGTTACTGCCTGGTGAGTAGTTAAGGCTTTCGGACATGGCTCACCGTATTATACCGCGCTCAAAACATAGTCACGTGCTCTTCCCCATTCTCTGATCAGAAAATTATTCGAAGCGTATGCTGATGCCAAGGCCAAATTAAAGATGTGCAATCTGGAAATCAGGTATCGGCTAAACCCGGTTCTTTACGTTTTACAATTCATCTTTGTTCATTGTACTTCTCCTAAGAAAACTGCACTTCTCTTGGCTTCGTGAAGATAGAAACTCATCTTTACTGAAATTCCTCTACTAAGTTTCGGCTAAACTTCTAGGTAAAGGCCAGAAGGGACTAAAAAAGCGCGGGTGAGACAAAACATCTTCTGGGAGTGTTTTGAAGTTTGTATAAGACCCAGCGTGGTATGAAGGATACGGAAAGGCACAGTTGAGCTATCGGAGAGCACATTCATAATTTTGCGGAAAACTTTGAAGATCACAGCACATGCGGGCTGCCGGCAACAAGGAAGAGGACGAACTGGCTAGTTCAGAGCTCGAACTTTCGTCGCTTTCTTCGTCCGATTCCTTCGAACCTAAGGCCTTCGAAGGCAATCCAGTTGAGATTAAGCGGCCACCGGTCAGTAAGCTACCATCGGAAGCATCCAGGGACTTTGCATCGGAGAAGAGCAGCGTGACGCTCAGAGATGGTCCGGAAACACACGAACAGGGCTCCTTTTCGTCTTCTTCGTCACTGCCTGATGTGGATAAAGTTGTGACACACAACGTGAAAGAGGGACTTTCCGAAAATGTCGAATCGCTCGAGGAACAGGGTTTGGATCTAAGAAAAAAGGCCAAGCCTGATATCAATAGCCCTGTTGCATTATCTTCGAACACTGAGTTTCCAGAGGAGTACAATCTGGAAACTCAAACGGGGCTGGTAAAAGCTGTTACGTTACAGCAACTGAACAGACTCGACAGCCGAACATCAGCGCGAAGCGGCCAGTCGCAGAAAAAATCGCTTAAATCTTCTATAGCGTCTTTGGAGCTTCCTGATGCTACTAGCGTTAAAAGCCGTACTGATAGTGGATTGGATTCTGAGAAGCTGCGCAAGGCTGTTGAGAAGAACCAAAAACAGATCGAAAAGTACCAAGAGCGCAAAAAGAAGGGTGGAGTCAAAGGCTTTATAGCCAAAATTTTCAGCTGATCATACCATTCATCAAATGTCAGCTTTCGAAGAAGAGGAAAGAGGCTATTTGACCTCGACGCTACTTGAATCTTGTTGAAATACACAAGATCAATAGCTAGGATTTTTTAATACACTTTAATTTTGCATACTACAGTTACTTGATATTTGACGTCGCGCTTTTGTTCATGACAGCATGACGAAGCTTTCTTTCGTAAATGTTAGTTGCACTTGTTGACCGAGAGAACTCTACATGGAAGCGTTGGTGCAAAATAGAGATTCAACCGTGAAAAGTAGACACAGCCAACAGGATAAGTAAGTAGATTCAAGGGTAGTGCACTCCAAAGTAAGCGAGCAAATAACTGAAGGCCCGGTCAGCAAGAAATCTCGAGATCATAAATGACATTTTAGACGCTTAAACATGATCTAAATGCTCGAGAAACTAACTTAAAATGACAAAGACGCAGAGAGACTGATCATGATTCGGCGCTGGCTTTGGCCAGTGTGATGGCATCACACATGTCCGAAATATTCTCTAACAACAATTTCTGCATGTCTCCGCACGAAGGCATGCTCTAAGGTGGGAGATATGTCAATCTCCAGCATTTCAGAGTCGCCATTTTCTTCAAAAAACTGGATCAAGTCCTTGCGAGTTTGTTGACTTACCCAATGATCGTTCGCGCTAAAAAGGAACCAGATCTTGACGTTTCGAGCCCGGCAAAACTCCAAAAAAGTCCGCTGAAATTCCCAATCAGACCTTATCACTCGCATTTCTTCAGTTGCCAATCCCAGTGCTTGCTTGACAAATCTAGAGTTTGTAACGAGAGTTTTGGTTGCCAATGCCATGTCAGATCGGGAATCAACTCCCATAGTAGTAGACAGAAGAAGAGATGTCAATGATGTTGGCAGCATCTTTTCAAACAAAAGCCAGGAGAATCCAGCGACTATCTTATGAAAACTGGGAACCCACTCCGTTACTCTTGTAAGTTTTCGTCCCTTCTCACTGTCGTGAATGTCTATCAGCGTGGGAGTGAGTAGACCGATTCGAACGACAGTTCCCGTTAGATCATTGCAAAGAGCCACTTTTTGAGTGAAATATGCCCCAACGGAGTGACCCATGATGATCAATGGTCTGCCAACCCTGGAATACCTGTTTATAACTTTCACACTGTGATCAATCTGTTCTTGCAAGGAGTAGACAGGACATTCAACTGAGTCACAGGAGTTCATTCCTGCGTGGGAAAGCCCCAGAATCTCCCAGTCGGGGTTGTTGTTGTGAATCTGTAGCAAGAAGGGTTCGTAAAATTCTATCAACCCAGGGTTTCCAGGAATGAAGACAAACAGCGGCGAGCTGCCATCTTTTTTAATGCTGTTTAAATGAAGAATGGAACTCGGTAAGATCCCAGGAGGGCTCTTTTCTATTGGCATTGTAGTGAGAAGTGTAGTGAGAACTTTTACTTATGAAAAGTGAGCCTGTCTTGAAGGTTCACTTGCCCAACAAACATTCGTTAATTGATCATTTCTTCGAGCAAAGTTGCGAACGATGAACCACTGATTGAATAGCCGCTTCACTTTGACCGTTCACAGTCCGAAAGTCACAGAAGGATCAAAAACATTATTTTTATGTACTGATACTTACCATTATTACAGTTCCAATTGCTCAACAGTGTATGCTGCAAGACTGTTCTCTGTTGAGTCGTATGCTTCTCCCTGGTAAGGATTTGTGATGATCTTAAGGTTCTTGTCTTCCAACAGATAGAACAGTTCCACATTTTGCTTCACTACGTTCAATTGGCGGTCGATGTAGGATGAAAGCTTGCCAAGAGTGTTCTCTGTGAGAGCAAATAGACCGACAGTGTCCAGAATTAGACCCAGCAGCTGAAACAAACGAGACTTGTTTTTGATTCTGTCGTCGTCCGTATTTTCGTCCATCACAAAGTCGATGAAGTTATTTACGTCGACTTTACTCTTGGTCTTGATCGATTCTTTGATTGCGTCTTTGTTGAAGTCTTGTAGAATGCGTAACGAAAGATCCAAACAGAGTTCGTCATTGATCACCGTGAAAAGCTCCTGCACAAGATCATCCAGCGGGAGATTTGGGCAAGTGACGATTGCTTGTTTGAACAGTCGTGGATGGTCCTTGAGTTTTTGAAGAATCCCAGGCGTATGCGATTTTGGAAAAAGTGGATGCGTCAGAAGGTATGGTAAGGCTTTGGGGTACTCCGAGTCGAAGTTTTTGTAAATGACAGAAACTGCATCGCGCAGAAAGTCTTGGTCATTGATGAAGCGATCCGAATCCGTGTAATATTCCTTCTGAATCCTCAGTTTTTTGAAAAAAGAAGCGTCAAACTTCTCGACGCTGCTCTTGGCCTTTTGCAGATCTTTTAAAATCTGATCATAATTGTATTCGTGGGTTTCGGCACCACCCACATCATCTATCAGTGGCTGTACATGCCTGTCAGAAGAAGCACGTATTGAGAAACCCTTACCTAGCGAGTCCTTGAGAGTACCTGTTCCCACATCAATATTGATTATGTCCAATGAGCTTGTGGAGTTTGCACCTTGCTTGATCGACACTCCGATAGCTATGGTTTCGTTGTTGACATCAGAATCTCCCGGAATCACTGCCGTGCCAAGAAGTTGGAAAGTCTTCAAGTGTGCCAGTTCTCTGTGGCTCAAAATGGCATTGTGCAGCAAATCGAGCAAAAAAATACGGTTATCCGATGTTAGCAGAGCTCTATTTTTCGAAATTGGTTTGAAAGATGTCTCGGCCCCGTCTTTCAAAAATGGCACCGAAATTGTATGGATGTGTTGGAAATAGGGCAAGCTGTAAACGTCTATGCTTGTACCGCGCAATCGATAAACGTTACCGAACTCGTAAAAGACCTTGGAATCCTTCAGAGCAAAATTCTCAAGAATGATAGCGCTCAGCTCTTTGACGGGTGATGTCAAATTGGAGCCCACTTTCAAGAGTTTGAAAGACGTTTTTTCACCTTCCAGGTCTCCCAATAGGAAAACGAAATTTTCGTTGTTCTCGTTGGTGAAATGCTGCACGAACTGCACGTTCTTGTCGGACGAGTCGTACGAATACTGGAGTCTCAGTGACAGATCGTAAAAGTGCACTAGTCCACTTCGAAGCACCACCATAACGGCTCTTATGGATTGTAGAACTTTGACGCTCATTACACGGTCTGCCACGGTGATTTTATTACTGGTATGCGTTTCTCCAAAATGCGAATCTGTGGCTGGTGCCGACGACGTGGGCTTTTCCACGCAGTGGATAGTGAAAACCTTGTTAGCTTGCAAAGCATAGCACCATACCTCGGTTCCTGCCGTAGACTCTGCAACGTCACAAGCGGTTACCGTGCTGATCGATGAGATGGGCAAACTGTAAACCATCTTAGGAGTGGGGTTAACAACAAATTGCGAGATTGCAGATCCCGATATCCCTACTGTGATGTAATTCGTCGACGGCACCAAATTGTCCGCTACCGGTAGCAGATTGGCCTGCGAAGAATAATTGTTTAGCGATGCAATCTTGGGAAGAACCGCAAGCCTAAACGGCTGTGATAGAGATGCCATTATGCTCTGTGCTATCGGTTTATGCTTCTTATGCCTTCAAGTTTCTTCAAGTTTCTTCTAGCACTCAGCTCATCGCATCTCATCGCATCACTTCGAATTCCTATAGGATTCTTAAATATCTAAAATTTTTCAAAGATCACCAGATTGATCACTTGAAACGGAACATCGAATTCAAGACTCTCTAAATTGTAAAATGACTTTATTTTAAAGAGATGAGCTTCAAAATAGCATCGCTTCGATCGGAAAAGTCCAGCTTTTCTTAAGTCTTTGAAGCTTGCATTTGTAGTTGGTCTAGCCATATCACGCGCAAGCCCATGGATGTCGACAAATATGCGTTGAGACTGAAAAATTTGAAACGAAAACGGGTGAGTTTGGCGGTAAAGAACCGTAAAGAAGTGAACCGGGAGGATGAGCTGAGTCAAAAGTCTCAAAAGCCCGCTGTATATAGTTTGAATGAGGACAAAAACTCGGATGGGAAAGGCGAGAGTGGCAGAGAAAAAGGTGATGCCCACGATCGTCGATGGGATTACAGTATGCGAGATTATGAGCAGTGGGACGACCGAGAAAATAGGAAGAAAAGGACAGATTTCGGCCAGTACAGAGATCTGGCCAAGGCTACGTACGATAAAGAAGTTCAACGAATCGCCCACAGGTTTGATGACCACCATAGCAGCAACAAGGTTGGGAAACAGACCCGCAATTTCAACAGCAAAGGTAAAATTGTAATCGAGGACAATCTGCAGTTGGTGAGCGACCTAGCAGAAAGCTTGGAAAAAGACGCCAACCAGCGATACGCCAAGACGCAGAAAAAACTGGAACGCCGGAACGGTACTGAGACCTCCTCGTCTACCGGATTTGTGAATGAGAAAAACAAGCAGTTCAATGAGAAGCTGGATCGTCAAGCAAAGAGATTAGAACAGCTCGAAGAAGCACAGGAGCAGGGACAGGGGTGATGGCGTTTTTGACCTAAGACGCATCTGTTTCGAGCTCGTTCAACTGCTCGAGACTACCCTCCAGCTCTTTGACGCACTGTCTGTGGTACAAGAGTTGGAAGTTGTGGAATAATTTGACCAGATTGATTAGCTCAGCACTGTCGGTGATTTCACCCATGACCTCTACGGCTTCGGTTGTATTCGATACAAACTCGTCCTCTAATTTTTCCAGCAACTTATGTTCGGAGCTCTCAGTTTTAGCAGAGGTCGACTCCGGCTTGCTCTCGTCATGCTCCGCAGAGTCTTCGTTTGGCGCAACAGCCGCATCAGATCCTTTCTCTTTACGACCAGCAATCTGTTGTTCTTTCAGCTTGACCTCGTAGCGCATGGTGTCGAACTTGAGTCGGGACTCTTCGACTTTTTTGCGCAGGATGCGACCATTTTTGAACTTGGTATCCACCAAATTGGAAAGTTTGGAGTTGAACTCTTTGGCCATCAATGAATCCATTTCGGCTTTCCCTTGATCCATTTTGTGCTCGCAATCAGCCCAAGCTTCAAACAACTTGATCGACCGAGAGATATCTTGATCTTCTTCTTCTTCCTCATCATTCTCTTGTGGTGCTGAAGCTCGTTTTTCCTCTTCTTTCAGGCCTTTCAACACTTCACCGGAGTCTCTAGCTGCCTTTGATATGGCCTGTGCCAAAGAGGTCGTTGCCAGCGCGTCTGCTTCTCCGATTGGTTCCGGTTTGGTCTCTTTCCGGTTAGAAGAGTTTACAAATGAGAACAAACCGTCCTTGTTTGATGACCACCAATCCGAAATGCTTTCGCTCAGGTTAGGTGGGTAATCGTAGCCCTCAACTTCAAAAGTTTGAGTAACTAGCAGCATCCTTCTACACACTCTCTCCAACGAATCACATTTTTTCTCCAGAAATTGGTACTGGGGTGGAAGCTTGCTTATGTCTTCTATAGTACCCAAAGTTTCTTGAAGATGATGTTTTCTAGCCTTCAAAGACAACATAGCTTGAGGATCATCCAATTGAATGTTAGAGATAGCGTTGCTCAAGGTATCTTGAGTCTTATGAGCAGCATTACTGATACTATCAGTGAACTTGTTGAGTGAGAAACTACTGAAATAACTCGACATCTTAATGCTGATTTGGATAACAACTTGGTAGATACGAGAATTATCAACAATCCTTTATTGTAAGATGGGTTTTCATCAACTTTAAGAAAGTATACCCTTCGTTCGAAGGAATCAAGGGCTTTCGCGGGTAGGGTATATATATAGACTCATGCAGTGATAGAATTTACAATTACTTACTTACTTATTCCTTGTAAGCGGTGTGGTACGACTAATTAAACAAAATGTCAATGATTATCCCTCGTAAGGGTAGGAACTCAAGGGCGTGGTGTGTATTTTTAACTTTTTCTTAAGTTTTCAGTCAATCCTCTGGAGAGCAGAATATTCACCTCTCGACTTCGTGACAATGGTTGCGCTCAAGCGCGACTCTGGCTGGGACTGACATAGGCGATCTCCTTTTCAGTGAAATATTCAAACAGTGAGCTGCCCTTAGTAGCGTTATTAGCTGGGTTGCGCAAAACATCCGACGCAGACTTGGTCTCGCCCAAAGCCTTGTTTTTTGCACTGGTTTCTGCTGCGTTTTTCTGTTGAACAGTCTCTGCAGCATCCAGAGCTTGAGCTCTGCTGTGAGATTTGGCTTTCATCTCCTCCTCTAAAGCCTTGTCAGCAAGAAGCAGTTCTTCTTGCTCCTTGATAGCTTGTTCGCCGCGAAGTCTCACGTTCTCTCTTTCGTGCAATGCACTCTGATCGCGCTGGTCTTGCAAATTTTGTTCCAAGCGCGCTGCCTCGACGTTTGCCGCTTCTAATTGGCGCTGATGCTCCTGTTGGGCTTCTAGCGCTTGCTGGTTGGCCTCTTCCAGCTGACGCTGATGCTCTTGTTGCATCACTAAGACTTGTTCGTCATGCTCGTCACGTTGTTTTTGCAAGCGCTCCTCTTCCGCGCGTTTGCGAGCCTCTTCTTCTTGTCTTAGTTTTTCTTTGCGTTCTTCATTTTCCTCTTCCAAGCGTTTGGCAACAACCGCAAATTCAGCCTCCTGGTTTGCTGTCTCTTGCTTGATAACGGTCAAGGAAGATAGATGATCCGAAATTTTAGCGTCGATGGCGTTGAGCTGAGGCAAGTATTCCTTATTTTCAATGCTGCTTAACACGGCAACGTTCGATGCATGCAGATCATCATGTTCTTTTGCCTCGGCCACCAATGCTTCCTTGCGTTCTGTCAAAGCGTCAATAGAATTCTGGACTTCAGTTTGCTGGGCATTCAACTCTTGGATAGCTGCCAATTTGGCATCTAATTGCGAAGTGAGTTCGTCCACACGCGATTGATGAACCTGGAAATCGGCATCGAACTCGGCCTTTTGCTTCTCCAGTTCGGCGATTTCTTGCTTTCTTTCTTCTTGATTAGCTTCGACTGATTCTTTTTCTTCAACCTTAGAAGCCTTGATGTTTTCTGTTTCCTTGAAAATCTGGTTCTTCTCGTTACTGTGTTCAGCGTTAGATTCGATCATTTTAGTGGTCAAAACGGTGTCGCTCAACTTGATCTTTTCGGTAGTTTCCTTTCTGAGCTGGTCCATTTTGGCCTCGAGTTCAGAAATCTGGGATCTCAAAGAGGTCAAATTAGTTTCGTATTCCTGGGCCTTGGCATCGTATTTGGCATCACTTTCCTTTGTGTAATTTGCCATTTCTTGCTTGTGGACAGCTTCTTCGTATTCCAAAGTATCGTAAAGAGCTTTTGACATGTAACCCTTGTCGAATCTGACGATAAACTCGGGATCATTAGGCGAAGCTACGGGCTGTCCACGTTTGTCGGACCTGGTCCACAGAGCAAAGATCCCGGTTGCGAAAGGCACGCGTGGCGCTTCTTTGATATCCTTTGGCTTCGTTAAACCTGCAGTTGTAGTGGGTTCATTATCTGCGTCTGCAGGTGCAGATTCAGATCCGGCTGATACGGAAGAAGCTTTGGTAACGGGCTTTGTCTCCTCCGCCGCTGCGACAGCAGGGGCTTCACTCTCTGGTTCTTCTGTAGCGATTACTGCAGCGGTGGTGTCCACACCTTCTGGCACTTCTGCACCCAGCAATTCCGAGTCGTTGACAATGGGCTCTGAAAGTGGTTCAGCGAGTGGTTCGGAAACCGGCTCAGCAAGTGGTTCGGAAACCGGCTCAGTTACCGGCTCAGTTACGGGCTCCGAAAGCTCATTTGTATCTTCCGGAACCTTGTTTTGAGCAATTGCCGCCGACGATTCCACTTCTGTTGCCTCTGCTTCTACACCAGCTGGGCTCTCCTTCGCTGCAACGTCCTGCTCAGCGTCTTGCGAAACCACCGGCTCGGCCACGGGCTCGGCCACGGTCTCGACCACAGGCTCTGGAACGTCCGATTGTTCGTCTTGCTCCTGTTTTTTGTCCGCTTCTCGCACGTCCACAATCTTTTGCGAGTCCTTCTTGTACTGCAACGAGTCTTCTTTGCGTTCCAATTTGTCCAGTTTGCGACGTTGACGTTCATCGTTTCCTTGCAGATACCGGGGTACTGCAATATCCTTAGCACGCTTCCTTGCAGCATCGATCACTTTGTACCCAAGGTCCGGTCCCGTGACCCCTGGTCCCGAAGCGGAAACCGTGGGAAATTTCTGAGATTTACGTTTTTGGGCCGCTGCCAGTTGTTGCGAGTTTCTAAAGGGTGAATTGTACTTGGAATTGGCGGCGGCGTCTTGTTCTGCAGCAGTGGTCTCGCTACGAGACACTACTTTTTGTAGAAACCCCTTTTGGACCGGCTCCGGTTCGTTATTGAGATATTGTCCGAATGGATCGTGTTCGGTCTTTTTCTTGAACATGGTGTTGTTGGACGGGATGGTAATGTGACAGAAAACGGTACTCAGCACTGTGATGGGCGCGTTGAGTCCTTATATCTTGTCTTTCAGCGGTTGTTGAGATGTATCCTCTTTACGTTAAACAAACGGATCCCTGAATATATGATTGGGAGTCGATGATGATGTCCTTTGGTATTTATATAGGGGACCCAGTAATTTTATTGCTAGCGGGAGGGGAAGAGAGAGGGGGGGTTACCCGGAGGGGAGGGGGAGATAGCCAGCATACCCGGGGGAAAGCGCTTTAAGGAAAAGGAGTTGAATGCTGGAAGTTGGAGAAAGGATGGGGAGATCTGTGTGGGTGGATGTGTGAGTGAGTGAACGAATGTGTGTGTGTATGGAGAGAAAAATACTGGAGTGTGATGAAATTCGTATATAGTGATACAAATCCTAAAATTGTAGAGTCACGTGACCGCAAAAACTAATACAGAAACTGTTTTTAGTGGATGAAACTGCTATGATGTATGTGTGTGTGTATATATGCGGCTCAAGATACTAACGATGTCATTGAAATTCCATGTGTTCTGTTTCCTCTATCTCCTTTTTACAAATAGAGAGAGAGAGAGAGAGAGAGAGGCCCTTGTTGATCCCGGAAAGAAAGAAAATTACGTATCCCATTCGTACACAGTGATTTACACTCTTTACAACCCACCACCTCTTTTTCTTCCTTCTAAACGCTCCCTCCCTGCCCTCTGCTCTCCTCCTATACGCACGCCTACCTACCCTGCGTAAGACACAGCTTGAACCACTCCAAAAACCTCTTCAACCACGACCCTGCTCCCTTAGCATTCGGGCTCCGGCTTTCGCTCACGCCTTCGCTCTCGAGCCGCAGGTTCCATGCACAGAATCACGCTTCCATAATGACGTGGTGGAATCCCGCAGCTGCTGCAAAGAACACAGAACCCCCCAGGAAGAACAGAAAACCACGCAGAGCCAAAGATTGCTGCTTTTTTTGATGACATAAGCGTGCGTAGGGCGCAAGGTCGGACAGAGCAAATAAAGGGGGAGAAGAACTACATCCAAGACCTGTAGCCTGAGACCCAAACCAAAGTGTTTGTCGAAAACAGAGGACAGGACATCTAGTTGTTGTAGTAGTTGCAGTAGTCTTACGTGTCTTTCCTGTCTTACCTTTCTTCCTTCCACCTCTCCCTTACCTCTCTCATAGCCGTGGGTCTCCGTGTCCCGCGGGAAAACAACCGCTACTCTTCCACCTGCAAGAACAAGACAGGAAACGCAAAACAAAACAAAACAAAAACACCCACACACCCAAATCACTATCCACGAGCGCAAAATAAATGGCAATTGTTTTCTTGTTGCAGTTTCGTACATAGTTATCTCTCTCTAACTCTTTTCCTATATCCCGGTATACACACATACACACACACACACACACACACACACACACTCACTCACAACACTACCGAATATCTTTATCTTCATCCAACACTGTTCTATAAAACAACCCAAAAAATCGCCACCTTGTGACTCAGGCGTCCCATTCATCCCACTTCTGAGCCCATCGCCCATAATCGTCTTTGCCCCCCCTCTCCCCTTCACTACCCGCCGCTCTCTGAGCCATCTCCACTACAAAAACCTAACCCCCCCCCCTTCTTTTCCCAAAAAAGTCCCGTGCTCATTTCTTGTTCATCTTTCGTTTCTTTTTTGCTCTTCTTCTTTTTTTTTCTTTGCTTTGTGTTGTTTACGTTTCGGTAAATTTCCCGAAACGGAGTTCTTGCTATTTGGCCTTAATTTTACAGCTCAAAGGGCCGGGACGACGACCCTAAAAATTATATAAATACAGGCGGCTTCCGGGCCCCAGGAGCACTATAAAAGGAGGTGAAGAAAGGGGGAATTACTCTTTTCTGCTTGGTAATAGAAATTGACGAATTTACATTAGTATTTTTTTTTTGAGTCTTGACACTGACTTGAAGTGAAGCTAAGTGAAGCTAAGTGAAGCTAATTAAAGTGACTGTTTTCTAGGTCTCATCTGTTCGAATTTCGCTACCACACCCACAAATACCAAATACCAATGCTTTCCATTCTAGACAACTCGCTACGTGTAGCCAACTTCGTGTTCTTGACCATCGTGCTAGGTCTCACAGCCTCGTTGGCCGCCACCCGCGACAACACCAACCCACAGGTCAACTTTGCCATTTTCACGGCCGCCTTCGGACTCTTGTTCGACACCTTCTACGCCATCCCAGCCAACTTTTTGTCCGCCCTAGCATGGCCCATCCTGATCGCCGTGTTTGACTTTTTGAACTTTGTCTTCACCTTCGCGGCCGCCACCGCTCTAGCTGTGGCCATCAGAGCCCACTCCTGCACCAACTCGGACTACCTTTACTCAAACGCCGTCACCCAGGGCTCTACCGACCGTTGTCGTAAGGCCCAGGCTTCCGTGGCGTTCCTATACTTTGCGTTCTTCGTGTTCCTCACCAAGCTCGCCTTGTCCTTGACCAACGTCTTCACCGCCGGTGTTTTCGGCTCTTCGTCCACCCGCAGAGCTAACGTGGGTGTTCCAACCATCTCCCAGGTTTAAATGAGAAAATAAAGAAGAACAAAAAGCTAAAAAAGGTTGGGTTTCTTCATCCTTTCAAAATTTTACTCAAACCCTCCTCACGACGCTGAGAGAGCCAGGTCACTTACACATACCTGGAAAGTGAAGAGAATCTGTGATTTCTACTTCCCTTACCTCTTTCCGCCTATTTTTTTTTTCTCATCTCCTAATCCCGGTCCTTCCTCCATCACTGTAACATTAATCCACAGAGAGATGAGTATACGCGCATGCACACTGATTCAAAACTCTCAATTCTCAAAAAAACTATATGGAACAAATCCAAAAAAAAACACACACAGCAATATCAATTGATTGATTTGGATCAAAAAAATAATGGGACTTTTCCCCCATTTAGGGATCTCTATCTTTCGTTGTCCACTCTTTGTCTGTTGTCTGGGAGAACCATTCACACGGTCTTTTCACCTTTTTCATATCCTTAACTTCTAACACTTCGGAAACCCCGCAGCATTATGTTATACCCCACCCTTTCGTTCTTTTTCAATCGCGCATATTTGGAATTTCCAAGTAACTGTTGATCCACTATCCCTCTTTACATGAAGGACCTAAATAAATATAATGCCTAATGCGATATTATACTTTCTCACTTTTGTTGCGTGCATACAATGATTTGAAGGATATTTAAATATATACAAGTGGAATCTGAAAAGAGTTGGAGCATCCTAGTTTTATTTAGCGACCCAGGTTCAAAAGCAAAGAGTTTGGGCTTTGAGCATCACTACTGCCATGGTTGCTGGGCAAGTACGTTACGTTTGAAGAAGTGGCCAATGTTTTGGCGATCTCCTTAGAGGCTTCGATTCTTCTAATCAACAGTAGCCCATCACCTGCCTTTGCAAGTGCTTTCGAGATGTAGTCTGCAGATTCGGCTTCACCTTCAGCACGAATAACAGAAGCCTGTCTCTGCTGTTCTGCCAATTCCACCACGAAACGAGCTCTTTCTGCATCCTGCTGCGCAATTTGTTTCAATTCGACGGCCTTGGTGAAGTCACGACCAAACGTCATGTGCGTTATCGACACGTCTTCCAGCTTAATGTTAAATTCGTTGGCTCTCAAGGACAACTCCTGACGGATTCGCTGCGAAACTGTTTCTCTTTGCGTGATCAGTTCTGCAGCATCGAACTGTGCAACAATAGCCTTTAGCACTTCGTTACCAATCGATGGGAGCACTCTTTCATCGTAATCCAAACCCAAGTTTTGGTAAATGAAGGGTAATTTCATAACATCTGGTCTGTGCAACACACGCAACGTTAAAGACACCATTTGCAAATCTTTGGTACCGGTGTTGGTGGCAATGTTCTTGGGCTTTGTTCTCACATCATAAAGCACCGCTTTTTGAAGCCATGGAATCAAAAAATGGGTTCCTTCCCCCACAACCTGTTGTTGAACACCGCTCAGTCTGTCGAAGATAACTGCTCTAGAACCACCTTTCACATCGTAGATAGAGTATTGAAGACCGGATGCAACGAGACCCAGCGGAATGGCGATTCTCGCCAAGGAATCAGCTATTCTGGACATTTGTAAACTAAGTGTGTCAGTCTGCCTCACTCGAAGTAAGAGTTAGTTTAGTTGATAGGTGACAATAGGTGAGTTCAAGATTGAAGGTTGATATTTTAATTTGGTCTCCCTAATGGCATCCTACGTTCGTATAAGATGATGTCGTTTTGAGATGAGCTAGAGAGTCTATATACAGCGAGCGATGACGGTGTATTCAGAACGGAATGATAGTGCGAAACTATGACGATAAGAGGGAGTTTCTGATTGCTGTTTGATCATGTTCATTTGTGTTTCTTAAGAGCTGAGTGATTTTGAAATTTTGAAATTTTGAAATTGACTTTTCTTGGACTGGAAAAGCCGATTAGGGAACATGAAGAAGAGGACGTCAATTGGGTGCGCTTTTAAGTTGATTGATTGACTTGGTATCTTATAATCCATGCTTTGAGGACCATAGAAAGTGAATGAGAGTGGAAGACAAAATCACGTGACCTTGATTCAAATATGCAGGTTCGCTCTGGTAAGTTGCTGCTCTGGTTTCAACTTGCATTCGGATTTACTTGACCAGCGGGACATCGATAAATAATCGCACTAGTATCATGTTGGTTTTTTTTTTCAGACCTCTTTTTTCTATCCATTTACGTGCGAAGTAAAAAGTCATGCACATAACATTAGAAAACCAAGTCGAAAATTTTGTTTCCCACTAGTAGCTCGTCACATTAAGACCGTGGCAAAATCCTGATCAAAAACCCGTCAAAAAGACAAACAAGTCGCTTGCATAGTTATTTCGACATCCCAAGTCAAGGTCACGTGACCATACAGTACCAATAAAGTTCTCAGATGCTACTCGTATCCTGCCATAAGCAAGCCTGACAAGTTATCGCACATTCTGGTGAAACTGAAGCACCTTGTCTCGGGTTCTCTTTCGTTCGGTTTCTCTCCCGCTTCAGGTATCTAAAACCCTTTAATCTCTCTACACTATAATCTTAATTTCCCACTTTTAATGATGGTTCTATATGTCTCTGACGAAAGACAAACTTGTAGATATGAAAGTGTCAAGATAAACATCTTTGCGTTCTGCTCTTTCGCATTCGGCCAATGTCGAGGCTGGTAAAAGAATACGCTAAAGTAGCACAAACTCTTAAAAATGATCCTACTTTCTCTCACATCCTTGCATTAGCTCCGGTATCCGACGATGATCTCAAAATCTGGGAAGCTACGTTGAAGGGACCGCCTCAAACGGCCTATGAGGGACATGTATTCACTTTACAAATCGAAATTGATGATCGCTACCCTTTGAAGCCACCCAAAATTCGATTTAATCCGCGAACGGCGCCTCATTGCAACGTGGACTACGACTCCGGTCGCATATGCCTTGATTTGCTCGAAACCGACCACTGGAGTCCCGCATGGGACCTACTACACTGTGTACATGCTATTTGGCTACTACTTGCCAGTCCAGAGCCAGACTCGCCCCTGGATATCGACCTGGCTTGTTTGGTCCGAGCCAAAGACTACGCTGCGCACGATGCACTTGTGCAGTATTATTTGAATGGTGGTTCAAGAGGTCCTGCTAAGAGGTCTTGAGAGTCGAAGATCTGGCCAAGTTTACGGATCAATGTCTATGTTTTGTTGTTTATCTCACAGACCTGTTGTAAATTTTCCAAACCTGATGAGATGAGATGAGATGAGATGAGATAGATGAATTCCATTCTTATTCCTAAACCTTTAACAACTATTGACTCAAGACAAAAAATCACAACAAAACAGACTTCAAATGGCCAAAAGGATCTCGTGGAAAGATGTGGGAGCATCCAAGGGCCCAACATTATTGTCGCCCGCTTTTGTGACCAGCAGCAGCAGTGAAGACTTGGTATTTACGTCCGGATGCGTGGGAACAGATCCTAAGACGCAAGAACTTCCTGAAAGTTTGGAGGAGCAAACAAGAAACGCACTACTAAATTTGAAAATTGTGTTGGAAAAGAGCGGATCGTCTATGGGCCAGGTGGTCAAGGTTCTGTTATTTGTGGCAGACAGCTCTTATGCGGCCGTTGTCAACCGAGTTTATAGTGAGTTTTTCCCAAACAGTCCAGCTCGTTCCTGTGTGGTGGTTGGATTTCCCAATGAAAGGTTGAAGATGGAACTGGAATGCGTTGCGGTCGCTGAAAAGCGTAGGAGATGGTTCAAGCTTTGAAAACGTGAAAGTGGATTGGTCGAGTCAAATAGGGGCTCAAGAAGTGGAAAAACAGAAAAAGCTTTTGGAAGCAAATGGTGTATATGGACTCGGCGATTGTGTCGAGGCTGTGTTGAGTACCGTCGGGGAAGTTAGAATTGAGTTGAAGATTTTCTCGCAAGACCGCTACGGTTTTGGATCTTTGAAGATATGGTGTGATGACCTTATACCTGTTGCCAAGTCTACTTTTTAGGAAAAAGTCACTGATGCTCACGCAGGTTTGGCTAACGAGAGCTCGTTAAAATCTCTTCGTTTCTCCGTGTCAATTGCGGTCCTATAGAGATGCGGTCAGTCTAATATCATGTCTCCTTAACGGGATCGTTTGGTGTCAAGAGAGTACTATCTAAAATTGTTCCCGTAATGAAACTATCATTTTGCAGTGTCTTGGATACCAATACTATTAGTGATGAGGACAAGTTGAACACTTGACTGTTTGGTGTCATACGATTCGTTAGTGTTTTGCACAAGAAAAGGCCATGCAAGTACCAAAGAGCGTGAAGTTTTAGCTTGTACCAAGACTCCAGCTCTTGTATGCTCTATAACGTTAGATCAAGGTTGAGTGAACAGAAGTGTTACCGTGTTGTTTGCAGAAAAAGAATGCCCATATATATCACTTGAAGAAACATTTCATTACTGATGAGGGTCAACATCCCTAAGTGACTAGAGTCTCTTGATCAAGGCATCTTGTAAACGGGTTAAGGAAGATTATCTTGATGGCTGTCACAGTCACTAAGCAAGCGATCGGCCTGAGGGAAATGATCTGCAGAGAGGTAGAGGTTTAGTGATGATAAGAGAAGGGGCTTTAAGAGAATCGTCAAAGGAAGTTAGACGGCAAATGGTGAACACTACGTAGGGTGAATTGTAAAAAAATCGTGTGACTGAAGACTGGTAGCGCTAGAGTTATTGATATTTGTGATTTTTACAGCCGAGAAGAATTTCGAGTGACAGGGACAAAAATGAACGGCTGTTTGAATGTTCAAAGGATGCAAATTAAGAGGTGAATGAGTTATCGCTTGAGAAGCCTGCTGAGGAGTTGTTGAATCTTTTTGAGAGTAGCCGAGTGAAAGGTTAAACTGTGAGCGTCGAAATGCTCTTTGAAAGCTAAGCAACGCCTTGAAAAGGTGTTGGGAGTTTGGGCCTTGTGCCAGTGGGACGAAGCCTGAGTGTAGGACTTCTTTTGTTGATCTAGGCGAGGAGAGAGGAGAGGACCACGTGACCGACGTGATTCATTTCCGCTATAAGAGAGTTACATATGGAAAGTTTTATCCATCGGTATTTTGTGAATGTGAATAATATGTGAGTGTTAGTGTGCTTGATACTTAGCTTTTCTTTTGAAAGTCTGTAGCGGGTTGGTTTGTGAAGGTTTGAAAGGTGAGAGTATTTTAGAGCGATGCAGACATGTGTAGGAGATCACGCGAAACGGTGAAAATAAAAACAATTAACGAGGGATGCTTTCAAAACCCATTCCGTATATAGTTACGATCCATTTGGAATACAATTTTAGGTATCTGAGTACTCAATCTGTGATCCAGTTAGGTGTGACAGTTTTCCATCACGTTTCACGAAACAAGCGATAACTCACACCTACGATATTTCACACAATTACACGGTTTGACAACCTTAAAGACCAAAGAACTTCGGCGGGAAATACGAAAGAGTTGCTCTGTGGGTTTCCCTAGTGCTTTACGATTCGTGTAATTCAAATTTCAAACAATTCTAACCGTCAGAAAACAAAGAAAATCAATGACACAACAAAACACAGATCACGTGACCACCGTCCCTTCCCTCCTTTCACAACTTGTGCCACAGTCTTTTACGATTTCCCGTCTTTACACGCGCTCTGTCCTTCCTGACGTCTCGTGTCGCTTTCGTTGTTATTCTCCTCTCTTTCCCTCTCCTTGTGATTATCTGTATATAGAGACCTGCTGTATATAAAAATGTATTTCCCTATCCATGGCGAGACCATCAATTCCCATCCTTTTCCCGTAGATAGCGCATAAACTGGTCCACCTGTCTCGAAAGCTTATCGGAACGCCGAAATTTGGCGCCCGTCACGGAACTCCGAGCCTTTGCGGGCTCGGCGGCTACCGCTCCTTTTCGGCGTTCCTGCAACTGCGGCCGTTCGAACGGCCGCAGTCCGTACACCACGCTTCGCGGAACACCGAGCCATTCCGGATAGTACTCCATTGCCATGCTGGAGCTACTCCACAGATTATACGGCAGCAGCCGGGACGGAATGCGGGGATTGTGCCGCCATGTGCCGTTCACGCCGCCGGAGCCGATACCGCCAGACCCGGAAACTCCCGCCATGCTACTGGCTGATATCCCTGACGAAGATGACAAAAACTCCGACGGCGTTTTTCGCAGCTTGCCCGCCGGCACGTTCCGATGGCCAAGCGGGGTTTCCCGAACCGGGTACACAACAGGTCGATAACCACTGTACAGAATATCACAAGTGAGTTCTGAGTGTTCTAAGTACTGTGTGGTTGGTACTTTTGGCAAGCTTCTGAAGAGCTCAGAGCTCTTCCGTTTCAGCATTCGCGATGCTTCCAATGAGAATTTACGTTTCTGTGCCATTGCGAGAGGAGAGAACACAGGTGATTGTGATTGTGAAGAGTGTTGGAAAGTTCAAAGTGGGTGGTTGAAATTAGTAGTAGTAGTGGTAATAGTGCTAGAAGTGATGATAGTATGAGTTGTAATGTTGTTGTATGTGTACGTGCTTTATTAATGGAGGATGTGCACCCCTACAGGTTCTATTAAATATATTATCGGTAATATCGGTCTTCATGTCATCCTACACGAGTGAGTTCAATTTAGCCGTTTTCCCCGATATCTTTTGAACCCAGACACCCACACCCAGACACCCAGACACAAACACCCACACATCCAAGGTACCACGTGAAAGTCATGCTTACCATTCTTGGTTTTCTTTTTTCTGCTACACACGTGAACTATTGTAGCACTCTGGACGAAGACAATCCATACCTCTAAAGATCACCTTTAAAGATCATCACCACCACCATCACCAGCACCACCATCCAGTTCAAGATCAAGATCTCGAGTGTGTTGCAACTACCGGCCCCGGCCATATCGAAGAGACCACTCACACCCACGTTTTTGCTGTCCGCCCATCTATCCAATGACCAGTCCCTCGAAGGAATTGCGCTCCGACGACGTCCAGGACGTCCCCATCGCAGACGGTGACGATGAAGAGCTCGACCATGATGGCGAGTACTCTACCGCAGATCAAACCCCTCTCTCGATGACCCCCGTGCCCAGCGCAGGAGCCGCTTCGCAGACAAATTCGAAAGTGAAAAAACCAGAACATAATACGCCTACAAAACAGCAACCCCAGCAGTTGACGAAGATGCCCATGCACTTACTGGAAAAACGTCGACAAGGACGTCTCAAAGCTGCTGAACAGTATGCTCAGAAGATGAAAACCGTGGGGATAGAACGCAGGGATAACAGCGCAATTCATCAAAATGGACTTTTCCGCGCTCTGTCGTTGATTAACCAGAAAAACTACTCTTCTGACTACCTCAAGCGAGACGATCAGATTTTCGCCATGCGTGAACGCAAAGAGCTCAGAAACGCAACTTCGTCCCAGAATAATCCTGAAAACCCGGTGGACGACGACGATCAGGATAGTACAGATGAAGAGGGCGAAAACAATACCATTGTTATACACCCGGGGTCCAGGTCTCTCAAGATTGGGTTTGCTACAGACGTGTTGCCGCAGTCTATTCCCAGCTGCGTTGCCATACCGAGACCCGCAGGCGTGTCTGATGCGCCAGTAGTCTCGACGCCTTTTAATCATGAAGTTTACAATGAGGCAAAAGATAGCATTCAACAAGATTTCAAAGAGAGAATGAGATATTACAAACGCAAGATCATGCCCAATTCCCATGAGGCTGTTGTTAATTTCAACGCTAGGGTCCAGCCTGAAAAAATTCCCGAGCACAACGACCTTCATCGTGTAGAGTGGTTTCAACAGCCCTCCAAAGTCTACTATGGAGAGGAAGCTACTAGGTGCCTGCCCTCAAACTTCATAGTAAGACATCCGTTTTGGAAGGGTAAATTCAACGTGGAATCTCCACAGTATCGATCTTTACAAGAACTGTTGTCTGACGTCTGTGAACTTTTAAAATTTGCTCTGATGCATCCAAAACTAAACATAAAAGAGTCTCAGATTCCAAATTATAAAGTGGTTGTGGTTATACCCGATGCCCACGATAAGGCATATGTCGAGTCATTCATACGGCTTCTGCTAATTGATTTGAAATTTCAAGCTGTGGCCATATTACAGGAATCGCTCGCATCATGCTACGGCGCTGGTATAGGCGACTCTACTTGTGTTGTTGACATCGGTGCTACAACCACTAAAATTGCATGCGTTGACGAGGGTCTCGTTGTCGACAACAGTATTATATCTCTGGATTTTGGCGGAGATGACGTTACACGTTTATTTGCAAAATTTCTCTCAGAGTCCAAATTTCCTTACAGTGACATCGATTTGAACAGTCCTCAAGGTTGGAGTTTGATCGATTCTCTGAAGGAAAAATACGCTACCTTTCAGGACGCAAATGTTACCATTCAACTTTACAACTTCATAAAACGAATTCCCGGAAAGCCTGGTGCCGAAAAGTTTGAATTCAAGGTATTTGACGAAGTTATGACAGCGCCCATGGGCCTATTCTTCCCCGAAATTTTCCCGGTATTAAAAACGCACGAACAACCGGCGAATCAATACGTTTCAAATCAACTACCTCGCTCTAAAGATCTTTTCACTTACAAGGACAATAACACCAAATCGATAAGCCAGCTTTCGTGTCAAAAAGAAACATCCTATTGTGATCTGGGTCGTGATCTTGATATTCTACAGAAACTTTTGAATTTGCCCTCTGAAATTGAGGAATATCAACATGCCACGATAGCAAATCTCAATCCCACTTACACTGCATTGGAAAAAGCCATTATTGAAAGCATAACGAATGCGTGTGTGTGTCTCGATAACAACTATTCCAAGGCGACAAATTTTTATTCAAATATTCTGGTTGTTGGTGGAAGTTCAAAGTTTCCGAGTTTGGATTTCATCTTAACTGATCGAATCAACATTTGGCGACCACGACTGCTCAGTATAAGCACTTTACCTGCCTTTCATGATAAAATCGCAAAGCAGGTGAAGGAGTTTGAACAAACGAATAAGTTGGGGGACATCAAAGATCAAGAGGAATTGGCAACACAGAAAAAGAAGCTTGCCAAAAACATCAAAATGGAGCTTCAGTCGTATTGGGAAGGTATTGACGCTCTTGGTGGAAATGAGAGTTTGTTTCCCATAAACGTATTGCCTGCCCCACGAGAAATGGACCCTTCCTTGTTGACTTGGAAGGGCGGCAGCGTATTCGCTCGACTAAAGCTAATTGAGGAACTTTATGTTACAGCAAGCGATTGGGACATACTCGGCAGCAGGATTCTACAATACAAATGCATTTTCGATTATTGATACACACAACTCAAATCTTCAGGTACATCAAGACAATACATGTCTTTGAGCTGCTTGAAGTGGATTGAGGAGTAAGAGGCTAGTAAATCATGCAAAGTTTCAATACAAAAATTTGAATTTTCAATGCACATCCATCATTTATAATACAACGCGATGAGTTATCTTAGCATAATCATAATCGCGCTTAATATCAAAGTCTCATTTTCTTGGAAGATTGTTCTTTTGCATCGTAATTCAGCAATGCCGAAACTCTCGAGGAGCTACCAGTGGGATCATCTCTGCGGGCTGTCGACAGCTCTTGATCAATTGTCGGATTTGACTTTTGTGAAGCCTCTTCCGAAGACTCTTGCTCCGCAGCCTCAGCTGTATGTGGGTTCAAAGGAGACGGTCCTCTTTGAACGAAGTGAGTTCGAGCCACTGCCTGCTGTTGAGATCTGTGCGAAGGCAGCGCCATTTGTGTATACTGTGGCACTTGAGTTCCCAAAGGCGATGTGCGCCCCGTGCCCGGCACTGTCCCATAAGGAAAGTACGGCTTATAAGTCATGGCATTATTCGCACCTCCATTGAATTGCTTCACCCCACCTCTTACCGGTAGCGGATGAACTGGCATCTCCGCAATGGAAGGCGATGCAGGTCTCTTTTCTACAATCTTAGTATCCTGACCATCTGGATTTGACGTCGGCAAGCTCTTTACGTCGTTTTTCGAACAACCGACCGAGCCTAAGGGGATAGAACCTGTAACCTGATGACCCATGTAGTAGTTGTGTTGCTGAGACAAACTAAGTGGTGCACCGTTGGTGACAGCGGCCACGGAGGCATTCATGGGGGCAGGAGCAAGGGGATCCATCAAAACACTCATATGTCTGCTTTTGTTTAACGAAGCCGAATCTTTTCTTTCAAAAGGATTCAGCATTAAGTAGGGCCCCGTAGAACTGTTGACTTTTGTACTGGTCGAGTTAAAGTAATCAGTGGGCGCCCCTCCCGTGCTGGAATAAGAAGTCGGGAAATATTGCGTTTGTTGGTACGCAGTTTGTGAAAGCTGCGAGACAGCCGGCGGCGTAGGCTGTGAACTCCCAAGTTGTGACAAAGCTGGCGAGGAAAAGGAGCTTTTGTTGGGCCCGGTATTTGTGCGATTCGGATAGTGCGCGTTATAAGAGTTCGCAGGTGGGTAGTCTACTGAACTACGAACCGATCCCGAGCTCTGCTGTGAGCCCGAAGACCTTTGTAGCCTGTTCACTGCAGAATTTCGAAGTTTTAGAATTTCGGTCATTAAATTTTCAGAGTTGTGTTGCTGAGCCGATGAGTTTCCCGGCGATACTCCAGTCTCACTTGCAGTCGCTCGATTGGAGACTGGTGTGGTCGCTCTTTTCGTATTTTCTGAATTGCCAATGATGTGATGCGAGGAGACGAGGTTATTCACTAGATCTAACAATTTCACCATATCCATGTTTGTGTTACGCAGGTCATCAACTGCATATTCAAATTGAGTTTGGGTTACGATTTCTGGCCTTATTAGTTGTGAAATTGCGGACTGTGCGTAATCACTGACTTTATTACCGATTAGTGGTCTTTCTTGCGATTGTATATGTGACTGGGATGAAGTAAGACCCTGGGCCTGGGGTATCATTCCGTTCTGTGGCGCTTGAGAAGCAGGTGGCACCATTCTATAGTTTTGTTGATGCTGCTGAGACTGAGTAGGTCCAAAATAATCCACTGAAGGGTAAAGGAGACCTGTGGTATTAGGAGTCGAGGATGGCATAGCCGTGGCAGGAAAAGGATAGCCATGTGCTACATCAGCGGTTGATGCCGATCTATGAATTCCTGGAAGCTGTTCCGACCACTGTTCGGTCGCCGCAGCAGTGAAGTCCAGGGGCGTTGATATTGTGCTGTTCGAATTTTTTCGATTTGAGGCATGCTGTCGCGAGGATCTTCGTTTGATAGATTTGAGGCTTTCAAAATCACCTCTCCTGAAAGCAGCAGAACTATGCCTGAACTCCCAAATATTGGGACCCGAATTTTGCGTATCGCTAAAAGTGTCAGCTTCCACCCCGGAAGCTTTCATTTGATTAGTCGACGGCGTCGTGGCAGGTGAACTTTCATGTTTCGCGCGCGCAGACTGATGGTTACTCCTATGGTGATCGTTCACCTTATGAAAACCATACATGTTCAGTTGACGGACAAAACTTGCAATATTAGCGTGTTTGAAATATGTTGCCAGAGCTTTACTGAACCGTTCAGTTGGATGAATCAGAAAAGACGTTTCTGATGGTGCCCACCAAATCAACTCTCGCATGGCTGGATCTTCGAGCATATTGTATAGTTTTTGGATGAACGCTGTGTTCGCAACTCCATTAGGATTTGCTGTGCTAGGAGCGGCGATCGGAGCGGTCTTGTCATGCTCCTGCTCAGCCCCTAATCCATGATCTCCAGACATCGACCTTCTTACTGGGTCCGAAAATGCTATACTTTGGGGCTTTTCATCTGGCATTATCGAGAAACTAAGTGCAATGTGTTTGACACACAGACAGATTAAAGACTCTCGTTTTTATTTTTTTTTTCCGACCTATGTGTCTTTCTGCCTTCCCGTTGCGCGCACCCTTGACTATTCTACCCCACAAGCGAAAAGGGTCAAACGCTCAGTTGCTTCGACGTGTAGTACTGATCTTGGTACCCAGCAACAATTACGAGTCTCGCTTGAAGGCTATTCTCGATCGATTCTCCTGCGAAATTTCAGGTGACAACCAAAGTTGCAACTATCAGCATCATTCAATATTAAATTTCTGTTACCAATATAACGAAAAAACATCCAGATTTCGAAATTTCTTAGTATACCGTAATTTTCACGCTTGCACTGAGTTAGTTGAAGAGATCCTTTTCTCTTGCATATTCGGCACATGCCGCCAAAGCTAATGCTAGAGATGGTACCATCCCATATATTTCGATTTCCTGAAAAAAAAAGTGCACATCTCCGTTTGTCGAAGATGCATGCAGATCCGACCATGCCTGATCGTTGTAACTACAGGGGACGATTTTAGAACTGCGTTGGCCAAGTTTTCACTGACGGGAAAAACTATGGCGGATGCTCAATTAGTACCACTGTGGTTAGCGCCAGGCGTTTTGGCGCCTTAAGTTTTTATTTTCTATTGCTGTGTGCATGCATGCATGAGCAAGTCCTCACAAGTGTTGAACTGACTTGAATGTTCGGGAAAATAAGGTCGCGTCTCAGTGCTGAACCGTGCACTCTCGTGGACTCTCGTGCGCTTCGTCGACATGTCATACACGTATTTGTGTAGGTTTCTCGCGCCCATTGCTACGACGTTGACTAAGATTTGCCGAACAGAGCCGAGGCGCGGTAGCACTGCCACGTCTCATGGCCTGCAGGAATGTAGAGTGTAGCTGTGGACGATTTTCTGTGAGGCTCGGTAGAGATCGCCGCCATGTGACGTTCCAATAAAGTAAAATATTTTTCCCTTTTCGGGCGATTCATGTTTTGAAATGTCTTTGTAAGACGACATGCAGTAAGAAAACGAGAGCAGCGTACTCACGCGAGTCTGAACCAAACGCTTAGTTTACATAACGAGTGCAGGTAAGTTAGAGCCGCCCGTCCTTTCAATATCTGTTCACGGGACATGGCCACCTGACTTTTTTGCAGCTTGACTTTTTCAACAAGGTGTTCGATGGCTTTCAAGAAGCGAAATATACTCAGAAACGGCTTTCAATCCAAAAACATGTCACAGACAAACAAATGTGTCTGGCAGCAGAACCGGTGTGTACTATAACCGCTTTTGATTGCTAGTCTTTTTTGATTGCTGTATCGTCCCGTTTCCTCTCTTGCTTATATTTTTTTTTGGGAATCAAGGATGTCGGCGGCTAATTGCAAAACATTATGTTGCTTGGCTTCCCCGACTACAATGTCCAAATAAGCGATCCTTCTTTGAAAAAGGCCAGTCTAACAGAGCTTGTGAAGATGGTGATACCCAAAAAAAAGACACGTACTGATGTGTTTTCTTTTTGTGTTGGCCTCTTTCAACCAACACAAAATATATAGCTATTATCGGATCACTTTTCTTACAGTTTTGAAGTTTCAATACGAGCCCAACTGGCTTAAAACTATAGCTTTTCCCTCCTCACCTCTCCAAAAACCGTTTTTGCCATGTTGTGTGAATTGAAAGGAAGAGTCCTTTCTCGAAATTTCCCTTCCCTTTTATACTCGTTTTCAGAAGAAAAAAGGGGTTTAATTAGACGCCCCCAGCTTTAAATATATATATCCTCAAAGATACAATGCTATTCATAGTTACAACCATGCTATTTTGGTTGAAACACTTGTTCAGCTCGAAGCAGTACTGAGGCATGAATGGGCATGTTAATGAGCCATATGATAATAGCCGCCGAGATTTGTTTATTCCAGTCCTGTTTAATAGTTCCTGGTCCTATGATTGGGTGCACTAGCTCTATCCTTTTCGATGGCCAGAAAAAGAAGCCAGTAAACGGTGCCGTTCTGGGTTTACAAGTGATTGGGGATGGCATTATACATACTGTTCGAAAGCTTGGAAAGCAGATCGAAAAGCAAACGGATACCCTCAACTGCACGTTAAAGATAACTAACATTTAATTCAAAACAAATACGCGTTCCTGTGTTGAATACCAACTCTTGACACCGCACTTACAAGCAGACTTCAAATTCTCTGCTGAACCCTATCTCACGAAGAAGATATGTTCGACTGAACCACATTCACAAAGCAATCACTTTGCAAGATCAAAACCAAGGATTTGCTGAAAGAAGAACCATAAAAAAAGTAGCCTTTGGTAGCCTGTTCCAGAGGTACTACTATTCTCTGTTTTATTCACTCGTTTCAATTTAGACGAACTACGGGCTTTACCTTAGCAATTCTGCCGTTTTCTGCTTCTCATTAACACCCCCACTGCAACTGAAAGCTACATAAGATACTGTCGAGCGCCTAAACTTCAAAACGTCGCTAGATGTCCCAACAGCATAGGTAAAATGGTCACTTTCGTCTGTACTCACCACCATGTGATGTGAGTACCTAAAGATTCTAACGCATGGTAGAATAGCAGGGCCTTAAAGTACCAAGGTTACCTTTACATCTGTTGTATACCAACGATTCATTCACCGAGCCATAAGGCATCAACAGCCATGTCAGAAGCGTCCATCAAATCACTTTTGGAGATGGGAATTACCCGTGAAGTTGCGATAGAGGCATTGACCAAAACAAACGGGAACGTCGAGGCTTCCGTCAACTACATATTTTCAGGTGAGTTGCCACAGCAAGATTCTCAAATGGATACTGTGGAGCTTCGAAACCATCCCCAGGCGGAAGAGTTTGTGGAAAATGCGAGACCGTTTACGGACAACTCCAGTCCATCAGAAAATGAATCCAACAACTGGCCCGATCCTGCACCAGAATATGAGGATCACCATCTAGTACAGAATATCAAAAATGATCCTCAAGATCCACTTGTTGTGCAAATGGGGACTGGAAACTCTATTATGGAAAATTATTTTGCCCTCTTCGCCCTTGCCATTGGCTATGGATTTCCTCACAAATTCTTGAAGCCGGATTTCAAAGATTTGTCCTACAACAAGGAATGGTACGAGGGACAGGCGCTAAAACCCAAGTACAGACTCAAGTTCGAATCCAATGAAGCGGTAGCTATAGTTCCACAGGAAGAGCTCACTGGTCAGGATAGTTTGGTTTTGCAACCAGAACTTCTGTGGCAGTTTCAAAAAATGCTCGCTGTTCAAAACTCTACAGGTAGTCAAAGGAAATTCGTAAGCTCAAAAATCTTTACGAAAAGTTTAGAGCCACAAGTCGTGGAAAAATTGAATCAATGCGATCACTTACACGACGTACTACCTTCTTTCATCAAAAACCTAGCTTGTGACGCAGAGTTGTGCCCCGGATCTTCATCTATAAAAGAGCTTCTCATTTCGACGGCCTACTACAAACCGCCCGCAGAAACAGACATGGTAGAAACTTTGGTTTCGCTTCTGCATTTTATGCCCGAAGAATACGAATCCAATCTTTACAAAATGTTTAATGCGCTTTTATTCCCCGAGGACGACTCCGGTTCTGATTCCGAGGACAGTCAAAACTCTTTAGGTAAACTCGCTCCCTTAATTACTATTGTTTTCGATGAGATGGATGAAAGTACAGAGAGCGCAGATCTCGCCAATGGCGTAGAAGTTCCACTCGAGTTTTATCCTCAAATTTATACGGAGAAGGCCAAGAAACTCCTCATCAACGAAATACTTGTTAAATCTCGGGAGCTTGAAGCGGAAGCCCATCAGACTTTGCGCACTTTGAGCGATTTGAAAAGCTTCCAGGGAAAGCAAATTCATTCCTTCCTAAACAGTGCACTCGATTTTATTTCTAGAGATTCCAAACTGAACGCACAGCAGCCCGAAATTTCCGAACTTGTATCCACCCTCGAAAAGCTCAAAGAGGATTTAGGCGTTCGCAAGAGCAGTTGCATAACCGAGTACAGAAACTTAACGCACAAAATCAATAATGACTACAATTTGTCCCATCCGGAATCGGGCATCATTGAGGCAGCTAAGGCTGTTGGGATAGTTGATGAGCCATATCTCTTAACATCTGCTGTGATATCGCCTGCTAACTACTTTTTGAAACATAGGACAGGACAATGGCATCACGTCCTGACCAGAAGTCTTACTGGTGATGTAGATGTCATTCCAGTGACACCCAAGGATGTGCTATACACCATACGTCTGCACACACGGGCCGCTTCTGAAACACCGCTCATGTTCACCTATTTCAAGGGCGGCGCAACCGACAGCGATGAAATTATACAAGAGACTTTGCTGAAGAACACAGGCTGTACGAAATTTGCTGCAGAAGATAGAAGAATTCTAGACGAATCAACGAGCATTACTAACCATGTTGAATTGATCGATCTATAAAGTTAAAAATCGAACCCGGCCTATATGTCAAGCTTTTTGAACAACAGGGTGATAGTTTGTTTCATGACTTCAAATTTTACCAGAAAGGATTCTGTGTTCTACATTTTTCTGGTCCAGGCACACTTCAACTACCTGCGGAAAAAGAAATTAGTATGCGACCACCACTTGTTTTGCTTTCTTGCATGATTTCACGCGCCTTAAGTAGGGCTCCTTGTCGACCATGCCAAGACAACTTTCAGAGGTTCAAGAACATGAGCATGAGACCATCAAAAGTCTAAAATTTATTGAGTGCCATCATTGCTATAAGGACAGCACAGTATCGTTGGGTCATCCAAGGACAATTGTCTTAAGCCTTCGCTGAGGCGAGGTATACAGTAAAACAATGAGGGAACTTTTTATTTTGGCTATTGTAAAACCACGCGAAGCAAGATAAAACTCAGGTTTCCCTCAAATCTAGAAGTCTCCAGGGAGCGGGCAGGTCGGTTGTTTTATTGCCAGGGTTTGCAACGTGTAAACAATCGACCTAGGCTTGAAGACCATGGAAGATTGCTGATGTAGGACCAAAGATCATGACTGGGCTATGAGTTGCATTTCAGCCCGTATCTGATAGGTATGCGAGTTTTGCTTCACAGAAGACATAAGAGTTGTTCTTGGTGTTTATCAGCTTTTGAATACTATGACTTTGAACTCTGAGCCGTTTTTACAGCTTCTTGTGGTGAACCGCTTTGTAAATGCGCGGCCAATCTGGAAAAGCTGTGTTTGTGGGCTTGCTGCGAGGGATGTAGGCTGACCGAAGTTTGATAGCCACCAGGTTACGGTAATACTTGCACAACGCGGAATTCTTCTCACACAAGGTGTCAATCAAAGACCATTTCCATAACAAGATCTGTGCATACAGTGGCTGTCGTGATAAGATGTTCTGTTTTAAAGACTCTATGATGGGGCACGTTGTAGGCCCGGTTTTGGAACAAAAGGTCCCCCAGCTTCTTGTTTTGATTGTTAATCTCGGTGATCATTTAGCGCGTCCGATCATTGAGCGGGCACTATCCGGGCTTCTCAAGAAGTTACAATGCCAGAAACGTCTGACGTCGTCAGCCGAGTTGGATCAAGTCTTCCCGTTCTTTTTTTCTTTTGGAAGGTGATTTTTTGGAACCTATTGAAGGGCTTCTGTGGGCATGCTGAGGTTTGATAAAAGGATCAGCTCATTTGCGTTCATCGTTTGCCGACGCTTCTACACTTGGGGGAGGAATGAAATAACAAAGTAACGATTAAATTTGGATTTCAAAAGTGCTCGTAGGGTTTATTTCATGAAAGCTGCGAGGAGCAAGGTGGGCGTAATTCTCGCAATGCCACTAAGTTCGTTCAAGTGTTCACACCATAAGCCTCAATCTCGGAGTAACATATTGCTAGCCCATGCCAAATTGTTAGATCTTTCAACTGTATGGCTACACTGGGCAATGGTACGCAATTTGTGGTAGGATGATGAATGGGGCGGCTAGGGCGAGGGCTTTTGAATGCTGTTGAGCTTAAGGAACTCAATTTTTCAAGAACCATGATAGCGTTTTGCTGTTGAGTTCAAACAAGCACCGGACGACTTTCACTGCCTGAAAGCGATAATTCGACTGATCTAAATTTCATGCTTTTTCAAGCGTCAAGGTAAACCACGGCATTAAAGCGCTGATTTCAACCATCCCATGAGCTAATACTTTTGTAATTGGGTGGAGAATGGATACACTTATAGAGACGTTTGATAGGTTTATATCGTTTATAACTCGGAGTAATCTACTTCATTACAATCTGCTGATGACGGCTTCGGCAAAAGAAGAGGTAGTGGCGCTACCTCCCAAATCAGCAGTTCTGTTTTCTGGGCTGGACGCAATAGCAGTGAAAACAGCCTTTTCAATCTTCTCAGCGATTTCGGTCAAACCCATGTGGTTCAACATCATAACAGAGGACAATAGCAAAGCAGTTGGGTTCGCCTTGTTTTGGCCAGCAATGTCGGGAGCAGAACCGTGAACGGCTTCAAAGATAGAGACTTGGTGACCAATGTTAGCGGAAGGAGTCAAACCCAAGGAGCCAGCACTTAGACCGGAGTTCAAGTCAGACAAGATGTCACCATACAAGTTAGGGCAAACAACAACCACGTCCTTGTACTTAGATGGGTCAGTAACGACGTTCAAGACAGTCTTGTCTAGAATCTCGGTTTGAAGTTCGATGTCTGGGTACTCTTTGGCGAGCTCGTTAGCAACGTTGACAAACAAACCGTCTGCTAGTCTTTGGATGGTAGACTTGTGAACAACCATGACCTTTGGTCTTTCGACAGCTCTTGCGTATTCGAAGGCGTATCTGATAACACGCTCAGAAGCATCCTGAGTTATAAGCTTGATGGATTGAACAACACCTGGGGAAACAACGTGTTCGATACCAGAGTATTCACCTTCGGTGTTTTCTCTAATTAGAACCAAGTCAACGTTGTCGTATGCGGTTTTGTAGCCCTCGACGGACTTGGCAGGACGAACGTTGGCGAAAAGGCCGAAAGTCTTACGCAAGGTCAAGTTCAAAGATCTGTGGCCCTTACCAATAGGGGTGGCAAGTGGTCCCTTCAATGCAATCAAGTTCTTGTTGATGGAGTCCTGTGCTGGTTGTGGGATCGTGGTAAGACCGTTGATGAATAGAGGGCTCACATCACAGGTTTCCCACTGGATTGGAGCTTTGGCAGCGACAAAGATGTCTTTGACAGCTTTGGAGATTTCAGGCCCCACACCGTCACCTTCAATGAATGAAACTGTGTATTTGCCGGTAGCTGGGTCTGGCTTACCGGTGTAACGGCCAATAGATGGCTGTTTCTTGGTCGCGAAAAGTCTAACAGAGTTTTTGACAAACTGAGACTTGAACATGGCTTATGGAATGTGCTGTTGAATTTTCAAGGTATTGAAGTGAATTGAAAGAGGAATCTGCGCGATTCGATGAGTTTCAATGGTTTTGACGAAAAAATCAGAGATCAATGCCAAAAAATCGACAATTAGAGGTAAAAGATCCGAATCTTTTCTATGGTAGTTCCCGCCCGATAGAATAGTTTGACTATTTTCGAAAACCTAAGCAAAATGCCGTTTTCTTTGAAATTCGAGACGCCTTTAGCGAAAAATGGGTCAAAGCTCTGAACAACAGGTTCCATGGACTTGGAACTTAATATATTTATATGCTGTTGTTCTCGGAAAACGCAGTCGTGATCTCGAATTGTCTTTCGGATCCGAGCTAGGCCATTGGGATGAGAAAAGCCTGGAGAAGGAAGTTCACGTGAAATGCACGAGATCGAAGCAGAAACGTTTGGTTGGTGATGGACGGTGGACGACGGACAGTAAAGCAAGCCCTGAGAATGGTTGAGGAACATCACAGGGTGCTAGAAGCCTTTCAGGATGTTTTTAGTGTTTTCCTTGTTGACGTTCGGTTTTACCGTCATATTGGTGGATGCTATAGGGTCTGATTTGCTTAAAAGCCAGCTGGGAACTCATCGAAAGTGTCTCAGCTATAAGATTGTTTTGTAGTGAGTTGCAGTGATGCTTGTCTGAAGTTTTAGAGCTCTTGACGGTATACTCGTGATCGGCTTTTCATATAAAAGCAGCCAAACCTTCCATGAGCAGCAAAGAGCTAGAACTCCTGTTGGACTAAGTCGTTTGAAACAATCGAGGCAGTAGAAGAGGCCATATGAGCATTTTTTCTCTTTTGTCCTTGCAAGATTCTGCAAACGTAGACAAAAGCCTTCCCCCGATTGTGAGTAGAACCCTTTCTAACAACAACGAGCATTATATGTCAAAGTAAATCTCGACAGCGGTTATGTGGTTAGTCAACACCACTCAGCTTGGTTCCCAATGTGCTTTTATTCTTGATAAAAGCTCAGAGCTCCTGAAGCCGGTAATTTTTTACCGCCTCACATTTTCCAACATTTATGCCGCCGAGCCTTTCATAACGAGGATCAAGGCTTCTTAGTCCGGCACATCCACTTCTTTAGTAAGCCCAAAGACTTCAAAAGACTTTGGAACACTTAAAGCGTCTTTAAAACTTGTTTGCACCTCCCAGGTCCTTCAAACCTTCTCTCAAATTGATGTTTTCCTTCATTTTCGTACCATCCCTCAAAAAGTACCTAAAAGTACCGTTGAAAAGCCAATTTAATGTGAGCTATCCCATTTTACAGCTTAAGCAGCAACTAGTTCTTGCTTGAAATTACAGGATTGAGTCAAAACCAATCGCTTGACTTTCTCGAATGTGGTTGGTAAAGGTCAAAGTTCCCTAATAGCTTTCTACACGAAGGGTCTATTTTGAAGTCCGCCAAATTAACTTTAATCATGTATCAACAGCAGTATACTTCAAAGCACGTAGAAACCCACCCGTGTCAGTTCTTTTGATGGCTCTTAGAGTGCCCAAACATCTTCACAAATAATGTCGAATATAAACTCTGTCAACCAGAAACTTTTGGGCTCCGAAAACTACCAAAAACTGCGTAATTCAAGCGTTTTGTTGGTAGGAGCAGGAGGAATTGGATGTGAGCTACTTAAGGACTTAGTATTGATGGGATTCGGGGCAATTGATATTGTGGACTTGGATACAATTGATCTCTCAAACTTAAATCGCCAATTTTTGTTCAGACATCGCGATATAAAGCAACCGAAATCAACAACGGCGATCAAAGCGATCGAACATATCAGCAATTCCAAGCTTACTTCTCACACAGCAAACATCATGGATGTAGAAACTTTCCCCCTGAGCTGGTTTGATCAATTTTCCATCATTTTTAATGCTCTCGATAATTTAGAAGCTCGTCGCTACGTCAATCAAATGGCCCAATTTTTGCATAAGCCTTTACTGGAGAGTGGCACTGCAGGATTTGATGGATATATCCAACCTATCATTCCCGGTTCCACTGAATGTTTTGATTGTACCACCAAGGAAACACCCAAAACTTTCCCCGTCTGTACGATCAGGTCCACTCCGTCACAGCCCATTCATTGCATTGTCTGGGCCAAAAACTTTCTCTTTGCGCAGCTTTTTGCATCCAGCGGCTCAACAGTTGGTGATGGTGATCTCGGGACGGATAATCCCGAAGAAATCAAAAGAATACAGCAGGAGACCAACGAGTTGCATGAACTGCAAGAGTACGCGAAGACAGGCGACGAGTCGAAGATCCCTGAGATTATAAAAAAGATATTCGTTCAAGATATCGAAAAACTGCTGGCTATTGAAGAACTATGGAAAACGCGGGAAAAGCCAGTCCCGCTACATGATATAAAAATCGATGGAAACATCAACACTGACTTGAGTTCTGTTTGGACCATACAAGAGCAGTTAAACGCATTTGTGTCCGCAACGCGACGTCTCATGAAGAGGCTTCCTGAGGAAGGACAGATAGAGTTCGATAAGGATGATCCCGACACTCTTGAATTTGTCACGACAGCGGCAAACATACGTGCCTACATTTTCAAATTGCCTCTAAAGTCCCTCTTTGATATTAAGCAGATAGCAGGTAACATCATCCCAGCAATTGCCACCACCAACGCTATCATTTCTGGTCTTTCCGCTCTTGCATCGCTTAGGGTTCTAGATCTCATAAAATGCCAACCAAAGGCAAACCCTCAAGAGTTGAATATGGCATTCACCTCAAAAGCGAGTAACATATCAAGCAACCGCTACATATCGAACCCTCAACTGGCACCTCCCAACCCGAAGTGCCCCGTATGCTCCATAGTGCGTGGAGTGTTACGGATCTCAACGGAAGGATTGGCAAATACGACACTTTCAGAGCTTGTTCAGAAAATTAAAGAAAGATACTCGTATGAAAGCGAAGTGTCTATTTTGGATAAATCAACTCAAAGACTACTTGCAGACTACGATTTTGAAGATTTGCTCCCCAAGTCATTAGCTGAACTCAACCTCAAACATGGTATTATACTCTCAATTTCAGACGAGGGCGATGAGGATAAGGTGCGCTGTACAACGGAATTTTATCTTGACCAAAGTGAAGATGCGCAACTTCAACTTCCGGACATCGAGGTTCCTCTCATTAAAGTCATCACACCAAATGATGAGAATGATGACGCCGAAGGCGCTATAGAAAGTACCGCATCGGGCGAAATCATATTGGATGCACTGGAGGATGAAAATGTAAAGAAGCGGCCTCTGGAAGAAGATCTATCATCTTTACCACCCTCCAAGAAATTGGCCACGACACACGATGACAGCGTTATCATACTGGACTAAAACATAAATCCAAATGGAACCCGATAGTTAATTATTTAGTTACAATACTATTCGCAGAATGCTGCTCTCTCAAGATTACTCTGCTTTTGCAGATCTCGATCGGCTTCGCAGTTTATTTAGCCAAGAGTTTCTTCGATCGGATCTCGACCGATTTCGCGAATCGCTGTCTTCATCGGTGCACAATGCAGAATTATCGGTGTTACTGTTTCTTCTAAATCCGAAAGAGGTACTGATTTCCTCGAGTGATTTATTCATAACTTCCGACAATGGCCGTATGTTTCCGGAGTTGGAACTGTTACCACTCATAGTTCTGGGAGCTACTGGACGAGGTAGAGTCAAGTAATTTTGTTTAGGGACTGACCCTGAGTGTGTACTACCCGGCGAATGAATATCGTCATCTTCGCCCTCTTCTCCCTCCTCTTCGGTGCCGCTGAGCTCTCCAGTATCATTTGAGAGAACCCGGTTTAGCCAAGAAAGTCGCGAACTGCGTCTTCCCGTGATAATGTCAGAAGCATTAAGTGTGTGACTCAGGGACTTACTGTGCGGCCTGCCCTTTGGCATTTGTTTGGGTTTTCCCAGAAAAGAGGGGCTTGGAGGCGTTAGCGCTCGAGAGGGTCCTTCGAGGTGTTTTGTAGTTTGTTCAATAGGCGTTGTGGGTAACGCCTGACTATTTTGTGACTCTTCCAAGCTTTCTGGTTCTGGTGAAATGATGGTTTGTGGTATAGGGATTTTCTGTTGTTTAGGAATAGAAGCCTCCGACAAGGGCTTTGCTGCAACTTTTGAGGTAGAGCGATGATGCTTGAGCAAGTGCGGTAGTAATTTATACGAGTATTCTATCAGAAACTCAACCACAAGTCGGGACAACTCGTACTCCTTGGGGTCCATGTCGTGTTGTGGATGTGATATGATCGATGGTTGGAACACAGCTGCCAAATTACGTGCTGTCATCAAGTTTTGATCGGACTGCTGAGCAAACAAACTGAGTAAGTCTAGCAAATAAATCAGTAGCTGCCGAGCATCTGAGGACAAAACACCAAAAAGACTTTCAAATTCCTTGAGGGCTGCTCTGATATCGCGCGTTAATCGTTTTTTATGTCGGACTGCTTTCATTTTTCGTTTTTCCTCTTCTTCTGGGTCTATGGGATCAGAAACCGAGCCAGTACCTGCTTTGATAGTGGTAGAATTCGTCTCCTCATGTTGACTTCTGGTAGTTCCTTGAGCCAAATGCTTCAAAATTCGAGGCCTGTCTTGCAATGGCTTCCGAAATCTTTCATAGATTGCGAGGGGAACCAGAGGTTCTTCGAGATTGTTTAGGAATCTCCGCAGTACGGAAGCGGCATCGTGCACGGTAAACCCGTCCCAATCGCCCAATTTCGTGCCGTAGCTTGGTGGAGTCGAGAAAATGTACTGCAATTCTTTGACTCGTTTGTTGTTACCAGCAATGCGAAAGATTCCCGAAGTTTGCTGCGCGTTCGCTTTCAGATATGCTCCGCACTTGGCCACAAGGATAGGTATCCGTCCAAAGCTCTCCAGCTCGCTTTGTACTATCACTTCGGCGCTGGCCACGCTTAACGATTGCGATAACGGGACCCCAAACACCTGGCCCATGAACTGGTTGCGGTTCATCAGAAACGAGTCTCGGTACGATCGGAACTCATCGCTTGGGGCTTTGCTATTGAAAGATCGCGAATGTGACATCAGCACAGGCCGCAATTTCGACGACGACGACGCCGACGCCGACGACTCTGCGCTCCCAACTACTGCCAGCGAGTCTGACGACATGCTTTTCGGGTTGATGCGTATCTGTTTCCACCATTGCGTCAAATGGTTTTTCGACGGCGAAGCCTCAGGATTCTTGGCATCCTGCTGCTGCTCTTGCTGCTGCTGCTGCTCCATGCCCGTACCGGCAAGTGTGCGCGTCTCGTTCGAGTGAGTGTGATTGAAGATCGTGTCGGAGGTGTGGGGGAGGTCTCGGCAACACTGGGAGTTAGGTTCCAACTTGACCAAATTGACCAAATCCAACGCCGGGTTCGTAGGGACGGCGGGTTGACGATGTTTTCCTTGAAGTTACGCGTCTGAAAGCTTATGGTGATGAGTTTAAGTTAAGTTCACTATTAAAACTGAAACAATTTGGAAATAATAGTGATATTTTATTATGTAAGCGTTGAATAGAGGAAAAGGTCAGAGCACGTGACCTAAAGGTCACGTGACTGGTTACGTGATCACATGACGAATTTTGGAAGGTAAAGCGGAAGGAAGGTGTGTTCAGTTCATCATTCATGGGTTCAATTGCACGTAGTTGGCTGGGAACACACCCTGGTGTCCGTTGTAGAGTCCTGTCCACCATCCCTCGGTAGAATCGGTACGGTCCACGACTTGTATGACGGCCCCGGCAGGGAAACTTAAGTCGCCTTCTGCCTGGGCTTGGTAATCGTAAAGAGCGGTGACGGTTTCTGCAGCAGGAACAGGTGCCGTGGCGGGCGGTGTGTATGCGGCATAAGAGGCTGGCTGTGGTACGCCTGCAGGTACGTAAGCGGCCTTTTCAACAGGGTAGGCCTGCTGTTGCTGCTGTTGCTGGCCCGTAGCGTACGGAGGCGGATTGTAGCCTCCAGGGGTAGCGAAAGCGGCACCGGGTGCAGTGCCGGCTGGCACGTCGTACTGCGGAGTCTGAGGTGTGACAGGCGACCCGGGACTGGTGGGCGACTGAACGCCGTAACGTTTGCGGGTCATCTCTAGCTTGGCTTTGCCGTAGCCGACTTTGAAACGGGTAATGGTCAACGAGTCCGTCTGCTCTTCGATATTGCCCCTTTTCGCCGTGTACGCCTCCAAAATGTCGGTTTCCAGGTCGAAATATGGGATTTTCATGTCTTGCATGCGGTTGTACAAGCTGTAGAAAATGTTGAGCTGCATGTAGTAGAAGGACACAAACAGCGGCTTAACAAATTCAGCCTCCAGCTCGAACAGCACGGGAAGCTCGTTTTTCAACATGTCGTTGTAGTAGTCGTACTCCTGCTGGGCCACCTCCATTTGCGCCTGAGCCTTGTACAGTTTTTCCTCGTCCTTGGGGGTAGGCTCCTTCTTAGTCTCGTACTTGGTGTAGGTGTTCAGATGGCGATCGAGATCCAATTTCTTGTGGTTTCGCTTGGTGGCCATTTTCCGGATATAGTCGATGACCTTGAGTAGTTCCTGCGATGGTTTAACTATTTTCTCGTCGATAAGCTCCAGGTCTGGCTTTAGCGTCACTTGCAACTCCGCGACCAGCTCTCGGTACTGTTCGCTAGCCTCAATACCTTCTGGATTGTCTTCTGGAATCGTAGCATTGGGATCACTCACTTTCCCACTTATGGGCTTGAATACCTCCTCCATGGCCTTGGCAAACCCTATTTGATGGTTCAGCATGCCATTGACAGCTGTGAAATACCGCTTCGACTCGTCGCTCAGTTTTTTCGTCTCACCTTCCAGCTCTTTGAACCGTCTTTCCGCATCTTCGTAGACTGCATCCTCTGTCTGTTGTCCCATATTGAATTTCTGGCGGAAGTTTTGAGGAGCTCTAGTGACAGCTTTAGTGAACCCTTTGAAACTCATTGTTGATGATTTTGTGTGTAATTTTACGGGCTAAATATGAAGGGGTTCGCAAAGGGTTAAATCCTGGATATTTGAGCGCTTTATATGCCAACCCCTTTCAGTTCTGGTTGATCGATGGTTTAGTTCTTGTAGTTGATGATGATAATTGTTATTTTAATATATTCCGGAAGTAATATATATAGAGTGGTTTTCGTACGAAAGTATAGATGCTCTTTAGTTGTCTTGTAGTGTGGAAAATGGATATCTGGGAATGAATGATTGATAAACTACTAGCCGGTATAACAGTTTTTCTGTTTAGGTAAGTTTGGTGTAGCTATTTTAGTTTACTGAGCGTGTATTTTGTTGTTCCGGGAGAAGAAGGTCACGTGACTTAAACGGTTTGCGATAAGTATCAACTACGGTTTGATGCCAAGGATGTTAAAGCCGCTATGCAAGTGGTGCTTCATGCTCCGCTACGCGCTCCGCATGTCTTTTGCATTAGTTCTTCCTGCAAAAGAGGCCACAAGTGGTTGGGATTAATTGTATATCACTATCAACGTACGAAATGCGAGAAAAGCATGTTATTAGCTGCACCTCCCTGTTTTACGAGTTCCTTTCATTAATTAATCGAACTTATGGCTTGTCAACGAACAGTATTGGTATTCTTTGCAGCGCAACGTCACAACCTATGAATTCAGGCTTATTCAGAGAGTGTCACGTGATGTAGACAAATCGAAAGCGGTTGTTATCAACGAATTTTATCATAAAAAAGCGAGTTTACATTAGGATTAGGCCCCACCCTCACTCAGAAGCAACTAGACGCATATATTGCCAATATGAATTCAATATTCGCACTACTGGCTTTTTATCCCAACAAAGAGAGAAATAACTGAGAATCGTTGTGTACGATAGCAGGGCTTCTACGACGTATTTCAGGCATAATGTGTCTTTCTCTATCCAGCCAACACTTGATGAAAAACATCCTAAGTAAGAGAGAGAATACTTTGTCACAGAGATGCTTCGAGTAGGGTTTTCTGTGATCGCGTCCATTCTCGGGCACGTGACCTTATAACTTTTGCGTAAGGTTTTTTTCAAACGCGATGAGGGATAAAGTTCAGATCCTCGATATGCTGCACTGAGTCAAATGTTTCTATCGACACTACTCATTGGCTTTGGCTTGGCTCAGCTCTTTTTCTTGCATAATGGAGAGTTTGTTATATCTGAGCATGCTGGTCGTGATATACGGAAATTGCCTTTATGAAAGCTATGTGCTATCCAAAACTCTGAGAGTTAAGGTCCCGTCGTTACTAGAGCTCTCAACAGCTATGCTCTCAGGTACTGGTTCCCATTAAGCACCTATTTGCTTAGCTTTTTTGTTATGAGATCAGTCACGTGACTTTTAGAGCACTCACAAGTGAAACTGACGCTACACTCAAAGTGCCTATAAGCGCATTAAAATATAACCTATATCTCTTACTTCTGTAATTCAGCTCTTATGGAGCATATAATTCCTGACAAACTCGGCTTTTTTGTCTCATTGTTGGGGCAAAGGCCTAGAATATAAACTCCAATTTGTCGTAATGCGCCGCATTTGAGCTGAGATCCATTAGAAGGCTACAAAACCGAGCAGGAAAAGCCAATGTTCATAGTAAATACCACTATCGCCACACCAGATGAGTGTCAAAAATAAAACTTGTCCCCATAATCCAAGCAGTTCATGGGGTCACGTGCCTTAAATGACACCGTCACTAGTATATCGTCCGTAAAGTTTATCCTTGGCTAAGGAAATTCTGTTCGTAGCAAAAAAAAGAGCAGATGCACACACCTAACTCTCTGCTGCCGTGATGACTCAATTCTCTCCAAATGAATCTAGAATTTACTCACTTTCATTTTTGGCCCAATTGTTTTTCCCGCAAAACTGTACCTCGAGACACCGCTTCGCCAACCCGAAACCTGAAACGTAATATACCTTGCAGAAGCACTAAAGCATATCTTGCATTTATTAAACGCTGGCCTTGAAGCGTTGACTTTCTACAAATCCATTTGCTTCTCACAGGTCCATGCTTTCCTCGCACTTTGTACGACTGTGTCACTGGTGTCAGACTCATGCTGCTGTTCAATATAAGAATTCGTGCTCAACAAAAAGCAGCCACGCATCCGAACCTTTCTTTCCAATTGAAATATTGTATCTCCCTGACTCAATTCAATTCTATACATCACTTTCACTGAAGATGAGTCCCGACTCAACCTAACTTCATTATTTTCAGTGACAGAATGTTTTTCTCAAAGGGAAGGAAGTTCAGGCCAGCAAATGCAATACACACTCTATTCTCGTACAGCTCCCCACCTCACTCACTGCAACAGACTGGTCGTTTGGCTTCTGATGTTCACTGCCGCATGTAGTAACTTCACACGAAGAGACCCCAAACCTAGACAAATTCTGATGTAGATTCCACCCATACCAACCAAAATCCAGTGCAATTAAAAATAGGCATCAAATATTGACTAATTCATAGCCAAATTCGTCATTTCTAGTGGACATTCGAACAATTTTAAGTCTGTCATTAGTTTTACACGTGACCCAGGGCTCGAAAGCTTTATAGGTATTTTAAATTGACCTTAGTATTACTTCAAGATTATGCCCTGTTGACAACAAGATCAGTACAAAGCTCAACTACAATTGACTCAAAGTCCATTGATTCTTCGCACTTGTCACTCTCAATAGTGACGAAGTGACTTCTTCATTCAACAGTATTTAAACCCTGCTTTTCGCGCACTTTTTATGGCTCCAAAAATCCTACTTTTATCTTCAAATTAGTTATATATCATGACAGCAGAGTCCCGCAGCGATCAAGCTCTTAATGATCCCTTTACTGATATATATACTGCTTATTCGCAAGTGACGGACACGACGGCCAATGATATCGACCTTCGAAAGTACCCGCTTAGCTGGAAAACCGCTAAAATATATATAAGCGCATCGATAGGAGGACTGCTGTTTGGATACGACGGAGGCGCGATTGCTGGGCTTTTGATGTCAATTCGTCCCCGAGACTTAGCATTACAAGAACTCAAAGATTATCAAAGAGGTCTCATCACTGGAACAGCAGGTTTGGGTGCCTTCGTCGGCTCCATCTGTGCATTCCCGCTGGCTGACCGTTTGGGCCGCAAGCGCACAATCGGACTGTGTTCTGTACTTTTCACATTGGCAGCAATTGACATGGCATTGGCTCAATCTCTTCCCGTTCTTGTTGCAGGTCGACTCGTGCTGGGAATAGCTGTGGGCATCGCGGCACAATGCATACCAATTTATCTGAGTGAGGTATCTCCAAGCTCTGCCAGAGGAACGATTTTGGCTCTCAACACCCTTGCAATTACCAGTGGCCAATTATTCTCATGTGTACTTTCATGGCTAATATACCATAAGACCGGTGCGTGGAGGGTACTTTTTGGATTGGGTGGGTTGCCTGCCATAATACTACTTTTACTTCTCAACTCGCTTCCAGAATCTCCGAGATGGCTGTTACTCAAAGGAGACCCGCGGGCGGCTCGAAAATCACTACAGGTCATCTATCCCAGAGCATCTGGAATCGAAATAGTCAACAAAATGGTCAATATTGTTCGCAACATGTCGAGCGTTAGCAATAATTTGGAAGAAACAAGGCCACTGCTTTGTTCAGACACGTCATCTCGCTCACTGCGCAATAGCTCGTTTGACTTGGACGCTTTCACCGCCGAAACTGCAAATATCACGGACGTAGTTCGGTCGCAGGATAGTGGAAGTTTCAAGATGGACCCAAGGACACGCCGAGCACTGATCGTCGGTTGCGTTCTCATGTTTTTCCAGCAAGCAACAGGCTTCAATGCATTTGTTTACTACTCACCTTTCATTTTCTCTAAGATTGGCGTCAAGGATCCACTTTTACCTGCAGTCGCTGTAGCGTCCATCAACTTCTTCTTCACGATTGTTGCGATGTATGTTGTCGACAAATCCGGCAGGCGAAATGTTCTTCTTAGTACCATCTGGATTATGACTTTGGGACTCGTTGTCAGCACCGTAGGATTCCAGTACAAGTTACCTGCTGTATTTTTGACAGCACTGTTGGTGTATGTGGCAGCTTATGCAGTTGGGATGGGGGCCATTCCATGGATGAGTGTTGAATTTTTGCCCTTGAACCAGCGGTCGTTTGGTGCTTCTTGTATTACATGCACCAATTGGCTTACCAACGCGGCTTTATCGCTTTCTTTCCTTCCCTTGGTCAAAGGTTTCGGCAACGAATATACTATGTCTTTGTTTGCCGTAATGACTGCCTTGGATTGGTGCTTTGTCTACTTCTGGTATCCTGAAGTCAAAGGTTTATCATTAGAGGAGATTGGACAGGTTTTTGAGAACGGTATAGATGTCAACTACGTGTATAGAAAGTATCATTAAGCCCGCGCCTAGTCAAACGCCTGGCTCAAGACTTTCCAAAGCTCATCCATAAGGTTACGGATAAAGCTTTACCAATTTTCCTGGTTCCAGGTTCATTCTTGAGCGCGTCAGCTATAAGATTCTTGCCAGCCGCCTCTGTCTCACATTGCCGATACGCCAGTAAAAGAGACTTGAGAGTGGGGAATTTGCTTTGTATGGAAATGGCCTTCTCCAGTGAGACACCTTTGTTAGTTAAAAGAGCACGAAGATAAAGTTCCTTTACTGTCATTAAAGACCTTTTATCCATTATTTCTTGAAAGCAATCGAAACGTTGACAACATTCGAGATGCTCGCTACGCTCGAATTGTTGTCGAAATTTGTGCAATGTATTAAAGTAGTCTTCTTGACTTTTCAATTCTCGCGGGCTCATAACCAGCAAAGCCTTTTCAGCGTAGAAGCTTTCGATTATTTGGGTCATCCCCCTTAGCCATGCCACAGTACCGTCTGAATTTTTCGTTCTTTTAACATGGAACCCGTTGTAAACAACAGTGATCCAAACAGCAGTCTTAATGGCGTCTGCCATTCGATTCGCTGTGTCGCTTACCGTATCTTCCACAAGATAATGAATATTTTTACAGCCCGTCTTTTTGAGCCTGTTTTTCTGCTCCACGAACCGATTATCCATGATGCTCATAGCGAAATCATCGAGTCTTTTCCTCTCTAGCATGAAGTTCAAAACACACTCACGCTTCGTAACCTTATTGCGAGCAATCCATAGCATGTCGCTCAAAGAGAGTTGTCGCGTTTCGACGGAAACACCCCTAGCTTGTAGCTGGGTCGCAAAGAACTCTCGATCTTGTTTAGATTTTACTTCCCGGTGGTCAATGATGAGCACGATGTCATAGGTCCCAGGTTCCCAAAGCTCGTAACTTATACCTTCCCAACGAGCTCTGACTATGTTGTCGCGCCCTTTCTTTATAGGACTAACTGGTATGTGTGACAAGCTCTGATTACTCAGGGTATTTGCCCTCAAATCTGCTGGCTGAGAGAAGTAAGGTGCACAAGAATCGCGATCGACGCTTTCTTGGCGAGTAGTTCCAGACTTTTTGACACTAGGAGATGCTGAAGCTTCCATTAGCGCAGAGTAATTGACCGAGAAATCCGGGGAGTCGCTTTCATATTCTGGCGGAGAGCCTGCTCCATCAGGGTTGTGGCGATTTTGATAAGCCAACTCGTCTTCAAATTCGATCTTGTCAGTTTTCTTCAGAGAATGGGCCATTTCTTCACCTTCCTTGGTCAAAATGTAGCGTTTCGGTCGTCCTTCTTCAACGACCAGCTCGTGAGCTAAAAGAGTCTTGATTGAGCTCCATGCACTGTGGAAGTCTCGAGATGCAGGATTTGAAGTAAAACTATGATCGCTGAATTTGCCAGCCAAGGCAACAATTTCGATTTTAGAAGATCCTGAGCGAGAAGAATGGGCTTCCAGCAATGCCAACAGGATCGCATATGCCCCAGACCTTCGTTTGGGAACGTATTTGCGTCTTTTTTTTGCAGGTTGGTTATCCTGTTCTTCTGCAGCTTGCAACGATCGTATTTTGGTCCTTTGCCGTTTTTCAAGGTTCTCTGCACGCAAAGCCGGGTCTGATGGTAATTCAAACCCAGAGTCCTTGCAATAAGAGTGTAAACGTTCGCGCAAAACATTTTTGATTCTGTTACCAATTCCCTTGACAGCTAAGAGTTGATTTGGATGAACAAGAGCTGAATCATAAGCTTTCAAGTTCTCTAAAGCTTTCCCATAAACCACACCCAGCTTTTCATTCTTTTGAGCAGCTTTTTCGGTTTCCACCTCCAGCCATTGCGTGTACAACGGTTTTAGATCCTCAGGAAGAGACATGGTTCATGTAGATTGATCCAGACAAGTTCTGATCAGAAACTCAAAACTCGAAATCACCAATCACCTACGAGAAGTAAAATTTGGGCTCTAGAGTATCACCAGTTGATACTGCTCGGTTGATGTTATCTCTTTCAAGTTTGAACTGGTAAAATGATCTTAGGTAGCTCACTTGAATAACATGTTTTGAGATCCTCTAAAAGTTAGAAATATACAATAGAATTAAATCGGTTCTACAAGTTATAAACGCTCAGTATGTTTCCGAAGTAATATGACTACGAGCAAAATGTGAAGTGGTAAACTTCTTACAATTTGTCGTAGTATTCTTGCCAGCCTGGCACTTCCTCCTTCATACCGTGTCTCTTACGAGCGGCAGCGACAATCTCACCAGCCTTGGAAGATGGGTCCAATGGGTCAGCAGTCAAAGTAGCCCAGTGGTCGAACACCATCTGTGGGAAAGCTTGACCACCAGTAGCTTGTCTCAATTGACCGGGGAAACCGAAAGACTCGTTAACTGGCAAGTAGGCCTTGACAGTGAACAATGGGGTACCTGGTCTTTGTTCTTCGGAGACGACTTGACCTCTCTTCTTGTTCAAGACGGAGTAGATACCACCGACAGCCTGTTCTGGACATTGGATTTCGACCAAGAAAACAGGTTCTTGGATCTTTGGTTCGGCCAACAAGAAACCAGCGTAAGTAGCTCTTCTCATGGTTGGGATGATTTGACCACCACCTCTGTGAATAGCATCGGCATGCAGAGTAACATCCAAGATGTTGATTCTGACGGAACGCATTGGTTCACCGAGGATAGGACCTTCCTTGGAAGCCCATTGGAAAGCGGCGACAACAGAGTCCTTGATTTCAGTTAGGTATTGCACAGCCTTGGTCTGGTCAACGACAACGTTTGGACCATTACCGTCTGGACCGAAACACCAGATCTTTCTGGCGTCAGTGACGTCCCAGTTGTAATCGTCAGCCATGATTCTGGCACGAGCCTTGAAATCGTCTCTTGGGTTGATCTTACCGCTCTCGATGGCTAGCGAACATTCTTCTTCGATTGGCTCAGCCTTCAAGTAGATTCTGTTATGCTTGTTTGGAGACTTAGACAAAGCGACTTGGGAAGATTCAGCTTCAACGGTTTCTCTGTAAGCAACCACAGGAGGAGAGATCTTCAAAGGAATACCGGCGTGGTCATTTTCCAAGTCCGATAGACAGATTTCCAAGTGCAATTCACCGGTACCGGCGACAATGTGTTCACCAGATTCGGACATGGTACACAAGACACATGGGTCAGACTTGGACAATCTCTTTAAACCTTCGACAAGCTTTGGCAAGTCGTTGGCGTTCTTGACCTCGACGGCGACTTGCACAACTGGAGAGACAGAGAATTTCATGACCTTCATGTTGTGAGCACTTTCGTAAGTGGTCAAAGTACCAGTCTTCAACAAGAACTGGTCGATACCAACCAAACCGACAATGTTACCGGCAGGACAGTCATCGATAGGTTCGACGAATCTACCCATCATCAAGACGACTCTTTGGACGGCCTTCAAGAACAAGTCATCCTTCTTACCTGGAACGTAGTTTGGACCTTGGATTCTGATCTTTTGACCGGACTTGACGGTACCGGCGAAGACTCTACCGAAAGCGTAGAATCTACCCTTGTCAGAGGTTGGCACCATCTTGGAAACGTAAAGCATCAAGTCGGAGGTAGGGTCACACTTCTTGATGGCAATGCAGGCTGGGTCGTCGTTTGGACCTTCGTACAATTGCTCGGCTCTGTAGTTTTGGGCAGTGACTGGAGATGGCAAGTGCATGACAATCATTTCTAGCAAAGCATCGGCAGCTGGCAAGAACTTACGCATAACAATCTTTAGCAAAGCCTTACCTTCCAAGTCTCTTTCGTCACTCTTTAGGTTGATTTCCAACTTTTCCAACAAGACTGGGATTTCGTCCTTCTTGAAGTTCATGATGGCAGCGAAAAGTCTGAAGATAGGGTCCAACACGAACATGTTGAAAGCACGTTCTAGAGGCTTACCGTCAGAGTCGGTTTCCTTGTTGGTCCACTTCTTAGTCTTTGGGTTGAAGTAAGAGTCACCCCATAGACGTTCCATCATCTTGGATTTGTCGACACCGAACTTCTTACCGTAACGGTTGGCGAATTGACGGATGGTGAAAGCCCAACCGTGCAAACCGGAACCGAAGGCCACGGTACCTTGGGATGGGAAGACTTGCATGTCACCCAATTCCTCGTCGGCGTAAGTGGAGATGATAACGTTAACACTTTCAACGGTTCTGGAGAAAGACTGGTACAAGTCTTCCTTGCTGACCTGCAATTCTAGCAAAGCACGGTCAACCTTGTTGATGACAACAACAGGCTTGATACGCTCACCTAGAGCCTGTCTTAGCACAGTCTCGGTTTGCACACACACACCTTCAACGGTGTCGACAACGACTAGAGCACCGTCAGTGACTCTCAAGGCAGCAGTAACTTCAGAAGAGAAGTCAACGTGACCTGGCGAATCGATCAAGTTGATCAAGAACGAGTTACCGATGGTCTTCTGCTTGATGTCCTTGACATCGTCGTCAGACATCTCAGAGTACAAAGAAATGGCAGTAGACTTGATGGTGATACCACGCTCCTGTTCATCCTTTCTGGTGTCAGTGAAACGGGCTTCACCGGCCTTGGCAGCAGAGATAATACCGGCTCTTTGCACCAACGAATCGGTCAAAGTCGATTTACCGTGGTCGACGTGCGCAATAACCGACATGTTACGCACGTTAGTGACCTTGTCCATAAGGGACCTCATCTGGTCCACAGTGAAAGCGACCATTGCGTTGGGGGATGTACTTGAAGAGCTGTGGGAGTGGTCTAACTAAAGAAGTAAAAAAAGACTTCCCAAGAAGTTATCAACAAGTGTTAACCAGAAGTATAGAATTTGTCCTGAAAGGATGAGTTAAAATTTCAGGGTTATTGAGCTGGCCTTATATTGTAGACCTCATGGGAGCCAGGCGTAATTTTTTTTTTCAGTGCGTGGGTGGCGATACGGAACGGGGGGAGACCAGGAAATTTTCCGTTTTCGGAAAAGCGCTGCTGCTCTTTATGAGAAGAAATTGGACCGATGCCATACCATGAGCTACGCTAATTAAACGTGGGTAAAATCGAGTAGATATGAATACGATACAAGTTCAGACTGAGAAGACATTGAATTAGTAGAAAGTTGCAAGACAATTTTCAGGTAAAAACTACGATTGGAGAATAAGAACGAGTTTGAAATGGTAGTAAACAATGTAAAAACGCTCGCTTAATGGAGCAGGAATTATATCATTTTGTACGTAAGTGGGAATTTCACCAGTAGAGAATAACTGCTGGTAGCCAAATCCTGGTAAGAGCCATTGTGGTCAAGTAACGACCTGCTCTTTCTTGATTTTCAGTGGTTGAAGAAGCTTTCTTCTTGTAGTCGTCGCAACTATCTTCTACTTTCTGGGCCGTTATTCATCTCTTGGTATGGTTTTATACTCCTCATGGCAATTCTACAGGTAATCTTTCATTCTGCTAGTATTCCAAAGGTTGGTCTTATTATGGATATCGGCCCTTGAATAATTATATCGCTCTTGGCGTGCTTTCGTCTTTTGTTTACATGTTTTTAATTGCCTTGCGTACGGCAATCCCATTGCAGCACTGGCGCAGCATCCTGCGCTGATTTCTGAGACGACAGAGCCATTCGAAATTCCAAAGACCACCTCCACTGCTATCCCTGGCGACATTAATCGCCATAATTCATCTAAAAAGTGCTCGTGCCCAGTAGATGAGCTGCACTCCTGGCATCCAACGCATACTGATCTTCCACTACGCTTTCGCCCTCTGGCTCAGTGTCTAGAGATGCATCAAATTCAGTCTTCAAAACGGAAGGTTCGAACGCGTGCGATCTTGGATCACTTGTCCAACTATCGCCCTTTGATGTCTGCGAAGGCTTCATCGTTGTAGATAAGTCTCGACCGGCATGGGCACCACGCCCAAGCCGCGACAGCCCTCCAGACTCATCAACAGCTCTAACATCACTTCGTATCCTTTCCAGAAGCGAAAGTTTTTTGCGTTCGTATTCAATCTTGCGCATTGTATATTCTTTTATCGAGTTGACCAAAAATTTGTCAAACCACTCCAGCCATTCCCGTTTCTGCAACAACATGTTGGCTGTAACGCGGCGTAATTTCAACGTAATTTCATGTTCGGCAGTAGTGGCGGTCTTGAGAGCCCGAATGGCATCGTCAACTTTCAGAGGACTGACATCCCTCTTGGCGCGCAATTTGCGAGCTTGTTCTTGTCTGAATTTGGAATTTTGTTGCGCTTGCAACAATTCACGCATGAGAAAGTGGCGATTTGTTAGAGCCTCTTTCACGGTATAAGTTTCTTCGCCGATATACTCTAGCCCATCGTATAGAGTAGCCGCATCCAACGTCGCCATAACGCTATCGATGTCACCTACTGCAGTTAAAGTCTTTCCAAACTTGGTGTATAATTTTCCGTGCGATTTAGCTTGTGATGGGTCCTGGGCCAGCTCTTTGAATCCCTGTCCAACAGCACTTTCGTCTTGCGAAAGCGTCTTGCGTATCTTGCATAGTTTTAATAGTTTGGCTTGAATATCTTTACTCAAATGGTGAATTGACTTTACCAGCGGCCTGAACTCTGCGAGTTCAAGACACTCGTCGTATGGCGGGGTCAGTTGCTTGAGCGTTTTGCGTTTCAGCCCCGAAACTGGCGAGTTTTTCATTTTACCAACTGGTGTGTATGTGTTGAAATCGCTTTCGATGAAAAACGCGAGTTCTGCGCTCCGGAGTAGAATTGGATCGGCTGCAATACGGTCAAACCATTCTTGAAAGTTTTTCACCGTTTTGTTGTAATCCTCGGAGTTGCTGATCCCATAGTTAGTGCTAGGAAGAGGAAGAGCTGGAACAAAAGTTTCAGAGGCGGCCCCATTCAAAAATGTAAAGAGGTTTTGAAACTCGGTCATGGTCTTCTTAACGTTGCGGTGCTGCTGTTTGCGGAATGTGGGCAAATCCGTCGAAACATCAAACTGAATTGTCGGATTGTCCTTTTTATAAGTATACGTCCCTACTCTTTCCAAACCGCTTACTTTCACCACCAATTGGAATTTTTTTGAGTACCGTTCCGGAAGAAGTTCGGAAACATCCTGTTCTGGATTTTCTTCTTTCTTATTCTTAGAATCCGATTCTGGGGTTGTGCTTTGTTCTTCATGGGTTGTGCTTTGTTCTTCATGGCCCTGATTTGCTGAGGGCTGCGTTTCCCTTGCATTTTCAGCTGTATCGACCGGTTCTGAAAACGGATTGTTGTCTATATCATCGTAAGGATCATAAGGAATCGCTGAAGCCATGTCCAGTGTTCTTGAAGGGCTTATATACTTGAGATTGACTTCAAATCTCAGTTGTTCGAGTTTAAAATTGTGATTTTAGAATATTAATGATAGATGAGTATCCTATTATAATAATTAATATGGTTAACCCATATTCATATCATTCAAGATAACAAACACTCCAGGTATCGAGTAAGAAAGTAGCTGTGGCAATATCTCCAAGTGGATTCAACCAGCTGATGAGTGTTATGATGAAATTAAGGCCAAGTTTGCCTGGTCAAACGGCTGTGAAAGCAATTGTTTTCGATATGGACGGCACATTATGCCTGCCGCAGTCATGGATGTTCAGTATGTGGATAGATGATGCGCAATCGACGTGAGATCCTGCGACTCTATTTTCCGTTTGTTACTAACATGCATTTTTCCCTATCTTTAGAGGCTATGCGGGACGCAATTGGATTGCACGACGCACAAGTTGATATTTTGACGTACATAGATGAGCTGCCTTCGAAAAAACTACAGGACGAGGCAAACTTGAAGATCAAAAACGTAGAGGCACGGGCAATGGCAGAAATGAAACCACAGCCGGGGCTTTTGAAACTATTGCGGTTTTTGGCCTTGCACAATGTCAGTACAGGCATTTGTACGCGGAACTTGATGACTGCAGTGCGGCATCTGATCGCCAAGTTTGTTCCACCAGAACTTGACCGTTTCCATCATATATTGACACGAGAATTCCGTCCGACTAAACCCAGCCCGGATCCGCTGCTGCATATTGCAGCACATTTGCGCATACGGCCGGAAAACATGGTTATGGTGGGCGATTCGTGGGACGATATGGAGTGCGGAAGGGCTGCTGGATGTGCTACGATTCTGGTTCGTAATAACACCAATGGGATCTTGCTAGAGAAACGGGGTCACCTCATCGATGCTGCTGTGGACGATTTGGCGGAGATAATTGGACTTTTGGAAAAGGGAGTTACCAAAGGATGAGGCTGTTGGTATAGACCAAGCATGAATCGTGGATCTGGAGGGATATTTTGATATTTCGCATTTTAAAGTTGCACTGTCGTCGATACGACAGTGCAATACAGAGATGATATATATACATGTGTATATGCACGACACACGGCGCCAGTAAAGGGACAAGTGATACGCAAGGTTTTTGACTTAAACTACGGACAGAATTGAAAGAAACAGCGTGTTTTAGACAACCGGAATGAATGCATCCTCACGATTTCTGGTTTTGCAAAAATTGGCCAAGTAACCATTTCTTATTCTCCCATTGCGTTTTCACTCGTGTGTGTGTGTGTGTGATGGGAGAAACTCAGCACTGGGGACGAATTTGGCGAGTCCAGGGATTCGCGAATCACATCGTCAAATACGAATATGGATTCACTAATCATCGAGAATCAATCACTGTAAACGTAGTCATCGCGTGGTAGTCAAACGGGCTTAGTAGCTACAGGAACCGCCAATGGCCGAAAATTTTATCATTTGAAATCTCATCTTTGTATTTAATATGCATTTCAATCAAAGGGAATGCAATGCTTTACAGAAATGCTTTCGAAGATTGGCATATACGAACATATATATCAAAGCACTTCATACGGATTCGTGCCGGATTCTTTGAGCATTTTTATCCTCTTATACGATTGGATTCGTGCACTGATTTTAGTGATTAGTCCCGGTTACTGGAGAAACTCTGCCAAGAAGTAGCATTTTACACGAAATCAAGCAAGAATGACATGAAATTCCTTAGTGGGTCACAGTGGGAGGAGAGAAGTATTCGTATTGCACCGATATTGGAAAAAAGTACGTACGATGCCAGGAGAGTGAATTTAATTGCTGTTTTTGACATCATTAAAGAAGAACACCCTCCGGTTTGCTAAAATCGCTCGTATGAAGTGATGACACCAAAATGACTGGAAAATCCGAATGTAGTTTATCGTTGGTCAGTTGTATTGGCCCAAGTTTTTTTCGCATTCGAGATGTTATTGAAGGACACTGTTGAAATTGCTGCGCGATCCGAGAGTTATATGTTGAGGTTCGTACAGTGTGACATCCGCCTTCTGTTTTAAGCTAGTGATTTTATTTTTGCAATACCAATCAAGAACCGTCAGTAGATTGGCCAATTGTTGTGCGATTATAAGATTGAGATTCTCTACACTCAAACCACAAACTTAGCTTTTGTAAAGTGTTTATAGACTTTCTACCGTGGGATGTGCTTCTGTGTCACTTAGTACGACGCGTCCGACGACGACGATCATGATATTACCTCTACAGAGAAACCTCTCTCATCTTAGATACTCAACATTGTCAACAAGAAATCAAAACCCAAACCGAAAACCAAAGATTCTTCACTTACCAATATAATCACCCCCCACCACCTCATGCCGTACAAAACTACAGCCCGTTTGCGACCCGTAATCCGATTTGACCCGTTACACTATGTCACTCCTCCTGCAGTACCCTACACTCCGCTGAACTCCGCTACGTCTCTATCGTCCCCTAAATCCAACCAAATACCATTAACCCCGTAGACAAACCAAACCTCCCATAGAACAAACCTCCCGTAGAACAAACCTCCTATCGGAATAAACACTCCGAATCCCGAAACGCTGCTTTCTTCTCCTCTTCCTCTCCTTATGGTCATCGCCCACCACTGTACGACATCACCATGTTCTCGTACACGAATCCTTTTGGCCTCGTGTGATTTTTTTTTTCCATTTCGTAAATTCTGACACCACCACAAGGGCATCACGCCATTCGGACATCGGGCAAAAGATTAAACCATCAAACCCAGCCCGAACGTTATGACCATTTTGTCGGGCAAGTGTGGGCGTGGGCGTTCAGGGCGCTACGCGCGTAGCGGGCACAACATATAGGGCGCATAAACGGGCTCAAAAAAAGTGGAGTTTCAGAAATTGATGGGCTCTGCGCGGGCATGACAATTTGTGGAAGTGTGTTTGTATATAAAGGAGCATGAAGATGGAATAGATTCTTGGAAAAGAGAAGTGGATGTAGATAGTTCAAGAAAAGTAGTTGAAGTTGAAGTTGATTGTTTTGTGTATTCAAGAGAGACAACAAGTGAGTTGAACAGCGTTTGTGCAATTTGTTACTTTTGGAAGTCCCAAACGGTAAGCGAGCGTAGCGGTTTCTGTGGTTATTTTTCTTGTTGAAAAGCAGCAGCACTGGCTAAAGAGCTATAATAATAATAACGAGAAGACGACTCGTCGATAGTGATACTCACGTGACAGAAAAGAAGAAGGAAGAAAATTCTCCCCTATTTTTTCGTGCCAAACGATTTTGGAAAAAAAGTAAAAAAATAACACCCACACACCCATAATGGAAATGGAACGGACGCCCTCACGTGACCTCGAAAAGGGTCCCACCCAAGCCAGTTACGATGAGCTACAATCGAATTCTCAAGAAAATCAAAACCAAAACCACCACCAAAACCATCAGCATCGTCGCGAGCCCCTGGTCACCCGTCTGGTCCACGCCGTCTCCGTCGACGGCGAATACGTGCATCTAGGCGATGCCACCTACCGCCGTTCCGAGCTGGCCAACGCCTTTGCAGGTGAGCTCAACCCGGGCATCCACCACCGTCGGCCCTCCAACCTGGCCAACCCGGTGCCGCTGGGTCTCGCCTCCTTCTCCTACTGCTGTCTAGTACTTTCGCTGCTGAACGCACAAGTCCGCGGTGTCACGAACGCCAAAGTCGTGATCAGCGCCAGCTTGTTCTTTGGTGGCTGCATCGAGCTTTTCGCAGGCCTGCTGTGCTACCCTACCGGTAACACCTACGCCATGACCGTTTTTGGTTCCTTTGGTGGGTTCTGGATCAGCTACGGATGCATTCTGCTCGACCAATTCGGCATTGTTTCTTCCTACAGCGAAGACCCGCAAATGTTTGCCAACGCCATGGGGTTCTTCCTAGCCGGATGGGCAGTCTTTACGTTTCTCATGTTACTGTGCACTTTGAAGAGTACATGGGGTCTCTTCCTCTTGTTTTTCTTCTTGGAACTGACTTTCCTCATGCTCACGATCGGTACCTTCATTTCGAACGAAAACGTCAAAAAGGCCGGAGGTTATTTTGGTATTTTGAGCAGTATATGCGGGTTCTACTCCCTGTACAGTGGTGTGGCGGATTCGTCCAATAGTTATATCCCAGTACGTGCATACTACATGCCCAATGCTCCGACCGTTTGAGTTATCGATACAGTTGAAGACCGATGATGACATGAAAATGATTTAATTGCTACGAGTATATATATATATATATATCCAAGAACACAATGTACAATACCAACCAGTCATACGTCGCTTGCAAGACGAGTTCCTGTCGACGCAGTTATAGAAACGTCGTCTTGAAGTCTTCAAAAGATCCAAAAAAAAGTCAAAAAATTCTCCGCGACGGGGAATTGAACCCCGGTCCCGGGCGCGACAAGCCCGAATTCTAGCCACTAAACTATCGCGGATGTGATTTGAAAAAGTTAAAATTCTAAAATATATACCTATTTTTAAAGGTCATAGGATGCTTGATGATGATAATAACCTGAGAACGCTTAGGAACAAATGTCACATCACTTGAACAAGCGAAAGAAAACGCCATGCTCGTCGCTTTCACTACTCTTCAATGTCTTACTCTCAGCATTCTGCCTTTCTCGACGGTGAAATCGAAAAGTTTCAAAATTTTGGGATCCCGGAACTTCAAGAATTAGACCCAAATGTCATCTCATCGCTACGATCAACGCTAGCCCGGGAGCTTGTACAACGACAACAAAAGGCTTTCAGGATGGTCAATCGGGATGAAATACTTCTCGCAGTGCAAAAACAAGAAAAAGAACTACTTCGGCAAGATCTGTATCGGGTTATGGCATCTGTAGGTGACCTACCCAAAGACAGAATTGGTGCCGATTTGATCGATCTGCAAGAAGCAAGAGACGGGAAGTTTGTTTCTTTAGAGCAATTGATGAAGGATATCGAAAACTTGCCGCATGTTTCGGCTCTGGACTCCGAGGACTTGGATGCACAGCCCTTACTGCACGAATACAATCAACTGCGAGAGGGACTCAAGGGCAAATCCATCGCTATTCGTGAGGGTTCACGATTGATTCCAGAACTCAAGGGTCAACTTGATCGGTTTGAGAGTTTGGAACACGCCATTCAGCGCCACGGAACTCAACCTGCTGAATACTACGCTGAATTCAAACACAATGTTCTTGTGCAGGCGCAAGAAACGGCCAGATTAGTGGAAACTGTTTTGCAAGAGACCGGTAAATTGTCTAAAGAATACTTGGAACAGCTGGAGTCTCTGATTTCAGCCTTAAGAACTTTTCGCTGAACCAAATTTGAGCCTTGGAACTATACTTTCAACAAAAGTCGAGGTTTTAGAGGAAAACAAAACTATAATACGGTGGTAAAAGGATATACAATTTTTAGACAAAAAAAAGATTAAAATTTCCCACAGCTATCGCTTTTTAGTTTAGTCGAACAAACCGAAGCCCATGTCGTCGTCGGATTCTTCCTTCTCCTCTTCCTTGGCCTCCTCGGCAGCCTCTTCAGAAGCGCCGCCAGCAGCAGCACCACCAGCAGAGACAGCTCCACCGGCACCACCAGCTGGGACAGAGGCCAACTTGGTCTGACCTTCGGCCACAATCTCGGCAATAGAGCCCTTGCCCTCCAAAGAAGACAACAAGGAGTTGATCTTGGCTTCCTCGGCTTCGACACCAACAGCTTCGATCACAGACTTGATGTCAGCAGCGGAAGGAGCGGTGTTACCACCTTGAACAAGCAACAAATAAGCGGCCAAATACTTCATTCTTTTTGGTTAGATAGCTTAATCAGAGACGATAATAGAATAATCAAATTAAGCGGGTCAATGCAGACTATTCCTTAGGCTTGAGGAAAGAAAACCAGAAAGAAATCGAAAAAGTAGAAGAAAGAGTTGAGAAAGCTGGGATGAGCTTCCATGAAATTTTTCATGATGATTTTTTTTTCCATCGTTCGTACCAATTGATGAGTCTCTGTGAAAAATTACCCGTGTAGTATGACTAGAGAGTCGGGTCTTAGTTTGGGTAGATTATCGGGTAGCTGGCGTGTCTTGGCAGCCCCATACACTTTTGTCAAAATGAGCGTTGGTGAGAATCAGAGTTGTGCAGTTGAGTATGGCCAGATATGTTTCGGTTTGTTCAGGAGGTATTGGGAGTGGTATAGGGGTTTTTGAACAAAACTTTGGCTTTTTCCACTTTCCTTTACCGGGAAAAAAGTAAGCCACACAAATTGAGGTTGGCAATCTCGAAGAATGTTTATCAAGATAATTCCGTCAGTATTGGGCCAAATTATTGGAAAGGTTGCTGTCATCGTTGTCGTCCTGAGTTGTAGCTTCTCTTACAGCCTCTCTTACAGACCTTGATATTTTAGTGAGTCACGTGACCTTGTTCATTTTCAAGCCAGATATGGAAAATTTGGTATAACTTTCTGCCCACACAGCTCATCGCCTCTTAGCGAAAAGTGTCGAAACTGATCCAAATCCAAAAAGGTTTCCTAACCAAAACTTCTAGCACTGTTTAGCACTCTTGCCAGGCTTATATCTCGAGCGAATCGCGCGGCTGTGAATTCCTCAAACAACTAAACCTATCAGCCGCTTCTCTTAAAATGGACTTTCAAGATGCGCTGCGCGATATCATGTACGGTTCTGTAGCAGGAGCCGCAGGTAAAGTCATAGAATATCCTCTGGATACCGTCAAAGTACGTCTGCAAACTCAACCAGCGCACGTTTTCCCCAACAGCTGGTCGTGCATCAAGTACACATACGCCAAAGAAGGTCTGTGGAAAGGTTTCTACCAGGGACTGGGATCTCCCCTCGCGGGAGCTGCCCTTGAAAACGCAGTTCTGTTTGTGGCTTTCAACCAGGCACAAGGCTTTCTAACGCAACGCTACGGTGAGTACTTGGCCCCCACCTCCAGAACCATATTCGCCGGTGCATTCGCTGGCGCCTGCGCCAGCTACGTACTGACCCCTGTTGAATTAGTTAAATGCAAATTGCAGGTTTCAAATCTTGCATCCTCAAAAACCCAGCATTCTAAAATTGGTCCCACCATCAAACATATCGTCCAGACCCGTGGTATCGCTGGTCTATGGCAGGGCCAATCAAGCACCTTTATTCGAGAAAGTATCGGTGGTGCCGTATGGTTTGCATCGTATGAAGGCGTAAAACGGTATCTTGCACAAAGGAGAGGGCAAGACAATGTCCAAAATCACACCTGGGAGCTGCTTGTCTCAGGTGCTTCCGCTGGTGTTGCCTTCAATGCCAGTATTTTCCCAGCTGATACCATTAAATCTACCGCACAAACTGAGCACTTGGGGATCGTGAACGCGACCAAGCGCATATTGGCCAAAAATGGGCCGGCAGGATTGTATCGCGGGCTTGGGATTACCTTGTTGAGAGCCGCTCCCGCAAACGCCGTGGTTTTCTACACTTACGAGACTTTGTCTAATTTATAGACCCTTTGATAGAAAACAAATTAATACGGCAGGTTTGCCGAACTGGTACACTCTGGGCCTCTGATCGTACCTGAACTTTGAAGGACCTAGCGTCAATCAACCTCAGGCCTTGTTCAAAAGCCGCCTTTTTCTGTTCAGTACTGAGAGTGTCTTTAATGCTTTGATGCTCCAAAGAACTAAACCCTCCTTGAAGAAAAACAAAAACGCAGCAGTAAGAACGCTTTGCACTAACTTAAGGCCGATGCCTCGGTACAGGCCAGAAACTCCACTTTGTTTCACGGTTTCGAACATTAGCGAAATCAAAGAAGTTGGTGTGTTCGTGTCTTCTCCACCGTCTGCCTTTTTTCCTTTGAGGTGCATTCTGGCCTTCATCGTCACATATGGGTACGTGGCGCCTGTAGCCACAAGTTTTCCGAGCGCTCCCAATACAAAAGCCCATGAGGGACTCAGGGTTCGAGTATTACGACGTTCCAAAACCCGGTTTTTCAATTGTTCAAATACCGTGTATTGAATGATTGGGTTGATCACAAGAAGAAGAGCAGGTTTGAGACCATTGAACAAAGTCATGGGTCCCTGCGTTCGTGATATTTCCAAGATCGTGTGGAGAGTGCTGCGATCGCTCTTATCGACGGTCATTCTAGTATTCGCGACCCAGAGCGGATTCGTTGCCGTAGCATTCACAGAGCCGGCTATGGTTCCGACTAGCATCGATTCGGCGGTATTCAAACTCTGCTTACGGGTGCTTTTCAAAATAAACCGGGACGATGCCTCGTAGCAGTAGTAGTACACAAACGACGAAAATGCCATTCCGATGACAGCGCTTTCCAGACCAGCGAAAAAGCCAGTGATACCGTTTTTGCGATAGATGTCTTTGACAGTGATAAGCAGACCTTGTTTTCTTTCTGATGCTGTTCTCTCGTCTGGTATCTCCTGTGAACCCTGCGTTTGCATTTTCGTCGTTACGGCAACCAAGGGGTAAGTGAGCGCCATTGAAAGAGCCCCTCCGGCTGCACCAGCTAGTGCATTGGCAAAAGCATCAGGTTGAGGCGATTCTGACATGATCTGTGCAGATTTCGGGGCGGGACAGTAGTTAATTGGAAATGTGAAATCTCTGAGGAAGACAAGGCGGCGCTGTCTTGGACAACAGTACGAAAGAACTATTCTCAGTTTAAGCTGTTGGAGCTTAAGCTTTACAGGTATTTGTGAATAATTGGGTGTAGTCTGGATTGGTGGATAGAGCTTTTAGAATGGGGAACCCTTGGTATGCTCATCGAAAGTATCCCTCTGGTCTCAAAATATGTAATTTGATATAATTATCGTTTCACATGATGAGCTTTATCATTATAGTTTTGTCCTGACACATGGATTTCTCGACAAACAGAACTTGGAGTAATCAAGTGACAGCACCCACCTCAATCACTTACAACTCTAAGCTTACTGAAAGCATCAGTGTTTTATGTTCAGCTTGGGTATCTTACTTACTGAAAATTTGACCATGGCTCAACCCAATATAGGTTTTAGAAAAAGCCAGGCTCAAAAAAGGGACCGGCGCAAGGTCCTGGAAAATAGCCAAGTAAATTGGCGAAACCTAGAGAAACTAGACTCGCAATTTACATCAAATTAGCTTCCAAAAGGGTTTAATAAAATAGGCACGTGATGAGAACTCAGGCGTAAATGACTACCTTTCGATCACGTGACACTAGTAGTCTTTAGCATAAAGAAGAAGACCACAGCGAACTTTGATAGACATGTCAAATAGAGATGTAGGCTACAGCAGCCTTACTACACCACTTATCAACACAAGGACTAATGAAAGGCACCACTAACCCTTTCAACAACATCGGGTATGGGTTTTGCTAAATTTGCAAGTCTTTTTGGGATCGCACTCTTTATTCCTGTTACTAACGTCTAGCACAGGAGGAACACCTTGTATTTGGTCGGAGGGCTAATCGTTTCGGTGTTCTTGACGAAGAAACTCGTAAGCGATAACAAACAGACGCAGTTTGACCGCATGAAGGCCGACGCTATTACCAAGGAAAACTACTACAAGAATCTTGCCAACGTGAAGCCGGGCTTCCCGCTGCCTGCCGAGGATTCTGCAGAAAGTCGGAAAAGCGAATTTGAAGGCCCCGGACTGAGCTACTTAAGTAGGAAGGGAGGGGACAGACTTGGATTTTTGGACAGGAAAAGTGGACGGGACTGAACTGCTTCAAATTGTCCCGGTTTTCAGTTCCCATCTGATCTTTCTCTATCACGTCATCTTGTACATAGCTTAATTAGTTAATTAGTTCATCATGGGAAATAAAATAAAACAATCTTTTAACTTATACTTAATACACTGAAGCCCATTACGTATTTCTCGCACAAAGTCTTTTTGGTACTTCTCAAAACTACACAGGAAATTTGGCGTTGGCTCTCAGGAAAAAACATCACCCTGTTTCACCAGAAGCCAACCGACACTAACTAAACCTAAGCCTTTTTCTCTTCAAAGTAATCAGCCATTTCTTGATCTAATTGTTCGAGACTTTTCTTTTCAGGCTTGGCCTTGGTCTTGGGCTTTTTCTTCTCGTCTCTCTTTTGTTTCTTGACAGCTGCCACTTTTTTGTTAGGTCCCCTTACAGGTAGAGGTTTGCGTTCCACAATGGATTGGATTCTAGAGGCGAGAGGCTTCTTAGTAGGGTCGATGATCAAACTCAATCTCAACTTGGATCTGCCGCCGTCGATTGGAGCACCGTTAAATTTCTTGACGGCTTCTCTGGCCTTCTCGACATTTTTGAATGTGATGGTGGCCATACCAGTGGACAATCCTCTTTCGTTGTAACTCAAAAGAATTCTCGCAACACCACCAATCTGAGAGGAAAAAAATTCCTAAAATTAAAAGTTAGTTTTTGGTTCAAATTCGAACCTTGGGTTAGAAAAAAAAAACAGTTAGAGGAAGAGCGCACTCCAAGAGTACCAGGGATTGCATAAACACGATGGCCCACAAAAAACGGTTAGCAGTACCGACTTATGAATTCGGGAATAAACTCGTATGGCTGAAAAAAATTAATACAGTCATCACAAGGAACTGGTGTCCAATGTCCTAAAAATCTTCCGGATTCTTCACGGAGTAAGCTGTTTGAGAAGGCACAAAAGGGTTTCAGTAGGTATTTGAAAGTTGCTTGCAAAAAGGATGAGGTGTGGTAAAAAAACGAGAAAAAGACTCCTCCAAGAAATTTTCGTTCTTTTGAGGTGAATGCGCGTATTTCAAAGATGGCAGCCAAAAAAAAGGCAAAATCAAATGAAATTCACATATCACCGCCACGAGAAGACAAAACAAATTGCTTCACATGGCCTCATACTTTGAGAGTCACACAGTTTGTAGTAACTAAAGTTCGCGATTTTTCCAAAGCGAACGCGCAAATAGTGTTCCAATTGCAGCTTATGGCTTGTGAGTGAATGTTTGCAATTCACCAAGCCTCAAATTTTCCCAGCCCATTTTGTTAGATCTTCTCAAACGACATGACGTGGACTTCTGGATAACTAGGGGGTGTTTGTATGATCCCGCATATCCCACCCAGAAAAGGGTTAGTTCCTTGTGTCTTTTAGAGATGATTTCATCAGTTTGCTTCCTATCATGGCCATTTATGCCATAGACCTCTGAGCTGCTCTTCCACTAATCTAGATAGCGTCCTGAAGACATACTCTGACAGCATCTTGCTTGATGTCTCTTGGCAATCCTTCCACGCTCACTTTGGTACCGTAGGCCTGCTCTAGAACGTTGTTGGCTTTCACAGGAGCAGGTCTTTGTCTAACAGCAGCCACCGATGCTCCACGACGGTTCCCACCCACAATTTGTTTGGAAACCTTCTTAGGAGCCTTCTTGTTGACCTTTCTGATAGGCTTTTTGTTGGTACCAATGATTTCGTCCAGAGATTTGTCCAAGTTGGCAGACATTTTCGTATTATGATATGTTTAGGAGGAGTCTTTTGTCTTGATTAATCGATGCTTATCCTGAAGCTCAATTTTATCAATGTTTTTAGTGAAAGGTATAAGGCGAATGTGGATATTAGATTCAGCATCCCTCTCCCTTTTATACTTTGAAAATTTTCTTCAATTTAAATTTGAGGTCGATAACAGCACGTGAGCCAAAAATGGCTGGGCTCTCGCGACACAGTTTTGATGAAATGCAGTAAAAACAAGAGAGGGAGGAATTCGACCTGCCGTTCGAGCCCGTAAGCGCTTCAAAACTCCATTTTCATATTTGGCAGCAATTGAATATACTTGGTTCAACGACGGAAAAGTCTTGATGTGCAAACAAATTGCAAGGTATGGCTCGATGACACGCACGTCAAACAAGATAGTCACAGCATGTGCGTTAGAGAGGTGTGCAGCTGTGCAATATTCAATGCAAGAAAAGATGGAAATTATTGTTTCACTCTAAAATGGAGTTTGGAGAAAAACATTGTACTGCCACGCGAAGGACCACTCTTTCTAACGTCAAATCTCCCACTATTTATTGAGGACGCGTCTCGCATTTTTGGTGATCTATTTCAAAAAAGAATCAGCTTAAAGAGAACACACTAGAGCTTGCGTTCTAGGACTGATGCTTCTAGTCTTTCTCATTCTCTGCTTCTTGTCACTTCGTACCAACATGTCGTCGCGACGGTAATTCTCAATATAAACCGTCCGTCATCAATAAGGTTTAGACAATGTTCAGTAAAAAGAAAAATGGAAGCGAGATTTCAGCTTCAATATCAAAATCAAGGCTATCATCGAATTTGGCACTGTTCTGGCGGCATTTTTTGTGACTCCAGAAACTCAATTCCCATATTTCACGACTTACGGTGTGCGATTTCCTTTTCAATGAAATATCAAGCTAAAAAGCACCAGTGCGGGTGTAACAGACTCCAAAATAAGCTTTAATAGTCTACACACTTGCTTTGAATGAAAGCCAAGTCCGTGACCTCAGTGTTAGCTCGATATGTCCGTCAAGAGCCCTGAATCCTTTCAGCTCACTGTTCACGAACTATTGTAGATTAACACCATTGGATCCAGTAAATCTGGCATCTTTACACCGCCAACTCTGTTTGAAGCTAGGCTCATACTCCGGACCACTTGCTAATGCCATTCACAACTGATGTTCACTCACTCCCATGCTATAAGATCAGGCCTAAGTGGGCGATTACGACAAACACACCAAGAACATATCAATAATAATCACAATGCGCAATACATCATATCTGCAGAATTCGATAATAAGATCGGGCCTGTCTTGAAGCATCAATACCCCAATGCCATACCCGGCTTCAAAATAAGAAGTAGGCTCAAGAACTCTGCTGTCAACCTGGCTAGCTTAATGATCCCCAATAGCGCAGAAAACTTTCCCGACCGTACGGACTTCACAATTTTCATTCTTTACAAGAATAAGTACACCAGAAACTACCAGGTCTTCCCAATCATCGATTCGTTGGCTCCGAACACAGATCGTCAAGATCTCGGTGTTCTCAAGGAGGAAGATAACTCTTCAATAACAAGAATGTTGGGCGCCGCGAAACATCTCAATAACGCCAAAGACCCCCCGCTCTTCTTTATTAGTGTCGTCAATACGATTAGTGATCACACCAACCCCAGAGGAGCCGTCATAAAAGCAATTGCGTTGGGAACCGACCTCCGAAATTTTCTAATCTTCAAGCCGCTCCTGGCGATGACGTTAGACGCGTATATGCAATCAAACGACGACATTCAGCTCTTAATCGACTGTTTTGATTTGATCAATAGTCTGGATTTGTCGCTTGCAAAAAGAATAATGTCAAATACATCCCTTCAGACGCTGCTGAGTTCGATAACCGACGAGAGAGTTTTAACAGATATTTTCGCGCCTCAGAATCAAAACCTCGCTCGTCTGCTACACCTCAATAACCTGCCGCAAGCTGATTCCTTTGGAAATTCCATAAAGTTCAAGCGGCATTTGATGGAGTACCACTTCGACAAATTTAGGCCCAAAAAACTGCCCCCGGCTCTGACCAGGATCGCCTTGCAAATAAATGTGGTAAATTATGACCCAGTGCTAGTAAACATCAACTACAACGATCACGTCCTGAAGTTTCTTTTCAAATTTTTGAGCGAGTTGGAAAAGTTACTTCGACCACAGTTTGCATGGAAGCTTGTAGTGAACTCTACGAAGCTCTCAAAAGATGTTCTCACACAGTTCATCATGTCCCTTTCGAATTTCATAAGGCATTTTGACTCTCACTATTTCGCTAACGCCCAAGTCATAATCTTTCCTTATATGGATATTTCCTTTGTCGATGCCCTGAAGGAACAGCTTAAGTCTTGCAGAATGACTCGAACATTTAGCATAGTTGGAGTGAGCAACCCTATTTTCGAGGTGCAAAAGGATATCTGGGATTTTTATTATGATTTGGATACGGAAGAACTAGTCACACATGGCCTAGAATCGTCTGCTCTAAGCATGCATTCAGATAATTCCCAGGAGAATATTAAAGGCTCGAAAATAAAAAGCATATTTCAAAAACGCACGTCCTCCGCTGTTTTGTTACAGCGACCAAGCTCGAGATGCAGCCTAACATCAAAGATGATTCAATACCTGATCGCTGAGCGTCACGATAATGAAACAATTCTCAATGTCTTCAAACGAATAAATGTTTTGCAGATATTGAATCTAATAACAAACCTTAACAGACGACCGCAGTCCGATTCTGAGTTGACCTTGAAAGACGAGTATGTCGTATCATACAGAGATTTCATCATCTTTCCCGAGTTTTTCGAATACAGCTCTCTGAAACTGGTTCAATGCTTAAAAAGACTGCAAGAAGATTTGAATTATACTATTTTCGATGGCAAAAACCCTTTCGAGAGTCATGACTTGAACCCATTCGAGAGAATACTCGCGTCACTGAAATTTATTTACAAATTTATCACGTCGAACTCTGCCAATGTGGAAAAGCTCATCAATATTGGCCTCAGCTTTCCCTTGATGTTGGTTCAAGATGACGAAAACATAGCCACTAAGGACTACAATGAGATCAATCTGCAAGAGACATTCGAAAATCTGAAAAATGCAAACTCTATGGAATCTTTGACTTATCAACGATTGGGTGTGGTTGACTGTTTTGCAATGAATCGGTTTCTGAGACTTTTATTTTTGCCCTTACTTCTTGATTCAAGAATTGAATCCTCTCCGGAATTGATGCGCCAGTTCGATCCTCACAGTTCCGGAGATCGGGACTTCCATTCCAAAAGACTAGCTGCGAGCGAAACTCACTATTCTCCTATTTCCAGCTGGTATAATGAGGAGAGTCTCTTTCAAGATGTTCCAGCAGACGAGACGAGAAGCAGAGCTCCATCTTCAAGCAATGGCCATAGTTTTTCAGGCTCCATTGTGGACTGCGGATCAACAATAAACAAAGTTAAGAAAACAAGTTGCGCCATCATACGAAAACTCAAAAAGCACCCGATCGGCGAGTTGCTGATGAGGCACAAACTCAATCCTGCATTTAAATCCATCTACGAAACGGTTGGAGAGGAGCCCGCCGTGAAGAAAAGAAGAGGCGACGGAAACAGAACAAGCATAAACAAGCGCCATTCTGCTGTCTACGAGAGCACCATAAACGTTTCTCCCAGTCGAAGAGAGCTTTTGAAAGACCTTCAAGCGATCTCTTTACAGCAAGAAAATATCGTATCCAGACCAACTTCGGAAGAAAGACCAGCAAGAGCTTCAATTTTAGACATCTTAAACAAGATAACAATTCATGACGATGGTTTTGAACTGTAATGGTATGTGCCAAAGGCCAGAAAAAAGGTCAACTTGCTCGTGATGACTGCTTAAGATAACAAGTGCACGTTGAATCCGAATCAATACTGTCGAGCATGCTAGAGCTTCTCGTAATGCTGATTAGCGATCATAGTTTTCATTTTGGTGATCAATATCAAACCTTACACTTGCTCGCTAATCTTGATAAAGGCGGATCACAGTCGGTTCTCAATGCTGGCATGCAGCCGCCATTATTTTCAGTTGTTCCGGAAAATCTAACACACTAAGAACTACCTCCGCCAATCTGATCACTTTTTTGTGGGGATCGCGGAAATTTTCAAAGTACTTGGCAAGGTCGCTTACGTTGTCGAGTGTTGTCCCGCAAGTGTCGGTTTCATCTTTGTCCCCGAGCACGTAAAGTAGCTTTGTCCAGTTCCAGTTCATGATGTCGTTGTATGGTCGCGTTGGACCCTTGATGGCCCTCTCGACGGTATAACCTCCATTGTTCCAAACAAAGATCTCTGATGGAACTTTATACCGTAAAAAGGATGTCAGCTCTTGAACGGTCATTTGGGCTGCCCCATCTCCTAAACATAGAATCAATTTCGGATCGAAAGCCGTAAGATCGCTTTCTTGCAGTGTGCTAATGTGGTGATAAGGATAATCTCGCATACCAAGTCCCACACCCAAGGCACATGGCAGTGCCATTCCAATTGACAAGTAGAAAGCCTGCGATACGAATTTCAGGTTAGGTGGGAAAACATAATCGCGAACTCCAAACTGAAAGGACCCAGTTTCTACGATGAAGACATCCCCAGGATTAATGATTTTTGGAAATTGTTGCTGAAGAAAAAGCTGTGTTATTGATTGTCCCGGTTGTGGCATTTCTTCCTGTTCCGGCTCGTTCTTTTCACACGAAGGGTAGCTAAGTTGCAATTTAGAGGTGTCCAGCTCGATGAGCAACCGCTCTAAGACTTTGGTCATGAAAAACCCTGTAAATTTGTGGGTGCTGCCCGGTTTTGAGATGTGGATGTACTCTGGGTGCATTTCCACCACGCAAGCGTTTTGCTTAAACTCTAACGAATAATGGCCTGTGTTCATCTCGTTCTTTACCGCACCGACGTGCATAATAAAGTCGCATTTTGCAATGTTACTGATGACATTTGGCGCACTTTCCGCCCCGTTATAGCACCCTCTGAAATAAGGAGTAGACTCATTCAGAATTGATCTTCCCATGGCGGAACTGAAGCTCCACAACCCATACTTTTCGACAAAGTTATTTAACATACCGTTCAGATCATAGCGGTCGCAAAGAACATCAGCAATCACAGCAGGTGTCTCGGACTTGTACAAGCACTGCAGAATAAGCCCGACGCAAGCACTAACGTCTTCTTGACTCACTGTCAAACTAGACATTGCACTGGTCAAAGATATGAGTGCTCGATGGTCAAGATTGAGTGTGGGAACCAGCATGTCCGGGAAATCTGCGGGAACAAATATGTATCCTGGTCTGCTCGATTGGTAGATGTCGTTGATAACTTTATCTATCTGGTCGCATGCTTCCTCGATGTTGTCCAGAAAGACACTGGAACAAGAAACTCTGTCTCGAATCATTTCGAAATATACTTGATGGTTGGGTGGGTTGAAATTCGGGTCCGAGAGAGCAGGGATGAGATGGTGCACCTTGTGGTGAAACCTTGCAGCATTGGTTCGAAAACTCGACGGTGATACTCCCACAATATGCAAGACTTTGACATTTTCTGCAAATGCGCCTGCCACACCGTTCAAAGCGGACAATTCTCCCACGCCGAAAGTCGTGATAAGACATCCGATTTTATTGGTGTAGCGGGAGTAACCATCTGCTGCATACGCCGCGTTGAGCTCGTTACAGGTCCCGATCCACCGAAGCTTTCCCGCGATTACTTTTGGCGAGTACATATGCTCCAGTAATGTCAGATTGAAATCGCCGGGTACTCCAAAAACGGTTTTTGTTCCACATGAGAGCAACCTCTCGAATATGTACTGTCCCAGGGGGATTTTACCGTTATTTTCGTGAGTTTCGTGTGGTCTGTTCACTTTGGCACCAAACATGTTACTGGTGTCATTTTCAGAGGGATGAACGACACTGTTTCTGGCATTTCTAGGAATTCCAACGGGCGACATAGAAAAGAGTGGTTACACGGAGACGTGAAATGATGATGATGATGATGATGATGCTTTAAGAATGCAAGATAATACAGTAGTCAGAATTAGTTTTTCTGTTGGTATTCTCTTCCGCAGTTTTTCTTGATGTTATTGGGAACACAAATGAAGTTTAGTCAAGACCTTGGAATCGAATGTGTCAGTGCATTTATATACTTATTTTGGCAAGGAGAAGGAGAGCCGTAGACCACACACATTGTGCCTCTTGCCATAGACAGCCGTCGGAGCTATTTCAAGGATCACAACAAATACCAAATGTGACGTTAACTTAAATCGTCAAGGGTCCTTCTGCCCCGTGACGCTGATCTGACCCGGGAAATCGACAAGGATCTTAGAAACAACAAGGATTCAAAGGCTTTGAAATGTGCTATAACCATGTTTCAAGATATAATTCGGAGTATTTACTGTTTGCATCCCAGTTAGGAGCAGTTACGCTACTCTGGAACGTCGAAAAATGGGTTTTCAAACTGCATTTACTGCAAGGTTTGAGTTCACTAGCAGGTTTAAACTTGACAAAAAAGTTACACAGAGTAGACGATTTGTTGAAATACAATACGGTTTTGAGGGAAGTGGGTTGGGATTTCATTTAGACCGTTGCTTAGTGGAGCCACTGAGGGCATGAAATGACAGTATTTGGGAAATATTATAGACAAGTGTGAAACTGTTGAGAATATGATTCTCTTTGGCGGGGTGCGGGTAGAATACGTGGTGAAAAGGGGAAATTTTTTGCTCAAATGGTAAGAGCCAGAGAGAGGAAAACAGGCAATACAAGCTGTGTATTCGTGGAAATTCGGAGTTTTAACTAAAAAAATCGCCTATTCTCAAACATCACCAATATTTGATGTTTCTGGCAAACCCGGTTTGGTAAGTTTCCTTGAACCAAATAGTTCTGTCTTCAGAGGCTAGAGTCTTTGTAAAAGAACAGTAATTAATGCGTCGACACACCTGCGATTAAGCATTACTGTGCGAATCCTAAATAAACCCCATCATGACAACTATCAAGACCAGCGGATTTAACGGTTTACTTGTTGTGAAATCGTGCTTCCTCTCCTCTTTTAATCTGTCGCTGTTGCTTGGTCAGATGACACTGTGGTTTTAATTACATTTCCAATAATGTTATGAGCTTGAATAGCATCGAGAACGCATAATACCTACTTGTCTACTCTTAAGCGGCCCATGTATCCAGCAATCGAGCTTCAAAGTAGTCACAACGACGTGTGGGATCCTTGAATCAGTGATATCATCATTGCATTTCTAAAACATCACTTTGTACTAAAATGTCATCTGAAATTTTAAAAACATCACCTCAAAATGACATAAACCACGCAATACGAAATACTACGGACCGCATTGAGTTTATGGCTATGTCCAGTCTTCTCTCTCTCTCTCTCTCTCTCTCTCTCTCTTTCTCTTCAAATTCCTTAAGCGTGTGAAATCTCATCACTACTCACGAATAAGTTATATTAACACTGACTCTGGTTGTTATAAGTAAATTAGACAACCTCGCCCTATTAGCATCAATTGTTGATCGAATAAAGGCCTAATCTAGGGTCAAATAGATCATTGAGAATTGATTTAAAACTTCCCAATTCGTGCTAGTATTTGCAGATCTTCAAAATCTCGAAATTTTGCAATTTTCAGGTTGAGAATCGCATTTCTTTCAAACTCGTTCAAGATCGTTACCACTTGGACTTAGCTGATAACTACTATCCACCAGGGCATCACAAGAGTTGATACGTCGTTTCCACTCGAATACCAACACGCAGAAAATGGACTCCAGAACAGTAGGAATTTTGGGCGGTGGCCAACTAGGCCGTATGATTGTTGAAGCAGCCAACAGACTCAATGTGAAAACGGTTATTTTGGATGCCCCTAACTCTCCTGCGAAACAAATCAACGCGCTAACAGAACATGTGGATGGCTCTTTCGCCAACCCAGCAGATATCGAGAAAATTGCAGCCAAGTGCGATGTCTTGACTGTCGAAATCGAGCATGTCGATGTCCCTACTCTACAAAAGGTTCAAAAAGCGTACCCCAAACTTGAAATTTACCCATCTCCAGAGACTATTCAGCTAATCCAAGACAAATACCTGCAAAAAGAGCATATGATTAAGAATGGTATCGCCGTTGCCGAAAGTGTGGCCATTGAAGAACCATCTGAAGAATCTTTGGCGGAAGTGGGCTCCAAATTTGGATACCCTTACATGCTGAAATCCAGAACACTGGCCTACGACGGTCGTGGAAATTTCGTCGTCAAATCTAAGGATTCGATCCCAGAGGCTTTGACCGCACTTTCTGATAGACCACTGTATGCCGAAAAATGGGCACCTTTCACCAAAGAGTTAGCGGTGATGATCGTCCGTTCCATAAATGGCAAAGTTTATTCATATCCAGTCGTGGAAACCATTCACCAGGACAACATTTGTCACTTGTGTTTTGCACCAGCTAGAATCCCAGACTCTGTTCAGTTGAAAGCAAAGTTGTTGGCCGAGAACGCTATTAAATCCTTCCCTGGCTGTGGTATTTTTGGTGTTGAGATGTTTTATCTTGAGAACGGCCAATTGCTGATCAATGAAATTGCCCCCAGACCACACAACTCGGGCCATTACACTATTGACGCCTGTGTCACCTCGCAATTCGAGGCCCATGTGAGAGCCATCTTGGGGCTACCTCTGCCAGCCAATTTTGCTTCTCTGGCCACCTCTAACACTAATGCCATAATGCTGAATATTTTAGGTGACAAGAAGGTTAAAGATAAAGAGCTGGAGACATGTGAACGTGCCCTTCAAACCCCAGGCGCCTCGGTCTACTTGTATGGCAAAGAATCAAGACCTCAAAGGAAGATGGGTCACATTAACATTGTCAGTTCTTCCATGCAGCAATGTGAAAGAAAGCTGCGTTACATCACTGGCGAGAGTGATGAAGGATCCGGCGCAAGTGCTGTGGAAGATCTTGAATCACCTGTTGCTGGTTTGGCTAAGAAACCTGAAGTTGGTGTCATCATGGGATCAGATTCTGACCTACCAGTAATGAGTGCCGCTTGTAAAATTCTGACTCAATTTGGAGTCCCTTACGAAGTTACTATTGTATCGGCACACAGAACTCCTCACAGAATGAGCAGGTATGCTGTAGAAGCCTCTAAACGTGGTCTGAAAGCTATCATTGCCGGTGCTGGTGGTGCCGCACATCTCCCTGGTATGGTTGCTGCCATGACCCCGCTACCAGTAATAGGCGTTCCAGTCAAAGGCTCAACTCTCGACGGTGTTGACTCTTTGCATTCGATAGTTCAGATGCCAAGAGGAATTCCTGTTGCTACTGTTGCGATCAACAACAGTACCAATGCTGCGCTTCTAGCAATTCGGATTCTAGGCGCTTTCACTCCTGCCTATCACGAAAGAATGCAAGAGTTTTTGGTCAAGCAAGAGGAAGAGGTTTTGCTCAAAGCTGAAAAACTCGAAACCATTGGTTACGAGCGTTATTTGGACAGCAAGTAAACAATTCTCAACGGAGCCTTTGGCTGTGGACAGATGATAGAAAATGGGTGCGACGAAGAGCAAATTTGCGTTTCGAATCGTGGGCACTACGTTACTTGAGCGTTAAAAGTTATTCGTCACCAAGGAAATCATTCCGCTCAGAACTTTTCGAATTTAGCTGTTGTCAGCTGCGAAGGAACATTGCTCTTACTAAACATTGTCCTGTTCTTCGGGTCCGGGTCCCGTCAAACGAGTGACAGAGCGTTCCATAAAGGCCTTTGAGGGTAGATCGATACCTGATGATAGGTACGAATTCTTTGCCCTTCAGGCTAAAGAACGAGGGACTGTCAAAGACAACATCGCACAGCTTTTAGTGGTTTATACGGGTTCAAGGTAGTTGACGATCCCAACTTTCCATAAATTTGTGGAGCTCGAAAACGTTGTATAGTGTACCGAAATCACCGACTGTTTCTCAGGTGGCTATGAAGTGATTGGACATTAGATGGTCAGAACGTTTAGTGTCAGCTGGATCTAGCATCACACGAGCTGAGTAGCGAATTATTCATAGACGATCCTCGCGCTCTACATCAATGTTTAGAAGTCGACTTTTAGGCTTCCCTATCGGTGAGCAAGATGCGAGGGAAGATATGGAAATGGAAGGCGTGCTTGAGGTAGCTGAGGTATCTGTACTTGTTTCAAATAGAAGCTCTATACAACGAACGAAATGAAGAGATTTCCAGAAAGAGATGCTGGGAGCTTGGAACGCATAAAAGGTAATTCAACTAAATACTACATGCTACAATTACATATCATGAAGAGAATGCCAAAATTTCACTGACACAGAGTAAGCCAGATTAAGTCGTTCCGCTGAAAAGAGAAGCGAATTACCATGAGCTTCCCGAAACTCACTTTGATTCGTTTTTTGTCCGGCATCAAGGAATATGTTATTGAATCGATCCAAATCCAGCCTCCACTCCGATTCTCATCTGTTCTTCTCACTTGGTCCAAATTCAACGCCGGCAGCGAACGTGGAAAACTTGAGCTAAGCTCTTTACTTCAAGGCAACAACTAATTTTGGTGTGTTCAGAATGTAAGGTGCCTTGACTTAATTATGATCATGACAGGAGCGCACATCATGAGTGCTCATAATTATTATGTTCTCACGATGCATGGCGTAATCGTGAAGTGGTTTTTACATCAACTCGGTTGATGTTATAGTTGCTGAATGCCATTGAAGATCGCATCATCATTTGACCCAACATTCCGCCTCTTTCCAGCGAACAATATCGCTCCTTGCAAAGACCAAAATGTATCAAGAGCATTGGAGCGTCAAAAGATTTGGAACAAGGATTTTAACCTGGCACCATCCGTCATTAGGGTCTGGCCAATTCGTTCTTCGAGGTAAAAGTACCGAATCCTTTGGGGCCACAGATCTGCAACTTTCACTGTCATTAGAGCAGATAATATCATTGGTGCTGAGAAATGGTTGGAGTTGGTTGCGGGAGGGATTTGATCATTCAAAGGCCACTACGACTATGGTAAATCAGTCGTCCGAAATGAATTTCAAGGTGTGGAAACTAGTGTCTTAGCCCAAGAAATCATGCTCTCGATCTTGGAGTATGTTGTACTATTTTCTTCGAGCAAAGCTGCATCATACTGAAGGTATTCCAAGCTCAGTATGAGTCCAGTTTTCATCTGAGAAAAATCGCATAAGCAGCAAAGCAAAGAACGGACATTTTCCTTGCCGTAGAATTCACCGGCTTTGACACCAAAACCAAAGGAATCTATGTTCTTGTTCCGGAAAGAGCCCGTTTCTGAAAAACAGTCGGGGAACAGTGGCAACTTTTTTTTGGAATATGACACTGACGGTCGTCGAGAGTGGATTGAAACCGAGGAAGACTTACTGAAGGATAGTAATAAGACCTGAAATGGAATGCTTTGTCGCACAATTTTTCTCAAAAGGGGAGGATACTGTCGCCAAATGCTTTTGGCTTTTATAGACGCAACACTGGGTCTTGAAGAGCTTTCCCAGATTTGTCGCTCACAGTTTACGCTGTTTTGCTGACCGGGAAGCTGCTCTGAACTGGCTCTCGTCTGAGGGTAAGAAGAATAAAGGCATTGGTCAGACGCATAGTCATGCTGGAACATTACCCCCGCCGATTTAGAACAAGGGCCGATAGGCTCAGTCATTGAAGCATGTTTCCCTAGTTTCAACAAAACCACGCAGTCTTGAATCACAACAAAGATGTCGAGAAGATCTGAAAAAGTAAACTCAGAGCTGTTTAAAATGTTCTCGTCCAACAATTTTTGAGACTCAGTGAAATAGTCACCCCAAATTGCGACAGTGTCTAAATCTTTCACGCACCATAGTGAAATTACTGGCCAGTTGGCTGTTATTCGCTTAACATGTAAAGTCAACAAGACGAGTTTGGCCTCCAAAGCCGTGGAATTCACAAAGATTTTGTCTCCATTATATCTAACCAGCATTGAATTTACTCCAGTCTCAAGCTTTGATACTCCTGTACTAGATGCATCGATATTGGTGTTTGAAGATAATTGTTCGCCCATATCAATCGCAGCATTGAGGTAAACCCAAGGATTCTCATCAGTCTTCAGGTCAGTTGGCTTGAAAGGGAAGGCGTTGGCCTGAGTACAGTTTTTGTTTTCTGTGAAGTCATATGGGGGGAAAGGAAGAGAGTCAAGTCGAAGAAGCTTGCTCAGTGCCGGGTCCTCTGCATCAGACCATGTCATGTTAGAACAGAATTTCATGTCATCGAAATAAAGTCGTCCAAGTTGTGCCAGCAGATAAAGCCTCCATGTAGTTGTCATCAGCATTTCATTGTTTCTTCCGACTTTGATGGGAGCTACTTTTAGCAACTTCTCCAGGTTTCCGTTGGCAAACCCGTTGCCACTATACGAGTAGTAAGCTATTTTGACGGCTTTGGTGATGTGCTCTTCGGCAATATTCCGGTTATTGGTGAACTTGATGTTGAAGAAGGCTAGCAGCAACAGCGTCTGAAGCGAAGCCAGAAGGTCCAGATCGTGCCAGTAGTATGTTATTTTCTCATGATGTCCACTTTTCCTTGCAGATACATCCTCATGCACATATGGCGAAACGCATGAAAAGAGTGCGTGAGATAAAGAAGTATTGTTGCTGGGGTGGAAGTTACAGAGAAACTGGTTTTTGGGCGGAAGTATCGGAAGCTGGGGATGAACAACTTCATAAAATAGTTCAATCATTTGTGTGCACTCATTCCATGATGGAAAGCCGTATTTTTTCAATGATTCATTTGTATATCGAGGTGCACTGAGTGCATCTTGGTTTCCGCAAGGCGGGTTGGTTCTGGTCATTTCAACTATTTGGGGAGAAGTTTGACGCTGTGGTGACGCTGTAGGTGCGAGGATACTCTCTAAAGAGAGCTTACCGTTGTCGAAATTCACATTTGGAACTTTCTGAGGCGATGTATTGGTGTTTGCCGACGAGCGTGTGGTGCAAAAATCGTTTTTAGAGGTAATGCCACGAGGTTCCAGATGGGTACTTTGGACTTCAACGCCCACGTCCTTGGATAAGTGATGTGTAAGTTGTTGCTTTGCGGGCAGCCTACCCAAGTTTGAAGAGTCGTTCGAGTCTAGCCTTTGGTCTGATTGAGGAACGTCTAGATTAGCACGGAAGGATGGAAGCGGCGACAATACCTGAGTTGAAGGCGATGGGAACGACAAGTGTGCATGAGATGGCAGCATGCTAGCTTGAGATGCCATGTTCATAGGGTCAGGAAGAAAGCGCGACGGAAGGCGAAACTGAGGATGAAGTTGAAGCGTGCTGAGATGAGTGGGTTGGTGGGAAATAATGAGACGGGGGTCGTATCCAGACAGCGGAGGCGGCTGATAAGAAGAAACCGGAGGTAACAGTTCGGCATTGGATGGAGGGTTCTGCAACTCACTTGTCACCAGCGCTTTTCGAGGAAGTCGGCGGCCACCTCGCTGACTTTCAACGAAAACACACTTTATACCCGCGATAGCGCAGTTAGTGCACACCTCGATTTCCTTAACGCTTGATCCAATGTTCGATGCCGGGTTCGAACATTCCCCGTCGCACTTTATTTTTTTGGCTCGACATGCCAGACATGCTCTTCTGGCAACTTTTCGCTTCTTATCTGGAAAAGAACGAGCCGGAATGGACATGGGAGCTTACGCAGTGATCGCCGTCTTATCCTTAACACCAATCGGCGATTCCGTGACCGAATCTAGAATGTGTCGTCTTCTATTTTATGTCGATTTCTTACTTGACAAACTGTTTCGCAGTGTCGTATCGGTTTGCTTGCCAGTGAATCATCCAGGAATCAATAGATCTGCTTTTGAAAGAACTCCGAGTAGCTCTCGATTAAAGCATCGCTATTATTTTGAAGCGCCTTCAAGGAAAACTTTTACCCTGTTCGCCTTTATCGCTACACCGACTTCTACGCGCCAAGGAACCACTCACACAGTGGTGAGGAGTTTAGCTACTATTGAGAACGTGTAGTCAATCTCGCTGATGCTCCGGGACCGCAGATCGGCTGTCTCGTTTTTTTCCACCGTTTTACCTGGTTAGACCTGTTTCGCTGGGAGACGAAAGAAACAGAAGGAACCGAAAGGATCATCAACCAGGCAACGTTTATGGTCGCCGAAATCCAAGATGATTGAGCTCCAAACAAGCCCGGGTTAGATAGCCGTTCCACTTCTTAGTCCCGACAGTGCGAGTGCAACGATAGCACGTGATATCAAAACCGAACGGTTCTCCAGTCTCAACGGTTCACTGGCGCATAGCGAACTGTTCTCTCGAAGTATAATCTCAATTTGGAATCCACCAATTTGTCCGATCATTTGGTCAACTCTTCTGCTGTGAGGTCGCGCTTGATTCGGAACGGTTTGTTTCGCCAATCAATTACGGACCCACACATTGCCTTGATCCATATGGGGAGTGCCAGTAGCTCGCGCAACAACCAAAGCTGCCACCAGTCCCATAAGGTTCGTGGAGTCTCGGCGTGCTCGAGAAACGCTGGTGTATGCTCTTGTCTCAAGCTATCATCGGCATAGATCGTTCGTAGTAGAACAAGGTACTGTAGCCTGTCTGTAACGCACCATAAGAAACTGTGAACCAAGAAAATAAGGCTGAAAGGCAGTTGAAAGAGCCAACTGAATCCCCACGCTCCCATCGCTCCAATGAAAAAACATTCCGTTGTGGGCTCTAGCAAAGTGGCTGCCAAAACCATGTATTTGCGTACACGCAACCAACGCACCCGGCGATCGATATAATTACGAAGACCTTGGTCTCGAATTCCAAACTGTAGCGGTTGAACAACAACGTCAGTTGTCATTCCTGTGCGTCCTCCAAGCATATCCCACAAGGCCGTGCCTATCATGTTGTCTTCGCCGATGTACGTGCTGAAAAACTCAATGCCATGGTGATGCAACTGCTCATGAGCAGCCACTTCTTTAGTCCCTATTTCGCCTGTCGTGTTATCCATAGCGAATACTGTGAAAGGTTTTCTAGTATCAACACTGAGCTCACCTTTGCACTTGGCAGCTATGACACGAGCCTCTCTTTGAATTGTTGGATCCTTGAACAGAGCTGAAAATTTAAGAGCCTCACCAATAGATTCAACTGCCATGTCCAGATCAGAGCGGCGATATAGGTTACTTTTGCCGTTCACACATGGCGCTATGCTGATTTTATTGAACCCGACGTAAAACTTGGCGTGGGAACTGAACATAAACATTTCGTCCAAACGCGCGCTAAGAGGCACCGAACGCGTGTTCGGACTGATGCTTAACGCTAGAGGCACATGATGTGTCAAGACCACTGGCCGAGATGTAGTCTTAGTGCCGTTATCGAGAGAATTGACCAAGCTTGCAACACTGCGGCTCAAGGCACCAGGCGGACACCACACATTTGCGTCCAGAACCCATATGATATCGTTTTGCGCATAACGGTAGCCCTTGGAAAGGTTGTTAACTTTTGGATTAGGCCCGTAGTAGTCCTCGTAGCCACTTTTTCCCACCAATAGCTTCAAATTGTGTTGCGGATACCTTGAGATGAGCTGTTGAATCGTTGGCAAACATGCATCGGAGCTGCTTTCGACGCAAAAAAGCACCTCGAACTTGTCCCTAGGGTATTCCTGTAGTATGCAGCTCTCGAGACATGCCACCATTTCGGTCTCAATACCCTTACAAGGTCGGATGATGCTAACGGCTTCCTGTGCATCATTAGATCGCGCCAATCTTTTTTTGCCGCGGAATTTACGCATAATCTCGATCCATCCCGAATATCCAAGTGCTAGAACCGTGAAATACCATATCGTGCATACCACTGTGCCCACTAGTCTAAATGCGGAATTCTCATTTGAGATCTGAACCTGTTCATGGGTTGCGGCCAGCTTGCTAGTTTCCAATGTCGTATCAAGCAGAGCCATGTCTATAAATGTCTATCATAGGCTCAAAAGCTCGAATTCAGGTCTTGGGTTCAAGATGAGTAACGTTTGATACCAACAAAACCTATTTTCCTTTTCAGCTGCAAACCTTGACACTACGAGTATGTTCAACTATATTTGAAGCTTTGTCTAACCAACTTTTTTCCAGCTTAAAAAGTCTGAGGAAAAAGAAGGCAATAGCCGCGGTTGTTGAAACTGCTGTTTTGCGTCTTTTTATCAGCTCTAGGCTTTCAAATATGTATTCCTGTCTTTTTACCGGAAACGCCTTTCCGCGTGCTATTGGAGGCGGAATTTATCCTAGGAAAACGTCAAGTTTAAAAAAGACTGTGAAAGCAATCAAACAAATGCCGAGCAGAGGTTCACAGACAGTGCTACTTCCTTAGTTTTTGATCTTTCAAGACTTGGATAGCATCTCTTATGAAAGCTATTCGCATCTCAGTTGATGTATCTGGTAAACAATAAGTAGCCATTATTGAAAAATCAATTTAACGGCGCGTAATCTAGTTGATTATCTAGTCGATGGGATTTTCTTTAGGTCGATTCTTTAATCTCGAGTCCAAAAATCATAAACGTACGTCTTCTAGTTGATTATCTAGTCGATGGACTTTTCTTCCGGTCGATCCTTTGGTCTCGAATTCAAAAATCGTAAACCTACAAATATCAACTAATGCTGAGCTTCTGGACTTGGGTAACAATATTACGTAGCTGAATGGCCTATCTCTCAAAAAATATGAGTCGTTCGTGATTTTGAACTTGTAAAAAATTGTTTTTTGAGTTGTGGCGGTATCAATAGGCCGGAATTTACACAACAGTCTTGGAACAGTAAGCAATGGATCGATTAGCAAGAACTAGCAGACCATACGCAGCGTCCCTCGACTTCACTTAAACCAAATCACTTAATTCAACTTGAGTCCTGTAAGTATTTTCTTATCACGTGACTAATTTTGTCAGTACTACCACCAGATCGACCTCATCTATCCCATCAAAAGAGTATAGGGTACTGTTATTTCGTGAATATGTAAAGAAGTTGAGACTACTCCGGATCGCATCGCCTATCTCTATCGACTGCTCAATTGTCCAAGATCCCTCTATTAAACGCCACTTTTTTTTGGCCAAAAAATCGCACCTTTCTTGTCTTTTTAGCTTCAACTAGCGCTAATTTCAACGCACACACTCACGCACACCCACGCACATTTTAACCCTCCAATGGCCAAGAGACTCAGTGGCTTGCAGCGTGATGTGCTTCAAATGTACAGACTGTGCGTACGAGAAGCCCACAAAAAACCAGTGGCCAACAGGCCAAACTTCATAAGATACATCAGAACAGAGTTCAACAAATATCGAGACGTTCCTCGTAAAGACTTCAGCACAATCGAACATTTACTGAGAGTAGGACACCGCAGGCTAGAAACTTTTGCAACTCCTGAGGTGAAGGACATCCACTGAAAGATGAAATTGGCCCCAAAGGCGTGCTGTAAAAATGCATCTACGGCATCTAGACCTACTAACAAAAAACACACTAATCATTCGTACTTCTTTATATTCTTCAATGTCATTAAAAAATCAAACGTTGGTTGGCCAAAACGAATGCCACCACATAGTTCCGCTCTCTCATATCTGAGATGTCTTTCTCACCACTGTAGTCACGGATTAGACCCGGTGTGAACACCAAAGATAAGTTATGCAAATTCATGAGGTTCTCATCACTATAGCGAGAAACCTTCTCAATGTGTTCAGTCAACACTTTCAAAAGCGTATAATGCTCCTGTGGCAGTAACTCGAGGATCGACCTTAGCTGCGCTGTAGTGTCCTGAAGCAAAGACTGGTATTCATCGCTTGTGGACGCTCTTAACGGTAGTGCGGCCACCAGATTGTTGTCACGGACTAGCGCCATGAGTGGCTCATATATTTGAAATGAAAAAACTGGATTTGGCAATTTGCGCAAATACCTTTTCAGTACACCACTAACCGCGTGGATATCCTGCTGCAGGTCCGCGCGCAAAGCTTTAGATGGTGCCTCCCTTGTATTGCTTTGCGAAAATTCGGCTTCTATCTGTTCGATTAGAACTTGACTTCCTGATTTTCTGTAAAGCCCGTCGCTCTTCAAGTATTCCTCATTTGATTCGATGTGGTTGATACATGTATCAACTATCATCGGTATGTCATGGCCCTCATACGCGCAGCGAGCAACCAATGTCGATCCATACAGACTATCCCCGTCTTTAGTCGGAGGAGATGAAACTGAACTCCTTTGTCTATTTTGTACTGGCATCAGCTTGACGTCGCTGAAGTCATTGGGGTTCTGGAGAACTGGTGGTGATATATCCAGCTTGTTTGACATGTTAGCATAGTTGCCGTTTGGTCGGTTGCCAGAAAAGAGCTTCCAAAACCTTGGCTTCCCGGAAGTTGCAACTGTTGCAGTGGCAGCCTGCTTATCTGGTAGTTCATCCGATGTTTCGCGCTCATATGAGTCCACCGGTTCGAGGGAGCTAGTTTTTACACCCTTCTCTGATTTCAAAGAACTTATTTCTTGCTGCAAATTCGATTTGGTTGTTTTCAAAGAGTCTACATCATTCATTAGCTGACTTTTCGTGGACTCAAGTTGATTAATTTCGAGCTTCAAGCGGCGAAGTGCGAGCTCCATCTGCCACACATCTTTTTTCAGAAATTGGTCATTGGTAGGAGTATTACCACTATCTTCGTCTTCTTCCACAATCTGCGTAGTACCAAGCGACGGATTCTTATGGTGTGATGACACACTCTTGGAGAATGAGGCCTGCGTGTCCAAAGGCGGCGTACGAAAAACCGAGACTCCTCCATTTGTGTTGCTTGTTGATCTTTTATGTTGTGTTGTTTCAATTCCGCTAGAACCATGAGAGTATATTGTGCTATCGCTTGGATGTTTTGCTCTCACCCGTTCCTTGGGAGGAGAGGTATCTGTTGAAGGCTTCGATGCGACTCCCCAGCCAGAGTGCGTATCATGCTCACTTCCCCCATTCAGATTGTTGTCCTTCGTTTTGGGCCTCAAGTTCATCATGATGCTTTTTGACCTCAAGGAGAGCGACCTACCAAGTTTTCTGGCATTTCCTCCTGAAGTCTTACGTTGGTGGCCGAAACCTGACGAAGACCGCGACTCCTGAGCGTTTGCAGCTTCGGACCGATTGTCTGGGGTTGCAACGTTATCGTAGGACAGACCGATGATCTTATCATCTGCATCAGCAGATTGTGAATCTGATTTTTTTAGTATTCCTAGTCCTGAATTTGGAGATGTTTCAATGGATTCAACCCGAGCCGGCGAGTTTAATGCATTAACAATCTCCTCGTCATCCAAAACCAGACCCTGGCGGTGGGCAATTGGAGACTTGCTGATGTATTCTTCTTTGGAATTTCTCAAAGGCGTTCTATTCAGAAGTATTTTTTTCTGCTCTTTGGGTACACTCAGCAAATTTTGCTCTTCTTGTCCTTGGCCGTCAATTTCACTGTAACCGTCATTCTCCAGAGTATGCTGCAACATATCGTCAATGGAAAGTTGACTTCTGTGAGTTTTTTGGGGTGTCTTGACTACCACTGCTTGCTCCCTCACCTCTTCCTCTAGGCTGTTACTGCTGTCTTTTGCCTCGCTGTGTTTACGCTTGATGGACTCCTCGTCTGCAGTACTACCGTAACCGCCATCTAAAAGAAATTGCGCTACCACGCTCTCCGAATTACTGCGAATTGTACCGTTGTTGGTGGTAAAATCTGATGTGGTTTGTTTTTCGCCCGTCGCAGAAACTTCTCCGTTAGCCATCGTAACAGCAGAAAAATCCAGTGGGGCAGCCAAAGACGAAGCACTTGACATTAGTGGTCGATGGTCCTTGGGAGACGAGTCTATTGAAGTATTGCCTCTGGAAAGGACAGAATTTTGCAGTGCAACATTTTTAATAGGAGACATGGGCCTCTGGTTAGAACGTGCGGGTATAACAAGATCAGCCTCGGATGGTGTTGATTCTTCTTGGTTCAAGTCCAAATTGCTGCCGCTTGGAGGTATTAGCGGTAGCTGTTTTTTATGCCGTCGTTTGCGTTCCTCATAGTTTTTCCGTTTTTCAAGGAGCCTTTCATGACAGGCTATACAAAACAGCCCGCGTTTTGTCTTAGCGTACCGCAGATCGTCAATCTTGGCGTTACATTTGCAGCATTTAAAACAATCTGAGCAATACGCCTCATTCGATGAAGCTAAAATGATTGCTAGATCGTCAATTTTGTTTCCACAACTTCTGCAAGAATCTGAGCATGCATAACAGATCAAGGCGCCAGTGCCCAACACCAGAAAATTCGAGTCACAACTCAGAGGTTTATCACATTTATAGCAGGAAAAGCAGTGCGTGTGCCATCTATCGCCGCCCAGTTCATACGCATGGCCCATCACCAGCGGATCCTTGCATCTCACGCAGCTGGGGGCCTCCGTAACGCTGTTGGCCATTCGCTTATATTGATTTCAATAGCCCTCACACCGACTATTTGACTTGAGACTTCGTTGGAAGTTTGCAAGCTCTCAACCCACAAGGTAAGGTACACGACTGATCCTGGTTTCGAAAGGTTGAGTGGCCGTCACTGTCGAAACTTTACCAGGAATGCTAACTATTTCAGAATTAAAGATTGCAAGTTTTATGTACAAGAATTATCAATTCTTGAATTATAGTGAAATCTCGATCAACGAGCTCGAAAAATGATTTACTGACACTTGGTATAAAAAGAAGAGAGAAGAATCAGAATGAGATTCTAGATTTAACTTAAATTCACTGGCAGATCAATGCTTGATGTGGCAGCTTTTTGTAGAGTTTTTCGTCATGATTGAGTGTGTAAAAATTCAAAGAATACGGCGACGTCAGATCCACGCTTCTGATTTGGGGCCAAAACCGAGAAATCTATCCCCAATGGTATTGGAAGTTAGTTGCCCTTGAATATTAATTTTGAACTGTGAGAGCTTACCTGACCGGATTTGCTCGACTATCTGCGCAGCTTGAAATTGTTTGTAATGAGGAAGACTCCATGGAAACCGGCTACATTCAATTATAGATGAACCGAAAATTTGCAACCGTTTGCATTGCAATATCGGCAGATTCCAATCTGCTTTTTCAACAATGCGAACTTTTCCGAACATAAATTATTTAGAGACATACACCTTGCTTATTATTAAAGTCACTCTCACAATGGACCACCACAATTTTCGTGCATGCCTCTGAAATATTATCTGGCATTCAAGAATAACAAACTTCTGGTTGTTCTTGTTGTCTTTCTTGTTGTCTGTCCTCTTCTCGTGTTGTCTCACGTGGAAATCTTGACATCAATTACTGGTGATATTTCTCATCTAGTTTGTTAGCCAAGTACCGAAACCATTTCTCGCTATCAAAACTGACAGGAGAACCAGTTCTAAGAGCTTTAGGCCGATTTCAGCACCCGTGGCCTTTCCCGTTTCTTTCAAAATGTCTTCAAACGAGTCCAAAACCACTGCGTCAGCCCAGTTTCTGTCAAACATTATAGGCCAGTCGGTCGTTGTCAAGGTGCACAACGGTATGCTCTACCAGGGAGTACTGGAGTCAATCGACGGGTTTATGAATATCGCTTTGAACAAGGCGACAGAGCATTATGAGAGCGATGAAAATGGACTGTTACATAGATACGACGGTGACGTTTTCGTAAGAGGCACCCAAGTCCTGTATATTAGCGAAGCATAGCATAAAATAGCGCTACTACGGAATAATGAACTTTTTGATCCAGCAACCACAAGCACCGGAAGCGTTGAACGATGGTGATCTTGTGTGCCTTGTCTTTACTTTACTTTACTTTACTTTACTTTACTTTACTTTACTTTAGAATATTCATGTAGTTTCCACTATGGAAGCTAGTTTGTATATAGGTGCATGTTTTTGAGAAAAAGGTGGGAATCTTTGGAAAAAACGATATAGTCTTCCGGATTCTTAGTGCTGAGCACCACCCTTGTGGTGTCTCAAATGGAAATAGTATTCCATAGAGTACCCCAAACCCAAGATGGCAATTGCAAGATGCAACAAAGGCTTGCCACTAGCGTTGTCACCGTCAAAGTATTTGGCCTTGTACTTTCCGATTGGGCCCGATGGCTTGAAAGCTGGGGCAGCACCCTGAGGTAGAGATTTGTAGAATTGCACAACTTGCGAAATACGCTGAGCGTTAGGAGCGGAGCCCAAGTTCTGTGGATTATGTTAGTATAATCAGTTGATGCGAAGAAAAAAAGAGGCTTTTGAGACGCAGGGTGAACCGGGGAACAAAAGTGAAACCGCAAGCAGTTCTAGATTCTTGTATCCTTCGGCCAACTCACACCGAGTAATATCGAATTCCTGCGTTTCTTCGTGACCATAGGCATTTTCCAGATTCCTGATCGATCTGCCGTCGAATTCGAACATACCTTCGCAGAAACAATCTTTGGGGGGATCAAAGTAGAAAGGGAGCGTTTAGCAAGCATGGTATCTGCTGTCTGGTTAGGGTTGGAGACTTGTAGAAGACGGTTTAGTTTCAAACTCAGTGGTATTCAGTCCTCCTTTAACATCTTGACGAGTCAATTGAATTTAGAAAAATTTCAAGATCGTCAGAAGTGATTATCTTAACAAGCTTTGATTGGCCTTCTATGAAAGATTTGGATGGACGACAGTAAAATGAGAAAAGAGTGAAGGACATGAATTGGTTTGAGGATGCTTTATTTGCTGATGCACGGGTTAGATTTTGGTTTTATGAATTTTATGGATTTTATGGATTTTATGGATTTTATTGCGGTGAATTTTCCAATCGATTTGTTGTGATAAAACTAATTACCAAGTATGTCATTCTTTCATTAATGGATTAGAAGCGAGCGCTATTGGAGCCAGGATGTTGCAAGTAAGGTGGTTCAAAGCTCAAGTTTTTTTTGGCATTTTTCTGGGACAAAATTGATGCCAAATCTCGCAAATTTGGGGGAAAGTCTTGTTGTTCTGAAATTCTTACGATTTTATGGTTTCAAGGGCTTTGGTACAGGCCATTGTTGGACTTTTTTTGGAAACATGATTTGAACAAGCAGTCTCATTAGTGCTTTGATAGCTCAGCATTAAAGAGTATTTCAATAAGAAAATACTGCCAGCATGATTCCAGCAAAATTCAGTCCGCAATAAAGACCTCAATAAGAAAAAGAATGGCTTAATTCATGTTAAGAAGTCCTTATTTGAGTTCGAGTGTGGTATTCGCTTACCGGAAACGACACCTTACCTCAGTAAAAAATGTCAGGAAAACTTGTTTGCATAGTTTTGAAGTCTCATTTTTACTGAGTCATCCGTCAGTTGGAAACATGACCACACCACCCATAATTCTTTAGAAAACTTTATAGGATTTAGATGTGATCACCCAAGCTTTCGAATACTAGCTTTTTCTAGCACTTCTTCAAACCCTGGCATGTATTCCTTCCAATCAACATTTCAATACCATAGTACCATCATTAAAAGCGGTTTTCTAAGCTCTATAGTCTGATCTAGTTTACGGTCCTTTGAAAGCTACGTTTAGCAAACGCTGAGCAGATATTTGTATTTCTAAACGTTTTCAGCTTCAAATGTGAGTCAACTAGCTATATATTAGTCTTTAAAAAATGTTGACGATGAGCATATCATCTGAGATTGAAAAACCATCAAAAAGCTACCCATTAGCATTCTCACAACCTGGTTTACCACCATCAACTATGGTCCAAGTGCATATTCAGCCTGACCTAGAAGGCTTGAAGAACTATGTTCAAGAAAACGATGAATCCGTCAACATGTATCCAATTTTCTGCTATCTTCCAGCGATGGATCTAACACCACACATGGCATACCTGAAGCTTGCTCAGATCAGTGAACCTAACCGTAAAAAGTCTTTCCTCTTGGAAAGCGCAACATCGGATAATACATTGGGAAGATATTCTTTTCTAGGAACTGGTCCACGCAAGATTATCAAGACTGGACCAACCGAAAACTTGGAAGTGGATCCGCTTCTCGAACTTGAAAAGGAGCTCAGTACTTGCAAACTGGCGGAAAATGTTCCTGGTCTACCAAAATTGAGCGGAGGTGCCATTGGATACGTATCCTACGACTGTGTCAAGTATTTTGAGCCCAAAACCAAACGTCCTCTCAAAGACGTTCTGGGTCTACCTGAATCTTGCTTGATGTTCTTCGACACCATTGTTGCGTTTGACCATGTTTATCAAAGATTCCAAATCATCCATAACATCAACCTAAAGTCTGTCGAATCGTTAGAAAAGGGCTATGAAGAAGCTGAGAAAATCATCAAGGAAGTCGTCCGTGTCTTGGAAGACCCCACAGTCTCTGATAACGTTGTTCAAAGCAAGATTAAGCTGAACCAAACATTTACTTCCAACATCGGCGAAGACGGGTACAAGAATCATGTGGCCGAGCTGAAGCGTAACATCAAGCTCGGTAACGTTATCCAAGCCGTTCCATCACAACGCGTTGCCAGACCTACTTCTCTGCATCCTTTCAACATATACAAACAGCTCAGAATGGTCAATCCATCGCCGTATCTTTTTTACATCGATTTGTTGGACTTTCAAGTGATTGGGGCCTCTCCAGAATTACTATGCCAAACCGATGCACAGAATAAGGTTGTGACCCATCCAATTGCGGGAACTGTAAAGCGTGGCTCCACGCCAGCTGAGGACGACAAATTTGCCGACATGCTCAGAAACTCCATGAAAGACCGAGCGGAACATGTCATGTTAGTTGACCTCGCCAGGAATGACGCTAATCGTGTGTGTGATCCACTCACCACCAATGTTGACAAACTGCTCACTGTGCAGAAGTTCTCTCACGTCCAGCATTTAGTGTCCCAGGTTTCTGGTACTTTGCGTAAGGACAAGACCAGATTTGATGCTTTGAGGTCTATTTTCCCAGCAGGAACAGTTAGTGGTGCTCCCAAAGTAAAAGCCATGGAGCTCATCAGTGAGCTAGAGGGCGAAAAGAGAGGTGTTTACGCCGGTGCTGTTGGTCACTGGTCTTACGATGGTAAATCCATGGATACGTGCATTGCTCTGAGAACCATGGTATACAAAGATGGCGTGGCCTATTTGCAAGCAGGTGGCGGTATTGTTTTCGACTCTGATGAGCAAGACGAGTATGAAGAGACTCTCAACAAAATGATGGCTAACAACAGAACAATTGTGCAAGCAGAAGATTTCTGGGCATCAAAGGTAGGTACTCAGGAATAAAAGAGCATTATAAGAAGTATATAGACTAGAATGCCATGAAAACGGTAGTACAGCTGAACTTTCAGTAATCTGAGCTGTATGTTTGCAAGCTCATGAGCGTAGAGAGTGAATCGGAATAGAGTTATAAAACTTGTCGAAAAAGACTTGAGAAACCTGACTTCACATCGTTGAAAAGCAAGTCAATCGGATCCCAATGGCACCTTCAGTTCCAAGTTGGGCCGCACTATTCGGTGTTGCTGGTGTTTCGCTGGCTACTGGTTACTACTTAGGCCATTTCAACGATACAACAACGGTCAAGGCTACCAGTAAGAAAGAACAAGCAAGAGAAACCTTGCGTAAGTGCAAGGTTCAGGCCGAAAAGGAGTGCGAAGTCGAAGACGAAAGTTTCGGCAATGCATCAGGAAGTTTTGAGGACGATGATGAAGATGAAGAAGACGAAGAAGAAGAAGACGAAGTCGAGATCAATTCACTTTCATTGAATGATATTCCAGGTGAGGTGAGAATGGCATTGGTGATCCGCCAGGATCTGGGCATGAAAAAGGGCAAAATAGCAGCCCAATGTTGCCATGCTGCTCTTGCATGCTACAGGCTGATCGCCACAGATCCTAGTCGGGATTCTTACAATTTGGAAATGACCCAAAGATGGCTGTACGGTGGACAGGCTAAAATTACGCTCAAATGTCCCGACAAAGAAAACCTAGATGAACTGTTTGCCATGGCTCTTTCCTTGGGCGTGAATTCTTATGTGGTTCACGATGCAGGTCGAACTCAGATCGCAGCTGGCAGCGCTACCGTTTTGGGATTGGGACCAGCACCAAAAGCTGTACTGGACCAAATTACGGGTGACTTGAAATTGTACTAAGTTCAACACAGGTTTCAAGTATGTCTTGGATATTTCGTGTAATTATATAGGATCATTATGTCGCTTTCGAATGGGCATGCTCGCTTTCCTCAAAGCTTATTATCATCAGAACTTATTGCAAATCGAAAATGTATCATTTCTAGAACAAATTGTACTGGACAGGCAAGGTCGCAGGGTCAGCATCGGCTCGTTAGACCCATCTTTGTACCACAACGGCGTTGCACAGTCCTTCGTCCTTCAGGCTGCTGTCAAAATTGTCGATGGCTTTTACTGGGAAAGCGTGATTCAGCGTAAAAGTCTTATTCGCACCCGATTCCTTTTTGACGTGTTCATACACTGATCTTACCGAATCGCTCGAATTGCATCTTAAAACCTCTCTTTTTCCGGTGGCGTACCTGATTTGCACACTCGTATCACCTTTTGGTTCTTCCTTTTCGCTGCTGTCCGAGGGCTTCTCCGCCGGCGATTGAACGGTGAACGGCTCTGGTGACAGAGAGTCTCCCAATACTGGGGATCCTAGTCTATGTCCTTTCCCATGGAAACCGCCAACTTTACGCTTTGGAGGCTTAAAACTTTCATCTAATCTCTTCTTGACGTTCACTTCGACTTCTTGGCCGAACTCAACGTTCAGCAATTTCAGAGGTGCCCGCCCTTGGTTCAATTCATTCAAAAAATAACTGTTTGCAGGATCATCGTATCGATAAAGCTCGCCCTCATTGACTTGAAACCCTTCTTTCCAAAAAGTTATTTCGCGAGTCACTTTCGATGGTCTTGCCGGCAACGACTCCTCAGGAATATCGCTTGAAGCCTCGGTTGACGCATCAAGCGATGAGCCCAATCTGAATCCTTTCCCGGTGAAACTAGGCGGCTTACGACGCGCTGCAGAAGCATCTTCCTCGCTAGGGCTGGCAGCTCTTTCTCCTCCTCTTCTTGCCTTTTCCAACAAATCTCTGATCAGCGAGTCCGAGTCGTTTGGATCCGCCACCTCCAGACCAGACGTCTCTCCGCCTGCAAATGTATTCCTTTTTTCGTCATCATCATCCTGATTGTCTCCCCTGACAAGGTCTGAGAAACTTTTAAACTTGGAAGAGGAGCCCCCACTTCTTTTCGGAGCTGGCGACGCTGTCGATTCTCTAGGACGTGGAGATGAATATCTTGGTGGCCTTGTTTCCTTAGAAGGCTCAGATAACCCTTGCTCTTGAGAACTGCTTGAAAGCCCTGTATCACCATTCTGAGCGGCATAAAAGGCATCTAAAGCATCCTTAACACGAGCAAACTGTTAGTAACATGAAGTTGTTGCGGTGAAAAATAGAAAACCACTTGTTTTGGCGTAACTTCTTGGTGTTCATCCAAGAATCAGCAACATACTCCCAAATCAGAATTTTGGGCCAAATAAGCCTGGGCAACCTCCAGAGAGGCATTGGACAACGCCATAAATTGCTGAATATTTTCATCCGACATTCTGGTACACTTATAATGCTAGAATCGATGCTTGTTTGACTACTTTCGAAGTTGTAGTTACAGATCTTGGGTTAAGGTTCAATTCTGAAATGAATTTGATGGATTCTTGGATTGTAGATCACTTGTGACGTAGACTCTATAACGTTCACGGTGTCTTTACTCCTTTTTCGCTACAACTCTATCAGCAGCGTATGAGCTTTTGGGAAACCTCAACTGGAACCAAGCCTGAACCAAGGCCTTTGGCTTCGTTTGTTTTCCATTTTGTTTTCACTTTTGCTTCTGTTTGTCTTTCCTTTGCTTTGGAAGACAAAGGACGACGGCAAGTGAGTAAACGGATGTTGAACACGTTTTATTATACAAGAGAAATGAACAACTATAAACATTAAAGCACCGATGTTGAATCCCGATTCATCAACGTCTCTCAATCAATGAGTTTTGCGTTGATAATATCGGTATAAGCCCAATATAAATTTTGTCACGACGGATGGAGAAAATAGAGAAAAAGAGACTTACTCGAAGCCTGCTTATTTCTTGGCGTAAAGCTCACGGAAGTGCTTGGCAGATTCCACCATGTGGGTCAAAGACAACTTGGTTTCCTCCCATCCTCTGGTCTTTAGACCACAGTCTGGGTTAACCCAGAACTTTTCGGCTGGGTATGACTCCAAAATCTTAGCGATCTTGGCGTTGAACTCCTCGTAGGATGGAATTCTTGGAGAGTGAATGTCGAACAAACCTAGACCAATGTGGTTAGGGTAGTTCAAGAACTCGGAAATGTACTTAGGGTCGTCCTTCTTGGAGTACTCGATCGAAACCACGTCGGCGTCTAGAGCCTTGATGTGGTTAGGGTCCAAGTCGGAGTAACAGAAATGCGAGTGGATCTGAGTGCTGTTCTCAACACCACAGGTAGAGATTCTGAAAGACTCAGCGGCCCACTTCAAGTAAGCGGAACGTTCGTCACCAGCTCTCAAAGGTAGACCTTCTCTCAAAGCAGGCTCGTCGACTTGGATGATCTTGATACCAGCGGCTTCAAGGTCGTTGACTTCATCTCTCAAGGCCAAGGCCAATTGCATAGCCTGGGTCTTTTGGTCAACATCATCTCTTGGGAAAGACCATCTCAAACACGTGACTGGACCAGTCAACATACCCTTGACAGGCTTGGTGGTGATGGACTGAGCGTAGACGGATTCCTTGACAGACATAGGCTTAGGTCTGGACAAGTCACCAACGATGATAGGTGGTCTGACGTATCTGGAACCGTAGGATTGAACCCAACCGTAGACAGTGAAGGTGTAACCGTCAATCTGTTCACCGAAGTACTGAACCATATCGTTTCTTTCAGGTTCACCGTGAACCAAGACATCTAGGCCAATTTCTTCTTGGAATCTGACAACAGTTTCAATTTCCTTGTTGATGAACTGCTCGTATTCTTCTGGAGTGATAGTACCCTTGACGAACTTGTTTCTGTTGATTCTAATGTCTTTGGTCTGGGGGAAAGAACCAATAGTTGTGGTTGGGAACAATGGCAAGTTGAAACCCTTTTGAGCCTCCAATCTTTTTGGGAATGGAGCAGCACGCTGGGACAATTTGTCGTCGATGGCAGCGACTCTTTCCTGAACGGACTTGTTGTTGGTGAGGCTAGAGGATGCTCTCTCGGAGATGGACTTAGCGTTAGCCTTTAGGTCGGCAGAAACATCTTGGCCGGAAACGTTCTTGGCAATAACAACAATTTCCTTGACCTTTTGAGTGGCGAAAGCGAACCAGTCCTTAATCACTGGGTTTAGCTTCTTTTCACTTTCCAAGTCGACTGGAGTGTGAAGCAAAGAGGAAGAAGTGGCGACAACAACTCTGTCAGCACCGAGCTTCTCGATAGCCTTTTGGACAATAGCGGAAGACTTGGCAAAGTCGTTCTTCCAAATGTTTCTACCGTCAACAACACCAGCAGACAAGGTTTGCTTGTCGTTTAGGATGGAGATAACCTGCTCCAATTGTTCAGGGTTTCTGACAAGGTCAAAGTGGAAACCGGCAACAGGCAAGTTCTTGATGGCAGCCAAGTTTGGCACAACGGTACCAAAGTAAGTGGCCAATGTAATGGCTGGAGAGCCAGACTGAGTACCTAGGAAGTCGTAGGCGGTCTTGAAGGCGCCCTGCGTCTTCTCGTCCAAGTCCAAGACCAAGACAGGTTCGTCCAATTGGACGGAGGTGGCACCGGCTTCACCGAGCTTCTTCAAGATTTCGGCGTAGACAGGTAGCAGTTTCTCCAACAAGCTCAATGGCTCCAAGTCCAAAGAGTCCTTGTCGGCCTTACCAAGGGCTAGGTACGAGACAGGACCCAAAAGGACTGGTCTGGTTTCAACACCCAAGGCCTTGGCCTCCAAGTATTCGTCAACTGGCTTCTGGCCGTTCAATTTGAATTGAGTAGAGTGAGAGAAAGTTGGTCTGACGTAGTGGTAGTTAGAGTCGAACCATTTCACCATTTCCAAGGCAGTCACGTCGACGGGAGCTTCGGTTTCGGTGGCCTTCTTTTGCAGGCCTCTACCCATGGCGAAGAAAGTGTCGATAGGTGCCAAGTTGTACTTAGCGTAACGCTCAGGGATGGCGTTGAACAACAACGACAAGTCCAAAACCTGGTCGTAGAACGAGAAGTCGTTAGAGGCAATCACGTCAACACCGGCATCCTTTTGCAGCTTCCAGTTGTGAGCTCTGATTTCCTTACCGACTTTGAAAAGCTCCTCAGAGCTGACCTTACCTTGCCAGTAGGCCTCGGTGGTCTTCTTAAGCTCTCTGTTGGCACCAATTCTTGGGAACCCTAAAACGGACGATTGAACCATTGTGTATCGTGTGTGTGAAGTACTTGGTCTGTACTGAATGGATAATGGAAAACCAAGATGAAAGATCAAACATGCAATTAGGCTTTGCAAGTGTTCTCAATTCCCACCCTTTATATACATTATCGTTCAGTGCATTTTGACTCCCCTCGCTCAAGAAGCTTCGCGTTAAGAGAAAAATTTTTGTAGTGTGGATTAATTAGATGAAGGGAAACGTCTGTTTTGGTCCTAGTTTACGCTTGACATCCTTAGAACCGTATCATCTTTCCTTCGCTGTTTTCACAATCGGTCTCTTCTCAGCCTTCCCTTCTCACTGTGAGTCCGCCCATTAAGTGTGGTTGTAGTTGCACTTTGATTTCAAAATCACGCCGCGCTTCAATCGATCAAATCATTTGAGCCCGGCCTCCTCACGTTCGCGCCCATTCCCACGCCAAGTTGTACGGCATGTGCTCTACCAGACCGGCACTAGCTCAGGACTGGACCCAATGCACATGCGCTTTTTACCATCAGGCTATCAATTTGTGGCTTCTTTTCGCCTTCGAAATGCCGATGGAACGTGATAACGGAAGTGTGTGTGTGAGGAAAAGCCACTGAAAAGAAGATAAAGAGGAACAAAGAGCACGTGAAGATGATCTTTGAGGAAGAGAACGTGCTCAGTCACGTGCGTTGAAAGGACACGTATCGTCACGGGACGGGACGGTAGTGGAAAGTATCATGGTGTACGACATCTCGTCTTTGTGTAAATAAGTGGAAAGTGGCAAACGTAAGGTGAGAGGCGTTGACGGACGGACAGTTATTTCACAATTTCTTGAAAGAAGCTCTCTAGCAGTGCTGCAGTCCATTGCCAAATAGCTGGCTGTCTTTAGCCACTTTTGGCGTCCTTCTCTTCACGAGGGACCCATCTTTTAAAAAGTGCCAAATTTACCGTTTCAAGTCGTGCCAGTAGCCTTGGCAAGCTTTTCAATGTGTACAACTGCGTCTGTGGTTGTGTCAAAGTTATTAGATTTCCCAAATTTATCAACAAACACCCTTTTCTTTCGCCAATCCTCTTTAACCGCGCAAGACTCGATCGTCTGTAAAGGAGCAACAGCAATTAGACTCTCAAGTTGGCACTTTCATGGGCACTGGTGTTTTACAGTTCAAGCCGTGGGTCATACAAGGTGCTGGGAGGTAGCTCTTAGCCCATGATTTAAAACGTAAAGTGAAGCTGGGCGGTAAAATATTCCCAGATTGCAATTTCCGGATCTTATATAGTGGTTGTGTTTCGTTCAAGGTGATTGATTAAACTTTTGTCAAAAGCCCTTTCCACTTTGTTCAAGCCAGATCCATTCCGTTATGAAAACATAAGAATACAAGTTCGTGAACAGCTCTTATCTCCTTAAGCAAATTGACTGTGACACTTGATTCGAGGACTTGCTGTCTTTAAAAACTTTATTCCATCAATCAATGCCATATCATCTCTTACGACTTGAAAGCTGAAATTCGGTAACAAAATAATGAGAAATCAAGCTATAGGCGACGCCGAGCCTCGAAATATATTCATCGATCTAGCTCTCACATTCCAAGAGACATTTTGTTATTTCAAACGTCCTGTACAAAAATACTGTTCGTTTATTGTCACTGTGTACGAATGATTCATTAGTCTCTTTCTTACATTGATGAGTTGAATACTAACAATTCGACATGGTTGATCCACCTAAAGTTGACCCAAAGCGTTCCTTTGCCACACCTTCTGGAAGTTATAAAAGCTTTGATGACAACTTCCAAGACAGTTCCATCGAAGGAGCACGCCAAGCTTTTATCGCGGCGCGAAGAGCTCGCTAAACAAGAAGTGTCGCTGAAACGAGAATATACCACGATGTTGCGAAAACTTGCAAGCATCACAGCAGTACTGCAAAACTTAGAAGAGGATACAGATGCCTCAAAGAGAGTGATTTCAGAAACTGTGTTATCGAAAGTGCCAGATCTTAAGCCATATTCGATTTTGCTCGAGGAAGTCAATAATAAGGCCCCACAAGACATTGAAATACCAGATTTCCTGCAGGATTCGTACGCTCTTTACAAAAATGCACCTCTTCTGTATAAAGATTTGTGAGACCTGCTGTGGCGTAATGTTATGCGGAAAACGTTGCTATATGTACACAATGGAGAGCAGTTAGGTGGAACGCGGTATCTAACCCACATCTTTCCTTCTGGACTTCTTTCGTTCCCTTTTGATAATGGCTTCCAGCATCTTCTTGCTAACCAGAGTCTCGCACAAAAATTTTCGAACTTGTGGTTTGAATCGATACTGCTCCATGAGGGCCAGTACCCGCAGAAATATTTCACCGGTCTCAAAACGGGCAGGCCCATACATTGACAGCAGCTCGGTAATTTCCTTCGCGGCTGCATTCGACAGAATGTGGTTATTCAGCTTGCTTACGGCTCTCATAATTTTATCGGCAAGTTCGTCACCCGTCGTTTCCTTAACCTGTGATCTGAACATCTCTAAATTGCGAGCCTGGCGGTCCACTTCAGCCTGCACTTCCTCCTTTTCGTCTCCCATTGTATTCTCCAATTCGGCTTTGCTTTGAAGAAGCTTGTCCAAATCCATTGATACTGGCTCCAGCGCCGATGACCTATCCGGAGTTCCTGGATCGCCTGGACCCTGGAAGGTAACCCGCCGCTCTTGGAACTCCGGGAATTTGAGAAACTGTCGGATGTCTTTAGGGAACGCCAATGCTAAAGGCATTTTTAACACGTCTAGAGTGCAGTTCCAACCCAGCTCATCGAGGATTTCACATCCCTCGTCAGTGTTGGCGATTAGTCCAAGCACATAAAAAGCTGTAAATTTGGTTGAAGTTGAGGAAGCCGCAAAGCTGATTTTTGCAATATCGGTAGTAATAGAATATGCCTCCAGTAATTCGACTCCGTAGACGGTTGAGCCTATGTAGCCACAGCACCATAGTGCGGCCTTCAATTCCAAATGTTCTTCAACCGTTGGATCAGGACAACCCTTGTATCTGTATTGTTTAATGGTGTTGACGACATCAACAAAATCACCCTTCTGCGTAATCAGTGCAGCACCTTCTTCGGTGCTAGCAAGACTCTGAAAGAAGTGCATTGGCAGTCTTCTTTTGGACGTAGGAACCTCGGAAGCGTTGCTCAATGGGTTCAGCATTTCCTTTCGTATAAACTCCTCGACCCTCCAAACGTATTCCTTGTTCTTACCCTTCAGCCATTTTTCACGCTCCGCTTCAATGAACCCAATACTGTTTAACTGCTCAAACCCAGGAGGCGTTTTCAAGAACTCTAGCAAAATCGGGGAGCGTATGAAAACAAGTTGATTTAGTAAATGATGCCGCGGGGTATCGACGTTAGGTGGCCAGTCTTGTAGTGCGCAGTACCCGTATAGAATTTTGTCTGCTGCGGCAACCACTGTTGGTGAAAGATCATATAGTTGCCTAACAACCAGTTCCAACAAAAGCTTTTCCAGCTCGATTGATTTTGGACCGCTTTTGGCCTGCTTGACAGATTCTTGCAACCTTGTTCCCAGTAGATTTGTAGACATGACGCGGACCTCTTCCATTGGATGCGCTAGTGCTTTGCTCAATATTGTTCTTGTGTGGTATGAATGAGTTACGTCCAACTCGGGTAGAATTCGAATGAGATAAGAAGTGGCGAGGCTGGAAGTCTTTTGAAACATTTTATAGATGACTGTAAAAAGATTCCATTTCTCAAGCATTTTGCATCCTCTTATGGTTTGAGTAAGCGCTCCTATGATGCTGAAATAACCACTGGATATTGTTTGCGCCAGGTGTTTTTCTGAAAATACGTTTCCCAGCGTTTGGCCCTCCATGGCTTTGAATAGCAATGAGGCTATTTGAGGGAGAAGTTTGGTGTCATCATTTAAAATGCGCATCCCTTCTGCAGTTGAAGTTAGTGTCTTCATTAATTCGCGCCCTACATGAACACACCTTGTCGCTAGGCGTGAGTTGCGGGAGATTCCCGCAAAGCGATATCTCATTGGCCGGTAAAAAACCAGTAGTCGACGGAAAAACTTAGTGGTTTTTGCAAGGTCTTCCAGCCTCTTCGGGCTAAGCAAGGGACCCTCAATCAAGTCTAGGAGTGTACCCCAGTTCCATAAGGAAAAGTCCTTTGTTTGCAAAATTCTAGTATCAAATACCATTCTTTTGAACCTGATCTCATCTACCTGACTCACTAATGCATCATGTTTAGATCGCTCCGAGAATTTTACTATGTTATTGCTCGGTGCTAGCTCTGTCATACCAATCGTGTTTCTATTCTTGTTCAATCTGTTCGTCACCTTTTCATACTGAAAAACTTGGGAGAAAACATTTTGAAGTGCTGAGTGCTCCGGGAAAAGCAAATTGACAGAAGCGCGCGGTCTCAAGTCCGCAACGTTTATTGATATATTACAATATTCAGTCATGAGATATCTGGTCTTTGCAGACAGTTTTGTATCCTTTGCGGTGCCTGAATCTCGACTCAAAATCGGAACCAAGTGATCGATGAACTGTAGTTCAAACAATATGCTGCTCAGCAGACCCAGGTACTGATTGACAGGTGTGACCTCAGACTGGAATTGAGAACCGGTTATTTTGTACAGATGAGAGGCCTTCTTCTTTTCCGGGTATGATAGTGGCTTTATTCGCAAAACATCTAAAAACAAGTCAACCAGGTAGCTGGAAAGTGACGGGGACTGGATGAATGCAAGGAGTTCTTTAAACGGCCTGAAATTATCTTGAGAAAACAAAATCAGCCCATTGTAGTTTTTCAAACATTTGCAAATCAGCACAATACTAGCTTGAAGTCTCTCGACGCTCGAATTTGCTTTCATTTGGCTGTCCGCTAGGGTTGCTAAGGTTACCGAGGGGTCAAAAGACTCAAAGAAATGCTGCCTTGTCTCTCGGAAACTCATCAAGTCTAAGATGGAATCCAAAAGAAAAGGAGAAAATGAAGACATTGGGTTCTCTGCTATGATGAACTGCAATACTTGCATCCCTTTGCATCGCTGAACAATGGCAGGTTTGATATAGCAGAGCTCCAATAGTGTTTCGGTGGCTATTTCCATCAGCTGGTCATCACTTTTTTCGATGCAACTTACTACGGCCTGTATAAGGCCGGTGGTAACACTGGCATCGCACTCTGCGAAGGCGCGTATGAGCTTCATTGCCTGGACCTTTTCTATAAGAGACGGGCTATTCTTGGCTAAAGAAATAATCAAAAATGACTCCAAATGTAGTTTGCGCAATTTCTGAATGAATTCGGGTCCTGTAATAAGAAATCGACATATTCTGTACCCTGCGGCCACGGTCACTTCATCCTCGCTAAGCAACAGCTCTTGTATGGAGTGCGAAAAAGCAGGTAAAACAAGATCATATTTTATCCTAGGATTTTGCTTCAACAGCGTAACCAAGTCATTGGCCTTGACAACTATCACGTCTTTGGGTGTGTTTTTATCCTGAAGACTCTGGAGGTAGTCACCCACAAGCCAAGTGGCATGCTCATTGCCTGTTGCCGCTATGCGACCCGAGGGCTGCGAAGTGACAGCTTCTATATCCGTACTTGGCACGTCATCAAATGCGTCGATTGACACACTGTCGCTCTCTGAGACCGGTGGTGACATTAGTTGATCCGCATCGTCTTCCGTGGCACTATCGTTCATCAAAGCGCTTTCGGAAGGTCTTTCTGACACGTTTCCAAGAAATTGAGAATGTGCAAAGACATCTGTTTTCCCTATATCTTCAGTAGCAGCAGAGCTGGTACTGTCTAAGCGACCCCGAAGCGTACTCAGTAAGTCGCCGTTTTTCTTGATCTGCTGGTCGAGTTTCCGGACTTCGTCTTTGGTTTGGAGAACCATGGAATGCCGATGTAAATGTTCCTGTGAGTAATTTCCGGGGTATATGTCCACCGTCGCCGACTCGCGGCGTTTCTCGGCGTCTTCTTTCGACTTCCGTAGACGGACGAGATCCTGTTGAACATGGTGAATGTCGTGCTTGAGGGTACTTATAGTCTTTACCGTACCACTTCTGGTTCTCCGGGTTTCCAATGGGCTCATGGGAGATGCGGGTTGCTCTTCAAACTTGCGGGTTGGAATGAAAGACGTGGAAAGAACGGTGTTACGTCTACTTCGAGTGGGGATCTCATCGTTGCTGGAGTGAGATCGCAGCAGTTGTGGACTCGACATTTGACTGGTCATTTGGTCTATCGGACCCCCAAATGCCAACCGTGGCCTTCGAAACTGGCTGATTCCTGACCTTTCTGGTTTGGATTTTAGTCTGTCTTGTTCGGCATGGAAGAATAATACTGATGAATATAGTATAGTAGACCTTCATTACAGTAGACAAAACAAAGGAGTCACGTGATGGGCAAGAGATCCTCAAACCATATGGCTAAGTTTGAAGAAGCTAGCGCTTTGCTTTTTCGAGGAGATCTTCAAGCGCCTTTGCCACTTGTTGGGTTTCCGGGTCGATGGTTTGGTCGGCCAGATCTTGGGCTGAAGGTTCTCCCATCAATTTTCTCACTTTTACGGTGAACTCAGCAAGCGATGAAATATCGGCTAGCCAGCAAGACCCAAACACCAGCATTCCAAATGAGCCTGTAGCTAGTCCGGTTCCAAAGGCAAGAGCACTGACGGCTTCACCTTGAAAAGAATACAGTGGCGGTTTGTGGTTGAGCTGAAACATGTTGGGGACATCTGTAGGGGAAAAAGAGAGAGAGAGAGAGGTTAGTATTGGAATAGGGTTTGTGAAAGACTAGATTGCAGGATCGATCGAGTAGAACTTACATTTCCGAGATTGGACTCCTCTGAAGGCCAGACGGGCAGAAATTAGCGTGAATACGGTAGCGCCGAAAAATCGCATCATTTGCTGTTTCCGGCGCTTTTTGTACTCCTCCGAGAAAACCGAGATTTGTCTGGTAGTTAGCTGAAGTTCAGTAGTCATTAAAGCTGGATAGATATTGGTGTTAAGATCGCAAGGTCTTGACTTTACTGTTGGTTTTCAATGTTTTCACGCTGATTGTTGAAGTTCAAGATCGATATTGATTTTTAAAATTGATATCATCGCTGTACATAAAGCCATACAAAAGCTGCCAAGTCAACAGCCCAGAAATCACACGATTGGCATCAAAAAGATTCCAAAATGGTGAACGTGTGACTAGCAGAGACTACTGAGCCTTTTCCATGAGAAATTGAAGTCTTTTTTTCCCAGCGTTTGAGCCTACATATTCACATAATGAACGGATGAGCCGAAACCTTTAAAATACACTTGGAAAGAAGATTTTGGTGTTCCAAATCTTTTTAACAAGATTTTCCAGTTCCGCTTCAAGTAGAACAAAGGTCTGAAACCATGAACCCGATAGTTAAACTTGAGATACTTGATCTTGAAAATTCGTTCGAAAATGAAGTCATAATGAAATGAGGCGTCTCAATCGTCTTGATATCAAAGGATAGGCCCGAGTAAACTCTATCGTCTCTCCAATAACCGCCTCAAACACTTTAGCTTCCAGCCCCTAAGACTGCCATCGACAGACTGTCGTCGTGTTCCACGTGACGGGTCTACAATCCATCTTTATCGAAAAGTATTGATGCCAGTAGCTTTCATTCTCTCATCGATATTTCAAGTCTTGAACTACACAACTCGCCTTTTAGCTATCTTTCAAGCCGTAAAACAATGCATCCACAACTTGAGGCTCAGAGATTTCATTGTATGTGATTAGCTTGATTTCCCACAAACCTGCTAAGCACAGCAATACTAACTTCAAAACTTCAGCTTGTCTCGATCTGATAGAGGCCCTCGACCAATGTCACCAGGCGGAATACTACAAAAGAGCACTGGGACTGTGTAACAACGAAAAAGAAGCACTTTCCAAATGCTTGCATGAAGCTCGGTACGAAGTAGGGAAAGCAGCTATTTTGCAGAACCGTGAGAAACAGAAAAAAATGGACGCCAGATGGAAGCAAATCAAAGAGGAAGAATACGGCGAAGACGCAATACTCCAACGCATCATCCAAGACCAAGTTGCCAAAAGACTGAAAGGAGCTGCTGACAAGTCCAATTGAAAATAGAAAAAAAACCCCCCAAGGACCCGCCCCTCACGTAAACTCAGACTGCAGGCAAGTTAAAGGGAAAAATTGCCGATTTCATGTAAATATCTAGGAACTACACACTAAAACCAAATCATGCTAATGTAGCTTCTTTTTTCGTTAGTTTCTTTCTCAAAACCACCACCACGATTTGATTCCTGGCGTACAGCGCAGCGTCTCATTATTAAGGCGGCGTCCGCAAACGCAATTGGGCAAAAAAATTCAATATGCATTTATCGTAGAACACTCACAGCCAATCAGTCCTGTCTGGTCTTGAGGTACCGTTTGATGACCTGGTCCTTTTTTATTATGTAGACGGCTGCACCCCAGCCCGATAGAGCATCACGGTCTGCAGCGTTCAGGAGCGCCTGACTTATGGTCTCAAAAAGATCCTCAGACTCCAGGTTTGGTTCGTATAGGGACTCGCACATACCAAACAGCTGTTCTGAAGCGGTTCCGCTTACCACGAAATCTTTTGCCTCGTCAATGCAGCCGATGAGGTCGAAACCTGCAATGTAGGGCTTTCCTGTCCTTGAATGAATACCAGCAACCACAGGACCTGTGAAATATGGTCCGAATCTCTTCTCATATAGAGAACTCGAAACCAGCTGTGTGAAGGTATCAGGTTCTATGAGACGGTCCTCTTTGAGCTTATAGAGATTTGTCTTGTAACGGAACGATTCCGAAAGTGTTGTTACGTCCGTTGCAAGCCCTGTGAGTCCCAGAAAGACATGACCGTAATGGAATATCTTTTCGAAATTGTTGGCCACACCTAGCGATTGACTTCCTAGTCGAAGATCGCACGCGATCGCGACGCAGTCTTTGCCGGTCATGGCGACGACAATACCACCTGTTAAACGAAAAAATGTTAGAATTTGAAATAAATGGGAACACTGTACCCTGCCGATTCGATATTTCGAGGTTGGCCTTGGAGGGTCGGTCAGGAGAAGTCCCTGTCCAGTCTTCGAGCGAAGGTGTCAAATTATTGGTGAAACATACCATTGATGGAGCTTGGATCAGACATAAAAGGTTTGGGCGGCAGTAATCGATCTTATTGTGCTTCAATGTTGATTTGCCACTTACCTTGAATACTTGAAGGTTCTACCAGAGGTGATGCTATATTACTATAATATTATAACGAGTTATATCGTCCCGTACGAATGGTCCAGCCTAAAGCCCTATGAGCGTCAGTTGAAGTAATCCAACTAAGAGCAGTGTTAGGTTCAAAGCTCGGCGAGAAGCTCGATGAATTAGTGAGTTTTGATGGTATAGGATTGGTTATCCAAAGTTTGGAATCTTCGGGAAGTATGCGGTGCTGTCACTTCTCACTAAGCATGTGTCGCTATTTCCACTGTTTGTACAGTCCGTTCAACTCCCGATGTCTCTTTTGCCGTGCTTGTCCAGAAGCTGTGAGGCATTTTGCAGTGCTTTGAGGTATACAAGATGCTTGCTGAACTGCTGGTTGAGGTAAAGGTATTTGTTGTTCCAGTTATCCATAGCAGATTCAAATAGATGATCATGAGATGCTGTGGCATTTGACGACCACACTTTGACCATGCGAGGTTTGAGAGCGTTGTGGGCGTCTAGCTGTAGGCCCAGCGTGTCGGTGAAAGTCTCCAAATCTCGCAATTGGGATTCAAAATCCCACATCGCAATGCTTTCATCGAGATCTGCGAAAAGGGCATCCAGACTTACCAGTGGGGTCCATTTTCTTAGTTTCACTTGTGTTACAGCGCTCTGGCCATTCAGCAGGTTTTCGCCCCACCCATACTCTTCGTTTGATATCATTTCCGCCTGTGCTGACGGAATTGGTGTGATTCGTGCTGCCCAGAAATTCAGACATGCAGCGAGATGCTGAGCTTCTTCCAAATTGCCGGTCTGAAACCGGAATGCAAGTCCGCTCGTGGAGTCGATCCCGTGCGGAAACTCGAGAGTGAGGCTCGTGGTACTGACATTAGATTTGTGGCTCGCTACAATGTTTTCCTGTACCACTGCTGCCAGTGTCCCATACAGATTGTAAACATGCAAATGCGAGCAGTTTCTTCGACAAACTTCTAGGTCCCAGCTCTGGATCTGGCTGGATGTTATGCGATCAAGTCCCGGTAGCTTAAATTTGTAAACGAACAAGCGTCCCTGGTACACTCTTATGCGTGCGCGATAACCAGTATGCGACATAGCAGCGTGAGCATTTTCCCGGAAAAGCGTGTCCTTTGAGCCTTTCCTGAGCCACGAGAGAAGTTTGCGTTTTGGGGTACTTGATGGCGCCAGGAGTTGTGATGTGGAGCTGTTGGAGTTTGTTGCTTCTTGGCCTTCCACCACGGTATCGATGAACCAGGGAGAATTGGCTAGTTCTTGCATTTCCTCGTCGAATGATTCCTCGGCGTACAGTTTCGCTAGGGGCTGCTTGTTGCGCATTAAGTAGTTGCTGATGGCTGTGGTTTCGCGGGATAAAAATGTTGAAGAGCTGTTCACACTTGAAGCAGTAGACAAATTTGAGTGCATACGTTCTAAGGAATTTGGACGCATGGACAAAATCGAACGCTTTTTCATATTGCTGCCGCTATTGTTGCCGTTGGGTTGACGAGGCTCACTACGTTTGCTGAGATGGTGTCGAGCCGGGCGGCGTGGATGGCTCAACAGCGGCAATTCTTGGCTCTCCAACGACAAGTAGCATAACGTTAGCTCTCTTTCAAAACTCGGCACGTCGATATCGCTGCATTCTTTTTTAAGTGCATACACAGTGTTATCTCTGAAGTCTTGCAGCGAGAACCTACAATCTGTGGCCGAGTTATGCAGCGCTGAATTGAGCATGAGTAGCGCAAACAACACGATGTGACACAGTCGGTAGTCGTTCTTGTAGTGCGGTTTCTTGTGCTCTGCCAGCCATTGCTTGGCAAGCACCTCCAAAATGGTGTCGATATTGGCTGCTTCTGCGATGAAATAGATGCTTCCTGAGAGTTTTTTCAAAGTTGATGTGAGAGAGCCCGGCAGCGGATGTAGCAGCTGCACAAACTCCCGCAGCACTGCAGCGTTTTCTGCTGAGCCCAAGAAATTTGCATATTCGACGAATTCCACATTTTCCAGACGTCCGTCGAGGATTTTTTGAGCTGTTTTCCTTGCTTTTGGCGACTGAGGTGTTGGGGATTGAGATGCGGATGTGTCCGTTGTCGTTGTCGTAGTCGTTGTCGTGCACTCGCTTACAATTTCATGAATATTGTTGATTCTTGGGGACTCGATCAACGTTGCAAGGGTCGTCGATAGATGTTTATCAGCGACGCTATTTAGAGTGTTTTCTTCCTCCACCATACTACCACTTCCAATATTGCACTGTGCTTAGGTCTGTGGTATTACCTGTGGTTTCCGTGTAGTCGATCTTTCTCATTGATGATGGTGGTGGTGCTTCTTCAACGCTTAATTTGATGTGGTTTTTGAACCGTCGAGTACTTCGGAGCCTCTAGAATTGGACGCGAGTACCCGTTTGACAATGGTCACGTGGACCGCCCTTTTCGTTCTCAAAGAATCTCAACAACACTTTTTTGGCTAGTTTTCAGGATTATTGTATTGGCAATGGGTCACTTAGTGTAAGCCTATGACACTGAATGGCGACGTGTGTTGTTTCTCTGAAAAAAGTCCGGTCATCTTCAATATATCTCATCGCGATGAGTTTCGTAATTTTGTTTGTACATTCTTGCGGGGAGTTCTAAGCGTTCACAGACGCCTAGAAAGCCAAAAAAAGAACCAGGTCGTGAGTCTTCTCAAGCATACAAAACCGGTCTCTTATTTTAAGGACTCAATTCCTCTGCTACACTTCCTTTTGATCTCTATATGTTCTTAGCCTGGCTAACGCGCGTGCTACTTACTACTTAAATAATAGCTGTTATAGGTTATTGGAAGAAAATCGATTTTATATATCACATGTGACGGACTTCGTAACGAACGATCGACCCGAATTTTTCAAAACGCGAAAAATATAATTAATTACGACCCCCAGAATCAAAAAAAAAATAAATAAAGCATCTTTACGTGTATCGCTCGCTCGCTGCCCTTACTACTCAGCAAGATCAAGTCAAGCTATTGATCAAAAACACCGTTCGTTCGCACCAAAAGCGCTCCACAAGGTTACGCAAAGGATGTCTACGGAGGCAAGAACTATGTACCAGAACTCGCAGGCAGACGAGCCGGCTTCTAGCCAGAGAAACGGTGGGTTTCAGGGCTCTGAAGCCCCAGCGGAAAACCGCATGTTCGTGCCTGATTCGCTGGCTGAGGGCAACGAAAACAGCAGCGGCAACGGACACGAGATGGAGGGCGAAGAAGAAGAAGAAGAAGAAGAAGCAGCTCTGGTGTCGTTTGTGCCGCTCGAAAGACTCCAAGTCAACGGAATCACAGCGCTGGACCTGAAAAAACTGCGGGAGTTTGGACTGCACACGGCAGAGGCAGTGGCGTACGCGCCGCGTAAACAACTTTTGGAGATCAAGGGCATATCCGAGGCCAAGGCTGAGCGGTTGCTGAACGAAGCGGCGCGTCTGGTACCCATGGGGTTCGTCACCGCTGCAGACTTCCATATGCGCCGTTCCGAAATGATATGTCTGACTACAGGGTCCAAAAACTTCGACACGCTTCTGGGCGGTGGCGTAGAGACCGGGTCCATCACAGAGCTTTTCGGAGAGTTCAGAACCGGGAAATCACAGCTGTGCCACACGCTCGCCGTCACCTGCCAGATCCCGCTGGATATGGGCGGTGGAGAGGGCAAATGTCTATATATCGACACCGAAGGAACGTTTAGACCCATCAGACTGGTTTCGATCGCCCAGCGGTTTGGTTTGGACCCCGATGACGCTCTCAACAACGTGGCCTACGCCAGAGCCTACAACGCAGACCATCAGCTGCGGCTTCTGGACGCCGCAGCCCAGATGATGAGCGAATCGCGATTTTCTTTGATAGTTGTAGACTCCATTATGGCGCTCTACAGGACCGATTTTGCCGGCCGTGGTGAACTCAGCGCTCGTCAAATGCATCTGGCCAAGTTCATGCGGGCTTTGCAACGGCTTGCGGACCAATTTGGCGTTGCGGTGGTCGTCACCAACCAGGTGGTAGCTCAAGTGGACGGAGGCATGTCGTTCAACCCGGATCCTAAGAAACCCATTGGGGGCAACATTATGGCGCACTCTTCCACCACTCGTCTGGGCTTCAAAAAGGGTCGTGGATGTCAGAGAATATGCAAAGTTGTGGACTCTCCGTGTCTGCCCGAAGCAGAGTGTGTTTTCGCTATTTATGAAGACGGTGTAGGAGACCCCAGAGAAGAAGACGAGTGAATGTCCATCTAGGAAAAAGCTTCTACATACACAGCAAGAGGCAGAGTCGATAGGAAAGGAAAGTTCGGGTGAAATTCACATAAAGAAGAAACAACCATCCGTCTCAAGATGTCAACTACGACTGTCAACTACGATCTACCAAGCTATGTCCTGTCTACGACCGTACAGAGCACACGTAAGTTCGAACGCCAGCTCGAGAAGCAAACCCAAACTTACCGCTGGGCTTTCCTTCCACCTTATACGTTTTCGTTGAGTCGATCATCCAGTCGATGCTCTGCGGCTCTCAACCAGACGTTTCCCATTATTTCAGTTGCACCGTTCCTTTCGAGATTGTTTCATTTTCATTTCTGACGGGTGAGAAAATTTCGCTTCTTATGCTATAATAAGCCTTCAAAAGTGATGTGATGTGATCTTCTCATACTATTGAAGAATACACTGGAGCTGCAGCTGTTGTGGTAAGTTAGACAAGTCTAGCGGACAGGTCTAACAGGTGCTTTTAGCTTAACTTCAACACTTTCAATGGCTACCACAGCGCATCCGTACCGTCAGAATTTGGCGACTACACCTCAGGCTAACTATAGCGTGGAAAACGTGGGAGAAAGGGCAAGAATCTCGAGCAAATCCAGCAATGAGGGGTTGGAGAATGTCAAGGTAGACCAGGAGTATGAGAGATACGACTTAGGGGCTCCATTGGACCCGCCTCAAGCTGTTCAGCAGCATCGGAAAGCTGTTTCGTCGCCAGTGACCTCTACTATAGGAACACCGGTTTCCTCACAGTTCAACCTACAAGACTCCCATACCAGTCTTTCCGAGCTACGCGTCACCTCTGATGGAGCTACGCCCAGAAATTCGCGCAGAAATACCAAGTCATTGGACCTCTCGCATTTGTTTCTGCTGGGCGACAAAGATACCCAATTTACAGCGACTAATGAGAGCGTGGCAGACCTCTCGCACCAGATGATCTCGGAATATCTGGGCGAGGCCAACAATTCTTCGCTGGTGCCCCGTTTGAAGACCATCGAGATGTACAAGCAGAACGTCAAGAAGTCCAAGGATCCAAATGTGTTGTTCCAGTATGCCCAGTACATGTTGCAAACAGCGCTCACTATAGATACAGCAGGCATGAGCGGGTCTTCGGTCTCATTGGGCAAAGACGGTAAATCAGATCCGCATGCTGATATGCGCCGGCAATTCTTGAAAGAAGCGCAGACCTACCTGAAAAAACTCAGTGTGAAGGGCTACGCAGACGCACAATATCTCTTGGGAGACGCATACTCGTCCGGTGCTTTTGGCAAAGTCAACAACAAGGACGCTTTCGTGTTGTTCCAGTCGGCCGCCAAACATGGCCATGTGGAAAGTGCTTTCAGAACGGCATTCTGTTTTGAAGAAGGGTTGGGTACAACCCGCGATTCGCGTAAAGCGGTTGAATTTCTCAAATTCGCTGCCAGCAGAAATCATCCTTCTGCAATGTTCAAACTAGGTCTATTTTCGTTCCATGGACGCATGGGCCTGTCTCATGACATCAGCACAAAGCAAAATGGTATCAAATGGCTCTCTAGGGCCGCAGCGCGTGCGAATGAGCTGACCAACGCTGCTCCTTACGAATTGGCCAAAATATACAAAGATGGGTTTTTGGATATTATCATACCGGATGTGAAGTATGCGATGGAGCTGTACATCCAAGCCGCTTCTCTCAAGCATGCTCAATCTTCTACTGCATTGGGGAAGATCTACGAATCGGGTAACGAGGTGGTGCCTCCTGACACCAGTTTGAGTGTCCATTATTATACGCAAGCCGCACTTCTGGGCGAGCCGCATGCTATGCTTGGGCTTTGCGCCTGGTACTTGATGGGAGCCGAACCAGTTCTTGAGAAAGATGAGCGAGAGGCTTATCAATGGGCTTTAAAAGCTGCTAAAATAGGGTTGCCAAAGGCCCAGTTTACGGTGGGATATTTTCATGAAAAGGGTAAAGGATGCGAGGCTGATCCTTTAAAAGCCCAGCATTGGTACGAGCTTGCGGCCAAGGGAGGCGACGAAAGAGCCGCCAATAAAGTGGGCGGAAGGGACGCTGTTCACCCCAGAAGGCAGAAGAGCTCCACCACGCTTAATCTATTTTCATCGGTTTCCACTTCCAATCTCTTAGAGACGACGAATGGAAAAACTTCGCCAAAAGCTGTGAACTCTGATACTTCCAACCAACCCCCGGTGCTGGCGCCTCTGGATGCGAGTGGTCTCAGTAAGAAAATCCCTGGCCCCGAAAACGGGGCTGCTTTCGATTTGACCGATGACGTGGTACCGAAACCTAAAAGTACCCGTCTGTCGCAAGAACCCACCAAAAAAGACAAGAAATCTCAAGTTAAAAAGAAGGGCAAGAAATGCGTCATTATGTAGAGGGCTAATGTCATTTGTATTGATGTGCGTCGTAAGGAAAATAAGTTTGTATTTTTTTACAGGATCGATGTTTGTCAAAGCGGCCCGTTGCGTCTAAAATATAAATATGCAGGACTGCCAAATTAGGGCAAACGATGTTAGCTCATTAAGTCAATCTAAAGCCCCCAAACATAAATAACCAAAAGTAGGCAACATCAATGTCAATGTTGCAAGGGACCATGAACGGATTACCGGTAGATTGAAGTGCAATTCGATGTCAAATAACATTCGTGTCAGTATAGTACAAAGTGATAACATGGGACACACAAACGTCTTGGTGACAAAAGAGGCTAAAAGGTGAAGCGACCAAACTTAAACCAGATAAAAAAGACTCCGTACAAAGGCAAGTCAAATTAAGCAGCCCTTAAAGATATTTCCGTCACGAGAACGGAATCAATCACATGACTGGACAATAAGAGCGTATATAATGACAATTACGAAATATCATCAACGTATAAAGGTATCCAAAAAATTAGCACGTGCCAAAACTACGGGGACGCCAAATGTCACTGTACACGACACAGCCACACCTCTAAATCCTTAAATACTGTCTCATAGTGAATATCTAATAGTAGCCACACTACACTCATCTGACTAAAGGGTCCATCGACTATATAAATCATCAAATTTAATCGAAGAACCTTCAACATCAAGACAACTCATTCCTTATAACATTGTCAAAGAAACTAGCAATTGAGGCCACACCTTCATTGTGCAAAAGACCAATCTTTCTACTACAACACAATATAACGATGTTCCGCTCTCTGCTCGCTGTCAGAAGACCTGCTCAGCAACAATCCATGTTGAGAACCTCAGTTAGAATGATCAGAACATTCAAACAGGAAGAGCAACCAAGGCTTAGAATTAACTCTGTTGCCCCCAACTTTACTGCCCCATCGACGCAGGGCCAACTGAACCTACACGAGTATTTGGGAGATTCGTGGGGTGTATTTTTCTCGCATCCTGCGGACTTCACCCCTGTGTGTACGACGGAATTGGGCGCTTTTGCCCAGCTGAAACCCGAATTTGAAAAGCGCAACGTCAAGCTCATTGGTCTGTCTGCCGAGGAGGTGGACAAACACCAGAACTGGATCAAGGACATTGAGGAAATTAGCAGTCTCGACAAGTTTTCGTTTCCCATCATTGGCGACGCCAGTCGTGAAGTGGCGTTCTTGTACGACATGGTTGACGAAGAAGGTTTCAAAAACCTCAGCAAGGGCGTCGTGGCGACCATCAGAAGCGTCTACGTGATCGACCCTTCCAAGAAGGTCCGTTTGATCATCACATACCCTGCTTCCGTGGGCAGAAACTCGAGCGAAGTTCTAAGGGTTATCGATGCTTTGCAAAAGGGTGACTCCAAGGGAGTTGTGACGCCAATCAACTGGCAGCCAGGTGAAGACGTTATCATTCCTCCTTCCGTCTCAGACGCTGACGCGAAGACTAAGTTCGGTGATTTCAAGACCGTCAAGCCATACTTGCGTTACACCAAGGCCTAAAAAAAGGTAGTTTAGGGGTACAAACCTTCCCAAGTTCGAACAGAAACGAAACCGAGAATAGTAAATAGCCTCACATTTATGATTTATATAGTACAAACGAAATAACATTCGACCACGCACATTTAATCGGCTTGTTTAATGGTGATCGCTGCAGTGAATTTTATCAAATTAGGGTCTGAGCTAAAGCAATTGTCGTCGAATCCTCAATCAAGGTTAATCCACGTACTACAGCGACGAAAACCTACTTTGGCTTTTCACAGTGTGTGTTCAAGCGATGCGATGAGATGCTCTCCTGTGATTAATACACGCGGGTAAACTGAAAAATTTCCGACTTTCACTAAGACAAAATTGTCAAATTCAAACATCAACAGCCAAAAAGTAGCCGTTCTTGACCTGTGACAAAGCTCTTAAAGACTCCATTGGACAGTGCCCGCCATTAGCAACACATTGAACTTTTTTTTAAAGAGAAGCGGTTATTTTTGAGTGATTTTCGAGAGCTGCCATATTAGTAGACCTATAACCACCGATCTCAAATGGAATGAGCTGTTCACCAGAACAAGTGGGCATCAAGGATCCTGGACCAGACCCCAACCGGAAACGCACGTTTAACGATGATTCCAAAGAGCTAAATGGCGTCGAAATCAAGCGCAGAACTGTCAAAGACGAAGAACATTCGCTACCGCCAGTTTCAGCCGCTGTAAAAGCAACACCAAATGCGACTGCAATCAATCCTGGGCAAAAACATGGTGTCAACAGCAGCGCCGATAAAAGTGACTCCAGTGAAGCAAAAGTGGGCATCACAGGACCCACAGGTCATCGACCCGTGACTTCCTGTACGCATTGTAGACAACACAAGATCAAATGTAATGCCAGCGAGAAATTTCCGAACCCGTGTTCTCGATGTGAGAGAATGGGACTGAAGTGCGAGATTGATCCACGGTTTAGGCCGAAGAAAGGATCGCAACTTCAAAGTTTACGCAGCGATGTGGAAGAGTTAAAATTGAAAGTGAAGTGTCTGGCGTACAACGAACGGCTTATCGCCTACGCCTTAGGAAAAAGTGAGTGGGGCCGAGACCTTTTGCAGCGTGTCAAAAACGCCTCACAATCTGCCGGCAAAACTGGAGACAGCGTCTTGAAGAATGATTCATCTCCTCAAATAGCGGCCAGTTCCTGCTCAGCTGGGGAACCCACGGTCATTCAATCGGCTGGTCCGAATGCTTCCAACCAAGTGGAGCCCCCGACAGGCGAAGGGCTACATAGAGCTCATATCAGCGTTGATCCTGCTGTGCTCAACGATAAATCCCTTCCAAGGGTTTTAAGAATCGCCCTCAAGAGACGTGCATCCAAATATACCCCTTCTCCTGCTAACTCAACGGATGCTACAAGTCCGGCGCTGACTCCTGACAATAATGGTACGGAAATCCCATTGAAAGGAAGAGAGCATGTTGTGGCCACAACAAGCGCTATGCAGCCTTTACCGTCGCCACAGGCCAGTGTTGACGAATTCATACTGGGCGATGTCAAAATATCTCTTGAAAAGGCAAACGAGTTGCATCGAGTTTTCGTCGAATCATTTTTGCCATACTTCCCGATAATGTACTCTAATACAGCTTTAGAGCTGTATTCACAGTCTCATTTACTGTTTTGGACCGTGATGCTCACGGCATGTCTATCAGAGCCCGAACCTTCGCTTTATAATCGGTTGGCATCATTAATCAAGCAATTAGCAATCGAAACCTGTTGGATACGGACGCCGCGGTCAACTCATATATCACAAGCGTTATTGATACTCTGCACTTGGCCTTTACCGAATCAAAAAGTTCTAGACGACTGTTCTTATCGATTCGTGGGACTTGCAAAATCGCTTTCTTTTCAACTGGGTCTGCATCGAGGTAAATTTATGTCAGAGTTTACAAGGACTCAAACATCGATGCCCAATGCAGAGAAGTGGCGTACGCGCACATGGCTAGGCATTTTCTTTGCTGAACAATGCTGGGCCAGTATTCTAGGTCTACCACCCACTTCCCAAAATGATCATTTGATTGAACTAGCCCGTCTCCGGGAGGATGAAAGTGCAGTGCCTAGCAGATTTAGGCAATTGATATGCCTGGCTAACTTCCAGTCCACACTGTGTGAAACAATGGGCTCGAGTGTAACGACGCCCGACGGCTTGCTAGACGCACAAGAGAGGGGCGGTGCGCTAGAGTCACTAAGAGTAGAACTGGCAAGATTACAAGCAAAATTGAAGTTCGAACAAGACACTGTGATTGAAATGTATTTTCTCTACGTTAAACTCATGATTTGCTGCTTCGCCTTCCTTCCAGGCACCCCAGCGGAGCATCAAAAAAAGTATGTCGATGACGCCTACTTGAGTGCAACAAAGGTGGTTACTCTTCTTGTAAAACTTTTAGAGACCACCAATTTGATTCAGCTTCCAATCTATGTCCGCCAAAGCGTCACATATTCAGCTTTGATTCTGTTCAAGCTTCAATCAACACCATGGATGCCGGAAAAATTCGTGGACTCTGCTCGTCAATCAGTCGTAACGGTGCACCGGCTGTACAGGAATCAGCTCACGGCATGGACTGCCAGTGTGGAGAATGACATATCAAGGACAGCTAGCGTGCTTGAAAAATTGAACTTCGTACTCATCACACAACCGGAAATATTTATGGAGAGCAAGGGAATCATCACTCGCATGAGATCTCATTTGACTGGTACCTTGTTTTATGATCTTGTATGGTGCATTCACGAGGCTCGCAGGCGCCAGGCAGACCCAAATTATAAAAAAGAAGACAAAGATCAAGATCAGACAGGAACTGAAGCAGAATCAAAACGAACTGAAGGAAAGGATGGTCAGAGTTACAGGAAAAGATTGTGTCCTTTACCATTTTATGATCAAATTTACAAAGAAGATTTCGAAACCATTACACAGACAACTCCCGGGGGTACTACTGTCACCACCTTAATTCCGACGCAAACAGCGATTCAAGAGGCAAAACGATTGGCTAATAGTCAAGGGGGCAAAAAGGGCCCTATCAAGTACATCAATGGAATTCCAATTTCAGTTTTAGAAGAAACCGGAAGCATGAATTCAGACGCCGCGCATTGGGTGGGAGATGAATCTTTAAATGTTGCTGCACCCATACGTCCTGTCACGCCCAGTAGCGTAATCAAAACGAGTGCCACTGCAGAAGATATATACCCGAAATCCCCATCTCTTTTTGCGCAGTCGATGCAACGGTCGGCCAGCACTCCTGTCGCGGCAGAAATACTAGGTCGCGGCCGAATTCCCACAAGCACGTCTCCACCTCCGGTTCTAGAAACTACACACTCGTTATTTGCTGTGAACAATTCAAATGTACCTAATGCCAACGCACAAAGCTTATCGCTTGGGAGACAGGTAATACCGGAATTTATCGCACCCGCTTCTCCGTTGCTGACCTCGAACTCTTATTCAAGTCTGAACGTGTTTTTGAGTGCGGAAAATAATATGAATAACGGCACTAATTCTGGCAGCCTTTCGCAAGGGCTGAACAAGCAATCGTCAGAGCTTAATACATTTTTCCAAACGCAGAGCGCTGGCTGGATGGAGCAAAATTCGGCCAACGATGATGACATTTTGGGTTGGTTCGATATAAACATGGCGCCTGAATTTTAACGCCATGACCTTTCTACAAACGTAGTAGATCGTATATATATTCTGTCTATATTCATAATACTATTTATTCAACATACATCTACAAAGCAGACGGTTCACGGGCCCTGACGTTTGCGTTAGGTTGATGATGGATGGTCTAAACCTGGAGAATAGCTCTGCATCACAAGGGAAGTAAACAACACTATATATCTTGAAGCTTCATCAAGGTTTTATAATAAGCCATTTTAGTATAGTGGTTAGTACACATCGTTGTGGCCGATGAAACCCTGGTTCGATTCTAGGAAATGGCATTATTTTTTGAACCATTTATATGGGTCAGATGACACTTTATGTTTTTGGTACACCAACAACGAAGAAGAAAACTTTCGGAGTTGGAATAGAATTATCCAGCCCGTTCAAATCGAATCATCCAAGTTTCAACTGGAATTGTCCATGATTGATTGTATTTCTCACTACTTCTGTCTGTCTGTCTGACTCTTCCTCGAGCAATATTTAACTTTACAGAAACAAATGTGGCACCATTAACAAATCAAATGCAAATATAAAAATGAGCGCTTTCACGTCTCTCTCGTAACACATACGCAACTAATACGACCAATCTCACATCTACCTGTTCTATTTTTTTTTTTTTGAAAAAAAATCCTGTAACCTGGTGGTGTAGTTGAGGGCAAAAACTAGGCACAATGACAAGTAGTATAAAGCAAATATGTATAGATTGGGCGGCTGAGACCTCGTGAAACATCTCTTTCTTGAGCCAGAGAATTTGTATCTTTTTGGATCCACTGTGACGCTGTCATTTGAAAGTCACGTGACACAATAAATCTAAAAAAAACCTAATTTCAAATTTGAACATGATTAAATAAAGTAACTTTTTAAAAAGTTGTAAAACCCCTCTCTTATTCTTGCAATCATCCAATTCATGAATCTCATCGGTATTGCTCTGTTTTTTCTAAAAATTCTGTTTTTTCCGCCTTTATTTAACAATGGCATTTTTTTCCAGTAAATATCAATAAGTCACATGACCGTCGACAATGGAAAGTGGCGCGGGGAAATTAAGTCTTTGATTCTACATACGAAAGTGAAATAAATATACCAACCGATTTAAAATAACGTATGATTAGAATTAGCTGTAAAGAAGCACAATTGATTGGTACATTCAGCGTTTTCAACACAAGTTGTTCTTTCATCAGCACTGATTGCTTGATCCAGGTGAATTCCCGCTTTCAAGCCTCGAAAAAACGGGCTCGAAAGTCGAATTCAGTGCCGAGATATGTCGTCAATTAAGAAATGGCTCTCGAGGACGGATAAGTTCGGAAAACAGCGATCAGAGAAATCAGAAAAGCCATCAAGTGGAGTGAAGGAGGTGGAAAAGGACACGAAGGACGCAAAAAATCAAGAAAAGGCAGATTCGCTGGTCTCCGCAGGCGATAAACTTTTGCATGCGGTGTTGCCCGGTGAAAGCTCCAAAACCTTGGTTTCACAGGATGCGGTGGACTTACCAGGGGAAACAACAAACGCTCATTTCGATAAGGACACGGTCATCGACGATGGCGCAACAGGGTCTCCAAGTGCCCTTAGTGACACTGTTAGTATAAAGTCCGATTTTGAACGGTTCTCGTTGGTAAGGCCTCAGATCACCCCGCTCATGCCCTTCGGAGATGGCTCAAACAAGGTTTTTGGGTACGAAAATTTCGGCAATACCTGCTACTGCAACTCAGTGTTGCAAGTGATGTACAATTTACCGGAGTTGCGCAATCATATTTTGGAATTTCCAGCTCGCAGCGTGGGTGCTTCCAGAAAACGCAAATTCGAAATGCCTGGCCTGAAACCTCGCATTTTCGATGACACAAGCTTCTTGCCTCAATGCAACACCACTGACTCATCCAAGAAATCCAACGGTGGTGGTGGTGGCGGATGTAACAGCAATAGTCAGAACTCCAGCAAAGACACGGGATCCCGCAAGAGTTCAGCACCGCATTCCAGAGACAGAGATAACTACAGATCTTCCACAACTTCAAGAAATCATAGATCGCATAGTTCAGCTACAGTTCACGGTACCGTTATGGCTGCGGACGCCATAACAGAAAAATTGCACGAGGGTTACACGAGGATTGTGGTGGGACGCGTAGCCGGCAAAAACGGGAAGACTAAACACTCACAGTCCAGCGGCTGTGTTTCGAACTCCTCAGCACCGTCTTCGGCTTCGTCATCGTCGTTCGGTTCATCTGCCAAGCCTATGGAAACATCGAGCGAAGAGCGCAAAAAGGCGGCGCTTATAAGAGGACCAGTGCTGAACATAGACCACAACCTGAAGGATTATCTGGCACCTAATGAGAAACCCGGCTTGTACACCTCACTGAAAGATGTTTACGAGAGCATAGCGGAGAATCGATGTTTTACAGGAGTTGTGTCTCCTATTCAGTTTGTCGAGACTTTGAAGCGCGAAAATGTGTTGTTCAGTACCATGATGCATCAAGATGCACACGAGTTTTTGAACTATTTGTTGAACGAAATCAGCGACTACACGAACACGCATCATGAACAGGGGAATGAAGAGGAAATGTCTGGTCAAACCGGCAACTTCGTGGATGACCTATTCAAAGGAACGCTTACGAATAGAACCAAATGTCTTACCTGCGATAATGAGACCTTCCGCAATGAGCCATTTTTGGATTTCGCTATAGAAGTGAAGAATGACGAAGAGACGGACATACAGACCACATTGTCTGACTATCATCACAGGGAAATGCTTAATGGAGCAAACAAATTTTACTGTGATGAATGTTGTGGGCTCCAAGAGGCCGAGAGGGTCGTTGGATTGAAAAAATTGCCATTTTATTTGTCTCTGCATATGAAACGATTCAAGTATTCGGAGGAACAGAACTGCAATACAAAACTTTTCAATAAAATCCATTATCCATTGAATTTGACAGTATGCTCCACGTTTGACTCTTCGGTGTGCAAGCGATATGAGTTGATTGGTCTGGTGGTACACATGGGTGGTGGGCCACACCACGGCCACTACGTGTCCTTATGCAAGACGGACAAGTTTGGTTGGTTATTGTTTGACGATGAGACAGTCGAAACAGTGGAAGAATCGACGGTGCTCAAGTTTGTCGGAAATTCAGATGATCTCACCACGGCGTACCTTTTATTTTATAGAGAGGTCACGGATTTCCGCGAAGAATCAGATAAACCTGAGAAACGACAAGTATATACGGAGGGTGTCGACCAACTTATCAAGCTGGATGAGTTAACCAGAGATCACCTGGACCAGAATGGTGAACTGGAGGGCGTGCCTGAAGAACGCTTATCGAGCAAAACCGACTCCAAGGCTTCAAAAAGACGATCGAGACTGTTCAGTTTCAGGCGATCAACCAAAGACTGAATCAAGTTTGTTGAGGACAGGCATTAATTAAAGGCATTATTATATGGCAGCAACGGTACATAGTTGAAGCTTTGTGATTTAGGGAATTTGTTTTGTGTATTGACTTTTTTTGCTTAGGCTGGGGCATGCGTAAAAAGATAGGAAACACTTTCACCGTTGTGCAATCTGCGAATTGCCTCCGCCAATGTTGGGCTGATGTCAATTTGGTCACAAATATCTAGCTCAAGATCCACAGGAAGGGAATTGGTACATACCATTCTTGAAATTCTACTGTTGCGCAGTTTCTCCTTTGCGGATCCAGAGAAGATACCGTGAGTCACTACAGCAATCACTTCTTTGGCCCCATTTTCGAATAGCGTGTCGCATGCTTTTACTAAAGTACCGCAAGTGTCGGCCATATCGTCTACCAAGAGACAGGATTTACCTCTCACGTCTCCGACAAGGACCATTCGAGAAACCTCGTTAGCCTTTTGTCTTTCCTTGTGTATCAGTGCGAAATTCAGGTCTAACTTATCAGCAATGGAAGCTACTCTTTTGGCCCCACCAGCATCGGGCGAAACAAGAATGGCGTTCTGGATATCCGTTTTAGTTCTGATGTAGTTGAGAACACTAGGCTCAGCGTAAAGGTTGTCGACAGGTATATGGAAAAAACCCTGAATTTGAGAGGCATGAAGGTCCATGGTTATGACGTGGTCACAGCCGGCAGTTTCCAGCAAATTTGCGATCAGTTTCGCCGTTATTGGAGCACGGCTTTTATCCTTTTTATCCTGGCGTGCGTACGGGAAATTTGGGATGACAGCTGTGATCCTCCTCGCCGATGCGGTCTTGCAGGCATGAATCAAAATCAACAATTCCATCAAGAAATCGTTTATTTCTTGTTGTCCACTTCCGGTCTGAATGATGTAAACGTCTTCATCCCGGATACTCTCTCCGATAGTTACAGAGGTTTCCTTATTGGAATACTGGTAGACTCCGATTTTCGATAATGAAAGACCAAGTGTCTTAGCTATTTTTTCAGCCAACTCTGGATGTGAGTTTCCCGACAAAAGCTTGATACTGTTGGATCCCATTTTGTGAAGACCTTCTTGACAAGACTCGACACAGGATTATTGAGAATAGGTGGCGGTCCAGTGATGATGCTTTCGAAGGTTTCTTTGTAGAAGTTGGTGATGAGAAGCATCGCAGGTTGATTATCTCAAATTTGATCAATATTTTGGAAAGGCTCGTCACATGGCTCGAGTCGATGAGAAATGAGAAACTCGATATCCGCTTAAAAGAGAGCTAGCTTCATGGAACACGTATTTCAAGCTTTGAAAGAGCTACTAAGAGTTTTTGGCTTCAATATGAGACCCTTGCGGCAAAATTTGGACCAGAAATGGTGAACCTATGCGAAGAAGATTCAAATGAAAGATTTAAAGACCAATTTCGGAACAACAATCCATCGAGACGATAAGACGTCCATTTGCTTCCAAATGTATTATATCCACCAGGTTAAACTGTCCTATTGCTTGTTGATTCTCGTGTTTTAAAAACCTACCTTGGAAATATGACACACTAAACAAATTTCATTGCACGATATATCACCATCGGGTCTTGAAATCGTGTTTTTACCTTGTGGGAAGAAAACTCGGCGTGGTCGAGAGATTATAGCGCATTTTTTTCGAACAAATCTTCCCGTGCAGTGAATTTGAGAATGACAGAGCTTACGAGAGATAAAGTCTTTGAAATGTGAACTGCGGAAGCTGGGAACTGACACTATCGAGTATTAATTTGATTATTAGTGGCATTTCTCAGTGGAAATTCATTCGTCAACCACGGCATGTTGGTGGTTGCCCTGCAAACGGGTCAAATGTTGTGCTGTCACTTTAACCCAAAAAAGTCGTTACTTTCACTAGTTGTGATTTTGGTCCTGTGTTGGTCATACTAAAGATGCCAGCACATATGCAAAATAGATCAGAGACTATTTGACTCGAACGGTAACCTTCATAATTCCGCGAAGACTGCTGATTTTATCTATCTTTTCGAACAAAGAAAAAAACCAAATTTGCATATTCGATGATAGTTCAGATCAAGAATGAACTTGAAGCTTCTAAGCTGAATCTTGGTCCTCGAAAGATGGTATAACCATACCTTGACAGCCTTACTAAAACCAGTGTATGTTCGATCACCGATCACATGACAGGTGACAGCGACAGTTTTTGTCTAAGGTTATTACACTTACTCCAGTTATTCCTCTTCAACAACAAACGGCAGATTTTCCCGAGAGCAAGCTTGAATGAGTTAATATTCGTCATTGTTGTAGCCTTCACACATGCTAGAAGCTACCATTTCAAAATATTGAGAAATTTTAAAACCTGCGTTTCTCCGATTTCCACGAATTCGTAGCGAAATCATGAAAGAAGACAGTAACCTCCATACAGAAAAGTCAAACAACAAGGTGTATTTACAAATAAGAACTGTTTGTAATTATCACACTTTCCACATATTTCCACCATGAACGAAATAACATAGAAACTTCAATCTCGAGATAAACTCAATTTTCAACCAGCAAAAAATTCGTGAAAATAACTTCCAAAGCTCTAAAAAATAGCTTTGAATCAGCTCGCAACACTTTCAGGATGATACAGCTAACAATAATGTCCCTTGGGCTGTTTTAGGTCCAACTTCTCTCTTGTCACGTTTTGATAAAACGTGACTTGAGAAGCTCTAAATCCAAGCTAATTTATATATATGACTACAGATGATTTAAACAGCGAAGCGACTTCAACGGAAGGGACGTCTCTCATTCATTCACAACTAACAGTCTTGGATCTAGGAATAGTCTATCGTTCTATATTTTAGTTGAGATTTGCTTCATTATAGTAGGAACTTTTGAAAAATGGCTACCAGACAAGCCCAAAAACGGCTAACAAAAGAGTATAAATCCATGGTGGATAACCCACCACCATTCATTATAGCACAACCCAACGAAGATAACATTCTGGAATGGCACTACGTGATATCGGGTCCTCCAGATACGCCATATGCTGGAGGCCAATACCATGGAACGCTTTTGTTTCCGTCTGACTACCCTTTCAAGCCTCCCGCAATACGAATGGTGACACCCAGTGGACGATTCAAAGAGGATACCCGTTTGTGTTTGTCGATGAGCGATTACCACCCAGACACATGGAATCCGTCATGGTCCGTATCGACCATTTTAACAGGCCTCTTGAGTTTTATGACAGGTAATGAAAGTACAACAGGTGCAATCAGTACTACTCCACACCACAAGAAGAAAATGGCCAGAAGCTCGAAAGAATACAACACTTTCAAAAATGCTCGATTCAAAGCGGTGTTCCCAGATTTGGTAAAAGAGAATTTGGCGTATTTCGAGGAACTCAAGCAGAAAGGTGAGCCCGAAGTTGGAGCTCCAGATAGAGACGTGCTAGAAGAGGCCGCTAAGGAACAGGCAATAAATGTGGCGGATATCACAGACCCAGAAGACAGAATCAGAGTCGAGGAACAACTGCTCAAAGCGCAAAAGGCCAAAAAAACAAAAGGTGACAATAATCGGTCAAAATTGTACATCTTCTTTGCAATTGCCTTGGTACTCGCAGGAATCATCATGAAATAAACGTTTACGACTCGCAACCCATAAGGCCTGGTACCGAGTATATGAAGAGACTATATATACTTAAATAAGGGATAGAGCGCCCTGAGATCACCAAAATTCGCTGGCGGTTGCCATATAGAACTCATAAATCATTACACAAACCAAATTAAAACAGCATATCCGCTAATTTAAAACCTCTCAACTTCGAGAACCACTTTCCCGTGACAATGCCCCTTTTTCAAATAATCCAAGGCATCCTCGTATTGCTTCCAGTCGTACATTTTGTCCACGATGCACTTTACAACTTCGCTTTCCACGAGTTCGGCACATTTTTCAGCCCAGTCATTCTTGCCCACGTACTTGGCGTTGGGGTCGAATTGAAAATGCGTATAATCAAAGGTCCAAAGCAGTTTGCCAAAGATCTTTCTCGCATTTGCACTGGGATTGTCCCAGGCATTGAAGACGTCCTTCGAGTAATTGGCGCGATAATCCCCTACAGTTGTTACGTACGCACCATTCTTCGCAAGCAATGCGTCTGTGTGGCTCAACAACTGATAACCACCGATAAAGTCGAGTATCACGCTGAATTTTCCTTGGTCATATGGTGTGGATATTGGCTGACCTGTGTTAGCATCATAAGATATGGTTTCTCGATTGTTTATCATATCTTGAAGAGGTTTGTGTATGCGATTCGCGCTCATCACGTAGTTCACGAAAATCAGTTCATCGCACAAGTCAGGGAAATGAGATTTCAAGAAAAGTGCACCATATTCCGAGCACAGTAAAACAAGCTTATTGGGAATCCGATAGTGGTACTTCAAGAGTTGGATCGCGAAAATTGCAACACTGGTCGTTCCTCCATTTATTAGAATATTAGCTTTTTCCGAAAGCTGACCCTTAGATTCCAAACCGTCAAGGATGTTGTAAGCAGCGCCTAAACAAAAAAGGGTACCGGAAGCTTCTGGGAATCCGAGATTAGAAGGTTTGCGGAGAATCACATCCTTTGATGGTGTTATCTCGATAGAGCTTTGTGCTGTACCGTGCCCCAGGTTAGGATGGTAAAAGATTCCGTAAACCTCATCGCCCTCTTTCCATTCTCCGTGCAGATTTGCGCCCACTTCTGTGACGACACCACTATACTCACTTCCAAACCCTAAACCACGGTTCATGTTGCGAGTGTAACTGTTCATAATTTTGAGATCCACAGGATTCAAACCCGCGTTCCGCACTTGCACCACAAGCTTGTCCTTTGGCAAGGGGATTTTGATTTTGGTCTCATATGAAAAGACAGGAGGGTTGTTTTTGGAAAAATAAACCAAGTTTTTGATCGGAATGTACTTGACATGTCTCAGCGGTCTTGGTACCCTGTGCATTGGTTCCACTTGAGGAATTTCTTTAGGTGCGGGTGCAACATGTTCAAACGTTTGAGTTCTTAGAGACTCGTCTCTTTTGGCAATTAATTTGTCGGCCATTACTGAAGTATAACACGAATGGCAATACGATCAACTAGTGCAGCGTAAAGGACCAGGTCGGCTATGTTGAAGACCATCCTTTTCAGGTTGTTGAGTGAATTATACAAATCACTTGGAACTTTTCAATATATGCCTCTAGTTTGGACGTACCCATGTACGGTGGGAGGAAGGATGAGATGGGGTTTCCATTCTCCATTCGCCGTTGAAATCGCTGAAATCAGGCCCATTTTGCTGGCAGTTGTGAGGACAATGGGCACTTCAAAAATATCTTGATTTGGTACTAGTCTGCCACCGAAAATTCGCTATCTAATTAGCATTTTCTGCTCAAGGCGACGGAGATGAGTGAAGCACGCGGTGTGTGGTCGAGAATATCCGAAAAGGATAAGTAAAAAGCTGCCATTCGTGCTTAAGACCGCTCGTGTCCCAAGTCTCATACTTTGTATCTTCTTTGCTGTCTTTGTCTTTTTTTGATCATTCAGGCAGCAACAGAAATAGGCGCTGGAGGCTCTGAGTCAGCCTCTTTATAGTATTCCGCTAGATCCTCTTGCTCGAAAATAACTTGGATCATGAGCGAGCAGCTAGGACATACCGCTATGTCTTCGCCGTCATATAGATCGTCGATGTATATTTGGAACTTGTCGCCGCAGGGACACGGATACGTGAATATCTGGGTGTCTGGGTCAAAAGTCATGTCTTCAATCTCTACCTGGTCGTAAGTAGACATTTTGAGCAAACAAGGAATTTAATAGACGTTTCCCAGTACTAAAATGAGTATCCTAAGCGCCACTTGTGTTGTGTCAGGTATCCACTGGTGTTCAGAGATGAGATGAGATGAGGTAAAGCAGCAGATGACATGAGCATTGAAGCTTTTCTACGACAGTAATTTAATTAAATTTAGTCAGATACGTCACGTGAGAGTCATCTAATTCTGGACTGATACGATTTAAATCGTGAGAGCTTGGGGGACCACTATGGAGTGTCCAAACCCCGTTTCCAAGAGAATTTACTCATTCTAATCGAACAAATCGTCCCATCTTCGCTTCAAGTTAATACTTGACTGTAATACTCTTCAACGCATCTTGTCACGTGACATTTTTTCCCTCCATAGGATTAGACATTATCTATGCGATCGACAAAGACCTCGTATTCCTCTAGCAAGTTAAACTCGACCTCGGTACTATCCAATTTTGGTTTCATGCCTTTACACTCTACACACAATGTACAGAGCACTTACCTTAGTTGCTGCCTCTACTAATATCCTAAGCTTATTTCCCGTATGTGCTATTAGGTTGTGACTGTTACATCCGTACACCCTGGAAGTAGAATTTCAGGTACAATCAAACTTTTCGTGAAAAATATATATTTCCAGCGTGGGTAGACAAAATACAACCACCACCCCAAGCTCGTTGACTGAAGCCCTGCCTGGCCCTCTGACAAGCCGAGCCCACTGGAACACTAGGTCTCTGCCTAGCTCCCAGTAGAGACTCCTTTCCCTCCAGGCAGAGTTTCCCTCTAGCCTCTGGGAGAGGCCGGACTCACCATCCCAAGCAGGATTCCAAACAGCACGAGGTACCATAGTTCGTGTGGAAGAAAAGATTAAGACATCTTAGAGCTGTACCGTTTTGATATTAAGTTACTACAGAACACTAGGACAATAGTATGTGAACCAGTGGTATAATAGACTTGAAAGACAAAGATGCGGAGTACTGTGTGGACATCTTATGGGCTTGCGAGAAAGCAAGCTTAGTTTTTGGTGCTTGCTGTGACCAAAAACACGCGTGGAAGATAATCAATCAAGTGGCCTCTATCTAAAGGAATGATCGACGCCTGATAAAACATCAAATTGTTCACGGTACCTCTGCACTCCTTTCGTTTTACTCGTCCAATTATTCAATCTTTCCTTTACTAACTGTATTTTCTAAAGATTCAAAATGGGTATTTCTCGTGATTCTCGCCACAAGAGAGCTGCTACTGGTGCCAAGCGTGCCCAGTTCAGAAAGAAGAGAAAGTTCGAGTTGGGTCGTCAACCAGCCAACACCAAGATCGGTGGTAAGAGAATCCACACCGTGAGAACCAGAGGTGGTAACAAGAAGTTCAGAGCCTTGAGAATCGAGACCGGTAACTTCGCCTGGGGTTCCGAAGGTGTCACCAGAAAGACCAGAATTGCAGGTGTGGTGTACCACCCTTCCAACAACGAATTGGTCAGAACCAACACTTTGACCAAGGCCGCTATTGTCCAGATCGATGCTACTCCTTTCAGACAATGGTACGAAGGTCACTACGGTCAGACTTTGGGTAAGAAGAAGAACGCCAAGGGTGCCGAAGAGGAAGTTGTTGCTTCTTCCAAGAGCGCCGAAAAGAAGTGGGCTGCCAGAGCTGCTGACGCCAAGATCGAACACACCGTTGAAACTCAGTTCGGTGCCGGTAGATTGTACGCCTGCATTTCTTCCAGACCAGGTCAATCCGGTAGATGTGATGGTTACATCTTGGAAGGTGAGGAATTGGCTTTCTACTTGAGAAGATTGACTGCCAAGAAATAAGCCAGCTTTTCATAAGCATGAGTTTCTTCTTACTTGGGTGTCACCAATCTCGTCATTTTAACCTCGCAATTTTGTAAATTGTTACTATAATTTTTGTAAAGCACAAAATACAAGTCTTATTATCAGAACAGAGTAGATAAACTAAGGCCCGCGTCAGAATCAGCTCGATCATAAGCTCTCGCTGCAAGTTCCGCAATGAAAGGATTTCGACATCTCAATTTAGGTTGTCAATGATACTGAGCATTCTCATCTCTACAACTATTAGACTTCCTACGTGTGACTACAAATGTGCTCCACAGTGTTCAAATCAGAGATAAAAGGCAATATTCGTTTATCTGCATGTAATAATCAGTACAGGTCTGTGTAAAATACGTTCTCATCATTTTGAACTATTGGAGAGCTACGAAATAAGTGAGTTGCTTCCACAATTCAAAGTCCTAACCCGCTCTTCTGACGCAAGTTATGTCTTTTCATATGTGGTGATAAGGCTACTGGTTGGTCAAGTTGCTGGAATCTGTATGTTCATGAGCCGAGGGCAAGACTGGAAGGTTTAACTAAGAGCCTGATGTTTTTCTCTTATATAGTGTTTTCGAAATTTTATCGGTCATTACATACGTGTCATCGCCTCTTCAATTGAAAGCCAGTGTTAGGGCTCCTAACGCTGATCTGAGTCCTGAATTCAATACTATGTCCAAGATTCTATGAGTCTGAGCTAGACATGTATTATGGAGCTATTCATTGACAGAGTTGACAAGACCGTCACGTTCGGTATTGATCTATACTCCTTTGAAGTCAAACCCGATCAAATATTCCATGGATTTAAGAATATTCCTCGAAAACCACATGTGCATGTAGTACATTTCCAACACTCCAACGATGGCGTGCGATATGGGTACTTCTTTGAGAGTGATTCCAATGTGAGCGTTCAATTTGAATACGATGCAGCGGACGAGATTTTTGTACCCCGTATCATAGAAACCGAACAGCAGAAAACAGATGCCTATAATAAGTTTCAGGAACTGAATCCTTTCATGGTGCCTTATCCGTCGATAGACGAAGAGGACACTTGGAATGTCTTGTCAAACCATATCAGAATGCTGGACCTAAGGTACATGGCCAGCTGCAGCGACCCTTGTGTGTACATGGACTCTGCAATCACCACGAAGGAAGAAGAGGGTATTTTGAGCCGCACTCTGGCCTCCAGTGGACATCAAGCTGGAGATGTGACGTCTGCGGGTCTGGTGATGAAGTACACGCCCATCGTATTCAAGTCCAAAGAGGCCATGCGTGACGAATTCAAGATGCACGATTTTTTTGACAAAAGCTACTATCTCAACGACGTTATCCTGGCGCGGTTCCACCACAACTCGATTCTCTCACTCATAGGGGAGCTGCAGTGTGCCTTTCTGAGTGCCATGCTTTTTGGCAATTACGGTTCAAGCTTGCAATGGCACAACATCGTGGAACTGATTGCATCAAGCTCCACGGTGAGCCCGAAAGTGCTTTTGCAACTGGACAGTCTACTGGCACGCCAGCTGGCAGTAGTGCCTGACTTCTACGCAGACATGTTGCTGAACGAAGACGCATGGGTCCGGATTCTCGCTAGTGTGCATCACGGAAAGGCGCTGGTTCTGACACGTGATGCGGCTCACAGATTGTGGCCGCATTTGAACGAAGATGAAGAAGAAGCCGAGCATGGACTTGCACAAGTTTTGGCCGGTGACGAAAACATGCTGCACAATTTGGGAGATTCTGATGTGGATTCTGACGAACCTGTGGTTGTAGAAAGAATAATCTACAGACACACATAATACAGCAAGCCATGAAATATTTTCGTGAGATGTGATATCATTTCAAATGGTGTGTTTCAATTCCAAGGGTTGTGGACATCGATAAGTCCTTATTTCACTCGTTTCTTGGAAACATTATATTTTTTGTGATAAAGTCGTACTCTCTGTATTGTTTGGTTCCAGCTCTGCCACCCTGCCATCATTCAAAATTCCGTTAACCTGGGGCGTGTTTGTCCTTGAGTCGTCATCGTATCAAATGCCCTATCTTGAGTTTTTCATTATTACCATCCATGCCGTACCCGGATTCCAAGAACTTGAACCCATGCTATAACCCTATTGAGACAGACAAAAATGGCTCGGCAAAGAGGCAATCACCTCAAGGGGACCCGAAACCCGTTCCAATTACAATTGGGTTTTTACTCTCCGTATTAACCGGGTTTTCCAGCCGTCAATTTGTTCCTTGTTTGATTTATGTCGGAAAACTCTGGGAAAATCTGGAAAAGAACCAAATATGTGAATTCTTTCCTGACCATAAGCGATGCCTCATTGTACACTAACTCCAATCTACTAATGGGCTAACCGTCTCAACACAAAGCAGAAAATGCTTGATGCGTACTTCGTGTTTAGCCGCCGAGCGTTTTGCGCCGAGTTACACTGTCGTTCCAGAATATTCCGGGGCGGTCTGGAATATTCGTGACACAAAAGACCAAAAAAAAAACTCCGCGGGACCCACCGGAGTTTTTCTCAATCACCAGTCTAGCACATTCTGGGAGATCTTGTTTGTTCTAGCATGTTCTTTTAAGGGAAACGGGCTGGGAAGTGTACGAACTAAGGGGTGTTGGTAAAGTCCCCTAAAAAAAGAGTATAAAAGGGTAAAGGAAGACCGCTCAAAGAGTTTCCAGAGAAGTGGTTTGTGATCTGTGATATTTTACAAACTACATCAGAAACCTTTAAAGGCAGGTCAAGAGATAAGATTCAAGACACGATCGATACACATCGCAGTTTAAACACAATTTTAACATGTCTAAGGCTATTGGAATAGATTTGGGTACAACGTACTCGTGCGTGGCACACTTTACGAACGACCGGGTGGAGATCATTGCCAACGACCAGGGTAACAGAACGACGCCCTCGTACGTTGCGTTCACTGACACAGAGCGGTTGATTGGAGATGCGGCCAAGAACCAGGCAGCCATCAATCCTAGAAACACGGTATTTGACGCCAAGCGTCTGATTGGACGCCGTTTTGATGATCAGGAAGTAACGACGGACGCCAAACATTTCCCTTTCAAAGTGGTTCCCAAGGATGGCAAGCCACACGTGGAGGTTGAGTACAAGGGCGAAACCAAGGTGTTCTCGCCTGAGGAAATCTCGGCCATGGTGCTGGGAAAAATGCGTGAGACCGCAGAAGGCTACTTGGGTGGCTCGGTGTCAGACGCAGTGGTCACGGTGCCCGCGTATTTCAACGACTCGCAACGGCAGGCCACCAAGGATGCAGGCACCATTGCGGGGCTCAACGTTCTGCGGATCATAAACGAGCCTACAGCCGCCGCCATCGCTTACGGTCTCGACAAGAAGGGCCGTGAGGAGCACAACGTGTTGATTTTCGACCTTGGGGGCGGAACTTTTGATGTCTCGCTATTATCAATCGACGAGGGTATTTTTGAGGTCAAAGCCACCGCGGGTAACACGCATTTGGGTGGTGAGGATTTCGACAACCGTCTCGTTAATCATTTGGCGGCCGAATTCCAACGTAAAAATAAGAAGGACCTAACAGGCAATCAGCGGTCCTTGCGTCGTTTGAGAACGGCCGCGGAACGTGCCAAACGCGCGCTTTCGTCATCTGCACAAACTTCCATCGAAATCGACTCTCTTTTCGAAGGCAGTGATTTCTACACGTCGTTGACCAGAGCTCGTTTCGAAGAATTGTGCGCCGACTTGTTCCGCTCCACATTGGACCCTGTGGAAAAGGTTTTGAGAGACGCAAAGCTTGATAAGTCGCAAGTGGATGAAATTGTTCTGGTTGGTGGTTCCACGCGTATTCCCAAAGTTCAAAAGCTCGTTACCGATTTCTTCAATGGGAAAGAGCCCAACAGGTCTATCAACCCAGACGAGGCTGTTGCTTACGGTGCTGCCGTGCAAGCTGCAATCTTGACGGGTGATCAATCTTCGAAGACGCAGGACTTGCTATTGTTGGACGTGGCTCCTTTGTCGCTAGGTATCGAGACAGCAGGCGGTATCATGACCAAGCTGATCCCTAGAAACTCTACGATTCCTACCAAGAAATCTGAGACGTTTTCCACCTACGCCGACAATCAACCTGGTGTGTTGATTCAGGTGTTCGAAGGTGAAAGAACGAGGACTAAGGACAACAACCTGTTGGGTAAGTTCGAGCTAAGCGGAATTCCTCCGGCTCCCCGTGGTGTGCCTCAGATTGAAGTATCGTTTGACTTGGATGCAAATGGTATCTTGAACGTGCATGCGTTGGAAAAGGGTACCGGCAAATCAAGCAAGATCACAATCACCAATGACAAGGGGCGTTTGTCGAAAGAAGATATTGAGAGAATGGTGTCGGACGCTGAAAAATTCAAAGCAGAAGATGAAAGCGAAGCCGAGAGAGTTCAGACTAAGAACTCATTGGAGGCCTACGCTTTCAGCTTGAAGAACTCGATAAATGAGCCTGCTTTCAAGGAAAAAGTGGGAGACGCTGACTACACAAAACTCAAGACCTTCGTGGAGGAAACCATCACATGGCTCGACTCTTCGCAATCAGCGTCCACGGACGAGTACAAGGATAAACAAAAGGAAGTGGAAGAGGTTGCGAACCCAATAATGACCAAATTTTATCAATCTGGAGGAGCTCCTGGTGGTGCTCCTGGTGGTGTTCCTGGTGGTGTGCCTCCTGGCGGGGCACCTGGAGGGGCAGCTCCCGGGGGAGATTCTGGTCCAACTGTGGAAGAAGTCGATTGATTGGACAGAGGCCCACCGAATTGGCCCAAAGGTATCAGGAAATGAAAGGAAACGAAATAAGTCGAGAGAAGTCGGATATCTCTTGACTGGTTTACACATAAATACTTATAATTAACAGTTTATTGTCAAGGCATGTTTTATGAAAAGAGATATTAAAGAAAACGAACGGATGGTTGCATGAAAGCTTATGATATGAGCCTTTCTGGCAGCTGTAAACTAGATTTCAAGTGAACAGGGGATGTTGGTATTACTTGAAGAGTAAGTTGACGGAGAAATTCGTTATGATTGATTCTGACAACGACAGTATTCCTACTGAGCCTATAGACAAAGAACTCGAACCTTCACAACTTTCAAAGATGGGCAAGTAATGATTAAAATTTTACAGTTGCTCAAAATATCATTTGGAATTCAGCAGATGGCAAAGTATAGCTCCCTTGATGTTTTTAAAAGAACACTCAAGGCTGAAGGCTGACCTTTTTAACAGCTTACTTTCTCTGTCATTATATACTAATGAGTCAGCGGGAAAATTTTCAATAAAGACATCAAGTTTTGAAACTTATGAATTATCGATCCAGTCGATTTGAATACGCAAGTGATCGACTTCAAATTGTTTTACTGTTGATTTAAACGTTGGGGAGTTGTTTCATAATGGGCGAACAAACTGCTCATTTTTCTTTTCCCAAGGAGGAGGAGAAAATCCTCTCTTTTTGGAACGAAATTGATGCTTTCCAGACTTCTTTGAAATTGACCGAGGACAAGCCTGAGTTCTCGTTTTTTGACGGACCACCTTTCGCTACGGGAACTCCTCATTATGGTCACATCTTGACGTCTACGGTTAAGGACATTGTCCCCAGATATGCTACCATGAACGGTTACCACGTTGAAAGAAGATTCGGTTGGGACACTCATGGCTTGCCTATCGAACATATCATTGACAAGAAACTAGGTATCACTTGCAAGGAAGACGTTTACAAGATGGGTATTGACAAATACAACGATGAATGTAGAGCCATTGTGATGACATACGCCGCAGAGTGGCGCAAAACCATCGGACGTGTGGGACGTTGGATCGATTTCGACAACGACTACAAAACCATGTACCCATCTTTCATGGAATCAACCTGGTGGGCATTCAGCGAATTGTTCAAGAAGGAGCAGGTTTATCGCGGGTACCGTGTTATGCCTTACTCCACTGGCTGTACTACACCCTTGAGTAACTTCGAAGCTCAGCAGAACTATAAGGAAGTGAGCGATCCTGCAGTCACATGGGCTTTCAAAGTTTTGGGGCAGGACAAGACCTACCTAGTTGCCTGGACCACTACACCATGGTCGATCCCATCTAACTTGGCTCTTTGTGTCAACCTAGATTTCGAGTATGTTAAGATTTACGACGAAACCAGAGACAAGTATTTCGTTTTGCTTGAATCCTTGATCAAGACTCTGTACAGAAAACCCGAGAAAGAGAGCTACAAAGTTGTGGAAAAAATCCAGGGTAAAGATTTGGTGGGTCTCAAGTATGAACCAACCTTCCCATACTACAAGGAGGCCTACGCGGAAAAGGCCTTCAGAGTCATTGCTGACAGCTACGTGAGTGCCGATTCTGGTACCGGTATTGTGTCTAACGCACCAGCGTTCGGTGAGGACGATTACAGAATCTGTCTCGCGAATGGAATTATTTCCGAAGATGATGAATTGCCCAACCCAGTGGATGATGCCGGTAAGTTCACTTTGCCCGTCACGGACTATTTGGGCATGTACGTCAAGGATGCGGACAAGCAGATCATTAAGGATTTGACCGCTAGCGGAATTATGATAAACAATACCCAATACAGACACAGTTATCCATTCTGCTGGAGATCCGACACACCATTGATCTACAGATCTGTTCCAGCCTGGTTTGTGCGTGTGAAACCTATTATTCCAACATTTTTGGAATCTGTTAACAAATCCCACTGGGTTCCAAACGCTATCAAAGAGAAGAGATTTGCCAATTGGATAGCCAACGCCCGCGACTGGAATGTGTCCAGAAATAGATACTGGGGTACTCCTATCCCTATCTGGGTATCTGATGATTACGAAGAGATCGTGTGTGTCGGCTCTATCCAGGAATTGAAAGAACTTTCTGGTGTTGAAAACATCGAAGATCTTCATCGTGATACCGTGGATCAAATTACCATACCATCGAAACAAGGTAAGGGTACATTAAAGAGAATCGAAGAAGTTTTCGATTGTTGGTTTGAATCCGGTTCTATGCCTTACTCGAGTCAGCACTATCCATTCGAGAACAAGGACAAATTCAAACAAAGAGTTCCTGCCAATTTCATTTCGGAAGGTCTTGATCAAACCAGAGGTTGGTTTTACACCCTAGGTGTTTTGGGATCACAACTTTTTGGTGAAGTTCCTTACCAAAATGTCATTGTTTGCGGTATCGTTTTGGCTGCCGATGGTAGAAAGATGTCCAAGAGTTTGAAAAACTATCCAGACCCTACTTTGGTCTTGGACAAGTACGGTGCAGATGCTCTTAGATTGTACCTCATTAACTCTCCTGTTCTGAAGGCCGAAAGTTTGAAATTCAGGGAAGAAGGTGTTAAGGAAGTCATCTCTAAAGTGTTACTACCATGGTGGAACTCGTTCAAATTCTTGGAAGGTCAAATTACCCTTCTCAAGAAAACTTCCAACGTCGACTTCAAATATAACCCTGATCTCAAGAGTGATAACGTTATGGACAAATGGATTTTGGCCTCCTTGCAGACCTTAGTCAAAAATATTCACGCTGAGATGAAGTCATACAAACTCTACTCGGTTGTTCCAAAACTTCTTGACTTCATCGACCAGCTTACAAACTGGTACATTCGTTTGAACCGTCGTCGTTTGAAGGGTGAAAGTGGTGAGCAGGATTGTCTACAGGCTTTGAACTCCTTATTCGATGCCTTGTTCTCATTTGTTTGTGCTATGGCACCATTCACCCCATTCCTTTCCGACAATATTTACCAACGATTGAGACAGTACATTCCTGAGGATGTATTGGGCAAATTCTGCAAGGACGGTAGATCTGTGCACTTTTTGTCGTACCCCGAGGTCGATGATTCTTTGTTCAACGATGACATTGAAAGAGCAATGGCAAGAATGCAGTCTGTGATCGATTTGGGTAGAAACATCAGAGAGAAGAAAACTATTTCGTTGAAGACTCCTCTCAAGAGTTTGGTCATTTTCCACAGCGATCCGCAATACTTGAAAGATGTGGAATCCCTTGCATCGTACATTGTGGAGGAACTAAATGTTCGTGACTTGATCATTACCTCTGACGACGCCAAATACAACATTGAATATAAAGCTGCTGCTGACTGGCCTGTGCTAGGTAAGAAGCTGAAGAAAGATGCCAAGAAAGTGAAGGCCGCTTTGCCAAAGGTCACTTCTGCAGAGGTGCAAAAGTTTGTGGAAACCGGAAAAATTGTCGTGGACGGTATCGAGCTTGTTGAAGGCGATTTGACCGTCATGAGAGTTCTTTCCGAGGACCTTGGTGAGCAAGGTTTGGAGACCAGAACTGATCAAGACGTCTTGATTATTTTGGATACCAAGATCTACTCTGAATTGAAGACAGAAGGTTTGGCCAGAGAATTGGTAAACAGAATTCAAAAGCTCAGAAAGAAGTGTGGGCTTGAGGCCACCGACGATGTTGCGGTGCAGTACGAATTGATCAAGGACACCATTGATCTTTCAAAGGTCATCGAGGCCCACTCGGACATGTTATCCAAGACCTGTCGCTCTCAAATCACTGAATATGACGGCTCTCTCGGAAAAGACGAAATCGCAGACGAAGAGCAAACCATTAATGACGCCGTTTTCAAGTTGAAACTGTTCAGGCTATAATTTACCAGATTCACGAACTGGCCTGGGCCCTGTTATATAAACTTCGAGATAGACTTAGAAGCATTGAGTATCGAGAATTTATCATGTATGTCTGTAATTGAATATCAAGATACAAGAATCAATTATATCAAAGATGAATTAACCAATATTCAAGATTCGAAGTGAAAAATGTGAAAGAACCTGTAGAACAGTTGAGTACAACGATAACGGTTTCCGATATAGTGAAGAGTGAACTTGTGTAGATGGGCGACGATGCTCCTATTCGATTACCTTCGAGCCCAGTGGCTCCAGAAACGAGTCCTCCATTAAGACTTGACGAGCCCAGATGTTTTAGTTCACCTTTTTTGGAAAAAGACGTTTCCGTGGTAGATAAGCTGCAACAAGAGCGTCAGCGGCAACACGGGCGTTTCAAACAGCCATTTTCATCGCCGCTGAGGGGCGATCAGTTGAATTTGAATACTCGGTGGCTGAATCCGCGAGATCGACGTAGAAGCTGGCAAGCCCATCGACAGCATCAAATACGCGAAACGCGCAGTTTACAGGCTCGAGGAGGAGCAGCGCGTATGGAACACGACGTGATGACGCTTGAGCGTAATGCAGAGCAACTACAATTGGCCACACAGGCGCAATGGTATCAGATGGATCCCGACGAGATTGAAGATTACGATACCTCGGAATCCGACGATGATGAGCTAGTAGCTATTTTGCAAGAGAGGGAGGATTACGAAACGCAATTGCGATTGGAAGAGGAGCTTTTGGAGTATGCAATGGGCCAGTTCAATCTGAATGATAATGATGATGATGATAATGATGATGGTAATGGTGGTAATGGAGGATGAATGAGCGGTAATCTGATAAGAGTTGAAGAGGAATAAAGGATACACGTGATATACGCATGTGTGAGGGTGTGTGGGTGTGCTGCTCGTATGATTGGTGTATTACGTCAGCATTGGGTGTTTTTTTTAAAGGTCCCGTGACGGGTTTTCTGATTATGTCATCTCTCGGGTCAATGGATGGGTACGAAGAAAGAAAAAAAGTAAAAACCCATTTGTCACGTGCTTTTAATGGTGTGTGGGTGTTTTCCACGTGCTATTTCATCCCGTGAGTATCACATGACCATATATTACCCGCCTTTTCTCTCTCACGCGCGCTGTCTCCCCCTCCCCCTCATCTTTTTAGGGGGCTTCTCATTTCCACTTAGAAATCTTAAAACTCCATTGTATTATATTATTGATCTCAAAGATTGTACCAAATTGAGATGATGAGAAACAACTAGGGAGTGTTAATACCAACACACAAAAAAAAAAAAAAAAAAGGACACGACTATATAAAGGACCGGAATTTTTAGGTCAAGGGAATATAAATCTAGGGGGTTAAGTCAACTTTATCAAGTTTATCAAGTTAATCAAGATTATCACAACCGAAGTTCAAAATTTGTGGTTGTTTTAACAAATAGTTTTTGACCAGGTTTTGATCAGTTTTCAGCCAGTTTTTTGACCATTTTTTGGTCATTTTTGAGCCACTTTTTGATCAAGTTTCAGTCACTCTTTGATCAAGTTTTCCTCTTGTTTCTGATCAAGTTTTGACCACTTTCTGTTAGCATAGGCGTTTGGGTGATTGCAGAATCGGATTCAGCAGTGCCAGTTTGATAAGAATCGAACCAAAAAACAATTAAAACAAAATAAGGTTTTAGGACGCGTGTGTGTTTAAGCTCGTCTGAGTTTGTAAAGATTTTGTGTTTGGCTGGCGTTGCACACTGAGTGACGTTTGTGTAACATGAAGTCAGCTTTCAAATCGGAATATCCGTTCGAGAAAAGAAAGGCAGAGTCCGAACGTATCAGTCAGAAGTTCGAAAATCGCATCCCGGTGATCTGCGAAAAAGCGGAAAAATCCGATATCCCAGAAATCGACAAACGCAAGTATCTGGTGCCAGCAGATCTCACAGTGGGCCAATTTGTGTACGTGATAAGAAAACGCATCAAACTGCCTGCAGAAAAGGCTATTTTCATATTTGTCAATGACACGCTGCCTCCAACGGCAGCGTTAATGTCTGCCATTTACCAAGAACACAAGGACAAAGACGGGTTTTTGTATGTCACGTATTCCGGGGAAAACACATTTGGAGCCCAGGAGTAGAAGCTGCAGTTTGCTGCGCAAACTTGTTCACAGACGACAGGGCATACAACAAGACCGCGCCGCCGCGTCATCACGATCCAAACCATCAGTAGTCGCTCATACAAGGCGAAATGGGATTTGGCTATTTGGTGTGCGTGTCAAATGTCATCCCCTGCTTCATCTGTTGGTCCTTTATTTGCTCTTCTTCAATCACCATTCAATATCGTGCGCTGTTCTATGTTTCCCCTTTTTTGTTATAAACGGCTGGTTCCTTTATATAATAGTAGTGCTCATGGTCTCATCGTGTGTTCATCTCTACAAAGATTGTGGCCTTTTTTAATCGCAGGTCTTAAGATTATTCTGCTGTGTTTTGCCGTTTTTGTAGAATGCATTACCAATGATGTTTTTTGTTTACGTTGTCACTTACTTGATTCAATTGAATTGTTTCTCTTCTACGTGATTCTGTTTCGACGTCATGCTATACTTTTTCTAAATGTCCATCACCGCGCCTTCAAGAAAACCGAAACCCAGAAGACCTATTTCATTTCTAGCGTTTAAATGCTAGTACCCGTTTTTGTCATTTGTATTTGGATCGGATCGGTCTCTATGCTGTAGTTGTCTAGGTTGCGGACATCATCAAAAGAGATCAAGTCTCTCAATTTAGTGTCAGACTCGTACCATTCCTTGATCAGCCACACCATTTCTTTCTTGTAGATATTGTTTACCGAGTCTGCAGTCTCTATCAAATTCTTGAGCATATAGTACATTTTGTCAAATGAAACACCAGCTGAAATTAGAATAGACGTAATGGACCCGTCCTTGATATGGGACGATGGCAGGTTTTCGTGGAACAGATCGCATATCATCGGGAACAAATCAGCCACAGGGAACACAAATTCAGATGTTCTCACGTTTCTACCAACGCGCACCACGACCGTTCTCAAGAGGTTGATGAAATTTGTAGAGTCTTCTACAGAACTCTCTTGCGTCAACTCACTTTTCAATGAATTGAATAGCTCTATCCACTTCGAAAGAATCTCTTCGTTGTTTCTAAACTCTGAAATTCTAAAGATCGCCAAACAAATCTCATAGTACTCAAGAGGATCTGCGTAGTCATTGAACAAATCACTTACAGGTAGCACTTTTCCGTCTAGCTGCTGTATGAGATCCTCCTTGGTGGATTTAGTAATCCTGATATCATTCCTGACCAAGGCCAAAATGTCGTCCTGTACACTGGCCACATCGAAAATCTCCTGAATCATACCGCCTAGCTGAATCATTTGTTGGCGCTCGCCAGGGGCACACATGCTGTTGCAGAAACCATTTGCCCTCGAGAGATACTCTATGCGTTGACCAAGGGAAATTTCGAAATCAGAAATAGCCAGCGAATATAGTATCTGTGCAGCTGGGAAAAAGTGAGATCTCTTGGATTGGTAAACCCAAAGTAAGTTCGATATTTCCAAAGATCCTTGTGAATGTTCCTGGAGATACATCAAAATGAAATCCGTGTCCAATTGCAAAAGTTTTTCCTGGCAGTTTTGAGAAACAAGCCAGTCATAAAGCTGGTAGTGGAATAATTTGTCATTATATTTCAAAGCCGTTTTGTAACTCTCTTCCTTTAACTTTGTGAGCTCCTCGATGTTGTTCATTGCCGTAACACCGGTCGCAATAGCACCAGCCACCTTTTCGTCCACCTTCACCAGGGTCTCAAAAACGAGCTCGTAGGCAAGAATGCGCTTCTCATAAAATGACTTTCTTGGGTCCTGTTCCAAATAACCATTATCAACATACTGGTAGGCCAATTTTCCCTTATCCATTAAATTGGCGATGTTAAGCAAAAATTTTATGGTACCGGGATAATAGTTCAACTCGATCATTGTAGACACTGCTTCTTTTAATCTTTCGATAGAAATGGTATCCACAATCTTTTCGAATAATTTGATAGCCGTCGTCAAATGATAATTCGAAGTCTCGTAGTCCCTCAGACCAACCTCCTTGGCTTTCCTCAAGTGCTCGACAGCGCGGAAACCAAGTATGTCGCTACTGGAACAGAAAGATCCGCAGCGTTCTTGCAAAGCAGTTGCAATATATTCAATGGATCCTCCTCTCGATATGTTTCTGTTAATAATCGATGACAAAATCTCCCGGAGAAGGTTCTGCGTCTTCTCATTTGGTGCAAAAATTTCTTTGTACTTGAGTGCTGAGAGGTCGGATTGGGTATTCAAATTCAGGAATTTCATAATGTCCTTGAAAGCTACGTATTGGCCCTCGAACCCTTCGATATCACTCTCTTCGAATAGAACGTTGAGAAACGAAAACGCCTCTTTCATTGACTGAATCAATTTGATGAGAGAGTTGATGGCAATATTTTCTGCCTGGTACGCAACCTCTTCATATCTATCAACACTTTTGGTAGTCTGGAAAGACGGAATGCTAATGCTTGATAAGGTGTTACCATATGTGTCAAAAAAATCATTCAGAATCATGACGGATGATAAGTAGTATTCAACGTCGGACTTTGAGACAGATATTGAATCTATGAGGTTTTCTCCACTGAGGGAATGTTCCACTAACTTCGAATGAATATCAAATCTCGCGGATTTGTTCTTGTCAAAGATAGGTTTGTCCCATATGTCACGGAAAAGCCTGGAGATGAAAAGAGCTATACCGTAAAATCGTGGAGACAATATCACATTGTCCAAGCTGTAACTGTCTTCAGCTGAGGTGAAACCGAATCCGACCTTTTTTGTATCAGAGACCACTCTCTGTGGTGTGGACATCATTGGTGCTTTAGGCATGAACGCTGAAGAAGCATATGTGCTATACTTGGGTTTGATATCAGCCACACCTGGTAAACCGACGGTGAAGAATGTGAGAGCTTTCGATCTCAAAGTCTCTGATTTATTGCACTTACATGTAACGAAAAGTGCCGTTGAGCAAGCTTCACTCAGGCCATAATTCAGAACAAATGGTAGCGGATTTTCTATCAAAGACTCAAAAACCGCATCCGGATTTCTGTACCGGTAAATCTCAACGGTTGAGCTGGTCAAAACTGCAACCTTGAACTCTGATGAGGTGTACTGAGTGGCGAACTCGTTGGCATATCCTTCTGGCTTGTCGGTAGCATTGAATAAAGGCGAAATTGGGGCTATATGTCTCACGATGCCCGTGGTATCCAAAAGAACAGAATTCTCAATGTACTTTCCATGCTTTTTCAAAATGCCGTAATCCGGGATCGACACATAGAGTTTATGCTGTGTCTGATTGTTGCGCACGGTATGTTGTGTCTGCGCTGTAGCTTGACCGTTCTCCCAATGCACTGTGGGTTTCACGCCCTGCTGGTGGTCAACACTTTGGTCCTGCGAAGCCACGCTGTTATCTTGCTGTGGGACTTTGTCAACAGGCGCGAAAAAAATTCCCGGTGAGATGATAGTGCTGGCTTTCGTTGTTTCTAGTAAAACCGAAGACTTTTTCTGGAATTTTAGCATCACGGACTCTGAGCTTGCTAGTGAGGAATAGAAGGGCACGTTTTTCTTTTGCTGTTGTTGTTGTAGCTCTTGTTCTAACGCCTCGGGCGTTACTGAACTGGGAGGGAACTTCACCGACTCCAATCTCAAAGCCTCTAAGTGTGTTTGGGTTGTAGAACCATTGAAATATATGCGAACACCACCGACTGTGATCGCAACCAAAAACAAATTGCTATTTTCTTTCCCTGACACGACAATTAGCTTGGAAAGTTTCAAAAACTTGTTTCCCAATATTGCAGCACCTCTTGCAGAAGTGGTGCCGATTATTCTTTTGATGTATGATCCTTCGATCGTCAGGGGCCCTTCTAGATGCTTCCCATGAATCTTATACGCGCGAATGATGGATTTGTTCGACAAAGAGTAGAGAATGCCCCTCGATTCGTCAACGCATAATTGTACAATGTGCTCGGCAACGTATTTGGAATTCTCCTCGAAAAGAGATTGAACCAAGCCGCTCCCTGGAATTTTCGACATTAAATTTGTCGGTAGTAGGCTGCTCAAGATAGATTGGGTGAGGCAGATCTTGTTGCATCTACTATTGAACCAATCTTCATTTGCTGAATATTGAAGCTCCCAGATATTGGTACCACTAGACTTTCCGGTAAAAAAGATCTGACCTGTTTTGTCACAGGAAACAAAAATGCTGACGTCAATGCCCTGCACGGAGACGCACATGCCGGTGTTGAATACGGCTACCTCATTTGCACTAGCGTTATACTGAATGGCAAGCAAATAAATATCGAAAGGAGTGGCGATGAGTAACAGATGGCTTACCGAGTCCACAAAGGTATTGGGTTTAGGCTTCACCAGAGCCACTGACAGAATCGTGTGCTTAATGTCATCAATGGACTGGAGATCTGAGGGATGATCCAAATCCCACAAAATAAGCTTGCTGTCGATAGTGATCCAGCACCTATTGAGCTCTAGAAAAATCCCCATATCGCTTTTCATTTCTGCCTTAGCAGCTTCTCGAAGCACAACATCGGGGATGTTGATCACCTGCGTGCGTTCCAGTGGTGTAAATGCTCCCAGACCACCAATTTCTTTGCTAAAATTGTAATTGACTCCATTGTTGTAGTATGAACGCTCGTCCAAAACCGGCGTGCTCGAATCCCGATTTTGCATATGGTCGATATACTGACTTGCGAGTTCGAGAGCGGGTTTAGAACCAAAGCCAGTCACCTTCAAGTGGTCCTCACCCGTCGGAGATCCCATGGACGCTGTAGGTGGAGCCACTAAGCCGTAATTGGGCATTATCATCGAGCCCTGGTTGTTTGTCAAGGGTCTCTTCACATCATTTGTCGTTGCGTTTTCACCCAAAACTGAGCCATTCTCGGAGCCGACGACCGTCCTACTATAGTCAATCCCACTTTTCAACGGAGTGGAGTATATTGACATTCTCTTGAAGACTATAGGAAGCCTGTTTTCCCCGTGTTTACAACTCTTTCATTCACCTGTCGTAGGCGGATCATAATAAATAGCCAGATGACATTTCTAGTTCATAAAATTTTTGGGTGCATTTTGTACGGGTCCTGTCTTCAGATCACTTTGTCATTAATGTTCAAAGGTCGCGACAGCTCGAGCTGATTTTATTCATCGGTAGTCCAGTGGTTCTGTCTTTGAGACCAGCTATGATCTAGAAATCTCTGGGAGTGTTTAAGGAGTTTTGAGAGAATCGTAGTAATATTTTCTATAAGTTGTGAGTTTTCAGGTTCGCTTTTATTGTAAACCTTAGGAGTAAATCTTGATCTCTTGAAGGGACCTTTTTATCGTTTCAAAAATTGTCTAGTTGCATTATAGATCGCTGAATGATCTCGATTTATCTTTTCTTTCTTCAGTGCTGTAAAACTCCGAGTTTAGAAAAGTCGTATTTTGAGCTGTTTGTCAAATCAGATTGCATAGTTCTACTGGACTGTAGTCTCCATCAAATGACACGAGAATGTATTCAAGCAGATGTTTAATCGTATGGTATTTGACAGTTTTGGGTGTGTTGTAATTCACTGAGCTTCAAACTGTCTTTAAATTCGTCCTTAACAGCTCCCAAAGCTTTCGACATAAACTCGACACTAACTAAACGCTAACTGTTTTTCCACCTAAATGCATTGAAGTCTCGACACAACACAGACGGTAGTCCAGACAAATTCCTGAATTACCTGTTTTCGACACACATAAATACAACGTACATCAAAATATGTACTACAGTGGTGGTATTGAGAAACATCATGGCGAAATGTCGATTTTATGATCCAAAAAGTGTAAGAGTTGAATTCAGTATCTAACAAAAACCCTCTTCTCGCATATGAGGATCTTAGATTTGATAACGAATTATGATCTTTTGAATGCCAGGAATACTATCTCCTGAGGTCTGTACTGGCCATCTCTGGCAATTGTGTCAGTAAAATAATAATAATATAGTAATATTGTCATAGTCTCGAGAAACCGTCTGTTGGTTCACAAACTAGTCATTTCAGTGAGCCCTTGCAGTCTTGATATCTAAGTATCTAGCTAGCCGTATCATTCGTAGTCTTCCATAGTCAAAATGAGAGTTCTGGGTAGTAAAGATACAAATGTGCGGTTATCAACTGCTAAGAAAGGTTACAAAATCGAAAAGGTTAAATCCAATGACATCAAGAAAAAACTAGCTCGCAAGAGCTTTGAAGATGTTGACATCAATTCCGCAAGCGATCTGGACAAGGAAAATATTGGTGATCCATGGTTTGAGTTTCCCTCCGACGCTGAAAGTGTGACACACACTGTAGAACTCAAAACCCTGCCATCCCCGAACCTACTGAGCAAGCAAGCCTTGGAGCAGGCTCAATTTAATTTGTGTGAAAGGGAAATGGAGGCAACGCCATGCAGCCATCCGTTTTGTGAAAAGCTTAGAGCGGTGAAACTGTCGTTGCCGGAATTTAGAAACCTGCTTCTATTCGACTTCGAAATGATACCCAAACAGTTTCAGTCCGATATGATCAATTTGCGTAATGGATGCTACCGCCAAAAAGTGTACTGTGGACTGTGGTCAGACTGGAAACTTCCTCCCAATGACAGTGAAAAATCTGAACTTTATCCAGACTTCCCAAAACATCAGCTCTTTATCGGGGATTCTCTGCCTGCAAAGCTGAGTTCAGCCGTTGCTTCCTTCCCAAACAGCGACAGAGTGCGAAGTAGACGCCTTATTATGCCCCGATCGCTACTAGCAAGAAGAAATCAAGTTACTGATTTTGATGAGCCCTTCGACCCCAGTGAGTTGTTGAGAGACTCTTCTTCGCTTTCTTTGTCGACTGATGAACAGCAAATCGACACACATCACTTTGAACATAACAAAGATGTGAGAAATCGTCATAGTCGACTTGCATGTTTATTATCCAAAGAGCTACGAAAGAATTGATTCAACACAAGCATATTTAGAATACCATGGATCTGTTTCAAGTACAGGCTGCTACCGCAGCCTCTGTTGATGTATATCTCATCTCATTGTCCCTGATGATTTGGCAATATAAATTAATGTTTTGGTCAAGGTTTCTGACATTAAGCTTTTTATAATTTAAACAGTTATAGCCTAAAATCAATGGTCACGAAAACTTATACAATTTTGAGCATTAAGAATTACGATCCCTAACCGAATTAAACCGGTATTTACATAGCTCAATTCAAGTATCATTTCGCTATTCGTTAAATCACTTAACAAGTGTCTTACCTCTTTCCCGGATATTTATGAGAATCAAAATTATTATAAAAGATGGGCCAAACTGTTTTCAAAATAAATGCCAACTCAAGAGCCTTGAGACACGATTTTGAAGCCTTTGAATCTGTACAGCACTGGTTTCATAGCTTTGAAGTGGATCCAAGATCTGAAGATAGTTCGCAAACCTTGTCACTATCTTAATTCGTGTCACTGAAATATTATCAAATCAAGTTCTGCACTACTTAAATGATGTGATTTTGAACCTAGCCGATGAGCAAATCCAAGTCTCACAAAACAACTGTCTATTCTTCTTATTGAATGCTCAAGTTTTCCAGGAACTATGGGTTCAAGTCAGTCAAACGGGAATTCAAGCTTTTACCCGAATTCAAGCTGAAATGTGGTCTTGAAATACACACGCAACTCAGCACACGACATAAGCTCTTTTCTTACTCTACAAATGATTCGTTTGCGTATGCAAATCTTCCTAACCACCACGTATCGTTTTTCGATGTTTCACTCCCAGGAACGCAGCCCAAACTGAATTTGGAGGCCATTTTATACGCTACTCGATTGGCCCTCGCACTGAACAGTGAGATCAACTTGAACTCGCAATTTGATCGAAAACATTATTTTTACGGTGATCAGCCATTGGGCTTCCAAATCACACAGCATTATAGTCCTTTTGCTCGTGGCGGATCCGTGGCCCTAACAAAGTCCTTAGATGGCATCGATCAGGAGCAGTTACAAATTGATATAATGCAGTTACAGATCGAACAAGACACCGGGAAATCCATTTATAGGGACTCTGAACAGATCTCACTGATAGACCTGAATCGTTCTAATGTTCCTTTGATAGAAATGGTCACGAAACCTAGTTTTTATGATCTCAAGCAAATTCGATCTTTCATCAAGAAATACCAAAATCTGGTTCGACATCTTGGAATATCCACGGGAGATCTCGAAACTGGAGCTATGAGGGTAGATGTCAATCTATCTGTGAATGACCATTGTCGGGTTGAATTGAAAAATCTTCCCAACACAAGTTCTATCATGAATGCAGTAAAGTTTGAGTACGAAAGACAAGTCGATATAATACGAAATGGACTTGCCGGTACTTTGTTGGCCGAGTCCGAAACGCGAGGCTGGGATGGAAAATCCACGGTCAAATTGAGAAGTAAAGAAACATCGATAGATTACCGATACATGCCAGATGCAGAGTTGCCGTTGGTACGATTATCAGCGGATGCAGTTGCGGCTGTGAAGGCATCTTTGCCCGTTCTACCAGACGAAACCATAAGGCTTCTGATGGCAGAACCTTACAATCTAGTTTTGAAGGACGCGAAAATCTTAACCTTGAATTCAAGCGGCCATGATCAGCAATATGCACAGAAAGAGCTGTTAGATTTCTATCTACAATCTTTCGAAGCTGCCATAGGAAGCAATGGCGAGAAAATTAACCCAAAGCTACTGACCAATTGGATCATACATGAACTACTTGGGAACCTCAATAGGCTGGGCTTACCATTACGTGAAGCAATCGCAGTTGTGCCGCCTACCAAATTCGCTGAGCTCGTTGCATTGATACAAGAAGAGAAAATTTCCAACGCTAGTGGCAAGCTCTTATTATTCCACATTCTTGAGCAGACAAGAGACCATAAATTATCTCAACCCGTGGACCTACACAGTCTAATAGAACAATTTGATCTTAGCGCTTTAAAGGTGGTGGACAGTGAAGAATTGATGAGGATATGTTCTGAGATATTGTCTTCCGTGACCGACCCGACAATGCTATCTGGCATCACTTCGGGAAAGAAGAAGAACTCGTTGAAGTTTCTTGTTGGTCAAGGAATGCGTTTATCTCAAGGACGAGTGAAGCCAAAGATGTTTGAAGACACTTTTAAAAAACTTTTGAATGTTGAGTGGTAACGACGTTAATGATACATGTAGCATTTTATAACTTGAATAAAAATAAGATATTCTTACATTACAAGTTCTATCTACTTGATACTTATTTTTGCAAAATACAAGTGCTTTCGCCTTAAGAAAGCTTCGCTCCGAATTAACCTAACGTTTTGCAATGACACCGAGGAAGTTGAAACAACCGCTGTAACTTCCTATACACAACCAAGACCCATCTTCCAACGATCAGCCCCACCTGAAGAGCAAGATTGTCGGGAGATTTACCAAATCAACGAGAAAAATAGTTTACCTAAAATTTCGTAACGATGATGGTAGTTTTGACGTCCTTGACCTCACTACTCGTGAAGTGGACTACGGGATAAAAATTTATGAGTTTTCTCTTTGCAACTTTTCTAGTTTGCACCATTACGTGGATTCGTTAGCTCCAAACACTCATGTCATTATTCCAAATTCCAAATGAGCCCGAAGCGGAAGAAGAGGTAGTATTGCCCGTGCCCCAATTCTTCGAGTCAGGCATCATGAAGTTGCGAGAAGAGTCTGCACCATTATTGGCGCTGAAAACGGATTCTTGGTTGTTCAAACCAGTAAACTCTGGTGCATGAGTCCCGTCGGAAAGTAAAGACGACGGTAAACCGTTTATAAAGTCATTAGAACCGGATAGGTCACACTCTTTCTTGTAACCCGTTGGAAGAGCACTAGGAACAGAATCCAAGAAACTCCCGGCCAAAGGCGCGACTGGCATCATGTTTATCGTAGGTCTTGATGCTTGTGCCTGAGAGGTGTTAGCATTGGTAACGTTGGTAACACTGGTTACAGGACCACTCGTTGCGCCATTCAAACTCGACGACGCAATTTGCGTGTTACCAGAAGGCGCCAATGGGCCGTTCAGTTCAGTAGGCAACAAAAAGTCGTAATCTCCACCTAAAGATGAAATTGAAGAAGTTCCGCTCACTGAAACATGCAGTCTGGGTGGTGGAGTAGAGCTTGAAGAAGAGCTTGCAGTCATCAATGGTTGTTGGTTGACGTTGTTGGGAGCGTAAAGTTGAGGCGACAAAGCCTGCTGTGCGAGCGATGAAGCACTATTGTTGGCGGAGCGGTAAAACATTTGTGGGAACGTTTGTTTGAGACCTGTACCTTGCAAAGGCTGTTGGAGCTGCTGCTGCTGTTGCTGCTGCTGCTGCTGTTGCTGCTGCTGTTGCTGTTGCTGTTGTTGCAACTGCAAATGTAGCTGCTGCTGGTGAGCGCCCAGCTTAAACCCATTTTTGCCGAAACGGTAGTTTTGACCACCGGTGTTGGTAGCACCCATTGGTTTTTTGCGTGAATTCGATCCGTTAAAAGCCAGGTTGACCCCTTGATTGCCTGTGATTGCAGTGTTCCTGTTTTGGCTCGAAAACCGTGACTGCTGTTGCTGCTGTTGCTGTTGCTGCTGAAGACCGGCTGCATTCTGTGGCATCAATTTTAAACTCCGGTATTCCGCCAAGTACTTATCCATGTCTTCGACCTGCGACAGAAACGGCACGCTGACAAACTGGCCTGGCATTGTAACTGTAAAACCTCGAGATAAATTCCAAAAAGAGCCCAAACCTTGTTTTGCACAGTTGTGTCCCACTTAAAATGCAAATATCAAACCTTCTGCTGAACCGTTTGACTCCAAACTTTCTCAACTAATCCACGCTTTTTCAAGCTTTCGAACAAACTTTACCGAGGTTCGCGAAACCCTTCGAAGCTTGCTTTTTAAGCGTTTTTAACTGGTACAACTTGCATCTCTTGGATTAAAAGTTCAACTTCTCTTGCAGTTTTTCATTCATAATTAGTACTCGAAAAATTTTCCGGTACTCGAGAGACTCGAGTTCACAGGTGATGCTCAGCTAAAGACCAGCGCGACAAGAGATGGTCAGAGTAACTCCGATCGTTTGAGAATCTGGTGAACGACTTGAGCTCTCAAATCTTATTCAGAATTAAGCACGAAAGATTTGGTCAAAAACTGATTATTTTAGGAAATGATAGTCGGTAGAGCATGTGTGTTGGGATAGTCCAACAGCAACGCACCATTGACTATTGTTCCTTCAACTGTCTTTCGTGCCATCGGTGTGAAATGTAGAATGTATGACTTTGTGATTTGTGAAGCTGCTGGATGGAATTTGATATTGATGTGTGTGAATTTTGACTTTCTTGACACTTTGGGAGATCTCGATCTCGCACATTGTGAAAACGAGGCTCCACAGGTGGCCTGGGAAAACTGGCATCGCAATGAAGAGAAAGTTGGAGTCCAATCACAATGCGTAAAACTTCTTATTTTTTGTCTTGAGAGCAGTGAGATGGTACGCCCGACAATGAAAAACAGTGAGAGAGGTAAAACCGAATATGATTTTGTATGAAAGACAAGGCCAGCCAGATGGACAAGTGCAAACGGCTTCTTTAACTGAGTTCACCAGCTTTTTGACATCTCGGTATGATCTCTTCAATCTAAATGCATCAGTTGAGAGTCTTCGGGCACACTTTTCTCGAGTCTCAACACCATTTTATCCAGTTTCCACAGAGTTGGCAGGCAACCAACTTCATTGACCACCATTCATGCAATAAATCTTGGTCACACCACTCGAAGACACTTATTTCTTCTTTTCCTTAACCTCTTCATCAGTAGTTGGATGCAAACGAATGACGTTGGGATAATCTGGTCTGTTACCCATGTAACCCTGATGCCAATCGTAACTGAGAGCATACGCGAATACCGAACCGTTGCGGTTGAAGCTGCACACGGGAATTGAAGCTTGAAGCGAGGGAAAGCCCTTGAGCCGATGCCTTTGGTTTTTGTCCCAAAAATGAAACGTTCCGTCACTTCCAGCGGTAGCAAAAGTGCCATACACCGGATGGAAGACAATGCTATTGACAGGGTAGACCAATGACTCTGTAGTAGAGCGGCCACCGGCTGGACCTGTGGCCGGTTGTTGAACTCTGTGGCATTTGAACGAGAAGCCAGATTTCCGTTGTTCTTGCTCATCCACATACTGTATTGCACAACGACCTTCAACCGATACCACGGCGAATCCGTTGCCCTCCACGTAACATGCCAACGATCTGGTTTGCCATTTCAATGGTGACATGGTAGTTTTGAAGATGGCACCTGGGTTATTGAGGTCGACTATCGCGATGTGACGTTCTGCCGTGCCGATCACCAGCAGTTTTTGGCTGGAGTCCATGCAATAGACCCTTTCGGGCATTGTGAGCGTCGACACCGGCTGCGGTTGTCGCATATCCCAATATTTGACAGTTTTATCCCAAGAACCAGTGACCAAACACTCAGTGTTAGCTGGTCCACATTTCACGAATCTGACGCTTTTCACAGCACCATCGTGAGCACCCACCTGTTGAGATTGGCCCGTTGCAACGTCGAACACAGTAACAGCGTTATCGCACCCACCAGATGCAATTTTTGTACCGTCTTCAGACCATCGAGTTGTAAGTACAGGCGCTTGATGCTGATATTCTGCCCTACATTGGGCGTTTCCACCGTTTACATCCCAGACCCGCACTTTTTTGTCCCAGGAGCTTACGCTGAACAGAAAGTCTTGCTGTGGAGAGAATGCAATGTCCGAAATAGAATCTTCTGCTGGGTTTTGAATAACAATGTCATTGGCAAGGTCTTTTTCCGCATTCATCACTTTCGAAGCGGCCAAACTTCCGGTAGAACTGTTCCCCCCATAAAAGGACATGCTGAGAACTCCAATTGATACTGTTTTAACCGCCGGAAAGGTATCGAAGTTCGAAAAAGCGCGCTTAAGTTGAAGTAACTGGGTTTGGTTTTCTAGGTTTTTAGGATGGGATGAGATATAAATCAATTGATATCAAATTTTCCAGAGCACGTGATATAGCAATTTACGTAATTTACAAACACCCACACATTATCAATCATGTGATTGGTCACATGATGTAACTGAGAGTAGCTCTCTTCCCAATGGTATCACAAGTGTCCTTACCATGTCGAAATTGAAGAGCAGATAGCGATCCTCGTCCTTCCTCTTCACGGCCCCTCTGCTCTCTCACTGCCAGTTCAACAAATTCATATCGGTGTAATTCATGTTCGAGTTCGGATCCAAAAAATCCAAATTGAAGGGCTCTTCGACCGGTACCTGATTCTGTGATTGGGTCGAGCTGGGCTTGGAAGAAGCGTTCTTTGCCTGAGAGGGCTTGTCTAAGACATCGCTGCTGATGCTGAAAATGTCCTCTTCCTCGAAATTGTAAGCTGCATTGCTAAGAGTAGGATCATTTTGCCCGAGAGCATCAAATTCGTTCTGTGGTGAGGGATCCGTGGCAGCTGAATTGGGGAAGACCCCGGCACTGTTACTGATAGTATCGTTGCTGCTTGCACTCTCCGGATGTATATCGTCTGTCGCAAGAGGCGTCGTCCCGGCAGAATTGTTTACCCGAGAACCATTCTTCATATTAGTTACAGCAGTTGATTTCTTGGATTTCGAACGACTCATTGGAATTTTGCTCTTCTTGCTGTCCATCACATTTTCCAGCAGAGGAGATGATGGATTCGTCGCCAATCCCAAAGAAGAACTCGATAGCTGTTGCAACTTTTTGGGCTTTTTGATTCTCTTTTGTGCATTTTTCTTACTCATGCTACCATTCAAAAGATCTCCAGAACCCTCGAGAGGAGTCTCATTAACAGTAGACAATGCACTGTGCGGCGCATGCTTGGCAAAATTACTGCTAGCAGGCGTCATAGGTCCGATCGGGGTGACAGGCTCGGATACATTTTTTTTGGCCATGCCCACAAAAGGGCTTGCATTTTGCACTGTGGCCGATTTGCGCCTCTGAACGTCCCGTGCTCTAGTCGTGGTACTGGGTCCCAGGCTTGCTGGGCTATTCATTGAGTTGACAGCCATTGGTGAAACCCCCACAAAGCCTGCTGCGGGTGTAGCTTTATTCATCGTGAAACCTGGAGTAGAAACTGTAGACCTGTTAGAAATGGCTTTTTCGTTTTCCTTCTCCAGCATAAGAAGCTGTTTTTGATAGTTGTACAGACCCTCCATGCTTGAAAAATGTGCGTCTTGATTGAGTTGATTGGCAGAAGCGGGCGAGCCCTCTCCTGTATTGGGCTTCCTAATCATCGTATTAGAGATCGGGGGAGCCGATGAAGGTGCAGCCAGTGCAGCCTGTTGATTCGATGACTGGTTTTTCTGACTTTGATGCGGACCTTGAGCTGTCTGCGAATGCTTTGAATGTAAAAATTGCTGTTGCATCTGTTGTTGCATCAGTTGCTGTTGACGTTGCTGTTCATGCTGATCCTGTTGATGCTGTTGAGCAGCTAGTGGCCCTTGTTGCTGGCGCTGTTGTTGCTGTTGCTGTGTGCTAGTGGGTGCAACAGCTTGTTGACCACGCGGCTGTTGCATTTGCTGCCGCTGAATATGCTGTTCTTGTGTCTGAGGTGCCATGAGCTGATGCGTGTATCCGGGCGGATAGTTAGACTTCAAGGGTGCTCCTGGCGGGTTTATGTACACCGGTCCATTGGCACCATTCATTACCATATGATTGGCGCCATTTACTAGTAACTCCTGGGGATAAGACTGTATTTGTCCTTGAATTTGCTGTGTTCGTTCATGCATTTGTTGCTGCTGTTGGACAGGAAAATGTTTTTGGCGCGGCTGAGCATACGCGGCTTGTTGATGGTGTGGTTGCTGAGCCTGTGACTGTGACAATTCTTGCGTATGTTGTAGATGCGATTGAGGTTGAAAGTTCTGTCGAAGCTGTGATTGTTCTTGCTGATGTTGCGCGTTTTGCATTTCAAGCTGACCTTGTAATTTGGAATATGGTTGAGCCTGTTGTTGTGGCCGTATAGCATACCGCTGCCTCATTTGTTGTGTGTTAATTTGGGCTTGCGCAGTTTGGCGAGCCTGTACAGGGCTCTGTTTCTGGACCTGTCCCGCTTGCAGATTGCGAGCTTGGTTTTGGAAACGAGAGTGCATTTGAGAATTTTGAGCTTGCTGCATTTGGGCTTGAGCTTGGGCTTGGGCTTGAGTCTGAGCTTGGGCCTGTGCTTGAACACGAGCTCGGGCCTGAGCCTGAGCCTGAGCTTGCTGAGCTTGTATCTGTTGTACCTGAGCCTGAGCCTGAGCCTGAGCCTGAGCCTGAGCCTGAGCCTGAGCCTGAGCCTGAGCCTGAGCCTGAGCCTGAGCCTGAGCCTGTTGAGCTTGGGCTTGAGCTTGAACCTGTTGCACATGTGCCTGTTGCGCTTGTACCTGTTGCGCATGAGCTTGTTGTGCTTGAACATGAGCAAATCCTGGGGATTGCTGACGAGGGTGCTGAAGGTGACTTCTATCAGAATGGCTTTGAACGCCGGGTCCAGGAGCCATGTAGCCACCGCGGCCACCCACTTCACGTTGTGGAGCAGCAGGCGCGTTGTACGCGTTACCAGAAAGCATCATTGCGAACATTATGGGATCTGAAACTTCGCCCTGGTATTCGCCTCGTTGTTCGACCTGCTGCTGCATCCGTGCTGCATGCATCGCCACGTTTCTATAAGTATGTTCTTGTCGTCTTGAGTCGAACTGAAGTTGAAAATATTGCTGAGCCAGTTTGGAACCACCTCGATGGGTTCTGGCATTGAATACATCCCAAAAGATCTGCCACCATTCGTAAAGAAACCCTTGCGGGGCGTCATTTTCAGGTTGGAATGGCATGTTCGGTGCGACCTGTTTACCGTTTTCCTCAATGACGGCTTCTTGTGCAAAGGCCTTGGCAGTTTCGGTGAGTGAAGATTTCGACAGAAAATCGTAAATATATGTGTTCAACAGCTTTTTCGGCTCTTTTTTGCCGCCCCATTCATGATCTCTGGTGGTACCTGACGGCAGCGGCTCTCGTCTAGCGTCTGTGTATGTTGATTCATTTGAATTTCCCATTGTGCTTTGTTTATTTGGTTGAATTCGCACGTTTCGTCCCGGATTTGGCGGCTGTGAGAAATGCTCGACACCGTGCGGGCCACCCAGTCCCGGCGTGTGGTTCGACATTGTGTACAGTGTCGAACAGTTGGCCTAAATTAGCGAGAGTTTGACCTGTTTCCCAATGATGCTATTATTTCAAAACCAATTGTTATTGTTTTCTGAAGTCAATATCCCGGCTCAATTTTACCCGTTTTCAAAGCTGAAAGTATCTATGTGAAGCCCTTAATCACGCCAATAAGAGCCTAGCCACTTCAGCACTTTTGTCTCACACTTGGGCGTTAGATGCAGTTTTTTAACTAGAAGTATTTACTTCGGAGTTGTCGAGACACCTCTGGCCCCTCACGAGAAAATTTCAAGTATTGAAGAATCACTCCGCACGAAGGCCGAAGTTCATTACGATCTTGACTATGTTGTAGCTCAACAGCTGAGCTAGATCTTATTCAGAATCGAGAGAGCAGCTAGATCGTAAGCGATTTTACATGATATCTAGTCCTTTTCGTAACTCAATAGTAGCTTAATCAGTTTCGACTTATCGAATAGTTACGGAACGCCCGTTCCAGAATCTGGAAAATGTCAGTTTAACGATCAGTAACTTTATACCAATGAATAGTTGTCGCTGAGTTGGGCCAACGTCTGCAAATGAAGTGGTTTGATGATCCGCTTATTTTTTCGAGTTTAAAGTTTTTTATGGCCTATTTCGTCAAAGACTGGGATTCTTATTTTTGAACTGGCTTAAAACCGCAATTCCGCATCCCTACATTAGGGCATCTATCACCTCTGCTGGCTCTTGAGACTTCTAACATTCGGCCTACAGATAGCATCTGGTGCGGGGCTGCGTTCGTGACTTTATTTCAGTATTTTCAGTTTCTTAATTCGTCAAAGCGTTTTCACTGACACTTTGCAGTTCACGGCGCCAGCTCTTCTGCAAACTTCCACTTATACGAAAAAGCTTCTCGTTTTTCCATTCATTCATTTTTCTTGACTGCCGAAGTTTCATCGGTTCCATCTGAGCCGGATCTGAGTTTCCCCGGCCTCACATACACGGAAATGAGAAGAATGCTGTTCAAGGCGAATAGCGTCAAACTGGCATTCGCATTTGGTGGGTAGCTATTCCAACACCATTCGTGCGCCAGATACCATGCTAACACAACACCCATCGGTAGACGGGACCAGTGCAACAGGACCGGTAAAGTCCAGTGATACCACGACAAAAACTGGTAGTGAAGGGACCTGGCAAAGAGCACGCCAATAAAATTGGTTACCAGACATACATATCCAACATCTAGCGGGGCGAGTCTTGAAAACGAGCGGAGTACAGGCGTGAAGGGATGCCTTAAAGCATTCAAGGAGACTCGTAGCTCGGTAAACCCAGAACAAAACTTAGTGATTGCAAATAGAGCCAGGATTGCCAAATGGCTGATCAGCAGCGTGCGGTGGAACCACAAATCGTTGAATACATCTTCGTCCACAAATTGCCAGTTCACGCTCCACCTGTGCATGAATTGACGTCCAAAGTCGAAGGCCGTTGACCAATACTCTCGTGGATAATCAACAACAAACGGATGGGCCACATAGAACTGCCATGCAGTCGAGCTAGCCAAGCAGCCCAGTGTGAACGCCAAGTTTCCGTCTGTGAGTTGAAAGATCGATAAGAAAACTCCAGGGAAAAACAAAAGAGCATTCATTTTGATGCTTACTGCTATACCGTAGGTCACACTGGCGATGACGCAGAAAACTTTGCGCTGCAGACGAGCCGAAGCAAGTAGACTTAAAACGGTCGAGACCATGAAGAAGGTGGTGAAGCAATCGTTGAACAGTCTCAAGACATAGATCGAATGCAAACGCTTGGACAGAACCGCAAGAGCAACACACCAGGGTGGCAGCTGCAGCAAGACGTAGCACACCATCTGCAGCATCAAAGTAGCGATGTACAAGATGCTGAAAGTGATTTGTCCAGCTTTCAGATCATCCAGACCCGACGTTATTCTTTCCATAATTTGATAAATCCAGACGTGGCCTCCTGGATAAACAAGAGGCCCAGTACCACCTTCAATTAGTTTATAATTCGTCTCGCCATCCTTGATAGTCCATATTTGCTCCATGTACGCTTCATAATCAATCTCAGTGTATTGGACCTTGGCCAAGATGAGCTTCAATGTGACAGCTTCCAAAACTAGCAGCAGAGGCATGACTATGTGATTGGCCTCAGGATTGAAGATCAGATACTTTACGGCATCTTTAAGATCTTTGTAGACGTTTATGGACGGCTCTACAGTTGCGTTCGGTTTTTGTTCATGTAACCTTTTCCCATCCTTTTGGCTATTGGCAGCCTCAGGTTTCGAAACATGAACCATTTTTTAGCAAAGAGTCTTCAAAAAGAGCCTTGAGAGCAGCAGAATTGTTGAATATGGCCAGTTGTGGCCCTAGTGCATCTGTTTGAGTAGACTTGTGTTTACTTTGATGTGTTCTTAATGAACGAACTTTCACCTATATATGAAAGAAACTGATGGCAAGTCGAGATCAACGCTTGAAAATAAGAGAAAAGGTTAGTGAAATGGTTTATTTGTATATGATAGATACCAAATTCGATAGGTTAGTTTACAATAAAGGTCCGGGTGGAATAAATGTTCATTAGGCGATCACTTGGGCTAGAACAGGTCTTTGAGCAACAGCGCCGTTGTATGTGGTGTTGAAATACTTGAGTAGGTCAACAACCTTTGATTGCGCTTCAGAAGACTGGAATTGCTTCATTCTGTCCATGTTTTCCTCTCTGCCCAAGGTGGATTCTTGTTCAAGTCTGACTCTCTCAGCTTCCTTAGTGAAAACAGCCTCGAAGAAATCCAAAACCTTGGGTGTTTCGTTCACGATAAGGTTGTTGTTGGACTGGTAGAGTTTCATGATAAGCTCGAAAATAGGGTCGTACTCCTCGTAACCAGTGTTCAGTGGCAAGTGGTTTAGTAGTGCAGGAAGAGTGTGCTCCAGTGGAACCAAGGCCTCGTTTTTCAAGGTCATGCGGGCCACACAGCCGGTAGCGTTGGCGAAAGCTCTGTCCACAATCTCTCTGGTGGCTTCGTCGTCCTCTGCAGCAAGAGCCTTCTGGTCTGCGGTGCTTAGCAACTCATACATAGCTCTCAAGACTGGTGGATAAATTGCCGAAACGTCGAAAGGCGCATACTTGCAGAGTAAACCAACACCGTAAGCAGCGTTACCTCTCACTTCGAGGTACTTGTCAGTGGTCAATCTGACAACCAAAGCCTCTAGCATGTCTTGCACGAATGGGTTAGCATCCTTCAAGCCTTCAGCAATTTCGGAGACAGCACCAACAGCGGCTGATCTTTTGTTCTTCGATTTAGATTGGAACAAGTTCAAGACAACTGGCTTGAAACTTTCGAAAACCTTGGGGAAGTCACCGCCCAAAGCGTACGACAAACTCACCAACACTTCCAAAGCGCAATCCAATAGAGCAGCTTCGGTTTCGGAAGCATCAATGTCTTCATCCTTTGGCACATCCTCCTCGTAGTCAATGGTTTGACAGGCGTGACTGCCCTTTAGAACCGACATGACTTCGACGCACAATCTCTCCAAGGAAGAGGAGTCTCCGTTGTCAATCACAACAATGGCGCCAAATTTTCTGATCATTTCAGCGAAATCTTCCAAAATCGTAATCACCATTGATGTCTCGAACTCCTCGGTCAAATTGTCCAAAGAGGTGGCTCTGATACTTTGAACGACAGCAAGAATGTTGCTGTCAACGTAAGAACCAGATGGAACCCCAACAGGGTATTCCTCTTCCTTTACATTAGCGGTTTGGAGAAGGGCTTTAGCAATGTTCCAAATTGTGTGAAGAGCTGTCTCTCTTAGACCGTAAGATTCCTCAACTTGCTCATTCAGGACCTTGAGAGATTGTTCAACATACTCCAAAAAGTTTTCTTTGGTAGCAGCAGCAAGCTCTGATAGAGCAGCAGCAGCAACTTCCTTTTCGTAAGAGATACCGGTGTTGACAGTGAACTTCTGTTGCAGATCGTCCGCCTCGAGTTCAGCTAAATCTTCAGCGTCCTCATCTATGTTAAACTGGTATTCTTGTTGCTCCAAGGTTCTGAAAATTTCGGGAAGAATAGTGGCCAAAAATGGAGCAAAGTCCTTGCCGTAAACCTTAGCCATGTTGGCAATGAATGCGTAGCCCGATTCTCTTAGTCTTGCTGAGTCGGTTTTGATAGCTTCGTAAGCAGAGTTCAACAGAGGTTCGGCAAATTCATGGAAGGCTTCCGATCTAACAGCTCTACCCATAGTGGAGATGTTCTCAAACGTCAAAGCTCTGAGTTCAATGTCATCTTCGGACATGCCTTCAATTTGCCCGGAGTTCTCGATAAACTGTTGCAAGTATTGGACGGATGTCTTAAAAAATGGCAAAAAGGCTGAGCCTGCAGCAAAGGCGGCAGAGCCAATAGCAGATACGATTGCGGCTCTCAACTTGGAAGAAGTGTTGGTGTCGAGCATGTGGAAAAGCTTGTTCATCAATGGTTCCAAATACTTCGAGATGGCTTCGTAAGCAGTGAATTCCAATAGGCCATCCAAAGCGACAGTCGCGTATTTGTAAATGACAACGTTCTTTGCAGAGTCAATGGTGCCCATGATAAGAGGTAGATAATCCTCGTGAAATTTGGCAACCTCGTCTTGTAGATCAGTTGTCAACTGTGAAATACATTTCAAAGCGGCCAATTGAACGACAGGGTGGTCGTCTTTCAAACCAGTGATGGTTGCAGGGATGATCTTTTCAAGTTGAGAAAGAATGTAGTCAGGGGAACCGGTCACTGCCACGGAGATTGCCAACAAGATTGCTCTTCTCTCAAACGGATTCGAAGACTGTAGCATAGCAGGCAAATGCTCAACAATTGGCACAGCAACCTGAGAGGGTGGCAACTCGGAAGAGGCGAAAGCCAAAAGTCTGACAGCAGTCAAAGAGGGTGTGTTTTCTTCGTTTTCACCAGCCTCGTCCTCGTTGTTCAATTCATCGTCAACATCGATTTCTTCGGAAGCGACTCTGAGGGCTGCCATGGTTATCTCCTGACCTAGTTTAGCCTGTATAATCTTCGACTTTCTGAATGAAAGCGCAGAAGTGGCAAACTGAACGGCAAAAACTCTGACTTCTTCCTCGACATTCTTGTTGACCGCGATTTGCAAAGCCAACTTGATCAGGTCGGTGACGCTGTTTCCTGTCAACTGAGAGTCTAGCAGCAAAAAGTCGTTCAGACAGTTGAAAATCAACTTGGTGTTGCTTGTGTCCTCAGCCTTGATGGTTGCTTCCAAGACGCCAACCACAGCGGGAATCAATGCCGCGAACTTGGTTGCGTAGTCGGAATTTATCTGTCCCTCTTCTTCTATCAAGTTCGAAACCTGATTCAAAGCTTGAGCAGACAGAGATCTGGTTTCTAGAGTAGAAGACTCACCCATGGTGTGGGCGAAAAGGTTCAGGAAGTCTCCAATGTATAAGTTCAGCTCTGGATTCATGTTGTCGAGCAAAGACAACAAGATGAAAACAGCCGTTTCGCTGATTTTGCTGTCGCTACCCGAGGCAGCTTGGATGAGGCTGGGTACCAATTTTGGCCATTTCTTCTCGTCTAGTTCTTCGTTTCCGATAGCTGCAATGACACGAGCGTTTGCATGACGCACAATCTCCTTTGGCTCAGAGAAAGCACTGTTCAACAAGGAGCTTTTGATCTCGCCACGAACGCCTTCGTCTAAAGCACTCCACTGCGTGGCAACCAGTTTTCTGGCTTCAACACCAGCAAGCTGTTTCAAGCCATCGTTAGAGCCGTTTTGTAAAATGCTCAGCAATGCTGGCAGAGCAGTAGGCTGCGTGTAAAACTGCGTCTGCAAAGTCTTGGTAGCCTCCTTAAGCGAGACGGAGTTTGGCTGGATCACAGCGCTCAGCAACTGCTCCATTTGCGACACAAACTGTTGGTCCATCGTGGCAAAGGAATGCGGGGGAAAAAGGAAACAAAGCGCTTCTTAAGCTACAACAATGTCGATGTTCGAGGTCACAGTGAACTTCGAACAAGAAATCACCAGTTTCTTTCTAGTCTTTAAATCTTGCAATTGCAATGACCTCCAGAATCAACAGCAATGTTACCTCGAAGTTAACGAATCGTGTTGTTTCGTTATATTTTTAGTCGAGATCGTGAGAACTGTTCAAAAGCAGAAGCTCATCGCATCTCATCATCAAGCTCATCGCAGACTAAAATTTTTTTTGAACGCTCCGATGCCAAAACACACAGTTTCGTGCAGAGATACGTGTGCACATGAAAACCGATGAGATGAGTTGTGATGAGAAATGATGAGATGTGACGAGAGGTGACGCTGTTGATATGATAGCCTAGATGGAATCAGAAGATCAGAATCGCGTTTACTTTTGATATTTCGTCTAAGCAGTAGCAGCGAGATCTTTCTCGATATCGTCCAATTTCGAGTCAATGTCATCCACGGTCGTACCTATCAGCTTCCGATACTTCTTTATCTTGACAGAAGAGTATGCTTCAGATCTGCCTCTGGATATCCTTTCGATGGTGTGTTTACGTTTGTGTTGTAGTAAAGTCAGCTGTAGACCCAGTCGTAGGAGGTGGTGTCCTATGACACGAACGGGTGAATTTATGTGGCCTTCCTTCTGAGGAGAATTGAGATTCGATCCCATCGCGGACTCTTCCTCGTGGACACATGTGGCTAGGGCCAATGCTTGCGACTTTTCAATGGAGTTTGTCAAATGTGACATATGAACGCGTACTTGGTTAGCTTGTTTCTCGACATCTGCGCGAAGTGCGTCGGGGCTCGCCTGGCCCTGCAGTAGCTCATGTACTAGTTTCGTATTATTGGCGAGAGTGTGTTTGATGGTATCGACGCGACCTATGACTTTTTCCTTCTCGAGCTCCAAAGCACTGATTTGGTCGTCCACTGAGGAAGTGAACGAGGCACTTAGATTCGATAACTGTTTTGCCAGCGCCTGCGTTGAACGGGCCTGCCCGGGGCGCACCAAGGGTACAGGATGCACAGGTTTGATGACTTTGTTGACTGTAGAAGAAACCGAAAGGGGCTCGGAAATGACTGTATTATGGTGCGGACTCTTAACCTTAGAGGTATTAACAAGTGAGTTGGGAATGCTTGAAAATGACGTCAAGTCGTGGGTCATGTTGATGGTATTATCGCCGATCTGCGAAAAGCTGCCATTCCTCTTTTTCGTCATTACTGGAGTGCTGAGCCTCATTTGCGTTGGTCTTTGGTCTTGAACACCTTCAACCATGTCGGCTATAGAGTCTTCCAACTCCTGTGACGTCGGCGGTACCAAGTTGAACCTGGCTAACAGCGAAGTCGCTGTTTCATGCTCGAGGTTCAATATAGACATTAAACCACCAAGATAGCATAGTTTGTTGCAAAGTTCCAAATTGAGATTCAAAGCTGCAAGGTGAAGCACCGTATTCCCCGCACTGTCTTGATGATTAAGACACATCCGAAGTAGTGCCACGTCTTCCTGACCCAAAACATCAAGCAGGGTATCCAGATAGTAATTTACCACTGCCGGATCCTTAGATTTGTTCACGCTCAATTCCACTAAGTAATGAAGCGGAATTCTACCATTCACATCAGGTGTTATAATGCACGGCTTCAAAAGCTCCAGTACTTTGGGGAAAACCCCCGCTTTGTAACAATTATTGTAAAAACATGCCTTGGTAATCGTGTTGAATCCACGGTCGTTGCACAATGAGATGTCAGCAGAAAGACTCAAAATAAGTTTGAGCAATGGCACATTCGCCATGGCTGCAGCCCAATGTAATGCGCTATGTCCTTGATCGTCGATGATAAAGTTGATATCGAGATCTGGCGGACAGTTGTATAGTTCTTCGGGTAGCATGATGGAATCTGAGTCACTTAATGAGTAATCTGAGGACAGCACTTGCAGCAAAATATCTTTGTACTCTTCAGCGGTTACTTGCTTGTTATTAGTGTCATTTTTCACACTTAGTTTGGGCTGATTTCTTGGCTTGGGAGAGGCCGATCGGGAAGAGATTGGCGATGGTTCTTCTCGCGCTGAAAAGCACTCAATGGAAGACCCGTTTGAGCCATTAGAGCCATTGGATTGTGTATTCTTGTGAGCAGCAGGCTGTGGATGAATTGTCACCATTGCGTGCGGTATAGATTTTCCAGTCTCATAATTCTTGCGGTCCATAAATTGCTGCTTAATGACTCGAAAACTATGCTGGGCCTGAAACTGGTTGGACGATGGAACTTTGTTGGCCTTCTTGGTACGCTTAGGAGGAAGCTGTTGATGAGGGTGATTGGAATCGAACGTCAGAAACGCAGGTTGCTGTTGTGGGTAAGGGTAAAACTGTAGCGGTTTTTGAGTTGCCTCGTAGGAAGATGGATGCATGGGAGTCTGCTGATCGGGTGCAATCACTGTGGAGTTATTATGCTGCATGGAAACATGCTGTTGGTGCTGTGGCGTTTGAAAAGCTAAATTCTGCAAGGGGCTGGGATGAATTTGAGAGCTCTTCTTGACTGCAGCTGGTGCGCTGTGAGCTACATGACCCATTGAAGTACTGAGCCTTTTTTTGCTATGTTTTTTGATCATTGGGGGTCCGCTTTTCTTCGGGGTCTTGTTGTAACTCGAGGGAGAATGGATTTTGGAGCCTGGCGACTGTTTTTTCATCACAGAGTTTTTGGAGCGTCGAATTGGCGGATCAGACGGATCTAGCTGGAAATTGAGTATCGTTGATACCACCAGGTCGTTCACGTTATACTTTTCGACCAAATAAAGTGCACTTTCCAGTGGGATCCAAGTTCCCTGGAATCGACCGTACCCACCTTGAATCTTTTCGTGCTTTACCATGTTGGATTCCTTTTCCAGGATTTTTGTCCTCTGAGTCTTGGAAAATGACGCGATCTTAAACACCTGTGTGATGTTAACCCAATTATCGAGACATCTTCGCATCACAATTCGAGATTCAAACCCTCTACAGTAGCACTCGTACACGTCCACTCCGGCATATGTTGCTATCTCAATTCTCGGCATAGCCTCCACTTCTTCGGACGTTCTTGTCAGTCTTGCATCGATATTCATTAAAGGATCGCTCTCCGTCAATATTGATCCATTTTGCATCGTTGGAGCTGCTAACGAATCCAGCAATACCTCTCAAAAGAGTCCTCCAATCAACGGCACCGACTTGTAAGACTTATTGAAGGTTACCGTGCTGCCAACCTTTTGTGTCAAGTTGCAAAGGTTGTGGTTCGTTGTTCTGGTTTTCGAATCTTAATATGCTGAAAATGGTAAGATTATAGAACGCGTAAAGCGCACGAATTTACGGGCAAGAAAAGGCGCGTACACAGTGACCGAAGATTAGGAATGTTGGAACTATGCAAAGGTCGAAGGACACGCGAAGATGGGCGAATGAAGAAGGTTGTGGTTTGCAAGAGAATATCATGTTGAGTGGAAATGCTTTTTCGCTGAATTCGAAATTTCGAGTTTAGCGGTGTTTTATTTCAGGATTTAAATTGTTTCGAGATGAGGAAAGGGAAGACCGAAAGAGAATGCTGGGAATTTGAGTAAAAACTGGGACTTTGGTCGAATATTAATGGCCGGCGTAGCGGGTGCAACAGTGGAAGGTAAGTTGTTGGAAAAATAGTGATCACTTTGTAAGTTTAATGTCGATAGTCACGTGACTCGATTCGGCGACAGATATTTATACGCTTGGTAAAGATGTAAATTTCACTCGGTGTCCTTAGAGACTTGACAAATAACTCCCATAAGCTCTCTTTGGCATTACGATAGCGTAGTACTTTCCAGCTTCTCAACTAAGAGCTCACATCGAATGTGAAACCTCGGACACCAAAAAAAATAACACCCTTACACCACTGCCATTGAGAACAGTGTTTAAACCTTTGCAAACCAACACAAGAAACCGACCAGCCGTGTGTAAATGCTGGCTTAAAAATTGCATTAAGCTAAGGGCCCCGATCCTACTCTTTGCTAGAAATACAACCCCCAGGAAGTATACAAAAACTCTTGAAGAGTCAACTTTCTCAGAGCCTACCTAGGCCACTAATTAAACAGCAAAATAACTGCATTGTATTATGCAAAGCTCTAACATCTGCCGAACCTTCTTCATCTTCTCGCCCTTCGCTTTTGATCTAAAAAGACCACTATTCCATGTGGTGACGACACAGCCGTATAAAACGATACAAACAACTGACCTATTTTTCAATACGTTCAAACCGACCATTGAGGCCTTTTTTCTTACCCCATTCACAGCTTCTTGACAATTCCATTGATTGTTTCCAATGCCGTCTTAAAGGGACCAATGCCATTGCAACGTGACCCACTTTCAATTTTTTAATATTTACGAAATTCAACAGATCAAGAAGCTGACATACCGGAAAAAAGATCAGGAAAGAGCTACAAAAGCCTAAAAACAATACCAAGCCTTTAAATACCAAGAAATCTTATCTAGATATCATTTGGATTTCGTGAATTTCGTGAATTCTTACTTCTGTCTAAAGGTTTCGTATGACGTGATATTCACCAACTTTCTCAAATTAATGTCAAATTATGGTATTCATCGAATCTCAATGGGGACTGAGCTTTAACATCACATAACCCATTGCACTGGACTGATCCTCATGCTTCCTTTGTATCTGCTAACAAATGCCAAAGGCCAGCAAATGGTTATAGAGCTGAAAAACGGCGAAACCATTGCCGGCCAGCTAGTGAATGTCGACAACTGGATGAACTTGACTTTGTCAAAAGTTACACATACATCGGCCAACGACTGTGTTAAACTGCCCGAAATGTACGTCAGGGGTAGCTTTGTGAAGTACATCAAGCTCCAGGACGATTTGATCGAAAAGGTCAAACAAAACAGCGCACAGCAGCAATCCCAAGGTCACAGCCAGGGCAAAGACTTCAGAAGGAGACAAGGTGGCAGGAAAGACGGTGAAAAAAGATTCAACGCTGGAAACAATTCCAGACGCGGTGACAGCCGTGAATTTTATCATGGAAACAACAATAGCAGTGGCGGCCGTCGCTTCAACAACAGTCAAAGCAACAATTTCAATAGCAGAGCTGGCGAAGATCGTTCGATGACCAGCAACCATTCAAGCGCCATGGGTGGTTTCGTCAAGCACCATCAAACGTCTTCTTCCCAACAGCCGCTGAATCTGGGAGGACAAACTATCTAGAAATGATGCAAAGTAATTCTTATATGGAATTATTTATTAATTGTGTAATATAGCCTCACCAATTGGTGCGTACGATCATACTGAACTCATCGAGTTTATTGCAGCTAGGGCAATTACCGAGCTTTGCGTAGACCAGAAACGTAATTGAGAAGCCATAAACATGACAGGTATCCCAGCGCGCCAAAAGCACACCAGCACATGAAATTGAATAGTGCAGTGTAACAGATGAACAACGCTATGGATGAAAAGTCCTTCAAACGCAGCACAAAAATCAAGTAGTACAGTGAGAAGACTTCAAAGTACCAAGCCACACTGCTACCTGCGAGGAAACATTTCCACCGCCAACTCGAGCAAACCAGTTCAAGTTGAGCGGCAGAAACGTCAATGAAATATCTGACAACTTTCAATAAACTTCTCGCGGAGGGGCGCCCACGCAATAAGCTGCTTAATGTCTGTCTGCTGTTTTTTGAATTCCCATTTTTGAATTGTCCAGACTTGCTAGAATCACCAGATTGGCCATGGAAAACTAGCAGATAACAAGCCACTATCGAAACTTCAATGACCGTTATGCAAAGTGTAGCAAAATTGGCCAAAAGAAAGCCATAGAGGGTGTAAAAACCAGTAGATTTAAGCCACACAGATTTGTAAACGGTTGAAACCTCAGACCAAATTACAATGAATGGGGGTGCCCCACAGACCAAGTGGTATAGTAAAGGATTCGATAAGGCCTTGGGTAAGGGCTTGCGTGTCAAAGTTGAATCCGTGCCCTGGCCCTCATAATTCATCGCGAGGAGAAACTTTAGAGGAGATGTATCCTCAGCGATCTTGTGTGCGCCTGTTCTCATCTTCCTCGCGGTGAGGCCGCCAAAGACCGAAACCGGGCCACAGATCACAAAGTAACATGCCAATGTTATTACAATAATCTCAAACGGTAAGTGGTCAGTGGCTTCTTTTGCCCAGATGATACTGTTGAGAACGGCCAATACAATTAATGTTGAACCGGACAACGCGCACCCACAGATTACCGAGACACCAAGCGTGGCTTGAGTTTCCGGAGCCAACAAAGTGCCTAAAAAGGAGGAGGCGTATGCGCCGAGTACGAAAAACAGGGTAGCGGTAGGTGCTACCCCATTTATGATATCATGAAATTTACTCAAAGAGCATGAAATAACAAGGGCACCGAAGAGAGAAAACAGGAATTGAACGCCCATAGCTGTTGACAAATTCAAAAGAGACAGGAAACGTGCGGGATGCGATGTCCACGAAAAAGCTACCAAACGCATGGATCGATCGCTTCGAATTTTTGCTATTGCGACAGTGACAATGAAGGTCATCAGGGTCAAAACAATAATGCTTTTGGCGAAAGGAAGTAATCGGAATGTCTCAGATTTTTCGCGTGCCATGAAAAAGGACCAGCGGTGAGACCAGTCGTTATGGAACTCTTCACGCCAGTAAACTGAGTACGTGAACGGTATGAAAGTAGTTTCAGTTTCATCAACTTTGATCTCGTAGTGGGAATAGTCTTTGGAGCCGCCTGGACAGTTATAATCTGAAATGGATTTGGGGTACACTTCGAACCCAACGATGGTATGTTTATTAATGTCTGCGCTGTGGTATCGTATCACTAACATGACATGATTATGCAGGTAAGTTTTATCCGTTTCGGGATCCAATACGCCGATGGGGAAGCCCTCCGAATAGTATTTTTTGCCGCTACGGGCCTGAATGAAGGTTGTCGCAGCAGGCATGTCACTGTCTATAAGCCAATGCGCTTTATAGTCCTTGCGAATAAGAGCGTCCGCTTTTTTGAGAGCGTTCGGCTGCGTTTTCCGACCGCACAGTATCTCGCATTCCACATCGACGCCAAAACGCAGATTGTAGTCACTTTGCCACTTGCGATCGCCACCTATGATCTCGCTGAGAGACGAATGCAAAGGCTTTTTGCCCTCCGATGGTGGACACACGAAGGGCAGATCGCGGTACCCGTACGGAATGTTTGACTGGTCCGAATCGATTTTGTTGATCAAAATTTCGACTGGATCATCTTTTTTGTAATAGCGAGGCTTTATCCAGCCTGGTTTGGCGCTGTATTGTCGGGGTTTTCTTCGACTGACGTCTGAAGAGATTAATTTGCGAATTGTCCATATTGTCAGCAGTACGACGAGTATTGCCGTTATGCTTCTGGTTTTAGGTCTCATAACAGGGTTATCAATGAAGAACACCCAGTATGAAAACCCCTAGGCAAATTGATTGGTGCAAAGCAGTGGGGTGTAACTCAAGACAAATATCGGTTTTTCTTGAAGAATGCGAAAATCGAAAAATTGCCGGAAATCAAAAAGAGGACACGAGTGCAGCACGGAATACAACACTGAGATGAGCGATTCGCGGATGTGGTACCAAAGCGAGCGACAAGGGTATTTGTATAAGCAAGAAAAAATACTGAAACAAAAAGGAAGCGCCGATTGATAATTTACAAGCAAAAAAAGCTGCCGACTCACAATCAAAAAGCTCCTCAGTAGATCCCGCCAATGTACAATACGCTTAAACTTATTTTTCCCACAATTTCAGCTCTCTAAATCCCGAAAGATGTTAAAATTTCAATGAAAACCGTTTTTGGCAGAAATTGGCTGTAAAACGTCGTAAAGAGCTTCTTTTTACACCAAATTTTCTCGTTTTCTTCCTTCACACAGCAGCAAAGTCTCGTTATCGTGCGTATGTAAATCAATGCAGGAATTGGTCGAAGAGGTCGATCTTCATCCTTTTGGTTCTCGAGAATATGTAAGTAGAATTTGACATTATTTCAGACATATATATATATATATATATATATATATTTATATATACGTATTTATATTTTGGTATATGCAATAACAAGGGACCCCTGTCGTTCAGAACGCTATCTCCGAGAAACGTGACGACTGATGTCAGCTTGGGCAAAAGTGATGAGTTCGGAGAGTACTTTGTTGTTGTTCTCTTTTGATGCTGAATTTGGTGCCATCGTTCCGTCAAAATTGGCCGCTGGATGAGTCTCGTGTCAGAATGCTGGACTTCCAACCAAGGCAATAAAAAAAGGTGGAAATATTCAATAAAGGTATCGAATATTTGGGATTTTTTTCGAATTTGATCGTTTGAAAAGGATTCTTCCATCATATATCATGTTGGGCTTCTCTTAATCCATCTTGTTTTCTTCACCGCTTAAATCTGCATATTATGCTGCGCAACAGTAGTCTTTGAACCCGAAGACACAGCCGTACATTATGATACCTAATATTTTGTGAATTGTATACATATAAGCGATGAGATGGATGCATATCCATCCTGTCAACTATCGGTTTCTGAACCACTCGCTTTCTATCTTTCTACAACCACCTTTTTGGGCATCGTGTGGTATGTTTCGCGTGGGCTCGGGAGGTCTGGTGAGAGCGCTGGACGGCAATTGCGAGCGTTTGAAAACCATGGTGGAACGTTGCATCGAACAAAACAACTTGATATCGGCAGAGTTCTTGGCAGAGCTGTTATGCACAGAAGTACAGAGACTAGAAGGTGCAGAACGGGAAGTCTTCGGCGCAGCGTATCTTTATGGACTGGTTTTGTACTTGAAGGGCGATTTCAAAAGCGCACAAGCGGTCGTGAGACCTTACAGGGCCGAAAATCTGATGTGTGCATACGTCTTGGCTCGCAGTGCGTTGAAGTTAGAAAGACAACAATGGGACGAAGCAGCACGGAGTCTGGAACTGCTGTTGGACATTTCTGCATTTCAAAATATGGAAACCTACTACGGAGCCCCAGACGAGGCAACCGTACATTCCGTTTTGGGCCATCTATATAACAAGATGGGGAAACTCAAAGAGAGCAGTGTAGCTCATTTGCGTGCCTTGGAACTCGACCCCTACTTGTGGGAGTCTTTTCTTGCGCTTTGCGACATGGGAGCTCCCGTCAAAATCGGCCAATTGTATAAAACCTCTTCCTCTTCTGGTGTGCCCAAAAACGGAGTTCTTCAGAATCCCAATAAGAAAAAATCCGGTGTGGTTGCAAAACCCCACACACCGTTCAAGATTCCCGGACTTGATCCCAAGAAGAGGAATTCACATCCACATATTCCGGTACCTATTTCAAAGCCAAGAACTGGTGCTGCCCACACCAGCACACTTCTTAAACCAATCAATGGCGCTGGCGCCTCATCACCTCATTCTTCACTCCCAAAATCACGGCTCTTGGCTACACCTCCTTTCAAATCAGCATTACATGAGAAATCCATCACACCGGAACGCGACCCAGGCACTTCAAGAGCTAATATTGCCGGGAACTTTGGCAACGGCTCCACATCGAAGTTTGCATCGGAACTGGACGCCCAACTTTATGTACTGGCCAAGGCATACAAGGCAGCTTCTAGATTTGATTGCTACAAGGCTGTAAGATTACTGAACGAAGAACTTCCTCAGCATATTTTGACAGGCATGCCGTGGGTCCTTGCACTTTTGGGCAAACTGCACTTCGAATTGGTGAATTACGATATGTCCAAGACGTATTTCACGTCTTTAAGAGAATTACAGCCGTTTAGAGTTTCAGATATGGAAATATACTCGACCCTACTATGGCATCTCAATGATTCGACAGGGTTATCATATTTGTGCCACGAGCTTCTAGAAATCAGTCGCACAGCACCGCAAACATGGTGCTGTATAGGAAATCTATTCTCACTACAAAAAGATCACGAAGAGTCTACCAAGGCGTTTCAACGAAGCACGCTAATTGATCCGCAATTCACATATGCATACACTTTACAAGGGCACGAATACTCAAGTAATGACGCTTTTGATACTGCAATGACTTGTTATCGTAAGGCTCTAGCTTCAAACCCTCAGCATTACAATGCCTACTATGGTCTAGGTATGTGCTGCTTGAAGCTCGGACAATACGAAGAGTGCTTTTTACACTTCGAAAAAGCAAGAAGCATCAACCCGGTTAACGTCATTTTGATTTGCTGCTGTGGAGTTGCACTGGAGAAGCTGTCTCATCGTGAAAAAGCTCTTCAGTATTATGATCTAGCATGTGAACTACAGCCCATGTCGTCACTTGCGCTATTCAAGAGGGCACAGTTGCTTCTTTCTATGGGCAAATACAATCTCGCACTGGGTAATTTCGAGCGATTGGTAACGATTGCACCGGATGAGGCGACCATCCATTTCTTGCTAGGACAGCTCTATCAAATAATGGGCAGAAAGCAAGATGCGGTCAAGGAATTGACCATCGCAATGAATTTGGATCCAAAGGGCAGCCAGCTGATCCAGAGTGCATTAGAAAAGTGCCACTTAATGGACTAATCCTTGGAGTTATACTACATAGCCCGGATGACTTATTGATGAACACTTATTTTGATTCTAACGAGCGACGCAAACATAACGAGATGAACTTTTCCAACAGGGCGGCAACTTTGTTATTCAACAGCATGAATTAGTGAGGCTATTAGATGAAACGTTCGGTGGGAAGAACTCACGAATATACGATGTACTTCACGAAAGGTTATTGGTCGAATTCAAGCTGCCTTCCCAACGCATTTTGACTTTTGTTACATTCTAGTTAGACACTCAATGAACACGAAGATAGCTAGCTCACTAACGAACAGACACTTTCAGTAGCCACTAAGTGAGCATCAAAAAACGTTTTTAAAGATCAGCTATTAGATTGCAGATAAAAATATAGGTAAGCTGGATAGCGCTCCATTAGGTGACGCTTTAGCGAAAGGTATTACTTTGATTGATAGTATTACAACTTGCGAAAGACAATCCGATGGGGAGTCAGTCTTTTGGCAATTTTATATTTTGTTGCTGGTATATTTCGAGCCAAGCAAAAAGTAGTCACTGTTGGGTTGATCTTGGAAGCGGCCATTATTTTGAGGTGTTCCAGGAGACAGCACCCCTGATGCCAAGAGAAAGGGGCTGTGGAATCCTGAACCATTGTTGGAGTTCGCCTGTAGGGACGAATTGGGAGTTGGTGTGCCTTTTGAACCATCCTGAATGCTTGATTCAGTCCGCTGCTGTTGTTGTTGTTCCCAAAGCAGCTGATCCTCATCTTCTTCGTTCAAAAATCTTTGTTCCTCCCGTTGTCGAGTCTCCTCTCTCGCCTGCGATAACATTTCCTGCGCTTTATTCAACGACACGGTTGGAGTTGCACAAGAGCTAATAATTGGGACGCTGGTATCTATGTCGATAGTTGCTTTTATTAGCGCTGCCATCCAAGCTCTCATTTCTTCTTTAGTGTCAACAGCGAAATAATGGACACGGGGTTGGGTGAATGTCAGGCCTTTTTTAGAGCCAGGTTGAGGTGGTAAAAGCTTAAAACAATAGCGCCCCTTACCCGTGCTAGCTGCGTAAAGCGCAACAAGTTTATCATCCTCTTTGGCTGGCAAGACTCTGTGCGCAGTGATATCAATTAACCCTCTCTCCCTCGTGTCAGTGGTGCTTGCGAAGTAGGAAAGTCTCGTACCGTGAAGAGTAAAGAAACGGTTTCTCCATACCCCCATTGCACCTGAGCCTTTTTTGCTCATCCAGCCAGAGCAGTCTGACTGTGTCATTGCGTCCATGACGCTAATCGTTCGAATCCCCTCCACAAATGCTGAAGTTTTTGTTTTGCTCAACGCGCTCTTGCTCGTCTTAGCACGACCAGGTTTTGATTTGACAGCTTCGCTAACAGATCTCTTGTTCCTCTGTTCTTCTTGCAGCTCCTCCTTAGCATCGAAAAATAAATCCGAATCTCTTGCACCTGGTGTTCCATTAGGTTCTTTCGCGCTGACAGATCTACGTTTCTCGTCATCAAAACCAGATTCATTGACGGGTGAAACAGGAGCAGCGATTGGAGACACGACGATAGAGTGTCTCTTGGTAGGCGACCGCGAACCTTTTTCAGGTGAATAAGATCTGCCCGCATTAAAACCTATGGCGGAATTTTTCCTGCTGTGTGAAAAAGAAGTCTGTCTTGATCTTGTTTTCTTTGTTGGCGAGCTTTTACCGTTATCATCGCCTTTGTTGGAGAAGAACGAAAGAATGGAAGAGTTTCTTCTATGTTTTTTGATCTCAGCTGTAGCTTGCGAGGGATGTTTAATGTGGCTTGGTGAAGCTACTCTTGACCGATCATATATGCTTGATGTTGGCCTTTGCAATTGGTTGTGTTCAACATTGAGACCTTCCACTTCACTTTGTGTGCCTCGAGCAGTACCGGGTGACATTGTTGAAATCCTGTTAAAAAGTTCCACGAAAGAACTGCCCGATTTTGCTGGCCTGTGTCCATGTTGACCTGAGTAAATGACAGAGTTTCTATTTCCCGCATAGTTTTCAGCTGCCAAGACATCATTGCTTCGTTCTTCTTCGTGGCTTACTTGATGTGGGCTTTCCAAATTCAGTTGCGGAGGGGCAGCCTTGGGGAATTGAAAGCTAGGTTGTTGCAAGTCGGCACTATTGTTTGAACGACTTTCGATGTAGGGTGCGCGCTCAAATATGGTAGGAGGGCCGTTGCGTAGACTTTGTGGGAACTCCAGATTAGAAGGGCTGGGTGTAAAAGATTGCCCCGTAGGCGATCTGACGGGCTGTACTGGACTGGGATATGAAGGTGGTTTTGGCGCCCTGCGAGGCGAAAGGAAATTGGTGTCGTCAATTTGCGGCTGGGCGGGTTTGGCGACGTTCAAATCATCTCCTTGAGCACTCAACGCAGCAATAATGGAGTCAGCCGCGTCAGCATTCGATTCGCGACCATTAAGCGCCAATGAATAAGGACGATGCCGACTGCTCACGCGACTGCGATTTGCGGAGGAAGTCATGACAGGCGATTTTGAAGGTAGATCGTCTAGAGATTGAGATACTTTGCGAGTGTGCCCCATGTATGATCTCTGATTGACTGCAGCTGCTGGCATCAATTGGCTTGGTAAGCGAGCTGGGCCGCGCGTACTGATGACATCTTTGATGGCCTCGATTTCCTTGAATATCTCAAACCGTATGCCAAACGAGCTAATATCGAGCTCCTTTAAATGTGCAAGTTCCAGTTCCAATAGAATGGGCCCCGATATCTTGTGTTGCTGGAATCTGCTCGCAGACTCGATATCAAAACCCGACCCTATGAAATACGCGGTGACCTGCTCAGGAGACCAGTTTTGAGCATCGATGGGGGCCAAATTCTTGGGGTCGATGCCGTTCATAGATGCGGAACCGAATGAGGTATCGTTTGTTAGGGAATGCACCGAGTTTGAATTTCTCATGATCTGTTGTCTGGAAAGATCCGTATCAGTGTCAGTAGCAAAAGAGTTGTTGGGTGTATCGACTTGAATTTTGCGTTCATCATCTTTGGTGCCGCCAGATTGCAAATTTCCAGAAGAAGACGAAAGCGATTCACCACGAAATGCTTCCAGAGCCTTGTCGATGTCGTTCATAGTCACTTTTACAGACGCTGTACGATCCAGATTGAGCTTGACCGGCGCTGCCGTTTCTAGCGGTTGTGGCGTGGGTAGTTCGCTGACAGATCCTTCGTTGGACATAGTCGACAAGTCTGTGAGAGAACCATTTGCGAGTGGACTAGCCACGCGGCGCGCAGATTTGGCCCTTACTAGTGACGGTGTTGATATTTCTTGTGTGAAAACTTTTGGGTACAATCCTTCTTCTCGTGTTCTCAAATTACGACCGTAATACCAGCCATCATTATACTCTTCATCATCGGTTATGACCTCGATTTTGTCGCCTGGTTTCATGTCTAGCTCATCCTCCATGCGTTTGTGGTATTCAGTAATCGTGATGAACAGATTTCCAGACTGTTGACGGAACATGCTATTGTAAACCTCCAACGGTTTCGGTTCATTCTCAAGACTTGTTTGTAGTTGTGGGAGCTGAGTTTTGGCCCTGAAATCCTGGTTGCTAGCACCTTTCATTTTGAGCATTCACTGTAGCACCGTTCGGTATGGCCCTTAACGTCGATACAGAGGTCAGAGAGTGAGATGTGTTTGCTGAAAGATGTGTTGTTTCCGCTGGTTGATAGATGGAGATTGATGAATATGAATATGGTATTCTGATTTCTAACATTTTCGTAAAGAATGATCAGAGAGAATAACAGACTAAAGTTTCGATAAGACGAGCGGTTGCAGTGAGAAGAGCTGCTGAGAGAGTAGCAAGAAGAATATATTCTAGTCTTTATTAGGGACTTTTTGTATTTGAACTTATAGTGTTGCAAACTACATGGAGTAGTCACGTGACCAAACCCAAAAAAGACTCACTAAAGATCCAACAAAATCGTAAATTTGACACAATAGCTTTTGTGCTAATGGTTTTTGTGGAAAGCGTAGGTCTTGATTTGTTTGATTTGTTTAGTTGCTCCAATTCAAAAGTCTTATTCTTTTTTTTCCACAGACGCCTTGAATATTTCCTTGGTGAGAATTTGGCTGGGGTTTAGGTGCCTGAAAAAATAAGACTGTCTCATTTTCGAGGAAAGACAATACACGTACGTGTTGAACAAGCTTTCAGGCTTGGGCGATTCGGAAAGGAAAGAATAATTATTATTGGAAATTTTTTAGGAGGAACAAACAAAGACAACCCCGTTCTCATCTTTGAATTCTACACCTAATGTCAGTAATTTCAACGATTTGGAGAAGTCACGTGCCCAACTGAAATGTATGTATCGTTAGAAAGCGATGCGATGTGAAGGCCATTACCAGCTTTGAGAGCTTTTAAGCTTGATCATATCAGCTGTCGTGTGTAGGTCCAGTTTCCAAATTCTGTCACCAATCACAAATCCAGCAGATAAATGCTTTCTGGCGGAATTGATAGAACAAATGGACCTGAAAAATCAGTGTAGCTTGATGAAAACCACAGCAACTAGTGTTTATTACACACATCAATCCTTTCAAATTCGTTTGTTCTTGGGTCTGTCGTTAGATCCAATACAAAATGATATCAGCACGTGACTTTACGAGAGTGACAGAATTGTCTACTTAGAAACCGGAAGACCAAAAACAGATACAAACGCGAATTCAAAGGAATCAGATCCTCAAAGTTTTGGAGCGGTTTTCCAAAAATAAATTTATACTCCATTTCAAAGGCCAAATCCTGTGTTTCACGTACAACGACCAGAGTGAAAATGCTTTCAACACTTTATAGTTTGGCCCGCCAGATGTGGAAATAGTGATAGACATGAAAAGTTCGTTTATTTGAGCTACAGAAAGAAGAAACAATAAAAGAGAAGAGCAAATGGAACGAAAATGAGATAACAGATGTAGCTGAAAAAAAGGTATGCATGGGAAAAAAAAATGGACAATCGGGGGGATGGAGACCGGTAAAGACCTGAAAGTCACGTGACACGTGTTTTCGTGCAGGCGTCTTTCTCCTCTTCTTTCTCTTTTAGAGTCGCAAGATGGTTTCTTGTTCCACATAATAGCGCAGCAAATCCCTACAGTCTCTCATAATGAAAGGATTGATGCTATGATCGACAAAATGGAACACGATATTGTTCTGGTCTGTGTGTGGCACGGTTCGCAGCACTGCTGCTAGTGATGTTATGCTTTCTTTATAGGTGTGCATGCTGGTGTAGTCCTGTATCTTGTGGGCGGATCCCAATGACGGACCGGGTTCTTCCGGAGATGAGCCCGTGCCGGCCGCGGCACTGCCGACAGGCATCACCGTGATGGTGCTTTTGGTAGCCGCGGAAGCGGTGCGGGTATGTGTTTGGGAATTGTTGCTGGAGACTCCGCGGCTTTTAGCCGGGGCGAAGAACCGGCTAAAGATGCGCGACCTGCCGCCGCCGCCGCTGCCGCCGCCGTCATGCGACTCCGCAGACGACACCGCACGGCGGTGCTGCGCATGCAGCTGCAGCTGCATCTGCATGCCAGGGTCCATTTGCGCAGCCTGGATCAGCTTGCTCAGATAGTGCAGCACCTTGGCCACATGCTCGAGCGGCGCGGTAGCTGCAGGCCCCGGGCCTGCAGCGTCCATGCGGCTCTGGTACTCAGAGAGAAGGTCGCAGAGCGCCTGCAGGATGTTGCATTTGATGGGCACGTGGTCCAGCGGGAAACGTGCATTTGCAGGTTTTTCCACGTCCCATGCGTGACGATGCATGATTAACTGTGGGGAAACGGGCACGTGATCTCGTCGCATACTTTCACTTACGCGTCTTAAAGTTTCAGTAGAACGTTCTGCAATGGAAAGCGCGGCAAGCGCAGATTCGGTCAAAAGCGGTTCGGCCAAGTCCGGCTCGGCGGTAAGCCGTCGCAACATTTGACTGGTGCTGGACCCCGAGTCACTATTGGTGGCGTTCTGCGCCTCGAGCTGGATCAGGTTTGACCCGGGTCGTTCGGACAGAGTCCAGCTGTCGGAATAGATGGATAGGAAAGAACTGGCCATGAAGAAAGAGAGGCTAGTAGTATTGTGATGTGTGATGTGTGGTGTGGTGTGGTGTAGGGGTTCGAGACAGAGTTATTGAATCAAATGGTGTGGGTGGGGGGAGTGGAGCGAGGATTGATAATGAGAATGGAGAAGAAAGTAACACAAGACGTGGTTTTATCTAAACAAATACAACGTTTGTGGACATCGGGTCGCTAGCGTTTGTACGTGTTTGATTGTGTGTTTTACAACGATGAACCTCGGGCCAAGATAGGCTGTGTTGGATTTGGTATTAGAACTGGAATCAAATGTGTGTGTGCAATTATAGTGCGAGAAAAAAAATATGCTGGACGGTTCGCGTAAAGCGGCTCGTGAAAAGTGATCTGGGTGGGGGGTGGGAGACAGAGAATAGGGGACGAGAAAAGAAAGAAAATGGGGAGCACGTGATGTTTTTTGGGACGATGGAAAAGTTGTTTATAGGCGGAAAAGCCTAGTGAGTGAGGTATTGTCGTATCGAGATACTGCGCTAAAAAAACGGTTTTCAAAGAGATAAAGTGTTTAGGATTTTTTTTCTAGTGGAGCTATATGTGATTGTCCCGGGGGGAAGGGAAACTAAGGAATCGTAAATTTGAAATCGTCTACAATGATATCATTGTGTACGTAGCGTAGGTGTAAGTGTAATTAATTACCGGTAGTGGGGACGGGGACGAAGCTGGCGGGTTCAGACAGGCGCGAATCGCGTCGTCAAATACGAGCATGAATTTCGCCAATTAACCACAGAGCTCAGGTACTGTTCACGACACCTGCGAGTCCGGGGAGTAGCGTTTCCAGTACCTTTATACGACAAAGAAGTCGTCAATTTCGGGACTCCCGTAACTGTATACGATGGTATCACGTGACTCGTGATTATCTGCCGTAGCGCGCTTGTTTCTGAGATTCACCAAGGTCTGCGAAATAAGTAAGAGATCTACATACCAGGTGCAGACTACCATGCACTTTGTTAATATTTAAGCCTTCTCCAGGACTTCAAAAAACTACCTTCATCAGTGTCAACAATAATTAAATTTGACAAGTAATTTGCCGGACTCACAGCCGGAATCGTATCAGAGTCACTTTATACGTCGGATTCGATTTTGAACATCACTACTAACGGAAGTGGACTCATGAACAGTGCTGAATTAATTTGAACTCTCGAGCACTTCACACGGCTACTGATCGACTTTCTTTATAGGTATGTTGGCCGGGTAACGGGGAGCCAACAATCATCTGGGTTTTGACAACTTGATGAATAGAAGAAACCCACTTCAAAAACGACAATATTTCAGCAACGAAGAAAGTAACGCGAACGGAATTAGAAATCAACTTTCTTATTCATGAGAATATTTCCTCATTGACCATGTGCATCACTTTTCGAGAGCTATCCCCACTCTTTTGACAAAAATTTCCAATCTCTTTAATCGTGTTTTGAAAAAGCTTTTTTTCTGGGTTGATTGGCTCAGAAACTCAACCATTTCTGGTGTGAAGGTTAAAAGAAATTGTCTCGGACATACTTGATCTGCAAGAAAGCGAGACTTACTTCTTTCTTATTTTCCTGACGCTGTCGCTGATCACGTGACTGGAACTTCGCTATTGTCACATCATATAGCACTTTTATAAGCAGTAGAGAGAGAGAGAGAGAGGTACACACAGCTTACAACAAAACTTTCTTACCGTTCGGTGTTTCCATTGAAAGCCTCCCGTTAACATGTGTTTGGTATGAATCAAAAAGATCTCAAAGCTGCAGCCTGATTAGACTTTTCCCCATTTTGTAGGTCTCATTTGAAAATTGTCGTTTTTCCCCGGATCAACAGCCAAAAGACCTGTAACTACGCGTTTGAAATACCGAAGCCACAATAATTGATTGAAACAATGCTCCGAACAGCGGAAAATGCAGGTGAGAAATTGCTTCAATACTAGAGTGTCACTGTTGGCTATTTTCTCGTCAAAAACCGACACTTTTGCCCGACTCAAGAGACAACGAGAAACATACCATTCCAATCAAATTCTGCACAATTATCTATCCTTTCTCACTACAGGTGAAAACCAGTCGAGAACACGCTGAAGGGCTCGCAGCCAATCTTTAATGTCTCTGCAGTTTGTCGTGGTTTCCTACTTGAGCGACAAAAAAGTCAAAGCCGAAGCAGCCCCATTGCATCTTTCAAAAACGATTGCCAAATCATCACATACCACTGGCATAAGTCCAAACCTGCAATGATGCCAAGACATGAATGGATTCAAACATTATCACCTTAACTTGCACCGTCGCTGACACCAATTAAAGTGTCATTTCGAAATTTATAATGACAGTAATACCTGTCACCTCCGAGAGATCCAATCTCGACATGTCCGAATTGCATGATATAGAAGGTCTTCTATCGTTCAAAGGTGCCTCTGATCAAGCTCATAGCAAGTTGTTGCTTAGATGTTCTTACGAATCGTCTGGCCATTAACCTCAAGATCCCAAGGTCTCCTTTCATGACTTTTTGGCAAATCAGGAGCAGGCCTGAAAATATAGCAATTTGAACTCCACATGCGTCAGTGTATGCTATTTACATCGAAAAATCCTCCGAAAAACTCGATAAGCTCGACAACTCGTCACAGAAACCCGCTGAAACATTGAAAAACTCTTTGTCTCATCACAAATTGAACTTTCGTCGCTATTTGGGCCAATTTTCACCAAAACTCGCCTTGTGCGGTCACTAGAGATAGCAAACTTTGAATGGACAACTGTACCACTTCTTTAGTCACCCCCATGCGATATTAATCCCAGCTAAATTGTTTTCGAGAGATGAACTCTGAAATACCAAGTCTGAAATACCAAGTCCGAAGCTGCTTAAAACAATACCAGCTACCAGTTGAATAAAAATCAGCTTCAACAATCAACAATCAACAATCGGGTCAAGCTATACTCTCATTCCTCCATCTTCTCTTCTTTTGACACTGTCTCTAAATCCACAGAGTACTCGAGTACACACTCTTAACATCTCAATAATACTCTCCAGTCCATCTGCCAACTTTTCCCTCATCGCTCTCGACTTCAAGTCCGGCTGAAAAACAAGCAATTGGTGCCATCCAAGCTTCTTTGCCGCTCCATGTCGTGAGCTCAAACAGTGCCACCATTCTATAAGCCCATTTCTGTCCAAGAACTGGTCTCCAGCTATGATCCCTTTTGCCCACAAGGGCAAGAGCAAACGTCCCAAGTTTCTGTTCCAGCTCAAGATCTCTGAACTCACCAACATTCCTCAAAGCTCAGGGTATTGTTTTGTGAAATGGCACTTCAAAGATGGCACCGGAACTACAAGCCACTCGATAGTACCATCGCCATCTTCGCCTTCGTCAACGTCGCAAGATGGTACGCAGGCGATTCGTTCCAGCTCCCAAAGTCGTGGATCCACGCCGCGGGTGCTTGTAAAACACCATCGTGCTCTTTGGGACTACACATTGCCTAAGCCCGTGCTAGTAAAGCTCACAACGGACAAAAATCGGGTTTTGCAACACAAGGAACTGGTATTGGAAGTGTATTTTGAATTCTTAGAGCCTGTGGGACAAGCTGCCAACGAGCGTGCTGGTACCTCAGCAGGAAGTGCAGCCGAGTCAGCCAACTCCAATTCCAATAGTGTGTATACGCAAAAAGTGTCTCGTAAGGTACTTCTTGGTGTGGTTGAAGTGAACGTAGCAGAGTACATCAATCGTGAACAGCGTCAAATTCCTAGCCGATTTTTACTTCAAAAATCCAAAGTCAATTCCATCTTGAGCCTTGCAATTCAAATGGAACTTGCACGCGGCAGTTTTAGTGATTTCGAGCCCTCACAATTTTCCAATTCGGGTCAGTTGCCCAACACTTTCCGGAACGGCATTACAGAAGTATTCGACACATCTTCCGATTTCAGTTCTCCAATCTCATCTACTTTCACACCGAACGGTGCCAGTGCTAGTAGCCCCACGAAGAAAACTGCAGACGGACAGACAACTTTCCCCATCACCATCAATAATCCATTTGTCGATAAATTATATCAGAGAACTTTCCAAGTACCGTGGGATCCACGGCCGGGCGAATTGAATCCTAAAGAGTGTGTCGAAGATATTCTTGATGGTGGTGATGGATGGGCAAAGAATGAAAAGGGCGTCAATTTGATAGACATTGATGCCTTGCATCTAGCTGAGCTGGAGAAAAGCTACGACGAAAGTCAAAGACATATACCGATGGACATGAACCATGGAGAGTTTGACCGCCGCGCATTCGTAGAGCGAAGGGTCGGGGTCGAAAGCCATACTAGTACACAGAAAAGAGGTGTGGGTGATCGTAAACCCCTCAACGCTTCGAGCAGTTCACTAGCAGAAGAGACTCCTGACAACGTGGAGTCCTCGTATTTCAAAAGTTGGACAATCAACAAGATACTCCCGTAGTGAATGTATAATGCTAGATGTAACGATGGTGGGCCGAAAAATAGAAATAAAACAGTGCAGCTTATTTTGCTCGGTGCTGAGAGATTGTGTGTTTAATATATACTCATTATATTGCAACTTTTTATCTAAAACGTTTTTTGAGACCCCGAGTGATGTCCTTGTGCAATGGGCTTGGAGTCAATACTATTGTTTGACACATACATCGGAAGCCCGACTTGACCTCATTCCCATGATTAATACCATGATACCTACATCTCATGGCTCGTTTATCTGGATAACCGTGAAGCGTTCCATAACGCACTATAACTACGCCGCTTGACGCAGGTGAGATGTGTCTCCTGGGCCTATGTGTTCGACATTCCACGCGTCTCAAAAACTGTAATGTCGGTGTTTTCTTGTAATGCCTGCCCAATCTACGAAGGGCCCCGTCGTACAGCATTTTATCTGGGTTTATTTCAATCTTTAGCGATAAGCAAAGCAAATATGTTTGATGGTCGTTTTGCAAGCGCGCCAAGTATAGCGAGTGAGTACAATGACCACTTTGCGAGCGCAACACGCAAAAAGCTATAACACTTCAAATAGGCCATATGTCAGTTCTTGACTTGTGAGAATTCTGACAAAATTCTCGTCATAAAACGTCGATACGAATTTTAACACCCCGTCTTTCTAGGAATCTTTTGGTATTCTTTTCTTGCGAAGCTTAAGCAGCTTGATTTTCCCCAAACTAACGTCTCTTCTGCAAAGAGCGCACTGTCCAACTTTTCGATTCGCCTTGACACTATTGATCATCTCGAATATACATTCGATGCAGAAAATGTGGCCACAAGGCGTGTAAAGAGCCACCTCTGGGGATTCAAAACAGATAGGACATTTGTAATCCCTTGCACGTCTGTGGTCGTGACGTTCTCGGGGAGCTGGCTCATCGTCCAAAATTTCAAGTGCGGTTTGTGGAGTGGTTCCTATTTCTGTTGAAGCGTCTCGACTAAAGTCTTTTTCTTGTTTGCTCTCGGTGTCCGAAACGTCTTCATGACCAGAAATATCAATCACGTCGGCATCAAAGTAGGACGGCACCAAACCAGGGTCGATCTCCACTTGTGTGCTCGGTATAACATTGGGGCCTGGATTGGCAATAGCAGCAGACGGATTGTAGGAGCCAGATTGTGTAGCATCAACGTCTATTGGGTCCTGTTGTAATGTTTCATAGAGATCGCCGTAGTATGGGTCGTCGGAGTTGTCGTCATCGTTGTCCTCGTTGTCGTCGTCGTTATCGTCTTCGTCTTCATAGCGGACACGATTGCCGGCATTATTGAGACGGCGTCTTTTTTCTGGTCTCAGATCACTGGCTGCTGAATAACCGGATTCTGCAGAACCTTCTAAGTTCTCTTCAGAGCTTTCAGCGTCACTATGGGGCATTGAACTGAATTTGTACAGTGACGGTCGACGTTTTCTATTTGCTTAGAGATCTTCAATCGCGACGCCTTTTGAATTGAAATTTAAGGAAACAGGCAGGGCTCATTGATCGCTGCAAAGCTTTTTTAAAGAAGAGCTTCTAAATAAGACTCTTTTCACAACTTGGTCTTCCGATTTGAAAAGTTCCCTAAATGCCGTTCAATGACGTAGGAAATTGCTTAGATCATAGATCGTGCAAGGGTTCATAAAAACTACAGTTTTTGGCTCAATTAAACAGGCCTTTAACTCACCAGAATGGAGATATCTAGATGGATGCAGTGTGCTTCCAACGTTTGTATTTAAATACTTTTAAGAGATGAGATGAGATGAGATGAGATGAGATAAGTTATTATAGATTGACTTATAGTATGATTTATGATCACGTTTCTGGTGAAGTTTTATAGAACAGAAAGTTTTGGTAAGTTTAGAAGTCTTTTTTGAGTGTCAGCTTAATGATTCAAGTATTTGGCAATTGAGCTGATTGTTTGAGCCTTGGTGTTTGAATTCGGACGTTCAAGTCGGGGGACGTTTTCGGAAAAAAGTGTGAACACGCGAGTTCAATTTTGATGGTTGCGGAAGAAGAGGTGATTTATTGCGTATGGCATGAATTTGTGTTGAATTTGTCCTATGGTAATGTGTTAAAATGATTTTGAGGCGATTATCGTGAGCAAAGGATTTAGTATATGTTGATATTTTTTTAAGGGAAATTTAGCGGTAGGATTCAAAGACACAGGGTCCATGTACTGCGATTTATATACATTTCTGGGTGCTTAAGAGACCGATTGCCACGACTTGTTAGTGTCTATTTGTGCATGGGTTGTGCATGGGTTGTGCTTGTCACTTTTTACTAAACTGACGTCGTATGGTTTTGAAAGCTGTCAATGGCAAAAACCTGGCCTTGGAACAATTGATTGTGTATGAAGTACTGTGTTAATGAATTTGTCGAGTTTAACATGCATAGAAACAAGCTACGAAAGAAATTGTAATGGACGGTTGTACTACGAGACGTTCGCCGTATATGACGATTTTTGTCTTCTTCAAAATCTTGAAGGTTACAATGATGTTGGGGGTGTCTCGAGCTTAGAAAACATACAAGAAAGACGATGGGTACCTATCTGCAAACAATTGGTTGGTTTTGCAGCATCCAGATCACTATTTCCAGCTTTTGTGTCGTCAGTCACGTGACACACTTTCCCCCCCGGGCTGCGACTTTTTTTTCTTTATTTTTTTCAACATTCTCCCCCGTTTCATGATACTTTCACAGCCCCGATCTCATATTGCATTCCCCGTCTCGTAGCTACCTGTGTTCCAAGAATATTTCTATCCTCTACCTAGTCAAGTACTGTAATCCATTTATCCCGAATAATCACTCCATACGTAATTGCCAATCTCCTGTGACTGTTTTCTTTCTCTACACCCATACATTTTTATATTTTTCTCAACCATTTTTGAAAAAAATTACCTAGGCCGGACCCACGCACTGAAAAAGTTCCCGTCGTGAAGAGAGACTCGCGCCTCGCAAGCCATCGTGGGTAGGCCTCTCGCTCACTGTGGGCAACTTCCTAGCACTGGGAACTATCCCATCCCAATCCATCGTCAGTGAACTTGATCAAACATCTAACCATAAGCTTGAACTATACGCGCAAGATCGTTGTAGTACTTTGTAATACAGATCACAAACATCAACAATGTCTGGTAACGGTGCTCAAGGTACAAAGTTCAGAATTTCCGTATGTGAACGCAGTTGCGAGATTGGAAGAGTGGCAAGCCAGGAAACGCGAGCGAAACAAGTTGGATTTGGTGGGAAAGAGTGAAAAGTCACTATGTTTGTGGGGTGGGAATGATGGAGACGATGTTAGACAGCTCGAATGATTGAACATTCAAATGAGGATCTACTGGTTACAGAACTGGTGAGAAATTTCGAGTCTTTTGGGATCCGGTAATGCTCGTGTAACGATAGTTGACTTCGCTTTTCCTCGCTCATCAAGAAAAAAATTTGTTTTTCCGTCGTTCTACTGGTTGTTTTCGGCAAGAGCCTCATAATACCTCATAATACTAACATCCGGACAGCTAGGTTTGCCTACTGGTGCCATCCTAAACTGTGCTGACAACACAGGTGCCAGAAACTTGTACATCATGGCCGTCAAGGGCGCTGGTTCGAGATTGAACAGATTGCCAGCTGCCTCTTTGGGAGACATGGTTATGGCCACTGTCAAGAAGGGTAAGCCTGAATTGAGAAAGAAGGTGATGCCAGCCATCGTCATCCGTCAATCCAAGCCATGGAGAAGAAAGGACGGTGTCTACTTGTACTTCGAAGACAACGCCGGTGTTATCGCCAACCCTAAGGGTGAAATGAAGGGTTCTGCCATCACTGGTCCAGTCGGTAAGGAATGTGCCGACTTGTGGCCAAGAATCGCTTCCAACTCTGGTGTCGTTGTGTAAATCCAAGAACTCTTGAGTTTTAGTACGCAAAAGTTCCACGCAATGTATAAGTAATAAGGTTTCTGACTTGAATAAAACTATCGCATTTAGAAAAACAAAATGGCTGGAGAGATGGGCCACGGATCAACAGAAAGGAGGAGATGAACGTTCTATTTTTTTGGCAACGGCTACTTCTGCAGTGGTAATACGTGTTAGTCTCAAAGTCCGTCACTAAAAGCACAATTCTGCAATATTTATATAATTATCGAGGTAGTCTCCCGTCCGAGTAAGTTTTTCCGAGAACTTCATTACTAGCGGCGGCATCATTTTTGCAGAGCCCTTGCTTGGCCCAAGAACTTTTCTTGTCATACTGTTGAAGCTACAACGATATCTTGAATTATTGTCACCTGTCGCGACAATTTTAGTAGTTTAAATAATATTGTTAATCGACATAGACCCGGCGAGAGAACCCGGCAAAGAGACTGTTTAAGCTCGCTAGAGCTGCTCAAATGGAACCAAATTGAATTATCGCATGGCTTTATTGGATAAACGGTCGTCCAAATTTTCAGATTGTCATATTACTATAAACATAAAATTCCTGACATGTAGTAAAAGCCGCAGAGAATAAGTCAGTTGTTGATGAAAAAAACAAACAAATAATGAATGCGATTCTAGTGATATCGCAAACTAGCTACAAATGGTCCAGTTCTTGTTCTTCATGGTCTGTCATTGCTAAGATTATCAAGGGTCACGTGACAGAGTCATGAAACCCGCCTTAGGTGCCCTTATAACGATTAAATCTATAAAACAAGTCATCTCTAAAACAAGTAAATCAACAATTCTATGGACTCTTCTCATGTTTCAACACTCATAGACCTATTATCTTCTGGTAAACTCAAAGATAGGAATCATGGACTAGAAGAATTGACATCTCTTTTAAAGCTGGATTCAACAAGTATACCGTCAAAATATTTGTATTCTTTACTACAAGTTCTTATTGATATTATTGAATTGGAAAGAACTAAATATGAGAGATTGGTGTCCGATGAAGTACATTCTTCCGAGAGCAAACTCACTGCGATCGATAACAGACTTTCTTCGGCTTCTTACGTCGTGAGGCTTTTGATACAAACTTGTAATGCGAACTTCAAGTCCAAACATGTCAAATACGTGGTCGCTACGTTGCCCAATTTGATGATTGACGTGGCCACTGGTGATCTGGCCACCAGCGTCAGTCTGCATTTGTTGTCGTCTTTGGAAACCTTGATAAATAGCGAATGCTTTCGTCTCAAATTCGAGCCTCACCAATGGACTAGCCTGGTCGAGAAAATGTCGACTTTGTTGTCAACTCATTTGAACCATTCTCTCAGCAGCAAAAATGTTCACTGTTTGATGGACATTTTGAGTTCCCTTTTGCTTCTAAACACGACTTGCCTGATGGAAGTCGAATCTCACTTCATTGAACCCTTGGTGAAATATCTGAGCAATTCCAAAACCGAAAATGCCACCAGCAAAGCAGCATTGCATCTTCTCAACACATACATTCTTCAAACTCACCTATTGAGCTACTTCAACTGCCTCGAGGTGATGGAAACCGCGATCAGATACTTCTTGTCCATTGGGAAATTCAATACATCAGGGCTTGCCCACGAATTTGCAGTTTTCAACATCTTTCTCAGCACATTGATCAATTCGCCTCTATATTTGAAGATACAAACGGGCGAATTGACTGCCAATTTCGATACTGACCGCTTTCTTGACATTTTAGAAGATTACACTGCCGCTACGTTGACAAATTACGATCCTGACACGTTAGAATTGGAAAGTTTTCAATTTAAGGAAAATAACTCAAAGAAAAGCTGGCTTGAATTTCCTGACTTTCAACTGCGCTGCGGTTTCGATTCCAATCTGTGCATTGAAGCGTTTGGCGTGACGCAGTTATTGCGAACTTTCTTTTGCTTAAAAGACGCCCAACGAGAAGACCCAGAAGAGGGCTTACTTTTCAAGAAAGTTAGAAGAGACAAGACTATCGCAGCTTTTTTGAAGAATGCACCGGGCGTCGCTGAACTCATCGCGTACCTTGTTGAAAGTGGAAAAGAGAAGCTTCAGCTTTTGGGTCTACAATTATGCGGTTTTTACGCTACCAACTTCATGCTTCATCCCTCCCAAAGGCACTGCCTCGCTATAGCGGTATTTCAGAATTTCGAAATACGACAACTTGAAGGTTGGGTATGTTTTGCGTTGTTGCCCTTAGTGTCGGATGGCGACTCACAAGTGAGTTTGAGTCTAATCCAGAGAATTTTCGTTTTGTGCCTTCCTTTCGTCAAGTCCCGGGTACTTTGCCGAAGTTCATGTGCTCTTCTGAAAAGCCTGGTGATGTGTTATGGCCGCGAATTAGTTTCGGACTCCTCCATCTGTCAACAGATACATCATTTGTTTGATTTGGCTGATGTAAACGGTCCCGCGTTAGTTCTTGATGAATCGTTTGCGTTCTGGAAGTGTCTCGCCGAGATTGAGCTTCCTCTAACATTTCTAGAGCAGCTCTCGCCCTCTGTTTGTATCGTGGCCTGGCTTAATTGTAAGTGGGAGCAAATTGACTTCGCAAAGCCCTGCCAGGAACATTTTAGTCAATTTGTTGCCTGGCTAGCCGGCATTAGTCCTGGCAGTGAAGATCTTAGAGAAATAAGTTTGAACACCGCCCACTCGAGTCCTTATTTTCCAACGTGGGATAACTATGATGAAGAGCGACAATTCCTTTTGGCCTCTTGCGGTGGTGTTTCGCGTCCAAAAGTCCTAAAGCTATCAGCAAGGCCTTATCGCGAATCTAATGAGCTCTTCCAAACATGGGGACGTTTCATTGACTACCCCAGGGATCCAACAAGAGGAGATGTAGCGAAACTAAAATGGTGCTGTGAAGCGGTGAAGCTAGGCTTCTATTTGTCTGGCAACCAAAATTTCGCCAACCGTTTAGAGGACCTGAGCGATCAAATTGCGACTGTGGCTAATGGCATTCACGACGTTTGCAGCCTCTTTTCTAGGAGTGTACTTGACGAGATATATCGTTTAGGATCATTCAGCAGTCGTTCGCACATCATCTTCTCGAATTTAGGAATCTCAAACCCTCTAGAAGAGTTAAAAAAGATACTTCTGAGAGAGAGCATTTCGAATTTCAGAGATGATCTCGTGGATGATTTTGAAACCTCACGCGAAATGCGGTCACAAAGTTCAACACCTAGGCCTTGCTCGAATAAGCTGGCGGACGAAAACATTGCTGTACTAAACGATGTTTTGAAGCTTTTCTCTGTCAGAGGTCTGCCCATTTTTGGGGTTTCAGATGAAGAAAAGCTCACAAATCTCTTTGGATTTTTAAGAGGGCTTCCAGAGAACTATATCACGGTGGCAGTTCCTGCTGTTTCTCATTTTCTGCAAAACCTCGATGAAAACCCAACCTACTCATCCTTGCTGGAGGACTTAACCCAGCTAATTGCATCTACGCTGCTTGGTGCCAAATTCAACACGTCTAACGAGGCGATGTCTGTTCTGGCCATATACTTGAATTCTATTCGCTGGGCATGGCTATCCAACAAAAATGATAATTTGGAGGCCGACCTAACTGATATTTTTCAGTGGATAATCGCGAAGCTTGACGAGAGCCTATTTTGTGGGATTAATACGATTACTAGCATATCCAGGCTACTCTTGAACATGCTCAGGTTTCACGATCTTTCTCAAGGAGCTGTTACGGGAGGGAAACAGAAGGTTTTTGGAGACTTGGTTACTTGCATCCGGCGATTGCCTTTATTTACAATTTCGAAAGCTTTGACTGGAATTCACTTGTACCTGTCCCAAATTAGCTTCAAGAACCAGGGCATAGTCTTTGCCGAAATAGCGACCATTTTTGAGTCATCTTCAATTTCATTGGAAATTCCGGCTTTTCATTCCCTCATTCTGTCAAAAACAGCTGCGGCGTCCACCTGTCAGGCAGTTCTATCCGCACTAGATATGATGAGCGGTCGAGGAAATTCATTTATTTGGTTTTATGGAAAACGTTGTCTCGACATGCTCGCACAATCAGATGGACTTTCTAGCACACGACAGCTATTTGTTTCTTGTCGTTTCGAAGTTATTGACCATTGGTATAAGAAAAGCCTAGACAACCCTTCAAAAAATTTCAATTCATGGCAAGCATCTGCGTTTGATTTCGATCTCGATACCTTCTTGAAGGAGTTTTCAATTGAGTTGGCTGCTGTTTATTTTTCACAAAAGACTAAGCTGAGCTTTTTGAAGGAAACACTCTTGAAAATCAGTGGGAAAAGAGAGGCGGATCTCCTCGTGGATTGCCTTCACTTGGTATTGCCACTTTGTCACGCTACTGTCAGGAATGCAGACGAGATAGTGAGGCAACTGAGATCTACACTTGGTAAGCAATACGCGAAGCTCATGGGAACTCTCTCTCATGAGATCACCTACTGGGTTCTACACTTCACAGAGGTAGACGTGCTGTCTGACTTAGTTTCAGCTTCCAAGAAACTATTTCCTAAGTCCACCATACTGGAAGCCCTTCTCGCAGGATCTTCTTCAAAGCTCAAGAGCCAATCGCACATTCGTATAGCGGCTTTGGCGTCACTGAGTCTGCTTAAGGTGCACATTGATGCTCACCGCTGGGACAGTCGGGATCTGGACTTTTTGCTGTTGAGGCTAGCCGCAGATTTGGAAGTAACCAAACCTACCCATTTGAAAGTAAACATCATAAGACAGATGAAATGCGTCTTACTTTTGGGGGAAAGCTTTCTGGAAAATTGCACATGTCTAGCTAGGCTGGTTCGTGTTTTAGCGCGTACATTCAACATAAAGGATCTACGCATGGAGTCGCAAGACCTCATCAAAAGCGTCATTTCTCCTCTTTGCCTTTCTGCGGATCGCTATGAGGGCGCAGTCGAAATGTACGCTGCTGTTTTTTCATGTTTGCTAACTGACTACTCCTCTTCGGACAATCTGATCGTTGAGGCCTTGGAGCACCAGGTAAAATTTGAAGGCTCGCGTGCAATTCGGAAATATGACAACTTATGGAATGCCTGCTTAAGCATCTTGAAAGGAGATATCCTAAGCGAGGATGTGTATATGAATGACGACTTACTGAAGACAGACTTCCCGTCAAAAGAGCGATTTACACTGCTCTCCCAAATATACCAGTACCATGCTGAGCCGCGACAGTTTCCATTGAGCTATGAATTTTCGCATCAAGTAACCAGTAATTTGTTGGTGCTTCCAGATTTACCAACTGCCACGACACCAAACTTCGATTTATGGAGGGGCTATTACGTCGGAGGGTATTATTTGAAGTTTGCTTCTCTACCAAAACAACTATCAACTAAGCCAATCCTCGCGCAAAACACTGCTATTCCACTGGTCAATGTTGTGGCCGAAATCAACGAGTTTCGCAACACTACGACGAGCTCTGAGTCCTACTTCTTTATATCAGCAGTTCTCTCTCTAATGGCGGGTACAGTCTCTAAGGACTGCGCCCAAGAAGCTTACTCTTGTGAGGTCTTCCCGCTGAGTGATCGGGAATTACGCCTACTTCCTACACTGAGAAACGCATTCGTCGTGGAGAATGTTTCATTGGGCGAGGCAATCGATGCCGCAAAGCGAACGCCCTTCATGCAGTGGATGGCAAATTTGGTTACTGCTTTGAGCTACGAGATTGATTACCTCTTGCCTGGGTTTCGTGCAGTTGCAGCTTTGGCGTATGAAAAATTGAACTTTCTAGAGACACTTTTTCTATACATGTTTTTGGTCTTAGAACGGATGGATTCGAAACGAGCTTTCTCTTTTATATCGCTCTTCTTCAAGACTTGTGATATGTTGACTACTGAATCTGACATCGTTGACTCCCGCCCGAAAACCCTTCTTTTACTTCATGTGTTCTCTTTAGTACGGTCCGAAGCTATGAAGGGAAACAGCTCGTTGAAGAAGCTTTATCTCGGGTTCGATCTCAAGAAGTTTTTTAACCTTGCTTCGACTGTGAATATGGTTAAGCTTGCCTTCATGCTCTTCGAGGAATTTACGACTAAAGTAAATCCGGACGACGTGGAACTTTTACAACCTGTTCTTTACGCCCTGGGGGACTCAGACCTCACTCAAGCTTTACCTATTGAGCCGTCACTTGAACACGCTTTTTCCACCGTGAACGAGTTCGATTCAAGAAGTATCAAGAACTTTATGTTCAATAATTGTAAGTTTGACGTTGACACCGCAATGGGGAAGAGTCCTCAAAAGAATGATTTAATTAGAGCGAGCAGCATGAATGGTTTCAAGGGACTAGCAGATTTGCTGCGCAATGTCAATACAGCTCAAGATTGTAGTAAGAAGCAAGATCCTTTCGAATGGTACTTGAGGTTGAATAGATGGGATGTTCCGGTCCCTGAGTACCTTTCTTCAGATTCCAGCGCCATTTATGCACTCTCCAAGAAACTGATCAATTCACCTGACAATGGTACTATCGAATTGGTAAGAAATCACTTGAAAAAAGTTGTGGCCGACTCTACCTTGTTTCATAGCAAGAGGGCGTGGGCAGGATCGTTGGTTGCCACCATATGTGCTGAAATGTTTTACGAACACGCCGATAACGAATCAGTTCTGAAAGCACTTGTCGACCAAACGGAATCGTACGATGTCAAATGCATTGAAAATACCTCCTTTTTTGACCATCAAACGCAGATGAAAGGACGCCAGAACATCCTAGGCGTCTCAAGCAACAAGCACTCGACCGAGAACAGTGTTGCGAACCTGAAATTCTGCGAATTACTCGAAATATGGAAGTATGCCTTTCTTTCTCGAGAAAACAACGATTTACAAGAATCGTTAACTTCAGCAATGCTTCTGGATAAGAAAGTCACGTCGCTGGCAGTACCGTCAGACTCCGGGCTTTGGAAACGTTTGGCACACTTTGAGGGTGCTCAGGCCCTTTGGCTGCAAGGCGACTATCAAATAGCGATTTCGATGCTTGAGGGCCTTTCTCAAAGTTTTGACGACGTAAATGCCGACAGGAACTTGCTAGAAAGCAAAGCGAGCTTTTCACAAGTTCAACTAAAGGCCCGTCTAGTGGAATGGACCTCATTGCTGAGAAAGGAGAATGCTCAGTCCATATATGCCAAATACATTTCTGAGACAGGAAGCGAAGTGTCTGCGGTTGAAGAATACAATGACCGTGCTAAAATATTCTTACAATTCGGTGAGTTTTGTCTAAAGCAGCTGAGGCGACTCGAGAATGACACTACGGCTAATGAGCGGCAATCGCGATCAGATTACGGGAAGGTGGAACTTTCCGGTCTGCTGGAAATCGTGCGCGACTCCAACGCCAACGAACGAGATCGAAAAGAAGCAAGGAAACATTTTAATAGACTAAAGCTACAAATCGAACAAGACCAAGAGATTTTAGTCAATCTGTTTAAGCAGCAAAAACTTTTTGCCTGGAAATCTGTTCACTTTTTTCTAAGCGCTCTGGTATACGGAAATCAACTGGACGATGATGTTTTAGACAAATTCTGCGGTCTATGGTTTCAATACGCTGACGACGGAGACCTCAATTCCAAGTTGTATCATGAAATTAGCTCAATTCCTAGTTTCAAATTCGTTCCGTGGATCCATCAACTAACATCTCGCCTCAGTATCGATAGTACACCGTTTCAGCGTAATTTACAACTCACGCTTAAGCGAGTAATGTTCAAGCTCCCAAACGAGACTTTGTACCCGCTTGTCAGTCTCAAACTTTACAAGAAGGTCCAGCCAATAAATGATCCAGGCATTTTGCTAAGAGTGAAAGCAGTGGAAAAATTGTTTGAAGAGTTAGAACGGTATGACAGTGGCCATTTCTTGAGAGAGTACCTCGATCCAATTGAGGAATTCTGTGAGAAAGCGGTCGACTTTTCGTGCATGAAGGCTCCAAAGGACAGTCGCAGTCTTGACTTAAGAAGTTGGAGATCTGGCAAGTATTGGCTTGAGTCAATAGGACAGAGGAGCTTATCTTTACCTACCAATCCGGCGATCATTACGTGCTCTGCAGACGGTCGCAAATTGCGTCCAACCATAACGCACCTCGATCCGGTCGTGCAAATTTCATCCTCTGGGCTGTCACTTCCAAAGATTGCAACATTCTACTTATCCGACGGAACTAAGCACAAAGTGCTTTTGAAGGGAAGTAATGACGATCTTAGACAAGACTCTATCATGGAACAAGTTTTCAAACAGGTTAATCAAATCTTGATCAAAAACGAGCAAACAAGGAAGCGCAATTTACGAGTTAGGACCTACGAAGTCGTACCTTTAGGCCCTCGGGCTGGTCTTATCGAGTTTGTTGCCAATTCCGTCTCTCTTCATGAGGTATTGAGTAAGCTACACAGGAATGACGAGATGCCTTTCGAGAAGGCCAGAAAATTAATGAAACAATGCCAAAGCAAACCGCTCAAAGATAGAGTTGGAACTTATTCATTCATATGCGATTCGATAAAGCCTCAACTTCGATCTTTTTTTTTTCAGTCCTTTGTGGATGCCCAGGAATGGCTAGATGCCAAATATGCCTATACCAAAGGTGTCGTTACGACCTCTATTGTGGGCTACGTTTTGGGACTTGGTGATAGACACTTGAATAATATTTTACTGGACAAGTCCAATGGTGAGCCCGTGCATATAGACTTGGGCGTTGCATTTGACCAAGGAAAGTTTCTAGCTATACCAGAGCTTGTGCCCTTTCGACTAACACGAGAAATGGTCGATGGTTTCGGAGTAACAGGAGTTGATGGAATCTTTCGTAACAATTGTGAACGAGTCTTTTCTGTGTTGCATAAAGAGCGCGATAGGGTGATGAGTGTTTTGAATGTACTGAAGTGGGACCCGTTGTATTCTTGGGTAGTATCACCGCTGCGGAAGAAAAAGTTGCAGGCAAACTTCTCTGACGACAGTGCAGAGCTTGAGATCAATGCTAGTGCCATTGGCTTGAAAGAAAACAACAACGAATCTATGCGGGCATTGAAAGACGTTGAAACGAAACTTGAAGGGAATGGCTTGAGCGTCGAAGCCACGGTACAAGAGCTTATACAGCAAGCCACTGATGTAAACAATCTGGCAACCATATATATGGGCTGGTCGCCATTCTACTAAACTTATCAATCTCGGCTGCTACGGCTGGAACATTTAGTCCTTTTTAACCAGAAACAAAAAAACGTCCTTCAACGTACTGAATACTCTACATAAAATGGTCTTTGTCTAAAATGTACCGTCGCTGATCAGCTCTACATAATTGCTTGGGATGATGCCTGTTTCACCATCCGCCCTCTTAGCCTTCCACCACCTGCCTTCGATATCGCCGACTCTCAAAATCTCACCCTGCTCGAATGATACCTCATATGCATCGTTCGAATCGGCGGAATATGTGTAAAGAGCCTTAGCTGTGTAAGGGAAGCTGCCAAGCTCGTTACCAGCGTCGCTGTATAGCCCTAGAGTGTCTCCCATGGTTGTTTCCGTATTGCCGTTGGTGGTGTCGGTGAAGAATGTGTTCGAGTTGTTTGAGTTTGGAACGTTTTCTTGAAGCGCTGGAGCCACTGGAGGACCCGCATTTTCGAAGCCGTTCAGTGCGGTGGACGAAACATAGTGTTGAGAGTGTGAATCTGGGTAGAAATGGTTGGATTGGGGAATGCGTTCGCTGAACCGATTGGTGTCCTCGTTGAAATTCGTAGAGTACCGGGACGCGTTGCGTGCCGGTAGCCCAGCTGGCCGATTGCTGAGCGCTATAGAGGACTCCAAGACAGAATGCCGGATGCCCTTCAACGAGTACGAATCAACCCATCTATTAGAAGGCGAAGCGTTGTCTGCACCAAAGTAAAACAACCAAATAGCATTGATCATTGAAAGCAAAATAAGCCCGGCAGACGCAGCGGCCACTTTCGACCCGTCCCTGTAGATCAAGTCTGCCGTACTATTTGTCGTGTAAACAAAAGCCACTGCCAGTCCCGCTGAAAGAAACGTCTTGTAGTAATCCACCAAATCGTAACAGTATAGCACGAAAATTGCAATTAAGAGCAGCAGTTCATACACTATTCCCCACCACGCAAAAGGCGGGTAGTCTCGGTTGTTTGCGGCCGCTGCGATCGATCCAACGAACGCAATGATCCACGATATCAGTGCTAGCGACAGTAGCGAAATAGCGAACGGATCCGTGAGCAAATTCGCCAAACTAAATTCGTGAATTCTGTGCGGACTGTGCCGCATCTTTTCCGCTTCCCTTCTGTTGGGCATCGCTACTCTTTGCCTTGTTTTAGCACCTTTTCCTCTCTGTTCAACGTCTTTCGCGAAATTTCACCAAGGCTTGTAAGATATAGTTTATTATGATTCTTGTATATATGGGTCAAGTTCAAGAATTTGACCAAAAAAACAACAACTTTTGGTCATTACGCTCGACAGAGCTGGAATCACAGAACTCCGAGACCTGGAGCATGATCCCTGTGTGTGTGGGTAACTCTCGTGTAAATTTGAAGAGAATTCGACGCTTCTCAAGGGCCATTGAAGCCAGTTTTGATGACGATGTCGCGGGTGATGAGACAGAAATGACAACTTGAAGGTAAACAACGAAGGTCGACACCGATGTAACAGTCGCGACAACATAGCCTGATGGCGCGGGTTGAGATTGTGGTGCTTTAGGCACTTCGAGTCCAATTAGTTTAGTGACCAGCACCAAAAAAAAGAGTCGCGGACAAACATGTTATGAGCACGAAAACCCCCCAGAAAGATAAGATTAAGGAGAGGTATTTGAGACGATGCGAGGACGCGGGCATCTGGCTTGCGTCGTCGTACTCGGAGCCGATCAGTTTGTAGCCGAAAATGCCCGGAAGAATGAAGGAAATGGATGTTGAACCAGTAGCCCCAACGACGGCCAAGACCCGAGCTAACGATGTCACAGACACGGCGAGAAGATAGGCGCAGATAAGAATGGAAACGGTTATCATGACAAAACGCTTGCCCTCGAGAGGAACTGCAACTTGTTGTCGAGAAGCTCCTTCTTCTGCCAAGATCTCGCGATCGCCCTCCGTCACCGGGTCTATGAGCTGGGAAGTCTCAAGCTGCTGTGCGTGCGTTTCAGTGCGCGCCTTGAAAAAATGCAGCATGTGGTCAATTGAAGCCCTGGCGGGGTGGCATTGCAAGGGAAACGCCAACATCACCAAAAGTGCGATTGCAATGCGTCCAATGGTCGTTGCTGGGGACTGCGGGTAAAGCGTGATGATGTTGCCGACAACGTGGTCGCCAAAAGTTGCGTAGCCACTGCCACCTATCGCCAGGTACAACGTCATTGCTAGTAAAACGGAAATCGATGCCATTTGGTAGATAGCGTTCACTGAATTGTTCTGTAGCTCATTGATTATGGAGAACGTATTGTGGTGGCAAGTGTAGGCGAAAACGAAGATGGGGAAGCAGCTAAATAGAGCCGTGACAGAACCCGATGGTACTCCCAGACTCACGTCGCCTTTCAGTTCTCGAATTTCCTCAGAGGGCCACCAAAAATGCACCAGAACCAGCCCACACAGATACGCCACGGATGAAATGGCAACCATAGACGCATAACGCAAAGAACTGAGTTTTTTCAAAAAACAAAGTGGTGACACGATAAACAGCATCACCATCGTAATGTGGAAGTTTCGGTTTAGAAACAAAGCATGCGACGTGAAAACGCCAAAGATTCGCGGTAGCAAATCGCCAACGACCACCAGATACGAGACACCCACTCCAAAGCATTTCACTGCAATTGCCAAGTCGAAAACCACGCTCAACTGTGGATATGTGACTTGCGCTAAAGCGAAAAACGATGCATTTCTCGATTCCACATATTTAGACACCCGGCCTTGGATAAGAAGTCCTGTCAAGGAACATAATCCACAAAACAGAATCATGAGAAACCCGAGCAACAGTCCGAAGGGTTTAAAAGCGTACGGTGTTGCCAAAATACCAGCTCCACACGCGGTGTGAAGCAGCGTGAGCACTCCAGATAAACACGACGATCCCATTGGAGTGAGAGTCTGCAATGATACGAGCCTCAAACGTGGAAAAGATGAATGGGATAAGGTTTTTCAAGAGCTATGGGTGTTGTTGATACACTTGACTTCTATCAAGAGCTTATTTTTGGTGTTTTATCACTATTTACGTTGTGTGATAAGATAATAATTAGCTCACGTGATCTATAAACTGACAGATTGTTTGGATTTTAGAGCTTCCACGCTCAAGGATTTGGTGTTTATTGAATCATCTATGGGTGTTCAAATACTTTCTAAATTGTGGAATTTGAAAAGGGGATTTCCTATTTAATTTCAACTTTTGAGGGTTTTTTTCGCGTTCTTGGCGCTCCGATCTCGAGAGAAAATCAAACGTTAAAAGAAAACCGGTGCATTGGGGCTCAATTCATATTCTGGAGTCTCTCGATGATTGCAAACGCCTCTGGAAGCAAATCTTTTGGTCGGTGACAGAAAAATGCGACTCATTAGTACAAAGTGATCTGAATTCCATGCCTTGAACTATACACTCCACTGTCATAGACAGAAGAGTGTAGACTATATGGTTTAAGCTAACAGATACTGTTGGATGATTCTAAGTGTAGCTGTTTGGCCTAAGTCCTTGTTTCACTCTTTTGAGTCGGGTTTGGTGAATGGCGAAACCGAAAAAAAATTGATAATTTCAAGAGACTACAGTAGTGCGTTTGATGAAAGTTCACTGACCAGGGCTCTTTCTGTATATACACGATCCTGTTAATGTGAATCCGATAATCTATCGAGTGTTTATCTTGAACTTTATTGAGGTTTTCCTTTTGTTTCCTTGCGGTAAGTGCATTTATTGTTTAGATCAACAGCAAGCACATTCAGATCAGCTCCAATGCTAAGATGCTCATCTTTAAAGAGAAGAATACTCACAAACCAGCCCACGCATCTAAGAGTCCGCCTTCGGTCAGTTCCCGTACTAGGCATCAGTTGCGCCTCGAAAGTACAAGGATACACTACCAAAACACCAATCTCTAATGCAGAGATCTTAAACTATGTACAAAATATATTCATTCAAAACAACAAAGGATGCCATGTCGTTGTTTTTTCTCTCTCTTTCTCAGTAACCCTTACGCTTTGCGTCCTTGACCACCTCAATAAGTCTCTTGAAACCTTTCATAAATTCACGACGGTGACGTTGCGAAGAACGCATTTCCTTCACTTTACCACGCTTGATGTGGAATCGTTGGTTACGCTTATCCTGAGCGATTCTGTTGGCAAAGACCACAGAATTGAGCTGTCTAAATGCACCAGCCGTGTCTCCATTGAACACATCCACAGTTCTGCCTGCGCGAATTCCGGTCAATCTTGACGTCAACGCATCCTCCTTAGGAGACGCAACGAACGACACCGCCGCATAACGCTGCTGTTGCTGTCCGGGAGCGGCTGTGTTGACTCGCAATCTCGCAGACGATTGTGAGTCCTTTTTCCCATTGCTCAAAGGGTTCAGCTGTGTTGGATCGAAAAGTGGTGAACTAGTGCTGTTCAGCAGCTGCAAGCCCGCTGAAAACGCTCTTTTTTGGCCCGTTACCAACGTGACGCCTCTAGTTAGCATTCTAAGCTTGTTTCCACCACGACAAAGGCTCAAAGATGGCTATGTTTTGTTCTTTTGGTTGACTTGTTAGTTATTGAAATTTTTCAGAGATGAGTTCATTGAATTTAGACTTGAACTTGACTAACGACAAGTAAGGTTAAAGCATAGAAAACCACTTACAAAACGGCTCCCAAAGCTCTTTAAGAATGAGTGAAGCTACTTTAAACAATGCCACAAAGGCTGTTAACGGTCAAGAGGAAAAACCGGATACTTTCGCGGCTCAAAATGACGAGAAATTGAGCACAAACGATAACGTCGCAGAGGTGGATGGATCCAAGAAGAAGAACAAAAAAAAGAAGAAGAAGACCAATAACATCAAGAATATTGATCTCATGTTCCCCGATTCGAAGTTCCCTGAAGGTGAATGGATGGACTACCATCAAGATTTCAACCTTCAAAGAACTACAGATGAGGAAAAGCGTTATTTGGCGAGGGACCAAGAAAATGCAGAGAGATGGAACGACATGCGCAAAGGATCTGAAATTCACCGTCGTGTCCGTAAAAACCTGCAAAACAAATTGAAACCCGATATGAGTCTCACAGATGTGGTGAACGTGGTTGAAAATGCCACCCGCAAGTTCACCGGAGTAGACGAAAACGGTGACCACAAGGACCGTCCCAAATCGCAAGGTATTGGGTTTCCTACCGGTGTGTCTTTGAACCATTGTGCAGCTCATTTTACGCCCAATGCCGGCGACCAGACCATTTTGAGATATGAAGACGTGATGAAAGTCGATATCGGAGTGCAAGTTAACGGATATATCGTGGACTCTGCATTTACGGTGGCTTTTGATCCCAAATACGACAACTTGTTGACCGCAGTTAGGGAGGCGACTAACACGGGTGTGCGGGAATCTGGAATTGACGTCAGACTCACAGACATTGGCGAGGCTATTCAGGAAGTGATGGAGTCATACGAAGTTGAGCTCAACGGCGAAACGTATCAAGTGAAACCCTGCAGGAACCTTTGCGGTCACAACATCTCGCCTTACAAGATCCACGGCGGGAAATCCGTGCCGCTGGTGAAAAACGGAGACCAGACCAAAATGGAAGAGGGCGAACATTTTGCAATTGAGACTTTTGGGACCACGGGACGCGGGTACGTGATATCTGGCGGGGAGGTCTCACATTACGCTAAGAACGAGGGCTCATTCCCCACTCCTTCGCTCTCTAAGGCCAAGTCTTTGCTCAGGACTATCGACGAAAATTTCGGCACTTTGCCCTTCTGTCGTCGCTACTTGGACCGTTTGGGAGAGGACAAGTACCTATTTGCACTCAACAATCTGGTCAAGCACGGAGTAATTGAAGAATATCCACCTCTGAGCGACATCCAGGGCTCATACACTGCACAGTACGAACACACTATCTTGCTACATCCACATAAGAAAGAAGTGGTGTCAAGAGGTGAGGATTTCTGAAAAGAGAAACCGAAAAATTCACAGTCATACATACATAAACACATAAATACATAAACACATCGAACGCTACAAGCACCCCCATTGTGAGCTAACAGCCCATCTCTTCTACCTGGATATAGTACCCACGACTCACTACCGCTTTCAATATTTATTTCGTGACGCTGTCATCGGTGCTGTCTGGTACTCGAAGTGTGTACTCGCCGAAAAAATTACGATATTACTAGACCTAAAGTGAAAGGCCAAATATATCAACTTAGTTGTCTATCCAAATCAAACAACCTTTTTGAGCCAACTTGGACACATCAACTAGGATTCTCAAGCGAAAAATGATTGATATCAACCCCAGTGTACTGGAGTACAAGCGTATGTTTTTTGTTGTGGCGAAAACGGGCTCTTTTTGAGATCATTGGCACTGTTTTGCTGTTCAAAAACAATGCTCAGCTCAGCTCCTTTCCAAGAAAAATTGCAGGGAGAAGAGGTGGTTTTTTGGCAAAGTGAGATGTGCATTTTGTAGCCCGACTTCAGTTTCATAAAATGAAAGGAATTCCCACATTCTTACAAGAGTTGTGGAAACCTGTAAACTCAGTGATTTGATCTTTCGCTATTGCTGCCCTTAGGGCGAATGAATGGTTTTTCAAAAGGGCTTTTTTGAGCCGTAAGATGTTTGCTATGCAAAATCAAAGCCCCCTCATACTAACCTTTCATGTTTTGTTCTGTACAGCTCCATTCACAGCACAGGCTACCGAGTACGTTACCGTAACCAATAATTCGGACCAAGCCGTGGCTTTTAAGGTGAAGACTACAGCCCCAAAGTTTTACTGCGTCAGACCCAATGCGGCTTTGGTGGGCCCAGGGGAACAAGTTCAAGTGCAGGTCATTCTACTAGGTCTTGCTAAGGAGCCAGCTGCGGATTTCAAGTGCCGTGACAAGTTTCTTGTGATCACTTTGCCAGCCCCATACGACTTGGGGTCATCAAGCGTCACAGAGGCCTGGCCTCAGTTGGAAGCAGAGTTCAAAGAAAATGCAGTATCCAAAAAGATCAAAGTAAACTACATATTGGATGCTGAACCATCGGCTGAACATTCCGCTGACGCAGCTGGCGCACCAGCTGCACCAGCAACTGGTACCAAGTCAACTGACGAAACTGCGAAGAAGCCTGAAGTGAACGAAAAGGACATCCAGGACATTACCAAACCAGAAAGCCAACCTAAGGCATCCGAATCCTTGTCCGAAGCTACCAAGAAGGACTTGACTAGTGGATCGAAGGAAAAGGAACAGGGTTCTGAAGCTCACGAGGGCTTCAGCAACTCGGACTCTGGGATTACCGGTCCTGCTTCTCCCGCGAAACAGGAATCTACTATAAACCCCGTCATGATTCTATTAGTTGCACTTATCGCATTGGTGTTAGGCTGGTTGTACTACTGAGAGGAAAACGGACAATAACACGAGCAGTTGAAGTTTTAGCGTGTGAAAGCTGGAAACGCAACCCAATTGGCAAAGTTCTTAATTATTATCCTAGATGGATTTGATATGTAGAGAGGGAGTCAGAAACTGTAACCTTTTTTTAAACAATGATTCGAGTAATTGACTAACAAACAGAAGAGCCGCTATGCAATGCACCAAGAGTTTGATTCGGACATCTATGTCAATAAATGGTTTGGTTTTAAAGTATACAATGTAATAAAAATCCGGTGTGTTCTTGATGGAAGAAGCAGAGATCCTAAATTTTTGTCAGCACTTGTAAGCGTTTAGGCAGACAAACCCAAACGGCCGTTAGGGTTGGTAACGGTGACGCCCAAAGCCTTGGCTCTAGCCAAAAGGGCGACTCTGTTCTTGGAAGAGACGTTGTGAGCGATTTCAGCAGCGTAGGTCTTGGTGTGCATAACCAACAATTCCAAGTCCTTACCGTTGGCGATCAAAAAGGTCTTGTGACCAGAAGGACGCATGAACTTGGTCTTCTTGTTGGAACCGTAACCGATGGTTGGTTCTGAAATGTTACCTCTGAATCTTCTTCTCACAACAGAGTCGATACCCTTTTGCTTTCTCCAGTTCTCAGCGACTCTGTGGTAACGGTCAGAGTGGTGACGCTTGAACTTCTTGGTGTGTTTCTTCACAATCTTTGGGTGTGGTAGAGAAGCAGCCATCTGTAAGATGAATGAATGTTAGTATAAGTGTCTGTGTGGAAACTAGCCGCGAGGAGGGGGACCTGTCTTGACGTGAGGAGACAAGCTGGAAAGATGATAGAACTCCCAAAGAAAAAGTAAACACGCTCAGAGACGTGGGAAAGAAGACCAAAAAGTGTACTATGCAGGATCCAGAATATGGAAATTTTTCCGACCAGTTCGATGGAAACGAAAAGTGTATTGTTTCCAAACTTTTTTCCCAAATTGTTGATATAGATCAAGCAAACGACAGCGTTGTTGGTAGCAGTAAACACCCACTTTTCACTAGCCAAAAGTCTCCAAGATGGTTTTGGTCATCATCACTTGATTTCCACGAATATTCCCGGGAAAGTCTCCATGTATCGTCAAATCGTTTCGCCCATGGTTCTCTCAACACCGCAGCTCTTACTGCGCACTATCTCACATACCTTTAAAGTTACTTTCCGTGGATTCTAGCGTGTGAACAGTAACAGGCTACAATTCCAATTCTTTACAGTCGTCAAATTGTTTTCCAAAATGAATGAGCTGGGATCCCACCATGCAGCGGCAGCGTACGGGATCGAGAGGGCCAGGCTAGACCAGGAGGCTTGGTGGGAGGTAGGGAGGGACTGCTGCCTAGAGTCTAGACGGGGGACGGCCTGTCTGGAGAGGGATGCCTACGAGCCTACGAGCCTGCGAGCCTAGGAAGACACCATTAGGCAGAGGCGCGGGCGCCGGGGGGTGGGCTGGACAGGGTCGGGGGGACCCACTAGACTGGGGTCTCTCAGGCGTTCGCCCCCCGGTCTGGGCGCGAGCCTGGCTCTGCTAAAGGTGGTGTCTAGCCTTTGATCTCCATCGACCCACGCAAAAAAGAACAAAGTTATTTTTTCATACTTTTTCACGATTGAAATAATAAAAAATGCAACACCCGTACATCACATCACAAACCCAAAAAGACAGTCACACCAGAAACGAAACCAACATTCCGCAAAGAAAAGTACCACAATAACACCCATTCCAAGCTTCCAAAGCCTGTCCGTATCCCAACATCCAATTTACAGCATTTGAATCCAGTCTTGTATCTTAATATTCGATTATTTCCATACGTCAGCTGAGACTCACGCGATTATCACATGACTACTCGATTATCTCGAAAAATGGTCGTATACGACTACTACCTCCGCTTAATAGACCTAATTTACTAAACGTTCCCATCGCCAACATTACACATTGTTGGCTCCAAAGACTGATCCCAACAGAAACAGGAAAAAAATCGGATCATTCTTTAGGTGAGTAACTCAACCCATTATTCTCAAACCATCGAATCTGTTCCATCAATTTCCCAAACCCGAAACCAAGCCTACACCGCCTCCTGCCACCTTCGCAGCTATCTTCTTAGCATCAAAGTTGCAAAAAGTTTCATTCTCAGTTTTGGCCTCTTGACAACGCTAAAGAAGGGAAAAACAGGGCATTTCACTCAGCATTTATAAATACGCACTTCTCCTGTGAAATTAGAAGACGTATCTGTACAAATTCGGTTTCTTCTTTCCGTTTTATCGCCCAAGATGACTACTACCATGGAAGATAATAATATTTCACCAGCATACTACTATTACGTAGACCCATCAACGTCGTACCATTCACAACAACCAGATCCTCTGGACGACCTGATATCGGTTTATGGTCTCCAGGATATATCACAACAGGTTGCACGCGCAAATCCAGACGGCACAAAAGCCGTAAAACTGCGGAAATCCTACAAAAATCAGATAAACGACCTTTCCGGCAAGTTTTCTGTCATTCCAACGCGAGATAACGGCAAAGGCGGCGATATAGCGCCAATTCTGTTTCAAAATAATCCAGATATGATTTCCCAGGTACAACGAACCCCCGAAATGACGCCTGATCAATGGCGTCAGCTCATGTGCGAGCGTGACACTTCTTTATTCGATTCACAAAATATGGACTGGGAAGTTTGTCAAAGCGTGCTTTCACAATTCGGGAGAAGCCACCCTGCTGAATTTCAGGCCAACGGTTTCCAAGCCGAAGATCTGGCTTTCGACTTGGATGGCAGTGGCAACGCAATAAGGGCCAAAAAACGTAAAAACAAGTCTAGCGGCAGTTCCATGGCTACGCCCAACAGTGACATGCAGGAAGACATGAAGAGAAGAAGGTTAGAATGAAAATGAAAATTCAAGGCAAATCTAGTTGCTGTGTCCAACACGAGATACCAAAGTTATTTTGGTCCGGTCCATGTCGAAATGTTCTGTTTCTATATAGCTAATTGCCAGGTTTAATGATTGCATAGGTTTCAGGTAAAATCTTTATAGTAAGTTCTCACGGTTTACCTCCAACAGATGAAGACGCTGGTACGTCCATCCCTGACTGTCTCTATAGCTTTAACCTTTACAACAAAACTTTCTTGTACGTATACATATTTATGTAGTGGAGTCACACATAAACGCGACAAAATCAGTTTCTCAGGTAATCCCTCAGGTAGTTACCCAATTTTTGAGCTCCCTGTTCAACAGCATCCTTAATGACCTGAAATTCATCATCCGCACCGCTGTTGAAATCAACAAATCCACTATTATGGCTGTTGAGTCTTGGACGTCCAAACTCGTCAACTTCAGGTTCTTCTTCTCCGAAATAATTGGAAGATGATATTGATGTTGCATTGTTGAAGTTGCTTTTCAATTTGTCTTGAGCTTCTTTAGAAGCTTGTTCGTCATAATTGCCTCTTCCAAAATACTGATCTGACGAGATGGCTTTTTGATCTCCGTACTTGTTGGCGACCTGTCCAGTATATTTGGGACCCGCCGCTGCTCTCTTGGCTTCTTTCTCTTTATTAGCAAGTTGATCGGCATTATTCATAATCATACCAAAGCCTAGTTTGGCAAGCTTGGGTTTAGCAGCATCAGCATCGGACGACGCGAACCCTTGTGTAACTTGATCAAAGGCGACGCCGTCGTTATATTCTTGACCCTCTTCTTCGTCAAAAGAATTGATTTTAACCGGCGCAGGTTGCTGGTATACAGTTTTCGTTTCCAAAGTGCTGTTACGGGTTAACTTCGGCGTTGCTTCTTCTGCTTCAAGCATGGCGGCTTTTTCAAAATCATCGAACATGCTTTCTGCTTCAGACTTTTGCACTTTCTGAGCAGCAACGCGCGTCGTTTTCCTACCAGAAGACAAAATCGAATGCTTCTTGGCGCCAGCGGGTGCGGTTGTTGCGGTTCTCCTTCTGTTGCTGTTACTACTCAAGATCGACGTTTTGGAAGCGCTTCTGGAATTTCCTGTGCTTGAAGGTGTCAAGATCTTGGGGGAGGACGATGCAGCGGCGGCAGGCTTTTCCCAGCTTGAGAAGAAATCGTCCACACTGTTGTTTTGAGACGATCCCAATGAGTTGGATCCTGATCCGGACGACAGATCCCCTGTTTCGTCATCTCCGGCAAGCACAATTTGTCCAGGATATTGTTCCATATCCTTGGCAACGAGTTTGTCGAGATGAGCCTTATAGTTCTTAGCCACTGAGCTGGTATATTTCATGCGCGCATCCACGTTAGTGCCGAGAAATTGTTTACCGTTGTGCTTCATGAAGTATTCACGAGCCTTGTGGTTCCCACCGTGCTTGAATCTCCGCAAATTGTTCACGGTCCACTTGTCTAGGTTCGAGGATTTCACAAAAGTGATGTGTACACCCAGGTTACGGTGCACAGCAGAACACTGTATACACAGCATAACGCCGAAGGGAACAGAAGTCCATGTTGGGTTTTTCGTCCCGCAATCAAAACATACTCGATTTTCCTGCTTTGACGACAGTTTACGGAAAACCGTCACCGTTTCTTCCTTGGTGCTGAAAACTTCTCCTGATTCGTCACTCATGAAGCTAGTCTAGTTGTTGTAAAAAGACGATGTGGTGTAGAATGTGTAGAAATCTGCGTTCACAAGACGTTAAAAGACTGGAATCAAAACGTAGCGACTACGAGAAAACAATGTCGGCCAATGGATATCGCCAAAACGCTTGTGATCTAGTGACTTTAAAGCGTGTGAATGTGTTAGTCTTGGGCAAGGTTCCTCTTGAAGTCCATTAATTCCATATGTTTGGATCTGTTTATCTTGAGAATATATTAAATCATATCACGTTGACCCAAAACTGACACCGGTGCTCTGATGTGGAATAGTCTTCAAGAAAGGCGCATCCATTGAACGTGTTTGAACCATTTGGGCTCTACTAGAATGCAAGTGGCGGTGGCCAACACCGAAGTGGTTTTGTTGGTCCAAGGTTTGTACCATACCCTAGAGGGCAGAGTTTCGAGCGTTCCTCCAATGACACATTTGCGACCTTTGGACTCCACCACATGCGCTTTCAGAACCACAGTGCAGTCTGTAGGAACGTCTTTATGAAACTGGAGGTCGAGTCTAGCGGTGACGCCGGATTTGCTAGGCAAAGTGGGGAATCCGCAGTAACAGAGGGCTTCGTCCAACAGCAGCGAAACGACGCCCTTGTGAACGTTGCCCTTTTCGTTGCCCAAATTGGCACCCAGATGGTAGAAAACGACCAGTTCCTTGGAATCTGGGTCATGTAACACTAGAGGGTCGATTTCCAATCGGCCTGGTCCGTACAGAAGTCCCTGTCCTACATGATAGTCGCGATGCGGATGTACGATTTTTTCGCTTTGAGACCATTCTTCCACGTTATCTCGTTTGATCAGTTCTCGGTAGATGTTGTGCTGTTTCAGTTCACGAAGGATATCGAGTCGTTGCTGTTCCACGGGTCTTTTTAGTGTTACCGTGTTTAAACCGTTTTCGTTAACCTTTGGAAACGCGTCGACGAATGTTGCCAAACCAAGGCTAAACCCGGCAAGTGGTGTGAGAACAAACTTGCCCAAAATGCGTAGACTCATGAATGGAAGTTGGCAATATGGAGAGAATGGAAGGGAGCGGGAGACTTGGTTGTTTTGTAATGTTAATTGAGTGAGTGAGTGAGTGAGTGTGAGTAGCGCGTGGTACGACTGTTTGGAACTTTAAAGCCATTTTAAAGGGAAAAGAGCGGTCACGTGATCTGGCGCTCGAGCACATCGTCTCAAGGTACGTTCTCTTGTTTTACACCGAGGGTGTTGTGATTATGGAGATTGAAATTGTGTAAGAATGGAGCGTGTTGTGTTTCGTGTTATCAACAAACTTTTGTGGTTTTTTCAAGACCTCGGTTTTGCTGTCATTCCCTTGAAATTTACAATTTGGTGTAAGGACACAAACAAACTCCGAGCTGGGAACAAGATATGCATGTGCTAGGTTTAGCGAGACAAGAAGAGACTACTGGCGAAACTTTGAATTTGTAAATAGTCAGATAGCTCATCTATGTATGTTGTAAATACTCGGACTTTTTTTTGAGGAAAGATGACGCGGCACGTGATACATGGTATATCGTTTCACACGGAACACATTTCTTTTCTAGTAACTTTGTAGGAACCATAAGCTTGGTCGCTTTTCTGTTCGACGTAAAAAGAAAAACCCGTCTTTGGTCACTATTGTTGCAAGCTTTCCTAAAGTGAATAACAAAATGGGGTTTTCCAATGATGCTATTATCACTATATACGACACATGAGAGTCTACCACCCCCCATCCGTATAGAGCTACGACCCCATTTTCTGAACAGCTCGCGTACACAGTGACAACACGCGTACATCCGGTCCTAACTCTATTCTTTCTAACAGCTTTTGCTCTTACTACGCGTTTCCGGATTTCGGCCCTCGGACCTCCGGCGTCACAGCTCACGGATCTCCGGGGTTCTTGGTCTTTTCCTCACTGTCTCTCCCTCTCTCTCCCTGCGGCATGCTCTCCGAATAACGGAGTTCCACCTCCCCGTTTCCCCGAGAAACACCGACCTATGTCGGAACCCCGCAAAGTGGCATCGAGATTATTAAAATTATTGCGGATATAGGGTCTAGTTTCACCTCGAACAAGCCTAACAGTTTAAAGGCCAGCCCGCAAAGCATAAGCATCACCATTACCGTCCCGGGACTGGGGAAAGGGACGTAGAAGAACAAGAGGGAGGCGGGGCCCAGGTCGAGTTTAGTCGAATCGCAAGGACAGGGGAAAAAAAAAGAATGTTCCTGCACTAGCACTAGGGAGTTGGGAGGGCCAAGGCGAAACAAACGTTTTATGGAAGTCATGCATGATATGATGGATGGCGTGAATAAACCCAAGACAGATTTCCCGACCTATATAAGTACAAGCTGTATTGTAGATTGGTGGTACAATCAATCGTCGCTTTGTTGTACGCTAACCAACTATCATCAAACCACACCTTCAAACTCTACTACAAAACTCTACAAAACTCTACAATATCTATAATACAATGTCAGAGTCACCGCTTTCGTCGCTGGACGGCAAACCTACAGCAGCGCATGTGGCCAACACTGCGCCCGTAACGGCAACTGCAACCGGGCTGCTGGAGAAGAAACATTCGTCTGGGTCTTCTCCATCGTTCGCAGACTCGGAGAAGATCGGAGCCGGCGCAGACGCCGACTCCGCGGATAACGTGCTGGCGGAATACTCCGAGGAACAAGTGATGAATATGGGACGTGCTTTTGCCCGCAAATACGAATTACCCAATGAAGACGATATGTTCGGAAAAGCGGCCGCTTTGGCCCGTCAGCCAGAACGCTACGACCACATGTCGTTTCTTACGGAAGAGGAGCGGCTCGCGTGCTACGACGAGGAACACAAGCCCTTTGCCAATATGCCCCGCAAACTTATTGCCATAGTGTGTGCGTCGGCCATGGGAGCCGCCGTACAAGGCATGGACGAGACCGTGATCAACGGTGCTCTTTTATTCTACCCAAAAAACCTGGGGCTGGGTGCCCCAACAGACCGCAATGATTGGCTACAAGGTCTTGTTAACGGAGCTCCGTACTTGTGTTGCGCGGGTGTTTCGTGCTGGATGACCGACTGGCTCAATAATCTAATGGGTCGCAAACGGGTCATTTTCGTGACGTGTTTGATCTCCGCTATAACGTGTTTGTTACAGGCGTTTGCGCCCACGGGCGAACGCGGCTGGCACTATCTGTTTGCCATGCGGTTTCTTCTGGGGCTCGGCATCGGACCCAAGTCTGCGACCGTGTCTGTGTATCTGGCTGAATGTTCCACTAAGAAACTGCGCGGGATCATCTGCATGAACTGGCAAACGTTCACCGCGTTCGGCATTATGTGGGGGTACGTGTTCTCGCTGATCTTCTACCGCGTTGGAAGCGGCGCCGTGCACGGCGGTCTAAACTGGCGGCTAATGCTGGCGTCTGCAATGCTTCCTGCAATCGCCGTTCTCGTGCAGATTCCCTGGTGCCCAGAATCTCCGCGGTGGCTGATGGGGAAAGGCCGTTATCGCGAGGCTTACGAAAGCACCGTGCAGATCCGTGCGCATCGCATTCTCGCGTGCCGCGACCTGTTCTACCAGCACGTCCTGCTTCTAGAAGAAGGGTCGCTGCAGAAACCTTACTTTGCGCGTCTGGGCGAGGTATTCACAGTGCGCCGCAACCGCAACGCGTTCATCTGCGCGTTCATCTGCGCGTTCATGCAGCAGTTCTGCGCTATCAACGTCATTGCATACTACTCTTCGGCGATCTTCCTAAAGTCCGGGTTCACAGAGATCTCGTCGCTGGCCGCGTCGCTCGGATTTGGTCTGGTCAACTTCTTCTTTGCCATCCCGGCCTTCTTCATGATCGACCGGTTTGGACGCCGGTTCTTACTGCTTAACACGTTCCCATTAATGGCGCTGTTTTTGTTTGTGACTGGATTTGCGTTTTGGATTCCTGGCCAACAAGCACGTGTGGGCGTGGTCTCAATGGGCATCTACGTTTTCTCTGCTATCTACTCATTTGGCTGCGGTGTCGTACCGTTTGTCATTGCCGGAGAAGTGTTCCCATTATACGTGCGTGCTATCGGTGCATCACTTTTCACGATCATCTTGTGGGGGTTCAACTTTATTTTGTCGGTCACGTGGCCCCGGATGTTAAACGCACTACATCCACAAGGCGCCTTTGGCTTTTATGCGGGCTGGAACGTCATCGGGTGGTTTTTGGTTTATTTCTTCATGCCCGAGACCAAACAATTGACGCTGGAAGAGCTGGACGAAGTTTTCGACGTACCCCTCCGCACGCGTGTGGCCCACCAATTTGGCCAGCTATGGCCCGATTTCCAAGAATACGTTTTGCGTCGCAAAAACGTACCTCGCGCCCCACCTTTGGACCGTCACCACAGACTGGCCGTCAAAGCCATGGAATGGGACGAAAAGGCCAGCGTCGAGCAAGTGGAAAAGGCGTAAAAGGTGTGAAGCGTGAAACAGCGAAGACTGGCTCGTGCTTTAACATCCCAAGATCTGTTTTGCTCTTTTTTCAAAAATACAACAACACACACACACACACACATGGAAGTGGGGAGGAGAAACTATTTCGACCTACTGCGCTTCTATTCGTCTCAACAGTGCAATGAAATAATGCACGAACATCAACATTTTAATCATAATTGAATATAGCATCAAGTAACCTTTTAAACTGTTTTTTTAATAGCAAACAGAAGTATAAAGAGAGATTGATCAGTGGTGCAGATTTACGTGTTCTGAGCTGATCCTCGTCGATCCCACAGCAGAGAGTCACATCCTGTCAAATACAGCGAGGAAAATAGCATGGACTGTAGCGTCAAGCTCGTGCTAAAGTGATACTATGAGTCACGTGATGCAAATGACAGCGTCAGAATAAATTTCAATTTTTGACTTTCCCACACCAGATTAAAGGCGATCAGGAAACAAATAGACACTTTTGGCACTATTCTACTATACCCATCAAGATTGATTAAAGATGGACTGTCCAGAATGTATGAGCTGTCGATTTCTCCAGCTTTAATCAACTTACAATAGCTATTTCTGTACGCTTCAAAACCTAACGGAAAAGTGGACTATCAGTTCGTAATATTACTTAAGGCATGGAGCCGGTGTTGTATTGTATGACTCCAGAGACTCAACCTGTTTCTTGGTACAATAAAAAGAACCAATCATTCAAAAGTAAAAGTCCACAAGGCAATAATCACACATTTTAGCATATCCGGTCTGTATCCTCGACTTTATCCCAAAAATTCATTAAGCCACTTAGAATTACAAAATATGAACAACGCCCGTTCAAATACACCGTCCTTTTGCGACAAAAAGGAGGAATTTTTCCACGATATTGCTACTTCCTCAAAAACCCAGTATGTAGTTCACTCTTGCACATTGACCACAAGAACGTCCCACACATTTCCTCCCTTTGGACGTAAGACCACACGTATCGCAAAACCAACGAGTCTCGGCTACGCAAAACGCCGAAAAAACCATTTTTTATTGTCGAACATATCATGTTAGTGTCTCTACCGACCTCACTCATACACCTTGCACTTCTCAACTGGCATCTATTACTATTCCAAGAAATATCAGCATCTAATAGAACAATACAAAGCTGCAACCTGCTGTTTTAATTTCAAATTTCAAATCTCGAATATCTATAAACAAAGCTCTTCTTAGCTCTTCCTAGCTTTCCTCAGCTCTGAGCTCTTCTCGGTTTTAAACCTACTCTGTATTCAATCGATGTCGTTCTGTTAAATTAGCCTTTATAAATTTCGAATACTACGAAATTTGACGCTCACTCAACTTCACCAAACATATCAACCTTTCATTTGCCGTCGATATGACTGAAACTGTCAACGTTATAGGTGCCGGGCTAGTGGGATGTCTCACTGCTATCGCCCTTGCCAAAAGGAATTTTGAAGTTGTCCTTTTCGATTATCGACAAGATCCAAGGCTTGAAAGCACCAGTGATAGAAACCTAAGATCCATCAATTTGGCTATTTCAGCCCGGGGTATCACATCTTTGCAGTGTGTAGACGACCAGATTAGTCAAAGAGTGCTTAAGGACATGATTCCGATGCGCGGCCGTATGATTCACGACTTGGCTGGAAACCAAGAAGCCCAAAATTATGGATTATTTGGCGAGTGCATCAATTCCATCGATCGATCAGTGCTGAATAACAGCTTGTTAGACGAAGTGGATGGATTCAGCAACATAACTGTGAAATTTGGCCACAAATTGTCGCGGATTCACTTTTCGCATGGCAAACAAAACTGCATTTTCGTATCTGACACTCAGGAGCGGAACTCGTTCGAGGCCGATTTCGTGGTAGGATGCGACGGTGCTTACTCCACAACACGCTCACAGATGCAGCGGGAAGTGCGGATGGATTACTCTCAAGAATATATCGACTGCTGCTACATCGAGCTGTATATCCCACCGGCGGAAGCCCACGACGCAGAGTTTGGCGGGCCATTTCGCATCTCTCCAAACCATTTACACATTTGGCCTCGCCACAATTACATGCTGATTGCACTGGCCAACGGCGACGGTTCGTTCACCTCAACGTTCTTTGGGCCCTGGTCTTTGGTCGAGTCTTTGGACTCGAGAGAAAAGATCCAAACTTTTTTGACCGACAATTTCCCAGACGCTCTTGAGCTTATGGGACCCAAGACTGCAATTGATGCGTTTGAGCGCAATCCTCGCGGTGCGCTGATGTGTGTCGAATGCAAACCCTACCATTTGGATCAAGGTCGCGCTATTATCCTGGGCGATGCTGCCCACTCTATGGTCCCCTTCTACGGACAAGGCATGAATTGCGGGTTTGAAGACGTCAAAGTGCTTATGCGGCTACTAGATAAACACCAGGGGGACCGCTCCGCTGCGTTCGAGGAATACAGTCTCAAACGACACGAGGACCTCGTATCAATTATAAAGCTCGCCAAGGACAATTACAAGGAAATGTCTCACGGAGTGACATCCCAGCTCTACTTGATGCGCAAAAAACTAGACACACTACTGGGAAGATGGCTCAAAGACAAATGGATCCCGCTGTACACCATGGTATCCTTTAAGGCAGATATTCCATACCACCTGGCCATTGTCAAGGAACAGAAACAGAAAAAAATTCTGGCCTACGTCCAAGGAATCATTCTTGCAGCTGTAACTGCTGGTGGAGTGTACTCCTACACACTGCTGAGAAGAACTCTCAAAAACTATCACCGTTGAACTATGTGCAACGCTATGCAGTATCTGTAGTGTACTCGTTAGGACTCGTCAGGACTCGTCAGGACTCGTACACAAGTAACTTTATACGTATGTGTCACGCTAAAGTCACATGTTTGTTGATGTTTCCAAAATGACAACACGTTAATTAAGTATTGATGACTTGATAATCCTAACAGCTTTCTTTCCAGAGCGGTAAGAACTCATCCTCGAAGAATAAGCCAGAATCAAAGCACTGATACTTTCCGTATCTTGAACTACACAAATAAAACTCTCCAGGATGGCAAGCGCAATTGCAGAGGATGACGAGGGCGGTCTCTTCACCAGCAAGTCGACGATGATGGCCAATTTTGAACAATGGATCAAAATGGCTACAGACAACAAGATCAACTCCAGAAACAGCTGGAACTTCGCACTTATAGACTATTTCCATGATTTGAATGTTCTGAAGGACTCGGAGGACAATATAAACTTCCAGAAAGCGTCTGCGACACTGGACGGCTGCGTGAAGATCTACTCCTCTAGGGTAGATTCTGTTGCCAATGAAACAGGCATCTTGCTAAGCGGATTGGCACAAAGGAAAAACCAGACCGGAGCATTGGATGCAGAAAATGGGTCTGGAGATAACGTTGATCAAGAAAACCAAGATGCCGAGGGAGCAGTCACGATTGACCCTTCAACCGGGTTGCCGGTCTCTAACGAAGTTGAGCCAGCAGGCACAAGGCGTAATTATAATCGAGTTTTGGAAACGACTCTGGTCGACTTCGAAACACTGCGAATGCGTGAGCTGGATCAAGAGCTGACGATAGACCCGTTATTCAAGAAAGCGCTGGCGGATTTTGATGAGGGCGGGGCTAAAAGTCTGCTCATAAACACACTGCATATAGACAGCACTGGTCGAATTGTGTTTGATGCCACGACTAGTCAAGACTACGAGGGGGACCTTGGAGCTTCACAAGCAGACTCTACCCAAACACCCGAAGCTGCAACTGAAAAAGAGGATCAAGACGAAATAATGGATGAAACAAATGATCGATCCTTATTGCAAGAAAAGACCCCGGAACCGCACGAGTCACCACCGGCTAATGCTGATACATCTATGGTCAATCAAAGCATCGACGTTGAAGACGAGATTCTAGCGCTCGGCATGGATTTTATAGATTTCAAGCTTATAAACGAGGCAGAAATATGCCCGTCAATGCAGAGGCTGAAAGATGTGGTTACCGATGTGCAGAAGGCCAAATCGTTCATTGAAGATGTCAACCACAGAGCAGACAACTTCTTGACGGAGCAAGATTTGCAAGAAGCCATGCCTGAAATGGATGGTGACGGTGAGGATTTTGACCTTCCTCCTGATGGCGATTTTGAGATGAGCGGTGGTCTTTATGAAGGTGCTGCTGATGGTGACGGTGATGACGACGGTGAAGGTAACGGGGAAATTGGAGATGGTGCTAATGATTTATCGACGATCACTAACAAGGAAAGTCTAATCGAAGACGCTGTTACTAGCGTCATGGACCGCGATGTCATGGCATATTTTGATGAGACCCTTAGAAAAAGCTGGCGTGGCCGTGAGCATTGGAAGATTAGAAACTTCAAGGATAGGTTGGGGGCAAACACAGGCGGTGAAGTGGGAACGAAGGATAATGAAACAATTGAAAAGGAGAAAGAAGCGGCCAAGTCTAAGAAAGCGGCCAAAACCAAGTTGTCTATTGACTTCTTCAATTTTGACCATACAGTTGAGGAGAGAATCTTTGAAAAGAAGAAAGCCAGTATTGAAATGTCACAAAAATCTCGTACAAACCCGGGACATTATCTGTTACCTGACGATTATCATTTTTCAACTCAGAAGATTACACGACTGTTTCTGAAGCCCTCGCAACAAATGAGTTTTTTTTCACATCGCAAGCCACTTTCTAGTGGCCAAAGCGTTAGCGGGACCCTTCAAATTGATGACACAGACTTGAATGGAAATAGCGGAATTGCCGAATTAGCAGACCAAAACTTTTGGGCGAAGAATTATCAGTTACAAGACCAAGACGAGAAAACGAGCGCTGCTGATGAAAAGGACCTTGGTGGTGATATCAATGATGGTCTGCCGAACCCATTCGATGACAACGATGATGGCGGCATCGATTTCAACCAGGCTTTCGGAAATGACAGTTTAGGAGATGCAGATGGCGGCTCTTTGGATCCTCCCGCTAGTGGTTCAGCCGGCCTGACACAGCCTCTTGGGAGACCAGATGGTAAGGTCAATTATTCTAGAGTTTCGAAAAAAGTGGATATCAAGAAATTGAAAGACAACATATGGACATCTATCACCGGAGCCCTAGATGCTTCCAAAGATGGGGGAAAACAAAAGTCTCAACATGATCAGGAAATGAGCGAGAATTCACCTAACGGCGAAGCTCCAATTGAAGAATCGGAAATCCCGGAAACTGAGGACACTGAGAACGTGAGTCCGTTCACCAGCTTGAAATTCTCAGATATCACCGAACGCATCAGTGCCATGTACAGTGGGGACAGAAGAAAAGACTTGTCTACGAGTTTCTGTTTTATTTGCCTGCTTCATCTGGCTAACGAGCATGGATTTTCTGTAGACCCAACTGACAAATTCGATGACTTGGCGATCAAAATTCAGACTAGTCTCGCCTCGGCGGAATCTTGATGGAAAACGTGTGTTGCGACAAAAAATCTCGTTACCAAGACATAATCAAAGAAGCAGAGAAGCAGAGCCTCAACATTTCACAATCTATTGGGCATGAAATAATTCAACGACACCAGAGAATCCAACATGAATAACTAGTGTCCGACCCACGTTAAAATGCACAGAATGATTGAAAAACCCCGCCTAACTCACCGCGATTCTCCCAAATGGGTTTCCGTTCACATTTGAACTTTTGCTGGATATCCTGACTCTTTTCCAGTTGGTTGAAGATACACTGTCATAGCATAGCATCTGTCGCACCATCTGTCGCTAACTGGACTATAGTTTATATCTCGTGACGTCTGTCTCTGCCGTTCGACGTGACTTATAATTAATTGAAAATTTGCCACCTCGAAATCAAAAGTGAGATGATAAACCTCGTCAGCATGACAAAATCAAAGGTTTATTCCGAGCTCCAGGGCACCAAATAATGAGCTTATCGAGGGCTGGAATACGCTCACTGCTAGTGGGTGGAATGGCACTCAGGCCTCTGGCAAGCCGGGTGCCAATACTGGCTCTGAACGCCAGAAAAACGTGGTATCAAAAAAATCTGTATTCAACGACACCCGAGTCGAATAAGGGCCTGAATGCGGGTTCAGGAGCTTTTCCAGAAGGAACGGGAAGCTCTGGTGAAAGCGAGCGAGCTTCTCATGGACTTTTGGCCCAAAAAGAACAGCTTGCAAACAAAGAACTAGGCAACGCGTTGGCACAGGCAGATTTTTACAAACTGCTCTTGAAATCAGATTATCCCCAATATGTGGTTTCTAGATTCGAGACACCAGGAATCGCCTCTTCTCCGGAATGCATGTCTCTGTATATGGAGGCGCTGCAAAAAACAGGCCGTAACGCAGACGCTGAAGGCGTTAGGCAAAGCTTAGCTGGGGCAACAGCCGGAGCACAGGGCGCTGCCGGATTTCCTCCGGGAATAGATGGTGCAAAACAGTTTTCTGCGGGATCCTTCGGCCAGGGTGCTTACAACCCTTTCATGGGGTCGAAAAAAGAACCATTGCATGTAGTTGTCACGGAATCCGCTTTTACCATTATCTCAAGATGGGTAAAATGGCTGGTAGTTTTCGGGCTGGTCACTTACGGCCTGTCAGAAGGATTCAAATATATCAGTGAGAACACCACGCTGTTAAAATCTTCCGAGGTTGCAGACAAATCCGTGGACGTGGCCAAGACTAATGTTAAGTTTGATGACGTGAGGGGCTGTGAAGAGGCCCGTGCAGAACTGGAAGAAATCGTGGACTTTCTGAAGGATCCTGCCAAATATGAATCATTGGGAGGAAAGCTTCCCAAAGGTGTTTTGTTGACAGGTCCTCCGGGTACCGGTAAGACTCTACTGGCCAGGGCAACGGCCGGAGAAGCTGGTGTAGACTTCTTTTTCATGTCAGGCTCTGAATTCGACGAGGTTTATGTCGGTGTTGGTGCAAAACGTATTCGTGAGCTTTTCTCCCAAGCCAGAAGTCGTGCACCGGCCATCGTTTTTATTGATGAACTTGATGCTATTGGTGGAAAGCGTAACCCAAAAGATCAGGCCTATGCTAAGCAAACGCTGAACCAGTTATTAGTTGAACTAGACGGTTTCTCACAAAGTAGCGGTATCATTATCATTGGCGCTACCAATTTCCCTGAGTCACTGGACAAAGCTTTGACAAGACCTGGTCGTTTTGACAAAGTGGTAAATGTTGACTTGCCTGACGTTCGTGGCCGTGCAGATATTTTGAAGCATCACATGAAAAAAGTCACATTGGCCTCTGATGTTGACCCTTCCATCATTGCCAGGGGTACGCCTGGTCTTTCGGGTGCCGAACTAATGAACTTGGTGAATCAAGCTGCCGTGTATGCGTGCCAGCAAAACGCAATATCTGTTGATATGAAACACTTTGAATGGGCAAAAGACAAAATACTTATGGGTGCAGAAAGGAAAACAATGGTGTTGACTGAGGCTTCTAGAAGAGCTACCGCTTTTCACGAAGCTGGGCATGCTATCATGGCATTGTACACACCAGGCGCTACTCCTTTGTACAAGGCTACAATTTTACCCAGAGGCAGAGCCTTGGGTATAACATTCCAGTTGCCAGAAATGGACAAAGTGGACATTACGAAAAAAGAGTGTCTGGCTAGACTTGACGTATGCATGGGCGGGAAAATTGCCGAAGAAATCGTTTACGGAAAGGAAAACACAACTAGTGGATGTGGATCTGATCTTCAAAGTGCCACTAATACCGCTAGGGCCATGATAACACAGTACGGCATGAGCGACAGTGTTGGTCCTGTTAACTTGGCTGATAACTGGGAAAGCTGGTCCGGCAAAATTCGTGACATAGCAGATAACGAAGTTATTGAAGTGCTGAAAGCTTCTGAGGAGAGATCGAGAAAAATGCTCTCTGACAAAAATAAAGAATTGGAGCGCCTGGCGGAAGGGTTAATGGAGTACGAGACTCTAGATTCATCCGAAATCAAGTTAATATGCAAAGGAGAATCGCTTTCCAAGGCCAAGATGAAAACGAACACCGTCGTAGAGGGACCCGACAGTGATGACAGGAAGGAAAAGGGCGACAAGTCCAAGGTCCCGGTTTTGATCAAGGCTTGAACAACGCCTAAGCTTGGGCTCAAATACACATCCCTTGCCTTTTACTCATGACAGGCTAAACAATTTGAACTGTCCATATACTCTGCATAATGTGGGTTTAAGTGATGTTTTTAAACCCTCAACGAGGACAAAATACCTTTATAGTTCAAGAGCATTTTGTACATAGAGAAAAATTGAACGAACAACAATGATGACCTATATTTTCTAGGTCTAACCGACCCTGAAGCTGTTCAGAACATGCTCTTATTCAGCTTTTCTGTCTTTTCGCATCGAGCTCATTAGGTGGGGGAGTGCTAGCTAAACTGCTGTTTTCCCTCTGCCTCTTTAATCTATCAATGACGGCCATAGGGTTCTGACAGTAGTGTATCTTAGCAGTGATTTTGACGGCATCATCCTTAGCTGGTATAATTTTAGAGCTGATGACCGACTTACAATTTTTTACTACCTCAAGAAGTTTGGAAGCGTTTATGCCATTCGCTAGCTGTTGTTCAGAACTTTGTGAAGGTTGTCCAGCGGAGGCATCGCCGTCTTGCTGTAGACCGAACTTGAGCTGCATATAACGCATCATTAGCGCCTCGTCCTCCATCAAAAGAATTGCCAGTGTAATCTGTGGAGGCGTAAAGAAATAAACGGCATCTGTAAGTAAAGCATCTGATATGCTTTTCTTGCAATTGGTGTAAACTTGACCCATATATTGCATGTCAACTCTGCCCGACAACACATTTTGAATATCCAAAAAAAATCCGTGTAATGCCTTGTAAGGGTGATGGTTCATTAAAGTAAAATTGAGGCTCTCCAGGAGCTTGAATTCATGTTTTAGAACGGCCTCTGTTGTGGTTTTAGCCTTTTTAGCGAATGAGTCCACACCGATGAAGTAGTTTTCAGTTTTGCATGCAAAAAAAAGTGTCGTATGAAAGACCTCTTTCGGTGGCAGATCCATTACTGAATTTGACAAGAAAAATCTTCGGAAGAATGCAACGGCAGTTGCAGCTACTTCTGTCGGCAGGTTCATTTTTCCTGCAAAAGAGATGATCATGCGTGCAAAGTAATTGACGAGCAAAAGCTCCTCGTGAGTAGTCACCGGGACAGCTTTGGACGCCACGGCCTCTTCTTCTTCCCGAGACAAATCCGGATGAGACTCAAAAAAGTGTTTCAGCGTTTCTTCTACCCTGGCACTTGCGCTGGCGTTCACTTCAGTTCTGATTTGGTCTAATCTTTCAGGCGTGAAAGACCAGTTTCTGTACTGCGTTGAATGCCGATAAAGATCATCATCGGTGATTCTTGATTTGGAAAGAACAGCATTGTTGTCAGTAGGTTGTTCTTCCTTGACCATGGTGGTCATTTATCTGAGATGAACTGCTTATTGGTAGTGTGTTTGGGTTAAAAGGACCAAAAAACGAGGTGCTGCGATGTTTTTGGGCTGAAATTGTAGATCTTGGATGGTTTCAGCAGGATTGAACTGTACACAAGCCAATCTAGTGAATATGACGACTGATTTTGATTCAAGTCTTGATTTGCTCATCTCATCTGAACTTTTCAATGTCGATCTTGAATTTTGAAGATCAATAATTATATCTTGATCAAGCGTCTGCCAGCTAGTTGTTTATCGATCGAGCGAGTAGAGGATCGAGTAAAGACGCGAGTAGAGACGCGGGTATAGAGGCGAAAAGAGGAACGAGAAGATAAGTGAGTAGAGAAGTGAGTAGAGAAACGAGTAGTTGTCCCTTCATCGAGATTGTTCTCAAATCGAGATTTATACACGATGTCACAATGTAGATCGATAGTCTGGATTGTAGAATCTCTATTTCTTCAGTATATACTTAGAATTTTAAGTTTGGGGTCACTCATCCAATCGTAAAAGTCATATGCTTTGTGTAATTCGCAGTTGGTCGGTGGTGATAGTAAAAGTAGTAGTAGTCAATAGCCTGGATGAATCTGCTGCTGTTTCAATCAGTAAAGTCATTTGGATTTTCCCATTCTGCTACGTTAGCCATTTGGAATTCCATGCAAAATGCCAATCAATGACATATACGCTTAGAAAGTGGCAACGAAGGATTCGGTGGCAGACTTCAAAGAAGCCAACAATTCCTTGGACAATTCACCCTTTTCTCTGATGGCAGAGACAATGTCTTCGTGGTTGGACTTCAAGTAAGGCAAGAATGTGTTTTCGAACTCAGCGATTCTGTTCAATTCGATGTTGTCCAAGTAACCGTTAACACCGGCGTAAATCAATGGCACTTGCTCTTCAGCGGCCATAGGAGCGAATTGGCTCTGCTTCAAGATTTGGGTCAATCTTTCACCTCTAGCCAAAGTCTGCTTGGTGGAAGCGTCCAAATCGGAACCGAATTGGGCGAAAGCGGCGACTTCTCTGTATTGGGCCAAGAAAAGCTTCAAAGAACCGGCAACTTGTTTCATGGCCTTGACCTGGGCAGCGGAACCGACACGGGACACGGACAAACCAACGTTAATAGCTGGTCTGATACCCTTGTAGAACAATTCAGCTTCCAAGAAAATTTGACCGTCAGTAATAGAAATAACGTTGGTTGGAATGTAAGCGGAAACATCACCACCTTGGGTTTCAATGACAGGCAAAGCAGTCAAAGAACCAGCTCCGTTCTTCTCGGACAACTTGGCGGCTCTCTCCAACAATCTGGAGTGCAAGTAGAAAACATCACCTGGGTAAGCTTCACGACCAGGAGGACGTCTTAGCAACAACGAAAGTTGACGGTAAGCAACAGCTTGCTTGGACAAATCATCAAACACGATCAAGGCGTGTCTACCGTTGTCTCTGAACCATTCACCAATGGCAGCAGCGGTGAAAGGAGCAATGTATTGCAAAGGAGCGGCTTCGGAGGCGGTGGCGGCGACGATGACGGAGTATTTCAAGGCATCGTGTTGTTCCAAAGTCTGCACTAGCTGGGCAACAGTGGATCTCTTTTGGCCCACAGCAACGTAGACACAGTATAGTTTCTTGGACTCGTCAGAGCCGTTGTTCCATCTCTTTTGGTTCAAGATGGTGTCGATGGCGACGGCGGTCTTACCGGTTTGACGATCACCGATGATCAGTTCTCTTTGACCTCTTCCGATAGGAACCAAAGAGTCAACGGATTTTAGACCGGTTTGCACTGGTTCGTGCACAGATCTTCTTGGCAAGATACCTGGGGCCTTGACCTGGGCACGGGAACGGCCGGCAGCCTTGATAGGTCCCTTACCATCGATTGGAGCACCCAAAGCGTCGACAACACGACCCAACATGGCTGGACCCACTGGAACGTCCACAATCTGGCCTGTACGCTTCACCACCTCACCTTCCTTGATCAAACGGTCAGAACCGAACAACACGATACCCACTTGGCCTGGTTCCAAGTTCAGAGCCATACCTTTGACACCGGACGAGAATTCCACCAATTCTTCGGCCTGAACGTTGTTTAGACCAAAAACACGGGCAATACCGTCACCCACCGACAAAACACGACCGGTTTCGTTCAAGTTGGTCTCTTCTGACACACCACGGATACGCTCTTCCAAGATTGACGACACTTCTGTGGGCTGAGCCTTGGCCGAAGCACAACGTCTCGATCCAGCGATCATGGTGGCCGCAACTGGTCTCATTGTACGGGCCACACCAACTCTGGCAATGGTTCTTGCCGCATTACGCACAACAGAGTAACGGGACAACATTTTTTGGTAGTATAAGTTCCTGTCTTTTCTTTCAGAATCCTGATTCTCAAAAACTCTAAGGGCTAGGCTGGGCTAGGCAAAAGGTATAACGACCAAGCAAAAAAAATCGATTGGGATTGGGAATATATAAGAAAGTAAAATTCAGAATTTTAACCACAATCAAGCACAACCAATTGGAATTGGGATTTAGGATGATGATAGTGTTATAAGTTCCGAAGAATTAGGTCGTGAGAACGGAGAAATTGAACCTATTTTGGCCTTGATTTCTTGAAACTCTGTGAAACGTTTAGTTGTTAAAGTTTGCAAGATTGAGCTTAAAGGTTAGTTTTTTTTTCCACCCGGTGATGGTAGGTGGATTCGAAAATTTCTTTCAAAATGGGTTTAAGTATGGTATAGCCAATCAGAATTGAGATTCCGGGTTCGTGTGCGGGTAATAGAGGAATGAATCTGGTCGCGTGATCTGGAAACGACGTGATTGGCTGTGGGGAGTTGAGCACGTGACTGGTGACAGTGACAGAATAATGGTAAAGAGAGAGAGAGAGAGAGAGAGAGATAGGAGGGAAAAAGAAGACTTTAAGATGTTGGTAATTGAAAGCTAATGTTTTCGAACTTTTAAGAAAAAAATTGAATAATTGAGTTATTCAGTGAGTGAAAAAATTTGTGGAGGTTTTGTCCCTTGTCGAGCCTCGTAAATCGGGATTTTTCTTCTTAAATGGTTTCCTGGACTGATTCCATTTGAAACTAGCTGGGAAAAAACTTCGTCCCAAGCATGCCGAATTGTGCATCTCAAAATGCTGTTCCTGGGGCGTAAACGTCAGATTCGTGGACAGTGATCTTGGTCACGTGATCAACTCAATAAAAAATCAACAAATCAGCTTGTTCATGCGGATACAAGAAATCTTTCTTTCTGTCTAGAGAGAATTCAAATGCGAATAAACTAGAGAAAATTCCCTCGTTTGCGTATAGAGTATTGTCTTGCAATGATGACGATAGATCCAAAGCCAGATGTGCGTTTTCGTAGTACATGACAGGTTTTTAGAATGGGTATCACCCAATTTTAACCGGGTGTCAGAATTCAAGAAACAAAATTAAGTCTCTGGAATTGCCATTTACAACGCAAAATTCAGGTATGTCGACCACCTAGCCACCTGGCAACCCTATCCATTCTGCATTTTATCAAACTCTCTGTGGTATAGTACATCACGTGATCTAAAATCCTTTGATCACAGAAGTCCTAAACGGAGGAACACGGGTCACCAAAATAGGACCTCTCCTTTTGAAGTACAAGCCTGTTTTCATATCCAGGATTCGTCTGCTGGATGAACCACTGTAGAGTTGGGCTCACCCATAGCTTTATAACGTAAATCTTGACTGTCAATCCCAAAAAAAAACCGTTGTGACATCTATCACGTGACTATCTGCAATGAACATTTTATATTTCTAGCCCCAACAGTTGTCTTTTTACAGTCTTATTTCATGCAAAATTTCAATGGAAATGCTCAATGACGATGGCATGTCTTGTTTAGAAAAAATTTGTTTACTGGTTTAAATTTATGTTTTCGGATCATAACATGACTTCTGGAGCTGAAGCCTACGACACGAACTTCAAAAACACTCCATCCATGACAAATTGCCTGAGGCGTATTCTACAAAATTATCCAATCTCCTTCACAGTTATCACCGACCAAGCTGCTTTGTTGTGCTAACGTCATTTTCATGAGTATCCGCATCAGGAACTAGCTCATTGGGTATTAGGTCAAGATAGATCACTTTGTCCTGGCTAGTCACGTATGACAAGCTCGTATCAAATGACACGCATACCCACAACATTCCTCACCAAACTCGCACACGCTCTCGTTTCTTGGCACAGTCCATTAAAGTGGTCTGCTATTTTCGCACCAATTTACAGGCCCCACTGTGTCTTCTTTTTGCAATTTAGACTCATTTCCTCGAAGCTTTGCGACGTGCTGCCAATATAACCGGTCATCCTACATAATTAAAGACTTTTCTGCTAAAACCAATCTCTATAGAAAATGGCCAACAATCCACAATGCGCGGAGACAAATTTCCACAGCACTTTCTTGTAGATCTTCAAAAACATTGAAGAATTTCAGTTGAAAAACACAATCACTTCACGTCGATTCCCGCCACGTTATAGGATTCTTTCACATTAATTACACGCTTTCCACATAAATACTGGAGCATAAAGTTATTGACTAGGCATCCGCCGAGGGAAAGCCACCTATCGTTCTAAATCTCGAATACGATTCGTCGCTATTACTCTTGGATGTGGTAACTCAGAACGACGACATTAATTGATGTTCTATGCATAAGAGAACTAAATCTATATTTTATTAAATGACAATATATATATATATAAATTAAGATTTACACACTACAAAATACTACAAACTAGTCACTCATCGCCTTCAACTCATCTCCCTAAGCGGTTTTCTAGATCTACATAACCGTTTGTTTGTATATAAAGCAAATCACTGCGAAATTTGGCAACTAGGGCTGCCAGAGTCGTCCTCTCACCTTTCTAGACTGAGATCGTCTTTTCATCGACTTAAGTTCAGATTTGGTCACGGTACAACGCTGAGCCACCCATTATATCTATTGTATCTAAACTTTGATAGCCTACATCTGACCAGTGACTGACCAGTGACTGACCACTGCTACCAGCGTCTCATTCGATACCGAGCCATGTCCAAGGAACCTGGTAGACCCCGTAAGGGATGCATGATGGGCATTCTACTTCTGGTGAGCTTGGTGGGCAGTTGGCTGTTGTTGCGGGAAGTGCCGAAAGCCGGTCGTATTCCCTGTCGCGTGTTTCGTAGTCGAAGAAAGTTCCACGATGATCGCCTGGAGCGCAGAAGACGGAGTTCAGAAAACCTTTACGAATTGCTGAGTGATTCTCAAGACACGTACTACGACGAAGATACGTGGACAGTGGGAACCACCTTTTTTTCAGAAAATACATATTCCCGACAGCCCTACGTCGCCAACGGATACATAGGCAGTCGTATACCCAACGTGGGGTTCGGCTTTGCTCCGGACACCTTCAACATTTGGATCCCCGATCGCTTAGTGCCCGGGGCCCTGAACAACGGCTGGCCATTAAGAAACAGACGGTTTGCTGGTGCATTTGTCTCGGACTTTTACGCCTTAGAGCCCGAACTCAATTCCACAAATTTCCCGGAGTTGGACAAAAATGGGTATTCTACCGCTCTGGCTGCCATCCCACAATGGACGGATCTAAGCTTCTCTATAAGAGACAACAGTGCTCGTTTTGACGCCCAAAGCGTGCACGCAGATCAGGTCTCTAATTACCGACAAAACCTCTCCATGCTTACGGGTGAAGTAACGACGGAGCTAGACTGGCTCAGTACAATACATGTCAAGTCCACAATTTTCGCCCACCGAATGCTTCATCCACTTGGAATTGTGCAGTTAGAGCTTTCTTTGATCCCCGACAATCCTGGAAGAAGCCAGCAGATGGACTTACAATTGTTCGACGTTCTAAACCATTCCACATCGCAAAGAACATACCTGAGAGATCTGGGGTATGACTCTGATGGAATTTACATGATAGTTGAACCAGATAACGTCCCCTACTCATCGGCGGCCATGTATTCGTCTCTGCAAGTGTCATCTCATGAGTCGAATTTGGACGGGGTGGTGTACCAAGTAACTAACACATCTGTCACAAATAAGCGCTTTTTGCAGCTTACCTCTGAAAATCCGTCGGTAACAATCACCAAGTATGTGGGAATAATGTCGTCAGAATATGACCGTTACGATAAAACGGTATCGAATTTGGATACTGCAAAGGACTTGGTCCATCAATATTTTGGACGTTACGATGATTTGACTAAATGGCACCATGATGCCTGGGTTCAGATCTACGCAAACGCCACGATAGAAATACCATCAGACAGCTTACTTGAGTTATCGGCTAGGTCATCAGTGTTCCATTTGTTGAGCAATACCCGGAAATTCAATGTGTCTCAAGATCGAGGATTGCCTGTACCAGCATCTGGCATCAGTTCAGATTCTTACGCTGGCTTAGTATTCTGGGATGCTGATCTTTGGATTATGCCTGCGCTTCTTCCATTCTTTCCGGAAATTGCCCGACATATGGTAACTTACCGGATGTCAATGCATGATCAAGCTAGGATTAATGCACGCGATAATGGATATCCAGGAGCTATTTATCCTTGGACGACTGGACGTTTTGCGAATTGCACTTCCACGGGTCCTTGCGTTGACTACGAATACCATATTAACATCGATATTGCCATGGCATCATTTCTCATTTACCTGAATGGTGCCAGCGGCGTAGATGACGAATATTTAAGGAATACCACCTGGCCTTTGGTAAGAGATGCGGCCACTTTCTTCACTGCATACGTGCAATACAATCCAGAGCTGGATGCTTACGAGACGCACAACATGACGGACCCTGATGAGTATGCTAACTTTGTCGACAATGGGGCATTCACTAATGCTGGGATCAAAACTTTGCTGAAATGGGCAACGGACATCGGCAATCATTTGAAAGAAGACGTCGATCCCAAATGGAAGGAAGTTCAAAAAAAGGTGTTGATTCCAATTGCAGATTCGGACATAACATTGGAATATTCGAACATGAATTCTTCTGTCGAAATCAAACAAGCTGACGTTGTGCTGATGACGTACCCACTCGGTTATATCACGGATGAAACCATTTTGAATAATGCAATCAAGAACTTGTATTACTATTCGGAGCGTCAGTCGGCATCAGGGCCCGCAATGACATACCCCGTTTTCGTGGCAGCAGCAGCTGGACTGCTCAACCATGGCTGCTCCTCTCAAAGTTATTTGTACAAGTCAGTGTTGCCCTATGTGAGAGCGCCATTTGTTCAATTCAGTGAACAGAGTGACGACAACTTTTTAACGAATGGTTTAACGCAACCTGCTTTTCCATTTCTCACGGGAAATGGAGGCTATCTACAGAGTATTCTGTTCGGATTGACAGGACTACGTTATTCATATGAGACTGATCCGACTACCGGTCGAATGACAAGATTTTTGAAGTTCAACCCAACAAGGCTTCCTCTTCTTCCAGGCGGCATAAAAATCACAGATTTCAAGTACATGGGACAAGTGTTCGACGTTGTATTGGGGGACGAAAATGCTACGATTACGCACAAATGCGGCGATCAACCGATAAAAATAAAAGTGCTGGATCGAAATGTCATTCACGACAGGCTTGTTGTGAGCCCTGAGGCTTCCAGAAAACGAACACATACTAGATTGCCTGTAACTCATGTTACTTTGGAGCCAGGTCACAATATTTCCATCAAAATGTTTAACCCACTTTTGAATATCGATAACAATCTCGCAGAAGGAAAGCAAGTGACAAACTTCACCACCGGGGTGCCAGGCGATGTCATTTATTCCGTCATCGATGGTAACAATTTTACGCATTGGCAACCGCTTCGGAAAAGTGAGAACGCCAGAATTTTGATTGATCTTGGCGTGGACAACAAGCACACATTAACAGGCGGCAGCATTTTGTGGGGAAAACGGCCTGCCCAAAACATTTCCGTTTCTGTATTACCGTACGCTGGAGATATAGAAGAGGCGCTTTGCAATGCCTCCTCGATTATCAGGACCTCGGGACCCGACACAGAAACTGAAATCATGGGCATATCAGGCCCCGCGCGGGACGTGAAATTGAAACTAAGAGAGACGAAAGAGACCATTTTCGACATCACAGAGGCCGAAGAGGACTACCGCTGGGAACTGTTCCGGTCACAGCGTCTCGACATCGCAAAACTTTCGAAAATGTCGCCGGACTCAACGCTTTTGAAAAGCAAGTTTGTGACGATTCTGCGTAATCTAAGAGTGGAGCCGTCGCTGCCCTATACGCACGACGACGCGTATGAAGATCGAATCGAGATTCCACGTTCCAACATCACGAATTTCGACTTCAACTACGAAAATTGCACCATTACGAACGGTCACGGTTGGCCACCCTCTCGATTTGTCGTTTTCAGTGTGCATGGCACTTACGATCAAGACGATGATCCTAAAGGTGCCACGATCAAGGAAATTGCACTATATTGATCGAAGTCAAAGAACAGAAAACGGGAAACAGAAAACAGGCATTCCCTGCATAAACCCACTACATCTACACATCAACCAATGTACGCTACACACTGCATAGAGTACAACATAAAGTATAACTACCCTTAGGTGTTCTTACCATGTAGCCAAAAAAATTAAAAGTTGCGAATTCTGTGGATCGAACACAGGACCTTCAGATATCAAATTCGACCGAAGTTTTTCTTCAGTCTGGCGCTCTCCCAACTGAGCTAAATCCGCTAATTTCTTGAACAGTTGAAAAAATTGTCAGCCCATATGGTTTTTTTACGTCACGTTTTTGAATATTTTTGCTTTAAGCTCCGAATAGCTGGAAAAAAGGTATAAAATAGACCAAGGGATCAACAACTTCAAACTTCACCCGTAGTAGCCATTGAAACCAGTTTTAGTATATTCATACAATAAATTTGAATTGTTTAAAATGGGTGACTACGTTAAAGTTTTCCAAGACGAATTGAAAACTTTGGACCAAGTACGTTAGACATCTTATGCGAGAATTCTTGATTTTTCAAATCCACACTACATTCCTCTGATATAAGTTTACTAACTTTTGAAGTAGAAATTTGCCGGAAACGGTCTGCTGCAACAATTTGAGGCAAAAACCAAATTGCCAAAATCTTATGGTGTTTTGGGCGCTGCATCCTTGTATTTGTTGCTAATTTTCATCAATGTTGGTGGAATCGGTGAGATTTTGTCGAATTTCGTGGGATTCGTGGTCCCAGCGTATTATTCGCTAATCGCACTCAGAACGACTGCGTCGGCAGATGACACGGAACTGCTTACCTACTGGGTGGTATTTGCGTTTTTGAACGTGATTGAGTTCTGGTCGAAGGCCATTCTCTACTGGATTCCATTCTACTGGTTCCTCAAGACCCTATTGTTGGTGTACTTGGCTTTGCCCCAAACCAACGGTGCCAAATACGTTTACAAGACGATTTTGGAACCAGTCTCCCAAAAGTACATTAAAACACCTCACTCTGCCAAGACCGGTGACATCGGCTCCAAAATGGAAAACTTGACGTCTCACGGCAAGACTTCTGGTTTTGAATCTCATCAGATTTGAGCTTCAAACATTACTAGACGACTCACGACTTATCTTATCGCCTCCACCAAAAGTCTCTCAGATCATTCCTCAAGGGTCCGTTCTTTGAAGCTTGATGGGACGAAGAACGTATTATTTTCGTATCTACTATAAGTTTTTGTTTAACATTCTTTTTACAAACTCTGATCAAACTTGTGGTCAAACTGTTCGGTGACAGTACCGGATGATCCCTCGTACACTAGCTTTATCCTCAATTTGAGTTTCCCTGATCCACTCACTTTGATGTCTTGTTGACAAACCTGGCCTGCGCTGATCGAGGCGCTGGACAAATGACCCATTGTAAGTTTTTGCGTCTTCGAAACTGCAGCCAAGATCTGCAAATTCTTGATTTCAGCGTGTCCTTCGATATATAGTTCCAATCGCGCTTCCGCAGGTACCACGTTAACGGTTCTGAAAAATACCTGTATTTCGTTCGACTGGTAAGTTTGAATGGCATCTTCGGGGACACTAATGCGGGCGGCAGAACTCGATGACGTTTTGCTATCAGCAGTAGCACCTTCTTGCGGCATATTGCCAAAAATATCAAGCAAGGCTTGAGAATCGTTTTTATCTGTAGTGCCAGACGTGCCTTCCAAAAGATCCAGCAGAACATTTTGACTCTCTGGTTTGGATTTCGGCTTCTCGCTCTGAGAAACGTTACCATTCTTCGAGCTTTTTTCGAAAAGCGGCATTGCCCCCAATATATCATGTCTTTGACTGGCCGGTTGATTTAAAATTACGGAGTATTGAACACTTTTGGATTGCAGTAATAGATTCGTGTCCTTGGTGTGTCCCTCTATCAACTGACGTAAGTCCTCGATGCAAGACGAATTCTGGATCTTCGATGACAATTTCAAAGCAGCGGTTAAGATGTAACTGATAAGCTTGGTATTTGCAGAATATATCCCATTGAGCAGACCCAAAAAGTTTGTCAACTCTGTATCAAGGAACATATTCTTCTGCAGCAAAACGTCTCCGTATTCACCTATGCACCATACGCTCAGAAGCCTCCATCCCAAGTTCTCACCGTCTAGAGCTTCATTCCGCTTGCCCAAAGAAAGTTCTATCATCTCTTTGATGAGTTGCATTTTTTGACCCAAAACTTGAGAGTTATTGATCATCACCATAACATCGCTCACTTTTTCGAAGGAAATGTGTTGACCGACAATCTTAACAATTTCAACCATTATCTCAATTGCCCAGAGATCACCTTCAAGTGCATATAGATCGAATTTATTGATAAGCTGATCAACAATGTTGATAATGAGATCCCTATCCTGCTCTCCCGATAGCTTTAGGAAAGCAACAAGCTCGTTGACAACTTCTTTCAAGTTCGACTCGTTCAGTATAGCAAAACTGAGATCTACTGCTCTAATCCGAATTGAGATGTCGGGATCGAACAAGCATCTTGAAATAAATTTTCGATGCTTTTGAACTGCCATCGGCTCTTGAGGAACAACTTGAAGTAATGTGTTAAGGGCAACATACTTGGTGTTGTTATCTTTTCCTGACAGGAATTTAGCAAGCACATTCACGCCGAGGACTATTAATGAAGGGTCGAGCTGAAGCGCAAAAATTGTGCGGACGCACTCGTAGAGCACTGCGTGTGCTGAATTTTTAGAGCCATCGGAATTTGTGGCAATTTTGGTGAGCATGTCGCTCAATTTATTCTTGTACTGGGCGGTTTCTTGAGGCGCATTTTCGAACAACAAACGTAGTGTGTAGAGGAGCTCGACTTGCAAAAAGGGATCGCATGTTCCACTAACGTCATACTCGGGACTGAAACTGGTAGAATTTATGTCTTGAAGAACTGAGAACAGCTGTGGGATTTGGTCCACAATGGATAGTAAGATCTCAGGATAGTTGTCGTATTCGTAGTCCGATCGGCAGAGAACCGCAGCCTGACAAAGCTTAGCCACACCCAACAGGGTCCCATGAGTGCTTAGCTGGGACGATCTCAAAATTGTCCCCACATAGGGAAAGAAAATTTCCAATAAAGTGACGTCTCTCTCGACAAGTTTAGCAGCACATTGTAGCGCTTTTTTCACCAAAAATTCGTCCGAGGAACGTGCCAAAATGTTTTCAACGTCAGGATACAGATCGCGAGCGAGTTCTGGCGATGTGAGCGATCCCAGTGTTGATAGAGCCATGGAAACCACGTATCGATTCGGATTGTTGAGATCGTTGTTCAGCATGTTTGTAAGCAGCGTCAAGATCTCTTGATGTTCGTCCAGCAATATCATTGCAGCCAAATAGCCAAGCCTTTTGTTACGGAAATCATCCGAAGCGATGAGATTGATGCATTCAACTTGAGCAAAGTGCGTTTTCTCACCTAAAATGTGTAAATACAGAAGCTTGTGGATATTCTTCCTTTTTTTGTCTGATGCTAAGTGGTCGTCTTTGAGTTTGGTACGGATTCTTGCCGATTCTTTCGTTACAATTGCCCTTTCTTCCGCCAAAGTTTTGGCCGCTCGAACATCCTTGATGAAAGTTCGAAGAGATCCCATTTTAGACGATATAAAATGGACTCTAGAAGGATCGAAACAAGGTTCAGTGTTCTCTTTTTATTGTAGCTTTTGATAGGATCGAAGCTAGCTGTAATTGAAATTGGAAATTTAACACATCTTTAAATAGGAATAACAGTTACTAGACGAAAAGTCGACTAAAGAATCAAGCTAATTGTTGATTGAAAGAATGACATAGCTGTCTCGATAAATTTGACTACCAATGGCTGCACTCAGCTTTGATTGCGCGCTTAACGATGCTATAATGCTTATCTTTTGCGATTCTAAGACCTTCTGTAGCGTGAAAGAAGGGTTTTTGACAATACCGAACTACAAATGTGCTTTTTCATGTTAAAAGACTTACAGGATGTATGTGAAAATATGAAAGGCCTTTAAGCTTCTTTCCTGCTGTGTGTCTTGCAACGGACTTGTTTTGGTGTTTCAATAGTCATTCCCCAGCTAAGTTGATCGGTGTATCTTTTCTCACCCACCGACCCACCGATTCTCAATTTGGTGATGTGGTTGAAAAACGGCTAACTCAATGCGAGTGACAGTTTCACGGGCGTGGGAAAAAGTTCGCCAATCATGCTGAACAAACGGATTTTATTTGTTGAGTCTGATACGTGAAAGCCAGATTATTTGGCCCAACCTGGGCCCAAATTTTCGCTCAAATTTTCGTCTACCTAGAACTCGTTTCGTGAGGAATTGGACTAGTTCATTAAGCTCGCTAAGGCTTCGCCCTAAGTAGTAACTTCAAAACCCCAGGTTACTAGTTTTAAACCTTCAAACAGAGACTGACTGACCGCTACAATGGGAAACTAGGATATTTGACGTCACAACTTTGAGCAACTGATAGAATTGATCAATTATGGAAGAGATTTAACTCATCTGGTTAAACATCTCCAGATCTCATGTGTGTTTAACAGCTCATCGCTCGTCTCTTATCAGGTGACCATGGCTATCGTGGATTTTGTTCAAATTAAAGAGATATATGAACGACATGGACATTTCACTTGTGCAAACCAGCATTGTTACTTCAGTTTTGTTCCGGAGTTTCGACTGGGCTTCGATATTAGACTAAAAAGTCAAGAAGAGACTGGTTGGAAATTCGTCTCTTTCATTTCCGAGGAAAGACGTTCCCCAACGCTTCAACGACTAAATTTCACCGTCAAAAAAGCGCTAGCCTAGAAATAAAGGTCTAGCCCAAGCAACTTGGTGAAACACACAGATCTTCTAGTCGGTGTCATAATCAAGGGCTAGTCAAGATTTATCAGGGATACCCTTTTCGATTTTCTCATCGAAAAAGCAGCATTTCGACTCACTCCATATATCTTTTCGATATTTCAAATCCACTTGAAGATGCCCTTTTCGCATCCAAAACCGTTCGCTATGGTGGATGATCAAAGGGTGGGCCCCGAACCGAATGAGCATGTGGTACGCCGAAGGTCTTCTTCGGTCAAACACGCTCTCACTAGTATGATCCGAAGTGGTTCCACTAATATGGCCCGAAGTGGTTCCACCAATATGACCTCTGCAAACAGCCACCCACGTTCGAACTCACACATTGGTATAGCCCCGGGGGCTAGTCTTGCTGCTCTACATAGCTCCCTGATGTTTCATGGAGGATCGCCACGTCTGTCACATGGCTGTGACGATTATGGAGTTGCCCCCAACGAGTTGGCTTTGGCAGAAAATGCTTCCAGGCCAGTATTCAGTGAGGACGAATATGAAGAGGCCGATACCGAGTCGGGGGAGAACTTTTCGGAGTCAGATGAGCTGCATAGCGATTTCAGTTTTCATACGTCAAAACTGCCGGCAAATCTCGTTAGTGGTCGAAAATATCTGTTAGAATACCTTGGAGAAAGAGGATTTCTCCACCCGAAGGTTTTGTCGTTCAATAAAGATATGAATATTTCTCTCGCGACATCTTCGGAAGTTGTTTTTCTGCCCACAATATCTTCCCAGGACGACGAATACTTGAGTCATTTGGCGATGCTTAATGGTACCGAAACGTCACTGGATCGTCCTGATCCCTCTAACCATGATGAAAACTCCTCAATGGTCCCCAATGGTCAACAGTCAGATTCCAGAAACAGTGGTGTTGCGGATACGCGTGAAAGTACTCCTATTGACGCAGACGGCAAGAATGTTCTTTTCAATTTAGCCGTCATCGTTTCATTCAAAAGCCCAACAACTGTGACGAAACTCAAAGCGGAGCTATATTCGAAAGTTCGCGTATACTGGCAGCACGGCGTACCACCACAAAAAACAACCAACGAAGAGTATTATACGTTAGGCGAATTACAATGGGATCTCACAGAAAGTAATTACAATCTTTACGTCCCGCGTAACCTGTCTACCAAGAACAAGATCGTCGAACAGTCCGAGACCTCCATAAAATCAGCTCTTTTCAAGAACAAGGCAGACTTAGCAACTCAGGGCTACACGAACAGAAAGGACTCTAATGCTTTACTCTCTGCAAGCCTTGATACCTCAGGCAGGGAGCAGACTTTTCAATCGGGTGAATATGTGTTTTTATTACCAGTGTTTTTCTCTTGCACTATCCCAGAGACGCTATATTTGCCGTCAGGACGAGTGAGCTATCAGTTTCGTTGTGCTACAAAGCTGTCGTCGACTGGGCCGACACATGGAGATGCAAGGAGTGACACTTCTTCAGCCCATTCTGCTGGCTCCCACGTTTCCGAAGAGCAGCCCGCGGAACCTTCAAGCCACACCAAATTCTCCAGCAACAAACTGTTAAGGAAGGTGCGAGATCAATTTCAAAGCGCAACAACTGATAAAAACCAGGTCCAAAAAAATCTCATAAGGGCAGAACAAACGATTCAAGTTGTACGCATTCCTCCAAAAATTTCCGATTTCACCGCAGATAAGCCTGTCTATATTAACAGAGTTTGGAATGATGCGCTGTCGTACGAGGTCTCATTACTCAAGAAGTACGTGCCGGCTGGCAGTCAAGTACCAATCAAGATAAAGCTTTCCCCAATCAGTAAGGATATTTCGGTGAAGAGGATAAGAGTAAGCGTTATTGAAAAAATCACATATGTGTCAAAAAATTTGGAGTATGAATTCGAACAGACTGAAGCCATAGCAAATGATCCCTATAACCCGTATTACTCAGAATTTGTTTGCAGAAGAAAGCAAGAACGGATTTTGCCGCTATGGGAGATCAGATCGAAAGAAAAGGGTGGCAGAGCCATAAAAGAAGATGTTATAGACAACTGCAGGTCAGAAAATCTTTTATCCTTCTCTAGTATACCGTCAGATACCAAAACTGGCGGATCTTCTCACGATTTGGTGGACCCTTTAGTCATTGAGTCAAAAATAAGCTTCCCAAAATTTTCGATGCTCGATAAAAAAACCTCGAAGGCCGTACCGCCGTATGGTATCGATGAATTCACAAGTGGTTCCCAGTCGCATACTGCATCAAGCGGCCCGCTGCCTCGAAGAAATAGTGCAGCGTCTGGCGTAATCGGATTTTTTGCCGGTCGCCGTGCCAACGCACCATTCGCTTCGCGTCGTGCATCTACTCCCAGCCCTTTCGAAAGTGACAAATCTAGAACGTCCTTCAAGTCTGCGTCGAACTTCAAGGTCAACGCTCATAGTCGCGTTAATGAACCCAAGCGTGGTCTTTATTTGGATTGCGTCAGTTTCAAGAATATACATGTGAAGCATAAACTCGAGATCATGCTACGTATCAGCAGGAAAGCTGATGAAAAGTCCAACGCTGTGAAGCACTATGAAGTGCTGATTGATACACCGATATATATCGTTTCCGATCTATGCGGTACTTCCAACATCGAGCTACCCACATACGACGTTGCAACCAGGTCGCAATTCCCCGAAACTGTTCCTCCTCCATCATTTGAGGAGGCTATTTCTGTTCCTGGGTCTCCAATGGCCTCTCCATTTGTGTCCCCCGTTGGCACTCCAAACTTTGTCGGATCCTACGAGCCCGACGACTTGTCTATCCACCAATTGTCGCTTTCAAGGGCAACCACACACAACCACACATCGGAATCGCCAATGCTCAACACTCCCCATATGGAAAGGCGTTATAGCAACATCGATTGTCTTATAAATGCGAATCCTGGTGGACCGGAAACGAACTTGTTTAAGGAAGGGTTCGCCTTCAAGCATCCCATGAATGGCCCAGGTTCTGTACGTGGTTCACAGAGTGATGATGACGATCCTCCAGGCTACGAGACATAGACGTGAGTTCAGTTGTAGATTAGGCTATACAAGTTTTAGATGTACAAAGACCTTAACGATTTCAGCAGTACATATTGTGCGTCGTGTGCGCATTTCAAATTCTGAGCACTCCTCTCGCTTGATTGATGCCAACGGAACTGATCATACGTAGACCAGAGGCGCCAAAGGGGAAATAACTGATTGCATAGTAGATCACAGCAATAAGTTCCAAAAAAGCGCATGGAATGGTGAGTAGCGTGGATTTTTGAAATGCAGCAAAGTAAATCGTCAAGGAACAGGAAGTGAAGAAGAATACACTGAATGGCAGTCGCTCTCTCGACGTTATATGTTTCGCGTATGCGACTGGTCCTTGCAACACGCCAAATGCTCCCACAAATAGCAGCGATGCCATAGACCATAAAAGTCCAAATTTTCGGGGCTTTACTGCTAGAACAGGCAGCAAAAAGGCACAAAGCGTGAAGCACGCTACAGAACCCAAAATGCAACACACAAACAACGATAATCTCTCTACCCGCGAGAGTGTGAACCACGTAGGCTCTTGGTCTTGGACCAAATCCTGCTGGGTCATCGGCAGGCGCTGGTACACATCGTGAGCCCTGCTATTGAGTGAATCAGCCCATGAAGCGAACAACGTTTTAGCTCCCTCATTAAACCCTTGCGAATGCTGCGTGCGAGACTCGTTCCATCTGTTCAACGAGTCTCTTAGCGATGCTTCTTGTTGTGACGACATGGCTCAATGCCCGAAGTTATATACAATTGTACAGGTAGATTTGTTATAAAGTGTGCTAAAAACCGCCAAAAAGACGCTAGAAGGACGCTGAAAAAAGGACAGATCTTGTAGTAGTGTTCAAAGTCGCGATCCAGTGCTTTATTCAGTCCAAAAACTGGCTAATTACGCTTAAAAGTGTCGATAAACCTATTTCTTCGATATAGGCTGGTGTTGTAATATAAGAAAGTGAACTTGTTATTCAATAAGATATTCTTCTTATTAAAAGACCTTCGAGAACCAAACAGCTGTTCAAGGAACTCACATGGCCACAAGGGACCGCCTAGTGTGTTCGGGTCAATAGCTTGAAGTCAAAAGCTGAAGTAGGACTAAACTGGATCTCGAAGCGACGAATATGGAGTTCAAACAGGACGACGAGGATTTTATCAAAGAATTATTGGGACACGCAGGGTTGGGCGACCTGAATGGGAATATGGGGGATTCTTTCGGTGGGTCTATGACCACAACTGAGGGTGGTGGGTATTACGGCAACCAGCTGGGTATGGGAAGCTCTTTTGGAGAGGATATTCCGTTGCAAGACACGCGGGGCGAAAGAAATTCGATATCTCACTTGAGAAACGTCATACGGCGTAGCAGCGACCATGGGCAATCTATTGACGAAAACTTGACGCATACGTCCACCCAGCGATTTGCCCAACCGCCGGATTATCTTATGGAAAGTCTCTTATTCCAGCACGATCCGTATCAAAGAGACACGTTGAATGACGACCAGTTGTCGAGTTTCACCGACGACGTTTCTTCCTCTTTCGGGTCGAGCGTAGCGACCAACGACTTCATGTCCCCGCGGTCGTCATCATTCCAGCCGCGGGAATCAGTGGATTTGGCGTCGTATTCCCAGTTTTTGTCATCTAGTCTACGGTCTCCACCGAATAATCTGCGACAGGGAACATTTACACCATCTTCAATGCGGAACCAGCATGCTTCGCAATCAGCGGTTGGCAGCCCAGCTGTTCAAATACCTCATTCGGTAGATTCCGCCGGTTTTGCGGCACAACCACTTTCTCAAGACGAAAGAATTCGTCGTCGTCGCGAATTTCACAAGGCTGTGGAGAGAAGACGACGAGAGCTCATCAAACAAAAGGTCAAGGAACTTAGCCAAATTGTTCCTCCAAGCCTTCTCAACTACGATGAAAAGGGTAAAGAAGTCAAACCGAACAAAGGTGTCATATTGGCGCGGTCAGCAGACTATCTTCAGTATCTCCAGCAAGTGCTAGAGGTGCAGAACCGGAAACGACAGCTTCTTTTGCAGAAAATACGAAGTCTAGAGACGATTGCACAACGCCAAAATCACCAGACGCCCTCTTTACAAGCAGGGGCCACCGGCACTAGTAACACGGCAGCAGCTGCTCATATCGCTACCGGGAGTAGCGTTTCTCCGGAACAGATCATCGATGCCAGAGTGGCCTCGTACATGGGCGACAACTCATCGTCGACGCCGTCGACTACAATACAAGATGATCTCCAGCAGTTTTTATCGGGTGACTTGATCGAAGCAGAAGACAATGCCAAACTAATGTTTGGAGGAGAAGGCGAAGGAACGGCAGCGGATTTCCTGCTGAATTTTGGCAAATAAAGACGATTATTGTAAAGGTAAATAGGGTTGAAAAGACCAGAAGTCGAAGTCCTGGAGAGAGAGGGTGACGACGATATTTAAGTTTTTTTTCGTTTGTTTCTACGCTCCGGTTCAATAAAGTCTCTCGACAATCATTACATTACGTTAAAGACAGTCGAGAAGAGTAAAATGAACAGCAACATTGAAAACAGAATTCCCAAATACGATAGTGCGATACAGAGTCTTGATCGTTGAAGAAGCACCAACACTAGCTCACCCAATGACCTCTACTCACTATTCCCATCAGATTAAAATAGGAAGACATCGGTCACGTGACTGGTGATACTACAATTATGGATTCAAATACCAACACTCGATAGAGCCAAGACAGGGACATCTAGCGATGACCAGCGGTTAAAGACGAAGCCTCCCGCCTAAAAGCATAGCATTTTCAATTCAATGCCCTCCTTGAAGGAGACCAAAAACAATTATAGGGATGAGGGACCTAAACTCCGAGAAGAGAAACATTTTACAGACTTCTACGCTGATCTTGACCAACAAGAACTGTTACCGGTCATTGTGCCTCCGATAGAAGAGGAATTCGACACAAATAAGGATGATAATGATCAGAAAGATGAACAGGTACTGCCGAGGCACAAAGACAATGAAGACCGCAAAATTGGTCCTAGGACGCACATAAAACAGGTCATCTTTAAGGACAAAGTAACTGTAGAACGAATTGCGCTAGACAAAAGTCAGGTCAGGTTTAAAAAATGCAAACTCAGTATAGGAAGCTTGGTGCAAAGTCCTCGAATCTCAAGATCATACCAAAAATTTGGTTACATGACAGCAGCTCCGATAAACAATTTTGACGAGACTGTGACACCTTACATCAAAAGGACGGATAGTTTTGCTGCACTGAAACCTAATCCGCTGAAAAATATCTCTCGATACCAGTCAAATTTCAAGGTCGAATACGACATGGACGAGCAAGACGATCTGTATCTAAGGTATCTCAACGAACTCCGCATACTAGATCCACGATACTACCTTACACACGAGATCTTTGAGATTGTTATGAGCGTGCTGGAAACGGAGTGGTTCCATCTGGAAAAAAAGATCCCACCCAGAATACCTACCACTTCTGAGATTTCGACGCGGGAAACGAGAGCCGCCTGGGCCCACTACGAGAGCTTCGGGTCTGATGACGGCACTGGCTACGTTGTTGATCAGCCTTGTGCGGTTTGTGGGTTGAGTGAGTGTGATAATTCGAATGCAATTGTGTTCTGTGATGGATGCGATGTCGCAGTCCACCAAGAGTGCTACGGTGTGGTGTTCATTCCCGAGGGACAATGGTTATGCCGCAGATGCATGATATCTCGAAATAGGAAGATCAACTGTCTGTTTTGTCCGAGTTACACTGGCGCCTTCAAGCAGACGGATCGGGGTTCTTGGGGCCACGTTGTATGTGGACTTTGGATTCCAGAGCTGTTTTTCGTCAACTCCCACTACATGGAGCCCATAGATGGCATAGAATTGATACCGCGATCGAGGTGGAAGCTAACCTGCTATATATGCAAGTTAAAAGTTGGAGCGTGTATACAGTGCTCGAACAAGAGCTGCTTTGCCGCCTTTCATGTAACGTGTGCCAAAAGAGCCGGTCTTTACATGGACTTTGGTTCTTCTTCAATAGTGGAGATCTCATCAAACTCAGCTGGACTCACACTACAGAGCTTCTGTGACAGACATTCCCCCGCGGGCTGGCCGGATTGTAAAGAAGGTATCGCAAAGACCAGAAATTACTTTGCAGCGGCCGATAGCACTTCAAGCGCTGGGAGTGTAATCCCCGTATCTAAAAAGCACAAGTCTGATTCTAATACTAAGGGAAAATGGACGACAAATCGTGGGACTCCAATTGCTCCCCAAGTTTTCGCACGGCTGGTGCAAGAAGTGCTGGACATATTCAAGGTTGAGAATAGCTCGAATCTGTCCACAGATCTATGCAAATATTGGTCGATGAAGCGAGAGTTGAAGCGAGGTGCGCCACTCGTAAGAAAGTTTGATCCATCATCCTTTGGTTCTTTTACAATGGACGAAATAAACCGACGTGTTGAGCTTGCGGGCGTATTATCCAACGACGTGACAAAGCTACAAGAGATGGCTGATCTTGTTGTCGAAAGACAAACGGCGTTACAGCTACGTGACGGTGCGGTTCGAAAGGCCAAAGACCTTTATACTCACCCTGCAAAAATTGTTGTTCGAGAGTATATTTTGAAAAAGATGAACAACTATGCCTCCTATAGAACATTGATGCAAGAAAAGAAGACGCGTGATGCCCTTACTAGTCAACTCCAGATTCTTTACGACTCTGAAAGCGAGGATTGTCTCGCACTTTTCGAACAACTCATGGATGCCTACTTCAGCGAAATCGAATCCGATGAAAAAGCCAGTCGCAGAATTAAAGCTGAAGCCAAAAAGTTACAGGCACACGTCCATGTACTCTTGAAAACCGTTGATCTGTCTGAAATTCAACAATGGTTGACTAAAGATTTCTCATCCACTGATGATGGCATAGTTTTCGCTCCATGGCAGGGAATCTCTCTAATGCAAAGACAGGAGCTCGAAACCATTAAACCACTATCAGAAACAGAAAACAAAAAGCTGTGGAAGGCTTTATTTGGAGGATCGTGAGGACTCCGGAACATAAACCATCACTTGAAGCGGCTGACTCGTCACATCAAACGGATCAGTGTTATAAGCATTTGCCAATCTAAAGCTCGCAAGCCCGCTGATCGAAACTTAAGAGACCTTCAACATCAGTGTCAGAGCAGTTTCGCATTCAATGGGCCTAATCAAAAGGGTGTCAAGCTGGTCTCAAAATGGGAAGCTTGATTATCTCTCGGTCAACCCAACCAGAGACGAAGTCGCCCATTACAGTGTTAATCCAGAAGATGAGCGGGACGAATCTATCACAAGACTCAACGTTGTCAAGGACTTCGACAAGATTACATGCTTAGACTACTCCGAAACTGACCTCGGACTAGTAAGCGTAGGGGAAAGAAGTGGAATGGTGAGAATAATGAACATGATTTACGACATCACAGCACAAGGCACTACACAACTTCAGGTTAGGGCCAAGCAGCAACGTGCAGTCAATACTTTGGGAATGAGCAATAGCGGTCTAATCGCGATGGGGCTTGACCGCAACCGTCACGATGCATCGTTGCAAGTGTGGGACGTTAACTATCAAAGCACGGACTCCAATGTGGTAAACCCATCTTTTTCTTACTGCTTGAATGAAACTGTCGTTTCACTCAAGTTCTTGGATGATACAACACTGATTGCAGGTACAAGCAAGCTATTGAAGGAGATTGATTTAAGATCACCTAATCCGAGTTATCAGCATCCAACTCGTTTATGTTACGATATAAAGGTGAACCCGTACAATGTCTGGCAATTCACAACCTACGGAGACGATGGAACGCTCGCGATATGGGATAGGCGTAAATTGGGGCAAAGTATGGCGTCCAGCGAATCTCTGGAAACACAGCCCCTCTTAAAGTTTGATAAATTGATGGGCGCAGGCGTCGCGTCGAGAAAATATAGCAACTCATGTTTCCGCTGGTCAGCTGTGCGCGATAATGAATTTACTACTCTACACGGTGGCCAACTTATTAGGAGATGGCGACTAGGAAGCTTTCCGACCACTCTGATCAAAGACGAATCAGGTTCAAGTCCGCAGACCGGGACGGAAATTGAATCACTATTTGTCTCTACTGTTCATGACATAAACACAACTTATGACAGAGTTGTTACGTTCGATTACATTCCGCGAGAAGACGGTTGTGCTAACTTCGTATGCATGAGACAGTCTGGTACGCTATTCAGGATGGCCTTGAAAGGTGGTGTATCAAGGATCGCGTTTAATTGTAATAACAGTCTTCTCATGGCAAATGATGAAAGAACAAGTGTGGAAGAGCTCGAAATTGCTGATCTCAGTGAGAAAACGACCAATGAAGACAAGGCAGCTGCTTTGAAGAACCTTTCTTTCGAGGATCTTGATCTAAGTGATCAGGAAGAAGAGCAAAAGAACGAAGATCAAAAAAACGACCCAAGCTTGTTGGAAATGAATTCTAAAGATGCTCAAAATCAACATGAGTCAAGGAGTCGCAATTCATCTGTTGGTGGACTAGGCTTTCTGCTTAAACCTGAGAGTTTACTCGAGAACGACATCAGCATGATAATGAAAAGACGTGCTTTGCATAATTATGGTCTAGATCCTTTGAAGACCGTCGAATTCATTGATATATCAAAGTCCCTGCAAAACAATGCTTACATAAGGAATACGTGGAGGTGGTTATCGATCGTCAAGGCGTCTGTTGACGACGGAACTATGGTCTCTGGAGAACTCGATCTTGGGTACGAAGGTATACTAGGAATATGGAATGGGCTAGATGGCCTCTCGCAACAGGACAGATACAGCAGAGGAGCAAATCTAACAGAGAAACAGCTGGGCAGAGAACTCGAAAAGATTGTTCGAATGCGAGGGAAATACAGATCTAAAATGGGTGAATCTAGTGGCGCTATATCCTTCGCTAATTCGACAAAGCCTATTCAACGAAGACTGTGCATGATTATTTCAGGATGGGATCTGCATCCGTCAGAGTATGAGGCGAAGTATCAAGGATTAATCAAGGCTAACCTATATGAGAAGGCCGCAGGTTGGGCTGTCTTCTTCGGCGACGTCACGAAAGCCATTGAAATATTGAGCTCTGCCAAGAAAGAGAGATTGCGTTTGATTGCAACAGCCATAGCCGGCTACCTTGCTTATAAAGACCAGCCTGGGAATAATGCTTGGCGACAGCAATGCAGAAAAATGTCGTCTGAGCTCGATGATCCCTATCTAAGGGTTATATTCGGCTTCATTGCTGATAATGATTGGTGGGATATTCTATCTGAGTCTGCCATTTCACTAAGGGAAAGATTAGGCGTGGCATTGAGGTCTCTGAATGACAAGGATCTAACAAGATTTTTAGAAAGAACAGCTGATTCAGTTATATCAAACGGTGAGCTGGAAGGTTTGATTTTAACAGGTATTACTCCAAGTGGTGTGAAACTGTTGCAGTCATACGTCAACAAGACTAGTGATGTTCAAACCGCTGCACTTTTATCGATTTACGGCTGCCCTCGTTATTTCAAAAGTTCGCAAGTTGATGAGTGGGTGCACGCGTACCGGACAATGCTCAATTCTTGGGAACTGTTTTCCGTTAGAGCCAAATTTGATGTTCTACGTGGAAAGCTAGCCAGAAGTACTCTTTCTTTTTCACAAGGCAACTGCAGACCTAGACAGCTTTACATCCAGTGCCTGAAATGCAACAAAAACATCAACAATCCTGTAGAGGGCTCTTCTACAGCACCTACCTCTAATAAGGGGAAAAGTTTTGGGGCTGGTGCAAACTTTAAAAAATTTGGTTTCAACAATACTTCGCCATCGAATGCTGCAGCCCAGAAACACTCCTGTCCTCATTGCGGCACGCCATTCCCACGTTGTGCTATCTGTTTACTGCCTCTAGGAACAGCCAATCTGCCTATTGTTATCAATGGGCGAACCGCGAACCAGGATGCCCAGGATGAGGGTCAAATGGATGAAGCACGTAGGCTCAAGTTGAACGAATGGTTTAGCTTCTGCCTAGCTTGCAACCACGGCATGCACGCGGGTCATGCAGAAGAATGGTTCGAGAAACACAACGCCTGTCCTGTTCCAGGTTGTTCGTGTCGTTGCAGCGCACTGTGATGGTGTAGCTCCCGAGCAAAAAATTTGAAAGCTGTTGGTGCTACCGTTGACTGTTCTATCACGTATGAGCCAAGGCTCAGTAGCTATGGATCTTTCATCAGGGGCGAATTTGGTTTACACGCAATGCATTTCAGAACATTATGATCCTACCAGAAAAAGACCGAATTCCCTTGAATCATGTTTTCGTCATAGGAAAGGTGGCCTTGCTGAACACTGCGTGAATTACAATTACGTTGCCGTCACCAAACCCAGTCATCAACCAACTCGGCATTTGGATTCGATGAAGTTGTGATTAAACCATGTTTTCGATCACGAGAAGACATAGGGACACGAGTTTCTGAAAGAAAGATTAAAGCACAATAAGATGGAATTTAGTATTGTGTACTATCCGATTACCTAAATTTTTCAACCATTTAGAACCCGAATTTCAGTTTGATTGACGACGTCTCTTAGTTGTTGCCAACAAAATTCGACAAAATCCATCTGTATGAAAGAGGCTTGGGATTCAGAAACCAGATTGAGAGTTCTCAAAACAACCTGCGAGTTAACAACAAGTGGAGTTCAAAACTTGATTCTCTTACCGAACTAACACCGGAGTTCACCCATCTTCTCTGCTGCTTGTCGTTCCCAGGTCACGTGTCACTTTTTCTTGATCCTATAAGCCATCATTGCCAACATCTTTGTATTAAGATCAAATGAATTCTCGAAACAAGAACTTTTGAAGCAACTCAAAGGTAATCAATCGTTACTCTGGAAGTAGCAAATATACTGGATATCTACTAAGCTCAATCTATTTGACCGCTTTCGAAGTTCTTGTGGCTTTAGCGTTTGTTTTGAGCTATAAGATTGACCAGTTTGATTAGGATTCTGGAACGTCTGTTTGAGTTTGATCTGCTGTTGACTTCTTGTCCAAACCACTCCAAACGGCCGATTTAAAGCTTTATACATTGAAAAGTATCGGCAGCTCAACATGCTGAGCCAGGTGGAGCAAGAAATCCGGCGCAAAGTGGAACGCGAGAAGAACATCATTCATGGTGCAACGCAGCTGAAGAAAAAGACCGAAAATGTCATGGTGATCCAGAAATGTAACACCAACATAAGAGAGGCTCAACAGAACATTCAATATCTTGAGGAAACTCTCAGAAAATTGAAGTTGAGCGATGGCGGGGACTCTCAAAGTGCAGCACAGAAGCGTGCAAGTCATGGGTACGGCCAATTGTCAACCATTGCGCCAGACGAACACATTTTCTCGCGACTAGACTTGATGAAGTACGACTGTCCGTCCCTTTCTCAGCGTATCCAATACATGTTGCAGCAATTGGAATTTAAACTCCAAGTGGAACAACAATATGAAGAAGCTAACGAGAAATTGACCAAGTTGTACCAGATCGATGGAGATCGTCGAAGCAGTTCTGCAGCGCAGGGGGGCTCCAAAGAATCCAAGCAGAGAATCCAACTTCTCAAAAAATCTCTAAAGAAGTACCAAGCCATTAATGTGGACATTGACCAGTTCAAAGATCATACAGACAAGTCCAACGCGGCACAGCCTAAATTTAGGCGTCAGCAGCTGTCAGGAACGCTCACCATCGGGGTGAATGCGATCCGCGACGTAGACCATGTACAGTCTCCGATGTTTTCACGAAGCCCTGAGACGTTCATTACTATCAAGATAGATGACACTGTTCAAGCGAGGTCCAGGGCTTCGAGAACTGATAGGTGGCAAGAAGAGTTCCACATCAATGCCAGTAATGGTAACGAGGTTGAAATAACCGTTTATGATAAGATCAATGAACAAGTCGTTCCGGTCGCGCAAATGTGGTTGCTGTTGTCGGATATAGCCGAGGAGATCCGTAAGAAGAAAGCTGGCCAAACGGGGCAGATCGAATGGAAGGGAGCTGCTAGGGTAACAAGTCCACCAGAAATGAATGATACTACCGGTCATGCAACTGATTCAGCTCCTGGTACATATGGTGCTTCTGTTCCAGATGATACTGTATCGCGACCACTCACGACAAGCTTATGGTTTGTGCTCGAACCTGCGGGCCAGATTTTGCTGAATCTCGGGTTTAGTAAGTCGAGCCAACCGGCAAATAAGAACTTGATGGGAGGTCTCCATCGTCATGGCGCCATCATTAATAGGAAAGAGGAAGTTTACGAGCAACAGGGACACCATTTTGTTCAAAAATCATTTTACAACATCATGTGCTGCGCCTATTGCGGCGATTTCCTGCGTTACTCTGGCTTCCAATGCCAAGACTGCAAATTCCTCTGCCACAAGAAATGCTACCAGCACGTAGTGACAAAATGCATCGCCAAGGCTAGCACTGAATCAGATCCGGATGAGCTCAAACTCAATCACTATATTCCTCATAGGTTCGAACCAGTGTCCAATAGAGGAACGAAATGGTGTTGTCATTGTGGCTACATTCTGCCCTGGGGTAAGAAGAATTTGCGTAAATGCACTGAGTGTGGCATTATGTGTCACACCCAATGTGCACATCTTGTGCCCGATTTCTGCGGAATGTCTATGGATATGGCCAATCAAATTTTGACAGCAATCCAGGACACCAAGAGGAATCAGAAGGTCAAACAGAAGTCATTGCCCAAAGTTCCAGTTCAGCTAAGTGGTGAAGCTCATCAAACAGCTCAGACCAGCTCCGTTAGATCTAATAGGTTTTCTGACCGAAGTTTCGAAGCCAAGCAGCTGCCCCATTCTCCAACACACGCCAACTTTGCCAACGTAATCAGCCCTGATCAGAAGTACAAACATATTGAACAAGACCATTACCAACAGGAGACTGCAACTCTTCAGCAAGACTCTCAGACCAAGCGCATAGCTCCTGAAGAAGAGAGAAACGATATTTTGAATGATAGGCTTTACAACTTCATCGAGGAGAATACCAACTACAATGCTTTTACTGACCCAACGAGCTATACAGAGCAACATGAATATGATGAGGGAAGTCGTACTTTGGATCCTTCGAATTTGAACTCCTCCGGAGTTGCCGCAGGGAAGTCAAGTGATATTTATGACACAGTCGAGCAACATTGGCGCGAAGAGGAACACATGGATGTCAGTTTGCCCGAAAAGTCTTATGGCGAAGTTTACGAACCTAAAACAGACTTACAAGGCACAGATGTCGTTGATCTAGATACCAAAGCGCCCCGCTACGAAACCATCATAAGCTCAAGAAACAACATTGAAAGTACGTCACTTGGCTGGGAGTCAAAGGTGCAAGTAAACGAAGTTCATGAATCTGGGCCTTTGGTTGGTAAACCTGAACTATTACCAGATCACAAAGGTGAAGCAGTAAGTGATGCTGCATCCGTTGTCGGTCAAGAGATCAGTGGAGCAGCACCCGCGTCTCGTTCCCCCCAACGCTCTCATGCAAGCGGGAAACATCGCAAGAAGGCTTCGAAACGTCGGAAAATTTCACTAGATGATTTCGTCTTGCTAAAGGTGCTCGGGAAGGGAAATTTCGGTAAAGTCCTCTTGGCAAAATCCAAAAACAATGAGCGGTTATGTGCTATAAAGGTTCTTAAAAAGGATCATATAATCAAGAATCATGATATTGAGAGTGCAAGGGCTGAAAAGAAGGTCTTTCTACTTGCTACAAAGGGCAAACATCCATTTTTGACCAATCTTTTCTGCTCGTTCCAAACCGAAAACCGCATTTATTTCGCCATGGAGTTCATTGGTGGTGGTGATTTGATGTGGCACGTCCAAAACCAGAGGCTGTCTGTTAGGAGAGCCAAGTTTTATGCTGCGGAGGTTTTGCTTGCTCTCAAATATTTCCATGACAATGGTGTAATTTACCGTGATTTGAAGCTTGAAAACATTCTATTGACACCCGAGGGCCACATCAAGATTGCTGATTATGGGCTTTGCAAAGACGAAATGTGGTTTGGTAACAAAACCTCGACTTTCTGCGGAACTCCCGAGTTTATGGCTCCTGAGATTTTGAAAGAGCAAGAATACACAAAAGCCGTGGACTGGTGGGCTTTTGGTGTTCTGCTGTATCAAATGCTTCTTTGCCAATCGCCATTTTCAGGTGACGACGAGGACGAAGTTTTCAATGCTATTCTTACGGACGAGCCTCTCTATCCTATTGATATGGCGGGGGATATAGTCCAAATTTTCCAGGGTCTTTTGACCAAAGACCCAGAGCGGCGTCTTGGTGCAGGTCCTCGCGACGCTGCCGAAGTCATGGCTGAGCCTTTCTTCAAGAACATCAATTTCGATGATATTTTGCAGCAAAGGATTCAGCCACCATACATTCCTGAAATCAAAGCCGCAGATGACACGTCTTATTTTGAGAAAGAGTTCACCTCGGCGCCCCCTACGTTAACGCCCCTACCGTCTGTTTTGAGCTCGAACTTGCAAGAAGAGTTCCGTGGTTTTTCGTTCATGCCAGAGGACCTACTTCTATAATATTGAGCATAGTATATAACTATCCGAAAGGCTACAGATAATTCTCAAAATCGCAACGTCTTGATTTTGAGACTAGCAAGTTAGACCATTACTTCAAAGGCTGCTCTTTCTCTCTACTATTTGGTGTCCTAAGCCTGTGGCCTTAGGTTTTCGTTTATGATGTAGTTCTCTGCGCTATTATAAAGGTAATGTTGAACACTACACTCTTTAAAAACAGAAAGTTGACCTCTGCTCTCTTCAAACCACTTCCAAAGACTTCTTAGTATGTTTAAAAGCCGGCGTCTCAAGGGAGTGTCCAATGCTATCAAATCAGCGTCCAGCAGCGATGTTTCTGCTGGATTAGTGCCCAAAATGTTTGAAATTAGCGAAGTGAGTCGTTACGGGCTAAACGGCACGGTGAAAGCGTTTGCGTTCGACCCAGTACAGAGTTTGCTAGCTCTTGCAACAGATTGTGGGGAAATTCATGTTTATGGGAAACAGCAGGTCGAAGTTGTGTTCACACTGGAATCTAAGACGTTTGTCAAAGAACTGCGGTTTGTGAAAGGAATATTCTTGATTGCAGTGGATTCCAAGGACTCAGTGCTTGTGTTATCGCTGCACTCGAAAAAAGTGTTGACGGCTTTTTTCGCTCCAGGCAAAATCTCCTGTATCGAAACAGACCCTTCCCTAGAATGGATGTTGATCGGTCTTCAAAGTGGTACTACTGTGATCTACGACATAGACAAAGACTGCATATCTCCAGTGCGACTTGAAAACTTACAAAAAACAATCTTACCGCAGGAACATTCGTCTGGTGTTGTTTCTATTCAGTGGAACCCTAGAGATTATGGCACAGTTCTTATATCGTACAAGCTTGTTACAGTGCTTTATTCAGTAGTGGAAAACAAGATCAAGCAGCAGTTTATTTACACGGTTCCGGCTTTTGCACCTGGTGGTGACCAGAGTGGGAACTTGGAGGCTCCCAGAACCCCCGAAGTTACCCAATCGATGTTCCATCCAAACTCTTTACACATCTTAACTGTCCACCGAGACAGTTCGTTGGTTTTCTGGGACGCAAACAGTGGCGAACTTTTGCAAGCAAGGTCCCTCTTTGAGACGGACGTGAATGTTGCGAGAAGCCTTCCTGATCCCGCTCAACCACCGGTATCTCGGATTCTGCAGGTTTCTTGGATCTGCGCTTCCAATCCAGAGTACACATCACTTCTGATTGCCGGTGGAACTATTGGAGAAGGCGAAGAGTGCCACAGCTTAACGATGATAGATCTAGGAGTGACTCCGAAGTATTCAATTACTTCATATGAGAAAATGGGGGCCTATTACGCATCGCCCGCGCAACAGAAAGTTTTCCCAGTCCCCAATGAGGCCTCTGTCGTCAAGTTTTTACCATTAGCTAGGGCTTCCTGCTATTTTTCCGGAAATCACGATCCAGCCATTATCTTGGTGCTGTTAGATGATGGAGAGATGGAAACCATATTGTATCCATCCGGTAACTTGTCATATAAAGCGTCGCTTTTCCCACAAAGTATATCATGGATAAGACCAATAGCGACCAAGTGTGCCGCCACTTCCGTGCCCAAAAAACTGTGGTTGGGAATGATGAGCTCCACTTACAACAAAGACTTCATATTGAAAGGCGGGGCTCCTGTTAGAAAACCGTTAAGAGTACACGACACACGGTCCGCTCTAGCGACTGGCCATAAAAACGGGTCCGTTAGAATATGGGACGCTTCTCATGGCGAACTAGACGACAGCTCGGTGTTTGACGTCAGTGTTTCTCACGCTCTTAACAAGAGCTACGGCGTTGGCATAAATGGTGTGTCATTTGCATCGGAAACTGCTGAGCTATCAGTCTCGACCGAGGGTGGGGACGTCGTTTTGTTCAAGTTTCAGGCCAACCAGTTTTTTGGTGCCGAGGAAAATACCAACGAGACCGAGATTAAGCTCAAAAGGTTTTCGCTCAACGAAGTCAAAGATCTAATAGTTGACATTTCGGATAGAGCACCACGGAAGCTGAGGGAAGGGTTCATGCCTAACTGCGCTATTCATGCCAACGCTGGGAAGGTTTTGGCGCTAAAAAATAGCAATGTAGGCTTTGTTGCAATTGCATACGAAAATGGGCTTCTAATGGCTGTGGATAGAAGAGGTCCTGCAGTGATCTACTCGGAAAATGTAAAGAAGATTACACGCGACAGAAGTGCGGTAATAACTTGCATCGACTTTTCCGTGGCGGAGTATGGCGATGACAATTATTCAAGCATCCTAATGATCTGCGGAACTGACGTGGGTGAAGCATTGATTTTCAAGGTTCTTCCAGAATCAAATGGCCGTTTCATGGTGGAGCTCATCGATGCCCTGAAGACTGTTGACCAGGGACCCGTAACAGCCATCGAAAGTATTTCAAAAGCTTCCGGAGCTTCTTGCTCTGCCACAATTGCATCTATGCAGGGTCTTTCGAAAGGAATACCAATACCTGCTTTTACCATGATGGTAGGATATAATGATATTCGACTTTTCACCGCCGGGAAGTCTAAGGATACCCACAAGATCTTCAAGTTTCCGGTCGCTACTGCGGGATTGTGCGTTTTTCGCGTTCCGCAGACTGTCAAGAAAGAAGTGTCTTTTGCCGCTTCTATTGTCTGTTTGTTGAGTAATGGAGAAATTAAAGTTCTGACTGTACCCGAGCTAAGAGAGCTGCATTCAACTCGGTTGCCCATGCCAGCTCAATCCAAGTACATCAAAGAAGCGTCAATCTTACGAAACGGTGATATTGTCGTCCGTGTGGGGAAGTGTGAAGCAAGTCTACTGACTGTACTCAAGGAAACAGCGGACAACCTTGAGAAATTCAACGCAGAAGCTCGAATGTCTGCAACGGACACTTTATACAACCCCGCTTTGCGCATACCCTGCCGCCCGCAGGTAAACTCGCTACAGTGGGCACGAGGCTCGATTTACGTGAAGCGTGGGGATCTTGACAAGCTATTTGGCACGGATCATAAACCCTACAAATACGACGAAAGTAACATTGCCAACGGTACAATATCACTTGATCCTCAAGAAAATGTCGCCAATACACACCAGATGAACCCTTCGGATACATTGCACGCATACGTTGCCCCGGTTAGACATGCGGCACGCTCAGAAGCTGTTGGAACAATGAGATATCTATCAAGAGCGATGGAGAACGGAATGGACTCTTTAGAAGGCCGTTTCAACGACTATGCCACTGCTACGGGTGAGACTCTCAGCGAAGCCCTAGAACAGACTGGATCAGGCATAGTGAAAGGAGCTTTCAGGTCCAAGATGGGGTTCTGATGAGAGTTTCTGAGATGCGCTAACGTAATGGATGATGTGTAACGATTGATTTGGAAATTGAATCAAGTTGACCATAGATAGAGAACTAAGAGCCATTCCAGACAGAAGAAACAACAGGTATTTGACTCTACCGAGTGTCGATTAAATACGCAATCAGTTCTGTTCGATCATTCTGCAACTGATCGAAAAAAAGAATGGGTCAAGACCTGGTTTTAGAGGCTCAAGTGAGAGTAACAGACCCAAATCTGAAAACGAAGGGTTGGGATAATGTGACGGTCCAAACGTTAACATTGAATCGCGAAAGGTGTTTGAACAGGGAACTAGTTGATTCGTTTTTCAGAGTGTTACGTCACAATAGTGACGATGTGATACGACAGAAACTAAACAATACTAAAGAGAAAAATGAGAAAGCTGTGAAATTGAGATGTAAAGAATTTGTGGCTCAGGATCTGTACCCGAGCTGGGATCTACGATTGCGTGCGATTGATTTCTGCGGGCGTGAAGCTTCGTCTTTGAAGCGTGAACTGGACGAAAGATATGCGAGCGATGCGTCCCAGCGCCCCATTTTAGAGGCGCGCATGGATCCATATGCGGCTGCAGAAAGTGTTGCATCCAAGGAAGCTCATTTTCAGCAGTGGCGTGAGCTCACGCGCTGGATCGACAACCAACGGAGAATCGAACAAATCTTGCAACGCACGGGATCCGGCGTTCTTGCCAGGGCCTGTGATCCAGACACCTCCTACATTGACGATTTTGAAAATTTTAGGAAATCCATCAGATGAGGATAGAGAGAGCTTGTTTTGAAGACTATGAGAGTAATCATCCGCATTGTTCGTCTCTCTCCCTGTCTGTCCTTCTATCTAAGAAGTTGGTCAAAAGGCCCACATCGCGATTGACAATAATTACACGTGAAATTCACGTGAATCAAGTCACATGTGTAAATAACACGTCTGAACAAAAACGCGGGATCACTACCGACGACCGTTTCCATTGTCCAATTTTGATTTCTTTTTTCTTCCTCTTTTTCTCTCACCATCCACGAAAAAAATGATGACATGATAAATTACATGAATTTTGACAATTTATTAACAAGATGATGATGAATGACAATAATGAATAAATTCATATTCAAACGACTTTATCCAAGAGACGGAATTTCATACATCTCAGTCAATTCAAGAATAGTCTTGGACGAGTTGCTCTTTGGGTCAAGAATCGACTCGAAAAACCTGTTAATTTTACTACCTCATGAGTGCTGAAATCGCCGTTCCAAAACTAAAAGATTACGGTCTTTCCGGTACGACGGGTTTTCTTCCTGCTGAATTCCCCGTCACTCAACTCTCCGATCCATATTATGCTTGTTGGGAAAAAGTGGTGGCCAATTTGCCGTCATTGCTACTTTCCAAACGTATCCGTGAAGTTGTCGATCGTTTGCCGGTTTTGGAAGTGAAAAACTCGCTTTTAGAAAATACCCAGGAATTGAGAAGAGCATATTCTGTGCTCTGCTTCATTGCCAATGCGTATGTTTGGGGTTACGACGAGCCGTCAGAGATTCTGCCGGATTGTGTGGCTAGTCCACTGCTGATTATAAGTGAGAAGCTGGGACTTCCTCCGCTGGCCACATATGCTTCGCTGATTCTTTGGAACTATAAACCGATCATCGACGACGTAGACCTCGTGGGCGACATAATGGAGCTGCCAAATCTCACCACAATTAACACATTCACGGGTGGAATAGACGAAAGCTGGTTTTATTTGGTGAGCGTTTTCTTCGAAAAAACCGGAGGCCAATGTTTGGAATCCGGACTGCAAGCCATTCAAGCCGCAAGAAACAACAACTCCACCGGGCTGCGCACTCTCTTGGAGAAATTGGCCCAAGGAATCGATGAGTTGGGTACACTACTAATGCGCATGGAAGAAATGTGCGATCCGCATATTTTCTATTACCGCATCCGACCATACCTGGCAGGCTGGAAAAATATGGCCGATGTGGGCTTACCCAATGGCATCCGGTACGGGCCTTCCGGCCAGTACCAACAATATGCAGGTGGGTCCAATGCCCAAAGCTCGTTGATTCAAGCTCTAGACATTTTGTTGGGAGTTGAACATTTTGCTGCGGGGCACAAAAAGTCCCAGCAGGACGCCATATCTGCCAAGTCTTCAAGCAATTCTTTTATCAACGGGATGAGAATGTACATGCCTCAAGAGCATAGAAATTTTTTGGTGCATCTTCAACAGGTCAGCAATTTACGAGACTATGTTTTATCGCATAAGTCTGATCAAAAACTAGTTCTAGCATATGACGCTTGCTTGGCCATGCTAAAATCTTTCCGCGATAAGCACATTCAGATTGTCTCTAGGTATGTGGTTTTGCAAGCCAACAAAAAGCCTCTTCCTGGTAAGAGCAAAACTCTACGGAGTGGTCTTTCGAAAGGTCAAGGCAAAAAAGTGCAGAAGGGTACCGGTGGTACTTCCTTGATTCCCTTTTTGAAACAATGCAGAGATGAGACAGGAAGTGTCGCAGCAAGTGAATGGGGCAAAAAAATGCTGAGTACAGGAGTCTTACAAGTCCAGAGTAACAGTAGCATTGTTGGAATTCGCAAGCAGAAGCGTACCGAGGAGGAACCCGCAGATGAGTCTAACAAGAGAACTAAATTGGGCCTTGCTGGAGACTGGACCACTGCGGACGACAACGACGATGAAGATGACCAGGCCGAGATTGTCAGTCGCTCTGGAGGACACTGGTAGATTAGTATTTTGTATGATGATATAGATGAAAGTTATGGGCTATGAACTCTTGTAAAATTAATGTGATTAGGATATGTAAAGTTCATTGGTGGTGAGTCTTCGTCTTTATAACAATCTATGTAAAGCTGCTTACAAGTTTTGGAAAAGTTTTGTGACCTCGTCAGCGCCATCTTCGTAGATTTCAGACAACTTTTGCTTAACGACTGGTACCAAGTCTTTGGCATCAATCAAGTCGCCATCATCATCAGCAAACTCTGGGCCCAATTTCTTCACTCTCAGCTTGTTATCCAAGTATTCTTCCTTTCCGAGAATGACTGCCAATGGACAGCCACATTTGTCGGCAGCATCGAATTGCTTTCTGGGATTAGCTTTAGATTTGTAAACGTATTCAGTTTCAATTCCAGCATTCCACAGCTGCTTGGCGACTTGCATTCTCTCCGGCAAGTACCCAGTCCAGTCTTTACCACCACCAAAGGCCATTACGTACACTTTAGTGGCAGTTGGTCTGATGGCAGCGGCCTTTTCGGCTCTTTGTTTGATGAGAGAGAAGATTCTCTCTATTCCAAAAGAGAAACCAACACAAGGAATTTGCCCGGATTTTTTACCAGTAGCCTCGGCAAACATGTTGACTAGATTGTCGTAACGGCCACCAGCAGCGATGGAACCAACCCCAACGTACTCAGAAGCATCATCTGCGCTCTTGGACTTTTTCTTTAGCTCTTCGGCATCTTTAGGAGGAGCTGAAGCCTCGGTAACAACTTCGAAAATTATACCGGTGTAGTAATCAAGACCTCTTGCGAGAGAAAGATCGAATGAGATGTAAGAGTCGATTTCTAGAGCCTCCACGTATTTGATGAAAGTGGCAAGCTCATCCAAACCCTCCTTAGCTCTTTCATTGGATGTAATGTCGGCATCCTGGGACAACTTAGCATGCACATCTTGAATTGAGCCGTTGAGTTTGACGTATTCACCAATTCTGTCAGCTGTGGCTTCTGTTTGGCCCTTTTCTACCACCATTTCCTTCTTGACGGCTTCCCAGGAGACTTTGTCGAGCTTGTCAACGGCAGACGAGATCTTTCTAACGTCTTCGTCCTTGACACCAGCAATTTGGAAGATACCGTCCAAGATTTTTCTATGGTTGAGCTTAATCTTGTAGTCCTTGATCCCCAGGCTACTGAAACCTTCCACAATGATCGAGAAACACTCTGCATCAGGAATCATGCTCTCATAATTACCAGCAATGTCGATATCGCATTGGTAAAACTCTCTCATACGTCCTTTTGTCATAGCTGGCTGGTCTCTCCTATACACTTTGGCAATGTGGTATCTTTTGATGTTTTGGATGTTGTTCATGGCCACAAACCTTGCAAATGGAACGGTCAAGTCGTAACGTAGCGAACAAAGTTCACCACCCTGATCTTCCAAATTGTAGATCAGTTTGGAGTCTTCGCCGTATTTCCCAGCCAAGATGTCTCGCAGTTCAAAAACTGGAGTGTCAAGCGTGGTAGCACCGTGACGCTTGAAAACTGACGATAGAGTTGAGAAGATTCTCTCTCTGATCACCATATCTTTATCGGCCCAGTCCTTCGTTCCCTTTGGAGTCTTTAAAGCGAACTGTAGCTTCGATTTTGGAGCCTTTTCGGCTGGTACTGATGCCATACTTGCGAATTTACGGTACTTGAAATTAAGCCTAAGAGGATTGAACTTTGAGGTCCAGTTGGCCATTCAACTATCAAGTTTTGGAATAGAACTTGTATTCGCCGATTGTCGATTGTAGGTTAGTTGGTAAAATTTTCGAATTGCCAATGAACATGGCGAGGACAGCGTCTTATTGAAAAAAAGTGATATACAGATCGAAGTGTGGGTCAAGAGTGGTAAGGTGAAGACTTATTTTGTACAATTTTGCGCGATATGGAATATATGGTGTTGTTGTTTGTTGATTCTTGTGATTTTAATGCCTTTCAACTGGAATTTCATTTGCGTTTTGAACTTTCGATTTCGGCGACCCTGGAGTCGAAATTGCCAGTGCTCTGGAAGTCGACTTTTCCATTGGGATTAACAGTAACGTAGCTCAAATAGTCCTTTTTATTGACCGCGGGTTTTGAGGATTCGATCTTGTGATCGCTAGAAACTGGTTGTTTAGGCGAATATTGGGTCGCCGGCATAAAGGCATTATGAGAACTCTGAACCAGTAGTGTACGAGGACCACGAATTTTGAGGTACTTGGTGCGACCGTTAGCCCATGCCGTGTATGCACGTTTGGTCCAGTTCCACGAGTTGACTCCGGCCGTGGAAATCAGTTGTCCCAATTTTTGTATGTTAAAAGGTTCGGGTTCGGGTCTCTGGGTTTTCTCTACGGTTGTGGGAGTAGATGACACTTTATTGGTAGCCGTTTGCTCGTGTTGTTGAGTAGGCAAAGCTCCCAAACGGTACTCAGAAGTGGAATTTTTGAGATCCAAATCGTTTTTGCTGCTTATCGCCAGCAAATGCTCGCTTTTCAGAATCAATTCATCTGAGTCGTCCGATAATTGGATAGTGTAAACAGAACCTGCACCACTCAGTAAAGCATTCCCACGGCCTTGCAACACTCGATAGTCTCCCGGAAGAGGTGAGGAGCGCGAACGTATTATTCCTGAGGTTCTGATATCCAACGATGTGTTGCCTTCGTATCCAATCAAGCCGTTTTTCCCAAAAACGTACCAATCCTGAGTTCCGTCTAGAGTCAGAAGACAAAGCGTTCTGAAAGGTTGCGAAGAAAAACCAAACCACGAAGTCAAGCGGCTATGACCGACATTTGGAGCCACTAGAGCGTTGAATGGTGTTGGTGAGATCAGTTTATGGAATAAAGCAGGACGCCATGAACCATACTTTATCAGTGACCACATGACATCGACCCATTTATGTTCGATGTGCAAATCCTGAGTGTTGTGAAGCGAAACAAGACACCCACGACGCACATACAGCGGTACCGAAGCCGGTAGACTTACGGAACACAAAGTTGCTGGAGTCCCCAGTGTTTTGAATCTAGATTCGGTACTTTCATTTTCCGACCCGAAAACGGGTTCCACATCGAGCTTTTGGGCCAATTGTGCGGGGACAATGCTCGAGGCATTAGGTTTGACGAGCGATATATGACGAATTGCAGTTATTCGAGCCAGGGACCGGCTCATACTGAAAATAACGGTGCTGTGCTATGAATCTCCAGTGAATAACAGTATGGTGGTAGGATAGCTAATATTGATTGGTTCATATTTTAGCATCGCTCCTCGTTATAAGTGATGAGTTTGGATCGGGGACCTACCTGGTAACGTGCATGGCGTCCAGCTCAAGTTTGACCATTGGAAGTCGAGTTTGGCACCATAGAATGTGTTCTGGTAAGATATCCACTTGTTGTTGTTGATCACCGGGATCGACACGTCAAGTTTTGAACCTCATTGGACGATTTTTGTTTTTTCTTCCTTGACGATCGTTGATGCCACAAGCTGTCGATTGTCTTACGTGAAGCGGTGTTCGGGTCCCGGCACCTCGAGAATCGCAACCAGAAAGTAAACGCGTAGTAATACGCGTGCTCAGTCTCCCGAAAAAAACCTTGTTTTTCGAGTACGTCGTACTGAATTTGTTATCCTTTCCTCGAAATCAGATACCATATTGTATGACGGTAGGCATCAGCCTATCTCACTAAGTCCTTGATCAAAACAGGTGGGTGCCTTTTCGTCCAACTGCAGAAGATTTCGGTGTAGGAGAAATCCTGTATTCCTTACTGACTTGTGAATTTCTAGCATTAATGCCAGACTTAATCGTCGCTCAATGATTGTTGTTGCAAATCAAATTTCGCCACCTCCCTCATTCTTCCTCAGTGACTCCCTCTTGCTGCTTCACAAACAGCGCACTACTCAAGGAAAAGATTCTGTCCTTATCTGTAAAAGCGTTAGGAGTTTCGTGCGAGTGTTTCCCAAAAGCGTCAAATCCCTTGACTATATTTCCCAGCTGGCTAGAGCTATTTCCTTGTAGATATTCAGTCTCTTTATCGAATATTTCCTGCTGCAGCTGTTGCAATCGACGTTCCTGCTTCTGACGCTCTTCCAAGGAATCGGTGAGCTCTTTCTTGAGTTTATCATATTGAGAGCGGTCAGACATCGCACAGCACTATGCTATCACTGTAAGCCAGCACTAAAGTCACACTAAGAGTACGGTTCTTGTAGTTCTTGTTCTTGATCAAGTTTCCCGGTTTTCTTATGGCATCAACAAGATATCGAAAAACAATCTATAACTTGACAATATTCAAAAGTTTGTTGACAAAAGTTCAACTTTGACCAAAAACCCTCGATAGCTGAACCAATTGACGCATCAACAATGTCGATAGTCATTCACAATGGTACCCACACCACGATTGCCGGGTTTTCGCAGGTGGATATGCCGCAATTAGTGTGTTCTTCAAGTTATACCAAAAATGCCAACGATACACTTGAATTCGATGCAGACGAAATTATAAATGGGCCAGAGACTCCAGTTTTCACAATAATGAGTCCCGAGGGAGTACCGTACGACTGGGATGCGCTGGAACAGCAGTGGCGGTGGATTATAGAAACTAAGCTCGGTGCCAATCTGGAAGAAACTCCATTGGTGGTAACGGTGGCTCCAGATATGACACCTGAAAACAGAAATCAATACTTGGAGCTGGCCTTGGGCAAACTGAAGGTTCCAGTATTTCAGATGGTTTCGGAACCTTTGGCCGTATCCCTGTCGTTGGGTCGCAACACTGCGTTGGTTGTCGACATCGGTGCAGCCAAAGCTACTGTAACGCCCATAATAGAGGGTACAATACTCTCTAGTGCAGCAATTAGGTCGCGTTTTGCAGGCGACTTCCTGGATTTCCAAATACACGAAACGCTCAAAAGCCAAATTTCCGGCGACCAAGAAAAAGAAGAAGAAGGAACGACAACGAGATGTCCCTCTTTCAGCGCATTTCGCAATTCACGTACCTGGATTCAAGAATTCAAGGCTTACATGTTGCAAGTCTCTCCATCCAAGCTGCAGGAAATGGACTCCGCTACTGTTGACATGTTGGGATTGAACGTCACTAAAAACTTTCTTTATCAGAAGCGCAAGACTTTGAGTTTAACACAGAAAGAATGCTGTTCTCTGACCGAAGGCATTTTCCAGCCTTCAACAGTTTCAAGTCAGTTTTCTAACGAAGAAGGCTTGTCGATTATAGTCTCGAAAGTGGTCAAAAAAGCAGGTGCTGCCACCTCTCAAAGCGCTTCTGCTGCGAATGTGACTTCCGCAGAGCAAATCCACACCGCGCTACTCACAAATATAATCATCACTGGTTCCTCGTCGCTCATTGCTGGCCTTGAGCAGCGTATCGTCAATGACCTGAGCTATCAGTTTCCGCAGTACAAGCTGTCCTCGTTTGCCAATCCTTTGGTGATTGACCGCAAGCTTCAAAGTTGGCATGGCGGCGTCACAATGGCCAACTTGCCCTCTTGGGACTTAGGCGAGTGGGTGTCTCGCAAAGATTTGGAGACCACAAAGGCAGAAGAACACTACTGAAAATGAGGCAAAGTGTAAAGAATTGTTACTTAGCAAATGAGGACCTTGAACCGAGAACAATCATTGGAGAAGGATATTTTTGATGCTCTCAACAACATTGACGATTAATAGAAAGATGCAATGATTATTTTTTGACGAAGACCAGCGAAAATCCAGAGTTTATGAGATTCAATGCTTTCTCACTAACAAGGGCCATTGACTGAAAAGCTGATCTTCTACAGAAGCGGTGCTCTCAGCGGTGAAGTACATGTCATGGACTCGTCAGCTTTGCCGGGGCTTACGAGTACCCTGTGTAATCCATTACGACGACTCGAGGGAGGCCCAAAGACTGATTTATAAGGACGTTAACATCCATCCTGTTGCAACAGAACTCTTAGGCTTTCTTTCCATACTGCTCGAGTACAAAATTACCACCGTATCGCCATGCCTCTAGCTCCAAAGTATCTAGCTTCTCACATTATATCTACTACAAAACCATTGGAAACCTCGAGACCCTTTGCGAATGTGGTAGAGTTGTATTTGGACTACTGCTGTCCCTTCAGCAAGCGTTTGTACTTGAAGTGGACTAAAGACGTTATTCCGGTAATAGAGAAGCAATTGAACAAGCAGTTCGAATTCCAGTTCGTGCAAGTAGTCCAGCCTTGGCATCCTTCGTCAACGCTGATGCACGAAGCTGGACTAGCAGTAGCGTTGTCCGATGCAACGTTATTTCAGAGCTTCAGCAAACTGCTATTTGAAAGACAAGCAGAATGGTTCGATCAGGCATGCTACCAGAAATCTCGCAAGGAAATGTACGAGGAGCTAGCTTCATTGGCTTCTTTGGTTGGTGTTTCGAAGGAACAGGTGTTGAAACTTTTGGCTATTGACGAACAGGATTTCGAGCAGGACGGTACTCCCAAAAACTCCGGAAACAAAGTGAGTGCGAGTTTGAAGTATTTCACTCGGTACCAGCGCCAAAACGGAGTACACGTAACACCCACGGTTGCGGTCAATGGGATAATTGTCGGTAATATTGGTAGTGGCAACACTCCAGAAGAGGTTATCAAGCTTTTGGACGCTGCCACATGAAGAGAGGGAGAGCAGCAAGATGATCTCCTGGTGCCTTTTACAAGATACGGTCACATATGAGAGTGGGTTTACTGGTAGAGCTATTTTTCGAGTCTTATAGCACATTTCGACAAAAAGCCTTTCTCGATCAAGAAATTGACAGAAAAGGCCTCTCCAGACTGCTACAGTGAATAGCGTCTTTAATTGATACTGATGTTGAGCAAAATCAGATAATTAGCTAAACCTAAAGCAGCGTTAAAGCAGCGTTGAAGACAGAAGTCAAGAGTTCAAGTTACAAAGTCTAAATCTATTATCATTGATGATAGACAAAGTAACAACCACACAAGTCACCAAACAGTACATCATTCAGCTAGATTTCTTGGTCAAGTAGTCAAAGTCGTTGCTAGCCCTAATGCTAGCCCTAATGCTTTCATTAAATAAATAGCCCTATTAATATATAAGCTGGAAAAAAATGAGTATATAAAGGAAGCATTATTAAATTTCAAACTCTGTAAACTACTCAACACTTTTCATCAACGAAAAGCCAACGTTCAAACACAGCCAACGGCTACTTGCCTCAAAAGCTGTTCTTTCTAGATTCGTAGAGTCACAACCGCTTCGACAGCCTTTTATGTCGTTTCACACTGCCCTTTCATGATCTTTGCATGAAGTGATTGTTCCAGATGGAACATTACTGTTTTTGACTGAAAATGATGATACCCAAAACAACAACAACATGAATTTCTTCAACCGATAACCATAGGAGGAACCAAACTTTGACAGCTTTTTAACCCTGATCTTCAGTTCAACATGCAAGGATTTTCGTGAAAGCGGAAAATGAGAGAGACGCTAGACGTCTTTGAAGTAGAGTAGTTATTTTGTGGATCTTGTAGCTGTGGTTGTAGCTGTAGATGTGAACTGGGATCAACGATTCCTTGTAGTGAACCTGGAGACAGCGAATTGGTGCTTTGGAGCCCGACAAAATAGTCTTTTCGTGCGAGGTGACTGATATGGAGATTTTGTCAGGATTGTCCATGAGTCCTATTCGTTTTTCATGATTATCTGACACGACTCCGACGTATAAAGGCGATCTGGATATGATTCCGGCTGTGAATCCGGCTAAGAAATTACCTTTTGATATGTTTTCGTTGTCACTAATTAACTTTTTGGCTAAAGAAACATCGACACGATTTTCAGTATAGTTCAGTTAAGCTCCAGCTAATGTATAATTCAATAAAAAACACAGCGTGACCGTATCGTATATAGTTACATGAGTCTCAGAATACATGTTCTTCCCCACTCGTCGTATAAAAGTACTGAATTCTCAATTCCAAGTACTCATGGCCAAAGAAGCCGGACTCGCCGAAATCGTGATCAGTTCTAGATTACGTTAATCCAAGCTCATCGCATCCCATCGCATCGCATCCCATCGCATCGCACTACTTTCCAAACACCAAAGCGAAAGGTTATGGACTTTTCAATATGTCAGGATTGTTTGGGGGATCAAACACGGTTGACCAGAGCTCAAAACGGTGCAGAATGCAAGATTTGCACACTTCCCTTTACGGTGTACCATTTCAAAGCAAATTCAAAGGTCAACAGAACACTTATATGCCATAATTGTTCCAAACAACGCAATGTGTGTCAATGTTGCATGCTGGACCTGCAATGGCATATACCTATAGAGCTGCGAGACCGAATTTTATCTTCAGTTCAGGGAACTCAGGTGGCTACACCTGAGGCCCAAAATGAGATGATGAAAAGATTCATCGCGTTGAAAAACGGCGACAAGTACAAAGTCGGTGGGGCGTCTGTGACGAGTGATGCCTTGGCAAGTGCTGAGGCAGTCGAAAGAATACGAAAAACCGTGGACGAAGCACAGGAACTGGGTGACAAACGAAAGTCAACGAAATCGCGATCATCGTCATCACCATCATCGGACAGAGATGTCGATATATCACATCTGATCAAAAAACTGCCTTTAAAGGGCTCTCTGGAGCCTGCAACATCCTTTTTCATATACAACCTAGACCCCTCGATACCGGAATGGGCTATTGTCGAAACGGTGTCAGAGCTTGTGGGAACCACAACCTGGCAAGATCCCAATTCCACGTCCATAGCCATCAACCATATGGCGAGGTGTGGAGGGTTGAGATTCAAGTCCATGGACCTAGGTGAAAAGTTCAGGCTTGCTCTTCAAACTTTCCAAACGCCCACGAAAATCGTCAAGGGCAAACTTCAGGTGCAGAACTCCAAGCTACACTGTGTTGCATGGCCACAATTCCATCGTTCAGCCCTAGGAATCAACAATTTCGAGTGTCTCAAACTAGCTCAAAATCTCGATATTCTAGTGCAGAAGGACCTATCTGCTTCGGAAGCTTCCAAAGCTGCTTCAAAACCACTTAAGGTGGGTAAATCTAGTAAAGGAAGCTCTTCTAAAAAAGCTAAAAAGCCAAGACGCATAGTTGACATCGAATTGTAACATGGGAAGCACAGGGTGCTGCAAAAACCGTTTCGATTCTCGGCCTTTTCAGCATTGTTGAAATATTGTGCAATTCTTAATTGTTCAACAATGAGTCCTGCAAACGCGACAGGATTCAGTGACATAACATAATGTGGGCTCTGCAAACTGCCACGAAGCTAGTCGGATCGATGCCATCAACATAGCATATCTTCCAAACTAGACTGGCTTGCCAGGTCGTGGCCCATGATCATTGAACTAACAGACATCTTGGGACCTTAAGATCTTGAACTACTTCATGACTCGAGACCAGATCAACACTTCCAGATCCGTAGATTTTACTTTCTCATAATGTCCACATATGAAGGTAAGCTAAGCGTACATACCCTTTAACACTTTATCCTCATCCATCAAGACTAACCCGAAATTTTAACATCAGAGGAACATAGCATTACCCAAACTACATCAGACAGTAGACGGGATCTCAGAAACCATATTCGCGAGCTTTACCAGGAGAATGGCGATTCCAACGCCCTCTTGGAATTGCTTTCGCAACTAATTCCGGAATCGATGCAAGAAGAGCTTCTCCAAGACCAAAAACAAGGTTGTCCGGACCATTACGTGGACTCGCTTCCTCGAGTGAACAATAACAAAATTGGCCTTCACGATTCTTGTAGTATATGCTGCTGCAAATACAAGGAAGACGATTTCCCCTTAGTGGTAGAATTGCCGCATTGTGGCCATCGCTTCGATCTTGAATGCGTAGCGGTTTGGCTTTCCAAGAGTACCACCTGTCCGCTGTGCAGAGACGACGTTTTGTCACACAAGCCTAAAATCGATGTTAGCGAGGTCGAAATGGAGGACGATTGGGGAATGTACGGATGAAGCTGTAGTAGAATGATTGTGAGGGTGTAAATATTTGTGTATATATGTACAGGTTGGAAGAGAGGAGAAAGAATGCCCGCTTACACTGACTGGCTCTTGCATTTTTGTTTCAACTCTACATATGCTTCTTGAAGGCCTCGTTATCCAGAAGCTCCAAGACCTTTTCGCCCACGACTTCGTCCAGCGATTGTGACTTGCGCTCTTCGGTCAAGAGAGGGCTTTTCGTTAGCGTTTGCTGTAGTTTCACGCCCTCTTTTTGATACATGTTGCACTTGATGCCCACTCCAGCGATTGAGTGTTTTGAGATGTAGCTTAGCCAAAGCTCCACAACTTCCGGATTTGAGTCCCACACTCGAATCAATCTCTTGTGCGTGTGTCTCTCAAAATTCTCCTTGGACTTGGCCTGTGCAAAAGGCGACCTTATCACGGTCCAACGCTCTCTTCTTGTTGGTAACGGCTTGGGACCGGTCAACGGCATCCCTAGGTAGAAACCTGCTCTCAACATGAAATCCGCATAGAAGTCCAGATTTTCGTGATCATACGAACGTAGTTGCACATCTGCTATTAAGTCACCGTGGATAATGGAATTTTTCAATGGTGCGTGGTACACTGCTTCAACATTTATGGGTAGCTGTTTTGCACTTTGAGTAGCTTCAGGAATCGCACCTGTTGACTGAAACCTGAGAAACTGTCTCAAAGGACCAGACACTGAAGCTCTAAGCATGTGGAGAGGTTAAATCGATGGAGCTTGACGTGAATTCTAGATGTTATGATGATTCCTTCAAGTTCATGAACTTTTGACTACTTTATTCATTAAATTTCAAATTTTTTTCAGTAAGCGATGAGCTCTTGAAATTTGAAGAACTATCGACAAAATCGACGGTTTAGACAGCTTTGGAAGTAATTGTGACATCCGCAGAGTAGCTAGATCGCTAGAACACAGCTTTTAGATATCTGCCGTATTTTTCAGCTTTCCTTTACCTCATCTGTAGCACAATCTACAAAGGACGACAGTTTACACAGGAACTGTCAAAACTATAGCATTAGAGAAGGCATCGCTTGGCATTTGGTGGTGTATCAAGCAATGGGGAAAAGTAGTAAGGATAAAAGAGATTTGTACTACCGAAAAGCCAAAGAACAGGGATTCAGGGCCAGATCTGCATTCAAACTCCTGCAATTGGATGAACAATTTCGTTTTCTAGACAACGTCACTCGTGTGGTGGATCTGTGTGCGGCACCGGGTTCTTGGTCACAGGTTCTGTCCAGACGACTATTCGAAGACGATCCTGAAAATGCCGATAAAAAGCGTATAGTCGCTGTTGACTTACAACCCATGTTTCCAATAGACCATGTTACGACAATTCAAGCAGATATCACACATCCCAAGACGCTGAGTAAAATCATGGACCTTTTCGAAGGTGAAAAAGCAGACTTTGTGTGCAGTGACGGTGCCCCCGATGTCACAGGGCTTCACGATTTGGATGAATATGTTCAACAACAGTTAATTCTCAGCGCACTCCAATTAACAACCTGTCTTCTGCGTGAAGGAGGTGTTTTCGTGGCTAAAATCTTCAGAGGAAGGGATATCGACATGTTATACTCACAATTAGGCTACCTTTTCGAGCGGGTTGTTTGTGCTAAACCTAGATCGTCAAGAGGAACTTCACTGGAAAGCTTTGTGGTCTGTCTAGGATACAAGCCACCCACAAACTGGGAACCGCGTCTTGACGTGAACATGTCTGTCGAGGACTTTTTTCAAGGCTGTGACATCGGCAGACTAACCATAAAAGACGAACTCCCAGCATATCGTGAAGAACCTAGAAGCATCGCCGAATTCATTTCATGTGGTGGGCTCAACAGTTTCGATTCTGATGCTACGTATCACGACGTTCCTATAAACGCTACTGCATTAGACCCCGTCCAGCCGCCAACTAATCCACCATACAAACGGGCGTTGGAGTTGAAGCGCAAGGGCAAACTAACAAGAGCCGCGCAATGACGTTTTCCTCGCATCGGAAAGTAAGGTATCGGGTGGACCAATAATTAACCGGCAAGCTTTTGACAGGCATATACTCGCCGCTATGTACATTAATAAAAGAGAAACTCTTCCAACTCTACACATTTATCCGTCTCCCTTGATCAAGTCGAGTCATCACCTCGTGGAAAGATTCTTATCCTCAAGTTCAGTTCATCAGCAATCTCACTGGTGTTTAACTAAGATACATTTCCTATAAAACTCTCCAAATCAGTTGGTCTTTTCGTCTTCAACTTCTCTTTGGACGTCAGGCTTCAAAGTTGGGAACAATAGGACTTCCCTGATAGTGTTCGAGTCGGTCAAGAACATAGCAAGTCTGTCGATACCACAACCCCAGCCACCAGTGGGTGGTAGACCGTATTCCAAAGCATTACAGAAAGTCTCGTCAATTAGCTGCACTTCTTCATCACCCTGGTCCTTTTGTCTGGCTTGCTCCTCAAAACGGTTTCTTTGATCGAAAGGATCATTCAATTCGGTGTAAGCATTGCAAATTTCCTTAGTAGCAACGAAAACCTCGAAACGTTCACACAAACCTGGCTTGTCTCTGGAGTATTTGGCCAATGGGGACATCATTTGAGGGTGACCGAAGATGAAGGTTGGGTTGATGCAAGTGTCTTCTAGCTCGCCGACAAGCTTGTCCAACATACGTGCGTTTGTCAATGGTGGAGGACACTCCAGTTTGTTTTCCTTCAAAACTCTCTTGAAAAATTCACCTGTTTCAGCAGTGTGCAATTGGTCTCCAGGAGGGAACTTGACGTTCAATCTGTTCTCCAATTCTTCTATCATATTGATTCTCTTCCATGGTCTAGCGAAATTCAACTCTAGTTCCTTGGTTGGGTCCTGAGGATCTGGGTGATACTTGATGACGTAAGAGCCAGTGATTTCTTTAACCATTTCAGAGATCATCAGTTCGGTGGTATCCATCAAATCATAGGCATCGGCATATGCTTGGTAGAACTCACATGTAGTGAACTCTGGGTTGTGAGTCATGTCGATACCCTCGTTTCTGAATTGTCTACCGATTTCGTAAACTCTGTCCATACCACCGACCACAAGTTCTTTCAAGAACAATTCTGGTGCGATTCTCATGAACATGTCCATGTTCAGGTCGTTGTGGTGAGTGACAAAAGGCTTGGCAGTGGCACCACCAGCAATAACGTTCATCATTGGGGTTTCAACTTCGACAAAGCTTCTCTCATCCAAAAACTTTCTGATGTAAGAGATGATCTTGGAACGAGTAATAAAACGAGGTTTAGCTTCCTTGTTCATGATCAGGTCCAAGTAACGCTTTCTGTATCTCGTTTCTTGGTCTTTGAAACCGAAATGATCGGCAGGCAGGATGTGCAGACAAGGAGTCAACAATTGGATGCGGGAGACGAAAACAGAAATCTCACCTTCACCACCCTTCTTGGGCTGGGTTCTGCCAACGTAGCCTTCGACACCAATGATGTCACCTCTTTTGATCAGGTCGTGGTCTGCCTCGTAGGCAGATTCTTCACCGTAATCTTGCACTTGAGACATCAATTGCACTTCGACACCATCGCCGTGCAACACGTAGAACTTCAATTTCGAGCCCGATTCTCTCTTGGCGTGAACTCTGCCTGCGAGTGACACTTTTTCCTCAGGCAAAGTCTCACCTCTTTGCAAATGGGCGTATTTTTCCAAGAAAGCAGGCAATGCAATGGAAACATGGAATTTGTGAGGGTATGGGTTTGGAGACTTGGTTTTTTTCAACTCTTGGATTTGACGGGACCTGGCTTCAAAATACTGCGAAGGGTCCAAATCGGCAAAAGCGTCATTGGCTTTCTTCTTTGGTTCAGGTTTTGGCTGCGCAGAAGCTTTCTTTGCGGCTTTCTTGGCGTCATTTTGTCTCTGCTTGATACGCTTCTTCAATTCGGATTTCGAAACCATTTCACCAGTGGTTTCGTCCAAATGAAGATTGGCGATCGCGTCGTTGACGTTTTTAACTTGTTCTTCCTGGGACATGATGCGATTGGATCAAAGTACGAAGAACAGAGGAGCGGTAAGGTTCAACTTTGAATAAGTCGTCACCAATTGTGAGTTTCTTCAGAATTTGATGATAATGAGAGTGAGTGAGAGTCATCTCGAATCTTTTGAAGGAAAGTTCTGATTGAGTAAGGCCAATAATTGAAAAAAAAATTTCCAGACTGTTGTCATATTGGACGACGGAAACGATAAGAGCACGTGATGTGGAAGGCCACGTGCAAACATTTTTGTAGTTTGGCGCCAAGAATCGTTTCTGTTTGGTCTAAGATGCCGCCTAGTTGAGCGCGATTGAGCTTTGGTGAAAAGCTGAGAAGAGAATTATCCTTTGGCTGGTTTCTGTTGTGATACAGTGTTCGCTTTGCAAGTTTATGTCGTGTCCCAATGTGTGCTATTCAGGCTTATGCTATGCCACATTGTGTGCTTTGCAGGTTTGAATCAAAAGACATTAAAATCAGTGCGACATTTCCAAAACTATAGCGCTATTCAAGCACCAGTGATCGCCAAATCCTCCAAAATCTCATCCTCCGGCTTTTGCCGCTTTTGAAAGTAAGGAGCCACAAAAATAAAGCTCGAACCGATCCAACTAAGTGAGTATCCTATTCTCATCAGTCTAAAACCCATACCAATCGTAGAATCAGTATTTTCAAGCCCCAAGCACCTCTAAAATAGGAAAACTAACAACTATCACGCGTTAGACAATTGAATCACAAACTAGCCATTAATCTACTAGTTTTGGACCATTTTTGCTGGTGAAAACTGTGACTATCTCAAATTGAAGATAGCTCTAGCTCTGTCCCAGTTCTCTAGCGCTCCCAGCTAACGTCTTTTCAATGGAAAACCCTCTGCTTTTAACATCTTTATCGATCCTTGTCTTATTCTAAATCTGACATGCAATATATCAAGTTAATCTTTAAATTAAGCAAATCTCGAAAATATACCTCTAAGACAGAAAAGTTAAGCGTTAGTAGCAAGACTTACAGTTCGAAGCAGCAAGCCATTAATGGGAGCCCATAAGCCTAGACTTATAATTTTGGTGCGGCACGGCGAAAGCGTGTCAAACAAGGACAAAACAGTGAATCAACACGTACCGAACCATCAGATCCCACTAACGGAAAACGGCTGGAGACAGGCACGAAGATCGGGCGCGCAACTTTTGCAGTTTTTGAATGTAGACGACCAGGAAGAATGCAAGAAACTAGCAGACAAGTATTTCTTCGAGGACGAAAAGGTCCCACAGCTCAAACAGCACTACGCCCAAAATAATCGAAATTTAGACAGCAATGTGGTGTTTTACACATCGCCGTACAAACGGACCCGCGAAACGTTACGTGGAATACTGGATGTTCTGGACGAATACAACGAGAGTAATTGTGGTGTTTCGGCGCGGCAAAATGATGGATATCAGCCCTGTGGGAACATGAAACTTGCACATTGGCAATCGCCAGAATTTCCACATGGCTACTATGAGAACAAGGAGTCACGTGAGCTCAAAGAGAGTTTTTGCAAGACTGCAGAACGCAAGACATTTATTCACTATCGGGTCAAGGACGATCCCCGCATTCGTGAGCAAGATTTCGGCAATTTCCAAGAGCTTAAGGCCATGCGAGATGTGATGAGTACGCGCACTAACTACGGCCATTTTTTTTTCCGTTTCCCGCAGGGCGAAAGTGCGGCTGATGTCTACGACCGCTGTGCCAGTTTCCAAGAGACGTTATTTAGGCATTTCAATCAACCAGGCCGAAAACCACGAGACGTCGTTGTTTTGGTGACGCACGGTATCTATCTACGGGTTTTCCTCATGAAGTGGTTTAGATGGACTTACGAGGAGTTCGAGACCTTCACCAACGTGCCCAATGGCTCGTTGGTAGTCATGGAACTCGATCCGGAGCTTGATCGGTATGTTCTACGCACTACGCTACCTAAATGGTGCTGAAGTCAAAATATATATTCCATATATACAAATATAAATAGAACTAGTCTCTCTAAAGTCTCTAGTTGGTTTTCGTACAGAGTGATTTAACTTACAGATCTCGTGACCGACAATTTACTTTATTTTTTTCTACAATAGTTTTTCCGGGCTTCCGGTTTTCGGATAAAAAAATCCCCATCAAAGCGCGGCGGTCTGTGGGCTTCCCGGAAGCGCTATTTAATCCGACCAGAAGCTCAATTTTCACGGCTTACAGCCATAGACGACGACGATGTCACAGCACGATATACTCAACATCAGCTTTTGAAATCTACCAATCTAGCACTGGAAACCCTGTCATCGTAAGGCTAAAACAGTAACTACAAGAAGAAAAGATGTTCGTCTTGTAGCCACAGACGAGGGCTACAATTCGATTACTTTTCCAGCCAAAACGGCGTCAAGACAGTGTCTCCACAAACAGCAAGAAAATTAGAAGAAAAAGACTCTCTTCAATGTCAGCTTCCAATTTTTCTCGTGGCACACACAACGTCACTGGGGCCAAATGGTGTGCTTCAACCGAGTGTGTGTGACATTAAAATGGTGTGGAAAGCCGCTTAGATGAATTAACTGGTTCACTACCATAGTGGACGTGTGGTGTGGAAATAAGGTGAAGTTCATGGAATGGAATCGAAAAAAAAAAAAGAACGGACTCAGCTTGACTAGAGGAGAATTTATCCACCAGTTATAAAAGGACGCAATGAACTTTCGTAGTCTCTATTTTAAGTTAGATTAGTTTCTGTTCTTCTTTTTCAATCTCGGTAGAATTCATCAAATTCCCAACACACATACACACATAATAATCATCCAAAATGGCCAGAACTTTTTTCGTCGGTGGTAACTTCAAGCTAAACGGTACCAAACAATCCATCAAGGAAATCGTTGAGAGATTGAACACCGCTTCTCTACCTCAAGACGTTGAAGTCGTTCTATGTCCACCAGCCCCATACTTGGACTACGCTACCTCTTTGGTTTCCAAGCCTCAGGTCACCATTGGTGCCCAGAACGCCTACTTGAAGGCTTCCGGTGCCTTCACTGGTGAAAACTCTGTTGAACAGATCAAGGACGTTGGTGCCAAGTGGGTCATCTTGGGTCACTCCGAGAGAAGAACCATCTTCGGCGAAGACGACAAATTGATCGCTGAAAAGTCCAAATTCGCCTTGGACCAAGGTTTGGGCGTCATCTACTGTATCGGTGAGACTTTGGAAGAAAAGAAGGCCGGTAACACCCTAAAGGTCGTCGAGACCCAATTAGACGCCGCTTTCGCTCAAATCAAAGACTGGACCAACGTCGTCATTGCCTACGAGCCTGTGTGGGCCATCGGTACCGGTTTGGCTGCCACCCCAGAGGATGCTCAGGAAATCCACGCTCACATCAGAGAATACTTGGCCAAGAAGGTCGGCTCTGACGTTGCTGAGAAGACCAGAATCTTGTACGGTGGTTCCGCAAACGGTTCGAACGCTGTCACCTTCAAGGACAAGAAGGACGTTGACGGTTTCCTAGTTGGTGGTGCTTCTTTGAAGCCAGAGTTTGTCGACATCGTCAACTCCAGAAACTAAAGTCATTAAGGCCTCTGCTGTTCGCCAGACAGCTTAATTAGCAATGTATAACGAATGAAACTTTTGGGAAGAATAAGCCTTTGTCAAGGTGACAACGCCCAGATTTTATGATTTTTTAAAAATGGATCTCTAGACAATTTTGGAGTGTGTGTTTAGGATGCGGTAGAGCGCCGCCGACGGTCATTCTTATTGACATTACAAATTGCACGAATGGCATTCAATATGTTGTGTTTGTGTTTCACAAGCCGGCTCAAAATGGACCTTGATCGCACGTTGTAGCCTTACAGCAACTAGATTGAAGCTGTGACATACGTATTTGGACCCCGGCTCACACCAAAATGCCAAAACATCTCGCACGGTCGTAACGGTCGCACAGTTCGCTCCATTGAACTACAAATTCGTCCACCAATGGGTACAGGAGCTTTCCGCTTAGACTCAAGGAGGTTGTGCGTGCCAAACTCTCAACATAGACTATTTTAGATCTTGTCATTGTCAAAATTTCCAATACCTTGAGCCATCCTGCGATAATGCAGCAAGTACCAGGTCCGTTGAGCAAAACCAAATGTGGCTGGCCCAAAAACTGCCATTTGATCCACGTCACTGTCCAAACCGCTCCCGCTAACGTCTGGACGATACTTTTCACCGATTGCAGTTTGGAAGCACCCACTTCACGAGCTTTGCCAAATCTGCACACCTGGACATCAATTTCTTGAGCCTTCAACTGCGATTCCAAGGCATGGTGAAACCGCTCCAAACTAGCTTCGTCTGAAACCCCTACTGTCAATCTCGTTTGACCTGGCTTCAAAAGTGTCTGCTGATAATTTTCCAAAAGACGCAGCATCTCACCAGTATGGCCACCAGACCCTAGAAATACGAACACTTGCAATTTGCGGTCCGCCACTTCACCCGCGGCTTCCAGTACACGGTCATTCTGTACCCCAAAGATCGGAATCACCAATATCACTCGCACCACCAACCACTGCAGCGCCAACAGCACCGCCAGCCATATTTCAAATCCCATCGCTTGGGTGTGCAGCTACAGCTGAAAATGCACCAAAAACGATCGTAAAAAGCTCTCCAAAGACGCCAAAAAAGACTCCTGCCAAGTCCACCAACGCCAACGCGCTATTCTTGGTATCCAGGGCCTCCGGTTTTGTGCGTTTTCTGATTGTAGATCTTGAACGCATTTGAATAATTTTTCAGCGATAGCCAGCTAGTTTCCATAACAGTCATATACATCTATAAGGGCAGAACGCGAAACTTGACGCGTCGCGAAAATAGAGATGAGACACCAAAATCGCGTTTCAGGTAGATCTTCCATCTCGTGCATCTTGTAATTTTGATGGCAGGAATGATCTGCAAGATACAATGTGGCTGTAGCAGGTTTCTTGTATATAAATGTAGACTTTAGCTTAGCCCTTGACCATCTTGTCTTTTCGGTTTCGTGGCTGACAGACGTACAACTAACTGGCTTCCTCTCACAAAAAACCGAAACCAGCTACCATGAGACGCACTACAAGAACTGATCCGAAGAAGAGACACTCCATGATCGTCGATACATCTGGGATATCGTCGTTTGCAGGCTTTTCGTCGCTGTATGGATCGAAAACTACAAACAGGTCGCTCGAAAACGTAGCGACAGACAAGAAATCCGGGAGCGGCGAGCGTTTAGAGCGTACTAAACGCAAAAACTCAAGTCTCAAACGCAGCACTGTGTTGCTGGACGACAACATGGTGCGGGAATACAATCTGGCCGTTCAAAGCCTGGCACACGAACCTTTGGACTCCCGCAGCTCACCACAACTGCGGAAAACACCACAGAGGACCCATCAAAATACACTTTCCGCGTCGTCCAGCATGTCGTCACTTTTTTCGCGCGAAAGTGCAATGTCGGTACAAGACCTCATGTTTGAGGACTATACGGTGTGTGAGCCTGTAGAGTGCGTGCAAAAGGGCTTTTTTACGGGATCCTCGGAAAGCCTGGACCTGGACCTGGACCTGGACCTGGATCCATGGGCCCAAGACAAAAACAATGGCAATTACGACGACAACAATGACGACTTCAATGCGGATATGATTCCTAGTCGAAGAACGCAACTGGACTTTTTCTGACTTTACACAGTGCACCACCGGGCATTAGGGCACACAAAACGGACACATTTCACCGCTTAACTTGCTAGCATTAAACCAGTTTCGTTTCTCTTCTCCAAATCAGCATGCAGGCATACTGATCTTTTCGAAGAGCGTGTAGCGAAATTGGAAGACAACACTGCTAGAGACAATGACATTTCAAATCGCATAGCTATCGTGTTGTATGTATATATTTGTAACACGACGAATACACAGTTGCAAAAAGAGACGGAAGCTTTACATTGAGCTAGCGAAAACGCTTTATTTTGGTACTTGTAGTTCTCGTGTGTCGGACACTGTTTTTCTCTCTAGAATTCACAGAAACTTGTCAAAACAGGCCTCTAAAACGTTTGATCTGCCATACCTTGAGATTTCCTCGAGCCCTTATCTCATAAATATCGGTTGAGATCTACAACGATGATGAAATGGATGTAATTCGATTTTCTCACCATTTTTTGAGAGTTTTTAACCATAGGTCCCGCTAGGCTTACTTTGTTGATAAAATTGCCAAATCCAAGAAGCGAAGACGCTTTGCAAATACTTAACCTCAAGATCAAGATCAAACTCTCATTACTTGAATTTTAAATACCAAGCAATCCCGCTAACGAGCTCTTTCATCCCAGCTGTGTTTCCAGGATCGCTGTTATTGTTCAAATTTGATGACAACTATTAAATCTGATCAACCTCACAACAGGAATCTTATGCGCCGCCAACTTCAAGAAAGCCCAATATGAAGCTGCCACAATACGAGAACAAACCGTTCAAGTCGCCAGTAGTATCCATTGGTAATCGCACAACTCAACAAAGTTTTGAAGGATCCGTGGCTCGCACTTATGCTCCCAAACCATCGCATCTTGGAAATAGTCAAAAAACTATCAAAAAGCGTCCCATAGAAGCACTAACAACACCTTCAACATCCACAACAACCTCCGTTGTTAAGAATTACTACTTTACTACGTATCGCAAGCGTACTACAAAGAAAAATAAGACTTGGGATGGCGATGGGTTATGTACAGAGCTCGAAAACGGTGGGTTTCGTTTCTATAAGGAAAACGGACAATTTATGGGCAGTGGTAAAACTAGCACTGCGGATGACATATATGAAAAAGTATTCTCGTGTGCTGGATTTGAGATCCAGCTCGATTCTCAGATATGTGAGGAGCCAGAAATGACACGAATTGCCGCCCTTCTTGGCAAATCCACTAATACTTCTGCAGTCCCTTCAAGACACACTAGTATGTCGCCTTCGCCACCAAAAATTGTGGATTTGAGGGTGCAGAAGCCAAACATCGAGACGATACCGGTAAAAAGGTTTCAACAATCTTCCCAACGTATACTCTCTGCTTCGAAGACTGGAACAGCTTCGTTTACACCGCTTTTCGACTCTGCTAAAATCGAAAATGCGCTAGTAATGAACAATTTCGAAGAAGCAGAGGTTGAGGTTGTCGTAGATCCGATACTATCAAGACACCTTCGACCCCATCAACGCGTTGGTGTCAAATTCATGTACGATTGCGTCATGGGACTGTCTAGGCCTACGGACTACGAAGATGACGGAAACACGATAAAAAGGCTAGAGAAAACAGACGGGCTAAACGGCTGTCTTTTAGCCGATGAAATGGGGCTGGGTAAAACGTTGATGACAATCACGCTGATATGGACGTTACTCAAACAAACACCACTTCCATCAAAAACTACTACAGCCATGTCAGGATTAGTTCACCAAGGTGTCTGCAGTAAAGTACTGGTTATTTGTCCTGTAACACTAATAGGAAACTGGAAGCGGGAGTTCCAGAAATGGTTGAATCTCAACAGAATTGGCGTGCTGACTTTGAGCACCAAAAGTACGCCTGAGAAAGACAAACTGGAAGTTCGCAATTTTTTGAAGGTCCAGAGATCATATCAGGTTCTCATAATAGGATATGAAAAACTTCTCAGTGTGTCAGATACCCTAATCGAATGCCGCTCGAGCATAGGTATGCTTGTCTGCGATGAGGGCCATCGGTTAAAAAATGGGCAATCAAAAACGCTAAATGTGCTTAAAGCCCTGGAGGTACCGCGGAAAGTGCTTCTCACAGGAACTCCAATCCAGAACGATTTATCAGAATTTTATACCATTCTGAGCTTCCTTAACGATGGCATTTTGAGTTCGTACCCCAAGTTCAAAAGAGATTTCATAAACCCTATCGCTGCATCAAGAGACGTCAATAATAAGTTCAATGAAGTTGTGCAGGAGAAGGGCGCAGCCAAAAGCCAAGAGCTTATTGAACTGACGAAAAAACTAACTTTACGAAGGACCAGCGACACGATCGCCCGTTTTCTTCCGCCAAAAACCGACGTCATCTTATTTTGTCGGCCAACTTCGAGCCAATTGAGAGCTTTCGAAAAAGTGCTGAGGAATACTTCAATCAACATGTCAAATATGACATACAGCTCATCTCTAGCGCTTATCACACTCTTCAAAAAGATTTGCAATTCACCAAGCTTGGTACATCAAGACACATTCTATCTTGAGAATGCCAAATCAAATGTTGCAATGACAGATGCCTCTAAACCTGACTCTGGTAAGCTCAGGGTATTGATGAATATTCTTAAAAGCATACAAACCTTTTATTCAGAGGAAAAAGTGGTCATTGTTTCGAACTACACGAGGACTCTAGATGTAATCCAAAATTTGTTAAACGCGCAGAACTTTTCCAACATCAGACTGGATGGCTCTACTCCCAGCAAAGAACGCGACAGAATCGTGAATACATTCAATTCGGCACCATCAATATTTACCTTTTTACTGAGCGCGAAATCGGGTGGAGTGGGTTTGAATTTAATAGGCGCTTCTCGTTTGGTACTCTTTGATAACGATTGGAATCCAGCCATTGACCATCAGGCCATGTCCAGAATACACCGAGATGGTCAAGAAAAAGCTTGCTTTATCTACAGACTCTTTTCAACCGGTTGTCTTGACGAGAAGATCTTTCAGCGGCAGTTGATGAAGAACAGTTTGAGCTCGAAGTTTATGGGAGGACCAGGAAAGGCGACAAATATGGAGTCGAATGATGACCTATTTGCCGTTGAAGAACTTAAGGATCTCTTCACGGTTCTGACTGACACTCCAAGCAATACACACGATTTGATCTGTGCGTGTGCGGGCTATGGAGAAGAACAAGATGAGGACAACACAGAAGACCGCCCACCTGCTAAAAAGAGTCGTTTGGCAAATGCCGGCAGTTCACAGCTCGAAGGTTGGACAAATGCCATGCAGCTACAAACTTTAATCCAAAGCTCTCAAGAGGAGAGTATTGCTGAAAAGGCGAGACTGGTAAGAGAGTGTTTGGCAGGCTACAAACACATTAACCCACAAAACCAACTAAACCCAGAGCCTAAGCTGGCTATAGACTGGGAAGGCGACATAACATTTGCATTTCTGAAGGAATATACTACATAGCTTAAAAGATCCACGGCTACATATCCTTTGCAGACAAAAATATTATTTACTATTATTGAGTTTCATTCTAGCCTCTGCAGCCCGTGCGCGCTGCTCCCTCATTAGCCGCATGCGCTGATCGTCTGTCAAGGAATTAGTGTTTCGTTGCAGGGAGGATAGCTGAGGTGCGAGAACCTTCCCTGGTCCACGACTTGCCTCTTTTTCGAATCTTTGTTTTTCTTTTGCAGCACTTAGTTCTTGCTCTATCAATTTCGCCTGTTCTGAGTCCAAACGCTGCTTCTCTTGATCATTAATCGACTCTACATCTTCTCTGCTTAATGGCTCACCAACGCCGGAGAGATTCCAGTCTGTGAACTGTTCTCCCAAGTTATGTCTTGCCATCTGGAAAGCCTGTTTGACCTCTGTTTTCTTCGTTAACGCCCAAGGAGTTTTCCCCGCATCATTTTTTATGGTAGGATCGCACTTGAGGTTGCTTAGCAAGATGAGCACCATGTTTCTCAGGCCTTGCTGAGACGCATAATGCAACATTGTGGGGGTTTGGAACCACTCATCTTGCGGCTTGAGCACAAAATTCACGTCCAAGTTGTTTTTGCGAAGATAAGATATTAGCGCTGGAGCTCTCGATTTCTTTAGAAGAGATATTAGCTCCCGAGTGTGAATTTCATCAGGGTCTGAGACCACTGGTGTGGATTCTTGTACAGGGCTTCGAATTTCGTCTGGTTTTTTCGCTACAACTTCTTTCTTGATTTCCACCTTGGGTTTATGGTTTATATGCAAGTAGGTGAGCTGGCACCAGGCTTTTTTCAGTTCGTGCCCGGTTGGTCGTTTCGTCGTGAAAGGGAAAGATCTGATTCTTGGATCATCTTTGTCAAGACAGGTATTGCTGTCCAAGAAGATTTTCCTGTCGCTGGTGCTCTTGGCACGAATGAAAATGTTTTGACAGTTCTTCAGGTATGGCTGCCACTGGTTCAGCAGCTGCTGAATATCCATTCTTAGTGCGACTTCGTTGTATCTCCTAAGAGAAGAACCCGCTGAGTTTGCCTTTCCCTTGCTATTGTCCATTGCCGATTGGGAGCCACCCTGTTTTCTTCTGGTGGTATACCTGTGGAAAGTCTTGTGCTCCAAAAACTGAACGGCTCTTTCTTGTAGAGTCTCATTGTTCTTTGTCATACTTCCTTTTATGTTCAAACGTTTGTGAGACACAATGGCACCTGCAAAATGGCCACCTCCAACCATGAACAATGCGGAATATGGTAATTCGTCATCCTTCTTTTCTTGAATGGACTGATTCCAGTTTTTAATGGTCTCTAGCGCCATTTCGATCGAAACTTTCGAAAAGAGAGCCTTGTAAGCGGCAAAGACCTCGTCCTTTTCCAAAAATGGGGATTTGAAAAAGATCTGCGGAGACCTTGTGTTCAAATGACTTGCATTTTGAGTCCCTTCAGTACCGTCGTTGGAATGGCCAGACACTGTCATCGAGGCAAGCTGCTCTTCCAATATACTTGATAGCTTATCCTTGTCCTCGTCATAAAAGTCGTCCTCTGAGTCTGAATTAGAGTCTGAACCCGACAAACTCTCTACGTCTTCGTTCTCAACTAGTTTCTCAAACTCGCTCAAAGTTATTGGTGACAAACCGTTGAGCCTACGTTTAATGTTGAAGCGATGGAAATCCGTCTTGTAGTGTTCTTTTCCATCGGGTTTGGAGTCAATTTCGCAGGTGCCACATCTTCCTTGAACACTTTGGTCTTCCTTTGAGGCTTCCTTCTTGACATTGGCAACAGCACTAGGTTTGTCAGTTTGAACTTCAGCTACCGAATCATCAAAGACCATCAACTGCAAAGAGTTCAAAATGTCCTGTGGGAGCTGGAAAACGTATAAATCATTACTCTTGATCCGTGGCTTAATATCAGACATGTCTTGCGGGTTCAAATTGAGCTTTGAAGAGGTTGACGGATGGCTTACTTTGTTGGCAAGTAAAGAGCAAAATAACTTGTAAGTTCGATCCAGCGGTTGAACTTTGATATCACTGAACAGCTCAGGCTACATCATTGAAAACGTAAAAATAGCTTGCGATTGTTGACCCGTTTGCGAACCATTTGGTTCTCCAGCAACGTGCGTCTGTCTATTGATGTATTTACAAACTTCCTACTCTGTGGCACTCCTGTAGGAAAAACTTGATCTTGTCTGGATTCATGAATGGATGTGTTCCATGACCGAAATTGACGATATAGTTCGATTTCCCGCCGCCAAAACCGGCGATCATCTCTTCAACTCTTTTGCTGATGATTTCGTCAGTACCGTAGATCACACCAGGGTCCAAATTTCCCTGCAGAGTTACACGACCTGCATTAATCTTGACTGCGTCTCTGGGATCCCACGACCAGTCCAAGGACACAGCGTTGTAGCCCAGGTCGCAGAGCTTGTCAAGCGCATACCAGGAGCCTTTGGCAAAAATGGTGAGTGGAATGGTGTCTTCAATTCCAAGCTCCTTCAGACGAGAAGGAAGTTTTGCGCTGATTTGTTTGATGTAAGGCAACGAAAACTCATCGAAATCACGCGAGCTCAACTCTCCACCCCAGCTTTCAAATACTTGTAGCATTTGAGCACCAGCAACCACTTGTTGAGCCAAAAACTCCACAGCCACATCGGTGGTTTTTTGCAGCAATTTGTGACTCAACTCGGGTGCCTCGTTTATCCATTGTTTGGCGAATCTGAACAAACGGGATCCTCCGCCTTCGGTCATGTACACGAGTAGTGTCCATGGGCCACCGCAGAAGCCTAAAAGCGGCACCTGGCCGTTCAATTTGTGTCTAGTCACCGTTATGGCTTTGAAAGCCCATGCCAATTCTTTTAGCACATCTGTATGGTAGTCCAAGACTTTGTGCATGTCTTCTTCGGTTCTCAGTGGTTCTGGAAAGTGAGGGCCCTTGCCCTCGACCATTTCAACCTTCATGCCCAAAGCTTGAGGAATGACCAAAATATCACTGAAAATGATAGCTGCGTCTAAAAGACCAGCATAGCGTCTAACAGGCTGAATCGTGATTTCACTGGCGATTTCAGGGTCTCTGCAGGTTTCAAAGAAGTCTCTGCCGTCCTTGACTTCGTGATATTCGGGCAGGTAACGGCCTGCTTGCCGCATTATCCAGCATGGTGGTCTTTCCACTTTTTGACCCAATGCTGCTCTAATGATCAAGTCATTTTTCAGTTTTGGAAACTGAGAATGATCAACGGTCTGCATTCTATTCAAACGTAGGTTCATACGGGTTGTAGCTGGTTCCCAAGAGCGTTAATTCTGTGATTCTGGCTACGAAGAAGATGTTAAAGGGAGTTGGTAGTTCTATGTCTTCGAGTAAGGTTTGATATATTACAGAAGTTTCTTCTAAAGTAGGGGTCACGTGTCTTGGCGACGTGATAATCCAAAATGTTTAAGTTGGCAAGCCTTTTGAAATTGAGGGTTTTTGACTCTAATTATTATTGTTGGAAGACATTGTTGTATTTTTGGCGCTCCCCGAAGTGTCTGGTTACCTCTTCCATCAATTTTTTTTCTTGGCATTCAAGAGTTAAGTCGTGGTATTTAACGAGGCGAATGTGATATTCAAGAGAGAGAACACCTAAATATTATGTAGCTGTATCAACTCAATTAAAAAGCATCCCTTGATGTGTGATTCCGGGCCGCAAGGTACGTCACGCATTGAATTCTTGTTTCGTGTCCGTCATTGAACATTCAAAAATGTGTGTGTCACTTTCTACTAATTCGACACGAAGGCTTTAAAGATAATACGCTGTGAGATCTCCAGAGCGTTTTAGCCAGTAGTTGAGCTCATGAGTCTTTGAGGCACTACGCAGACACTTACCGAGCCCAAATTAGATACTATTCACCTCGTTGGAGCCGTGTAAGTATGACCTTAAAACACTTTACGTCAAGTTCATTTCAATTGAAAAAAAAACAGAACGCGGTCAAATCATATCGCTATGTAATCCATAATGCCACAAAGTTCAAAAAAGGGAGTGGGGTGAGGTTGTAGTTTAGGCTTTCGAATTGGCTGACAATACTCGCAAACTAAATTTTATCACTTTGACCATACCTGTCTTCGATCACGTGTCGCGTAAATCAATGAGGATCTTTTCAACTCCTGATCGCTGGATCTCGAGCGCTGAAAGCATAGTATTCTCAATTAACCTTTGAATTGGCTTGAAATCGTTGAACTCTTCCCTCTGTGCATGCAACACATTATAATGATGCACGTGTATAGTGATACATTCACATTGATGTCAGGTAGTACCACATTGAAACTGTCAAGTTCCGATATCATTACCGTCGATACCAAGTGCTACTCTAATGAATGAACCACCGTCTTTGCTTACCTCCCACCTATTGCAAAGACTTTTTTTTTGCTCCCGAACAAAAATCGTCTCAAAAGAACCGCGAGAAAACCACCACCCAATTCGAAAAACCTATTCAATATTCTACTGTATTATAGCATCTCTCATAATGCACACTCGTTGACCTTCATGCAAACAGCTGTGATGACAGAATAAGCATGATTTCCGTATAAGGCGATATATCAATTAATTATAATTCTATAATCCAAGACCGAGGGAAACCCTGTATGTCATCGAAGTGACGTCAAAGCACACTTCATTCTGCTCTGGCAATCATGCTATCTGGATACTTACGCTCCCTTTGCCGCTTTCGAAAGACGAGCGTGAGTGTTCTTTTACTGGCCACCTATGCTATTGTTGGTGCACTGTACGTTTGGAACAATATAAATTATAGATACCACGGAACGCTCGACAAGAAAGATCAATTGTTACTTGAAGATGCGTGGCTTTCGCTTCAGGAGATAACCAAGAGTCCCCACGAATATATATCGAGGCAGAATGATGTTGTACATGATTTTATCTTGCAAAAGGTCAAGACCTTGACAGCCCAAACTCCTTATGCTGAGATTTCCGATGACTTGGAAACTAAAAATCGCATTTTATTCAGACAGCCTGATGTCTTTAATTCGAGCTCTGATGCCACCAGAGTGATCTCGTTTGAATCTTCTAATGTGCTGGTTAAAATAGAGGGATCCGACTCAAAACTGGACGGTTTGTTGCTTTCCGCACATTTCGACTCTGTGCCAACTGGATTGGGAGCAACAGATGACGGCATGGGTGTTGTTTCTCTTCTTGCTTTATTACAGAGGCTAACAGAAAAACAGCCACGTCGATCTGTGATATTCAATTTTAACAATAATGAGGAATTTGGACTTTTAGGAGCATCTGCCTTTTTCAATCATCCTTGGAGTAAGCTTGTCCACTATATGCTAAATCTAGAGGGTGCCGGTGCTGGTGGTAAAGCTGTTTTGTTCAGAACTTCTGACGCTGCCACTGCTTCCATATACAAAGCTGCAGTCCGTCAGCAACCCTTTGGTAACTCAATGTATCAGCAAGCGTTTTACGACCGTTACATCTCGAGCGAAACTGACTACAAAGTATACGAACAGCAGGGACTTCGTGGATGGGATATTGCTTTTTATAAGCCAAGGAGTCTGTATCACACTATGCGGGACTCAATTGTTAACACGGGGAAAGCTTCGCTATGGCATATGATGCAAGCAGCGTTGCAATTAACAGAATTCTTGGTATATGATGATGTCGTCGACGATCCTGAAGATCGCGTTCCTGCAGTATATTTCGACATTTTGGGATCTTATTTCGTGTCGTTCAAAGCAAAGACTCTCTTCACCATGAACTGCGTCCTACTAAGTGTTGTTCCGGTAGTTCTATTGATTTTGAAAATTGTGGGCACGAAATGGAGTGCCGATAAAAGCAAATCCACTTGGCTGTGGTTTAGACTACCTATCAGCTTTTTGGTTGCATATGTGCTAATAGCCAGTGGCAGATCGATCCTATATCGTCAAAATCCGCTAATTTTTTCTAGAGACTATCTCAGCCCCACCATCGCTTTTTGTCTAACTTTCATTGCTGCCAATTACTTGGTATTGTCCTTTTTCGAGTTCTGGTCGCCAAGCGAAGATTTCAAATCTGTGGCAATTTTGGAGCTGTCGCTAGCCTACTGGTTCCTACTACTACTTGCCACTGTTCGGATCTATACCGAGAGATATCGTGCTACTGGTTTTTACGCTGTAACCGCCCTATATTTGTTGGCCTCTTTCAGTGCTACAATTGGACTCACATGCTCGGCATTTAGGCATAACGAGGTCAGCAGCGATGCACATACTTCTGGTGACGACGGTATACACAGCGAACACCGAACTTCTCCAAACACGGAAATAGGGGCAGAGGGTCACTCGGATGATGAAGTTGACGAAAGAGCGCCTCTGCTTTCTGACCATACTGCAAGAAGCAGTTTGAGTACTCAGCGATCCAAGACCGATAGAGTCAGCATCAGCGCAAAAGTAAGAAATATCAAGAACTACGACTGGAGCATTCAGTTCCTGTTATTAGTGCCACTGGCCTCAATAATAATGGCTCTATGCTCTTCTCAATTACTTGAAGCTGTCAATCAGACTTGCCAGGAAGGCTTCAAAGCCTCTTGGAATGTTTCAATGATATCTATGCTTAGTGCCATTTCCATTGCTTTACCACTTTTGCCATTTTCGTATAAGCTCAACTATTTTGTCGCACTACTGATCATGGGCGTTGCAGCATGTTCAGGAATTTTGTCCATCATCCAGGACCCTTTCACCGCGAGCTCACCTTTGAAATTGAAGTTCTCTCAGGAAGCTTACCTGAATAAAGGAGACAAACTCGCAATGGTGAAGATAAGTGGTCGTCAAGGCGCGGGTATCGAGCAGATACTAGGAGATCTACCGACAATAAAGTCATCGCACACAAAGATCAAATGTGATTCCGATGGTCTAGGCTCAGAAACGTGTAGCTACCCTGGAGTTACCCCAAATATCATCGATTACTATGACGAGTTGAACCTTTCGAGCGCAATGTCGATTGATGTTCTATCCAACAATAGAAAATCGCCCTCCAGGTCGCCATATGAACCAATTTATGCTGAAGTCCGGATAAATGTGCTGGAAAATCGTTTATGCACAATAGCTTTTAACTCCTCGCAATATGCCGATTACACTTTTGGTAAGTCACCAGTTAAGCAACTGACTATCTTCAAGAATGCCACTCCTGACAATCGTACTGCTGCTGCCACACCCATTGCTGACGGGTTGTCGTTCGACCGAGAGGGAAATCAAATATTCAGATGGAATAAAGGCATCGATTCTCTACAGTTGCATAAACTAGACTTCAGAAGAAACTACTACCGGGTGGGAATTCAGTGGACTCCAAAAATATTAAGCCAAGGCTCGGAAGAAGAGACAACAGATGCATTAGGTCTTCAGGTACGCTGCTCTTGGGGTGATTATGATTCCGAATCTATCGTAAATGAAGAGCCTAGACGTAGAGTACCCGCTTACGACGAACTGTTGGCTTATTCACCTGCTTCAGTGTCTTATGCGAACAGAGAAGCCGGTATGGTGATACTCAATGACTTCCTTGTCCTGTGATGCTAGCGATCGAGCTTGGGTTGGCAGTTTCTCATTGATGTTAGCTGACAACAAACTATTTAATGCAGACTCATTTATATTTGATGAGGACGACGCCAGAGACTATATAATAATACAAGTTGAAGTAATGGAAACCTCTGGTTCTGCATTGTCTTGATCAGGGTTTGCTTGAATCAGGAAGCTCAGAATTTATCCTTTCAAAGTCACGAAATCCTCACTGGATTACTCAGATCGCGAAAGGTTTGGTTTCGCTTTTCAAATTATAAACCGAGGGCCCTTGAAGATTATGGGGTAAGTTGAATGGCGCGGGTACTGCAGATTTTTGAACACCAACCGGTGGTACGTTAGCCAGCAAAGTTTCCGAAGAGTTCATGCATCTCTGATTTAGCTCCTGAAAAACTTGTGATGGAACAAGGTTTGGAGCATTGGGTAGTGGGGAGTACGTCAAGGCCGTAGCGATTGGAGGATGACGAACCATGGCTGGCATCGTCTGTAGAGTAGGCTCACAAGAGGTGAATTTGGTAACTTCTGGAGGGCGCAGGTCGGCTGAAAAGACTCCAGCGTCGTAATAGAGAAAAAGCTCTAGCAGAATTTGCGGCGGAACATTCATGATAATGTATGCGGGATGCTCGTTGCTAGATGCTAGCACATCATTGAATATTCTGTCGATGTGTCTAGCATGAATAAGGTCGCCCTCGGACGTGAACAAAACTGAAGCCTGTCTCAAGGCGTCAAGTGCGTTCTGTTTGCGAAAGGTGGAAACAAACACTTGTGATAAGCCGACCCACGCAAAGGCAGCAAATAAACGATTAAATCGCAAGAGAAAAGGGTGTTCAAAATTTTCCAGTTTTGAAGCATTATTCAAAGCGTGCGAAAATGCAATATGTGCATCCTCAAACTGACGCATCCGGAGATAAAGCGATCCAATGCCAATCCACAAAGATGCAGATTGAGGTTTATAATTGACTGCAAGTTGATAGAACTCATAGCTCTGTTTGGTGTCATCTAGCATATCGAATATTCGGCCCAACAACCAACTGAAAAGATAGAGTCTAGTTGTGTCATTAGCTGCCAGGCATTCTTTCTCTAAGACCATAGCCGGGATAAGCTTTTTGAGATTTTCAAGATCACCATCAATCATGTAGAATTGAGCTAAAGTTGCCAATAAGCGGGAAGTTCCCGAAACCTGCGGGAGTGTATTCATCGCCTCATGAAGAACATTGTAAGCCTCTGCCTTCTGATTCAACTTGAACTTGATAATGCACATGAAGTTGTAGAGGTAGCAACGCGCGATAACGCCGATCGGCTTGAGTAAGTCGAAAGAAGGACAATTTCGTATCAGCGTGAACGCATGGGAAACCTCTGTTTGAGATTCCGTGTAACACGCAAACCTGTGGTACAGCTGTGCCAAAGATATTCTCGCCTGCAGCTCTCTTCTTGTGTTTCCTGAGCTTATTGACATTTGCACGGCACCTAAGAAATAAGGTGTTAGAGTCTCGAGACTCATTTTCCCATCTGAGTCCATCCACAACAAAAGTATGCGTGACTGAAGAACCCAGAGATCAGCATCCTTGGTACCACGAGTTTCTTGCGCTGCAATAGCTCGCGACACACTTTGAAAGGCGTCTTCTGGTTTTTGAAGGACAAAATAGGATTGGGCTAGTTGAGCCCATATGCGTTCATCAGAATAATCTTGGCGGTGTTGAAGAGCATCAACCAGCGTTGAAATGACAATTGTTTCTTGATTAGACTGGCCTCCCAAGGCTTTGGCAAAGTCGACCAAAATACCTGCATCATGGGGCGATTTCTCGAGACTTTTAGCAAAGTTGGTCACGGCTAGGTGGTAAAGCCCCATTTGGAAAGCTAGACGGCCACAAACGGCGTAGGAAGAGCCTAAGACGCTTTCCAACTCTGTGAATTTCTGTGGGGTGGAGGCCGAGTGCTGTGCATCTACCACAAAGCGTTGGGGGAGACCGGCTCTCTTTTTCTCAGTGACATTGGAATGTGCTTCTTCGTGCAGTTCGCTACGTTTCCGCGGTCTCTTGAAGTTCCCCATCTTCTTGTGAAAGGCAATAAGTGAAGGTATGGCGAGACTTGATTTTGAACGTGATAGCAGACCAAGATTTCCTTAGAGGACGCGACAGAACGTGCCTCTATGTTGGTAAGTAGAAACGACGTTGTCTTCGTGTTGTTCCGGTTTTCTCGCCGATGCACCGCGCAAATTACTGGTTAGGGCCCGCCACTCAGCAAAGAAATGGTCCACCTTTCAATAGGTGAGGCGCTTTGCCTTAAACAGTTTGTTGTTCACAGATTTGTGAGCCCGATAACGCGATATGCAATATGAAAGCTTGAAGTGAGCAGTTGAAACTGACAGAAGTGGCTATCGGTCGTCTGTACTCTTCGCTCCAGATCTTAGCTTCGGAAACCTTTTGCAGTAACGCTTTACGCTAGTCGAGACAGCTTGTAAGTTAGCCGGTGTTATTGAATCTTGACAAGTTCAGTTTTCTCACAATGGGACCGATTCTTGGTACCTATGAATCTTGCCAGAGCTTTCTCAACCTATTGCCAGCAGCCCTTTTTGAATTGCCCGTATGCAGGAATCAGGAAATTGATGCATTTTTTATGATTAACACTCTTCGTGATGCTTCATGCAGTACATGACGCACCGAACTTCAATTGGTATTCTCAGATGCGTCTCTAAGATGTGCGCGATATTGTGAAAATAAAGGAAACGTTTTCACGTAGGGCAATACCAACCTTTCATGTACACAGAGCGCGTTTTCTGTGCGACCTCCGCACCGATCCCGCATCCTGGACGGTTTGCTTCTTGGGACCATTGAAAATAGACCCTAAAGCGGATTAGTTGATATGCGGGCCGTGTGGTTTACCTTATTCGTTGCGCGCCCGTTGCAAGCGAGACAATGCGCGAGACGTAAGTCTCGGGCTTAAGAACATTGCCTGCGTCTTGCGAGGTATTGAGCAACTGTAAGAGACACGATTTTGTCAGTAGCATAGTGCGAATTTACCCCTCGAGATAATTCAGAAGCTCTTAGCTAGTTTGTCGGGAATGTTTCTTTGCATGTTTTAGCAGCAAGCCAGCAGGTTTTCAGCTTGGGATAGCAACAGGCACCAATGACAACGAGCAACACCAGAAAAGTTTATACTTGCACATGCCTTTGTAAGCAGGGGAATGCTGATGATGCTGTTTTTGCCTGAAATTGGGGCTCGAAATAAGGTACGAGCGTAGGGAGAACGCAGGTGAAGAGAAAAAAGATCTGGGGCCGCAAAGTGCCGAGCGTTTAGAGAAAGAGGCCTCAATCTTTTGTATTGGCATTGGCTGGACCGAGTGCTTGTGAGTTGGGCACCTCGATTGTCATGTAATATTCACATGCCACAACTTTTGGCATGAAAATGTCGAAAGAGGGGTTTTTTTTTCTCGGGCTGGCTGCCGGGCCTGCGTAAACTGCCCGGTTTCCCGTAATCGATGCACTCTTTCGAAAACCAAGAATAGTAATCCCAATGGGATGCACGTCATTAGAATTGCTGTTCGAGATCAAGCGACCGAAATCCACGCAGGTCTTGCTGGATTGGCAAAACCGTTACGGCTTAGGCTTAGGCTTGGCGGGCAGATGAGGCGGTAGGCGGCAGAGTGACGCAGTAATGAGATACACCGCTGGTCGAAGCCATCACGGGAAAAGAAACGAAAAGACGGTTCAGCAAGTGTAACATTCTTGACGTTAGGTCCATTTTGAAGCCCAGCAGATATGAAGTAGTTCATTTTCGGGGAAGGCCTTTTTCCCGAAGCTCAAACGGCGCAGTAGTTATGTGGGAGAACACCTGGTTTTGTTCTTGACGAGCAGAGCCAACTGGCGTTAAGCTGTTTCCCGTTGTCAGCTTGGTAAAGTACGGAGAGGCAGGGTGCCATGGAGATTTTGGCAAAATCGAAAAGATCGACCCGTTCAGATCGGGGGATCCCTGTCAAAAGCCGATCCCTAGAACGTCTATTTTTGTGAGTCACACGGCTTTAGTTCACCGATTTTATCGGTGGGTTTTCAGGAGTCCCAAACGGAGCTTGGAGTTGTAGAAACAAGCTGTAAACAGTACGAATTTTTTCCGTATCTTCATGGTACTGTAGAAACTGGTACGTGGTTGAAGTGCTCGACGCTTGTGTGCGACTTTTGTGGCGCAAATTGGACTAGTTTTTGGCTTAGTTTTGTATTGTCAAAGGGTGAGTTTCAGGGTAGGTTCTTAAAATGACATTGGTTTTTCTCTTATAAAGTATATAGCCGCCAACCAAAGAAAAAGACCTAAAATGACAGCCAAATGACTTCGCGGAAAGCTCGAAGTGAAATGAAGCTTGCTGATAGAATGGCCACGCTATCAGGAGCCTAATGAAACGTCTCAAACCTGGTAAACCCTTTAGAAATGTATCGATAAACCAGCTTTTCTACAGCAGGTCACGTGACATGCGGCTACCAAGAGAAAAGTCGGATGTACTACATAGCTCTTACTTAACTCAGTCTACTAATCTCTGAAATCCTTCCAGGTGAAAACTGCACCGCACGACTGTTCATCGTTCCTTCGTTCCTTCGTTCTTTCGCTCTTTTTTTGGTTTTCACTAGCGAATATCAATAAGTCTATCAATTCATGTATATATATAACAAGAACAGCTGGCTATAGGTGAAAAACAATACAATACATCAGTAACAAAATCAAGTAAAATACGATAATACAATGCAGTCCAAGAGATTAGCTTGGAAACTTATGGAGTGAGTTGAATTGCCAGCAATTGTGTGGTGATTTTGGGCCGATCTTTTCGTCACATTAACGTCAATCGCCAGTCTTGTTCGTAACTCCAGAAAATTAGAAGTAGTAGTAGTAGTAGTGGTAGTTACAGTTGTTGTAAAAGTAACAACGTTCTGTAGTGAAATTGGCTCATTCATGGTTCAAAAGCTTGAAGCGGGCGAGTTTGATCTTCACAGTGCAGTCACAGCAAAGCATTTGCATGAGCCAGACCGCCAGAAAATGCCAACGACCACGTCCGCGACATTCCGTTGTCGAGGCACGCAGAGCTAAAGTCCGAACTTGAGAAAAATTCGTAAGAGCTGACGGGATCGTACAGAGCTTGGTTCAGCATCAGTAGACCCTTCCAACCGTCTGTTAGTCCGTCTACAACGCCGCTCAGTTTTTGGTCCCATTCTTGTTGCACGAATGCAGGATTTCTGATTTGCGAGGAAACAGGTGTGACTGGAATCATATGGATACCGTGTTTGTACTGCACGGCCGTGCCAAAATATGTGGTGTAGTCAATGATGTTGTCGAAGAGGATCCCTGCAACTTTGTTACCACGGATCTGTGTGGGCTCAACTTGGTTGTCATCGGCCATTAGAAAATAGGAATTCATAGATCTGGCCATTACAGCGATCATGACGTCTGCACGTCTTTCCATAGAGGCGTCGCCAATTACCGCACCCCACAGCTTCATGCCGTATGCAAAGTTGTAGTCTTCGGAACTTGATTCCTCGTTCTTACCATTAGGGTTTGCGAAAAGACCTGCGGCCCACGAATGTCCGCTAAACCAGTCGAACATACGTGACACGGGGAAAAATCCATCCTGTGTGCTAGGATTAGCAACATCACGAATCAAACTGTTGATCCAGGCCTTGTTGTCTTGCGCCCAGGTCCCGCCTTGTTGTTGATCGATACGTCCCAAGACGGCTGCAGCATGAATGATGTAGCCATAGTGGAAATGATGATCATTGTAGTAAGTATTACCAAAATCGTAACCGGTAGATGTGGAAGCCCAGTCTCCGGAAGATACAATGCCTCCGAACTTCGTATCGTAGTATAGCGGGTACAGTTGTTGGTTCAACATCAATTTTTCAAGGGCACTCTTGAGATTTTCGGCCACGGCAGTAGTAACTTGATTATCTTGTAGAATATCGGACACTGTTAGTAAGATGTAGCTGTACTTGTCCAAGACTTTCCCCAAGTAATATGTATTGAGGCCGCAGATCGAATCCCAAACATCAATGTTGATTTCTGAATTGGCGACTTCGGACAACAACTGCAGCTGGTCTGCACTGTAGCTGATACTTTTGTCCTTCAGCTGCTGTGACCAAGGTAGCCACCCCAGTTTTGTATTCAAAACTTCCGTGAATGACAAAGTGTTTGACAGCAGGCCGCTCATGGTGCCCTTGGTAGTGGACTGCAATTGAATTCCCGTAAGTGCGGCTTGAGAATCGGCTGTCAAAGCACTTATGTGATGTGGGAACGCAAAGATCATGGTCTTGCCAGATGCAGACTTACCCTCGGTTTCGTAGTTGAAAGCATAATTAGCAGTAATACCATCAGAAGAACCGCTTACTTCGAAAGTCGTTGGGTACATGCCTGCGGCGTTGTCATAGTAGGAATCATAAGTAGAGTCTTCTGGCGCAACTGCAACTTGGATGACAAGACCATCGATGGCTTTTGAACCAGTGATTGTGGATGAATCGGTGTAAGACAATGAGAAAGATTGGTCTGCAGAATCGGGCAGCGTCACGTAAATCAACCACGTCGAGCCGCTGTTGAGGCCAACGCGGTATTTCAAAACACCAGCAGGAAGAATTGCGGATGACTCTTGCGCCAAGGACACGAAAGCGGCCGATGTCTTCAAGAGCGGTTTCAAAGAGCCGTGGTAAATACCAGTGGAGAATCCCATTCCTTGAACCAAAGGCACTTGTAAGATGTTAGAAGTGGAACCATCATTGACGGTGACTTGACAAGAAGAAGCGGTCATGTCACTGACAAACAGGTTGAAATTTGAAGGACCAAATGATTCAGCAGAGAACATGAGGGAAGCGATAGCAAGCGGGTTTGCCAAAAATTGTGAGTCGCCGTTGCTGTCGTAATTGCCAAACGCGTATTGGTCTGAAGATGTATGCGAGATGGCAACACCATTTATCCCATTAGAGCTGTACTTCCAGAGTGAGTAAGGATAAACGAATGCAGCACTTGACTGGTCGCCAACAATAAAGTTTGTGTAGAATTTGTTGGTTTGATAAGGTGAGTTTTGGTTGCTCACACCACTTGACAGATCCATAGGGTTGGAGTGTCTGGCAAAGACGGATGGAGGAGCGTCTGTTTGAATTGGGGAGAAGAGATCGACTGGCGATGAAGGAGGAGTAGCAGAAGAAGTGGTAGGAGAGGAAGTGGTAGGAGAGGAAGTAGTTACCAATGAGCCTGAGGATGAGACCTGCGAGTTTGGAGAACTGATAGTTTGAGAAGATGAAGAAGAGATGGCTTCGGAAAAAGACGAGCTAGTGGTTTTCGCCAAAGAGGCAGTATCGCTTGTGGCTTGGTGTGAGCTTCCAGCGGAAGTAGCTGACGTCAAAGTTATTTGTGTGACGTTAGAATCGATGAGACTCGATGTGGGGGCGATTGTGGATTCAGTGGAGTTGGAATCGAAGATGGAATTAGAGGTTGCGGTTCCGGCAGTTGTGGAATTTCCATACGCAGATGAGCGAAAGTCTTGTGTGGTGGAAGCTTTTATCGAAGCTGTGGGCAAGCTGGAAGAAGTGATAACCACGTATGGACTGGATTCGATGGTGGAATCAGCAGTAGAGATCGAAGCGCTGAAAGTTGACGAAATTAAAGAGAACGAGGCGCTTGAATTTGAAGAGATCGAAGTACCGGAAGTGGAGCTCGATATCAAGGTACTATTGGATAGCACATCAGAAACGGTCTTGGGAGCAGTGTAGGTGGTTGCTATGCTTTGGGATAGTTTACTACTGCTTGGGGACTGAGTAACCAATGGATTTTTGGATCGAGAAGATATGGTGGTGACTAGGGATGTTGACGAGCTAGAAAGTGCAGGCGTCTTGGAGGTTGAGTAAATGACGCTGGTCGATGTGGATGCAGTGTTTGTGAGCAGATTCGAGGCTGGCGCGACAGAAAGAGGTGTGGAGGATGTTGAGGGTGTGGATGATTTGGAGGATGTTGAGGGTGTGGATGATTTGGAGGATAGTGTGAAGGATTGACCGCCAACGGAGTTTGCAGTCGTTTGTCCAGTCGTTAGTACGGCCGATCTTCTAGTCGTTTGCTCAGCTGTTTGTCCAGTCGTTTGTACAGTCGTTTGTTTAGTCGTCCCTGTACTCGCCGAGACTCGTGTGGGCCGCTGCTCACGTGGCTCCACATAAACATCGCCGTACGGGAGCGTTTGCGACGACAGCGTGATTGTGCGGTCTGTTTCGAGCGCCAGCAGTGGGACGCTCGAAGTGGCTATGGAAATGACGGTGGCATTTGCCGATTCTAGTGTAGTTGAATTCAAATAGATGGCATCTGCTACGTTTGCAAGCAGAAACAGCACGGTTTTGAGGAGCATCGCTGCAAATGAGGGTTTCATTGTTGCCTTTGGCTGCTACAAACCTGTTACAAAGCCCAAAACTACATTCTCGATTCTGCTACAACGGTTTGCAACGACGACATTATATAGAGGCTTCCAATTTTGGCGTTTCTCTTGGAAATTTGGATCGTCCAGCGGGCTGGCAGATCATTAAACCATTGTGTGAGCGCCAGCATTCGTTTAATCGATTGAATTCAATTCTTGAGCCGCCTACGGCTACGGCTACGCCAACGCCAACGCGTCGCGGTGTGTCGCGGCGTTTCTTGGTCGGTTGATTAAATTGGTCTGCTTGCTTGCTTGCTTGCTTGCTTGTTTGCTTGCTTGCAGATCATCATCTATTTTCGATCTTGATCAATATAATTAAGTCGGCCCTTTAATTTTTCTTGTATGGCCTCTTGCGTCTATTACACCCCCCTCCCTTAATTTTCTATTTTATTTCGTGGCTGGTCTGCTGCGCTGGGCGTCACGTGGATCGCGTGATGGGGGAAATTGAAAACCGGGCTGGCGAAAAGAAAAGAAAAGAAAAGAAAAGAAAAGAAAAGCACATAAAACGAAACCAAAACAAACACAAAAAGGAATTAATAAAACCGAGAGCCGAATCCGCCGACCCGAGCTTATCACGTGTGCGTGCACTTGCGCTCGTTTCTGTCGCCACACTTTCACCGAGGAAAAAGAAAAGAGTCCCTCACGCGCTCGCTTTATCCACCCACACACCACCATAAAGGGGGCGGAGACGAATTGAATACCCACGAAAACACACACACACACACGAAAAACAAAAGCAACAGCAACAGCTCGGCCTATGTCCGCTCTTTTAACGCCGCCAGACTACTTCCTGCATCCTCCTGCAGCACGCTGCATCGTGCTGCATTATGCAGCCATTGGCGCGTCATGCAGTGTCCTGCAGCGTGCTGCAGGATGCATGTGGGTAGTTCCGCTTTTTCCGCTACTCCTTAAGGCCATTTTCTCCCCCTATGTGTCGGGAAACAACGTGAACTTAATTGACGGCGATAAAGGGTTTTATGCGAGGTCGTATACTTCGCGCCCAGAAAGCCAACAGGAACATGAAAAAAAGGCTCTTTTGGCTCTTTTGGCGTATCCACACTGGGAACTTTTACTGCCGCTGCAGGAAGACAGACAGAAGGCGTGTAGAAAACCTGGAGCGCTATTGTAACAACACAGACATGTAGATATTCAATTATATATATATATATATATGAGTATTCCCATATACTCAAGCATTTAATGTGGAGGGCAGCCCTGAGACAGTAGAAACACACTAATCCGCCCTGTCAAGCGTCTCTCTTACACACACACACCCATGAACTTTCCACAATATCAGCATCCGCAGACTGTTGTGCCCGCGTTTTGGGAAACCCGCGGCTCGTCCACGCGTCCCGCGGCTGACAACTTGTTCCGCACTTTTAAGTCTACAGAAGATGTACTCAGCCACGAGGACGAGTACTGGCACGAGTACTCGAGACCGCTCTCCGGCGGACTCGAGTACAGTCCCCACTTTCCCTACACGGACCCGCACGCTGAGACGCACACCCAGATGCAGCAACAGTACCAGCAATACCACTACCACAGTTCTGTTCATCAGAATCACATGCTCGACGAACATCACTATCTACGACAACAGGAAGAAGAGGAGGCGGAACAGCACCAGCACCAGCATCACCAGCACCACCAGCAATTACAACAACAACAACAACAATTACAACAACAACAACTACTACTTTTACAACAATCACATGCACAACCGCATTTCACGCTGCCTTCTACGCCGCTCCTTTCACACGACATCACCGACCTGCTGGATCTGCCGCCGGCCAAGCTCAAACGCAACTGGTCCGCGGAAGACGTCGCGCTCCCGCGGAACAGCCGCCCACGGCTGCCGTCATTTTTGTCGTCGTCGTCGACGACGTCGTCGGACATGATGGCTGCTGGTGCTGCTGCCGTCGTCAACGACGTCAGCACCGCTCACTACCACACCAAAGAAAATGCAGCATTGCCAGCACTGTCAGCACTGCCAGCAGCCATCAAGTACCCGTGCGTCGAGTGCGGTAAATCCTTTCAACGCCCCTCGTCACTGGCCACCCATATGAATATCCACACAGGCGACAAGCCTCATGTTTGTCCCTTCCCAAACTGCGGTCGCCACTTTAATGCGCGTTCCAATATGGTGCGCCATCACAGGCTGCATTTCCGCACCAGCCCGAGTACCGACGCGAGTACCGACGCGAGTACGGGCGCGAGTACCACTACGGCTTTAGTCGAGAATGCTGGCCATTCCACAGTTACTGCGTAGCCAAGCCACGGGCCAAGCCAAGGGCCAAGCATGCAAGCAAACCTCTACTCTAGTAACCTGACCAAGAATTAGTGGCCAGTGATGGTAGATAGCATTAGTAGTCATAATAGTCATAATAAACAATAATACATTGCATGCACACACATACACACATACACACATACACACATACACACATACACATACACATACACATTACGCATAACATCATTACCATCATCATCATCATCATCATCATCACCATCATCTAAAGCCAAGGTACCACCAACCAGTAGTAACCATGGCTGTAGACTGCCGTATAAAGAGCCGGAAAATCCATTATTCTGTTGTACGGACAACCGTGACCAAATGCGGGTGACGTATATGCAACAATGGGCGTTTGCCGGTCCCCCTTTGGGTAAACCCCTTTGGGTAAATGCAGGCGTCATTGCGGGATCGTCCGTCGGATATCGGGTATTTTTTTTTTATTCTTTTTTCTTTTTTTTTCCTTCTCCTTTTCTTTTTCTTCTTTTTTAAGTAACAGCCGGCGATTGTTCATGTCATGCGGAACGAGCACTAACTACGAGTGTTGATTTTTGAGGAGCGTGTTGCTACGTACGATATTGCTATGTTGATGTTCGGACCGGAGATAGATTCCGCGAAGCCGCGCGTCATGCACGAGGTGCAGCCAGTTTCCGGATTAGGGAGTCCACAGACTCAAAGTTGATATCGTCACCGGCAAACTGCCGATGCTTTTCGGTTTGTACATGGTCTGTTAGAGTTTCGTATTTTACCCTGCAGTTTTCGCAGTATCCGGGACCAGTCTTAGCAGCAGCGGTGGTGGTGGTCGTGGTAGCGGTATTGGTAGTTGTATTGGTAGTTGTATTGGTAGCTGCGGTATTGGTAGCTGCGGTATTGGTAGCTGCGGTATTGGTAGTTGTGGTAATAGCGGTATTAGTGGTGGTAGCGACGGCGTCGGGGGTATGGGTGGAGTGTGCACGTGAGCGTGAAAGCCTGGGTGTCTGGGTGTTGCCCTGAACACTCTTGGAATCTGCAGCTGTAAACTTCTTGTCTACAACCAGTCGGTTTAAAGACTTCATGTTCTTGCTCGTGACAGAGGCCCGTGTGGGACCCAGACCATTGCCCTGGAAAGACGCTGTGGTTGTTGGAACGGAGTTGTTGCCGTCGTTGGACTGCACAACACCGCTGGCACGAATCTCGTGAGGAATGCGCGATTTCCGGCCGCATAGATCGTCCAAGGGCGCCTCTTCCGTGTCTTGACGTGCTAAAGACCCCGGCGCCAGCCGTACAAAAGCACTGGGCACGCTCCATGTCGCTTTGGACGGGATGTGTGGGTCACGTGGAAGAGAATTCACGGCGTTCTGTTCTACAACAGAGTCTTCAATGATGGAGTCTTGGTCTTGATGCAAAGGAGGTTGTAATTGTTGTAATTGTTGTAGTTGTGGTTGTGGTTGTGGTTGTTGTGATGGTGGTTCTGGTAATTGTTGTTGTAGTGATTTTTGTTGACGCTGAACAGAAAATGCGCTGGTTTCCACTAGTCTTCGGTGTTGATCGTATGAATTGCAATACTCGTGCGGCAGCATCAAAATCCGATGTTCGTGGTTCCCCGATTTGTCATTAATTGCGTTCCCGCTCTCATTCTCATTCTCATTCTCGTTCTCATTTTCGTTTTCGTTTTCGTTTCCGTTTTCGTTTTCATTTTCGTAGTAAAGCTCGCGTTTTAGGCTCGCAGTTTGGGGGTCTGCGCTTCGCTGGTACAAAAGTCGCAAACGTAATGCATATTTCTCATTGGCGTAGTCACGACGGTATCGCTTTAAGATGCGTCGACCGCTAAGCTCATCACATTGACCATCACCAATGAACGGACATCGACCAAAAGTTCCCGGCCGCACCGTAGGGTGCGATCCGCTGTCCTGAGGCCGCCATTCCGCCACTATCACAGGCGCCCACACTTGCCACAGATCGTACAGGTATACGTGTGCATGTTTGAAGTAGTGTACGTCGTCACGGCGAGCCTTTGGGTCCCGATCTGCAGGTCCGTACAATTTTTCGTTGTGCAGCAAGTTCGAAAGCGTGGAGGGCGCCAGAGCTGCAGGTTTGGCCTCCATCGCGTCCAAGTCCACGTCCAGGTTATGCAAGAATCGGGTGGCCTTTTCGTAGTTCCATATTTTCATGTAGCGCTTGGCGGCTCGAGCCAGCACGTCCGTCTCTGGTAATCGGTCGTAGTCGCGCAGCACGCGCTGTGTGACCACGACGGTGACGTCCGTGTCGAAAAAAGACGTTATTTGAGCGCCCAAAGACAAAAACGCTCGTTTTAAAGCTTCGCGTTTTTTCTCATTTTTGTGCAATGCCTCTGTTGTGTCGAAATAAATCTTGGTATCTCGTCGCATGATACGTCTCCAGTTTGTTTGCCATTCCAGTAGATCCTGCGGGGTCACTTTGGCCGCGATGTGTTGGTTTTGATGTGACGATTGTTGTTGCGGATGGTACGGTTGCTGTACGGCACCTTCGATCGTTCTGGTTCTAGCGATGCCTTCCACGCCCACCCGGGGCTTTTTGCGACTTTGAGACACTTCAATTCGCTCCACATTCCGCTTTTTCACCATACCATTGGGTCCAGTCTTGACGTTGCTATCTGTTTCTTTCAAAGGAGAACGCCTTGCGGTAAACATCGTTTTTGAGTCCACGAAAGAAAGGAATCAAACCTTACAAACAAAAGCCCTTGTAGTTGAGCTATTGAAAAGCGGCAAAGCTTCAAATATAGCCTAAGGTCCTGGCTTTTGATAACGCGCTCAATGCACCGCGTAGAATTGAGTCTCGACAACTCTGTTGTGGCGATCAAGAAACGTGGTTTTGATTTCTTGCTTCATCAACTGTTAAAGATATATGTTATATATATGAGAGGGAGAGAGAAAGTTAACGCGACTTTTGATTCTGAGTGAGGCAAGAGAGCGAAAAAAAAATTTAGAAAAAGTCGCGTTTCCCATCGGGAGTGTCACGTGTGCGAGCAAGCGACACGTATTAATAAAAATGACATTTTGAAAAAAATAGTTGTCACGTGTGTTGTGTTTATATTTGACGACACGAATTTCAAAAAGTGACATGAGTTTAAAGGGTCACGTGGCTGTAGAACTGTTCTGGTATTAGAAAAAACCATTGTCGGTACTCGCACACCCATGCACTTGCAACGGTGACGTCTTTCTCAGCCAGCACTGGCGATTATGGCCATCCACTAGTTGAGTTTGTAATCGTACATGCTCGAAAACGACTTCAATGCAAACTTCATCTTCAACACCTCCAACCCATACGGATATTCGCCGCCGGCGACAAATAGCAACAGCAGATCGCTGCGTGGGATCTGCGCCACACAGGCATGCAGGTCTTCGAGCTCATATGTGTAGATATGCGTTGAAGCAGACCCATTGTCCAATTCCCACGCGTAGCAGCTGGAAGTCTTCTGGGCGCTCTGGTCCGACTGGTCCTCGTTCCATTTGTCACGTATCAGCAACGCCATCATTTTCAAGTTATTTCCGGACTTGTTGTACGACGTGGGAGTCTCTTCGCTGTTGGCATATGATATTATACTCCCATTAATCCCCGAGAGAAGTATCGACGAATACAAAGGACCATGATCCGAACCAATGGTCGACACCGGTTTCAAAGTCTTTTGTAGCACATCTTGGATGTTTTTACCTTGCAGCATATGGATATCCGTTCGATTGCTTGGTGTGTTAAACAGGTTTTGTTAGTTAGTTAGTTAGTTAGTTAGCCATGACGCTAGTATATCTGATTATAACATTATCACAGATGAAATGAGTACTTTGGGAAATACCTTTAAAAAATACCTTGTGAATACCTTATCACCGAGCACGGCCGGGGGAAAAGGCTACATATACTGTATAAAAACTATGCAAAAGACCTGTCGATGCATCGCAGGACGAAAACGTTGAGTGCTAAGGTCACTGTGTATGGAGTGGGGAGGATGTGTGTAGCTTGTTGACAGAAGCAGGGGTTTTTTTTAGCTTGAAAAGCGGGAAAATCAACTTGACACAGGAAAGTCGCGTGACTCCAGGAACACCACGACACAGGAGTTGGACTACCTTTGCAGATCTGATTTCGCCTTGGGGGGAGTCAAGACCATTGTAGAGTAACTTGGGTCCTGTCCTGTCCCGTCAGTTTGAACTGACTTGACACGAAGCGCTTTCCAAGCTCCGCTCACCCCATCCAAATGGCGGATGTCATGCAAATACTATTAGTCGAGCGGGGCGGTGAGCTGCAAGAGTTGCGTGGTTCGATTCAGCAAACGGCAAGTCTCTCAAAAGCCCCGCATATAGCACCTACCGTTCACGAGAAACTCAAAACTCAAAGCACAAAAATAAGCACTCACTTTTCCAGCTTCATTTCGTCTTCCAACTCTTCGCTCTCGTCTTCAGCCTTGCTGGGCTGCGTGCGGTCCATCACGCTGTCGTTGTCGATGCTCACGTCGTCGTCTTCCTCGAACTGGATGTCTTCCTCGTCTTCGTCATCGTCGTCGTCGCCGTTTCCATAACCGTACATATCAGCCGTGGGACCGTCGTCGTTATCGTCCTCTTCGTCACTGTCGTACCAAAAGTTGTCGCCCAGATCTCTGGTGTCCTCGGGCTCGGCATGTCTCTGGGCCACGTACGCTGTGCGGGAAGAGGGCATCACAAAGCCCTCTGGGATGTCTTGTTTCGACCGTTCCACCTCCAATTTCACGCGTTGCTTGTACTGATCCACATTTTTGCGGTAGTCCACGGCAGCGTCAACGTTGGCCGGAGACGAGATGTTTGGGTCTTCCAGCAGCGAGACGATCGAGATCAACACGCTTTCCACCGTTTGCACCGGTGACCACGTTTCTGAGTCCGGTTCTTCCGATGTGGGGTCTCCGCTTGTGTGCAAAATCGAAATACACAGTCTTCCGTCTCTGTACACGTTGGGATGGTATATTGCGGGCGTGAATCTGAAAGTTGGCGGCGAGAACGGGAAGTCTTCTGGAAACCGCATCTGGGCTTTGAAATAGCCTCCGTGGTAAATCGAGTCCTCGTTGAGCACCATTACGCCAACGTTCCACAGGAAAATGTTTGCGTCGTCGTCCAGCTCGATGTGGAAAGATGGGATGGCCTTTTTGGCATCTGTGAGTTCCCTGTACTGTCTCAACAGCAGGTTGGCTGCCGTATTCTTCCGGTTGCTCATATCAAAACTTCTTGAGACGGAGGTGACAAATTGAATAAAACCACTTACACAAAGCACACAAGAGAAGGGCGCGAAGCGGGTTTTTGAACAAGAAGAGCAGTAGCAGCTATCTTACCTCTCCTTATATACTGCTCTTAAACTAGTTCCGAGCTAGATGGTTAAGTTTGGTCTCTGTAAAACCACACTTGTTCTTATACCAGTTGGGTTAGAAATACAATATATATAAAAGAGAGAGAGAGGTTTCTGTAGTATTAAAGAGGAATATCGAAAAAAAGTGGTGAGCGTGATGACGAGACGGTCGCTGTGTACGGAGAGAGATGAAACGTGAGGGCAGCGTGAGACGGTGGAAGGGTGAGCTAGAATTTTAGTGAATAGGTAGGCAAGATAGTGCAGAGTTTAGGTATGCTAGAAACGAGTTTGGAATTTGGAGATATCGGGTGAGTTCTGTGGGTGATTTTGAACTCTTATCACTTTGCACGGACGTGACGTCGATGTTGACGGAAAACAAAACAGGTTATGATGCCCTTGGTAGAAAGAAAGAAAGAAAGAAAGAAAGTGCTGAAAGTGCTGAGAGCACTGGAACACAGTTTTTGGTGCTGGCAAAAAACAAAGGATGTGAAAATGGATGTGTATTGAAAGTCACGTGACTTGAGTAGTTGTCGTTCTGCCAAGCTTTGTGCCAGTGTAACATAAAAGTACACACACACACACACAGATGTTAAGAACTCTGAATATAATGAAAAACCACTCACGTTGACTGACGCCGTTAGTCCGTCACGTGACAGATGTTTTTACGGTGCATTTAACTTATATTAGTGGAAAGACGCTTAAGATAGAGAATCAGAAAATGTCACTTGTGATTGTGTTTCACAAAAAAAAACGACCACTGGTTTCATAAACCGCACACGAAGTTTCATCATCTGTGATCTGATACATATTGCAGGACTGGGGACGAATCCCGCGAGTCCAGGGTTTCGCGAATCACGTCGTCAAATACGAAGACGGATTCGCCAATGAACGAGAATCAATCACTGTTAACGTAGTCATCGCTTGGAGTTGCAACCAGAACCGTCAACGGCCGAGAGTCGTATTAGAAGAGGTCTCATTGACGCATTGTGTATGTAATACTCGCTCCTCCTTGGGCTAGAGCTCATTTTCACTAGACTTGTCATCTAACATCTGTACGTCATGTGCAAGATGAGCTCGGATCAGTATCTGAGCATGTCCACTCTACGGGGAATATTTTCAACAATCGGTATACTCAAACTATGTCCACACACTTCATTCGGATTCGCGCACTGGAGTTCGTGCTTCGTCCCCAGTCCTGATTCTATGGCACAACTGTATCATTTCGTACGTTTCTTGTTTTTAGACTAGTGGAATCGGAAACAATTGTGTCCTTCAATCACGATTACAGAAAACCCTTTTCTCAGCTAGCTAACAAATTCCCACTTGCCTGAATAAGTTGTGGTGTGATGATCTTGTCAAGCGGTACCGCTAGCGTAAAGGAATACGTCCCGTGCTTTGTGTCACGTGCTCTGTGTCACTTCATCACCATTATTACACCCAAGTCAACAAGCCGTGAATACGACCATTGCAACACCTTCACATAGCGCAATTCTCATCCCTCCATCTTTTCAGCAGCAATGGCCCAAAAAAAACATCCCCTTTTTCTCTCGCTCTCGTACCTTCGCTTAAATTCACATATTCAACACATCCAACGACACTCTGGGCAAACGAACCACTAGCTTATCGTACAGCCCTAATTAAACCTGGATTCGTACTGTCTTAAAAGCCATAAACGCTTCTCAAGCATAAACGCTTCTCAAGTATAAACACCCTTCGGGCATTTTAAACCGCCCCCATTCAACGCATACAGCACATCACACAGCCTGGGTTCCCGCTACTACCCGCTACCACCCGCTAGCGCCCGCCCTTTGCTCCTGTCCCTCTCTATCCTGCCCTTAACGGTTCCGTTCGCGTCCCGTTACAGCTCTGTTGGCTCACGATAGCTTCGACCTAGATAAGCGATTTTTCCAAGGCTCGAGGAAATTACCAGATAGGGAAAATAATCGCGTTTATCTGAAAAATTGCTAGCTTATCGCGAAGATAAGAAATCAGTAAAGCCACTAGGCGTTTAAACACCCGCGATTCAAGCTCCCGCGCTCCAATAGCAGTAGTCTAAACGCCCTAAGTTACTACTGTCTCCCTTCTAGCTACGCATCGTGACATCTTTCACTCAGCTTGGCTTATCATCCGTTTTGTCGCTTATCCAAATAGATAGCTATTTGGCGTGAAAAAAGCTTTATCAAGAATTTCAAGGTACAGATCTCTGTAGATCAAGCAGATCAAGCAGAGGTCCGTGGAAACTAGCTCTGAACCTGTCTGTATCTGCTATCTTGCACTCATTTTGCAAGCCCAATGGCGAAGACTATAAAGGCGGTTCAACAGGAACTGCTTCAGGCCTTTTTCCTGGGTCTTTTATTGGTATTGTTCGTATTAAGCCATTGTAACCAACTTGTGCTGAGATTGTGCAAGAAAGGACACAACAAAACGCTTGAAACACGCCAACTCTCTAGTAAGACCCCTGCTACTACTTATACTACTGTCACTATTACAACACATTCATAATGGTATCCGGAAAAACAGTGTTTGTGCCAGAAGACGCTGCCAAGTTCGAGTCTTTTAAGCCTGCCATCGAGGCTTACAACAAAGATGTCATCGAGCAAATGGAAAAATTCGATCCAGAGTTCTACGCCAAGTGCGTGGCAGAAATCCCTGCAGAGGAAGTCTTGGACTCGGAACCCATCGACGCAACCAGCTTTTTGTCGCTTTTGTCTCCACAAGAACGCACAATTGTTGGCGATCTGACCATCGAAGACCTCACCCAAAAACAGCTTTCTGGCGAGCTCACGGCCGTTGAAATCACCCGGGCCTTCATCAAGGCCTCAATTGTCGCTCAGCTAACCACCAACTGTGTAATGCAGTTTATGATCCCAGAGGCCCTGCAACGCGCCCAAGAACTTGACGATTACTTGCAAACAAACAAGAAGCTTGTGGGACCATTCCACGGTGTCGTTGTGTCACTCAAGGAACACATCAACGTCAAGGACAGAATCACCTGTGCCTCTTATGTGTCGTATTTGGATAATATCGCACCAGAAGACGCAGCTTCCGTCAAAATCCTGTACAAGATGGGCGCGGTGTTCCACGCACGTACTGCTCAACCACAGGGTATCATGCATCTCGACACTTGGAACAACATCAACGGTAGAACCAGAAACCCACGTTCTACACGTATGTCCCCCGGCGGTTCCTCCGGTGGTGAATCTGCTATAGTTGCCATGAATGGTTCGGTGATCGGTGTGGGTAGCGATATTGGCGGAAGTATCCGTGCCCCAGCTGCTTTCACTGACATTTTCGGTATCAGGCCAACCACCAGACGTATCTCGTTGTATTCCGGCGTTTCTTCCGGTAAGGGTCAGGAATCCATTGTAGCAGTTCAGGGTCCTCTTGCGAGATCTATCGAGGAACTAGACACTTATATGCGCGTTTACATCAATGAAGGTAAACCATGGCTCTACGATCCAACTTGCGTTCCTGTTGAATGGCGTGAACCAAAGCTTCCAAAAAAAATCAGAATCGGAGTTCTGTATGACGACAACTTGGTGACTCCTTTCCCAGCCATTACTCGAGGTATCAAAACCGCGGTGAACAAGCTTTCAGAGAACGCAGAATTCGAATTTGTCCACTTGAACCCTACGTGGTTTTCAGAAAAGGAGATGGAAGACATCTACACCACCAATCTCAAACTTTACACCTGTGACGGCAACCAAGTGCAGATGGAAATGTGGTCCCCAAGTGGTGAGCCTCTATTGCCACTCACTAAGCACTACATGAAATTCGGTGGCGGTGAAGCGTTGTCGTGTTATGACAACAAGATGTTGAATGCTCAAAGAGATGCATTGAAAATGAAAATGTTCCAGAAATACTTTGCAGATGTCGATTTTATTCTATCTCCAACTTACAACGGGCCTGCAGAAATGGCTGCTGAATCGTTGTACTGGGGCTACACCTCCTTCTGGAATCTGCTGGACTATCCAAATGTTGTTTTCCCCGTAAATGTTGCACACGATGTCGAGAAAGATGCCCAAATCCCAGAATTGAAGCAGAACAAATACGAGAAAATGGTGTGGTACAAGGATAACGGAGAAATCAGATACGACCCCAAGAGCTATATCGGCGGGCCCGTGGCTCTTCAACTCACCGGTAACCGTTTTTGCGACGAGGATGTTGTTGCCTTGACCAAGAAATTTGTCGCAGCTCTAGGTGTTGAGAGACGGTAGTTGACTAACGCTCGTCCTCGACCAAAAGGTCATAGAAGCTTTCGTGTCCATATCTACCGGTTTGTTTGATATCATTCCTTTGCAGGGCCTTTGCTTCATTTGAATATAGACTATCTTTAGACTTCTTGCATAGGTTCCAAACGTCGTTATAGAAAATACCAAAAACCGCTGGTGCATCTCCGTGAGCTTCCATTCCGATCGATAGACCTTGCAATGACACATTCGTCTTAGACCCTGGGTATTGCTTCTTATAGTTTTCAACAAATCCCTTTACAAAGTTCTGTTGTTGGTTCAGTGAGAGGTCTGACCATTTCTTGAAAGCAGTTCCGCTTTGAAAACGTCTTGTATTCCTGACTAGAAGTTTGGCATTAAACATATCGACTTGACTGGGTTGTTTTGGTGAAGTTACGTTGTAGTTTTGATCTGAACTTTGGCTCGAAGATCATATAAGAAGTGTAATTAGAAGATAATCAGGTAATATCGTCAAACAGCCAGCATAAAAACCAGCAATTCTCGAGGAAAAAGTGATCAGTCTCTTGATAAATGTTATTCGAACTATTGATCAATCTCGAAGGCTTTTAAATGCGGCTTCTAGACCTTTTTTCCCGTGGTTTCTTGCCAGGTTCGGTGATAGAGTAGATATAGCTAAACTTCAAGATAATAAACTCATCCACCATTGTTCGTGCTTTCGACAAAAAATACTGAGTTGAAATCCAAGCTTTAGAATGGTGGTGAACCTTATTGCGTGAGGACGTTCCAGAATCTTGAATCTTTACGAAATCATGTATTTCCGTAGACGGGTTTTCTTACAATTTAGGTCTGGTAGATCAACACCCGTTAGTCAACTTCCTATGATGGTCAATATATAAGAGCTTTTGACATAGTGACACATTCTGGTGTGACTTAAGAATTGAACTTGCAATCACATCGACACAAAGTATCAAGACGCCTATAGCTGATTTTAACCTTTAGGTTTTCATTTCCCTCGAGCTCTGGACCTCTCTCCACAACGCTACCTGACAAAACACTTCCTCAAAAATCCTAAAATCCCAAATAATGTATATACGATCTATTTTGCCTCCTTCAACCCTGATCTCGCAGAGAAGTCTCGAGATCTAAATGTCCCATTTCTGATCGTCGTCGTCGTCATCGTCGTCGTCGTTATCTTCAAAATCCTGCATCTGAATAGCCTGGCTTGTTTCCTGATCCACAGTAACAGCAAGCTCAGGCTGGGGCTTGTGTTTGATAACACACACAGCACTTCCTATAATGATGAACATTCCACACCAGGACCAAAAACCCGGCAAGTGATGCCAGATCAAAAGATCCCAAATAAGCGCATATATCACTTGCGAATAAGACATAAATGCCCCTCTGCCTGCACGTTCTTTTTGAATGCCCATTGTCAGCAGCAACTGCATGAAGAACCCTGAAAGCCCTATGAGCGAGAATAAAAACCACTGTTTCCTTGATTGCGGAATCTGGAAAGTCATCGACGGAATGGTGCAAATGCCAAGGAAAGAGACAATGCAAGCAATGAGGGCGAAATATGACACGCTCATAATGGCATGGGCCCTATTTCCGATGTATCTAATGATAATGTAGACGTTGGCAGCTCCAAGAACCCCGAGAAGTGCAACCAATGTGGCAACGAGCCGTTCCTGCGGATCGTTGGACTCTACGACATCGCTTGTGTTTTGGGGGGTTGAATCGCCGAGCAAAAAACTTGGACGAACAATCATCACCACTCCGAAAAGTGAAACCAAGGCGCCAGTGGCTTCAACTTTGGTATATCTTTCGTGCAAGACCATCCAGGCAAGCACCCCGGTGATGGAAGGTCCGAGGAAAGTAATGACCGTAGCATCGGGTACCGATAGGTACATCAACGAATAATACATCCCAAACACTCCGAAAAACCCGGTGCATCCCCGAAGAATAAGCCATTTGCGCATTTCCGGCGGACCCCACGGGACATGTTCGATCTTAGATCGATTCCAGTACATGTATATCACAGTACCCACATATGTAATGAACATGCGTACCACCAAAATTTGAAGAGGCGTAATAGGCTTTTCCAACGTCTGATCCGTTTCCAAAAGCTTTGTAGAAACCACCATCGCACTATTAAACAGGTTGGCTGTCAATAGATATACTAGACCAATATTGGGCTTCAGATACTCGTTCGAAAGCCTTTGAAGCCGGTTTTTTTCCACATATTCCTCCAAAACACTGTCCTCTCGACTTGACGAGCCTCTCGAGAACTCCGCTTCCACCATGTTGCCGTTTTCTTGTATCTGCTGTTGAAAGATTCGTTATTGAAGGTTGTCAGAAGAGATAGATAACAATCAAGAGTGAAATTTGATCATCTCATCGCTAACTAACATGCTTTACAAAATTCGAAATATAATAGACATTTGAGACCTAAAGGTGGCTTTATAGAGCTGCTTCAAGGTTTGGAATTGACCGGTTTAGTTATAGGTCTTTTCGCTGGCGATTTTTGGTGGTCTCAACAAGATTTTTGAGCCAACTTTCTTCAGAACAATCAAGAAATGTCTTCGACAAAGAAAACAGTAGGTGAAGGTAAGGGGCTTGAAACGAGTATCTGGGCCATTCCAGATAGTAAGACTGAGTCGTCGGAGGCAAAATCAGCGAGAAAGCCCGGCGGGAGAAGACGCAGTGTGAAAACTGGTCAAAATAATGGACAATCTAATGATCAAAGTGATGCCCACCATGCAAATGTCAACGCCCTAGCTGCTAGGCTTGGGATGGTCGACATTGGGGCGGCAGAAAACAGTGCTGGACGTAAGAAGCATGCTGTTTTGGATGGGAAGTCTGGTGAGCCCTCGTCAAAACACTTCCCAGCATCTGGTAAGAAAAAAGCCAATCCTCTGGCCATGAGGCTGGGAATGGTCGACGTGGGTGAAGAGGGCGAAGCCAGTGAGGACAGCGGATCTGAGGCGCTATCAAGGCCATCCACCAGCGACAAATCTAGCATTTTTGATCGCATCAAGCCCAAACCGCAGCGACCAACTGCCGAAACCAGAAAGCCGGCCGAATCATCGTCCAAAACACCGCATGCTTCAAGTCAAAAGACTCAAACTGTTTCTCCAAGCAAGAAATCCGATATTCTTAAGCGTAAAATTGAAGAACAGCGGAAAATTCGTGATTCCAACATCAAAAAAGCTCAGCAACTTGACCTGCTGCAGGACTTTTTGAAAAATGACGACGATGATGGGTGGGAAGAAGATCTGTGAGTGATGGTGCTGAGTTCATTATTTTTCGTCAGCCTGGTACAGCACGTATCGCACTAGTTCGTTGTTTTCACGCCGCAGAAGATCCACCTGTTGCAATTTGATGTCAACGTGGTACCTGCCCTTAAAAACAATCATGGCATTATCTCCAAGATCCATTTCGCCCAAGAACCACAGATTCGAAGCTTGTTGGCCTTGTGAGTAGTGTTTAGGCCTCTCGTATTTAAAATCACCACTTTCGCGACTCGGGTTAACCACGTCGAGCAAATCCGTGGTCTCGGTCCCGAATTTGCTCAACAGCTGGTTCACAGAGTCCATCACGTCAATCGAGCGATGGATGAGTCTCCATTTGAACAGAAAGGGGATAGTGTGCCAAGTAGACTGATCCTTAGGAGCGTTATAGGGCTTTACAAGAATTCCGGCAAGACAGGGATTGGGATCCTCTTGCCAGACTGAAAAATTACGACTTTTGAGAGGCACGCCAGGAGCATGATGCAGAGGAACTCCATATTGTTCTTTGATCATCGGATGCATTGACAATCGTTCAAGCACCTTATAATCGGCCATTTCCTTTATTTCCCCTAGATTAATCGATCTCAGCTCATCAGCGTCGAATCTGCGTCTTTTGGGCACCGGGTAGGCTGGTATAAAGGCTTGTTCGTGTAAATACATCACTTTGTAGCCCACTGAATAGCCTAGTACAGTGCCCAAAACAGCAACTACAAATGCGCTGGAGATGTGTTTGACTTTTTTACGGCGGTTCGACTTGATGCTTTCCTGAATGGTGGCAGCAATCAAGTCTTCTTCGGCCACCACAGTTGCGTTAGGACTTGTGAAGAAATGTTTCGAATCCAGAATTTCGTTATTTGAAGGGTTCGTGAAGATGTGCTTAGGATCTCGCGACTGTACTGCTAGTGAACGGCATGGTATAAAAGAGACACGGCAGTGTGGCAAAGCATGGTGACGAATCTTCGTAGTTAGCCTGATCATGCCACCATTCGTGAGTTCGCTATCGAGTTCGGTTTACTGTCTTTAAAGATAGTTTAAAGGTCAAATCATATTTTAGTATAATGATTTTAATATATACTACTAACACAGGCCTATTGAACAGAAAATATCCAGATCGACTAAAGATCAGGTTCTCAGTCCTTTGAAAAGCTTTCAGACGCTTGAAATTGTGACGTTGTTTCGTAAGAATCTTGTATTATTGTATTGTTTCCCTATAGAAATACCTTATGTGTGTATGTGAGTAGCAGTAGGTCCAAAGGTCTCACGTTGGAAAAGTGACATGACAATGCAAGTTTGAGGATGGTGCATGCAGTAAAAAGGGTCAAATGATCAACGTTGTAAGGAGAAGACATATGTGAAAAGGTGTGATGGTGATGATGAAAAAATGCAGACAGAAAACAAGGGCGGTCGGAGTTGACGTCCTTGCATTTGCAGCCTGTTGTGTTGTGGCCCAACCCGATTATTAGTTTATTTTTCTTTTGGATCCAACCTCACGTCTTTCGATCGATGCCGAAACAGCGGTGGAATTGACGGTCCGGTCGAGCCTGTGATAAATAAGCCCAAAAGTGTGAGAAAAAACTGTGTCAAGGAGCTATTCCGTGTCCTTGCTTGCGGAGGAAAAGACCTCGGATTCAGTTCTTCTTGTCCTTGATGCCCCTCACGGTGTTTGGAAGATACAACATTGGTCCCACAAGAGCAACGGCAAACAAAGCGTAGAATGGGTATAGGTAGAAAGCAGATCTTGGGTGTCTCCACCATAGAGGCTTGGAAGATGCCTGGAAAAGTCTCTGGTGGTCAATTACTTTGTTAGCCATGTTTAAGCGTAGCTGGATAGCGGAAATGAAGTGAAGTGAAGGCTCTGGTGATACCAACAAGTAGCGTTTATGCTGAGTGTTTAGAGGGAGAGGCCTGAGTTTAACGTTATAATTTCCAAAATTTTTCAGATAATTTGACCATTTCCAGGAGCAGCCAATCAAATCGAAGTATCATAATTGAAACGGATCGCTAGGTACGAATCCGTTTCTGTCACATGACCGTTTTTTAGGTTTTTCCCCATGTGAATCATTTACAACGAAACGTTTCAGTCACGTGTTTTGGTGTTAAAAGGAAAGAAACATTCAAGGTGTCAGCGTCAGGAAAACAATGAACGTTGAAGCTTTAAGATTTTCTTCCCAATTGATTTAACACCAGACTGCTGCTTTTGTAGCTTATCTTTTTTTGGCTTCATTTTTGGCTCTATTACTTTAGTCCTCATCGCTGTCGTCGATGACTTGAAATCTTCTCTTCTTGATTTTTCTGTCAGCGCCATTAATGTCGTCAAGACTGTCACCGCTCACATGTCCTTCCTCCTCGTTGTGCTCCCAGAAGTCGCTGTCGCGTTCTAAATCTTCATCATCTTCGTCACTATCAAAGTCTTCATTATTGAAAGGCCTCGTGGTAATCCTTCCTGAGGAAGAGCTGTCGCTGCCCCTTCGACTCATTTCGTCTTGATTGGCTTCGTCACTATCAAGATTTTCAAAATTGACAGCTCTCGGAATAATCCTTGCCGAAGATGAAGAGTCGCTGCTTTCTCGACTCATGTCGTCTTCCTCAGCTTCGTCCACGATAAAGGAGTCCAGGTCCGAATCGTGCTCAGAACCATCGCTCAAGAGGTGAGTGCGACCCGAAGCGTTCACTCTGTTCAGAATGTCCCGGGCGCTTCCTATGGGACGCTGATCATCATCACTGCCCGAGTTGTCCGCGTCGCTGTCCACAGAATGGCCTGAATCGTTGTCCGATGACCACGAATGGCGACTGGTTCCGGTAGGCAGTCTAGTTCCGCGTGGCTCGGGGCTATCAGTTAGGTAACCCTCATGGTCGGAATCGTCATAATCTTGTGGTCTGTTTCTCAATCGCGCACCGCAATGTGGACATGTGTCACCTTCCGCTTCCCAGTGGCAGCTACTGCAGCGTGCTACACCATCGTCATCGTCTACCACCGCCAACGCAGTGTTTTCGAAAACGTTGTTGTAAAGACTACCTGCAGCCAAGTCTTCCTTGTGCAGTTTTACGCTTTGAGTTCTCGCACGTTCAATCGATGAATTTGGATCATTTTGGCGATCTATTACTGCACTTAGCAAATCTTGCAATGCAGAGTTGACAATCGGAGGCTGATCCAAGGTAGTTCTGCATTGTGGACAAGTCAATTCGCTAGCGTTATTGCTCACGATCCAACTCGAAATGCATTCATAACAGTAATTGTGACCGCATAACGTCATCACCGGGACATACATGTAGTCATGACAGATAGAACATACTGTGATATCTAAAACTTTGCTGAGAATTGACCTTGATTCTTCCAAAGACTTCAACAATTTGTTAGTAAATGCTTGATAATTCTCCTCTTCTGAGGAAATTTGAGATCTTACAGCACTCTATACATACAGTTTCGGCCACCAGCTTGTGCAATGAGCCCATTATGGCACTAGGAAGTGGTCTTATTGGTCGGTTTACTCAAGAAGTAAGTTTTACAGATTTAACCTTTTTTCAAAGCTCATCTCATCTCATCTCAACTTCACTTCAATTCTTCTAAAAATGACAGACATGACGAGAAACAACAAATGCTAATCTGACAACCAATGCACCACTTGAGTCATTGATCTGTGGGTTTCGTATTGCAGTCAGTAACGGGATTTATAAAGATTGGAAAACTTAAGAATAATGCAATTGCCATATCGTTCGCTGGCGCGCTATATACAGTTAAATATAAGTCAAGAAGTTTGTCGTCCGCTTCTGCTGTTGTGATGAAGCCTGGTGTGGGCGTAAAACAAAGTTTTACGCATGCATAATTTGTAATTGGTGAACTCATTCAGTGCGGGTTCATTTTCTTTTCCGATTTGACAGGGGGAGCCTTTGTTGCAGTTTGGAATTGGTGTAAATCCTGTTGTATGCTATGTTGGTAAAGCGAACGGCCCTGTGAATCGGTGTGTATCCAGTTAGTAAGGAACTGAATGACCATGCGCATGTCATTAAGTCCCTGGAATTTATAATTGACGTATCTTGCCAGAAGTGCGTCCATTTCCTTGTTTATCTGGGACAAGAGTTCGGGCCCGGCAGTAGGAAGGTCTTCAGTTGCTCGATACTTCGTGAAATATTTGATGAAACCTCTACAGGAGCGAAGGGTGTCACGGGTTATGAATTGTGCCTCGCCATTGTCGTTCCATTCCCGCAGTAGCGTCAAAAACTTCTCCGGGTCCTGGGCTCTTGTGTAGACCTTCAGCGCAGTCGAATAATAAATATACCACTCCCTCTCACTAGATGGATCCATGAGGCTTCTGCCACTTTCTAATGTTTGAGTGGCAGCCTTCGTATCTCTCAATGAAAGGAAAATGCTCGAAAGCTGCATGTAATTCTGAAAATTGAGAGTCGACCGTCTTTCTCTCTCAAAGTCTTTGACGTTGGTGACGGCTACCCGTGCAGCCTGAACTTTGGCAACCGACCCTAAGTTGTTTTTATCAACGAAACTGAGAGATTGTCTCGAGTTCTGCTTCAGCCAAAGGATATCGACTTTTGTCGGAATTTTCGGGTACGTTTCACGCATTATGTGATCAACCGACCTGGCAGCTTCGACATCATCTTCCATGAAAACTTTCAGCACCGAGTATAACACAGAAAAGCTGGGTTTCATACCGTGCTGAAGCTCGTCGAGTATCTTAGAGCGAGCCATTATTGCATCGCCACTTGATAATGCGGCTTGTATAGCTTTGGCGCATTCCGTGCTGAAATGGGAGCCCAATGAGACATAACTTGAGAGACGACTCTTCTTATTTTCAGCCCTGAACAAATGATTTCGTATTTTCTCGCTCACAAACTGAATACGCCAATCACTTTGGTTAAGGTTCGATTTCTCACGATCTAAAAGAAGACAAAAATCGTTGGTGATTTCGTTCGATAAAATGGGATATTTGCGCAATGCACAGCTCCAGAGCTGTTCCACATATGTGTGATTGAGGTAGTTCTCGGGTTTATCTTGGACTATGTCTGTCAAGTAACGTACTAACACCTCTAGAAGACCGTTTTTGACAAAATAATGGCACACATGTTTGTGAAAGTCATCTCCGAGTTCGACATTACTATCTTCCTGAGCTTTTTGGGTAGCGAAACGTACCAATGAGAAGTCGTTTTTAGAAATCCCATGTTTTAGAATCTCGATGTAGAAGTCAAGCCTTCTAGCATTGTTCGTGGTACTGAGGGCTTCTTGTAGGTTCTGATCGATATCCTGAATAGTTGATAGCTCACCGGTAAAAAGTCTATGATGGAAAATGCAAGCTGCAAAGTCGTCGCTAGCGGCGTAATTGGTGACGGTCACCCGTGGATGTGAAAGAAAGCGAGATGCCCCATCCGAGTCATCGAATTTCAGAAGAAGCCGATGAAAAAGCGCAAACGTGCCGTTTAATGGAGTAAGTTGCGACATTTCAGGGCTATCAAGCCATGAATACATGATTTGTTTCATGAGAGCCAGATCGGAGACTTTGAATACTTCCAGAGCAAAAACATGCAAAGTGTTTGGTGATACGAAGAAAGTCTCTGGATCTTTAAGTATCTGGAGGTAGAACTCTGTAGCCAGCGGTAGATTCCTGTTTTTCAAGAACGTCACCAGCCCAACATCCACAAGGCCAGATTTGATGTTAGGGGATTTGATGTACTCTGAAAATAAAGACTCGCAAGTCACATAATGGTGTAAAACAAATTCTGTCTGGAGCACGATGCTGAGAAACGTGGCATATAATTCTGAAGAGCAATTTCTTCGAAAGTCAGGAATTGCAGCTTTGTATTTCGTGAACAGGCGATGTATTTCGTAGTGGTGTTGCTGTTTTTCAAGTTGGGCCAGGGTTTTAACGAGCGATGAGAGCGTTACTGCAGCAGGTAAACTGCTTATTGGAGGAGTTGAATCTTTCGTTTTTGAGATTGAGTGGTTCATCGGTGACTGGAAATTCATTAGACGCGGTGCTGAAATGGAGATTCCCTTTCTGTACGTTTGAAGGTCCGAAGACGTCTCGGACGTGTCACTTCTTCTCTTCCCATTCCAGTCATCCAGGATTTCACTCAAGTTTGGTTCATGGCGATCTTTCGAGCCATATCGTCGGAAGCACAACAGTTGACTTATACAGTTCCCATTGTGCTTCATCGGTCGCACACGCTCTAAGAAGCTGTAAAGAAATGTTTTGTGGATCATGTTGCTGTGAATTCACTTGTCAATCCCATGGGTACGGCAATGGAAATGCACAGAGCTGATTAAATGATGTGTAGTAGCGAGCCGATTCCGTTCCCCTGGTGTGCTCGAACGCAGTTATTATATTTACAAGAAGGTGTTGGAAAATGCTTAAAATTGGCAGGCTCAGGCCCTCTCACTGTCTCAAATTCCAAACAATTCGTTTGAAACAGATGATGAGAAGTCTGAGGCGATGAATCGGAGCTGATCGAAACCTATTGTGACTGTGTTTAGGATACAAACTCTTAGGCATCGGTCATTGAGATCTGAAAATTTTTGGAATTAACAAACTTATAAGATGAGATGAGATGAACAACTACTAATACAAGAACTGTGAAGATAAGCTTCAAGACAATAGCTGAATCTGTGGTGTAGCGTTCTATTCTTATGGTCTAGTATTTAATCGTAAATAGACTTGTATGTATTTGAATCGTCCACGGTATAGTAAATACCTGACAGGACGCAAGATCGCAGAAGTGGTAGATAGTTGACGAGATGATCCATGTAGGAATTGAAGAAATGTGCGACGCATTTCGTAAACGCCACGTAAACGGATTCGTCGAACCGACACACATAATCGTGGAAATGGTGAATGTTTTCGTAACCATGGAGGTCCCAGTTGGCGGTCACTGGACATGTCTGCCATGTTTTTAGGTCCCAATCCGTCTCTGTGATGAAACGTCGCGATATGGCGTCTCCCGAGTAAGACATAAAGACTGTTGGAATAATATCCTTGTAGCAACCATCTGGCGAAGAATAATATTGATGGTTCATGATAAACTGATCGATGATCGGCAGAACTCTGGAACAATCATCGCACTCGCACCCGTTCCACAGCATATCGCACATAAGCACTTCGTAAGACGATAGAGAGCGGAGAAGCGTGGGTGCGATAAGAGACCGCAGATTCAAAAGTTTGGGCAAAACGTTGTCATACAGGGTACGCCGCCTCACGTAATTGCCTTCTACGGAATCTTTCTGGATGCCATTTAAAGGCGGATTGTGGCGAATTGCAAGTTTTTGAAGCGTGTTTGAAACGTCTGGCAAGTGGAAAATGAATTTGTTGATTGCCAAATCCCAATTTTCCTCGGTGTAATGGTCCCCCTGAGTGATAAATGTCTTTTCTATGAGTCCGAGCTCTCGCAAATTGCGGAGATGCGGCGCCAAATCCATCAAGAAATCTTGGAAGCAGTTACAATCCTCCACTTCGCAAGAACCTTCGAATTCCAATCGCTCCAGTTTCTCTAGGTCAAAGACGCTTGCCAGAAAGTCCGCAACCAGCTCTCGAATGGTCTTGTTGTAATCGTGAATTCCGTGCACATGATTGAATTTCAAGGATCTGACAGCTTTGAGCGACAGATTATGGTCATGGAAAAATTGAAATAATCGCAAGGCTGAGTGTTCCAAGTCGTCTACCACTAATTCCTGTAGATTAGACGCCAGAAATAATCTAATTTCCTCTGTTAAGCTACAGGCATCGAAATCGGGACTTGTCAAAAGTAATTCCATGGACTTGATTTTTTCGAGCGATTTCAATTGGCCGAGATCCGTGATGTTTACCACCTGGCATTGCTGTAAGTTGGAAAGCTGCAGGTATCGCGAGCGAATCTCAGACGAAAGCTGGGTATCTCTCACGTCCAGTACTTTGAGACGGTCCAAATCCATTAATTTGTTCAAAAGCTCTTTGGGAACCTTGTGTCCTGCCTCTTTGTCCTCAAAAACATCATCTTGAATCACCAATTCTTCGACCAGACCCAAATGGGGGCTTTCTGTCAATCTTACGATGCGATCATGCAAAAACAGGTCGTTTTGATCCGCTGTTTTGCGCAGCGAACGGTACCCAGCCACATACGTGCTCCCGCAGTCCAAAAACCATTCTGGAGACCTAAGAACCGGATCTTTGGATATTACAATTTTTCGATAGATACTTCTCTGTGTGATCTCATGAAGATGCGTATTAGTGCGTCCAAGTGATAGAAGATCATTTTGGTTGAGAAAACTTACGGCGTAATCCCAAATTCCTTCCAACTGCTTTTCCATGATACTCTCATTGATTTTCATTGTAACGTGGAACTTTCAAAACATGGCAAAGGCTTTAAGTATTCGAGAGCTCGTTTGGCTCGACTAGCCTTTAAAAATGGTTAATAAAGGCGGGTGGACTCATTATTCAACAAAAACCGGTGCGAGATCAAATTCACATCGAAAATACCCGTAAAAAATAATAACAAACAAAAAATATCGACCTCGGTGAGGATTGAACTCACGATCTTGCGATTAACAGTCGCACGCCTTAACCAGCTTGGCCACGAAGTCAACTTTGATGGAAGAGGAAGATTCTTTGGTGTATACAACAGATATTTTGTGTCACGCCTTTCTTGGTTGAAATAGCTCGGCGGTAAAATGACATTTGAAAATTTCAAAATTTGGTCTTACTTGTTTCACAGTTATTTAGGACTTGAATGGAAAACTTTCAAAGTAAGTAGGGACTTTGGTCTGATTAATAGGAGGTTTGTCAAGTTATTTGTGGGTTGACCGTGTATATTCATGTTTTTGTGTAGTCTGAGGACTTTAGCGAGATTACGGATTTGAAGTTTACGGACTTTGGCAAACTAACGGTACAGTTGGACCTTTTAAACTTCATAAGCGTTAAACTACGAAAAGTATAGGTTTCGAGATTTATATGAATGCAACCGGTGGAGTGTCTGTGAGCTCGAATACCAGCGGGTGACAATGGAACTTTCTCAGCGTTTTATCTAGTCTTGCACGCTCGGGAATATCGAGACCTGTGGCCAACCTGCGAAGGCATACCAACTGGGAAAAACAGCGTGGAGCGGACCCCCACTCCATGGGTCCATCGCAAGTGTCCATTTCCTCGATGCGCGAAACGAGATCGCGCACAATAGAAGATACGTAACCCGCAATATTGTCGCCGCTGTCGTTGTTCTTGTGGTCGTTCACTTCCTCACCAACACCCTCTATCAAAATCTGAGCATTTCTTAGTTCTGCCTCCAAGACGTTTCTAAACTGATTTGCGGGTTCCACCTCAAATAGATCTTCGCTGATTCTATTCATGCCCAAACTAATTGTAAGTGGTTCCAAATCGCGCTTCAGTTTTGCAAGGGCCAAAGAGCGGGCCCCTGGCTCTGTTTCCATTTTCCTGGCAAACATCCGCGCCGTAGATGAGAAATTGACACGTTGCGCATTAGGTTCAAGCTCCAAAAGGGTCTTGTTCAGATGCTCAGAAGCCATGCTACGAAGCTCAAGATCGTCGTCGTAAAGAAAGGTTTCCGCCAGAAAAAACATATCGATATTGCTGTGGCGTTTGGTGGCATTGATGAGCGAAATTAGAGCAGCTTCTCTCAATTCGAAAGGCGCCTCGTCATCAGCAAAAGAGGATACAGTGGTCAGGTAATCTTCTTCAAAGCCGTGCACAAATTGTCCTGCATATTCAAGAGCAACAGCTCGAAGATCGTGATTTCTTGACGTCTTGATGATGTTCATCAAAAAGCTATAATCTATCCGCACTTCGAGCTTAACAAGCGCCTTTAGAAGCGGGAGCTTGATAAATTCATCCAATGAATCATCCAACAGAGCTTCAAGAAGCGCTTCCACAATGACTGCAGAATTTGATGGAACCTTGCTCGAGCCGTCAAAAAGAAAATTTGCAGCAGCTATCTGAGCCTCGAAAAATGGAGATCGAAGAGCAAGAGCCACTAAATACGGAATGTTTTCTTGCGTCTCGTTTTTCAAAAGAAGCTCCAAAGTAGAGCGCACAAGAAGCTGTTTTGCTCCGTCTATGGAATACGCCCCATTAAGATCGATAAAATGGTTTCCTAAAGCCGTCACCATGTTTCCTTTTCCCACAGCATCCACGGGGCACTTAGACAGAACAAGAGTCAACAATTTGACAAATGCATTTGCAGTGGCGAAGCAGGTGCTGCCAACGACAAACTTGGACACTCCGCGTAACAATGTGCTCGCAAGCTTGCGCGAGTCGTTACTCGACAAACTTCGAGAATCGGCTTCGACGAGCTCTGCTATGCTAATGATCAGTCCGTGCACCTCATTTTGACTGCAATTTGAACCGAAAAGCTTCTCTAAAAATTCCATTATCTGCTCTGAGGGATTGTTAACAAGGCCTGGCAATGTTCGCGCTGCCAATTGCCTTACTGCCCAGTTGGGGGATTTCAAACAGGCGGTGACAAGGGTTCTGAAACGGTCTAGCCCATCGAAACCGGGCGTTTGCTTAAGTCTCGACAAAAGTGTCAAAACCAAAAAAATCGCTTCCACTTGAGAATCGAGGGAGGGCATAGAACTTTCCCCAACCTCGTCCTTCTGCTGCAGCTCCAGATTTTGTTGATTGTTGAAAGACCCATTGACTGACTTTTCAAACTGAGAGCGCAAAATGTCCTGGACACCGTTGTAGCGAGCGAAAAATAAGCGAGCGCTAATGTTTTTGCCTATTTTCCCAAATAGTCGATTTTGCAGTGCAGAGAATAACATGAAAGAACAATTTCGAAGCGACCAAAGAGGCGATGTGAATGATTGAATGCACAGGACCAGCGATTGGTACACATATGGCGCGCATGCATCTGATAATGGGGATTCAACAAATAAGGCCTTTATGCAATTATAGGCATTCACCTGAGGAAGATCAACAGTTTCCTCGTGCTCAGATACTGGAATGGTTGCAATCTTCATCAGTCTCTCAAAAGTTATTTTCAACAGCGGTCTGCTCTCACCCTTCTCGGAGCCGACTATGCTACAGATGATGTGCGGTATGCCGCCCGAACGTCTGGTGATGAACTGCGTTTTGGTCTCAAGCGATTCTAGTATCGAATTGAGCCAGAGTCCGAGAACGTGGGGCTGGTCTTTGTAACAGCGCTGGCAGGTTGCGGCAAAACTTGGTATGAGAGATTGGAATGCTCCGCTGTGGCGAATGGTAGATAGCTGTTTTAACATCAACTCTCCGCAGGCGGTAAGCTGCGCATCGGTTAGGCATTCTATGGTCGTCAATGTTTTGAGCAGTTCAGAGGAGTCCTTAATGGACCTGAATGCGTAGCTGATCACTTGCGGGTCTGACACCTCATGAGCGGTTTCGAACCCGCCATCTTTTTGCTCGAATGGATCGTCACATAAAATACACTCCACATTGTTCCAGTTCCTCATAATGAGGTCGATAGACCTATCTATAATGTGAAGAATCTTTTCCTCAGCGGTGTCGATGAAAGTGTTGGCAATTATGAGACTCAAAGACAGAAAATAGCCGTTTACTGGTGACCCTATGTTGGCCATGAAATCGTTTCTTGAGGAATCGATGCGATTTTGAAGGTCTAGCAAGACTGTCTCGATGATGTCCTCTTTGTTTTCAGAAGCCTTGAACAAAAAATCAATCAGTTTGGCCCCGCCTTCGCATCCTTTGTAGGACCCGATCAACGTCAGACTTCGGTCAAGCAAATTTGCTCGATGCGAAGCATCAAGAAAATTCTCGTCGGTACAGCTTTGAGAAAATGTCGTTAATAGCTCAAGGCAAATGTCTCTAATGTCGTTGAAGTTGTCGCATAAATTATCCAAAAGAACTCTTCTTAGCGTTTTATCTCTGGAAATGCTAACTTCGAAAGGAAACTCAGTTCTCAAGCGGGGATCTAGGCACTGTTTTGGTATAGTTTTGTCCACACTGGATGAAACAAGAATTTTCAAGATCTTGGTGGCCACAACCTGGCGTTGATATTGAGAACCAGGAGCTAATTGAAATTTCAAAAAGCCGACGGTCCATTCCACAAATCGAACAGCTTCGGTAATCATCTCAGACTTCTGAGCCTGTTCTTCGGGAAATTTGTTTTTGGCTCGAAGTTTCTTGACATCTCTGTCAAGCGAATACGAAGAGTCTCTAATTCTATCAATCAAATGTTTGAAAAGACTGAGGAATTCATTTCGAGACCGGACCTCGATGTCGACAAAGAAGATGTGAAGGTTTCGCCTCAGAATGTCATATATGTATGATGCTAGCGTCTTCGACCTTTTAGGAGAAAATGTCAATAGTTCAAAAACCGATATCTTGTACTGGTCTTGCTGCAACATCGTCTCGAGGAACTGCAATGATACGAGTCTATTATTTTCAAATGGCGCTTCCTCAATCAAAAGTTCTTGGCCGATCTTGAGAAAGGGAATAAGTTCTGGTACCTCTTTGGGAAAGTTTCGGCTCAAAAACTGTTCGAAAACCTTACCATCAAGTGTTTTGAAAATTGGAATCAGTACACAAACCTCGATACGTTTTTGCATGCGGGTGTCTTGAAAAAAATGCATGGTTGGTTTCTCCCACAACTCGAACCAAGAAGATGCGTCGGTACTCTCTTTATAATCATGTTCATATACGTTGATGAGAAGGCTCGCTATGCATTTCCCAATGAGTGTTGCCAGAGATTCGGTCCACATGAGACTGAGTGAGCTTTCCACAAAATTGGGCCTGCGTACGAGGACTTGTGACAGATTAGCTTCGGGCGCCAAAACGTATAGTAAGAAGTAAGAAACCCGCATTGTGGCTGGGATTTCTAGTGTCTGAGAAATCCATCTATTGAGCATGTTAGTCCAGTCTGCGCCAATTTTAACCAATTTTGCGAGTTGAATGAGTTTTGCTAGTAAATCGTTGAGAGAGTTAGTCAACGCGGTACCACCTTGGTCCCAGAAATCGACCACATAACGGAAAAAGATATCGCAGTTTGTTTCGGTGAGGTATTCTTCTTCAAGTCTGTTTATAAATCGGTAGCGGCTGTCTTCTGGACTCTTGACTGGCTCTATAGCTTCGTAAAGTTGCCGAGTTCTCAAAAACCAGACCCCCAATGTGTCAGTCAAAAGAAGTCTTTCTTTATCATCAACGGCGGTTCCGTTCTTTAAAATTCGAAAAAGATCTTCAAAAACATCGTTGAAAAACCCGAAAACGCCCTCAGAGCCACGTTTCAGTTCCTTGGGCTTCAGTGCAATAAGTCTAGCTTTGCAAGACTTAATATGCTCGGTAGAGGACATTGGTCTTTGGCCGTTCGAGTTCTCTCGATGCCTTAACGTAGGCATAAGACATGGTTAATTTTTACTATTGGCAGCGAATATCAATAAGTCATCATATACGAAAGGATTCCTGAGGTGTGTAACTGTTTTAAGAGACGCGATGCCATTAGTGGTCACATTTGTTTAGCCACTTAAGCGTTCGTTACAGCAGTCTTAGATATCTAATTTTGTATAATGTACTTGGTTATGAAAAGATCTTTTACAAATTTTCATAATTTTCGTGTGCAAAAAACGCTTTGAATGGAGGTGGAGATGATAGATTTAGGCCCAAACACCTTTGCTGAACCCGAATTTGAGCAGACTCAATTCAATGTTATAAGAATTGGATCGCTTCTTGTGTTTTCTTGAGAACAAGTGATCACTACTGACCATGCCTGTCGCTGACTCTAGTCACGTGACACCCATCCGAAATGAACAGTCATTCATTTTTGCAGTACAAATACGCTTAACTCGCTTTGCAAATAGCTTTTCATATCGGTAACAACCAAATCCAACGGTTAACTGCAACGACTCCTGCCTGACACTAACGAAAAAATGATCTTTAACATAATCGCATTTTGGCGATCTTCATATCACTTTCTACTAATGTGACAATTTCAAATGATAAAAAGAGTCAGGTAGCATCCTTCACAGCTGGCCTGCGGGAAAACAACTTCCCAAACCGCTGAGATTTCCACAACTTGCAAGTTTCCCACCGTGGTCAATTTTAACTCGAAAATAAACTGTTCTTTTACTTTCTTCACCACTCACGTGTGCGATCTGCAGTTACTATATGATCTTTATAGACTCGAATACACCAAAATTAACGATTATCATCCATTCTTAAGCCAACTCGGTCGGTACTTCATCAATTCAACCAGAATCTCCAGGCTAGATTGTCAATTCTACTCGCAAAGATGGAGGATAAATATATTGGATTGGTCCTTGCGATCACTTCTTCGCTCGCGATTGGCAGCTCTTTCATTCTCACGAAAATGGGCTTGAACGCAGCATCAGAACAGAATAACTTCGAAGGTGCAGGCTACGAGTACCTGAAAAATCCAATCTGGTGGGGAGGAATGGCCACCATGGCTATCGGGGAGGTGGCAAATTTTGCTGCCTACACGTTTGCGCCTGCCATCATGGTAACACCATTGGGAGCACTGTCTGTTATCATCGGGGCGATTTTGGCAGCAGTCTTTTTAAAAGAGGAGTTGGGAACCTTGGGCAAGCTCGGATGTACCGTGTGCTTGCTGGGATCCGTCATCATCATTTTACATGCTCCCTCAGATACGGATATTCAAACTGTGGATGAAATTCTCGGATATGCTATGCAACCTGCATTTCTCTGCTATATACTGTCCGTTGCCGTTTTCACGGCTTTCATGATCACTAAAGTGGTCCCCACACATGGCACGAAAAACCCCATGGTTTACATTTCGATCTGCTCTACAGTAGGATCGATTTCTGTGATGTCAATCAAAGCATTTGGGATAGCCTTAAAACTAACTTTAAGTGGAAACAACCAGTTTACGCATTTTTCCACCTATATTTTCATCGTCGTTGTAGCGGTTTGCATCATGACACAAATGAATTATTTCAACAAGGCCCTTGATCAGTTCGATACTTCCATTGTCAACCCTCTGTACTATGTTACATTCACGACTGCAACTCTTGTTGCGTCTTTCATTCTGTTCCGCAATTTCGATCAAAGCGATCAGAAGGATTCGGTGTCGTTGGTATGCGGGTTCATTATCATTTTCACTGGAGTTTATCTTTTGAATCTGGCCAGGAAGAAAAACCACGACAAGCTATTCAGTCATCAGTCAGACGTTGAAAATATCCCGTTGGATAACAACGTCGGCGGTTTCACGGTAAGAAAATCTTTCCAAGGAACACACCATAGGGTAGCGTCTCAATCATACCAAAGCGAAGAAATGGTCCATCTAACGAGAGATGACCCAGACCTCGATAGATTCAAGGTTTGAAAAACGACGAAAGTTACATTTGTGAGATTGATGCATTCATTGCCCTGTGATTTATCACAAGGGCTCTAAACACCAAAACAAAAGAGGAAGCGCTCCCGACATATAAATACCCAAAATAAACGCTACAGCCTAGTTTTCAAGGCAGGGGATGTACAACTACAAACCCTATCGTTCAAACCATATTTGAAAGAACCCAAATTCATACGAGGTCCAAATATATATTTCATTTATATATGTAATAGTACATAGAGGGAACACAGGGAAACTAGTGTGCGATGCAGTGAAAAGGATGCGGTCCTTTCCGGGGTTCTAAATGTCATCAATGTCAAGGTCATCCTCGTCCTCGTCTTCGCTGTCGTCGTCGGCATTACCGAATTCAAAGTTGACGTCTTCGTCGGATTCGAAACCAAAGTTGTCGGTTTCGTTGATCTTGGCGTTCTCAGGCAATTCTCCCTGGCTTTTCAACGTACGCGCTTCATCCAAATTGTACTTGTGCACAACATCACACTGGTCGTCTTGGAAGTCTCTCAAAGACACCAAAATGATGTCACCTTGACCCATCCACACTCTCTTTCTGAGTTTTCCTCTGATGTGTGCCATTCTTTTTTCACCGTCGAAACACGATGCCTCTACTCTACCATTACCCAACATTTTAGTGATTTGCGCATATTCTTGGCCCTCTTCCTTGTAGATAAGCTCACGCTTAGGACCGTCAGAATCGTTCTTACCTCTTCTACCTTTCTTACCACCCTTGGTGTTCTTCTTACCCATCTTGTGAAGTTGATTGAGCTGACCTTGAGTTGAACCTTTGAAGATTTTGGGAGGAAACTTGAGGTATCTTACCAAGAGTTTTGCTCATCTAGTTGTTTCCTCATCTTTAAAATTTTTCAGATATTTCGTGTAGAGGTACTCAACTAGATCACGAGACTCTAACGTCCATAGCGATTCTCCACAAGCGTTCGGGGATTACAGGAATCGACCGCTGCGTGAGAAAGGAGCTCGACCATGACGCCAATTGAAAGGTGATTGAGGCTGTTGACCATTGAATAATAACTTGGCAGTCCTTCGACATATGTTCGCGAGGCTTTCGTGTTCTGTTTTTCTTGAGATGTCGTAACGTATGTCATAATGTGTGTGACGCTTGAAAAGCGTTTCTTTCATGTCTTGCTTCAAATTGTGAAATCCAATCTTTGCACTCAGTTTAACTCGTTCAGCTTTTCCAACATGGAAAGAAGTTCATTCAGACCCTCAATGTGCTCTTTTGCATACGTGGATAGAGAAACTCCGTACACCACACTGTAACCAGCCCTGACAGATCTGGTTTTAGCCATCTCATTGACGTACTCGAACAATGGTTCCACTACAGGTGAAGTAGATCCCGTCACGGCTAGAAAATCAACGTGCGAAGTGCCACGTCCCAAGCTAAAGTACGAGTTGTTACCTCCTTGGCTCACGGGTGACGTCACACCGTTAGGCACGGAGGGCGCCATAAGTGGACTCAACAGCGGCGAGTTTTCGACCGAGTGTTGGGGAGTCGAGTTGGTGTTAGCGTTGACAGAGCTGAAATACGCCATCAGAAACTGCACTGCTTTTAGCGCAAGTCCAATTTGTTGAACGAACACCACATTTTTGTGCAAATAAGCATGGATACCTCTATCACCGAAAAGGGTATTGACGTGAGTGATTGCCTCACCTACTACGCCGGAAACACGTTCTTTATCGTCAGCGTTTTCAGTATGAAAGCGGATCATCGATTCCCCTTCCTTACAATAAGAGCCGGGCAGCCTCTCCACTTTATCCTCAATAACCTTGGCAATTTCACTTTTCCACGTAACATCTTCTACAATACTGAACCAGCGATTGTTGAGTCTCACGTAGGCGCCATTTTCCGCGATCAATCCAACATGGGCTGCACGGGTGTAAAGTCTTTCCATCATATTGCGCGAGAATGCACTGAACACGTACACTATACTGTGAGCGGACAGATCAGCCAAAATAGATAGGGCCCTGGCAGTTGGTGGTTCTGAAATTTTAAAAATGAACACGCGTTTTCTGGTAGCCCTATAGCTAGAAAGCATTGTGTCGTAAGACAGGTTGAACACAGTAGATCTCTCCTTGTTAAAGAACCAAGAGCCTGTGATCCCGTTCAAAGACTCCTTGACCCAGTAGTCCGAGTCATTCTTCATGATACTCTTATACAAAGTCTTCCATCTTCGTCTCTTCTCCTCGTATGGCAACTCAAGAGCACGCTTGATAGTTTGAGCAACTTGTTTAACATCCCATGGATTTACCAGATAAGCTCCATCTTTCATGATATAGGCACTACCAGTGAACTCCGAAAGTAAAAGTGGCGCGTTACGCTGTCTTGAGGAAACTATGAACTCATGACATGTCAGATTCATACCCTCTCTCATAGTTGTTATCAAGAATAAGTCAGCCTCGGCATTCAAAGCCAGATACTGTGCGAAATCAAGGTCTTGATGCAGAAACACAACTGGTTGCGAAGTGCTGATATCGGGTGACAAAGCATTGATTCGATCAATCACGATCATCAGCTCTCTCTCTAGCTCGGGATTTTTTTCAGACCCCAAGCAAATTTGAATCAAAACGGTTTGTGTGACATACTCGGGATTCGCACGCAAGAATCTTTCGTATGCCAGTAGTTTCTTTCTCAAACCTCTAATGCGGTCGAACTGATCACGACCAACAATAAGTTTTTTATCAGGCCAGCGACTCCGGATCAACTGGCGCCAGTTTTGAACGTTTTCCGCATTTAACTGAGCATCCAAATTGAACGTGTCAATCCCGATAGGAACGTTGCCGACGTCTATGATGCGACCTTTATATTTCAAAGTGGTTTTGTCGACGTCAGTCATCAAAAGACGATTCGTTGTCTGCAAAAAGTGACGAGCGTATTCCTCTGTTTGGAATCCCACGTAGTTGGCCCCTACAATTCCGTTCAGAATGTTCTCTCTTTGAGCAAAACATCTGAAAACCTCACTACTAGGAAACGAAACGTGCAAGAAGAAACCAATTTTAGCGTTAGGTAACTTTGCTCTGACCATACCAGGAACAAGCATCAAGTGGTAATCATGAATCCAGATCGTATCACCTTCATTGTAAGCCTTGACAATGCTGTCAGCGAAAAACTGGTTAAGATCTTGATAAAAGTTCCAAGAATGGTCTTCGAATGCCTTCGAGTTAGGGTTATCGGGAATTTGGTAGTGAAGCGTGGGCCATAGAATCTGCTTGCAAAAATTTTTGTAAGCGACTTTGAATGTGATGTCATCAGAAATAACAGGAACACAATCGTAGTTGTTTTCAAGCTCCTCGCAGACCTTATCTAAAACGTCGTTTGAAATACTGTCCGTTGGAATACCAACAGTGCCTACCCACTTAACAGGTTCTTCAATTACCTTTTCTGAAGAAGCAGTCGTGATAGCATTTTTGAGACCGCCATTTCCCTTGCCAGATGTCACAATTTTCCAAGGCACCTGCGAGAAGATATTTTTTGACCCCGTCAACAAAGACGCTCTGGTCTTGGCGTCGGACGAAATGCCTCCAAATTGGAGAACTCTCGATCTCGTGTCCTCTTCATGATCGGAAAAGTGGTCACTATCGCTTTCCTCAATAACCTCATTTTTCAATGCGGACGAGGTATGACGGCCACTTTCAAGAGAACGAAGCGGGTTCTTGCCAAGGAGATGGTGGGGGGCACCCTTACCGTCCTTGGGTTCAGGAGAGGGAGCTGCACTTGAAGACTTGCGGTGCAGTCTTCTCATAGCGGGCAACGAGTACTGCTGTTGCTGCTGATGCTTGGCCTTTGGAAGGTCCACAACACTGGAATTGAGGTCAGGCACGTCCCTGGATTTTGGCGTAATCACGGTACTAGTGGGCCTGGATGCCTGGGGTTGTGTTTTACCCTCAATTGAGGCTGGAACGGGGCTCCCGCTGGTGCCTATCATATTTTGGTACAAGGACTTGTTAACATTTTTCAAGAGGTTAGCAGTCGAGTCGTGCTGCGGAACGGGACTGAATATACCCTCTGCGCCAGGCGTAGACACATTCGAATAGTTCCTGCTTGACATTCCACTCCCACCGAATACTGCTTGCATTGATCCACCCGGGTGAGAACTGAAAAACTCCTCGACCGACGTGTTGCCTTGATTGTGCACCGGGTTGGCAGGTGTTCCTGTGGCACCTGTGTTGACCGCATTTGCCGTAAGATTCTCCATAAACATGTCAGATGAGATGCCAGGGCTGGCAACGTTCGTGTGAGAGTCTTGTTCTCGAGTAACGGATGCGCTTGGGTAGTCAAGCAGGTCCGATCCTCCATTAGCGTGCTCAGTGCTCGAGAATGGAGAGCTCGAGTGAACAGAGCTCGTTCTATTTCTTCGCAATGGATCACCGGGTTCCAGCGATCCTGGGCCTCCACCGCCCGCATTCGTTTGCGGAACTTTGATAGCATCGCTTTCTAGCAACGCTGCAGTATCTGCATCTGATCCCGAAACTTCAAACTGCGGCTGGAAAGGCAGAAATAGCGAAGCTACAATGACCACCATTTCGCGAGTGATTGTTCGATACGTTTACTTTTAGTATGAGCACTTAAAGGCAAGAATTGGTGCTGTTGCTCGATTTTTTTAGTGACCCCTTTACCGATTTCAACTTTTGGTTATAACCTGAGTATTGAATTTGAAATGACATAAGCAAGGGCCCGTGCCGATCATGTGATCATTAACGTCACGTGCGCGCCGAACTTTGGAGATTCCAAAAACCCACATTAAAAGTTAGGAGGAACACCCTGGATTGCTTGTCATGGCACGAGCCGGTTGACATGTTTCCGCAATGCTCTCAGCCGTGCTACTCCATTTTTGTCATTCTTCCACAAGCAGTATTGAGCACCCGTTCCAAAAAAAAAACAAGCAGTCCTTTGAAAGCGTGTCTTTTTGTGCGATTGACGAACCCTGGGTGTTCTGGGCTTGGATTCAACAACAGCAACATATTTGTTATGAGTTCCATTATTTTGTAATTCGCCAGTGCCGATTAAGGCCTCATCATTCTTGCGTAGGGAGTTTCAAATAGCCGCTGAAGTATTTTTAGCGTGCATTCTCTAGTGTTCCTCTCCCAATTGACATTCGGTTCTCCAATGCATTCAGTATTAGGTGTTATTAGGACTAGCCACACTATTTCTGCTGCTTCAGCCTTTCCAACACTTTGAATTTCTTGATAAAAAGTCAACGGTCCTTAAAATCACTGTTCTTTGGCTCAAAAAGTGAGCTCTAGTCTCGATTCAAAATGCGCTCGTCAAAGGCTAAAGGTCTTACCGTAAATCCATGCTTTTCGACTGAAAAAGAAGACTTTCTGACGGCTTAAAATCAAAAGTTTATATTGTCTCTTAATCTTAAGGTTTAATCATCAATCTAAGTTTATGATTGGAACTTGCTTATTATATAAAAACATCACGAACCATTGCAGAAAACAAATCTAAAGCCCTAACAAATCTAAAGCCCTAACAATTCTCTCGGCACGATTGATTCAGACCAGGTGTGAAATCTTCAGGCGCACACTCGTCAAAATCGCTCCTAAAAGTAGATCAGTATCGTTTTCACGCTTTTCTATAGTCATCATTCAATTGTCAACCTTATATATATCAGATTCCTTCAAACTACAGAATGGTACCATATGTCGACGCTCATTGTCATGTCACAACCAGCATTAAACAAGGCCACACAGGCAGCCTGAGATCACCGGAGGCCCCTTCTGTGCGATGTGTGATGTCGAACAACAGCTACGATTGGCAGCGTGTCAAGAGTCTTACCCATCAGGACAGCAATACAAAGATTGGATTCGGCGTGCATCCCTGGTATTGTCATTTGTATTATGTGGGAGAGAAAGATTGCAAGTTGACCAAGGAAACGCACTACAAATCCGTGCTTCAAGGTTCGAACACTGAAGAAGTGGACCAGATCATAAGCAGGTTGCCAGAACCTATTAATCTGCAAGAGCACATTCAAGCCGAATTCGAAGCCACAAGATGCGCGTGTATTGGCGAAATAGGCCTGGATAAGCTGTTTAGATTGCCCGAGAATGGGTTTTTCCAAGGCGACGAGCGGGCTCCCCTAAGCCGTGTTAAAGTGAGTATGGATCATCAGACTCGAGTTTTCATCGAAATGTGCAAATTGGCCGCAAAACACTCACTGGCGGTCTCGATCCATTGCGTCAAATCTCCCAGCCTCATGTTTGAGCTTTGCAAAAAGCATCTTTTAACTCACTCCGATGTCAATCTGTGTTTGCACTCTTTCACGGGGTCTCTCGAGACACTTACGGGCAGCTGGCTCAAAACCTTTCCTTCCGAACGCCTTTTCTTAAGCTTTTCGAGCTACATCAACCTCAAGAACGACGATTCGGCTGCTAAACTGGTCAAAGCGCTCCCAAGAGAGTGCATTTTGACGGAAACCGATTTCACCTGGGATACAGCAGACCCAGCAAGCATAATACGCGAGCTGGACCTCATACTCTCGCATATCGCGCACCAGCATGATCTACAGTCCTTGCAAGAAGCCAAGGAGCTGGTCTATAGTAACTTTCAGCGATTTATATCTCAAAACTTGTCTATTCCGTAACTTTTAAATGTAATAAATTATATCCAGAACTATATGTTATCACCAATCCACACAAGCACTCAACTCAAAACACTAGTTAGCACGCTCAGCACTCGCTCTAGATGCCTCCCAAAGCCCACAACTCAAACTCTGAATCTGAATCCCGCACACGAAGCAACGCTGCTGGTAACTCGAACCAGGGTACTGCGTCTGGAAATGCAAGAAATGCAGGCAAACAAAGACTGACGACTGCACAACAGCAGTACTTGAAAGACCTGATACGCACACATGTACAGAATAACCATCCCAGCAATTTTCCTAAGTCAGATCCACTAGATTTCGAAGACTATTCCGATGATTTCTTACGCCGTTATAAGGACCATTTCCAACTTCCGCTTGAAGACAACTTGTCGCTTCGAGGTTATCTACTGGGGTCTAAGCTCGGGCAAAAGACGTATTCCTATAAGAGAAACGAAAAAGGAGTACCCGATGCTCGAGTTACCAAGAAAAAGCTAGCCTCTGAGGTCAAAAAACACTTCAACTCCTACAATGTCAAAGAAACTGAGTGCATCCCAGCTTTTATTTACAAGGTCAAAAACCAAAAACGAAGGTTCAAAATGGAATTCAAGGAGTAAACGGCAATCCGTCCAGCAGCAGCATCAGGTACGTTCTTCGAGTGAGAAACCTCGATAGATGGAGAATTCCTGGTACTCTGATAATGGTGCTGTTTAATAGTACCGGGATACGAACAAAGTCATATAAATCAAACAGCTTTCCTGTTTGACACCAAGGTTCGCGCTGACAAAAAGTGGTAGAGCAGGTCTAGAACAATGGATTCTTCAACTGTTACGTTCTTGGTCGTTCTTGCGGCTACTTTTGTGCTGGTTAAATGGCTGCTGCAAGGAGAATCTCATCCCTCAGCACAACAACAAGTTTCTGCAACAGCCACCGGGTCTGCCACCGGTTCTGCCACCGGATCGAGTTCTAGCATTAGAGGCAGAAATAGACGTTCGAATGCTCCAAGAAGATCCCGAAGACCGGTTACCGACGATATGATTGAGGTGGTGCAGAGTCTAGCGCCTACTTTGCATATTGAACAGATCAGACACAGCCTTGAACAAACAGGGTCGGTGGAGGAAACTGTGGAAAGGTTTCTAAGAGGTGATGAATTCGAGTTTCCTCAAGGCTACACGGCTCAAACACCAACCGATACGCATGCAGGTGGTGCTGGTGAAACCAGCGAAAGCTCGCGGAATGCAGATCCTCGCAAAAAAAGTAACATCCGGCCTGACAATCTTTTGACCAAATACAACCTCGATCCGGCCTCCGAATTGAAGACCCAGAATTACAACGATATGACCATTGACGAACGCAAGCGTCATCTGGTGCTCGAGGCAAGAAAGAACATGGAAAAGCGTCTAGAAGAAGACCAGGAGCTGAAAGAGCTAGTAGCATGAACTAAAGTGTCTTCTTACAGGAAATTTACATATATACCTAACTTAGGAGCTATTTTTTCTTGCTATTTTGAAATACCAAGGTAGGCTGTACCCTTCGTGGGACTGATTTCACGTCGTTCTGTGTCTGAGGCTCGCTTTTTGTGACCGCGGCGGCGTCCTCGATGGGTTCGGCCATGATCGATGCATCTGATGAAATCCCCTTCTTTTCAGCGGTGGGCTTCTCTTTTCGTCTTACTTGCAGTGTGTTGACTACCAAGGGCACCTGTTCAGGAACTTTGGTTTCAGTTTCAGTGGGTTGAGATAGAGGTGGTTCAACAACCGTCTCAGTATAAAACGCCCCCAGTGTTGCGTCTGGAATCGAAATATAAGAGCAAAAGCCGTCCGTTGAAGAAACCATGAGCATTGACCCGTCCAGTTGCCATGCTATATCGGTGATTGGCGTGTAATGCAAGTTTCCTATGATGCAAATGGGCTCCACAATCTCTGTATCGTAAATGAAAATCTCGTCAGAGGTCGCTACCGCAAAAACCAGCTTGTATGGTAGTTGTATATAAGGTTTTGCACCGGCGGACAACTGATACAGTTGTGGACAAAACGAAACCACCAATGCAGGTTTTTTGAAAAATGGTAAAACCAATAAAGGCCTGTTGCTGCTGCTCTTCAAATATGGTCGCGTAAAAATATAAACCGCATTTGCAAGCTCGTCGTTGCCATTGCTACTCTCTGATGCACTGTCGCAGTTTTTGAAAATACCAGCAGGTATGCAAAGAAGATTTCCACATGGTGACATACCAAGCCGGCGGAAAAATGACGGCAGGGTTTCGTTGTGGAAAAGGTAAGAAGATTTGATCTTGCTATAGTCTAATTCGGTATCATTAGCAGCTTTGCGACATGGCAATTCACCTCTGATGATGCGGTTTGTTAGTTTCAAGTCAGCGACAGTTTTACTGGCATCGTAAATTATGCGGTGTACATGCACTGAACGATCTGCGGACTGTGAAAAGATGAACTCGTTCTGCGGGTCCCACACGACACCCTGTACGTAGTGGTTGTGATCTGAGGCGATTGCCACGCACGATTCACCCGCTACATCGAATACTCTGATGCTATTATCCATCGAACCCGTGACAATGAACTTGCCGTCTGGACTCCAGGACAAATCGTAGATCTCGGAGGATCCTGCTGCGGTTGACGATCGTAGACGTTTCCACACGTACCAGGACTCTTTGAAATCGGCAAATTCTTCGTCGTCCACTCCGAAGTCTTTGGATATGCTCTCGTTTTTCTTCCAAAGCAGAACTTGTCCATCGTCGCCCGCTGATGCTATGCTTTCCTGTGAGGGATCGAACCTTACAACGTTCACCGCCTGTTCGTGTTGATTGAGTGATGAAAGGAAATCAATGGTATCCACCTTGCTTCTGTCTTGACCATTAAAGTTCAATTGCCATACGCGAATCTTGTTGTCACCACCAGCTGTAACTAATCTCGTAATTTGGTCTTTTTGGAAAGCTTTCGACTGGAAGGAAAGACTGTAGATGGGCTGAGACTCATGCCAGTAGATTTGAAGGTTAGTAGCCTCCATATGAGCACTGGCTACACGCTACAACGAGCTCCGAAACTCTGATCTACAATTCTTTAACTTGATGATATAGTATGGATCAAGAATAAATTCGAAGTCACTCTCATAATTAAAGATTCGAGATGACAGCGAACCGATCAAATGATAGTTCGGTTCCAGATGCAGAGGAAACACCTGGATGCCACGGTCGAGACATGGTCGAGAATAGTCAACCTCTTGGATTCAAGAAATGTTGGATTTCAGTTATTTCAGTGATAAATATTGGATACGTTAAATAGCGGAAAGAATATCGAGAGTTTCCTAACGATTCCCTCCATGCAAATTTTAAATTGAATTCGAATCGCTGAGCCCAGAACTGCTCGAGTCATATACGTGCCTTCCTTGTTTTTTTGGTCTTTTTGGCCATGACAGCGGTCAGCACAAACCTATAACCAAAATCTGCGTCAATCATGAGCTTTTCACTGCTGACATCAGTCCAAGTGTAAAGGTCGTCATTGAACAGCTCGGGCGAGGTGTCAATGAGTTGGCTACTTGGAGCAGTCAAAGGAATCCGGAGCGCTGGGAACTCGGTATAGACATATCTAGTCTCATCGCCGGATTTCACGTCGCATACGCATTGTCCGTTTGGCGCAGTGCCAATTTTGGTGACCATAAAACTAATCCGCGCGTTGTCATTGCCAGTATTCATGAAATGCATGTAAGCGTCTATTGTTTCGTCTGAAGGCTCTTCTGCTGAGCCGGTCAGTATCATGGTTGCAATCTTGCGATTTGTAATTGTGCCGTGTTCTGTGCAAAGTATGTATCTCCCAGAGATATGCAGGTCGTCCAGGTTAACGGTGGGCGATAGCGTCTGAACTATGAAGGCGACAAGTTTTCGTCGCGATTGGGTCGTTAAGATGTACGCGGCACCTAGGCGTTTCTCCTTGTGATAAACCTTGCCCGTGTAAAAAAGGCGAGGGGCGCCTTGAGCGTGGTTGCGAGAACCCAAGCCTGCCGCCGCATCATTGTGCTCTTTGAAAATTCTAGAGATGATTTTTCGCTCTTTTGAAGGCTGCAAATATTTGATCAGACCGGGAACGTGGACGAGCGTGTATTGCAATGATGGCTGCATGGCTTCCACAAACTCGAACAAAAACTGCCGAAATCCACGGAGCTGTCTTACTCTGTCATCATAGATAGTGATCTCCTGACAGCTATCGTAATGCATAAGCAGGTCGGTAAGACAAGAGGTTTTATACGACATTGTGGTTTCGAAGCCGCTTTTCTTCAAGAAAACACCGTGGAACCGCAGCCGTTTGCCCCCAAACACTGGTTCTTCTAGCACTTTTCTCAATGCATCTGCAAAAAAAATCTCTTTTCTGCCGGTCATTAGAATCGATAACGTATCGGGACTTTGCTGAGACAACCGTGTTAGGTCTACAATGTCTTTGTTCCAGTACATGCCGTCAATAGAATCTCTTTCTGTATCATTTCCATCTCCATTTCGTGCATCGATCCATTCATCGATGAGCTCAAGCAGAAAGCGAGGTTCGCTCCACCAACCCCCATTGCTTAGCCGTTGAGGGTCTGTCAATACATTGGACAAGAACGAGGATAGGAGGTTAGGATTAGGAGCTGGTGACTTGAATAATGTGTTGTCAAAATCGTAGATGTGAATCTTGCGGATTTGGCTTTTTGATTGGTTTTTGGGAGGATTCAGAAGAGAGCTGCAACTACTCCATTTGTAGAGTGGAGCATGCTCTTCAGTAGCAGCTTCCCCGCCAATAGTATCGGACGGCATGTACAGAGTGTCAAGGTCTCACTAGATCATATAAAGAAGTAGCAAGGGAGGTGAAGTTCGGATAGCTACTTACAAGTCTACATTTTTATCGGATATGCAGGTCTGAATTTACTATATTGACGTTCACTGTGGTAGCTCATGGCTATCATTGTATACGCTTGAGTCATCGTCGTGACAACTCACCAATAGCGGGTCAGGACCTTTTGGCACGAGCTGTCTTGAGAACTGACTACGGAGAAGCACCTCGTGTCTATGAGATTTCACTGATTTGAACGGTCTAAAAGTAACCCTTTTCGACACGAGTTGGTAGGTCTGAAGCTTGCGCTTTGATGGGGAACGCAAGTCCGAAGGAAGTTAGGAATTTGGTGTGATCAGACCGAGACTCAACTCGACAGTGTCCTTGGTGTTTTTACATTCATTTGAATGAATGATTTCTGGAGCAAATGCCGTCATATTAAGTAATAGCCATCGACCATTTGCATGAGAGGAGATCCAAACCTACGTTGCACCATATTTGAAGTATTTTTGAAGGAAGAATACATGTCTTGATGAGCCACATGGGCTAGAAGGGTCACGGCCCGTTGTGTATTTGAGTTGCATCTGGTCAAATTCTCAGATTTCAAGATAGATTGCATATTAATTAATAAACGGATTAAATGTTTAATTCGAATTGAAAATCATGAAATCAAGACAAGTTCGCCTTTTCAAAAGACTTAAGCGCTTTACGCACGTCTGTTTTCGAATGGATATTTTACATTTGGAATTGCAAACTCGATTTTAGGCGTCGACACCAGCTGGAAAGTCCGTTCCTTCGTCAAAATTACAAGTTCATTAGCTAACAAAACCGCACATATGCATTGGCATCTATGGAAACCACCAACCGTTCTTTGCATGCACACCACGGTTTCTGTTCTTCGAATCAGAATGTACAGAAGTTTCTCGATGTCCACATGCGTGATTCCACAACCTAAATCGGCGAAAGAACCGTCGCATCGCTTGAAAAAACTAACGCTCGAGCCTCTATCGTGAAAAAAGAAAAGGCTGGTTACCACGAGTGATCAAAAGAGTTGTCGACCAAAGATACATGAGATTTCTCTGAACAACGATACGCTGAGGTGTTCAAATATGCAAGCACATTCCTTCGACGACAGATATGACTGCATACTGTGTGGTTCCAGACATTGGTTCGAAACGCATATTCGTCTTATTTCACGGCTTCTCATCATATTGTACCAGCCAAAAAATAAATAAGTGAGTTTGATCCAAGATATCAAACAAAACTTCGATTTGAATAAATAAACAAATCCAAGTAGCTCACAATTCGACCCGTAATCACATTCAACAAGGGCTCTTTGTGTTTAAGTCTAACAAGCTTTCAAGGTTTTGCGGTGCTGAAGCTGCTTGGTGCTCATTATGTCGAATGATACTGAAAGTGGCCAGCCGAAGGCTCTTGGAACAAGGCAAGTGACAACATCGATAGTGGTCAATGGTGCAATCTTTTGTGCGTTTGTGAGTGTTTTCCTAGTGCAGCGGCTGAAGCTGAAAAGAATTTACGAACCCAAATCGTCCTTCCATTTGATCAACGACGAGAAAAAACCAGAACCGCTGCCTCGAGGGCTATGGCAGTGGTTTCTTCCCCTGCTCAAAAAATCGGATAACTTCATCATCCAGCAAGCTGGTTTGGACGGATACTTCTTCATAAGGTATCTTTTCATCATGGGCAGTTTCCTTACGTTCTCATGCCTTTACATTCTACCCATCTTGCTGCCAATCAATGCCACCAACGGGGTGGCTAAGACAGGATTAGAAGCTTTGGCGTATAGCAACGTCGACAAAAAGGCTCGTTATTACGCCCATGTCTTCGTTGGCTGGATTTTCTACTGGAGTTTCATGTATGTGGTTTATCGAGAACTTGTTTACTACACATCCTTGCGACAAGTGGTGATGGCGTCTCCACGGTACGCTAAAAAGCTTTCCTCGCGTACTGTTCTGTTCCAAACCGTACCTGACCAATTTCTAAGCGAGGTGGAGTTTACAAAACTTTTTCAGGGTGTCAAACGTGTGTGGATCGCCCGGGCAGCCAAGAAGCTTGGCGAAAAGGTCGCGGAACGTGAGAAAATGGCCTTGAAACTCGAGGCAGCAGAATGCGCGCTTTTGACTCAAGCGGTCAAGACAGTGGCTAAAATGAAGAAAAAGGACCCCTCTTTTGTGCCCACCAACAACATATCAGACTATGTTCCCACGAAAAAAAGACCACAGCACCGCCTGAAGTTTCTGATTGGAAAAAAGGTAGACACGATAGACTATATCACCGAGGAACTGCCTAAGCTCAATGATGAGGTGGAGCAGCTGCAAAAAAATCGGCTGGACGAACGTCCTTTCAATTCCGTCTTTGTCGAATTCGACACGCAGTATGCTGCTCAGATCGCTACGCAAGCTATCATTCACCATGAACCCCTTGCAATGGTTCCAGCTCATATTGGAATTGCCCCAAAGGACGTTATTTGGTCTAACCTAAGAATGTTTTGGTTTGAGAGGGCGCTTAGAAAGTATGGTGCATTAGTCTCCATTGTGGCATTAGTGCTCCTCTGGACTTTCCCAGTAGCATTCGTTGGTATGATCTCGCAAGTGACATACCTCACAAAAAAGCTTCCGTGGTTGAGGTTTATCAATAATCTGCCTGAAAAGCTGCGCGGTATTTTAACCTCTCTGGCACCTACAGTGGGGCTTGCTATTTTGATGATGCTGTTGCCCATATTCATAAGAAAAATGGCATGGGTAGCGGGAAGTCCTTCTGTACAGGCAGTCGAATACTTCACGCAACAATCGTACTTCGCTTTCCAGGTTGTTCAAACGTTCCTTGTCACGACGATCGCTTCTTCAGCTACTGTCGTGATCCCAGCAATCATCTCGAAGCCAACTTCTGCTATGAATCTCTTGGCCCAGAACCTACCCAAGGCTTCCAACTTTTTCATTTCCTACATTCTTCTGCAGGGTTTTTCGATTTCATCTGGTGCGCTGCTGCAACTAGTCACTTTAATTTTGTTCTATGTCATGAGTTTCTTGTTGGATAAGACGCCAAGGAAGAAATGGAGCAGGTTTGTTAATCTAGGCTCGATGGCCTGGGGCACAGCGTTCCCCGTTTACAATGTTCTGGCGGTCATAATCTTTTCTTATGCGATTATTGCACCCATCATTCTGTTATTCGGAGCTGTATCTTTCTACCTCTTATACGTGGCGTACCTTTACAATCTGACATATGTGTTCAAGGAAGCGCCAGACAACAGAGGCAACCACTATCCTAGAGCACTTTACCAGACCTTTGTGGGTCTTTACATCGGTCAAATATGCCTGTTGGGGCTCTTCATCGTGGGCAAAGGCTGGGGACCTATCGTTCTACAGGCCGTCGGTTTGGGTGTGACTACGTTTATCCACCTCAACTTCAACTCATCTTTTGATAGATTGATGCGGTACGTTCCAGTTGATGCCATGAAACCGCTCGACGGGATTTCCGACACCCCATCGTTCAATAACGAGGTGGGACGTAAATTGAAGAGCCTGGGTGGCATTCAGGAACTTCCTCATTTCCCTATCAAGAAGTACCAGCCTCGTCATTCGCCAGCTGTGGACCAAAAGACGACCAGCGTTAGAAGTGAAAACACATACGAGATTGATGGCACCGCAGCGCAAGAAGGTGAAAATAATGTGGTGATGGTGCCTTTGCTAGCGGACGGAGAAGAAGTCAACGTACCACCAGCACCATTCTGGAAACGTTACTTTCAGCCTCATGTTTACTTGTCTTACAAGGCAGTTAAGAGCGTCCTGCCGGAAATCTACAGTCTTCCTGATCCTAATGAAGAGTTTCCACCTAATAATGTCAGACACGCATACGATTATCCGGCAGTCAGCGCTGAGTGTCCACGTTTGTGGATTCCTAGTGATCCTTATGGGTTTTCCACTGTCGAAGTTTCTAAGCTGGTGCCTATTGTCGACATCAGCGACTCTAATGCCACGATCAACGAAAAAGGCAAAACATTCTGGGAGACTGGTCCGCCATCAACGGAAAAACCTGACGATTATAAGAAGAATCCTTTCAATGAGGAAGATGAGGATTTTTGACTAATTCATATCCTACTCAAGCCGAACTTTTGATTTTTGACTGTACAACTATTCCTTCGCTACGGCACATACAACTAATTATTTTTAAAGCAGTTAGATAGACAGATAAATATAATCTTCAAGAGTCCTGCTCTAGAAAGACCACATTGACCAAGCGATAATGCTCAGATCTTCCATCTCAGGCCCTCTAAGGAGGCTGCTCATGACTAAGTCACACTTAGAGACACCATTCTACAATTATGTTGTTCAAGGAAGCAAGTATACGCCAGAATATGCACAGTACTTGAAAATGCCTAACGGAGAGTTGGGATCTTACTTCCACGATGTGCCACTAGAATTAGACCACAATGCTCGCACTGTAAACATGGTTGTGGAAGTTTCCCGGTGGTCTAATGCGAAATTCGAGATCTCGCGAGACCGAGAATTCAACCCGATAGTGCAAGACAATAAAAATGGCAAAGTCAGGTTTATAGACAACGTTTTTCCAGCTCATGGGTTCATTCACAATTATGGTGCCATTCCACAAACGTGGGAAGATCCGACAGTGTCAAGCTCTCATGAGGGGGTGGCAGGTATCAAGGGTGACAACGACCCGCTGGATTGTTGCGAAATCGGATCTGCAGTTTTGTCCATGGGTGAAGTGAAAAAAGTGAAAATTCTTGGGTCCTTGGCCATGATTGATCAGGGCGAATTGGACTGGAAAGTTCTCGTTATTGATTTGGCTGATCCATTGGCTTCACAAGTGAACAATCTGGATGATGTGGAACGCCATTTCCCAAAGCTACTAGATGCCACACGTTCCTGGTTTCGAAACTACAAAATACCGGCTGGCAAAGCTGCCAATGAGTTTGCATACAATGGCCAGTACAGAGGTATCAACGAAACACTGGTCGTTATCGAAGAGTGTCATGAATCATGGAGAAAACTATTACGCGAATCAGAGACTAACGATGGTCTACCACAGATAAAAAAAGCCGGTGCAGGTGTTGTGATTCAGTCCCAAGAGCTCCCGGCTGCTGCCATTCCACCAGAAGTAGGGAAATGGCATTATATAAAATGAAATGACTTCGCGAAGACGATTTTTAAGCTAGTCCACCAACTTGAAAGTGGTTTTGAGGCAGGGATTATTGTACTAAAACATCTAAAACATAAGGTGTTGCCAGACTTGCTCAATGGCTCGCTACGGTCTTGAGAAGTGTTGGTTTAATGGTTGTGAGTAGGTAACGCCCGGTCAAAACTCATGTCCTACGGAAGTTGAATTATCCAATTCATCTAAAATTTTAGATGTTTATAAAGGCGATGGATGGGACATGCCGGAATCAAAACACCTTAGCAAACAGACCAATTGTTAGAGGGAATTGGGCCTTGATATAAGCCCTCTTCAAACTATTGCTTTCTTTTGGTGGTAAACCATGGAATTGTCGCATTTGTGCTTTGGGGATGTTTGTGACTTCATCAAAACCGCAGATGAATCGTTGAGAAACCACGACGAGGTACAGCTTGTGGTATCACAATTCCTCAAGAATTACCGTCAGCTGCTGCTGAAACCAGGTACTCTCAACGAACCTGGGAGTGAAATCGCAAGCAAAACGGCACCACTCACGATTGGGACAATCAAATATAAAGTGACTGCCGAGATATGGAAAGATGCCGCTCAATTGTCTCGGTTTCTTGGAATAAGCCATGAGCATAGTTTGAGAGTAACAAGTCAGACGCATTCGAGAGGATTCTCAGACTCAGATCATAATCTGTTGTACGGACGGCGAATATTACAGGAGCGACTAGCAGTGGTGGAGACATTGCTTGTGTTACTCAATAACGACGTGAAAAATCTGGACATCAAGGATGATCTCATCAAAGAACTTGGCGCTGAAAAATCGACCTTTTGCTTGCACTTGATAGGCACGTTGTCAAAAGCGGCAGGATCTTTCACGGTTTTGAACAAAAGTGATCGTCTATGGTCACAAGACCTCCAAGATATCAAGAACTGGCAGGATCTAGAATACATTTTGAGCATTTTAAAACTTCTCCCACTCCTCATAATAAACTCTGATACGCCAGTGGGTATTGTCACCGAGTGGTTCTCGCTTTTAAGAGAAACCAATTATTTTCAATGTCTCTTGAAGCACGGTACGTCAGAAGAGGTCTATCAGCAAGTTGAAGCTCTGGCTACCTGTATCACCATTTTGATGTTGGGTTTAGAGATATCCACTCTCTCCATCAACACAGATGCACCTTTTTTCGTTGACGCGGGATGCTTCAAGCATGTAAACACAATCATTTCAGAGCATCCCGATAGTCCATTGATAGTTTATTACTGGTCTTTCATTCTTTCCTTGAAAGCTTACCTTTTAGAGGAAGAACCCGAATGGAATGCAAAATTCATAAACGATGTGTTCGGAGCTACATCTATAAACCAATTAACCTCCCAACTAGTGAAATGCGCAGAAAATTCAGGTGTTTTGGAAAAATTTGTGGCCTGTTCGCGCGCTTTGATAAACGACAAGCTATGGTTCGCAGTATTATCATCATTCCTGGCAGTGTCTTTGAACTTTATTTCGTTAACAAAAGACGCCGCAAAGGCAATCAGAGACGTTTTACAAGAAGGTGCCTCTGAAGAGTTCACCGAACGGTTTCTCACTAATGCCGAGGCTGAAAAAAAGACAAGCCTGCTCAGAAGTAAAGTGCCACTTGTGAATGAGGGACTCCTGCCGTTGATCTATCTCACTAGTGTTCACCCAGAATTTGCGACTTTCGAATGGAAGGAAATGAACACTTACACTGAAAAGTTACTTCTCTCGAGCATTTCATATGATTTGGCAGAAAACCAGGGCTCGTTTGCCGAAACTAGCGACTTCATTGTATTGAAGCAAGAACTACTAGTCAGACCACCATTTGAATCTAACGAAAATGTGCTGATGCCAATTCCAAACGGCACTCGTGGTAAAATTATTCCAATGTCGTCAAGTTCGAAAGATGCAGTTGTATTTATACACAACTACAATGGCTGGTCTATGCTGGGTAGAATTGTGCAAAGCATTTGTGAGACTTACACTCAATCCGATGATGATCAAGAGAGAAACGAAAAATCGGAATTTGTGGTGGCTATTATAAACCTCATCTCAAGTTCTGTGGGAATTACATCACCGATTGAAAGATCTACAGAAGTTTTACAGCATCTCTCTGGCTATGTAGAAAATGGAGACATCATATCCATTCTCTTCAAACTCTTTGAATTGGCTTTACATTCGAGGGACCTGAGCATTGTCAATGCTGGGATTGGGCTCATGATAGATCTCCTTCCAAATTTCCCGCATTTCGTCTGGTCACATCTAGCTCGATCTAGTTTGATCGGTCGTGGTGAGAAGGAAAGTTTGGCTATAGCAGTTTTGGCAAACGCTGGACGTACGCCTGCAAATTTCGAGTCTATCTTTTTGCTCGTAAAGTTAACGGATTGTCTTGTTGCAGAGGCGTTGAATGTCGAAGAAACATTTTCTGGTCGCATAAAAAGCGAGATTCTCGAGAAGTTAATGTCGCATATGATCCGCATATATGAGAGCTACCAATTTCAGAATTACTCGCTGCCCTCGCAGCGGCTAGAGATTGGTCTGCTCCTGACATCTGTCATAATCAAAGTACTTTATGCCGTGTATGGTGTTGACCCGGATGCTCCACCGGAAAAAAAGGTTACGGCTGTTTTGGCTGCTTCCGCGAATGTTGCTGTGACTTCTTTTCTGAGCTCCACAAATTGTGAGAGCCGAGCTGTAACTTCCCTTATTATGCTTCTGACGTCTGTAAACAGATGTGATTCAGCTCGCAACAATATAAACCTGAAAACTTCACACACAGAACTAGTCGCGCAATCTTTTAACCTCGTGAATCTCCTCATATCCATCAGGTCTCTTCTGAAGCTACCGCCATCGACATTGGAGGTCAGCTTTTTTTCAAAATCCGCAGATTTGGCTAGGATATATTTTGATCGTTTGACTTGGCGCACACACGTCATCAAGCTCTTTACTCATATGGTGCGAGCACCATGGAGTCTTGATCCACCATCATTACTGGCCCATTTAGGAGAAAATCAATCAAGGGAGTTGTTGAAATGCATAGCTTATGATTTGAGTGGGCCTTTAACGAATGTGGACTTGACACAGAGCCTTTACAGCTTTTTTTCTGCGATTATGGAAGGCAAACAGGATGGTTTAGCCGTACTCTTTTTGACAGGAAACTTAGTTACTGCAAGCGAAGAACGTTCCGGTAATAAAAGGGATGCGGAACCGTTGGAATCTTTGCTCTCAATTTTGAAACACAACGCCTTAAGACTGAACACTTTGCCAGAGTCGGTTAGTGTTCATTTGTTAGACGCCATTGCCTACGCTTTGAACACTTGGACGGCAGCTAGGGGCTACGATAATGATGCTAAATTTCTATCAATACTTGTTGAGCGCCTTACAGCGTTCGAACCACAGATGATCAATGGTGGCACCACAACGGCTCAGTTGATCGATCTTTCTAAGCAGTACAAAGTCATATCTCGAATAACCGAGATACTTGCGCTATCCCTGTTCACAACATCAACAGATGCCGATGTTTTACTGCAAGCATTGAGTCGTCCAGACCTGGCGTCCTCGGTCAAGAAAATCTTTCAGGTTGATGGATACGATGCCAGATTACAAGAAAGTTTAGGTGTCCAGTTCAAGACACTATGGCCCGGTGTCGATTTGGCCATGTTTATCACCTCTCCATTGTTACGCTCCAGCAAGTCCTTTTACACTAGCATTTTCGACATCCCGCTGATGGATTTGTACTTTTCACAAGATGAAAAGTGGACAGGAAGTGAAAACTCTCAAGGATTTAGAGAGAATATAGTCGCAGCATCGATCAACCTTCAACTTGTCACCAATCAAGTTTCTGCTGCTAAGTCCTGGGGTGCCTTGCTGACATCGTTCATCAAGAAGACGCCAGTTCCTCTCAATGATACCTATCTAGACATTGCGTCAAACCTACTGGAATTGGACCCTCTTGTTGGTGCCGATGCCGCTGTGTTCACAGATCTCTTTGTGGCTCGTGTTGAGCTGTCCTTTTACATCCTTTATTCCTTTCATGAGACAAAAAAGCGCATAGCTGACCAGAAGTTGCAATCTTTGCTTTTGAGCACCATGTGCATGCTCAAATCCAAAAAGGTCAATTTTTTGGAGAATGTGTCGCAGTCATCTAGGCACTACTACTACAGACCACTAATACGGATAGTGTTGATAATTTTGTCACTGGTGAACGATGGAAAACTTTTTGCTGAGTCTCTACTAGACCATCTCATCGAACTCGCCGAATTGACCTTCGGGAAAGGAGTTAATTTGGTACTTGGGAACCTACTTTCAGAGATTAGCGCCTCCGTATCACACGGGAAGAGGCCAATTGTTATAAATTTGGCCGAGAAGATTCAGGATCTGCTTCTCATTCTATCATTCTTCACTAAGGTAAAAGCACTCAAGCCTCCAGATGACTTTTTGATGCTACTTGCGTCTTCTCTGAACGAGTCTGGTACCGTAAAAACCATTCTCAATGTTTACTCGAGCTCACACTTACTGAACTTCGAAGAAGAACCTGTTTTGTGTGACTTGTCTTTGACATTCCTGACAGAGATGTGCACTGTGGAGCCTGTTGCAGAGAAATTGATTGCAAATGGTTTATTTTCTGTCATCCTTGAAAGTCCGGTGTCGACTTTTATTCAACAGGGAAGCGTCAGCCCTGAATTAAACCCAAGATTACACACCTTGTGGTCGGACGGCCTGCTGACGATAGTGCTGCAAATTTTGAGCAAATTTGGTAAAGGGGTTTTGCCCGAATGCTGTCTATTTGTATCCTATTTCAAACAACAAATTGAGACTGCAATTTCGCAATGGTCAGACCCATCCTTATCGGTCTCATTGGCTCTGATCAAAGAGACTTCGCAACTTGTTATGTTGCAAGGCATTCTTGCTGCGCTCGACTACCAGGAATATTTGACCGACTCAAACATTAAGACGAAAGTTGTCGGTGACAATGTTGTGTACGAGCTGTTTAGCGGTTTGGACACTATCGCGGAGCGAAGAGAGCTGAGCTACTCTCTCAAGCATCTTCTAACGCATCCCAAATTCTTGAACTCCCGCATTGTTCCAACCACATTAGAAGAACAGCGGGTTCTGGAACAAGAAATTTCGAGAGGTGAATTTGTCAAAAGGATCACTCAAGGTATAAAAAGCTTGAATAATAGTTTATTCTCGACAGTTGCATAAGGTATTATATAGTTTAGTAAATACTAGAACTATTTTGCCAAAAACATTCGCCGAAAGTCCTCGTTAGTCATTGTCCCACTTTTTTGAGGAGCTGCAGATGGTTTCTCATCCAGGACTTCCTGATTGGATTGGGTTGCCGCTTGATTTTTTTTGGGTTCAACAGTGGCGGTATGATTTTTCAAGTCTTTGATGTCACCACATTTAATGGTCCTCTTCCGGAATTGTATACCATTAACGGCTAGCGCAATTTTTGCGGCTGCTCTAGAGTCGTTAGCTAAAATCAGAGCACCTTCATGATCAGCAACCAAGTATATCGTTTTGATCTCTTCGGGAGAAACTTTGGCTCGCTCAAACAAAAGATTTTGCAGTTGATGGATGGAAGTTTTATCATCCAGAGGATATATGCTCACAACATGATCCGTGTGTGATCTTTTGGCGAAAATACGCTTCACTGCTTGTCTTTCAAGGTACGCTTTACGATCCGATAGGGTCACATCTATGATTCTTCCCTCAATTTCACACTCGTCGAGTTTAAGAGCTGCTTTTGCACACTCTGGAAGTAAGAAATCAATAAATGCGAACCCCTTGTTCAGCTTTGGTGGTTCCTCTTTGTCATTATCGTGAATCTTGGGTGTTGGCATGGTTATTTTCTCGATTTCCCCGAACTGAGAGAACTCTTCTGAGAGTCTTTCTTGCGTTACTTTACGCTGATCAAGATTCTTCACAGTGATCTGTCTCCGCTCCAAAATCGTGGCATCTGTGCGCTTTTCTGCTACTGAAGGTTCGGACAGCTTCACCACAAGCTTATAAGACCCCAGAAGTGTGCCATTTAACTGTTCGGTAACGCGGCAAGCTTCGTCTGCAGATATCAAATCTACATACGCGAACCGTCTGTGTGCGTCGTATCTCAATGATGGCAGTCGGACACTCAGCACAGTTGCTCCAGCTTCATTGAAGAGCTTACGAAGAGCAACCGCTTCGAAATCGGGCGGGAAATTGGTGATCCAAATAGTTGAATTTTGCAGTTTTTCCACAATGATCTCGTTCGAGCCAATCTGCTTGTGAGACTTGGTAAGCGCGCTTAAAACATCGCCATGGTCTTTGAATTCTATTCTAGCAAATTTCGAGTTTCCATCCAACGATTTTACTGCTTCTATGTGTTCAACTTCTCCACAGCCAGAGATCAGTTTTCTTATTTTGAAGAAATTGTAACTTAAAGGCAAGTTTTTGACAATAACGGTGCTTACTTCCCTTTTTCTACGATAGGAATGATGTGCCTTTTTCAGGTCTGAGGATGATTCTTGTGCATCTTCTTGACACGATGCTCTTCGCTTCATTTACCTTTTCAGCTATTGTAATAGCACAACATGTATTTTGACAGTACTGATCGACTTTTTCAAAGCGTCCAACTATGTTGGCATCAAGCTGCAAGTGTCAGATAAGAAAGAAGCTTTTGAATCGGCCAAGATTCTCTCTATAAATGTCGATTTCCTGGATGCGATGAGCTCAAATAAAAGTTGTAAATAGCTTTCATGTCAAATTTCAACTCAATTTGTAGAAATTTAAGGCTAATCTGACTGAAAAATTTCAGTCTATGAGATGCGATGAGCTAGTAAAAATAAGCGCTCACGCAAGAAATAAGACGCCGAGCGCATCCAGCTGAATTAGTATGGATAGCAAGAACTATTTGAAAGCTTATGGCTGGAAAGAAGGCGAAGGTTTGAAGCCTGGCGCCTTGAAAAAACCGATTTTGGTCAAACATAAAAACGACAAAAAAGGACTGGGATCAGCTCCTGGCGGAGACGATGGAGAAATGTGGTGGGAAACGTTATTTGACGGACACTTGAAGAATTTGAACGTGAATGACGGTGGAAGCGGGAACATCAAATTCGAGCAGAAAGATACACAGGATGGTGCTGTGGTGAAAGACAAATCGCCGTTGTACAGATGGTTTGTGAAGGGCGAGGTTCTGAAAGGCACGATTGAAACAGAACTTTTGGTTCGTGAAACAACGGAAGACGGGAAGGTTGAGAAAAAGTTTAAGTCTGCGCGCAAGAAAAGTGAACGCAAGAAAGATGAGCGTTCCAGCAAGAAAGCCAGTAAAAAGTCGCACAAGAAGGAGGGAAAAGTCTCTAAAAAGAGTAAACACAAGGATAAAAAGTCTAGTAGGAACAAGTCAGATAGAAAGGATAAAAAAGAGCGCAAGGAAAAAAAACGAAACAGCAAGAAGAAAGACAAGCTCAAAGGTTAGCGAGCCGTCCTGAAAGATGGGTGTACATTAAGATTCGCGACTGGGTTCATTAAAGGTAAAAAAAACCGTGGATGTCGATTTGATCCGACTGGTCCACTCAGAAACTGTCATTCAACGCTAAAGTTTGCAAAAACAACTGCACTAACACGGACGATTGAAATCTGGATCATAGATCAATTCGAACAGATGTACAGCTCTCTCAGTCGTCGTTGTCTTCCACATTTTCATAATTCCAGCATCAACCGCATCAAGAGCATCACTCACATTATTTGAAGCCAGGCTTCGGGTTCGATCCGCACGCCAAAATAAAGGAAAGGCATAAAGGTTTCCCACCAAAAATATCAAATTTGCCGCGAGCCAGAGTGTAAATAAAACGAAGCAGAGTGGAGTCAACAGTAAACTTAACGGCCTTGCTAACCGTTCAATGTTCCGCTACTGTTCTACCTATCACGTTAGACGGAATTATTATAGATGGATATATAAAGATAGCCTAGCTCAGATCTATAAGGTATTCAGGTCTCAACAGTACTTTTGCAGTAAAAGCAGAGAATCTATTCACTTTTCCAGCGCACATTCAGTATCAATATCTCACAATTGATGTACTCTTCAAACTACACTTGAATGGTCCAAGTTTTGTCCCTTCTTCTGTGTGCGCTGTTAGCGGTATTATCGCGGTTGGCCGTCACCAAGTTGATTACCAAAAAAAGTTTGAGCAAGATCATTCTTTTGTTCTTGCTTCTCGTGATTTCGAGAGTTCCTGTTATAAGAGCCAGTGTGCCATATTTGGGGCCATTTGCTTTTCTGTACTTAGTCGTAGATGGTTCAGTACATTCCCATGAATTTGCCCTTAAATCAGAACCCACTCTTCGACAATTGCCCACTTATGGGGTTGAGGAAAAAGAGGGATATGCGAAATCTTCTCACCCAACCATTGCTACAAGACCCATTATACCGGACCAGCTAGAACTTTCCGCTGAGATAGAGCGAATTATAGACTACATCATTCGTGATTTTGTAACTGTTTGGTACAAATCAATCGACAATAGGCCTAACGACGCGCCATTTGTTTCAGAGCTGAGATGCGTTATGGACAATATTATCAGAAATCTGCGTGATGCTCTGTCAAATGTAGACTTTTCTGAGTTACTGATTTTGAAGATGCTTCCTGTGTTGACTAGACATTTCAAGGCATTCAGGGCTGCTCATAAGACGGTATCTGGCCAAAAAATTTCGAAAAATGACATGGGTACCGGTGACCAAAATTTCACCACAGCGGTGGAGTTTGGCCGGGATTACAAAATTCACAAATCAATATCGCTCGGTCTCGACGATCTGCCCGTGTGCCTGGAAAAATACTCTAGGGTGAAAGCAGACTTCTTGCTTCAGAGACTGGTGAACCAGAGAGAGCTGTCGTCGAGGTTCGTAAAGATTTTGGGACGAGAAATTCTTTGCTGCAACCTATTGAGTCCTTTATTGCAAAAGATCACAGAGCCTCACTTTTTGAATGATTTTCTCATTGCGACTGCGGATTCTCTATTGGAAGAAAGAATCCGTGTCAAAGAGATCAGGGCAGCGTTGTCGTCTCAGTTGAGCGAAACTCAACAAGTCCCACACCTCGCATCGGATGAAACTGCAGCTCTTAGCGAAATTGTGATAAACATCGAAGCTGATCCCAAGGTATACGAAGATCTGCTTAAGGGGATAAGCTGCGCCAAGAGTGAGGAGGCTCTGAAGGCGGTAAAGATATTACTCATGTGCCAAGTGATTAAGCTGAAAAAGACTGATGTTTTGAGTAAAAATAGCTCACCCTCGCTCAACAGGCTCAGTTTAGCCTTGAACTTGGTTGAAAGCCGGCTCAAATATTTTTCAACCAATATGTTCGAACCGCCTTCTTCTCATGCAGGCTTCAAGTCGGAAGAGTTTGTGGCCTTTAGGAAGTATGTCGAGTCTTTGTCTACCGCTGATGTCATTAGAGATAAAACCTGCCTCCGCTACTTTCTAGAGTATTTGAAAATGCACGATACGAAAGGACATCGCTGTTTGAAATTTTGGCTTAAAGTGGAGGAGTTCAAGAATCCCTTAGAGGACCCAAGCAACGGAGAACTCGCAGTCATCTCAGAGGAAGGATTTGATGATCTCATCAAGATAGCCACGGATTTCTTCTCGGGCAGAAATCTCTATATCATGCAATCGCTGAGTGAACAATGTACAGCGGACGTAGTTTCGTTATTGTCAGCCCTGAAACAAGGGGGAAGACCTGCTGCTAGCGAGCACCATCAAGCGGCACGAAGAAGTTTTCTGCGACTACAATCATTGGCCTACGAATTCTTAGGGCTTTCGTGTTTCCCCGCTTTTAAACAATCAAAGGACTTTTTGCGTATGATTTCCGTATCGGGGGTTGAAGCCTCCAGGGCTTTCGAAAAACCTGCAATTGAGCCAGAAGCCAACCCCGAATATATTTCACGGACGTCAGTGGGTGTAATTGCAGACAATAATTTACAAGACCGGGAGTGTTTGGATGTAGAAAACTCACCTGTTGAAGGTTTAGCCATCATAGACAAAGCAAGAAACCGCACGCCATATTCGGGTCTGTTTGGTAGTCGCGAAGAAAGTAGTCTATTTGAAAACAAGATTTTTGAAGAAGATTATTCGGATGGTGACGCTAAAAACTCAAGTGACGAGGAGTCTTCTGAACCGTCATACTTGGCCGATAGCCTGGAAAGGCACAAAGCAACTTGGGGTGAGGAATCTGATCCTGATCTAGCTGTCAAAAATCTTAATCAGTCAACATTGAAAAATACTATTGCGGAGCTAACCATTTCGATCGATCGCTTGAAAAAGCAATTGTCGTTGTTGAACCACCTTGGATTGAAAGCCGATCTTACAGATGACGTGCCGGAACTCAAGCTGCTCAAAAAGTCTGAAAAAGCTGTTAATCGAGAGGTTCTCCAGCAAGAATTACTGAGACAACAGCTTTTAGTTCAAGAGGACGCCAACAGCTTATATGAAAAATGTCAAACTTCTATCAAAACCTATTTGAGTGATATTTCCCCTAACAGTGGAAGAGAAGTTGTGTTTTACGTTGTCAGTGTGACTCATGTCAGCAATGAGATTGTGACCTCCTGGGATGTACCACGGAGGTACAGCGAGTTTTATGAGTTGAACGCTTACCTCAAAGAACGATACGGTGGAACCATCAAATATTTTCAAAGAAGAGATTACTTTCCCGAGAAAGTAAAAATGTCTTTGGTGTATCACGTATCCAAAAACCTTTTGTATAAAGAGCGGACTGTGAAACTTGAAAGATTTTTGAGATGTCTCTTAAAGATGCCTGAAATTTGTCAGGATACTTACTTCAGGAAGTTCTTGACCGATACAAACACAGTTTTCACCATAAAGCGCAGGGCGCCCAATGAAAGCCGAATCAAACTGCTTTCACGAGTGGATTCCGTGTCATCCAAGCTGTTTGAACCAGTGCCTAACGTGCCTCAACCTCGCGGAAAAGCTGAGCCCGAACAAGAAGCGAAAATAGATCCATCGCAATTACAACGTACCGAGGATGTAAACTTCGAAAAGGATGATTCAAAAAAGCGTTCTTTTATCAGACCACTATGTGAGTTTCTCGCAACGGTATTTTCTCTCAAAGACTCGCGATCGAGCTGGCTAAGAGGCCGAGCCCTGCTTGTCGTTATACAACAGCTGCTTGGAAGCACCATCGAAAAGTACATCAGGGATTCGATAGACGCAATGACAAACCCCAAAAGTACTGCTATGACTGCAAAAAAGATTCGGCTAAAGCTTTGGGTAGATGGCGTTTTTTTCAAGAAGTTGGAAGCTGCGGGGTCAGCAAGCAAAAAGGAAGACGCTTCCCGAACAAGCATACAGGCTAAGAATAAGATACAAAGCCTAATGGCAGAGACATGTGGCCGCGTATTTGGAGTGAGAAAATCGAGAGAAACTGCTAGCGACATACATTTAATGCTTCAGAACGAATATTTGAATGCCAGTTTGCTCCTCGAACTAGTTGACATTTTGCTAGCGGAGCTTTTTCCTGGCGTAACGTGATTTAGTGCGGAAGATTGGGACCAAACAGTCAGTTACACCATATTCATTATCTTCTTCTCGGTAAGCAAGATGCGTATTCGCGAAGTTCTCTAGGTGTAAATATGTCTTCTCGTCCAGCGAGCGGTCTCGATGCTTGTGCAATATAGACCTCAATTTGATTCTGTTTATGAACGAAAGTGTGTTCTGGCGCAATAGTTTCTCTGCCAAAATATAGCCAGGTCTCTTGTTTCCAGAATGAAGTTTTTCTTGAATTGTGTCTTTCTTCTTTGTTGTATACTTGATCAACTCTTCTTTGGGGAGTCTAAAGTCTTGATTTCTGTATTTTGATGGGATATCACTGAAAAGCTCCAATCCCTTCATGTAAACATCAAACATCTCATCGCCCATCTGACACCCACGCGTTATAACATCGTGGTAATCCAGTTTGATTTTCCTGTTCATCTCCAAGGGCTTCTCATTAGGTTGATGTTCGGTTACCTTTAGTTGACTCGTCCCACTTGCCTGGGTGATTATCAACTTATTCATGGATGCGACATTTGTGTGGAGACCTTTGAAAAAATGGTCCATTTTTGATAGAACTGCTGATGCAACACCGTTAGGGATATCCATTTTGTCAATATCGAGAACGACGCCGTTTTCTATTGCCATTTTTGTCAATGATTGCTGCCACACTGCATTCAATTCGCCTTGCACCATTTTGGACGCATGCAGAAGCTTGTCCGGCGATATATTGCCTGGCAAGGAACTTTTTGAATGTGGGCCTGCCTCCCAGCCATTGACGTCTTCGAAGATGGTGTCAATTTTTGGATCTATCACCGTGGATGGATTCGGCCAACTGGTCCAATTGTCTTTGATTTGGGTCTTGATAAAAGTGTTGGTTTCCAAGCCATATTTTTTCCTATTTGCAGCTTTGAGAACCGATTTTAATAGGAACGTTGAGTATAGATGCAAAGCCAAATCGTTTCGGTGAGTGTGTTCCAAAGATTCTAGGAGCTCATTAGCCTCAGTTAAGGCTTCGCGCGAGAGCTGGCGAATGGACCGATCTCCAAGATCGTCTTGAGCGCTTCGCTGTGTGGACTCATTGTCACTGCTCATCAAATAGTGTTCAAATGTAACACTATAACAATATGTATATACTCAACCTGGGACGAGCGAATATCTTATGAAAACGCTTGCTTCCGAATCATCAAAGTGTGCGACAAATATTCCTGACAGATACTGATCAGAAACAAGTCAAAAGATGATCAAGAAGGACCGGGGTAGATGGTTTCTTTTCTCAGATTGATCGGAAAGTTTCTTGAATAACGTTTATTTACTATTCAAGAAGCGCTTATTTAGTTTTATTAGGTGTCATATCACTTTGTACTAAACGTCGCTCGTCACGTTGGGATTGAAGGTTAGAACTCGAAGCCCATTTTGAGACGTGGGTTCTTCAAAGTCTGAACCTATTTTCGAATAAGTTTATACATGCTGCTGTTAGAAGTGTTTCCAGACTATTGTGTGTGTTTTCGTGAAGATTTGGTATACTGCTATCGTCACTCTGGCGATAGATACTGCAATTACAAGAGCTAGCGCTCTAATCTACTGTTATGAAATGAAACAGCTTGGGTCTTGTCTTTGAACCCGATTGCTGGTTTAAAAAGACGGGAATCTGTACGTGTCATCCACCACAAGTCACGTGACACATATTCAAAAGGTTGATTAAGAAGTAAAATGCAACCGTAAGCTTTACAAATCAATGATTTGAGTCAAAGAGCACATTCTGGATCTAAACATGAGTGGTTTACTTTTAAACTTGGCCCATAAAAGCTGCTCAAAAGCTCGGTCAGAGACAAATTATATCTAATCTCGTGAGATCTTCGTACGAACTGATCTCTCAAATTTTTAGACTTCAAGATTCAAGGTAATATGTACTAGTCGAGAAAGAGCTAAGCGAAGCATAGACATATGTAAAAACCTAAAGGTACAAGAATTGTACCAGCGCTTCCAGATCCCCCATCACTTGATTCTCTAACCGTTATAAGATGCCCAAACTTGAAGAGATTGATGACTATGATGATATCGACAATCTCGACATGGATCTCGCCGAGATCGATCATAACATGAAATCACCAGTGGCTCCGAGAATAGTGCCAGAAGTGAAAAGAAGCCAGGACGAAGAGCCTCCACTTTTTCCAACAAGTCAGACATTCAACCGTGGTCCTCCAACGGCGTCTCCAGAAGCCTCGAGAGTGGTAAATTTCACCGAGGAACAAAAACAACAGATCAAGAAATTTCAAATACTATATCCATGCTATTTCGACAAGAACAGATCACACAAGCAAGGTAGACGAATTCCTGCCGAACTAGCAGTTGAGAACCCCTTGGCACAAACCATAGCTGACGCATTGACTCAACTGCGTGTACCTTGCGTAATCGAAGCTCACAAATGCCATCCGCAGGATTTCGGTAATCCAGGAAGAATACGTTTCTACATGAAAGACGAAGGCCAATCCACTAATCCGTCCCTCTACAAAAATAGGCGGGAGCTGATGAAGCTAATTGCGTCTTTTCTGAAAAAGCATCCTACCACACTGGAAAGTCTGAAAGACGCCGTAGTATTGGAGGCTGGTTCTGAGGATTACGAGCCAAGAAAAGTACCCAAGGTAAAGGGGTTCGTTATGAACGAAATCGTTCCTATTCACAGTCCGTTGAGCATGGGACATCCGATGGTCAAATCGATCTATGAAGCTCCCGCGCCGGTGGTTACGGAAAAACCTCCAAAGGTGCCCAAGAATAAGTACAAGATGGTTCGCAGGTAATTTTAGGAAGATGAAGACAATTTGTGTATCAATAAAGCAGCCTAATTCGACCGATACAACTAGTGTGTTTCTTCCTTTCTTCCGTTTCAAGAAGTCCGGTTCTGGGACCGTACAAGTTAACGGGTCCGTACTTGGATTGCAACGGTGCTGCATGGATGTTCTGCTTCGCAAGTGTCAGTTCAAAGACTTCCAAAGAATAGACGTACCCAGTATCGCGAGTACGACAATTAGCAAATCAAAAAATACATATTAATTGAGCTTACGAGGTAGTGTTGATGGTGTATAGGGTCAATGACATCAACGGAATAGGGAAGGTGAAAATTACGTTGTCTCATAAACTCTGCAATGGCGGACAAGAAAGGTTTCCAGAAATGAAGGTTCTATGAGTTTGGATAACCAGTTCTGTAAGGGTGTAGCTTAAACACCGTATGTTTGCAAATAGTCCTCCATGTTGCGTTTGTCGTCGGGGGTAATCTTACCGTCGAGATAATGGATGATATTGGCAAAAGTGACAATGCTCAATACCGGGATGTTGTATCTCTGAGACACAGCTTGTGTGGCACTCACACGCTCTTTAGCATCGACACTGAGAACTTCTTGTCTGTCCAAAGACACGATGGTTCCTACAACAATGCCGTTATTATGAGCGATAATGCCAAACGCTTCGTTGATGGCTGTTCCCGCGGTCATCACATCGTCAATGATCAAGACGCGCTGGTCCTGAAGAGGAGCACCGACGATGTTACCACCTTCACCGTGAGTTTTGGCCTCTTTACGGTTGAACGAGTATTGCACGTTTTGGAATTTGGTGCCACCAATTTCTGCGAGTTTAACACACACAATGGCTGCTAGTGGGATACCCTTGTAAGCTGGCCCGAAAATAACGTCGAATTTAAGGTCCGATTGAATAATGGCTATAGCGTAAGCTGTGGCCAAATTCGACAAAAGTTTCCCGGTGTTGAATTGGCCAAGGTTGAAGAAATATGGCGATTGACGGCCGGACTTCAAAGTGAAAGATCCAAACCTGAGGGCCTGGCTTTCCAGCGCCAAATCCAGAAAGTTTTTCTGGTAGTCTTCTAGCACAACTGGCATGGTTTTTTTTCTATTCTTTTAGAGTCAAACTAAAGAGGGGAGGGGGGGTGGTTGTAGCACAGATTTGCGTACAATGGGGCTCTGTTCAAAGAGAAAACTAGGATTGTAAGTAAAGAAGGCCTTTTCTTGAAAAAATAGGAACAACGAAAAAAGACGATGATCAACGAAACTTCCAGAAACTTTCGAGTCTATTTCACTGGTAAAGAGTTATCCGGTCTTAGGGCTATCTGGACAGCAAACAAGGTATGCGCAGTAAGCGACAAGCAGCTTGACCTCCTAGTGAGATATCGACTGGAGCTGTTTGTGTGTTCTTTCTATCTCTGAAGTTGGACCTGGAGGTGACCAGATTTTTTCAGCTCATCAATTTTTCCAGTTGCGATCTAATGACAGGAAAAGTGAAGAGTGATGGTGAAAATCGGTAGACGGGAAAGATGTTAACGGTAGCTCAAAACGTCGTGGTGAGCAGCTGGAAAGACCGGTTTGGCTGTAGTGACATCTCAAGAGAGTACTGGGAGAGCGTGTATCATGACAGTCCCGGGGCAAATAGGAAAGTATTTGAAGAAAGAGTGTATCGCTTCATACGAGAATGTTTTCAACAGTGGAAGTCATCGGTAAATCGCATAAGAAAGCATTCAAGAATTGATTTTGGGAGGGAATAGTGCGTTTTCGAATAAAGTAATAAACTACGCTGCTTTTGGCTGGTGTTTTCTTGTCGAGAAGTCACATGACCATGACGACAGCTGCGTATAAAGCGACTATAAGCATTCTGCACCGTTTGGATTCCCAACTGTTGAATTCCAGTACAATGAAGACAGTAGATCGCAAGGCCATTGTTCTACGGAAAGCCGGCTCCGCTGTGTACTGGTATGTGTACTTCAGAACATAGAAAACCGTATGATGAATTTTTGTTTTACATTTTCACGAGAGAAGTGTTAACTCGGTTCTGATTCATGAGCGTCAGCGTGATATTTACTTGATTAAGGTAGTTGGTAACAAGTGGTACTAAAAAGTTAGCTCTTTGCATTGTCAGAAAATCGGCAACATCGTTAAATCGTCCTTCTCACGTGACCAGCGTCAGTAATTAGCGATGAACTACCTTCTCAGCAGTGACAGTATCAGTTTATTCCCGTGTCAAGCAGTCAAGAAAGCGCATCATAGATCGAAACCATTAATCTTAGGAAAAGACGAATTTAAATCTCCCTGCGCACACTGCATCAGTGGATTTTATTCATTGACAGACACTAATTGACCTTTCGGGAAACATTCTCTTGCATTTCGTCAAATCGCATGATTCACTACCTTTTTCCAAACAAAATTGTCCTAGCTGCATTTAAAGCTTTGATCACTTTTCTGGTAAGCATGAACGCTCAAATTTGCAGGTTTAAGAACGGGAACCTTTAGTTTAATGGCCCACGACGCAATTTTACCGGTCCAATTTTTCTTCCTATTCACAGGTAAAAAGACTATAAAAACAGACTCGCGTAAAGCAGATTTGAGGAAAACCATTTCAAATTCCGATTTGTTAATTTCAATCAATGCCAAGAGCACACTGTTGTCGGATTTTGTTCTTGTAGCTGTTGTCAATGGACGTATATCAAGCTTCTATATCGTGAAATTAATTCCTGTCGCTTTAAGCATTAATTATATATCAAGATTACCATCAAGCTCGAAGAGCTCAGGTCAAGAGATATTCGTGATAAGCTCAAGTCTGCTAGTGTCAGTGAGCCTTGGGTATTCTCTCTTTCGCATGATCTAGCTCATTTCCATTTCCCGCGACACAACAAACTCGACCGATTCTTCTCTACACCCTTACTTCACGTTCACCTTCGTTGGCACACTAACCCACTTGAACTTTGAGAAATGGACTCAAAACTTATAGAGCGCCTTGAGTCGATAAAAAAAGGAGTTCAGGACTTTAAAATTCCAGGTACACTTCAAAGACCTCCTTTGGAAGCTCGTACTATCATTAACAAATACAAGTATAAGACCAAGACTCATAGGTCAAGGAAAAATGCTCTGCTGCCTGAAAAATTTCAAAACGTGGGGAAACTCTACGAATGCGTATATAATGTCCCCACTTCGCGATTGGGAGCACAAGACTTCCATAGCTCTTTGAAATCCCTGGTTCAAAATTCCAGGAGATTGGCCGCCGTTGAAAATAGCGCCAACCTTGCCGTGATAGCAGCAGCTGGATGGTCTGCAATCCCGCTCCAAGACATCGAGGACGGGCGCTTTTTGAAACTTAAGTGCCCTTATTGCTGTAGCGTAATCCATTTGAAGGTGGAAGACTACTTGAGTACCGTCGAATTCGAAAACAAGGCAGCGAGTCTTTTGGCCCAAGCGCATAAGGTCGGATGTCTGAAATATTCAAAGGGTTATGATCTCAAACGAAATTACTACCTAAACCAAGGTAATCTGTGTCTTGACTTTCGAAGAATCTCAGACGAATTGTGCAAAACGGTGTCTTTAGTCGTCGAGGAAAAAGTGCATTGCGATGCTGAGAAGCTTGGCCGTTTGAAGCCCATTTTCGAGAGTGAACATTGCCACTTTAGCCTCGAGAAGCTAAGTCTGGCCTTGAGGGGCTACACGTTGGTCAATAGTTCTATTGCGGAATGCACGGGTTGCTACCACCGTGCATTCGTCAAGACTTTTGAAGATGTAAACTTCCAAGGGCATGCGAAATGGTGCAGATATCGCGATGAATCGAAACTTGTACAGATGATGCTATCACAGATGGACGAAAAGCCGAAAACTCTTGACATGGATCAACGGCTTTGCGACTTGGCAGAAGCGTTGACCAGACCTTCGAATCATATAAAAATTGAATGAATTCCCGTGCAAATACAGCCCTTCATTCGTTTTCATTACCTGTAGCATCATGACATATTGACTGTTTCTTTTAAATATCTATCTCGCGAAGTATGGCTGTTTACTCAAACTTCATTTTGGACAAAGGCGCATTTTCGCCGAGATACGTGCCGAAAACCTTATCCCAAAACCAAGAAGTGACCCCGAATCCCAGCTCGTAATTCTTGTAGTGGTGCTCCATATGGTATCTTTTTAGCCTCTGCATATACTTTGGAAGTTTGGCATGATGTAGGAAGTAATGTGTCAAGTCGTAGCACATGTACCCAAACATGCCACCTGCAAACCCAGCACAAGCCCAGTAGTATGGCAACAAAGCGAACACCAGTTTATAGAAGGGCGTGCAGAGCAACACAAACAGCGTGGGTGGCATTACAAGCCTATAGCGGTCCATGGGCAGGTAATGATGGACACCGTGGAGCAGGAAATGAACTGTATAAGCGACCTGGTTGCGTGGCAGATACTCGTCCAAGTGGAAAAGGAAACGATGCATGCCGTACTCAATGAGGGTCCAGACAAACACTCCTACACCAAACAGAAACGTGGCAAACACCTTGTTCATGTTCTGGAATGCAGTGTAGATATGGTAGAGAATCACAGGGAACCAGACGATGGGAATCACGTACCAGGACGTCTTGGAGAGCGGTTCGAGGAAGTTTCCGAACAAAGGAGCCGAGCCGCGACCGTAGTGGCGGGGACGGTGGATCTGGTCCAGATAAAACTCTTTGGAGAAGTCAGCACGCAGCATCTGGATCAACAAAGGCTTGTTGAGATCCAGAAACTTGTGACGGGTGAAGTCACGTGAGTAATCCGTAACGATGCTTAATTTTTCTTCTGGCGGAACTTCAGGCACGAAAATGGTAGAATCGTATTCGTCCTCCAATTTCACCTCCATCTGGACCCCGTTAGAAGTCCCTTTCAAAAGTTTGCTCTCTTCTTCTGGTGTTGCAAGATATCCCACCAAATAATTCTCTTCCAGCGCCTCGTACGCAGTGACCGAATGTTCGTGCATCGATTCATCTTTCAAGATCTCTGTGATGTCTTTACCGGCGTGTTCCAAAACCAGTTCTGGTCCGCCCGGATGCTCATCTAGAAACTTTGTCACGTCGTAGAGTTTACGGTTGTACAAAGAGACCCAACAGTCCTTGGCCGTGTTGTGACTTTGTAGCTGTTTCGCTGTATACAACGGTAGCGTCTTAGTCGATTCCATTTTGGGCACCAGTTTGCGATATAAACAGCTGATTGTTTATAAGAAGTGTGTGTGTCCTAGAAACGCAAAAGTGGTAACCTTTTTATATGTCAAAAGTCTTCTTCAAGGTGATTTGATGTGTGTTCTTATAGTAGTGTTGACTAGAATAACTGGTGAAATATTTGTCGTATACCGAAAAACGCATCGGACGACAAGTTTGCCGGGTTCCGGGAGCACGTGACCGATACCCGAGTAAAAACTCGATTTTTTTGTAGATAGAATGATATTTGGTGGATTTGTGAAAGTAAAGTTGAGAATGGGCAGCGAATTTGGAGCTGTTCCGCATGTTTTTGATCAAACAATGTCACCCAGTGACATTGCATCCGGGCACGGGGTTTTTGAAAACGCTATATTCATAAATTTGCTTCTTATTTCTCACAAATTGGCAATTTGGCCGAGTGGTTAAGGCGTAAGATTAGAAATCTTTTGGGCTCTGCCCGCGCAGGTTCGAATCCTGCAGTTGTCGTTATTTTTTGGCTTTTTTCATAGTTTAAGCATAATTAGTGCTAAGGCTAACACTTGTCTGGAACGTCAGGATAATGTAACTATGTGTTGACTCGATCTGAGACGGTGAATAAATGCCTTAGTAGTACATGCTCTTGTCTTTTTTATACCGTATCTACTCTATATATCTAGTGAGATTTCAGCAATATTGACAGCAGAATGTTCTTGCTCGCGATTGGACCCGGCTTTGAAGACCACGAATTCGACATTCCCGTCTTGTCTTGAGACGTCTTCTGTTGAAACCTTCAAAGAATCGGAAAGTTCTCTTTTCGTTCTTAGCATCTCCTTGTAAGAAACCTTGTCTCCATGTCTGAGCTCCAGTTCGTTCCAGTGAACCCACAATTTCGCATTGGAGTCCGGATGAGCTAGCTGCGCGCCAAATCGAAGCACAGCACGGGCCCTCGTGATATCGCCAAGCGTTTCTTCCACTGCAGCGAAGTCCAGCACGAAAGGCACGACTTTTGAGTTGGGCAGACTTTGGATGCATTTCGTGTATAGCTCTCGCGAAGCCTTCAGCCCCAAAAGACTTTTGCACTTCTCTAGACAAAGACCCCACAATCGCAGCTTAGATGTGATATCACGGATCTGAATACTCCCACGTACAAGAATGTCGACGCATCGTTTTTGCATGCCCTGGTTTTGTTCGAAATTACCGTACTGGATAAACAGATCCGAACAGTCTATGCCATCACCCGCCAGCAGCACAGCCTGCTCGAATAAATCACGTATTGTTTCCACAGGCCTTGAGCGGTCCAAGGACACTTGCAAATATATCCGCCATATGTCCAAACAAACCGCGGCAGGGAAGACAGCAAGACTGCGCTCGTATATCTTGAAACTCTCACTCCACCCATCCCGATCCTGCCAGAAATGTGCGTAGTTCATGAAATGTGCCGGTGTAGCTAGCTTGAGAGAGATGATGCTTTCATATGCTTGAACGAGCTCATCGGTTTTTGAGGAGACTTCGAGCAGATCAATGTAAAAGGACCAGAGCTCGATAGAAGTGAAAAGCACAGCTTGAACTGGAATTTTGCCCTTTCCTGAGTCGTACTTTTCAATCAAAAGATCGGGTGACTCAGGAAGCGTCAATGCTTTTCTTAAGATTTTGAGTGCTTCCGGTAGACGACTGCATTCTACCTCCATCTCGGCCCATTTATACCACACTTTCTCAAGGTCTTGTAGGAAACGATACGGAACCCTGGTTGATCTATCAAAAGACTCTCTTGCAGAATCGAATTGCTTCTTACTGATGTAAAGATCACACATGTCGCACCACAGTTTCCCAAGAATACCGGGCTCCATGACCTTTGCAGGATCGATCTTGACCAAAGCATCAGTATAAACTCGCAGCTTCTCTCTCAAGTCAGAATACAGTAAGACTCGGTCCGCCCAGACCTTGACGTCATTTACATTTTGTCTCAATCTTAAATCGTTCACCAATAGAGTATGAGAGTCCATCAAATGCTCCAAGACCTCTATGTTGTAAGAAATCTCACGATCGAGTTGAGACTGTTGCTCTGAACCACCACTTTGCTGCACCAAATTCATGCAGCTAGAAACGTAAGTTTCCAAGTATTTCACCAAAAAGTCATAGATGTGAGAAAACGCTTTCATGCTAGTGGTAGAGGATAATGAGTCTTGTAAAACGTTTCTCGCCTCTGCAAATTCACCTCTTCTCATGTAGTACATGCTCAAGGTGGTCACCAGCGTAGCTCTTTGGTCAGGGAACATCTCCAGACAGCGAGCCATAGTTTGGTGGTATTGATGATGTCCACTTGTACTTTCTAGGGAATACAAGTAAAGTTCGTAGAAGCGAAACAACGGGCGTTCGGTCGGTCTAAAATCGTTTCTGGAAATGAATTTCTCTTCAAAAACTTTGGAAAATGCATGGTAGTCACCCGTGAGGCCAATCAAGTGCAGCAAATGCTCTTGCTCTTCTGCAACCTCAATGTATCGTGCTAGTAAATGGGATGACCACATGTCTTTCGGTACAGCGTGAGTGTCGGGTGAAGATCTCTCTAGTGCTTGGTCTACTATGGAGTCTAGACCGGGCTCAAAATCGTGTTCTGGTCGATCTTGAAGCAATTTCTCGATGAATTCCACCACAGGAGTCCATAATCGGATGTGGTTTTCAAGAGACACCGATTGGAGCGCTCGGTTCAAAACGGTTCGTATCAAGCCCAAATTCTGCTGTTTGATGAGATGTCTCAAATACAACTCCCATATCCTGACATCTTGGTAACACAAATACATGGCTTTCTCGAAGAGCTGATTACACTTGTCGAACTCGTCTGCGAAAATTACAGCATTGGCTTCAACCAGCAATGCCACGCGCCATTGTAGATATTCCATCCATATGTCCGCATTTGCAGAAAAGTGGTAGCAGCATCGTTCGTAAACCCAGGCCAGAGCAGCCGGGTTTTCCTCTGCTTTCCGGTGTTCGAGATAGCGTTTCCAAACCACTATATCGTCACCGTTCGACTGTAATTCATACTCAAAAGCCAGATCTTCTTGGGTTTTCACATAGAGTGCGATGAGATCATCCATAACACACTTGAAGAGCTGGAAAAGTCGAAGACAAGCGGTAGCCAGAGCGTATACGTGATGAGTCTGATGAGCTTGATGAGATGAGATGAGATGAGATGAGTACTTCCAGAGTTCATTATAATAATAATATCTTGAATTTCAAAGTACTCGAGGATCAGCTCACCAAAGTACTCGGGAAATATGAAAACCCAATAAAGATAGGGAAAGTAGCTTTATACACTACAACTGACGGTGTAAAACAATTTAGTTAACAACTTTTAGTGATTATTATCGCTGATTGAGCTTCCAGTTACTCCTCTGTTAGCTCGCTGCTTTTAGCTTTCCAAAGAGTCCTTAATCGCCTAGAAAATGTCTTCCAACAGAGAGCAGGTTTTCCCAACTCGTATGACGTTGGGACTGATGAAGTCTAAGCTCAAGGGAGCGAACCAGGGCCATTCGTTGTTGAAAAGAAAGTCCGAGGCGCTTACAAAGCGGTTCAGAGACATCACAAAGCGCATTGACGACGCCAAACAGAAAATGGGCCGTGTCATGCAAACTGCAGCTTTTTCGCTAGCTGAAGTTACTTATGCTACGGGCGAGAACATCGGATACCAGGTCCAAGAAAACGTCTCTACGGCAAGATTCAAGGTGCGGGCTCGTCAAGAGAACGTCAGTGGTGTGTATTTGCCGCAATTTGAGAGTTTCATCGATCCCGAGATCAACGATTTCAAATTGACGGGTCTGGGCCGTGGTGGACAGCAAGTCCAACGTGCGAAGGAAATCTATTCCAGAGCCGTCGAGACTTTGGTAGAGCTTGCATCATTGCAAACAGCTTTTGTGATTTTGGATGAGGTCATTAAGGTCACCAACAGAAGAGTCAACGCTATCGAGCACGTTATTATTCCACGGACCGAAAATACGATTGCGTACATCAACAGTGAACTTGACGAATTAGATAGAGAAGAGTTCTACAGATTGAAGAAGGTCCAGGAAAAGAAGCAGCAGCAAACTGCAGAGCTCGACGCTCAATTAAAACGCAAGAAAGAAGCCGATTTTGCTGAAAAATCCGGCAATGAGGGCCAAGAGTCCAAAACTGAAGAAACCGCGGCATCAAAGCCCGAACCATCAAAAGCTCAAAAGGCCGCGAAAACTCAAGATACTCCAGACGTTCTTGCTGAGCACGAAGACGACGTGATTTTTTAGACTTTTCATGTTTACTTATACCATCATGGAATCTACATAAATCTAATTTGAAATAGACATGTACTTGAACGTTGTAGCACTGACAACTTTGACAACGAGAAAGAAGATAAAACGGCAATTGAGTGCTGCTGCTCTTTGCTAACGGGAGTCTTTGATCGGGTCTATCATCGGAGATGAGAGTCGCTAGTCTTTTTTCGTCGGCTTCGTGGATTGTTCCACGGTTCAAGGATGAAAAACTCCGAACTATTCAAATCTCGCCAAAGGAAGTATTGGAAGTTACGGACCATGAAAAGCTTCTGCTCAAGCGTCAAGGTCTGAACTACTTCGACATCACCACTTTCCCGTCGCTTTACAGATCAAACTCAGAGAGCCCAAAAGTTGTGGAATATACTTACCCTTTAGAATTGACCAACGAGAAAAGAGTTACTGAAATTTCAGAAGGGTGTGACACCAAATCAATGTATGAAGACTTGGCCTTATTCACCAACTTCTACACTCGGTATTACAAATCAGATTATGGATTTGAGTCAGCAACATGGCTCTCCGACAAACTCCGAAACGTAACAGAATCGGTGGGCGATAGAGCTGCTCAATTTCATGTTGATCATCACGATTGGAAACAATTCTCGATAATAGTTCAAATCAAGGGTACTGAAACTCCAGAGAATTTGATTGTGTTCGGCTCCCATCAAGATTCCATGAATTTGATTTTCCCATCAATCCTACCAGCGCCGGGCGCTGATGACAATGGCTCTGGAACAGTCACCAACATCGAAGCTCTTAGAATCTACACAAGTTATTTGAACAAAACTCAAGATTGGCCCAAAAATACGGTGGAGTTTCATTTCTATTCAGCGGAAGAGGGTGGGCTCCTGGGGTCCCTCGACATTTTCACTCATTATGCGCAGCAGAACCGAACTGTGGTTGCTATGCTACAACAAGATATGACTGGATATGTAGAGGACCCCAAAAACGAGCATCTAGGGATCATCACCGATCATACAAGTCCGTCTTTGACAAACTTTCTCGAGCGAGTAATCAACAAATATCTGAATATCCCGTTTGTCGAAACTGAATGCGGTTATGCGTGCAGCGATCATAGCAGTGCAACTAGAAATGGATTCCCCGCCGCCTTGGTGATCGAGAGCGACTTTTCAAAAAAGAACAAGTACATCCATACAACAATGGATACGCTGGATCGATTAAGCTTTGAGCATATGGCAGAGCATGTAAAGCTAATTATTGGCACGATAGCAGAGCTTGGAAACTGGGAGTTTGAAGTGTCGAGCAACGAGTAGATGAATCATGATTGCTGTAATATATATACAAGGGTAACGTTATGAACAGAAATCCGATGATTCTTTTCCATGCGTTTTGAAACTTTGTGAATCTGAATCTCAGACTTACTGTCTTGTGGCCTTACCGGACTTGCCTCTAGGTCTGTCCTTGACCTTCATTCTGTTTTGGTTTTTGCCACGTCTGGTTTTAAAACCCTTTGCTAGCTGGCCCCAAGGGGAGACCGAAAGTTTTTTAGACTTGGATTTACCTCTACCACCACCGTGAGGATGATCACATTTGTTCATGGCAACACCACGAACGGTGGGTCTGATACCTCTCCATCTTGATCTACCAGCCTTACCCAGGGACAAGTTTTGATGGTCTATATTCGAAACAACACCCAGTGTTGCACATGCTTCCAATGCCACCAAACGCTGTTCTCCACTTTGTAGACGAATGATGGCTTTTTTCTTTTCGGGCAGTTTTGAAATTACACGCGCGTATGCACCTGCTGCACGGCAAAATTTACCAGGCCCTATGGGTGTGACACCAACGTTGTGGATGATGGCGCCGACTGGAATCATTGATATTGGCAAACAGTTACCTCTCTGAGCCGTACGAACACTGAGAATAGCAGGATCAATTCTGCCACCCATTTCTTTGATTAGATTCTCAGGAACACCTCTTCTGTACGATTCCACCGTGTCACCAGCTCTCAAACCGTCACAAGCAAGTATGTAACTGAGCTCTCCGGTCTGAGAATGCTTCAAAAGAGCAATGTGGGCGGTTCTACCTGGATCGTATTCGATTCTTTGCACGATTTGCTCGCCTGCGGTAAAACGGGTGAAATCAACCAAACGAATTCTACGCTTGTGACCACCACCGCGATGGCGCACTGTTATACGGCCAGAATGGTTTCTACCACCATTAGATCTCTTGGCCACTGTAAGGGTTCTGATCGGACGTCCGTTGTGTAGGTACGGATAGATTGGTGCTCTGTACCATCTTAGACCAGGAGACACCGGTTTAAGCTTTTTTAGTTTCACGATTTCCTTCGAAAGTTTCCGTCTTCTCTTGATCAAGGCATCTTGTTTCTCCAGCGTTACCATGTCGGTGTCGTTAGGAACAATTTTGAGCATCCTTGCGCTAACTGGCGTGGGTTCCTCTTTGGTTTCCATTTGAGCCAAACGCAAGCCCGTGGTCAGCATCCGGGCATTCTGGAACCCTGAAAGCGCCGGGATTCGTTTTATGGACGTCCCCAGGTTTCTGAAAAGGTTCATATGGGTCAAATAGCCACCTGCCTGGTGATTCAATTGTCGATTAGGTTTTACTTCTTGTATCGATAGCTATGGCTAAAGTTGATGGTACACCAAAATTTTTAGATGCCCTTCGTGGGACGCGATTCAGGATAAATGAGGTTTTGAGAAAAGTGATCAGCTGATCAGAGATTTTGTATCACTACGTACGGAAAGGGAATGCTGGAATTTATCATTTTTTGTTTTAGTGACGCTAGTCACGGGACTAGCCACAGTCGCGGGGCACGAAGTAACAGATTTTGAAACTTATAGCATAAATTTACGAATTAAAGCTATGCTTTTGTTCTCACTAAAAATTTATACCACGGCATAGTTAGTTTATGCGTAACGGAGAAGACCTTTTTTTCAAGCCATTTATTCTACTTTCGAATACTAATCACTTTAGACGAGCTGCTGTGTTGATGTTTTTGTTAGTGCTAGAGACGAGTGAAAATGAGGTTTTCTATGAGGAACGTCTGTTGAATCAGGAAATAACATACTATCTCTCATTTTTGGCTGTTTGTGGAATAATTTTATATAGTAGTTCTGTTAATATCCTTTTGACTTCTTCTAGATAGACACTTCTAGCCAGGGACCGGAAATCAAATTTCTACGTCAAGATCACTTTTTACTAAACTGTCGTCAAGACAAGAATGTCTAATACACACATCCCAAGTGCTATGACAAGACGTCAATGGACGTAACATACAAGACTTGACTCATAAGCCCTCTTTCTACTACTTCACTTTCACACTCTGATCAGTACAGCGAAAAATCAACGAAATTCTTCTTCCCTTCGAAAGTCGATTTCTCTACCGCTCTATTCGCTTTGAGAAACTACTAGGTCCAGCCCTTGAAATAGTTACTGATATTTACCACGTTCAAGTCGCATGCTTTTCCCGCTAAACAAACGCCTTTCCCGGCTAGACTTTAACTGACTGCCAAACTTACTTTTCCGCGTAACAATATGAAAAAACGATAAATAAATTTCGTTTTTGCCAAGAAACCAAGTTACCAACAGTTTCGAACCCTCGAGCTCCCGCGCATAGCGGCTCTCGCCGTTCTCCATCGTCAAGTCTTGCCACAATTCTTCAAATGTTTCATGCTTTATAACCTATCTAATCGTATCTTGACCCACATACATACACCTATCTAATATAAGATCATCAAAAACTACACGACCGGAGTTGGCCGAAATGTTCTTTAAAGCACACAAATTGCTAAAAATCGGTCGACTCCGCCAAATTGATATCGTAATCCTATCTAAAACCTCGCCATTTGATCCTTTGAATAGCCTCACGAATTGCGTGTCGTCCCTAGCAGCAGCTTATCCGTATTGAATTCATAGGTGAATTGCAATAAAATACTGCGACGCCTAACAATACCCAGCAGAAAAACACTTGCGTCAGGACAAACGACAGCCAGAATTCCGAGTCCAAGTCCAATCAAAGGCTCGCCTCCTCCTATCACTGATAAAAGATAGCGCTGCATACTGATACTATAGAATAGAACCCGCTATGCTATGCTGACGTGAGAAAGTGAAAGTAGAGGGATAACAACGCAACGTCTTTCTAATCAACCAGCAAGCAGCCAGAAAGGGAAAATGAGCGATGAGAACGTTTAGCAAATTCAGACTATTTTAGATGTCACTTTTGCAACTGGAACTTTAGCCTTTCGCCAGTTGAATGTCTGTTCAAAGAAACTGTTTTTCTTCTTTCGTCACTAGAACTTTTGAACCTTTATCAACACCTTAGTCTATAAGAACCATTACTGTCTGTTTTCTGACATACATTGCAATAGAATTACAATGTCTGGTCAAGAAAAACATTTGGTTAAGGAAAATATCATAAACTCAAATTCGGATGAAGATTCCAGTAGAATTGGCCAGGTGGACCATTTGGAAGCCACGGAAAAACCACTCTGGAAACGTTTGCTGCGTCGGCTGGAAATTCAACAGAGTGGGCGAGACGAAACCATCAAAGAGACTTTCCTTTACAATCATGATTTGAAACCGGTCGAGAGTGAACGTCGTTTGTGGTCGTGGTTCAATTTTGTGTATTTTTGGATTGCCGACTGCTTCAATATCAATACCTGGCAAGTGGCCGCTACAGGCCTGCAATTGGGCCTCACCTGGTGGGAAACCTGGATTACCGTGTGGATTGGCTACTCTATTGTTGCTCTTTTCGTTGTTGCCGTGGCGAGAATCGGCTCTGTTTACCATATTTCATTCCCCATCACCGCTAGAGCCTCGTTTGGCATCTTTTTCTCACTGTGGCCGGTCCTAAACCGTGTAGTAATGGCCATTGTGTGGTACTCCGTCCAAACATGGATCGCCATGTCGCCAGTCTCATTGATGCTTCAGAGCATCTTTGGAAACGACCTACCGAACCGAATTCCAGACCACATGAACGGTCCCAACGCAACCACATACCAATTCATGTGTTTTTTCATCTTTTGGGTCTGTCAGCTGCCGTTCATCTATGTCCATCCACATCAGATTCGTCATCTGTTTACCGTGAAGGCCGCTTTGGTCCCATTTGCGGCGTTCGGCTTTTTGATCTGGTCCCTGAAGAAATCTCATGGCAAAATCGCGCTGGACTCGCTGGTACAAGGACCGCCTTTGTCTTCTAGCGAACGTGGTTGGGCTTGGGTGCAGTCAATTTTGGCGTGCATTGGCAACTTCGCCACCTTAATTGTGAATGCACCGGACTTTTCTCGTTTTTCCAAGACCAAGCTATCCGCCTCCTACTCACAAGCCTTTTCCATTCCATTCTTCTTTTCCATCACCTCTCTGATAGGTGTCATAGTTACCTCTGCCGCTTACAAGGTTTACCAGGTTAATTACTGGTCGCCTGTGGACGTCCTGGGCAGATTTTTGGGCGATGGGTTCACCAAGGGCGAACGCGCAGGCGTGTTCCTGATTTCCTTTGTTTTTGCCATTGCCCAGCTCGGCACTAACATCAGCGCTAACTCTTTGTCTGCTGGTACAGACATGACAGCGTTGTTGCCCAAATACATCAGTATTCGACGTGGTGGATTTATCTGTGCTGCTTTGGCGCTGTGTATATGTCCCTGGAACCTGATGTCGAGCTCTAGTAAATTCACCATGGCGCTGAGTGCGTATGCCATTTTCCTCAGTTGTATTGCAGCCGTTATGGTTGCAGATTACTATGTGGTGCGCAGAGGCAAGCTTGATCTGCAACAGCTGTATTGTGCAGACACATCTGTTTCCGCATACATGTACGGCAATCGGTTTGGGATCAACTGGCGAGCTTTGGTTGCGTATTTGGCCGGCATTGTGCCCAACATGCCGGGATTTGTTGGCACTGTCGGGAATAACATTCACGTACCCATGGGGGCCATTAAGCTGTACTATCTCAACTACCTAGTCGGATTTCTCGTCTCGTTTCTGATCTATGTGGCGCTCTGCTACTTTTTCCCTGTCCCTGGTGCTCCAGTGGCCAATATTCTTGGCAAAAGTGAATGGATGGAGAGCTTTCAAGACGTGGAATTTTTCCGCGAAGAAAGGCACACTTTTTACAGCGACAATGGGCTACATGCTATCTCTTCTAGATTAGGAGAAGACGAAGAGGACCCTGCCCTTGCGTTCACTATCCGCAGTCGCTCGCCGGACATTTTGAAGCATCACGTCAGAGACTATAAACAAGCGGAAACTACCTACACCAAGGAATCTTCAAACTAGAAATATGTGGTCTCCAATTATGATAAACGCACAACTCTTAACCACCACCACTGACACTTCTATCTGAGTCTATGTAGTATATTTATAGTCGATGAAAAGAGACGAAATTCACCTTGAAAGAAAGCCTGAAAAGCCTGGATTCGACAGCACAAGATGTTGATTCTTTGTAACCAGAATTGAACTCACCATCTTTGGTATTGTTGTCTTCTAATCCGTTAAGCTCAAGCCCTAAATGTGTCTGTTGCTCAAGAAGTACGGTTTATGTATAGTCTTTTGAAAAATTTCGGCAATCCCGACTATAAAAGGCGAATGAAAATTCCAAGCTAAGGTTCCCATCTTGACATTATCAATTCATCTTAAAACCTGGTAAAGACAAAACAGACGAACCAGAAACTGAACAGAAGTAACGCCGTAGTTTTTGAACACTTCTAGGTCTTTATTCATCCATTACTTTGAGCAGCCCGATGGCAGTTCGAGACAATGGACGTGAGGAGGACAGACGTCCTCCGTAGATGAGAATAAACCACGAGGGAAAATAAGAGGAAAACATGCCAGAGCCATGCCAGAGCCATACCAGAACCAAATATCAGTGCCAAACCTACACACACACAGCGCCATTATGATGACATGTTGTCGCCCCAAACGGATTTCGAAATTATGAACGATTCGACCATATTAGCCAAACACAATAGATATCTGATCAATGGTGCGTGTGTGTGTGTGTTTTTTCTGTGTTTTTCTGTGACTCTGCACAGGATGGTATGGACAGACGTCCTGCCACGTTTTTCTCTTTTTTCCCCTCCTCAAATGTTAGTTCTCGTCTATCATCCCACGAAAGTGTAGTGAACCTCCTAAGTAGCTGTCTTGAATGGCCATCTTTTTGCCTTGTGCTTAGTGATGAACAAAATTCGAGATTCCATGCTAATCATGAATTCGCAGGATACGTCCAGCGGAAAGGATTAGAAATCGATACGTTGCTGAAAGTGGGAAATCAAAGGCCCCAAGACAAGAATAGTGGTATTCTTTTGCAAGTAGTCTCACCGCCATTGAAGACAAATTTGGTGCCATCTCAACTCTCCGCATTGGATTCGTAGACTTCTTCTTTGGCGTCCATCTCGTGATACTGGATCTCATCAGTTCATCCCAAGCTTAGTTTACATCTGTCATAAGGTATAATAATATTTCAGCTCAACAGCGACTATCGAGAACAACAAAGCGAAATCTCATGGAACAAGAAGGGCTAACACCGTTTCAAATTCTGTTTCCGCTGCCGCAGCGTTGCATCATTCTATTGGTGGCCGGTCTGTGGTTGTGGTACTGGCAAATTTCCGTTCTTGTCAAGGTTTTCCACATCGATGTATCGCAGTTAATCCTTTCGCATGACCCTACAGAATTCACACCTCGCTCGTCAACGTCCAAACTGGTCGATTCTACACGTCGCGTAATTGCACGAATCACCAAAATAATAGTTCCCTGGCACATCCTGACCTGTTTTTTATTGTACCAATGCAACGCTGATCAAAAATATGCTCCAGAGGTTTGGATGGTTTGTTTGTTGAATGTCCAACCCGCATGTCAATTGATCACCATTTTTGCTCTTCTGTTCTCGAGCTCTCCGATGCTGCTTCGTTGCTGCAAAAACATCCTATGGTTCGGGAACATTGAGCCCAAACCGCTCAGATTTAACTACATCCTAATTACAGATTCGCTGACCTCATACAGCAAGCCACTGATCGATTTTGGACTTTATCTATGCCATCTAGTGCAGGATCCAATGGACGAAAGGTGCATTGTAACACGCGGCGCCCTGGGAACATCCATCAACTTGGATTTGATAATTGGCACAACCCCGGTTATGCTACGTTTTACACAATGTATGCGTGAATGGAAAAGATCAAGTACACGTAAAGATGCCAGTGCAGCCCTATTCAACGCTATCAAGTATTCGTTCTCTTTACCGATGCTAATATGCACTGTTTACACAAGGTCGCACCCTGGAGAAAAACCAGGAAACTCTATTTATTGGTTTATGCTGATGAGCTCTGCTTACGGGTTTTGGTGGGACATGACAATGGATTGGAATTTGGGCATTTTTAACTTTAGCTCTCACGGCATGGACCGTAATGAATTCTTGAGGGGTCGCAGGATTTACCCCGTATTCGCCTACTGCGCTGCGATGTTGATCGACTTCGTTCTTCGGTTTACGTGGCTATGGGAATTCATAAGTGGCGCAAGCGTCTTTGAAGGTGAAGCCAACATATTTTTCCTTCAGAGTTTAGAATTACTGAGAAGATGGGTATGGATTTTCGTCAAGCTCGAGGCAGAGGCAAGCGTTGGCGATACTTCCGAAAAGATTCCAGAGTAAAAAGCTGGGGGGAATTGTTGAACAACTCTCTCTTCTTTGACCAACACAACGGGCATGCACTCCGCGAACATCAATTACCTAATGTACAAGTTACTGTAAAGAATTAACTTACAAGGAAAAGGAAAACCGTATGTAAACTTATTTTCTGCGTTTGTTGGTGTTCGCCTTTTTCTGATTCTGTCTTCTTTCTGCCTTGGTAAGGTATCTGAACTTCTTCTTCTTCTTAGGCTTGTCGTCCATTCCCAAAAATTTGGCGTATTTGGCGGCCCGCTCGATACTCTCATCCAACACTTCTGCGGATTTCTCGAGTTTGACGTTGTTTCGGGACGCCAGATACGCAAAATTCTCGTTGGGTTCTAGAGGCTCGATATCTACCAATGTATCGTCTTCGTAGTGCTGTTGCGTTTTCTTCAAAATAGGCCGTACTGAGCGCTCTGCGCTGGAGTCGCCTTCCTGATCTGAAAACCCGTCCCAGGGGTCCTCGTTTGTGTCTGCGTCTTCTCCTTTGTCACTGGCATCATCTAGGCCCTGTTTCCCACTGTTGAACTCGTCATCCGAGCCTATGTAGTCACCCACTTCTTTCATGGTTTCTTTGAATTTCCGCATTTGTTCCTCTGCATCTTTTCGACGCTGATCCCGAATTTTTTTGCGTTCCTCCACTTTCAGCTGTCTAGCCTGTTCCTTGTTGAAGTCCTGAGCCTTTTTCTGTCTCTCTAGCTTACGTTTATGGAATCCTGTCAGGTAGTCCAGTCTGGAGTCTTTGTCGAAAGTTACCTCATCTGCACCGAATTTCTTCGCCTGTTTGGCCACATAGTTTTTACCTTGCGTAAGGATCTGTCTGTTGCTGCGTGGTGCCATGCTTGGATAGGCCAGGGCTGGCTGTGTGGGACGATGCTGTGTGCGATGAGATCAGATGCGCTATTCTCATCTTAAAAATTTTTGAATTATAGTAGTGTAGAGGAAACTGACACTTTCTTCAGGAATACAAGCTACTTCAAGAGAAGGACTGGAACAGAGCTGGACGAGATCTTGAGGATGGATGGCTTGGGATCGAGATCTGTTGGAAGTAATGATTTGTAGAAACTAAATATCGAATTTTCCGGGTTCGAAACGCTGAAGTTATGATGATCGACTTACTCTCGAATCAATTTGATCGTTTTATTGTATAAATGCAGATCAAATGTGGAAAAACGGTTGTGGCACCATTTGTAGTCATCATTTGTGGTGTATTCACGTCAAACGAGTGTGTCGTTTGAATTACCGAAAAAGTTGGCTGATTTAAACCTCCACTTGAAATGTTCATGATTTGAACTGTGCGCTCGTCCTACCAATTCCACAATCGAGACTGTCGTTAGTATCGAAAAGCCAATTGCAACTGTGGGATCAGTAAAAGAATTGGAGCTCCAGAAATTGTTACAACAAGCCATTCAAAGCTGGTATTTCACTCACAAGATCCGATGTCAGTATATTGTCTTGGTTAATTGACCAACCAACCTACCAACGGAAACTCGAGCTATAGAATAAGAAAAAAAGACCGGAAATTACAATTATTTGAACAACATTTACTCCCGTCTAGCTCAAACTGTATTTGCCACCAACTAGAGACCCGCCAACCAACGTCCTGGCCAGATTCGTGTTCTTGAATAGCACAGACGCTGTCTCATGTGATCCTCTGAAGCCAAAATACCACCTAATATATTAACAAGCACTTTAGTTTACCAGGTTAGCCAACTTCGAGTCCAATGAACATACAACAGATCAATTCAACGTTTTCAACCCATACCACACACTTTCCCAGTTGGAATCACTCAATCCGTAACGCTTACATATGGCAAGCTCGAGGAAAACGTCTCAGCCCAACGAAGTGGCTCAATTGGTCGCTCAAATCCCACCTGTAACCCGCTCAGTGCTGTTGGCTTTCATCGTGCTGTACACATTCATGAGGGCCGAAATTGTGTCTTACGAATGGTTGTGTTTCCAGCCGTACGATGCATTCATGAAAATGCAGATCTGGAGGGTTTTCACCGGTCCTTTGATCATCTTCAAGGGCAAAATGGGGACTCTTTTCACGCTTTTCGAGTTCTACACCCACTCGTCACATTTGGAAACTTATCATTTCTCCGGCAAAGAGAACGCCGAGTACGTGTACTTGGTCTGTGTGCTGCTGGCAGGCGTGGTGAGCGCCGTGACGGTGTTGCAAATCCAGTGTCCATTCACGCTCGTGGAGGGATTCATGGCCTCTCTGACCTGTCTGTGGAGCATCAAAAACTGGAACACACCTTTGATGTTCTACGGATTGTTTCCAATCAAGGGCAAATACAACCCGCTGCTGCAGCTTTTCCTCTCGTACCTCTTTGACGATGAACAGCAGACCCTCCCAGTTATAGTGATCGGTCTCGTTGTGGGCTACGTGTACAACTGTCTGGATACGAAGTCTCTGGGGCCGCTTTACGGATACGTGAGAGGCTCCGCGCAGGGCTATGGACTCGTCAACGATGGTCATTTCCGGGCCCCCAGATGGTTGACTGGCATTTGGGGGTTTTTGGTGAACAACCGACGTCGCACGGTCAACGTGATAGTCAAGAATACCCATTCATATCAAGGTCAAGGTCGTAAACTGGGAAACAAACAGGAACCCATCAACACTGCTGAACGTGAAGCTACAAAGACCCGTGAAGAACGGGCAGCTGCTGCAGCAGCTGCCCGGGCCAAAAGTGCCCCCACTGAAAATGCCAAAAATCTCAATTTTCGCGGTACCGGTCAGCGTGTTGGATCAAACTGAACTGCTCCGCCAATTGAACCCACAACAAGAACTCGCATGAACTCGGTCTCCATCTCCTCTTGCCAGCAAGACTGGTTGGTCTCTTCTTCCCAAACTGACATGCTTCCTGTCAAAAACTCACTATCACTTCCAACGCCTGTGTCGTTGTCGTTGGGGGTGGGTTCTTGTATTGAGCACCAAAGGGTCATGTTATTCTATCCGATTGGCATGACAGGTCTCTTGTGACAAGATGCGCTCGAAAGCAGCGTCCAAACAGAAAACAGAAAAGTATATAAAGGGCTGATGAAAGAGCATATCTCCCGTCATCTTTTGGCAAGAACAGGAATGAGTGAACTCAAAGAAATAAGACGAAGAGCGTTGTTGGAGCGTTACTTAAGACTCTCAGGACAACCAACTTAGATCAGAAACCCCGGTTTTGCCAATCTTGAATGAAGACGGGAACGCTGGGAGTGTCCAGACGAATGATGTCGACTTTGCAAAAAATTCCGTTTGAAACCCGAAATGGCGAGCATTACTGGGCCCAGCATCCCAACGCTTTTTACCAACAGAAACGCAAGGGTTTCAAAGGCATGACGTTTGAAAACCAGCATAAAATGCCGTCTCTACCGGTCCCAGAACTTCAAAAAACGCTGCAAAAATACCTCGAGACAATTAGACCGTATTGCCACACAAAAGAGCAGCTCGAAGAACAGGAGAAACTTTGCGGTGAGTTTGCCAAAAACCAAGGTCCCGAGCTTCAAAACCGTCTGCAAAAATTCGCCGAAAAGTCCAGAAACTGGCTTTCTGAGTTTTGGGATAACCAGGCGTATTTGGAGTACAATGACCCCGTCGTGCCGTACGTGTCGTATTTTTACGTGCACAGACCGCTCCCGGTCTCGCATAGCAAGATCCAGACGGACCCGTTCCTGAAATCCACGGCCATCGTCACTGCAGTGGTGGAATTCTTGGAGGCCATCAAGGATGAGTCTTTGCCGGCAGACGTTGTGAAGGATCACCCTTTTTGCATGAATAGCTTCCATCTTATGTTCAACAATGCACGTATTCCCGGCCAGGGCAGGGACTCCAACGATTTCTATTCAATACACGAGCATAACTTCATCACAGTGGCCCTACGCGGGAACTTCTACACTCTGTACACGCACAACGACCAAGGCGAGCCCTTGGGACCATCCGCTATCTGGCAACAACTATACGAGATCACGAACGTGAGCAGTGCTCGCTTCCCGGAAAACGCTTGCTCTGGAATCGGGGCTTTGACTTCACTGCCCAGAAACGAATGGCATCAGTCTTACAAGGAGCTTCAATCTCATGCTATTTCACGCTCTTCGCTTGAAACCATTCAAAAATCGTCCTTTATGCTGTGTCTCGATTTGGACACCAGTCCCGTAACCCTGGAGGAAAAGGCTCACTACGCTTGGCACGGTGATGGTGTCAACAGATTTTTTGACAAACCACTGCAGTTCTTTGTTGCCCAAAATGGTGTTTCTGCATTTCTTGCAGAACATTCTAAGATGGATGGGACGCCAACGCTTCTTCTTAACGACTTTGTGTGTCGTCATATTGCGAAAATGGACGTGAGATCTTTTCTAAAACAGCTTGAGTTGGCACCAACACGCACTGCTCTAGAACCCTCGCACCTCCCTTTCTTAATCACGCCTCCCATCAAACAAAGCATCGAAAAAGCCCGAGCCAAATTCCTTGCCGTAATGGGCGAGCATGATCTCAAGGTATGGCATTACAACAAGTATGGAAAGGCGGTCATCAAAAGCCTGGGCTTTTCTCCCGACGCTTTTATTCAACAGATCATTCAGCTGGGCGTGTACAAATACCTTCATCAACAGCTACCCACCTATGAGGCGGCGTCTACCAGGCGATTTTTCAAGGGACGCACGGAAACCGGTCGCTCGGTCAGCGTCCAGTCTGCAAAATTTGTCACTGACTGGGAAGATGCTAACGTCACAGATGAACAAAAAATTGCAAGTCTCCGGGAGTCTGCAACCGCTCACGCGACATATCTGAAAACCGCCTCTGCTGGTCTAGGTGTTGATCGTCATTTTTTCGGTCTGAAGAACATGTTGCGTCCTGGGGAGCATGTTCCGGAACTGTTTCAAAACTCGTTGTTCAAGTACTCGTCCACATGGCTAATTTCCACGAGTCAACTTTCTTCGGAGTATTTTGAAGGCTACGGATGGTCGCAAGTCAACGACAACGGATTTGGTCTTGCCTACATGCTTAACAAAGATTGGCTTCACATCAACATTGTTAACAAACCGCTTGCAAGTGGACTCAGTACTTCCCGGCTGCACTACTATTTGAGTCAAGCGGCCGATGAAATGTATGATCTACTGGTCAAAGAGCAGAAACTACGCTCCAAACTCTAATTATTATAATATCCATAGGTAGCTAGAGCAAATGATATTCAGATGACAGCACTTGTCCGTCTTGTCCGTCCTTTAATCTTACACCTGCATTGAAAAGAATCCACATACTGGGTGTGGAAAAAATTCCAAAAAATTGATTTCGCCCAGGATCGAACTGGGGACGTTCTGCGTGTTAAGCAGATGCCATAACCGACTAGACCACGAAACCAATTGTTGAAAACTAAGAAACAGTAACAGTATATACCCTAATCTCTTCATCACGCACAGCTTGCTCATTTCGTCAAATTGACCTTTAAAGCTCAAGTTAGCCGATCAGAAGCAACTACACTGAACTACACACCGGTCCAAGCCTTCCAAATACTTCCTTTACCCATCGAGCATGCCGTTCGTGGAGGAAATCAACCTCAAAAGTCACGATCCAGATGTTTATTTCACGAGCGTGAACGCTGCTGGACCCTCTGGTAGAAACAGGATAACGAAAACTACAACCGCATCTGGAGTCAGAAATAACAAAAGAGTGAACTATTCGCTTTCGGATCTGGAAGCAAAGATCTATGCACAGAAAAATGGGAAAGACAGTGAGTCTCTGAGCTCAAATTTCATCACAACTACCAGCAGTGCACTGGAACGGTATACCCCGCAAGAACTCTTGAAATCCAGACGAAGACTTATGGAATTGGACACAGAAAATGTGCAAGACATCAGAGACGTGCCTTTTTTGATGAGCAGCATAACCGGGATCAGCAAAGACCGTATAGACTCCAGCGGCGGTGCAGACTCTAGCGGTAGCTCAACCTCGAACGTCAACAGATCCAGCAGGAACAAATTCGAGCTTCCCAAGAACCTTGAGCTTCTATACAAGTCGACCAAGCCACCAGTTGTCAAGAAGAAAAACACTAACCGAGTAGTATCGCTGAAGAAAACTCTGGCTTCTCGAAGGCCACTTACCAGTTACGTCGATGCACTTGATCAAGTGAACCGCAGCATCATTTTCCACAACGTCTACAACAAAAAGTTCTTCAAAGTTTTGCCAGTGATAACAACTTGCTCCATATGTGGTGGCTACAATAGCATCTCGAGTTGTGTTAATTGTGGTAACAAAATTTGTAGCTTGCGTTGTTTCAATCTTCACAACGACACCCGTTGTACAAGCTAGCAATGCAACCGGTAGCATCGGCTAACAAAATTTGAATTTGAATTCTGGTGCCAAATCAAAGGCAAAAGTCGTCGTCGTCATCGTCAACTTGACGGGATGTTCAGGAACTTCAGACGCCCACAACAAACGTGTATGATGATTGCCCTGTTGGAATATTGACCTTGATGCGATGAGGTTAGGTCTGTGGTGACTAGTCTTCTTGTCAAAAACCTCTTTCAAAAGTGACCAAGAGCACTACTCCCAGCAAGTTCTTTACGATGTCAGTGGAACGTGAAACGTTGGACGATCAAGAACTGACCGATGGCTCTGATGTGGGAGTTTTGATTAAAGGAAAAGTCTACCCTTACATTGAAAAAAATCCTTTGGATGAAATATCGTTCGCTGGTTTCTGTCTTGGTGGATTTGTGGGCACTGCTTTGGCTTTAACACCTTACTCTCGTGTCATCAATATCAACATTTACCTAATTGCGGTTGGTATGTTCCATTTTTTGGAATTCTATGTTACGGCCAGATTCAACCCTGGGAAAGTGACCAAAGATTCTTACTTGTTCAATAACGGCAAGTCATATTTGTTGTCTCATGCATTGGCGATTTTTGAGGCAGTAACCGAGTCCTTTTTCTTTCCACGCTGGAAATCTAGCTTTTACTCCAAGACCAATATTTGGGTTTCCGCACTGGGGTTGGCATTACTGGTTTCCGGCCAATGTGTGAGAACTGCAGCAATGGTAACAGCAGGGAAATCATTTTCACATCAAATCAAAACAAGTCAAAATTCTGACCATGCTCTGGTTACTGCTGGAATTTACGGCAAGTTGCGTCATCCAAGCTACTTTGGGTACTTTTGGTGGGCTCTTGGAACGCAATTGCTGTTACTTAATCCGCTTACCTTCATCATCTTCGCAGCGGTACTGTGGAGGTTTTTTAATAGCCGGATACGTTACGAGGAAGTGTACCTACTTCAATTTTTTGGAAAACAGTACGCCGAGTACTCCCGTAAAGTTGGCGTCGGCATACCATTCATATAACTCATAAGACCGGATCCGAATTTTAATAAGATGAGTACGTGAACATTTTGATTCATTCAAAACCTATAAATAATACAACCCACATAACTACTCGTCCGAAGTCAGATCAATGAAGTCCAGCTCATTATCATCGGAGCGATGTAAAATAGGTGGAGGTGGAGAGACGGATCCCGAGGCACTGTCCGCACGCGATGTAGACAGATTTGAAGTACTATTGTGTCCAACAGACGTGGTTGATTTATTTGCTGAATCGGTTGATATTTGACGTTTCTGCGGAAGCATGTTTGCGTAACTTCTTTTGGGTATGAAAGGAGAAACAATTGGCTTCCTGTGACGCATGGATGACGAGTCAGTGGGTTTTGTCGTATTCAAATTCCTGTTTATGGATTGTGGTACAGGTGGTAGCGGTGGAAGCGGTGGACGCGCCGTCGAGCGTTGCGAATTTGAATCATGACCAGTATCAGCATGCGAATTTTGGTATAGGCCTGAATCAGGCCTAGTGAATAAACTGCCTCGTGTCTGTGGTTGAGAGGTATGGTATTCCTGACGTCCTGGATTATTGGGTAAGTTATTATCATTTTGGGAGTTTTCATTGTTTGATGGCGGAACGTTGTAGTTTTCGCTGTTTTTTTGTTGCTGTGGAGCCGTTACACCAGTGCCATTGCCTAACCCGAGCAAATTACCGCCTTCGGATGTGCTCTTTTCAAACAGAGAAGGGTAATTATGAGCAGCAGCTGGCTGATATCCAGAAGAGCTAACAATACCTTGATGATTTCTGTTGCCGTTGGCCGGTGCCTCTCCAGAATCTGAAGCTTCGCTGGCGTGCTCATTTCTTGCGGGAACACTAAGCTCTGGGTTTGTTAAGCCAGGAAGCAACGAGGTATTATTTGTCGGACTGGGTGATAAAGAGTTATTAGCTCTGCTTTCAACGCTATTCTGATACTCGCTGTCGCCATCACCGTGGCTCGCGTTCCTTAATGGTGTTCTGCCTAAAACATTCGGCACTGAGCGTTGACGATGGAAGAAAACGGCACTATCTGGCTCATTAGTCTCACCAGGAGAAAGAGCAGTTGATGACGCATGGTTACTTCCTAGTGGAGTTGAATTTGTACGTCTTGGGTCCAATGTTGGAAGCGGCTCTGAGGTAGAATCCATATAGGTGCTGTAGATATTACCTAGTGTATTATCTCGTGGCATTTGGTGGTCACTTTGCCCCTCAGCCGTTGCCTGCGGAGCGACTGTAGAGGAAGTTGAGAGAGAGTCTGTACCTGAGTTTTGAGCAGGACCATTTCGTACCGGCCCCTCATCTTCGTCTTCGCTATCAAGAGATATGACCACAGGATCAGTTTGTTGCGTTCTAGCACGTCCTGCTGGGATAGGTTCGTTGCCATCTTCATCCGACATGTTATTATCGTCTGACCCCAAGCCTCGTCCATTTTCGGACTTGACATGAACTTTGCTCTGTTCTCGGGGTGCTGGCGTCTCATCCTCGAAGATGGGTTTCCATGAACCATCTTTTGATATCTCTACTTGTTCAACTTCGTCATCACACTCTGCAATAATACTTTCGACAAATTCACATAATACAAGGTCCTCAACCTTGACAGTCTTTTGACACACAGGGCAGTGCCACGTAGGTATTTGTTGTTGTGATTCGATGTACCATAAAGCGTCAAAGCATTGGAGATGCCTGCAATGAACAGATTTCGAAGGATATCGCATGCGGCAGTATGAAATGGGGCACTGTAATGTCATTATTGTGGAAGTGGTTACCAAATCCTCGTCTTCGTCCTCGCTTAGGGATTCTCTCAGATATTGGAGAGTGGCAGGTTTGACGATTTTGGGATGGCGAAGTACTTCCTTCAAAATCTCTTGTGGTGGAAATACTTCCACTATATAGCAGCATACCAAATAGTCCTCTTTTGTGAATGCATACGTCAACTGTAAGTGGTTTTCGCTTGATGCTCTAACGTAAGGTGTTAGGTCTGCCGGTTTTGCTGTTCCAGGTTTATTTTTCAAACCTCGTACATTATCCTTCACCGTAATGCCATTGAAAGTTATGTCATTAGGATGGGGAAACTGAATTGGGCTGGGTACACTGGTGTCGACCACGGGAGGAAGCACTCCACAGAAAAGATATAATTTGAACTGAGTGCCCCAACCTTCGCATCCCATGATGGCGGCTTCTTCTCTGTTAAAAGTAAAATAATAGGAGCAAACACCCCTGCCGCCATTTTTTGGTGCAAATTTGGGACTACCGTTAAGCATTCTCTTGAGTCTATAAAACGGTGATTGCCCAAATTGAAGTGCAAAACGGGTTTTGGGCACTTGTTGCTCGACTTTGGTATGCGTTCCATGTGAAGAGGTTCCCAGAGAGCTAGGGGGTTGGTGTCCAGTTGCCACTGGATTGTGTTGTAAGCTTCCAGTCTTGAGACCTAGCCACAGAGATTCATAAGTCGGGAGGGCATCATTTTGACGAACTTTGTCCATCAGCAGCAGTATAGTTTTGGGCCGCCATGGGTCAATGGAGTTACCTCGACATGAGCCATTAAGATATGAGCGAAGTCTATCCTGAAGATCAGCTTTTCTTCCACCCAGTGGAAGTCCAATAGATCGAGACACTGATTTCAACTCCGTAACCTTTAGACGTTCCATTTCTTGTATGCAGAATTCGATTTCATGCTGCAGACCGGAGGACGATACTACCATCGTTGGGGAGCTTATTTTACAGGATTACTGGTACGGTAGCAGTGCGACAGAAAGGAAGGTCTTTGAAAATACTTGAGTTGTCTTCGTCAAGACTAGGTTGTCTGATGAGCTTATACAATTCTTATTGATTTATGATCATTATGTACGTAGGTCTTGAATGTTCTGACATAAAATGGGTCTGAAGTTAGAGGTGATCGAGTACGTTTGGCTGAGTACCTTATTTCTTTGAATTACGGGGTATTTGTCTAATATTTTCTGAAGGAGCTTAAGAGTATACCCTAATCCAAGAAGCTTTTTCATGATTTTGAGCTTGCAGATAGCTTTCAAACAAAAAAAGATAAAGTCATGTTAATGTTTTAAACACGTAGTTGCAGGGCACAAAAAAGAAGAACAACCACGAACATATAAAATTCACTCTTCCTGTCCCTCTTTCAACTGCTTTCACTAGTTTTTTGTCACTGTCACTTTCTCAGAAACTCATATCACTTAATACTAATGTGTCGCAGGCTAAGTGACAGAAATAAAAACAACCAAAATATAGATCCTACAGATATAGATGGTCCTTAAATGGCGGCACATCGATAAGCAGTATATTTGATGATAGAATATTTACTTGCTTCTCCGTGCTTTTTTTGCGAGTCGAAAATCGTTCAAACTTAAATTCTAGATAGCTTTTACGATCAATAGTCGTTTCCACTGGCCTCAAAAGAGCTAACAAAATTAGCCCAATTGACAACAAAAATATCCCATTTTTTAAGAAGCCAAAATGTGATATGTAAAGCTCAGGTTTAGCTACTCTTTGTCCGCTATAAGCTGCTTTGTCCAGGCGCTGTCGTTACTGAACAAATATCACAACTTACAAGTAATTTATTACATATGAAATTTGAAGATTAAGCTCATCTTTACCGATGAGCAGTTCGATGTAAAAAACGAAGTAATCCAACAGCAAGATGGCTCCTCGAGTGGTTGTTTTAATTTCTGGATCCGGCTCTAATCTTCAGGCTTTGATCGACGCTAAGGCCAGAAATGAGCTACCCGTTGACATTGTTAGCGTAGTGTCGTCCAGCAAGAACGCTTACGGTTTGGAAAGGGCAGCTAAAAATGGCATACCTACCAAGGTACACTCTCTATTCCCTTACACCAAAGGTCTAGCTAAAGATGATAGAAGTGGGAGGTCTCTGGCCAGACAGAAATTTGAGAAAGAACTAGCGCCGGTAATCATGGAATTTAAGCCAGACCTGATAGTCTGCGCCGGTTGGCTTCTGATTCTGGGAGAGGACTTTTTGAAACAAATCAATGGAGTTCCTATCATCAATCTACATCCGGCACTCCCAGGAGCATTTGATGGTACCACACATGCCATTGAAATGGCCTGGAAAAAATGTCAAGAAGACCAGAAACCACTGATCGCGGGTTGTATGGTGCATTACGTTATTCAAGAAGTTGATCGTGGAGAACCGGTTATTGTCAAAGAAATTGAGATAGTCCCTGGAAAAGACTCTCTCGAAGAGTACGAGCAGAGAGTTCATGCTCAGGAACATATAGCCATAGTCGAGGCAGTCCAGAAAATATTTGGCCTGTAACCTCGCTAGCTTAGACAATCACGACGGCCGTTCCATTGGTCTCTCGCGCCACAACAAAATCGTGTAGTCAAAATCTAGTCTCAATGCACAAAGTGTAATATATTGGTGTTTTTTCTATTTAAAAGCCTTTCAAGCCTCAAGCTCGATATCAACCACTTCCTCTTCCACCTGACAGATGTCAAGCACTTTCTCGCTCAGAACCGCAGTTGTGCCGCGAGCAAACTTGTAACTTCTCTGTTTGGCTTCTCTTTCGTTAGGCTTTCTGTAGTTTCTGAGATACTCTGCATCCTTACCAACTTCCATTACGCAGAGATCCACGTTAGAACCAGAACCCAAATCGTTCCATATCCCAGCTTCTATAGCGTCTGAGGCCAGTTGCATAGCTTCTTCTCTTGTGAGATCCTGCTTCCAGTGCGATTCAAGGACGGCCATTGCAGCCAGTGAACCGGACCCTAAACTTTGGTAGAATCCAACGTCTGTGGAACCGTGTGCATGTATGGAGAACAAGTGTGCGCCAGTTGGATCGGATCCTGCAACGATCAGATACGCTCCGACATGGCCCTGATACTTGAATAGGTGCTGTTTAAGCATTTGCAAAGCAGACACCACTCTAGGCTCTCGATTGACGTATTGTGAATGCAATTCTAGATTTGAACCGATGAGTCTTGTGACCGCCTCTGTATCTGCGGCTGTACCGGCTCCTGCACACCAAATTTTTGGTGCCATGCGATGCAGTTTTGCACAGTTCTTGTTTGCCACAATCGGGCCCTGTGTAGATCTGGTATCAGCAGCAATCACAACACCACCATTGAATTTGACTCCCACAATTGTTGTACCTGTAGATGTTGCCTGGGGCACCGTTTTGGAGCGCTGAGCGAGAAATTGGTTCCTCTGGTAGTTGTCAAAGGATAGACCGGCCATTTTGAGATACACACGCTTATGGCTGGGCTCCCAAAAGTTCCAATTGTCAACTGTTTCTTGGATTTCTCGATGTAAATGTGTAGAGAGGTGGCAAAAGACTATATTACCTTAGAAACCTTTAAGTCGAGTTGTCGTGTATCGTGATATCAATTCGAGTCTGGTTAATTAAGTCATAGCTCGGTTTTCGTAGACGCGATTAACAATTGGCAGACGCCAATAATTTTAATACTTTTACTCGTCGAAAAGTGTGTTTGGAAGTTCAAACAATGCTCGAAGACCATTTCAACAAGATGATTGTGATAATCCTCTTTCAACGACACATTCGTCGAGAGTGATGTTAAAACTACTTAGACTGAATGTCGCTTATTTTGTCTATTTTTTAGGTCTTGAGCTAGTTATAGCCGTAAAGGCTTGCTAATTTTTATGGGAAGATCTTGTTTTGCAGCTCTGTCGTCAGACTTAAGGAATGAACATCTTGCAGTGACACACTCGTCCGAAATGATGGATTTGGGTTTTTCCCATCAAACTCTTTTTAGGCAATTTTTAGCTTCTTCATGACTGACTTCTTTACTCTGATCGCCTATTATGTGGTATTAAAGTCATTTGTTATTCCTCACCGCTTTCAACTTCTTTTAAACACATTTCATGTATAGACAAACAATTAATTCCTGAAATCAAGAGGACCGATTAACATTTAAACTAATACAAATTGGAAAAAACAAAGTCTTCATGTTGCGTTTGTGGTAGGTTAATAGTTGAAACCCAAAAATCGCTTCGTTCATTGAGGTCAAATCGATCGGCCTGGATCTGAACTTACTGGATCTGATATCGTTCGACGGTTCATTGATTGATCTAAGATCACGTGATCGTTTGAGACACTCAATTTAAGTCAAGATATAACCTTTACTCGAGTTCTCGCATGTATACATTCTTCAACTGATCCAGGATAGCGCTCTCACCGCTTGGTCCGTCTTTGTGAAATGACCCAGAACATATCATTGGTTGAGCCGGCCAAAGTGCGAACTTTGCTGGTGCCAATCGGCCAATGGACGCGTTCAAGCTTCACGGAAAAGGTGGGCGCTTTGCAAGAACGCTTTGAGGCACGGTTGGTTGACATCACGCCCATCGAGGACCCCAATTTCAATCCACAGGGCTTCCCACAGGGCAGGCTCTTATTTGATTTTCATACTAGTTTGATAGAAGAAGAACAATCGCTTTTCCTACATGATTTTGAAGTATACAGAAAGACGTTCGTGGTGGTGGGTCTAGTGAATAAGGAAAATGAGGTTCCACAGAAGCTCCTAGACACACTGCATAGAAGATATCCGGATCCAATATCCCATAATCTGCTCTACTTTGATGATAAACAACTCCCGGCTTCTCCAAACATCTACTGCGCCTCTACTACAAACCTCGAGACAGTCGTTTGTGACATTGGTAGGGGTTTTCTGGAAGCTCTGGGCCAGTATTATGCTTCATACAAACATGTCACACTTCGGTCACCAGGCGCTATTGGTGGCACGTCAGTTACCAAGACCATTCTTGTGCCACAGCCCTCAGTTACAACCTCCTCGTCGCCTTCGATGAGAGTAACGTCAAATCCTATTGACGCTACAGTCAACAGTACAGTCAAACGCAGCACCTCGCTCAAGTCGTTGAGTTTGAGCTCTACGGCATCATCCGACCAACACAGAGCTAAAGCACGGCAGTGCAAGATTTTGGGGAACTTCAAACTTTTGGCTGGACAATACCTCGATTCCTTGAATAGTTTTGCAGAAGCTGCAATGACTCTACACAAGTATCATGATCATATATGGCTGGGAAGCGCTTTAGAGGGCCTGGCGCTCTCTGTGATTCTGCTAACTTACCTCCAAGTTCCCTTTCAGATTCCTTCCATAATATCGCTTATTTGCTCCCCTAAAGATTTTGAGAGTGTCCCGACTTGCACCGTTTCTCAGCGAAATAGCATGTCTTCCATAAACGTGCAATCACCTAGAAATTCCATGGGTACAAAGTCAACGAAAATCAATGCTATAGATTCTCAAAACGTGGCCATACCACTCCTATACAAGTCCATCAGCGATAAGGTTTTGCATTATTATGAAATGAGTATCTCTCATAATCGCGAATATGTTCCCCAGATTGTTTTTTGCGAGCACATACTGCGCACTGCACAATTTATGGCCTATTGTCATTCTCATAACGAATTTGATAGAGATTTATTGAAACCGTCCATGTCTTCGGAATCTTCGAAGCTCGCGAACACAACTTCGGATACACCCAATTCGCTGAGAGAGTACTTTTCGAAGCTGGAAGTTTGCCTCACCGCCAATAAACTTTTCGATCTACAGCTGAAAGAGATGGATATTTTCTGTCAGGTGAAAGTGTTCGCATCACTAGCTGCTTTGTACAGCAAAATGGGATTTAAAAGAAAGTATGCCTTCATGTTGCGCATTTTGCTTGTTAGCTTACTACCGCGGAATGTTTCTGACAGTGTGTTCAGTGTCATAAATAGCACACATCATGACTCGCTTCTGACTTTAATACAGGCTTATGGTATCAACAAACAACCAGAACATCTCATAAAAGACGCTGCCAGCTGCGGCTGGGTTACCATACAAAAGAACATACTGATGCTGGCCATAAATATATCTGTCAAGACTCAACACACAGAAAAAGTATGCGAGTTCTCACTGATGCTTTTACAAAAATACTCACACGCTCTCACTAGAAGCGAACAAACAAATCTGCTTCGAAGCAATATCTTAGCAAATTCGAATATCAGTCAAAGTGTCACTTATTGGGATCCATTTTTGCTGAGAAACTTAGATATAATCCAGCTGGAAAATCATAAAGAGATTCCACAAGAAAAATGCATCACGGTGAATAAGGCAGATGTGGGCTCTCAGCGACATTCCCAGGTTTTCAATCCTTACAAAAACCGTGGCATTCGTGATATAACCGAAAAATCCAAATCAGAGGAAACTTTCACAAGGTTTCTGCTGGGTGAAACAGCAGAGTTGATTGTTGTTCTTCAAAACCCCTTCAAGTTTGATCTTGAGATAACGCAACTGGCTTTTCGCAAAAAGGACGAAGAGATTGTCAGCATTCTGAGCGACAGCTTAAGGAGGGAACTTCCCTTCACCATCAAGCCAAATTCCATGGCTTCCCTTCATCTCCCCGTTACTTTTATCAAAGAAACAGAATCTGTATATGAATTGACAGGTCTTCAAGTTGGAGTCTTTGGGCTCACCCCAACATCGTTCGACATCGTGAATTCAGAAAAGCGGCGAGAGGAGCATGGGATTGAGGACAAGCGGGCAATCTCTGATCGATACAAATTCCGTGTGATCAATGAACAGCCCCAAGTTGAGTTCGTGAGTAGCACTCTCGATGAAAACTCCATCATGATGCTTGATGGCACGAAGCAATCATTTGAAATTGTGCTGCGTAACCAGTCGCTGAGCAAAGCTGCCAATTATCTGGAGTTCACACACGTTACGAATGTCGAGTCTGAGTTGGGATCAGATTATTGGAAGAGACTTGCGCCTGATGACCTATACGACGTCGAAAAACAGCTAGAATGGGTGCAAGACCATTGCTTGAAAATGAGAAATGTTCCTGCAGAAATTCCCGCCAATAGTAATGTGACATTGACCATAGATATTGACGTATCTCAGGCCTCTTTCCAATTGAAGAACTTTGAGCTAAAGCTACTGTATGGATGCAAGAACGAGGTAGAAAGTGACTATGTTTTCACCAAAACATTAGTTGTGCCTTTCAACATTTCTTTACGGAGAAGTATAGAGGTTTCAAGTTTAGAAATGGTTCCCGCCTCGAAAGAACTTTTGCAGGCAGAGAGCTCTTTTTTGCGAACAGCAGGTGCTTCTGTCAACACACTCAATGCTGAAAGCTTGGCTTTACTGTTGATAGACGTTCGCAATTCTTGGGATGAAAATGCTACAGTCTTGATGCATTTTGGCGAATACCAATGCGAGCCAGAAACGCTAGGGTCTCATAGCACGAAAAGATTTATTTTGCCTATCGACGGGCTCCACCCACTGGTCAACTGGAGCACCAAAGAGATACCTAGCCTTGTGCGCGGACGGCAGTACGTGAACAGTGGTCTTGCGCGAGACCAGACTGCAGCGATGCGTCGCAGTTTTTGGTGTCGCGAAATGCTCATGGAGTCTCTCAGGTGCGAATGGAAACTCCACGATAGTGCTAGCACTAGTGGCTCAGTGCATTTCCGTCAATTTCTCGATAAGATTGGTCCTCGAGATGTCGATATTCTCTGTCAGCATCGGGATGTTCCTTATCGCGTTAGTTTATTTTCATCCAAGGCCAAAGTCCTAGTTGGAGAAAATATCAAGCTGGAGGCTCAGGTCTCTTTAACTGACGCTCACAATTCTGCTGCTCTCAAGGCACAGGTTCAAGTGGAGTTTTTAATCTACAACCGTCGCACTGGGTTGGCACTTCCAAGTTCCAACACGAGACTTCTTTACAACGGCCAGCTCTCCTGTCTTACAAACCCGAACAATGACTATCCCGTAACATTAGAAATTACGCCAATCGATCCGGGCGACTATGAAGTTGGCTGCTGTGTGAATTCCTCGTATTTTAACGAACAGCCCGTATATGTTCGTGTCGAACGACCACCATCAATCTTGACGGAAAGTTCGTCAAGTTAGTTCAATTTAGAAGGTCTGCCAAAAAATTTGAACATCATCAACTCATTCAAAAGTGATCATAAAAGCTTCGAATAGAAGTACAATTGAGGCTTCAAAGAGGTTTTCCTAGAAGCTAAAATGGGTAAAGGCGCAGCCAAATATGGGTTCAAAAGTGGTTTATTGCCCAGCGCGCGTTCTATCCTCAAGAGACCCACTATTAAACAAACAGATGTGGTAGAAAAGTTGCAAAGTTCCAAGCCAAAGGGTCCAGAAGGTGTCGGATATGCCGAAAATATTGCACATCCTAAGGGCTCGCACAGACTTCCTCCAAAAACCGAATTCATCGATGTCGAAAAACTGATCAAAGACACAATTCCAGATCCGCAGCACTCAAGGGTCCCGAAAACAGTGCAGCAGGAAACAAGACAAAGTAAGGCTCAAATGCGTAGAGAATATCTTTCAGATGCATTCAGAAGAGAGGAACAGCGTGTTTTGAAACAAGGTGAACTTCTCAAAGAAAAAGAAGCAAAACTGGCTCAACAAAGACAAGTCGAGCTATCTGCTTTGAACGAAAGTCGCTCCAGTGACCTGACAATACCAACATTGGACAAGCTACTGCAGGGTCCTTTGATGCGCCAAAGAACGCCCGAGGAGAAGACAATTCTCGAGATGAAACGAAAACAAAATCGCGATGTTTTGCAATTAAGAGCCAAGGAAAGAAAATTGGAAAATCTGCTGAAACTGTACCATGTTTCCGACGAGTTCATTGTGTCAGAGGCACAACTTTCCAAGAAAATTGATGAGGCTTTTGCCAACGAATCATCGGAAGCTTTGAGGACTAAACTAAGCGTAGGAAACGCCAAGCCCAGAGCTCGCAATGAAAAAGAAATTGGAGACGCCCTATTTGGCTCTCTTGGGGGCGGCAATTTTGTTGGTCTCCCTACCATCAAGGACTTCGTTTCTGGCGAGATGAATGCTTTTGCCAAAGACGTTGAGACACAAAATGAAGCTGTGACAAAACAAAGACAGCAAGACATGGATACCATTTTGCAATAGGTGGGTGATACATTAATTTTCGTCGCGTTTTTTTACAGGTGTATATAGTGAGTTGATGAGAATGATGGACAAGTCAGACTAGCACGTAGACAGCTGCTTACATTCTGTTTCTTCCACGTTGTGCCAAGCCGGTGACAGAAGGCGACGGCTGTTATTCTTGAGCGTACTGTGATATTTGTGTTTAATCCGAGACGGGAGTAATCAGGGTGATATTGTCACCTTTCAAGAGTATTCTTCCCAGCTGGACGGCCTTCTCAGACAGTTCTGATCCACTCTTGGGATCTATAGGTATCTCTAGAGCATCGTCAATAACCACATTCATGAATTCGTCAAATCCGCTAATTTTGCCCCTAATCCTGATCTGGACCTGTTCAAAAAGCCAAAAAGTGACCTGTGTCTGTTGCTGGAGGAAGTTAAAGATGCAGTTAATAGGCGGTACCGTTAGTTTTCCTGTGTTAGTTGACATATTTTGTTCGAGGAAGTATCAAAGAAGGAAAGTCAGAAGGAGGATTTAGGATCAAAAAAAAACACCTGGAGAATATGTGGAAAACCTAGCAGCACGACGTTAAACCAAAAACCTTAATGATAATCTTACGAGTTCAGAAAGTCGTTTCTCAGATCAACAAGTTCATTAGCGCAGCTACCTGATCTGTTAATTTGGTTAACTTGATAGCACTGCACACGAGTGCATCGAGCTGACGGTCTTCGAAACTTGATCCATAGGCTCTAACTATTGTCAGTTCTCCTGTGAAACACTTAGAGTTCAAAACCAGGCAGAATTGGTGAAAGCTGCATTTGAATTGTGTTTATTTTCGCTTCTGAGTAAAGCTTACTTTATAGCATTGACATGGACAATTCCGTTACACTGACACCAAGAAAACGGAACGCAAGATCAAACGTGTAAAGACTGCCGTTTATGTGACACACATATGCCTTGAATCCAACAAGTACCAGTGCTGAGATGCAACAAATGGCTGGGTGAGTGAGTGTTCGCAATGATCGTCAGGTTTTGGCAAATCAATCGAATATGTGCATATACTTCAGCAAAGCACTCAATGACAAGGCATGAGATTCAGAAATTAAGCATATTGATGCCATATTCAAGAACACAAAGCTTGTCACAACGAAACACTACCTGGATTCCAATTGGTATAAGCAGTCGGTTAAAACGGCATTGATTGTTGGTGATGACCCGTCTGCAGTGAGTGAGCATAGGTAATGAATATTGGATATTTCACCACGAACTCGCTAGTCTATACCAAAAGTTCTCACAAAAAGATCGAGAATCAGGCATCAGGTGGAGCTTATCTTTTATGAACGACAGTATCGGTAGTGTACAATCAGCCTTACAATGTATCACGGCTCAAACTGATCCTGAAACCAAGAAACAGGCGCTGCATTTCTTGGAAGAGTACCAAAAGTCATCGGAATCGTGGACCGTCTGCCATAGTATTCTCGCTTCACAGGATAGCCAGTATGGTGTGGAACTTCAGGTTTTCGCAGCACAAACGCTGCGAAACAAGGTGACGTACGACTTGGCTCAGTTGGGAGATCAGTTGGTCGATTTCAAGAGCTCACTTTTGGAACTCATCACCAAACATTCCCAAAAATTGATAGTCACACAATTGTGCGTGGCACTAGCGCGGCTGGCCATTCAGTATCTGGAATGGAAAGCGCCCATCGCCGAAATCATAGAAAATCTAAGCCAATGCCCCGATAGATTAGTAGAATTCTTGAAAATTCTGCCAGAGGAAACGCTAGATATCAAATCCACTCCGTTGAGTGAGGATGAGTTCCAGTCCAGGACTCATGAACTCATAGATAGCATAGCCACTGATGTTATGGAGTACCTGGTCGGTCTCGTAGAGGCCCTAGGAACCCCAGCCTCTATCGTGACTGTGTCCCAATTACTCAACTGCATCAATTCCTGGGCTTACGAGTTTCCCATCGACAAACTGATCAGAATTAACAGCCTGATGGCCCTCATATTCCAAGTGTTAAACCAAGGTCCGGAAGCAGACCCTGAATCATTCGATGTTGCCGTTGAATGTCTCTGTACCATATTAAAAGAGACTCGAGAGGTCGCAGACGAAACGATCACCTCGGCTTTATATGAACAACTTATGGCTTTACAGTCTAGGATACTTCCTATCAATAGCTTGGAAGATCTCGAAGATCACGTCGAGACCATGGACGGACTAACACGAATTTTCGTCGAAGCTGGGGAGGCTTGGTGCGTTTTAATCGCCAAGACACCGGCAATTTTTAAACCTTTGGTATCAATTCTTCTGATTCTCACATGCAAAAACACTGACCTTGACGTTGTTAAGTACACATTTCCATTTTGGTTCAATCTCAAGCAAATGCTTGTACTGCCGCGCTTTAGCGAGCAACGCTCAGAATATGCGGATATCTACGGTGAGCTCATAGATGGTATCATAGCACACTTGCATTATCCTGAAGGTGGGTTTTCCAGTAGAGAGGAACAGGACAAGTTCAAGGAATTTCGTTATGACATGGGAGGAGTTTTGAAAGACTGCACTGCCGTCGTTGGGTCTTCCAAAGCTTTAAGCCGCCCCTATGACAAAATAATGCTGGCATTGAATCGACCTGAGCCATTGTCGCGTTGGCAGGATTTGGAAGCACCGCTCTTCTCTCTAAGAACCATGGCTCATGAAGTGTCAAAAAACGAGTCTGTCATGTTGCCACAGTTGATTCAAGTTCTCTGCAAAATACCGGAACATCCCAAAGTGAGATATGCAACAACATTGGTCTTTGGCAGGTACACTGAGTGGACTGCAAAACACCCTGAGTTCCTTGAGATGGAACTAAATTATATTTTTGATGGTTTTCAACACGCCAACGGTAATGTTGACATTCTCACAGCGTCTTCGCATGCCCTGATGTACTTTTGTCAAGATTGCAGCACACTGTTGAGTAACTACGTCGAGCAGTTGATCGACTTTTTCTGGAAAATTGAGCCAGTAGTCGAACCACAATCTTTGTTTGAAGTCGGCCAAGGTTTGAGCTGCGTGATAGATCGGCAATCAGATGAAAGGGTGGGGCCTGTTTTGGAACTTTTCATTATGCCCCATTTACAAAAACTCAACACTGCGGCTGTGCAATGGAAACAAAATCCAGCAAATAGCACTGCCACTACTGCAATTTGTGATACAATTGACCTGATATTCGCTGCCTTCGAAGAACTCAAGCCTCGCTTTGAGAGCCCTGACATTGGCCAAGACCCAGTTGAGCCATGCATAAAATCCATATGGGATACACTTCGGGCCCTTCTAGTTGACGGAGGGGCAATGAACAATCATGAGATCGCAGAAATCGCTATGAAGTGGCTGCGGAAGGTATTTTTAAACTTTCATGTTTTCGCCACTTCCGTTCTACCCTCAGCTGCAAATTTCCTCGCTGAAGCTTATGCAGCAACGGGACTTGGAATATATCTATGGTGCTCGGGCTCTATTATAGCTGTTTTTGGTGACGACGAATCATTTCCGATTGATGCTCAGACAAAAGAAGCTGTTTGGCAATTTTCCTGCACTCAATGTGTGACGTTCATGAATACTTTCAACGCCGCTAGCGAAGAGGCTCTTGAACAGTATCAGGAATCTGTTCAGGATTTTTTCATGATGCTGACTGATATTGTCATGTTTTTCCCGGGACATTTTCTCCAAGCCAACGCGCTTTTAGGTCCTTCCTTCTCAATGGGTCTAACATGCGTCACGAAAATGGCTAATTATGATGCGTATATTACTGTGATACGCTTCTTCGATGATGTCTTATCATGGGGGTTTGAGACCCCACCGATTTCTACAGCTGCGCTCGATTTTGTTCCTGAAAAATGGAGAGAGAAAGTGTTACGTGAAGTGGTAGAATCACAAGGGGCTCAATTGATCCAGGCAATTATGTCAGGCCTTGTCACTAACTTCAACAGCGACTCCCACCCTGACGCAATTGGCTGTATGGTAAGAACTCTCAGACTATGTTTGCAATGTTCTGGCGGAGACCCCTCCGTAGCCTTGGGCTGGCTCAGTGGAGCCATGGATGTCATAGGGAAGGTCACTGATCAAGAGAGGTCGAATCTTTTAACCACTGTCGGAAACGCTTTACCGCAAAGAGACATGAGAAGAGTAAGAAACGGGTTGAAGGACTTCATCACTTGGTACTTGAGAAAAAATGTATCTCCAAGGACATACAAATAACGAGACACATGAATTCTTAATGAGAAATGTTAGCAGAGATTCGTATAGACCGAGTTCATAAAGTAGTTACATCTGGGATATATATCTTTGCATACAATTTTGATTAACAAGACACATTGTATATCATAAGGTGGTGATGTGAATTACCTAGGAAATTAGTGGCTGATGGTTAGATCTTGGGCCCAAAGCAAATTAGTTACCGCCTAGACGTTTTGGTGACTTAGCTTCTTCAAAACATCAGGGTACGCTCTGAAAATTTCGTCGAACCTGTCTGGATATGACACGCGGAAAACTTCAGGGTCGTTACCCAAAGCCACAAAGAATGTAGCTGTTCCTGAACGGACAGTTTCATTCGCAATGCTGCAGATTTGCAAGGCAATAACAAATGAGAAAGCCATGAGTGGAACGTTGAATCCGTGGGACGAGTTGTAACTTGGTTGGGTGAATCTTAGGTACAAGAATGCGAACAAAGTCGCCATGTAGCTCGCGAACAAGGAGAAGAAACCCAAGGCAATGCCAATCAAGTTGTCATTGATCAAAGCGTCCATACCCTTTTCTCTCAACATGTACCAAGTCTCCTTTGCAGCTCTGAGGTAGGGTTTCCCATAAAGTGCGATGAAGCAGTAAGCGTAATGATTGAAATATTGCGCTAGCCACTGCAAAAACCCAATGATCCAATCGATAACGAAAAAGAGAATTTGCGCCCATTGTGAATCCGCAATATCAGTAATTTGACCATTTCTCAACAACTGGAACACTTGCTTTAATGTCTCAATTAGTGCCACGATGAGCGATCCGAAACAAATGGAGCCGAACGAAATGGACAAAGCTCTTTTCAAAGAACCGAAAGCTGGCCAACGAGGCATCCCTTGGTCTGATTTAGACATATAGTACCAGCAACCGTAGATACCTGAAACTGTGCAATGAATAACATTCTTGATAACCTCCGAAATGTAGTAGCCACAGAAAAACACCAGCACCAAAATACCTATGAGCTTGGAGTTGGTACACGAACCACCGCTTGTGGAACAACCCGGGTTGTTACTCTTGGGGTCGAATTTGATGTATGTGGCCACAATGACGGCCGAAAACAAAAATCCGAACGCACTGGCCACGATGGCACCGAAAAGCGAAATCAGGTATGTTTGTGGATGCTTTTTCATCACATCCACCACGGTTTTGAGAATTGCTACGCTGAGTGGAATTCTTGAGCGCATTCCCCAGTAGCACCAAGCGGTGATGAGTGTGAAAACCAAAAATATAATACCGGCAGACCAGTATCTCATTGCCAAATACGCAATGGCTGTACCAAGTCCGGAGATGATATTTACCACCATTCCGCAGTAAATAAACCATTTGGGAGAAGCACGCATCAAAGTGAGGCCCAATATGGAGAAGACCAGGGCAATGATGCATGCAAAGACCAGCAGGATCGCGGAATTTGTGTCCAAAGTGCCTGTTTCTGCCGCATTGTAGATCCCAGAGCCTGTGGACGAATAAGTTTTAGCCCACGATCTCAACGTGATGCCTGCAATGGCAATGAACCCACACACAGTGGCCAGGAAAAAAATCGTGAAGGGCCAGTCATTCAGTCTGAACTTGTTCTCGTTTTCCGTTGGGAAACTTTCCTCGAACGATCCAATGGGTGCTCCATCGGACTTTGAGTTCAGGTTATAATACTGGTCTTGTCTAAACTGGTAGTCCTGCTGTTGCTGGCCCTGGGCTGGACCCGGTTGTTGTTGCTGCTGCTGTTGCTGCTGCTGATCGTGGTCCGGGGCGTAGGAAGGAGGAGGCTGCGCTGGCCTTCCATATTTCTCAGACATCTTTGACCTCCCAAGACTTCTGTTGTATATGAGCTAGAACCTAACTACAGAAACTGTGCCAAAACTTGAGCAAATTCAACCGCGAAAGTTCGTCAATATACACAGAAAAGTATACTATTTACCACCTGCTAGTAAGGTTGAGTTCTCGACTGTTTAGTTGCTAAAAGGGCTGTTTATGTACAAGTGAGGAGTAAGAGATGAGAAGAGTTTTGTCATTGCGGAATTGCTACCTTAAGGCTCTTCCCGAAAGGTTTCTATGCATGTTTGCTGTTTATTACGTGCGTTACCCTGCATGAAAAACAAGATTGGAAAATATATAATAAAAGTCACGTGAACGCCAAAGACGATATGCGATGATGACAATGAACACCAACTAATTGCGTTGCTAGTGAGTTTAGAACGTTTATATGGTTAATTTTGACATAATTTTGGCTCTTAATGGTGATTTTGATAATCTTTTTTTTTTTTTTCACTATTATTTTACCTTTTTTAGAGAAAAGATCTGTTGAAACTACAAATGCAGAGGACTTTTCCTGGATGACGCTTCTCTAAAGTTGCACGAAATTCCCACGTCTGACGTGGCTAGATTTGTTCAGTTTCTTGGAGAACCTTCATTTTTTTTTTCTTCTATGCAAGGCAGAGTGACGACACCATGATAGGGGAATGAAGCGATTATAGCCGAACACGAACAGACTTGGAAAGGGAAAGCTGAGGACCGGGGGGAGAGAGAAGAAGAATGGAGGGAAAAGATACTGAGAGCAGCAGGATGTGGAAAGGAAGTACAGGCAATTAGACTCTTGAAGTGTTGTCCTTCTCATTTGTTTTTTTTGCGACACTGCGCCAATCGAGTACAGAGTGATAAACAGGCTAAGGACTGCTGTCACGTGATAGAAACAGAAACTTTTCACCATAGCTTGCTTATTGTATTGTAAGCTGCAACAAGGCTAATACGGTTCCAATAGAATTATGAAGCTACTTCCCAACACAGGATTTAGATCAGAAAAGAGAACTTTTTGGGAAAAATGGGTTATGGTTTGATTTGGTCACGTGCCGCTCTGCATTCAACAAACACCGTTACGACACTGGATGACTGCTTGAATACATGCTCCGTATAAGAGCTCCCTAGTTCAAAACAGCCTACCAGCTTCATCAACATTCCAACTATAACACCACCATTGCTTCTATTATATCCAACATCAAAAAAAATTGAAAAAAAATTGAGCTTTCCACCTGTCATTGGCACCGCACCCATCATTCGAACATCCCATAATATCCGCATTTCATTAACTAATTGAAACACGCTCTTTCCATCCATCGTTCTTCTCTCGCTTTCTCTCTCTCTCTGACTCACTCATCTCTTCAATATCGTGTCGTCGTGGGTCCATGTGCTTTAACGATTTCAATATTATCAATATATATATAACTACACTGCTCGATCCAGATAAGAACCATGAGCTCGTAAGGTTTATAAACCACACTCAGTCGTCCCAGATCCAGAAACTATGGTATCAAGATACAGAGTTGAATACCAGCTGAAATCGCATCGTAAAGATGAATTAATTGAGTGGATCAAGGGCCTTTTGGCGGTGCCATTCGTCTTGCACTCTGCTGCGGACGACGAAAGTAACAGACAATTGATACGCCAAAGATATGCAGAAACATTCAAAGCTGTTGAAGAGCTGGTCAACGAGCAAGTGGAGGTACGGGAACAGGTCCCGGCTGAAGACTTTGTACACCACCGGCAAAGAACAAGACTTGCTCAACTCGTCCCCTCAGTAGGGGCATTTTTCACAAGATTGCCCTTGGAAAACGCCTTTGCACTAGAGGACCGCAAAAGAGCCATTTCTGCAAGAGTAATGGTCGCACCAAGTTTCAACGATATCCGTCACATCTTGAACACGGCTCAAATCTTGCAAATGCGTCAATATCACGACGCCAAGCTTGTCACGTTCGATGGAGACGTTACGCTGTATGAAGACGGAGGCTCACTCACAGAACGCAGTAAAGTAGTACCGTACCTATTGGATCTTTTGAGACAAGGTGTATACGTTGGGATTGTCACTGCTGCGGGTTATGACGAGGCTCAAAAATACATGGAACGTCTTTTCGGTTTCATGAGTGCATTAGAGACCGACACGACCATTAGCGACCAATTGAAGGAAAACGTGGCAGTTCTGGGTGGTGAGTCTAACTATCTCTTCCGGTACAATGCAAAACTGAAAAAGCTGGTTGCAATCCCCACAAAAGATTGGATCCGGTCGCCCATGCGGGAATGGAGCGAGTCGGACATGACAGAGACGCTGGATTTGGCCGAATCGCTACTGCGTAACTTTCGAACTACCCTGAACCTACCCGAGGAGTCTACCATCATCCGCAAGCCGAGGGCGGTGGGCATTGTTCCGGGCAACAGATGGAACCCTGAAACGAAGCGTACAATTCGTGTGAAGATGGACCGCGAGCAGCTCGAGGAGATGGTGCTCACTTTGCAGCGTCGTATCGAAAACTTTGCGCCCGCACGTCGCATTCAGTTTAGCTGTTTCGATGGTGGCAGCGACGTATGGTGTGACATTGGAGGCAAAGACCTGGGTGTAGCTGCTTTGCAGCACTATTTTAGTCCCGAGAATCCAATCAAGCCGTCTCAGACCTTACACATCGGAGACCAGTTTGCCCCCATGGGGTCTGCCAACGACTTTAAGGCTCGGTTGGCCGGAAGCACATTGTGGATCTCGTCGCCTCAAGAAACCGTTGAAGTTCTACAATGCTTAGCACATGGTTTCGACCATTACAAGTAGCACAAATCCAGAGCTGCGTGATAAATACCTGTTGGCCAAGGACTTATACATTTGTACTTCCAACCTTCAATGATGAGTTCGGCAGGCAGGCTGGCAGGCTCTTCTGTATAGACCAAAAGTTTACGAAAATTTCAAGGTCACACGATAATCACGTTATACTAATCTGCATGTGATATGGATTATGTAATCCCAAAAGGTCTTCAAATTTGAGAATATACACGTGACGGTTTTGTAATTTCAAAGTCACGTGTAATCTTGATTACGTAACTGTCATTAGACTCATAACTTAAATTAATATATCATTTTGAGCTGATCACGGACTAACTCATCTCATCTCGCCTTAATATATTTTATATAGGAAGCAGTGAAGAAGTAACCCCTTCACAAAAAGCTAACTCGATCTGATAACCCGATCACATTGGTTCAAAGCTTTTGCAGTATCCATTTATTTAATTATGCTTCAACTCATAACAAGCCCAGCCATGTATGTATCTGCGTTTTTTGCTACAAATTTAGGGCTTTCTAACGAGTCCATATAAGTATAAAAGACTAACCCAGCGCTTGCGTGGTTTAGTTTGTTGGTTTCCACAGTTATCCCGCTGCAATTCACCATAGAGTACCTTAATATGAGTGGCAGCGGGCCAGAGCCAACCCCGCTGAGTATTCTACTTCTCAAGTTTTGGTGTTTGCATGCGATGACTCGCGTAATTCCTAACCCCCTAGTTTATGTGTTCCAATCACTACCTCTGTCCAACGTTATTGAGTTGGGAGCGTGGCTGGTTCTTACAAGAGAACTGGTAAGCCAGTTCGGAAAACTGGAGATCGCCAAAGGGTACCGAGTGGAATCTAAAGGGAAGCCTCCCTCGCAAGATCAGAGATTCTTGTGGACTAGCTATTTCATGTCGATTTCCAATCGACCCCCGACTGACCGATATGTCTTTGGGCAGCTCACTTTCTATAGTCTTGCAGTCATAGAGAGGTGGCCATTGGATTTGCAGGTGCTGGATTCCAGTTTTCGCACGGTCATGGGGTGGATATCTCAACTGCGGTCCAAAGCCCCCCCGCAAACCCCAGTGCAAACTTCAGCTTGGACATGGGGCTACAACTGGTTTGCAGGCCAAACCAACCAGACGAGCAAGAGTGAAGAGGAATACGATTTGTTGGAAGACGTAATTCAAGACATCAAACGGTCGTAGCTGAGCTATGCTTGCGGGAATAGTTGTGCTTACCTTGGAGAAAGACAAAAACGAACGTTACTGGACAATTCACAACCTCTTCCGCCGCCTCCTCCTCCTCCTCTTCGCCACCTTCGGTTTTTAGGTTTATTATTATATATACAGGTGTAACTGGTCTCTTATGGAATGGAAAAATGGGAAAAGCGGGAAAACAAAGAAGAAAAGTCATGCACTGACGGTAATGGCAACCGTCTAAAGGTTTTGATTCAATCTATGAACCAAAGTGTCCACTTTCGATAATTTCTCCACACGTGCTGCATTAGCCTGGGCTTTTGCAGTTTGGTTAACCAGTCTTCTTTTCAAAAACTTTGGAATGAAAGGTTGTGCACCTGGTTGATACGGACCTAGAGCACCGTCAAATGCCTTTCCGGGCTTGAATTTGTCGGATCCTATTCTCGTTTGCTCTTCACGGTACTTGTTGAGATCTTCGACCAATGCAGCGCCCCATGGGTCCTTGTCTACAGGCTCCTCGGGCCATACAAAGGGCTCAGCCATGTCGATAGTCATTTTTTTGATCTGAGCAGATCTGTAGCGCGGCATGACCTGGTTCACACGCGTATATTTCCCGTGGAGCAGCTGGGTCGTGATATTCAGGGCTCGGAGGCCATATATGTTGTAAAGGTAGTCTCGCAGATCGAGCTTGTTGAACGACTTTGGGACTATGAATTTTGCCTGGTAGGGCGTATGCTTGGCATTCGGTCTCAACAGAATCACTCTCGCCTTGGGAAAGAAGAGCTGGGTTGCTCCGACTTTGAAATGGGGGTTTCCTTGTTCTATGGCTTCCTTGGACCAATTAAGAATTTTGTCACTGACTCTCACTGGCTTTGCCGTATTCTCAACTTTGGGAAGCCCTGGAACCACCGTTGAGAGGGCTCTGGCCGGCATTTTTTGGCTCAAAAGGTTTGAAAAGTTGCCAATCGGCCTATTCACTAGACCTGATACTTTCTTCATCATGGAATAGCCACGTAGATTGGTGTAGATTCTTATAGTTTGCCAGTATTTAGCCTGTTTAACCTAGAAAAGTTTTCAATTATTAGATAGAAATGGTAGGATGACCCGTGACTGGTGATCGATTTGGTGAAGTTGTAAAGCTTTTAAGACGTAAGAGTCCCTTCACACCCGAGGGGCCATATATATAAAGGCCATATCAGAAATTCCACAATTCCCAGGATGTGTTTGTTTCTTTGATGCTCTCAGGCGTATTTCAAAGCAGTATGTTGATAAAACGACTCGAACACTTTTGATATATGGCATGCAGACAATGCGGGTGTTGAGGTAGATCCAGAGCATTATTTTGGCCAATTTTTGGCTATTTTATTGCAAGTAGTTCTATACTTTTGTTCCGCGACGCGGTTTTCTGTTAAAACCGTCACATCTCTATTGATCATTTTGACAAACACGCTCATTTACGCACATGTTTTAGGGAAAAAAGAGAAAAAGGTGATAAATAGACCAGACGTTCTCTGCACATACTCGACCCTGTGCCAAATTATATTCAATGGATTCCTCCGTCACCTCTTTTTTTCTTTGAGTGTCGTGTTTAGACCTTTCATTTGACACATCTTGAAAATACAATTAAAGAATAATACCAATGAATATTATTATATTCATATACAACACATCGTTCGTTCCTACCTTGAGTGTGGAGCCATCGCAAACCTTAAAATCTCAGCACTTCATCGGGTGAAGCCTGTCACAATTGTCTTTTTCGAAAAGAACCTTGACATATTGATTTCTCGGCATTCCTGACGCTGTTTTCCCCGGATTCTGCGCTCAATTGATCGTTTTAGCGTCACTTGACGAAATCCACCACTACCAACTCCCCACTATAAAAACAAAACCCTGTTTATCAGTGGAAAAACAACAGCGGATACTACGAAATGCACCTCGACTTCATTGCAATTGGAATTCCACATGCTCAACAACCCTGTTTCGCGATCTAACTCAAACTTGCTCGGATTTTGTCCCGGAAAAAAAGGCTCCAGATAACTTGAGTCCGCGGCTAATGATAGACCAAATGTCATATTGATATTCAGTACACCTGTTCCCCAACTTCAATAAGGCTTTCACTAACTATCAAACGCTGTCGTCGTGCTCTTTATACCAGCGTCAGCGCACTTTTCGCCGTGTCGTTACCCGCCCGAGTCACGCTACCCATAATTAAAAAATTTTACAAGTGGCAATCCTTGTAAGATGATAATAGAACGCCAAAGTTCAAGAACTACTCGGGTTCTTGTTGAAATCTGGTGGAAGATCGGTGGTTCTGCAGGTCTAAGTGAACTCCTAGTGACCGTTGTATCCAATTGTGGCCCCCCAATAACATGTCCGAGGAATACTACGATGAAGATCCGTACGCTTACGAGGATGACGAGTCCTCGATCACGGCGGAAGATTCGTGGACTGTAATCTCAGCTTTTTTCAGGGAAAAGGGTCTGGTATCGCAGCAACTAGACTCGTTCAACCAGTTCATCAACTACACGATCCAAGACTCCATCATGGAAGACTCCACGTTGATTTTGGAACAGGTTGCTCAACACACTACAGAAACTGACAACATCAGCAGGAAATACGAAATCAGTTTTGGGAAAATCTACCTGGCCAAGCCGTCGATGACAGAATCGGATGGTGTTTCGCACGCGATGTATCCCCAGGAGGCCAGATTACGGAACCTAACGTATGCGTCTGGTCTTTTCGTGGAAATCCGGAAACGTACTTACGAAGCTGTGGACGTCCCAGGCAGAGATCTGAAATACGAAGTTATTGACGAGGAGAGTGAAATGTCTGACGATAGCAAAATTTTCATTGGTAGAGTGCCCATCATGCTGCGGTCCAAATACTGTCTGCTGGATGAGCTAACCGAAAGTGATCTTTACAAGCTGAAGGAATGTCCGTTTGATATGGGTGGGTATTTTATCATCAACGGGTCTGAAAAAGTTCTTATTGCTCAAGAGAGATCCGCAGGAAATATTGTGCAGGTTTTCAAAAAATCCGCACCATCTCCAATTTCGCACATTGCAGAAATCAGGTCGGCGCTGGAGAAAGGGTCCCGGTTCATCAGTACGCTTCAAGTTAAACTTTACGGTCGTGAGGGAAATACAAACCGTACCATCAAAGCAACACTTCCCTACATCAAGCAAGATATTCCAATCGTCATTATTTTCAGAGCTCTTGGCATTATTCCTGATGGTGAAATTCTGGAGCACATCTGCTACGACGTCAATGACTGGCAAATGCTCGAGTTGCTCAAGCCATGTGTGGAAGAAGGTTTCGTTATTCAGGATAGAGAAACTGCATTAGACTTTATCGGTCGTCGTGGTACCGCGCTTGGTATCAAGAAGGAGAAAAGAATTCAGTACGCTAAAGACATTCTGCAAAAAGAATTTTTGCCTCATATCACGCAATTAGAAGGGTTCGAAAGTAGAAAAGCTTTTTTCTTAGGTTACATGATCAACAGGTTGCTATTGTGTGCCCTTGATCGTAAAGATCAAGACGATCGTGATCATTTTGGTAAGAAAAGATTAGATTTGGCTGGTCCATTACTAGCACAGCTTTTCAAGACTCTCTTCAGAAAACTGACAAGAGACATTCTGAGATTCATGCAGCGTTCTGTTGAAGAAGCTAAAGACTTCAACCTGAAACTGGCTGTTAAGGCCACCACGATTACCGCTGGGTTGAAGTACGCTCTGGCTACTGGTAATTGGGGTGAACAAAAGAAGGCTATGACCTCCAGGGCCGGTGTCTCTCAAGTTTTGAATAGATACACATATTCTTCGACCTTGTCGCATTTGAGAAGAACCAATACACCTATCGGACGTGACGGTAAACTTGCTAAACCTCGTCAACTGCATAATACACATTGGGGGCTTGTTTGTCCTGCTGAAACACCTGAAGGTCAAGCTTGTGGTTTGGTGAAAAACTTGTCACTGATGTCTTGCATATCGGTAGGTACGGATCCAGTCCCCATTATCACGTTTCTGAACGAATGGGGTATGGAACCATTAGAAGATTACGTTCCACATCAATCTCCTGATGCTACAAGAGTATTCGTCAACGGTGTATGGCATGGTATTCACAGAAATCCTGCTAAGCTTGTGGACACGATCAGAAAACTGAGAAGAAAAGGTGATGTCACCTCAGAAGTTTCGATTGTCAGAGATATTCGTGAAAAGGAGTTGAAAATTTCCACTGATGCTGGTAGAGTTTACAGACCTCTTTTCATTGTCGATGAGAACGAAGAAACTGGTACTAAGGAGCTCAAGTTAAGGAAGGGACACGTTAGGAAATTGATGATGACCGAATATCAGGATATTGAAGGAGGTTTTGAAGAGGAGGATGTCAACTATACGTGGACTTCGCTATTAAATGAGGGCTTGGTGGAATACATTGACGCTGAGGAGGAAGAAACGATTCTGATTGCCATGCAACACGAAGATCTCGACCCTAACTTGGGTGCAGTGGATCCCGAGGAAGAATTGGATCCTGCTAAGCGCATCAAAGCCATCCATCACTCCAATACGTTTACACACTGTGAGATTCATCCCTCGATGATTCTTGGTGTAGCTGCGTCTATTATTCCGTTCCCAGATCACAATCAATCCCCTCGTAACACCTACCAGTCAGCTATGGGTAAACAGGCGATGGGTGTTTTCCTCACAAACTATAGCGTTCGTATGGATACTATGGCCAATATTCTGTACTATCCTCAAAAGCCGCTAGGTACCACGCGTGCCATGGAATACCTAAAGTTCAGAGAACTTCCAGCCGGTCAGAACGCCATTGTAGCCATTGCATGCTACTCGGGATACAATCAGGAAGATTCGATGATTATGAATCAGTCATCAATTGACTCCGGGTTATTCAGATCGTTGTTTTTTAGATCATACATGGATCAAGAAAAACGTATCGGTATGTCTATCACCGAGTCTTTTGAGAAACCACAACGCACAAACACTTTGCGCATGAAACACGGGACATACGATAAACTAGACGATGACGGTTTGATAGCGCCGGGTGTCAGAGTGTCTGGAGATGATATGATCATAGGTAAAACCACACCTATTCCCCCAGATGCCGAGGAACTGGGTCAAAGAACCGCATTCCACTCTAAACGTGATGCTTCTACTCCTCTAAGAAGTACCGAAAATGGTATTGTTGATCAAGTATTGATCACAACTAATCAAGAGGGTTTGAAGTTCGTGAAAGTTAGGGTAAGAACTACCAAAGTACCACAAATCGGTGACAAATTTGCATCTCGTCACGGTCAAAAAGGTACCATCGGTATCACATATCGTAGAGAGGACATGCCTTTCACTGCAGAAGGTGTGGTTCCAGATTTGATCATCAACCCACACGCTATTCCTTCTCGTATGACTGTTGCTCACTTGATCGAGTGTTTGTTGAGTAAAGTCGCCGCGCTGTCAGGTAACGAAGGTGACGCCTCGCCATTTACTGACATTACAGTGGACGGTATTTCCAGGCTATTGCGTGAACATGGTTACCAGTCGCGTGGCTTCGAAGTCATGTACAATGGTCACACGGGAAAAAAACTCATGGCTCAGATATTTTTCGGTCCAACCTATTATCAGCGTTTGAGACATATGGTCGACGACAAAATCCACGCCAGAGCTCGTGGTCCTGTACAGGTCCTGACCAGACAACCTGTGGAAGGTAGATCCAGAGATGGTGGTTTGAGATTCGGAGAAATGGAACGTGACTGTATGATTGCACATGGTGCTGCATCTTTCCTAAAGGAAAGATTGATGGAGGCCTCTGATGCTTTCAGAGTTCACATCTGTGGTATATGTGGTCTGATGACAGTCATTGCGAAGTTAAAGCACAACCAGTTTGAGTGCAGAGGTTGCAAGAACAAAATTGACATCTATCAAATTCACATTCCATATGCCGCCAAGCTTCTGTTCCAGGAGCTGATGGCCATGAACATTGCACCACGTCTCTACACAGATAGATCAAGAGACTTTTGAAAAGTTTGTGGACCAACGTGGTAGCTTAGAAGATATCAATAGAAAAATTAAAAGGTAGTCTTGTATTATAATCATGAATTTTTTTTTCGATCCTTTAGAGATAGAAATCTCTGGTTCATAACAGCTTTCAGCTGTGCTGGTGGAGCTGTGGGATATCCTTCTCTTATCATCTTACCTATCTCAACTAGTGTAAACTGGTTAAGTTATGCTTTACTATATGCATGCTATTTACAAATTAAAACCTCTTGGTGACGGTTTATTCTAGCATCCTGTTCCCGTAGCTAGTTTGATTCCAAAAGCTTCCGTTTCTTCTCGATCTTGGGCAGCTGATCAACATAAGCTGTGATGTTCGAAACGTACGGATTTTCGCTACCGCTAAATAGCTTCAATCTCTCCAGTCTAGGTTTACGAAGCTTATTTTTTGGCAGCATCCCGCTGACCGCCTTTTTGAGTATTTCACCGTGGCCTTTGTTTTCCACCATTTTTCTCATCGTTATTAGTTTGAGATGGCCCGGTTTTTGAGAATGCGACCAGTACTTCTTTTGGTCAAACTTTTGACCTGTTACACGCAAAAACTGACAATTCGTAACCACCACGTAGTCTCCGCAGTCCTGTGTTGGGTGATACACCGGCTTGTGTTTTCCGATCAACGTCAATGCTATGGAACTGGCCAGTCTGCCCAAAGTTCTCTTTTCTTGGGCAACGTCGACGTGATGCCAAAGTCGCGCAAATGCCAGGCCTGTGTGTCCTAACTTCTGTGACATATTATTGTGTCTGTCCCACTGCTTTATGAAAGGTTTGTATTGAATCTAAAAGATCAAACGAACCTACCCTTCAAGTCTTTAAGTTTAGATGGTTTTTCTACAAATACTAGTTACGAGCATCTTTCAACTTTTAGAGTTCTTGAATTTTCAATATTATTCATATCCCTCTGTACGAAGGACCAAGTTGGAAAAGTTGATTAAATATTTCATATAATTGTCAAGTCACGTAGAAAGACTCTTGGATGATTGCAAGCCAAATAAAAGCACAGAAACCTGTCCAAAGCCGGATTGTTGTTGGAATTGAGTATTGTAATACTGTACCGTGGTTTTGCAATTGATTCCAGGCTTTTTTCAGTAACTTTCAGAGACTTTTTTGACCAAATATAAGGATGTTTTTCTTTAAAGATCTGTCGCTTAACATCACACTGCATCCATCCTTTTTTGGTCCGCAAATGAAACAGTATTTGCGTACTAAACTTCTGCAAGAGGTAGAGGGTACGTGTACCGGTAAATTCGGGTACATTTTGTGTGTTTTGGACTGCGAAAACGTTGAAATTGAGAGGGGTAGAATTTTGCCCGGAGATGGCTCTGCTGAGTTCACAGTAAAATACCGTGCAGTCGTGTGGAAGCCCTTCAAAGGTGAAGTGGTGGACGGTGTCGTTTCGAGCTGTACAAACCTGGGTTTTGAAGTGGACGTGGGGCCTCTTTCTGTGTTTGTATCGCCATTTTTGATGCCAGAAGACCTGGCCTACAACAGCGGTTCAAACCCGCCATCGTACCAGAGTTCAGAGCAAATTATCACCAAGGGCTCGAGGGTAAGACTGAAGGTAGTGGGTGCCAGAAGTGAGGTGAATTCGATTTATGCCATCGGAAGTATCAAAGAAGATTATTTGGGTGTTATATGAGACTTTTACAAAACTCCTGGACGTTCCATTGTATCATTATCGCATAAAAGGAAAGAAGAGGATGTGTCTGCTGCAGGTGCCGGAAGGTTACCATTGGTCGGCGCTGTTGTCACGAAATCTACGTGTATATTATTAACCGTATACTAAACAGGGACGGGGCATAGTTATTTTGCTAACGAACTGTAAAGGCTTTTTCATACGTGTTGATCAACTAGCTTATAGCCACAGGAAATGAAGTGAAAAGTTCAAAAAACGTTCAGGCCGAAAACATATTCTGCTCTTGCATACAGAAAGGCTACATTTGTTTCTGCAAGCGCAAGCTTTTTTTAATCACGAAATGGCCTCCGACGTCCTTCTCACCACTTCCGTCCTGCCATTGACCCTCATAATGGCCACTGGTAATTGCGTCGATAGCAACCTTTGACTTAGCCAGATAATAGACATCGTGCAGTTTGATCACGCAATTATGCCATGGGGTCGGAATATGCAGCAAATCTTCGAATGACGGCTCTTCTTGAGCGTCCAATGATTTAACAATCTGACACTGGTGCCTTGAGATGATTTTCACGCCAAATTTGGGGCCTGCGTTCGTGTGAGCATGGATAGAGAACCGCATGTGGTGTGGGAACAGCAATTCCACCAGGTTTGAGTAAGCATCGTTACGTTTTATCATCTCGAAAGCCACTTTGGAGACTACTTTCTTGAAACCTTTTCGAGAAGAGTTTTTGAAATGGCTCAAGTGAGAAAGGTCATCCATCATGAACTTCGAGAAGCCTCGAAATAAGTGCAGTCTGGGGTGGCCAGGTATCAAGATTTGCTGTCTCAATCTTCCATCATCAGTGTCAAAACCTTTCATTAGGATCCGTCTCGAAAGTTCTGAAACTTCACAAATTTTGGACCCAGTATAGTGCGGCAAGTCAATTTCGCTAACCATACTCTCGTCGAAACTTGTCATAGTGTTATCACCGAGAAATAATTCCTTCAAGCCGACAAAACCAATAGCATCAACCCCCGGGGTAGCCAAACTATTGTATAGCTCATGGAGTTTAGCCGTGTAAGCGTCTACAACGTCATCATCCACGCCGATACAGTCACTGAACACATGGCCGTCACTCACAATCCAAATTTTCATTCCGGGTGGGTAGAAGCTCTGGACTTCTCTGGTGGCTGCAATAAGACGCCTCAGGGCTAGTTCCTCGCCTTTATCTGGCACTGCACCATGAACTTTATCACTGTTCGACGACTTGCAAGGAAAGGCTGGTAAAATGCACTCAATCGTTAAATATCGGTCGGTGAAATACTTCACTCTTTCCAGAAAGTGTTCGCGGCCTCCTAATTCCCATTCGTCTTTTGATGTTGTGTTTTTCAAATTTTCCGCAAAATAGCTTGTGAAGAGTTCATCAAATGGCTTTCCGTTTTGACCACGAGGCTTTTCATCGGCTTCCATTCGAGCTTGTTCGAGTATGTGTCCAATAAGCCAGTCATTGAAATCATTCTCGTTCTCTAAAGTGGTAATTATACCGCGAATTTGGCTTTCTCCAGCTCGGTGAAATTCTGTCACTTTGATATCGGTGTTTGCGAGCTTGGTGAAGCTCTTTATTGCTGCATGATTGATGATTCGCTCTGTTAAACCAGCAGGTTCAACTGCACGTACCTCTGCCTGCCTCAGAAGTTCAATGAAATTATCCCATTTTTGAGAGAAGATGGCGTCTTGTTTGTCTCTTATTGAGTAGAGCTCAAAAGATTCCGCTTTACGCGTGTATATACAAAGGACTTTGCTGAAGGTCGACAAGTCTTTGCTGTCTTCTTCTATACCAATGCACTTGCGCAGACTTTCGTCGCTGGATTGCAGCATCGTGGAAGGAAGATGCTCTGTTAATGAAACTAAGAATGCAAAGCATGTTCTCAGAGCCGTCACACAAAGACCTGCTCCTTAAATAAGTTCGACAAATTCAATTGACCATGTTTCGCTCCTTAAACACGTTCTTTGAAGTATGGTAACCTCCAATTTAGGGAGCGTATCAATGTCTAGCCTTGGTTACAGCCGAGCAATTGAAGCTAACGCGTTGTATCGTATGTGACCCTTGCCATTACAGCTCTATCAAGGACCGAGAACCCTGAACTTTCCTGCCATAACCGCTCATCGCTAACCTGAGTCTTGGCATCTGTACTAAAATGGGAAGTTATCCGGAAGGTTGAAAGCTCGCTGGCCAGAATCATTTGCAAAGTATTCACTTGTCTCACCACTTTTCCAGGACGGGTCGAAGTAGCCGTGAGGTCTTTTCCAGGGTTCTATGCTGAGAGATATTTTTGATGTACCATTTAGAACGTTGACAATACTGTCAACGGTTTAATTCATGGTACTTTAAAGCGCTAAAAAAAGACTGCGCTACGTGAAACTTTTAACAGCATTCTGTCTTCAAGCTAGCGTCAATTCCCTTTTAGTTCAGCAATTTCGTAAAGTCCAGAGCATCGGTGAAACTTTGCGAATGTTACAATTGCAACGTCAGGTCTTGTAAGGTCACTAACGTCTGTTCACACACAGTATTTCAATCGATTCTAGAACTTTGCGCGAATGCCATCATGACGTTCCCACTAAACAATCATTGGCATGGAAAACGGATTCTAGTGTAAAAGTTTCGCCAAGCAGAACAAGAGAATTGACACCACATAAGCGAGGTGTCAATGCGAGCAGCGGTAACGATATAAGTTCCACAACACTTTAGAAGCGGTATCTGATCTCAACGACGACAAGGCGTGTAACGTTGTGTCGATATGGAGTGGAGCTCAATTTGCCTCGTATTGGGTATTTCCATACTCGCGGTGATAGTTAAGCTAGCTTTTCCCCCTTGGAATTACCCTAGAAACATCCCCACTATTCCCTTTTACGTTACTTTGTTACCGTCAATTTTTGACGTTGATCAGGAAGATGTTTTCGAGCTCTACCTTCGAAAACCGCTTGAAAAATACGGTGCAGTAAAACTGTTCTTTGGATCTCGATGGAACATCGTTGTTTCACGGCCAGAATTACTGGCGCAAGTTTTCAAGGATGAAGATACTTTTGCAAAAAGCGGAAATCACATAAAGATTCCATATGGTGTCATTTCGGCATATACCGGGGAGAACGTTATTTCTGCTCATGGTGCAATATGGAAACGTTTTCGAAAGGCAATAACACCAGGGCTCCAATTTTTTGACCATAGGCCTCTCGTTAAAAATGCAAGTCGCTTCTGTGGGCTTATCGAGACGCAATTGATGAAATGTGAAAAGATGGCGCCAGCAACAGGAGACGGCGACAATTCTCGCAGTTCAGGAAGCGCAGAATTTGAAGTCGCGATGCCGGAGCTCATTCAAAGGCTTAGCCTAGCAAATATTTCCGAAGTCGCCCTTGGCATTGATATTGGGACATTGACCAGAGAAAACTCTCAGCTCCATGTAAAATTGAAGAACGTGAAGAGCAACATTTTCAAACCATTATACTTGAACTTTCCCATGCTGGACCGGCTTCCAATTCCTTCGCGACAGCGAGCTAGGGAGTATGTTGAGGATTTTAGGAGATGTTTGGTTAAAGCTGTTCGGGACAGCATGATTGACAATTATACTTTTGAACAAACCAAATTTGCGTCCTCAGATCTAATTCGCAGTTTCAACCGCGGTGAAATTTCTGAAAAGCAACTGATCGACAACCTGGTCATCATCGTTGTTGCTGGTCACGAAAACCCGCAACTGCTTCTTACAACATGTTTCTACATGTTTGGGAAACATGCAAATTGGCAGGAATCAGTGCGAGCTGAAGTGCAAGAGTGTGGGGATAAAAGTCTCGATGAGCTGCCTCTGCTGAACAGCTTCATTTTTGAATGCATAAGGCTTTATCCACCTTTGTCCCAAATCATCAATCGGTGCACTACCAAAAAATGTATGCTTGGAAAAGATGTAGTCATACCTAAAGGGGCATATGTCGGTTACAATAACATCTCAACTGGAAGATATGTTGCTGCGTGGGGCGAGACAGCGAACAAATTTTTGCCGGAACGCTGGGGAGACAACATCACGGACATCATGAGCGAATGGAGGCATAGGAAGAACACCAGCGCTATGAGCGCCTTCCATGGTGGCAGGCGTGCCTGCTTAGGAGAGAAACTGGCGTTGATGGAAGTGCGCATAACGATGGCTACCGTACTCAAAACGTTTGAGTGGAGCTTGTCACCAAACTGGGTTGACAAAGTTACGCCTGCAGGTCCTTTGTGTCCAGCAGGTTTGAAATTATGTTTTACCAGAATTGAAGAGATCGAACAAAGCGAGCGTGTCAGTGAGAGAGCATCAATTCAAAGCTGTCCTAAATGGTGGCATTCTGCGCGGCCAATCCAAGCGCCAAATCGACTTGATGCCAGAAAAAAGACATGTTGAGATTGAACCCCACTATGGATCCATTGGTGCTATTTTTCTGATACTCTTTAAGCACTCTAGTTTGGCCCAAATTGGGACTATTTTCATGCTCAACGGCATGTAGTTGTAAGCGTTTATACTCAAAAGCTATTGTTTCAGGTTTCTCGAGTCCATAAAATTCCAGCAGTGGAATCAGTGCTAAAGGATCGTGTACTGGAGGACCAGCTTCGAAGCCCTGGGCGTGTTCGTAGCTGTGTCCAAAGAACAGAAAAAGTTCGTAGAACAGTTTTCTAAGGTTCGATGCACCATCTGAAAGAACCATACGTTCAATTTCTTTGGTAGCAATTGCCTTGTGAGTAAGATCCACTGGTACCAAGATAAACTTGGAACTAAGTATGTCATCATCGAGTATCGAATTAGCAGCGTGAGGGTCTATCCATATATTAAATTCTGCAGTTTCGTTTTCATTTCTATTCCCCTCATTGATGCCTCCACCCATGGCACTGATGAACTTGACCAAGGGCTTCAAGTGAGGTCTTTCCTTGAACAACGTTGCCACCGAAGTCAGTGATCCCGTAGACACAATAGAAATGGTTCCTGGGTATGCATTGATTGCGTTGGACATCGCATCGAGGTAGCTTTGATCCGTGCAAAGCTGTGCTTTGGGTACAGGTAGCAGTGAGGTGCCATCTAGACCAGAGTGGCCATGAATATCTGGGGCATAAATAGCCTTACGAGACCATGGTTTTTGGGCCCCAGCATAAACAGGAATCTGGTCATATTTGCCCATTGCGGTGACTAGTGACAAAGCGTTGTAAGCGGTTTTTTCTGCTGGGGCATTGCCGTAAGACGCACTTATTCCTAGCAAATGGAATTGGGGAAGGAAGCACGAAAGTAAAATGGCTACAGCGTCATCGTGGCCCGGATCGCAATCTAGCCAAATTGGAATTCGTGAGTTGGAAGAGTCTTTAGAGTCCGCAGTCATGCCTTTTTGGAGGGAATGATACAAGAAGTTGCGTGGAGGTTTGATCCTGCGAATCCAGGTTGGTTGTAGTTGTTTTCAGAAACTGAATCTCAACCTTGAACGAGTCTTTAGGATCTTAGGCGTTTTTGGTGATGATATGGCCGAATTATTATCTTGGCATATTTATTTGACATTTAATTGATTTCTCGAACAGTGTCAGCGAAGCAAGAGCAGCATCAAAATCAGATGGCGAGCTTAAAGCCAAATAGCAGGGAAACTGCAGCTGAGAAGAATTAGCGTGGTTGGGATTCGTACTAAGGAGTTTCTAGCAGCTTGCCAGTGATGTCGGTAGTTATTTGACCGTGACATAGGGATGACAGGATAATAAAAAGTGATAGTTCGGCGATGGCGAGTGAACATAGGTAGGCTGTGTGGAAAACACCTGGTAACGAAGAGTTTGTGTCAGCAGTGACCGAGAAGTCTGTTTTTCATGTTAATTTCGAGATGGAAATTACCCTCGTGTGAAACTGAACTGAAGATATCTCTGGGAGTGAAATAATTGACAACGCTAAAGGTAACTGATTGAGTTGGGGAGAATTGCGGTAAAAAGATAATCGACTTGATAAGTATTACTGTGGGGGATATTGCCAGGGCTACCTTGTAATCATGTTAGCTGATTGGTAAGGATGTAGTGACATGGGAAATTTTGGTTCTCTAATTTCTTTGATACTGTCGCAGCAAGTAACGTAACACGTGACACCATCATTGACCTTGTAGTAAATCTGACGTCCGGAACGCTGTCACCTTGAGTCTCGTGATTGGTTCAATTCCACACACGATCAATCAAGAGCCCAAAAACTGATCCTTTCGTCTCCAAATTCGAAAAAAAAAACTGAAAGATCGAGAGAACGCGGTCAAACAAGCTCGAACAAACGGGAGTGATGGGCCAAATAGAAACTTGTTTCGTATATAGTGATAGGCCCTTACTCAACAGTAATATAGAAACTTATGAAGTGAAGTGTGGGATAGGGTGCGGAATTAGAGGTAACGACTGACGGAAATGAAATGTATCGAAAAGAAACATTTCAGTGTAGCGGAACCTGACGAGTTCTCCGGAGCTGGTTATCACTAAAGACGATAGCGCTACACGAAATAGCAGCACAATGTATTAAGTAAGCAATTAATTGAGCATCACGTGACTATTCATCTCTTTAGATCTTTTACCTACCGTGGCCATTTTCTTTAGGACTCTCTCTCAACGCTCAACGTCATGTCTATCTACTGCCACACTTCTAATGACAAATATTACTCAGTAGAGTGCGATACACGGAAGCTCAGACGAGAAGTTTGGCGCCGTCACTTTAAAACCCTCGTCCCTCGTGCCCTTCCCTAAAAAAATCCCACACCCACACACCACACCACACTCTTTTGCAAGAACTACACCTCCCGCTTTCCGCACCGCATAAACCCGCGTTCCTCCTGCTCCCCTATAACGTGATTCCCCAAAATTGACGTCACTACGTACGCAAAGCAAACTGTGGATTGCTTCTCTCTGCATCTCTCTGCTGCATCTCTCTGCTGCTTTCTCTACGACCCTGTGGTGATTCTCCTGTTGCGCCAAGACTCATCCCGCTTACGCTACCACGCCGTGCGAAACGTCATTTATATTACTAACGTCTTGACCCAGCAGGCTATAAGAAACAGGCTTTTCACGCTGATCGAAGGTTTGTGATACTATGTACTAGCGGCTATATAAAAAGCAAGGTCTTCCACAAGCCATAATAACAAGGCCCAATCAATAACATCAAACAAAACTCATTGCGTTAAGTTGAATCAAATAACAACGCTCATTGTAACTGTTCATCTGTACCGTACCCTTTTCACATCATCATACGCACCTACACACCCACACACACACTCTGTCTCTCTCTTATGTCCGAATCTATGTCTTCTGAGTCATCACCGGAAAAACCCAACCAGGATCCGGAACAATTGACCACGATCGCAGGGAATAACCCCAAGGCCGATAACAACGTTGTTGATGTTCCGGATGGCGGATTTGGCTGGTTTGTGGTAGCGGCATATTTCCTCTACAATTTTTCGCAGTGGGGCGCCAATGCCGGTTATGCGGTGTATCTGGCGGAGTACCTTAGTACGAACGAGTTTTCCAACGCCAGCGCTTTGGACTACGCGGCTATTGGCGGGCTGGCATTTGGAACGGGTCTGTTTTTCGGGCCCCTTATAGCGTGGCTAGTGCATCGCACCAATGCGCAAGTGGTTATCGCCGTCGGGCTTGTGCTGCAGTGCGCTTCGCTGTTACTTGCCGCTTTTTCCAAGCGTTTGTGGGAGCTGTACATGACGCAGGGCGTGATGATCTCTTTCGGACTGGCGTTTATCTGCATCCCAAGCATGACGCTGCTGCCACAGTGGTTCCGCAGACGTCGTAACGTTGCTATAGGGATCGGCGCTGCGGGCTCCGGCATGGGCGGCGTGGTCTTCAATCTGGGCATGCAGAAGATCATGCAAGAGCGGTCAGTCAAATACGCGCTAATCACACAGTGCGTCATCTGTACGTTTCTGAACGTCGTTGCTCTGGCAATGACACGCACGCGCGTCAAAGAAATCCGCAATGCTCAGATTGCCGCGAACCGCACTCCAACGCCATACCGCATATTCGACCTGCAGGTGCTGCAGAGCGTGGGATACTGGCTGTTTGTTATGTATGTGCTCTGCACGATGCTTGGATACGTGGTGTTGCTGTATTCCCTTTCCGCCTTCACGGTGTCACTAGGATACTCGCGATATCAGGGCGGCATAGTTTCGTCAATGGTGAGCGTGGGCGCGTTTTTCGGACGTCCAGCAATGGGACTCATTGCAGACGCGTTTGGGCCTGTGACGACCAGTATAGTTGCGCATTTGATTGTGACAGTGTTTTCGCTGGCAATGTGGATACCATGTCAGAATTTCGCGACCGCTTTGGTATTCGGATTGATCGTGGGCCTATTCATGGGCACTATCTGGTCTGTAATGGCGCCGATCGCAACTCGGGTTGTAGGGCTTCATAAGCTGAGCGTTTGTCTGGGTATGATCTGGATCTATTTGAGCGCCGGAAGTTTGACGGCTCCGATCATCGGACTTGAACTTCGAGTGCCCTCAGACAAGATCGCAGATTTGCCTGCCGGGCTAAATGGCTATTATAAGACCGCGATTTTCGCCGGAATGATGTATTTTGGATCTGTTATTGCACTGTGGCTTCTGCGCGGCCTTTTGGCCGCGCGAGACCAGGTGGCCGTAGCCGCCGAAACCGGGTTCGACGACGGCGAATTGCACTTGAAGGTGAGCACGGGCGAATGGGCGCGGGGACTATTCAAAGTGCGGGGTCTGCCCCGTCGGATTTGATGAGGGGTAAGGGGGTGAACAGGGAGTAAAAAATAATTGTATAAAAGGCGAGGGTTTCGGGGTGGTACAGTCTCGTTTGGCTTAAAAGACAAAGGGTTGCATAGACAGACATGTATAGTAATAATTTAGGGTAGATAGATAGAGAGATAGATGAAGGAGGAGGAGAAGGAGGAGAAGGTCAATCTGGTGTATGAATTACATATAAACAGTGTTCTTTTATTTTAGAGGAAACGAGATCTACGTGAAAGCCAGTCACAACGTATAAATTGCATTCACGTGACCGCGAAGTGGTTATAGGTTTCCAACGACGGGGTTCAATTTTGGGTGTCAGATGCAACAAATAACCGCACAGGATCAGTTTAGCGGGCTAACGCACAGTAGCACAGCTACCTACCGGAATATCTCGCTATCATTAGCCCAACCGGAGCATAACCATCGTCTGTAGCCACAACCGCGGAAGAAGAAACTTTATTAATTAGGCATTGACAAACAGCCCCCACCCAATGAACCTCACCCTGAAGCAGTTCTACATGAAAGACCTCTTAATGGGCTCAGCATTGAGGTCGCTCGATATACATTTTGTGCTTGTAAAATTCACGACCGGACAAAGTGCCGGCTCCCAAATTACACTTTACAATGCTCTTTGATATCAACAGCATAGCCCTATGTTTGTGATACGCCGAAAACTGCGAATGGCAAGTAGCAACGAATACGGCTTCAAACAAATGGTTCGGTCCATATTCCACAAAGTATGACATTTTCATTTACATTGCCGCACACTCGACACCAAACTCTCTGTCAAGAAAATCCGGACAAGAGCTATATCACGCTCTCATTTCAAATATAATACGCCTAGCCCTGCTTCAGCAAAGCAAATCAACATAATCGAAGCTCAAGATGCAATTTAAAAGTCTGTTTACCTTTGAAACTACCAATGAAATAATCACTATACCAGCTTTGCAACCACCGTTGCCTGCTTTACCCACGCATATCGCCTCAAGTCCCACTTAATCCAAAAAAACATCGTTGCCCTGTTCCACAGCGTTGCGTGTGTGACTTACAATGTCCGTGGACTCCCATGGGTAAGCATACCATTTGTCAGGAACTTTACGGGCTGCGATATAACGCAGCTCGTTGTTGAGTATATCTTCAGGCAAGTCTGCTTTCTTGGGCTTGAGTTTGTCATGGAGCACAAATATGCCAAAATTGGTCTTCATCTCTGGATGTTGTTGCAAATCAATGCCTTTGGCACGAGCCTGGTCCGCAGCATCTTTTTCCAGCTCGCTCAAAGCATAGTGCAGCGTTGTACGTGTATCGTCAACTTCGTCGACAATCAAAACGTTTTTGCCTACAAGATCCAATTTGCACTGCTCATAATCGATCCACTGCGTTCTTTGCACGGCTACCCCAGGTTTTTCCTCTGCCGAACCTACAGACTGCAAATCCTCATACAATGATAAAATAATGGCAAAAATGCGTACTGTGGGTACATTAGGTTCTTTCAAGAAAGTACGCAAGATTCTTGCCGGAATGAATCCACCTCCGCCAATGGCAATGATCAAGTCAGGTTTGAATTGCTTGATTTTTGTCGATGCTTCTTGGCACAACTGATGCACGTTGTTATAGGAGATGTACTGTTTATCCATTTTTGAAAGATGAGATCTGAGGACCGATTTTTTCGGTCAAAGTATAGCACTCGCTGTTCGAGAGAACTGTGACAACAAAATCGTCCATCTCGAAACCAGTTTCGCTTCAAAACTTCTAGAAGTCTTCTCCTCGAATTTTTCGATGCCTTTAAATAGTCCTGAGATTTTCAAATTGGCCAATTTCCAAATAATTAATTAAGTGCGGAGCCTCCGGCCGGAAGCACCGGAGGAGAGTCAAATATCAATGGCTTAAATACTACTTTCTATACTAATGGATGATAATGAGTATAATGTTATACTATACCGTACTTTAAATTACAATGATGCAGTAAGGGAAAAGGCCTGGATATCTGTCATCAATCGACTTCGACGTCACTGTATCCTTCTTCAATTTCTGGTTTCAGGCCTGAATCGTTTATAAAATCTTGTTCCTCAGATTGGGCCGGTAGTGAAGATACCGATCCTGCGTCGTCGTCTTCGCCGTCACTGCCATCAGCGTCGCTGTCGTAATCCATTTCTCCATCTTCTATCAGGCCTGCGTCATCTAGCTCTTCGTTGTATTCAACATCGTTTTCGTCGTCCGACACTTGGCTCCTCTTTTCACCGATTTCAAGTTCTTCGCTCGAGATAGCGTTGCGAGCCCGGTATGCGTCGAGCTGGTTCAGTGAAAACTCAAGACGCGACTCTAAAGCTTGCAAACGAGGCAGTAGTTCAGCCCGCTTCCGCAGCGTTGCGTGCAAAGAGGCCAGACTGGACGTCAGGTTTGGCATCCGGGCCAAATACCCACCGTGAATAATCAAACACCACTTTACCCATACATTCAACGGACCCTGGCGATTGCTTTGTCTGGCTATACGCTCCGCAAGTCTTTCAAGCAAAAGCACCGCAAGCGAGGGTTGCAAGCGGCCAATGGTTCCTTTAATAATTTTCTCGTCACGGTTATTAAGCACCGTCTCCAGCAAACTATGATCATGCGATTTCAGAGCTTGAGATAGTACCACTGTGAGCGTACCTGTCGTAGCACGTTTCTTGGATTTCTTAGAGCCGGAATGCTCTGGTCCCATGGAAGATTGTGCCAATTTATCAGCAAGCGACTCTTCGAAATCAGCATCGCTTCTTTCAAGCTCTGATATGGCTTCTTTGACGTGCTTGAAGTTGTCACCGGATGTGACAGTCGCGTTGCCCTCGACGTATGATTTGGGTGCGGCTTGATCTTGACCGTGTAGAGATCTATGCACATTTTTGGATCCTGCAGAAGGACGAGATTTGGTTATGACACATGAAGCGGGTAGTTCACGCCATTGTTTTTGATCACAGTAGGGAACGGTAGCGTTTTCGAGCCACGCAAAATTAATGATGTCTGCAGTAACGGAGACGTTCACTACCGGCACAGCTTCTTCGTTTACAGGCCTCTGTACTTTGAAGCGATGTGCCGATTGCTTCGAGACCACCCGGCGTCTTTTATTGCTGGTAGAGACAAGTGGGTCTGGGAAGATTTCCACAGACCCATCTTCCAAAGCTACTGCTATGACTAGGTCTCCGTAATGAGCCACCTGGATAACATCCGACTGTGATACCAATACAGACGTGGTACCACCACTTGAGAGATCGTAGAGATTTAGAAATCTGTCATTGGATGCACTGGTTAAAAACGTATTGGTGTTCACCATTTTGATATTTGTGACGGCAGTTATATGGCCAGGGTATGTTCTTTCCACTGTGCGGGTGGCAATTTGCACTAGAGAAACTGAATGGGATGCCAGAAGGATGCGATCAGCGTCCACGATGCATATTTTTTGAAGGTCTTCACAACCTTCAACTTTGAATTTGTCGTCCAATGCAAAATCAGTCATTCTGAACCGATAAATGGTATCTTTGCGGTCGCAACACCACGCAATGTCTCCTTGAACTTTAAAATCATGAATCGCATCGGCGTTGCCAGTGGACAATTTGTAGACTATTTGATTAGCTGCAGGCGCATAGATCCAGATTTCGCCCGAATTAAGACCAACGGCAACCATTTGAGAGTCTCCAGAAGTTAGTGTGACCCATTCCAGACACGTTACTCGCAAATTGGAGTCCTCCAAATACAGAAAATTCTCATTGACCAATCCATCAGCTTTGGACGACGGTTTCGTTGGTTCTACCGAGATCCTTTGTTTATCCAAAGCCACCGTAACATAAGCCAAATACTGACCGCTCGGATCGTATTGGGAGAGTACTACTGGCGAGCTAGCCATGGTGTGTTACTGCTGTTGAGGTGGTGAGAGGGTTGTGAAGTACTGGAGCAGCTAGCTCATCGCATGGTTATATTATATTAGACGCCTATTTTAAAATTTTACCAGAAGAGATGGTCGTGAGAAATGATCTGTGGTGTTCAAAGAGAAAATCGACCTCAGAGCCAACGACAAAGGGTAAAATGTATCAATGTTAAGCCAAGAGAAAACTTCTGTAAAGAATGTGTTAATTATCGATGAGGTCTTACGGGGTTTTTGTTTTGAAACAGAAATTTTGCAGGATCACGTGATTACAGACTTCTGTAACGACGACATGAAAGAATAGAGTGATCTGACGAAGATGTTTTGAAATAAAGATGTGTTTTTCTGTTCTTTTCTGGTGCTACTCAAACGGGGTAATTCTTGAAACTTTTCTCATTGAATATGTCTACACTTCATCAAACGTATTAATTGTTGAGCAAAAGACTCAGCTTAAAGAGTTCTTCTCTCTAACTTCTGCTTGGGGTCACGTGGCTAGCTCTCTTTTTCAAAGATGATAGCGACACTAAAGTATAAAGTGTTCGATTCCCAGGAATTCACCGCAAATACGTTTCTTGATTTTGATGCTTTATAAATACGGTCAAGACACTCATCATTTGCTGCACACTCTCTGTCCTTGTTATAGTGATTTCTCGCTTCTTTGGCTCCAAAGAGTGTTCGCACGTGACTAAACATCAACTAACAATTCACGTGCTCCATCGTTGAAAGTCCAGCGTCAATGACACGAGAGGATGAGATGATCTCGCCTTTCGAGTTTTGGCCTAACAAGTGGATGTTTTCCACACGGGCTAAATTATCATAAGGTCTCATTCAGCTGGAATGCAGCTTGTCTGACGATTCCCTTTGGAAAGTCCTTACAAATAAGGCTGCTTATACGTATCACATGCCCAAAAGTTTATAACGCAAAAAGGATAACGTATTCTGGAAGGAAGGGGGTTATTGAATTTGAAACACTTACTTCTCTTGCTGCCCAAGGCTCGTCTTTCCTTTCTGTTTTTAACAGAAGTCACGTGAAAGTGGTATTTACATAGCCTAGCCCCAATCATCAACAGGACTAAAGTGACTCTCTCTTGAATTAGTTGTTGTAAAGGCAAATGACCAGGCCACAATTTGAAAAGAAAGGATTGACTGCGGTTGACACTTGGATTACCAGAATTTTGACAGAAACGGTTATCATAAAGAATGTTCGTGCATGATGATATACTTCCCGATCTCGACTAGATACATCGACTTCTTGTTTTTTGAAGATGACACTTTGGTTTGCCAAAACAATTCCGATGGTGTACCATATCACACCGAGCTGGTCTTGAAACTAGAACCAAAGAAGTTTTTACTTTGCGATCTGCTTAAACGGAAATGTTCATATTTGAAACGTTGGTCACTATCTACGCCTAAGAGCATGGAAAGAAATTTACAGATTTATATCTCAACCTGGAGACCATAAAAAAAGGGCAACGATAAACGGACAAATATAAATAGTATCACATAGGACATGTCACCGACTACCTCTTGTCAAACTGAACTTCTTGTCTTCCATTGATCACACATATTAGAAAACCGTACAGATCACGTGTACATCTTGCCTCTCAGCGACACCAAAAACCAAAGTGATATGGAAGGACAATGTAAAATTCTTGTTTTCTTGCATTTCAACCTGTTCTCCATTCAGAAGCCTACATATGAAACAACTATCCCAATGGGACGCACCTCCCACGCCGGCTCTTTTTCTCTGCTATTGTTCCTTTTCCAAAGTGTATCACATTATACGAAAACAACAGAAAAAAGGCGACATGGTTCAATTCAAAAGTAAACTCAAACTAACAGCAACACTCTACTCACTTGTTTCTTCTCGCCTCTTCCCCATTATAACTCTACTTGCTTTCTACTTTCCCGCTCTATTTTCACCGTTGCACATTGAGAAAAACATCTACATACAAAAACGTGACCTGTATTTAAAGAAGGGCATCGCCAACAACCCACTATATAAGGCGTGCCAGGATATTTTTTCAGAACGGGCTTCTCCCCATATATAAAAGGAAAAAAAATAGAGGATGGGATATACCAAGGCATTAGATTCCAGCAAGTTTTGAACCAAGTATCGTTAGAGACTGACACCCATCGTTGTACTTGGTCTTTTTTTTCCCGGGTTCGATTTGGTTTAGTTTGAGTTTTTTCGATTTGAGCTGCTCAATATGGGCGAACAGGAAGATATATCACTGCCCAAGGCAACGGTGCAAAAGATAATTTCTGAAGCGTTGGAAAGCGACCTGACGTTCAGTAAAGAAGCTAGGGAGATCATTATTGAATCTGGAATTGAATTCATCATGATTTTGTCGTCTATGGCATCAGAAATGGCCGATAAAGAAGCCAAAAAGACGATCGCTCCGGACCACGTGATCAAGGCACTAGAAGAGCTCGAGTACCATGAGTTCATACCATATCTGGAGCAGATACTGGTAGAGCACAGGGAAACGCAAAGGATCAAAGAGCGTAGAGATGCCAAATTCAAGAAATCGGGACTGTCCGAAGAAGAGCTCCTTCGACAACAAGAGGAGCTATTCCGGCAGTCGCGCACTCGTTTCCAGCAAACGTCCACATCGGGTGAGCCAATCGGCGAGCACGAAGGTGAACCGGAAGGCGAAGACGCTGCAACTAACGAGCTGTCTCCTTCGGCATCCGTAAAGACCGAAGAATAGCTTTGCATGAAACTTTAAAATCCCAAAACTAAAGGCCCAAGAATTCAGAATGTAATGTCACTTAAAAAAAATTAAGGCCACTGCGTCTTAGCTGAAATGTATCAATAGTTATTTGTATGATAAGAGCTCTCTCTGTCTCTCTCCCTCTCTCTCTCTCTCCGCCCAGAAATCCAAGAAAATCATCCCATTGCTTGTTGCTTCTCCTGACCAAGCTCTCTAAATTAATGTTATTATAGTTCTTGTTGTCTCCTACATGCCAAGTCTTAGATTTATCACACAATGATTTGTCTGCCAATCAACACCACAAATCCTTCTGTATGTTGATCAATAACCCTGTTTCGGGCCGATCCCATCCAGAATTCAATTCTGCGCTACAAACTCCAAAATCGTCTTCAAAGTGTCCATTTTATCTTCCGAAAGCGACCCCATAATTTGCTGATATAGTCCGGGATTTGACGTCTGCAATTGTGAAAATAAGTTATGCACCTGCTGGAAACAATTTATGTCATCCAGACAGGATTCTTTGAAATCGTCCTCCACTTCATCAAAAAATTCCGTGCCATCGTCCTGGAACGAGGCCTCGCCAAGTTCTCCCTTCGAAAGCGCATCTCTCTTCCTGATGGCCTCTGGAAGCGCTGCAGTAAGCTCTATCAGCTTATCCGAGAGCTGAGGGATAAATCCGCTCACGCAGCTGGGTAGTTCTGGGAGTCCCAATAGCGAAATAATAGCAACCAGTTGCAGCTTGATGGTAAGAACACTGTTGAATTTACACGAGAACCACTTACGGAGCATCTCAAGCGTCACTCCCTTGTCCTCGCATATTTGCAAAGTCTCTACCGGTCTAACAAACAGACCCGCCAGAAATACTTTCACATAAGTAAACTCTTCCACTTCCAAATCATCGTTATCTTCATTAGCCAGCTTCAATGCCTTGTCAATGAGAGGAATGTCTTTCATGGATAGAATGTAGAACAACAAAATGTCGAGGGCACTTTCAACATCGAAGTCTACGCCGCTATCCATCGCATGCGAGAGAATCTCGAGAAATGGTGGTACGTAGGTCTGATCGGTTGGAAAGCCGTACGTCACAATAGTCTCGAAGAAAACCTGGAAGCTTTCAAAATATTCCAAAGCGTACGTCTGACATGAATCTATCACATCGTGCAGTAGCTCCCAAACTTCGGGCGAAAAACTATTGAACATGGCTTTCGACGACAAAGCAAGCGAATCCATAAGGTCAACAGCTTCGCTCAAAAATGTTATTTGAGCGTTCACGATAATAAATTTCACCACCGGCATAAACTTGTCAATCAGCGAGACTTTATTCATAGACATGACCATCGTTGTCATTGTTTGAAGAAGCGCGCTGGCTTGTATTTCTTGGTCTTGATCGGCGGTTGAGTAGCTACCACTTGAATTCTCCACAATCGACTGTCCCAACGTAATAAATTGTTCTGCCAAGCTTGCCGCCAAGTCCTTGGCAAATGGTGATAATTCATCCGCAAACCTTTCGACAAATGCTTCCATAACTTCAGACAAAAGATCGATTTCGAAATCCTTTGACAGCTTCAATAGTTTTTCCATAAGACCCGGAACTTGTGACGAAATGTGTGGATGAATTGTTGGGTTCGACACAATGAGGGTCTTCAAAGCATCGGCTGCTTCCACCTGTATAGGAAGCTGGTCAGAGTTCATGAAGTTGATGTAAACCGCCTCATAAATCTGAGAGAGAACGTTCATATCATGAAACTGCTGTTGATGAATAGCTATAGTCTCTAGAGCCCTTGCTATCAGGAATGGGTATTTGTCTTGCTTCAATAGAGGAGTAATGAAATGTTCAAAGATGCCCTCAAGCTCATTTTTAACTGGAGAATTCTTTTCGGCGAGAAAGCTGCATAGCGAGCTCAGTAGCCTCAAAGCACCTTCTTCTTGATATGCACTTGCCAAATCGCCTCTCGATGCAAAGTCGTTGAAAACCTTATTGATGAGAGGTAAAACTTTGGTGACTTCATCGAATCTTCTGTGTCCAACAACGAAAATGAAATCTGTAGAGGCGACATCTGCAGTCGTGCCTTCTTTGTTGACGTCGAAATAGCGACGAGTATATTCTTCAGGATCGTCTTCAAAAAGCGCGACACTATCTTCGTTGGCTGACAGACATGGGAATATCACATATGTGATGATGGACTCCAAATGAGGCTTGATCATGGACCACAGCGAATCGGTTGTCATGCACTTCTCTAGAAACTCGATCATGTAATAGAGAGACGCATCGCTGAGCCACAAAGAACCAGCTCCCCAAAGTTCTATGATTTTGAAGTATTCCGTCAGGATGGTTGGTACAACTTGGTCAAAAACGTACTTCACGTAGTCCTGGGTGATAGTCTTCGTGGACCTGCTGTATTTTATCAAAAATCTAGACAGATTTCCGAATGCCCATTTGTTACATTTGACCCTCTTGTCCAAAGATCTGTCGGCGGGTTCCAAGTCCAATACTTCTTTTGGAAGGGGCTTCGAACACAGAAATAGATGCAGTTGGACCCAGGACTGCAATTTCTCAACGTTACCAAAGTAACGAGGGAAATTGTTGAGACAGGAGTATTTGAAGCATTTGAGAACCAGATAGAGCAGCTCGTTAGACTTGTAATCAGTTTCGTTCACGAGCTGTGCAGAAATAGTCTCGATGCATGGGAAAACGGTCTCCACAACGCTGTCGATGTATTGCCTGTTCTCTGGCATATCCCAGCGGTGCTTGATGCAGACTTCAAACAGCAGGAGTAATCCTGGATATACGAGCTCCGGTTTGTTGCTCGACAACAGCTCTTGGATGGCACCACTCAAATCCCATTGGTCGCTATGGTCCAGAATGCCACGCACAGATTCCGTTAAATAGGGTCTGATCTGCATGTTTTCGGCGTGCACAATCACGTTTTGAACAAGAGCTTCTTTTATCGCATTCTGCTCCTGTGGGACAATGGCATCTTCGCGTTTACTGCTCCAGCACCGCTGAATCTTGTTTTTCATGTAGATGGCGCACGAAATTCGCACGTTTAAGGGGACCGAAGCGTCCGTGGCCGCACTCAGCAGAAATGACGTGAAACCAGGCTCTTTTTGCATATGATAAAGCTCTTGTTCGGCTTGTTTGATTATTCGAGCATCTGCAGCCATTGTGCGGCTAAAAGCCTCCAAAACGGCGCCTTGATCCAGCATTTTCGCGAGATTCTAAAAATTCGGTGGTTCTGTAAATAGTTTCCCGCTGAAAGAGACCAGTTGTGCGGTTATTTCGACTTAGTTTTATACTCGTTTTCTCTTTTATAGTTCGTTATTACGGGTTTAAAGTTACATCAAAGCTCTTGATTTTTTAAAGGCGGTTCAAAAATTTTTCGAAATTATTCAAAATTCAATTTCGGGGTCACATGACTGGTGAAATTAAAAATTCGGACTGACTTCACCAGAACGTCAATTTGAGCTAAGCTATTATGACGAATATATCAATGATGTCAAATGAAAAACTCAAAAACTATATATAAACAGCGAGTACGATAGACTCAGTCACATTGAGGTCTTGAAACTTGTAGAGTCGGTATGCCACGGTCGAATTGAACCATCTAGCAATTTTCAGCATAAAATTTGAACCATTACAACTGTTTTTATCTCGATTTTTAGCTTAGCGATGGATCTTAGATTAGTACACATTCTGGGGTATTTGGCAGGCCTCTTCTTTGCCTTAGAACCCTCATATATCCACCCAGATGAGCATTTCCAGAGTCTGGAAATTTTGGCGCATAGATTTTATGGATCCCACGGCACTGTACCGTGGGAATTCGACGCTACTAACGCGGCACGCAGTTTTGGACCGCTTTACTTGGCTTACGGTCCAATGTTTTACATTTTTGGGAAGTTCGGTCACCAGCTGCCTCCCATAACCCTGCTTTACCTCGTACGCTTGCAAAACTATGTCGTCTTTACGTGCATCTACAAATTGGCACTCCAGTTCCTGCTTCGATCGAAACTCGACCGTGCTAAAGCCACTTTTTACATTTCCACTTCTTACGTGACATGGACGTACCAGAGCCACTCATTTTCCAACTCGCTCGAAACTTGCGCGTTGTTGATAACACTATCACTGTTCCAGGTCTTAATTCTCGACGCAAGGGTTGCCCGTTACAACCACTACCGTACTTCTGCTCTCCTTGGCATGGCTATAGCTTTTGGTGTTTTCAACCGCATCACGTTCATCGGCTTCATCGCCCTGCCAGCAATACCCACTTTGCAGAATTTTTATCTGGGGCATATCAAATCGTTCTTCATTTGCGTCACTACTTTCATATTATCGTGCTGTGCATTCATTTATTTTGACACCATTATGTTCCAATCGCCAGATTGGTGCATAGCGCCTTTAAACAACTTGCTGTACAATCTAAAGAGCTCCAACCTGGCTCAACATGGTGTTCATCCTCGTTACACGCACCTTTTGATTAACACCCCGCAAATGTTGGGCCCGCTCATGGTCTACTTCCTCTCCAAAAAACAGAGAATGAATCTGGCAATGCTCTCGTGCATTTCTGGCCTTGTCTTCCTCTCGGCATTTCAGCACCAAGAGCTGCGGTTTTTAGTACCACTAATGCCCTTGTTTTGTGCCTCCATCAATCTCTCCAATTACAATTCAGCAAAGCGAAATAAGTATATCACCCGTATCTGGCTTGTGTTCAACGTTGCTTTGGGCATACTTATGGGTTCTTTGCATCAGAGGGGCGTTATAACCGCCATTGGTGAAAGTACTAAAAACAATGCTAACATTGGAGTTCATCTATGGTGGAAAACTTACTCTCCTCCAACTTGGTTGTATTCAAATCAGGAACTTGTGGTGTCTGTTCCAAACATTCAAAATGGAGAAGAGAGGCTCGACAACTTGAATGTTCAAATCGTTACCGACCACGTTGTAGACTTGAAAGGGTGTGAGTATGACCTTTTCGAAAGTGCCGTCTACGGCTTTCTCCAGCACAATGCTAGCATCAGAGTCTTTGTTCCTAAATCCACCGACAGCATGTTTAAAAGAATTGAGATCAACAATGCTACCATGCATATTAACAAGACTTGGGACACTTACCTCAATTTGGATCTAAACCATTTAGATTTCACAGATGCGTCCAGTCTGACACCTGGATTAACGATTTACGATATAAATTTGAAATAAAGTCAGAATTATATGCTCTATTCATGATGCGTGGTAATGCCTTTAATGTACAAGATATTAGCCAATCTTCTACTTCTTCGTTTTTAGTCCGTCTACTTGTAGAATTCAAACTTATCAACGTCGCTGCTTGATTTCACTTGAGCTGCGTAAGCTTCCTCCAAGTCACTTTGCAGAATGACGTATCTGTTCTTTCTGACAGCGCGTAGACCCGCTTCTTGCATTATAGCTGCGATTAGTGCACCTGAAAGAGGGTCATTTCTTATGATCAAAGAATCCAAATCAACTTCAGGCGCCAAAGCCATCTTGGCAGCCACAGTACCAAAAATCAAACGACGCTCACGTCTGTCTCTCAAAGACGGGAACTCTATCTTCCTATCCAATCTACCGGGTCTTAACAGAGCGGGGTCCAGGGTGTCTGCTCTATTAGTGGCCATGATTACTTTGACGTTTACACTTTGATCAAAGCCGTCCATTTGTGTGAGCAGTTCAATCAAGATACGCTGTACTTCACGATCTGAACCCGTCTGAGCGTCGAAACGTTTTGTAGCAATGGAGTCCACCTCGTCAATGAATATGATAGAAGGAGCGTTCTCTCTAGCCAGCCTGAAAACGTCACGTACCATTCTTGGACCCTCACCAAGGTATTTATGAACAAATTCCGAACCGTTTACTCTGATGAAAGCCGCGTTTGTGCTGTTTGCCACTGCCTTGACCAACATTGTCTTACCTGTACCTGGAGGACCATACAAAAGTACACCTCTGGGTGGATCGATACCAATCTGCTGGTATAAGTCGGCCTGCACTAATGGCAGCTCCACTGCTTCTCTGATCTCTTGTTTTTGCATGTCTAAACCACCAACGTCAGCATACGTAACGTCTGGTTTTTCATTTGCTCCCATGATAGATATGCTAGAGTCAGAATCCGGAGGTAGAATATCCACTAATGCGTTAGAATGGCGATGCAAAGCGACTGATGTCGATGGCTTGAGAAGCTCACGGTCAAGTGTGGACAAAATCCTCACCACATAACTCATCCCTGTTGTGCTCGAAACAATCCCTGTGTTTTCATCTATAGGTTCCAAAAACTGTCCAATCACAAGCGGAACCGATTGAATACGCTTCACTTCTTCTTGAGCTCTCAAAAGTTCTCTTTTCAAGTGGCGTTGCTCATCCTTTATATAGTCCTCTTGAAGGTTCAAAAGTTCGAACTCCTTTTCGAGGCGCTTCAGTTTCAAATACGGATCTGTTCCACCATTGCTTATGGTACTATTGTTACTGTTGAGTTGAGCTATAAGCGAACCGTAGGACCCACTCATTACTCCTTCACTTCCAGCTCTTTCGTTTGTTGTCGTTACAGGGGCATTCAGGATTCCGGTTTCCTCCATTTCTATGGGTCAATGCTGTTATTTGGTAAAGTGGCGAATGCGATCGTTCAATGCAGTCTGCAACAAGGAACAGATTCGCTTTGACGATTGGTTTGAACAACTTTAAAGGTTCAACTTTGGTTTTGCCACCGGAAAGCTTTGATTTCATTAATGAGTTAAGGTGTGTCATTATTCACGGGAGCTATAAGCGACGTCACAGTAGCATGGAAACAGCGAAACCAGCAAAGCTGAACAGTGCGCTCAAAGCATAGACTTCTGCGCTAGTCATTGTAATCTTTGAATTGAGGTCCTTTTTTGGAAGTGTGTATAGCTTTCTGGCAAATTTTTTGGACCACGATGACAGGGTTTGTAGATATAACGAAAATGCGTAGGAGAGCTTTGACAAGAAGCTTGCATTTGCCGGGGGAGCCGTTAGAGGCCATTGAACGTCTTTTGATGCTAATGCAGACAGCTTTTCTTCGGTGTTTGGCCCGGCCATTTCGTTTTGGTGAGGTGCTTTATCAAAACTGGTAGAAATATGATCTGACATTTCTGATAATTGCCTGCTTTGAAGATCAGCCTGTTTTTCAAGGGCTAGTCTCACTTTGTCTTCAAAACTACCCACTAGTCTGCGTCTTTTCCAAGGCTCAAGAAGAAGCTGGAAGACTAGAAAAAGTAGAATATTCATCCCCATCAGAATGAAAGTTCCCCAAGTGGAAGTGCGACGAATTTTGTCAGACCAGATCTGCTCTTCGTGGTACCGCGTCAGAATCGCTCGATACAAGTTTTCAGATATTTCTTCTTCCAAGTTCTCTACATTCTCCAAATGAGTCTTCGCGTCTGTTTCGCGCTTAAGATTAACACTGTCGTCTTTGTACAAAAGCGTGAACCGTTCCAGATCCCGAGGTGTCCACGAGTTTTTCCGTTGCAAAAGCTCGTTGACCTCGCCTTGGGATTGAGCACGAACATCGATAGCAGCATTATAAGCAACTTTCGCCCTCTTCACCTCATCCTTAGTGTCGCCCAGCTGTTTTTCCATGTGCTCGATGCTTTTACGTAGTTTTTGGATGCTCGAGTAGCCTGTAACGTCATTTAACGCCCTGGTAGCGGTGAATATGGTTTCTTGTAGCGAGTCAAAGTAAAGTTCCAGTCTTTTTGCCCATTGGGTTCTTGATCGTTCCCGTTCGGAAGGAAGACCTTCTATCCTACTCTTGGTTTCCATATCTGTATCGAAACCAAGTCGGTTGTCCTTCTCTGCTTGTTCTGCGGCAGCCAACTTCCGGTTTGCTTCTTGGATGGCCAACTTCGCCTTATCAGCGTGCTTCTTGAAACTGCTAGAGAGATCCTTAATTCGTGTACTTGATTCATACCACCTTGCTTGTAACAGTGAAATGTAAGGTTCCAATGGCTTTCTTTCTGGATCAACTTTTACATCTTTTGTTTTGAGCTTCTCGTTCGGTTTATTCGAAGTGCTGTATAAACTAAACCTTGCCAGCAAAATTGGTTGGAATGTACGTCGCAATGCTAAGCTTCGATACAATAACATTGGCTCCAGTAAGGTTTACCTTTTAGTCTTTATCCATAATATCTAAGAGATTTCATTACCAGAGTATAAGCTTAAATCTGAAGTTCAGCTTGCTTCTGGTCAAAAAAACTAGACTAAACCATCTTCAAACAAGGATCGTAGACTGCCAAAGATTCATGTCAGGGTTCTCTCTCAGCTTGAAAAGTCGGGAACCTGGTAAGAAGAGTATTAAAAGAGACGGCAAGAAGAAGAGATCAAATGTCTTCGACGACGCTGATGTGGGAACAGCAAAGAAAGCCAAGATACGGCTAACTCATGTCGATGAGTATAAACAACCCGAGAAGAAAAAGCTGGTGATCAAGCCAATTGGAGTTAAAAGCTCCTCACAGAAAACTTTGACGGACGCTACAACTGAGAAAACCAACGATTTGAAGTTTGGACTAAATACAAGAGATGCCATTCAAACCGATACACCGAATGCTCGAATACTCAACAAAGCATCAGCGGTTTCTGATGAGCTGCACGAAGCTACAGAACAGCAGGAATACGAAGAGGTTCCTATCGAAGATTTTGGTGATGCATTGCTCAGAGGGATGGGCTGGAATGGGGAGGATGACAGCGCCAAGACATCTGATAATAGTACCGTTGAAAAGTCGACTACGGTGAACTCGGTCGCAAAATTCCGTCCTGCATTGCTAGGATTGGGAGCCAAGGCAGGCCGGGGGTCAGAGACAAAGGAAACTGTTGGTTTACCAACGTTTTTGCCAGTAACAAAAGTGAACAAGAAAACTGGCGAAAGGCTTGCAAACGATTGATGTGTTCGAAATCTGATATCAAATTACAATTACCTATTTTCGTAAAGCGTCATTACATTCGTTATAAAGGTGAGAGAGCTTCAAACCATGGCACCAAGGCCCAAAATCATTAACTGCGAAGCGACTGTGGTCCCCCATACTTTTACCCAATCGCTTTTTTTCTTATGTTCCCATTCTTCAACCATTCTCATCAAGTCAACATGTATTTCCATGCAAAGAGTATCATAAATGCCCGTTTCCCTGAAGAGTGCCATATCCCTTAAGTCGTCGATGTTTTTTACAATCCGGGATTTGACAACAATCTCATTGTTGTTGTGATTGGGCTGATCGTGGTACTTTATGATTTCTTGACTCGGTCTGTCAGCGTCCTCGAACGACGGCCATTTTATATTCGATGGTATGACCGTTGTGTCTGGATATGACCTACTCTTCTTAATGGAGACGTTGGGAATGCTGTTCCATGCAGCGTTAGAGTTTTGTATGTTCATGAAGGAATGAAAAAGTCCTCTTTGATTGTTGACAAATGCAATAAGTGGTCTTAGTTCCTCTAAAGTAGCAATGAGATCTCCATTAGCTAACTTCGGCTCCTCGGACGGACTGCGTGCCATCAAATCCTTGAACTTAAACTTGAGATCCATGACAACATATTTGTTTTCATATTCAGCAGTGCTGTCTTTGACGTCCGCGACATCGGGCAGCATGAAATCTGCAATTATCTCCACTTGTCCGTCCTCTACCCAATTAAAAGCCTTACTTTTGTCAAGACCCAGATCTTTCACGGAAATTTCGTCCAATCTCAATCTTGTTATACGCTTCCAAGGCGCCATGTCATGCTCAAAATCCTGAAGATAGGCCAGCTTGTGTTGTCGCTTGTGAATTGTGAATAACGAATGGTTGACAGCACCAGTCATTACGTTGGCATTGAAAAGGTCTACCAAAGCCCATTTGAGCCTAAATTGGGGCAAATCCATGTTGTATATGGAAAGGCGGTAATTATGGTCTAAACTCTCGTCCTGAATATTGATGCGGGAATCTCGAATCTTGAGTCTTCCTATGCGATACCTTGGATTGGAGAACCAATTAATAAGATTATCGTATTCCTTGCCATCGTCCACGGACGCCTCGCCCTTCATCCCATAAACAGACAGATCGTTTATGAGGCCATGGCCGCGCAACCACTTGGTGAATGACAGAGTTATATCGATCTGATTGAATGTGAGGTTGAATTTCAACTTTGCTGTGAACTGAGCACCCTTTTGGGGACCTTCTTCTGTTGTCCTGAGCTGGACTTGTTTGAAACTGATACATCCCCGTTTCCATTCGGGAACCAACGCGTCTTGAAAGTGGACGTTAACGCCATCTATGTATCCGTTGAGCAAACGTCCCACCATCTGTCCCACCACCTCTTTCGCAAAGACGGTATTGAAGGTTAACAGAACGAGGGACACAAACGTCGTGGTGCCCAAAACAACCCACACAATCTGCGATATGACTAGCCATGAGAAGAGTGTACTTATTTCGTCGATACTAAATGGTCGGTTCCCACGAATTAAGACCCATTTAGTCTTGATCTTGGATCTCTCATAAAAACTGGTGGCTTCTGAAAGCAGTTTCTGCTTGCTAAGACGTTGCTGGTTTTTTTGCAAAAGAATGTTCTGCGTATGTAAAAAGTCTGTATTTTTTGAGAGCTCTTCAAACTGCTTCTGTGGCCTCCTTACTGCACTCTTCTGACTGAAATTCATCCGCGATGCGGCTACAGCTCTGTTTGCAATACCAGAGACATATTGGGATGAGTGAAGCCGCGTGCTTCGAACCAAACTACGTGGCTTGAAGCAGCGCAGTAGTCCATAATTGAACATATGAGTTGACTGTTTTAGCCGTCTGAGGAAGCTGACTTTTGTAGTTACCTATTGTGTCGTTCACAAAGTACAGAGGGATGAGGTAGTGTAGTTTTTCATATCCTCTTCACTACTCATCTGAAAAATAATTATCTACCTATTTCTCGAGTCGACGATCACATTGGTGAAACTAGAAAAACGACCAAAGAAACGTGCAAAACAGGGAAGCTCCAAAATTTGACAAATAGCATTGGCCAAGAGAGTGTCTATTAAGGTGTCAGTTCCGCTTTTCCAACTTGACATGAATCCCATCGGAGTAATAAAGAAAGTTTTGGAGAATATAATTATACTGGCTATGCGTAATATCCAGCTGAGACACTAAAGAAGCGCACTTTTCCACGCTGGTGACTTGAGGGAACATCATGTATAGGTGTTTTCACAAGATTCATCCACTTTTGAATATGTCCGTTTATGCTGGCATCAGAAAAGTGACGCTTGGAATTCTTGCCAGCTACCCAGTCCTCTAGTCCATCCCCCAGTCCAGTTTCTACTCGCCGCCCTCAGGATCTCACATGCTCTAAAAAAATTTTAAGCCGTAGTGATGAGATGAGCTTGATGCGATGAGCATCTTCACCAGCACGAAGCTTCCGAAAACGAGCTAAAAGGATACTAATGGTGGCACCTACCGCTGTGAAAAAAAGTGCTAACGGATCAACTGCCTTTGGGCTCGAGTCTGAAGCAAGCTCGCGCATTTTCGGCGGCGACGTATCTCACAAAGTCCCCGATGAAGATGATGACGATGAGGTCCTGGTAGACGATCAAAACATGGACGATGAGGATGCCCAAGGAGAGGGAAATAGTGAAAAGACGTCCAAGGCTTCGCAAGAAGTGGTTCTCGATGATCGTGGAAAGCCTCGGTTTCCATCTGCTGCTCAGGCGGGAGAAACTAAGGTAAAACTCGAATCCCGTAAAGTTACAGTCCCCCCACACCGCATGACACCGCTCAGAAACAATTGGACCAAGATATACCCGCCATTGGTTGACCATTTGAAACTACAGGTCCGTATGAACCTAAAGACGAAAACGGTGGAACTCAGAACGCATCCTAAACACACCACTGATCCTGGCGCCTTGCAGAAGGGTGCAGATTTCATCAAAGCATTCACCTTGGGCTTCGACCTTGACGACTCTATTGCGCTTTTGAGGCTGGACGATCTCTATATCGAGACGTTCGAAATCAAGGATGTGAAGACCCTCAACGGTGACCATTTGTCTCGTGCTATCGGCAGAATTGCCGGAAAAGACGGAAAGACCAAATTTGCCATTGAGAACGCTACCCGTACTCGTATCGTGCTTGCAGACTCTAAGATCCATATCTTGGGTGGCTTCACTCACATTCGCATGGCCCGTGAGTCGGTCGTCAGCTTAATTCTTGGTTCTCCTCCAGGCAAAGTTTACGGAAACCTGCGTACGGTTGCTTCGAGACTGAAGGAACGGTATTAGAAGTCAGCTATCTGGCATAACCCAAACCTATGTATACTAGTCGAATGGATGTAATGTTAAATCTGGAGAGTGATGAGTTTGATCTCTTCCCACGATACTGACAACACCGCTTTGTTGTCAACATATCAACAAACACACGTTGATAACACAACTAGCGCCCTACTTTTGCTTAGCCTTTCCATTGAGGGCTACAGGAATCGTTCATCTGTATGATTGGGGTTAACATCAATGACCTCGTCAACCCCCAAAAGATCTGTGCGATTAGCGTCTTTGTTAAATGGTTTTCGAGGCCAACAACAACTGCACAGGGAAGAACCACAACCTGAAATTGCAGCTGAAGACTTTCTGGACAGTATAGAAAGCTCTACAGTCATAGATTCGGAGAGGCTTTGGACTACCGAAAACTCTTCGCCTTTGCAACCGTCTAACGATGGAAAAACAACGGCTTTTCGTGATGAGGACAGAACCAGCGATTGTGAGATAGTAGAAGAATCAAGACCTCCGAAGGTATCTTTAAGAAACCTTCTGAGTGGTAAGAGTAAGCCTGATAGGCCTAAGCAAGAGGAGCCTGCTGAAGCGATCACTGATGTTCAGACTACGAAAATCAATGATCCAAACAAAAACCGGGAAACACACGAACGCATTGTATCTGCACTTGACAGCGCTAAGAAAACTACTGTTCGAGATCTGTTTGGAAGATTTCCAAAAAAACTGCGAGACACAAGTGCAAACGAGCTTCCTGCATTACAAAAACCTATAGGACCTCTAAAGCGAGCACATGAGGCCTCCAAAGCCCAAATGTTAGAAACACCGCTTCCCAAGTACCAAAAAATTTCATGCATGGATGATAAAGTACAACATAGGCCACTGACGCTGCCGAGAAAAGCGCACGATGCTAAACAGGATAATATCGATCAAAATTTGGGAAATTTCGGTTCATTGGTTCATCTAGCCTCAAGTCAAAGAAAAGATGTCACGGAAAACATTTGCACCAATAGAACAGTGAATGACCCGCTTTGGACTGACGAATTCGCACCGCAAACTCTTAAAGATGTTGTTTTAGAAGATGCGCTCAAAACGCAGGTAAATGGATGGCTTCAAATGTCTTTTGAAAAGCTTCGAAGAATGACAACCAGGAACAAGTTGTCGAAGAAAAAGGCTGATTTAGACGATATGGACATGTTCATTGTTGAAGATGAAAACGATGAATCCCTCAGTGATCAAATGGAGGAATTTGTACCTCTGATGATTTTATTTGGAGACGGGGTGGGGAAGAATACGCTTCTACAGGCGATTATGAACGATGTGTCTGGTCAAATTTTCGAAATCAACAGCTCTGGAAATAGAAGCAAGAAAGATTATATGGACAGTCTGCTCGAGTTCTCCACTTCTCACTACGTCAAGAATAAAGGTTCGAAAGGTATAATTCTATTTGACGATGTTGACGTCTTATTTCGAGAGCGCGACAAACTATTTTGGGTCACGTTGGAAAGATTGCTCATGGCGTCAAGGAGACCGATCGTTCTTGTCTGCCGCGATCTGAATTTCATTCCATTCAACCTTATCCAGATAGCTGATGAGGAAAACTCGCTGTTCCATGTTGAAAAGATTGACTTACGAAAAGCAGAAACTCAATTGAGTCGATTTCTGAATGCGAAGGGACTCGACGTCTCTACGGATGATTTAAAGACATTGCTGCGAGAATATGGCAGTGATTTAAGAAGGTTATTGATTAATCTTCAATGGAAGGCTGTGGCCGACCCAAAGAGTATTCAAAGCAAGGACTTTCCGCATCACAAGAAATTCAGTCATGTCAGCGAAATTTCGGATATCAAGTTCCAAAGTAATCTTCTGTCGAGTGCAGACATGATTTTCAATAGCATCCGATGGAGATCGCACATCACTGGAGACAAAGATCGTACTCTGAACTACCCCTCCCATTCGAAAGACTTCACTGCCTTGCCAGACGAAGAGAGACTTGCATTCGATTATATGATCGACTATAAACAACATCTGCATGATCATTTGAAAACCTCGTTGTTACCTTTCGAGACAAACATGAGTGATAATCTTTTCATCAACCTTGACGACCCACACGCACGAAAGGCCTTGAATCCTTATCCATTTGTGGAGAGGACGACGCCTGAAGTTGTTTCTTACTTGGGAAGTCGAGTCCCTGACAAATTGTCACTCAATGGAGAACAATCCGCACCTGTGCGTATGACAAGAAACTCGAGAAAAGTTCGAGAAATTTTGGATCGTTTTTCGGACGGCCCCAATGAGAATGGCTCAGATTTTGACAGTGGGTATCTGAGCTTGAAGGCAGCCATGACTAGACATCAAATCAGTCAAGAGGTCATCCCATATGTCGTTGAGATCGCAAAACATGATCAGGTCCTTAAGAACAAGAATAAAGAGGTGTTTGAGGCCGCTTTGCGGAATGGGGGATCTCGGTCAGGCACAGAAGTGGTGAAAGAGCTTTTGCACAACCACGCGTTTCATCCGATCTGGTTTAATGGTGAACCTGGTCCTGTGCTTGATGCATGGGAAAGCCCTCTGGACGCGTTAAATCCCGTATAGTGGGCTTAGTAGTCATATATCTTCACATAATGGCGGGCCTGGAGCTGAGCCTACCGCCTTTAAAGTTCGTTAATGCGCGATGCTTCATATCAATAGCTTGCAACGCTCGCCATGCTTCTTCCACATGTTTTGGTTTCAAAGGATTGACAACGTTGTCGGGACCATCGAATAAGCGTTTCTTTCTTTCTCGCGTGATCTCTAAAACCACATCAAGCTGTGCTTTTTGAGATTTGTCGCGCTTTCGTTGCAGTAGTTCGTCCCGTTTTTTGAATTTTAGAGCAGTTTCTGTTAAAGAGCACACAATTTCGAATGTAAGAAACCCTAAAATATCAATGACATCGTCGTGAGGTTTGCTGTCGGTGAGCTGGGTGATACCAGACCAATCTTTGAAACGTTTACCTTTCCGAAATGTAAAACTTGCTTGACGGCAATCTGACCAATGCACGTACTCTTCTTTTGTCATGTCTCTAGTACGATCATCGGCCATCTTGAGTCGTTTCAGAGTAGCCACGTTGGCCTCACGTTCGTCTTCATCCAGGTCATCGGCGTCTTCATTCATCTCTAGCGGTTGCTCGTTGAACATGAATTGCAATTCCCACGGGAGTTTGATCTGCGATTTTTTGACCCTCATCATGTTTCCACCATCTTTGTCGCCCTTTTTGTCGTCGTCCTCCAAAGCAGCCTCTCCGCCATCTGCACCGCCACCAGCGTTACCGCCTGCAGCAGCATTGGCGTCTTGGTCCTTGGCATTTTTACGCAGATCTTTCCACGACAAATACGTTCGCAGTCTGTTGACTTTGGCTCTATCATGACGGATCAAAAAGATCACATCTTCTGGCATAATGCTTTTACTGCCTCTAGCATGTGCAGTCTTGGTTGATTGCAATAGAATCTCGATAACTTGACCGCGGACGATGTCTTCGATGATGCACGTCGTTTCAACAGGTGGATCGCTGTTTTCACCAGAAACGAACATCATCTGTTGAATCTCTATTCTATACTTGTATTTATCCATTCTGAATACCTTTTAGCCTCGAAGAAGAGGGAAGATTGAATCGTTCTAAACAAACTTTAAGAAGGTAACTGACACTTTAAAAGCGCTAAAACTGAGCCGAACTTTGAGCTCACAATTTGCGTCGTTTTACACAGTATATTTGAACTAACTCAGAGTGAATTCTCTATGAGTTTCTTGATTTGATGAAGTTGGGCATCGGAAGCCAATTGTCATTTTATATATGTATATATATATATATATATCGATAAATATCTATAACTATAATAATCAGTAAAATAGACAGAATACATCAAGATCAAGAGATATATACTCATCCAGTATTGGCTAGCGACACTCTCGGTCCCTTAGATATAGACTCAATGTCTGAGACGGTTGTGGAAAATCCTGATTCGATGGTTGTCGAGAAGCCGGCTTCTTGTTTGCACAACCTCGACTTGAATGAACTGCTCACGCCAGATCATGACGACTCAGCGATGCTGATACTAAACCAAAAGATAGACATAGGCAAGCTATTTGAAAAATTGTGGGCCAATTACCAAGTGCGCATTTGCGCAGACGGCGGTGCAAACAGACTTTATGAGTATTTTTCACACGACATTGAACGCACCAAGTTTTTGCCGGATTATATAGTGGGTGACTTGGACTCTGTGCGTAATGAAGTTCTGAATTTCTACCTGGATAACGGAGTTTCCATCATCGGACAGTCCAGTCAGTATTCTACAGATTTCACCAAGAGTTTGCAGCTCTTGTCGCTGCATTTTTATCATCCAGAATTTCAACAGATGCTGAAAACCCATACCTTCCAGCAAAACTACGGCATCGACGATTGTGACGGTCTCTACAAAATGTACAAAGCCAACCGTGCAAGCTGGAGCACTCGCAACATTAATATCATGGTTTTGAATGCCATTGACGGCCGTTTCGACCAAACTATACACTCCGTGACCCAGCTGTATACGGCCTCTAAAACAGACGCTTACTATCGTTTGTGCTACCTTACGTCCACAGACCTCATCATATTGGTACCCACGGGTGGTGCGCTGATCAAATACGACAAACACTTCAAACTGCAATGCATCAAAAACTGTGGTCTTTTGCCTCTAGGCGGCCCCACCCTGATCAAAAATACCAAAGGATTGAAATGGGATGTTTCAAACTGGCACACCAGCATAATGGAAGGGAAAGTAAGCAGCAGCAACCGATTTGTGGGAGAAGATTGCTGTTATATCGATGTAAAGGATCCTGTAGTTCTGAGCATCGAACTGACGCTCGAAAAATTGCACGATTTTATATAATAGTTACGGGACCAGTTGATAGACTTCAATAAAGGGATGTACGAAATGGACGCGGGCGCACTAACATGATGCGAAACCTTAAGAGCAAATGAGACTGGAGTAAAGATCGATCGTTAGATCCATTCTTTGTTCATTCATAGTGTTTCTCTGGAACAAGCATATCAATTAAAAGGCGCGAGTGGTTTAGTGGTAAAATCCAAGTTTCCCATACTTGGGCCCCGGGTTCGATTCCCGGCTCGCGCATCTTTTTTTGATATTATCATATTTTTGACGGAAATGCATAAATGATTTAGGGTGTAGCAGTGGTGAGTTTGGCGCAAGCACTTGAATCTGATCTCATGGCACAGCTCTTGTGCTTTTTATTGGTATTCTTTAGTTAGGAATATGAATTAATTAGATAGATGTTAAGTGTGCAGCAGCAGCTTACAACTTAGCAAACTCTTTCACCAGAGCGTCACCCAAGCGACCTGGAGACTCGACAACAGCAACGCCAGCCTCTCTCAAGGCAGCTTTCTTGGATTCAGCATCTGTGCCCGAACCTTCGACGATAGCGCCTGAATGACCCATTCTGACACCCTTCATTTGACCTGCAACGGTACCGGCAATAAAGGAGGCCACTGGCATTGGAGTAGAGCGCTTTAGATTGTATTCTTTCAAGAATTCAGCAGCTTCGATTTCAGCCTTACCACCAATTTCACCCAACATGACGATACCCTCGGTGGAGGGATCGTTCATGAAGTACTTTAGAGCATCGATAAAGTCGGTACCTGGGAAAGCATCACCACCAATACCAATGACAAGGGATTGACCCAGACCCGTGATGGTTGTTTGCTGCACGGCCTCGTAGGTCAAAGTACCAGATTTGGAAACAATACCAATCTTACCGGGCTTGAAAATCTTCGATGGCTGGATACCGATACGGACACGGCCCTCTGGAGACATTATACCCGGACAGTTGGGTCCCACAAGACGGGTCTTGGACTGAGACTTGAGCATTTCTGCCACGTACAGCATATCGTGCTGAGGAATACCTTCAGTGATGCAGACAGCCAGAGGAATTTCCGCTTCCACGGCTTCTTTGATGGCCTGTGCGGCAATTGGAGGAGGCACAAAGATACCAGAGGCGGTCGCACCGGTTTCTTTGATAGCTTCGGCAACAGAGGCAAAAACGGGCTTACCCAAATGCATTTGACCCGCCTTTTTGGGATTTGTCCCTCCCACAATGTTGGTACCGTACTCCTGTGAGAGTTTGGCGTGGAAAGACGCTTGTCTACCTGTGAAACCCTGGATAATGACCTTAGTATCGTTTGTCAGGCGTAGGTTGTTGATAGTTTGGTCATATGGGGTAGATTCTCTGGAGAATAGTCTTTGTCCTAGCTTAGTGCTGGCCTTCTTGTTGATCACAGATCTGAGCATTTTGATTAGTTAAAATGAGAATGATTAGGACCACTATGTGCAATTCCTCTGAGACAATAGAATTACGCTAGAGACACGTCTATTGAACTATAAAGGATGGATTTGGCCGCTTCCTTTGAGGTTTTACGAAGGTCTTCAAGTAAGTGTGATACTTGTAACAAGCTCTTCTGATAGGTTAATATATTTCAGTTTCGTGGAAAAACTTTGAATCGTGTCACTAAATACGTATGTGACGCTTGGATTTAAAAGATTCTTGTCGTTGATCAACGAAGAACAGAGCTAATTTCAAGACGTTTGATGTGCTGCATCTATTGCTACAATTCTTATATTAATCCTCTTTGCAATGATCGACCGTTTCTTATTTTTCTCTAACAGGAGAGAAAAAGTGGCGAGATCGTCAAAGAGTGATATGAGAATTAAGCTAGCAACCCACATAAATGAGTTAACAATTGACTGATACATCGTTTCTTTGTGTAATCACTTTTACAGCAGACAGCCTGGATTTTTTTTGGCGAGTTCAAAATTTTGGGCAATGTCAGTATATAATTGATGACTCGTGAGCGGGCATGAGAAGTCGTCGAAAGAAGAGTTTCGTACTGACAGGATAAGGAAATTATTCCATATTTTTCTTGATGTTTAATTTGGTCCCCGCATCTTAGTGTAGTGTCAGAAATTTCTTCCAACAGGATGCTGTCATACCTGTATTTTTCAACTGTGAAGACAGTTGAATTAAGGCTGTACGACAAATAGGTTTTGATTTAAGGGACGGGTGCTACATATATAGCAAGCTAAGTATCTCAGGTTGCAATCTTGGTAACTATATAGCTTTATCTTTCATGGCTACCGTGCGTGTCAGCGTTTCGAAAGGCCCTATATGATCCTGATGTGTAGTTTATCACTTTCATCCATTCTGTTACTTGATTATTGATTCAGGTCATGTGACTTTTGTTAAATTCTGACCATAGCGTATAAACGAGTATACACGCATCAAAGTCGAACCTCAATGGACAGCTGTGATTTGTTTTTTTACCAAGTTTCCTAAGGTTATTTTCTGTTGTTTTGGTTTTTTTTTAAAAGTGTTGTTCTAGGTGTCACCGATCAGATGACTGCCAGCAATAAAACCTTCATATATATAATTCTTTGACATCAAACTAAATACACACAGATAGAAACTTTGAAACGCGAATTTTGTCTTGATCTCATCACAGCCAATCCAAACTTTCGAATCGTTCTTTTCTGCTCTTGCTCCTGGAGTCTTTCTTGAAATTCCAATTCGCACCGTTATACCTGTAGTCGTCCACAATGATCTACAATAACAGCGTTAGTTAAAAGTGGCGGCGACGAGGAACCTAATTCAAACGGTATCGCATCAATCGACAAAGCTCTGAGCCGCCCATGGTAGTCAGAAAGAGGAATAGCGTATATTCCGAACCTTCCAAAGGAGTGTCGGTAGCAAATGCATCGGGAAAAAATGGATTAAACGACTTCGAATCAGCCAAATCTGGTCAACTTTGGAAACTGCAGGAAAAGTTAACGTTGGCGCTATTTACAACACGGCCGGGCCATGACATCCTGAACCTCTACTATGAACTATCTTGTGGTCACATCAATCTCCATCAGCATAAAAAATGGCAAAGCACAAAGCATCGAACTACTTCAGATGATGAGAATTACAAAAGCATGGTCAAAAAATGGACCGAATCATACACGTATATCTGCATGCTGATGGACTTTCTACTCCAAAATGAGCTAGAGGCAATGGACTATACATCATACTGCGAGCCAGTGCATAAATTGTCGCTTCGGTTCCTGCTAAATGGAAATACAGAACTGCTTATAGTGGACGACAATTACAACCTCATGTTAGATTTTCTTCTTCATTGCCGACCCAAGATTGAGCAGATACTCAACCAGGGAAACCTGCCGTCTACACTGTTCAAAGCTGCACGCAAAAAGCAGCGAATCTATCAATTGAGCGGGAGATACACATGGTACACTCTAAATGCTCAAGAGTTTAAAAAGGCCGCTGACATTGTTTGCAAGTATTTGACGGTTTTGACCGACAAGCTCACCGCCCAGCATGATTTGATACCGCGACTGCAACCATTTTTTGACGTTATGAATTCCAATAAAATTGCCCATTTTTCTAGGGTAGATAATGCTAGTTCAGAAGTACTTGAAAGTGACTCTGGGAGTGAAGCAGAAGAATGGCCTTTGAAGAAGGGCGCTGTTCTTCAGGACCGCGTATATTCATTCGATTTGAATGATGACGGAACCTTAGAAACTCTGAACGTTTTCAGCCGTACTCGGAAAAGACACCAAACTCTTTACTACGTTCTGCGCCTTCATGAGCAAAACTCGTCTCCATTGCTGAAGGAACAATTCTACACTCTTTGTGCCTTGGTTGACCCTGTAACCCAGCCCATACCAAACGACTCACATATCATTTCGATTGACTTACTTTCAGACATGTTTTTGGGCCTTTTGTGCAAGGAAATCGAAAGCGTTTCACCGAATTGGCGTTACCACATTTGCTTTAATCTTTATAAGATTTTGCACTCATCACTACGACGGCTCAACTGCGATAACTTTCAAAGACTCAATTCTGTCAATAATAGCGACGACTCGGTTGACTGGAGAAGAAATCTTCACAAATGGCTTCCGCAGGGTTTGAACACGCAAGATCTTGAGCTCGTATACATGGTTGACCTTTTAGCGGTGTATCTCCTCTACAAACTATATCGTGACCTACCAGTTCAAATGAACCCATTTTTGGGTCCGATGATTTCACTTTGGAAGAATCTCACATTTGTGGTTCTGTTAGGTCTTGAGATCGATCGATTTGAAGAGGAGCAGGAGAGTTATAAAACTCCCGTCATTGTCCGTGCCACAATAAGAGGAGCTTCGGCGTTAAGAAGCGTTGTTGCTACCATTTTGAATGGCCATGTGGATTACAAACGCCACGACTTCAAGCATGAGCCTATCAACATTTTCATGTCCCCACATGGCCGCAAGCTTTGCCACGGTGCCTTATACACAGATGTCCGGTCTCATGCGGCGGCTATGTTAGCGCTAGGAATCGATCTAGAGGACGTTACAAATCTCTTAAGCGATTTACAGCCAGGAGACAGGTTTGACGAGGATGTCAAGTACATGTTCGATTATGAGTACGACAACTATAACGAAGTGGATACTGAGGATCTGGACGATGAAGAACTGGAAGACGCCGAATCTCGTGAGAGGATCAAGGAAATGAGAGCATATTACAAGAGGTGCCATTGTCGCTTCGACGATGACGAGCTATTACCTGATGACGAGGAATATCTCGAGTCAAATTCCGCAAAAATACGAAGCTTTCGCGAAGCTCCCCCGGAAAGCAGAGTAAACCTTTCTTCCAGTAGCAAGCCCGTTGCACAGAGGTCAAGACGAGACGGGGTCGATTTTGACTTCAACGGGCGAGACTGGAGGGACATACCCCGTGGTTTGAATTTTTACCTCAATGAAGAATACCCATTCGAGTCGAATTTGAGCATTGATGTCGCAGGTCCCTTAATGAAGGCTGCTGGAGAGAGAAAGTTATCTTTCGATGAAGGTAAACTACTTCTTACATTGACAGCAAGCTGCGTTGCTCGGGAGCAAGAACAAACTGTTCTTCAATCGGTAGTCTCTAGCCAAGAAGACCAGGGTGACCGCGGCCGGGAACAGAATACCCAATACGTGCCAGTCGGTGATGGCGATTTGACAACGGACTACATTTACGAGCACTGGTGCGAGGAGTCACTTTTTGAATGCACTTTAAAGTACAACGAGGTCCTCGTTTGGCGGCTGATGGATGAGATGTTAATGTGCAGCGGATACCGCCGCGTACTGATCTGGTTTATTACTCATCTGGAGGTTAACAGGTCGATGATCGAGTACATATTCACTTTGATAATGGGTGGAAGAGGAGAGCCTAAGGGTCTCAGGATAAGTCAGAACAAGTCGAAGGACAAAATGGCATACGATCAAATCGAATTTTCCAGACAGGGATCCTTACAGCTCTCGGAGGTTGAGGTCAAAATGCTGTTGCAAGAGATTCTTACGAATTTTGCGATCTTTTTTTCAAAATACGGACGCGAAACGGCTGAGGGTTCGGACACCGATTTGATAGATGAAGATGTTAATCATGGGATTCCGCCGAGGGTTTTAGGTTATATGAGACTGGTATGCCTTATGATCAAGCGATTGATGGCGGAGAAAAAGTTTGATTTCGAAGACCCGGATTACATTTTTGAATTGCAAACTTTGCTGATGAGTTGGATCTGCGTTCTACCCGACGCCCGTGAGCTATTTTTTGAGCTCAAAGCGATGGCCAATGAGGACCTGCAAGACGGTGACGTCAAGAATCCTGAGCGCTCGACTTCTAGGGCTCCTAACGACAAGACGGACGTTCTTGACGTTACAGCTCCAAATTGGAGCACCACATCTGACAGCACCAACGGCACTGCGATGTCGATCTACAATGACAAATTGCTTGCACTTCTTCCCTCAGTTGCTGGAAGTCAAAACAGTGCCGTGACAGCTTTACGCAATTTTATCAGTAAGCATTCGCTCACAACGAAGACTGCAGGATTAGGTCGCCGTGTGGTTTCCCAAGACGACGAAATTTTGGGGATGTACATGTCCGATCGTGAAATGGACAATCGTCAATTTTTGGCAGAGTTTGGTATCGACTACAACGATTTTCAAGATGGGATCTACGACAGCGAATTCAGCTATAATTGAAGAACAGGTAGAACTTGTAAAACGGCAATTTCACAAGCTTTCAGCGAATAATTGCTGTGAGTTTCCGAGTACATTATAAGAGAGTGGATATTAGTAATGTTATGAGAAGAGATCGTTCGATTTTGCCCAACAGATAGTGAGCAATTCAAGCGTAGTTGGACAGATTGTAATTTTATATATATATATATGTATAAATACGAATGTTGCCCTAGCTTGATCCAAATGTTGTCGACAAGACAGATAAAGACAGAAAACGAACTCAGCAGTCGCTGGTGCTCTACTAATTCCAAACTTACTCGACGAAAATGAAGCTAACAGCTGCTTCAACAAAAACGTTAAAAAACGGTGTCAAAATTCCTATTCTAGGTCTAGGAGTGTATAAGGCCCCTAAAGAGGATACCGTGAACATAGTTTACAAGGCGTTGCAACAAGGATATAGACATGTCGATTCTGCGCAATTCTATGGCAATGAGAGAGAAGTGGGCCTTGCCATTGCTAAATTTTTGAAAGAAACACCTGGACAATCAAGAAACGACATTTTCTACACAACGAAGCTGGCCCCTACTAATGGCACATATGAGCAAGCCAAAAGTGCCATTGAGGCATCTTTGGAGAAAGTCAAAGAAATCGGTTACATAGACCTTTTCCTCATCCATTCACCAGCATCCGAGAAAAAACAACGTTTGGATATGTGGAAGGCTCTACAGGAGTTTTACGAAGACGGGAAAATCAAGGCTATAGGGGTGTCCAACTACAGTGTGCTGTTGTTGAAAGAACTTCTTGGCTGGGAAGGTCTCAAGGTCGAACCTCTTGTCAACCAGTTCGAATTGAATCCATGGCTTGTTCGTCCTGATTTGGTAGACTTTTGCAACAAGCAAAACATTATCATTGAAGCTTTCTCACCACTCACCAGGGGTCACCGTTTGAAAGATCCAGAACTACTAGAATTGATCGAAAAATCGTATCCTGGGAAAACCACAGCTCAGATTTTGATCAGATGGTCGCTGCAGATGGGGTTCGTGCCGCTTCCTAAATCCAGCAACGAAGAGAGGCTGCTTTCCAACTTAGAGTCCTTGGATTTCGAAATTAGTGACGAAGATATGAAGAAACTAACGCATCAGGATGACTACTACGTGTCGAACCCAGCCTTCGATCCTATCAAGAAGTATTTCGACAAGTTGTAGCAGTTTTTAGATTTATGACGATACATCTAGCTCTTTTTTAAACCATGCCCTCATTGCAATCGTCTTGGGTTTCAAACCCAGGACGTAGTATTCTATATCGTCTTGCAACGATCGATTTAGACCGTGGATGTCTATGCAATCCTCCATTTCCAGCAGTTGCGTCTCGATGGTAAACGCTTCGTCTGGCAGACTGCTGTCCAAAATCTCGCGTAACCTGTCGTGGTTTCGAAGTCCGCGTTTTATCGATCTTGCCTTGTCTTTCAAAAACTTTTCGAAAACGTTTATTCTTTGACTATCATCCAGTTTCTTATAATAAAAAAGGAGCTTAGAGATGAAAGCTACTTGTGATTTCCCATCCAAAGTGCTTTTGATCTTGAATTGCTTGAAAAGTCCCTTTTGTTCAGCTCTGATGTCTTTGGCCAAAGTCGTCGGTTGTATGGCGGATTTGGACACTATGTGTGACAGGTAATGGTATTTTGTGGGTTCCAGCGTGTCAGAGTCCAGCTCTGATTCCGATTCGATGTTGCTTTCGTCCAAAGCGTCTATGATGTTCTCTGTGACATTCCCGTTATTGCACTGTTCGGCACACCATTCTTCAAAATACTGTTCTCTTGTTGAATCTTTGCTGATTCTGTAAAATCTGGGATCGTCTTGAAGCTTTCTGGACTGTATTCTCCACGTTGAAAACGGATCCAATGAGTAAGATTCCAACAACTTTTTGAAAATGATTTTATTTTCAGACTCCGTGGTTTTACTACTTGCACGTTCGCCGCTGTCATTGTCATCGCTGCCATTCGTGCCATCATTGTCTTCGCTTTCGTCATCTGAAGTACCGTAGCCGGTAACCACATTCTCTTCTGCACTTGCGTCCGAGTCCGAAAAGGAGAATTCCGGTTCGTCCTCGTTTTCAACAGCGGCTTCTTCTGGTAGACTTTTGATCCTGGCTATGTCATTGGAAATGTCCTCATACAACTGTGTGCTACCGTTCTTCTGGCTCCTTGCAAGATCTGCCAGTCGTTTTAGTTTTTCTTCATCCAATTGAGCCAGAACCTGTTTGCAGCTTTCGTTATCCACATCGTCAAATAATTTTTCATTTTCATTGTGTGTGTAATGTTTTGACCCATCTTGGCATAAAACGAGTTTCCAACCATCAATAAGTTCAAAGGTGAAAAGAACAGATCGTTGACTTCCAGGCAATCTTTTTTTTCTGTTTTCCGGCTCTTGATCTAAAAAGTCCGCAGGACGCTCTCTCGTAGTTTGTTTAGTCTTGATATTATAGTAATAATTCGATCCATCCGGTGTTTTGTGTTCCCTCCAAATCCGAGCCATTATACGCAAAATAAAATCCCAAATTCAGCTCTGAGTCTTAATTCTTCGCAGTTTCAAGCAGCCAATGCTAAATCTCTCTGGGTTTACTTTAAGGCCTTTAAAGTTCCTCATCCTAGAGTCCATTTTTGACTCAATTTCATTGAAATCCAATTATCACCAGATCCGGGTAACCACTGAGCAACAGGTGGCGAAAAGATCCCATGTTCAAGAGACATCATCATCAAATTCGAAAGCTTCACGAAAGAACAACAAGATTATCGAGTCAACACTAGTGCTTGATCTTGCAAAAACGCTGAATTGCGCTAGCACATTCTGAGTGAGGTCTTTATCGTTGTGAACCGACATCAAGCAGCTGGCTTCAGAGTACATACATCAATACTCGACCTTGTTTTTGAAAGAATTCATTCAAGAGTCTCTCGACGCAGGATACAAACGTTGTTGGGAACTGCAGAGCTCAATTACTATTCGTGCTTTTTAAACTCTAACTTGGCATTGATTTGAGGTAAAAAAAAATGGGATCCAGAAGATACGATTCGAGAACCACGATTTTCTCCCCTGAGGGTAGACTTTATCAGGTTGAATATGCGTTGGAGTCGATATCCCATGCAGGAACGGCAATTGGGGTCATGGCCAAAGACGGGATCGCTTTGGCCGCAGAACGCAAAGTAACGAGTAAACTCCTCGAGCAAGGTAGCTCAACGGAAAAACTGTACAAGCTGAACGACAACATCACGGTGGCGGTAGCAGGGTTGACCGCTGATGCCGAAATTTTGATAAATACGGCGCGGGTCCATGCACAGAACTACTTGAAGACTTACAATGAAGAGATCCCTGTGGAGATTCTGGTGAGACGTTTGAGTGACGTGAAGCAAGGGTACACCCAACACGGCGGTCTAAGACCGTTTGGCGCGTCTTTCATATACGCGGGATACGACAATAGATACGGCTACCAGCTGTACACATCCAATCCCTCGGGCAACTACTCGGGCTGGAAAGCGATCAGTGTGGGCGCCAACACATCTGCTGCTCAAACTCTGCTGCAGATGGACTACAAAGATGACATCACCATGGAGGCTGCCATGGAGCTGGCTTTGAAAACGCTTTCGAAAACTACTGATTCCAGTACTTTGACTGCAGAGAGAGTCGAGTTTGCCACCATCACTCGGACTGACGACGGTAAAATTGTCCAAAAGATATTCAAACCTCAGGAAATCGAAACTCTTCTAAATAAGACAGGAGCCGCGAAGAAAGAAGAAGAAGAGTGAGAAACGGAAAGGAGACAAGCTCGGCGGAATAAGGCTTGACACATTCTCTCTCTCAAACAATCGTGTGGATCCATCGCATTCACAACTGCATCTCCGTACGTCTATAGTGATACAGACTTCCACATCTTAAATTATGTAAACTAAACTACTATAGAGAGAGACTAACACTACCCCGGCCCAAGCTGCCACGCGAGCAGCGAGCTTTTGAGACCAGTGAGGATATATAACGGTCGGAGCGTCACCAGCAAGTAGCAGGGCGACGCTTACTGTCTGGTCTAAAGATGCGGTATGTTTATCGTTTGTTCTAAAAAAAAGCCAGCGTTTACCAAGCGCTATTGCAGGCAGTTATAAGTATACTAACCATGATTGCTCTTCGAATACAGATCCTTCGTGACGTCTGGTGACATCCCAATTGGATATGTGACGCCCAAGTTCCCGTCACTATTTTGGCCGATCAACAACGAAAAATACACACTATCATACCTTTATTACGTGACCGATATATGGAAATACACGGTATTCTGGACTTTGATCTTGTTTTTGGCGTTTTACGTTGCAGCAGGCTTGTGGGCCAGTTTCTCCCACAGGAAAACTGCAGGCGGTGTTTGGATAATGGTTGTTTACGTCGTGGCAGGTGGATTCCAAGCGCTTGCCGCTGGAACTGTTTCGGGACTATTGTATGTGTCAAAGAGGGAGAAAGAAGAAAAATCAAAACTACTTTTCGAATTAGCTGGAAAACACTACTAACTAGAAAAATGCAATTGGAATAAAGACTTGCAGTTACATACAAAGCAGGTTTGTTCGCTATGTCAACTTGGATCCCGTTATGCTGTTCTGTCGTGCTTATCCTGTTCCATGTCAGTACTACTTATTCGATGGCGGGTGCTATCATTTGAAACGATGTGACGGATTTAAAGAAAACCCTGCTAAACTTAGGTCTCGTGATTATCACGTGTAACTTTTTGGAATTTCTGAGATCACGTGAATGCTCTTATGTCACGTGGCTATGATTTTAAGGACATCGAGGCTGATTGAAATCACAGGTTTAAGTGAGAATCAGCTAACTTGCTGACCTACCAGCTTAAACGGCAAAAACACACGAGACAATTGTGAGGATTATAAGGAGCTTCCGAATCCCTAAGACTATATCACCCATTCGAAACAGCCTCGTCTCCTCTCTCGATCTTCTTCTTTGATCTCAAGTTCACTACTCGTCAGTTTTTTGTTCTTATAAAGAAGAAAATAAGGCTAATTTCCCGTTCATTTCCAGGTCTGCTCCCGAGCTTTTGAAAAACAAGAATCCGCGGTTCAAAAATGTCAGCTTCCTCCATTAATCGATCTTTGGCCACGGTCAAAACAGAGCTCGAGTTCCTACAGGAGTCCGATGTGATCTCACAAGAGGCGTTCCGCGACATAATGGCAGCCTTGCCAGAACGGTACAGTGCACCTGCACCAGCAGAAGTCCGGAGAGAAACACCTTCCGCGACGCACAACGAGTTTGTCGAGGCCGTCTACGCATTCCAAGCACAGCAAGACGGCGATTTGGACTTCCGTGCGGGCGACAAGATAGAGGTGCTCGAAAAACCATCTCCAGAGTGGTTTAGAGGCAAATGCAACGGAAGAGTAGGGATGTTCCCCTCTAACTACGTCAAACCGGCGTTTTCCGGATCTGGTGGTCAAGAAACAGAACGTATGAGCATGCTGCCTCCTGCTCCACCTCAATATCAGTCCCAGCAACAACTCCAACTTCAGCCACAGCAGACAAATACAAGTGCGCAATCCAATTACTCGCAACCACCCTTTCCGCCACCTTCCACCAATTACTATCAAAACCCGCCCCAGCAGCAGGCGTACTATCAATCGCCTCCTCCTCAACAACAGCAGCCAATGCCCGTGCAGGAGCAGCAGCAGCAGCAGCAGCATCATATGGGGGGGCAAGCCTTCAAGAAATTCGGTAGCAAGCTAGGAAATGCGGCTATCTTTGGTGCCGGTGCTACCATTGGTTCAGACATTGTTAACGGCATTTTTTAAAATAAGTTAACGAAGAGCTTTGAATGTCATTATGCTAGGAATATTATTTTCAATACACTTGTAGTTCAGTACATAGTCAGAAAAAAAAGAACACAGGAAGGTAGATTTAAGTCAAAAATCTGCCGTAAACATGGTAAATTCGGTTCACCACATTTAATCGCGCAGCAGGACTCAAATTTGTATCTACCAGTTCGCCAACATCCCTAATCCATTCAGTTCTGCGATTTTTTGGGACTAGACGATCGCCATACCTACGAGCAGAGACTAACTCCAATGCTAAGAGGCCGGTGTTCAAGTCTCTGTCCGTAACATTGACATCATACTCATTGTAGTTCAAAAGTCTTTCGATATTGTTTAGGCTCGACGACAGCCTTAATCTGAATTGTGCAGCGTTCGACCACACGCGTCCCAATTTAGCAAGGCGATAGGTGAATGTCCAAAGTGCGTACATGATTAACACAGCCGGGGACATAGCGACCACTCCAAACACCAATTGTTGCGACTGTAGTAGTTGATCAATCCCACTCAGCGCTAGTGAGCCGTCAACTTTGGTTTTCTGAATTTGAATTAATAACGAACGAACCAGTTTTCCGGACAAGATATTCTTAATGGGGTGATGCAGTTGGTGCTCATAAATTTGCATAAATTCTGTGAGGTTTCCGGCTTGGACCTGTGCCACGAGAGCGTTGGAATCAACTGATTCGTGTGAGTTTTCTGCCACAAGCTGTACCACCATTCTGGTCAAGGAACTAAATTCGGAATCCAGAGAGCCCTTCGAAGCGATGGCAATAGTTGAGTTTTTCTCGTCATGACGAACCGTACTCCAAACCTGTTTCAAGGGTTCCCAGATCCAATTGTGAACAAGTCCGGCGCAGAAATCCACGACATTTTCTTGGCAAAACCTTGCAATCTTATAGCGAGATTTCCATAATGCAATGGCAGATGCCGGTCCGTAGGCGAAAACAGCAAAAAAAGCGGGCCAGTAACGAGTCCAGAAACCAGGTTTTTTGGTGTATCTAGCGGTCTCAAAAGCTGCTGTTGCCTTAGGAATGATACTTAGCATCACTTTTTCTGATCCATTGGGCGTATTTTCAGGACCTATCTTTTGACTATATCCCAGAAACGAAGCTAGCAGTTTTGTCCGTTCATCCATATCGCTAGTGTGAGGAAACTGTCCTATGAGACTTCCCAACTTCCTCGTGGTGTCATTGAATAGCTCATCTGCAGCCGTGTGTTTGCGCTGTACTTCCTCACGGACAGCGGCGAGTGGAAGTGCCAAAATCGACCGGGCAATCTTTCGGGGATCCTTGGGAAGCCCCACTAGCTGAAAACTATGCACCACAACCATTCTATCGGCTTGTCGAAGCACATACTCAGAGCATCGTTGACCCATTAGCTTCAGGTCACGTGCACTTCCATTTTCATAAGCACGCCTTATAAACCCACTTAATCTCTTTGGCAATACTTGTAAGGCATATAGCAACGACCAACGAGTCCCGTCATGGACATCACCAAAATACCTGGCTGTATCTGATATGACAGGCAGTTCTTGTAGAGATTTCTGAACCACATAGTAGTACAAGCACACCGAGATGTATTGGTCGATCGCCGTGCGAACGGACCCCTCCACATCGCTTGAGACGGCGACAAAATCGCTAGGCGTATCTTCGTTATGCTCCTGGAGCTTGAGAAGCACTCTTTCCAGCGCCGGAAAGTTCACAGAACGGGGCGTTTTTCCGTTGCTTAAACTGTCCTTCAACTGAGCAACCTCATTTTGTACGAGCCATAATTGATCTTGTAGTACCTGTAACTGATATTTTCTAGATGACGGAGCCTGGTCTTGATGCGCTAAAGCCGATTGTTGGAGGGAAACCTCTAGATTTCTTTCAATTTCATCGAAAGCTTCCAAAACGTGTCGATCTGCGATCATAACTTTGGGTTTTTAGGTGTTTTTGGATGCGATTTTAGCAGTAAGGGCGACTTCAGATATTAATATAAGCTATTTTTCTATTGTAAGTTATGAGGGCAGCGATCATGTGATGATAGCAGTTTGAGAAAAAGTGATGATGAGCTACACAAGCTTTAGGGATGAAGTTCTCACCATATGCGGGATAAGCTAACTTATGCTATTTAGTGCAGCGGCTTGTGACTTATACTTTATTTGGCCATGATCACATTGTTGGGACTGACAGTTGAGTTTTCGTGATAAACGATAGTGGTTCAAGTGAAGAAAAACGATGAGACCTTTTGAGTCGGCAGAAGAACATTTATGTTGATAAATGTGAGCTTGTTAAAACATTGAGAGCCTTATGAATCATCAATTTTGTTTTTGAAAATTATTATCGGTGAAGAATGTGGCCTTTTGACACCAAAAGTTGATCGGACGATACTTACTTCGACAAAAGAGTTTTTAGTGAGGACTATCAAGTTTTTGAGACAGTCTATGGGTGTCGCACTGAACACAATGTCAACAACTTTGACGAAATGCAAGCAGTCGCTCTTTAACTGCGAAACCTTTGGAATGTCGTTCTTATATAACCTGTCGCGAGATGGAGAGGTCACGTGCACCGTGATTGTAAGCTTACAAGCCGACAGACAGTACAGAACAACAACTGGAGCGGAACGTCAACTAGCCAAAGTTATGCTAAGATTTTGCTGAAGTTTTCTACAGTTATTCTGGTGACTCTGTTGAAGGAACGTATGTTTTCCTGGAGTGCGTTTCGCCTTACTCGAAACGCTGCGGCCGACAATAGCTGTGTGGTTTCGAAAAAGACAGTGAAGGACTTACCAGACTTCACGTCATCGAACTTAGAGCTTACTTTTCTTGATAAAATTGAAGATGGTAGAAGTTAGACATTAAATATTAGGTTTTTTTATATTGCAAGCAACAGTAACATCAAATGCGGTCATTTTTCGTGTCAGTCGTACGCATGGAAGAAGAATAGCATTAACAGGGCGGTGATCAATACGCGGGTGAGATCAGGCTTTTTTGAAATGGCGGAATTGGCCTTGAGAGAAACGGTACCATTTCTGGACCCCGCGTGGAGGCCAGGATAACCAGCGTAGCCAGGATAACCGCCATATCCACCGTATCCGCCATAAACGCCATAGAAGCCGCTTCCGAGATATCCTCCTCTGGTGGCAGCAGTATTTCCTCCAGTGCGGCCTCTGGATCCAGAATTGCCGTTTCCACCGCTGTGCGGTTGAAATGTCCCAACTCCTAGACCTGCGCCCGATCCGAGACTGCCACTGCCACTGCCGCTGCTACCACCGGTTTTTCCTCCGCTACTTCCGCTACTTCCACTGCTTCCACTGCTTCCACTGCTTCCACTGCTTCCACCACTGCTTCCACCACTGCTTCCACCACTGCTTCCACCACTGCTTCCACCACTGCTTCCACCACTGCTTCCACCACTACTCCCACTACTCCCACTACTCCCACTACTCCCACCACTTCTTCCACCACTTCCTCCACCACTACTCCCACCACTTCTTCCACCACCACCGAACCTTCTGTCAACAGCTAGACCTTCGAGAAGGCACTCTTGAGGTAACTCATTTTTCGCTGAATTTGACAATCCTACAGTAGAATTGCAACTCAAGGTAAGATTATGAGGACCAAAGCCAGTGATCGCTTCGTTCAAGGCAGCGACGGTGGCCAAAGCGCTAGGCGCAATCAGAGTTCTGGTAGAAAGTTCATTTGTGAAGTTTGACATTGGGTTTTGATTGGTGAATACCCGTTAACCAAGAAACTTCCTGTTTACCTGAAAAAGAATACCAAAAAGACCAGCAAACCTATTGCTTGGCTTTATATGTGCTTATTTTTTGCCGGGACCCTTACAGCTCAGTCTTCGATCTTGTTATTCTACTGTCCTGGCAATGTCTTCCCATCTGGCAGGTAGGCTTAATTACGAATTTTCATGCCGGTCTGCAAGGCTCATCATTAAAAGACGCTATCGAGGCTTTAAAAAGCCAAGACCCGCAGAAATTTCGGGAGGGCTCACAAACCGGCCGCAATAGAGAACATCAAGGGGGGTTGGGTCACTTACTTGTATCCAGAATATTGTGCAGTAGATGGAGTCTTGTAATACGCTTTGCTTGGCTTGGTTCTGCGCCGTCTTGGCGCATCGAATAAGATAGCATTGATTGTATCTTAGGTTCTCGGTAATTTCAATGCAGGGACTGCATCAGGGCTTAGATACGGGGTTTAGATTTTTGGTTCGGCTCAAACGCAAAGGATTATCGGGTTCTAGTTTAAGGAGCTTTTTCCTTTTAGAGGCTTGGCAAATCGGGAGAGTGTCGGCGTAGTAGCCGTGTTTTGCTGTAGGATGGACCACTTGATCACGAAAGCTGGCGTTAGGAGACCGGTCCGTTCTGTTTGTTGGTATGACCGCTGCCACCAAAGGAAGCGCAAAGGGAGATTGACGATGAGACAGGCGGATGGGAAGGTCCGTTTTCGGCAGTCTGATGGGAAATAGAGATACAGAGGAGATTGGTTTCCGGTAAGTTAATGGTAGGGTCACTTGCTTGGAATCGTACGGAAACGGAGAGACTAAGTGTGAGCGATCATTCATATCATGGAGGAGCCACATTGGACTGGTCGTGAAGGCTTTTGCGGTTTTTCGAGTTTATTTCGAAGAATCCACAGCTTTAAGGATAATTTTTTCAAGCATGCTTATAACTTGGGCCTCGGGTTTGGAAACGTGTTGGTATGGCAGAACTCCGGGAGCTAAAGAATGAAGTCAAAGGGTGGTGCGTTGGAGAACGGACCGAAAAGGGCTCTTTCATCGCTTCTTACAACCCGATTTCGCATTAGAGAATGTGGCGTTATAAATGATAAAGGTGGATCATCTTTTGGCGGGTATACACTAGATCTGTAAACACTTTGACACTGACACTTTGAGAGGGGGGGTGCTATCACGTGACCTTGGATCTGGCCCCAAAAATTGGCAAAACTACGCTTTCAGCGGCATGGAGTAAGGCGTCTGTGTATACTTGCAGACTTCCACTTAAACAACACTTTTTCAAAAAAAACAGTGCCTGATTTTCTTGGCATACTCTTCTTTTTTCAAAAAACTCCGATGCTTTAATGTATATCAACCGATATTTGCCAAGCAATTCGATAACGCGCATTATTACCCCCCCTCACAAGCTGCAATATTTCTTGGCTATCATTATGTACGATGGAGAAGTGGGAAAAAAACAAACGAATTTAAACAAAAAAGGGTCCTGCGACAGGGAAAACTAAAATGACAAATCTCATCTCTAGCCCAAGTAATTTCAGCTCTACTACCACCACCACCACCTTGTGTGACTCATCTCAATTGATAATGACTGGATTATAGATTACTTAGTGCAATTATGTGCATCTGATACCCAAAGTATCAGTTTATATGGTGATATTTAACGTACCGATCTTCTTGTCGGTTATTCTTCTTCGAATTCTTCTTTAATTGTGGGAGACGCAGTCATCTGCAAGTATACACAGACACCTTACTCCATGCCGCTGAAAGCGTAGTTCTTCTTGGACAACTTGGCACGGAGATCCTTACCGTAGTAGTAGAATCCAAACGGAATCAACACCATCGCCGTCGAGATGAATGCCAACAACCAACTGGCCCATTGCAGTCCCAGACGATGGTACATTTGGTCAGTGAACAATGGGAACGCTGCACCTCCGGCAGAACGCAAGAACACCTTGGTGGCCAGCGCTCCGGACGCGTACATCGCGTAACAGTCGATGATGTAGTTGTTTAGCGAGTAGTAGATCAGCACCATACCGTAGCCGAACGCCAGGCCCGAAGACGCCGGTCCGACCCAGATAATGTGTTTGTAAGCAGTGGCGCCCAGGATCCACAGTGCGATGGCGGCAAACGGAGCTCCGATCATTGCCCCTAGCAACCGGTCTTCCGGCGTCGGGTTTCGGGTCCGCGTTATCTTCAAATATTGGTTCTCACAAAACGTCGTGGTGGCCAACGCCACCGAAGCTCCGATCAGGATCGGAATAAACATAAGTCCGATGATGTTATCTTTGTATCCGTACAATTCGCCGAAAATGACCGGGTACGCAAAGAAAAACGCGTAAAGCAACGAGTAGATCAGACACACGTAAAAACACATGAGATCCAGCACCGGTTCCGTGGCGGCTAGATACAAGGGACGTAGTAGACACGCACTCACCATTTCACGAACGCTTAGACCCTGGGCCTCCTGTTCGGTCATGATCTTCGGATTTCCGGTTTCGCGGCGCAAACGCGCCGCACGTTTCTTCAAAATCACGGGTGCAAACGTTTCCGGGATAAGCGCCACAACCAGCCACATAACTCCGGCAAACGCCATGTTGACCCAGAAGATCAGTTCCATGCGTTTAGTGGACACAGAAATGAACCCATTGACAAGCGGGCCGAACACGGGTCCGCAGTAGGGCGCATATGCAAAGAACGCAATGGCACGTCCACGGGTCTCGGGAGGAAACATATCTGCGATAGAACCACCCACCAAACACAGCCCGGACGACGCCCACACACCACATAGAAAACGGCATGCCAATAGACATCCGATATTAGGAGGAATAGCGCATGGAATGTTGAAGATCACATACAGCCCTAGAGACACGAAATACGCAACGCGACGGCCATACAGATCAGACACAGGAGACCAGATCAATGGACCCAGAGAAAACCCAATAACCATAAGCGAACATGTCAAAATAGACACTTCCAGAGACACGTGGAACTTCTCACTAACCAGTCCTAGACCACCGGTGATACACGCAGATCCGTACGCCACAGAAATCACCAATATCGACATCACAATGGTGTAGAGCCAGCGTGTAGCCAGGGACCAATTGTGAGGGTTTTCCGGGTCGTTTGTCACGAACGTGACAAACTCGATATCCGGGTCGTATTCAGGTGCGGTATCGTCGTCGTCTAGGTCGTTATCTGCGGTGTTGTTTTTGTTGTCTTCGGAGTTCTGCGAGATTTTGTTTTCGTCCGAGCCGGAGTTAGCGTCGCCTAGCTCCGCGGCTAGCGACTGGCGCCGAGTGCGGATCCGCGTGGCCGCCTGCGTACCCGACTGGGTACGTCCCAGCGAATGCAGTGTGGCCACGGGGACGAGACCCGTGGCCGTTTCCATGGTGTACTCTTCGGGGAAAATTGCCTTTCCGGAACCCGTGTTGGCCGGGGCGTTAATGTCCGGAATGGGAGCTACAGGCGAAACACCCAGCTCCTGTAACGACCGCACGGTTTCTGTGGGCACCAAACGTAGCCGCCCATCGGAGCCGGCCTCGGAGCCCGCCCTGCCACGTGACCCGTCCGTCTGCGACGACGAGGGCACGTACGTGTGCGGCACCTGACCCAGCGAGTCACGTGAGTTGTATGAATTAATAGATTCCTGTCCAGAGTCGTCGTCCATGATTAATTTCTGGTAATGATGATATTATTATAGCACGGTAGAGAAACGGGGAAACAGGCAATAGCCGGGAAGTGAAGTGAAGTGAAGTGAAGAGCAGGGAAAAGGATATTAAGAGTAGCGGAGGGAATGAAGTTGTACAGAGACAAAGAAACAGACAGAAGGGCCAAAATCAAATGTTATGGATCTGATATTAAAGACTGAGTGTTCTTTCTATGTCTGCGCTCGGTGTTGTCCTGGCTTTCTATTGCTTAGTCTATAAGCTCTTCCCTTACCACAACCCTTGCTAGCCCCGCTGGCCTTGCTATACTTATATCAGCATGAGTACTGTTGTAGGACCGGTCCGGAAAAAAGCCGCAAATTTTCGGGAGGGTAAGCGAAAACGCGCGGAACTCGGCGTGGTGGCTGGGTGCAGGGCATCGCTGGTGGCCAGGCCTAGTTTACTGCTATGGACAGACAAGAAGACGACGGTGGTGGAAGTGACAGTAGTAGTAGAGGTAGTGGTAGAGGTAGTAGTGACAGTAGACACTATAGATAGTCGGTAGTGTTGATGCTTTGGTTAACGAGTAGGTACTACAAATGACAGGCCTGGGCAAAGAGAGATACGTTTTGGTGCGTTTGGTGCGCTTGACTGAGCTACTTTTGATGTTCGTAGTGACGTGGCCCGGTCCGGCAAGAAAAGCCCGCTAGATTAATATGGTCTTGAGTTTGGCGTGTTGCTGGTGGTTTCGTTATACGACTAGATCGCGGTTTTCTGTTATGTTATGTTATGTTATGTTATGTTATTTTATTTTATTTCATTTTATTTTCACGCATTCGGCTGCGTCTTTCAGGGTCCTCCTGCCCGGCAGTGGGCACAGGACTGCGATATTTAATTTTGGCTCAGGGAAGCTCTGAGAGCGAGCAAAAAGAAGAGAACGAGGAAAGAAGAAACGCGTTTCTAAATACCGAAACTTTGTGTGTGGGTGTGTGTGAGTGTGTGAGTGTGGGTGTGATGAATAGACATATTGCTTCGTCGAGCGGTAGATCTTAGCACGACGACGTTTCTAGTAATTATTTGTTGTTATTGTTGTTGTTGTTGTTGTTTTTTTTCTTTCCTTTCAGCTCTGAGAGCACGTGACGTGGATCTTTCTCAGTCGCGTTTTTCTTCTTTCTTTTTTTTTTTTTTTTTTGAAGGTTCTGACCGTTGAGCCATGGCCCGAGAAGCGGCTTTAAAATAAGCAAAAGGAACCAAAAAGTCCGAAAAAGGCACACAGGGAACCGATGCTAGTGCGTTCGTGTGTGTTTGGGTGGTAGACACATTTACGGGAAGAAATACAACGCCCTTCAGAGCTGCAGTTTTGATATTTTCGTTCGGCCCATATATGTCGTTTCATACGTCACTATCCTGTGACACACCAGACAAGCACTAAATCAGCGTTTCGATAAGACACATGTATATCTATCAATCATTCAAACACACGGTGCCGTTTCAAGGTTGCATCTACAAAATTCAGAAACCGGTTCCCAACCCCCAACCAGACACCCACACTCTCTACCAGTCTAATTGGCCGATTCTTCCGATAAAACCATATTCCCTGTATTCTTATCACTTTTCCCCATTCTGACATTCATGTACCGTTGCACGGCAACGTCCGAATATCACTAACGCGACATTTCTAAATAAATTCGTGTTTCTTCTGATCACACACAACTCACTTACCGCCAACTCAAAACTCATCCATTGCATATAAAAAAAACCCCCCACAAAGCACGATGGATCCCGAACTCCAGATCAAAGCGCTGGTCGATACCCTGGCACCAAGGACCGCCCATCAATATAAGCTCTACCACACCAAATTTCTGCAATGGTGCCGAGATAATCAACTCGTCCGCACGCCTGTGGCAGATCATCCCTACAACGATGTCATTGTGACCGCCACACTGGTGCATTGGTTTGTGCTTTCGAAGTTTGTCTGTGCCAGGGATTCACAGCTGACAGTTTCCGTCCTCCGCAAAATGATCAGCGCTTTCAAATTCCTACATCGTGTATGCAAAGCATACGAGCCGGAGTATCCTTACGAGCTCGACCATGAGTATTTGGAAGACGTTGCCAAGTTGCACATCAGCGCCTGCGCCGAAAGGCCGGCAATCTCACCTCTAGAGATCGTCTCTACCAACATGTGGAGTCCTAACGGCAAACGATTCTCAGAAAAGTTCTTCAAAGGCGGCATCGAGAGACTAAGGTTTCTAGCCGATTTCCTTTTGCAGCAATATTGGCACCTCAATTTTGCCGAAAGATCCCATCTCACTTTGGGAGATCTTTTCGCAGCCCACAACTCGCAAATTCTACTGACAGATCGAGGCGTAGATAAGGCGCCGTCTTTTTCACAAAAATTGGCGCTTCTTCCACAGGATATTCCATGGAAATGTCCTCTCACCACTTTGGCAGCTTACTTTTTCCTGCGCTTTTACGGGGTACCAAAATCCTACCGAGGAGACGGTTTTCCTGATCTCCTAGAGGGCGAAGACTGGCGCTTTCTGCCGCTTATTCGTGGCAAGTTCATCGACAAGTACCCGCGCGAAGAAACGATGGCCAATTATTACGCAGACGTCTTCCGCACCTGCCACCTGCCTTACAAGAGGAGAGAATATTTTTATAACAAAATGGCCGATAACTGTCAATACCCTCGTGCGCGCCTCGATGAATTGAAGGAATTGGAAGAACTGGGCAAGGGCAAACAGAGCATTTATTTTCCACAGGATATCGGCATTGACTTTTTGAGACACATGAATGGATTACCTGTTTACAAGCCAGCCGCACCGCTTCGCGAGCGTTCCACTTTGGATCTACCACAGTCACTATTGGTCCAAGTTTTCCCAGAGATTGAATCCTACAAGAGGTCACTCGACAAGCTGAGCGACGATGCCAAGAAGTTTCTAAATTTGCTCGAATTGCTGCGAGATCGTCTAGTTGCAGCCTTGCCACTTATCAATCATTTTTATCCCGAGCACGATCTTCTCAGGGACTCAGTCTTTCAAAATGCAGAGTTCCAGACCTATTGTAAACAAAAGATCGAGGAGCTACGCGCTAAGGAAGAGCTACAGAAATTTGAGTCCGAAGTTCTGGATGGAACCAGCTCTGGACAAGCTTCGCTACCAATGGAGACGACAGAATTGACATCCTCTAGGCCATCTATGGTGCCTATACCGCAGGATTCTGATACAGAAAGTCTTCACACTTTCCTCCGCGATCAGACCTTTCGCATGGTTCAGTATCAAACTGTGACGAATTTCCACCTATTGTTGCAGTCGTTAAGCCGCGTTTTTGAAAAATTAGAGACCAAAAAAAGTACACGGGAATACATCCTTTATCAATTGGGCTCACTTGAACAATCGTTGCAGGAACGTATCACTCGTAGTGCTCCCGACGACGTGAAAAAAGAAGCGGACTCAAGTGCCGATACTTTAGCGCCAAGCAGACCAGAAGAACTCCCCAATAAAGCGTCTACGCAGCAGACAGGCTATGATAGCGATGCAGAAGATGATGACGACTACAAAGAAGAGGTTTCCGAGCAACCGTATGAAGACGAAGATGTGAACTCAAACTTACAAAGTGAACTTCAAGCGCTCGTTGCCCAGGTGATGGACGTCAAATTCAAAGAGGAAGTGGAGAAACACACTATCGAAACTGAGGCCCGCGTTCGTCAGCTGATTGCGACTCAGGTCAAGGAAGAAGTACGTAAACAATTGGCGCAATTCATGAATAAAGAGTCGCGTTCACCAACCCCACAATTGTTAGAAGAAAGCAAAGAGGAAACAAGTTCGATTTCCCAAAAACGTTTGAGAGATGAGTCTGAACCACCATTAGAGCAAAGTCCCGAATTGCAATTCACTCTGTCTCCGCACCTCGATAGCATAGAAGACATCGTGCTGGAGTGGTTTACGCCAAATCCTGAGATGGGCAACGAATGTGTGCATACCATGAACCGAAATTTTGGCAAGACTTGGAGAACATCTTCCACAAGGACATCTGATTTTTATAGGCAGCGGAAACTGATTGTCGAGTTCTACATATGTCTCGTCAATCAAAGGAAGATGGACAGATATAAAGCGGTTGCTGTGTGCGAAAATCTTAGGGGCAGTGAATCTCTAGAAGCGTTCAGCAATAAGCTTCGACAATGGAAAAAGCAACACGGCAATAAGTTTGACGGGCTTGGTTAGACGAGTAGGACACAGCATTGTCATGGATGCGTTCATGAACACAACTCGTTCACGTGACCCACGTTTGCTCATCGCCTGGTCTTCAATAATGAGTGAGGGAAATACCAATAAACGAACTAAGGTGAAGTAATGCTTTCAACTACTGCCAAGTACAAAAGTCTAGCTCTTACATGGTGCATTACAATCAAACCTTTTAATACTACAACGATATGGTAACGCACATACTATTAATGTGTTTGCTACGAAGCACTTTTGCAGTGGTGGTTCCTTGGCTCGATAATGATTTTTTTACCGAAAGCCAGGTGCGCACCGAAAACCTGGGGTTTGGCCGCCCGCCAGTGATACCGCCTAACGAGATAACAGACGACACACGAAGCCTTCCTCACGAAGGGTTCATCCCTGACTACGTGATAGATAGTTGCCCTTTGGTGCATCTCTACAGTGAAGAAGTTTATTATCCGGCTGACATTTCAGACTATATCAAGCATTTTGACATTCGCGCCCATAATGACTCGATTGTAAAAAACGCACCAGTGAGGCTTAGGGATTTGGATGCCAAAATTACTGCGTCTAACGAGCTCAGAGAGTCTGTGTCAAGCCAGGATACGTTTCTTTCCTCCCTTGACGACTTTGCTAGAGATCCGCGGTGGTTGCTGGGACACAAACCAGATTATAGTTCAGGCCTTATCGAAAACGCACCAGCAGTGTTGATAGTGGTAGACAAAGGCAACGGCTGGGTGGACGCCTATTGGTTTTATTTTTATTCGTTCAATTTGGGTGCTTTTATCATGGGCTATGGTCCCTGGGGGAACCATGTAGGCGATTGGGAACACTCTCTGGTGCGGTTTTACGAAGGAGAACCCCAGTATCTTTGGATGAGTGCTCACGGAGGTGGCGGATGCTACAAATACGATGCTATCGAGAAAAAAACTCGCGTGCGCTACGGCGAAACCGAACCGACTTCTAAGATTTTGGAAAGACCGCTGATCTTCAGCGCCAGGGGCACGCACGCAAATTATGCTTCTGTTGGTCAGCACGCACACGACGTACCGTTTTTTTTTAGCGCCCTTAGCGACTTCACAGACCGCGGCCCTCTTTGGGATCCATCCCTCAACTATCTGGCCTATACTTATAACGGCACAGCTGCCACTCCTGCTTCAGAGCGCGAAGCAGAGATTGGTAGCGAATGGCTGTATTACCTGGGTCATTGGGGGGACAGGCAGCTAGACAGGAAAGATCCACGGCAAAAGTGGTGTCCTGTGCAATGGCGCTACATCGATGGGCCCAGAGGGCCTTTGGCCAAAAACCTGGAGCGAACTGGCCTTTGCGAGCGTCGCAAATGGTGGAACTTCTGGGGCGGGTGCCCGGCAAGAAGAAGTATAAAGCGCGGACAGGGCATTGATGCCGAGCACAACGACCTTGTGGGCGACAATTGTGGAATTCTACTCTATAGAATTCGTCCCAAATGGCTGAGGTCTCTCGCGCGACTGGTTATGTGGCGTGGAGTCACCTGCTTCATCATGGATTACTTTACCGGTTGAAGTTCGGCAAACATAGTTCTCACCAGCTGAGGCTTATAAGCGTTATTTCGGTCCTTTTAACGTGATTCGAAGCCCAGAAGTGATAACAAGCGGTGGGCATCGGCTCTAGACAAACAAGACTAAAAAGGGCTGACGGAGGCTTGAAAAGTTCAAGAAGATTGCATTTGACTAAAGTTTGGCAGCTAAATCGACTACCAGACAAATCATTGTTGTATTAAAGCTCTATAAGTGCGGCTACCAGAGTGGAATCTATCTTAGCCGCCTAGCTTTCTCGCCATGTATCGAATGTTCTGGAAAAACTACCTGCATTTCTCCAGATTATTCCTGGCTGACGTAATCAATGACAGAATATTCGAGAGACGAGTAGACTGTGCCAGAACAACGAAATGACAAATGCTGATGAACAAACACGACAGCTTCGAGCAGGATGGATGGCAAGTATAAAATGGCAAGACTTGATCTGAGTAACGACGATGAATGTTAATGTCCAAGATCATCAAAGAAGTTTAAGAAAGGTAATTCAACACCACCAAAACTACTGAACCACGACAATTAAGAAAAACATGCTTTCATTTTCTCAATCCCCTTGCATTTATGAGTACCAAAAGCCTGCCTTTGAGGCCTTCGCACCTTTTAGCATGGTTCCTGGACCCAAAAGGAGAAGAGTGAATTACCAGACATTATGTGCCCCAGACGCGCGTCCTGCTCAAGCTCCAATAAGATGGGATGTTACAGAGAAGGAAAACGAATACGTGGTGTCATTTTTCAAACGCTTAGATGGAGATGTTCTTGGCAAAGCCGTTCGTCGTCATCTGCAAAGACTAAGAGAAGAACGTAAGCCATCATACCATGTCGTTCGTGATTTCTTCGGTAACGAGTACTACGTCGAAAACCGTTTTGACGACGAAGCCTTCGTTAGAGAGGCCATGGCTACGTTAGATATCTCTTCGATTCAGGCACAGGTTGCCAAGCAAGGTTTCAAAGATTTCGAAATCACCTTGAACCACAGTGGTGACAAACTTTTGGTGGAGAGCAACAGAGACATGTTCCACCAAGAATTCACGCTGGGCGTGGAATTCCAAGACGTCTGTATAAACGGTTTCGAAATGGTGAACGACAATGTTGCTGCGCTCAGAGTGGGCGTTAAAAAACCCTCAACAAGAGCATCTTTCCCCATCAGTCTAAGATTGATCGGTGATCACGCCGAGAACAGTGAGTCTGAAGAAGACCATTCGGAGGAAAGAGAAGATGAACACGCAAAGGCGGAAGAATTCCGAAAGGTAATGCAAGAAGCTCACAGATTGCAAGAAAGAGAGGAGCTCGCACGTCAACAAGAGGCTCACAGGTTGCAACAAAAAGAGGAGCTTGCACGTCAACAAGAAGCCCACAGATTTCAGCAAAGAGAGGAGCTTGCACTTCAACAAGAAGCTCTAAGGTTACAGGAGGCTGAGCGTGAGATGGAGGAGAAAGAAGCTGCGAGGTCCAAAGCCGCGAAGGCTAAAGCCGCGAAGCGCATTGCTCATCGAAACAAAAAGCAGGCCATTTTGGAAAAGAAGGCATTCTTGTTGGAGCAAAAACGCAAGGCACGTGAGGCCAAAGAGTCAAAAGAAGCAGAAGAAACTCTTGCTTCGGCATCAAGAACTCAAACACCTTCTCCTTCGCCTGTAGTGATTAACATCAATATCAATGCACCCCAAGAGATACCAACAACCACAGGTACACCCGTTCAAAAAACGGCCCGTGGTCGCTCGCACTCGCCCGTTCTCGAGGACGTCGACGATGAAGAACTTCAGAGGTACCGCCAGTCGCTTCACCTTTCACCAAGAGGGTCATCAGTTGTTGACAACGTCTAATAGTATAGTTAGAAATATAATTACAAATAATAACGATGTTACGAAAAAAAGAATATTTAGTGAAACAATACAGTCGGTAGTATGTGAAGCTTGTGCGCTTCAGCTGGTGAGTGGTGGTTTAACACATAGAAATACACTAGATTCGCTCTATCATTATCAAAATGCCAGCTAAAATATATTGTCTCGTGACATAGAGCTTTTGGTCTGAGTATGCAATTCTTTTAAGCTTTCATCAAAACGGGCGTGTGGCGTAGTTGGTAGCGCGCTCCCTTAGCATGGGAGAGGTCATCGGTTCGACTCCGGTCTCGTCCAAATTAAATTTTTTTGTTCATTTTTGTCAACAGAAATGGACTGCAATGGCGTTTGCTTGAAGCATTAGAAGAAACGTTGACGTTGTTTTGGAAGGACTGCCTACGATTGGAATAATAGAAACACCCAATATTTCAACACAACAATTGGGGTGGAAACAGGTAGACCAGAAATACCTACCGGTATCATGGGCAGGTTTGAAATGCGCTAAACAACAAGTTCGTTGATGAAGACTTTTGATTGCTCGTGAATATCATGTGACTTGTCATGTGACTCAATGAGAAGCAATCCGTCATGTGAAAGGCATGTGCTCAGGATGTGCCTACGTTAGAAATCAAAATTCCATGCTTCTTAGTAATAACTCTAGGATCTTCTTATAAGAAATTATGCGACCCTGTGGAACACTTTATCCAAAACCTACCCTGTTTTTCAAAACTCAAAACGCAAAGCGGGTCTCTCTCCATAACGACCGCTACGGCTGTCATATTTCATTGAATTCTGGTGATCTCGAGCTTCTTAACGATACCAAAATCAACACGGTCCTAGTTTTTTCAAAAGTTGCTGTGCTGTCATCCAAGCTAAGCCTTAGAACATATCACTTCACATCAAATTCAGCTTTTTTTCCTTCAACCACGCTTAAGTTCGCATGCCGGGAATCGAAGCGGGAGGAGCCAGTCGCGATGCCACTTTGACATTCCAGGACTCGTTGTACGACCAGGCCAGAGCAATGAGCCATCTTTCGGTGCATTACGGCTCCCACAACGAGAACATACAGGAGCTTTTGGAAGCGCTGGTCTTGGTGGCAAGCAGCGGACGCAAACTTATTTTTTTGGGCACAGGCAAGTCATTCAAAATCGTGCACAAGTCAGTAGCGATGCTAACATCGCTTGGTATAGACGCCCGTGCATTGCACCCCAGCGAAGCGCTACATGGTGACATGGGCGCGGTGAGACCTGGCGATGCTTTGTTGGTGTGTTCCAGCAGTGGCGAGACCCAGGAGCTTGTGACGTTTTTGAAGCACACCAAAACGGTGCTGGAGCCCTCTCTGACAGTATTGGTATCGTCAAGTACGCATTCCACGCTGCACACACTCGTGGACAAAGTGTTGTACGTTCCACAACCACACGGGTTCCGTGAAACAACACTGCAGCACGGGTTGCCGTCCCCCACCATTTCCACTACTCTTATGCTGTCGGTTTTGGATTCGTTTTGTTTGGCGCTATCTGAACTGTATTACGACGGCGACGTGGAACAGAGGTTACGGTTTTTCAAGAAAATGCACCCTGGCGGTGGTATTGGCAAACAGCTGGCTGTGGCCACTGTTGCGGAGCCCCTGGCGGTAGCTCACGCGATGGGACCACGCCCTGGTTTCCCCAGCAGAAACGAATGCTATATTTCGTGCGACGTGTCAGAAGGTTTATTCTTGCAGTACGTGGTGGAGTTTGATTACTGCGTGATTGAAGGTGTGCGGTACAGCTCGCATGTGTTGCAGCACTGGTATCGGACCTGGAAGCGTATGTCGCGCGAACAAACACATCCCAAGACCGCGTTGAATGGGAGCTGGGATCTGGCGTGGGTGCTGGCACCTCGGTCCGCAACAGAAGCCGTTTGAAAACAAAGACGATATAATTTCTCGTGTAAATAGGAACGATGTTTAGAGCCTTAGGATCGAATGGAATAAATTTTGGCAGCAAGGGCTCAATTCATTGTGGAAAGCTCGTCATAGTGACTAAAATAAGAAAACTAGAAGTGGCAGTGATAAACAAAGTATAAGAGGGAATGAAAAATCGAAAAAAAATTAGAAAAGGCAATCATCAGGACAGAAATATGCGAACCTCAGTGGCTTGTCTTTTACCACTTACATGGCATGACTTGGATACAAAATATGTAGAGATGTTCTTGATAATTATACACGACGCTGACACTCTTATATACAATGGAATATGTATCCTCAATTATTGAGACAATCAACAATAAGGTACTCTGGCCGAGTGGTTTAAGGCGCCAGGTCGAGGTCCTGGTCTCTTCGGAGGCGTGAGTTCGAATCTCGCGGGTATCATTACTTTTTGGTAATTAGCACTTTATTTAACTGTCGTGTAAAGTGCGCAATTCCAAGACTTAACACGCATTGTCATTCGACGGTTGAATTCCCGTGTTGGAGGGGGGAGAGAATACGGTAGCGACGACAACGGTGATTGTTTGGGTAGTTATGGAAATTCTGAAACTTCCTAAAGGAGGAAATACGTCAGATGACCCGATTTGTTTTTTTTCTGGACGCGAAACGGGGCTTTTGAGAAAGGTGGGAGGAAGAGAGAGAACAGATTGGGTAAAATCGAGACATGTGTCTTGTGCCCATTGTTTGTTCGCCTTTGAAGGAGAAACCGTTGGCATCCCAGTGAGAGACGGGGAGGGTCCGTACATAATGACCAGTTAGCTCAACCCAGGGCCTGGATTTGAAGACGAATTTTTGGAATTCGCGAATCACGTCGTTAAACACGAACGCGGCTTTTCAAAAAAAACAAGAATCATTTATTGTTGAAGTAATCATCATTTGCAGTGAGCGGGGATTGACCCTTTGTTTTTCTTGGGTTTGGGATCCCATTTGAGTGCCACTTCCAGGACCCTCATTTGACTCCCTGGATTCGTGCCGGGTTCTTTACGGGTCGTGTCATCGTATACGAGATAATTGGAACCCGTAGGCATTATATACGAATGGCTTTCGTGGTTTATCCCTGGTACACGTGGATTTCCATGAGCGGTTGGGAAAGTGACTATTGAGGAAGGAAATGAACTCCTTCATTGAAGAGCTAGGGTAGAACCCGACTTTTCTCAAACTGGGGTTTCCTTTGTAATCACTCATCCAAGAGCCAAGTATCTGAGAGGTGTCCGCTTTTCTCAATCTGGGTTCCACTTAGAGATCCAATCGAGAACCCATTCCGTATATAGTTACTACCCATTTGGGATCCATTTCTGGATTGGAGAACGGGTAGCCTCTTGTAGCCTCGGGTAGCCTATTTTGGCCACCCGTATTCACTTCCTGTCACTGTGCTAGCAAATGCTGGTCTTTAAGGTGCAAAACTTGTGCTTTGAACTACGTATTACGTCTGGTATCAGCTACTCACTGCAAGAATCCTAATCACTAGAATTGGTCTTTATCAAGGAAAAAATCTGACATATCGTGTTGCGCCCAGCTGACCTCTTCGATTGTAAAGATATCTTTGGCGGCTCCTCAAAACCATTGTGGGCTTAAGGTTCACTTTGGATAGCAGAAATCGCTCTTCAATAGCCCTCCTACTGATAGATGGACCTCAGCCGTGGACAATCTGATCTAGTAGAAATAAGATGATAAGACACCTAAAGAATCCATCACGAATCCAATTGATTTTGTTTACGCGTGGGTTTTGAATGCTAGCGTTTTTTCCTGAGACTATAAAAAGACTGGGCGGTTTAGACCTTTCATTCCTCTTTCCATGTCTCCTCACGTTCACTTCAGAGGTACAAACATGTATAAACTTAGAACCGGGACGGAAGGATGTAAGAAAAGTACAACATATTTGGACTACTGGACAAAGAACCCGAGCCGCTTTCCCGCAATTTGCTCACTAGCCCTTTCTTTCTACAATACAAAATCATCGACTGCTGATTTTGAAAGATGTTTCTCCATAAGTAAGAGAGTCCTGGACAATAGGTTCTCGCTGTCGAGCTCGAACTTGAGAAACACGATGGTGTTGAGAAACCGAATGAAGTGCTTTGATATATGTTCGGAAATGCCTGTCGTTGAAAGCATTCCCATAGAGTGGACAAGTGAAGATACTATTGAGCTCATCTTGCACTGTAGAAACGTCTTCTATCAACGATGATGACGTACAGATCTTAGAAGACGAGTCCAGTGAAGAGAGTGGTAGTGAATACGAGCTCTAGCCCAAGGAAAAGAGAGTATAGCACTTTCCTCGAGTAATATACATACTAAATACGCGAATGATATTTCAAATGATATAATTCTCGGCCATTGGCGGTTCCTGTTGCAACTCCAAGCGATGACTACGTTTACAGTGATTGATTCGCGCTCATTAGCGAGTCCTTCTTCGTACTTGACGACGTGATTCGCGAATCCCTGGATTCGTGGTCGAAAAAGCCGGATTCGCCGGATTCGTCCCCAGTCCCGGCTAATTGACAAGAGTCAATCACTTTGAACGTAGTCATCGCTTAAAATCAACGGGCTGACGTTGCAAAGAAGATCCGCCAATGGCCGAGAATTAAGGCATTTGAAGTCTCATTGACGTATTTAGTATGCTAAAGTCTCTTTCCCTTGGGCTAGAGCTCGTATTCACTGGACTTGTCTTCTAACATCTGTACGTCATGTGCAAGAAGAGCTCAGATCAGTATCTTCACTTGTCTACTTTTTGGGACTGCTTTCACCGATTGGCTTATCCGAACATATATCCAAGCACTTCATTCGGATTCGTGAAGGATGCTTTAAGCGTCGTATCGTCGTATACGAAATAACCCTAATCCTCTTCAATCATGTTGAACGACGGGGTTCGTGCACTGGATTCAAAATTTGTCCCCCGGTCTTGAACAAGATGTCTGTATGAACAAATGAGCCGTTGATCATTCAACTTGTAGCGGAATATCGAAATCCTAGTATCGGGATTTGGAATTGGAAAAAGTAAATCTGATTTCCAATGCTCAAGAGGGTACTTTTAAGTGCAGATCGAGAACTATACATATAATATATATATATATATATATATACATGTATGTGTTTGCTGGTGTCAGTAGTTCGCTTCCAAACACGAGTAGTTATTTCTCTCCTCCTTTAGCAGTGGAGAGAGTGTCTGCCATGAGTGTCTGCCATATGTATTTGTGTCATCAGAGCACTTACGTAATCTTGCTGCTTACCTAAGTCTGCTGCTTACCTAACACTACTGCTTACCTAACATCCTGTTGGCCAGCCACTCAGCCCCACACACACGCGTGCGCCTCCTTCTCACTAGCCACGTGACCCAACCCAACCCACTCTCACCCATACTTTTCCATACATTCTTCTATTTTAAGACACGCGCCGCGCCCACACCACACACGCGTCTTGACTCTTCTTCCTTTTTTGTTCTTGCCGTTTCTAAGTGACAACCACTCATCACTCCAAACGACCAAAAATTTCACACTCCCTCAAAGTTTTCGGTTTTTTTTTTTTGTTTCGCACACCAAAAAAAACTTAACCGAATAAAAATTCCCACTGTCGCTAGGGAAACATTGGAAAAAATCCACATACTTGAGAAACAAAACTGAGCAAGGACAGGAAAAACAGGAAAAACAGGAGAAACTGGAAAAACAAGAAAACAGGAAATTCAAGAAATTCAAGAAATTCAAGAAATACAACTAGAAACCAAGGACGTTTTGACTAGAAACTGACCAACCACTGAAAACAGACAACATTTATCAAGACCATCGATAAGTCCATCGTCATCGTCATCTTCATCGTCATCTTCATCGTCGTTATTATCTCCGAACTATAAGATTAAATTGTCTTTGTTTTCGCCATTTATCGTCATCTTCTTCATCTTCAACATCACCTTCATCTTCATCTTCATCAACTTTGCCATCACTATCAACAACAACAACAAAACACACGAGCGTGAGGCTAATAACTGCGCAAAAAGACTTCAGCCACCCAGCAAATCCGCCGTCGTGTCTATTACAATCATCGCAGAATCGACTTTTAGAGAAGAAGATATTATTCATTCATATTCAAGTGAGGTGAAAAAAAACAAACCAGGCCGAATCACACGAATCAGCCCGGATCACGAATCAAAATTTTTGACAAAAATTGTGCTAGAAACACCCCGCTGTTTGTGTTTGCTTTCTTTCGTTCTTCCTTCTGATTTCAACTCACACTCACACACACACACACACACACACAAACTCTCTCTCTCTCCGCATGTCCGTACGCAATCTCACGGCCCAGCACCCGGGTTCCAACAGTTCGGGCTCCAATTCGAGCGATACCGCCGCTCCAGCTGCTCCAGCAGGATCATCGTCCATCCCTCCACCCAGTAATCCGTTCGCTGACGACGCCGAAGACGACACCTACGGTTCCTACAGCGGCAGCGAATCGTCACTGATCCACCACAACAACAACAACAACAGCAGCAGCAATACCAACATCCACAACGCCAGCGGCATGGGCGCCAAATCCACAACCGATTACAGAGGATACTACTCCCGAGGAGCAGCCGGCTCCCGTCAAAACGGTGCCAGACCTACAAACACAGCGTCCGCCAACCGTCTGAACGCTGCACCCGCCGCGTTGCCCTCCAGCACCAGTCTGAGCTCCCATTTGGGCATCTCCAACAACGATATCACGGCTCCGCCCGGTTTTGACAGGTACCCCATCGTGGCCGGGTCTCGCGTCTCGTCCATGGCTCCCGTGGCAGAAAGCGCTGCAAACCACAATCCACACCATCACCATCCACCAGGCCCCAGCAATAACAACTCATCGGCCTCCATCACTTCTTCGGACCCATTCATAAGTGATCAAGACTTTTCACCCTTCGGAGGCTACCCAGCATCGTCGTTCCCACTTCATCTTGAAGAAAAGGAAGATGACGATTATCTACACAACCCTGACCCCGAGGAAGAGGCAAGGCTCGACAAGCATCGTTTCGCATTCGATTTCAAACACATGGACAAACGTTCCGCAGGAGGTTACATCAGTTTCTTGCTGCTGTTTCTCGGTGTAATAGCGGTATTCATTATTTTGCCCGTATTGACGTTTACCGGTGCCGTGAACCACGGTTCCCCAGAAACAATCACTTTCCTTTCGCTTTACGAGTATCCACAACTATCCGCAATCCGCACGTCTCTCGTGGACCCCGATACGCCCGATAATGCCAAAAGTTTCACTGCCAAAGACGGTTCGTCTTGGCCTCTGGTGTTTTCAGACGAGTTTAACGCTGAGGGCAGAACTTTCTACGAAGGGGATGACCAGTTCTGGACTGCTGTAGACATTCACTACGACGCTACCCATGATTTGGAATGGTATTCTCCAGATGCTGCTCAAACCGCAAACGGTACCCTACAGCTCACTTTGGATGCTTACAAGAACCACGGTCTATACTACAGGTCCGGTATGGTTCAAAGTTGGAACAAGATGTGCTTCACTCAAGGCTACATCGAAGCTTCAGCCAATTTGCCTAATTATGGTCGTGTTATGGGATTGTGGCCCGGTATGTGGACTATGGGAAATCTGGCTAGACCAGGTTATCTGGCATCCACTGAGGGTCTATGGCCTTACTCCTATTCCTCTTGTGATGCCGGTATCACACCAAATCAAAGTTCTCCAGATGGTATTTCTATGTTGCCGGGTCAAAGACTATCGGTTTGCACGTGCGATGGTGAAGATCATCCTAATCAAGGTGTCGGAAGAGGTGCTCCTGAAATCGATATCATCGAAGCCGAAACGGATACCACAATTGGCGTTGGTTTGGCTTCTCAGTCTCTGCAAATCGCTCCTTTCGATATCTGGTATATCCCAGATTATGAGTTTGTGGAAATTTACAACACTTCTACTACTGTTATGAATACTTACTGTGGTGGTCCATTCCAACAAGCCGTCTCTGCAGTCTCTACTCTCAATTCTTCATGGTACGAGTTTGGCCCTGACGCTGGGTATTACCAGTCGTATGGTTTTGAACTGATTAATGACGTTGATAATGGATATTTGAGATGGTTTGTGGGCGACAAACCTACTTACACCATATACTCAAAAGCTCTACACCCCAACGGTAACATTGATTGGAGATTACTGAGTAAGGAGCCTATGTCTGTCATTTTGAACTTGGGTCTCTCTACCAATTGGGCATACATTGATTTCAACTCCATTTTCTTCCCAGTGACAATGAGCATCGACTACGTGCGCGTTTATCAACCAAGTGACGCGATTAATGTGAACTGCAGTCCAGATGATTACCCAACATACGAATACATCCAGAAGCACTTGAACGCTTACACCAATTCCAACTTGACCCAGTGGGAAGATGCCGGGTACAGTACCCCAAAGAACATTCTCACGGGAAACTGTAAGAGTTCAAAGTATTCGCTTCCTCAAAAGTCCTAGAGAATCGAACAAGAAGGATAAATTTGCATAACCAGGTGGGAAAAGTCATACGTTAAGATAACCAAAACAAAAAAAAATTGGGGAAGAGTGCTAGAGGCGATTCGCATAAGTGGATTCACTGTTCGAAAGAAGCAAACTCGGTGTGGTATTAGCGGTCTTATATAAACGTCCACCGCTCGTTCTTATACTATTATATACATCCGTCCATTTTCAGAGGACTAACATCGTAATTTGATATTTTGTTATTATCGTGACGTGGGTGGTTTGATCGCTCAAAATTGTTCTGCGATAATTTGACGTAGCAAAAAGGAACGTCTGTACCAATAACTGGTTTAAACTGTAGCCATTGCATTCCTCAGAGCCTTACAGGTCAATCAAAACCACTCATTCTATAGGCTTCTCACACACACTAATACTTCCATTTATTTTTCAAAAAAATAAGCTCCGATACGGGGAGTCGAACCCCAGTCTCCACGGTGAAAGCGTGATGTGATAGCCGTTACACTATATCGGAATGGAGCTTGATAGAGGTGAATAACTAAATGCTCTATATAAAATGAAACAGCGCGTGATGACTCTTCTGCAGATCGATGTTGACTTCTTATGTACAGTTTATTGGAGGACATGTTGACGTTCATTCAATTCCATTGTGTACTAAATCGTCACCAAGCGTGTATATTGTGGTTGTCAAAACTACGTTACAAGTCTCGTACGTTTTACCGTTGACTCACGGCCGCGCTGATCCTAATATGTTTCAATTTCAAAAGTCTGGTCCAAAATGACACTTTCATCGTCAGCGTGAATCACAAAGCAACGATCACGCCCTAAATTCGTGATAGTTTTGAGGCTGCTCCTCGGGCGTGCTACAGTTTTCAAAATCAATTGAAGCCGCAACATGCTCCAGATTGGCTTTAAGCACCGAGGATTTTTCGGAGATTTACACTACAGTGTCTCGGATACCCACGACCATTTTAAAATCTGCTTCCTCAAATGTAATAGAGCTCATTCAAAGCTACCCACTACACACGCTGATATGGTATCGTACAGCTTCATCGAGCCAGTGGCATCAGTTCAAGCACATGCATAGTACTATGCCTCATATGTTGCACTAACTTAAACCAAAACATCAACAAGCGCAAGTGGTTTAGTGGTAAAATCCAACGTTGCCATCGTTGGGCCCCCGGTTCGATTCCGGGCTTGCGCATATTTTTGCATCTCCATTCACATCGAAAATTAATTGGATCTTCGAAGCACTCGAACAAAATTGTGACATTTTGAATCTTGGATAACTCGAAAAAGTTTGGGCGGATTGTACAAGCTTTCTTCAGTCCCCAAGCCTGCTACGTTAAGCTGCTTTAACAATCACAACTGGTTTTGAGATATGTCGTCGCCGCCGGGTGGTCAGAACGATGTTCCAAGCTCAACTTTTGGCGACGAGAATAATCGATTATTTCACAACAGTCAAGATGGGCTGAATATCCCATCATCCGTACCGCCTGCAAATCAATCATCCCCCCCGTTCTCTTCGATTGGAGGGGCTTATGGCGATGATACCGGCTCTGGTGGTCATTCCGGTGCCACACCGATATTCCCCAGTTCCTCCATGGGAAATGTAAATCGCCATTCCCAACAAAACCAGGCCTTTAGCAGTGAGAGCTTTGCAAGAGAACAAAACGATAACGGAGGTGAATTTGAAGATGACAACTTGCCACTGGGAGGCGTGAGAACAAGGAACCTTAATACCATAAAAAAAGTCGACGATGTTACCGGTGAAAAAGTTCGCGAGGCGTTCGAGCATTTCTTGGAGGATTTCACATTCGAGCCATCTGAAGATAACGACCAGCAGGGTCCAGTGAAAGTTTACCGGTCACAAATACAATTTATGAAGATCTACGATCTCAGCACTATCTACATTGATTATCAGCATTTATCGACACGAGAGAATGGTGTTTTGGCTGCAGCTATCGCAGAACAATATTATCGGTTTTTGCCTTTCCTTCAAAAAGGTTTAAGGCGAGTCATTCGTAAATATGCTCCGGAATTACTGTTGACGTCCGATTCGGTCGTCAGTTCTCAAAATTCAGAGAACCTGAATACCCAAACTAATACAGGTTTTGATTCTTTGACTCAGGGAAGCCAATTAACGGGGACTGGAGCGGGAAACCCTAGCTCTGGTTTTGCCACAGGTGCATCGACAACCAGCTCACCAGAGCAGTCAGAACGCGTTTTCCAGATCAGCTTTTTCAACCTACCAACAGTACATCGAATTCGTGACATTAGAGCCGAAAAGATTGGTTCTTTGATGTCAATTTCGGGTACTGTCACTAGAACATCTGAAGTTCGGCCCGAGCTTTACAAAGCTAGTTTCTCTTGTGAAATGTGTCGTGCAGTCGTTGACAATGTCGAGCAGGTATTCAAATATACGGAACCCACCTATTGTCCCAATCCCTCCTGCGAGAATCAGGCATTTTGGACCCTCACGGTTGGTAGATCAAAATTTCTGAATTGGCAAAAGGTGAGGATTCAAGAGAATGCAAATGAAATCCCCACGGGTTCGATGCCTCGGACGATGGACGTGATTTTGCGAGGCGACTGTGTGGAAAGAGCGAAACCAGGAGACAGGTGTAAATTCACCGGAACTGAAATTGTCGTACCTGACATTACCCAACTTGGACTACCAGGAGTCAAGCCAAGTGGTTCTATGGATAACAGAGGCATGTCCAGAAGTTCCGATGGTCTGAACACAGGTGTTAGCGGACTCAAAAGCCTCGGGGTACGTGACCTGACCTATAAAATCAACTTCTTGGCTTGCCATGTCATATCGACAGGACAACACAGTGCCAGCGGTGGGTCAAAAGACCAAGAGGATAATGCAGACTTGCTCAACATGCAAAATAGTAATTTCGATAACGATGGTGAAAGGGACCAGGAAATCTTTTTGAACAGTTTGGATTCTCAGGAGATCAACGAATTAAAGGAAATGGTTAAAGACGAACAAATTTACGACAAATTGGTGAGATCAATCGCACCAGCTGTTTTTGGCCACACGACCGTTAAAAAGGGAATATTACTTCAAATGTTGGGCGGTGTTCACAAGACGACAGTGGAAGGAATCAATTTAAGAGGTGACATCAATATTTGCATTGTGGGCGATCCTTCTACGTCCAAGTCCCAGTTTTTGAAATACGTTTGTGGATTTGCCCCCAGGGCAGTCTATACATCCGGAAAAGCTTCGTCTGCTGCAGGGTTGACAGCAGCAGTTGTGAAGGATGAAGAGGCTGGGGACTTCACCATCGAAGCAGGTGCCCTCATGCTGGCAGATAACGGTATTTGTGCGATTGACGAGTTTGACAAGATGGATCTTTCCGACCAAGTTGCCATTCACGAGGCAATGGAGCAGCAAACAATTTCGATTGCGAAGGCTGGTATCCATGCAACTTTGAACGCGCGTACATCTATACTTGCTGCAGCGAACCCTGTGGGTGGACGTTACAACAGGAAATTGACTTTGAGAGGTAATCTCAACATGACGGCGCCTATCATGTCGCGTTTTGACCTGTTTTTCGTGGTGCTCGACGATTGCAATGAGAAGATCGACACAGAACTTGCTGCACACATTGTTGATCTGCACATGAAAAGGGACGACGCTATCGACCCTCCATTCACTCCGGAACAATTGAGACGGTACATCAAATATGCCCGAACTTTCAAGCCTGTGCTCAACGAAGAAGCTCGGGCGTATCTGGTTAACAAATACAAGGAGTTGCGTAAAGATGACGCTCAGGGTTTCAGCAAATCGAGCTACAGAATCACTGTGAGACAGCTGGAGAGTATGATTCGTCTTTCCGAAGCCATTGCACGGGCGAACTGTGTTGATGAAATCTCACCCATGTTTGTGGCGGAGGCTTTCGACCTACTGAGACAAAGTATCATTCGAGTCGACGTCGAAGACGTCGATGTCACCGGCGATTCGGACGACGAGAACGATAACGACGAATCTCGTGGGGACGATGCCTCGAGGGACCCAGAGGCCCCAGGGACGCCAGGAACACCAGGACCAACCGCTGACAGTACCACCCGCGGTCATACGCCTCCACCTCACGACGATTCCTCGACAAACAAGCCTAAGGGCAAGGTCACCATTTCCTACGACAAATACGCCGCTATGATCAACCTTATTGTACAGAAAGTAGCTCAAGAGGACCGTGACGGCGGTGCAGAGCTCACAGCCACCGATATCGTCGACTGGTATCTACTGCAACGTGAAAATGAGCTCAACAGCGAGGCCGAATATTGGCAAGAACGCAAGCTGGCTTTCAAAGTGATCAAACGACTTGTCAAGGACAAGATTCTCATGCAAGTTCACGGCAACATGCAAGAGCTAGCAGAGCACGAGTCTGCCCATCCTACGTCCGAGAAGATTGTCTACGTTATTCATCCAAATTGTGCCGTTCTCGACAGCATTGTGGGATCTTCTGCCGAAAGAAATTCTTGAGAAGTAAAGCTTGATCTTTGCATAGCTTGAGGCCACATCTAAAGAGATCTTGAAGGTCTCAGACCTCTCTCTCGGCCTGTCACTGTCATCATCGTCATCTTCATCACCATTGTCACCTGAGCAGCAACTGTACTCGACAATGCCCATCCTCCACTCAAATGTACTCACCATCCCATTTCTCCTATCCGGACACTGTCCCAGTGATGTGACATCGAAGCTCAACAAGGGGTATACCTTCCATGGTAACAGGCACTTGTGAAGCCGACAACCGGATGTAGATTTAGGGGTTACGGGCTCGGAGAGTATTCTCGCCAAAGGTATAAAAGGGCAGCCTTTCTCGAAGGGAATCGTACCCGTGAGAGGTTCCCTTTTTCTTGAACTTCTCGACGATAACGACGGCAGACAACATTGGACAAGAGCGCCTTCTGTGCAAGGCATTGGACAATTTTTGGGGCTTGAATTCCAAGCTTTTCGACTGCTGAGTTAGCTGCTACTACTTGGCTCGTTTTTTCGACCATTCTACCGTTTGTTTTGCCAATTTCATCGAACAATGTTCAATACAACAAGACCAAGTGTGGGAAAAAGCTTGTCAAGCGACCTTATTAGTGAAGATCCCAATGCACCCCGTGTTCCACGTCTCACAAGACGTTTAACGGGATTCTTACCACAGGAAATCAAGGCAATTGAGACTAAGATTCCTGCACAATCGCGGGAAGTGTGGAACAAACACAAGGTGCAGAAGTTTTCAACAGCGGAAGAGTTTGAGGAAAAATTCATCTCCCATGTGGAATGGACGCTGGCACGCTCTTTGTACAATTGCGATGACATGGCTGCGTACCAGGCAACTTCGCAATCTGTGAGGGACAACCTGGTCATCGACTGGAATAAGACACAGCAGAGACAAACCGCAAGAGATGGTAAAAAAGTTTACTATTTGTCGCTTGAGTTTCTGATGGGAAGAGCTTTGGATAACGCCCTGATCAATATGAACACGGATACGGCTGCAGACGACGTTGGATCCACCAAAGAGATCTTAACCAAAGGAAATACGTCTCGCGAAATGATCCGGAATGCCATGAAACAACTGGGTTTCAAGCTGGAAGACATTTTAGAACAGGAGCCAGATGCAGCGCTTGGAAACGGTGGACTGGGCCGTTTGGCCGCTTGTTTTGTCGATTCTTTGGCAACTGGCAATTATCCAGCTTGGGGTTACGGTCTTCGCTACCAATACGGTATTTTCGCTCAAAAAATCATCAATGGCTACCAAGTTGAGACCCCTGATTACTGGCTGAACTTCAGTAACCCATGGGAGATCGACAGGTGGGAGATCCAAGTGCCCATTAACTTTTATGGGTACGTGGACCGTTCTAACAGCGAGAAAACTACCATTTCGCCTTCTGACTGGATCGGCGGCGAAAGGGTGCTTGCATTGGCTCATGATATGCCTATCCCAGGTTTCAAGACCTCCACGGTCAACAATCTGAGACTTTGGAGTGCTAAACCTACTACGGAATTTGATTTTGCCAAATTCAACAACGGGGACTACAAAAACTCGGTTGAGCAGCAGCAGCGGGCAGAGTCCATCACGGCAGTTCTGTATCCAAATGACAACTTCGACCAGGGCAAGGAGCTGCGTTTGAAGCAGCAGTATTTTTGGTGCGCCGCCTCCCTGCATGACATTGTTAGAAGGTTCAAGAAGAACAAGAGGCCGTGGTCTGAATTTCCGGATGCAATCGCCATTCAACTGAACGACACCCATCCAACTTTGGCCATCGTGGAATTGCAGAGAATTTTGGTGGATTTGGAAAAGCTGGAATGGCACTATTCTTGGGATATTGTAACCAGGACTTTTGCCTATACGAACCATACAGTTATGCAGGAGGCGTTGGAAAAATGGCCAGTTGGCCTGTTGGGCCATTTGTTGCCTAGACACTTGGAAATTATCTACGATATCAATTGGTTTTTCTTGCAGTCGGTCGAAAAGAAATTCCCACACGACGTGGGCTTGATGTCCCGGGTTTCGGTCATTGAAGAAGCTTCTCAAGAAAGGTACGTCCGCATGGCATTCTTGGCCATCATTGGGTCCCACAAAGTCAACGGTGTGGCCGAACTACACTCAGATTTGATCAAGACTACTATATTCCAGGACTTTGTTAAAATTTATGGTGCCAACAAGTTCACAAATGTCACGAACGGTATCACACCTAGAAGATGGTTAAAGCAAGCCAATCCAAAACTGGCCCAATTGATAAGCGAGACGATTAATGACCCAGATGACAATTATTTGCTAAATATGTCCAAGTTAACCGAACTACTCAAGTACGCCGAGGACGAGGCCTTCCAAACAAAATGGAACGACGTCAAACAGTTCAATAAGCTACGGTTAGCGGACCTAATCAAGCGCTTGAATGGTGGAGTCGATATCATTGACAGGGAGCACATTAGGAATACACTCTTTGACATCCAAGTCAAGCGGATTCACGAGTACAAGCGGCAGCAACTCAACATTTTCGGAGTTATTCACCGTTACCTGAGCATCAAGGAGCTCTTGCAATCTGGTACGCCCATCGAAAAAGTTGCTGAGCGGTATCCTCGCAAAGTTTCGATATTCGGAGGTAAGAGTGCACCCGGCTACTACATGGCCAAACTCATCATTAAGCTGGTGAATTCGGTGGCGGAAGTGGTGAATGCCGACTCTGAAATTCAAGACTTGCTCAAGGTCTTTTTCATTCCTGATTACAACGTGTCGAAAGCTGAGATTATTACGCCTGCTAGCGACTTGAGCGAACATATTTCGACTGCCGGCACTGAAGCTTCGGGCACGTCGAACATGAAGTTTGTTATGAACGGTGGACTAATCATCGGCACTGTGGATGGTGCCAATGTCGAAATCACGAGGGAGATTGGCGAAGACAACATATTCTTATTCGGGAATCTGAGCGAAAATGTCGAAGAGCTGCGTTACAAGCACCAGTTCTCGAAACCAGGTCTTCCAGAGGGTCTCCTCAAAGTGCTTAATACTTTAGAGAGCGGTGCATTTTCGCCCCAGAACTCTTCTGAGTTCAGGCCCTTGATCGACAGCATTAAACATCAAGGCGACTATTACCTGGTGAGCGACGACTTCGATTCTTACATCGCGACCCAGGACCTGGTCGATCAAGTTTACCACAAGGACAAGAAGGAGTGGCTCAAGAAGAGTATTTTGAGTGTTGCAAACGTAGGATTTTTCAGCAGCGACAGATGCATCGAGGAATATGCAGAAACAATCTGGAACGCCGAACCCGTCAAACCCGAATAGGGAGATTGTGAGTGAGTGACCTGGCATGACCAACAACAGATTGATCATCTGGTAGATTGTCCTGAGGTATTAAACAGATACATATATATACATATCAACTGTGTTGATTCACAGAAGAAAGACGACGACTTTACTGAAAGATAGCAACGACGACCCTGCCAGAAAGATGTAAACATACGTAAACTCGTCCGGAAAGGGAACAAGGTGAGGAGAACGTCTGGTTGCATTGTTTGTTATGATGACTCAGCTGTGTTCATTGTTTAGCTATAAAGGTTTCGCTTCGAGTACTCGTCCTGATGTCCCGACGTCCGGAGGACCGGTGAGTTCCGCTTTTCAAACAAAGCAGCCGAACTAGAACGTGGAGTTTCTCTCTTGGCGTTGGAGTTGCCGGAAGACTGCACACAACACCGCTAATTCCGCAAAGATAGGACTAAGAACTTGAAGTGCGGTCAAGAGAACTGCAGCTTTGCTTGCAACAAATTCGAGCCGTGAGGGTCAAAAGATGTCATATACAACAAGAAACTACCATCTAGGTCATGCCAAGGGTTTGTTGATTTTAGAATGTCAAGGGCTTTAGCCCGTGGTCATGGATTAGCCAGTGACTCAAAACTGTACAAGAAACATGTATATATAAGCGTGAGTAGAATGAGGAGGACGGTTGATAGTCGGTCGATGTGTACTGGAGAAGTGCTGGACATTTAACGTTAAATAGTAGATATCCTGTCTCGAAGTTGAGATTAAAAGCGTTGGTACAAGATGTCCGGAGACAACAATGTGCTTGTGTCGTCAGACTCTTTTATAGAAAGAGAAGTCAAGAACAGCTACAAGACACCGGGAATAAAACCGCAGCATGAAGTTACCTGGCGTGAAGTGAAAACTTACCTGAAGACTCGGTTTACAACGCTGTTCCCAACAAAAGAGGAACTCAAAGACAACTATCGGAAATATCCGGTGAATCCATTTCCTGCACTGGGATGCATGAACGCACAGCAAACACAATTCTTCATTGTAGGGTTTTTGGCATGGACTTGGGATGCCCTAGATTTCTTTGCCGTTTCTTTGAACATGGCAGGCATTGCCAAAGACCTCGATAAACCTATCAAAGATATCACCCATGCTATAACACTGGTTTTGCTGTTGAGAGTCATTGGTGCTGTCATTTTCGGCTATCTGGGCGACCGGTTTGGCCGGAAACTGCCGTACTGCATCTCAATGGCGCTCATCATCGTGATCCAGATAGCCACTGGCTTTGTTAAGACGTTTCCGGCATTTTTGGGCTGTCGTGCGCTTTTTGGCATAGTAATGGGGTCCATATATGGTGTTGCAAGTGCAACTTCGTTGGAAAACGCCCCGGAAGAAGCCAAGTCCATTCTTTCGGGAATTTTCCAAGAGGGCTACGCCATGGGGTATCTTCTGGGCGTTGTATTCAAAAGAGCCATTGTAGACAATTCTCCTCATGGTTGGAGGGCCTTTTTTTGGTTCAGTGCTGGACCACCAGCCTTATTTATAGTCTGGAGACTGCTGCTACCCGAATCTCATGCGTTCGTCAAACGTAAGGCTTTAGAGGCTGCTGACGGAACTAAAACTGACGAAACGCTCAATTCTTCAAAACCAACCGACAGATTTTGGTCAAATGCAAAATCGGCTATCATTCAACACTGGATAACGTTGGTGTATCTAGTCATTCTAATGGCCATGTTCAACTTCTCGTCTCATGGTTCCCAAGACCTGTTTCCCACTATGCTCACAAAACAATATGATTATTCCGAAGATGCTTCTACTGTCACCAACTCAGCTGCCAATATTGGCGCCTTAGTAGGAGGAATTTTAGTGGCCCATGTTTCGAGCTTCATAGGACGAAGATGTGCGATATTCCTGTGCTGTCTTGGTGGAGGCGCTCTTCTCTATCCTTGGGGCTTTATTTCAAGCCCTCGCGGGCTAAATCCAGCGGTCTTCTTCCTGCAATTCTTTGTTCAAGGAGCTTGGGGTGTAGTGCCAATCCATCTGACTGAGCTTTCACCGGTCGAGTTTCGCGCTTTCGTTACGGGAGTTGCCTATCAAATGGGTAATATGATCAGCAGTGCGTCTTCAACAATCGAAGCTACTATTGGTGAGCGCTTCCCCATCGAGGGTAAAGAAGACGCTTTCGACTACGGAAAGGTTATGTGCATATTCATGGGATGTGTATTTGCAGGTTTACTGATAACCACCGTGCTTGGTCCCGAAAATAAAGGTGGACAAGTGGTTGTGGATGATCATGTTCTCCGTTCCCGCGGTTCACTTGAGAACCACGACGATAACCCTTACGGCTTTGGACGTCGTGGATCACTCGACTCTTCGCATTCTGCTTTCAAACCTACAGTTGAATACGTCGCCAGAGTTGATGCTTCACATTACCAGGCCTCTGTATAACATATAATGCAAGCAAAACGGAGACTTAAAAGTGTTTAATAATACCCCAAACATTCTTCACCCAAGTATGCGTCTAATCCGTGTGCTATTTTGATTCTATACAAGCAGTGCAATTAGTTGCTTCGCCCTAAAAACAGCTATGTACTTGCATGATATGACTTAACTCAAACGTCCCTGATGTATGTGGGGCAGTTAAAGCTTGAATTCTTCCTTAAGAGCGACACCGACTCTCTTGATACCATCTTGCAGTTTGTCCAAAGGAACAGCGGCATATGTACCTCTGAAAAAAACACGGGTGGGGTCCAGCTCCTTCTTGCTCTCGGCAGGTTGAGGCGGCTGGGTGTCACCATCGACCTTGAACCATGCAGCAGGCACAATCAAAACACCGCTCTCAATGACCTTTTCGTAAATTGCTTGTTCCACAAGCTCAGGTTTAGATTCATACTTGGTGGTGAATTCCGGATGCTTAGATGCGTCAATGCTGACAGTGAAGAACATACCAGCAATTGGAGGATTGACGTGGAAAACAGAGTCCTCTGGGACGTACTTGTGAAGCGCATCTATGGCGACATCACGCTTCTCGTTGTATTCTTGACGTAAACCGATCAACCAGTCCAGGAATCCGCCTTGACCCCAGCGGTTCAGGGTCCCGGCGACAATAGCTTGACTGAAACCAGATGGGTTCTGTACTGTCATTTCATGGAGACGGAGGAATGCGGTGACAATTTGCTTGGAAGCGACAATCCACCCTAGACGGGTACCGGGCCCCAAAACCTTGGAGAAAGAGTCCATTCTGATAACACGGCCCTCGGTGTCCAAAGAAATGAACGATTTAGCAAGAGATTTCAAAAACTCCGAGTGGGAGCTGTAAGTGGTCTTTTTTCTTTGCGATACGTCTCCCTGGTACTTATCCATTTGTAGGAAGTAGTATGGCTCGTCTTCCAGGATGATCAAGTCGTGCTTCTGAGCAATGCGGTAAATTTCAGCTTTGCGGTCATCACTCAAGGAGGATCCAGTTGGATTTTGTCCCGTTGGAATGGTGTACAAAAGCTTGGGCTTCTTAACATCTGGGTTCCAGTTGTCCAGAACCGATGCAAGTCTTTCTGGGATCAAACCGTAGTCGTCGAGGGTTACAGGGAAAACGTTGATACCCTGGGCTTCAGCGGCATAGATGGAAGATGAAAAAGAGTATTGCTCCGCAAGAATAGTGTCACCTCTGTCACAGAAAATTCTTAGCGCAGACTCAAAAGCACCGGTGTTACCAGTGGTGGCCAACACTTCCCAGTCGGAGTATTGCATGTTGTGCACAAGCTGAGTGTGTTCTTTCACAAAGGACAAAAATTCAGGCTGGCCTGAACTGTGACCGTACTGCAAAGCACGCGACAGAGGAACATCAATGGTATCTCCGGCTTTGGTTGTTTCGTCTTTGCGGATTTGAACATGGCAAGTGTCTTTTTCACTTCCAGAAGGCGAAGCACCAATTCCATTCTCGAACGGAGGAAGTGGTGATTGTACTTGAAGGTTATCCCATGGGAAGTATTTACTCATGGGTAGCCCACCTCCGAGGAAAACAATGTCTGGATTATTGAAAAGATGGATACATGACTTTAGAGGTGATGCTTTACGCGACTTAGTCTCTACTGAGAAGTGGTGCGAAAAATCCAAAGCTGCGCTTACAGTCATGACAACGGAAATTCTGTTTTTTTCCCTTTAACTTTAAGAAATTCAAGTAAAATCAGAAGTTCTTAGATCCTGAGACTTGTTATATGCCGCTGCTGATCTGAATGTCTTTGGAAGCCGTGAACGTGGAATGCGCGGTCACCTTTTTATGGTGTTTTCGATGTTAATAGCGAAACTTTCGAAATGATTCAATTTTTAACTTGACTCATAACCCATAGTGGTAAAAATTTTAATTTTTTGTCTTTGGAGCAGATAACGCTGTTAGATGATGGTGTTCCTAGTCCAACAGTACTCCACATGCCTTTTTCACTTATCGTTGTGGGAAGAGCCGTTCAAAACAGGATGCTTTATCAATCGGGACGGGTCACGACCTGACGGAGTTCCGTGACTTTGACGTCGATCTTGGCCATGAGATAAGCACCAGATCTCTAGAGTAACAGTCGACGGCATAGCCTTGGGAATTTTGAAGTTGGTCGAGAAATGTGACGTCCTGAAGTAGAGAGTGGAAAGTAAAATCTGTGAGGTGAAATTGTGTAGTTGTGGGATGTGATTCCGCAAGTGGTTGCTGTAGAGTCAGTCATTTTGAAACGCTGCAGAGTTGGTTTTAAACGACAATCTGTGAAATTCGAACAGGAGCAACCAAATCGTGTCTTGATGTGTAAAATTGCTCAAGGTGGTCAAAAAATGTGTGAGCATTCTTGAATAGCTTAAGAGCCCATGTATGCAACTCGTTTGAAGTTCGAAATATTTTAATGGGGAAGTGAGTGCTATGATAAAACGGAATATTGATGCGGAACTGACCTTTTGCGATATCAATTGCCCTTAAACATTAAACACCTTTTCCATGGAAACACCAATTTCCAGTTCAGTTTTGTTTTTGCAACGCACGTAGGTTCAATTGATTGACTTGATCGTTTTGTAGTGGAAACTAGGCACTATGATCTGAACCATACCATACTGAAACTTAGGACGATGTAGATTGTTCTGATGACACCGCCATCCAAAACAATAGATCTGAAAATTTGCTGAACTCTTCTTCTTTGAAGTGTGATTATGCCCCCCTACACTGGATAATAGAAACGAACGGAAAGCATCTGGAGATCAAAATAAGACTTTTGGGAGTATTTCTTGACCGGCCACTTCGTGCTTTCGCCGATTCCAATGTGGTGTGTACAAAGAAGAAATCCTTAGCCGCTCACCTTAAATTTAAAAAGTTCTGGATCGTGAATAGTGATTCTCAAATCTCGAGATACTGACGCGATAATTATAGACAATGTGAGAAGCAGCTCTTGAAGAGATGAATTCTTACAACGAGTCAATTTGTAAACGTTGTGTCAATTTGACCCTTTTAAGCTTTGCTTTAAGTACTACATGTCTTTCTTATTGAGATGTTTCCTTATCTAGAAAGTGAGAAATGAGCGCGATAACTTTGAAGTTTTACAATTATAAAAACGATCTCGATGTATTAATACACCGTCGTAAAAACAGTTTGAAAACCTTTTTGTCATAGCCCAGCTGCTTCCTGCGAAAGTGAGCATCCGATACGTTACTCCTTTGATTTTGAAGAGGTGTCGCCTGCGAGGTGACACGTTAGTACAAAGTGACTTCGACGGACCCTAGTAGTTTCAACCCGAACACAGGTCAAATAATTCACATGCGTGAAGCACGAGCGTGCTGGGATCATCTGCTGTAGCTAAAAGTTTATCCACTGCAAATATAAGACTGTTCTTGAAGGAGTTTCCTCGAGCTCATTAACGAACTTCTAAAAAAAGATTCTTCAGCTTAGTACAATCTGAGTCTGAGTATTTGACAAAATACATGAGAATAATCATTGTGTGTAAGTATAAAGCCTAATGGTCAGTCAAACCAGCCGAGATTGTCACTATTGACCGCTTTCTAAACCAGATGAGTAGATATCGCTATATACGACAATCAGGTATGTCAATAAATTGAAGCTCATCATCTTATCAAGCACTTTCAACTCACTCCTCGAAGAAGTGGTCTAGACTTTTGTAGTAGAGGCTCCTTTGAGAAGCTATGATATACTCTAAACGCATTTGGTTGGCGGCTTTCGCTTTTCTGGCACGGCTTTCGTGCGCTATTTACGCTGCTGAGGACTATGCAGTATCACCAGAGCTTTTACCTGGACTCTCCGCTGTTGATGACAATGATCAGATACCAGAGATGTTTGCTGGACACATTAACATAGGCGAAGAAGGTGATGATACGGCTGGAAGCTACTTCTTTTGGAAATTCCATGCTAAAACCGGCCGCATCAGCGAAAAGGCCAAGAATACTTTGATATTTTGGCTGAACGGTGGTCCCGGATGCTCTTCGATGGATGGTGCGCTAATGGAAGCAGGTCCTCTAAGAGCAGATTCGAATGGAAAGGTCTACTTGAACAAAGATGGCTGGCATACGCGCGGAGACCTTGTTTTTGTAGATCAACCGGTTGGAACTGGCTTCTCGACCGTGGGCTCGAACCAACTTTACGACGAAGACTTACAAGCTGTGTCACAACATTTCTTGAACTTCCTGAACCATTATTTCCAAGTTTTCCCGGATGACTCAAACAAGACTGTAATTCTTGCAGGTGAGAGCTACGCAGGTCAATATATTCCCTACTTTGCACATGCCATCCTGGATCATAACAGCAATGAGGAAAACGTACAGATAAATTTGGAGGCTCTCTTGATTGGTAATGGCTGGATAGATCCCAACCAGCAGGCTCTCTCCTATATTCCATTCGCTTTACAAAACGGTCTCATTCAGAAAAGTGACCCAAAGCTATCACAACTTTTAAATCAACAAGAACTGTGTCAAAATAAGCTGAATTCAGACACTGACAACACTTTCTCGATTCCTGAATGCGACAACATATTGAGCGTGCTCCTGGACATCACAAGAGTAACTCAGGACGCAAATGGAAATAAAGTGGACACAAATAAACAGTGCACCAACATGTACGATCTGCGCTTGAAAGACTCCTACCCTTCATGCGGAATGAACTGGCCTGGCGACTTGCCGTATGTTACAAAGTTTTTCAACACTCCGGGGGTAATGGAAGCTTTACACTTGGACTCGGAAAAAGTGCCTAGCTGGCACGAATGCGATAATAAAGTCTCGGACCATTTGACAAATGCTAATTTGAAGGCATCTGTGCACATACTCCCCTCGATTCTAGAGAGTGGTATTGAGATTGTTCTTTTCAATGGTGATCAAGACATTATTTGCAATAACCTTGGTGTCGAAACACTTATCAAAGAACTTTCGTGGGGAGGTGAAAAAGGTTTCACCGATAGCATGCAATTCTACGATTGGAGATACAGAGATGACTATAATGACGAGATCATACCAGCAGGCTTTGTTAAATACGAGAGGAATCTAACATTCATCAGCGTTTACAATGCCTCCCACATGGTACCTTTTGACAATAGTGCTGTGAGCAGGGGAATTGTCGACATATTCTTAAATGATGTCGAACTTGTTCAGGATGATGGTGGAGATACTTTGATTAGTGAAAGTTTACATGCAGAGGACTCGCAAAGCTTGGACTGCGATGGTATAGACAAAGACTCAGAGAAGTGCCAGGCACTAAGCGCTGAAAATGATGACAAGGCTAGTGACGAGGAAAACGATAAAGATTTAACCGATGGCGCAAAGGAAAATGGAGGAGAAAACAATGACGCCAATGAAGATGATCACGATGACGATGACGATGACGGCGAAGATAATGATGAAAACGAAGATGAAGATGGCGATGACGATGAAGATGACGATGAAGATGACGATGAAGATGACGATGAAGATGACGATGAAGATAACGAGAAAAATGAGCAAGACCGCGAAGGAAGCCCAGATCATTCCAAAATGTCTCACAAAATCAGTGTCGGTATCGTGTCAATGTCAGTCTCAGCAGTCATTTTGATAGGCTTATACTTCACTTTCCGGGAGCGCTTCCGCCCCAAGCTTCGTGCCATACTAGTTGATCCTAATAGTAGATCCCTGCAAGGCAAGAAAACTGTCTCGTGGGCCTCCGACTTAGAGCAGGAACCATCCGAGCTGGAGGAACCAGCTCAAGGTTCGAAACGCAAGAATGGCTACTCGAATGTCCCAACTCAAGAGTCAAGAGGGTCTTTCGAGCTCGACGATTTGTAATCAATTCAACCATCGTTACGATTTAGAAACTACCTTGGAATGGTAACCAGTCAAACGAATTGTTACTGGACTTTCAAGCTTTACCTGTACTTGACAAAGGCACCGAGTCCTGAGCTTAACAAGACAAGGCGTTACTGAGTGTCGCAGTTTTCCATTCTTGTGACAAATTACTTCATGGCGGAACACAAAACTGGTCAATTCATCTTTTGAACTCACTCCCATTATCAGTCTAGCAGAATAGAAGAACACCTTGGCACGGTTGCGGGGTCTTCATCATATATGAGGTAGCAAATGCTCAGAATGGTCATTAAATAAAAACGTCTGTGAGCGACAGCTTACAACAAATTATTAGGATAATACCCGACCTGATCGATTGTCACGACCCTGATCAACAAACATGGCGTCTTGCTTCACAGAAGCTTCTATTTCGAGATTTCGATGTGGTGGGAACTCAAGCCAAAAAACGCTCGATTGATTCTTATATTCAACTGCTATTTTGCGTCATTCTTCACTACAAGCCATTTTAGTATAGTGGCTAGTACACATCGTTGTGGCCGATGAAACCCTGGTTCGATTCCAGGAAATGGCATTATTTTTTGATACTTAAATGTTGTATTGTTCAGTCGATACAGATAGATTCTCCAAAAAGCGTGCTCGGTGTTCAAAGAATGGGTCAAGAATTGTAACTGTGCTAAGCTATGAATCTCAATGCATATACCTGAATGAGTACGTTAATAATTCGCTTTTTTTCAAGTCGCCTGTGGTGTTGCTTGTCTACCAACGAAGTGTTGGTCCATTTGGAAGTTCACAGCTTAGGAATCTTCAAGCTCTTCGATATCATACCGCATCCTTGAAGAAGAAATGCAACAGCCACGGGATGAAACTCGTACCACTCACCTTTCGCAAAAACGCCTAATGGCAAGTTATCCAGAATCAACCCACAGTGCACAAGATACGCCATGGAACCCACCAAAAACAGCGAGGTTGGAATGGGCAAGCCTTCGAAGTATTTGGATTTGCCTGTCACGTCCTTGGGAAGCTGTGCCACGGTGACGTTAAACCTGGCGAGCCTGGTAAGACCACACAGGACGAAAAACGAGAGCATTAGAACATCCAGGGTAGACTGGAAGCCAATTGCAAACGCGATAGACGCCGGAGCCACACCAAATGATACTAAATCGGCAAGCGAGTCCAGCTCTTGGCCCATCAGCGACGAACGATTTCTTAAACGTGCCACTTTACCGTCAAACAAATCGAAAAACATGCCCAACAGAATGAAGAAATGCGCTCTTTGCACGTAGTGCGGTTTTTCCGTGAGTGTAAAGCGCAGGCAACTCACAATCGAGTAGAATCCACTGAAACCGTTCATCAATGTGATCAAATCGGCCAAATGCAGGTTCCGGATCATGCTGAAATGGTACTCATCGCTTGTGAATTTTTTGATGTCGCTTTCGTTGGGAGGCTCCAAAGGTGGATCCTCGAGCGAGAAGATGCTGCTGGCTCTTCTGCTCGGGGTCCTACTAGAAGCAAACGAGTCTTCTTCGGCGTCCGAGCCGATTGTGACGTCCCGTTTCTTACTGAACTTATGTGAATCTGACATATGTGTATTGGATCTTCAGAGGGTCTTGAACTCAAGATTTAGAGCTTTCTGGGGGGGAAAGATCAAGCGGCTTTTAGCTCAAATATAAATCCAAGGTCGCAAAATAACAAGAAAACTTGTCAATGAGGTCTGAGTCTTTCGAGGACTTGTTCTTATAGGTTTTGAAGTAGAGGGTCTAGAGCTATAATCAAGTCCCTTTTGCTTCCAGGAATTTTTCAGAGGCTTTGTTAGTTGCACGTGAAAAATGAAAGAGGGACTAGAAAGTCGAAGAGAGAAACAGATAGATGAATGAGTAAAAGATGCTCGATAAGTTGTGTCAGGACAACAAGATAAACAGTTGCTTAAGCAAGGAAGCATCTTGAATGAAGCTGTGCCATCACTTATTCAATCATGATAGCGCTGTGCTGATTGAAGATTTCGCGCCATGACATAAAACATTTGTTGCACGTCTCGAGGTGTTCTTCCCAGCAAGTTTGCGCGACACTTTTGAACATCTTCATTGAAACATGAAGTGTGCATCAAAATGGTTTCGAGAGCGCTCGGATAAACATGCTTTCAAATTTAAAGCAATCAGCTCTTAGAACATCTTATTTCAATTATTTCCAAAATAAAACCTATTTCTTTGGAGTGTTGCAAGATCGTATGCTGGCTTGTCGCAGAACTGATGAGTTCCTGAAACAAGGCTCTCTTGAGGTGATCGATGCACCTGTTAACACAGAATACGTTAAGTTTTGTAAAGGTTTCCGAGTGAGAGGTGGATACACCATGAGTTATTCCTTCACCAAGCTATCATTCATAAAACCTTTGATTGCTCAGGTTTAACTTCAATACATATATTCATGACACACGTTATATAGCTCTGACATAATTAAAAGGCCGGAACATTATTGCTTGCCCAACTTCGCAAGATCTTCTGTTCCCTGGAAACCCCGTCTCAGCATGGAGGTGAGACATTCGTGGTATTCCGGCTTTCCAGGACCGTCCGCCTCCGGAGGGTTGTTTTTAAGAACTTCGTTATAGTAATTGTTGTAAATGTCGCCGTCATAATAACCAATGGGTGCGTTGAGCATTGCATCAGGAAGCTTGAAAGCATCTGTCAAAGCAATACACTCCTTGCGAATTTCCGGCAGTAGAGCCATGAGTTTTGGTTGCACCAGGGTTGAGATCTGATCTGGAGTAAAGACTTTGAACTGCTGGAATTCTCCAGAGTGCTTATCAATGAAGTAGAGTGAAAACAACTGGTACAGCTTCCACAAGGCTCCTTGTGAGGTTTCGTCCGAAACATGTGAGTCCGAAGGGCTTTTCAATTTCAAATAATACGCTCTCAACATGGAGTGGAATGCGTGGAAACGGGAGATCAGGACAAGATGCTTTGAAATAGAGTCGGCGCTCTTGGTTTCTTTGACCAACTTTGCACAGAAGTGCAACATTTTGATTAGCATAATTCCCCAGACATCAGAATAATCCTCCAGTGTCTCCAACTTAGCGGATTTAGTACCTCTCAAGACAGCCATGACGAGTTCCGGAGATAAGTACCTGAAGGATTCAGTTTCCTGTACTTTGCCCTTCGCCAGATCAGCGTATTTTTTCAAGATACTTCTCGCTGATGTCAAAGACAGGATATTGTTGTCGCCCTCCCAAGTACACTGAACAACCCAGTCATTGTAACCCTTCCCAAATCCGTTATAAGCCGAGTAGCCATGTCCACCACATGCTTGACGAAGCTCATCGATCACACTAGCAACCAGCCACGTATTGGTAGCTTTCAAGCTGGCGCTATCAATAAACAGATCCTTCAGTTTCATACTCACGGGCTTCAACTGGCTTTTATCACCAGTGGAAGACACTTTGTAAAGTTCGTCCAAGGTGGAATGGTAGGTATCCATAAGTTTGAAAGCCACAGGCGAAATCATGTACACTATAGCCAAATGCGGCAAAACTCGGTATTGGTGCAGAGGATAGTTAATGAGCTGAGTTTCGGGTGCGTTTCCACTTTTGTCGTTGTCTGCTGCGAATTGTTGTCTCCCCACAGCGTAACGTACTGCAATCGTGACAAATTTGGAGCCGAATCTGAAAGAGTCCATCACCATATTCACTCTCCCATTCAAAAGAGCTGAGTAACCAGAAATTTGGTCCAACGTTGGCTCTGTGGCCACACGCACGCTGTTGCCGCTGTTGATTACTTTTGTGAACCTACTCAGCATGTACTCGCGTGGGATCACCACGTTTTGAAATTGAATCCATCCATTATCGATGCCGTCACGTCCCATTTTGGTTCCGATGTCGCCAATGAATATGCCTGGCAAGAGTTGAAATGTGCTAGGATCCCTGAGGGGCACCACAAACGTTTTCACTCCGTAATCTTTTCCCTCAACTATGAGTCTTGCATAAACAGTAGCGTGCGTGGCTGAATGGGCGGCACCGCCGATCCACCATTTCGTTGCAGGCAAATCCGGTGTGTTCACGACAAAGCAATCCGTCTTGGGGTCGTATTCCGCACGAGTCTGCAGCTGTGCCACGTTCGAACCATGACCAAGCTCTGTCATGGCAAAACACCCATAGATACCTTTCAAGAAAAGAGCACCCTTTTCCTGAAGCCAGTACCTAATTTGTTGATCGGTTCCGTTACCACGAATGCAGTTTCCAAATAGTCCCAGGTGGACTCCAATTCTGGTTCCAAGTTGAGGGTCCTGGTTCGAAATGATAGAAAGCCGCTTGTCAAATATTCCCAAGTCTTTAGCTGTGAGAATTGGATATTTTTCGTCGGTTTGCAATCCCTTGACCACATCGTGGTTGCGATATTTCTTGAATGCCATCTGGATGTCCTCTTCCATGTACAGAGCCATTTTCGCAATTTTCAAAGCCGTTTCCTTACGATGTTGAGCTTTATCCAAGTCATAATAGTCGGATCCCGTCTTGAGAACCGGATCCGTGGTGACCTGTGTGATCAAATCATGCGTCAACTTGGCATTTTCCGGGCTTGATTCCACAAACAAGTTGAGCTGTTCTATGTGAAGCTTGGAGTTTTGTCGTTCTGATTGCACAAACTGTCGTGGTCTGAATGTTGCGCCGGAGAACTCGTTGGCCGTTATTCTTGTCATTTTGTGTAATAAAAAGTACTGCCAAGTCTTTTCAAGTGGGTTGTCCCGCAACAATAAGATTTTCCAAAATTGTAAGTTTCCAAAATGTAAGACTACTTTTCCGATTCAATGAAACCAGTCTTTATTTTGAGCTGACAGAAGTGAGATCCAGACCTCGACTGTCTCTGGTCTCAACCCTGAAAACGTCTCCATTTATATACGTTTCCCCTTCCCCAACTTTATTTTATAATATGTCATTCGGTATGTGACGCTAAATGATCTCGGGGTGAAAAAGTGAGAAATTGTGCTTCCGAGGAGTTTCGAATGGGGAGTTAAGTTGAAACACTGATCTTTCCGGAAGTACCAGAGTCAGTGGCTGCGAAACAAGGATAGCGTGAAACAAATGGAGGGATTTGGTCTAACATGAATGGTTTGAACGGTTATCTTGCGGTTCGCGGAATTTCAAACTGACGAGAAAGATGAAGAATACGTGAAGAGTACGTGATAATATCTGCATACACGCTTGTCAATTCTTATGGGGGAACAGAGAAGAGATGGTGGAGCTGAACTTTATTCCAGGGTTTTAGATGAGCCTGGGTTCACGTCAAGATTGGGCTTGTGATGGTCAGTTCACCGCTCGAACTATAGTTTGGTATTTATGTTAGACAAGCTAGTTAAATGTCTACCTGTTGTAATATAAATTAGTTTGATAGACTGACCTGGGAGTAGTCGAGAAAAAGCGAGTCGAGCAAGGAAATGTGCGGATGGGTGGCCTCTCAGTGCCGTAGTTATTGGATTTCGTTTCGTGTTATGACCAAGTACAATGGTGAATTGACTGATTAACGTTTTTTGACGACAGTGAAATGAAAACCTCGACGACAGTGAAATAGATACATTACTAGTGAGAGGAACACTACTCAATGGGAAAGCCTATTGGAATAGTCAAGCAGATATCTTTAACTGATGTATCTCTACATCCCTGTTATTTGCTTCGGCAAAGGAACTTGTGAAGTCGAGAAACGTTCCTTAGGGCATAGTCGGTCTCACAGCAGTCACGGCGTAATTGTTCCACCTTTTTTGCTCAGGTCATAACCGCTTCAATCGACGAAAGAGACACTCGTATGAATGGTAACTGAAACGAAAGATAGTGGCACGCAGGTTGGCGTGCTGGACAACAACTGATTACGATAGTGAAGTCATTCGAAGTTCCCCTTTATTTGCAAATTGCATAGTGGAAAATGTCTCTACCGTAGTATAAAACTGCCGATTATTTTTCAAAGAAACCAGAACTGAGGCATCGCATCTAGACTCAAGATAGCGTAACACTCCCGTTACGACGTGCGAATCTCAACGTCTTTGTTTCTCGTACAAAAGTACTCGATTTCACACACGTCCAAAACTTCCCTTGCTTAAAACAACGCCTAGTGTTGTGAGAGACCAGGGCTTTTTGAATTGCAATGTAACTACTTGACCACTCCCAAAGCGCATATGACTTCAACTCGTCGTGTGTCTTTCCACATTCTTGAATAACACTCTCCGCGCTTTCATTGTCGTGCTAATTGATCGTAGCTTCATAAATCTCATTACCTTAATCTCAGTCGCTGTGATCTACATACACCTGAACAAACGCTAAATGAACATGAACCCTCAGCTTATTGATAGATACCTAGAGGTCTAAACACACTCCGAAATGGTAGCTTTCTAGTAAAGTTCCTCTTTCAAACGAAATGACCAGATCAAGATCCCGAAAAGAACCACCAACTCAAAGATGTCCCCAAAATTCATAACAAGCACTCTCAAGTTGGCATATTCCAAAGCCTTTATAAGGAGCAAATACCAATGAAGCATCACCTTGCAAAACCTTTCTTCTCGAAGGCTTGAACCAACCAAATAGCATTTCCAGGCCACGTGACCAAAGAGACACACATTAATCATATTACACGAAACTATATCACTGAGCTAAAAATGAATCCCCCTATAAAAGTCTCATATAATTCCCGAAAATTTCAGAAACTTGAGTGTAGAACCCATCTTTCCAGCAAGCCATTGAACTCTTCAAACAAGTATCTTTTGGTTCAAAGCTCATTGCTGACTCTCCTACGTCCAGTTAAGAATGAGTGATCTGCCAATTGACTTTACGGAGTTGGTTGATCTGACTTCGATTGGGATTTCGCCTCAATCGTTGGACTTCAGATCGACCACTTTCGAGAGTGACAGATTCGTAACAGTTCGAGAAACAAACAATGGTGCCAACTCAGTGGCAATCGTGGATTTGCAAAATGGGAATCAGGTAAACCGCAAAAACATGGGTGGTGATTCCGCCATTATGCATCCAACGCAAAATGTGATTTCCGTGAGAGCACAGGGGACAGTCGTCCAGATTTTCAACCTTGATACCAAGAGCAAGTTGAAGTCGTTCACGCTAGAAGAACCCGTGCTGTTCTGGAAATGGCTCAATCAAGAAACGCTTGGGTTTGTGAGTGCTAACTCGTTGTATCTCTCGAATGTGTTTGACGGGGAAACTTCAAGACAGCCCACAAGACTTGCTCAAAGACACGCCAATTTGAGCAATGCACAGATCATCAACTTTGTTGCCAACGCCCAGCTTGACTGGTTTGCAGTGGTCGGTATCATACAAGAAGACGGCCGCATTGCCGGTAAAATCCAGCTTTTCTCTAAAGCTCGGGGAATTTCTCAAGCCATCGATGGACACGTGGCCATCTTCTCAAGAATTTTACTTGAGGGCAACTCCAGTCCAGTCCAGGTGTTTGTGACCGGTAACAAGGCGGCTTCAGGTACCGGTGAACTGCGTATCATCGAAATTGATCATAATGCAGCTAACCCAGTCTCGTATCAAAAGAAAAATGTCGATATTTTTTTCCCACCAGATGCTGTCAACGATTTCCCAATCTCCGTTCAAGTTTCTGAGAAGTATGGTGTCATTTATGTGTTGACTAAGCACGGTTTCATTCATCTTTACGAACTTGAGACGGGTGCAAATCTATTTGTGAATAGAATTACCGTCGAGCCTGTCTTTACCGCCACTACCTATGACGAGAAGAACGGTATTGCCTGTATCAATCGCAAGGGTCAAGTTTTGGCTGTAGAGATCTCAAAGGAGCAAATTGTCCCTTACGTATTAGAGAAACTTTCAAATGTGTCTCTTGCTTTGAAAATGGCGTCTAGAGGTGGACTACCCGGTGCAGACGACCTATTCATTAAGCAATTTGATTCCTTGTTGGCTTCGGGTGACTATCAAAACGCGGCTAAAGTTGCTGCCTCCTCTCAAGAATTGCGTACCCAGACCACTATCAACAGACTGAAGAACATTCAGGCTGCTCCAGGCGCTATTTCTCCAATTTTACTCTATTTCTCTACTTTGTTGGACAAAGGAAAATTGAATAAATACGAGACGATAGAACTAGCCAAGCCAGTCTTGCAGCAAGACCGCAAGCAATTATTCGAAAAATGGTTGAAAGAGGATAAGCTTGAGTGCTCTGAAGAGCTAGGTGACGTCGTCAAGTCATTTGACACAACCCTGGCTCTTGCATGCTACTTGAGAGCAGAGGTGCATTCCAAGGTGATTACTTGCTTGGCCGAGCTTCAACAATTTGACAAGATACTGCCTTACGCACAAAAAGTTGGTTTCCAGCCAAATTACGCTATCTTGATTTCCAACCTCTTGCGTTCATCGCCCGATAAAGCTTCCGAATTCGCTACAAGCTTGCTCCAGTCTCCAACGACCTCTTCCGAATTGGATATCGAAAAGATTGCGGACATATTTTTCAATCAGAACTTTGTTCAGCAAGGAACTTCGTTCTTATTGGACGCTCTGAAAGGCGATACACCTGATCAAGGCCATCTTCAGACTCGTGTTCTCGAGGTCAATCTGCTTCACGCGCCACAGGTGGCCGATGCCATTCTTGGCAATAGCATTTTCAGCCATTATGACAAACCAACCATTGCATCTCTCGCAGAGAAGGCAGGTCTTTATCAGAGAGCCCTTGAAAACAGTACTGACATCAAGGATATCAAGCGTTGCATCATTCATAGCAGTTCGATACCTGCAGACTGGCTGGTAAACTTCTTCGGAAAGCTGAATGTCGAGCAAAGTTTATCGTGTCTAAGGGCTCTTTTGGATGACAATCTTCAAGCGAATCTTCCAATTGCAATTCAAGTCGCAACGAAATACTCTGACTTACTGGGCGCACAAGTTCTCATCAAGCTATTCGAGGAGTATCGTGCCACTGAGGGTTTGTACTACTATTTGGCTTCTCTAGTCAATCTTACTGAAGATAAAGATGTCGTTTTCAAGTTCATTCAAGCTGCTGCAAAAGTGGGTCAATACAAGGAAGTTGAAAGGGTAGTCAGGAGTAACAACGTTTACGATCCAGAACGAGTGAAAAATCTTCTCAAGGACTTAAAACTACCAGATCAAATGCCATTGGTTATTGTCGCAGACCGTTTTGATTTCATCCATGATCTCGTCTTGTACCTCTACAAGGCCCAGGATTTCAAGTTCATTGAAGTTTATGTCCAGCAAGTGAACCCTTCCAAAACCCCTCAGGTGGTTGCCGCTTTGTTGGATGTAGACTGCGACGAAAAAACTATCCAGAACTTACTGGCAACAGTAGTGGGCCAGGTGCCTATTGGTGAGCTCACTAAGGAAGTTGAGAAACGAAACAGACTCAAGCTTCTGCTTCCATTCTTGGAAGAGACCTTACGTCTTGGCACTCAAGATCAGGCGGTATACAACACCTTGGCTAAAATCTACATTGATTCGAACAACTCGCCAGAAACTTTCTTGAAAGAAAACAACGAATACGACACATTGGATGTTGGTCATTACTGCGAAAAGAGAGATCCTTTCCTCGCTTATATCGCTTACGAGAAAGGCAGCAACGATGCCGACCTCATTAGAATTACAAGCGAGAACAGCATGTACAAGTATCAGGCGAGATATTTGTTGAAAAGATCAGATCAGCAATTGTGGAATACGGTTCTGAGCGAAGACAACATACACAGGCGTCAAGTGATAGATGCAGTAGTGGGCGTAGGCATTGGTGAGGTGACTGACCCGGAGCTCATTTCTGTTACCGTACAAGCCTTCATGAGCAACAACCTGAAAGGTGACTTGATCAAGTTGTTGGAGAAAATAATATTGGAGCCTTCGCCGTTCAACGACAACCCCGCCTTACAGGGTTTGTTGATGCTTTCCGCGATTAGATATGATCAATCAAAGGTCTCGGGTTACATCGAGAAGCTGGATAATTACGATATCGATGAGATTGCTCCAATGTGTGTGGAGAATGGTTTGAATGAAGAAGCTTTTGAGATCTACAACAAGCACGAGAAGTATAACAAGGCTCTCCAAGTTTTGGTCGAGGATATTATGTCTTTGGATCGTGCGGAGAGCTATGTTGAAAAGCTCAACGAGCCCAGTTTATGGCCTCAGCTTGGTGCTGCCCAGCTGGTTGGATTAAGAATACCAGAGGCCATCGATTCGTACATCAAGGCAAACGACCCATCAAACTACGAAAGCGTGATTGAAGTAGCTGAGCAAGCTGAGAAATACAAAGAGCTAATTCCATACTTGTTGATGGCTCGCTCGTCTCTAAAGGAAGCAAAAATTGACAATGCTCTAATTTTTGCGTATGCAGAATTGAACAAGCTACATGAGATCGAAAACTTGCTCAATACTTCCACTGTCGCGGATTTGGACTCTGTTGGTGTTAAACTATTTGAGAAGAAGGACTACAAAGCTGCCAAGCTTTGCTTCTCTGCTGTCTCCAACTACTCCAAACTGGCAACAACTCTCGTATACTTGGAAGACTACCAGGCAGCAGTGGACACTGCAAGAAAGGCTTCAAATGTTAGAGTTTGGAGAGAGGTTAGTGATGCTTGCGTTGACAACAAGGAATTCAGACTTGCCCAAATCTGTGGCCTGAACTTGATTGTTCATGCCGAAGAGTTAGATGAGCTAGTGGACAAGTATGAGTCTCACGGATATTTCGAGGAGTTAATTTCACTATTCGAGGCTGGTCTGGGTCTAGAAAGGGCTCACATGGGAATGTTCACTGAACTGGCTATTTTGTACACGAAGTACGACTCCAGCAAGACTTATGAACATCTAAAACTATTCTGGTCAAGAATCAACATTCCTAAGGTAATTAGAGCTGTCGAGAATGCTCATTTGTGGAAAGAGCTAATTTTCCTTTACGCGCATTATGACGAATGGGACAATGCTGCTCTCACGATGATTGAAAAGTCGGCTGAAGACTTCGATCACTCATATTTCAAAGAGATAGTGGTCAAAGTCTCCAACCTTGAAATTTACTACAAGGCGATCAATTTCTATGTTAAGGAGCATCCTTCTCTACTAATCGATTTGATGACTGTGCTAACTTCCAGACTGGACATTCCTAGAACCATCAGAATCTTCTCCAAATCAGACAATTTGCCTTTAATCAAACCATTTTTGGTGAACGTTCTTCCTACGAACAACTCCGTCGTTAATCAAGCTTACCACGATTTAATGATCGAAGAAGAGGATTACAAAGCTCTACAAGATGCTGTTGACTCTTATGATAAGTTTGATCAGCTTGAGTTGGCCGCGCGTTTGGAGAAGCACGATCTTATTTTCTTCAAAAAGATCGCAGCTCAGCTGTACTGCAGAAACAAGAAATGGGCCAGAAGCTTAGCCATTTACAAAGACGAGAAACTGTGGGCTGATGCCATCCAGACTGCAGCCATTTCTCAAACAACCGAAGTTGCCGAAGAACTCTTGGGCTACTTTGTTGAAACTGATAATAAGGAGGCCTTTGTCGCGCTGCTATACACCGCTTACCATTTGATTAGGTACGATGTGGTTTTGGAGTTAGCATGGTTACATTCCCTGGCCGACCAGATCAAACCTTATGAGATTTCAGTCAAAAAGGAGCAGTTTGCCGCAGTTCAAAAACTTTTGGAAAAGTCACAAAAGGGCGAAAGCTCTACTGCAGGGGAGAATAACGATCAGCCGCTGCTACTCACGAATGGATCCGTCAATTACCAGGCTACTGGCCAAGCTTTCGGAAGCTACATGTAAAATGAATTTTTTGCGGCAAGCCATAAGTCGCGATCATATCTTTAGTTCACCGCTGTGTCTAAAAGGATAAGAACTGAACATATGTACTCTAAACTAAATAAGATTATACCAAGAAATCCAACGCTGTAGAATAAAATTTTAAGTCAATATTACAAGCTAGCTATTTACTCATTCTGTCTATTCTCGCGATCAGCTCTGGCTGCCTTTTTCTCAAGCTCATCCCAGTCTTCACCTTCTTCTTCCTCGCTTTCACTGCCACTGGCGCCACTAGCGTCATCGCTCATGTCCTCAGAATAATTATCTTCTTCCGAACCAGCACTTTCATCGGAAGGATTATCGTCAGAAGCCTCGTATTCGCTGATTTCCTCTTCGCTTTCATCTGACATTTCGTCATCAGAACCGGCAACGAGGAAAGACCAACCGCCCTCCAAGAAGAATTGATGAGGGTCTTCCTGCATGGATTTCATGATACTCGACCATTTCAAGTTGATCGTCGACACTGCGTAAGGAATGTCAACGTCTGTTAGCCATGATTTGAGTAACTCAATTTCTTCTATGGCCACAGTATTGATATGAGTGACTGGTTTCGCAAAGTCCTTGTAAACAAACACCATGTCTATGTTTTTCAAGCCGAATTGGACTCTCTCGAAAACACAGATTTCCACTTCGCTCAAGTTTATCACAAGGAAAGGAGGTTCCACCAGTTGCACTAGACAATCTCTAGTAGGCATACAAAACACGGCAGATCTGCTGGGCACACCTTGGAAACCCAATTCTCTGAAAGTTGTGTCTAGATCCACCAAACCATCCGAAGCGTCAGCAATAGCTTCCGCAAAATATCTGAACTCTTTGTCCAAAGCTGCTCTTTTTCTTCTCTCTTCTTGTTCTTGCTCTAATTCGTCCTCGTCGCCATACCTTCTAAACTTCATGTTAGAGCGTCTACCAGTACCGGTTTCATCAACAGCCATGTCAGAGGCCTCTCTGTAAAACTGGACGTCCTGAATCTTTTTTTTACCCATGAGGATTGGGTTTTTTAGGTGGACATGAATGATGACGATCAACTCGCCTTTGCATGGTTGAAAAATTAGGTTCTTCATGTTTGAAAATAAAATATCGATACGGCTGTCAGTACGCAATGGGGACTGGTAGCGAAGACCGTTTTCATGAATAAAGACTGTACCCGGCACTCTCTTTGCATCAGGACTAGGTCTGACAAAAATTTGGTCCAATCTTTTGGTTCTTCCGGATTTATTTTCCACCAGTTTGGCCTGTTCAACGACATCGGCCAGGAGTTTCCGCTCTTGATCTCTTTTCGTGGCTTCCTTTTTTAAATCTGCAATCTGTTTGAACACCTCACTAATGCGATCCCCATCTTTGGATCTCAGACTGATAGACCGCACAAACTGGTTGTCGGGAGCGTCTTCATATGGCAGTTCTTCAGTCTTCTTTGAGGCACCTCCGACACCAGGAGAGTGGAAGTTCAATCTAAGGTATGTGTATTCACCCTCTTCATTCTTAGAACCATTCTTGTAACAGTTAATATGGAAAGGAACAGGACGACCGTAGATGGGCAAAATAATAGTCTGATTTTTCCAATCCACATGTATCCTTAGATCACGAACACTGTTTGGAATTTGAGTGTCTCTAATGTATGACTCGAACTTTTTGAACTGAGCTTGTGGCTGATCGCCCGAACCGTTGGCGTCTGCTGCACTGTACCTGAGAAGACCATTTTTCTGGAGTTTTTCATGTAGCTTTTTCTGATTGTCCTTACGAATCTGCTCTTTCTGACCATCCTCCTGAACACGGCCTTCACCACGAAGTTTGGATCTCAAAATCTTAGAGTTTCCATCTTGTTTGATCGAAATTGGGGGAGAGCCAAGATCATTTTCCTTCTTTACCTTGACTGGCTTTTCCTCCTCCTCGTTATTGAAATAGAATGAGACCTGAGCCTTCAGTTTTGTGTAGCTTGTAAGCACAGCAGCTGCGCCGTCGGGATCGCTCAACATCACTGTGTCTGCAATTTGAACAGCATAAGTATTTCCGGTATTCGAATCTTTCAAGTTGTTAAATCCCAAAGAGATGTTGAAGCAGTCGCCGCTGGAGATTATTCTCTTATCATTTTTGGCGTTTAAGACGAACTGAGAGTCTCTAAACTCTAGACCGATTAAAGATCCCACGTTCTTGGTAAGAGCGGACACCAAATGTGGTTTTTGAGCCTTGACGTAATCAACTGTAGCCTCGTACACCTGTTGGGGAGTGCTACCGAATTTAAGGAAGGTTGTGATAATTTGATTCTGCACATTGCACAGAAAGTCGTAATTGGCAGTCATTTCATCTGTTGGATCAATTAGAAACGTTCTGGTGATGTTGGAGCAATAGCTCTTGTAGCGGATACCGCAAGATGCGAGAATACAGCCATTGCCATGAAGTTGATCATTACTGGAACGAGCGGAAACTTTAAGATCGAATTTTTTACCGGATTGAATGATTGGAGAATAGGCCCAGTCCAAAAGATTGACGTCAAATTTTTCATCCTGCGGACACAGCGGAGCCAGTTCACCAGCCAGTTTCTTCAAAAACTTCCCGTCGTCGATCTTGGCTTCGATTTTATCTGAAAGCTTGGCGTTCGTAATTTTCAGTTCCTCATCCACTGCTGTGACCATTTCGTCTGACAGCAAGTTCATGAATTGGTCACTACCTTTACTTGACACCTTGATGAATGCAATTTCTTGCTCGTCTTTCTTTTCCCACACGCGTGACAGGTCCGAAGCAACGTCAATAGCTTCTAGTTCTCCCTTCGACACGGCTTCATCCCAATGTGGTTTCCACTGGGCGATGAATTTGCCTTGGTACTCGTCGTTGACGGCAGTACCCACAGTCTTCCCAACGCTTTTCAAGAGGTCGATAACGTCAGAAAATAGTTTGTTGTTGTGTTCATCATCTTTGGCTTTTCTTTGCCACAATTCCAGTTCCAAACCTGGCGATTCTTTGAAAAGGTCAACTGCTCCTGTCAGATGCTTAGCCTTACCTGCACCGGTCAAGAAGACAACTTTTCCAGGAACAAGTGCAATCAAAGTGGCCGGAAATTCATATCCAAGAAGCCAGTTGTGCAAAATTGTACTTTTTTTGTAAGGATCTTCCTCGTCGCTAGATCCAACCACGAACAATAAAGAAGATGGCGAGCCCTCAAAAGTAGAGAGACTGGAATGCAAATGCACCAGTCTCTTTTGTAAAGCTTTCAAGTTGATCTCAACGTCCGCCATTGCTAGCTATTGTGATCCACTGATGGCTTGTTATGCCTTTCGAAACGGGATGGATAACGAGTTTGGTTGAACTTCGATGATCAACTGAGCTCAAATTCGATAATTATATGGCAAAATAGTACCGGGTCATTGAACACGAATCTACTGGTAAGATTTGAATAGACTTCCATCCAAGAACTAGCCCTCACCAACTGCTGTATCAGCGTAAGGACGTTGTAGACATTTTGTATAACTATCTCGGCTAGTTGACCGATCGTTTCCTTTTAGAAGGATTTCTCACTTATACTCTACAATACTTTATCAACAGTTTTTTGTTACATAGTATATCATGAAGTTTGGCGTTGTGTAGTAGTACAGTTTGTTTGCCCTTGAGATCATTGTAAGGGCGAGTAAAGCATCTGAGTGGCGTACTTGCGCTTGTATCTAACAATGCTGGCAACGCACAACGTGTTATGTTTGATGCTGCTGGTGGCCAGGTGATTCAGGACCACATGATTGGGAATAGGCAAAGCGCCCGAGTTATTCTCACTGCCAGAATCGCCGGGCTCCGATGAGCTCGAATAGTTGTTGAGAATCACATTCTCGAGGTGAGGAGGCAGCTGCGGAGGTGTCAGCCATGCCATGCTCTGTTGATTGCTCTGCTGCTGATCGAGTGTGAGGTAGTACTGTTCCATGACCGAGGAGTCTGTGAAAACGGCTGGAATGTCCGTTATGTAGCTGTAGAGAGGACCAGATTCATGGGCACCGTGGAACCGGCTGTAGCCGTCGCCCATATCATCGGGTTCTTCTTCAATTTGTAGTGCCAGTTTCGAACGTGCACTGAGAGGCTCTGAGGCTACGTGCTTATCGCGCACTTTCCCATCTGCAGGTGCAAGAGGCTGTGGGGATGCCTGGTGATGTTGTTGTTGGCCCTGCAGGGGCGCTTGTTGGACTTCGCCATCTCGACTGTTATCCTGAAGTGGTGGTTGTTGCTGTTGTTGCTGTTGCTGTTGCTGTAATTGGTCTTGAGACTCTTGCGGCGACGCGATCTCGAGATAGTTGACGAAATTGCCCATCTGGTCCGTTGCCGTGGGCATGTAGTCGCTGAATCGCAGCTCATTGTCGACGATGAACCTAAACCGATGAGTTCCTGGAGGCAGCTGTAGTTTGATATGGAAAAGACCCGGCTGCCCCGATACTGGTACCAGACCTATCATTTTCCGCCAGCCAGTGAAGGATCCTGTCACGTATATTTTGGATCCCCCCTGTTGCCATGTAATCTCGACCGGAACCATAGCTTTAGGGTTTTCTCCTGGAGGTTCACTACCACTCCTAGAGGCAGTTTCTGGGGTTTGCTGAGGAGGAGTGTGTGCAGGCGTTTGCTCTTGAAATTGCTGCTGTTGAAACCCTTGTTGAGATTGGTGTTGTTGGATGGAAGACTTGTCAGCAGATTCCTGCTGCTGCTGCTGCTTCTGTTGATTTTGTTGTTGTTGTTGTTGTTGCTGCTGCTGCTGCTGCTGTAGCACTATATCGCTGCCTCTGACAGGAGTTCGATTGTCGTGCACAGAAGCGGAGGACGAAGACCCTGAGAAAGGCTCTTCCAATCCGTCTATTTCGGACTGATGCCCCACATTTTCTTCATGTCTGGGAATCTCGTCCTCGTCGTCGAAAATCAGCGTCGATCTCCGCCGCAACAAAGGCGGCTGCGACCCGCCGTGGTCTCCTATGTCTAGCTTCGAGAAGCTTTGCACGATAGCTCTTTGAGAGCCTCTTTTATCGCTTTCTTCAGCAGAACTTACGTCTACCATGGAAACGTCCTTGATATTGTCCGACATGGTGCCCCTGCTGTGCGTGTTCCCCATACGCGGAGAGTGGTTGGAAACTGGATGTTGCGCGTCAGATTCCACTGCTCGAGAATAATATGCAAGAGACTTGACGGTCGAGAGCTTGAATTTGATGGCGGGGTTCCTTTTGGGAGATAAGTTGACAGAGTTGAGGCTGTTTGTGAATGTAGTTTATATCGAAAGAGTTGAAAGTATCGCTGCGTACGAAAGAAAGAACGAAAACGTAATACTCCTGAGTCGCGTGATAATCGCGTGCTTATCGCGTGATCCTGGAACATTTTACTTGTCATTATATACGCATAATTTTTCCCCACGATTAAAAAAGAAAGAAAGAAAAAACAGACACGTGACTATCACGAGCTCATACCCGTACACAAAGACATTCCAGATTGTCTTCCTTTTGCATGTGCTTCTCACGTGCCCACCCTCCCCTCCCCTTTTTTTCCAATTTATTTCACCTCTTTCTCACCTACCATGTGACCATTTCAGATATATGACAGTACTTCCAGCGTCACACACACACACACACACACACACACACACACACACACACACACACACACCTCCAAGCATACTCCTCTTCTAAAACAAAACACCAATTTCAACTAAAATCTCTAAATATCGTAACTTCGTTAAATAAAATGCGCCACTTCTCCGTTTTCTTAATCCGGATTCCGTTATGTCTTTTTTTCGCCCGGTATGAGTTTCTCTCTCAATCGCGCTCCTTAAATGCCTGGATGTTATCTAATATGCACCGCAACGGTGGTAACCGTACTTCTGTAGCAGGCTGCTGACCGGGATCGCTGTCGTCGTCGTCCGTGAGCTGGAACTTGGCACGCTTAGCATTACGGCCCTTGATGTGTACTTCTGGTGTGGGCAAAAGTCGGGACCGGTCTATGCCAGCAGGCGTTGATAGTGCTGAGTTGTGAGGCGATGCCATCGGTATGCAAGGCAGTTTATAGGAGGTCTTTATATCCGGGGAAGACGCCAGCGGTGTGGGCGCGGCGTCGTGCGAAAAGATAGAGCTCATGGACGACGCTGTAGACTTCACAAACGGCGACATAACTGGCGATACCACGGGCGATACCGCTGGTGATATCAGCGGTGATACTATGGTTGGAAGGGCTCCCATAGTGGTGGCTGTGGGAGCGTGTATGAGAGGGAGTTGGTGAATGACCACGGGGTGCTGTTGCTGTATGGGAATGGCAGACGAGGCCATTGAGGACGAAAAGGAGGACGAAGAACCGTTGGAGTTGAGTCCTTTGGGTCCGCTGCGTCCTTTGCGTCGTGTAGTGCTGACATGCGTTCTCAGATGTCTTTTGAGTTCGTCGCTTCTGCTGAAGCGTTTACTGCAGCCAGGGAAATTGCAAAGATGCGGTTTTTCACCGGTATGGGTTCTGATATGACGACGTTTGTGCTCCATGCGGTGGAATCCTTTCCCGCACGCTTCACATTTGAAAGGTCGGGACTCTGGAGTCGTTCGGTCCGACATAGAGGAGATGAGCCAGGGTGTATGGCAAGAGCAGTCTGCCAGTCTGTTTGGTTTTGTTCGAGTTTCTGGGCCGTACGTACCACCCCCCCGCTACGTTTTCCTTCTCTTATATAATAGTTTACCTTTCCGGTTGTCGTTCGAGCTGCTACTACTACTGCTCCTGCATCTGAAAAAACGCCTTATATCCTTTTCTCACACTGATCCCGCACTTTTTTTCCTTTCACTGCTGCAGTGGTGGTCCCGTTGCCTTGCCAGAAAGGCTTTTTGCCCAGAGCGTGGGTAGTGGAGTGGAGTGGGCACATTTCCGGCTATCTCTGAATCTCTTGTGTTCGCTCCGCTGGAGAAACCAAAAAGAGACCCCGGTCCACGGAGACATGCGCGACACGCTAGGAGGAGGGGAGGGAGCGGGACAAGGCTAGAGACACGAGCGGGAGGCTCGTGTCGTTGCGTGGGATGCACAGAAGTTTTACGCCTCAGAATTGTTGTGGGTGTCTGTCTAATCTCTTGCTGAAAAAGGCGGTGGGGAGATTGGGTGGGAAAGCCACGCTCGAGCGCAGCGCGACGCCCGTTTGTTATAGTTTTTCCGGTGTGCGCCGGCGACCCGCCCCGCCGGTTTCTGAGAGCGCGCACGGCGGCACACCGGAAAAACCTGTTCCTGTAGGCACGAGCAACGCGCAATTCCGGAAAAACACCCGAGACCGGGAAAAAAGAAAGAAAGAAAGAGAGAAAGAAAAAGAAAAACCTCAAAAATCCGTGCACCCAGGTGGGTACACCCACACACCCACATTTCGAATTTTTCAATATTGGGATCTTCATAGTTTTGTACGGTAGAGAGAATAGCCAATAAGAGACACGAATACAGAGAGAGAGAGAGAGACAGAGAGAGAGAGATACATACTATACTAAGGCAGAAAGAGATCAATTGGATCACCCCATAGGGTTTAAGCAGGCCACAACGGTCAACAGGGCTGAACAAACAACAAAGCGCTACGAAGAACAAGAAATACGGTTTTTTCTGGAAAGAATAATCGCGATGAGCTAAAAGGAGGAATGCTTTCTTTTTACAGACATTTTAGAATCGAATCTGCAATGAGAGACACAACAGCCGGGAAAGGAAAAATAAACAGAATTAATACGTAATTTAGACGGATAAGAGCAGTAGGACATTTTGTTGGAAGGGCGTTGAAATTGTAGTTAGTGTAGTTTGTGTGTGTGTGTGTGTGTGTGTGTGTGTGTGTCTTCAGTATTGTAGCTTGGTAGAGATTCACATGGTTGAGCGATTTCAGCCCTACGTAATTAGAATATTGGAAAAACTTTTGTCGCTCGGGACTCGAGTACTTTGTTTTGGTGATCACTATGCACGTACATGGGGAGTTCAAAAATGAGCGGGGGAATCTCTGGAGATAATGGAGTTATTGGAGATATACATTTATGCGTCATGTGATGTTTTCGTATATAAGTACATTGAAAAAGTACACGTCTCGTAATTATAGGTTATTGGATTGGATTTCACCGAAGTCCTTCCCATAAGCATCGGACAAAGAATCAAACAGCTGCCACCAATAATAACAACTAAGATGATGGTAGAGAAGCAAGAATCGAAACAGCGAGAATAATACCGTCAACACCCGGTCGATGTCGTCTTTACCTTATACAATTCTTATCAAAAAGTAGATTTCAATGCCCCAGAAAACGTATTTTGAATACCCCGAAAAAACGCACTAACTAACTCTCCGTTCCCAACATCACGGAATATCCTCCTTCCCGCCCGCATCGCGCGCTTCGCTTCGCTGAACAATTGATTTTGGCAGTTTTTCACTGACGCTGTCACGTGGGTCACGTGGTATATCTTACGTACAGGCCATATTTGGCGTTTCCATTGTCTTTTTTTAACTGAGAAACACACTTTCAAACAACCTGTAAAAGCTCTATTCGCATGTCCCAGAAGTGCCGCTTGAAAAGTTCAGGTCCTAGCAAGTCTAAAAACCCACTTCGTAACTCGGTGCCGTATATAACGATGACCACACCCTCAGTCTCGTCTCCTCTCTCACGCCAACTTGGTCCCCGTCCACTGGTACCATCACAAGCAGAATAATTTCAGCAGTGCGCTCAACCCCACCTTCAAAAACATCCATACCCGTTACCTCATTCGTAAACGCTGAAAAAAACCGCGGCCACCGCCTATTATTCTAGATCTATCGCGCTATTACATATGTTACAACAACAACAACATTAACATTAAGTGCAAAGCCACCAGCTGACAATCCCCCCACGCCCTGTTGCGCATGCGTCTCACCTTCTTTTGAACCCGGGTGGAGGCTGGAACGGACGAGCCGCAGGTTGTGAGCCCTTTTGGAACCCTATGGCCGGTTTCGCACCCGCTGCGGACGGTGTGACGTTCTTGGAAGCCGGTTTCACCACACCTTTGCCCTTATGTTTTTGTTTTTTGAGCTGTGCAGCTTTCCGTTCCTGAGCCACTGCTCTTTCTCGTTTGCTCATCGCCGGTCCACTTTCCACCACCGTTGTGAGCACTTGTTCGCCTCGAAGCACGACCAGACCCAGCGTGCGTGTTTCTACCTTTGGTTTTGCATTGGGATCCTTGTTTTTCGCCTTGAGTTGGGCCATTTGCGTTGCTGGAATCCTCAGTTCCACGCAGTCACCCATCACCAAATTCATGTGCGAATCGAATGCCATAAGTTCTCCTACAAAGGCTTTACCATCATTCGTTAGCACTCGGATTCTGTAATGTAAAAGATCTGATAGCTTGCTTTTATGACCTACTTTGACACTCATATTCGTCCGTATTCAAACGTTTTCTGTTGTTTTCCAGGTTTTGACTTGAATATTGAATTCTACATGGGTTATATATATATATTTACAATATATAAACTAATTCTAAGGCATCTTGAAAACCTTCAAACTGACAAAAGTTGACCAAACTTCGAAACAAATAAGACCTATTGATCTCTATAAGCAATGGTGGAGTCCAAGAAGCACGAACTAAAAGACGCCAACGAAAAAAAGCGTGTCAAAAGACGGAGAAACTATGACGAACACGATAAAGAAGTTACAGCAGAAGACTCCAAGGCGAAAAGCAGTGGGAAGAAAGACGTCAAGGATACGGAAGACAGTAGCGATGAGAGCGAAGATGACGAGAAATTGGACTTAATGCTAAATAAGGAAGACGAAGATGACGACGATTTGGCGGAAATCGATAGCACTAATATCATCACCGGTGGACGCCGTACTAGGGGAAAAGTGATCGACTACAAAAAAACGGCAGAAAAACTGGACAAGGAGGCAGGAAAGGAGGCATTGCCTGAGGAGGACACCGAAGACGGTGAAATACCGGCCAAGACATCCCCAGAAGGTCAAAATGGAAACGAAAATGGTGACGAGGACGAGGACGAGGACGAGGATGATGGAGATTTCAAGGAACCGGAAAAATAGTGAGACAATGCACATTCTAGGCTAGGCGTGCACTATACATATTTTAGACTTAGAAATCGTGAATGGGAATAGTTGAGTGGTTTCTTAAAATGACCAAAAAAAATAAAGAAGAGACAGGAAAAGAAAGATTATAGGTTTCGGTTAAGAAGGAAAAGTGATATCTGTATGAGCCTAGCAGCAATTGTTGGAGCTTTTGCCCTTCTTGGCTGGTGCCGGTGTCAAACTGATGGTGGGACCCTTAGGTGCGTTCCCCGCGTTTGTGCCATACTCGTTCAAATCGACCTGGTGTTTGCTAACCATCTGATATATGGCTGTGATAAGCTCCCGGAACGCTTGGTCGACGTTTTCGCTATTGAGGGCACTTGTTTCCGTGAAAAGGAGCTGGTTTTCTTGCGCAAAGTTTTTGGCCTCGTCTGTGGGTACAGCACGCAAATGCGCTAGATCCGATTTGTTTCCTATCAACCCTACAGCTACGTTCTCGTCGGCATTTTCACGCAGTTCTGTTAGCCAATGGTTGCAGTTTTCATAGCTACCAGACTTGCTGATATCGTATACAATCAAAGCACCCACGGCGCCCCTGTAGTACGCAGATGTGATGGCTCTGTACCGTTCTTGGCCCGCAGTATCCCAAATTTGTGCTTTGATTTTCCGGCCCTCGACCTCGATAGTTCTTGTGGCAAACTCGACGCCAATCGTCGACTTGGACTCCATGTTGAATTCGTTCGTAGTGAAACGCGACAGCAAGTTGGATTTTCCAACTCCAGAATCACCGATCAGAACAACTAGTTTAAAAAGCCCTACTGTTAGTATCATCTAAAACACCACAAAGCACAGCCGAATCAAAGTCAAAACCAAGCCAAAAGAACAAAGCCCGCAATCATTCCACAGATTATCGAAAAACCGTGTGTTGCGGCCATTTTTCTTGGAACTCCCCTGCATGTGTTTTGCAGCGCTTTTTCTCGGTTTTTTTCCTGGCAAGTCCTGTAATGTCTCACATACTTTTGAATAGGTAATCATAGTCGTATCCGTAATCTTCGTTGTTCATTATAGCAGCACTTTGACGCTATTCAAGGCTAGTCTTGAGTATTGTCTTGTCTTTTGGTAGTTGAGTTTAAAGTTTATAAATATCGAAACATCGCCAATGTTGTTCAATCTTAGATCACTATATAAGCACACATTGGACGAAACTAATATCATGAGTCACGTGTCTCGTTGAGATGTCAGCGAAAGAAACAACGATGAGAATCCTCAAAACTTCAGAGTCTGAAAACACCTCAAACAAACTGTAATGACTTTCATGCGATTGTTGAGCTATTTACTGCTTTAATGTTTCGCAGAAGCAACCAAAAAACAAGTCACGGAATTTGTTTCGTATCTAGTGATTGATTGCTTTCTAGTTTTTGAAATGTGTGGGAGTCGGCTTTGCTCTGAGAATGATTATGGTGGTCTTTTAGTAGACCTCTTTTTCGAAGCCCGACCATTTTTCTGTTTGTTCTGTGGGTGATTTATTTTTATTTTTATATTTTGGACGTCAAATAGAGCATTAGAAAAGTTACACTGGTGAAGTCGTACATCAAGACCTTATATGATTTCAAAACTCGTACTGTAATACAGGTTTTTTCTCACATTAAACAAGGAAACCTTGTCATTAAATAGAGCTGCATATACACATGAAGGGATCCCACTATTCAAGCGCGTCACAAACTTCCTGTCACGTGACGAGCTCCTTCTCTTTTTTTTAATTGAATAAACTCACTTTGAGGTATGTCACAATACCAATGCAAGACAATTGTCGTAAGCTCTTCCACCCCTAACTCCCCACGATCCACCATCAATCCAAATTTATCCTTTAACAAATCCAATCCTTTCTTGCATTTACTGTCATTAGCGCAAGCAAGCAATTAAATCACGTGATCTCAGCTCATCGCTGTATACCTAAAGGGAAAAGAGTAAACTTAACAATAATCACCACCATCACCACTTTCCGCATCTCATCATCGGTGACTATCCCACTTTCTCATGACTGCTACATTTTGACATGCGGAGTGCATTTCATTACATTCCAGTTTTGGAGTCGAAAACGCCGAATTCTTCGACAAAAAACGATCATTACAGCGTCTCTCAATCTGTGAGTCTTCGAAAGCTTTTGAAGTAAGAGAGTGCCCCGAATTTGGTATTGTTCAGGCTGATCGCTATGTCTTTTACTTTCCCAACAACACCTGTGAAGCAAAAAAGCCTGCAACCTGAAGCTCAACCCTCTTCTTGCTTGAAAAACAACGGCAACGACGTTCAACTCCGAGAATCCGCTAATGGCCACAAACATAGCATTTCCCAGGTGAGATTCTCTCTGCCTGCGAAATCAGATGGTGACCACGAATATGAACAAAATCCCGACATTGAGAAGAAGAACCCAGAATTGACTTCTTCTCCTACAAAAGTAGTATATCCCAGAAGTTCGGATGCCAACACAACCAGCCATTTCGTGGATTTCCAGCACAAGGTGATGGTAGACGTACCAGAACACATTTGGCAATCCCACTACAATAACAGAAAATCTGGCAGCCCATGTTCAAGTCCAACAAGACCTCACAAGCGCACACAATCTCTGCAATCGGTTATAGCAGACACTTTGCAAACATATCATACCAAATTCACCAAAGAGGAGCCGAAACTGATGGCAGATCCAGATCTGCCGCACTTGCCTCCAGCAGAATTGTATCTGCGGTCAGATTCTCCTCTAAACAAATACAAAGTCGCAGTGCCCTTGGAAGCGTCGCTACCGCCTTATTTATCACCGGAAAATAAGTCCAAGCGTAGAAACAGCTTGGTGTATGACGGACAAGGTTATAGTACATTTTTGGGAGATTCTGGCGATGAAGACTCTATTTTAGGAAGTCCGGAAGCCGATCAATCTTCTAGTCAATACAGTGACCTTTCTATACCGTCAGCTACTCACGACTATTCGTTCGATGCCAAGGAAGATGTAGACCAGCTTTTAGGTATCGATGAGGATGCCAATGTGAGTCTCAAAAAGCAAGCGAGAAATTTGCTCAACAAAAGTTTTATACCGGCACGCAAACAACTGCCTTCCCTTCCGGAACCTCCCTCTTTTGTTGCCGCTAAAGAGCAACAGCCTTTCAACGAGAATCATCAAATGACGACAATAGCTTCTCAAGGGCCAACAAACCACTCTCAAAGTGAAGCGTTGAGAATACTGGGCAGTCCATCCAAGACTATAACGATTCCAAGTCTCGATCAAGCCCCACCGCCTAGCTCCAGAAGCTCATTGTCACACTTTATGACACAAATGAATGATGAACTTCCTTTGCAGGATTACCAGCCTTCGACCGCTTCGCCCAAAGACGAGATGAACACCACATTTCAATTTCCTTCCCCGTCGAAGCCTCAAAGCACGGAATCGAGACCACTACCTACATCTGACGCTCACGACATAAAAACGAATTCAGCCGTGACATCTGATGCTCACCGCGAGGAGCTGAAGCCTTTAGCGACTCCTGACGCGCACCACATGGAAGCTGAACCACTCGCATTATCTGTAACCCAAGAAGACGAAAATATAGAAAATCGTGAGCAGGACAATTCATTCGAACGACGCAGAAAGATTCTCAGGCAGCAGTCAGATGGAAGTAACTTTAGGCGGCACACTCACAACAGAAGTCGGAGTATACACGGCTCCGAAGACTTTTTCAATGGACTACATTCACAACACCATTCGGATTCCAACCAACCGCCAAGCGTCACAGTACCCGAGCGCTCACCGCGCAGGTCAACGGCAGCCAATGCGAAAATGCTCGACAACGGAAATTTCACATCAAGTGCTGCGTCGACCCCTACAAAAAACCACTCTAAATCCAAAGCATCATCGGTTGACACTCTTTCTCGATCAATTGCAACTCTTCCACACAATACTTGTGACAATCGTGGCAAGAAAACGGGATCAACACTACTATCAACGAAATTTGGAGAATCCGATAAATCACCTTCGGTACAGGAGGTTGAGAAGCCCGACTCGTTTATCCTCAGCGATTTACATAGCTCTGAGAGGAGTTCGAGTACGCTGAAACCCACCACGTCGTTGGCAACAGAATTCTTTGAAAGCCAAGATCTCAATTTATCCGGCCAGTCGCTGAACTCTACTGAAATAAACACGTCACAAGAGGAGACTGATGGGGACAAAAGTCTCGAGATTATAGGAGAGCGAAAAATTGAAAAAGTTACACCGCTCTCAACAATTCAGTCATTCAAAGCTCCATTGGAATTCCCCCCGGTTGCTACTACCACGAACCCATTGGAATTTGGATCCGGGCTTGCTCCCTCTCGGCAATTATCAAATAATGTAAGCCAATCATCGAACGAATCCAAGGACAGTATACCATCACGCCCTTCGACATCAACTGCATACTCTCAAGAGCCTACGGGCAGTTTGTCTCCGCTCTTTACTCAAATAAGCCCCAAGAAAACTAACTCTTTTGTGACCAAGAAGTTCTCAAAAGCTAGTCCATTAAATGGCTGCGGACTATCTGAATCGGCACCGCTACGTCCTAGGACTCTCCAAGAATACATTGGTGATGAGTTGGTGGATGTCATACTTTTAGAAGATTCCGATGAAGATATTGCAGTCCCCCATCGAGCAAGACCGAAATCATTTCACGAGGATGCCTTGAAGCATTTTAGTGAAATTTTAGAACTTTGCGACAAGACTGCGGACAGAGCAAAGGATGTGATTTTGGACCTTGTGACCATTCCTGCCAGTAAGAATACCGGAAAAGTGGGGGATGGTACTGGGTCAAACGCCATGATTCACGATAATAAGTATTCGTCTCATGCCGGCACCCAGTTTTCATTACAGACACAACAATACCATTTAGACAATGTGGGCTCGTCACCTTCAAGGTACGTCTCTAACCTCGACCGCTTAAGAGTGCTCGGCAAAAAGCGCTGAAATGCCCTTTTATCACGTTTGTCATTTACAGCCTTGAGCTAGCTGTCAGGTACAGTAGCAACTGCAAAATCAAATTGGACATTGTCAGCACACCGCTAGCGAAGCTCTTCCTGATTTGGGTTAAGCGCCATTATTTAAATTATGTTTAAATGCCTGTTGAGGACTAGTAAAATGAAATGGAAGTTATACTTGGTTAGTCGCTGCGGTAAATTGAGCTGTTTCTTCTCGGAGAGTTGTCGACGGATCCGTTGGTTTCCTGTATGGGGCTGAGGGAGTTCGTCTGATTAAAATATGGAGTCGGCCGATTCAATGAATTAGATGGAGTAACAGGAGAAGTTACCGAATCCGCGGACGCGCCTCTTTGCCGGTCTTCAACAGGGGAAAGAAGCATCTCGTCACTTGAATCTTGTGTCTGATCGCTGCATAAAGGATTGTGTTCGAGCTCATTGACGGGACTGTGGAAGAAAGTTACTACCTTATCTTTCAACTCTAGTTTGAAATTGGCGGGCAGATTTTCCATAACGGCTGCTATTGGCTTTCGAGAAAAACTGTGTGTTCTTTTGAAAGAATTATTCGCTTTCCTGGCGGAGCCTGAGGACTCGAGGGTATGTGTAAAGAGCTCTTCATCATCCGAGAAGTTGTAGTCTTCGGGTAATATGTTGATCTCGTCCAAGTAATGGTCGTCTGGCTGATTCTTTTCATTGTACTTGTCTTCCTCCTCTTCATTGATGAAATAGAGATTACTGGTTGCACCTGGCACCTCATAATCCAGGTTAGATGTTAAATCGTGATATTTCAAGACTTGAGATCTGGCGGGAGGAGGCAGCGGCATGTTGGTAATTTCCATATTTGGGTGTTCCGGACTACAATGAAACGGAGATCGCAGCTGTAATAGACTTGTGGCTGAATTATGGTTTGTAATTATGTCGGCAGGTAATCCTGGCTCTGGTGTATCTGAGGACAGATCTTCAATGTTATTGGGAGCGTTGGAGTAGCGCCTTGGGGTTGCGCTGATATCCTCCTTTATAGATTTGGAGGTGTCGGGGCTGGTCTCTTCACGAGTATCTTCTTCGTCGCTAAGATCGAAGATATCTCCATAGCTGTTGAGAGGATTTCGAAGTGGGACGCTAGCTTCCTTACAATCTTCTTCATCACGACTATCGAAGTCCAGGTTTTGAGACTCTGCGCTTTCGTCAACAGAGTGTTCATTATCAAAGTCGTTACGGTCTGATATCTCATTAGGGCCATCATCAAAGTCACTATTTTCTGATATCTCATATTGTTCATCATCAAAGTCGTTATGGTCTGATATCCCATACGGATCATCATCATCATCCGAGATGTCAAATAGGTCATTGTAGCCATTTACTTCGCGGCCTGCCGCAGCTGCTTTCATATTAGTGACGTGACCCTCACGTCCGGCATAGTCTCCATGTGCCAAGTTTTCAAACCTAACTGATGGTTTCAGCTTTTCATTCTTTGGCCTACCTGTGAATTCCGTCTCCTCCAATTGATCATCGACGTCTTCGTCAAAACAGTTCATATCTTCATCGAAATCTTCGTCATTGTAGAGGTCGTCAACATACACGTTGGCTTGTGGTTCAGGCTTGGAATAGTATTTCACCGAAGCTGTTCTGCCATTAGCACCTGCAAGTTCAAAAGAAAAGCGTGATGATTGATCTGACGATTCAACAGAAGATTCGTCAGAAGGCCCTTCATCGAAGGGACTCACAACTTCACTAGCCGTGATCGAATGCACTTCTTCATTGTTCAACATAGAATCGTCAAAATCATCTTCATTGACGGGACCTGCCGCAATTTCGTCACCCTCCTCGAAAGATCTGTCATTAGTTGCAACGCTTTGTTCTCTAGTGGTTGATGTGACAGAAGCATTTTCGTCGCTAGACTTTTGCGTGTAGCTTAGCCCTAATCCTAAAAAGCCCCCAGCTGAACTTTTTTCGACAGCGGTCTCTTGCTGAACAGGTACTTCGAACTCTGGAGAAAGCGCTTTATCCTCTTTTTTCGATAGCCTGAATTTTTCAGAAAATGAACTAAGATCCAGTGTTGAATTACGCTCCATGTTCAAAAAATCCTCATGCGAATGAATACGGGCCTGCCGGTTTCTATTCTTTTTATTCTCAGGTCTAAAACTGGAATAGGGATGTTGCTCGTGAATGTCATCTAAATTGTTTAGTCTTTCTCTTTGTAAAAGGTCCAAACTTCCACGCCTACTCTCACCTTGCAAACTTGAGGCCGCCGAACTCAACGAACCGGTTCGTTGCTTCATGCTTCCATGCAGTCCCGGATCGTTGAGCTCAGAAGACAAGTCTGAAGAGGTAGAATTTCGGTTTAGTACGATAACTGACTGGGACCGTTCCTTACTGCTGGACCCCCATTCATGCATCCTGGTACCCCTAATGGTAGGAGTTGTCAAGCCCTCAAGTTGGGTCTGAGATCCATTTATGGTTTGTTTAGAGAACTGCCAATTTTGCGGATTTTCTGGTGATGACAGATTTCGGAAAGATTGCATAAAAGGCGATGTTGGCGCCGTTGTGGATTCCCCTAGTTTCACGTTACTGGCGTTGGGTTTTTTAAATATTCGCGTGGAGAATATTTTGTTCTTGTTGCTCATTTTGTTATGGTTGCCTGAACCTGAGTCAAAGCTCGCAGAAAGAGATGGCAGTTTTTCCATCGATGGTCTAGTGTTTCCCATAGATCGTGGTGACGCATCTCCGAGGTCATTGCTCAATCTCGAGTTCCCATTGTCGCTATAGCTTTTCGAAGGGCTACTATCCACAGAGCTAGACTTTCGATGCGATTTGATGAACGTTCTCATGCTATTAACAGAAAATCACCAAAAATTGAGCTTTTGGCTGGCTTTTTTCGCACACTCAAAGCCCATACACGCCAAAAGCTTCGAACTAGCTAGTTTCTGGCTCAAAAGGAGTACCTTATGGCTCTCAAATGCTTCTTCTTGGGGGTTTCTTGGTTTAGTAAATTTCACATCATCGCCGAATCTTTAATTCATGCTCGAACGTTTTATTTACTAGGATATAAAGATAGAAGCTATACTAATTATCATGAATACATGAACAATGTACTCATGAGGTTTAAGACCGGAAGATCTTGAAGTTGACAGTATTTAACGTCAACTAAGCCGGTAAACAGACGTGGTATCAGTATGACTACCAGTGTGATGATTGAGTGTTCAATGCGTGAATTGACAGCTTTTAAAATCTCTGATAGCCCTCCTGTTGGATGATTCGCTTCAAAATCTCGGATTGCCCTTCTATTGGATGGTTCGCTTCAAAAAGTCAATTTTTCTAGCGTTCTGGTCAGTTTCGCAGCTCCATGGACGGAGGTATCGCTATCAATGGCCATTTTCGCTCTGTTCTGTTGAAGACCTTCAAGCAGCATACAAGCTTTACAGATCTTGTTGCTGGACAAATAGCCACACCTCTCACAGCGATTCCCGTCGACAAAGCCTTGTCGTGGTAGCGATATGGACCCATCGCTGCGGACCTCCATGTGGTTAGCGGGCGGAGCACGCTTGGCCTTCTTGGGTCGCAATCGCAGACTTTCGCCGCTGTGTATTATGTCTATAATGCAGCTGGGACGTACTGCCTCCAGGTTTTTCATGAGCTCACGAGCAGTACCGCGAAATGCTTCTGGAGCGTATGTGCACTCCGTAGAGAAGTAGTCAAGCTTTTTATAGTGCGCGTAAAGCACAATCTCCTTCTGGTAGGCATATTTGAAAGGCTTAGACCGCTTGATCGGAGACCCGCTGCTCTGGGTCATGATGGTCGTCGATTTCTCCAGACGGGCCACGTCGCCTCGTAATATATTCATCAAAACTGTTTCTGCCATATCGTCAGCATTGTGACCCGTCACAACGTGCTTAATGCCCAGTTTGGCAGCGCCACGATCCAAGGCCTGCCGACGGAATACCCCACAGTAGGTGCAGCTATTTCTGACGCCCGCACATGCCACGATTTCATCCATTGTCCAATCATACAGCTCACGATAAGAAACAATTTCCAGAGGCAGATTGTATTGTTCTTTATTCCGCTTCACGGTTGCAAGAGAGTCGTCTCGATATCCCACTATACCTTCGTCTATGCTCAGCAGGACGATGTGAATTCCATAATTGTATCTTTCGTTGAGTAATTTCAGCAGGTAAGCCAAAACCGTCGAGTCTTTCCCACCGGAGGCACCAACAGCGACTTTTTCATCCTTTTCAAAGAGCTTGTTGGAGACGATCGTGTTATGAATCTCAGTCTCGAACACATGGAAGAAACAAAGCTTGCAAACTTTCTGCAAGTTTTTTGGCCTTTTGATTAAAGCCTTTCTAGCGTGACAAAGCTCGCACAACTGCGAGACTTTGACATTTTTAGGTTTTTTCGGATCCGAGGGAGGTGTAAAGGACATCAAGCATGCAATTGTATGATGTTTAGAGGGCCCTTTCTTTCCTATTACTTGTCAAATGTCTGGCTGCGATGGTGACCGATGAGATGAGATGAGATGAGATGAGCAGATGAGCTGCAATCAACTTTTCGATGATAATTATCGACGAAGAAGTCTTCGCTGCCGTGAAATGTCAAAAGCACCCTGGCAGGACGCCCAGTTTCGCTATGTTTTACTCTTTAACACTGCACCCATCGTCAGATATTTTGCCAGTATGGAATTGCATCTTTGAACGAACCACCGAAAAATTACGCTCAAGTTTGAGTTTCAGTCGAAGAACTAAATCCGCGAGTTGCGTCTTGTAGATTTACTAGCTTCAACGGTATCATCAGCTCTCATTAACTCTTTTGGCTCCTCTATTAGCCATTCGTAGCTTGTTGGCCGTAGAGTCGACTTCGCCGGACATGAGATCCAGCAGTTCGTTTTGCTGGCTCAGTTCCTGATTCATGCTCAGTGACAGATCCTTCTGGCTCAAAATTATTTGACGCAGCTTTTCTAGTTCCAGGTCCTGTTTCTTAGTTGTATCCTTGTGCAGCTGGAGCAGCTCCTGATCATTAAGTCCCAGTGTCTCGGTCGTTTCACCGATTTTGCGCCCCATCAGTGGTCGCTCATTAGTCTCTTCACGATCATACAGTTTGTGTGAGTCACTCGCATTGCTGAAAAGTTCAGAAGTCTTTTCGACCAGTTTATCGTTCAGATCAGTTTTCAACCCGCTCAATAGATTGTGACGCCGCATTATTTCAGACGTTCCCACTAGCTGCTCCTGGTCGATCTGCTTCAAAGAAGTTTCCAAATCTTGTATTCGCAGCCTCAACTTGACGCCTATCTTGGTGGCCGATGAGCGATCGCGAACTGCCTCTGCCAGCAGGATTTTGCAATTACGTAGCTCTTCGAGCCATTTTTGGGGGTCTTTCAATCCACCCGGACCATTGGGCGTGGACTCTGTCACACCGGCAGTTGAGTCTTCCTTTCTTCGCAGTGTTGCATCTGCCCAGTTACTAGGTATTTGCAAAAAATGACACATATATGGCGACTTTTTCCAGCGTGAGTCGAAAGAATCGTTTAAAAGGTCATACAAAAATCTGCTCAATTCCCGTTTTCTGAATTCAATGACATCCGGGTCGCACGAACTTGTTCGTTTCAGCCATCCATTGATATTCCTAGCCGGTAACTCATACGGTAGTTCCGACCCTATTTCGTTTTCCAAGTCCTGTCTTAACCTTAAAAACTCCGAAAACCTGCGAAAGGCGTGGTATCGGCACTCTTCATCACCATTCCTGATCATAATAAGGTCAATTCGGTAAAGGGCATATTGTCGCTTGATTATTTGAACCGTGCTTATATCCACTTCTACACGCAAATTTGCCATCTCCACCACAACAGATGGTTACGAAAAACGTTAAAAGCACTGAAATCGAAACACACAGCGTTATAAGTAGCTATGGCGAACCTTCTTGATGCTTCAGTTTGTTTTTGGTTCAAGTTGAAGATGTTAGGGCTGTAATGATATTACATTAATACTTTAACTTTATTCAAATTGTTCAAATTCAGAATATCATCTTTATGAAAAGTCTACAAGAAAAGCCCCAAACCACGCTATTATGGTATGTTTACTGTGGATCAGGTACAGATGTGTGCCTTTCAGAGATAACTGCTCGAAAAAACGGCGTTTCAAGCTTGTCTAGAGCGTCCAAAACTGGTCCAGTTAGTGATGTGGTCAAAACTAACAATTATTATAGTCTAAGCTTTATATATCAACCGCCAACTGTGGAAAGGCTCATGAAACGGATATTTTCGGTCTTTGCGTATCCAATCCCTACACTGCAACTGTTTCCGGCGACGGATTTCTCAAATTGTGGCAAAATAGGTTGATGGAGGGCTCCAAGCCCAAAGAACATGTGTTAACCAAGTTTGTTCATAAGACGGGACTTCACCATGTTGATACGTTTCATTCGTTCGAACAAGGGGGTCTAGAAGTGTTTTTGGCGGCTTGTGTTTCATTTTCAGGCCAGCTTTTCCTGTACAGCGTGAATCCTACTACTGGAGAATTTGAAGAGCTCGACCTTTTGTCCAAGAACGAAAAGCAGAAGTCGTTTTGGTGTGTGAAGTTCTTCAAAAGCGACGACCGAACTGTATCCCACAAACTGGTTGTGACTGACGTGAAAGGGGGTACTTTCGTGTGGGATTTAACGCTTTTTAGACAAAATGAACAAGATCAAGACCAAAACCAAGATGACGCTGATGTAGGCGAAAAAGACGTTCACCTCGTGTTTCTCGGTGAGATCTCAGCAACTGAACCTAAATTTGCTACAAGCGTTGATGTGTCAGTCAAAGGTACTGTTGCAACCGGTTTTCAAGATGGGAGTGTTGTCGTTTCGCAACTTCAGACGTTGAGACCAATTTACAATTTTGAAGGATTCGGCATCAAAGGCACCGAAGCGAGTAGTGGAACTGTGAGAGACGTCAAATTCTCGCCCTTGGGTGGTCTACTGGCTGTGGCGAACGATTCAGGATCTTATGGGTCCGTAACACTTTATGAGACTCAATACGGCGAACGTGTTGGAAACCTGACAGTCCCCACCCACAGCAGCCAAAACAGTATTGCTAGCTTCACTCACGACGGCTGGGTCTTCGGTGTAAGCTTCAACAGCACTGGTGAATTTTTGGCAACGTGCGGCTATGACGGTAAAGTGCGCGTTTGGGATGTCAAACAAAGAGAACGTGTCAGCACGCTCAATATAAGCGCAGAGGATATTGAACAAGAAGAAGATATTGTATCGCAGGACGAGCATGGCGATTCCCTCAAGACGCCGCCGGTAATGGGAGTTTCTTTCATAGATAAAGGTGTTCGTGGTGGAATTGGTGGTGACACCAACGAGGGACTTACATGCGTGTGCTTAGATCGAAGTGTGCGTTGGTTTAGAGAAGCTGGCGGTGTATGAAACTAGTTGCTTGATATCAATTGCAAGTACATAAAAGTATCGAATAGAAGAGAATTTCGGTTAAGAAGAGAAATGTGGAAGGATCGAGAACGAGCTCACTTAAGAGATCCCGACTCCCACATAAAGATAAAAAAAATCCTGGTCTTTAACAAAAGGATGATAGCAGGTGTAGAAAACGGCTGATTGTAGTAGCTTTCTTTCCCTTTCCTTATAACAATCGAGTTGTCAATAGTTTTGAACAGTGATGATACATGAACCCTGAACTATCATATAGTCACGACCAGTTCGATAAGTGTGTTTTTTTTTCGTTTTTGTTGTAAGTTTGGTTTGTATTGAAACCTTTAACGATTCTTTGGGCTCCCTTTATCCCATGGTGCCACCAGAATACTACTGTTTGTCTTCCTTCATCACTGTGAGTAGCAAAAGAATGGTTTGCTCGATAGATCAAATTGTGGTTGAGCAAAAAAATCTTCAGGTTGACCGCCCCAAATCGGGGCTAGTGATGGGGCTTGCAATGGAGCGCTGTAGTAATTGTAACTGGTGCCGTGGTTCTTCGACAAAGGGCTATCGCCTGGGATAGGAGACGCAAAAGAAGGCTGGTAAAAGTAATTATTTGTACCACTTCTTTTATCCGTACGACAAGGCGACGAGTAGACTGCAGGAGGAGCTTGAACAGGGGTTTGGAAACCAGAGCAGCCATGGTGACTTGGTGAATATTCGTTGTTTTGCGTGAGAGGGGTCGAAAGAGGAGGAATGCCATAAGAGTTGTAGGCGACGGGCGCTCTTCTCTCTTCGCAGAATTGTTCAAAAGTCTTCATGTAGTCGTCGAACAAAATAAAATTGTCGTCGAATAGCTTCCATTCAAAAGTTGCAAGCCAGTCCCTTTCATACTGGTTCACTGTGGCCAGATCCATACCGGTAGCATGAGACCATGACTTGTTGGTGAAGGTTTTGTCGTCATTAAACTTATTAGCCAAGACGAAGGCCACCATTAAGTTTTGGTAAATAACGTTAACCGAATCACCCCCAAGCGCTTCAACTCCGTTTGGAAACTTAGAAACGTATTTGCATAAGAAGTCCAAAGCCATGAAAACCGTAACGGAAGGTAGCCTAGTGGCATTCAACACAGAACTGACGCCTTTCTTGAAAATGTCCAAAACGCTGGAGGACTCGACGTTAAGAGCGTCGTCGTTATCAAACACCAAATATGCGTTTTTCACAACAAAGTCCGACATCAAATCCAGATCATAGTCCAGAAATTCACGGACACCACCGTTCACTTGGTCTTGGTGAGGCTGTGGCTGGGCTTGAGGTTGTGGCTGGGGCATCAAATGCTGGAAAGGTTGTTGCAGTTGCGGTAGCATAAGGGCTGGAGGTGCAGCTCCAGTGGGTCCCATGTAGCCCATGCCAGGCGGAGGCAATACCATTTGGTAACTAGCAGAATGCTGGTGAGCATATGGTTGCTGGGGATGAGGCTGGTAGTAACCCTGCATAGACTGTGGTGGTTGATAGTAACCATAGTTGTTCATTGCAGGGGCTCCCATGGATTGGGAGTGGCCGTGGAGCGGCTGACGCGGAGGAGCGACAGGGGCTGGGCCGGGAGCCGTGTAGGTTGGGTAATACATGTAGGAAGTCATTGTAAATGGAATGCTTTCTAACTTGTAGAGAACCGAACCAACAAAAGAATAGAAAAAAAAAGATGTGTGTGAGTATGATGGGCAGAAGAGTAGATAAACCTGAGAAACACTGAAAACGTGTGTTCTGGAGATTTTTTGTCGATGGATGGATGGATGGAGAAAATAGAAAGATTCCCGTCCTTTTGATTTCAGAGCCCAAGAGAAAAACCTATCCGGAGATTCGAGTAAGACAAATTAACTTAATAACTACCTTCACTCTATACCTGTGACGTTTTCTTTGCTTAAAAATATCGTATTCTAGTCCAAGTGGTGGAAAAAAAACAGATGGAACGCAGAATAATCGAAAACCAGGTAGCTCCTCAAACAGTTAAAGATGTTCTTCCTTGTGGATCCAAGATGGCAGGGATGGAAGAAGTTCTTTGAGAAAAAAAAAAAAGGTCTCAGAAAAGAAAACTCTTTGAATAACAGATCCAAGCGGATTTTTGGCAGAGAATGGTCGAACAAAAGAGAACTTTAGCCCGGTGGTTGTTCTGATGCGGATTTGGTGATTTCAAGCCCACAAAAACAGAAACTGTGTGCGTGTAATGAAAGTTTCGCTATCTAGCACTTAAGCAGACAGTTGCAACGCTTTACGCACTGTTTATACAACCCAGGTCCGTTTCTAATCTTATCTTTGACGAAGTGCACAGATCCAAGCAAAAATACCGGGATTTTGTGCGAAAATGTCACAAAGAAAGCTTGTTCAAAACTCTGGAAAAACCTATAACCCAGAAACTGAGATAGAGAGTATCAAAAATGAGTTGATATATTAGAGAGAAAACCAGTACCGTAGTATAAACTGATGATCTTCGTAATATAGTCAAGTATTTGAAGTTGGAAGTTTAGATGGGAGAATAAAAGAAGAGTTTACATCAAGAAAAGTGTTAGTCAACTTGGTCACTTTTTCTTATATTATAGTTTAAATTTTTCATATATGGGTAAATATAGTGATATAATGATCAGGTTTCTTTTGTGGAAATGAGATTAATAAAGAATGAGCCAGCCAAGCACGTGACGCGAAACAATGGCCATTAAACGAGAGGGAAACTGCGACGGAAGAGGACTAGGAAACACGGGAGGAAGAGGAAGAGGAAGAGGAAGAGGAAGAGGAAGAGGAGGCTTTGATAAAACTGTGGGATAAGGATAATAGACTAGACCGAAAACGGTCTGTTTTTTTCCGGGGACTTTTAGGATTTTTGCATTGGTTGGAAAGTGGTTGGAAAGTGTGAATTTGTTGAATGGGGGGACACAAATGAAAAGCTGATGATGGAACAGGAACTAACGCTTGAAAATAAAGGCGTTATTGTGTACCTTGGCGAAACTGTGAGATGGAAAAATCGATAACTCATCACTATGTACTAATGTGTCGTCATAGCAGAGCATTATATACGGGTGTGGCACTGAAAAGCCGAGGCATTATACACGAGCGTGTCACGTGCAGTCCGAACGGGTTGTAAACGGGTTGCCCTTACTTAATCAGAACCGTGTTAGACGCTAAATAGGTCTGGACACACAGAAGAGACACCGAGGACACCAATCAAGCCCTCGAGTAACTACAGACACCTTGAACTCCGAAATGTTTGCCTCATCTCCATGCCCTCTTTTCGTCATCACCAAAAAAAATGCAAAAATGTAATACTCCAATATACAAACACGTTATGCGATATACGGGGCTCTTTGCCCACACCCACCCATGTATGCCCAGTTCCTCTTTATCGGCACTTCAGCCTGCACCACCAATTCCCCTCTCATCTTCCTCTCACCAATGCAGTAGTGGTCAACGACATCTTGCGAACACTAGGCGTGCCGGCCTCCTCAGTAGCTTTCTCACCTTGCGCCAACGAATTGGCGTCCGGGATATCTTGCATGCTAACGTCCTCTTCAAACGGCGGCCACACCATCGCATTTGCACTCGTTCCAGCAGGTTCCTGGTCGTCGTCGTCCAACATCATCGATGTGGAATCGTTGCCAGGTAAAACTTCAGACCACCTGACCTTCTTGGCACTCTTGTTACTGTTTATACCTGGAGTGGGCCGCGACCGCTGGACTGGCGACGGCGTCCCGCTACTAGATTTCGTAACCTTGGCCGTTGCATGCTTTCTGTGAAGCTGTGTTGCAGACGTCCTACGCACATTCCAGTCCCGAGTCCAGTCGGCAGGATCCACACCAGTTGACGCCGTGGAAGACCCATTATCCTGGATGGTTGCCGCAAATGCTTCAAATTCTTGGTCGATGTGAACAAGACTTCTCATTTGCTGGTGCAGTGCTTGCAGCAGCACCGAAGTATTGATCGGATCTTCCAAATCATTTTCAATGAGAAGTCTCAGAAGTGTCTGCGAGATAAACTTAATCCTGTCTACCAGCACGCTATCTCCCATGAACTTTTCCATAACCATGGAGGAACAAACAAGAATTTCATTTCGCACAGACTCAGAAACCGAGCTTAAAAGCGAGTCGTACCAAACCAGATCCGAATCCTCTTGCCAATTTTCCATTTCTCGCAATCTTTGCAAGTCCACCTCTCTCGTATGCTCCAAAGACAAGTCCAATTCATCCGGCGTATCAAACCTTTGCTCCAAATCTTTAACTTTAGCATTTAGTTGCTCGTCAAGAGCAGAACCGTCGTCGTGCAGCTGGCTGCCCAGATCTACGAATTTCAACAAAGTGGCGAGTTCAACTCCAACCATCTGCAAAAATCGCCTTTTGCACAATATCAATGCTTTAATCATCTTAAGATGCTGAAATTTTCCGGAATTCTTGTAATTGTTCCGCAAGGCTTGAATACTATCCCAAACAGCCATGCGTACCCTTTCGCGTGAGATCTTATATTTGCTTATTTGCAAATCAATAATTTTGCGTTCTCGGGTGCGTAACTCTTCAATTTCTTGTCTTTGTTCTGTTATCATTTTGAGGTAAGATCCAACATGTCGATCTAAAGAGTGCCTGTTTCGTATCAGCTTGGTTTTGATTTCTTTGGCGCGCGTTGCGTATTTCAATGTGTTTAGTGACTCGTCGTAATGATTACTTCCGGGCGAAATGCATACGATCATAACGGTTTTACAATTACCGCCGAGCGAAAATTTGAGTAGCCTTGTGAGTTTCGAGTCTCTATAAGGGACGTGACAAGACGCGCCTTTTTTACCATTCACACAAAGTGCGTTTATGCAATTTCCCAAGGCCAAGAGTGACCTATTTATGTTTGCGCCTTCATGCAACCGTTCGCCTCTATTTTTCGTGGCTGACGCCCTTTCACTGCCGGCCAAATCTATCAGCGACAACGTGGCAAACTTCTGATCTTCTTTGAGCTCTGCGGTACGGTTTCTTTGGGTGATATGAATCTGCAAGACCGCATGAGAGCGTGAAGAAGTTTCGTTGGCGTCAGTGGCGGATGTGGTTCTGTTGGTATTACCCTTGACGACCAGGTCCATAACATCTTCGACCGTTTTCAACGCGTGATGTGACAAATTGGCCACCGTGATGTGGCGGTCTGTATCTTCGCGTAACACGAGTTTTTTGCTTGACGTTTCTGGCTCCAGCAGATCACGTATGCTTTCGTTGTAAATTTCCAAATATGAGAGCGTGAGCTCAAAGCGTTTGGTATCGCGGAGCTGGTCGATTTTGCCGAAAAGCTCCTGCATGGTAAGATAAATGATGCCTGGATTTTCGGGCGGGCCGCTGACCGTATAGGTCTTCCCACACCCGGTTGCGCCGTACGCAAACACCGTGCCGTTGAATCCGTCTAGGACAGAGTCCAGCAACGGCCTGGTGGTCGCCTCATACACATCCAGCTGGCTGGAATCCATTCTGAAGACCCGGTCGAAAACAAACTTGTGTTCTCCGCTGCGACGGCTTCCAGCCGGCGCAGCTATTGCGTTCAGCACCGTTTCGCTGATCTTACGCAGCGGGTTGTTCTCTGCCGGGTCAAAAATCAGCATTTTGTCGTCCACACAGTCCACGATTTGTCGCAGACCCTGTGGCTTAAAACGGCCCGATCCGCCTGGCAGTGCGTTTGTATTTTTCGTGGGCGTTGAGTTTTCTGCCCCCGGCAGCACCAGACTTGCATCTCCCAGCTGCAGTTTTCCCAAAGCTCCGCTTTGCTCGCTTATCAGATGTGCCTGCTCCTGCGTCGTAAATGGCCGTACTCGAACGGCAACAACGATCGACGACTGTCTCGTCTGCGGTACATCGTAGTCCATCACAGCGCTCTCAAACAAGCTTTCATCTAGCGTTCTGAAAAACAAGCTACACGTATGGCACACACTTAAACAGTACAGTGCTCTTACGTCCCACAATTGTTGTCTTGAGTTTCCAAAGTTGTTGACCATTTTTGATCTTCTTTATATAGTCGAGCCTTGAAATTTATTGTTTACCTTTTGTGACCAGGACCAGTCACGCGATAGTCAGCTGACCTTGGGTTTTTCATCACAAATCGATTTTTTGAGCTATGACTATATAAACGGCATACCAGAAACAGCTTCTGGGGAACAATAGATATAGAAAGTCAGAAAGTTGTAAAGACGAATAAGTTCAACAACTTGACAGAAAAGGACCTTAAGGGACCATCACAGGAGTGTAGAAGACGCATTTTTGAAGTGCTGATACGTGAGATTGTGTAGTGGGCAAAAAAAAGCGAATAAAACGGACCAAAAACGGACCAAAACGGACCAAAACGGACCATTTTTGGATCAAGTGTGTGTTGTGGACCGATTGATCAAATTGAACATGTCTTTCCGATTCAATAAGGCTACGTTTGAAGATAACTCGTTCAACGAACAGATCCGTGAAAAACTGACCAGTGCGCTCAATGCGGATGCAAACAGCGGAACGCAATCGAAAAGCGCAAATGCGTCAAACACGGCTGTCACAGATGAGGTCAAGCAGGAGACTAAGGCGCCCAAAAAACTAGACATTTTGAAAAGCGGGATATATGTGCGAAAAGTGAACTTCCCGTCGATCCCACAGCTAGAAATCCTGGACCTGGACGTTTCGGCGCAATCGAAATCGCTGCTCAAGGGAATTTGCAAAATTTCATGCAAAAACGCAATGTTGGAAATCACCACGGAAATCGAAGCCAATCTGCTCTTGCTTTACACTAATAACGGGCCGGCGTTTACAACGCCACGTCTGATCTCCAACGACTCGTTTACGGTCCCAATAACCATGACTTTCAGCCAGATCGAGCTTGAGGCCATCACCAATATTTTTGTGAAAAACACCAGCGTCGGCATTTCTTTCAACGACGTGAATCTGGACTTTGATTTTGACTGCTCCATCAAACTGCTGCAGTCCAGTATCGAGAAACGGCTGAAGGGATCCATGGAAACAGTTTTCAAAGAAGTTCTCCCCAGCGTGATCTTCAGCATGAGCCAGCGCTGGTTTACCCATGGAGAACCCAATACGAGCTCCACGGACGATAATAGGCTTTCAGAGCAGGTTTCAAACCATTCTCACGTGCCTCGCACCATTTTGGAAGACTCAGATCTCGAGGATCTATCACCGGCCACAATGCTGCGACTCTCCACTCTGGTGTCTTCCCGACAATCGCTATCGCTGAATCCAACATCAATGAACACCCTCAGTGCCATTCCTGGGTGTTTGGAAAGGCAAAATTTGCATCGCTTCAATTCTAGAGTGCCTGCACTCAGTAATTTTTACCCCGCCTTTTACGACAATGAGACCCCAGATTTGAAAACGCTGGGTAGATCCACAAGTTCCAACACCATCATTGGGAGAGGTTACTCCCAACAGCATAACGCTCTTCCACAGCGTGTTCTTGATGACAGAAGTTACGACCTCAAGACCATTGCATCCGTCCAGTCTCGAATCTACGAAAGAAGTAGCAGTGGCGATAATTCTAATTTGAGGAGACGCAAAATCAAAATGGGTCGGCGTGCGAAGTCAACGGCTGCCCCACCTGCGGAACAGGTTCCTACTATCGAGGAGCAAAAAGTTGAAAAGAGTCCCACCGTGGAACCTGAAAAGTTGGAACAAACAGAAATTGCTGCTCCTGACATATTGCATACACCACAGGCTGTATCTGCCATATCATGCGCCGAAACGCCAGTTGAAAAGAATTCGCTTTTGGATGACGCTCCTTCGTTGGAATGGCCGGTTTCAGGAAAACCGCACATTGCCAAATTGAACGTATTAGAGGAAGCACAATTTTTGAGTCGCAGACGTGAACTACAGAAACTCAGATCGAGTTTGTATTCGCCCATGAGGGGCAGCAAGTTTTACGTTACGAGAGAAATGGAACGGCCTATTTTAGAGCATAAGGGACTAAGCTTCGTGGGACTGGCTCACGGACTCAAAGCAGGGGCTGAGGAAGCACCACCTCCTCCTTACGGCTGCTAGATATTTTGCTTACGGGATTACACCAAGACCATTGGGTGGTCTTCACGGATATACATCATCATCATCACTTCATGAATTAACGATTTTTATAATTAAACAACTTTTCAACTATATCTGCGGCGAATGTTCGCAACAAGATGGTAACTAATGATATAGGAGGTTCTGCACCGGGAACCAAGAGATCACAGTCACCTTACGGCGAGTTAAATCAGAATATGTAATACTTTTTCTATTTTCAGGACTTACACAACCAATTTCGACCATTCCTCGAGGGTCAAGCACTTGGATCCAAATGCGTGGATCTGTGCCACCTCTTCTTTCAAAGCAGAATTCACCATTCGACATCTCTGTAGCTTATTTTTGCCTTTGAAGGTATCGCTCACCACAATCACATCAAAAGACTGACCACAGCCGTTGGATGTATCTGTAATAATGACGTTGTGAATATCAGCGATCGAGGCGGAGAGTTTGTCCTGTATTACTTGCTGAGTTAGCATTATTGCAGATGATAAAGAAATGGGGGAGCTAGTGGCGATATGGGGCTTCCAGATTAGATGAAAGGTGTTGAAAACTTGTGATGGATGTGGTTTATGAATACCACCTAGCTATTAGAGATGTTAATCTTGAAGAGCTCTAAGAGCACGTGACCCGTCAATCTTTGAACTACATCGATACTGCAACGACACAGCATTTCTTGTCCGATGGAATCAGCCAGCATAACGTGCGCTGAACACCTGAAAAACCGCGCGAAGAATGGTGGAACTACGCTTATAGTCATTTCTACTACTCTCAAGTTGTTCATGCTTATTGTTTCCACTATCCACAACTTTTCGCTGACGCTCTCAATTTTTCATCCTTTTAGCCTTCTCTACTAATCACAACCGATCGCTGACGCTCTCAGTAGTTCTACTGTGTCAGAAGCCAATTCTCTGATTCACAACTGATCGCTGACGCTCTCAGTTGTAAAGTCAATTTAGAGTTTAGTTAAGCATTGTTGTTTCTACTTCTACCAACAGTAAACCGCACCGTAAATCATCAAGAAGTGCTCAAATAGTGCATATCGCACATTGCACATTGCACATCCTTTTATCAAAACGCTGCTTCTTTTTACTCATTTTACCAAAACTGCCAGTCCATGATGATATAGATTGTATATTTCACCTTATAGAAATGAGCGTCAGTATACTCTGTGAAGACGCTTAACAACAAATGTGGACAAAGCGCTTGGTTTCCATGGATTAGAAGATATCTCTGAACTGTCTGTTGACTTTGAAGACACTGTTGAAGATTGTATTACAACAAAATGGAGAGTGGTGTTTTAAGATAAGTAATTTTTGAAATTTCAGAAGAATGATGCTAAGAACTCGACATTGATACCGTTTTTGAAGTAAAGTTTCTCACAGTTTGATTTAATAAATCAGGACATTGCACTCGAATGCACACCTTCTCACGATTCGATAAAAATGGTTCATCATTAAAAATCAAGTCAACAGCATTTTGAACTTGCTGACGTTACTGAATTGACTTCCATCGAGTAACTTAACAAATAACAGATCAATATCTCTCAGATTTCTCGTTTCAAGAATCTACAACTTTTCAGATGGCCCCAACAGCCATGGGCTTGTTGGATAACCTATAAAGCTCACAGAACAAGCATTAACGTCCTCAGACCGCAGAAAAACTCCAAATATTCGAAAAAAATACTCTCAAACGTTCAGATATCTTCCTCGAGTATTTAAACCTCTTCTCAGCGCACTCAAACTGGACATTTGATGTCTTTCGATTCTCTGCTTCCCTCCTCACATGATCGTCTTCATTTTACAATATCTTATACCATAGCTGAGGAGCATCTCTACTAAAAAAACTCCATCAACGGTCTAGGACAACAGTATTCGCCCATCGGATAAGCTTCTATCGGCCAATTGAACTTCGACTAACTGCCACATACCTTTTGTACAACTTTTCACCATGAGTAGAGCTCTTTCCAGAACGCAACTCACTGGCTTGATCAAAGAAATTACCAAATTATATCCTGCAAGCTATGCAGACTCGAGCTGGGACAATACCGGCTTGCTAATCGATTGCTCTGTTTTGCAGAGCCATGTGCAAAAGCCCAAGGTTTTGCTCACCATCGACTTGACCGCTGCTGTGGCCCGAGAGGCCGTCAACCACGGCTGCAATCTGATCATGTCCTACCATCCTTTCATTTTCCCCAGCTGGAAGCGAATCAGCCCATGGTCTAACTCACAGCACCAGTCTGCCGTGATGCTGATCCAGCACGGAATCAGCGTCTACTGTCCCCACACGGCCGTGGACGCCGCCAAAGACGGCGTCAACGCCTGGTTGGCCAATTCGCTAGTCCACGATCAGTCTTTGATCGAGTCTAGTGTCAGTATTGAACAAGTGTCTCCAGCGCAAGGAGAAAAGGACTTCGAAGTCGGGTACGGTCGTGTCGTCAAGCTCAATTCCAAGGTTTCGCTAAAAAGTGTGATCGAGTCTTTGAAGGTCTCTCTGGGAATCGAGACCGTCCAGTGTGCTGTCAACCAAGCTTTGGACAAATTCCGGGTCCAATCGGTTGCCCTGTGCGCTGGCAGCGGGTCAGGTGTGTTCAAGAACCTGAAAGAAGACGTCGACCTATACCTAACAGGCGAGATGTCGCATCATGAAATTCTCAGACTCAAAGAAATGGGTAAAGCTGTCATAGTCTGCAATCATTCCAACACGGAGCGGGGATTTTTGAAGTCGGTCATGGTGCAGCAGTTTTCTAATGCCGGTATCGATTGCGTGGTCAGCACGGAGGACAGCGATCCACTTGTCTACGTTTGAGAGCCGGAAGCTTGGCGGCGATGATAGTGGGTAGTGGTAATGGTTTCAATCAACGTTCAAGCGGCTGAAACGTTTGTAAATAGATGTCTGGTGCCTCGCTAACCTTGACTTCACCGATGACCCGTTCAAAAGCACCTAATCGTCCGATCTACAATACTATTAACTAAGGTTGTATTTCGTTATGGACATCTTTCTGATCGAGAAGCTCCATCTGGCTTCTCAAGCGAGTCAAGCGAGCCAAGAAAACTATGGATGCATTTGCACTCAAGAAAGACAATAGAAAGAAGTTTCAAGACAAAGAGAAGCTGAAACGGAAACATGCTACGCCGAGTGATCGTAAATACCGGGCTTTAAATAAGACCACAGAGCCGGAACCGGAGCTGCCAGAGCTTCAGGCAAACCACTATCGCTACCATGAAGACTTATCTATGACATATCCGCAGCATGAAGAGGACTTAACCTCGGCTACAACTACTAAGAAACTCAAGGAAGTACTACAGGCTCGCCAGAACAGCACTAACGATAATCAGAGTCAATCTAAATCGCCTGGTCTCGTGACCAAGAAGCAACTGGACTCGATGTCAGTGGATGAGTTGAATAGCTTACTGGGAAACAAGAAGAAGAGTCCAGATGCAAGCGAGTTGAGCAGGAGCGATGAGTGCGAAAACAATCTCAATTCGTTGAAAAAAAAATCGAAAAGGAGCCCAAAGGTGCTTCGGCTGCGAAGAACCACCAGAAGGCCACTCAAACTTCTGAATCCAGAATTCCAGCTGATCTGGAATCGGAACAGGACCTGCTCGATGAGCTGATATGATCTTTGTTATTGTCGTTCGGTCTGAAAAAAGCTGTCGAATGAAAACGTGAGTACCCATGTCACATGACGAGTACACACTTACATGTCACGTGCACGAAATCCTGTTATCTCAATCACGATACACGAGTGTGCTCAACTTCATTAATTTAGTTTTCAATATAATTACCACTTAATAAAACACACCATTGGGAACTTATAGATAAAGGCCTTGCATGAACACATTCGAATAACAAAACGCTTTCCAACACAAATTCGAGTGAGATTGCAACGCTACTGCTACTTTAAACACTGCGTTTGGTCTTTAGAACACCACAGGAAAAATCGCAGCTTCGAAAGACGTACATACCCTTTTTTCCAGCTTTTGAAACGCTCAATTTTCGAGGTTTTGATACGGTTTTTTAGTATTTTAGTGCCAACACGGTGAGAGTCTTCAATTATAACTACAATCCCAGATGTCGAGCGATACAATGTATCTCAACAGCTCAAGGAGACTGCCCACAGCTGGTAAAAACAAAACGAGCCAACTACAGAAACCTGAGAGGAAAAGTACGAAAAACCACCGCAAAAACAAGACTCGCCAAGAGGGCAATGTGGTCGACGAAAGCGTGCCTCTTTCTCAGCCACAGGCGCTACCAAACGGAGAAAAGCCCAATTTCGGCAGTTCCAGTAAGAAAGAACGAAAATCCAACAATCAACGTCCAGACAACTCGTATTCTGGCAGTCCACGAAACAAAGCGGCAACAAATCCATGCTCGACAACAGCACATGCTGTGGAACTCACAGCTACACAAGCTGGTAGGAAAACTGCCGAACTTTTAGCGAAAAATCTAAAAGATGTCGTGCTCGTTGAAAGTGATAAAGGTGGCTTAACGAGCATCCCCCGCATGGATCAGCGCACAAATCGTCAAATGACGCCTCAAACCTTACCAAATGCCTCTCCAAAGCAGTCTCCGCTACCACTGCCAGTCAAGGACCACGAAATGACCGTTCATTCTCCTTTGCCGCTCTTACAGCCCGGACTTCATCTCAATCAAAACCAACATCCACAATTTCAGCAGATTCGTCCAAATCAGAACATTCCGCATTATCAGAACCATTCTTTACAGCCTCCACCTATGAATCCACAGATGTACCAACACCAGAACCGGTTTCCACCGATTATTCCTATGGGCATGCAGCATCCAGGTCCCAACTACTCTCTTTCCTCAGGAGCGCCGCCATACTTTAACTCTATGCACGCGCCTTTCATGACCCCGAACGCGCCACAAACAGCTGGTTTCTACGGGATTCCGCCACCAGCTCCTCCTCCACTGAGTGCATTACCGGGTCAGTTTTCCCACATGAACCCAATGTTCAACTCGAACCAACCAATGGGCAGTGTTGCTGCTATTCCATCTTCCGATTCAAATGGCAGTGAGATATCTGGACCTGTAACTCTTCTGTCTAGAGAGCCCAGAGCTTCAAGCTCGAGTTCAATGACAAGTGAAAATACTGACAACCGTGCCGAACCTAGAACTGAAAAGAAGCATTCCAAGAAATCTCGAGGAGCTGCTAAGCTTCCACGTGGCGGTTATGCGGGCGCCTCGTTTGCCACAAATGTGCCTGCGGTAACAAACCTCCCTAAACCAAGCTTTACATGAGAATCTGGTATTTTTAATGTTAGCTAGCGGTGCACCTCTGTTCAGCTTCTTAGGACAAGACGGTTTCTTTTTTTTCGGGTTTTTTGGGATCAACATTTAACGATTTTTAGCGAAGCTTCATTTCAAGTATCGGTATGACTGGAATTTGGTTATCTGGGTTTACGAGTACAATGAGTGCTTTATGAGGCTGATAAGAGTTTGCACTCGATACCCTAAGTACTTAAAGAACAGCTTTTGCCGTGTTCCAGTGGGGCCATTTTCAAAGATACCCTTCATGGAATCCATCCGTGACAATTCAATGAGAAGACTAGATACAAATGTTATAAGCTTAATCCGCTTTTTGCGTTCAAAAAATGATTATTAAATACACATAGAACAATGTACGTTAGTGTTCTCCTCCAGTTTATAAAACAACGTTCTTCGCCAATTTGTTCTTGTAATCCAAGATAGAACCATTCCACTTGGTAGCTGTCTTGTTCTCGACAACAAAAATATCCTGTGCAATCTTGTCCAACAATCTGAAATCGTGCGAGACCACCACTACACCACCGTTGAAATCGTTAATAGCATCAGCCAATGAGTCAATAGTAGCGATGTCTAGACCGTTAGTAGGTTCGTCCAGCAGCAAGACATTAGGTGCTTGTAGAGCCAACATGGCAAAGACCACACGAGAACGCTGGCCTTCCGACAAGGTACCCATTTGCGATGTCTGAGCCTCACCGGTCAAACCGTAACGGCCTAGTTGACCTCTCCAGTACTGGAAGTCCTGGGAAATGCTAGAATATTTATCACGCACGAATTCCAAAGGCGTCTTGCTCAAGTCCAATTGATCCTGAGAGTGCTGAGAGTACACACCAAGTTTAACGTGAGTGTGACGAGAAACACGACCAGATTGAGCAGATAGATCACCGGTCATGATTTTCAGAAGGGTGGATTTACCCACACCATTAGGTCCCACGAGCGCAACTCTGGAATCCATATCGACACCGAAGTTCAAATGCTCATACAGGTTGTTTTCAGCTTTACCGTCGTACGCGAAAGATATGTCATCAAAAGCCAATACAGGAGGAGGCAGTCTTTCGACTTCTGGGAAACGGAAAGAGAACACCTTGTCGGGAACGACAGGTTCGATAAGACCATCAGCTTCCATCTTATCCAAAATCTTTTGTCTGGATTTGGCTTGCCTGACCAAGTTGGCATAAGTACCAGCGGAGGCAATAAACTTCTTGATGTGGGCAATTTCTTCTTGTTGTTTGGCATACTGTTTCATTTGGTTGGTCTCCTGTTCACTACGAGTCTTGACATAGGAATCGAAGTTACCACCGTAGGCATTCAATCTTTGCATACGCATATCGATCATGTTGCTACAGACACCGTTCAAGAAATCTTGGGAGTGGGAAACTAGGACCAAAGTTCTGTCGAATCTTTTCAAGTATTCTTCCAACCACACACAGGCCTCAAGATCCAAATGGGCAGTTGGGTCATCTAGCAACAGAAGGGTTGGCTTGACGAACAAGGCCTTGGCCAAAGCGACACGCATTTTCCATCCACCAGACATGTCTTTGGTCTTCTTGTTGATGGTTTTGGAGTTGAAACCCAAACCGATCAAGATGACGGCAGCTCTGCTTTCGAAAGTCGAAGGGTCCAAAGAGTCCATACGTTCGTAGATACCCTCTAGAACGTCCGATTCAGGTCCTTCTTCAATGATAGTCTTTTCAACGAGATCTTCTAGACGCTTGAGTTCGTTTTGAGCTTCGGTGACCACGTATTCCAAAGCGGAGTACTCAGAAGGCTCAGCGGGCTCGTCCAGCAGGTAAACGTCGATGTGTTCTGGGATTGGGAATTCGCGAGTAGCGAGCGATTTTAGAAAAGTAGACTTACCGCAACCGTTCTCACCTAGTAGACCGTAACGACGGCCGTAATTGAGTTCCACTTGGGAGTCCTGAATCAAGACTTTACCGTGGAAAAGTAGCGAAACAGACGAAAGTTTGATATCACGGGAAGTTTTCAGCGAGTCCAATACACCGGTGACCACACGGTCCGAAAGACCGTCTTTGTCGAGTTGTAGTTTCATTTGGGCCACTTCACGAGCGGTGGCCTCGACCTCATCTTCGGTCTCGTTGGTCTTCTTGGTAGCACGCACAGTTTTACCCTCTGCGGCTCTCTTGGCATCCCTCTCGGCCTTCTTGGCCTCTCTTTTAGCCTTGGATGCAGATGCTGGTGGCATATCTTCAGTCTATTTGTGTGTGTGTATCGTGTGGTGTTGAACCTTTCTCTTCAGTATTAGCGCCGTTCTAACTTGGTCAATTTTGACGCTAAAAGTGTCAAAATAATCGCAACAAGTAGCTTTTTAGGAGCTCTACAATAATAATGTATCAGAAACGTCTGAACACTACCAAAAACAATGAGTTTTTAAAGGTTTTTGTTATTTTTTGTAGTAAAAGATGGTTTAAGTTGGAAGAGATGCTTATATGTTTGACGAAATTTCAATTCAAATTGCTATACTGAAAAGAAAGAAGAAAAATTTGAATGAAAAAGATTATGAGATCATTCGTGGGAAACGATGGAAGTGAAAAGAAGAAGAAAAAAAAGGTTTTAAATTAGCTCGTACAAGATGAGTGATGGAAATGCCCTAAAGATCACGTGAAAACACTTTAAATTGCTCATAGTGATTTGGTCTTTTCAATTAATTGTGAGAGAGGTGACTCAATGGCTAGTTGTTTGAGCAGATGTATGTTTTACGTTTCGAAATAGCTAGGTCTGCCTTTGTCTAGATTGAAAGTGGGAACAAAATCCAAAAAAAAAAAAATAAACCTTGCCGGTGCTCTGAGAAAAGATGTGTCACGTGACCGTGACGTAAGTTGCAAATGAAACGTTTTGTTCATACGTAGCTCATCATCGTAGTGTTGCCCTACAGTGTCTTTTGTGGGTGCGTTTGTATACCAATCGCGGCTAGGCTGGGCGTCTTTCTGAACTCTTGGCTTGAGACGCCAGTGATTTTGAAATTTTGGTTTGAACTTGAGAAATGAAGGGGAAGATAGAGGATAATCGCATGTTTAACAGCAAATGATTTCAGTCTCGGCTAAGGTGATGGACCAAATCGGACTAAGATCGATATATATATATATATATATATATATATGCAGGGTCTAGCCTGGGAAATCCAATTTATGAGAGTTCAGTCACGTGATCACTGAATGCTGAACGCTTGAATATCACTGTGTCGTTGATTGCCCATGTTGCAAAACTGCTGCTCAGAGAATATCAAGCCACTATACATTGAAGATACGGAGATGTAAAGATTTGTATGTAAACCGATGGTTTTTGGGCAAGCTTCCCTCCTATCGTTTTTTTCCAAACATAACGGCCGCGGCCGTATATGACGATCAAACTGACAGCGCAATTGATGAGATGTGGGTATTGAGCCCTGTTGATGGCTTATTCAAAGAAGTTTGGTGGTACACATTTATCTACCGTTGAATTAGAACAGTGCACGTTATTCATACAAAACCCAGCATCACGTGACATTTCGGGACCAAGTGATAAAATTCCTCATGGTATCATAATAACCCGGTTTCCCGCTTCTATTGCAAGGTGTTTGGCGAAATCCAGACTCCAGATCTATTCCAATATCTCACAATTTACAGTGCTTTGTAATAGTTATCAGTCTTACAGAAGCGTCACTATATTATGCCAAAAAAATTAATTACTGTCGCGAGAGCCCCAGCTGTCGTCACTCAGAAATGAAAGCCATTATTCTTCCACAACATAGTTATTTGATAAAAAACAATTGTTGGAAAGGTCCAAACGCCTTTTACAACTGTGTCACCATTGATTGTCGTCTTTTTAGTCAATAAAACCACAAGCGACGCGAAACTTTGACGGTAACTGGTGAAAGTTCGTGTAAAGTGATATATCTCTCGAAGGTCGTTGTCGTCCTACAACACCTCTTCAGCACTCAAATCCCAAGCGACACAACTTTTGACTCAAATGCTAGTCATAATGTTCAGTAATTTTCAAAAATGCTGGCATCTTTCTTCTTTACATCTTCCACCTCATCGAACTCGTCCTATGGTACTTATCCGAACATGTGAACAATTGTCTCTCTTTTGATGCCACAGCATATAGTCCGTTTAGCGAAAGACACCGGAGACGAGATGTGAACGGCTGTAATGTCGATAACTGACCCGTGTATTTGAATAGCATTGTTGCCAGTCTTGAGAAGCGTTCTCAAAGAACTCCGAGTGTCTGATCTGTAGTAAGCTTGTGAGTGTAGATAGCACTGGCCTTCATATAATAAGAGATCAATACTAGCCTTCTTCAGCTTCATGTCTTTTGACCGCATCCCAGTAATCGATCTGGAAGACGCCCTAAAGCCAGAGAAGAAACAACAGTTTTTGAGAAACTTGCAAGACGCTCTTGTGAATGTGGGATTCTTCTTGTTGGTGAATTTTGAACAATTCGGCCCATCCACGGCCCAATTGGAAGACATTAAGTCAGAGGCTCTCAAATTCTTCGCATTGCCAGATGAAATCAAGCAAGAGTGCGGCATGCTGAACTCGCCTCATTTCTTGGGCTACACCAAACTGGGAGACGAAATTACGGGCGGAAAAGCAGACTGGAGAGAGCAGATCGATTTGGGAACGGAACTGCCTGCTCCTGAAAACCCAGAACCACTTTATAAACAACTGGAAGGTCCCAATTTGTGGCCACGGCCCGAGTATGCTCCAAATTTCCGCCCTGTGGTCACAGACTACATCAAAACAATGACCGAGCTATCTACTGCGTTCAGAAGCCTTATTTGTGAGGCTATTGGGTTGCCCGCTGGCCGTCTCGACTCTTACTTCAAGCCCAATCAACAGTGCAAGATCAAGCTCATCTCGTACCCTGAAAAAGCGAACAAAGAACCCCAAAATTTAAAAGAAGGGAAACCTGAAGATGCTCAGGGTGTGGGGCCTCATAGGGATTCAGATTTCATAACTTTTATCTTCCAAGCCTCCGAGCACACTGGCTCATTACAAGTTCAAAATTTCCAGGGCAAATGGGTCCCCATCGATAACGTTCCTGGGAGTCTTGTAGTCGCCGTGGGCCAAACACTCGAAGCTATCACCGATGGTGTCTGCAAGGCCACAATCCACAAAGTTACAAGTCCACAAGAGGGTGCGGGGGTAAGACTGTCTATCCCATTCTTTCAAACCATAGACATCGATTCTCGCAAAAGTGCCGTTTCCGATTTGGCAAGCGACGTACTACGGTTGAGAGATGAAAGAGACAAGTCGATAGACAATTGGGGTGTCGATGTGGGGTTCCAATTCAAACCTGATCTTGTGAAGCATCCTGTTGGACACGCTGTCTTCTGGAACAGGATAAAGTCCCATCAGGACGTTGCAGCGAGATGGTATCCAAATGAGCTGAAACAAGTGCTGGCAGAAACTTAGATGAGAGAGCACCTATGGCCGAAACGGCGGTCATATCTGGATTTAGTCAGACTTCAATATGACAAAACTTTGATCCCTGGGGACGTAAAATGTTGTAAGCCTTTTTTCAGTTCGCGGAAATTCACATACTATGCCTTGCAAGGAAGGTATCTACTTGCTGCGGCCGATGAGAAGCACGTTTATAATGGTTGGTAGGTGAATAGGCCACTTTGCTGATATCAAAGTTATGGTTTTTGCTGACGTCTGTGGCACAGGGATACAAAGGTGTAAGGTTTGAAAAGTGACACCGGTATTCAATGTCTGACAAAACTAGAAGGTCTGTTTGTAGCTTTCTTCTTAGAGATGTTTAGTTCAAATTGTCACGAATCAAGTAGATGACGAACAGAGCATATTGCGACACAGGGCGTCAAATGAAAGGGTTCAAAGTGGTATCTAATTCACCAAGATGCATGCATTCTTAGCAGTATCATTATCTTTATTCGATAAAACTGGCTATAAAAAAGGTATGTTCTATCATCCTGTCCAAAGACATACTCGTCACGCTGGCATTCAATGCTCAAGAGCGCTGCGACCATGATCCAAAGTGTAATCTTGTATTCTTTTCAAAACCGAATCAAAAAGAAGGTTTGTGATTTTAACGCAATTGAGAGTTAGAACCTTCGATTCTGGAATTCATGAACCATCCAATAAACGTAAAATCCCTTTGGTCAAAAGTCACAAGAATCTCAGTTTCCAGTCAAAAGCATTTGATAAGCTCGTCTCCATGCCCCACCACCTTGGTTTATTTCTCCTCGATATTCAAACCCACTTTTTGTCAAAACATGTTGCATCACTTTATTGTCCGTGTGAGTATCAGCTCTAATGTCGTTGAAGCCCAATTCTGAGCATATCTCAACAAGTCCTGCCATCATGACGGCCGACAATTTTTGGCCTATGAACTCCGGCGATATAGCCGTGCGGTGTATGGAAGCGTAGTTTTCTTCGTTTTCACGTCCCATCCAGCTACCTTCTATAGCGGTGTAAACCGGGTCCACACCAACCAGGATAGCACCCACGGCCGCTATTTTGCCCTCGCAAATCAAAACATAACTTCTGCCCGCCTTAATATCTGCCTTTATTGACCTTCTATTGGGATACCCGTCTTGCCATTGATCAATGTTCTGCGATTTCAAAAGCTCTTTGGCACATTCCAGAATCGACCAAATCTCGTCGAAGTCTTGCAAACTTGCCTTTCTGAAAGAGTGCATTGGGAGGAGTGATGGTGGATTGAGCTTGAGATGGGGAACAACAAAGTGCTTCGAGAGACGAAATGATGCGATTGTTGCGAAGGTTTGGGAAAATTATTTGACGAATTTAAGATTTGCATGGGATAAGACAATAAGCATCGCTAAAGTGACTCTTGAATGGACCGGAAGTGAGATTACTGAGAGATCTCTAGAATAGCTAAGGATAATGATATGGGAAAGAACGACTAGAGACAGATTAAGATTGGTTTTTCTTGTGACGACGAGATAAAATAGTGGTTAACAGCTTGTCACGGAATTGAATTGGAACCGGTCAAGATCTGTCAAGGGCGGCGATATGGACAAGGAGAGAACACAGTATCATCCACGAGCCTTTCAGCGATATGAACAAAGACTATTTCTTGATTTTCATGTATCTTTGTTTTTCTAAACCGGAAAGGAAGCTAGCTACATGTTGATTGAGAGTATAACAAACGGCTATAAATGCAGTAGAATAGCAGAGGTAACTACAAGAGGTAACTACAAGAACAATTGAACAACTGAGAGCGTTAGCGATCAGTTGTGAATTGTAGAGATGGCTATAAGCACAACTGAGCAACTGGGAGCGTCAGCGAACAGTTTCGAATAGTAGAGATGGCTATAAGCACAACTGAGCAACTGGGAGCGTCAGCGATCAGTTGCGAATAGTAGAGATGGCAATAAGCATGGTTTAACAATTGAGAGCACGACTACAAACATGGTTGAACAATTGAGAGCGTCAGCGATCAGTTGTGAGTGGAAGTCAAGACTACAAGCAAGAACAACTGAGAGCGTCAGCGATCAGTTGGAGTAGTAGAATCTAGAAGCTTAGTTGAACAACCAAGAGCGCGAGCGATCAGCTGGTGTAGTGAAGGTCTAGAAGCTTAGTTAAACAACTAAAAGCGTCAGCGATTAGTTGTGAAAAATAGTAAATAGTAGTAATGACAGAGACACTTGTAGAACAACTAAAAGCGTCAGCGATCAGTGTGAATAGTAGAAAAGGCTACAAGCATGAACAAATGAGAGTGATAGATATGACTACAAGCACAATTGAACATCTGAAAGCCTTAGCGATCAGCTGTGAATAGTAAGAATGACTGAGACACTTGTAGAACGACTGAGAGTGTCAGCATTCAGCTGTGAATTGTAGAGCTATCTACAAACATTAAAAATTGATAGCTAACGCTCTTAGTTGAAAATCTAGAGGTCTATAAGCTTAGTGGAACGACTGAGAGTGTCAAACAATCAGTTGAACATAGTATACAATCGAGAATGTCAGCAAAGAGTTGAGGGTGGTAGAGATGGCTATAAGCGTGACCAATGGAGAGTAGTAGAGGTAGCTATAAGTATGAACAGTTGAGAGCGGTAGCTATCAATTGTGAGTAGTGGAGATGGCTACAAGAGTAGTTCCACAACTGAGAGCGTCAGCGATGAGTTGTGATTAGTAGAGATGTCTATAAGCATAAACAATTGAGCGGAGTAGAGCTCACTGAGTATTGCAGAACAATTGATCGTTGAAGCTCTCAATTGTGAATGGTATAGGTGACTTGGCTATAAGCATGGACAGTTGAGAGTCAGCGATCGACTGTGAATGGAGTAGACGGGGACAACAAGTATATGGCAACAAGTATGGCAACAAGTGGAGTTTAGCAACTGTTCGCTGACGCTCGCTAACGCTCGCTAACGCCCCTGACGCGAATACAAACAACAAAAACAGCCATCCATGTCTGCACAGACGACGACTACGGCAACCATTTTGCGGGGTGTCTGTAAAACGGTTTACGACTTGCAATGCATCCGTTTTGCGAAACTTTACGCTACAATTACGGTGAGACCTGTCTAGACAACGACGGCTGCTGGGCTTGTCGATGACGAAGATGTTGGCGTTCTTTACTGTATGACGTGGAGGGCCACACCAGGGAGTAGAGTACACCAACGAACGGCTTTTCGAACAGATCGTGAAACAGCAGCAGTTTTAAAATGGTAGATAACGCACTCAGGCAGTGTTACCAGAAACGGGCACGACTTGCAACCGTTGCTCTAAGAGTGAATGGTTTGGTTGGTATTTTGGCGTACTTTTCCACTAGGCTGTTGAAAGGATCTGAAAGGATCTGTCTGCACTTGCAAAAAGAACAGGCTGCACAGCATACATACAGCGGCGTTAAGTGTGCTTATAGCAGTGTCTGTTCTTAAGGCCGTGTAGTGGTTATGAACGGTTAGAAAGGTAATTTCAGACGGAACTCGAGAGTACACACAAGTTCACGCCATTGTGAAGACGACCCGCATAGGTTTTCGGGCAATGTACTTCTTTATTTCTAACCGTTCTAAACACCCTATTCTTTCCATTCCATTTCATTCTCTTCACGACTCACCTCCGTCTTTCTTTCTTTCTTTCTTGCAAGAAACGTCCTACAAGCCTGGTATACGGTTATTGTCAATATTGGTTGTCAACACTGAAAATCGTGACACGTAATACCACCAAAGCACCCCAGACAGTAGTGGAACGTTCGCCTGAGTGCATATGAGTACATATGCAGCGCAAGACTCAAAAGAGGCTTCCGTCAGTGAGAGTGACTTACTTGTCAAGGCTTGGCTCAAACGCATTGTCAACGGGCATCGAGAATTTCCGGTGACGTCAAACACGCCTGGTGGAAGATCTACATAGAATGTTTGTCACGAAGTAGTCTCACGAGGTATTCGCAAGAGGTATTCGCAAGAGGTATTCGCAAGAGGTATTCGCAAGAGGTACTCTCACGAGGTACTCACTTCTCGAAAAAATGTTCTACCTACAACCCAGTTTGCAACCCGTGGTTACGCCGGTACCGGCGAAAATTTATTGGGCCGATCGATTTACCCATTATCCACCGTCCATAACGGAATGTAATTTGTAAATTGTAAATCGTAGATGTATCTGTGTGTATGGTAACGGACCGTCGCTACATGCGGCAAAATAGCGCATAAAGGATTGGATGAGCCAAAAAGCGGGCTCGATCAAGAAAAGTGGAGCAAAGTGGAGCAAAGTGGAACAAACAATAGTTAACAGATCTTTCCGTCGCTATCTCGTTGCTCGTCAGAATCTGGGTCTTTCTTCTACTGTCGTCCTGGAGATGCGATTTTTCTCATTGCACTTAAGTCCGAAAGCTCCCTAAGTGCCGTTCCGTATGAAATGACCACGTCCGATCATGCACCACCTGCACGAAAATCTCCTTGCACATTCCCATTGTTGACGTTTCTTACGACGAACGGAAAATCGAACCGTGATAAACTTGGATCACACCACGCCCGGAATGTAGCCAAAACTTGGCACACACAGACTGCATCCGTTAGTAACAGAGCTTGTTTGTCATTTACAGCCCGGCTGGTGCACGAAGATCTCACGTCAGAGAAACGGAAAATAGAGCACACAGACGGTGTGTCGCTTTGTACGGAACGTTGCAAGCGACCGCGGTGTCATTCGTTTTTTAGGAAATCGGTTGCTGACGGGTATCATTCGTTTTTAGAACATCGGTTGCTGGCTATTTGCCGTCACAAACGCCGAAACTCTCCAAGACTTTCTTGCATTCGCATGTATGAATTTTTCTTTTTTCCAGGTTGTGCTACGACCAGCAACAACGCTGTATTCGTGCAAAAATCTGCGGATTAGAGTTACCGTGCTAAAGTCTGCAGCTTTGAGTTACCGTGCATAAGTCTGCTACAGAGAGTTCGCGCACCTGGACCCAGAGTCAGGCTCGATAAACGGTGATCTCGAGCACGTGACACAGCGCCAGCGTCAGAAAATGATAAAGCTATTCAGACTGGCTACAGACGTTGTAGACAAAGAAAGACGCACTCTTTCAGTGATCGATTCAAAGAGTAAGAAGTGGAGTCCATTTTCAGTGATCCATTCGAAGATTAAGAATTAGAATCCATTTCCCGTGTCTTGTATTTCCCAGGAGCCGTTTTCACACTAAACACCTGCATTGCAGAGTCTCAATTTAAGTTTCTCAACGATCAAAATCGAAATTTTTGGAGGCAGTTGATACCACAATTCTACTCACAACACTTCAATGTAGTCCAGCTCTAAAGACAATAAGTGGTGTGTGCATTTGACTTGAAAAAAAAAAGAATGTAACATCCTTCATTCTGGTCATATCGCCCTGAATAGAGCAGCTGTGTATGAGCTTTCTTGTGAGCTTGGTTTCTTCACAGCATACGTCCAAATCTTTCAACCCATCAGAGCTTCCCTGACGCCAGTTTCAACCACTCTTCTTTACTGCGTGAAGAAAGCTCATCGCATCACATGCAAAGCACGTGACCTTCAACGAAATTGTCAACACTGCATCTAATTAATAGTCAAGTCAAAAGCTGAAATGCTTCATCGGGCATCGCACCAACTTTGAAGGCCTAGAAGCCCTAATTCCAACTACCAGTAAGCACTTGTAACTTCTCTATATGGCCACGACCGCTGAGACTCTGTTTCGCGAAAAATCGGTGGTTGGAGTCCGCGACTACAACTTGAATCTCAAGCAGGAAATAACTCGCGCAAGAGACACCTTTGACAAAGAGTTAAGCAAACGATACACCGACATACTGGCTGTGACTGATGAAGTCGAAATCTTGTTGCAAAAAGCTCGTCTGGCAGACACCAGTTTGATGGACCTGTGTTTCAACGACTCGAAATGCAAACTAGAGACTATATCAGAACCAGCAAAGGGATTAAGCGCACAATTGGAATTCATCAATGGCTACAATTCGGCCACTGCTGAAGATTTTGGCCCCCCAGACGAAGCCTGCTGTACGCTGGCCGTATCAGAGTGGGTTTTAGCGGTGCTGGAATTCGTACAAGACCCAGGATCCTTGAAAAACCTCGACTCGCTCGTAAACAGATTTACCACCCTCAACCAAGTCAAGGTCCCCGAAGAGCTTTACGCAATTATAGCTCACAAGTGCGAATCGCTTGAATCGGTCATCTTACAACACAATTTGTCACTCACAGCGAGCCATTGGGTCAGATTGCACGAGCTGTTTCATGCAGACCAAAGAGCACCCTTTTTCAAGTTCAACGAAGTCCATGCAATTGACGATTTGGCTTTCGACTTCCTTTTGGGAAACGAAGACTATTTACAGCGGAGTGCGACGGAAATCGAAGTTCAAAATTTCTTCAAAACACCTGTTTACAGAGCTAAATCAATAGAAAGAGCGCTGAAACTCATCGACGACCAGTTCCAGAAATACGATAGTTGCGAACTTACGGATAAACAAAGTGATTTGGCTCTTTATGGTGACATCGACATGCAGTCGCTGCAGCTTTTCATCGAAAATGTGGATTCTTTCTGCAAAGGTGTCATTGCTGCAAAGGATCAAGAACTCAATACTTTAGTGGAACGTGTAGTTGAAACGATTGGGAAGCTCAAGAGCGCAGGTGCTGATACAGCCGTGCTTGCGGATATTAAAGCACGTTTGACCAGTCGTGTGCAAAAGAGACTGGTGGAGCTCGAAAACGAGTTTCACGAGCCAGATGTCATTGCGTTGAAATCACTTGAAAGCGTCGATACCGAACAATCTTCGAAGGCGGAATTAGGAGGCCCAAATAAGTTGCACGACTTGCAATCTGTGGAGGAAAAAGGAGATATAGACGCACACAAAACGCTCTCTCCAGAGACTGATCAAATTCTAATCGCACAATCTGAAGCTGAAGCTGAGCAAGGAACTACAGACAGTAAAGATATCAAAGATACGCCAAAGTCGGCTCGGGAAAAAGTCGAAAAGTCATCCGAACAAACACAAGAGTTGTCAGAACAGATTGAAGGACAGGGTCCAGGAAAAGAAAATACACCAGTAATCAAAACACCGAATGATGGGGAATTGAAGCCGGTGGACCCAAAACAAGAAACATTACAACTGGAACCGTCAAAGTTGGAAAACGAATCGGAAGAGTCCGAAATTCCAGAAACTCTGGAAAACCAAGACCACTCGTCATCACCTACGCCAAAAATTGAAATTTCCGCGCATGACGAGACAATCATAACGTCAAAAAGCTCTGAGGCCCTCGTGAATACGGCATTGAATATAACGAATGCTCTTAATCTTCAAAACCATCTAAAGTCTCAAATTCAGCTGATTCAAACGCTATGAATGCTGCTCATCTATCGTTCTGGTACTCGAGTACTATCAAGAATTCTACCTGTAGCACTGGGTACGGCTTATTGATATCCAATAATTATTCACAGGGCATGGCAATTGACTCATGAGATACCTATAAAACCAGAATACTTCAGTCTATTTATGACTTTCTAAGACTCTTAGTTGTTTGGTTTTGCATGTTCAGCGCATTGAAAAGATTGGCAATTTTTGAGACCTTTGCGAGCCATCGATCAGCCCAGATGACCACTTCAAGCTCGAGCTCAAACCATGGCCAATATCGGGAACAAGTAGAGGCCCAATTGAGAGAAAACCGGGAACGTTTGGAAGCATTGACGCATGAAGGATCGCAGATCGGCTTCCAAGTTGATCCTAAGGACATTCCCAAAGCAAATCCAAATTTGAAGGTGTTTTTTTTCGATATTGATAACTGTCTTTACAAGAGATCGACTAAAATCCATGATTTAATGCAAGTATCAATTCACAGTTATTTCAAAAATGAGCTTCAATTGGATGACAACGAGGCCCACAGATTGCGTGAGACTTACTATAGGGAATACGGCCTGGCAATTCGCGGCCTGGTGAAGCATCATGATATCGAGGCCCTTGAATATAACAAAATGGTAGACGATGCGCTGCCTCTGCACGATATACTGAAGCCTGATCCGGCCTTGCGGGAAATGCTGATAAAACTAAGGAAATCGAAAAAGGTGGACAAGATGTGGTTGTTCACCAATGCCTACAAAAATCACGGGCTCCGCTGCGTTAGACTTCTGGGAGTAGCAGATCTTTTCGATGGCATCACATACTGTGACTACTCACAGAGGGACAATCTGATTTGCAAACCAGACCCTCAGGCATTTGAACGAGCCAAACTGCAGAGCGGTTTGGGCGATTACAAGAACGCTTGGTTTGTCGATGACAGCGGTAGTAATATTAAAACTGCGATATCATTGGGCTTCAAGAAAAGCATACACTTGATAGAAGACGAAGTGGACGAAATGTTGGGCAAAAATCCAGAGGGCTCACTAATCATCCAGACCATTGAAGATTTGCCGCAGGCCGCGCCGGAATTGTTTTCATAGTTCCAAAGAAAAATCACTATTCTATGTCCTCAAATTGTATACAAATTCACATAACTTCGGAGCAAGGTAAGCTCAGGCTTGTCGGCGTCTTCGCGCATATCTTTTATTCGTTCCTTTAAACGTAACGCGCCATCACTTCGAGCTGGTGGGAATACCGCAGTGCCATATACAAGCAGGACAAAATAAATCATCTGAAGATAATTGTCGGAGCTCAAAACCTTGATGCAAAGGTCAGATTGATGGTCCTGTTTAACTTTCGAGAAAAGTTTGTCGAGCAGCGGCTTATGGAATTCGGGGATCTGCTGCGATATGCGAAGATGTAGCATATAATTTTCTCGATCTACAAGCTGAAAGTAGATCATCAAAAAGTGCGTCTCGCTCAACATATCATATATTCGAGAGCACCAGCTCGTTGTGCACTCTGCTGACTCGAAAATATTTCGATCCAGAATGAAACGAATGAAGGTTCTCGTGAATCCACTGCAGTCCACATATTTTTCAAGTTCTTCGCACATCCAAGCAACGGATTCCAGACTGTTCATAGTGTCATACATGGATGTAATGATGGGTTCGGTGCTCTCTGGCATATAATCTACAGCTCCAAAAGATCGCAGAAGGTCTTTGAAGGAGGTCTTTTGAGAGTTTCCACTTGGGCTCAAAAACACATCCCAAGCATCCGGGCGCCTGGCTGTAGTGTTCCCACTTATGAAATGCCAATCCTGAAATCGTTGACCGCTACTTTGCGATGCTACCATTTCCACATAGGCACTAGGCACTTGATTTTTGAAGATGGATACCAAAAGCTCAGAGGTCTCTCTAACGACATCCTTAGACTTCTCCGGCTCTGTTATTTCATGGTCGATAGTTTCACAGAGCTCTTCAAATTTGTTCAACCTCGCAACTATGTTTTCGTCAAACGCACGGTCTGAAGTATCGAACTCTACAAATTGCAGCTTTTCGGACTTTTTGAACTCAGTTCTCAGGCCACCAGTGCCTAAGCTAATCCCAATGTCCTGCAAGGGATCTTCGGAGTCTGAACCACTTTCGGAAGGGTCAGATAGACACACACTGTCATCCAGCAAATGTTTCCGACCGATTAGAATATCATCGGATTCTTGAGAGTCTGCAATCAAATCGGTTTCATGGGTTTGACCAGCAAAGCTGGAAGCAGCAGAATAGTAGTCAGAGTAGTCTACGGGGCTTTCGCTAGGTTCTGACTTGGGCTCATCGCCCATTTTATGCTGTTATGTTCATCAGATGAACATTTCGACATAATAGAAGCTATCGATATTCTTATTTTATTAGTTTAAATACAGCACCATCCATGATGTTGCACCGCACACAACCGTAAGAATCAGTAGACTCATTCGCGCAGTTACTACAAAATAATCTACAATTCGCAATTCGCATTAGCCAAGAAAGCTTTTCATTTAGCAGCTTCCAGTCAGACTAGGCCAATCACTTTGGAATTCGCGTTGAACTCAATCCAGTGTCCATGATAAACGGACCACCCAGCAAGAATCAACGACGTTGTTCTTTCTAAGCCTTGGGTGGTTGTTGTTGTTTCTTCTGTTTGGCAACAACGTAGATCAAACCAGCCAAGAAACCCAAAAAGATTGAGAAAATGGACAAAAAGTTCTTTGGGGCATCGAAGAAGATTAGCCCTGAGAGAGCAATTGGTAGCTTGTTGAGGGCACCGACCATCGAGTAGGTGGTGGAGGATGTAACTCTCACACACCAGCCCGAACAATAGGAGATACCGACGGAAGCTAGACCAGAGATGACCAAAGCAGTCATGAAGTCGCGAGTGAAAGTGGTGGAAATGTTAGCGGCAGACCAGTCTTCTAGGATGAAAGAAGCGATCAAAAGAACAGGCAAGGCCAAGATGTTGTTGTAGAACATGGTATCGTAGTCCTTGAAGTTGGTGAGCTTGATTCTTTTGCGCATGACCAACACAAAGAAAGCGGACGCAATGCAGTTGCTGAACATCCAAAAGTAGCCAGCGGTAGGATCCTGGGCTGCTTCAGCGCCCGCTTTGGCCGTAAGAGCTTGCTGGTCTCCTATGGTTGCAACAACAGACGACAACACCATCACGACGAAGGCCGATAGTTCCATGGCGGTCACTTTGCCACCAAAGAACAGGACTTCACCGTAAGCGATCAAGATAATGGTCAAGTTCTTGAAAATAGTGTAAATTGGAACTGCCAAGTTCTGTAGGGCCTTGGAAGAGGTGTAGATCATGGCCACGAGCAAAAGCGAGATAGGGAACCAATTTTTCACATCTGTCTTGTTCAAAGGTCTGAACTTGGCGTAGCCTAGCATTTTCAATACTGCCAGACACGCTGTGCATACCAAGGACTGCACGAACAACATAACAAAAATCATGTTAAAGTTGGGACCATTCACGACAAATTTGTTGGTAACGGTCATCAAAATGGAAGATCCGCAGTACGCCATGATCGAAACCGGGCCGGAGTTCACGAGATGGGACAATCCACTGCTAGAGTCAGTTCTTAGCTCAGTCATTGTGGTAAAATTCGAGAAACAGGTCTAGCACACGAGATTGAGCAAAATTTAGCTTGGAAAAAAGCTTTAATTGACGATCAAAAAAACCCTGGGCAAAGCGAGTTCGCTATTTTCGATTCTGATGTTATTTCACCGAGAAAATTGAGCTTTCAAGAGGATTCTTGGGCCTTTTATCTGAAGTTTTCAACGTGAGTTGTAGTTGTTTTTTCCAGGTTAAACAGCTTGCTAGGATGTTTAGATATAGTTTATAGCTTGAAAAACGCGAAAGACGCGGCACGTGCGCAGGGTAACTGATCAGAGTCTTAGCACCGATGTCAGTTTGATGCGAAAGTGATGAGCGGAAGACGGTAACAGGAGAAGCTGAACAGGGCGGTAAGCTAGGATAAGGTTTTGGCGGTCAGTTCGTGGGCAGCTTTCCCATATGCTTTTGGAGTTTTAACAAGAATTATGCTTTGAGGTGAATTTGGTTTGCGAAGATTTGGAACACGAAACTAAAAGGAGGCGATGAAATAGAAATCAAGCCAAAGTGCTGAATGGGGATGAATTAATGAAACATTTTGGTGAGGCAATATCCCATGAATAAAGTGGGTTATGAACAGTTCAATTTGTGATGGGAAATAATATGCTGGAGATCGAGGAAATGCACGTAAAAGCACCACGAGATAAAAGTCAGCATGCTTTCTATTAGTTTAAAGAACATTTATGCTTAAAAAGGGCTCTTATTGGAAAGTTAAAGAAGTAAAATAGCCTGTATTTTGTTTAGTTGCGTTTTTTTGATCACTTGGCTTTAATTCTGTCGCTGACACCTGGATACCAGCACGTGACTCGGTTATCTCAATTGTGCTTATTTGGAACCAAAGACTCCGTCATTGATCAACGTTTGGAATGAAGCCTACAACATAGGTGAGCACGGATAGCCCTTTTGTTATGCTTTGGGTTAGTAGATGCGTGTTGCGCGGTGCTTGACTTATTCTATATATGTGGTGTTCGTTCAACGTGATGATCTTAGTAGTGTTCTCAAGTGTGTCTAAACTACTATAAGCTGTGAAACGTGGTTCCTTATCTGGGCGTGTCATTCGCGTATGAATTCGGCCCTCATTGTTCGGTGAATATGAATCTCTTAAGGCTCATTGTAGGTTTTCGAAAATAGCGTCCTGTGTGCGTTTTGATTTAATTTGACATCCTCAAAACCATTGGCTTATTGGTGGTGTAGCACGGACTTGTTTTAAAAAGAAGAAGTCACGAAAAGCACGACTCTCTTATCCTTTTCGACTTATCCTCTTCGGAAACTAAAGAGTTTACCTACAATCCCGGGCAGTTGACATGGACTCGTGATGAAGTTGTTATGCCCTGATCGTTCTGTACTCGTGTGTCCTAAACAGTGCTGTCCAACGGGTTGACCCGGATCAAAAATTTGCAACCCGGGTTGCAAAATTCGGGTACTTAACGGGTTGCTGTTTTTTCAATCAGGTCTTTGAGTATTAATAATTTAATATTTACGGATCCTTCAGTGAGTTTCAATCACATTCAATAGCGTCGCTAACGGGTTGGGAACACCTCACATCGCCTCGGTGACAAAGAGGAGCAGCTCATGTTTGTTCGCGATGCTAAAAAACGTTTAGACTTGATATGAATTGTATAATGCTACCTGGGCTAAATACTGGTCAAAATACTAATTACGCCGCCCAGCGACCGTCGAGATGGTCATCATCATCATAGGCATCATCATCATCAACACCGTAATCATCATCCTGACAATCATCCTCAAGGGGTTCTTCATCAGATGATATATTTATAAAATCATCGGCATCGCCCGGTTTCGTGAGTAGAAGTTCCTTGTCGTACAGGCCGAAGTTAAAAAAGCGGTCTCTTAAAAGCATGATTCTCCTCGCATTAGCGCTCCCGAGACTTCTGCGGTCGCTTCTCATTAGTTTTCCACTGATAGAGAATGTTCTCTCAATACCGCATGTGCTGAACTTTGTGTACAACATGGATAAAGCCAACGGAAACAAATGAGGGTAGGTCAAACGCCGCGAGTACCACCACTTCACGGCATCTGTCAAAGAATCTGAAGTTAAATGAGAATCAGCCTTATAGTTCTCCCATTCTTCCAGAGCTTTAGAGGTTCTTTCTGGAGGCTGCTTGAAATGCAATTTTAGCCTTTTGAACTTGGTGACGCGATTCGTGTTCACTGGCTTGAGCATATTGTCAATGTACGGATGGTTTTCGGATTGGCACTGCTTGAGGTAGCCCTTGACATATGCCTCTACCCTTCGAAAGTGCTCTGATCCCTCATTATCACCAAAAAATTCTTTAAAATAATCGCCTTTGATACTAGGATCCAAGAACGCCGCAACAAAGTAGATGTCGTTCTTTTCATACAACTCGAAGTATTCGTCGAATTTTGACCTGGAAGAGATGATGGCTTTCAAAACAGTACTCTTTATCTCTTCAGAGAGTTCGAACTTTCCATTAATGAAGGTGAAATCAAAAAACCCCTCTGGAGAAGCTGGAATGGTTTCCGTTTCACCCCTGCTGCATAAGTCATAAAATTCCTTCATCGTGGAATAGAAAGTGACTGCATTAGCTATGTTGCTTGCATTGTTGTCTTGCAAAGTATCGTTCATTAGCTGGAAGATCGAGCAACAGCTCGTAAAATACTCTAAGAGTTGTACTGTTTCGTCCGTGAGCTGCAGCCGCATTTCTATCTTCGGAAGGACATTGTGATATTGTTCATTTGACTTCAAACTCTGAGCCCACCCTAAATATCCTTTGTGATGCTTTAGAAATGTAGCGACCTGTTTCCAAATGAAAATCCACCGCGTTTCGGGAGCCGAAGGCACCAAGGGTAATCTAGCATCCGCTATAGCAGACCTTAAAAGAGATGACCTCTTGATTATTTTGGCGAACGCACTAACATCTCTCAAGCCTTTTTCAAACCTCTCATCTTCCCTCAGCTTTCTCACGATCTCCTGAAACAGAAGGTTCAAAATGTGACTTGCGCAGCGAACATGATGAAAGTTTTTTGTCTTCTTGAATGCCGTCGTCCTCGAAGGTTTTATGAGATTGTGAAGAAGGAAAGAATGCATGGCCGTATTATTAGTAGCATTGTCAGAGGTAAAGGAGAGGACTTTATTTGTTATTCTAAATCGGTTCAAAACCTCCACGACCGTGGTATGCAGACTTTCACCTGTATGGCGTGAGCCGCTGATATCAACAAAATCCAAAAGGTGACTGTTATTGGTCTCTTCACAGTTATTGAGTAATGCCTTTTCTCCAACGCCTTGTAACATCTTTTCATTCAGCAAGTTCGGAGCGAATGAAGCTGCAATACCCAAATAAGAGTGACCGTTGCCTCCAGTCCACACATCTAGCTCTAAGTTTATGAAATCGGTTTGTTCTAGAGCCGCAACGAGTGCCTTATCAAACCATTGGGAGTAGGTTTCGAGTTTTGTATTTATCGTGGTGCGAGATTGAATGAATGACATTTCTGGACATGCCTTACATATCCATTTCCACGTTCTAGAGCTGACAAACGAAAACGGCAACAGTCTTTCCGTCAAAAAGCCAATTGTCCCGATGGAGCCAGGACTGTGCTTACACTCGCGAGCAATTTCTCCCGGCAGCGGAAGCGAGCGAGATTTCATGATCAAAGAGTCTAGTGAACGCTCCTTTATAGTTGCAGCCTTTTGGGATCTGTACTGGCAGGGGTGAATGTTCTTGACGTGCTTGGAGAGATTACCCGTAGAATTGCTTTCGTAGAAGGTTCTTCCGCAATGTATACAGCTAGCTGTGGTCAAACCATCTGTTTGAGAAAGTCGAAAGTGCTTGCGAAGTGCGGACCTTTGCATCCATTGTGATTTTCCACGCGCTAGAGCCTTTTTTGTATTGTGGTGGGGCAAGTCACCTAGGTGGTTCTCAGGATCACTTAGAACCGTATCCCCTTCAAGATCAGTACTGGGACTCGGCGCTAGTTCATGTGGTGCAATCATAAGAGGGGCTTCCATTGTTGGTAGAAACTGTGGCCTGAGCCATGTTCCTGAATGTGAAGTAATGAATTCTGAATTTTGTCACCTTTTATATCTTCAAAAGTTTACGCGTTGCATTTTAAAAAAGACGCGTTACATTTTAGAAAAAACGCGTCCAGGTTCCTCTCAGGTTGCAGTTCAATTCTAAGCGGGTTGTACGACAGGTTATGATTTGCCCGAAGCGGGTTCTTTCAGGTACCTAGCTATTTAGCAGATGGGTCCTCAAATTTTATGAATTTTTTTTACCCGGCCAGTTTTGCAACCCGTTGGACAGCACTGGTCCTAAATTCCAGGGCATTTTGAACGAGCATTTCTTATGATTCGTCCACGAGTACGCCAAGTCCAAGAATCTGTCTTGTAGCAGTCGTGTTCCTCTTAATCTCTATTTTTCCACCACAAAAATGCGTAGCTAAACCTTTCAATACTTACCATATTTGTCCGTGAGCAGAGTCATCAACTGAATTTTTATCAGCACATCACAAAAGTTGTGCGAAAGAAAAGTTGCTACATGTAAAGCCAGCTCAACAAACCAGTACGTCTGCACAGCTCATCCTGACCCAATCCATTCGTCATATAAAAAACAACAAAACCTTCATGGTGATGAAAGAAAGATATCACTTCAGATGGTCTGGTCAGTCACGTGATCATGCACTTTATATCCTGGCCTGGTGCGGTGTGTGGGTGTTTTTTTTTTCACTTCTCAAAATCCTCAATTGCATTGCTTCTCAATCTATAACCTCTTACTATGTATTTATCCATCCATTGCCACTTCTAACGACCCCATAAACCTATTTATTGTTCAAATCCGCAACACACACCAAACTTCCCATCGTTCGTCACGTGACCGCATTTTTTCAACTTCCTTATTCGCACACGGCTCTTGATTCTATTATATACTCATTCAAACACCACGGCACTCACGAACGACACGCAAATTGTAAGGAACTTACTCATTGTTAGCTACAAAATGCCAACGCATTTATGTAGCCGAATACACCCCCTTTAATCTGATCGTATTTGAATGGCTTTGGTGCCAAACTTTTTTCCAACTTTATAGAAAACCACCACACTCTTTCTCTTTCAATTTAGTTACTTTCTCGAGCTATCATTATAAGTGGATTAGAAAGGTCAAAAATGTCAAAACTAGTCTTCCAAGAGAAAGTCGACACACTGAAGCTCTCGTCTTCCGTGTTCAGGTTTGGTTGAGCTGGTTTTGATTGTGTAGAAACTTCGTATTTGTGGTATTAGTTATGTGTATATAAGACTAGCGGATCGTCCACAAGACGCCTCTTTCTTGGGCGGCACTTGATCTTCTGTTGCAGAAGGTTCGGGGTGCGGGAGAAAAACAGGCTGAGATCTTGGATGGGTGGTTTCGTGGTAAGAACGGTGCTACAACGAGCGTGGAGCATGGAATCGGTATATTTGGGTTTTTCGATAATTTTCCAAGACGCTCAGCTCTACTTTGTTTTTAGCCAAGAGACGTTTGGAATATCTGAAAAGTGAGAACACAAGGGCGACAGAAACTACAGGTTTGAAAGGGGAAAGCTGAAAACCTACTGCAACTTTACGTCGGTAAAACAGTTGTGTTTTATATCATGGTCTTATGCGCGGTTGAAATGTCTGGGACACGTTTGCAAGCGTCTGGGGGGATTCAGAGTTGTTTGGTCAAAATGCGTACTAAAAAAGAACTGGAAACTGGGGTATTTTTGAGAGAATGGCATATTTTCAATGCTGCTTGGAAGTGGAAGTTTGTTGATCCACAAGCCCAAGGTGTCTAGGGTTTTTACCAGACTATTTCATGCGTGTAAGATTCGAATCACACTAAAACAGAAAAAATGTCAAATTTCAGTGGACAGGAAGAATGAAAATACCAGTTGGACATCGTCCAAACACCAAAAGACACTTCCCTTGCATGTCTCAAAGCACTCCGCTCATTCCAACTTACAAATTCGTTGTTGGTCCACCAGTTTTTCAAAAATGCTGCGATTTTGACGAAAAAACAAGGAAAATGAAGAGCTCCGTCTCTGGACATCTCACGACTACAAGCATGGACCGCTTAGCCACTACCAGAGGCTCTCCCGGGTCTTCAAATAGGTCAAACTGTGTGGATCTCAAAGGCTGGATATTTTCGATGTGCGTTCCAAATGACATCAAATAACAGCGATGTCTAAATATTCAGACATCGACTGTAAAGGAAAAGTTTTTATGACAAAATGGTAAAAAACCTACAAGAAATGACAGACGGAGCCCCCAGCATGTTCGAAATGCTTGATGAGAACGAAATGAATGGTGGGGTTCGGTTCGACTCGATGCTGGAGATTTTGCCCGAGGAAATTGACATCAGTTTTGGCGAAGATATCGGGAATACAAATGATAGGATAGAAAAGCTAGATGCAGAACCAACTCGGAGTTTTGTACCCGAAAAACCACCGCCATCTCAATCAGTGGATACAGAAACGTTGTTTCCTGCTTCGTCGGTACAGCCCTTGGCTATGGAGAACCAGCAAAATGGTGAAATTGCCCAATTATGGGATTTCAACGTGGACGACTTTATGATGACACCAAGCCAATCCAGTGATTCTGCAACGATCAGTGCTCCAAATAGCTACAACTCTGAGTTCCATGCACATCTGGGCAGTCACGGCGCCTCAGGGAGCATCGAAACGGATGGACTTGGTTCTTCAGCCTTTGCTGCGCATATGAATGGCCAGGGCAATAATAATTGGAGCCATCTTCTTGGCAACCCTTCAGTCTCTGATATCGATACCCAGCAAGTTTTTGCTAACCCCATGTCTTATCGTCCAGAAGACCCGCAATCAACTTCGTTTTTTCGGCCAACACTGCCGACCAGGCGTTCGTCATCACAGGTTTCTAAAAACTTGGGCGAAGACGGTAACATTGCACTCACATCTCACAACACCACAAACTCGATACGTAAGAGCTCTCTGGCAAGACCCTTATCGTCCACGTCGCTAGCATCTTATCGTCAGCCGTCGAGTTCTGAGCTACCCCGGAAACCTCAGGTCGAATGTTTTAATTGTAAGACCACCAAGACGCCGCTATGGCGTAGAGACGCAGACGGGAACACCATGTGCAATGCGTGCGGTCTTTTCCAGAAATTGCATGGAACCATGCGTCCGCTGTCATTGAAAAGCGATGTGATACGAAAACGAAATACCAAGAAACGCAATAAGAAGCCCGTTGCTACCGAAGCAAAAGACACTACCAATGGCACAACTCAACCAGAAACGAATAAGGCCAAATCTGCAGCGACGCAACTGCCCCTTTCTTTGGATGTTACACCCTCTTCGCATAATGAGCCATCGCAGGCTTCTAGTTTTCCTTCCACGGAGACAAAACAACGCGGCAACTCGTCAATGTCGTTCAATACAATGAACGCTACGACTAATTCTAACCAGCTTTTAAGCTCCAAAACATTGATGAATCATAACAACCGAATGCAGAGCGGAGCTGTTCCTGGGGTCTCTAAAAAATCTAGACGCTCCAGCAGCTCCAGTTCTGCGTCGAACTCGAGTAACCGCTCTTCATCATCGCGCACCATGGTATCCATTTTACCCAAGCCTTCGCCGGGAGCTTCTCAACGCAATCAGTTTCAATTGATGAACGTTTTCCCAAGTAGCGCTGGTAATAGCGCAGCGTCGTCACCAAGGGTATCTATCTCGCCTCGACCGACGTCGGCTCAGAGTCCTGTGCCAAACTTTAATGGCCAGGCCATACCGCAAACGTCGGGAGGCGGCTCTGGTATAACGGTTCGCCGGAAGCCATCACGCCCGGGCTCGTCATCTATCATTGCGTCATCATTGCAACAGCATCAGCAACATTCAGGGGTCTACGCACAGCCAACTGTTGGAAGCTCTTCGTCCACAATCTCTGCATCTTCACAATCCTGGAATGCAGCAGCCGGCACTGCGTCCTCTCCGAAACCAGGAAGATCACCACGTTCACCTTTTGATCTCTTCTCTGCACAGGAACCTTACTCGAGGCCTGCGTCTCGCAAATCGCAAACATCCCTGTTATCTCAACAGCTACAACAGGCGAGTCTTGTGCCTCAATACCCACAGTCGCCTTCCCAGTTTCAAACACCCACAACTAGTCAAATCAACGGTTATTCAAATTCTGCCACACCTCAGCCTGGCTCTATCAAACGTTCTTCTGCCACTGCCTCTCCACGAAACGGTTATATGGACTCTATACAGCAGCAGCGTGGCTTACATGCAGAAGCAAGTCTTCGCAAGACTACATCTTTACGCTCTGAGTCTTACGGGGGTACCTCTGGTCTGGCGGCTACGAACCAGAGTTCCAACACTCCAAAGCAGAAAGACAATGCTTTGGACGATCTTGACTGGTTAAAATTTGGGCTTTAAGCGGATAAGTCTTATTCCCACGGCGCATTCATAAAAACACACGGTGAGCGATATTCACCAATCTGATCTTTAAGGCGTGAATCAGTGTTATTGAGACAGTTATGTCAAAATCACACTGATCAATTGTAACTCTGCATTTATCTATTATATTATCATCATTATTTTAATAACGAAACGGTTTCGGTCTCCAGTTCACAGTTTTAGCTCAGTTTTTGAAGTTAACCAAAGTTGACAAAAGTTGACCAAAGTTAACAAAACACCAGTCTAGTTGCAAGGAATGTGCCATGGGTGTTCCTGCTTTGTGGGAATTTATAAAAACAGATGACAGTGTCCGTCGAATTCCCTTCAAACAGTTGGTAACTGAATTCAAAACCGATGCTGGAAGAACGCCTCGATTAGCCATCGATGCCTTTGGTTGGCTTTTCGAGTGCGGTTTTTACGCAGAAAACGGTGTAAATGACTCACCCAGCAAGTCTTACGGAGGAGACTCGCTGGCGATTATCTCACTATTCAAACGTGTAAACGCTCTCATTGCACTTGACGTAACTTTTGTTTTGGTGTTCGATGGACCATCGAAACCTGAGTTCAAGAATAGAGCAAAGCTTAAAAAAGTGGTCGAAACTGAGTCGAAAGATGCCAATTATGAGACCGCTGAGCAAGTGGTGGATGGCACGGGCGCATTGTTCGAAACCCAACCGTATGAGTTGGACGACACTTTATTCCCGGATAAGCTAAACCTCGTCAAGCGCTTTTTGAAAGCTATGAACATCTCATGGATCGATGCTAGTGGCGAAGGAGAGGCAGAGTGTGCAAGACTGCAGAAGTTGGGTTTGGTCGACTATATTATTACAAATGATTCTGATGCCTTCGTTTTTGGAGCCACCAAGGTACTACGCAACCTGTCAAGATTTTGGGAAGATGTACCAGCTTCTTACGCTGGTAGTACGAAGAAAAAGGACCACAAGGAGAGCTTCGTCACGATCTTTGACATTTCAGAGTTACGAAACTGGAATCAGGATCAAATCGTTCTATTTTACGCGCTATTGGGCGCAGATTATAGCCAAGGTGTGCGAGGCCTGGGTCCTAAGAAGTCAGCCACTCTAGCTTTGTTAAGAGAACCTGATTTTGCCTCGGAATTCACATCCATATTCAAAGATCCACACTTGGACCCAAGGGATCGACAGTTGCGCTATAAGGCTTTTCAAGACAAGGTGTTCAAACACAGTCAAGCCAACAGTAACGAATTGTTCGGCAGAAATTACTTCAGATCGTCTAGTGCAGAAAATTTTCAAGGCTGGCCTTCTGAAGCCGCACTCATGCATTACTTTCATCCTGTTTTATCGTCCACGGTGGACTTGGCTAGTGTTGGCGGTGATTTCATCAATATCAGCGGTAACCTGACTCTTGATGAGCAAAACTTCCGGCAACTGATCGAACTTTTGAGCGAACACAATATAAGAAGCATTTCAAACCTGAGAAAGTGGTTTCATGAGTCCACTCACAACGCCTTTATTCTCAAGAAGCTTCTGCAGTTCAACGGCTCAGATTCCTCGCATTTCATGAAAATAACAGACGAGTGGACTTCTGAATGTTGCCAGGGAGTATTCCACATTGAATATTGGCGAATTCGGTACAACACGTTCTTGCCAGGTGTCGAGGAACCGCAGATCGAAGACTTTGAAGGCAGGAATCTCATTTCACGACCTGCCACGAGTAGCAGAAAAACGAGTCCAACAAAAAAACAGCTGGAAAGGGCAACCTACAAATACATGGCCTCTGTTCCCAAAAAGCTTGTTCCTGTGGACCATCCCCTCGTACTGGAATATTGTTTGGAACGGGAGAAAGTACGAAACACACAATCTCCGAGAAAACGAGCTGGTAGAAAACCCACTCCACAGAAAAACAATCTGGACGATTTTCTGAAGACCCACACGTCTCCTAGAAGAAAATTATCCAGCACGGACGCTCTTGAGAGCGTTGCACAACGCCTAGAGGCTCTTCCCACGAAACGACAACTTTTTGTTGGTGAAGAACCTGACCTGGACGAGTCCGATGATCCCTGGGTTGCAGACACCAGTTCTTTGATTCTAGTTTCAGAGCACGAGTGTCAGACGGAATGCGCGCCCACGTCACCAAAGCGAGGTTTACTCTTAACGCAGTATGACGAAGAATCAAATTCCGGCAAGGAAGAACGAAAAGAATCGCCGTTGAAAAAACGGCATATTACCACAACCCCAGCGAGAAACCGGGCCATGAAAAACCCTATTCTTTCGCAACATATAGATCTCACAAACGACAGTGACGGATGAATGATAATTCCCATTTTCAGAAGATTTGTAGGTCAAAAAAAAGGCTTCAAAGTGGATAAATGACGTCTACTCCTCCAAAAGTTGACCAAATGAGCCCAAAGTTGGCCCAAAATTCGCCCAAAATTCGCAAGAATCCTGAAAATCATTTCTCTCAACCCAGATCCAACGCTTTCCCTCAAATAACTCCTCTGTCACCAAATTCATATCTTTCTTCTGATACTTGACCTCGATCTTGATCTTGATCTTTATACTGACGTCGCAACAGTTGTGGATCCTATCACGTGCCCATTATGGCTGTACAGTGTCAGTGAACAAATCAACAACCTATAAAATAAGATCGTCAAAGGCGTTGGTTTACTCATCAACCAAGACCATCTTAGGAGCAGATCTATCAAGTTTCGAAGCCGTATTAAACCCAGATCTATTCGCTTCAATCATGTACTCAAAGACCATCAAATACAGTCCGCAGACGGAGAAATTGTTGACGCTAGGAGCTGGCTGTTTCTGGGGTACTGAACACATCTTTAGAAAGCAATTTGGCAACAAGTTGCACGACTGCAAAGTGGGCTATGCCAACGGAATGGAGTCGAAAAAGGACTCGCCCAGCGGTGTCTCTTACAAGAAAGTCTGCCAGGGCGATACGCAGTTTGTTGAAGTTTTGCAAATTGCGTTCGACCCAAAAGTGGTGTCTTTAGCTGAACTGATGGACTTTTTCTTCAAGATCCACGATCCAACGACATTAAACTCCCAGGGTCCAGATACGGGGACACAGTACCGCAGTGCCATTCTCACACATTCTGCAGAAGACTTGGAGGAATGTCGTGCGCTAAAGGAAAAATGGCAGCCCAAATGGCACAACAAAATTATCACTGAGGTCGCCATGTGCACGAACTTTTACGACGCAGAAGAGTACCACCAGCTGTATTTGGACCACAACCCCCAGGGCTACAGTTGTCCCACGCATTACGTGAGAGATTTGTAGATCGCATGGGACAGGTTTTTTACTTTTTCATTTCCTTTCTTCTTTTCTTGGTTCTCAGGGTCTTTTGTCTGCGCAAGACCATCGTTCAAAAAAAAGGAGTGACCCCGGCCTCTCCTCCCAGTTTCAATTGCAGACTCACGGATGTTCAATTCATGATCCCGGGTTCGCAGACTCCTTCAATTTATCTAAATTCTCCATAACTTTACGGTCTTTCCCATAGTTCAGAACACTTATAGCCACTGCAGTGAAAAGAACTGTACTGAAGATACCTCTAAGAATCAATTCAGCACCCGACATTTGCATCTGGGCCGCTTTGGAACCCGGTTTAGCTCGAGGACCGTAGTCACCGTAAGATACAAAATAGGCTGCTCGTTGTTCTCGTGGCGTCATCAGAGACCAATTGGACTCCATTTTCCAGTCTAAATACTCTAAAATCTCCTCTCTGGTCTCCTTTTCGATTTTTAACCATGTATTGGTATCAAGCTCATCGTATTTTGGAGGAGTATAAACAGCTGAGCTTGATAATCTGCTCATAAACAAGACTGGGTGAGCCAAGGACCTGCTAACACTTCTTGCCAGCATTCTCGCTAACGAACTATACACGGTTTGCTGAGGTAGTCAAGCTCTAGGTCGAGGATTGAACTCTTTCTTTCTTTAAAGCTGTTGTGAACAGCTATCTTATTGAATAATTTGAATTAAATCGTCAACTCTTTAAACATCTCAAGAAACCAGCTGGTAAAATACAAGCACAGGACCAATCATGCTACCATACGAGGAGATTCACGTAAGTGCTAACGAATTGCAAGACCTTCAATTCACATACTAACAGAAACGGGACAGAAATTGTACCGAAAGTCGCCCAAATTTGAAGAGCTCATACCACTGGAATCACAACCTATATATGCGTCCGCTGCCCTAGTTGTAGCACTCATTTTGCTTGTTTTTGCAGTCACTTTGCCTGCAAAGGCTAGTGGGACGCCATTGGCTGTGCAATTCGTGAAATACACTTTAACAAGTTTGGTGGGGAGCCTGTTTTTGGGATTAGCTATCGTTTTCTTGACGAATTCTTTCGGTGTTTACGCCTAATGGGTGAAATGAACTCTCTAGAAGACTCCAACCACGCTCTATTATCCACATAGAGTGTTCAGCTCTTGCCTCTGAACTCTAGGCCTCAAAAAGGCCTATACATATTTTATATATACCGTTAAAATGCATCATTATTTGGGAACTCGACTAAGAACAACAGTTTTGACTAGCTCGTATTGATATATAAATGTATATTTACATATAAACGCATCGGCCTCAGAGCTTGAGAAGATCTTCGTCGATATTAACAAGCTTGTGAACGCGTAATTCAGAATCGTTATGAAGAAGAGAACCGCCCTCTCCATACTCAATAAGCGCATTCACCATAGCTCTGGTGTAACTCACCATGTTCTCCAAAGAGCTTTCACTCTTCTTTTTCAAAAATACCAAAACCCTCGAGTTGACCAGCTGAAAAAGGCGATCTTGTAGATACGTCGGTGTCAAAAATACCGCGAGATCTTCATTGCACTCCTCCAAAGGATTGTCGTACGCAAGAAGTGACGATATGTCATTCAAATGATTCTGAAACCCTTCCTTGTATCCCGCAGGTACATCGGGATTGAAAACGAATCTAGCAGTGAGCTCTTGACCCATACCCAAAAGCTCGTTAATTGAGTGCTGTTTGAAATTCACAAAAGCCAGCAGATATTCTGCAACTTTCAGTTCAAAAAAAACATCGATGTTACTATCAAGCAGGCCTGCATAGCGACTGTCAATGAACTGAACACATTCGGCTATTTTACCCTCGCTTATGAGCCTTCTGATATCTTGTCGTATTCTCAGATTATGCTCTTCCTTGACAATTTGCCTTTCGTTGTGTTTTATGACCATTCTTCCGCGTTCTTCTTCATTGTTGGGAATGCAGTCTTTACTGAGATCGATCAAAAAACCTTTGGCAACATCAATCAAGCCCTCGTGTATCAAGTAGTCATTAATCATCGTGTTCATGGTGCAAGGAATTGAATCGTCATCCACACTCAAGTTGTTCAAGTTCTCCACGTCTGGTCGGAAAAGTTGATCACCGCAAATTCTCTCATCTTTTTGCAACAAAAACCCATCTTTTGGCTTAGAGGTATCTTCAATAGAAGCCTCGGCATCAAAGTCAGTATCGGGCAGCTCTCTGTCATCATCATAAGTTGAAAAATCGTTTCTTGCGTCGTTCCTGTCGACGCTTTTGTATATGTGCTGGAAAGCCTTGGTCTTCATCCTGCGCTGATATCCCAAAATATCGAAAACAAACTCCTCATAAAGTCCGAAATTTGTTCTTATCACTGACCCAGCAGTTACAGAGATGAACGGAAGCAAATCTATATCATGGACATCAGTAAACGCTGTTCCCAGATGAACCCCATTTTTGGTGAAAAATATCGTACCATCAACATAGTTCACACCACACCCTATCACATCCGACTGACCGAAGCCATTGGAGTATGTTTGCGAGAGGGCGCCGTCCGTGATGTACCCATCCTGTCCTCCGTAAAGAAAGCACCCCTTGTTTGACGTGTCTCCACGATTACTGGAGCCGCTGGAAGAACTGACATCCAAAGTAGCACGCACTATGCTTGCTGCTTGCCTGTTAATCGAGCTTGCATCGCTTACTTGCAAATCTGTCCGCGAGTTTGATTTGGAGTTTGACTGCAGTTTAGAATTATCTTTAAATCCTACCTTGGTTCTGGATGTCGAAGGTGAGTTGGCAGGATGGGTCGATAGCACTCTGATTTCGTAATAAAAAATGGCCAAACTCTTCGAGAGTGCTACATTGTTGGCCACAGTGCTGACGTACTCTTGCCGGGTATTGAAACCCGCCAAGTTTTCAGAAAAGCCGGGTCCAACAATGGAGCTTGTTCTTCGATCATGTGCGGTGAGGGCCTGAAACTCCGGATTAGACTTGAGTTGGGTACATCCATCGGATGAGACCAAGATGCTGTTGTTAGTAGGGATTTCCCAGACATGTGGCAAGGGATAACCTAAATGCTTGTACACTTCTGGCGAGACCGTGTTTTTCTTGAAGCCAATTGATCCAGATGCAATTGCTGCGGCAGTTGCAGCATCTGGTGATTTTCCCTGGCCTGTATGAGCCCCTAAAGAATTTATGGGTGGGACTGAATCTGTTTCATTGAGTAGAAAGTCTATATCGTGACTCGTGGTAGCCTCATGGGCGCCCTGATGGCCATATTGATGTGATCCAATGGTTCGTGCTGTTCTGTTATGGTTTTCATTGGCATTTTCTTCGTCTTCGTGATCAACGTCTACGTCTTCGTCAGCGTCATTAAAATCATCATCGTCATCGTCATCGTCCTCGTTTTCGTCCCCATCGTTGTCCTCGCCATCTTCTTCTTCCTCTTCTTCTTCCTCTTCTTCTTCTTCTTCTTCTTCTTCTTCGCCATCGCCATTGTCGTCATCCATTCGAGATTCTTGGCGCGATACTATTGCAGGGGTTGCGAGTTCATTACTTTCAACATCCACTTGCATGTCATTGGTCCCGACGGCATGCTTGGCACCGAACTGAGGATCTTCCTCAATTTCGGGGTAGAAATACTGGTAAACTTGAATCAGATAGTCGTCACTAGCCGAGTCATAAGGAATGGTCCCCAGAACCCCTAGACTCATCAATTTCTCCCAAATCTCTTTTCGCGTTTCGTAGCTTAGTTCTGGTCGCAATCTTCGCAGTTTGGGATCGCTCAAGTTCGGCAGATTCTCTCCCTTGCTTTTGAGTTTTCTGAATAGCTTACGGTTGGTGTAGTAGATCTTCCACAACTGGTGTCCAATGGGTTGTTCAAGCAAGTAGCTGGGGAAAAGTGCCCTAACGTATGCGTTGTCCACCTCATCCGTGCAGTGGAACATTTTAGCGTTGTTGATAAGGTGTTAAAGTGAAATGAGCTGCTCAACTCTGGGTGAATAGTGTCTAAGGGAGTCTTACAAGATACTGGATGGTTGATAAAGTCAGTTTAAACATCATCGCTAATTATCCAGATCACGTGGTCGTATAGTGACACTTCTCAGCTGAATCGGTCAAAAACCACTTCCAGTGACAATCTTAGATATCAACATTGTGTTTATGATCAGCGGCCTTGGTTTTGCTGAGAATTCAGTCTTTAAATCTGGATTGACTGTATTGGAGACTTTTCCTTTTTTGACTGTCTCTCATCATCAAAATATACTCTTCAAAACATATATATATATGGGTCTAAGTATCTTGAGATGAGTTATTTCCAAGCTGGCGAAAGACTTGGTTTGAAACGCTTTCCTTGTCTCTAGCTTGTTTTGTTTTTTGAGCATAGAAAGAGCTCGGGATCGTCAACCAACACCAATCTCACAGATCGGTCAGTGTATTAATACGAAAAAATCCAAAACGTAATCGTTGAAGAGTGTTTATAGTATATCCGTAACACTAATAATATTTACATACCCAATTTATCAGTTGCAATCAATACAGTTGAGTGTTTGACTTTATAGGGACACACCGTGTACCCGCATGCGATGCACGCTTAGTATCTGTAGTGGTCGGCCTTGTATGGACCTTCGTTGGCAATTCCCAAGTATTCAGATTGAACAGGAGTTAGCTTGGTCAAACGAACACCTAGCTTGTCCAAGTGGAACTTGGCAACAGCCTCGTCCAAGATCTTTGGCAAGACGTGGACACCGATTTCGAAAGGACCAGTCTTTTCGAATTCGACGAACTTCTGTCTGAACTCCAAGTCGCCAGCCTTGAACAAAGCGATCTGGGCCAAGACCTGGTTAGAGAAAGAGCACGACATAACGAAAGAAGAGTGACCAGTGGCACATCCCAAGTTAACCAATCTACCGTCGGCCAACAAGATCACGTGTCTGTTGGTAGGTAGCAAGAAACGGTCAACTTGTGGCTTGATGTTGATGCATTCCTTGGCGTTCTCCTTCAACCAGGCGACATCGATCTCAATGTCGAAGTGACCAATGTTGCAGACAATGGCATCCTCTGGCATGGCCAAGAAGTGCTCGGATGTGATGATGTCTCTGCAACCAGTGGTGGTGACAAAGATTTGACCCTCAGAGGCAGCTTCCTCCATTGGCAAAACTTGGTATCCCTGCATGGCAGCCTGCAAAGCGTTGATAGGGTCAATCTCGGTGACAATCACACGGGCACCCATACCTCTTAGAGAGTCGGCGCAACCCTTACCAACGTCACCGAAACCAGCAACGACAGCGGTCTTACCGGCGATCATGACATCGGTGGCTCTCTTGATACCGTCGACCAAAGATTCTCTGCAGCCGTACAAGTTGTCGAACTTGGACTTGGTGACAGAGTCGTTGACGTTGATGGCTGGGACCTTCAACTTGGCCTCCTTGACCATCTTGTACAAGTGGTGAACACCGGTGGTGGTCTCCTCGGACAACCCGAAGCAGTCCTTCAACATTTCTGGGTGTTTGTCGTGGACCAAAGAGGTTAGATCACCACCGTCGTCCAAGATGAGGTTCAACTTCTTGTTGTCCTTGAAGGCGAACAACTGCTGTTCGATACACCACAAGTATTCTTCCTCGGTCTCACCCTTCCAGGCGAACACTGGCACACCAGCGGCAGCGATGGCAGCAGCAGCGTGGTCCTGGGTCGAGTAGATGTTGCACGAAGACCACGTAACCTCAGCACCCAAAGCAACCAAAGTTTCGATCAAAACGGCAGTTTGGATAGTCATGTGTAGACAACCAGCAACGCGAGCACCCTTTAGAGGCTGAACAGCACCGTAGGCTTCTCTGATGGCCATCAAACCAGGCATTTCATGTTCGGCCAATTCGATCTCTTTTCTACCGAAGGCAGCTAGAGAGATGTCGGCGATCTTGTAGTTTAGAGCTGGAGCAGACATGGTTGTGTTTGAATCTGAGTTTTTGAGTACTTGATTGTGAGTCTTTGCAACCTTTGACAGATGCTATTTCCCACTAGTAGAGCTGGTTTTTTGAGCTAGGTGTTCAAGTCTTGTAGCATCATCATCGAAATCGCTAGTTTTTATAGTCCTGTACAGCTCTTTCTTTCTCTGAAAAATTTTCCACCATGTGATATTCAATTTCGTTCACCTCGAGGCTGGAGGAGCGACGAGGGCGACGGATCAGAGTGCACGGTGTGTGGTGGGCTACACGGGACTTCACATGGAGGACTACCTCGAGGACTTTTGTCGTTAAGATGAGTGAGTTGGCTTTATTCGTGGGGAATTTGTTGATTCAGCAGGAAGCGTTTTTGGCAACATGGCTAGCAACGTGGCTTGTTAGGTTGGAAACGCATACGAATGCGAGTCCGGGATCGAGCTTCGAGAGCTGGGAAAGTGGGATATTGAAGAACCGAATTGGTTGGTGTTGATTGGTAGACATTTGGTGCTTGGTGAAATGACTTCTTTGCTAGGTTTTCTGTCTCGAATTTTGAGTGCTCGATTGCAACAAATATTGGAAGTGAGAGAGGGCTCGTTGTAACTCAAGCCTAACGGGAACCCGAATAGCCTGTAGCCCTTCTCACGACTATACAACCGCGAGAGATTGTTTTCCTTTTCAGCGTCACGAAATTGCTGCAACAAGCGCTTGTAATTAGTGCATCAATCGCGCTAAAACCCAGTTTATCACTACTTTATTCTGGTGAAGGATGTAGGAACCATTTCGAACAACATTTCACTTGCATCCGCTGACGAGCTGCTTTTCAAAGAATCGCGTCTATCTTCCATGCGCTTAGCGGCACGGAAAATCGTCCGTTTTGGGCGGTTGGAAAGAGCATTGATCTTAAAAAGTTGAGACCCTATCGGCCTCGAAGTAAACGGCTCGTGTGTCAAGCATTTGATGGCCCTTATGTAGCCTTTCAACTGATTATTCTTGTGAGAAATAGGTATATCAAGGCAAACGTTGAATAAAGGGCATATTATATATTCTTATAAGCGCGAAATAACTATACATCACATGACCTTTAATCTAGACTTAACAGCGTTAGTGAACTGGCATGGTGAGGTGTTTCCTCCGTTTATCTCGGCCATCTCTAGAACCAGCTTCAGTGTCCCATTTGAACGTTCGTTTATTGTTAAATTACATCTGTCTATTTAAATTCGGACACTTACTCGGACAAGTGGCTCTCTTCATCTTGACGTTGCTCGCGAGCCATTATTTCGCGCTGCTCGCTTTCCAATTTCTCTAGTGCAGCGCGTTGTGCTTTCTCATGCTCTAGCAATTGGGCATTTTCCTCGTCATCGTCAATTTCGCGTGATTCCTCGTCGAGTGAATCGTACATGTCCTGGAACTTCTCCAAATCTTCCTGCTCCCGACGCAAACGCTCTTCGCGCTCCTGTCTCTCAAGTTCCTCCTGTTCCCTTCTCTCCCTCTCCATCTGTTCCAAAAGCTTTTGCTTCTCTAGATCCTCCCGAGCTTGGAATGCCAGGTTGGCTTTCGAGCGTAAGATAAATAGATACTCTCCGGCCTCGCGCTGGATAGCTTTCAAAGTGAATTGTATTTCCTTCAAAAACTTTTCCACATCCTGCAAATCGGCTGGATGTCTCATCAAGGCGTCTCTCGTGAATATCACCTGCTTCTTGAGTCTCAAAAACTGCTTCCAGTTGTCATGTTGCCTTTGGCTCAAATCTTCGGATTCCATTGCAGCCACGACGTCCACGTAAGCCATACGTTTTGACCACTCGCTGACCATGACATCGCCCCACTCCTCATACACCTCCAGGTGCTCTTGCCGCAATTGATCAAGGTCTGTATTGACGTCGCCGACAAAGATTTCCAACATATCGCGCACCCGCTCGAGAGCATCGTCCACATAGGCATGGGCCTGGGAGAAATATTCGCGCATCAATGGTCGCGTTACGTAGTTGCGCAATTGTGTGCCCTCCCTGTTGAAGAAGAGAGATTCCCCGGTCTTTGGGTCGACCTCTGCAGTGCAGTTGACATCCAATATGGCTTTATTAATAGCCCGGTAATGCTGCTGCGTGGCATTTGAAATCTCCCGCAGCAAAGCGGTGATGCGGGGACGAATATCGTTGAGCTTGCCCGTTTTGATTTCCTCAATGTCTTGATCAAGTTGCCCTTCGGAATTCAAAGCCTTCTGGGCAACGGTATTTGACCACGCTTGAAATTCGTCTTGTACAAGGTCTCGTAGAGGCACTTCAAGATCTGTGTCAGAGTTGGCAGTGCTTGAAGGTGTTGCAACCTCATTATCGGAAATCGTAACCGTTTCGATGATTGTGGAAGTCAAATATAGTGTTTCGTCATCGTCAAACTCATCCTGTTCTTCATCATCTGCGTTCTCGGATTCGTAATATGGGACATCCTTTGAGGTCTCGACGCTTCTGTCAGTAGCGTTCAAATGCCGACTGACCCTTTCTTGGACGAGCAATCTGTGCTTTTTGAGACAAGCAGCCATTTTAAATAGACGTGCTTTCACACACTTGGCTTCACTTGACAAATAAGGGTGGGAAAGTTTCCAAAGGCGGCCCACTTGTGCCATCACTTGATGAAAAAGGCTTGAGATGCACTTTATTGTGTGTGCCGTGTATCTGGCAACAGCCCCATCGGATCGTAGCCATAGTTGGAACTCGTAGTTGGCGTGCTTGACGTGGGGAAGCACGTAGACGTTATAGTACAACTGACTTTTAATACGGGCAACCTGCTGCCATTTGTTGATAAAGGGAAGAACGTGTGCTTTTCCAGCAGTTGTGAGCATCTGAGAAGCGCTTTCGACCCGACATTTCAAAGCTTCCTCTTTAATTTGCCACTGAAGCGCTAGCGGTCTTGCAAACTCCCTGCGATGAGGTTCGACATGCGTGCTCCACCATGGGCATACACTCTGCTCAACCCATTGTGTTTGGCCTAGAATGGGTGTGGAGCAGAGATCTATGCTCTGGGTTCCAAGTATTGATGCACTGAAATGAATAGCCACCAATAAAGCGCACACAAGGCGGAGGCTTTGCCAAAATCGTGCGAAAATCATCCCCTTCTAAGTTCACCAATATTGAAGCCCGCAAAGACTAAAGACAGGCCCTCCACTTCTGAATTAGAAGTTTAGTTCAATGAGCACTTTTTCCGTCCAGTAAAAGGACCTCTTTGGCTTCAAAACTGTCTGTGGTTCACCTCCGAAAGATGTGATGAGATGAGCTGCTGATGTGAAATATTCAATTCTTTAGTGATTGATTTTATTTAGTTTATGTTTTTCTCTTTTCGACGACCAGAAAACGAACTAGAGAATATGACCAGATGACTAGATGACATGTCAGAATAGAGCCGGTTGGTAGAGGATCGCTATTCAGCTCTGTCGTCTCATTGGTATGTGGGAAGAACTTGTCGGGAAAGTATGCAATCTGGAACGGTGAATATCAACAGCTCTTGTTTAGAAAGATGAGGGGAGCTAAGTTCAAATGCATATTTTTTTTCTTTGTTCTTGAGACCTTGTGGTTTCTGTCCTCTCATTCATCACTGTCTCTTTCAAGTCCCAAAGAACAAGCTAGACGACACTGGTTGGTAATTGCGGTATAAATTGTAGAATCTGGACAATTTTTATAATTATGACTTGAAATGTGACTTTGGCAAAAACCAAAGTTCGAGAGTGATGATCCAAACTGGTTGGGCGTTTGTTATTTTCCACGGAACGTCATCTACCAAAAAATGGACATAATGAAAAGCAGTGAGTATATTCGTAGTCCATTCCGTGTTATGGACATTGCTTCTTTCTCCTGAGCTTTTTCTTCGTGGCGACTGGAAAGTTCATTTAGGTTACTTGATGTCTGTTGGATAATTTCGCACAGCATACAAAGAGCCACAAATCGCGTTCAAGGCTCTGTTGAATAGTTTGGATTATATGTAAGAACACAGCGATTGCTGTTTTATAGAATAGGAATCATACAAGGTAATTTATGGGAAGTCAAGTCGAGAGTTGTTTTGAATTTTTTTCCACTTCAATGAAGTCAAATCGAAACTATTTTGATCCCTCGCACTTTCTCGATCCATCTTCTTACGATCAAATTGATCAAACAACTGTGTCATGGCGTTGCTCAATGCTTCCAGCGCTGTCGTGGCACTTGCACAAGACAGCATATAGTCACTTCCTACGAGAGCTACCATATTTACGAGAAACACATTTCTGGCCGATATGGATTTGGCATCACCCTAAGGAACGATAAGAATACCTGTGATTATCAACGCTCATGACAAAGCGTTTTTTTCGAGGACAAGTCCCACGGGCTCGAATGGAGAAGAATTTGCTGACACCACTAAATCTCGAGTTTCACGTGACCAGTATCAAAACATCCCTCTGACGCTTAGTTCTTCACTGACTTATCCTCTTAGCGAACTTGAGATTGTAAATGATCCAATCAGGTTTTTGCCGAATTTGGTTCGTAAGCTTTTGGCCAAAAAGGCGACGTGAAAGTTGAAGAGTGCTTACCAGAAAACCCAGTGAGTTTGCTCAAGCAACTACGTAACTAAAGGTTAATCTAAGTCACGTGACCTGAACAAACGACAGACTTGAAAATCAAATCTTCATCGAGTGAGGAGGTATCCATAAACAAACGGGGCATCATATCAAAATCCAATGAAGTTCTCTGTTATTGCAATGGATTAATCCATACTTTATAGCATTTCGTTAAAGCACTTTTCTCTAAATTAACCCAATATTCGTCAATGAAACTGGTCCGTAAAGAACGATAGATTCTTAATTATGGACAAAATTAGTGAATTAGTAGAAACTAACAAAATGACTTCCGTCAAAGAGTCTGATAACTATCAACTGATACCGATAGTGGCAGCTCGTTTGACAATCTGGTAGGCGCTAAACTTGCTAAGGGCGATTTCGCATATTGGGAGACGAGCTTAGGGTCGCCCATCTAGGCTGTGCCACCTTTAACATAAGACATTTTCAAAGTGGAAAATATTGCCAATATTATATATACCATAACGCTCATCCGTGATCACCAAGACAAAACTTGCACTCCAAAGCCATGTCTTTTTGGCCGTTTGGACATAACGATCACTCCAATATCCATCGGATACTGGAGGAGTACTTCCAGATACTGCATTCTCTCGAAAACCGCGATGAGTTACGGGCAGAGCCGCGATTAGCAGGGGATTTGCCAACTCATGATGAAGTTGCCACAGGATATGCAGAAGACGTAAACGGGATACAGCATCATTCGGAAGATGATATCAGCACTGTGGGCTCCTATCACTCTACGACTCAGCGCTCTAGTCGTGCACCTAGTCTGTCTCAGCTCAGCAGTGCATACATCGATAGCATCCTTGCGGAGTCAGAGCTGCTTAATGAACTCACCCGCCAGAATAATACGCTTTTGGATTTTCTTTGCTTTGGTTATTTCTTCGATTCTGACAACGTTAAGGTCCAAAATATCGAGTACTTGATAGACCAGCTCATGACAAGTGTAGAGCAGATCCAAGAGGGACGTCCAAATGGCAGTGGCGGGAATGATGATGATGATGATGACAACGACAATGATGATGATGGACGCATACCAACCCTGCACGACGATAACGAAATTAGCAACGGTGCCGGTAATAGTAACTTTGGTCAAGTAAATGATGAGGAAGACGAAGACACCATTTCAACATCAAAGGCTCGCCCATCACCCTTAAACAGAGCAACCATTATTTCGGAGATTTTTGCACTAGATATATGGCTAATCTCCGAATCACTGGTCAAGAACACGGGCTATCTTAACAAAATATGGGCTATACTTCAGCAACCGAACTTCTCGGCTAACAATTCCACCTTAGTCCCTATTTTCCTCAAAATCAACCAAAACCTTCTGAGCACAAGACAGGATCAGTACCTCAACTTCATTCGTTCCAAAACCACACTCGTGGAGGACCTTTTGCAACATGTCGAAGTTTCGGTGCTCATGGATTTCTTGCTCAAAATAATATCAACTGACAAACAAGAAAGTCCCACTGGCATTATAGAAATGGTTCGCGAGCAGCAGTTGATAAATCGTCTACTAAGCTTTCTTGACAACGATAAATACGCCCCTGACGTCCAGGCCTGCGCTGGTGATCTCCTCAAAGCCATCATAACAATCTCGGCAAACGCACCTCTTGATGACATGTCTATCGGTCCCAACTCGTTGACCAGACAACTCGCATCAGAAGAATGCATGCTTTTCCTTCTAGGAACGATAGTAAAAAAAAGAGGAAACGCACTGATGAACGCGGTCTCTATTGTGATAGAGCTGATACGAAAAAACAATTCAGATTACGATCAAGTCAATCTTTTGTCTACAACCCTTGAGTCCCACCCACCGTCCATGAGAGATCCGATTTACCTCGGAACGATGCTAAAGCTGTTTACATCTAAGTTGGCATCTATTTTCCAGATCTTGATTGACATCGAGAACGATTCTGCTGGCAAAGAACTCGAAAACCAGCTAGGAGAGAAGTTCAAGCCTTTGGGGTTTGAAAGATTTAAAGTGGTCGAACTGATTGCGGAACTTCTGCATTGTTCCAACATGGGCTTGCTGAATTCGAAAAGGGCGGAGCGCATAGCAAAAGAAAGGAGCGAAGCAAGGAGGACTATGACAATGCAACTCCAAGACGCGTTGGTGGACCTCGATTTACAAGATAACGAAAATACTGTCGAACCCTCCGAAGCTAATGACAACGCCTTCGATGAGGACGTTGATGAGTCTTTTGATATACCCTATATCAACCCAAACCAAAACGCGAAACTAAGAGAAAACCCTACTATTGGCGATGCGTTTAAAATTGAGTTATACGATAACCAAATTCTGCCTAAAATTGTTCAGTTGTTTTTGCAATATCCCTGGAATAACTTTTGGCACAACGTGGTGTTTGACATTGTTCAGCAGATCTTTAATGGTAGAATGGATTTTTCCTACAATTCGTTTTTGGTTTATTCGCTCTTCGACAACAAGCTGGCTAAAGATTTTATGACTGGACCACGGCAAGTTGTCGTGCGCGATTTCCAAATAACACGCGATCTCATTCTTCAAGGCTACAAGAAGTCCTATGCGTTTTATGAAACTCATGACACAGCCCTCGGGTACATGGGACACTTGGTCTTGATTGCCGAGGAAATTGTCAAATTTTCAAAAGTGTACAAGGTTGAGCTGATATCGCCTGACATACAGGCAGTTCTACAAGCGGAGGATTGGATGTTTTATTCTGAGGATGTTTTGAACGATACGAGGATCATGTACTCCAAGATCCTGGGGGGTAATGACTATATGGAAGAAAATAATGACGAGGTCGATGCAGCCAACGACGACGACGATACCTATTCCAATTCTGGCTCCCAGCTTGGAGGTAACCTAATAAGTGTGAATGAATTAACTCAGGAATCGAACGCTTCGCTTTCCAATTTTGCTACTCAAACCGATCTGCACATGAAGTTGAAGAAAAAGCTGATAGAACAATCTCAGGACGAAGTTGATCGTCGCAATAACGACCAGGGTGTCATTATTCTGGGCATGGCACCAGAAACGGAAGCACCATGAAGCGAGGAATGTTAGACTAACCACCGTACTGAACCGATTTTGCTCATATAGCAATGCAGCGAGGTATGCTATCCTAATTTATCATTCCTCTATGACTTAACGCATGAAATGTAGATGAACTAGACGTGTAACGAATACTTTATTAATACTTCTTTTCAAGACACAACGCACACACTGCGTTGGGACATGGTCTACTGATTTTTTTTTCTCGAATGCAAGACCTTACCGTTCGGTAGCTCCAGAGTATTGTCCTTAGGGTCAACACGACGCGGCTTTTGCTTTTCCTTGGTAGCCTCAGATTTGGGAGCGACATTTTTGGTTGCTGGTTTGTCATTAGAAAATAAGAAGCGGCCAAATGACTTCTTCCAAGCCCACAGAGGAAGAGTAACGAGCAGACAGTCGCGAATTCCGGGAGACTTGATGTCTTTAGTGCTTATCAAAGCTTCTTGGCCGTCGGGCTGTACGGCATACACATCGCCGAGCCTCACGACAATTTCTTTTCCTTCGTCGTCAGCGCCTTGCTTAAAAACAAGTCGTCTTTCGCCCAATCCATTAGTGTTGTCTTGAGCTCTAACGTCTCTCAAAAATCTGTTTATCCGCGATTTGTTGCCGTCATTTTGAAGTCTCAGAATAACCAAGTGGATCATCCCACAGGCAACATACAGGAAAACAGCTATGAACCAGGTCTTGGGCTGAACTTTGCTAAAATAGAACCCACCCTTGCTGTGATCGTAGTTGGGAAACCCGTTTTTCAGATAATAATCGTATGTCTTGCGGTGAGAGTCATTTTCAAGCAGTTTGGTAGCCAACGAAAGTCTTTCGTAGAGCTTCCGATATTTCTTGTTCTTGTCTGGATGGTAAGTTTTCGACAGTTTTCTGAGATTTTTACGGATTTCTTGCGATGTGGAATCTCTCAACTTGGGCAGTTTGAGAAGTTGGTAGAAATCCAGCTCTTTATTGTTGTAAACCTTCACAATTTCGTTTTGGAGCTGGAACATCTCAAATTCTTCCGTTGTGAAGGCAGAAGCCAAGGACGTTAGTCCGATCAAGAAACAAAACAAAAGCCTCCAACGAAAGCCTAGCATTTTGAGCTCTCGATTTTATATGGAGGGATTGAACTCGAGAGAGATCTGAACTTCAAAATCCGTGTTCTATTCTTATAGAGTTCGATATCTTTCTTGACTGAAAGTAAACTTAGCTAACTTGATGAATTTAAGTGATGGCCTAGTTCTAATAACTTTTAAATATTTAAAGATCAACAAGATTTAAGACTCTAAACTTGAAGATCAGTCCTTCAACAAGCTTCAAAACAATGCCTGGAGAGACCAAGTCAAATCCACAGACTGAGGAGGGCCAGAAAGGGTTTCAACGTGGCGTAAAAGCTCGTTTTTACCAGTATTTCAGGATCACAAGCTCGTTTTTGTATGCAGCTCTGGTCGCACGATGGGCGATTCTGTACCCTCTTGTTGGGTCAAAATTTCTGCCTGGAGGAATCCACGAGTTTCTATGCTATTTGATAGTCTATGCGGCAACAGCTGAAATACTTTGGAACTTCGTATTCCACGGGTTGACGAAAACGGCTCTCTCCAGAACCATGCTGAAAAACGTCAACTTGCTGTATTTTGTGGGTAACTTCCATTTCTACGACGACTACGAGCACGCTCTCGTTTTGAAAAGTGGCGCGTATTCGAGCTTCATAGTCGCTCTAGGCCTCAGCCAGACCTATTGCCATTGGTGTAAGCTGTTTCGGTCGCCCAGGCATAAACGGAGAACATTTTTGCAGACTCTCGACACGTTTGTGACCTTGCCGGTGTTATACTTGAGCGAGGGCTACTTGCTTCTGCTGAATTTGCAAACGCCGAACTTCCATACGGATCCGTGGCTTCAAATCGTTAACAAAGCAGTTCTGGTTGCATTTATACCCATTTGCTTGCATTCGCTCAAAAAACAAGTGACGTCTCTATAGCTGGCGGTATCTGGTGGAACATAAAGCGTTCTATGCGCACACGTTGGCCATAACCGTCACAAGAGCTCGCTGATCTCGTCTGCAACATCACGCGCGAAGCTTTCGCGTTCTTCGGTGGACTCAATTGTCAGATACTTGGCTCTCGCTTCTTGCAGTTTTCCCATTACGCCGTCAAGCGTAAAATCACGAAGGTTGGTACTGAATTCTTGTGGCGAAATGTTTTCGTCTTTTTGTTCTGTGTGCATAACTTTGGGATCCCATTGAAAAGTGTCAATGATTTCCTTTATTCTCGAAATGCCGTGAAGTTCTCGACAATCGTTTTCTGGTGGGTTTTTCCTTGCACTGATCGTGGTAACTTCCACGCCATGTGCCAAAAGGTCTTCTTCCACACCACGACGTATGTCCTCTGCTGCATTGAATTCTGTCGCAAGAATTGATATGAAGCCTTCCCCAATCGCACCGGCTTGGCCCATTTTCAAGATCGCTGCCAATCCCTCATCACCGTCCTTGCATTGTCTAATAAAAATACAACCGGCCAAGGCATCTCGGAGTTCCCCGTACTCTGGACTGCAAAAATCATCCACCCATGGTTTTAGCTCATCAACATAGTCGACATAAACGTCGATAGACACACGGTAGTATTTAGTTGACCATTCGATGTTTTTATAAATTTGAGTATCTGCTGAAGCTTCCAAATTGAAGATCTTTGACAAATAAGCGTCTTTGTCCAACACTTGATTTTCGAAAACCACCAGTATCTTGGTTCTAAGAGGCTGTGCCAACTCCGGTGAAACTTGCTGACCGCTCATTACGCTGTGAACGAGCCAGCGACTTGCTATTTTTGATTTTAACGCTAGAGCGTGAAACTTATTGAAAATTGGACAACTTCTAGGAAGACCAGCAAACAACAATGACAACGACCAACGGATAGTGAAATGTAATCGATTTTTGGATGTTGAGATTTATAAGAACGTGCGGGAAGCTAGAAAGCAAGCTTTGAAATGTGGTTATGCCTCAATTGGTACCATGACAGCTAGTGTAAAACTCGAAAATCAGTGAAACATTACAACGACACTTATGTGTGAACAGTTTAACGGAAAAATGTCCCTACCATCTGCTCCTTCTCTATCGAATTTCAGGCCAGGTGCCGCATGCACGAGCTATCCACGTAGCCCGTCGCCTTGTTTATGCTCTGAAAAGCACGCATCTCAGCAACCCAAGATTCAAGAAGCTCAAAAAGACGTGCGGAAATATGATCTTTCTGATCGAGAAAAACTAGACGAACAGAGCTCATCAAATTTGGCCACTTCCGGGTGCCACGAGAACTTGTTTTCGAAAAGCTTGGTTTTGAACAGCACTACGAAGTCTCCAGCTTGGAAACTACCTGCTGGGCTGCTCCGTTGGGTCCACAAAGCATATTACGGCCTTCGGCAGACTTTTCTGTCGCTGGCCGGTCCTAGAGGAGCTGAGCTTTTCGTTGTTCTATACTTATTGCAGCTGTTCATTACGATCCTGGCCATAGGAATAAAAGAACTCTGTTTTAGAGCAAACCTTGTGAAACAGGGCGCGATTCTTGCACTCCAATTGATACCCACAGACACAGTTGACTACGCCTCTTTTACACAGTATATACCACACTAGCGTTTTCTGATCTGACACTGACACAGGAAATTCCTGAGTTTCCTCTTGAAATGGATGATGGTCGCACCATTTGAAAGCCAATGTTCCTCAAGTATTCATCAGTAAAGACAAAAAGATACCATCAACGCCTCTTTCGTCCTGTTTCAAGCATCTTACTGTTCGCGATGATGTTCATGCTCATACATCACGGGTTTTTGAATATGCTAGTCAGTTTAAGTAAGGTCTTCTTATACATGACAATTCAAACATTTTAACATCAAATCAGTCAACTTTTGACTTCCAAGAGCCACTCACAATGACTGAATCAATCCCTCAATGGGCTGTAAACCTGTGTGATCCAAACTATGCTAAAAACATCAAGGTGGTATCTTCCAACTCTCTCATGTCTCCGCCTGGCTTCAAGACTATTACCACAACCACCAGCAAGACAAATAGTAACAAAGCTTCCAAAGCAGATCAGAAAAATAACTTGTCAGAGCTAGTTGTCCAAAAAGCGTGGCAAATAGCGTTCCAACCCGCAAAATCGATTCCAATGAATATGATTGTCTCCTACATGTCCGGAACGTCTCTTCAAATCATCTCAATAATGACTGCGGTGATGTTCGTGTCAAACCCTGTTAAAAGCATTGTGGATGTAAGACGAGCATTCAGGCCTGTATCAGGAAACCCAGAGGCCCAAGGTCAGGTCCGTGTGGCCATGGTAATATACGTTTTCTTCCAAGTGGTGCTGATGGCCATCGGTGTCCATAAACTCAATTCTATGGGCTTGATTCCCAACACCAGAAGCGACTGGTTGTTCTTGGAACAACCCTCTGTATATAAGGAACATGCCTATGTACTTTAGAAGACATTGAGAAAAGTAGGCTAGACCCAATGCATTACTCTTGATTGTCCTTTGAATCTTTCTGGATTTTGGCCTCGAAGATCTGCTGTATATTGTACTTCTTAAGCGCATCACGATAGTCGCTATCCACCACTGACATACCGATGTTGTTCTTAAAACACTCGACAAGCACGAGTTTGTCGTAGTTTTTCAGATCCACTGTGTGCGAAAACTCACCATCTTTGCCCACCTCTTTAGCAACCGCTTTTATGATATCCATCTTATCCACGGTGTTGAAGTTTCGGCGTGTTACCTCAATTGCAAACTTCAAAGGTGGATTGTCCTTCTTATGGAAATGCGGGCTAAGGACACGTTGGGCCAACTTTGATAATTCCGACAACGATGCGTTACACGAGAAACTGACAGGAGTCAGTTTTTGGACGTATCTGGTTCTCTTGTGGCTTGTTTTTGGATCAGCAAACTCCTGCATGATTCTGTGGACAAACGTCTCAGGAACTATAGGTTTTCGGGTTTTGCAGAACACCACGCATTCGCAGTTGAGATCCACAAACCTCAGAAGTTCCTTTTTGTGAGAATCAGTCTTTTGGGATTTGAGAGACTTCAATTCTTTGTTAATCTGCTCTTCAACTGATAGTTCCTTCTCTGGGTCGCTATCATCGTTTCCATTGTTCAAGTCCTCATCGCCATAGTACTCTTCCACTTTCTCCTGGAACAAATCTGCAAGTTCTTGAGCAGCTTGCTTCTCGTGTTTTCGAGCACACGTAGCGTAGATTCCAGATACACAGGGCTCGACTATTCCTGTTGAGAAGCGATACTGAACAACATTTTAACGCAAGTTAGTATTTCGGACGATAAAAAACCTGAAATGTTGCAGAATTGAAATTACCATACCTTCTTTTTGGAACCGGCTCCATGATCTTCACCTGCCCTCTTGGCCATTATACTGTGTTGCTAACTGGCTAGAATTTTGAGTTCTTGTTGTTGTTAAACATGCTCGATGATCAATGATTTGAAAGAACATGAATTTGATGACAGTTATTTTTCACCATTCTGCTAGCCGCTGTAAAAAAACTGTCCCATGGACGATGATAGGGAATTGAAGACCACCCGTCCACATCTGGTTTACGACTTTGGCAAATATACATGCTATTCTTGTTATTCTTGTATGCTGGTGCACCGCTCTACATAGGAAATAACTGACAATTATTTAGCGACGTTCAAGCCCGATTGAAAAATTTGGCTAATCGTTTGTGAGACCCGATCGAGTCTGCAAAACTCTGATCTACCGAGGACGAATGTGCACTGTCGGTTCCTGCCGACACCGGAGAGACCATTTTATTATGGAGCATTTGGGCCACCTCAGGCTTGATGCGAGGAAACCTTCTCATGCGAATGCTTGGATCATTATACTCAGTAATGTCTGGTGATTTCAAAAAGTCAATGTGTTGCCTGAGGTCCGTGAATGTAGAGTAGAGAGATCGTCTAGTGTTGTCTGTCAAATTCGACGCTCTGGTTGTTTCGGCTGATTGTGGAGCGCCAATAATTGGACTCGTGGGTGTGGATGGAATACTTCCATCGCTTGGGAAAAGCTTGGAAATTATACCTTCCAGGAAAGTCATGTTCAGCTCAAAGTTCAGTACACTTTGCGGAGTAAGCACTGCCGGGCTGTTGTGAAGAAGCACGTCCAGGAATCTGCCAGTAAGGACGTCAAATTCGCGGAAAATCAAAAGCGTTTTGACGCTGTCTGGAAGGTTGACTAGAGTGGACGTGAACATCATCTCCAGAAATTGCGCAATGTCCTTTATAGAGAAGCTCGGCTCCATTTCTACATGCGTCGAAGACCATTCGAATTCGACGAATTCTAACAAGTCCGACATCTTCGAGTCTATCAGTTCAATGAGTTTTGTTTCTGTGAAGTTTCTTAGGTCCGTGAGAACTCTAACTGAATTTAGGGTAAGCTCAACATCAGGGTTTAAAGTTGTATTTTCTCGGCTCAAAATGTGACTGAATTCCTTTACCGCGATAATGAAGTAGTCAAGATTGATCAGAATTTGAGCCATTTCTTCTCTTGACGTTGTGTCAAGCTTTGATTTGATCTTGAGATTAATGGTCTTGGTGAAAATGTCGTCTATTGTCTGAACGACTATCTGATTCAGTTCACTCAAGTTGTATCGGTAAAATTCGCTCAGAAATGTTATCATCTTGTTGTGAGTTTTCTTCACTAGGGTGCAAGACATCGGGTATAAGGGCGAAAAAGGCAAGGTGGCCAAAAACGCTTCCGGCGAATCAGCTTCATTGATTCTTGCTTTTTCAGAAGCGTCATCTTTCAGCCAACAGATGCGCAGAACTTTTTCATACAAGGCACGATCGTTCACTGTCAAGGGCATGAAGTCGTCATCTCCGAGAAGCGTCGTAAACTCAGCGTCGAAAACCTGAAATAGCAAGGCAGCGTATTTCCTGAAAATAAGGATATGAATTTTATTGATTTGTTCCACACCTGCGTTCAGGTTTTCCAAGATTGCAATGTAGATACCCAGAAAGTCCTTGAACTCGATCAGGCCTTCTTCTGTATTGACCGACGTTTTGATATAGTACTCCAGGAATGGCGAAAATCTGACTATGAACATGTCCCAGAAATTTTCACTTGTAGTCAAGCTTTTGTATGATAGAAGATACTCGGTAGATTTGTTGAGGTGCTTGTCGTATATGACAAACCCCAGTATCTTTAGCATATAGTCCTTTAAGTCATTGGAAGAGAATTCATCACCGAATAGTGCAGCAATTCTTGGACCTTGATCCACGGTACTGGCGGTGTTATGTCCCTTCAAATCCAGAGGGTATGCCACTTTTGATATCCTAAAATCATATTCGATTTTGAACTCATTACAAAGGTAGTCAATCTCTTTGAGATTTTGAAATATCAGGATGCAATCATAAAATTCGTCGAGAGGAAATAGCGTGGCCAGATCTAAACTTTTTTCCTTTTCGGTGTCTCTGAGAGAGATTTCAACAGGAGAGTTGAACTTGAAAGCGCCCAACTTCATCTCATTTTTGGAGGTTCTCCAGTCAGGAAGGAGCGTCTCGTTGTAAAAGTCAAAAAACTTGGTACTCAAAGACAGTAGCTTTCTTTCTAGGTTTGAACTGAAAGAGCTCTTGACCATGTTCAGGCTTTCGTCTTTGACTTTAGACTTCAGGACCGGTATGGATGCGTATATCGTTTTGAGAAAGTCAAAATTGTAGTTTTTGAAATCCTGAACGTAGATAGTCTCCAAGCTGCTCAGACTCTGAAGGGCCTTATAGTAGCTTCCATCCTTGATGAGATCCTGACATTTGTTGGACGATTCCAAAATCTGCAGGATTTTGGAAATCAGTATTATGCATTCAGAGATTTTTGTTGACGTCTTCTTGTTGTTAATATAGCTCTGTTTGCGAGATATTACGTCGTTAGTCGTTTGCGCCAATTGTACTTGTAGATCAGCAGTTTCACGAAGCAGTGACTCCTCAATGATCTCCTTAATGGAGCCTATTTGGCTTACAGAGGCTGTCAAGTTATCGCTCAATTGGGAATCCTGAAGGATATGCGTTTCGAGGTTTTCGAAGTTGTCATCCACTGAGTTGTAAAGATCATCTACGACAGCTTGAAGAGTGTCATTCTCAATCGCGGTGCGAAGCAGTGGTGTCCATCGATTCATGGTATGCTCATCCAAATCCAGCTCTTCCTCGAAGTCCTGTGCCACTGACGCACCTCTCTTGCGATCTTCCTCATCAAATGTTGATTTTAGAAAGGACAGGTCTGTTGAGAGCAGAATCTTCTGCAATTCTGCAGATGTCTGGTTCTGAGCATTGACTTCCATTTAAGGACACAGTGGCCGCTGGTATTGGCTTGGCTTGCTTGCTTTGCAGATGTTGTTCGTATTATGAACGGATGATGTGGGACCTAGACCAACTATACATGCTATCATCGGGTTATTATGAGTACTCAATCGTAGGACATGATAAGATTCTTTGAGATGAGTACTTTCGAACAATACGCTATGGAACGAAATAAGAGTAAAAGTGGGCTCTTTACATCTTGTCTTGCTCAAAAACAGTATCATATGTGTTGAAATCAAATTCATTAGATGCAAATGTTATGTGTATCAGTCTTTGTTATCCGGAGCGTAACCAAAACTCAAACTGTCACTGCGTCACATGACCTCAAACCCGACTGAACAATGCTGTACCAGTTCAACCTATTTCGATGATGCAGAGATGCAGCAATTGGCGCTTATGCCTTGTTCAATTATGGTTTCCAGCGAGAAATCGACACATCATCTCTTTTTTGTCCCTCCACTTGCCGTATGAATCAAACTGAAAATGACATCGAAATCCGTTCTTTAAGCCCAAGGCCAATTCATACTAGTTCAATAATGGAAAATTCCATTCGATATGCAACTCACCAACATTCATGGAGTAAACAAGGCCTTCTCTATGTTTAAGTAAACTGCGAATCTTGTGGCTAGACTAGAAACACCAAAAACTTTATTCTGATGAAGAATACCGTATCTAGATTAGAACTTCTTCTTTAATGAAATAAATTTAACACATATATGGCAGGCTATATAAGTTTTCGAAAATGTCTCTACTCTACTCAATTCGTGTCCTACGCTTTGATTTGGAGGATTCACCAAGCACTTTTTATCACAGTAGAGATCAAAATAATTGGTGGCAGCGTGCATAGGTCAGTATACCGGCAGCAGCCACAGGCCGCCCTTTCATGCTTGAAACAGAGCCTTGTTTATCAATGACGGCCTATTTGGTCTCAGACGCGGCATAGTAGTGCAAATACGCAGCCATGGTCTTCATACCCTGGATATAATTACTCAAGTCCAATTTTTCATTAATGGAGTGGGCACCGTCGTCGCCTCTGCCCATAGGAAGAAGTATGACGTTGGTCTTGAGCTCAGTTTCAAATGTCAAAGTGATTGGGATAGATCCACCTTCACGTGTGAAATCAGGTTCGACGCCATGGACGGCCTTTGTAGCCTTGGCAGCGGCAGTGAACGAGGCATTGAAGGGATCAGACACCCAGTAGTTGCCGTCGTGGATCAGTTCAGTTCTACACTTGTTTGGCGAACCCAAGGACTGGAAAACCTTGTTACAGTGGTCGATCACAAGCTTGTCGAGTTTGGCAGAGTCCATGTCCGGGACAGTACGAATCGAGAATTTACCAACGACTCTGGCGGGAATGACAGTCTTGGCACCCTGCGACGAAAATGCACCTTCGAGACCGTGGATCGAAAGCGAAGGATATCTCCATCTGTGCATGAGAATGTCGGACTTGTTGTCATATAGACAAGTTTGCGACCCGGACGCCGCGTTCATCTCCTCGAGCGTGAAATCAATCTTTTCGTATAGGCCTTTTTCCTTTTCAGTGACTGGTGCGACCATTTCGTTGACGCCGTCGATCAGGATCCGGCCTTGCGAGTCCACAAGAGACGCAAACATTTTGACCAGATCGATCGTTGGCTCTGCAACAACACCTCCAAAGATACCGGAGTGCAAATCAGCGCCAGGACCTTCCACTATGATCTGATAGTAGTTGCAGCCTCTTAGTCCGTAAGTAAGAACCGGTTTCTTGGTTCCCAGCCAGTAATTGTCAGAAATGCACACGGCATCCACGTCTTTGAAATACTTGTTTGCCTCTTCTGCAATCAGTTTGTCCAGCCCTATGGAGCCGGACTCTTCCATACCTTCGAAGCAGGTCACGAGATTGACAGGCAAGTCAAGTCCCAATTCCCGATGCGCATCTACCACATTTAGCCACCCTTGAACAGGCCCAGTATCATCTGACGAGCCTCTAGCACGCATGAGCTGTTTTTCCTCGTCCACGACAAGCTTGAACGGCTCTGAGAGCCATCCGTCTTCCAAAGCTGCAGGCTGGACATCGTAGTGGCCGTACAAAAGCACTGTCTTCTTGGCAGGGTCATTTCCGTAGCGAGCCAAAACCACAGGTGGCAGCTCAAGATTTGGGTTTTCCACAGGTGGAGGCTGGATGCCTAGCTTTCTCATCTGAATGTCCTGGAATCCAAGCTGTTCAAGCTGGTTTCTGAAAAACTCTGCTTTTTTCACCACCATTGGTCTGAGGCTTTCGTCTGCAGACACTGCAGGGATGGCAACTGCCTCGGAGAGACGCTCAATGAACCGGGGTTTGAGCTGGTCAATCTTTGCAAACAGGTTTTCGAAGGGTGCTTCTGTCATCTTATGCTGGTTTGACACGTATGATCTACTAGTTGTGTGTGTGTGTAGTTGTAGTCGTGGTAGTAACTGGTGAACGTTGTAGTTTACCAATCTGAATTTCCTTAATATAGCTGAGTTTCTACCGATGAACATTCACAGATCGTGTGGAAGCGATGGTGCCGTGCGAGGGTGCGGGAGTTAGCTCACAAAAATCTGCGTCAACGGTTGCCGTTGCAAAGTCTTTGGCAAGTATCAGTTCTGCTACGTTAGTGCGAAACAGCGCTCAATCGTCGATTCTGATGGTTGTAGTAGCGGAACGACGTGATTCTAGAAATGCGCTGGTTCTTGACTGATAAGAGAGGTCCCAGTGGGTTAGTGGGTTGTAGTGGAAACGCGAATTGGAAACAACGGCTGCTGGAAACAAATGGGAAACAAACTGGAAACATGGGAGAAAGTGATCGCTGTGTACGTAACACACGTGAAAGTTACGTAATCATGATACTCGGAAACGCGGCGAGGCCGGGGGCAAGACTGAGGAGCTGCGGGCTATAATAACGAACTGGAAACATCGGGTGTTGGACGCAAACGAGAAACAAACGGGAAACACTGGAAATTAAAGAAATGGTAAGGAACGTTTTTAGGTTCGAGACTGGAAACATCCGGTGCTGGAAACAAACTGGGAACAAACGGGAAACACTGGAATTTAGAAAATGGTAAGGAACGTTTTTAGGTTTGAGATTGGAAACATTGGCGGATGGACGCAAACGGGAAACAAATGGGAAACACGGGAATTTGGAAAATGGTAAGGAACGGTTTTAGAGTTTGAACTGGAAACATCCGGTGCTGGAAACAAATGGGAAACAAACGGGAAACATAATATCGAATTTCAGTATATTGCTAGCATATTAACAGAGAAAGTGTGTCGTCGTCGTCGTTCTCGTTGTTGTCTCATCACCCAAACATCAACGCTAATAAAGACGTTTGCACACGCTCAAAGCCAACGATTTAGTATCCAGAGGGTGCTGTTTGTTAACATCTGAATAAAATGCCAGAAGTATGTCTATAAGCTCCTTTAATCGCACCTTCAATCACTAGCTCATATCACTAACTAAATCCATCGATAGCCTCTGCTCACGTCGATTGTCGCTGGAAGCACGGCAGCCGTGTTCCAGACAACAGTATCGTATCCGTTTGAGTTTCTCAAAACGGGACTGCAATTGCACCGGTCGTTGCCGGGCATGCCACCTTTCCAAATGATGCACCAGATAAAAACCTATTTCGCAGGTTGCGCTGCTCTCAACGTTGGCACATTACTGAAAACAGCCACAAGGTTCACCACGTTCGAAAGCGCTTGCGAGCTGCTTCGTGACAAAGAAAATACGTCGCAACCGATCAGTGGGCCGCGTTTACTGGCAGCCGGTGTCATCACAGGGTTCATGGAATCAATTCTAGTGATTCCGTTCGAAAACATCAAAACAACAATGATCGAAAACGCTCTGAGGTCCCAGCCTGCAGAAATACCTTCGAAGACCGCAAAAGACACAAGGCCAACGTTCCATGCCGCCAAGCAGCCCTCTCTACACCCACGCCAAAAATGGTTCTTGCATTACGAATCTCACCCATCCACGCACTTTTTCTCTACCATCCAGGAAATTTACCGCACAAGAGGCATACGCGGATTTGCCCAGGGCTCTGTATGTACCATAATTCGCCAAACTTCCAATTCCGCCGTCCGTTTCACCACTTACACTGCGCTCAAACAACTGATATCGCCTACCAAACCGCTCAACGAGTACTACGCGTTTGCCTTGGGAGTTGCTTCTTCCTGCGCAGTCGTTGCCGTCACACAGCCTATTGATGTGGTTAAGACTCGCATGCAATCAAAGTACGCATGGCGTCACTACAAAAACTCTCTCAACTGTGCATACAGAACCTTTGTCGAAGAAGGCATCACAAAGCTTTGGAAGGGCTGGGCACCGAGGCTCGTTAAAGTAGGCCTCTCCGGCGGTGTTTCTTTCGGCGTGTTTCAGTACGTTGAAAACCTCATGAACTCAATGGACAAAGCAGCTAGCATGGGTCACAACTAACACTGTTTTCTCTTTCCACTTCATAGCGAATAGCAATACAATCCAAGCAGGTAATGACGCAAATAATTATTGTACAGATAGGACCTTAATTCTATAAAGGCTAGTATAGGTTGGTTGCATTGTTCACAACGCAGCCGGGAGCGCCGGCCGCTTTTTCGACTAGAGAGCCGATTTCGTAGACCGTCTCATTTGCCTGTGACAGTAATTCCTTCACTCTGGCCACGTTTTGCTCTTCAACAATCAAGACCATACCGATACCCATGTTGAAAGTTTTCAAAATATCATCCACAGGAACATTCCCGGCTTTTCCAAACCACTTGAAAACTTCAGGGACCGTCCAGTTCTTCATGTCAACCACTGCCTGCAGGTTGTCTGGCAGAGCACGAGGAATATTCTCCACTAGCCCGCCACCAGTAATATGAGCCAGACCCAATAATAGGCTTTCTCTAATCGATGGAAGAAGCTGTTTGACGTAGATTCTGGTAGGAACTAGTGTGGCTTCACCCACGGTCTTGGACGAGTCCCATGGGCACTTGTCACTCCACTGCACATTCGTGGTTTCGATGATTTTTCTCACTAGAGAGAATCCGTTAGAGTGAAGACCGTCAGATCCAAGACCCAACAACACGTTACCAGCCTTCATGTTTTCAATTTTGGGCAAAATCTTGTTTCTGCTAACAGCGCCTACAGCGGTACCGTTGGTGTCGTAGTGTCCTGCTGGGTACATACCCGGCATTTCGGATGTTTCTCCACCAACTAAAGCGCAGCCAGCATTTATACAGCCATCGGCAACACCAGATACAAAATCTGAGGCAACCTTAATGTCCAGAGCACCGGTCGCAAAGTAGTCGAGGAAAATCAATGGTTCAGCACCTTGAACAACCAAATCGTTAACGTTCATGGCAACCAAATCAATTCCGACAGTGTCGTGAATATCAGTCTCTTGAGCAATCATTAACTTGGTACCAACACCATCGGTGGCAGCTACGAGCAGGGTCTCGTCCGTGTTGTAACCAGCAGCCTTCAAGTCGAAAAGGCCACCAAAACCACCAATGTCCGAATCGGCTCCCGATCTTTTGGTAGACTTGACTTTTTCTTTGATTTTCTGGACCAAAAGGTTACCGTTGTCGACCGAAACACCAGCTTCGGCGTAAGTGATCGATTTCGTCGCCTTTTCTACTTCTTCAGCGAGTTTGAAAGCACGGTGGGCAATATCCTTCCTGAAGTATCTGTTTTTGAACTGGATGCAGTCAACACCTTCGTAAGCCTTTGCCACTGCTTCTCTCAAAGTCGGGGCGACTGCAGAAGCAGCGATTACTCTGCCACCTGCTGTCAAAACTTTTCCGTTTTCTACATTTGTACCGGCGTGGAAAATGTAAGCGTCCCTGGGGAGCTTACTTTCATCAATTGTGATAACGTCACCCTTGGCATAGGCTTCTGGATAACCGCCGGCTGCGAGTACAACCGTCGTGGCGTAACAGTTGTCCTTAATTTTGATGTTCACAGAGTCCAGTCTGTGTTCAGCAGCGGCAACGAAGACTTCAGCCAAGTCAGTGTCGTCAGATAGCAAAGGCAAAACGGTTTGCGTCTCAGGGTCACCGAATCTGACGTTGTACTCAAGTACCTTGGGGCCAGTCTTGGTCAAAATAAAACCGGTAAATAGCACACCCACGAAAGGACGACCGTCTTTTCTCATACCATCAATGGTTGGTTTAATGGCACTTTCCTCCATTTGCTTCAAAAGAGCTGGCGTGGCGGCTGGTGCTGGTGCATAGGTACCCATACCACCGGTGTTTAAGCCGGTGTCATTTTCACCGATTCTTTTGTGGTCCTGAGCAGGTGGGAGACTAAAAGTAGTGTAGCCGTCGGAGATTGTCAAGATGGAGATTTCATCACCTTCGAGAAATTCCTCGATGACAACGGAGTCACCTGCAGAGCCAAACTGCTTTTCGACCATCATGGCCTTGAGCGCTGCTTGTGCCTCTTCTTGAGAATCTGGGATCAAAACACCTTTACCTCCTGCAATACCGTCGGCCTTCAAAACAATTCTGTAATCAACTTTCTCCAAATAAGACTTTGCAGCCTCGTAGTCACTGAAATTGGCGTAACGGGCAGTTGGAATGTTGTGTTTAGCCATAAAGTCTTTAGAGAAAGTTTTCGAGCCCTCAAATACGGCAGCTTTCGCAGATGGCCCGAAAACTGGGATACCGACTTTCTGAAATACATCAGCGATTCCATCGACAAGTGGTTGTTCAGGGCCTGGTACTACAAGACCCACCTTGTGTTCCACTGCAAATTTTTGCAGGGCGTCAAATTGGGCTGGTACAGGGCTCAAATTGCCCACATTTTCAACTTTACCACCAATTTTGGCAGTTCCACCGTTACCTGGAGCGACGTAGATCTTGCTCACCGAACCAGATTCTGCCAGCTTCCAAACCAAGGCGTGTTCTCTACCACCGTTTCCCAATACCAAAATATTCAAGCTCATCGCTAGTTATGTCTTAAAAGAAAGAAAAGGAGAATAGCTTAATGAAAGATACTCGACTTTCGTCTTTTGACTTTCGTCTTAAGTTTGAATTTGTTGTCAACGACTGAAAACGTTGTTGGTACGTCTCTTGGTTAATTTTCAATGCTTTAAAAGAGAACGAGAGACGATGATGTGATCGTTGATGAGCAGTAATTCAATGATGGGATTGATTGACTATCCAATTTTCAGATATGAACAAATTTATTCATAGTGGACGAGTCAAACCCACATAATGAAAGAGCCCAAGATCACCCGAGACGGACAAGTATAGCGAATGGTGGGTTCTTGGAGTTTTCGAGCTGTCGTTCTTGGACAAAGCTCTTTTAGCTGCAAGATCAGCGATGTTGACTTATGCAAGTCTTTATTTTGGCAAACCTTGATTTTTCGGGCTTTGTGTAGCTTCATGGGTGATTTTTCAAGGGTGTCCGCTTGGCTCGATTAGTTGCAGCAACGGATGTGTGGACGAGGAGATTCGCGTTGTGTAATTGTCCAGTCAAGGCTTCCATTGTGCAACTAAAATCATCAAAAGGATACTATTGCACTAAATTTTGTAACAGTTAATATCTTGGTATATTCATCATCTGGCCTTGTAGCACATTTATTACAATCCCCTCGACTTCATAGTCGTCATGATTCATCCGCCGTGTCAAATTCCATAAGAATAACAGCATATTTGACACACGGGATCCCAAAAACTCCAGCTTAACATCTTGGAACAATCGTGTTTCGTTGATCTCACTATCTCAATTGTGACTTCCGCGGCTAAAGAGTCCCAGGTCGTATTTCATATCTTTGAAAGCGCAACTTGGACTTTGAAATGCTTTTATCAACTGAATGGTGAGTTTAAGGTGTGCTTCAACGGTGAAATGCGAAAGAAAGCTTCTCTCATGCTCTTCTTTGTTGAAGTTAAATTCGTCTCGTTTCAATAATCGATGTCTATATATACTTGATTTTTTTGACATCAAATATTATTAACTAGTTGAAGATGATATGAAATTCTACAAGCTCATCGCGTTGATCTACTTCTCACAACCGATCCATTTCAGCTCAAAAAAATCTCAAAAGAATCACTTTTGAATGCTGGCTACTACCCCGGGCCGAAGAGGGCAAGTTTTTGGCCAGGTCCTCAAATTTGCAAAGAGGAAAATACATTTAAATGCTGATCTAGACAGTGCTTTGAGGAAACTGCCAAGCTCAGGCGTTGTTGTCATCGGTGGAGGCCATGCTGGTTGCGAGGCTGCCGCTGGATCGGCACGATCAGGTGCATCTACTGTGTTGGTAACCCCGTATCTAAATAAAATAGGAACTTGTTCGTGCAATCCGTCTATGGGCGGTGTAGGTAAAGGCACTTTGTTGAGAGAAGTAGACGCATTAGATGGTGTGGCCCCAAAAGTGACTGATTTGGCTGGTATACAGTTCAAAATGCTGAACAGAAGCAGAGGTGCTGCGGTGTGGGGTCCAAGAGCACAGATCGATCGCGAACTGTATCTTGAACACATGCAGCAAGCTTTGAAGAAGCTCCCGAACTTGAGGCTTCATGAAGGAAAAGTCAAGGATTTGATCATTGATACAGATAACAGATCTTCCTCGAGTCCAGTTCCGAAAGTGGTAGGCGTTGTTTTAGAGGACGGGCAGATCCTTCGATCGTCAAATGTGGTTATCACGACCGGCACATTTTTGAGTGCCGAAATCCATATAGGCTTAAAAAGCTTTCCAGCTGGTAGAATGGGCGAAGATCCCACGTACGGTATCAGCACGACTTTGCGCGAAGCAGGTTTTCAGCTTGGTAGACTGAAAACTGGAACTCCCGCCAGGCTCGATGGCCGTACAATCGATTTCACTAATCTGGAAAAACAATACGGTGACGACCCCCCACACGCTATGAGCTTCATGAATAACGCTGTGGCGATAAAAGAGCAGGTCTTGTGTTTTGGTACTAACACCACACCACAGGTTCATGAGTATTTGAGGTCAAACCTTGATAAAGCCTTACACATTCGAGAAACCATAAAAGGGCCGCGTTATTGTCCCTCTATCGAGGCGAAGATCGTTAGATTTGCTGACAAAGACTCGCACAAAATTTGGCTTGAACCAGAAGGACTAAACTCTCATGTAATATATCCAAATGGCGTATCAAACTCGATGCCAGAGGATATACAGGTCAAGTTCATGCGTATGATACCTGGACTAGAGAATGTTGACATCTTGCAACCTGCATATGGAGTTGAATACGATTATATCGACCCGAGAGCGCTCAAAGCTACTTTGGAAACAAAGCTACTCAAGGGTTTGTATCTAGCAGGCCAAATTAACGGCACAACAGGATATGAGGAAGCAAGCGCACAGGGTATCATTGCGGGTATCAACGCAGGTCGTTCGGAACAAAATAAAGCCCAACTGATATTATCAAGATCAGATGCATATATTGGAGTTCTGATTGATGATCTGATAACTAAGGGAGTCACAGAGCCTTACCGGATGTTTACTTCACGATCAGAATTTCGCGTTAGCGTTAGAGCAGACAATGCAGACTTCCGGTTAACAGAACTCGGGCGCAAATTTGGTGTAGTTGGTGACAAGAGATGGGAAGTGTATCAATCGCACAAACAAATCTTTAAGGACATTGTCGACAAATTATTGAGCTTTGAGCAAAGTGCTACGAAATGGGAGAAGTCTCTCGGAATTTCAGTGGCGGATAGCGCCAAAAATAAGAGTGCATGGGAAATGTTCAGGTTCAATCTTGTTGACTACGAGAGGCTGGTAAATAGTGTCCCTGAATTGGCTACTGATCTCAATCAAATTCCGAAACATGTTCTGCTGAAAGTGGATGTAGAAGGAAAGTACGCTCCTTACATCAAGAAACAAGACCAGTACATCAAGGCATTCCAAGCGGACGAGGGTATGCTTCTTCCGCAAGGGTTTGATTACTCGAATATGCCATCGTTGAGCAGTGAATGTAAAAGCATTTTGAACTTAGTTCAGCCTTCGACGATTGGACAGGCACGAAGAATTCAGGGCATCACACCTGCGTCCCTTTTTGAGCTTTACAAATTGGCGAGATTTAAGCAACACGACGTTCAAAGCTTGCTAGCAAAGAATGAGCTCTAAGGAGTTCCGGTAAATCCATTAACATTCAAAATCATGTATATAAAGCCATCTCGACCTTGATGAGGTCTTCCATGCATAAATATTGGCAACAAAGCTCAAATAATCCGTCATTGCTGCTCTCAGCAGGTAAGAGATCGCGATCTTGTAAAATTGATGTAACAATTCGAGGCCTCGCCGTGAAGTCTTTTGTGAGGGCCACTTCTCTTATCAGAGAGGTCGTCTCTTGCGAAAAATACCTGGGCAGCTGCTTCAATGAATCACGCATCGAGGTGATCGATGACGGAATGAGACAAAGCTTCAGGAGGTTTGTGATCTGTTTGGAATCAAGTTCAAGCTCTACAGGATCAATGGAAGAAGTAGTGCGCAAACTACTTCTTTTCAGTTTCTCAGAAACTGGAATTTCGCCGACAGTTTTGGTAAGATGAACGTCTGCATTGGTCTGATGCACTTCATTTTTTCTATAATTCTCGTTCTTTTCGACCTGCAAATGAGATTCGCTGTGTATAGATGCATTCACTACATTTGTAGCTTCTGATCCTATTGGGAAATCGTCATTTTCAAACCCTTCGAATGAAGAAGACGTCGAGAACCGCTGTTCTGAAGCCGGGTCCGCTACAATCTGGAGCGAAACATCTACATAGCGCAGATCTCGCTTGTCACGATGCGAATCCTCTGTGTCGAAGTCAATAGCTTGTGAAAGAGTTCGTTTCACCGGTCCCTTTACGACACTGGGGATTTCATCAGTAAAATCGCTGCTCCCACGATCTGGTTCAACTGAATCCGCCCTATTTTCTCTCAGTCGTTCTTCCAGTAACAGATGGCTCAATTCTCGCAGCTGGTCTTTCAAAGACCCCTGTACACTCCAATGTGGCATGTCAGCGTCCCTGATACCTTTAATTTCTTGATCTCAATGCCCTCGAAAAGGGCTGTAAAGAGCTGTAAAGAAGCTTTGAAAAGACAAGCACTCGTGGATCCTTTAATTGTCTGATCGTCTCTCGCCTCTTGAAACATCAAGAGCTCCCATTACCATTGTAACACTTCATTATCCACTGCTGAGCATTAAGTGATAGTTAAAGGGAAAGGAAGAGGTTGACGATTAGGCGCCCTTTATATAGGTCAGTTCTTAAAGGTCAAATTTAAGATCACAACATACACACCGTACAAACTGACAAGTGGCATCGACATTTAAATTAAGTCATCGACCAAATAACAAAGGCGATGGGCTAGATCGTCAAGACTTCATAGAGACCAGTAGCCGCTGTTGATCGATTGAGGAGCCAAGGACAGCGGGTGACGAGATTTGAAATAGAATCAAGTAGTGGTTGAACATATTTTGGATGGATTCGCCGCGAAATTACGAACATTTGGATGCCGGTTTGGCGTCATATGTCGATATAGCGACGGAGGAAGGTGGGAAAGACGAAGGGTTTGCAAACGCGTCGGCTGAGGTTCAAAAGGCCAAAAAAACAGGGCACAGTGCGCCCATTGCTGAAGATCAAGATCCATCAAACATATATCTTTACGACCGACCGCAAATAGGACTTGATGAAGAGTCATTGGAAATTCAAGAACCGCGAAAAGGACGGGAAGAAAGTCAAGAAATCAGACACTCAGTTTTCCCAACAACACAAGAGCTGCATGCCGCTGGAAATGCACATTCAAGTTTAGGCCCGCAGTTACAGAACTCAGGATTGACAGAAGTAGCCGGAAAACCCGTGATGACGGACGCAAATACACATCAGCAGTCACACATGTCAACCGGCTTGGAACACGCCAGCATAGCATCACATGAGGTACCAGACATCGACTCGGTCGCAGGAACGACAGACGGGTCCGCATTCAACCCACCAAGCTCTGCTGAACAACCATTTTACGTTAATGCCAAGCAGTACTACCGCATTTTGAAGAGAAGGTATGCAAGAGCCAAATTAGAAGAAAACCTTAAGATTTCACGCGAGAGAAGACCCTATCTGCACGAGTCGCGGCATAAGCACGCTATGCGTCGACCCCGGGGTCAAGGCGGTCGTTTTCTCACAGCTGCAGAAATTGCAGAACTTAAGCAAACGGAAGACCCGGCACCGGTCTTGGATATAAAACAGCAGGATCCCGCGGCCAACGCTGTTAAAAAAGACCGTTTTGCGAACCGGCCCATTTCCACTGCACGCATTGCGCCAGGAAATCCAGCTGCCAAGAACGAAACAGTACATAAAGACCTAGCGCGACATTGATGTAGGACTAGTAGTTAGATGCATTATTATAATTATATTCTCGTAAGACCTTTCTTTGTCTCCTCAAGGCTAAATGAGGCCCAAGCTATGCAGTGCCAGTTTGGCTTTATCAGAAAGCTGTGGTGCCAGACCCGAAAGGCTGTTATTTGTTTTTTGATTGAAGGACAATAAAGTGTCCCTCAAGTAAGATCTCACACCCGTCGTTAGGTCCACTTCTGGAACGGGGTCAAAGTTCTTTTCACTAATCGAACTTAACTTGCTGAAACTAGATCCAAAAGTAGAAATCTCTTCCAAGTTTTCAAGATCCACAAAGTCATTATTCATGCTAACGATGCTTTCAGAAGCTGCCGTTTCCGCCAAAATTTCTATAGAAGGCGCGAATAAATTTGGATACTTGGCAGAAAACTGCGTGCCGCTCGTTATCACTTGAACAACTCCAATAATGGCGACTTTACGGTCCAGTAAGTTTCCCATACTGGGTAGCGTGCTAATGACAAAAGAGTTCCAGATTTGTTCAAACAACCCGTTTTGAACATCATCCAAAAAACTTACCACAAAATCCGAGCCGCGCTTATAAGCCACAATGCTGAGGAAAACCAAGAATTTTTTGACGTATTTCTCGGTTCTCGAATTTTGTAATCTCTGAAGAAGAAGGACCGCAATTTGTTTCAGGAATGGTTGGATTTTAGCTGGTGGCACGTAAGTGATAATGTATTCCATTAGCTCAAGACCGTTCACATCGTAGGTCTTGGATGCAATCAATCTTTGAAAGACACCCAGCACTGGTAGAAGGTCTGGATATGCACTGGAATCTACGCGTATAATGTCCTTCAAAAGCCTTGTAACAGCTGGTATGTTACCCTTCATTTCCCAGACCGATGGCGAAAGAATTGGCTGAGCTAATTGGATGACCGAATCTGGAAGACCGCTTTCCTGTGGCAGCTGTTCTATGCAGTAGGCAATGAGCTGGATGGTATAAGGGATAAACTCCTGAACATCTGTGGCCAGAATGTTCATAAAACAGGGCATCATGACCTTCAAAAATTCATTTAGTGATTGTCGATTGTACTTCAACACAACACCCAAAGACTCGAAACAGTAATGAGAGAACCGCGGGTTTGATGGGTTTTTGGAAATGATTGAAATGATCTGAAGAAGTTGATTAACTGTGTTAGGAGCGAAAGAGGCAGAAAGGTCTTCCGATGTTGAAAGTACTCTGTAGACCGCCTTCATCAAAAATTCGTTTTCCGCCAATTTCTCTGGTGATTGACCTTGCTTGAAGATTAGACGGAACAAGTTCGTAAGCAATAGTTCTGAACTGCCTGAAAGGTCGGATTTTTTGAAAACCAGAACAGGTGAAGTGCTGGACTCTCTTATCGCAAGTATGCGCTCAATAGTAATGGAAGAATAAGTGTAAACCACAAACTCTTCAGATTGTAGGAGCCCCGCGAGAACTGGCAGGATCTGAATTAGCTGCTCTTTGCTTAGCTGATTCCTGAAGGTGTAAATGTACTTGATAGCGTCAACCTTCAAAATCGGATGAGGCACCGAACCTACAAGATCGGGTGATATTTGTTCGCTGAAAAAGCTGACCACATCCAGCAAGATACTCGTCGATGAGACACCTGGGTTACTCATGCTTCCGTTGATTGCCAGCGTTGAAAAAAGATATATGCTAAGGTCTTTAAATTTCCAATTGCTGGCAGGATCTTCTTGGTACTTGAGGAAAAAGGCTTTGATCTGCTTCAATACGATAGAAACCACAAGGTGCTCGTTTTTCTCCTTCAACTCTTTCATAAAATCGGTACATCCCTTGCGTCTGGTTTCCGAATCGGAACCCTCGAGATCACGTCTCACATACTCGATAGGATCATCTTCAAATAGCTCTTCGTCGGCTTCGCGTAGCGTGACGTTGGGCAAAATAATCTGTTCCGTAATACTTTCTAGGGCAGTTTCGCTGTTGAAAAGCTCAAAGTACTTTGGGATTTTGGTGACCGCGGTCATAAAATGGAGAGCTTTTGAAATCAAAACATCGTTCTTGGCTTGTGGTTGCAAGCCTGTGAGAAGGTCCCATGTTGTTTTTATGAAATCATTTGCCATGGGTTCGAATACGTCATCATATCTTGTGATGTAAAGTTGTATAAGCTCTTCAATACTGGACTTAGCCTTCGTGACAACACTGGCTTGATCTTCCTCATCCACATCCTCGAGCAAATGGTTATTGTAGCCCAAGTATTTGAGCATTATCCCCATCCCCAGTTGAGCATTGTCTTCGAAAAACTCAGGGATATCCTGGCAATTCAAGTCGTAGTAGAGCTTGATCAAAACCAGTAAAACGTCAAACAGCAAGGTGAGCTTGGCCGCGTCATTACCGTTGGCAGTAATCTGCTCATCTACAGATTGGAGCAGGGCTAGGAAGGGCGATGCAAACTTGTCTAGCACGAACTTGATCTCCAGGAACAATTCGTCCGATCTGAAAAGAGGGCGCCACCTTTTGAAGATTGAATGTGCCACGGTCAGAACACCACGATTGGTAACCATATCGGTCGTTGATAGTTTTCCAATCAGATCATCCAGCAAATTCGGCCATCTATGCGGAAAGTCAGAATCCGCAATCACAGAGATGGCTTCACCAATTTGGATCTGCAAATTACCAGGCAATACTATCATCAATGGCACGATTTCCCGTTTAATTGCGTCAACATCTGCAAGAGAAATGAGATAGTCGCCATTTTCGTCAACCCATTTACGCTTGATGAAGTTTTTGAAGAAAAGTGCACCGGCCAACCTTGTTGATATGGGAAGGTTCCCAGAGGCGATGACATGCATCAAAGTTAAGGGAAAACCTTCCAGCGATTCTTCTGCCTTGAGGCTAGCCTCAGCTGCCTTTGCCGTCGAGGCAACGACAGATTGTGCAAGATACCCTGCAATTGATTCCAAATCTGACATCTAGAGTTCAATTCAATTGGCTGTTTTGGTAATGATACTTCAACAGTACGCGCATCGAAGATCTTGAATTTGAATCGCCTTTTCTATACTTAAAATTTTGAATTTAGCTCTTCATAAGTAATTACATACGTAATTCGAACAACGTCGAAATTCGACGTCAAATTCGTGATGTGCTCCAGTAGACGGAACCTTAGAGATCTGAGATCTGCTTTATCGCAGCTTACAATCAGTCAGCAAATTTCCAGCTGAAAAGTAGTCCAAAAGAAGAGATCCTTCGACTGGAGTCCTAAAATACTGTGTGTACACTCTGACACCCCGGAGATGGGTGTCCTTGCCATTTTCATGGTTGACGGGGATTTCTATGCGCAGATATTGACATTTCAGAAGAGCATCGTGCGGTCTGTTGTCTTCAAAAGTCAATGCGACCCAGCAGTTGACGTTGCGGACCTCCAAGGTCTTGTAGTGAGTAGCATCCGATGCGCTATGACCGGCGTAGATCTTCATCACCTGCGGTGTGTACGATTCATCCACTGCAAGTGACAAGTATAGGGCCAGCTGAATGATCTCGACCCGCTTGCTAAAGCTTGCTTCAACGTAGTGTGGTTGAGCCCCATCGCTTTGCCAGAAATTGTGAGGGTTGTCGTCTAGAGCAAACGAGATTGGATTGCCATCTTTCTGCGACGATGCTTTCCAAAAGGCCAAGTTGGTGATATTGATCAGATTTTGGGCTTCTAGCTTTTGAAGGCCCAGCCCGAATTTAGCAATATATGCTTCGGTTGTGTAATCCTCGTCATATTCTTCCGATTCTTCTTTGTTCCCTAAGTATCTGACTCCATTTGCTGGACCATTGCCGCTTGATTCGTCCAAACCCAATCGCAGTGGTAGTTTAGAGTGCCGCGAAGCAAATTCGAGATCCAGGGTTGGTAAGAATTTGTCTAGTTGTTGTTCGAACGGTGTCATATCATTGTTTTGAAGGTGATAAGATTCGCAAGTTGAGGTGGACCCTGGCACGATATGACTAGAGATGAGCGATGATCAGTCAGGTCCCGATAATCAAGAAATGTTTAACTTGTGGAACTTATTATAATGGATCTGCTAGTTTACAAGTATAATTGTATAGCACACTAGACGAAGGCAGTTATACAGCTTCAAGTATAAAGAGCTTAGAGTCCCAATGGATCTTGGCGATACCAGAAGATACTTATGGCTTTCAGAGCTCGATATCTTTGCCACAAGCTTCTAAGCACAATCGAGTGAACTGTAATTATTACGATTGTCCAGCAAAACAAGTCCTCTATCATCACTTAAAAGTTGATGACCGGCTAGTTGTCAAAAATTGATAAATTAGAAGATGCTACTGCCTTGCTGTATCCTTCATGTTTTCTATTTAAAAGCTGCAATTTCAGCGTCATTGAATCGAAGGACCGCGTGGCCTTGAGTCTTGACAAAGGCTTGTTGCCAAAATTTTGTACCAAGATCGCTATTTCACTGACATCTGCTGGCCGACGCCTTGACCAATCAATTGGGTACTTCTATTTTGAGGGAAAAATCCACCACATTCGTGCCCTGGTGAACGCTGCTAGTGCTGTAAATGTCAATGTGTTCGCAGAGATACTCGTTGATGTTGCTGAGCTTCAAACCGCCACTGCATTCTAACAAGAACTGCTTTTCGCCCTGCCACCTCTGCTTTAGATTCTGAGCAGCAATTTGCAACGTCTCGCCTGTGAAATTGTCAAGCATGATTACATCCGCACCTGCAGTAATGGCCTCATCAGCCTCCTCTTCGGATTGGCACTCAACTTCAATTTTAACAGCGAAACCACAAACGGAACGAGCATCCGTCACTGCACGCGTTATAGAGCCCGTGGACCATATATGATTGTCTTTGAGCATCACCATCGAAGACAAGTCATATCTGTGCGTGTCGCAACCACCAACAAGCATTGAATATTTTTCTAGCCTGCGGAGTCCTGGGGTAGTTTTGCGCGTACCTGCGATGAGACCCTGGTATCCAGTTTCTCTTGCGGCCTTCACCAGATTCCGGGAGGCTGTGGCAATTCCTGAGCTTCTACTGAGCAGATTCAACGCTGTTCTTTCGGCAACTAATATGTTGCGTGCTTCCCCGCGAATCTCTGCCACCCGTATTTTCTGGCCCACCTCTGGACTTAAAAAGGAGCCTTCTTCAAAGAACCAAACAACCTCTAGCTTGCATTGGTCGAACACTTCTTGAGCAAACGGCACTCCGCTAAGCACACCTTCTTCTTTCATCCAAAGAGCAGCTGATTTGAGGGCTGATCCAACAACGAAGCCTCCAAAATCAAAACTAGGAATATCCTCTTGAATCCAATTCGTCACATCTTGTTTCCAAGCTCCATTGACCGGTAGAAGATGCTGTAACTTCGACATTTTGCTTGTCGATATTGTCTTCTTGTATGGCTATCAAGTGAACGACCATTGTTATACATCATCAATGGTAGGGCGAATTATATTTATCGTGGGGTACGTGCGACTTCTCGTCACGGGACTACTCTTGAAGTCAATGTCTTTTGGTTCTGAATGGTATCAACTGTTAAGCGTTCATTGGTCTATTGATCCGTTTAGTTACTCTTGCTACGCTGTATTCAACGTCACATTTTGTAGTTCAACAGCCCGATAGAGTGAGTTTCCCGGTCATGAGAGAAAACGAGTTCCAAGACTTAAAACTCTCCTCTATTTCTTTGATCATCTATCGTGCTCGGTAATGCCTGGTGAGCGAAATTCTACTTGTTCAATAATCATTGGTCTGCACTTCGTGTCGCTCCTTCTCTTCATATCAAGTTTTCAGATAACACCTTCTTTTCATGGTCGGGAAGTCGCTCATAAATAGCACGGAAATTATTCACATTCTGAGAAGCAGCATCGCGGAAAAACTTAACCAGAACTTCTCTCGCGGTTAGGCCTTTCTCCGCACCTTCTTCCTGGTCCAGGTCTTCATCTTCGAGATCACTCGCGCTGTCATCATCGTTAGAATCCCAGCCTTCACTTTCATCGCCGCTGTCATCGTCCAAATGTCCCTGTAGCCTTTCGAATTCTAGCACACTATCAACATCTTCCCAATCATCCTCTCCATCATTGTCGTCGAACTTCTCAACGTCGTGGGGAACATACTTGCTGACATCGCTTTGCTTCGATTGGAATTCGAGCTCGCAAACAAAAAGTCTTGTCACCTTTTCATAAAATGTAACCATCTCGTATTTTTGTGGCATGCTCTTAGCCATAGATCTAGTAACGATCAGATCACTTTCAAATGGTATAGCATCCCCTCTCACTTGAACTTCAGACACTCTTCTGTCCTGCTGGAAGAAAAGGGTACAGAGCGCTTTAATGTTCTCAATAATCCGCTTGTTACCACGGACAACCTCGAAAGCGTCAACCCATTTCGGCAGAACAACACTCAAAGCATCTTCTCCTTCGGTTCTAACAGAAAACGATGAAAGAAAGTTGATGACATCTTGTGGACTTTTAGTGGTCAAGTAGCAAAACAAAGAGAGCAGGTTTTCTGATGTTGAGATATTCTCAGCAGCGACAAACTTTTTAGTGGCCGCTTCCATAATTACCGGAAAGAGATCATGAAGTTGCTGTGAGAACTTCTTAATGGTTACAAGAACTAATGGCCCCACATTCATAGCACCAGAGTCTGTCGTTTGATCAGACAGAAGCTTTTCGAGGGTGGAAATTATCAAAGGTAGCTGAGGCTCAAGGTCTTCCGCCGATGTGTTGTGAACCAGGAATACCAGGCAGTCTGATGAAAGCTGTGTTATTGCGTCGTCGGTAGAATTGACCAAAATTTCATTCAACGGTTTTAGGACAAAGTCACTGATGGCCGAGGGAATTGGGCCGTCTGAAGGCTTACTCTTCATAAAAACTTTAAGAAGCTCTAATGAGAGGCAAGCGTTGGGAGAATAGTCACTCCTATCCTTCATTAGCTGGTTCAAAGATCCTACTATGAGGGGCATGCAAGTCTCCGCGTATCCGATATAAGTCGAAGTCGCTACTCGCTTAATGATACTTGACAAACAATCCTCTGCCTCCAACACTACTTCCACATTAGATGGGTTTTTGGCAGATATATGCAGAAGAAGCTTGAGAGAACTATGGTAGAATGAATTGTTCCTGTCGTCTTCCAATTTTACAGACGCAACGGCTGTTAAAGCCTGTAATAAAACGCTTATAGTATCCTCTTCACTATCGGCACTGATTTCCTCAATGATATGACAAGTTGACTCCCTAAGCTGAAAACATAAGTTTCCTAGAATGTCATGCAGATTTGAAAACTGAGCATACTCGCAGAACCCCTTCAGAAAGGCCACCTTCAAAAGTTTGTCATTTGACCTCAAAGCTAAAGCCACTGAAGACTCCACAAACGACTTAACAGCATTAGCCCAGTTTGGCAAGTTCCCTTCCGTTTCTCGTAAAATCTTTGGTGCAACAATAACCATCCTTGCAAGAAATGGAGCATGTAGCCCGCTTTGTGGAGCCGCTATGCTGTCATTTAGAAAGGTGATGAGCTCACAAAATTGAGGCGTATTTGAAATTTTACTGAGCTCTACGTTCTCGCAAAGCCACCTTAAGAGTACCAAAACTGCTTCCCCGAGTTTCCAGTCTTCCGCGATGAATTCTGAAAAATGCGAGAGTAGGGCGTTCATGATAAGCTCGCATAGTTGAGGCGACGCATCCTGAAGAAATTCTTCACTTGCATTTCTCATTCGGTACACGTTGCTCAACCCTTCTTCAAGTGTCACAAATGTGTTGAAGTCCGCTTCCCAATTCTCTTCGTCTTCATCTATCAGTGCGCTGCAAATGACAAGGGCTTTGACAACAACAAACATCTGAGCCTCATCCAGCTCCAAATCACGGATGCTGTCGAGTCCCTGTAACAATTCGCATCCGAGTTCATCTACTGCAGTGAATTCATCTGACTCGTGGGTGAATTTCAACTTCTGGCGGATATATGAGATGTTGGATAGATTTTTGACCACTAGGACCTTGATATCGTTTTTCAGTGATGGAGAAACAATACTCTTGGAGAACGAGGTCGTAATTTTATTAACGCATTGGGTCATTACTCGAAGTAGCTTCAAAATATTGAGGTCAGAAGAATCGAAGGAGGAGTAAGATTTGATGGCCTCCAGGAGCATGACAAGCGTTTCCTGCAAATGGCTACTCACCGCATCTTTGAGCTCTTTGGTTGCAGTAGCGGTTGGAAGTTGTAATTGGCCCAAACACACGCCATAGAGTTTTCCTGCTGCGATTTTGGCAGGAACAGAGAATTTCGGGCTTTTGAGCATCTTGGTGGCTAGCTGGATGGTCTGCCATCCCACGCCACCTTGGAAGAACATCTCTTCGGACACGATGTCGTCGAAAATTTCGTTCAAGAGACGCAACGCGCTCAGAGATTGTTTGTTAACGATCGATTCAAATACGGTGGTCAGAAGCTCCGGCCATGCGTCCGGGAAATCTACTGCCGCTATTTGAACAATACAGTAGCTGCTGCTTGCAACAATACGTGCATTTTGAGCATCATCCAAACCTAGCTTCAAAAGCGCATCCCGGATAAATGGTTTATTGTTCTCCCCAATTCCCGGCGGACCTCGATATGATTCAAAGCCAGCACTCCAGTACATAGTTACGAGCTTTCTCAGTGTCAGTAAAGAGTACAAACGGTGCTCGATAGCTATCTCATCTTGCAATGCAAACTCGGTCAATAACGTACATCCGCGACCAGGATCTTCGTCAATTTTTTGCAAGATGAACTGCTCACTTCGATCTCGAACTGTATTGTCAGGAGATTGGCCGCCTGCTATGGCAGCTTCTAAATCTCTTGGTATTAGTGAGGCAGGCATTGGTGTTTTTCTCTCAAAAGTTTATTCTATAAGATAAATTTACCTTTAGTTATTATAATTATCCTGTACCTTAGCCAAAATCAAATCAGTCTTTCAGAACTGACACGTTTTAGCACCAGCGAACTTTGGTATTGTGCTTATTTCAGTCTCAATTAGCCATTTCAGTCAACTTGTGCTGAAAGCACCGGATTGTCCAGTATATAGTAACAAAAAATGACCGAAGGGGCCTCCTTAAAGGAACAACTTCTGGATGCTGCAAGACGGAACAATGTTGATCTATTGGAGACTGTTTTCCAAGAGCTTGGATCCGATGAGAGACAGATTGCAGATTTGATCAATTCATCGTGCGATCCAATGGGAAATACAAGTCTCCACCTGTGCTGCCAATACGGTTCTTGGGATGTTCTGGACCAAATTCTTGATCAGGAAGGTGGAATCGAGATCGATCCTCGTAACACATTGGATGGTGATACGCCGCTTCATGTAGCAGTGCGTTACACTTCTTCAGAACCGGAACATGGAACATTCATCGCGCAGAATTTGATACAGGTTGGTGCAGATCCCAGAATCTTGAACAAAGCGGGTCAAAAGCCATTGGATCTCGTGCATGGCCCGGATCTCGAAAACCTCATCGATATATTGCAAGGAGCGGAACTTGCAGCAGATAACCAGAACTTGGTGAACGAGGAAGACGCGGAGCTGATAGACGACGGGCCGGAAGACTAGAGCTACAATCCTCGTTGAATTGTTCTATGTATAGACCCTTCTCCTCAATGGCGTATAGAAACCCAAAAAATAAGTCACTCATCCTTACTTTGAAGTGCTCGCTAGCAGTTATCTTGTCCCGTAATAACCCATCCGTCCTTAGACAATGCTAGTCGAACTTTCAGTTTCAAAGCATTTCTCTCTGCCTGCCGGCTCTTAAAATCATAGTAGCTTGTACTGTCGTCCAATCCACGAATAATCTTGAATAAACTCCACTGGTGAGCGCGACTGATCAAGGTCTCGCACTTTTTTCTCAGCGGCTTTGGTGCCCTCACGAACGAACCAATTTTGACCCCGTTCACAATACATTGCTGAAGCGGAGGGAGCTTGGAATTGACACTAAGGTGTATCAAACCCATGAGAGCGGGTTCCTGGTTCTCATCTTTTTTATCCCCCGGAAAAAGCTTTGAGCATGATAAAAGTTCCAACGGTTGATAATCATCTAAATGTTTTAGTCTTGTGTTGAAAGCACGCTCGAAACCGTCTCTTAGTGTTGAAGACACCTGTGGCACTACGATATACTTCAAAAACACCGGTTTTTCGAGCAAGTCCCAATTTAGTGCGTTTAGTAGAGACATACTTTGGCGGCAGCAGAGTTTGTCAGTACACGACTTCGAAAACGTTACATTGGAATCTACTCTTCCCGGTTTCGTCCTCACAAAGCCCTTTTTCTTGTAATTTGAACGCCCTCTCAAAACTGTCTTCACTCTAGGATCTGCATATTGGCTGAGGTCTGTATCGTTCCACACTGCAGAATCATCGTCCTCGAGCAGATCCATACTTGCATCGCCACAAGGAGCTCTAGAAACGTAAAGTGCAAAATCTAATGTTTCCTTCACCCGCAGGCCACCTTCAGATCTGCATACAATAGCAGTGTCAGGTTCCTGGTCAGAATTTTTGAGCTGCCACACCTCTTGCAGTAGAACCGTGTTAAACCCCCGAATTGCTAGAATTTCTGCATGGCAATCATGAAGCATTCTTCCTTGACTTCTGGACAGTTCCCGATCGGGCGTAGCTTTTACGCCTGTAGCCATGGATATCAACTGTATTTGGCCATTTGTTCTGTCGATTGCGACAATACAGGCCAATACGGTCCACTCCTGAACTCCGTTTGATCTAATTGCTGGCTTGCAGCCAGCCTGCAGCTTATCATAGAGCTTGAGTGCCAATCGAGAGATTCGATCTCCTAAATCCTCTCCCGATTCCATTGAGTTCATGGCGGATAAATGATGAGCTTTTGAAAAGCTCATCATCAACAATCTAATAACACAACAATACTTAATACAAGACATGCATATATAGCATTACATAGCCGAACAAAAGACCATTTCTAGATATAAAAGCGACAACTCTTGGCCTTTGATCCAAAAAGCTTCGTGATTATTACTTATATGTCTAGATTGAGCTTGAAGTCAATCCCACTAACGATCTCTTCCAATCCTCCTAGGCTTTTGAACTTTGGTATTGGTAATTCGCGCTCCTTTAGTGCATCTGCACTCTTTTGAAGTTGATCCTGGCGTGCAACCTCCTTAGCCTTTTCATTTTCTTCTCTCTGTAGCTCCTGGTAGTAAATCTTGGTTCTCGTTTTAAGTCTGCTGAAAGGATCGGTCTTGGCGTCGAAAGGTGTGTCTTCCTTCTTGACAGCCTCGACGATTTTACCGCTGTCCATGTTGGCTCTTCTGTTTTTTGATGTAAGAGCGCCGAGTTTTTTGGAACCGGCTTGATCGTCTTCGTGGTGTTTTTCGTATGATGACAGTCGTTTCTCCAAATTCCTCAATTGCGCAGAATACTTGGCAATGTCCTTCTCGATACCAGTCTCTTTCGCATACTGTAGCTTGTCCTTGAGCATCGTTTTTTCCAGAACAGCGTTTGTGCCTGAGAGCTTCTTATTGAAAACCATTCTATTACGCACAAGCTCATCCGTCAGTTTGGAGGTTATAGGTTGTGAAACGAAGTTGTTAATCTCATTTGACTTGTTGTTGAGCATGTAGAGGGAAGGTTTACTTATCTCTTGCTTGTCCAAGGAGCTCGAATATCTTTCAAACTCCGGTTGGGTAATGGCGCCATCGCTGAAAAAATTCATCTGGAAAACTTTCCGGTCTCTGCCCTGTGTTACACCAAGATACTGGTTCGTGAAGAACTTGCCCATGTTATATGGTTTTTGCAAGAACACTTTTTCTATTTTGACCATTCGATAAAGCGTCTGACCGCTCCTTTTGTCAGCTCCGACATTTACTCTTCCGTAGCAGCCCTTGACAACGTCGTTGAATTCAGGGTAGAAACAGAACTTCGCAACGAAAGAGCGACCGATTTTGATCTTGTTGAAGTCTCCTAATTCTGGTTCACGATCAAGATCCTCATCTTCTGCCCATTTCACATCTTCGTCCTCCAAATTCGACTTGCTGCGTCCAAATCCGGGCTGGTAGTCGTCTTCGCTTTCGCCCTCTTCCTCGTCATCTTGATATCCGTAATCGTCCTCTTCTTCCTCTTCTTCATCCGCTCCATCTTCATCACTGTAATCGTAAGTTGCGCTCTTTTTCGCGCGCTGTTTCTTGAGCTTAGAGAGACCAGATTCCTTGGCATCACTGTGACCCGTGGTACGTGTCGATCTTGCGGAAGTCCGTGTCTTGGACCCCTCTTGCTGCATTTGTCGGGCTTGTTGTTGTTCTCTGATGTGCTTTGCACGTTCCCTCAATACACGGCGCTCTTGGTACTTCTGCATGACTTGTGACCTGTCGAAGAGCAAAGATTCACGTTCCATTTCAGGCAGAGACTCTAGATGCGCTCTATCGCGCTCGTCTTTATACTTCCCTTCGATAGGAAATGGATCGGGCTCGTCATCCTCTTCTTCTTCTGAACCAAAGGCCTCGTCCTTCGGGTTATAGCCATCTTGGTCTTCGTCGTCTTGGTCTTGCTCCTCATCCTCATCAACAATCCTTCTCTTGCCTCCGTTACTGCTGTCGTACTTGGACCTCTTCTTGGCAGTCCCCACAGTGACCTTCTCCTCCTCCTCTTCTTCTCCGCTGCTAGCGCCTCCGGCTAAGGCCAGCAAATCTTCTTCGATATCGGACATTTCTTTATGGATAAGTTGTCACTGGAAGATATCGAACTCTCCAAAACTAACGCTTGAAAATGACTGAAATGGCCTCAAAAAAGAACCAGTTTTTTCACCAAAAGCTTGAATAAAGCGTTCTCTCTTTATTCTGGACTCTCTGCGGTCAACAACGACTGCTATAGCGCTATACTTCACAGATTCAAGCGGAAATACTGAAGAAAGTTGTTTAATGCTCATTCTATAAGATTCAATAAATATAATGTAATTTAAGAATTATTCAAACTTTGAACTACACTTCCAAGATTAAAAATTAACAAGAGCAATCAGCAGTCTGCTTTCGGACTGTCACCAAGCGATACGATCTCGCTCCTATTTGCGAGAGACCAGCTTGTAAGGCTTGTGAGCAACCGACCTTAAAATCACGACTTTGTGCAATGAGTAACACATCATCGGGTACCGAAGGACCCGGCAGACGAACGTCAATGTCCAAACGGTCGCCGTCAATTCTGGTGACAGATGCACGTTCTTCAGCCAAAAGGATCAGTGCACCATTTGCAGGACATGCAGCTGGAATGAGAGGCAGTAAGCCTTCGAGATCAGGACCCGATAGGCCTGAACGTTTTCGGGGCGTTTCTGCTGATTATAAGCCTGGTTTGAGGCGTCGTGGTAGTATCAATACGAGCAGCAATGACCTGCTGCCGGTTCGTCGGTCGAAAAGCAACCAGAAACTCAAGCAACAGGGCAAATTTAGTGACATTTCCATCGATAATATTCTGTCAGATGTATCTGATGTTCCGTCTGGTCGCAGGGAAGAACGGTTGTCCTTGTCATCTCACGACTTCAGCACCCCCTCAGACGGCAGATTTGTTCGATCCGCTCAACATGCCAAAATGATCAATCCTCTCCCTCCACGAACCTCCAAAACATCCAAGAAACTGGTTTTGATCCCTGAGGGAGCAGACCGGAAAAGTAACTCGCAGGACTTGGATAGAAAATGGCACTCTTTCGACTCAAAAGCGCATTCCGACAAATCTTCGCAGTCACACGATGAATTGTCTCGAATAACGGCCTATAACGTTGCAGAAGGGTTTGATACTCAACTCGCCTCCAAATTTCTCAAGTCGACCCATGACGTATCCCCTAGACTGTACGATGAGTGTCTATATGTTCCCTACTGTCTACCATTACTTCCTGGGAAAGATGGGTTCAGAATAAAATCGAATATCTCGAAGAAAACGGTTGGCGGCAAGACCCTTATAGATCGATTAATCGATAAAAGTGAACAGCGAGATCACCACTACGAGTATTATTCAGGAGTTGAAACGGTAGAAGATATGAACAATAATTTTGAGTTGGACGAATCTGCTGCCAATGAAAATGACAGGTTTGACGTAATTCCCACACCTGACCATCTTCCCAATCCGACAAGCAATAACACAGCTTTATTTGATCCGGGAGAACCCCAGTTTTTTGCTGAGGAAAGCTCAAATGACGAGTTAGGGAGTAATGATTTGAGTAAACCATCAGAACCTGCCACGCCGTCATTTCAAGAAAGAAGATCTCTTGATACATATGATGCTAGTAAGCAGCAGCATGCAGAGATGTTCATTTTTAGTTATGGGGTCGTGGTCTTCTGGAATTTCACGGAAATACAAGAGAAGAACATCTTAGGAGACATTGCATTTGCAGATTATGATGACTTGGTCATCTGGCCGTTAGATGAACAGGATATTGAAACCGAACAATTTCATTTCGAATATGACAAGGACATTGACAGACCTAGTATTTTCAATGACATTGTTACGCTTCGATCGGGGGATCACATTACGAAAATGACCTTATCACACTCAATTGCTCAGTCCACTAAATTGTCAAGGTTTGAGTCTAGAATATCACCCATTTTAGGCACGGTCTCAAAGCTGCCAAGGAGATTGGCACTGTATGGATCTTTGGGTCTCAAGCGCGAACAACTCTTGAAAAAATCCGGCAAACTCTTTAAGCTGAGAGTGGATGTAAATCTTTCTTCCAGCGTACTGGACACACCAGAATTTTTTTGGTCCTTCGAGCCAAGTCTTCATCCATTGTATTTAGCCATGCGGGAATATCTTGAAATTGACCAAAGAGCGCAAGTGCTAAACGATAGATGCAAAGTCTTTTTGGAGTTTTTCGATATCTGTGTTGACTCCGTGGCCGAAAGAAACATGGCCAGGATAACATGGTGGTTCATTGCCGTCATTTGTGTCAGTGTCTTGGTCTCGATAGGCGAGATAATTGTTAGGTCATTCATTATCCGTCAACTCAAAAATCATCACTGACACTGTACGCGTTCCGTGATTTCACTACACCTACAAGAGTATACGACTTATATTAATGATAGCTGGCTATTTAACATAACTATTTCTTGGCGCCGTATTTGTTCACAGACTTACCATCTGGGATTCCGAAGAAAACGTAGGGTTTGTCGCCTGATGCCAAGGAGTCTAGTCTGTAGTAACCCTTTCTTTCAAACTGAACAATGTCACCTTTAACCATGTCTTTTACGTTCAAGTCGGCGATGGCGGCAGTGTGAAACTCAGTCTGTGGGGTCAGGAAATCAGCAAAATCTTCACCTTCTTCTAATTTGTCTTTTGTGATCAAATGGTCGAAATCAACGAGGTCAATATCAACCTTGTCCTGAGTGTCAGCCAACCAGGTCAATTTCAACTTGGTCTTCTTGAAGTCACCCTCCAAATGTAGTTTGGCCTCCAAAGAGCCATCGGCATTCTTGCCCGTGACGATCACGTTACCCCAGTCCATTAAAGTCAATTCTTCGCCATCTTGGATCAAATCGGCATCATCCTGATCGATGAGAACATCACAGTAGTAGATAACCTTCTTCTCTCCCACAGCTGGGTTTTTCTTGTGTTTAGGTCTCATCTGCACGTCAGGAGTTTTGGAAGCGCCTTCGATGTGCATTTTGACTGGGTTAACGATGGCGGTATGTCTAGGAGCCACTGGGTCGATAACTTTCTTGTTAAACGCCCAGATCAAGTTCCACTCCAGATTGATCACATTCCTGGAGGGACCTTGCGACAGAACAAAGTTTCTCAAACCTTCAACTGTCATACCTCTTCTTCTTACACCTCTCACCGTTGGGAATCTTGGATCATCCCAGTTTCCAACCAAGTCCTTGTCGACCATCCATTGAAGCTTTCTCTTGGACAACAAAGTTCTCACAAAGTTGACGCGAGCAAAGTCCCAAATGTGAACCTTTCTCAATTTCAGGGCATTAAGCATCCACTCGTACTGAGCATTTCTGTCTCTGTACTCAATGGTACGTAGAGCGTGGGTAACACCCTCCAAGGCATCGACGATAGGAACGCAGAAATCGTAAGTTGGATAAGCCTTCCAAGTAGAGCCGGTCCTGTGATGAGGAGTCAAATTGCATCTGTAGATAACGGGATCACGCAACGTCTTGTTCAAGGCCTCGTAGTCAATTTTGGCACGAACACAGTTTTTCAAACCTTCTTCAGTACCGTTTTTCATTTCTTCAGTGAAGATTCTGAGATTTTCCTCCACTGAGCGATCTCTTCTTGCCGAGGCTATACCATCCATACGCTCTTCTCTCATCTTTTCCGTTGGCGTGTCATCACAGTAGGCCTTACCATCCTTGATTAGCTGGACACAAAGGTCAAACATCTCTTGGAAATAATCAGAAGAGTAGGTAACTCTGTCACCCTTGATACCCAAGAGTTCCAAATCTTCCAAGATAGAATCCTGAAATTCGGTTTTTTCCTTTGAAGGATTGGTGTCATCAAATCTAATGATGAGCTTACCCTTGTATTCCTGTGCAAAGTACTGGTTGAGAATAGCAGCTTTAGCATGTCCAATGTGCAAATATCCAGAAGGCTCGGGTGGGAAACGGGTTACAACTTCGCCGATCTTGGCATCAGGCAAGTCAATCTCAAAATTGGCCTTATGCGTTTCCTTTTTCTTACCGACGGTTGCCGATTTTTTAAGCTCCTGCACTGATTTCGTCAAAAACTCATGAGCAGTTCCAAACTCTGGAACTTGCTCCAAGAGTGTGTACCAACGAGAGACATTGATGTACACTTTGTTCTTGATGATGGATCCGACCATACCATTGGATCTTAGAGAGCCCCAGCACGCAACATCAGCTGGCGAAAAGGATTGTCCGCCAGAAATGAAAGTTCTGAGGTTCAAACGAGCGTCTAGTTTTTCCAGCGAGACAGAAAGCTTGGCGAAGTTCTTGACAGTAAGTTCTTCACCAGCGAACTTGATCCATTCAGCAGCATCATCTGTGCTCTGTTCGAAAACATTAGGATGACTGTCAACGATTTTCTTCAGCACACCATCAGATGCACCTTCCAAAACGGCAGCCGGAGCTTTCTTGTCTTCGGTGAACTCAATTTCAATACTCGAGGGCTTTGCCGCATTCACTAAGCGGGCGGCAATAAGCTCGGAGTACGCCACCACGGGCGCTTTACTCGCGATAATCAGCTTGGTCATGATGCTCAATGGCGCGAGATCAACGATTTACTGTATAATATGTTGCTTGATCTTCTACTTGACCTTGAAGTTCTAAGAGTATTTTGATATAATTTGGAAAATTTTATAGATATCAATCTCTTCATACGCTCATCTATAGATTCATCCCATATAAAACCTGGCATCGCTCTTAAGCTCACCTTGTAAGACACTAGCAACACAATCAACCGTTTTGCAGCGATTTTAAAGTACCATTGGTGGCATTTTGAGTTTTTCCAGGAGGTTTTTGAAGAGTTTCTCTGGCGTAAAGGATTGAAGAAGAACTCAAAATCTTAAACGCTGGCAACACATTTTAGGTAACATAACATGGGCTCCTCTCACCACTTGTTTGTACAGAAGCGAAGCTCTACATGTAGTTTACGCCAACCAAAAGAGATTGGTCATTACAGCAAGACCCTGGAAAATGAATTCAAAATCTCCGATGACTCTCAACTGAGCTACTTCTATTTCCCAGACAGTGATTTGAATAAAAATCTAGACTTGAGCGCAGGCATCAAGAAGTTCAAAGAATGTACGGATGACCCAAACTTTGATCAATGCACATTGAATCCCCTACTGAAAACAATAAAAGCTTATGAGCAGCGCAAGGAAAAAAAGGTTTCTGCTGATATCATTACTTTCAGAGGTGTTATGAGAAAGCTCGTCTCCTGTGCATTCGACAGTCCGCAATATAATCGCGTGGAGCTCCGAGTACTTTCTTTCAATGGACAGCTTTTCATAAAAGAAGTTTCTGAGCACCGTTCAGCCCCTAAGGACTTGAACTCGCTGGAACACCGTTCATACTATAGTGGTTACAAATTCGAAAATCTCACAACCTTGCCAAAACCTCTATCTCAAGTCCCCAGAAACAGCCTCGAAAAAAGGCCCAAAAAAATATGTAATAATGGAGAACAATTCGTGACCGTTGTGAGGTCTGGAGTGGGCCCTTGCAAAGTGGTGATGGGCGCAGAGGTAGACTGCATCTTCGATTTTCCTGAAAGCGGGTCTGACAACCTCAAACACTACGCTGAACTCAAGTGTACTAAGGGCGTTTCGTCTTTTGCGGAGGCGCGCAGATTTGAAAGAAAGATCTTCAAAACCTGGCTGCAATGCTTTTTGGTTGGCATACCCCGGATAATATATGGCTTTCGCGATGACAACTTTATACTGAAGTCAGTCGAAGAGTATTCGACTCACGAAGTTCCTGTCCTTCTCAAGACCAACAACCAGCAATTGACTAATGCATGCGTAGAGGCCGTTAGGTGGTATGGTGCCTTGACCGAGTGGTTGCTGGAAAGTGTGCCACGAGAAAAATCGACTGATTACATCAAAGCGTACAGACTGCGTTTCGAAAATAATCACCTAAAGCTGAGCGAAATTGAGCAGGGAGATGAAGAATACGAGGGAATTGTTGAGGGTGAAAGCGTATTGGATGCGGATTTCAAGGAGTGGAGAAAGGAGCTTACAGCATCAGACGATACCGCTTGATGCATTTTGAAACTCACACAAAAATAAAATAAGAGCCTGCAGGCCATTGCAAGAATATGTGGTCAAAGAGCACATCCCAAAACCAAGAAAAAAGCCACGATGCAAATTACAAGTGTTCACAAGGCGGAAGATTAGAGCCCATATCGATAACGCCGCGCGAACCTATTGATTGTGATTTCTTCCTTTAAATAACAACGGATTGCCAGCATTTTGAATCGAGAATCAATACCGGCTAATTAGTACATTCACAATAAATGATTAATGGATAAACAAATGTGACGATTTTGGTCGGCACACAGCTCTATAAGACAAGCTATAGCGATTCGAATATCCGACATTCTTGGTTTTAAGCTAATCAAGTTTCAAGAACATTAACAAAATATGAATTCATTAAACAAAGATGCGATCTAATTCCTACTCTTTTCTTGATTTTAACTTCTGGTTCTGATGCTAGTCAACCAACCGGCTGACATCTATATGTTTGCGATTGCCGCTATCCGTGGTAGGCACATAAGTCACTCTGTAGCTTTTGAATGCCATGTTTGAGACGATAATGATTGCGCAAGAACCAATTAACAAAATGGATAGCGACTTAGCGCTTATAGGCCTGAGAAACCCATTGATTATCTCGGCCAAAGTCTCCGCCCACACTACAGCAGAATGTTGCGGGTCAGTGGACTCTGGGATTTCCTGATTCATGCATCTAGACCAATATAGACACTGTGATTCCAGCCATGGAGCCCTTGACTCTGGTTCACATCGATTTTTGATGTATTTGGCCCTGCATTCCTGAATAGTTCGCGCCGCTCCTGCTGCTTGCAAGAGCATTTTTCTGTCTACATCCCGGTTTATGAGCTGAATAAACCTCACGCATAGGTATAAGATGCCAGATACTATCAGAGCATTAAAAGCAAGCTGAAGATATTCCGAAAGGACTTTTGGATCGGTCCAATCGGAAGAAGATCTTTGCCGAAAGCCTACATCACCAAATTTTGCCCTCATTCGCATCAAACATGAGTCAAAACGTCATACGCTCCTAGAGTGTTCGAAACCGTGCGTTCTCGAGATGATGATGAGGGTTTACAATTCTATATGAATCTTATTATAGTGCATGGTAAGTATTTGATGCCAGTATCAAGTGACTGCAAGAGAGAAAATGAAAAGACCAATGTAAGTATTGATGCTACGAGAATCAGCATAATACATGAGCAGTTTTCAGCTCCGGAGGATGACTGAATGTAAATGATAGTCAAACTTGAGCGAATGTTGCCAAACAAAAACCCTGTTCGGGCTTCAAATCTCGCAGAAACTTCTTAAAAGAGACCGGCCTTCGATAAGATTGATAATAACCGAGTGGTAAGTAGCCCAATTTGCTTCCCGAATGTTTAAGCTACTACCTTATCCTTCTTTTTTCCCGCGTAAACCCTTCATCGTCACAATGTTTCCAGTTCGTTTCCCATTTGTTTCCAGCCTCCAATGTTTCCAGTTTAACACGGCCCTAGCTCTCGCCCTTTCCACCCGATATAGCGTAAAGAATGATGTTTCGTTTGTTTCCAGTATGTTTCCAGCATGTTTCCAATACCCATTGTTTCCAGCTGGCTCCAGTTTTCAAAAATTCGTTCTTTATCTTTTCCTAAGACCAGCGTTCGCGGTCACGTGCTAAAACTTTTAGAATTTAATTGGAAGATAGAACGAGTCATCACGTGAATGGTGAGGCAGTTTTACAATCCTAAACCGAATCGGAATATCTCGGCTACATACATAGACATAGACAACTCCTCTAGTAACCAGTTAATGAACAAACCAAAGCTCTGAACACAACGGATATCGCATCACATCGTTGCTTCAACCGTTTTCATTTTGTTTTCATCATTGTGCATATTCTTCAAACGACAAGCTGAGTTTCTTTCAGTCCCTTTCCAAGTCGATCGCTAGCTATCTTCTGAAACCTGCTTCTTCTTCCATCAAGAGAAGCACGAACTCGACACCTACAAATCTCGAATCTATTGCAAAAGCGTCACCTGCACACGCACCACCTGCTCACGTACCGCAGACCGAAAAAATGCGTCAAACAGCTGTGCGACTATCCAAGACTTATACCCCGATGATCAAATTCGTTGGGGGAAGACATCCCCTCGTGCAACACTCTGGATCTGCCACTTCACACCCTTGCACGATCGATGGTCTTCTGCCCGGTTCAAAAGACTGTGTCCCTGCAGGCGAGTTCCTCTCCAAGTTGAGACCGTTCGAAGTTGTGCCTTACAAGACCAAGAAATCCGTCGCAAAAGGTGCCGGTGCAAGCACGGGCTCCAATTACACGTTTACATCGCGTCCCATCAATGAGAACGAGGTGGACTCCATTTTTAATCTGCCCAAAAGATTTCAGCTTCCTCCTTTCGCTGAGGCTGAAATGGATGCTATCAACGCCGGCGGCGCTCCGTGAAATATACATCTAAATTTTACGCGGAAACTACGAATGAATCTTTTATTATAATACAAATGTGTACCCCTGTACAGCAATGGAAAAGCGCACATCGCCCAGCTCCTGAGCCGCAGCCAGCTCCCTTATTTCTTGTAAAATGACCAGGCGTGGATCTCGCATGCCCGCGGACATCTTCACATGCATTATAATGACTTGAAGGCCGTCCAGCGGTTTATTTCCATAAGCCCTGCTTAACTGTTTCAGCTCGTGTATCAGGTAGTTTGGAGAAAGATGCCCGTAGAGATGCTCGTCCTTGGTCGCGTTAGAGCACGAACACTCGATTAGAATGCATTTTAGCTGCTGCAAAGTTACGGTTGTGCAGATATATTTCCAAGCGTTAGCCACCCATCGTTTGCGGGAAATAACATCAGACTCTAAATCACCGCAAATGGCAACTGCGTTGTTCGTAGTTTTATTCCGGACCAGGTAAATCGTGCTTGAACACGGAAGCTGGCTTTCCACCGTTGTTCCGTGGCTGACACGCAGTGGAGTAATGATCCAATTGGGTATGGATCTCACCTCGTGCGATTGATACTCGTCTAGTGTGTTTAGCTGTAGGCGCATTTTGTTTTGAGCAAACAGGTTGGGCCACAGAACATCATTGAAGACATGTTTTGTTAAAGCCTCTGTAGTTGTGCGTAGCCCCCAAAGAACTTTCTCTGTAGCGAAACATGCGGGCGAATTTATGACCAATGCAGCGATATGATCCAAATGAGGATGTGTGATATAGTACTCTTTCATGTTGTTGAAGATGCGCAGTGCTCCATTCATTACCGTTTCATTAGATTGCAATGTATCGTGCGGGCCCAAACCACGGACTATATTTGATCCAGGATCGATAAAGTTGTACAGGGGCTCCTCGAGCCTTTCGTAAAAACTCTCTACCGGGTCGTTCCAGCAACTTTCGCCCGCTGCGGTGTTTCCTTTTCGGTTGACCAACATCCTCGCTATCTGTCGCAGGCCTGATCCTGCATCTATGCATATGTAACTTTTGCCTGGGAAACTCCCAGGTTCTGAAAGAAGAACGCCCTGATTACCACCGTCGAGAGGGCCTCCTGAGGCTCCTAAAATGGTAAGTGCGAAGCTCGCCATGGTGTTTGTAGATGTTTATAAAGATGCAAAAGCCATCATTTTCCCGTCATCTCATATCATTGGTGACCCATACATAGTCTTTAATTTAGATGTGCACGTGATGCAAACGGAGTTCAAGGTAAGAGACCTTACCGAGATTTTGGCTTCAATAGCCTTCAAGAATATACACCGTATTGGACTTTGAAGCTAGAATTCCATCAGCTAGACTCTACTCTGTCTTTGTTGACAACTTATTTGGCATGTCTTGCTGTACGGACATGTCGAACTCTGCCCACTCCTGACACTTAACAGCGCGACAGAGTCCAATCTGGTGCTTGGATTATTGAATGCTTCCAAGCTTCCTGTTATATAACAAGAAATGGCTCGACTATGTATTCAAATTTAAACTTTTATTTACTGTGAATCTAGTGGTCTAACGAAATGTCATTGATAATGTTCAAAAATCATCTTGAGAAACCTGATCAATCAAATTATAGTGCTTTCAAAGGAAGCCTGAAATTCCATTGCATTTGGTCATTTGTCTTTTCGTTTTCATTCCACGATTACTGATGGTTTTTGTTATGACAGATCAATCAAATTTAACGTATTTCTTACCCACGACTCTTAACAGTGTCTTCCGAATAAAATGATTTTGAAGGAAATATACTTTTGTCGACAGATAGCTCAACTCTGTGATCAAATGGATTCGGAAATATCCTGCTTCATGATTAAATCGCTGTAAATGTACTGAGAAACTTGAGTATATCTCCAAGGGCTTTGCATTCTCTATATAAATGGTTTTCGGAGCTATAGTCGTGATAGAAACGGCAAAACTGTAGGTATGCCATGACGAGAACCGCACTTAAAAACAGGTGGCGCTACCCTATGAAACACGCTTGTCCGACACTGAACAGTATCGGTCCAACTCCGTAAAGGAGACGGATATTTTTACTCCGGCTCCCCAGCAAAACGGCTCGAGTGGTGTTGGCATACTCCACCTCAATCAAGAATCACTTTGTTGTCTTCGTATATCCCGCGGGCGAGTCTTATTTAACTAAACCTTCTGAGTACCGTAGCCTCTGATATCCTTTGCGAACCCCCAGACCATATCCTCGACCTTGGCGTCCTTGTCAAGGATTAGCCCCTGCTCTTTATCGATGACCGCTAGCGAGTATTTTCTGGAGGAGCGCGCGTCACGGTAAAACAGTACCTTCATCGCTTCGATAATGGACTTTTTGGCGGTCTCCAGATCTGTTTTTTCAACGTCGCTTTCAACGTCGACAACTTTTCTCAACAGCGGCAATGCTAAGTGGGCTCCGAATCCGGTAGCGAGCGAAGGGGCCGAATAGGTCACTCCTAAAAGATTGACGTACTTCAAAAATGGTTTGGCGTCCTCAACACCGGCCACGATCAATGCATTCCATAGTGGATTCATCTTGGATCTCCTGCTGTACATCACATTCGCCAGATATTCGAACACGTAGCTGGGCTTCAGGGCCTCTTCTTCATCCGCGTATTGGTTATCGTAGTTGTTCTCCGTCTGCATTTCTTCCAGCAGGTACTCTAATTGCTGCATGTCTGATATATCACCCGAAATCCCCACAACGGTGTTACGTCCCACAGAAATGAGTCTCTCGATATCGTTGAACCGCAGAAGGGAACCATACGAACCTAGGTTGTCTGCTGCAATTACCACACCGCCATTATACTTCATGGAGATAACAGACGTACCTGTTACAATTGGCTGTTGTGTGTGCATACTTGGGTATGGGGATGCATTGGCGATCTTGGTATTGTATTCGCCGTACTGTTCGTTAGAGGGCCTCCCCCATTCGAATGGATCGTGATTCATTATGTTGTAAAAGCTCTTGTGGTCAATCTGATGAACCTGGTAACAAAAGTAGAGAGGAAACGATTTGTCTAGGTCTGACCGGGTCTAAATCAAAGTTGAACATGGTGAACTTGATATTCTGCACTAAGGGTGGCAAACTAAACTTTACTTAATTTTCGGAAGTCATTTTGTACGTAAACTGTAGTGAACTTTCTATCTGCGATGCTCGATCGATTTTATACAGGTGTATGAGACAAGCTGTTGGTTAATGGTGTTTATTCTTTTGTTAAGTGTACGAAACTCCTACTTCATCAGACCACCGAATATTCTTCAGATTTCAGGCTCGCAGTGATGTCAAATGGAAGTTGAGCGCCGTCTTCTTCTTGAGAGCTGATTACTTGGCCGACACCCATTCCTGTAAATGATTTGTGGGCTCTGTAATTACTGAAAGCGACGGAAACAGGGAAGAAAGCGTCCTCATACTCGGCTTCAAGTGTTAAAGATACAGCGCCTGTAGTTCCTGCCTTTATAGTGTCGATCTTGATTATAATTCCGTTTTCATCGTCAATGCTTCCTATGGCAGCATTCATATCGTTGAAATCTTCGTTAATACGGACATTCTCCGTGTAAATCGGAATCGCTACACGAACATCGTCAAGGTCTTCCTCGTAATCTTGTGCTGTTTCGAGTTCGAATGTTACGTCGTACAGGCCTTGGTCCGTCGCAGATGGGGACACCCACGTCGAGATGCGCAGTGGTGCCAGAGCGGCGTCATCTGCGGCTCCGACCTTACGCCATCTGAGAACAGCCAAACTTTGGTCGTTGAAAGGGAATGCCTTCTTTTGATCCCGCAGTCCAATTACGCCGGAGTTCAAAAATAGGTTCTTATCAATATTTGGATGCGTCTTGAATTGGAAGGACTTATCCTTGGCATCAATCTGTGCAGGTAAGCTGATTCTCGCATGCGCTAATTCCTGGTCGTTCACACGCAGCTCCAAGCTACCCTTAAGTTCTGAACTTTCGACATTGCCCTCGCGAGAAATTTGTGCGCTGATTACTTCCTTAACAGAGATCAAAATTCCATTGTTAGCAGGCTTCTCGGGTTCTTCGACTTGCAAGGAAGAGGTTGCGGATGTGCTTTGTCTAGCGGGCTTCTGTAACTGGGAGGCCGAAGCGCTCAGACCACTTCTTCTGCCACCGCCAAGCTTGAGCCCTCTTCCACCGCCTACCGGGACGTCCGACTGCACATTGACGGGAACATCTGCGGGAGTCGCGTTTTTCTGCTTTGTCTGATAATACGACTGTTGAGCAGCAGCTGATGCCTGGCTGTAATAACTGCTGTATGCGTTGGATAGATTGGGGTCATTAGACGTCTGGAAACGCATGGCGTCCAAGCCATTGGTGGAAGGTATACCCATTTTCCGTTCGTGTTCCCTTCTGGATATCTCCTTGGCTCTACGCTTTCTCTCTTCTGCTGCTTCGAACTCTTTGTTCCGCTCAATAATTTCTTGGATTTTCTCCTCGTGCGATTCCATAGACAAATATGTGTTTATCTGCGTCAAAGACAGGTTTTCTTTGTGTCCCATAGTTATGACTTCGTCAAACGATCCCAGAATCTCGAATGCATTTTCGAAGATTTCCTGCTCATCAAAACTGCTTAGATACGAATTCATGCTCTGTGCAAACAGCTTCAACGTGTCCAAGTCCTGGATGATGTTAGACTGTCGATTCGTAATCAATATAATGTAGTAATCGTCGAACGGTTTGTAAACGTAGCGGACATGTTCATCTTCTACAAACGTGTGTTGTGAAGAAGTACTGCTCACCAGTCCCTGAAAGTTGGAAAGGAGCTCTGTTACACGGTCCTTGCTGATATCCCTAAACTGCCTGGAAAGCAAGGGTTTTCCTTGCCTCGTAATGATGGATACAGCGATCACTACCATAGTATCTAGTGTCCGTTGATGGTGTTTTAAAGTTTCGAGCAGATTCGTTATAAAACTGATTTGTTGTCCCTATTTACTTTAAAAAACTGAAGCCGTAAATTTTGGATATTTCGTCTTAGGTGACATCTCGATCAGTGCTTGAAACCTCATCCAACGTTGATCACATCAGAGACCAAGACTTAGAGGAGGTGCTCTTACCTAATAGCAGTATTTTTATTCTTCTGAGCTGCGTCTTTTTGATAGGAGCTTAAAACGCCGAAAAGTCGAAAATTTGGCTTTCTAGCAATATTACTGGTTTCCAAGAAATTATTTACATAGCATTTGTTAGTACAGGACTGATTATCAGTGCGGTGATAGAATGGAACACTATGGCTTGTAAAGATTCCTCCATTGCTCGGTTTAAACTTGTTTCCTTGATGATTCTGTTAAAATTTGTATGAATGATTTTATAAGTCTACTTCCAAATGTCACACTGGCGTCCAAGAACATTAATTTCCACCTAGAACATAAAAGTACGTTCGTATTTATTATATGTGTTACACTATTACAACCAGGCTTTAGCATGCATCAGTGTTGCTCCTCTGCATCTCTTTTCCGTTTGAGAGCCCCTGGCGACTCAGGACGTAAAGCGTTCACAAAGCTTTTCTCGAGAGGCTGCTCTGTAGTAGTGGTAGAGGCCTCATTTGACTCTTGGTCCACAACGCTTTCTTCTTTCTCATCGCCAGACGACATCACAATTACCTCCGTGTCTTTATTCTCAATCTGCTCGCCGTCGTCGAGCACCACTGGGTGACTTTCATCATTGCTGAACACCCGAATATTCGAAAACGTAGCGTCACCAGTGAGCATTTCAACCAGTGAGTTGTAGCGTGAGACAAATCGCGGCTTTGTGCTCACATTTATAGTAATGATAGTAGGTACATTCGCTTCACATTTTTTGATCGAATTGTCCTTCAGAATCTTGAATATTGACACGATGTCATTGATGGTAATGTCCTTGTTGTACATGTTGTCTTCTTCCATGATCAAATCCAAGTCAGGGAATTCCATCTTCAACTCCCGCGAGAGCAAATCGAGTGGGCGATTAACATTCTGCAAGAATAATCGCAGCCGGCCAAATATGATATGACAACCACGGTGCAAGTCAGCAGAATCCTTGCATATAATTTTACTGCTATCCCGTTCTCCTGCGTTGTCTCCATCGTATTCACCCAGCAACAAGAAAGTCTCATTTTTGTAGTTGACATTTATTTGGGGAGCCTTTGCACTAAGCAGTTGTTTTGCAGCTTCATTGACCTCACTCTCAGATACTATGTCAATTATTGAGTCGTTATCGCCATCGCCATCGCCTTCATTTTCAACATCTGCTTGGTAGATTTGATTCTCTGGCTTGTTCAAAGAATCTCTTTCTTTGTTGTCATTATCGTCACCAACAGAAACGATGGGTTCCGTGGCTTCCATAGCTGCTGCATTGATTTGTTCTTGGTCGTCCTTTTTGAGTTCCTCAGCTCCACTAGCAGCAGTTTCCTCAGCTCCATTAGTAGCACTTTCCTCAGCTCCTTTAGTAGCACTTTCCTCGGCTCCTTTAGTAGCACTTTCCTCAGCTCCATTGAGAGCGGCTTCCTCGACCTCATTGGTGGTGACTTCTTCGACCTTATTGGTATCACCTTTCTCGGCTTCTGTGGTCAAATCATCCGCTGGTTTCTCAGATGTCTCTGGTATTGCACTCGCTTCTTCTGAAAAGGGCGTCTTGACATCTGGACTAGACTCTGTCGAGAAAGCATTCACCGCTGTGAGACTTGCAGGAGCATTTCGAGCCTGTATTGAGGCATCAGGAGAGCTCTCAGTCATCTTTGCCGGCTTTGTTTTCAAAGTTAGTACCTTAAGGTAACATTCTATCTATTTGATATATGAGCTACTTTTATTTGAATTTGACGTCTATTACTTGACAAGAACTGTAAGACCAACACCTGGAAATCTTTTTCAACCACTTGATACCCTCGAGGATGCTCATGATAGAACAGTAGGTATATTTAGCTTTGTAATTTGGAGTCTGGGGGGCCTTTTCATAAATACCTTGTCGTAGTCCTTAAATGGTAGGTTGATGATACTATGAAGGGCCTCTATGGAACACTACGAAGGGTGAAAAGTTGTTAAAAGTGCTTTCTGAACGGATACAGATACACAGCCATATGGCGATACGTTACACGACCAGAATGAACAATAAGTGTTCCAAACGCTTATACTAGGGGTGCATTGCAGACAAGGTAGAGTTTGGATTTAGATACGAAGTATAAAGCCAAGCTGTGTAAGTAACCACTACTAACATTTAATCATCGCGATTGTCGATCCACTCCGGGTTCGATAGCAAATCACCACCGCACTAACAAAAGGTGCAAAATCAACATTTTAGGCTCAAATGTGCGCTTTTTTGGCTATGTTTGTAGTTGGATGCTATAGTAATTTCCTCATCTTCAATCTAAACTCAGGTCTGCTTGATTACCTTAACTACCCTTTCATTTGACGTTTCAGTGAAGCTACGGGCCTTGTGCAAGAGAGATACAATGGAACTTGATTGTCGGTGGTTAAAGTTAAGTTCAACTTGGAAAGACTTGGATTAAAGAGCGTTTTGGCATGTACAACACCAAGGTGACAGAGGTGAGGTGACTTTACGAGAGATTTTCTATGCAATACCTCAGATATAACTAAAACAAGATTCAAGAGATGAAGTCCTCCAAAAGCTCTTCTGAAGCCAATGGGCTGGCTATGAAGCTGAGCGTGTTTTACAAGCGTAGGCGCCCACTGGTCAAATCCGCTATATTTGCTTCGAAACGTGATCACCAAAATTTTTCGAGATTGGATTCCACTTTGGATACCTTTAACTTCAGCATACTATCAGAACAAGATAGAGTAAGATTCCAAAAGCTACTCACAAGTATCCGATGTCGGCTATATCAGACAGTGACAGTGAAACGGAGGTTGTATCGCGCAACCTTTGCGGTGTCGTTGATGTGGGTTCCAATGGTATTCGTTTCAGCATTTCGTCAAAGGCCTCCCATCATGCAAGAATAATGCCATGCGTCTTCAAAGATCGAATAAACATCTCACTGTTCGAAGTGCAGTATGCGGCAAACTCTCTGGAAAAGGCACCAATCCCCGAGGATACAATCAAAGAAGTGAGCGCTGCCATGAAGAGATTCAAACTTATATGCGATGACTTTGGGGTACCTGAGACGGGAGTGCGCGTAGTGGCTACAGAAGCAACTAGAGATGCCATCAATTCCAGTGAATTCATCAACGCAGTCTTTGAATCGACAGAGTGGGACGTGGAATTGCTCACCAAGGAAGAAGAGGGCAAAATCGGTGCATATGGAGTGATATCTTCGTTCAACATCGTCTCCGGACTTTACATGGATCTGGGAGGTGGCAGCACACAAATCTCATGGATAAGGTGCGTTGATGGAGAAATCAAGATGTCGTCTACACCCGTGTCATTGCCTTACGGCGCTGGCGCCCTATCAAGAAGAATGAAGCAAGAGGACAAACGAGACTTGTTTATGGAAATCAAAAAGGCATACAAAGATGCAGTTTCCAAGATAGATATACCGCAAGAAATGCTTCTGGAAGCCGAACAAAACGGAGGTTTTGACCTTTTCACATGTGGCGGTGGCCTAAGGGGTATGGGTCACTTGTTGCTTTCAAAAATCAAGGAGTATCCCATTCAAACCATCATCAACGGCTTCTCGTGTTCATTCGAGGAGTTCTCAAGTATGGCTGACTATCTGTTTCTGAAAGGCACTGTGCCCAAGTCCAAGAAGATTTTCAAAGTTTCTGAGCGAAGAGCACTACAATTACCGGCAGTAGGGTTACTAATGAGCGCTGCATTTGAATCTCTACCGTCTGTTAAAACCGTTCATTTCAGCGAAGGCGGTGTAAGAGAGGGCACTTTGTATTCCATCTTGCCCCGCGATGTCAGGGCTCAGGATCCTTTACTCGTTGCGACAAGACCTTACGCTCCTCTGCTGGCGCCCAAGTATCTCGAACTTCTTAGAGCAGCAATTCCGGAAAAGGAAGTACCCAGAATTGTGTACTCGAGGATTGCGCCTGCGCTCTGCAATCTGGCCTTCGTACACGCTTCATATCCCAAGGAGTTGCAGCCCACGGCGGCGCTGCATGTGGCAACTACAGGTATAATTGCAGGATGCCACGGTCTTTCGCATCGGGCAAGAGCTTTGATAGGAGTTGCCCTCTGCAACCGATGGGGAGGTGATATACCGGAACAAGAAATGGAGCATAAAAAGCTGCTACAAGATGTCGTTCTTCGAGACGGCGACAAAGTGGAGGGCGAAAGAATCGTGTGGTGGACGCAATATATCGGCACCATCATGTATGTCATATGCGGTGTTCACCCGGGTGGGAACATTCGTGATGGGCTGTTCAACTTCAACATCGAAGAGAAAGACAACATCGACAAAGATATGCAAAACCTAGGTATTGACGAGAAAACTAGTTTGGTTCCTTCGAGACGCAGAGAATTCGAGGTTATTGTTCGCATCAGCAAGGACGATCTCAAGACGAGTGCTTCTGTAAGGGCCAGAATCATTACGCTACAAAAGAAAATTCGCAAACTCTCGCGCGGGAGCTCCGAAAAGGTTAAGATCGGAGTCCAATTTTACGAGGATACGTGATAAACACATAAGAAGGACCAGCATACTGATCATACTATTTATGCTTTTGACGACAAGTATCTTAGGCTTCTTTCAATCCATGAGCATATCGGACATGTGTACGTAAAAAACGATCTTGACTTAATAGTAGGGCATTTGCCACTTCAAGAAAGAAGACCGCTAGTGTACAACAATAGTGAACATCTTAACACAGCTAACTGAGTTGAATCTCAAGATAAGCTGCTCATTGCATCTCACTAGATATAGAAGATGGCTTCATTAGTGGATCTTGTCAAGGGCTTGAATGCCGCATTTATCAGCGGTGACAACACAAGTTGCCAAAAGCTTCTTACACCCATAAAGATTGAGTTGATCAAGACCAATCTGCTTGTGCCAGACCTGGGCAAGGCTCAGAGTAATGAAAGCTATTTGAACGATTTGGAAAGTGCACAGAGAATATTGGAGATTGGAGCACTATGCAGCGTGAGAAACAGAGATTTCGAGTCATTCCAAAACTTGTTCTCACAGCTAAGGGTATATTATTTCAGCAACATTGCAAGATTGGAAGAGTCGGAAAACAAGTCAAAGCTGATCAGTCTCTACTTGCTGATTCTGCTGTCACAAGGAGATGTGACCAAGTTCCACTCCGAGCTAGAGTTCTTGGGCAAAAGACTGGACAATGTCGAAGAAGATGCATTTCTATCGTACCCTATAAAAGTCGAAAAGTGGCTGATGGAAGGCTCGTATCAGAGGGCTTGGGACCTTTTGAAGGGGGAGTCCAAGATTGATGAGTTCAACATCTTCACGCAGACGCTCATGGACGCTATCAGAGAAGAAATAGGCCGCAACACGGAACTGGCATACAAGAGGCTTCCGCTTTTTAACACCAAGGCGCTACTATTCTTCAATAGCGAAAAGGACACAGAGCAATTCGCGCTCAGTCGGGGCTGGAAAGTCGTTTCTGGCACCGTTATTTTCGACGAAGAAGAAGCTTTGGAAAAACAGCATCACATTACCATAGTCGAAAAGACCCTAGACTATGCTATTAACTTAGAGAGCATTGTGTAGAGAGTATCAAGAATTGTAGTATTCGCACACTTCTAATTACACGGTAACTGTACACTTCAACGCCCGCGCTTTGAAATACCAAATCTTTAGTATTTATCAGGTATATAATAAGATCGACTTTTAAATGTGGGTAAACAACATTGCTTGTAGCCAGTGGAGTCACTTTATAAAGCGGTCTGCGCTAAGCGGTAGAGACATGATAGGAGATTTAGTTCATTATTCGTTAGAGAAGAAAAAGAGGAGTAAAAACTGCAAGCCAAAATTAAGAAATGCAGCGCTCAGTTGGCCACACCAACCGCCTTGCCAGCAGCAAGTCTCTTCTCCGTCAAGGCGGCAATGATGGCGGCACCAGCACCGGAACCATCCTCGGCCGCGACAATCACGATTGGGTACTCGCTTGCACTCTTCTTTTCTTCCCAGTCGAAAATGTCTCTCAACCCGGTACCGGCTCTCTCGTTGAAGCCTGGGTACATGTTGAAAACAGAGCCATCGGCAGCGATATGGGCTGTCTTGTATCCTCTCTTCTTGCAGACAGCAGCGATACCACAAACCGACATTCTAGAGGCTCTGGTACCGATCAACTCACAAAGACGTCTGATCAGCTTACGTTCACCAGAGGTGGTTTCGATGCCCAACTCGTTCTTGAAGATGTCGTAGGTGTCCTCGAGGTTCTCGAAGGGGTCTTCCTCAACTCTAGCTGGGTAGGAAGTGTCCATGACGTATGGCTTTTGAAGTTTGGTGAGGTCTTGACCTTCCAAGATGAGACCCTGCTGGGCCAAGTCGATCAAGGCAACACGCAATAGCTCACCCAAGTAGTAACCGGATGTCATTTTTTCGAAACTCTGCTGGCCTGGTCTTGGAGACTGCTTGTCGATCAAGATGTCGTACTTGGTTCTTGGTAGCGTCACCAGCTCGTTGTCGAAGGAACCGTACTCACAGTTGATGGCCATAGGCGTTTCGGCGTCGAAGTCTGGGCCCAGACGGCCTTCGAGCTTCTCGATTCCGCCGCACACGTCGAAGTATGCACCGTTGACACCGGTACCGAAAATACATCCCATACGGGTGTCTGGGTCGGTGTACATGGACGCCACCAACGTACCGGTGGTATCGTTGATGAGGGCCACAACCTCGATAGGGATGTTACGCTTCTTTAGCTGTTCCTGCAACATTGGCACCACGTCCTTGCCCTCTACGCCGTCAATGTCGAAACCCTTGGTCCATCTCTGCAAGAAACCTTCGTTGATACGGTCCTGCGAAGCTGGGTACGAAAAGGTGAAACCTAGAGGCAAAGTGCGGGGAGCGCCTTGAGGGAACTCCTCGTCCAAAAAGGTCTTCAAACTGTCTGCAATGAACGAGAACAACGCATCAGCGGAGCCGGTACGCATGTGTTCGGGCAATTTGAACTTGGATTGAGTAGTGTCGAAATCGCGGTTTCCACCCAATTTGACAAGAACCACACGCAAGTTGGTTCCACCTAGATCGATGGCCAAGTAGTCTCCGGTTTCCTTACCTGTTGGGAAGTCCATGACCCATCCTGGAATCATAGGAATGTTTCCGCCCTTCTTGGAAAGACCTTTGTTGAGCTCTTTCACGAAGTGCTCTGTTACTTCCTTTAGCTTATCAGCTTTGACGGTGAACATTTCTTCGAAACGCTCGATCTGTTCTAGTAGACTGGTAGAAACGTCAGCCATGGAGCCCTTTCTGGCAGGAGGCTTCTTTGGACCCAAACGAACCATTTTAAATGACTATAAGCTTTAAAGCAAGTATGTGTGTGTGTGTGTGTGTGTGCGTATACGCTAGACAATGATGAGAAAATTGACTTGATGATGGGAATCGATACTAATTCAGTACGCTACCAAGACAAATCAATTGCAATTATTGAATATTGAATACACTGGAGAAAGGAATACAAACAAATAAACAAAGCTCAAATTAAATCTTATAAGTGTTCTAAAGACCTTCCCCAGGCTATCCTTTATATACCTGTGTCATCTGGCGTATCTGCCAGCTAGAATGCTCATATGCTCATAATGCACAGGTTCAGTATGAGGTGATCTATTGCCCTGTTGTTAGTGAAAAGGGAAAAAAAAAATTGCAGTAGCCAGCTTCCTATAACATGCAGCAGCGTAGAATGAAAAAGCGTGCCGCAGCGTGCCGCAGCGTGTAGAGCGTGTAGAGCTTGTAGAGCGGGCGGAACGAGACAGGAGCGTAGGGCGATTGCCGGTTACGTAGGGGCAAACTTGAAAAGAAGGCCCGGAAAAACGTGGAAAAAAAGGAAAAACTATGGTCGGGTTTTTTTTTTCCGAATCCAGTTTTTCCGGGTTTCGGAAAGAGCAAGGAAAAAATAATCATCCGAGCGGGGCGCAACGGAAAAATAAAGGGTGTGTGGATGGTGTTGTTGCAAGTGGTGGTGGTAATAGTAGTGGTAGTAGTTGTTGGTGTTGTTGTTGTTGTTGTTGTTGAACGGCGCGGGCTTGTTAGCCTGGTAATGGCGCGGGGAATAAACCCGGGGATTCGTGGCGGGACACCTTGTAAGAAAGCATGAGACGACGTTTAGGTGCGGGGAAGCCAGGGGAAGTGGGTCTTGGTGGGGTGGTGGTGGCGAGAGATTTTAAAAAAAATGGGGAAGTGAACAGATAACACGAAAAACTGGGGTACAACAACGGAGACGGTTTGTTTCCTTATTCCAGTTTTGAGAAGAAAAACGAATCTGGCTGTGGTCAACAATGGTGTCTGGGTGGATATAAAACGGCCGTCGTTTTGTACGTGATTTGGATTTTTAAATTTAAGGGTGACACAAAAACGAGATCTATTTGCTGCTCGACGCATATAAATAGGGCGGCTAGGGATCCCTTGGTACCTTTCCCAATAAACACCACTATTGGAGAAGGTCAAGAAATATATGGAGCACTTGCGAAACACCTGCCGCTCAAGCGGTATAGATCAATAGCAAATATGTTGTCGACACTACCGCCCACGCAATTAAGCGTATCATAAAGTAAGTCGCCAGCCTAGTTTTCTACCGCTGATCTTTGCCGCCAAGAGCATATGGAGCACTTGCGAAACACCTTAGTAAGACGTCTACAACGGCTGCCGCTCAACGGTACAGATCAATAGCAAATAGGTTGTCGACACTTACCGCCCACGCAATCATGCGTATCATAAAGTAAGTCGCCAGCTTAGTTTTTGCCGCTGATCTTTGCCGCTATGCAGCAGTTGTTTTTCGTGAGGAAAAGGCGTAGTTTGTCTTTCAAACGGCCCAGCGAACAATCGTGTTGTAAGAGAAGTCGCCTACTTTGTTTTTTTGCCGCTGATCTTTGCCCCCATGCATGTATTACCATCCACAATTGATTGCTGCACTCTCACTTGTTCAGCGATACTTGTAGTCATTTGTCATTCACAATTGATCACTAACGCTCTCAATTGCTTCATTGCGCTAACAGACTCGTCACCAACTGATCGCTACGCTCTCAATTGTTCAACTGTGCTCACTGACTTGTCACCATTTAGAAAACCATCCCTCATACTTTAATGCGGTGCCCCAGCAAAAATTATTCGTTGTTTTACACTGGAACTATTCAGGCTATTTCAATACCAAAGAAAAAATATTTAAATTCCGGTCCGAGGCAGTCGCGCGAGCCTCGATTTATCATCAGTGTTAGTTGCACAACGCCGCCGTCTCAAACACTAAAACTTGGCAATTCGAGGTGCGTTCTTGGTCTGGCAGAAACCACTCCAATCCCTCACCAGCGCATCTACCAACATAGCATTGAACTTAGCAACGTTCACTGCAGTGATCATGGTCGCTTTACCGGTTCTGACACCTTTCTTCGCGCGTAGATTTGATGGGTACAGTCTCAAACTGCCGTAGAATGGGGACGAAAAGGATGTGTCGACAGAAACGTAGGCTTCGTAAGAATCAGTAACGATTGTTGGGTCTGTCGCAATGGCAGACGCAACCTCGTCCCAGAAAGGAAGATTGAAAGCGGGCAACGTTCCGTTGCCAACAATCTCCTTCACGTAACCCAATGAAGTGGTGTTTTGGACAGCCGCGATACCACCAGAAACTGCAATCAACTCGTTGTACAAGTCTTGCGTGGGGAAAACTTGGGAACTAATGTTACCAACAATCACCAATTCTTTCCATGGAGCAGTCAATGCGGTTTGAGCCGCTTCGGGGTCCACCATCAGGTTGAAGTCGCTGTACAGGTCGTTAACGAAGTCACCGCCAGTGGCCTGTGCAATCTGGCCATCTACAAATCCACCCATGATAACCAGCTTCACTTTTTTAGCCAATTCAGGCCATTGAGCCAAGGCAATGGCCAAATTGGTCATCGTACCGGCAGCTACAATTGTTACGTTATCCTTTGAGTTCTTGACTGTATCCATAATCCATTGTGGTGCACCGACAGATTTGTTGTATTCATACGACGCATTGACTGGGATTGGGCTTTCATAGTCGACTCCCCATGCTCCCTGCCACACAATGTCGCCATACAGGTCCTGCCACAGATGGTAGGTATCGTTGTCAAAAACCAATGGTTGCACAGCACCTTTGTACACTGGCACGCAAGATGTTAAGTTTCCAGTGGACAAGGCCATAGCTGCTTCATATGTCGCAGCTTCAGTGTCATAGTCACCTAGGTTGGTAGTCACACCCAGCACTTGTTTGCCGGCTGCAAGTGGAAGCAGAACTTGCAAAGCCGTTGGCGTGTCATTGTCGACAATGAAAACTTCAGCCAAGGCGCTGGAGAATGTGAAAGCGGCCGCTGCTAGCACGGAGTATATCATCTTAGGTCCTTGAAGTCACATTGCAAGCCATCGTGAGAGTTGCTTCAGCTACAGCGCTTATTATATAGTACAGACAACCTGCAAGCTTTGAGCGCGCCGCTTCGTGAAAAGGGTTCTTATCAGCGAATGGCTCGAGGAAATATTTTTTCGTTAAGGCCGGCTTCCACAGATAAGCAAAAACGCCCAACAAGAATGCCCATTATGGTTTGTCTAAACGCGAAGGTTCATTGTGTGTGTCGATGCGAACGTTGTATAGAGATGTAGCGTATAATGTCCGTTTTATAACCACAATCAATAGACTTTTCCACTGATAGTCGAACAATTCCTTTCAAGTCAGTGATTTGCCGCATGTGAGCGACAGAACAAAGATGTAGTGAGGGTAAAGCGTGCCCAAATACACTTCAATTGTTTCCTGTCATGGCTCGGAAAGTAATCTTCAGCTCAAGTACTTTTGAGATCTTTAAACGCAAACACCTAGATAGTTCTAGCTTATGATGATTTTCAGCTAAGCAATGGCACCTAGATCTCAGAAGAAGTCAACAGTCTCACAGCCCTGCGACTACCAAAATTACCACCTCTAACTGTTCCCGAATCTCGGAGATTTGCGCGTATTATGCACAGGCCATCCGAGTTCAACTAGCTCATCGAACGCTTACTTGTTCACCATATATCTTGACGACAATTACAGGTATGCGAGCTCGTTGTCGCTGTCACCCAGGAAGAAAACATGCGATCAGTTGGGCATGAACTATAAGCTTGATGTAAAGGACAGCATCTGATCACAAGAGAGCTCAAAGCATCAATATCAAGTGAGAATCTGCGGAATTGAACTAATTAGGCTTTTGTTATGAAGTCTTTCAGAGCTGTTAGCTCTTTCGACGAACCAGTGATATGGATTGACTAGACAAGTTGTGGTTCGAGATCCATTGGTCGACAACCATCACATACAAAAAAAGTACACAACAATCCCTCTGGTCCATTTCCATAATGTCTCGGGAATGCCTCAGATTCATGAAAACCTTTCAGGTTAAATACCCCATTGTCCAAGCTCCGATGGCTGGGGTATCAACGCCTGAGATGGCATCTGCTGTCTCCAGGAGCGGCGGTTTGGGTTCCTTGAGCTTATCGCACATAAACCTCCAAGAACCATCTTCCATTTCAGCAATACGAAAAATTACTGATGGATTTGAATCTAAAACCGGTGCAAATCCTCGATCGGCCAATTTGAACTTCTTCTGTCATCCCATTTACCCCATCCCTACCTTAATTCAGAAAGAAAACTGGAATAGGCTCTATGGAAAACTTTTAGAGCCCGAGAACCTTGACTTGTCACTGAGTTTCAACAACGGAAATGTGAGTTTCAAAACCATCGAAACACCCGAAAATGCGGAGATTTTCCAGTCTCTATTGACTTTTTTCGCGAATGAATTTACGCCTGGGATGGTGAGTTTTCATTTTGGGTGTCCGTCTTCCGATTCCATTCAAAAGTTAAAGAAGCTGGGAATAGCCATCTTTGTCACAGCAACAAATGAGTTCGAGGGAGAGGAGCTCATTAAGTTGGGAGTCGATGGCATTGTCTGCCAAGGTTTTGAGGCGGGAGGGCACCGAGGCAGCTTTCCAGATTCTGAAGCCAAATTTGACGAGGGTCTTTCAACACTCTGCTTGTTCAAGCGGCTGAAGGCGGTCAAGAAAAAAATGGGAAGCGAGACGTTTCTCATCCCTGCTGGTGGGATCATGGACTCACGGACCATTCAATTTTACTTAGATGAAGGCGCTTCAGCCTGTCAGCTGGGAACAGCATTTCTCGCCGCTGCTGAGTCAAAGTCCAGCACATTCTACCAGAAACTCCTAAAATCACACGACAGCATATCTACCACCATCACACCTATTCCGTCGGGACTTCCTGCGAGAACTCTACTGACGCCCTTTATCGAAAGACTCTCCAGTCTTAGTCAAGGAGAAGACTTGCCACCTTATGGCTACAGATATAGTGAATTCAAACTTCTGCGATCGAAATTTCCCTCTTTAGTTAACTTCAACTTATGCGGCCAGGGCGTTGACCAAATTCAAACGGGGAATGACAAATGTTTGAGCACTGCGGAAATTTTCAGCGGCCTGACGCAGGGACTTATCATTCCCAAAGAGTAGATGTAGCAGGCTAGCTGACATGAAGCTATTGAACATCGAAGACGAGAAGCAGAACTTAATGGAAATATGAGGAATGATTTTTATCAAGATTTACGTTTGAACACGGATGAAAAAGCTTTAAGCGATGTAGAGAGTCTTATCATCAATTGCTGGGACCAGCATTCTCATGCTTCCGTCCCGAGTACTGATGAATGAAGACATAATTGCAAGTGACACTCCCTCCCAGATTCGCAATCTGTAAAAGTATAGACACCAGGATTCCCAAAGTCCGCAGCAAGCGGACAGCGGTCGAGGTTGAGCATTCACAAATTTTCCACTCGAAGAACTGGTCAAGCGGTGATAACCCCACAGTGTCAACAATTTTACAGAACGCTAATATCGGACTAGTTGGCATCAGCAACCCAGCCCTATGGATTGATATGGGTTGAAAACAAACACCTGGGAGTGTTGGTATCATCTTCTGGAGTGCTTATTGCTACCCGATGTTAATTAGGTCAAAACTAAAGCGAAGCAAGATTAGATTTCATATCTCCTAAGGCACTGCCTTGGTGCCCATACAAGAACAAGACAACTGGCGTATTACGAGGCAGCATTATCACAGTAATAACCACCAAGTATGGGACGATTCATGAAGGTCTCTGTGCGGTGTTTCTCGCACATGGAGAACACAGAGGTTGTTTGTGACGCATCCAGCTCTTGTATGAAGGCAGTGTTAGCCACAAGTTTCCTCCGAAATTCTCTTGAAAACCACCTAGAGCTCAACGGAGGAAAGTTCGACCGGCTTATGTTTAATTGGAGGATAAATCGGAAATCGCGCCGTCGACATCACACGACGCAATACTTCCCGGCTAATGAAGATATAGCAATATGAAGGGGCTACATAACCACTTCTGAGGATACCTCGAACCTTTGAATAATTATACCAGTTCAAGGCAACATATGAATTTCCAGGAAGATCGGTCATCCATCTTTACCATAAAAACACCCCTCAGAATCACGAATCATTTTTCAGAAAATGGATGTTAGATCTTTGGGCTAGCAGGGCTTAAACTACCAAACGAAATTGAAGATGCTGCAGCTGGGTAAAGGATTGAATAGGTGGTGGACATATTCCATGAAAAAGCTCATATTCTGTACTGTTGAAGTTTTCACCGGTGATAGGAGAATAACAGCATGGCTCAATTCGACGAGAAGATTGCGAACCTTGAGAAGAACTCACACTTGACAAGAGGTCAAATAAAGGGCATGAGTGAGTGGTATCAGAAGTTTTTCATTGCCCATATGCTTCAAAAGGCCCGAAAATTGCGAATTCGAGTAAGATGATCTCATTCGTACTTATAAAAGAAGCGCTGGTAAATGATGAGCACTCTGACTTTACAACATCAAATCTTTCAATTTATGCACAATCTCTTCTACAGACCTTCGAGGTCATAGCGGGCAAGAAATCGCATGTGCATTTCAATGGCGAAAGGGCGATATCGGGAGAGACAGTAAAACAAAGATATTATATTAGCAGAAACTATCAACGATCACCACGACGCCATCTCTTCATATAGTATGAGATAATTAAGAACCTATCTCAAAAGCACACAAATGACCACTTGGTAAATATACAGCGCGGTGAATTATTCACACTGAAAGTCCGACCCTTCATATCGGACGTTTCAAGAGAACATAGATGAGTAATTAAGGACGGTTTGCATGCAAAGTCTTTAGAAATCACAACGGATAAATGAAAGCCTTGTTTTCAAGATCTGTCAGATCAAGTAGACCAATGTCGACTTTTTCAACAATTTGTTCTCCAGTGTCCGCATCAATTTTAACAACTTCCCCGGTTAAAGCGTCCGGATGCTGCGAAATATACTGTTGCCTTTGCTGGTTTCTTGCCTTTAAAATATAGGTGATTATCCCAGCCACAACAGGCGCCAAGAGCCAAGAAAGAACAATTTGTACAATCCAAGCGGCATAGTATCTTGTGCCTTGATTTCCTTTCCATATCTGAGGAGAAACTATGTTTGAAACGCCATACGCCACACTATACATAAAGTGGCGAACAAAGCGCTTCGTTTGACCGGCGCAAGACGACGTCGACCACCCGAAACCAGAAATGTAGGCTAGGAAGTATGTGTTGGCAGAAAGAACAAGCATAGCCAATAAAGCTAGTTTATTTTCCCATGAAATGGCAACCATACCAATGCCTCCTGCTATGGATGGAAGGCAACCAAGTAGGCACATCCAAAAAGTGTTGTTAGGGAAGTAATGGATCAGTCCAGCGCCAAAGAGCGCAAATAATGCGGAAAATCCGCCACCAGCAAGACTTACGAGAGTTGAACCCAAGTCAGACACGCCCAGCGAGACATATAGAAGATTCTGCTGGTAGGTGAGATTATTGGACAACATCAAAGAAAAGCAAAAGAGTGTAAAAAGCCAGCTTATGGGATCTTTCAAACATTCGACTATCTGGTATTTTTTGACGGTGCTTTGAGTTATGGAAGCTTTGGACTCCTTTTGGACTCTTTTGATGAGGAAATACTTCTCCTTGGTAGTCAAAAAATGAGCGTCTGAAGGATCAGATGGATACCATATGACACAAACCACATTCATGATGACTGTTACACCGCCATTTATAATCATAAAGATTCTCCATGGAGGAATTGAGTTTTTGACGTGCAGACACCCATAAGCGATAAATCCACTAATGACCACTGGAAAGCCTACGCAACCGGTCCAGAAAATTGGCTGCATAGTTGCTCTATCTTTTGGAGTATAGAATTGTGCCATTGTAACCTCCAAAAGCGGGATTATGACACTTTCGAAAAAGCCAAGAAAGAAACGAAGCACCACGAGTCCGCCAAAATTGAACGCAGCAGCGTGAAGGAAAACAATAGCACCCCAGGTAAAGATTATGACGTTGAGAAATTTCTTGAGGTTATATCGTTGCAAAATCAGGTTCATGAAGCTTCCTATGGTGTAGCCAGTATAAAATATACTGTTCAGATCATCATACAAAGAGTCCGTCAAATTTGTCGATTTGAAAAGACCCATGATAGAAGCATATGAAAGAACCGTTTTATCCATGAACATGAGTGTAGTTATGGCTATTAGAAGTGGCATCAAGTTCCAATTGACCTTTTTGACAATATTGGAATAATCTTCATCGGCGATCTTGGCATCGCTAAATTCGTGGTCGTGTTCTTCGAGAAACGCCAACGTTCCGTCGGCGTTGTCTGCATTTTGAATAACGTTCTCGGACGATACCTCTATGTCTAGAGGAATTGTGCTTTCTTTCGCTGGTTCTTTTTCGTTTGACGCAAGCGCTGCCATTCTCGAGCTGTTAGCCATATCCAAAGGGTTCTTATCATGAAAGCGATCGTGGCCTTTAAGGTCACGGCAACTTGGTCCAATTTATAGATGAAAATTAAGTCCGAATTACTCGAGAATATGGAGCTCTTTCCGACATCGTGGTGGTTACATTATCAGAGTTATCTCGCATCGATGAGACACTGTAACTCATGGTGATTCCTTTACGAGTCATCGAAGAAAATTGACGACCGTATGCTGTTATGTGGCGCGCGGGACCTGTGTGTCCCAGAGGATAATATGCCAAGAGATATCTTAACAAAGACTGTGGTATTGACCTGTCAAGCCGTTACCAATCGATTCGTGTAAACTATGGTCAAAGACACCGAATCAAAAAGTTCGGTGTAAACTCACTTTTATGGCCGATGTGACTTTGATGGGGAATGAACGGATTTGAAAACTGAAATGAGCTGTGGAGTTCTTACAAAGAAATAGAAAGCGATGTCAGATTTTGAGCAGCCCTTCAGGGTGTTGGGTCTTTGAATATAAAAGAAGTTATCCAGAGCGATACATGTCACCTACATGTTGTGTGCAATATAGGACAATGCCAGAACTCATTAGATTGGATCTCCCAAATTCACGTATAGTGAATGGGAACCAATTTCCAGCAGCGTTTTCGCTGGAAGCATCGGAAAGTTTTAAACAGTCACCTGGAAAGATGACGAAGTATTTGCAGGAAGTTGCTCGAACCGGCTTTTTCAACGAATTGCTGGCCACCCATGGCGCGATCGTGATCCGTAACACCAATACAACCGACCCACAAGTGATTAGTAGGTACATAAACGCTATCGGCGTGGGAAGTGGAGATGAATTCTTCGAGCAGCAAGGTAGCACGGCTACACGGACCCGCGTTACAGATCTTTTGAGTACTGCTAATGAAGGTCCCTCCTCGACGTATATCCATCAGCACAATGAGTTCTCCAGATTCAAGCGGTATCCCGGCAAACTGTTTTTCGTTTGCACAAAATATGGCCCGCAAACAAAAGGCGGCCAAACTCCTATAGTACATGGAGCGGAGTTTTTCAATTATTTGGATTCAATCGCCCCGAAACTAGTCAACAATCTGGCAAGCAAAGGGCTATACTACGCGCAAGTATGGGCCAATGTAACAACAACAAGAACGTCTTGGCATGATCTTTTTTGTTTTGGGAGGGAAATCAGCAAAAATGACAGTTTATCTGTCGCAAAACAAAAGGCGGAAAGAAGCGTGCGTGCAAACGTTAGCGACGATTTTGAATGGGTCGATGGCGACGATTTACTTGTACACCAGCACACTGAGCCCGTGAAATTGTTTGTTAATTCCTATACTGGCCAATCTCACCCAACATTCTTCAATAGTTTGGCGACTTATTTCCATCAATGGAAATCCAAATCGTACAACACACCAACCGCTCAATTGAAATACGATGATGGTGAGCCGATTGACGAAAAGCAGCTTGAATTATTGCTGAAAGGGTCCATCAATTTTTCCTACGAACATCAATGGCAAGAGGGTGACATCGCCATTATTGACAACTGGCAAGTGAGCCACGGAAGATGCCCGTGGGAAGGTGGCCCTAGAAACATTCTTGTTAGCATGTGGATTTCGAAAACCGAGAAGGTTTACGAACCATGGACCGCTTGAGTTTAGGATATGCACTAGAGAAGTTGGTCTGTTCCCAAAGAGTTTTAATATCTGTCGCAGAAATTAGAATTGACTTTTGGAATACTAGTAGATGAGCAAATTTCCAGTTCTCTTGAGCTCGTCAAGCTTTACCAGAGGTATTGCAATTACTTGGCGAATGATTTGTTTGTTTTTCGCTCGTGTCATAGTTGGAAACAACTATTAAGGTTCCTCTGTCCAATCCAACCGCTATCGCAATTGTTGTGAAATCACGATCATGGATTTAACCAAGCATTAATATCAGCGTATTGATGAACATTTGTCTAATTTGAGAGAAGACGCAATTGAGTACTGGATTGTCGTTACTTCGGCCGAGCCAGGACAGTGTGTGTTGAAAGCATTTCAAGCATTCAGTACTTACCCGTTACATGTGACTGCCAGCCCGGCCGAGAGTGTATTCCTTAAGCTTGGTTTGGAAGAGCCAGTGAAGTTGAATATGTCACATTCGATTCACTATAAAACGGTCAGATCATATCACATCTTGTTTGTCCAATTTTTGTCCATTGTCCTCGTAAGCTGCTGAAGATCAGAGACACACTTAGGCAGAGCTCGGAGCTGAATATAGTCTAGTTTCATTGCAAAAGCGTTAAAGGTTAAGCCATAATTTTGAAAAGTACAAGAAGACATAACCTAGGCATGCTGACTGACAATGACCGAGTCAAAGTTACCCAAAGTCAGGTTGAGCGACGCCATAATAATGGAATCTTTTACCGCGAGTCAGTTACAGGAAAGTCACCTGAATTACTAGTTAATAACCTGGATCTCTCTTTTGATAAGAAAATCTTATTTGAAGATCTTGACTTTGCAGTATCCTATGGGGACAAGGTAACCATAGTTGGAGAGAATGGGAGCGGGAAGACAACCTTTCTGAAATTGCTGTCCGGCATAGATGATTATCCTTATTCTGGGTCGATCGACTTTGAAGGTACAATCGGTTTTTTGCCTCAACACTTCGAAGAAGTTGAGGGCGATCTACTGGCAATAATAGTGTTGCTCAGATCATTGTACGACGATGAAATCGACGGATTCTTAAAATTGCCTCTCGAACCCTTCTCATACGAGTGGTTCCAAGAGCTCAACTCACTAGGGGGTCATGAGATCTTCAAGCAATTTTCCCACATCGGACTAAAAGAAGAAGTATTGAAACGTCCTTTCAAGTCTCTAAGTGGTGGTGAGAAAACTAAAACGCTTCTCTGCGCATTAAGCATACTGAATCCCGATTTCATTTTACTAGACGAGCCGACAAATCATCTGGACAATGTAGGAATTGAGTGGTTAGAGTCCTATTTGAAAAGATTCACAGGCGCTGTTGTAATGGTAACCCACGACCGTAATTTAATCAATGCAGTTTCAAACTTCATATCAGAGCTATCCCCTCACACCAAGAAGTTTACGCATTTTAAAGGGGGCTATAAGCATTACTTGGAAGAAGAAAATAAGAGGCGACAACGATCGATCGAAGAAAGGCGTTTCCAGGACAAGGAGCTTAAAAAACTGAAGTCTAAGGCTGTACAAGCACAATCTAAAGTCAAGGCCCGAATAATTAGATCCGGGTCAGATCGGGATAAACTGAGTTATAATAATAAGGAGCAGCGAGCTCAAAAAGGCACTACCGGTCTTGTAAATCAGCTTTCGGAAAAAGCCGAGCATCTCAATGATAATCTGGTGGAAGTTATTCCCGACAGATCTCACGTTTCCTTCGATTTCGATGATCTTTCTGCTTTAAGCACTCTCTTGGGAGTTTCGGTAAATGAGGTTTCGAAATCCTACGAGAAGCAGATTTTCTCAAATGTATCTTTTACGTTGACAAAAGGCGAAAGACTGATAATACAGGGGCCCAATGGTTCTGGTAAAACGACCTTGAATCGAATACTCATGGGTCTCATCGAACCAGATCACGGGTCCGTCTCAATAAGCGGAAATGCTGTTGTGGGATTTTTGGATCAGGAACAAGAGAGCCTCCCTCTGGAAATGTCTCCGATAGAGCTGCTAGAAAAGGATCCTAAAATAAATGCATCAAGGCAGACAGCAATCCGTAACTTGCGTGATTTCGGGATTTATAAATGGCATGATCTGAAGAGTCCTCTCAAAGATTTGAGCGTCGGGTGTCGTCGTAAATCGCAGCTGTGTCAAATTATTATGAGAAAATGCTCTATCCTTATTCTAGATGAACCTACCAACCACATTGATTTCCCGAGTTTGGAAGTTATCGAAAATGCTCTACTAACCTTTCCGGGTATTATAATCGCCACAACGCATGACAGATATTTCACGGAAAAGGTTGCCACCAAAGTATTGGACTTTTCAAACTACAGCTCATAATGAGCTCAAGGCTCAATGTTGGGCTAAACTCGACTTGCTGATATGATATCGTGCCAAGAAAAAAAAAACATGGCATGAGGTGCTACTAACAAGATCGGATTGTGGAAGAGGCTTCTAACTACATTTGTCTAGAAACTCTAATGTTGTCCTGTCACTTCCTCATCTTGGACTCGGCTTCAAAGCGCAATCAAGCATCCTAATCACGTAAACCAAAAAAGAGCGTCGAGATAACTCTCACGTAAGACGATAGCGGCGTCAGACCTGACAATTATCAAGTTTGAAACCTTGTGAGCTTCACTTCCAGGCATAAGAGGCATTAGAAAACGTTGCTGAACGTGATTGCGCTGACACCTAATGGTCCACTAGACAGTCACACCACGTCTATTCAGATGAAAGGCATTTGCACAGCCTAAAAAGATGCCGGGCTCAAAACAAGCAGAAAACAGCAGGCATATCTGATATTGGCTCTTTGATATGTCCGAATGCTCCTAATTGATAGTTTTGAAGGCGTTATACGTTAACTGAGGGGCCTGTAGAAACCGTAAATTCAATGGATTAATCTGGTTTTATAGCATAATCCCATTTCGGTGTTTTTTAGTAAACCCCGATCTGAGCTCGTATAGCGCGGTGGCCCATATCGTTGAATTATCGATAAGGTCATGAATATCATTTTTAAGAGTGTCACGGGGTCTGATATGATTCATTGTCTTAAGAGCCAGACTCACAAATAGGCGCAATGAATAACTCTGGTTTTGCCCAAGTTCTCCTGGTAAATTTGGACAAGTGACCTAGAACGAATACCATCTACTAGCGCGCAATCCCGAAGTAAGCAATGGGTAAGTAACTGTGTACGAGATGGATAACAAATGTAATCTCTCGTGTGTAGTGATTGAATGAGCGTCAAGGGCCTAGCCGCTCATTGGCCAGATAGCCTTGGCTCGGCTAGGCACATCCTCCTATGTTATGCAGGCGTTCTCTTCAGACAGTTCAGTTTTTCGCCAAAGGTATAGAATTCGGATTACTAGAACCTGAGACTAAGCAATGGGGTATCCCTGGGTAATGGTTACGCTCAATGCACGCGCGATGCTCAGCGCGGTCTCCTCGGTGTCACTCCGTGCACGGTCTCAAGGTGGTACATCTATTGTGCGCCAAAAAGTCCCAACTAAGTGACGGATGATGGGCGTACGACATGACGAGTTATTCAAGAACAGTCATATACAACGGGTTGAACCGGATCACAAACTTAGTATCCGATGGATATCTGGAGATATTGGACCGCAACTACATACGGAATGTGTCCTTGATTGGATCCACTGTCCATGTCTGCTCGAGAATTAATTTCGTAGAGAGCTACATACTCATGAGTAGTCTATACATCATGTGATGGGTTACCCATCGCGAAATTTAAAATTACCTTACATGACACAGTCCCGTGACTCCCAGGGAGCTTATCGACCGTTCATGCACGTTTCCTCTACTGGCTCATAGTCCTGTGAGTGCGTCTAGCCAAACCCTGTCCACGTTATAGCAGTGGTTCCTGCGCGCTGCATGTTATTGTCCTGCGTGGTGTTCTGTGCTCGAGCAGAGCTGAGCGGCTTAACGCCTAGATATCTGTTTCAAAAAAGAAGCGTTAAGCGCTGGGCCTGGGACATAAATAACAAGCAACAATTCACGCTCAACGACCGTGATCGTGTGTTGGTCAACTCAACAGAGACCAAACTGTGTCTCTTTCACAGCAGCAACAAAACCAAGACTTGACACCGGTCACTGATTCTTTGAGTAGCCCCGTTGCCTGGTACTCAAGCACAGCGTTTCTAGTAGCAATTCGAATCGGTGTAAGGTCGGCAGGGCTTCGAGAGCGTTAGTAGCGTTTTCAGCATTTCTACCACCGTGTGCGTTCTGTCTACTGTGTGCAAATATTTTGGTGCCCTTGAACGCTCTTTTTTTTGGCGAGATGAATGCAGAAAAAACCCGCGCACATCTGTTCCGCTTCAGAGCCTTGGAAATTTCACGCTCCCCTTCCTTGGCCGATGACATCGAAAAGGCTGGCCCGTGAACGCTGAGGTCGCCCAACCTGTTGCTTTGGTGAACGCTGAGACAGCCGAAACCAATGTCCCTGTGAACGCCTGAACATCTTGACGGTTTGAACTGGCTCAGAAATGTTCAAAAGATTATCATGTTACCCTTTTTCTTGGAACTTAGGCCCCCAAGAACAACCTTGTTGTAACAATCCCTGATCCGCTCTGCATCAGATCTCAGGTTTGGACGCCCGGAAGCTATCAAAATGTATTTTTGTACTCAATGTAATCTGTGAATCTATAATTCATCCGTATGAGCAGAACTTCATCTCTCGGGTGTAGTCGCTTGAGAAAGGGCGGCGGGAATACCCTTGATTGAAGCAGGGTGACCACCGCAGATATTTCACCAACAGCAGCAGTTTGTTGACGAGAAACTTCGATCAGCCGAGATGGTGTACAGGGCAAAGGTGGGGATACACGGGATGCGACAATAATAACACGATACCGGCCTTGATATAAGCTGCGCTCTTAGGTTTAGTTGCCCAAAGTATAGAAGGCGCACAGAAAATATGAGATCGGGTGATGTCACATAGAAAGAGATTGAATGCTGATCCCAGCGCCGAAGGGTTTCGGACTGTGACAGCTGACATGCCAATGCCTTATTTTCCGAAGACGCAGCTTGCTCCAATAATAAAACAGTAAAATACCGAGCTATTCAAACAGCAAACGGTGCAAGGAGCACAAAGGACAAGAGCACATTTGGGCAATTCATGTAAAATGTTGAGGCCAAGTCTGACAGTTCTGTGGTTTTTCAAACAGAATAATGATGCAAGGGGCCTACAGAGAATGGGCACACAGAATCACACCGTCAAGTGCCAAAAACAAACAACTGCTGAGTAACGAGGATATGAGAGATACATATTCTCCTCCATCCCTCTTCACATTTGAATGGCGATCATTGACTGTACTGCGAACCCAGAGAAAACTTAACAATTTGATGGGACGCTTGATCCTCCAGTCGGAATTCTCGGAGCATTCTTCCCAGATGTACCTGTTGAGCATAAGTGATGTTTGGTGCTTGAAAATTTGCCAAAACCCCTCATTTCCGGCACCAGTCCTTTTTCCTCAAAAGCCTAGGTTTATTCAAGTATACAATGGATTGTCCTTTCACATAGTCTTTCTGCATTGACTACATTTGGCAACGTCCTTCCTCTCTGAGTATTTCGCAATGGTGTAGTTGATACAGAAGTAACGAGTTCCAAAAAAGAGAATCCATAAAAGACACTAGTTCTTCAATCAATGTAGTTCTCGAAGAAAAATCTGGCTATCCAAAGTCAAGTTGAGTTTTCGCAATCGTCAAAAAACCCTGTTTGCATTGCAAATACCCTTTATGTATATCAAAAAGGCACTTTACGCATGAAGAAAGACGACAGGATATTGAACTATTTTCAGGTCCATACTCAGGCAAAAGCGCCAAACTATAGATTTTAAGTCATAAGATGAACTACAAACTGTTTTATCGCGGTCAAAGTCATGGAAACTGATTGTAGGGCTCTTGTTGTACAACTTTTTCGAGACAATGTATTTGAACGTGCCCCAAGCCTTTAACTCGCTTTTGCACTGAAACTGCCCGCCAGTTAAAGATTCAAGAGCTTCTGTGAGCTCAGGAAGTATACTTAACACCATGACGAGTCTCGTTAACATTGAGCTGGAAAACATCTCCTCTTGAATAGTGACCAACAACATCAAACTCGTAGCGTGCCTCTACCATCAAGTCTGTATCGATTTCTGCTGTGAGCAGTCCCTCTGTTCCTCGCAAAGGCCCAGCAATTATCTCACCGAAAGGATTCACAATAACACTGCCTCCGTCGATGCAATTATCATCGCTGGCGTCAAGGCCAGGTAGTTTTCTTCGCCCGGTGGCTTCGTCAGCTACCTCCCCAAGTCCCATAGCAGATGCATTTTGCATTATTTGCACCGCACTCACAACAAACAAGCGCCCCTCATAGGCAAGGTTCTGCATCACGACCGTCCATAAAGGCCTCTGGTCTACCGTGGGGGCGCACCAAACTTCAACTCCTTTGTCGTACATCGTTTGTCTCATCAGTGGCATCATGTTTTCCCAACAAATTGCGCCACCAACTTTACCAACTTTAGTATCAACTACTGTCAAGGTAGACCCATCGCCTTGTCCCCAGATCAAGCGTTCGGTGGCTGTGGGCGTGAGCTTTCTGTGCTTCCCTACATAGCCGGCTTCTGGATCGATATAGACCATGGTGCAGTACAGAGTCGAACCATCACGTTCAACACACCCACAGCATATGAAAGCACCGGTTCTGTTCGCGAGTTTGCACAGTTTATTGATTTCTGGAAAACCGTCACCAGATCCGACCTCAATAGCTTGAGAAAAATATTTGGCGAATTCCTTCCTGCCAGAATCCAAGCGATATCCTAGATATGTTCCAAAATTTGATCCCTTTGGATACCCACCTAATGTGGCCTCTGGTATGACCACTAGAGAGACGTTATTTTTCTTGATTTCCTCTTCATAAGATAAAATGTTATCCAGTGTAGCTTGAGTGCCTCCAGGCAAAGTGCCCACTTGCAAAGCAGCGACAATCTTTTTGACCATGACTTCGCCCTAATTTCTGCTCAACTAACTCAGCAACCAATACTAACAATGCTTCCTAGTCGGTAGCATCCGCCTTATATATCTTGGGCTTTTATGGCAACCAGAAATCAGTGATCTTGTTTAGTATGACTCAACTGATGGGACTTTTCGACAATTGCTACATTTTCGGTGACTCAAACTAGAGAACGAATATCACACCGAACATAAGCCAGCGTTCATGCAAGGGTCCTGATAAGAGTTCCAAAATAGGTGCTGATAAACAACTCAATCAAAGGTCATTTTGCTTTTCGTTTCGACAAAGTCAATAATCATGTTGCTCACATCAAGTCGACCGGCGTCATATCCGTGATGTAGCGACAAAATCAGCGAGGCTACTTTCGAGATAGCATCACCTAGTAATTGCACTCGTTGTAAGAAATGAATAAAATTCAATCACTAAGCGACTACCCGAAATAAAGATCTCAATGAGAATGGAGGAATTTGTTTCTTTCAATTCGAGAGGTTTCGCACTCAAGTCCCTGAAAAATGTTCAGGGATGTGGGTTTTGTGGGGCCCATAGAAAGTTTACCAAAACTTGGATGCACAGATTGACGTCGACTTGACATTAGACCAACGTTGCTGTTACTCTTGTAAAAGAGAGAACTGAGGTCCTGACGAAAGCTTACTTGAAGCTTACGTTAGCACTATGGAGTAAAGCCCATCGCTTTGAAGACTTCTCATGTCAGATCTTTTGAGGCCTAGAAAGTCTAAGAAGGAGATGTTCGTCGTACATTTTTCCCAGCGGAAATAATGAGTTTAATCAAAGGCGGAATACAAATAAAATAGCTCTTAAAACCATCAATTCGCCGACTTCATGATTGTATAATAGCCGCGCCCAAAAGTTTTTTTAACGATTCTTTACTTCCCTAATATTAAATTCCTACCTACCGAATCGGGCGCCTCCACTTCGCTAGCAGACGCTCCCAATGCCATTCAAACTGTTTGTTTTATCGAGTCGCTGGACAGATACCAGATCTTTTTGCCAAGAATTGTCAAGTCATTATATACGTCAGAGTTCTTGTAAACGACTTTGGGTTTTTAATGTGACATTTGGCTCGTTTTTTTCTCAATTTCTATCCACAAGTTGAAAAGCAAGGTACATTTCTCGAGTAACTTGGGGAATATTTCCACAAGTTGATTTCGAGCAGACTTCGTTTCTAGTGCCCTGAGGATCAAGAAATGTTTTTAAAGTAACAACCGCCGCGTGTCAAGTCAATATGAGCATCGATGGGCCTGACAATTGACAAACAAGTTCAAGAAGGCAATGGAAGCAGCGCATCGTACGAGTGACAAACTGTCAACTGGTCAACTTGAATCTGACGCCTCATCAAATGACTCAATCGCTGATGAGGATGTACTAGTCAACTCAGTAACTGATGGTGGCCTTCATGATGAGGATAGAAAATCAGCCACCGCTGAAAAAATCGCCAGTTCAACTTATCTTGCTGCGATGGAAAAATCGAAGCCTAATGTCGAGTACTTTCATTCAGCAATTATAACTGAGGATTTAGCTACTATAAGGAATCCTAGCCTTTCACAGAAAAGAATGGCAGATGCCATCGGAGAATTGGTGAGTATCAAAGGCTACAAATCAACAGATAATGGGAAGGAGTATACGTTCAGGTGGACCGACAAATCAACGTACTATCTGGTCAAGTATTGCAACGAAATCGGTCCATTTTACGGTTTCGAAGGTCTGAAATCACCTAGGGTAAAGAAGCTAGAGCGAAGCAGCGTGATATCTCTTAAATGGAGTTGTATTTTGTATGATCTTCTGTTGTCATTAGAATTTGAAAACAATATCATACCAACAGAGAGTCAAATTAAACAGAAGTGCAGAGACCTTACAGAATACGCGCATCCCAGACTATTTGCTGTCACTTCAGGAGATGAGAAAAATCCCCTCCCGTTAACCGGAGCTGACAAAATAGATAACATGGTGGAACAGCTTTGTAGGCTGAAAAATGAAGCGGAAGTAACTAAAGCAGAATTCCATAAACGTGCTACCGACCACCGACGTAATAAGAGGACCGCAGGTCAGATGCTATGCTCAAATAGTATTCCGAGTGTCATTGAGAGCCTTGTTCATTTAGACTCTGTTGAGCAGTCTTCCATGGGTGACGTGAACCAATCCAATACTATCACAGTCAAAAAAGGTAGGGGATCAGGAAAGTCGCTGAACTCAAGAAATGTCGCTTTATATGCCCATTATTTCTCGGAACTCTCAGCACCAGCGAGAGAACTGCAAGAATCGGCGCTACAAAGGATTGAAGCAACACTTTCGGAAGAAAGGAACCGCCAAGCAAAAGCTCAACAGCAGGAAATAGAGTTTCAACGACAACAATTGGAATACAGCGCTCAAAAAGAAAAGCGTGAACAATTCGATCATGAAGCCAAAAAAATTAAGACAGTAATGGAAATGACGCTCATAGCCAAAAGCTTAGAAAAGGAGAATAATTCCTCGAATAATGCTGTAAAGAAAATGCTTCAAGACTTTTTCGCACGTTATACGTGAGTCAACTATCACAAATGTGAGAGTGTCTGTATTTGCTAAATTTTGTCCACACAGCTTATTTTCGAATCTTTTATTGCAAAGCTGGCTCGAGTTGGGTTTTTCACTTGATCAAAGCTTATGTGCTCGTATTGTCTGGAGCAGTAAGTGCCCTCTACTTGGTTATCGATAATAAAACCATCAAAATACTTCGGAAATTTGAGCCTACTCGTGAACTCCTCGAAGGATGGTAGGTCAATACGAAAGTACTTGAATCCTTGTGATCCTTCTAGACAATGTTTGAGGCTTGTCAGAAAGACAGCAATGGTAAAGTACGTACCCCAAAATCTCACTCTACCTACTTTCAATTCTCTAGGGCATTAAAAGTGGAAGTTGTTCTTTACCGCGCCAAATAACCACTCTAATGAATCACTAGATTTCGACAGGGTCTTGTTGTACTCCTTTTCAGCAGCTGTCAGGTTCTGCCCTTCAAACGTCACTGTGAGCACGTCAGAACTCCGATACACAGGATCCCCGTATATTTTGTATTAAATGCTACAGATCTCTGGAGCTGGCTTCAATCTGCGCTACAAGCCGCTATTCGCTTAAAAAAAGAGTCATGCTGGCTGCCAGCAAAGGGTCCTGCTATGCAAATACCATCAGGCGTTGTCATCGCTTGATATTACAAGATATGAGTTTTTTTATGCCTGCTATACGCTGAATTTTGCAACTTTGAACGTCCATGCGGCCTTAAAATTTTGACGTGCGTGCCATCGATAAAGTTGGAAACTGATTTCTTTGATCTCAGAAGCTTTGGTCGATGAGCGGTTCGCGGCTCGCAAGCCACGGCGCATTTGCAACTGACAGAGATGGGTTATGTGGGACAAGTAACATGTCATAAATGCGATAATCCTGGATATTGTAGAGGGTTTTCTGCCACATATGCTGGTCAGCGCTGGGTAAGTGTAGCCAATTTTCATTCTAACGATGAAAATGAAAAAACATTCGAAAGCGTCAAGTGAGTAAGCGCTAGTGTTGGAAGGTATCTTCAGTGCCTTAGCTATGCAATCGAGGTCGAGCTTACTAGATCCAATTAAGTTGCGGAAGTCAGCGTCAGGAAAATAAGTCGAAACTTCCCACCCCTATGAAACCTGTTATACCGACATTTTTGCCCCGAGCTCCAGTTCATCTTTCAGACCCAAGATTGGATTCGTTGGCAAGCAGCTTCTTGAGGTAATCATCCAATGCTTTGTCCTCTTCATGGGAAAAAATTCCCCTATCCTCTAATTTCCCAAGAACCTTTTGCGGTGCGCGCCGAGTAATTTAGTTCGTTAGTTGACTTATATAAGAGATACAATATTGGTACCTTAGAAGATATCGGCCTGAATCATAATTCTGCAGGAGCTCTTGGAGCCCGTCAGTATCCCAGTGCCGGTTCAGATATTTTAAGTATCCCGTATGGCTATGAACACCGCAGATTTGTTGATGTAAACTAGCTGAGAACTCTACATTAGAGCTTGTCATTAAAATATTTATCAAGAGTATACGAAACTCGGGGTGGTTCGAGAAACAGCTTACTCTAGAATACATTTAATTCTTCTAGCGCATCATGTAAATTGCTGACGCGTGAAATAAATCCTCTTCACGCCAAATGCCACTTGTTGACGACGCGTCCTTCGCACACTCAATAACCAATGTGAACCCAATCTGTTTACAAGGTGTACTTCACCAGCTTGGGTTTTATTTCCACCCCCAAGTTTTTCCACGCAAGGAACCCAAAGTCGTTTACACTGTTAAAATAAACCAACACAGGTGCAAAGGACTCTTAGTCTTTTTATTAATTGAACAGGTGCGAGGTTGTGCTGTGATAACCTTCTTTTAAAGCGAAGCGAATGGTCACATCATGCAAGGCCAATGGTCCCCGATGAACAGCGAGTGCCTTCTTTTTGTTCTTAACTACTGAAGTCCTTTTTGACTCAAATCAAAGCACAAGCCGCTTGATCCTGCTAAGACTGATACTTAGATCAGTGATGTCCTTATCTTAGCATACTTTTCTCTTTTTTAGCGTAACAAAGGATCTTCTCGCTCTCACATAAACGTTGAGAGTCTTCGGTGACACCGTGGTGGTTCTTCCTTTTTTGAAAAGTGAATCGAAATGATACACGGGCTGGAGAAAGCTTTTCAAGAATTTTTGTGAGCTTTAGCGTCAATGGCGGGCTCGAGACCAGAATTCCAGATGAGCACAAGAAAAAGCTGGCTCGTTAATGGGTGATGTGTTAAGCAGAATTTGCTGATCCGGCAGATGAAGGCTTCAGCACAAGACTGAAAAATGGACTACTTAATGGATGGTCAACCTAAAAGATCATGACAAGCACTTTCCGTGAAGTATATTGGGGTTACATTTGGTTCAGCAGTGCAATTATGTGGGGCTTAGCCCATTTGAGTAGACCACACCATCAATCTCATCCTGAGCTGCTATGTCATAGTTTCTTTTTCTGAGCACTCTCCATCAACAAAACTAAAATTTTCAAATCGCAGTGGCTCAAGCGACTTCTCGAATGATATTCGTGAGGCATTCAGATCACTTCAGAAGACAATTTCAGCTAGTGGCAGCAAGGCCTTTCGATTAGGTTGTGGGGGATTCATTTGGGCACATGCCACGATTTCAATTTCAACCGGGTTGAGTCTTCCCCGTATAATATAGCGTTAGTCAATTTTATTCTCCTCGTTTGAATTTTTTAACCCAAGGTGAAAGTGGGAGGCTTACTGTACTAAACAGCTCCGACTGGACCGTTCATCAAAACAGCTTGGGTATCGGGACTTATCATTCTGTCATCACAACCATCACACATCGGCTGAGGGAAATATGAATATGGTAATTAATTCTCCATTACCAAAATGGTATTTTGCATTCTGTACGACTTGTGTGAGATGAGTGATACCAAAACTACTGTCCGTAAGGTCTATACAAAAAAACGCCCGTCTGGTCTCAGCCGCTAATGTTTTCCGGAAAATCAATGCTACTGGAGTTGTGATCCTTACCGTCTACTTTGAATTCGTGTTGGCAATACTAACGCTCGTTGATGAAGACTATGAAACGATGGTCACAAGAAAGTTTATTGCACCTTTAGCAGTGGAGAAGGAAATGTCTTCCTCTCTATTCTGGAGAAGGGAGTACTTGAAAGATCCTGCTTTGTCGCTCAATTCGATCGGAGAAACCGCGATGCGTGGAACCCTCTTTTTCTGGGGCTTTCATTGAGCTGCCTGTGATTACTTGTACCCAGTCTTGGTGGTCACGGTCAGTGAATCGAGAAGCTCTGCAACCCGACTGCTTCGCTTGCATGGTCATTTTTAGCAGTAAGCTTCACTATTACTGATATGGTGGTCGCCAAAGTTCAACGTCTTAAGCTATTCATTATGGGGCGGCTTTCGTGTTTGACTAACATTAGTAGACTTGTGCCGCTCGTACGGAATACGTGGATATATGCTTATTCCACATTCGATTTTCCTGATGAGGCTGTGAAAATAATCACAACTTGTACTCTTACAAACGTTACACCAAAAACGTCATGGTCGACCATCATGACCGACACGGTTTCCCAATGTCAACAGATTCACATCACTATATACTCTCGCGTCACCTTCGAGGAGCGATCTCTACGAATGCCAAGACTACAGGAACTGTTCCACGCCCTTCTTCACCTAGAGACACGCGTGGCGTGATTTACGCCAAGAAATTATCGAAAAACGAACCCTTCATTAATAATCTGTTTATGCGCCTTCTTTTCATCAACTCCGACGTCGATGATTAATATAATTTTTAACAACATGGCGTTTCGCAGAGTGTCATCGAGAAAATGAAGGCTTCGTTTTGGCTCAGCAACACCTCTTGGCACGCTTTGGGAGGCTCAAATGGTGTGAAATGTGGATGATATCGATTACTTCGATTAATAATGCGGGTCAGAGTGCTCACTGTTGTTTACCCACACGTACGTGACATTTTACAACCCACGACTACTGTGATCCAAGTCTTTTCCAAGGGCTTGGAAGCGATGACAAATGGATGTGAGAGTTTACCTCATTGACATCAAGATCTCAAGGTATAAAAGCAGAACGCTCATCGTGTCTGCCAACATGATCTTGTCAATAGTTGTTCCCAAAGCAAGCAAGTTGAAACTCTCAGGTCTTCACTAAAGCTTTAAGAAAAATAAAACAACTCCATAATATACAATGCCCTCCAAATCGTACTTCGTCGCTGGCGGCAACAGAGGCATTGGTCTCGCACTAGTCAAAGAATTGAGTTCCGACACTAAGAACACCGTTATTGCCACTGCTAGACAGCCAAACTCTGCTAAGGACTTGAAAGACTGGGCTGCTAAACACGCTAATGTGCACATCGTGCAATTGGACGTCACCTCCAGTAAAAGCGCCGAGGCTGCCGCCAAGGAGACTGCCAAACTATTGCCCGACGGGCTAGACGTGCTGGTTTCAAACGCCGGGGTTCTTAAAGATCTAGGCAAGTTTTTGGACCACCCGGATGAGCTTTACATCGAGCAATTCGACGTCAACGCCGTGGGTCCAGTTAGATTGGTAAAGGCGTTCAAACCCTTGCTAGACAAGAAGGACACCAAAGAGGTTGCCGTGGTATCTTCACTAGTTGGGTCTCTCAACGTCGAGCTACCAGTGGGATTCTCTGGTTACGGGGTGTCCAAGGCCGCCACTAACTATGTTGTGAAGGGATTGATAGGCGAACTTGCTCCCGAGGGCTACAGTTTCGTGGCCATCCACCCGGGTCTTGTCGGTAGCGACATGGGAGACGACACATTTGCGCAATTGGGTGACGAAGTCGCTGGCCAACTAAAGAGCGCGTTGCCATTGCTCACCCCTGAAGAGTCTGCCAAGGCTATCAAGGAGAATGTTTTGACAGGCTTGAAAGCGAAGAACGCTGGGAAGTTCCTGAGCTACGATGGTTCCGAGCTGCCATGGTAGAAGGTGATTGGCGCTGGCTGTGGGTAGTTGTTTATAAGTCTAGAAAGCACTTAAGTTACTCATATAGATGTTCAATTTTAGTGATTACTGATGGAGGGATGGTAAATATAGTTACGCTATTAGAGCAGTGAGACGATTTTTACCGCAGTGAATAGACACTTGTTGGACTAGTAGATCGTGGCAAGGATCTTTCGTCAGATGAAAGCAGCTGATTTCCGTTTTTAAATGTTAATGCGCGATGAGCGCATATGACGATTGTATCACGTCCGTTCAGCCAAATATGTATAGAACATCAAAAACCAGCGCATCAGTGACGAGATCAAGAAGATTGTCTGTCACTTAAAGCTTGAATCACAGAGATATGTGTTGAAAGTCATTGAGCTGCTGGTAAAGTAGCTACTGTTAGGATGGGTAGAACCCATTTTTTTATTACCACCCGCGCCATCGTTTGGGCAGTCTCTTATAACTACTAGGCTGGTCGATTTAGCTGGCGCAAGCTTGATCAACGGGTGCTCTAAAGATTTCAAATGAATAGCACGGTCGGTCTGGTATTTGCACCGCCTAAACACATATGTTCTTTTCAAAAGTGCTATTTTGAAACTGGCAGTATAATTTGATTTCACAGATTCTGTTGTGTCAATCAAACAGCTTCCAAGCTTGATAGACACTGCCAGCTTTTAATTTACTGTTGGTAAATTGAAGAGCTAGACGTTAGTCCGCTTTCTACTATTGAAATTGAGGTAGTCATTATGTACTTTATCATCACCGCAACCGATCTTCAAGAATGAAAATACTATCCAAGTCTTTGAAATATCTGAAAGTATCAGGTGTGTTTGGCATAACGAGTTCCAAGAAATGCTGGCACAGTTACATTGAAATACTCATGCGCTCCTCGTCAGCACAAAAAAGTGAAATATATAGATCAAGAACACCTTTTCTTAGCACAATCCCAAGATCTTCGATGTTATAGACCGCGAATCATCTATTTTAACCTTAATTTTTAGTCTAGGTTACGCATGGGTATAGCATGTACAGCCCAAACACCTTGCTATATTTCAACATATCACGCTAGCTCTTTGCCCCATGACGCCATTGTTCAGAGCTAAAGAGCGATGACATAATAGGGTGCGTCATATGCCCAATGAGAATCACACAAATAGTGCATTTGAGCAGTCTTTTCGAGGAGTCTATCAGCGGTCTGTCATAAGCAAGAAACCTCTAAGATTTTTGTTTTCATAACATTCATAAGCTAAGAAACAACCACCTACTCACTACTCTTTGATGTCCTTTACATATTGTTTTATAGCTGGCGGTACCGTTGGCAATGGTCTCGCACTAGTCAAACAAGTGAGCTCCGAAACAGAGCACTGTTATTGCTACTACGAGGGAGCCAAACTCGGGACTAGGTGGCTATGCTTTGCTTTTTGTTGAGGTACTGACCTAGTAAATAACATTTCATTTCTCAAGGAAATTGTCTATTAAAGTCCCCCGATATGAGCTCGTATAGCTTTGTGGCCGATATCGATAGAGCCGATAAGATCACATGCTGATAGCCCAAAGAGCATCACATGCTGCTTATCTAATCTCTTATCATCCGTGACAGAAGTACTATGTAATGATTTGTTAACACGTGATGTCGTTACTGGTGATTTGCATAAACTGTCATGTCTCTGGGGTCTCATCAAGACTGGTTCACGAAACTACAAGCAATTTGAGTATTGACTAGTCTCTTGCATGGCGCGGGTTCTATAATCGGGACTTTACTCCAGCTCCATGCCATTGAAATTCAATTTTTGGTCGGGCATTAGAACGACCAAGATACTTTTTATTTATGAGTATACTTACCGACATTCAGTTTTAGGTTCTCAGATAATTATGACACCATGTGCGTTTCTACGGCTCTTTCGAAAAACTATAAATAAAGGTCCGTTTTGCTCCCAGAGAGGTATGCCTTTGTGGATGGATACCTTGTTCATACTGACGAAGACGGACACCAACGGCTAGAAGTACCTGGTCGCAATGTCAAAAGAATGACAAAAGAGGAACGCTCCCTTTACATGCGCGACTTGTCGCATTATATGAACAGTGAATATGATCTATTCAGCTGTGATTCCGCGAGCCTTTAAGATCTTCTACGCGGCTGATAGTGGAAAGAAATTGATACAAAAGTCACGCAACGCCCTCTACTCCATATTCTCGTTCGTCTCAACGGCTTCAAAGTTGATGATCTTCGTCCAAGCATGGACACTCCTGATCGGATTCGCCGAAAACTGGATGCGTTCAAACAATTTGTGGTCTACTCTACGCTATACAATAGTCCTGATGAGAATGTGCAGTACTTTACAGAGGATCTTCCTTCCGAATGGCCGTGGATCAAACAAACTTACCACCAGGTTGTAGCGGAGCACGATGCAAAGGTGAATTTAAGAGTCTCGTACCAACCGC